CCCCAACCCCAACCCCAACCCCCATATATTTATCAAATAAAAATAAATTTTTTTTGTTATTTATTTTTGTTAAATAAAACCTTTTAGGTTTAGTAAATTACTTTTTAGTATTTTTTTCTTATTGTTTTTGATTTGACTAATTTTTTAATATAAAACAAATAACAAATTTTATATTATATTATATAAAAGTATTTACATTTAAACATAAATTTACAATATTAGTGTATAAATTATCAAAAATCAATTGTATCCATAGTAATTCTTCCTAGTTTACCAGTACGAAAGTCATCCAAAATGAAGTCATAAGTTGTGTCATAATTATAGTGATTAAATTTATCTCTTACATGTACGAATAATTCATCACCTGTTTTTGCAGGCTCTTTCATACCATAATAATGTTAATATGTTTATTACTTTTGCTTATTCAATATCCAAACCAAATAATCTAAAATAGGCTCTTTTCCTGGTATTACATCCTTAATACATCCTACTAATGATAACTTTAATGCTGTTTCATCATCCTATATATTTGGTATCATCACACCAGGAGTATCAACTAAATAAGCTAATGGTTTTTGAGAAAATTTGACTCCAACTACTGATTTTGTTGTACATGGAGTAGCAGTAGCTTTATTAATAGCTCTTCTATTGTGCAATTCAGGAGCGATTTATCTTATTTAATTTATAATTGTAGATTTGCCTACATTTGGCATACCACATATCATAAGCCATGTTCCTACTGTATCATATTTGGCTGGCATTCTTTATTAGAGTTAAGTAATGATATCTTTCATATTAGTTCCTATTTAAGATAAAATTTGGTGATTTATTTCATGCCTTTGCTATTTATTTTGCATATTTTAATTTGAATATATTAATATTAATTACCCTTTTTTGCTGAAACAGCAAAACAGTCAATTCCAACTCTGTTATATTTTTCAATCACATTATTCATAACACGCTAATTACTTAAATCATATTTATTGAAAATTATAATCTTTTTCTTAGAATGAAACGAGCATAAATCATCAAATTCTTGATTTCTAGAAGATATTGGTACCCTACTATCTCGTATTTCTAAGAAACAATCTATTTTATCTACATTCTCTTTCATCAATCTCAAGGCTCTATACATATGGCCAGGAAACCAATTAACTTTCTCTCCTAAAGCTGGGAAAGTATCTGCTATAGCTTTCATCTCACTTTGATAAACCTATATAACTGTTTTAGTTCTTATAAATATATAGATAGATAATTAAATTAACTAAAATATAAAAAAAATAATATTCAGCAATCAATTAATTAATTGATAAATTAAAGATTTTTCTTTAATTTGAATAAGTATTTGTACTTTCAATATCTCCTACTATTTTTTTTAAGTTTATTTTACCTTATTTTTCTAATTATTTCTAAATTCTACTTAATTTTATATTAAAATTAACATACTTGCAAAATCTTTGTAAAATACTAAGAATTTGAATAAAAAATATGAATTATTTATTAAGTTCAATAGCTATAGTCCTATTTCTATTTCTTATTTAGAATTAATTTGTAAAATTAAAATTTTATTAAAATTCTTCAAATAATTATTTTGAAATTTACAAATAATTCAACAATATTTATGTTATCAAATACAAAAAATAGTGTTGTTATTGAATGCTTTAAATTGATGAATAAATTACTTTTTAGTAGCAATTTACAAAAATAAACAAATTTTTAACAGAAAAAACAAAAAATTAACAAAATCAGTTGTATTTTTCTACAAAGTTTATGTATTACACATCTGCATGCCTAGTAGCTATTGATTCATTATTAATTTGCACATTGTATTAATTGAGCTCATGTTTTAGGATGTTAATCTCTTCTTATAATTCTTGATAGATTTTTTACCAAATTTTTTTTTAAGAATTAAATTGTTATTACTCGTTTTGAAGTCTATCCTCGTAAAATGCTCTTAGCTCATTAACTTCGTTTTCTTTTATATTCAGCTATTTAATTAGAATTTGTGTTTCTTACTCTTTTAACTCTAAAGCTTTATTTTCTTTATCTATCTATGCTAAAACAGATTGTAAATTATTTAGTTCAGCTTTATATTCGATTTCTTTTTAGAGAGTTTCTTGCTTTTTGTCTTTGAGCTCTTTTTCTAGAATTTTAACTTAAAGTCTTAATTGTTAGATTTCAGTTTCGTGTCTTTCATTCTAAAGCTGATATAGTTAGATTTCATTGTCTATCATTTTCTTTTTTCCATTTTTTATTGAAGTTGGCTCGCTTTAGTGATAACTTTGCTTGAAATTACTTACAGAATCTTAAAATGAGGGTGCTATTTCGTATTTGAGCTTTTATCTTTTCTTTTTGTCAACACTTGGTTATAAACCAAATGATTGTAGAGAAAACTACTGCTGTTGTATATCTGAGTGAGTTAATACCTTTCTGTCAATTGAATCTTAAATTAATGTTTAATTACGAGTGTTGCCGTTTTGATTTTCTGAGTTATACTTTTGTTAAATTTATTCACTTTCTGATTAATTGTCGTTAAGAAAATTATTCTTTTCATAAGATTTATACAATTAATTTTATTCTTTATCATTTAAATTATCAAATTTATTCCTTATCTTAAATTAATCAAGAGATTCATAATTATCTATATCAGGTTTTTAGAATGCTTTATTTTCACTCTGTTCTTCTGCTATGCCTCCTGTCTTAAGAATTGAATCAAGTCTATCTTAAAGTTCATTTATTGTTTTTTAGTTTTATGCAGAAAGTGCTTATTACAAGACCTTATTTTACATAAATGGACTCTAATTTAAGTTAGTTTAAGGCACATTATATTTATTATGTAAATAATTTAGTCTATTTCCTGCTTCTGGCTTGACTCCACTAGCTGTAGTGAATAGTGAGCGGTTTTCAGTTGGAGTATAGTTGATTTAACTAATATCTTTAATTTTTTGATAGAGTGCAGATTAATCGTCCCATTCTCTTGCTTTTAAATAATTATCGTAAGGCGAATAACCACTATTAATGTTATAATTAATAGCTCCCTTTCCACTTAATTATGAATTATGAGCCTATTCATAATCAGTTAGTGTCAAAGATTTATTTACATTACTGTTCTCATATTTTTGCTTATTTTTCTCTTGTTCTTTTCTTTCTTTAATACTTTTCTGCACTTCATTTAATTGCTTTTCACGATTTGCACTACCTGTAGAAGTAATTGAATTTATAGATTTCAGCTTTTAGCTTCTAATCTCTTCTATAAGTTTCTGTGAAGAGTTTTGCTCTCTTTTTGAATTATTAGCAGCTGATGCAGTTTAAGGTCTTGGTTTTTTAGCTTAAATTTTGTGTTAATTGAGGTTAGTTTCAACATTTTATCTGATTTTTTCATAATCTTTCTTCTCTTTTTCAAGCTATTTTTAAAGTTTAGTAATAGCTTTTTCTTTTTAGAATATTATTGATGCTATATCTTGTTTATCACTTTTTACTTTTGATGCTTTTTTCTAGTCTAATTTTGTGTTCACTTAATCGCTTATTCTAGTAATTGAGTGAGATTCGTTTTTACTTTATTTGCTAATATTTACTTCGCTAGATAATTTAGATTTTGATTGAGTTGCTTTTTGAGAATTTCCTTATTTTGTGCTCATCTATCTTATGATTTTTAAATTATTTTCACTATTCTTGTCTAATAAGTTGGTATTTAAGTTTATTCAACTGGATGGATGCTGGTACTTATAAAATCCTTATTGCTTGCGTTTAAGTTTTTTGTAAACTATTATTTTTATAAATAATTTTTTTAAACCTTCTCCTTTATACAATAATCACAAAATAAAAATTTATAAAAATATCTTAGTTTTTTGAATCGATATTTAAAATCAAAAATCTTTTCACAATTTAATTTTAAAGAAAATTTTTATTTGCTTAAACATTGAAAATTTCGAATTAATTTTTACTGAATCAAATAATATTTCAATAAACCAAACCAATAATAATATATTAAATCTTGAAAAGAAAGAACTTCATAAAATAGAATTTAAAAGTATAATATGATAAAAATATTTCTTCTATTTTGATCTAAAATAAGTCAATAATTGCTAAATATAATTTAATTATTAAATTGTGATATTTATTTTATTAAAATTTATCATTTTATTGTGAAATTAGTAATAAAATAAATAAAATGTTTAAAAAATAAATTTAAAAAAAAAAGAACATAATTGATTGATGATTTATTTAAAATGATTAGAAAATAAACTAATTTTATATAAAATAATCAGTTAATTTTAATCAAAATTAAAGAGATTTTAAACAATAATATTTTTTATTTTGATGCAAATAAATTATGGATTTATATGTGAAATAAAATATGAGGCTAACTAATTCAAAAAATTATATAATTTGGTATATTTTCTGTTCAATTAAATTTTAATAATCAATTCGCTATCAAGATAATATATATAGAGACAAACATAAATTATGTTAAACCAAACAATAAATAACTCTTTCATTCATTCATTAATTGATTAACTAACAAAATCAGTCAATATTAATAAATTGAAAACAATTTTTATTTGTTAATTATAAATTCCATTAGATAATAAAAGAAGCATTATCAGTAGATATAAAAATATATAATTATAAGGTTGATCAATAAGTAAAGAAGCGAACAAATAAATATTTTGGATTAACAATTTTAAAAAGGAAAATTATTTTAGTATAATTCAATCTACTAAATAAGATGAGCCAATTTAAGCAAAGAAGCGAAATGAATAAGTAATTTAAAATCAATTTATTAGGATTTTACAATAGCATAATTAATATGAATTGCGTTTTTCAGCCAGCATAATTTATAAAGTTTGTACAAAATATGTAAAATCAAGATTAATATTTTGTTTGTTCTAGCAAAATACTGTAGCCAATAATTAAATAACTTACGACGTTATATCATAGCTGCTATTTTTTTTTATAAATTATTATCATGCTAAAAATAATAATTTTTTTTTGTTTTTTATGAAGCATTTGATAGTATCTAAGAGATTGATTGCTAGAAATAATTTTTACAATATTTTTCCATAAAATATCTTTTATAATAGAAATAAATAATATAAAATTGTATATTAATTCATATTTGCCTATTGATTAAACTTGAATTTTTATTAGGACCACTGATTCATGGACAGACAATTATGATGAACTTGTAAATGACAAAAGCGTTCATACTAATTAGTAATTATTATTTATATAATATAACAGATAGAAATAAATATATTAAAATAGAATGAGAATGTATTCATATTTTTAAACGCTTATTGAAAATGATTTAAAAATATTAATTTGTACATTTTTTATTCTGGTTTATGTTAATATAATATTTTTAATATTCTTTACAAACTAAAATATAGATTGAAAACATTCACTCCTGTTAACACTCTCATCAAAAAATAAGAAGTTATTCACATACCAATAAACCCTTCCTCCTTCAAAAAAGAGCAATAAGAGCATCCTTTACAAGCAAACAGACCAATAATTAATCTAGCTTCAAGAGAGAATGAAACTACTCAATTAAACTTATAGGGACCTCCATAAACTCCAAATATGTAACTAAATAATTAACTTCTTTTTGAAGAGAGAAGTAAAAAAAGATAGTTTTAAGTCTATAAAATAAAACAAAATTAGAAAGCAATATCTTTATTATATTAATCTGTTATATTATAATAGGATTCAAAGCAACTAAGCTATTTAAAGATCAGCAACAATGTTGAATTAGCAAAACTCATAAATTTCAGAGCAAGCAAATGCTTATTTAAAGGAAATAGAATTAAAGAATCAAAACAAGTACTTTTAGTAAAGAGAAGAGCTAGACAACCTCAAATATTTAAGTATAATTTACAACGTTAACTCAGTAGTCAATAAAGATTTTTAGAGCAATGTTAAGGTAAAAATTATTTAATTGATTAGAATATGCTTTAAATCTCTACACTTTAAATTATTTGTTTTGGAATATATCTATCTAATAAGACTATAAACTAAAATCTACAAACAAGTATATTAATGCAGATTATCAGTAAGAGATTTGAAGAAAAATTATTTTTTAATATACTATAATAAAAAGCTCATACTAATTAATTTCCCACTAGTTAAACAGAAAATTATTTGCTAATTAAAATATAAAAATTTAAAATTATTTCATTTATTTGTTATTTTTGTTTAAAAATTTTATTATGAAAACAGCACAATCAGATTTAAAAAGAAATATTGAATGCTTCAATAGATGGATTAAAGATATAAAATAGAATTTTAGCTAATAGAAATTTAGTGTAGACTTAAGTTAATATATAGGGAGCTTAGAAGTAAGCAGAAAAAATTAAGATAGAGAGACCTTACAAAAATATACTCACTTCCCTCTATTTTGATAAAACACCCAAATAGTAGCTATTGGTAGTTGAATTTGTAAATATGGGATAAACCAATAATTTAAATCTATTGGAGAAAAATGGAGGAGTGATAACAAATTCAGGTCCTGCTGCTATAATAAATTCAATCCAAAACACTAATGGATTAACATATAGTTAGAGAACTGCAGATGCCAGTAGCTTTTTCTTGAATTTCAAAGCTTTTCCTACTCTTTATCACTTAAATTTTGAAACAAACAGGGATCCCTGTCCTTTTATTGCTATAGACAGAATACAAGGAAGACATTTTATTTATAATAACGATGATAAGATTATGGTTTTTAGCCATGAACCTATTTCTAATCCTATAAATGATAAAAGTAAACCTCTTTTAATGATGAGTTTAGATGATAAGCTTGATGATTTGTTAGCTTAGAGAGCTAATGGTGGAGATGTTGGCGAATCATAACAAAACCCTTTAACATCAGGATTACTAGCAATATCTGGTAGTGCTCGTATTAATCCGACACTGTAAATCATCACAGATTAGAGAGGTAATAGTGCTCTTCTTGTAATAGGAGGATATGTAGATATGGGAAATGGCTCATTCTAGCCAAAAACAAATATTAAAGTATTCAATATTGGAAAAAGAAAAATTGACATCAAACCAGCATTCTAAATTTAAATGAGACATCCTCGAATAAATCCAATAGTTATGAGAGTAAAGCAAAGTCACTGCAAAGATGCAAAAGTAAGTATAACAGAAGACAAAAAATTTCTTTTATTACTCGGAGGGGCTAATCCTGAAATCATAGATAACAGAAAGGTTTATGTTGATACAAATACTTGTTGTAGTGTAATAGAGTACGAAAATATATTTAAATAGCTGGAGCGTAGGGACACCACTTAACTTGAAATATCGTAAACACTCAAAGTTTTTTACAACGATCAAGAGGCTGGTAAAAGCCTAGAAAAGGTAGCATAATATCTGTCCAGAGGTGTCTTCATTCATTAAAAAAGTAAAAAAAACCTAGACATGCATAATAAAATGTTTATTCTAACTGAAAAGAAGAAATAATTGCTTAATGTTCATTCCATATCACTGTCTGAAAACTTCGTCAATATTTTTGATATATAAATTGATATAAAAACAGAAAATCAGTGGAGCTATACAAACACCTGTATAATTGACAATTTCATTATGTATATTTCTCCTTAATAGTTTTATCCTACAGTTATTGATACCAATACTAAGCACTCTAAGTAAATGAACACAGAAGAAATTGTTGAATTTAACAGTAAGAAATAAGAATTTTTTGACTCTACTAAGCCAAAGTAAAGCAAAACAGCCTGTTCATGTAATATATATTGAAAAAATATCTCTAAAGCATAATGAATGATCTATACTTCTGGTTTCATATCAGATTAAAATAAATCTATTTTTGAATTCTTGATTGATTATTCAGTCCTAAATTATTTGATAAATAGTAAAAAAATAAAAAATTATATTAAATTTAATAACATTTATAAAAATTTTTGAAAAAAGAAGAAAAAATATTTGAAATTAGGACTATTTTTATAAACACAAATTAAATCTTAGATTTAGGCGATTAAGAATATGAATTATTCCTTTATACAAATTATTTATTTTAAAAATACCACACCTTTATATATCATTTCCAAAAAAAAATGAAGATTACATAAAATTATTATTTTTCTAAATGAATGAATGTATGTATCTATGTATATTTTATTATCTGACACTATTTTATAACATAAATAAAATATATATATAATTTACTTACTATTTCTACTCATATTTTAATTTTTAAATTTGTTTCATTTTATTGTTTAATTGTTTTCATTTCTCTTTAATAAATTTATATAATAGCATTTATTGTTTAATATTTTTAAAAATTTCAAATTAAAAATTTAAAAAAATGGTTTAGAATTTAATTTAATTTAGTTTATTAATTAATTTTTTTTTTTTAATTTTACGTATAGATAATAGATCTATTTATAATTTATAAGAATTATTTTATATATTTTAAAAATCTAAAACTTAAATTTAAAAAATATTTCTAATATTTTAATTATTAGTTATTTTTTTAGATTTAAAAAATGAATTTGATTATGATTTATTTTACAAATTCTACCTCATGATTTTGTTGATAGTGTGAGTAGAAAGATGTAGCTTAGCTAATATTTTGCAAAAATTTATAAATATACTGAATATTTTTCAAAGCTATCCTTAATTAAATTGAATATTGATATCTTATTTTTAATTGAAATATATATTTTTATAAATTTAAGAAAATAAAAGAGGGACAATTTTTTTTTTAGAGGAAATTATTAGAATGAGAAACAAACCTAAAGTTAAAAGTGCTAAGTTGGGCTTTAAAATCATTTGCCATTCCATTAAAAAATAGTACTCATCAATTAAAAAAACTAAACAAAAAAAAATAGATAAAGGATAATCAAAAAAAAGATTGACAGCTATTAAATAAAAGCAAGGTTATGATATAAAAATGGACATGCAACTAAGTTAAATACCAGAAGCAGAGAATTTAGCTTTTCAGTTTGATGCTAAGAATTAATGTCAAAAAACAGTAGATTACTTGTTGAGTTAAAATCTAGAATAAATATCCTAGTGCACTTATATCTAGCAACCATTTAGAGAAATTAAATAAAAGAAAGATACACACAATGAAAGTGATGAAGAAAGCAAAATTTATGAGGTCTATTTACATTAAGTGTATAATACTGAAAACCCTGCTTACGTTTTTGGATTCATTTCAAGTGTAAAATTACCAGAGTTAAGAGAATTAGAACTATTTTTAAGAAAAGATCTTGAAGATTATAAATCTGAAGTTAATCCTTGCATTTATTAGCTGAAGTTTATTTCTACTATAAGCCTATCATCCTCAGAGCTTTTGTCAATTTATAACTTCAATACTGGATTTTTTAAGGATTTTTAGTAGGAAGGAAACTAAATTTCAAGCTACATCTTTGAGTATTTCATGTAGTCTACAATTTCTGTGAAATTTCTTTAAGTTCTACTAACTCAAAAATACATAGAAGTAGAATTAAATAATTTCAATAATAATCATGTCTTAACAAATTTTGATAGTAAAAAATGTGATATGGAAAAAGAGATAAATGAGAACCCATATTAATTCATAGATTTTGACTTAATACATAACTTTAATCTTTAGAAAAAACAGAAAAGTATTCTAGATAATAAATTAAATTTAGCAACAACATTTATAAATTTTAGTTAAGATTTGCAAATGATTGATGAAACATCAAAATCAGATAATTTGGACAAATAAAATGTAACAATAATTGAATTAATTAATGAAAATACTTTAACGATGAATCAAAAAGATTAATTAATTGAAAATGAAAATAAATTATAAGATGAAGTAATAATTTTACCAACCAAATAAATTGAAGAATTTAATTTGACTTTTTAAAAGGAAAAAAATAAAATAAATGATATTTCTGATCAAGAAATCACTTAAAATCTTCATGATCTAAAAAAAATTGATGTTGATTCAAATAATTAACAAGAAAATACTTGTAGTTCAGTAGTAGTAACTGAATAAAATGGGCAAAAGCAAGAATTGGTAAATGATTAAAATAAACAACTTTAAGAAATCTAACAAAGTGAATAAGATTAAATTCCTGAAAATTAAATGAAAATGTAAGATCCCACCAATTAAGATTAATAATAAAAACCAAGAGTTAAATTAGATGGAGATTTATTTTAAGAAAGTGAAAAACTTAATAATATTTCACTTACTTTGAAAAATGAAAAATTTAGATTGGCTTACTAATCTAATATTTATCGCCATTTGTTCTTAAATTAAGATCTTTATCAAATAGTTGAGATTTTTGATCCATCAAATACTACTATTGATCAGTTTATATAGTCATTATCGTAACATACAGGTATGAGCTATGACAGTATCAAATAGAAACTCTTTCTAAAGTAAGACGCTACATAAAAAGACTTGCAAAGTGATACTCTTTATGACTGTATATATAGCTAACCAGATAAATACCTTACTGACAAAGCATAAATGTTTTTTGCAATTAGAAAATAATTTGTAAATTTTTAAAAAAAAGAAATTTAATAATACATATAAGATTATTAGCAACAATTGATAGCAAATAATAATATTTAAACTAATCAATAAACTTAGAATAAATATAATTAGAATACAAATTAAATTTCCCAATACCATCAATTTAATCGCCGTAATCCATTAGTACTTTGTAGAAAGATTAATCATTTGAAAAATTTCGATTTCCTTAGTGATGCTCATATTAAAAATAACAAGGGAGTTTTCCAGTCTTGCTTACAAAAAGACTTTTCTGATAACAAGATTAACATGTCGCTTTTACCTTTAGAGCATTTTGAATAACATGTTTTAAATACTTAGTTGATTAACTCTCACTTATAAGCTCCTTCTATCTTTGCCTTAATTAAAGATGTCATGATTGTTAGAGATTTTGCTTGTAACTACTTTTTAGAAAATAATGTAGATTTAGAATTACTTATTGAGTCATTTTCGTAGATCTCTTACAGTAAAACTAAAAACCTAGAATTGCTTGAGGTAATAGGTGATGTTGTAATCAAATACATCTCTTCTCTTTATCTTTATTTGCATCTTCCAAATTAAAGCGAAAATGCCCTTACAATGATACGCACTATTTTTATTAACAACAAATATTTAGGAATTTCAGCGTTTAGAAACGGTCTCTAATTTTATGTTCAGACTAAAAGACCAAGTTCTTATGACTGGAGATTTAATTTATTCAATTTGAATTCTTTCACTGAAGCACCGCAAGATTAAAAGTAAATTATTTTATTTTTCAACAAATTTTATACTAAAATAATTTTTTGAATTTAGATAATCTTTTTAGCTATCTTACTCAAATTTATCTGATACCCTTGAATCAGTTGTTGGGTGCTTTTATGCCAGCAATTAATTTACTTTGAATACATGTATTTAGCTAATCAAAGATTTAGGACTCTAGATAGATTAATATCTCCTAAATAAGTTTTAGAATTAGGTCAATGGGAGCTTCGTTTTGAGTGATGATATTATCGATTTGATGGAGATAGATGAGGAAATGACTTACTATGAACTTTAATTATAAGGAAAGAAATTTTTATAAAAAGAATTTGAAATTTAGGCAAATAAAAAAATGGAATAGTGCTTTGAAGAAAAGATTTAGAATGAAATAATTCAAAATGAAGAAAATACACAATTTATATGGAATCTTATTAAGTTTTATATTAAAGATGAATTATTTTATAAAAATAAGTATGAAGTAGAATTTTAAAATAATACTTGTCCTAATCAGAGAAGGAAGGACAGGTCTGAATATAGAAAATTTAAATAGCTTCATGAGTAAACACTGGACATAGCCATAAGTGGCTTTGAAAAAATACTGAACTACACTTTTAAAGACAAATCTTTATTAATAAAAGCATTAAATTGTCATTCAAACAGCAACTTTGAGCATTACTTTTAAGATTATTAGATATTGGAATTTTTGGGAGATGCCTTAATAGAGATTTTAGTTGTTTCTCATGGTTATCATATTTCAAGAAATAGGCAAAAAAAAATAAATTCTCCTTACTTCTTTTGCGAAATGAAGTCTCTTTTGCTCAGCAATGACTTTATGTCTAGAATGGCTATCCTTAATAAATTTCATTATTATGCTTTGAATATAAGTAAATATTAGTAAGATGAAATTATCTAATTTATAGAGGATTGCAACCTAAATACTAAGTTTAAAGAGTCAGTGTCGCATCAAGCTAATTCTCCCAAAGTTCTAGGTGATTTATGGGAGTCAGTTGCTGGAGCAATCATAATGGATTCTGATATTTCAACTTTTGTTTCAATTTATGGAAAACTATATGCTCCATACATTATTCATTTCGTTACATTTTACTAAAAAATTATTTTTAATGTGAAAGAGAAAGTTTAATTAGTTGCCTAGTAAACTTATGAATAATTAGGAAAAATTACAGAGGTAGTCAAAGACACTGATGGATAATATAAAGTCAAAGTTACGATTCTAATTAAATAAATCAAAGTAGGAACAGGAATAGATTATTCTGAAACTTTAGCTGAAAAAAAAGCCTTCTAAGATGCTTATGATCACATTTTCATCAAACAATAATCAAATCTAGGATTAATATTCTAAGGAAAGTAAGTATGAATGAGAGGATGGATTTAAATATAAAATTACATAAAAAAATTGAGAAAATAAAATTTTTCTCTGAACCAAAAAATGATGACAACATTTTATTAATATATATGTGATAAAAACATTTTATTTATAAATATATAAGTATTTAGAACATATTCATTCAGATTAAAAAAATATGTAAATGATCTTATTTTAATATATAATATTTAAATAATAAAAGATTAATATAAAAAATAATAATTTTTTAAATATTGGTTTCAGCCTAAATTTATTATTTTAAAAATTAAACTTATAATTTTAAATTAAGTTATTTATTTTTAAAGTTTTATTTACTTATTATAATATTATATTTTCAATTTATTTTAATTGAAGTTGAAATTAAATAAATATTGTAAAATTTGATTAAAATTAAATAATGATTAAAAAAGAAAGAGGAGAATTATGTTTATGAAAAGTATGAGGTAAATTTTAAATATAGGATTAGAGGAAATCAATTCTGTCATATAAATTTTACTGTCATTCATTTTATAAAGTCATTATTGGTTTTTAAATCAAAAAAGATAGAGGTTTTTAGCATCTTTTAAAGTATCAATAAATATATTAATACATACCTTAACATGTAGTTACTTTTTAACTATTAATTAATTATATAAATTTCAATTTTAATAATTTGATATATATATTATATAATTTCAAGTAACAACAATGGGCACTTCCTCTTTGTGTATAAGAAGGGGTTAAATTTATAGATAATATTATAATCTGAACTAAATATATTTTGGAAAGTATTAATTAGAAATTACAGTATAACGTATCAAATATCTCATAAAAAAACCACATATATAAGTATAAAATATCAAATACAAATAAAACAATATATGTTTAATTCCAACATAAAATTTCTAAATAATATATTTATATAAATATTATGCATTTAGCTATTGTTAAATCAAAAAAAAGTTCATTTGTATTGAGTTTATTGAGGCTCAAAAAAATTCATATTTTTAGATTACTTTTTTGCTAAAAAACTAGTTGGAGAATTTGCAACGCTGTTTTCATCAAAGTAATCTTTTTTATAAAATTAATGAACAAAATATTAATGATTATATTAATTCATACTTATAAATTCATCATCTGTCTTAACGAGTTAAAATTTTTCACTTTTTAAATTATCTTTCTCAGTTGAAAATTTTCCATCTATTTTACCTTTTTAGTTTTAAAAAATTTAATATAAAAAAAATTCATATTCTTACTTTAAAGACTAATATATGAAGTGTTTTGAGATTTTAAAACAGAGTTGCTTAATCCGAATAGAGATGTTTATTAATTCATCTCTATAATTAAATTTGTATTTTCATCATCTTCTTCAATAATTTCATCAGCTTAGTCATTATTTTATTGTTTATTGGAATTTCTTTTCTTAAGTTTCATATATTTAAATACTTCTTTTTAAATTTTGCTCCATCTTCTCATTACTTAAAATTTATTAGAGCTTTATATGATTATTTAAGCAGTTAAAAATTTAGGAAATATATTTTTTATTTTTATTAACAACCAGTGAAAGAAATTTCTTTATTTAATATCTAAAGGTATTTCCCTCAAAATTACTTTCATCATAATTTTTACAATAAACATAAAGTTGAAAAAGAAAATAATTGTAGTAGAAATACTTTCCCAAACTGTATTTTCCATAAGATTGATTATTATTGCTAAGACGATAGAATTAAATTATAGAATTGTAGCCATTAAATCAAGATTATTTAGTTAAATACTATTATATGGTCTACTAAAGAAGGATGCTATACCGTAAAGAAATAATATTGATAAAGAAACTAAAGCTTTTTATCCAATATTATCAACAAAGGTGCAAAGATAAATTAAGGATTTTTGAGTTGTCTTTATTATTTCCCAGTAGTATTTTTCTTTTCTATACTCATAAAATAAAATGCCATAAACTTTTATATTTTCAATTTTTGTAAGGCAAGTTCTTTTTTATTTAAGCTTTTTAAAGAAAAATAAAGGTAAAAGTAAATAGAGTAACACTAATGAAGGAATCAAAATATAAAATATATTTTATTTATGATCATGTCCAAAGCAGATATATTATTTATCTGTAATAACATAAGAATAATCTCCAATTTAGACACAGCTAAGTTATTAGACAAAATAATTTATAAGGCTTGGAGAAAAGAAAAGCCATAAGAAAATAAATGAGCACTTTATATTATAAATTTTAAATCTATGCTATTTACTTTTTATATTTAGTATAAATATGCCTATAGAGAATATAAATAAGAAAGTTAAGGGAACCAATATCCTTAAAATTGATCTCCTTGTTAATATATTACCTATACCTAAAGTATTAATCAGAATACAATCTATAGACAACCTTTAAATTAATATAATAATATTTAATTTTATAAGGGGGTATAAAAATAATTTCTTTTATTTTTTATTAATTAGAATAGTATATATCCAAAAATTAATAAAACAAATAACTTTAAAAATTTTTCAACTTATATTATGGTGAATTAATATGTAAATTAACTAAATAAGATAAATAATTATATTTTTTTAAAAATAAATTACATTGAATCAGATGAGGAGTCTCCAAAAATACTAATTATTTATCTGAGATAAGGTGAAAAATTTGTAAATTAGAATATAATTGTAATAATTTAAACATAATTTATTAATATCTTCGTAGCAACTGTATTCTAATCAGACTCTGATGATTTCCCAATACAAATAAAATTTAATCTCTTGATATATAAAAAAAGGCATTTTTGAGTAGTGAATCTTTATATTTTCCTAAAACTGAATGATAAATAACCCAATATCGCTAAATATAGTAAGAAATAAGTAATAATATCTATATAATTATCTTTGCATTTAATACAGCTAAGATTGCTGCTTTTAGAATATTAATTTCCCCATAATTAATTATTAATGTCACAACTTTCACACAAAGCTCCTATGTGACCAACACTGCAAATTGATTTTTCAAATTATTCTATAAAAAAATTTTCTAATTAATATTATCAAATTTTAAGTATTTACCTTAAGGCATTATAGAAGAAAGATTATAATTCTACTAGTTTTATGTTTATATGCAATTAGATGGATTAGAACATGCAAATACCTTACTCGATTGTGGATTTAATCTCCAGTATCCATCTTATAGCACTATTATATCTTTTTCACAATAACTAGCTTATTCAGGGCAATGGCTACATTGATAAGTATCAGAATTAGAAAAACTGCTTATAAAAGAATATGTTCCTATTTTTGTTAATAGTTTAAAAAGTCCTTTCAATATTTTCTTTTAAAATATATTTTTTAGAATCTTTTTAAATTTTTATGTATATGAACTTATAAAATTTGATTTTGAAAAAAAGAGAAGCATAAAATATTAATAAATTATAGAAAAAATTTATAACAAAACATTTTTTTACCTTATGGACATTCATAGCATGAAATGAGATTAAATTCTTATTTAGGAATTTGCCCAGCTTAACATGGTAAAAATTTTAAGTAAATAATACTTTCTATTGAGCTTACTTTGAAATAGTTTTATTAAAAATCGTAAATTGGTACCTTTGAAGAAAGTTAAATTTATAAAAATTATTTGCTAGAAGGATTGGATGTTATTTAAGGTTAAAATGTAATATAATTATTATAAATTTAAATTCCTCCTTAAATATGCATTTTCGACTCATCTTAGTTGACAATAAGAATATCATATCCTTGAAATTCTTAAATTATCAGTTAATGAATTTTATTTGTTTCAATATTTAAAGGGTAATTTACGACTTCTTCAAATTCATCTACTAAATAAAATATAAGAGGTTAACTCAAGGTACTTCCAGATACCACTTAAGATAACATTTAAGTATAATTCTTATGAAATTTGAATGATTTTGGATAAGAGGTAATTTATTAGCCAAACAAAAGAGCTTTGTTATTAAAAATTTAAGATTATTATATATCAAGACGGCGATATTTATACTATTTATCTTTATAAATTAAAGAAGAGTTCATTTCTTAGTATCTGATACCACCTCCTATTACAGCATAGTTATAGCAAATTGTACAATTATTTAGCTAAACTTAGCTATTAGTAATATATATTCCCCCACCACAACCCTTTTAAACGGTATTATTAGAAAATAGGGAATTATTAATTATTATATTTTATGTTGTATCAAACGACACTGTTCCATAAAAAGATTCTAAGAGTTAATTCATATTAACTATCAAGTAATTAAAAGTAACTTCGCTATGTTAAAAAACATAAATCACTTATCCAGTTTATAGATTATTATTATTAAATTAACTCTATTATATCAAACAACTTTAAGAGTCTAATTGAGAGTCTAAATTTTTATGCTAAAAGCTATTTAAGAATATTATTGAACTATATATCTAGTTTTTATTTACTATTAAGTTTTATACTTGTATTATGTTTGAATAAAGCTAAATTACATCACTATTAAATATTCCATTTTAAATGCTCATATTTTCTACATCTGTATTTAAGCTTGATACGTAGATTGATGGGTTTTGTTAATCGTTAAATTAACTATTTATAACTGATAAATCATTAATTGTAACTTAAGAAACTATGACTATTACTTTATTATAAAATTGTTCTTAAATTTAAATAAGAGAAGGTCCTGAAATATTTTTAACTGTAATATTTTATAAATTATTTATTAAAGATCCCATAGTTTATATTAAAGAGTACGATTTTCCTTCAAATTAAGAATCATAAATTTACAGACTTTAGATAAAAAAACTATTGATATTTGATGAAGAGATTATAGAACCACTTGACTTAGTGATGTTCACTAATATATTATTTAGTGTTAAATTTCCAATGTTTTAAAAGTTAAATATACTGTTTATTTGGAGATTTGACTTTAAAATAGCAATATTTGATATGCTTAAATTTTAGATGCTGTCAAATGCAATTACATATTTCAAAGATGAAGATTTATTTTAAATAGTAAAGTTTTTAAACGTAAGTCTATCTAAATAAACAAAGTTGACATTTTTAATTAAAATCATGCAGGTATTATATGAGCTGCTAGTTATTAAATGTTATGAAGTGATAAATTCTGAATTTGAAAATATGAGCTCATTCATATTTTAAAATATAATACATACTTAGCTATCCAAATCAACTATGGTATTTGTCATACTTATGCTTAAAAGGCTTTTGCTATTATTTATATCAATTGCAATAGGAGTAATTAACTGTTTATTTTATGGTTACTAAGGAATTGTAAGCATCATATTCAAAATTTCTAAATAAACTATGCTTGGATTAAAAATGGCGTTGATATTATTATAATTTTAATTTATCAGATAGACAAGTGCATTTTAAGAATCAGAATATAGTCTTAAGGTAAAATTAGATGACGTTAATGTTTAAAAAATATCTTATCTTAAATACAGACTTGTTTGTGGTATAAAATATATCTCTATAACTTAAATGTTGGCATAGTTTTTTGATACAAATTAATCTTAAATAGCTTATATCTTTACAGTATATTAAAGTAAGGATAAGTCTTAAACATAGTCACTGAAGGTTAGTACACACTATTAATTTGAAGTATATATTTAAGAATCAACATTTTAATCTGTAGTTAAAGTATATTATAGCAATCTAATATCATTATTAGAGCTGATAACCATTGACAACTAAAATATATTTAGTTACTATAAACTATTTAAAGTGGCATAACCAATTATAGGTAAACTGGCTTAAAATGATTATAATAGATTATAGTTATTTTTAGAAAAGTAGTATACCTAAATTTCTGCTTTAGAAGCTAGAAGCATAATTGATTTTGATAAAATTTAAATTTACTAAATATTTGTAATGTTAAGAGACCTAATAGTTAGATATAGAGAAAAGTCAATTAAAGAATAAATATTTGCCTATCCAAATGTTTGTAGGACTAAAAACTATGAAATTTATTCAGATATCTTTGACTCTTCATATTTTTTATTATAAAAGTGAGGAATTTGGTTAGAAGAAGACAAGTCTCTCAACTTTTAAGCAGGCTATATCAAGTTATAAAGAGATTTTACTAAAGCACCATCTTGATTAATAGCTACTAATGTTATATCAAAAGTATATTCGAGTTCTAATAAAATGTATTAGTTGCCAATTTTTAATTATTAAATATTATTTACCATTTAAAATTTAGATAATTTATTTTGACTAGGATTCCAACTGAAAACAATATTATTGCAATAAAATACTAATGGTAGATTAAAAGTATTTTAAATAATATTTTAACCAAATATTATATTTTATTTACTTAATTGCTAATCTAACTAACTTATCTATGTAATCTTGAAGCTCTTTGGGTCTTAAATGCTTATCTCTATTAAGTTTATTCCTTATTAATCAAAGCAATATACAGTTTAATTACGAATATTACAATCGTTCATAACTTATTAGAATTAGCTAGATATTAAATTTATCATCTTACTTTCATAGTCTAAAATTTATAGATATAAAGTAGAAGCAATGGTGTTTTAAAGTATCAGAATAGGAAAGAAGCTTAGTTCTTCTAGCAAAGCGTAATATTGATAACTAACAGATTAAAAATAATATATTTTAAGGAGATTAATATTTTAATTATTAAGTTGATATACACAGTACCTTAATATATGATGTTAAATAATTATATATTACTACAAGTCATTTGTAACTTATTTTTAAATTTGTATAATTCTATAATTATATTTAGTGCTATTATTTATATTTGATGTTTATCCAAGTGGTCCTCCTTTTAATGTAAATTATAAATCTAAGTATTCAGTAACATCTAAGCTTAAAAATGGTGTTATTGTTTAATTTTACAAAGAGACTTAATAAAAAGAAATTTTATTGTAATTGAATTCTCTTGCAAATGCAATTAAATTATCATTTTAGTTCCTTCCTTATGTGATGTAATTAATTAAATCTGCATTTTGTGGACCTAAATAAAAATTCTAATAATCATAGAAAACAATTGAAGAGTAGTCATAAATTAAGATGTTTTCTTATGTGGTACATGCTAGTATATTACTTTACTTATCAAGACTTATATATGTTATTTATCCGTCAGCTTTGGATTAACTTAAATTTTCTTAAAAGTTGAGATAATGAATTATTTAAGTTTATGAAATTTTAATAAAGAATATATTATCTGCAAATACTATAATAAGTATATCCTTTTAAAAATCTTCGATTATAGTAAATTTAGTTTACTAGTTATATTATGAAAAAGTCTAGGAGTACTAAGAGATGTCAATTGATCTAACCTATGTATCTGAAGTTGTATATTTATCATCAAGATACATTATTTGAATTAATAATTTTTAGTTAGGTGAGACAACAGCATTTATTGGGTGTTCATAATAAAAAATTTGATCAATATCAATATCCTAGTTTTATCAAATGTTTAATGTTTAAATAGAATAACTGAATAAATAAAAAATGGATAGATAAATAATAAATATTGAGATATTTTTGTATTTTTTAAAAATAAGATAAATTTAATTTAATTTATTAATACCATAATTTCTCTTTAATTCTTTATTAATATTAAATGAATTTTGTAAATAAAGTAAACTCTTTAAAAAAAAAAAATAAACTCTGAACAGTTATACTGTAATATATTATGTGAGTATTTAAGGTATTTAAATATTTAAAAAATTTAGTTAAAAAATTAAACTTACACTTATGAATGATATAGTTTTAATAAGTTTGAATTATGAGCTATAGATCTTGCATTGCACATAGTCTTAATTACATAAAATAACTCTTTAATTATAGCTATCATAGAATTATTTAACAAATGTAGTTGTTTAGAAAACTATAGCAAAGTAATTAAATTTCTTAAAAGATGGTGCAGTATATACTACAGCGATACACGGATTTGTAACTAAATATAACAAATTTAACTAATCCAAACTATACAAGTTTACCATATTAGTATTTCCTAATATTTGAGTTGTTAAAAACCAATTAGTTGTATTTTAGCTGTACGAAAAACTTGTTATTTATGTAGTTTATTTAAACAGAATATTTTTGTTAACTCTATCAAAAGACGAGGTACATTTTAGCAAAGGATTATAATTTGAATCTTGAGGCATATCATACATAAACTAACCAGTAGAAAACTTAAAAACAAACCATTAGCAGAGTGAGTTTGATATTACTAAAATATCTTCTTAGAAATCAATAATGAACTGATTAATGTAAGAAGGTATGTTATCAATCATTTAAAGTATAGACTCATTCTTATAAATTATGAAACCATTATCAAAATATATTGTTTAATAGTTTCCATAAGATTAAATACCTTGAATATTTATGAGAGTTGGTTAGTTAATTTATGCTATTATATTAATCTATTTAAACAATATTTATTCTTCTAAAAACAATAATTTTATAAAAACAAACTTACATTTAGCTGCTATTTATATAAAGTTGAACCTAAAAACATATTATTTTATGAATCCCTTAAAACAAGATATATTTTATTGGCAGATATATCAATACAAGAGACTAAATTGATATAATTTAGTTTTGAAAGTGATATATAATCAAGATACATTTATCCAGGTACCTTCATTTGTACCTAATAACTAAATATTGAATGTTTTAAAAATAAGAATAATTTATAATTAAAAATTATTACTCGTTTATTCCTATATTACCATAAATGCTGCAGATACCAGAATTATCTTAATCTAGATATATTACTTCTTGGCTTAATTCGTTACTCGAAAAATAAGTAATCATTTACTATTCACATGATATAGAAGGTAATTATATCTAAAATACTTATTTAATTAGATTTTAAGATAAAGAATAAACGTTCAAATTTAATCCTTATATGAATCCAAACTATTATTAATAATTAAATAACTATATATATATATAAATTAAAAAATCAATAAAATCTTAGCTTTTTTCAAATTATTAAAAATAAACCCAATTTATCAGAAATATAATTTAAAACAATTTTTTTTCTTAAATTAAGATCACTTTAAAACTTTATTTATAATAATTGCTCTACTTGATTTAAAAAACTTTATTTTATTGAAAAATAGCCTTTATTAATGAGAATATTGGGTTTTAAGAAATATCTGAGAAAATTTTATTTTTTGATTGAAGAGAAAATTATAAAATATTTTTTCGATGGTCTAATTAATTTTTTTATTTAAATTTTACATGAATTTAATCATAAAAGGTAATTATTTAGCTAACTGACTAGGAGCATTATATAACTGACTCAGAAGAAGATGGATAATGTATAATTTAGATCTTTTTTAAATTATATGAAGCTAAAATAAAGTCACCATAAACAATTTAGTAAATAACATTTCCATAAGCAGAGTATTAAACCTACAAGGGAATTAAGTTATTATCTATAAAATTTATTTAATTCTATTGAAATATTATAATCAATTGTTGGCTTTGATAGTAGATAAATTATGAGGTAGATTCAATTGTATATTTTGTTTATTTTATTATTTTACCTAAAAAATCTATAATAAACATATTATTTGCTGTTATGCATATTATATTTTCATCGATAATTTAATTAGCATAAAGAAGATTTTCTGCTTATTGACCATTAAAAAGCTTAAAATCATAAGTTGTGAAATTTATGAAATCAAAGTAAGAAAGTATTGCATCTGTTTAATCTACAAGACAAACAATTTTTTTAGCTTAATAAAAAAATCTATAGGCCTAACTCTGTTATTTAGTTAAAAATTAAAAATTATATTTACTGTTAATTATTTACATATGTTAGATCTAACCTGGCAGGTATTTCTTTTATAATTTACCCATTTGATGTGTATGCTACAACTGATTTCCAATTTATGTAATCAAAATTGTATATGTAAAAATTTTCATCGTCATCAAAAAAGGGAATACCATTTGAAGATGCTCTTGGCGTAACTATTTAAGTTAGAAACTCTGATTCATTTTAAGGGTCTTTAGTAAAATCTATTATCAAAATTCCTCCATTCAAAAAAAGATATATTTTATTTTTTAATTTATTTTATAAAGGATTAAATAATAAAATGTAATTAGTGCTCAAAATTATCTCTCCATTTCTCATATCTCTCAATTATAAGCTTCCTTGAAATCCTTACAAGCCATATTTATTTCCTTAAGAATCATATATATTTATAGCATGCATTCCAAAATGTTAATATGGATTATATTATGTCTTGCAAATAGTTTATTTATCTATTTTATAACTTTAATTATCATTTAAGGTTATTGAAGCAATATTATTCTCTTCAGTCGTAATAACAATATCTCTGTCCACAATATGAATACTATAGATATATGAATTGAAAAAGTATTACTTGGTTGTAAGCAGATTTAAATCTTATTTGAAAATGTAATTAGATTAGAACGAATTGGCATATAATACTATATCTCCAAATATTTAATTTTATATCATTTCAGTATTTTACTAAAAGCTTACTATTTCGCTAACTTAACAGTCGCCGTCTATGCTTTAAGTAATGTTGAATAATTTATAAGATAAATTATTATAAGAAACTTAATAATTCTGTAAAATAAACATGATTTTAGTCTCAGAAGACATAAAGCTTACAAAGTAATTACTTGTATCCATATTTTAGATGATAAATTCTTAACAGTTTTAAACAGATTTTTCATTCAGGATTAGAATAGCATAGTTATTTGCTCCAGTTAAAATGTATATTTTTTCAGTGGCTCTGAATATTGCATTATAATTGTTATAAAGATAGCATATGGCTTATTATTGCTTATATAAAACTCCAGTTTAATTTTTACCACTGCTGTCGATCCATATTTCTTTTTAAAAAATATTATTAAATAAATAAATTTGAAAATTATCTTTAAAAATACCTGCTGACTTGTATATTAAAATTTCTTAAGTAAATTACACAATGCATATATAGTAGCTACTATCTGCTTGAAACTGTATAGAGCTTTTAGACCAATCCAATGAGGAGTTATTATTAAAGATATTTACTACTTTAAAAAGTAGAACATTTTATTCACTGTTTACACAAATATAATCAGTTCCATTATAAGAAACAAAGTCTAAAAGAGATAATATGCCATTAGATGACTATTATAGAGCACGTATTTCCTATATTTATGGTGATTTTAGGTCAAATGCTTAAATATATTAAGGGTATACACAGAGATAGAATTATTCTTTTAAAAAAATAAATAATTTTAATCTTATATTTTTACTTAAATTATTATTATGTGAAAAGGAAATAATTATTTAGTAGAACAACAAATATTTTCTAAATTTATTTGAATTTATAAAAATAAATATTTATTATTCTACTTAATAAATATTTATTACTATCAAAACAATTATTAGAGAATAGCTATAAAAAGAAAAGATTTAGATTACTTTAAATATTTAATAAAAATTTAAATATTTTCTATTTATAAATTTTAATTATTAATAAAATTTTTTACAGTTTCTTTAAAAAAAAAGAATATTATTGAAAATTAATCATTTAAAAGAGGGTTTATTTTTCAAAACGAAATCTTATTAAGAGCACCGCTAGTTATTAAATTCTTATGAATATGGAAAGTAAGAATTTAATTGAGTAGATTAATTAAATAAATTATTTTTTTTATTTTAATTTTTATCATAAATATTTATTTTGTGATTTTTAAATTTAATTATGTATTTATAGTTATTAAATTTTTAAATTTATAATTGATTTTTATTTTATAATATAATATGCTTAATTATTTTAAAACAAAATATAAATTATTTAATTATCAAATAATTTCTTAGGCCACAAAAAATTTTTTATTTTCTAAAACAGGTGCGGCTTATACTAGAATATTTACAGTATATTTTAGATGATTTATGAAAAAAATCATTCAAAAAATTACTTGTAAAAATTATATTTTAAATAATTGATAAAAATTTATATGAAATAGTAAGAAATATAGAATTTGAAATTAACATTTTAATTGAGTTTCAAAATTAAATTACTTTGAGATAATTTGCAAAACAATGAGTTATCAGGATTACTTAAAGTTGGTTGAATCTCTGAAAGGAAACTTATTACAGGGGTAATATATCTCCAAAACTTTATATTTCCTATATTATCATAGCTGACCATTATTTCTTATGAGTTATTATCAATATATTTTTCAATTGATAAAATAGTCTACTTGTATATTACTTAGTATGTGTGACAATAATTACTTTCAGAGTATTAAATAGGGCATTTGTTTATTGTTTAGCATGTTGAAAACTGGTTATTTTGTGTTTGTCCTAACCCACACTAAAAGGAACACTGACTATCTTAAATTAGAAATTACTACTAGCCTAAGCAATCAGAGACACATATTCCATCTTTTAGCTAAAAATTTTCTTTGCATACTTTGCAAGTATTTTAAGTAGTGCACAGAAGACATCCTTCTAATTAGCACTATTAGCACTAGTTTTGTTATGGGTCAAAATAATATTCACAATCACTTAGACAGCTTCTTTAATCTTCACTTAGATAAAAAGCAGATTAGCATTGCTAGCAAGTTTAATATTATTCTGAATATGAGTTATAAGAAGGGTTCAATCCTACTTAGCAAGTTTCGCAATTTTAAGAGCACTTAAAACATTAGTTTTAGTAAGGATCAAATCCTTATCCTTATGGGCAAGCTTAATCACTTGAAAACACCAAGTTCAAAGAAATTAATAGCAACTAAAATTTCATATACATTATCATTTTTATTTTTTTCAAAATTTTAAGTTTTGTTATATTACTTATTTCTAATTTCTTTAATTAATGTCGCCTTTTTTAAAGTGAAAATAGCAAGCAAATAAATTTAATATTGTATATTTAAATATAATAAATTTTTTTTTTGGGTAAATTTAAGTAAAAATAACTGCAAGTAAACATAAAAGTCAACATTTTTATTTAAATGCTAAGAATTTAGCATAATAGAAATTCAAATAAATAAAAAAATTTACTAAAATAATTCAATTTAAAGGTCATTATGCTACAGAATATTAAATATAGAGTATTTCAACTCAAAAACTAGTTTCTTTTTTTAAAAATATTCTCTTATTTTATATTAGTAAAACGTGTATAGGTTTATTTATTTATTTTTTTTTATTTTAGCAACCATATTATATAACATAAATTTTCATTAATCAATGTAAATCAGTCTTTTTTTCAGCTGCTGATTGGTTCTTACAATAAGACATTCTTATTCCAAAATAAAAGAGAATTCAGGCAAAAAAAATTAGATACAGTAGATAAAAATTAGGTTCAATCATTTATTTACTTGTAACATTAATTTAAAATAAAATTATAAAATGGCAAATAATTTTAAATGCAAAAGAGTTTTAATATGATTGGAATTATCACCAACAAAATAATTACCCATTTTTAATTTTCTTTGCTAATCAAAAATAAAAAATATATCAATCAGATTTAAATTTTACTAGATAAATTGCTATTTTATTAGTTAAATAAACTTCTTAGTCTTGGCTTATCCCGGAAATATAATAATTAGAAAAAATAAATAAAAACTGTAATAATATATAAACACTAAAAAAATAGTATACTCTTAATACTTACTGTTTACATTAATTTTAATAAAAGCAAATTACTTTTATCTGATTTGAATGTCTAAAAATTTTGTAAATTTAAAATGATAAATTAACTTTTTAAATATATTTTATTCTTACTTTTCTAAAATAATTGTTAGCTTCATTCATTTTTTGAAAAAACTTCTATTTTATTATCTTTTTCTTTTAACTTTTTTTTAAATGCTATTATTTTACTATTTACAATAAGTATTTGTTTTACGCTCTATTGAATTTTATTAAATGAAAGCACTTAAAAAAAAAATAAGAAGAAGAAGAAGAAATTAGGAAAATTGATGATTATTTTAAATTAACTTTATTTCAAAATGTTTAAAAAAACTAAAAACTGAAAAAATATAAAAAAAAAAACATAAGTCTAGAAGAACTCTTCAATAAGAAAACATACATACATATTTATATTAAATAAAAGCAATTTCAATAAGTATTTAGATAAATAATTTAATTTAAAATATATGATCGATTTGTAAAATTGAATTTTTTACTTCATAATTTTCTTGGTTTGTAACTTTTTTGAAGCAACATAAGTAATATAAGTGCAAAAATCAAGTTAACAAATATCAAAAAAAAACCTAATAGAAATTAAATAATTTATTTAATTAAATTTTTAATATTTTATGGCATGCATATTTTTAAATAAAATGTTAAAGCTATGCTTGAAAATGGAAGAAAAATAGTAAAACTTCAATATAATGAAGTAAAGATAAAGAATATGTAGCCAGACAATTTAGTTATAATTTAAATTTTTATTTTTCAGTTAATAGGTTGGTTGAATTTTTAAACCCCAATATTGATGATAAATAAAATACAAATTAAAAAAATTTAGTAATCATGATTAATTTATGAAATAAAAATTGTGATTAAATAAAAAAAGATACTCTTTCTTTATACTTATTCTCAATAATATAGTAAAGAGAGAAAACAAATAGTTAATTTACATTTGAATATTAATACACAATACAAATACAAATGCAACAAATTTGTTGTAAATTTTTAAAACTTTTTAAAAAATTCTTTATAAATTGATCAAGTAAGTACATATCTATCTAGATTTTGAACTAAAAAATTACACAAACAAAAAAATATTAAATTTTTATTATTTTAAACATTATTTTCATTTATTTTTTAAGAAATTTCTAACTTCTAAAAATACTGCTAAAGCTATTTTAAAACATAGTAAGTTATTGAATTTTATTCATGAATGCATTTTTAGTTCCTTACCAATTAACTTTTACATTTTATTAAGATTTATATTGTTTTGTATGAAAATCTACTTCAACTTAACTTAAATCCTTTTCTAAATTTTTAAAGTCTGACATTCATATAATCTTATCTAACTCACTAAAATCCAAAAAAAAACTTTTATATTCTTTATTTGGTACTTTTTTTAACTAGAGTACCATAAAACGAAGTACATGCACTCAAGATTCCATCAATTGTTGAAAGATAAGCTAATATAAGAGCAAAACCTAAAAAAAAACTTAAAATACCTATTTTCCCTCGTCATAATTAGTTATTTAAGTAAATAGCTTCTCTTTTCATATCCACGTCATTCATTACAGCCTAAGTCTTTTTGATAATTATAATAATTAACACATTTCATAATAACTAATTTTAATTTTCATAAATTACATGTTACTTCACTATTTTAGATGCAGCTCCTAAAAAAAACTGGCGACTATGACATTAAATATTTTTTACAATTTTAAATTTTATTTGTAGTGATGCTAAATGATCAATCTTGAATATAAATACTAATTCAAGAATGGATCCTTATAATTTTTCAAATAACATATTACTTCAAGTTTACCTTCAACTGAGAACTTTAAATTTATCTCACCATCAATAAACACTTTGAACAGAAAACTTATCTTTTCGCTTAATTTTTTAATTTATTTTTACTTAAATTTTTTGAAAGTATTTTTTTTGTTGCTTATTTTTATTAAAATGTTTCTAAATGTTGAAAAATATTTAAATGGCTACTAATTTGATTGTATATTTTCATTTTAATTGAGAATTCAAGGAAATTTAGTAAAAATATCATGTAGGTTAGATGATTATTTTTAAGTATAAAACACATACGAAATAAAAAATAAATAACCAATTAGCATAAATGTATATATATATGTATGTGTATTTACTTATAATAGATTTAAACTTCTAACACATGAATACAAAAAAAAAAATAATTATTTATTTAAATATACAATTTTACTTGCCAACTTTAGTACTTGATAAGTTTAGCATCTCTCTAAATAGGTACCTTATTTTATCCCATATATTTTTTGTAAATTTTCATTTAAAAATTTTATTTTTGAGGGTTAAAAAAATTAAATATTTAATAAAAAATTGTATTTTAAGAGTGATATATTTGTAAATTAAGGAATATTATAAAAAAATTAAATAACATAAAAAATATTTCGTTATCATAAAAATATATATAAAAAATAAGGATATTTTCAATTTAAGATGGTTTATTTTGAATTGATAATCAATATATAATTCATATTCTTTTATTAATCATTTTAATTATCTTCACAGAATTTATAATAATTTCATTTTTAAAAATAAAAAATTTGATTAATCAAATTATTATGAATATAATCTCTAGATCTAAAATATTATTTTTTTTTACATAATTTCATAAAAATAAAATAATTTTTTTTATTTCTTTAATAAAATAATCAATCAAAATTTTATTTTAAAATGAATACAAATTTATTTTAAAAGTGATATTATTATTTATTTGCTCAAGAAAAATCATAAAAAAAGAAAAGTAAAAGAATATGAAAAAATAGTTGCTTTTCCTAAGCTTTTATATAAAAAATAAGATTATTATAATTTGAATGTTTATTTCCCTTTAATAAAATAAGTAGTAAAAAAAAAATTTATTTCCCAACCTTAATCTTATTATCACAAATTAAGATTATTATTAATTTAACTTAAGCATTCAATTAATAATAAAAGTAACAAGAAAAAAGGATAAAATTATCACTCATCTATTTTAACTTTATTTTATTATAAAAAGATATTTTTTAGCTTGGGTAATTTAATATAAACTCCAAATTAAAATAATATTACTGTTTTTAAGACAAATTAAAAATTGAATAGATGAAATATTTTCATGGCTTTAAAGATCTTCTTCAAACTTTTGATGATTTTAAATCAGATAATAATATTTTTTATGAGTAAACCTTTTATTGCTAACAATTTTATTCAAGATAACAGATAGAATTTTAAAATAATAATATTCTTCTAATAGCTTAAACTAAACTTTTTTTCAAGATGAGATTGAGGAATAAAATTATATATTTAAAAATTGATTTTTATTTCATATTTAATGAGAAAATAGAGAAAATTAAATATAGTTTGTTCTAGTTAATTTTATTTTCCCTTTAATTTGTTAAGCTGAAAAATAGGGATTATACATTTTTTTTTTAATACCTGATATTTATTTATATTACAGCTGAATAGGAAAATTACATTATTTTTTATTAGATTTGGTTAAGTAAATAAATTCTTTTATGATAAAAGCAAGCATAAATTAATAAGATTTATTCAAATTACAAGAAAAAAATCCTGTGGTAAATGAGTAGTAACAGCCATTTTATAAAATAAATACTCTTACCAAAACATAAATATAAACATTAAAATAAATATAATTTATTTGGTTTAAAGCTATTTCAAACTAATACTTAAACTTCTCTATTTAAGATTACATTAAAAATCTCTTTACTAAGTTTGACCCTCAACTAAAATGAGTAATTTAAATCGCGGAATTTTTATAGTATAAATTAAAAAATAAATAAATTTAGCGTCAAGTATTAAGGAAACACCAATAAGCTAATTATTTTTTATTATTAACTATTAAGCTCAAAAAAAACAAACCAACTGACCATATTAATTAACAAAACTTTCAACCTATTTTAAAATTTCTAAATAATATCTAAAATCAATAATTTTTTAATTAATAAATAATCTTAAATTAGACAAAATGATTAAAAAATTCGTCTTAGCATTCTTAGCATTTACATAGGCTATCTTAGCTGCTTAAGATCCTTAAGGCAAGCTTCTCTAGGTAGTAGAAACTTTTAGACACGGAGCCAGATACCGTATTTATAATTCTTCTTATCCTAATAACAATTAAATTAATTATGGAGAATTAACTGCTGAAGGATAAAGAATGCACTATGTATTAGGTGTAACCCTTCAATAAAATTATGCTCAAAGTCTTAACTTCCCTGATAAATATGATCACACCTTTATTTATGCCAAGTCTACTAACGTAAATAGGTAAAATTTTTTACTTTTAAATTGTGATAAATGTTCAAATTCTTCATAGTGATCTAAATTATTTTCTTTTAATAATTAGAACAATAATGTCTGCTTACAGCTAACTTGCTGGTATGTTCCCCTTAAATAAAGGCATTGATGTTGAAAATATCAACACCTAATTCATGGTTCCTCCTTTTACTAAAATTGCTGATATTGGCTAGTAAAAGTATGCTTTAGCTGGTGGATAACAACCCATCCCAATTCATGTTAAAGAACAAAAAGATGAGAAACAGTTACTTGGTTACGGCGATGCTTGTAATAATTCTCCTAAATGGAGCCAAAAAAATAAAGACGATTCAGACTGGAATAGAATAAAGGGTGAATTCTAACCTTTGATTGACAAATTGGCTAACAACAAATTCTTCCAATTACCTGCTAATCCTGATTTGGATACCATAGCTCAACTTGTTGATACTCTTATTGCAATTAAATGGGCTGGAGATGATGCATAAAATACATTAATTGCCGCATAAATAGAAGGTTTCTTATTACCTCTTGATGAAATGATGAATCCCAATAATTTTAATGTTATGTGGGTCTAAATGAACTTACTCTACTCTATCTAACTTCACTTAGCCCTTTTCAAGACTGAGCAATAAAAGAAAACTTCAGTTACTCCTTTCTTCAATGAATTGTTAGCTTATTTCAATAATTATTTGAGTGCTAAGGATACTTAAAATCCTTTTTTCAAGTGGATCATGCTTTCTGCTCACGATACTACTATAGCCATGGTTGCTCAAGGACTTAACTTAACTAGCTGGTAATGCATGGAATAAGTTAAAAATCAAACTTTTGCTTCAAATCCTAGCTCTCCTTGCATTTACACATATCCAGGTTTTGCATCTAACATCATTTTTGAACTCTATGAGGATAATAACAAGAAACCATACGTCAAAGCTCTCTACAATGGAACTGCATAACCCTTGTGTGGCACTGCTGACACATTCTGTTATCTTGACTAATTCACATAATCAATTTCTTACTCTATTGTATCTGATTTTGATAAAGAATGTGACAACCCTATTTATGTTTCTAGTCCTGACAGTTCTTCAACTCCTACATGGGCTATCGTAGTTATAGTAATAGTTAGCGTTTTGTTTGTTGGTGCTCTAGGTTATATTTTCTTCCAAAGAAAAAAGATTTTATCTTTACAATCTATCGATAAAAATAGCAATTACTCTTAAATTTGAAAATAATTATTTGGCTTTAATAAAATTTAATAGTAAAAATAACTATGTGTCATTATATATTCTCAAGTATTCTAAATAATATAAATTTTATTTTATTAAATAGAATGCTTATCATAAAAAAACAAATTAAACAAAAAATAACACATCAAAAAAAAAAAAAAATCATTTTTATTTTATGTTAAATTTCCCATAAATTTAATATCAAATATTAAATAAAAAATGTTTATTTTTTTATGTAAGTGTAATTTAGAAATTCTAAATAATTAATTGGTTTATTAAGCATGGAAAGAAACAATAAAGTTAGTTATTTATGCAGAACAAAGAATATATATCACAAAAAGATCTTCTTTCTTATTTTATCTGAGTTAATTTATGAATTAATAATTGAAAAATCTAAATCAGTAGATATTTTATCATCATTTATTTGTACATATTTATTTTATATAGAATTTAAATATTTTTAGCAATTCAATAGATATTACTTAAAAAAGTAATATTTACTTCATCGTTTTAATTGGCATCATTTATTTACTCTCGTTATTTTTGCTTTTTCACTAGGACATATTTATCATTTATTTTACCATTGGTAATTGCTTTCTTCCAATCGCAATTAAGTATTCAATTCTTCCTTCATCTTCTACTTAATTTTAGCTTAAAAACTCATTCCTCACCTGCTATAAGAATTCGTTTCGTGCTGTAGGATCTTATAATGTATAGATGGCCTTCACATAATCCCTATAGAGAAGCCTAACCTTAGTTTTTTGAATAAAATATCTTAAACTTTTATACTAAATTTTCATAATTAATTATAATTAAAAATTTTAGCAAGAGCTCTTATCAGATATTGTAATAAGAAAATCAAAATAATAAAGAAATTTCGCAATCTTAAAACAAATAATTTATCAAAATTTTTTGTAATTGATAATAACTAAATAAATTTCTTCTTTTTCTTCAAGTTTCTTATTTATTTTTGCAATTAGCTTATTTTTTTCTTAGAGGATAATTTATTCAATCAAACAATTTCTTATCCACATTTTTTCATTTTATTATTTTTTTGTTATGAGGAAAAATTTAGCAGAGAGAGGTTTCGATCCTCCGACCTTTGAGTTATGAGCCCAACGCGATTCCACTTCGCCACCCTGCTAATTATAAAGCAAAAGGCTATCGAAATCAAGCCAAGATATTTAAATATTCTAAAAAATATTAATAAATGTATAAAATACTAAAAAAATATCATATTAAAATTAAATTCTTTGAAAAAAAATTAAGTAATAAATACTCTATTAATTAAAATATCAAAAATTTATGTTTAGATAATTAACGTTAGGCAAATTTATTTGACATTTATTAAATAAAAATTTTAGCAGAGAGAGGTTTCGATCCTCCGACCTTTGAGTTATGAGCCCAACGCGATTCCACTTCGCCACCCTGCTAATTCTAAAATTTGAAACAAAAAATTTCAAGGGTATCTTTAAAAGGACTTGTAAGTTTTTAATTTTAACACAAAAATTTAAAAAAATTATTATTTTTTATCATAACTGATAAAAACAATGAATATAATTAATAAAGTCTAATACAATTTCTATAAACTTATTAATTAAAAACAAAATTAATTAAAATATTAAAGTTTAGTTTTATATTTATTCTCAATTAGCCATTGGTTCTTCTAATTATTTATCTTCATCTTAGTTTTAATTTTAATTATAATTATTATATTAAGGTTGGTTCATTTAATTATGGTTATTATATTGAGCTTGGTTCATTTAATTATAATAATAATTTTATAGATATTAATTGTTTTAATCAATGTTTTGTTAATAGTTATTCTAATTATCATAGTTTTAATTTTAATTATTTTAATATCCTTAGTTAGCATAGTTTTCTTGATATTCTTAAGGCATTTGATTAACTTATTAAGGGTTAATTGAAGGTACTAATACTTTCATAAAATTATTGTATTAGTTAGCATCAAATACTTGTTAAGATTGCTAACTTATGGTAGCGTTATCAATACGATAAACATAACATTCGCTTGAATCAGAAATATTATTTTATTGCTGATTTTATTCATCCTGTAGATTTTAATTTGGGCTCAAAATCCTACTCCAATCAAACTTTTTAAATAAAAGACACTTTTATATTTGTTTTTAAATTTTATAATTAATTTACATATTAATCCTTTACAAGCTCTTCTTAATATTTTTTCATCTATTCAAATTCAGAATCATCCAGTTAAAGAGCCCCTCTCATTTCTAATTATTTTAATATTTTATATTAACATTAAATCAAAGTTTTCTCTCTATTTTAATAAATTTTTATTACCAATATTTTCTGAATCAAGTAAACCAAATTATTCCTATCTTATTCTTGATGGTTAATTTTCAATAAATCTGCAAAAACTTTCACTCGAATTCTGCAATTAAATAATACGCAAGTTGGAACCAAGTTTTTATAAACTATTTTATTTAAATATTTTTAGTTTATTTTTTTGTTAAATTTAGCATAATATTTATTTACTTTACTGCTTTTTGCACTCTGGTTATTTTCAAAACACCTCCATCTTCTTCTATCTATTTTTTAATCTAATCAATTTCTTCTTAAGGAGTATCATCAGATACAATAATTTCCCAATTTTCCTAAATTTAACTTTTGTTTTCTTATTCTTGTAACTCTTTTTATTTTTATCTATATTGCAAATAAGTCTCTTAAAAAGCAGAAAGATTTCCTATTATTTTATCTCCTGCCTTTTAAAGGAATCCAAATAATTTCATGAAGCCCTAATTTATTATTTTTTGAAAACTTAATTAAAACTTATACTACACTAATTTATATTTACATATTTAGAAGCATCTGCCACCTATATAGCAGCACTTCCTACAAGCTTTGCTCCAGTGGTTAGTGCTTCTTTAGTCTGTTCAGATAATGGCTTTTTTTCTTCTTCAAATTACAAATCTCTATATACGATTCCTTATTTATCTAAATTATTTATTATATATTAGATATGTTTTTATACTTCTAATTTTGCTTACCTACTATTTTAAACCCTTCTTTCATTAAATGGAGATCTTTTATATCCTTTTAATTATCTTCCAGGTTACTATCATTAAGCCATTTGGCAGGAAACTAGTCATTTGGTTATTATGCGCTCATTATAATTTTAATTTTAATACTTTTTATATCAAAAATTAAAGTAAAAACTAATGTTAACTCTTTCTGCTATTCTATAATTTAATTTTTTTTGATGAATTTATTTAAATTTCTAATTAATTAAATATTCTAATAATATACATACAAACATGCATACAGAGTATTTCTAAAGATTATATTCTTTATTATAAAGCATTTCTTCTCTCATAATACAATCATGCATGCTTATTATCTATTTTACTAATTTTTTCTGATCTTAAAGTGCTATTACCTTATACGGGTTAGATCTATTTTAAATTAAAAAACTATATTTTAATATTAAATTATTTTATTTCAAATCTATTTTTTTAAAAACTTTAAAATAAGCATTCTTTTTTTATTAAACTTTCAATTTTTATCAAAAATTAAAATTTAAATATTATTATTCTTATTTAATCTCAATTAAAATAAAACTAAATGTTTTTCTTTTTTAGATTTAACAAATTTAAGATTTCATAAGATTAAGAATTCCTGAAATATTCCATAAAAATTGCTTTTCCCTTCATTTAATTTGCCAAATATCTTTTTAATTTTTATTTATGTAAAAATATTTCTAATATCTGAAATTAAATACATAGTTATTATATTTGTATTCTAAATTGAAGGGATTTTATTTCAAAAGATATTTAACAATGCAATAGAATATTAAAGTTTACATATTTTTCTCAACTTAAATTAGTACTCTTCATATAAAATTTCAGAGATAGCATTCAAAGCTTAAAAATATTTGCTTTTCAATTAAAAATAAAATTATAAAAGCTGAACTTGATTGAATTAGTAAAAAAAAGTTTAAAAAATATCTAAATTTATAAAATAGTTATAAAAATATTTCCAATAACTTAAAATTTCAAATTATTTATGATAGAAAATAAAGAAAGAACACTCAATATTTAAACAATTAAATAAGAAAGTATTTAAAGATCTATAAAAGATGTACACATTTTATACAAATAATTTGTTTAATATATTTGCTTATATTTATAATTTATTAATATAATTATATAGATTTAATCTACATTTTGTTTAAAACTAAACTATATTTAGTTCTCAATTTGAGAAATCTCCTACAATTTATTTGATTTCGTTGAAGCGTAATTTACAATAACTGTAGCAATCAAAGTGAAGGTCTTTATATGAGAAAGTTAAGGCAGCAACCAAGAACCAACAAATATGTGAAAGTAATTTTCCAGCATTTGCTTCGTTATCATATTGCTTAATTTCATTAATGATATCTTCGTTGGATTAGAACTTCTCATCTTTTAATTACAGGATTGTTTGGTAGAGATCTTAGAGACTAAGATCAGAATATTTGCTTAGATTAAATCTCTCTTCACTTTACCTTTTTTATAATATGGTTGCTATTATGTAGTTGGCAAAAAAGCTGTATCTTTATGAATCTGAAGGATAGAGCTCTTTTTTGAGAGCGAAGAAGGGAGGTTCTTTGACTTCATAGTCCCAAAGCTATTCATTAAAAAAGTTTCCAAATTCAAAAGCTCTGTAGTTGTAGCCAGCATATTCATAATCGAGGAAATAAATTCTTTTATTTTCATTATCAAACAATAAATTTGTTGAGTTTGTATCGTTGTGGCAGAAAACTAAAGGTGTTTTTGCTTTATCCATTGACTGCAAAATATAATCAATCATTTGTGTGGAAAAGATAAAATCAACCATTTTCAACAACTCTTCTTTCTATTCTTGCAACTGTAAATCGCTATTTTAAATAGAATTCTAAACTGCTTCAAGAACTTACTTTCTTTATAAATGATTGACAAATTTCGCTGATGCCTCTTCTTCTTTTAAAATTTTATTTGAGTGGAAAAAAGCAAATAAATGTGCTATTTAATTCATTTTTTGTGGTTGAGTCATTTCCTCTACCTAAACGTGATCAAATGGCCAGAACTCTTCGACTCTAATTTTGTTATCAGCATAGTATACTTTTGGACCATATTTCTAAGATTCTAACATCTTTGCTACTTTCTTTTCTCTTTCTCTATCTTACATTGTTATAAAATAATTAGTGAAAATTTTATAAACTATTGGTTTAGTGATATCTGCTAGCTTAGGGACAGAAATTGAGTAAACGTAGTTTGAAAGTCCACTCAATCTTTTAACCTCAAAGTCAGTCTCTTAGAGGTCCTTCCACTATTCATATATTTCATTTTTGATCAAGTTCCAATCAAACTTTGAAAAATCAATATTTTCCATATTGCTAATTTATGTTACTTATTTAATCTTCTACTAATTTAAAATAATGATATAAAGATAAATTGAATAATAATTGCAAATTTATTGCTAATCCAGGTATTAAAATATGATGAACTGGATAGCATTATATTTTAATACCTAGATTATGTTTAATTTAAAATAAAAAAAGTAAATTAAAATATTTATGAAAAGGGAAGTAAGTAAAATAACTATTCAATAAAATTCATAAATTGAATTTACTATATAAATAAAGAGTATAAAAAGTGTTCAAATATAATATTTAATATTTTTTCTAATTTTTGGGGGTTTTCATTAAGGGAGGGCGTGTAGCATAGAACTTAGTAAAAATATTTTTGAATTAAAATTTACTGATAAATGAAAATATATATTTGGATAATTCAAGGTATGTTTTATATTTAAGATTAATATAAAAATGAGTCAAATATGCTGACTGATCCATTTGTTAGTGACAAAATGTGACTATTTTCTCCTATACTTTTAATTTAAAGTTAGAATATATCAATATTAAAATATATAAAAAATAGTAGATATTTTTGAAAAAAAAAAAGTGATTAAAAAATAATAACAAATGAGTATAGAGCAGTCTATTAGGGAATAAGAAATAGATATAGAGGAAGCTATGGAGAAAGTTGGTTAAAGTCATAAGTACTAAAAGATTGTGCTTATTGCTTCAATGCTTGGATTATTCCTTGTTGCCTACTCATTCATGATGATTACCTACTACCTCAGTCCTCCAGCTTTTGAATGTTTTAAAGATGGTATTTGGTCCTCATGTGATGAAGATAGTGGAGCCTGTGATTCAAATGTTATCTCTCATTTATTGTATGAGAAAAACAGAAGTATATCAGCTGAGCTAGATTTATACTGCAGTAAGAGAATATGGAGAACAGTCATCTAAAGTATGCCATTCTTTGGATGTGTTCTTGGTACTTTAACCTTTAACTTTTTGTCCGACAACAAAGGTAGAACTCTAGCGATTCAAATTTGCTGGACAATAGGTAGTATCTTTTCTCTCATTTTGAATTTTGCAGTGAATATACCAATGTTAATGATAGGTGCTTTTGGTCTAGGTCTAGGTGTTTAGCCTTTAGGAGTCCTTCTTCTTGTCCACAGCAGCGAACTCTCGAGTGGAAAATTTAGAGTAGTAGGAGTAATATTGCTCTAAGTAGTTTGGTCTTTGAATGAAATCTAATATATTTGGATGATTGATGTACTCCCTAATTGGAAATGGTGCACATTCTTTTTCTTCACTCTTCCTTTCTGCATCCTTAATATCTATCCTTTCACTTTTTTGCATGACTCACCAAGGTTCTTGTACTCGAAAAACAGATAAAAATGCTTAAAGACTTTGAATTATATTGCCAAGGTTAACAAGAAGGAATAAATATCAAATGAGGAGCTAACGGATGTTGCCATTAAATATGATAAGATTTATAGCTACTTAGATCTCTTTAGATATAAATCCCAGAGGGTTAACACAATCTTGCTGAATATACTATTTGTTACCCCTCATGTCTTGTATTACGGAATCTAAGTTTCTCTTGATTAACTTGGTTCTTCATTTGGATATAACTCATTAATAATTGGTATTAGCGAGTTAGTGGGATACTTCATCTCAAATCTAATTTCACATAAATATCCAAGGAAATTAGGAACATTCTTTACTATCTTAGTTACTTGTTTAATAAGCATTTCTTTTTACTTCTACTCAATACCTAGTTCTTGTAGCAGTGAATCAGACACATGTTGGTAAAAGATCTTCTAATCTGTCATGTTAGCGCTTGCTAGATGTGTTGTTTCTGTTACTTTTAGTGTGGTTATCATATGGTGTGGTGAGAGTTATCCAACAACATTGAGATCGGTTGGATTTGGTCTAAGCTTTGCCTATGGATATTTTGGAAGTTTTTTGGCTCCCTATGTTGTTGATACCTCCAATAGAATAGGTATAAATCCTATGGTAAGTTTAGGAGTTCTAACACTTTCTGGGTGCGTGGCTGCCTTATTTTTAAAAGAAACCATAGGTCAACCAATCTAATAAGATATACCAGAACTTTAGCAAATAGACAGCAGCAAATAATCTCTACTTCTTAAATGAGAATGTAGTGAATCTGAAATATGGTAAAGTTTAATTAATTAATGACAAGTTAACAGTAAAATCATGGAAAATGAAGCCATATATTTTAAAAAAATTTAAATACAAGAATCAAATGTATTTATTTATTGATAATAAAACTAAATAGTAAGAAATAATTTAATATCACTTTATTTGTTGTAAACAGTCAGTCGTATGAATATTTTGAATATATAAAAATAGATAAAAATAAAATTATGACTTATTTTTATTTTCTTTTATAAATTAATTTCAAGTATTTTTACTAAAAAAACTATTATAATATCAAAAAGAAAAGAAGAGTAACCAAAAATAAATTTCTAACTTACATCATTTTTCAATTAAATTTATTATTTAATTTATCATTTTATTTATTTTATATAAATGCATTTAATTCAATCTAAATTACATGAATAAATAAATAATAAAAAAAGAGAAATTTTTGATTAGCAAATTATTTTATAAATTTCAACAAGAAACAAAATAATAAAGGACATTTAAAATATTTTTTTTATTTACTCTTTGATTTAACGATAAAATATGTTTTATGCTCTTTCCTCTTTATATTTTATTAAAGAATCAAATCATCAATCTACATGTAAATAATGATAAACAATATATATATTACTTTTATTAAAAAGAATTTAATAAAATCAATTAGAAAGATAATATTTAGATAGAATAAATATAATACGTATACTAATTTATAATATGATAAAATCATCAAATAAATATTTAAGTTTTATTCTCACTAGATATTTATTAAATAATTAATTAGAATATATATATTTTATCAATTATTTTTATCTATTAATTATCTTAACCTATTAATTTTTATCTATTTTTATGATTTATTTGTATGATACCGTAAATCCTCAATACTAGTGTATGAATCAGAATCAGTGGAAAGGAAAATTTTTAGGTTTTTTAAAGCACAATCATTCCTCACATTTTTATTTACGAATTTCTAGGTATCGGGGGATTATGGTATATATATATCTTAAATTTTATTGTTAATAATGAAATAGAAATTATTTTCAGAAATATTTTTTTAAAGAAATTAAATAGCAAAATCTTTTAGATAGAAAGATCATATGAGTTTAAGATATTTCAAAATTAATCAAAATTTTAATAAATATTTTAAAATAAAAGGAAAAAAATAAATTAATAATGATGATTGATTATAAAATATATTATATGTACCTGTCAATATTATTTAATAATAAATGATTAATAGATTATAAAAATAAATAAAAAATATTAAATTTATCTAACGATAGAATCAAGATCAATTATATCATTACAATTAAATAACACGTAAACAAAAAGGAATAAAGCAACTTTAAGAGAAATACAAAAACTCAAAATAATTTTTGCTAAGATACTTCTAATAAAAAAGTAATAATAATTTATTTAGCTTAATTAATATAAATATATATAAAAAAGGTACTATTACTTTTTGTAACAAAGCTTCTTTCTCATCTATTAAAATTTCTTTTTAAAAACTTGTTTTTATACAAAAATAAAAAATAGTTTAAATTAAACAAAAAAGAAATAATTTTATTAAGGTATGTAAATCATAATTAAAGATGTATAATTTAGTATGTAATTTATATTTAAGTTGTTTAAAGAGACATTTAGGAATTTAAATGCAAACATTTGTAAACAGAATAAATTAATTAAGAAAAGCTTAAATAAAATGTAAATTTTATGAATTTCAGCAATAAGAATCCTATAAAATCGAAGAGCATTTATTTAATTTTAAATGTTCCAAATAATTAAATAATATGTAAAAAATTAGTTTACAGTATATATATCCAACTTTAAACCACAAAAGAAGTACGAGTGAGTACATAGGTCTATCTAATTTTTTCTGAATACAAACATTATTTTATGATTAATTTAAGTATTTTGTTTTTTACTTTTCAGAATTTATTTTCTTTGTAATAAATAAGAGTATTTTTATATTATTACTTTATAAACAACAACAAAATATATTGAATTAGAAATTATTAAGGCTTTGGAAATATTTATAAAATTATAATCATTTATATTTATTCAATAGCAATTAGATATAAATTTATAAAAATAAAATTAAAAATTTGAAAAATATTTATCTTTAATAAGCAGATACTATTTATATTTGTAGTAATGTTATTTAGCTTATAAATTTATGAATTTTCTTTACTAAGTTTATTGTTAAAGATTCTTAGATTTACTCATTTTTATTGTAATCTGTTTGTAATATTCTATGTAAAATAAACAAATTATTATTCTTCGACTGAATTATTTTAAAATTCACAGTAAGTGCTTGGTAATATTTCTTATTTTTACTCATATTAAGTAGTATTTTAATAAATCCAGTTATAATTTTTTCATAGGTGCTATAATATTTAAATTTAGACTTATTAGTGATATAAAACTAAGCTTAATGCTAAAATATTAGGAGCTAAATATTACATACGTATACGAATTATTTATTTTTCGTATTGATAGGCTTACAAATTTTTATTAAAATTACTGCTATGCATGTATGTAGATAGGTATGTATGTATGTACCTTGATTTTTAGGGTCATTTAAATTTTATCAATGAATAAAATCTATCTTAAAATAAAACTTTAAATGAAGATTTGTAAAATTTAAATTTTTTTTATGAAATATTTAAGTTAAAAAAATATGTATTTAAATTTCAAATCTGTTTAAAATGGATTTTAATCAAAACAAGCTGAAAATAGGGAAAAAATTCAAGGAAAAGATATTTCTTATATTAATTAAGAGAAAGTAAAAATTTGCTTAACTAATATTTGAATTATTTAATATTTAATTGATGAATCAATATTTTTTTTCAATAAAAAATAAGTATGAAAGAGTTTTTTATTGCAAATATTTTGAAAATTCTAAACCTGCTGATTAAATAAATAATAGATTTTATGTTTATAATTTATTTTTATTAAGTAATTTAATAGTCCATTAAAGTTTATTATAACAATAAAAGTTTATCATGTAAAATGTATTCCTTTTATATTTCTAGATTTTTGAGCTGAAATTGAATTTTAGGTGCAAAAATAAAGCAAATTAGTGAGATTTGAAATAAATACTCAAAACTATGTTGAATATTTACAAATGTTTATAATTCTTCATTGAAATATTAAATATGTTACTTTGCTAATTGTTTAGCAAATTTTTCTTAAAATATATATTGCAATAAGTGTTTTTTTGAAATGAAATTTTCCTTTTTTTATTTTTTCCTTAATTAAAAGTAATTTAAAAACTCTATATATTTTGCTAAGATAAAACGAAAGATTTCATTTGAAATGTTAAAACTAGTATTAAGATAAAGTATTTAACAGTCTATATATCTCCCACTACTCTTTCTTGCAGTTACTGAAAGCTATTCTAACTATTTAGATTGTATTTTGAATAGAATTATAGATTTTTATTTTTCGTTATTTTTTATTTGCCTTAAAATAAATTTAATTTATTTGTAAGATAATAAAAATTTATCAGTTTTTATAGTGAAGTAGTACTAAAATAAAATCAATTCTTCCAAATCGGCTTCATTTTTAATTTTGCTAAAAAATCATCAAAGCGATTCAAAATATGTGAAACGCAAAGATTATGTCACAAAAATATTTTGAAAACAAAAAATTACTTGGATTATTTTATTTAATTTTGAAATAATGAGTTACTTATAAAATCATATGATTGTATATTATTTAGTATGAGCAGATGAATTGATGTTATAAAATCTTTTATATATTTTATGATGCTTATCTAACTAATTTGATTACATTATTTACTATAGATTCCGAATAGATTTATTAATTTTATATCAATTTTATTTATATTTTATAAATTTTATCAGTAAGAAAAATTTACTTTAATAAAATCAGAAAGTAGCAAACAATGTGGTTTTTAGATGTAATAAAATGCATAACTCTTGTAAAATTCAAAAAATATAACAAATACTACCAAAAAAAGCTTTCTTAAAATAATTTGTAAAAATTTGCTTAATGTTTAAGCAAGTATTTTGCTTTTTAACTTGAAAGACTTTTATTCATTTATTGAATTAAAAAATTGATACTATGAAATAAGGTAGTAATACATTGATTAAGAGTAAATCACATAAGGGTAATTGTATTTTAAAAATAGTACGTAAGTTTCTTGTGACTATTTTAACATATTTTCTAATAATATTTATTTTCTTTGTAACCTCACCTCTTTAATAAACTATTAAAATAGATAATTGTAAATTAAAATTAATTTTTGGGTAAATTAAACGAATAGTGTATTACTAAATTATTTAAGCTTATTAAAATTAAAAATACAAACCTACCCCTTTGATTTTTTATTAACAACTAATTAATTATCAATCAGTAAAAATAACAATTACAGACAAATAAATAAATTAATTAATTCTTGAATAAAAAATAATAAATTTTGTATCAAAAATAATCTATTTCTTTCTGACCACCTGATTAAATAACTTAGAATTCTCATTTCAAATATATGGATGGCTGTTCAAAGTCTTTACACAACCTAAAATTATATCTGTTGTTCTATATATTATCAACTTGTAAAAATTACTTTTTTTTTAGGCTTTAAAATATATAAAAAATAATTTAAGCCTATAAATTATTTAAGAATGAATACAATTTCAAGTAAATTTTCTTAAATTTTGAGAATGACTTTTATTATAAAGAGAAATAACCCTTATAAAGATAAAATGTAAAACAATTATTTGTTAAAACTTTTATTTTATTTACAACAAAAACGTTTTTAATTAATGACTACAAAAAATTTCTAATTTGAATTTTTACTATTTTTAAATATTTTTATTTATCCCCTTCATTTATCTTGTTACAATACTTGCTGACACTTTGGTTATCTAAAAATTCAATGATTTTTACTATTTTTGAAATTGGATTTTAAGTACTAATCCTCTAAATAACTTCAAATTTATAAACCAATTATTTTATTTTAATGAATTCTTTTATTCAATTAATCCATTTGATATTTGCTATTGATGAATGATAGATTTTTTTAATTTTATTTTCATTAGAAAAAGTAAGTATAACAATACTAATAATACATCACTTTAATTCAATTATTTGAATATCTTTTACTGAATTAGTAGCTTATTTTTATTATGAATTTTTATTTTTTTGAAAAATGTATCAATCTCATTTATTTTTATTCTTTCAAAATTCAATAATTTTTAATGGTATATTAGTTTTATACTTTCCAATATACTTAATTTATTTAGATGTAATCTATCATGATGTTAACTGAATCAGAGGCTATTTTTTTATAAATTTTAGCTAAGTTATAATTTATATAACTAATAGATCTAGAGGATGGCAAGTAAGTAAGTAAAAATGGCTCTGTAAATCTTAATTAGTAGACAAAACATTACTATTTACAAATTTTAACTATGTATGAATTTTATTACTTTACTTAATTTAAATCAAATATATCTGATATTCATTCTAGTTTGTTTGGTTTGTAAGTTATAAGGTGACTAACTTTTTTTCAGAAAGTTATGAAAGACTTTCTAGGAAGGAAGTATGATAATTAAAAAAAGAAATCAAATTTTGTTACACAGAAATATTTAATTGAAAAATAAAAATTTATTATCGTTTTAGAAGAATTAATCAACACTTTTATTTGTTTTATCTTAATTAAAATAAATATTTTTATTAATAATTAAAAAAATCCTAATTTACTTTAAACGCAAATCATACATAAATTCAAGTTTAACTATATAAATACACATTAATTACTTAATCAATTTGACTACAAATTTAAACATTTACACCAACAAATCAAGCAATCAGTATGTAGGTAATTGAATATTTCAATCAGTCGTCATTTAAGATTCTTATGAGATCCTTAGTGTATTCTGCACTTTTTCCTAACACAAAACTTATGTGACCAGATCTTTCATACTCTTAGTATGTTACATTTTTGGCTTTACCATTTTTAAAAGTATTGTATAACTCCATCATTTCTTCTTTAGTTGTTAAGATATCGTGAATACCATGGAAAATATGAATACTTTCTGTTATGTTAGATAAATCATACTCTGGTGGATTAGCTTATTTGTAGATTTATAAGTTTTTCTCCTTTCCGTAATCAAACTTAAAGAAACCTCCAAGTCTCTTTAATTAAGCCCAATGCAATAAGTTTTTGGTAGATGTAGGCTATAAATCATGGGAAGCTATTCTAAATACATTTTTCATGTTGAGTTCGCTTTCCCAACCATCACAAAAGAATAGTGTTATTGTACGAGAAATAAAAGGTGTGTATTTACTCATTTTGTTTCCAAATCTTGTTTTGCTTCCAACTTATTTTTAAGACTTATATAAATCTTCTGGAAGATTTGATTTTGCTAGCCAATCAGTAAAATACGAAGCAGATTTTATGTGAGTACCAGGAGCTATAATGAAGACTTTATCCACATAATTTAATCTTTTTTCAGAAAGAGCAACTAAAATGACGTTGGCGCCTTAAGAGTGACCTAAACCACTTACTTTCTAATTAGTTATATTATGAACGTATTCAAAAGCCATAGGTAAATCATAATAACCCATTTCGTGGAAAGAATATTCTTCTTCAACTTTATCTAAGTTTGGTGAATACTCAGAACCTCTATTAGTAACAAGCCAAACATCAAATCCAGCATTTGCCAAAATAAAAGCAGGAGATAACTCCTCATCATTGATGACATAAGAGTCTACGCAGTTCAGTAGCTGAGGGATAAGTATAATGGGTTTCGCTCTATAGCCTTTTTTGAAAGCTGTTTCGTGAGAACCTTTTGCAGCTATTCTGAAAATGGTAATATTCCATTTATCTTCTGTTATAAAAAAGTGAGTTTAATGAGGATAATTTTAGATTTCCATCCTTTCGCTAAAAGGTTTTAGCCAAAATATTTCATCTTCAGTGTCAATAAAGTAGACAGCTACACAGGCTATCAAAAATCCTAGAAAAGAATACAAGCAAAACTTCTTCATAGTTCTCTAAAAGTAACAGTGATTTTTAATGAATATTAATTATTCAAATATAATTATTTATGAGTTTATTAAATTAACAAAAAGAAATATATTTAAACTAATAACCTTGCATACAATAAATAGGTAAATGAAGATATGTTGTCAAAATAAATATATCTCATATGTAATAATCTATCCACATCATTGGCATTTTTAAAAATATCTTTTTCGTTATATCAATTAACTCCCTCCTTCCTTCCTGCTAATTCAACAAATTTCAAAATATTATCAAAACTAATTTAAGTTAGTAATATTTTTTATTTGTTGTAGAGTTCGTTCATTTTTATAAGCAATCACTTAATCATAATAGATTCATTCATACTTTCAATTTTTTAAATATTTTTTTTAGTTATTGATGATATGTTATTTTCAAAAGATTCCTTTTTTGATATACAACTAAATAATAAGGTTCTAACCATCTTTTTTTCTCCGTTAAGAAAAGATAAAGAGAATGCTGGCTTCTATAAGTGTAAAATAGAAAAGGAGATTTTCTAGAAAAAACTATGAGAAATTTATTTACTCAATAATGAATAAGCGTTGAATAAAGCCTAATTATTATTAAGAATTCCATAAATATAAAGATAAAATGAAAAAAATATTTTATTTTAACTTTAGAAATTTACTATCAATTTTGTTTATTTTTTTAAAAAAGTATTTGTTTTCTTATTAATTATTTATATCAAAAAAAATTAAGAGATTTAATTATGAAAAAAACAAAAATGTCTGATGAACCTTGACTAATTATGTGGCTTACCTTAAAATATTTATATGCAAGCCAGAACATTAAATTTACCCTAAAATATGTTTAAAATAAATTACTGAACGGATATTTGCTTTCAGTATTTTAAGGAAATATTTTTATTTTACTAAATTTACATGCAGTGAACATATAAATGATGTTGAATGTTACAGATTCAAGAACTTTGATTAAAGATGATATTATGATATTTACTTGTTATGTTTTAATTTAATTTGTCCAAAAATAAAAGCTACATTTAAAAATATTTAGGCTGGCCTAATTAAAAAGAACTTTTTATTGAGAATAGCTGGCTTAATTTAATAAATATTTAATTGCGTTAAATTATCTTATCACTTCAAATATAATTTTTAAAATTGTGATAAAAAATATATCTAATTTCATTATTTAAGTATTTAATAATATTTTATAAAATATAATTTTTGTTTTTATTATTAACTTTATTAAATACAATGAATATGCTCATTACAAGGGTTATTTATTTTGTTAAAATTTTTTAATTAAAATGAATTTTTTTTTTTTGCATAATAAATAAATTATTCAAAATTAAATTTGAAGTAGAAATAAAATTATATAAAAAATATATTAAATAAATAAAGAGTACAGATTTATGACCCAAAAAAGCTTAGTTATCACTCATCCATCAATCAATTAATAAAGCATACTTGATCATAAATAATTTAATTAATAAATTTTCAAATTATAAAGCTTAAAAAGATTGTATCCTTTTTAGAATATTCCACTAATAAAAAATAAGATGTCTTAAAACGAATTTTTACTTCAACAAAAAATAAATAAGTAATAGTAAAATTAATATTTAAAGAATTTGATAGTTAATGTTAGTGAGCTAACTTTAGAGGCTATTTACAAAAATTGTACTGAAAAATGCATTTTGAAACAATTAAAAAGTCCTGATCTGTCAGATTAAGAAAAAGTATGCTTAAATAAATGCTTTATTTAAAAGCAAGGCTCTTTACAGCAAGTTATTACTGAACAAGCTCGCTTCAGAGAAGCATTAGAAAATTAAAAGTGAAAACAGCTTTTAGATTAAAGAATATCGAAATGAAAAAGATGTATTTTTTAAATTTTTTGCTGTAATAATTACTAATAATCAATCAACATATAATCCATTTTATAGATATAAAAAAAAAGTAAAATTAATAATATTTATAATGACTATTTATAAAGTAAAGTATTTGTTTATATTTATGTAAGTAACTAAGTAAATAGCTGATTTTAAATATTTTAATTAGAAAATCTGAATAGCATCCATCCATTTATATTTATTAGCGCATGCTGAAAAAATTATTCATTTATTAGATTTTATATTTGCTTTTGCTTTCTCTTTATAAATTGAATGAAAGTCCTTCTTCTCGAATTTTCTTATTAAAAATAAAGGAAACTAACAATTGAAAAATAGAGTTAAGGGTTTTTAATTAAAATATATATTATTATATATTAATTAATTTTTTATTATTATATTCAGTATTTACGATTACCAATGAAATTAAGATTTACTGTGTGACATTAATAGTAAAATTCAAAAATATTTCATTCATTTCGGTTGATATTTATTCATCAGTATTTAATATATTTAATTAAAGAATTGCTTTATTCACCTTCTTGATTGACTTATAAAAAAATATGAATTAATTAAATACTTTCTTTTATAATTTATATTGATTAAATTAATGAAAACTAATTCAAAAATATTAATTAAATTTTATATAAACCTGAGTCTTCTAATTTTAAATAATGTAAATCCTGTTTGCCTCGTTTTTATTTCATTTTTTATTAGAATACGTTAGAGTCAAAATAAATAATCTAAATAAAATAATGCAAAATTGCTCCGTATTTTAATAGTAAGAATGAATTAAAAATCCCTATTTAGCATCTCCCTTTCTAGCGAAGTTTTTTAATTCAAGAATTCTTTCTTTAGGATTTTTCATTGATATCAATAAAAAAGCATCAGCTTAATCCTAAATAATAAAGAGTTAATTTATTTTACTAAACATGAATGAAAAGGCGCTCGAATTGATGTTTATATTTTGAACATAAGTTCTCTATTTAATAATTATTATTAACAAGTACTAACTGCTCTTTTTAAAAATAATTTAATTATTAGTAATGTTAAAAGTGGAGTAACTTAATTTAATAACGCAAATATATCTATATATTGCTTACTTAAGAATTGATAATCAAATATTAAATATAAATATTTTTAATTAATTATTTAATTTCATTTTCATAGCTTTTTCATTTGCGTAAAAAACCCATATCAAGTTATATGCGATACATACAATGACTTGCTAGAAGCTTTAAATAGAACTGCTTTTAAATAATCTTAAAATAGATTTGCTTTATTTAAATAGGCCTTTATCTAGATTCTTACATTATTTGCAACTGCATTTTTAGGTAAATTTTGTTTATCTTTATGTATAGAATTATAGCTCTATTTTCTTTAATTCTAAAGTAATTCAGTACTTATTTTAAAGCAAAAATTTGGTTTTGCTTTGAAATATGGTGATTTACGAGGAAACGTTTATTATGTTTCAATTTATAATTTTATATTTAATACTTTTAATATAAAAACAAAGATTAAATGAAAGATATACTAATAATTTAATAATTAGCTGATGAACGGGTTGGCTCTTATAAACTAATTTAATTTTTGATGTAATATGAGCACATTTACAAAAAAATAATTCAGTCTAATAAATTATGATTTGTCTTATTTTCGGGTAACTCAAACTGTGGCTAAATTTTTCTTTACACAAAACTAGGAGATAAATTCTTACGCTAAAATAACCCTATTTGGTAGTTCTTTTTAAGATGGAAAGAAAATCCTTGATTGAAACACTTGAAATTATAAATAGTCATCAGTAATCGATAATTGGAATATAAAGTTTGAAATACAAAGTAAATTTTTTGAATGTATTCTACGTTCATGCACTTATTTACTTTTTCACAGATATAAAAATATTTGCAAACTAATAACTATAATTAATAGTCAAAGAAGTTAATTTTTTAATTTATTTATTGATTTTCTGTCTAATTTTTAGGGTAGAGAATAATTAAAAATTGAAATTAATAAACATAAGGCAAAATCAAATAATCCATCCCATAGGAAAATAAATAATCATAAAACAAAAACCAAAAACTGGTTAGTAATTAATAATTCGTTATATATACATCAACAAGATTATAAATCTTAAGCACCTTTCATAAATTAATTATATAATTAAATTAATTATTAAAAAATTATAATTTGATAATCTAAATAAAATGCATCCATAATTTATTATTAACAATCCTTAAGCTAACTTGAACCCTTCATATCAATTAGTTTCATAATACCCAGTCGAATAGGCACTTCTATCCTAATACTTAAGCCAAGGTTGCGGATTAACTCCTTTAATAATCCCTGCTTCTTGCCTTTAAACAAATTTTCTTGTTCCCAGTATTGCCTAACCTGCCTAATAAATTACTCTTTAATAATTGTAATAACTTTAAAACCAACAATAATAACCTTAGTTATGGGTCTAAAATGGTTAAATTATGAGCCAAGCCCCTCAAATGGGTTAATTACAAATATTAATTCCTTAAAACTAAAAGTAATAAGTCTATGAAAATAATGAATTTGATTTTTTCCCTATGCAATAACAGCAAGTAAATTTGAATCGTGACAGCTTTTCCACAGTATTTTTAAATAATGGCTTAAATAATTAATAAAATGATCTCTTAAAAATGTAAAATTAACAATTAATAAATTAATAACAAGCTCACTTCTAGAACACCCTCTAAGTTCTTGAAAGTCCTCAACAGTAATAAAGAGAGTAGATGAATTGCGGCATACAATACTAATAACCTTTAGAATTTTAGCACATTTAAGGTAATCACTTGAATTCCAACAATACTGTATAGAATTAGTAAATTTACTCCAGCTGCGCTAAATTTTCTATTAATGAATTGTAAAAAGTAGAGCACTCGAATTAATAAAAAGAGTAACTATCCAATATTAATAGCAATAATTATAGCACTCCCTCACTGACTACATCTTTAAAACTTATTAACAATCCTACTTCTTCTTCTGTATCTACATCTCGCTCCACAACTTTCTCAGCAAATGAAAGCGCTCAAATTATCCCTAAGATCAAACAAGAGGCTATCCACGATTTCTAATAAGAAGACGAATAGATGGAAAGCTAAAGCTAAATTGAGCACTAGCTCCTCAGCAGTGATTGTGATGAATCCAACATAGAGCAACCTTTAAGCTCTTACTAACTCAGTAAAGACCTTGAAGAAGCCCTTAAAACAATGCAGACTTCAACTTTCTGCCAAAATGGAGAACTAATTTTTTCTCCCTAATACGGAAAATAATTCAAGCTCAAGCAATCTCTTTGCAAAAATGACGATATAGTTTTCTCTAAAATCAAAGAATACAGAAAGAATAGACGTCACCTTAATAACGGAAAGGAAGATGATAACCAAGGAAATCCTTAAAAAGTCAATTCTAAGTTCCACAACTTAAACAAGCTCTTTATGTATAAATTGTTAGCTACTTTCTAGCAAAAAAATTTAATCGAATTAGATGTCCCTCAATACCTTCACGGCATTCTCTTAAAATTAATAATGCGTCTCAAGCAATCCACTAAAGAAATGAAAAACTACAATAAGAAAACAGAATTCTTCTCTCATGATCACTATAATTTGCTCTTCCTTCACTTGAATGAGCGTACCTTAAAATACTTAATCCACAGTCCCTTCTCTATTTATCTTCATAAATTGTGCTTCAATTTAGACCTTAATTAATTTGATTAGAATGATTGCTCCTCTTTCATATAAATAAATTGCGAAAAAATACAATACATTAATATCATAAAGAGATTCTGTTGCCAGATAGTATAGAATTCAAACATGCTTGGTGTATACCAAGACCAGGAAGACTCTAATAAAAACCAAGACTCTGAGTCTGAACCTATGGCTAGTGAAAGCAACGAAAACAGTTTAGAAGGAAAAAAGAAAAGTTGTAAAAGCTCTTCTTCCAAGTCATTGGAATTATAAAACTAATCCCAAAGATAAAATATGAGATAAGCATATACTCAAAGGGCATTAAAAGGCATCTAATCACTAAACTAAGGAGTTATTATTAGGAGATTCTGAGGAACCAAATTGTATTTGTTACACAGAATATCTTAGAAAATGAAATATATAACATAAAACTAAATTAAAACAGATCTCAACTTCTTAACAAAAATAAACTGAATATTTACAAAATACTTTGATAGTAATGCGTTATTTGCACAGATAAAGCATTTAAATCCACACATTATTTAAATAGTCAGTAAACCATAATTTTAAGAAAAAATTTACTTTTGAGGCTGAATTCTTTTCATTAAAAAACATAGCTAGCTTGATTTAATAAAATCTTTATTTAATAGATATGCAAAAAAATAAAAGAATAAATGAAGAATCCTAATTAAATAAATAAAATAATCAAGCTGAGTTTGCTTCTCATTATATTAAAGAATAAGAATCAATTTAAATACAGCCTAATCTAAAATAAATTATATATGTATAAATTAACTAAAAAAAAACTTTTCATAATTTAAATAATAATCATTCAATTTAACAAACCAATCAACTATCAGTCCTTCGATCTATCCATAGATCCATCTTAAAATCTAACTTTTATTTATCAATTACCTAAAGAAAAATTTATCTCACAATAAAAAGAAAATATAAAAATTTCACAAATTAATTATAAACTTTGAAATGAAATCAATAACTTCTTCTCTAATTCATCTTAATCACTTTAATCTAATATATATCTTTAATGCTCTCTTTTTCACCTTCATGTTTCTAATTTATATATATAAACGCTATTAAGTAAACTTCTCATTATAAATCTTTATCGACCTATTTCAAATATTTCCTTAACCTTAAAAAATCAATCACATTATGTGTTTACAATTTTATAATTCTTTCATTTTTCTAACAAGCAATATTTACCCTAAAATATATTACCACAACATTTTTCCAAAAAATTCTTAGCCACTGAATTTCTAAATGTTTTAAAAAATAAATTTACTCTTTTAATCTATTTTTGTACTCTTCTTATCTTAAAATATTTGTTACTCGAAAATTTATTTAATTTACTTTCAAAATTTATGTATTTAATTTACTTTCAAAATAATTAAAAAAATCAAACAGCATTCAAATAAACAATCGTTAAAGATAACAATATTTACTATAATTCTAAATAGTTTTTTTTGAATTAAATATAAAAGACATATTGATAGCTAAAATAATTTTTCATATGATAATGCTTAATAATATGAATTATTTTTTTATTGTAATTAGTAATATTGGAGAAAAAATTTTACAAATATTGTATGCACATTGAAATATTTTTTAACTAACAAAAATTAATACTTTAATAAATATTCAATCTTACTGTAAAGAAAAATTTGAATAAAAGGGTATTTTCAAATAATTAAAATTTTTAACACAAACCAACCAACCCAAATTGATTGATTGATTGATTTAGTTTTGAAATGTTGTCTTTAAAAAATATTAACTCTATCTATTTCAGGTCTACTTTAAAAATAGAAATTGATAATTTATTTTCTAAGTTCGAATGCTTAAAAAACAAATTTGAAAATTGCATTTAATTCAATTAGTTTATTTTTACCCAAAAATATTATTTTTAACACAAATAATCAAAATTAATTATTTGCTTTTATTTTGATTCACAATTTTTTTAAAAAAAGCCAATCAAAATAGAAAATAATAAAAAAATTAAAAAGTAAAAAAGGTAAAATTAAGAAATTTACCTTTAAATTTTAAATTTAAAAATATTGCATTGATTGATTGGCAAATTTTTCTAATAATCTAAGAAAAATACTACTTGAACCAATAAGCGGTGAGGTTTTATTTTTCTAATTGTTTCCAGTTCATAGATTATTGTATTTAATGTAAAGTACATCATATTACTAAAATAATCTATTTATAATCTTTTTAAGTATAATATTTCAAATTTTAAATAATTATATTACTTTTGCTTACTCTCATAATTACAAATTAACTAAATTTTTATGATAAAAGCTAATAGCATACCATAAATCTCATTTTTTTATTATATTTTAAATAAGCTAATAGTTTAATTTATGTGATAGGCAGAAACTTTTAAAGAAGAAAACTATAAATAAATGATTTTATTTTGTTTGATAAATTTGTAAGTATAAATAGAAACAGGTACGAACCTTAATAACAAGATATAAATTTATTGCTTAAATTATTAAATTTGCTAAAATTGGCCAAATTTATATGTGTTAGGTATTTAGTTCTAAGGTACTTGAATAGACAAACAATACTTTAATTGTATATAAAAATTGGTAGATATATTTTTCTTTTACAAAATTAATATACTAAATTACTTAACTTTATTTATTAATTGGTAATTTTACAAATCAAGAAATTCTGATCTTTTATTCAGAGCCATACCTTTCTTTTAATGATTCTAATTCATATAACAATATATCCATCAGTTATTATCTCTCTTTAACAAGATAAAGATGCCTTAAAGAGTTTTAATATTCTTATTTCTAATTCCTTGCTTCACGTAATCTCATTTTTAAATCTCTTAATTAGCGATATATGTAATTCTTGCAAATTCCATTCTTTGCTGATCTATTTAAATATAAAATAAGCTTATAAATAAAAATAAAAATGTGATTTTTGACATTTTTTTCATTGAAAAAATGATACATTTTATTCAGTATATTTTTCAATATCCTTTTAAGCTTAAATTGCTTTTTAAATGTCAAATAATTTTATAGAAAATCAGTTAGTTAATTACTATTTTAGATAAATGATAAACTGAAGGAGCGAAAAATCTATCTTTGGTTTAACTTACTATCCTCTAACAAGCTTTTTTGACTGATACTATTACTATTTTAAACTTTCTAAACCCTTTTCAAATAAAATCTTTACCATCATGAGCCTCCTTTAAAATTAAATTCTAAAGAAATTCTATATGACAATTACTAGTTATTAAAATAAAAAGTATATTTTATTAGAAAATAATCTTTATCTAATACATATTTTTATTTTTAACATGTTGAAAAAATTTTTTTAATTTAAAAATTTTATTTTATATGCTATCTAAATCAAAAATAAAGGACTAAAAAGTTGCTAAAATATAAGAATTTATACAGGTAGTAAATATTTTTAAATTATAAAAGCTTGTAGCTGTTATTAATTATATTTACTAAAATGTATTAATTAAAAATTAAAAAGTTAAATTTGACTAAAAATTTAAAAACAATTAAATTAACTTCAATAAATAATTATTATAAATCTTAAAATAATTATTACATTTTTAGATAAATCTTTAGGATTTTTGCTAAATTTATCCAAGTATTAATATGTCTTATGAATTTTTAATAAACTAAAATATTAAATTCTTTGCACTCCAATTAGATTTTGTTTTAACAGTTTTAGCAAATAGATTCAAGCTCCTATTAAATTTAAGATTATTAAAAAATTATAATGTAAAGTAAAAAGCATTTATAAATATTTTACCTTTTGATATTAACTAACATTCTTAAATGGTAACTTTCTGGTTCTTTTATAAGAGAAATTTGATGCTATTTTTTGATTTTCTGACTGATCTACCTATTTTTGGTGCTGAAAACTTTGAGAATCTTACTGTACTGAATATTTTATTTATTTATATTCATATTTAATTGAAGGCAAGAAAAATTATAGTTAGGATAAAGAATTCATTAAAGAAAGTAAATAAACTGTAATATTTTCTAAAATGTGATTGGTATTTACTTATACTCTATGGACAATTTAATTCATAAATTTGATCAAATTCAAAATTTACAGCCACTTCAAACATGTTTCTTAAATTTTTTTCTCTTTAACCTGCTATTTAACCTTGAAAATATTAATTTGAAATTAATTTTGAGAATAGATAATTATGTAAAGTTTATTGTAAATAATTTAAAAATTTAAAGGGCAAATATACTAAACTGTCATAATAAATAAATAAATAAATAAATAAATAAATAAATAAATAAATAAATAAATAGATAATTGTTTACCTAGTCTAGAGTTATTTACTTTTGGATTTATTTTTAAACTATGGTTTAAACTTTATTTTTGAAATTTAAGCTTTATATGAATTAATATCGCTATTTTGCTTCTTCTAATTTCTTTCTATGCTATTAAAATATTTCTTATTTCTGTTCTCTACTTTCCCACATTCCTTTTACTTGGGTATTTTATATAACCAGTTTGTTCCTTTCTATATATTCCTGTTTTTACTATTCCTTTAGCTTTTCTTTAATAAAAGTAGTAAACAATTAAGCAAATCAATTAGGTTATCAAATAATTTTACAGTTCAAATAAAATCTGAGTATTTATTCTTCAACTTCTTATCCTTGAAACTTTTCTTCCCTGATTTATTCTAGCATCATAAATTTAGCTTTCTCTTTTTCTTAAATTTACAATTTTTTATCATCCATAATTTTTTTCATTAATTGTCTTTAAAATTCTTTTTATTAAGCCTTTATCCCAATCTTGGACTCCTTTGTATGTCTAAAGCTTTCAAATATTTTCTCTATCATGTATTTATAATAAAATTTTATATTAAATGAAAAAGGGAGTACTTATTCATTCATAATAATTAAAAATAAAATACCATTAAACCACACCTTTAAGATAACTTAAACTTTAATTTCAGAGTAGAAGCTGAAATAAAAGTACTTAGTTTGAATTGTTTCATTTCCAACCTTATAAAGATGAGATTTTCTCTTTTTTGGAATAGTGATAGAATTATTTTTATCTGGATATTAGTCATAAAAGCTAAAATAAATTGAATAATCTTCTTTATCACTTTCACAAGAGAATCTAAGAGGAAGTTGCTAATTCGAAATGTTAATTCTTGCATAAATATATTTTTTAGGAGTAATTTCAATTGTTTGCTTTATGTTTTCAATTAAATCTAAATAAAAAATGTAGATTAAAAAAACTATTTATTTTCTAAATAATAAAATTATTTTTAATTGCAAAGTAAATTGCAGAAATTAATTTTATTTTAACTAATTTTTTTAATTACTTATGTGTTGTTCTTGCTATTTTTGATTAAAAGTGTGGGTACTTTCTTAGTTAATTTAGAATGCTGTATCTGATTTTGTTTTGTTTAACTAACCACCTAATCTTATAGAATTGCTTAACCTATTCACTATATTTATTTTTTCATAAGTAACTTCACTTTCTTCTTAACTGAATTAAGAGAAGTTTAAGAGGGTTTTATTCTTTTATTCTTACGTTTTTTATATTTTAATTATTCTTTTTTATCTCTCTGTTACAAAAGATTGCATGTATTTATCTTAAAATGATCTCATAGAATCATCATTACTTTTACTAAAACCAGATTAGCTTTGCTAAAGTGATGAAAAGAATGATCTTTAGGAACTACTAAAAGATTGAAATAATCTTTCATTGCTCTTACTTAAAGGACTCTAAATAACAGAGTCCTAATCAAATTTTGAGTCGTTTGTGGAAATATTATTTTTATTTATTTTAGATAATTATTTTGAATCACTATTATTGATACTTTTAGACTAAGAGTAATAGTAATCTTTAACAGGTGGTAAATTATTGAAGAAATTTTTAATCATCTTTTTATAAATTTCAAATATCTTATAGTATTTACCTATTTATCGTAACTATTGATTGCTTAAAAATTGAATTTTTATATTGTGTTTCTTTCTTTTTTATTGATTTTATGATTTAGTTCTACTATTGATATTGTTTAATTGATTGGTGCCAATTATTATTTCGTTGTTGAGAGAATAATTATTTTTAAAATTTAATTAATTGGAATAGCTGTGGCCATAAAATAACATTATAATTATAGGATGACAAGCTGTCAAAACTACTTTATTTACAATAAATGAGTTTAAGTACAAATTTTTAAAAATTTCTCAATAAATATGAGATTTGTTTTTATTTATTTTAATTATTTTCCAAAAAATCAAATTAAAAAAATATTTTAAAATAAAGTTTTTCAATTCTAAGAAAATTCACTTTAAAACTAAAAATAATTTCAAATAAATTTTTAATTGTTAAAAATAGCATAGAAAATCATAATTTTTTTTTTTTTGCATTCTTTTTTAACAATCAAATAAAAAAATTAATTTTTTTACAATGTAATTAGTGTACTTAAAATAAATTTAACACTATTAAATTTCAATTTTCAAATTAAAAATAGTTTAAAAGTGTAAAAATTATTTTTTTATTTTTTTTGTAATCTTTTTTAATGATTAAATAAAAAAAGTAGTTTTTTACTTTGTAATAAACATATTTAAAATAGATTTACCATTAATAAATTCGCTTTTCAAATTAAAAAAATAGTTTAAAAGTATATTAATTATTTTTTAAGGATCAAGTAAAAGTTTTAATATTTTTAATTGTAATAAATGTATTTGAAATCAATTTTAATTCATCAAATTGATAGTTATTTCTGTTTAAAAAGATGAAATAAAATAATTTTAGTATCTATCTATATAAGCAAATTTAAATCCAAAAAAAGATATTTACTGATAAAATAAAAAATGAATAGAATTATATTTTAGTTTAACTTAACAAATATTAATTGTTCTAAATTTGTTGGCTAAAAAGCAGAAAAAATATTATTTACTTACTTAATTACTTTATTAATAACTCACTCACTCTCTTCACTGCTAAGTTTAGTTAGAAGGAAAAGCAGTAAATTACTTTTATGTTGGATTATGCTTATTTTAGAATTAGTTTGCAAAAGCATTTGGAGGCTAACGGCGACCAGTAGTTGGAACTTTTGCACCAACTTATCCAACAGGACGTGGGATAGTAAAAGGATTATGATTTTGCTAGCTGTGTTAATCTGGTGTCATAACTACAGTAGCATCTTCAGGTATATGATTTTCACCTGTTTAATCAGTATTTAAAGAAAATCCTTGATTGCTCTTATTTCTTTAAGGAGCCATTCCTTATTAAAATGGTGAATTTCTAGTGATATTTTAGCTCTACATACTTGGGGGAGGTACTTAAGTTAAATTAGGGGATCCTAGCTTTTATTGGCTATTGCTATGGTGTTAATTCGACTATTGTTACTGTTATGGATAATTACTATGCTAATGAGTATTATTTTCATGATGTCCATGATGGTGATGGTGGTGTTATTACTGCTAATGATGATGTTAATGAAGATTTTATTGCTAATTGCTTTAAGTATTCATTTCCATTTATTATTAGTAAAGGAATTCTTGATTATCTTAGCTCTCGACTTGTTAATATTCTTATTATTATTGTTTCTTCTAGTGCAAGTTATTGCTCAATTAATTAACTTGCTAATCAAAGAAGCTATTTTCGTCTGAACTTTAAAATTGCTCCTCAATTAATCTAGCACTTCCCTTACGTCCTTAAGAACCTGATCTAGCTACTTGATCTTCTTAGAGGTTATTTTCTTAGTTTTATAAATCTTATTGATTAAGTTATTATTGTTATTCATATTACACAGTTTATTAATTATCTTATTGTTATTCCAATTCTGCAGCTTCGTTTCCATAATTATTCTGTGCATTTTCTGATTCTACTATTTAAACACTATCAGACTATGCTTACTATGAAAGATTTTCCTAAGAAACAGAGTTATTTAAACCTTCTTTTTTAGAATTGTGTTGCTTTTTTTAATGTTAGTTTCTGGATGAAGTTGCCTTTTATTCTATATTGCTATTATATGAAGGTCTTTCACTTTTTTATGAGACTGATTACTACTAAACTTCAGATGTGCTGTTATTAATTTCGCTATATGATGACTTACGAGAGATACGAGAAGAATCATTCAAATTAGTACCATTTTGGTTATTTATTCCAGTTAATGCCACATCTGTTACACTACTTGGTTATCTTCTCTTTCTTTGCAATTTTAATTGATGCACTTCTTTGATAATTTCTTTTTAGGTATCAAAAATACTTTATTAGAATTAAACTTAAAACTACTTCAAAGAATTAAATTGATTTGTTAACTGCTTGACAGATTCTTCGCTCTTTTCTATTTTCTAAATCAGAGATTCATTAATTTTACGAGTATCAGGAATCACAGCTTAAGCCTTTTAATTAGAAATTGGTTGTTATACAGCAGAAGAAGCTGGGCTCTTGGAATTGATAACTTATTCTAATTATCTAACTTCCTTGCTGAGAGCTTCAAGCTAATTAGTAAGGTCAGTAAAGTCCATTTCGGCTTCAGCAGAGAGATTAAATTTAGCTCCACCCTAAATCTGCATACCTCCAGAAGAGAATAACTTTTTAGAAATGAATTTAATTAGGATGATTAGTGCATATGTAAAGCAAATGTAATTGAAAGGCTCATGACTTCTAATATAGTTAAAACCAGGATGAATAATATTTTTCATGCTATATTCTATGAACTAGATAAAATCGTTCATGATTTCTTAGTATTTTTCTCCTAAACTTTATTCAGGCTATTGAATTTTATCTTCATCTTTAGCCTCCTTTTTTTAATCATCCCCAAAGTTAACTTAAATATTAGAGTGATCATGATCGTGATCGTGACCATGACCATGGCCGTGATGATGGTGATGGTCGTGTCCATGGTGATGATCATGATCATCAATAATAATGTTTTAGTTAGATTTATTAAGTTCTTCTTCTTCTTTTTTTAATAATTCTTCCCTTTATTTTTCAATTTATTATTATTATTAAAGAAGTTCTTGCTCTTTTTGTAGTCTTTCTTATTCTTCATTCTCTCTTCTAATAATTTCTTCTTATTGTTATAATTCATTGTTCAGACGATTCAACTCTTCTTCTTTTTACATCTGTTGTAATCTTAATATTTCTTGCTCTCTCTCTTACTACTCATTTTCAAATTAAAGCTTTTGAAGCTACTCTTAACGGAGTTACTCTTCCTAATCAGCCTTTTTCTATCTCTCTTACTCCTCAAGCTATAATCTTTCTATCTCTTCTTTTTATTTTTAAACTCTTAGCTCATGTTCTTATCTCTTTCTTTGTAATTCTTCCTCTTCCAATTTCTTTTAGATTTCAATTTCTCTTTACTTTTCTTCTATTTCTCTCTTTTACTTTTCTAGCTCTTCATGCTACTATTATGTTTCAAGCTCTTCTTTTTATTCGTTATTTTACTGGTTGTTTAATCTTTCCTTTTCCAATTTCTGCTATTCTTCCATCTGCTATAATCTTATTTGCTCAGCTTCTTCTTGCAGTTTCTTCAAATATTCTTATTATTAGCGTATTCTATCAGAATTCTCTTGCTCTATTCTCATCTCCTCACGCCTTTTTAAGATTTACTCTAATTCTTCTTTTTGCTTTTAAAGCCTAAGAGCAGCTTCTTCCTCCTCGGCCTTCTTTTTGATTTCTTGTTCTTCTTTTTAACGCTAAAGATCGTCAAGCATTTTTTTACGTTATAATTCTTGCTCTCTTCTCCTACGCTCAGCTTCTTCTCTCTATTTTTTAAGCAATTCCTATTCTTAACGCTACTTCTCTAAGAGCTCTCTTTGCTCATTAAACTTCTTTTCCTATTCCTGTCTTTTTCTCTAAAGTTCATCTTGCTACTTTAATCTTTATTCTTATTCTAAACGCATTTATTCTTATTTTCTTTAAATTTCATCTTTTTTTCTTTGGATTTCTTCTCTCTTTCTACGGTTTTATTCCTCCTTTTCACGTTTTATTCTTTCTTATTCTAAGCGATTTTATTCAATTTACCTTTCAATTTCCTGCTATTGTTCTCTTATACGTTATTCTTCTTGCTCACGTTATATTCTAAGTAGCTCTTCCTATTCTTTTAGCCTTTTTAACCTTTCCTATTCAGCTTCAAAGATCTTCTTTTGTTGTTAAATGTAATCATCTTATTATTTTTAAATGTCTTCAACATCTTCAGTTTAAGAATTAAGAGTTTATTCTTCTTCTTAAAGGAGTTATTATAATTCTTACTAATTTAGAATTTCAATATTTTATTATTCTCTTAATTCTTATTCAATTTACTACATCTTAGTTTCAATACTTAGCTTTTCCTATTCGATTTTTTTCAATTAAAGCTCTCTTTGCTATTCAGTAAGAGTTTTCTATTAGTTTTAGCTATTTGGCCTTTTTGGAAGAGTGGGAGGCTTGCGATTTGGAGGCAAAGGTCTATTTAAAATATCAGGTTATAAATTTTCATTTGATTGCTCATTAAATATTGAATTTTGTGGATCTAAAAATGCCTCTACATCTTCAGGTTTTTACGAGTCATCTGCTTAAGTTAAGCAAAGACACAAGGCAAAAATTGTAATAACTATGAGTCCTTTAGACACTAATCTAATATGTTTTATTCTCATTTTCTAATTATTTTATTTACTTACTCTTTTTGAAATAGCTAATAATTTTAGAACAACAAAAAGAATTTTACTTTTTATTTAATTTAATTAATTTCTTAAATAAAATGTTTATCATTCATAATTAAGATTGAAAGGCAAATTTTCAATCTATTAAATAATCTGCTTTTAATTAATTTTTAATACAAGAAGATATTCAAACAAATCAAATAAGTACTCATAAAGTTATTATCAAACTCTACACAAGATATGAAAATTTATCAAAAAATAATAGCAACAGCGTGTTTGTCTTTCCAATCGAGAAAGAAAGAAAGTAATTAATTTCTTTGATTATTTTAATTAACAAAAAAAGATTACGTGTCTCAGTATTTTTTGTTTGCTTGAAAATTATAAAGGTAAATTTATTTGAGATATTTATTTATATTATTTTTTATTCATAAAATAACAACTTTTTACCATTATTTTACAGTTGTTCTGTTGAAACGATTAAAAATAATTTTTGAATCTTTATTTGAAAGTAATAAATTATGTAAATAATTTTGATACCAACTTGACATTAAATTTATAATCTAAATTAGATTTATTAGAAAAAAATTATAAAATTTTGAGAATTTTAATCTAAAAAAGATTTATTTGAACAGAATGTAAAAATTTTGAGAATTTTTAAAAATTATTTTAATTATAAATATATCAAACAAGATTTGTATAGGATAAAATGTTGGTTGGAGCTATATGTTTGTTTGTTTTATTTGATTAATAATATTGCCGTTGTCTTATTCAATAGTATTTTTTTTTTTAATTTTAAATTTTCAGACTTTTATCTAAAATATTAAAATATACTGCTAGAATTAATTAATAAAAATATTTTTAAATGGGATATTTTACTAGAAAAAATCAAGGATAATAATTTAGATATATTTTAATGATATATGTTAGAACTACAAAGGGGTTGTTTAGAAAATAAAAGCATCTTTTATTCTGAAGAGGTAAATTTTCTTAGTTTTAAAATAAATATTATTATTTTACGATTTAAAGAACTGTAATTTATAATAAATATGCTAAATTTGTTCACATTGTGATATATTTTATGCAAATTTTTTTGATTGTAAGTAGTTTACCTTAAATTTAGAAGTTTAGCAAACAGAAATAATATTATACTTAAGGTTAATTAAAAATTCATCTAAATGAGTAAATTAATTCTTTCTTATATTTTATTGATATCACCTTCTTATACTAAATAGAAACTAATAAATTTAATTGAATACTTAAAAATTTTATTTAAGTTATTCTAAATAAGATAAAGAGTTGTAAATTTATTTAAATACTAAATATGATTTTAATAAAAAGTAGTAAAATTAAAATTTTATTTAATAACAAAAATTTAAACTAATTAATAACTCAGTCTTCCGTTCATCTTTTTTCTAAAAACTATTCAAATTTAAGAATTCAAATATAAAATCATTTATTTTGAAAAATATTTACACATTTTTTATTTGAGTAAGTTAATCTTTAAAAATTTTAAGTGCTTCATGTATAGAAGTTTTCATGAATATTGATAACTTTAAAGCAGTTTCATACCAGAAAAATACATTTTTAAAAATAAACTTGAACAAAATAATTTTTTTTAATGTAAATTGTTATTTAATTTTTAATAAATTTCGTTTTATAAAATTTTTTTCTTTATACTTTCTTGATTTAAAGAGTAAACTATTTAACAAATTAATTTTAAAAATGTTTAAATGATGATTCTAGCTATTTTATTAGAGTTAATTAATTTATAAAGTAATAATAAATATATTTATTTTAATATTACAGTAGAAGTAGAGAGAGGCTTTATTAAAAACATGAATTTAGATAAAACTATGCATTTAAATTAAATTAAATTTATTATATTGAATATTATTTTATTTGATTAAAAGATGTTAATAATTAATTAAAAGTTATTATTATTGGTTACTATTTTAAAAGTAAATTTCAGTATAAAAATATCTGATTTTCAAAATATGGTACAAGCACATTGACTCTTATAAACTTTAAGCTTAAGTTTATTAACGACAATAACATTAGCCATGTAATTTGTAAAAATCTCAAAAGAAATAGCTTTATTCTTTATCTCTATTTCTGTAATCCATTCATAAAGTTCACTATTCTCTTAGGGGTCTTTTAATTATATTTATTATTTCACTTTTTCTTTTTTTTTCTACTTGTCTTGTTTTTAAGTGTAGGTAGTGAAATTAGATTATTTAATTTCATCACTGTTGTTATAATCTGAGGATCTTTAATTGTTAGAAGAAGGAGAGCATATTGTATTTATTTCATCTTATTATTCTGGATTAAGGTAAATTTTTTGTGTGTCTAGATTTTAAAATAAATTATTTAATTATTATTTAATATTGCACTTAAAATATTAATTTATTTACTGTATTTTGAAAGAACCAAGTTCACAACATCTCTTAACTTTTAGGTTTTGATATATCCAAGCTTATATTTATCGAATTTTCCCCAGCATCTATCTAAATGCATTATGTTTTTTTCATCCAAGTGGTTCATTATGAAGTTATTGTTAAGGTGAGTTGTTTCTTTTTTTTCTAATGTACGATTCAAATTCTTTAATTTGGTGGCACAGTTAACAAAAAATACTGAGTTTAAGGTGGATTGTTAGGATTTTTATATAGTACTTTCAACTTCTTATTAAGCACTGTGAAGAATGTCTAATTTTATGTTATTAAAAATCAATTTATTGATAACTTCAAAATTAAAGTAATGAACAGATTTTTATTTTCTATTCCTATTTGTGTTGTGGGGAGAAAAAATAAATAAATAAATCAATCAATAAATTAATGATTGATTCATTTAATTATATAATTAAAGAATTTTCAGACAAATTACAAAAATCAAATAAATGGTTTGATTAAATTGCATCCTATTATTGAATTATTAAATCAACATTTTAATTATAATATACCAGTATAAAGGCCACAAAAGAACTGGAAGGCTTACAAAAAATCTTCTCTGCTAATAATAGTTACTTCTTGGCTTTCAGCAAACAAATCAAACGCTAATTCAGCATCTTACTGCTCTTAGGGTGTTAGTTGTATAATTTTATGCATATCTGATTATCAAGGTTAGATGTATTAGAAAATAGTTGTTTGAATATATTATTTAAGATACTTCAAATATTTCTTAAACAGTTGAATTAGTATTTACCAATAAGCAATTAATGATAGAAAATAATATAAGCCTTGATTATTTCCTTTATTTTTTTTTAATTAGTGTTTGTTATTATTTTTAATTGTTTATACAAATTAAATATTATACTCTTTTTTAAATTGATTGAATTATCTGCAAAGTCAATCTTAAACCTGAACTCATTTAATTAAATTGTTTCATAACAGTAGTAGGCTAGTTTACTTTTGGAAGCAATTATATTTATTTATCTCTTTATTTTCTCATTTGTTAAATTTCAAACAGCTTTTAATAAAAAAGAAAAATTGATATTTCTAGCCTCATCTTTACAAGCATGCTCTATCCAGCTCATGCTTATTGATTTTATGATGCCTATATAAATCAATTTTTATTTTTCTGTTTCAGATTTAATTAATTTGTATTCATTCTCACTAACACGCTATTTAATTTATGTTACGATCATTAGTAGGCACTTAAAATTTTAACTAATTAATTAATAATATAATATCATATAAAAATCCTACTTTAATCATTTATACCAACTTATTAATAGAAGAGAGAAAGATCGTTTAACAAGGCTTTGGAAACAACACAAATAAATAATATCCATATATTTCTAACATTTGAAAAAATATGTGTGAAAATACTTTATTTATTAAAAATTTCAGCTTATTGGTTATAGAATAATTGTTACCAAATATTTTTATTGTAATTTCTAAATTGGATTGAGTTTATTTTAAGACAAGAAGAGCTAAATAATTCTATAAATACATAAGTACTTTACATAGCAATTAAATTATTTATTTATAATTGAAATAGTGAAAATTTTGTCACAAGAAAAAATATTAATCATTTTTTAAATAAACTAATTTAGATGAATTTATCCTATTAAACCTAAAGTATTTTTTTTTTCTATAAACTAAATGTTTCTATTAATAAAAGTATTTTTTAAAGTATTCATTAAATTTTTGCTAAAATACGAATAAAAATGAAATAGGTGAATAATGCGTATGTTTTTATAACATTAAAAAACTTAATAATATAGTGGCTGATCAATTTACAACAAAAACTATAACCTAATTTTATAACGCCTTTAATCATTTATTAATCAGAATGAGTATTAATTGATTTAATCTTAAAATTTCAATAGTATTTTTGACATAAATTATATTGAAATTAAAGAAGGAAAGCTGTTGTCTAGAAAGAAATAAAAATTTCTGACTATTATTTACCAAAAATGTTTAAAAACATATACTTTTTTATTAACATTAAATAATTATTCACTCATTAATTTTTATTTGATTGTATAGAAGTAGACTATGTCTGATCAGTCTCATTTTCTTCCTCTTCATCTTCACCCTCATATTCACTCTCTTCTTCATATTCCTCTTCTTCTTTGTTTTCTAATTACATTTTTTCCTTTGTAATATTTTAATTTTTCTCTTCTTTGATCTCTTTCAAGTCTGATGTTAATGGTTACTAAATAAAGACTTTTTGCATTTTAATTTTTTCAAGTTCATATTCATTATTTCTCATATCTTGTTCTCTGCTTTCTATATAATTTTAAAGTAGCAGAGAGTTAGAAAGTGATCCTTTTTGATTAGGGTCATTTTTATGAATTATTTCTATTCTTTTAGCATGCATTTTAGCATAATCACTCATTTCTAAGATGGTGTCATTTAAGGCCTATTTTATTTTAATGCAATTAAAAAGATATTTTTTCACTAATCTAAAAAATTTATCTGCAATCGTAATAGCGTTAGGCTATTTTTATTAGCTTTATTTCCTGAGTTATAATAAAATTAATACCAAATTTTAAAACAAACCTATGAAAGAATAATTGAGACGTAATTAATTTTTTTTTTTCATAACATAAACAAAAAATTTTTTTAAAAAATAAGATTGAGAGTGTTTCATTTACCTCAATAGTCTTTTGCTTTTATTTTAATACGATGTTCTTTGTGGTCAGATTCATTTCTTAAATTATCTCTTCCTAATTACACAAAAAAAAATAATTAAATTAAGCTTTTTGAATATAAAAAGTGGTTATAATTACTTCTTTATTATACACATCAAGTTGTTTGAATTTCTTTTTTAGAGATATAAGATCATCTTACTTTTTCTATGTTGCTTCCTTTATTTTATCTAAATATGATCTCTCTTTTTTAGTTTATTGGCTTTTTTCTTAGAATTCTTTATATGACTTGCTGTAAGATTCGTATTATGTTGGAAAGCTAATTAATTTGAATTTGGTTATAATGGATACTTTTTTGATAATAATTAATCTACATTCCAAGCAATTTAAATTTTGTTTCAGTTGTAAGCTCCTCATCATCGATCACGTCAACAAACTGAAGGTTTTAAACAAGAATTTTTTTATAGTCCTTTTTCTATTTTTATAAATGTAAGAAATAATTTTCAGTTATATCAAAGAAAATTTAAGCAGTAAGACTGTTGCAAATATAATAAGAAAAATAAAAATACAACGCATAATAGATTTTAAATATAAAAACATCTAAATACTTTGAGTGGGTTTTGAGACAGACTAATGTATTCAATATTGGTAGGAATCTCTGTTACATTAAATTCTTCAATAAGGTTGTTGTTTAATTTAAGGAAAACAAGATTTTTTAAATGTGATAAATTCTCAATAGTAGTTATTTTGTTGTGATCTAATGCTAAGTATTCCAAGTTTTCTAATGTATTCAAATTTTCAATTTTCGATATATTGTTCTATTAATTAATAACACAGTTTTTATTGTTATGAAAATTAAAAATTGATTACATGCTGGAGATAGAGGACCTGTAATTTTTAAAAACTATCAAGTTTTTCTATTTTATCTTATTTTTAAAAAAATATTAATTAATTAATACAAAGAAGAAATATTTTTAATCAAAGGTTTAATTTTTGTTAATGATTTTTGAAAAACATTATAAATTAGGTAAATAACATATGAAATCCATTTTATAAAAGCATTACAAATATTTTCCCATTCTAAGTGGATAATGCTTAAGTTCATGAGCCATTCATATCTAATTTTTTAATATAAATTTAATTAATTTTCTCTATTTTCACAAATATTAAATGAAATTTCATATATGATTTATATATTTTTTTACTTTTCTTCTTCAGTAAATGACTTTTATATGTCTGAGTCAATGCTAGTTTTAGCAATTAAAAAGATGGATATTTATTTTGGTTGGGCCTTTTCTTCTTTCAACTTTTACAATAAAAAATAATTATTTTAGGTATACGCAGATATCCTTTTATTTTTACTATTTTTAATTTTGATTCTTAAGCAACCATTTCGTCTGTCACAATTTCTACTTTCATCTACTCTCTTTCTTGCATTTCTTTTTTAATTTAACGAGTGATTTCTTCTATCTAATCATCTGAATATTCTACCTATAAAGACTTAGGATCCATTTTAAAATTAATTGATGACTTTCAAAATTATTTTATTTTAATTCTATTAGATAAAAACAAAGTTATTTATTTAAATTTTGCCTCTTATTCTGTATTGATTTTCAATTAACAAATTAGCCAAACAATTTTTTTAATTTTTGAATTTTTAAAGAAAATAAACAAGAGTATCTGATATATTTTATTAATGTAAATGCATGTTTTAATTTTCTACATTTTTAACTTAGCAAATATTAAATTGTTTGGAAAGGATTCAATCAAAAATTTGAATAGACTTAGAATTTAAAATTTTCACCTCATTTTTTAGTCTAAATGACTTTCAGTCAAAAATGATGCAATATTCAATGAATTTAAGAAAAAAAGTGCTGACAAAGAATACAAAATCTATAAGTAATTAATTATTTGTGATTCTCTTTATTATTTTGATTTATAAATTAGCAAATCATTCTATCTACTCAAATTAATACGTAAATAGTCTAGCTTTTTACGCACATTAGTAATTATTATCAGATAAATCCACCAAATTAATTAAAGAAGTTAAAATTAATAATTATTTTGAAAAAAAATACATAAAAGCGATAAGATGATTGAGCTTAGAGGACTGTAGAATTTATTGAAGTACATTTAACAAAGTTCATTAGAATCCTATCCTCTCTATAAGAACTCCTATATGGTTAGATAATCTTCTGTTTCTATTTTTTTAAGGTTTACTCATTCATTTATTGACACCCATCCACAAATATTTTAATGTGTAAAGGGTATGTCTAAAGAATCCTAGGAGGTAAATAAAAGCTTTAAGCTCTCAAATTACCTTATTTTTTTGAGCTTTTTTAAACGAAAGATTTGAATAAGTTCAATTTAAATATAGTATGAGCTAAATGATAAAATTTTATTATTTATATATAGATGTAACCAAACATGATCACCTCAACATAAGCTATCTAGTAAATCATTAATAGGAATACAAATCTAGCTATAGACCGAATAGAGGAAATAACAAAACATTTAGATAGCTCGAATATAAGAGAGAATGCAATAGAAATACTTTATATGAAAAGAAGTATTAGGGATAGTGATTTACACAGTGGGTAAGTTGCTTTTCCAGGTGGTAAAGCAGATGGAGATGAAAATGACTTGTAAGCAGCAATAAGAGAAGTTTAAGAAGAAATAGGTTACAATCTTTATTCTAAATAAAATTACATTTATTTAGGAAAGCTACCTTTAAACGTCTTTGCATATTTTAGAAAAGGATAGAAAATAATGATGTCTGTGAATATATTCTTGCTTTCCCCAGATGTATAGGAAGAATAGTAAATTTTAAACCCTGATGAAGTTTCAAATACGTTTTGGGTTCCACTTTCTAAATTTATTTATCCGTAACCAGGCAGTGTGTATTATAAGGAATTACACAGAAGACCAAACAATGTGCTCTCCCTTAACAAAAATGTTTAAAAAATGATAGAATTTCTTGCATTCAAAAATTATAAGTACATGAAATAATGCCATATGAAGCTGAATGGAGAGGAGCTTTTTGGTTTGACATTTTATGTAACTACTTACATGCTTAGGATTATGTATCTTAAAAATTAAGAAACCTTTGAATAATATGATCATTTAACATAGCTTTAGGAAATGATAAAGCTATCTAGGATTCAAACATTTCATTTTGCTCCTCATAACTCTTTGTTATCCCTACTACTAAAAAAAGTATATTACCAAAAAAGGCTTCAATAGTTTGATTAAGTTTGAAGTGCATAGTTAGATAAATAAAGTTACTAGTTAATTAGGATAGATTTTGCGATCCTACGAATTTATCAGCAAGCAAATTGTATAATAAATAATGTAGATATATAATTAAAAGTAGAAGATATTCAATTTTAATTTGATAATTTTCTATCAAACTTAATCTTTAAAGGCATTTAATGAGTTTTAAGCTGCTTGCTTAATTATTCACCTAAACAAAATTAAATTTGAGTCTCCACTAATATATTAAGATTTATAATACTTTATATTTAAAAAAATATATATACATGTACTTAATAATATCACTTTTAGATATTCCTTTTAAAAATAAATTCAAAATAAATATATATAATAAGCTCCATAATATTATTTGACTAAATAAAAAATAATTGAATACAATTTATTAAATTGAAAATAAAAATTAGAAATATTCATAAATTTTAATTAAATAACTAATTAAATATTTAAAATTAGTGCCAATCAACATTTTTTTATTCTTGAATAATTAATTATTTGAATAAAACCTTTAAATTAATAAATTAAAAAATAAGTTAATTTAATTAACTTAAAATAAAATAAAAAATTTTAAACTTAGAAGGATTAATAAAGTTTAATTCAGTAACTAATTTTTAAAGATGATGCTGATCAAAATTATTTTTTATTTTTGAATTATAAATTAAGTAATTTGATAAAATAAAAAATTATTTAATTATAATCCATTCCATTAAAAAAAGATACAAATTGAGTATCCACTAATGTATTTTAAGAATTTTAATATTTTATAATGTTTATTTAACACGTTAATATTCAATATTGCTTTTAAATAGTTTTCTATTAATATAGGAGATAAGTAAGTCTCAAAAATTTTATTTGAGTCACTAAAAAATAATTAAATACTATTAATTAATTTGAAAAAAAGAAATTTTATTCTAATAAACAATTATAAATTTTAATTAAATAATAAATTTTTAAAATTCTTGTATAGCAATAGTATTCTTCTTGAACTCTATTTAAAACATTAATGAAATAAAAAATTGTTTAGTTTTAAAAATTAAAATAAATTTATTTAAAAGAATTTTTAAAAGAAAAGAACAATAATTTTTACTTGAAAAAAATGAGTTACTGAAAAAGAATTTATGTGTTTTAAAAATAAATTTAAAATAAAAACAATATTAAAATATTCAAAGTGTTGAAAGTAAGAAGTTTAATGATAAAAATAATTATATTTTAAATATAATTTTATAGAAATTTGAAAGTTAATCCAAACTGACTGAGATAGTGTTTCATTTACCAGATAAATTATTTAAAAAAATAAATAGATATTTTAATCATATAAAATATGTAATTCTAATTACTTTATAAGATTAATTCAATGTCTACTTAGTTTAAATTTTCATATTTTTTTACTGATATTTTTAAATTTAAAAACAAATAATATGATTTTATTTAATTGTGCTACTAATAATTATATGTTATATTTTTATATAATTTGTTTTTATTATTTACATTATTTAATGAATTATCTTTTAATGCTTTAAATATTTGATATAGATTAATTGCAAGAAGATCTCTACTTAATTAAATTTTAATATTGATAATGAGTGTTAGGCATTTGTGCATGCATTTATGTATATATGTATGTGGATTAATTGATAAGTAAATTAATTTATATATCATTTTCAAAAGATATGATGATACCTATAGATAGATCTTCATTCTAATCGAAAAAAATAAAAACAAAATTAAAGAAAAGAGGAAAAGAGGAAATTTATAATAAAAAAGATAAATAAAAAGAATCTAAATTAAAAGTATATTAAAATAGCAGAACATAAAATGAAATCTAATTTAAACTTAGCTGACTTAGAAAATTTGAAATCTTTCACAAAGCAAACATGGGGTCCTGATAGAAACTATGTTTTTACAAAGTTTGATAATTTACCCTTCACCCCTTTTAGCAGATTAGAAAAGCTTGGTGCTTGTTGCGATTTATAAAATATCATGGCTACCAGAACTGGTTTAAAACAAACCTAGGTTATTAGATCCACAGCTCCTGCAAATGCTCCTACCAATACCGTTGAGTCTGTCCAAGTTACTACTACTGCTGTTGATGCCGAAAATGATTTCCATACAGTCACAGCTAAGAAGGATAAGAATTTATATGCTTAAAAGATTATCAAATAGGGTCTTAGAGATTAAAAGATTAATAAGTAGAGAGAATAAGAATAAAAAGAATAAGAAAAAAATAGCAAAATCTAAAATGTAAAGAAGCCTAAAATTATTTCTGCCAACAACAAAAAGCAAGTTATCATTAAAACTAAGTTTAAAGAATATACCAATATCAAGGTTGATTGGGAAGTCCTCCATGAAAGTCAAAAACTTAACATTGAATAACATCCTATCAATAATGTTACCATTACTCCTATCAAAATTACAGGAAAGCTTAAATAATACGAAAAGGCCTTTGACAGAATTGACCCTCGTGGTATTAAAAAGTTAGACGCCAGTAAGAATTTGAGTGTTGTTAACTCTTCTACTTTAAAGGATGATATTTTAATCGAACTCCTTCAATAAGACGTTGATGAAAAATCTGATAAACCAACTGGTAAACTAACAATTATATTAATATATATGTTCAATAAGTATTAACATTTATTAATTTAAACAGTATAAAAATAAGCTACTTTTAACTATTTACCAATAATAAAAATGAAATTAATTTTTTTTGTTTAATTTGAAAAGTTTATACTACTGATGCCTTGTTACTTGCTTTGATGACTTGCAAGAAAAACGAATTCCCTTGGGATATTTTAGTTTAAAAAGATGGTAATGCTATTGTTTTCGATACTTATGAAGAAGAAAGAATGAACTACATGGATTTCTAATCAGTTAATGAAAATAGCAATATTCTCCCTGAAGAAGAAAAGGATTTAAATAAATTGTGTGTTGAAGCCACTACAATTACCAAAAAGTTCTAAGCTTAAACTTGCAAGGAAGATAATGGCGAAATTTGGGATATTTCTGAAGGAGAACCAAACTAGATCGACGAATAAAATATAGCTTTCAAGTACGTTAATGTAAACATTGATGATAAAGTTAACCTCAAAGTTAGAGTTTAAATCGATGGTTATGATATCGTTAATAAAGTTGATCCCGAAACTGCTGAACCCTACTAAGAAAAAGTTCCTATTCTCGTTAGAGCTTTAAATGAATTTGATTCTGCAGCCTAATGGAAAACTAAGCTCTTAAATTAAAAGGGTAGTGTTACATCAACTGAATATATTAATAATATTACTTTATTCATGAAATGGCTTATCCAAATGAAGTTAAGTGGTGCTGAGAGACTTAAATTAGCCTACACTTCTCGTGCTTCTCCTAAAGATACTTAAAATCACAACATTCTCTGTGTTGATTCATTCGATCTCTAAACTCTTACTAACATCATTTAATTCAAATTTAAAGATTAATGGTAAGTTGTAAAATACTTCATCGATCAAATACTTAACGAAAAGGATGGTAAATATATGTTCGTTAAGACTGCTTTCAAGCAATCTGTTAAAACCTACTTACTCCCCAACGACTAAGAAGGAGAAGAAGAAAACGAAGATGACGACGATGATAAAATCTGAAATAAATCTATATCTTATGCTTTTATTCATGTTTCCTTAAATTGTATATTTGTAAAATGAATTATCTAACATTAAATAAGTCTTAAAATTCACACTTAGAAATAAAAATGATTAGTTGATGAGTTAAAAAATCATCAAAGTTTTAAAAAAATAAACTTTCTTAAAAAAATAAAAAAAAGAATAAAACGAAATTTTTACTTTTTCAAATATTTGATTGAATTGAAGAAATATCTGAAAATAAAAAAATATTTTAATATAAAAAATATATAGAAAAAATCAATATGAAATATTAAAATTATATCAGTTTGATTTAATCCGTTTGCTTTGTTTTGATTGTTATATAAAAAAAAATTAATTAATAATTGAATTGACTGATTGATTGATTAATGGTAGTTTAACAAATTTAAATTTTTACAATTATTTATAAATCAATCACTACTTATTTTACAAGAATCTCATGATTTGAGATATCAACTTAAATTTAAGCAAAAAATCTACCCTTAATAAAGAAAGCTATCTATAACTACAAATAACAATTATTTATTACTTTCAATCATAATTTTTCAAACTTATTATTTTTAAAAATTTTACACTGCATTAAAAATAGGCAAAAAAGATGTCATAGAAAGATATATATAATAAATATTCAAATTAAAGCGCAGACGACCAATAAGAGGAAGATGATGATGAGAATTAAGAATCATCATGCCAATTAAGTCCAGAAAAAGATTTAGGAGAATCATTATAAGGCGAAGACTTGGATGAAGATTAAGGAGTTATAGGCGAAGATGATGAAGAATAAGAAGAATCTTATGATGAGGAAGACGAAGAAGAAGATGATGAAGAAAATAATTAAGATTAATAAAATAATTCAGAATCCAATTTATAGTATGACAAAACAAACCAGAAGAATTAGTAAACTGAGATGACTGACAACTAAAATGAATTTTTAGCAGAAGACTATTTAAGTTAAATAAAAACAAATGAAAAAAGCGAATTAAAATATCAACTTGACATTTAAAGTAACTTGTCTGGTGAAAATGTATAAGATATGGATGAAAAACTTAAACAATATATAGAATTAAATGGAAAAAATGAAAATTAATAAGCTGCAGAAAGTAAAAAAATTGAAAATGATGAAATTATGAAGAAATCAGAGGAAAATGTTCATGAAAAAGTTGTAGATAATAATTAAAAATTAAACATTCAGTAAAATAATATTAACGATTATTAAGAGGACATTAAAAAGGACTAATCAAATAATTTAGTTGATATACAATAAAATAATGAAATTATTAAAGAAGTTAATAGTGAGGATTAATAATAAAAAAATGAGATGGATAATAAATAAAGTGATATAGTACTAGCTTAAGAGGAGAGCAAGCAAAGTGAATAGGTTGAAGCTCCTATCGTAAAATAAAAAAAAATAGAATTGCGTCCTAAGGTTATTTATGATCCTAAAAATGATGTTGATTAATATACAGGAGACTATTCTGATTCAGGAGAAAGTGATGAAGAAGCAAACAACGAAGATGATGACGAAGATGAAGATGATGAATCAGAAAATGAATCTAGAAGCAGAAAAAATAAAGCCTAGTTGTTAAAAAAAAAGAATAATAAGAAAGAGTAGGCAAAGAAGCAATAAGTAAAAAAAGTTTACAAGAAATAAACTTTAGTCCTGAATGTAGCTGGTTACTATTACTTATTTATTTAATTATTTATTGAAATAATCTACTAATTATATTTGAGCATAAGTTTATAAGCTAGCTGGTTGAGTAGGCTTTTTTATAAAAGCATTTCGAAAATAGAAAAAATTTTAAAACAATTATTTAATCAGCTGCTTTCAAATGAATTATTTTTCTATGATATAAAATCTGGACTATTTTAGTAAAAAAAATAAGCAAATACATTTAAAGTAGAAAAATAAATAAAAATATAATGCCAACATTTTTATAAATTAATTTTATTATTATTTTTTTAATCTTATAAAAATTTATTTTATAACAATTTTTAGATACAAAATATCCTGTTGTGAAATTTGTGGGTAAAAAAATATTTAAATGGAAATTAGCCTATGACATGGAATCTATGGATTTTGATATCTTTTGGACTGATAATGCTGTTTAACCAGAATAGCTAGGACGTATGCAGCCATATTAAAAAATCAATCACTTTCCTGGTATGTTTTCTTTAGCAAGAAAAAATCACTTAGCTAGAAATCTTATGAAAATGCGTAAGTAATTTCCTGATTAGTATAAATTTTTCCCGTAAACTTGGCTTCTTCCTGCTGAATACAATGATTTTAAAAACTAATTTGAAAAGAGCAGATCCTAATAAAAAATATTTATAGTTAAACCTGAAGCTAGTTGTTAAGGCAGAGGTATTTTCCTAACTCGAAGTCTAGATGACTTAAATCCTTCAGATCATTATGTTGTATAAAGGTATTTAAATAAGCCATATTTAATTGATGGTTTGAAGTTCGATTTCAGACTATACGTCTTACTAGCTGGGTGTGATCCTCTTAGAATTTATTTATATTACGAGGGTTTAACTCGTTTTGCTACTGAAAAATATTAAGAAGTAAATAGAGATAATATAGAAGATATGTGTATGCATTTAACAAACTATGCTATCAATAAAGATAATCCTAATTTCAAATTCAATAAAGACAAAGAAAAAATGGATGTTGGACACAAAAGATCTCTCACTTCTGTTTTACAGGTATTTCATTAATAATAAACATTATTATATTTTTAAAACACAATTTACATATTTATATTTTAAGATCTTGTTTAAAGTTTTTATTAGATCCTCATATTGTATTTATTCAATAATTAAAATATCAATTTAAATCATAAATTAAAATCTTTTTTTTGATAAATTTTGTAATTAATATATTTATTGCTAATAAATAGCTTCTTGAAGACTAGGGTCATGATGTTAACAAGCTGTGGAAAGATATTAAGAGGGTTTTAATTAAAACAATTATTAGTGCTTAGCCAACATTAGCTCATCATTACAAAAGCTGCTAGCCTGATAATTTTATGAATAATATGTGTTTCGAAATATTAGGATTTGATATTATATTGGATAGCCATTTGAAGCCATGGGTTTTAGAAGTTAATCACACGCCAAGCTTTTCCACTGATACTCCACTTGATAGGTAATATTTTATTTAAAATATAGATTAATAATAAGCGTTTTTAATCAAAGTTACATCAAAAAGAACACAATTAGGGACTCATTAAAATTGATGAATTGTACTTGTAAAGCAAAAAATGAGATTATAAATTAAAGAAAGGAAATAATGTAAAAAAGAGTTTTGACTGGTAAAAAAGTGAAGTACACACCTGAAGAAAAGCTAGAAGAAATAAAAAAAGCATAATAAAAAAGAGATGAATATGAAGATAAACATTTAGGGGGATTTGAAAGAATTTTTCCTATGGAAGTAAATAATTAAAAACTTTGGAATTGAATACCAATGTATAACTTTTATTAAAAAAGGATGATGAAGATGATAATTTTACTGAGTATATGTAATATGCATTAAAGTGTTATGAAGAACAAACTGGAGCAAGTAAATACTCAATTTAATAATTTTTCTTTTATCATACTTGTATAATTATCAATAGATATTAGAAGAAATACAAAAAAGGTCACTGAAGATCCTAAAAAAATAACAAATTAACCAAAAAAGCTAAATCAACCAAAAGATTTAGAAAAAATTTATAATACAAAAATAGGAGCTAAACTACCTCCTCGTAAGCCTAATTCTTAGACTACTATTAATAAAGGAATACCCGGTTAAAATGGATAGCGTCCAAGCTCTTCTTAATTAAACGAAGAAGGTGAAACTATTCAATGCGAAGACCAAGAATAAAATAAAGATGAAGCTATTGAAAACGCTATCACAAGATCAGCTAGTGGAAGAATGCATGATTTTAGGATTAAAAAATAAAATTCTCCATATAATATACACCAAAAATTCAAAAATAAAATATGTAAAGCAAATTACAATATTGATTAAATTATTTTACATTGTTTTAATTAATAACAAGAAAACAGAGTAGCAATAGGAGTCAAAGAATTGAAGCTAGCAGAAGAACCTTTCCAATTTGAAGAAAATATAAATGGCAAACCATCTAATCCAAATGTCAAAAAGATCTAAGCGTATATCACCTCAGAAAAGGAGCAATTAGAAATAAAAAACATGAATATTCTTTAAGATTAAAATTATAATTCCTCTAGAGCAGTTTAAGCTAAAAAGCCATAAATAGAGCCATAAGTATTATTTGTATAAGAACCTCAAACTAAAAAGCTTTAAATTCTCAATTAAGCAAAACCACCCTAACAAAAATTATAATTTTAATTGTAATTTAATAAATAAATTTTATGTTTTCAAAATAAATAAAATATTTTAACTAATAGAATTGATAATACAGCTGCTTAAATGGAAGAAGAAAGGAGATAATGGCTTATACAAGCTTAAAGAAATTTATAATATCAGCTATCTTAACAATAATACTAACCTTAATAAAAGCTGACATTACTTCCAAAAGGACCACCTATACATCCTTAAACAAATGTAATGCAATCTATTGCAGATATTCCTAATAGTTCTAATAGTAAGGAAATACTAGCAGCTGTTGGAGGAGCTATTTCTGGATAATATAAAACTGATAAACGAGTGACAATAAAGTAATTAATTTACTGAATGAAATTCAAATTATAATTATTTTTTTAAGATAAAAGGGGTAGATATAGAATTAAAGTATAAATTAACTCAAGGATAATAATGGCTTGTTTTTACAACCAAAACTTTTTGAAATTCAAAGCTTTTAATCTAGTTAGCAGTAATAAGCATAATAAGCTATACAAAGCAGCCTGGATTAAAATTTAATTGGAATAAATTAGAATATGGTTGGGCTAAATGATCTTTTTGTCTCAGGTAAAAGCCATAAAGTATAACCTCATTATTAAGCATAATAAGATTCATATAGTTACCAAAAGCATAATAGCTATAGTAATTACTATCAAAAATGAATAATATTTAAGTATAATCTATTTATTTATTTATAACCTTAATTTATTAAAAATCATTTTTATCAAGCTGTTAGTTAACCTCAAAAAACTTTATGATTAAGAAAAAAATATTTTAATCGCTAAACAACAAGTTAAATTCTTTTCTTATTAATTTTTGATTTTTGAATAAATGAATTCGAAAAAAATATGAAATTTAATTTCAAATAATTTTTTTTCATGTTTGATTTTCAAATAAAATTAAAAAAAAATATTTTTATAAAATTTAGAAATAAATTAATAATAATTGTAATAATAAATGTATTGAATATCTAAAAATATTAAATTTACAACTAAATTTCCAGTAAAAATTTAATAAGACTTTTAGGATTATATGAATGGATGTATGTATGTATTAATCAATTAATTTATCAATTGTGAAATAAATAATCAAAAATAAATTTTAACATTAAATGTAAATTTAATGTTCTAAAAATATTGTTAGAATTAGTTAGTTATTATCCAAATTATTATTTTTCATTATTGATGATATTTATAAATTATTATTATTAACTTATCAAAAAGTTTAATTATTAAAAGTAGAAACAACAGGTTTATAATCCTCAATAAATTTATAAAATAGAAACAAATTAGGGATAGCAAGGCAAGCAACTATCTATCATTTTATATTCTCATCTCTATATAACCTTACTTTATTATATCAGATTTAAAGATGGATTTTTTCAAAAGTATTTCAGATAAGTATGCCCAGTTTTGGAAAAATATTATTGAACCATAGAGGTAGTAGTATTCATTATCAGATTTGGGTAATACAATATTTCAAATTAATTACAAAAAAAGTCTGAAAAGTGAGAATAAATGCAATTTAAATAAAGAAATTTGCCATATATTTAGTTAGAAAATTACTTTTTTAGATATATTTATTTGGCATTATATATGAAAGCTTATTTTGATTTTATAAAATAGGTTCAAATGTTAGAATATTGCATTCAATTGCAGTTATTAGAAAAGATGTGCAGGTACTAAATGATAGAGGGGAATAATTAGAATGCACCTACTTCCTTCCTGATAATATGATAAAAGAAAAAAAACTTCCTATAGTAATTTATTTGCATGGAAATTCTGGATCTAGAGTAGAAGCTGTTAGCACTCTTCAGCATCTTATTCCTACTTTTGGGCTTTTTTGCTTTGATTTTTCAGGTTCAGGTAAAAGCTAGGGAAAGTATGTAACTATGGGGGTTAATGAATGCAGAGATTTAGAGAGCATTGTTCAATATGTTCAAAATAATCTAACTTAGAGTGAGATTATTATTTGGGGAAGAAGGTATTTTTATTTAAGTATTAATTAACTTCAAACATAGCACTCAATATAGTATACAAAGAATTTAGTTAACAAAACTTAATTTTAACTTTAATAGTTACTTTCTAATTTATTATTATTGCAAACTTAATAAATTACTATTAAATTTTATTATAAAGTATGGGTGCAGTAACTGGAATTCTTTATGCCCAAAAGAATTAATCAAAAATATAAGGACTTGTTTTGGATAGTCCTTTCAGTGATTTAAAGAAAGTCATGTTAGAAATTGCATCATCTAAAACGAAGATTCCTTCTTTGATAGTTGACGGTGTTATTTCATTGATGAAGTCATAAATTTAGGAGGCTTTGAATGGAGTTGATATATTTAATACTTAAATTGAAGAAAAAATTAAAAATCTCTAAATTCCAATTTTGTTTGCTTATGGTACTAATGATAATATAATTTTGCCTTATCACTCTTAAGTTCTTTATAAGGCATGTAGGTCTGATGATAAATGTATAATTGAATTCGAAGGAAATCATAATACCATTCGCCCTAATTAGTTTTTCTAGAAAATAGTTTAATTTATCCAATTAAATTGCATAAGTAGACCATAAATTAAGCAGTTAAACTAAATTACAACTGCAAACTAACCAGATATTAGTAACAAGAATACCTAATTAAACTCTTTCAACATAAACAGTAATAGTTTTTACAATAATTCTAAACCTAATACACACTTACAGTCTCTTCCAAGCGATGATAATGTATATGAAAATAAATAGAATAACTAGCAAAAGTCTTAACAATTTTACTAAAATATTAAAAAATAAATACCTTTTACACAAAAACAGTACTAAAATTTATCTATTGATTAAAATAATCAAAAGAAGGTAGATCCAGAATTTAACTATCAGTTTAATTAAATAAAAAATACTAGAGCTGTTGCAGGTCATACTAAATCAAACAGTTTATCAGGATAGATTTAGTAGAGAGGCATATCTTTGATATCCTATCAGTAAAAAAATACAGAATAATAAATAAATGCCCATTAAATTTAAATAAGATAAGATTCACTTTTCAAAGATTCATAATAATAATAATAGTAAATAGATAAAAAACTAGACTAGAATCACTTCGAAAATAAAATGACACCAAAACCTGCAAGAAAGAAAATATTCTAAGATGCATATTCAGAAAGAAAATAATCTAAAAATCATTAATAAAATCAAGGATTAAACATATTTTAATCTCATAATTAATTTAAAGAATAAAGCGATAAAATGATTGACAATACTGAATAGTATATTTCAAACTAGTTAAACCTTCTACAGTAAATAGCAAATGAAAATATTATAATATAAAAGCCTCCAATCAGTAATGCATATAAGAACTCTAATTAAACTAAATCACCTGTAAATAACCTTGTTAGGAGTCCCAGCTCTTCTGCACTTTCTCCTACTGTTAAGCTTTAGATACCAGATTGTCAATAGCATATTAATTTTTCAAGAGGAACTAATTTTTAAAATGTATAAAATAGTTAACTATAAATTACTCCCTTTTTAGTAGAAAGCTAGAATATTTAATAAGTACATTCAAGCTAGGAATTCAGAAAGAACAATTTCTAAGAAAAATAATTCTGTTCACCTCAGTAATAGTAATAGCAATAATAACAATAAGAACAATAATAATAATAATAATTTCCAGAGTAAGCTTCAAAAGTAAAAAAATTTTCAAATTAATGTGGCAGACAGTATTCTTTGGATTTTGTAAATAGTTCAAATAAAGACAATTTGAGTGAAAAAGCAAAAGATCTTTAAGAGTATTACTAATATGGAATAGTCTACTATCATAAAAATGACTCAAAAAAAGGAATAACTTCAAATTCTAAAATATCATCTTAACTTTTACAAAATACTAATTCTACAAATGAAAATATTATCTAAGATTAATCTTAGCCTGTGGACAGAAATTTTTAATAGCTTGCTTAACCAAGTATAAATAAATTTGATAATCAAAGCGATTACTACACATAGGCAATACCTAATTTTGGTAGTGCATTTGATTGGAATAATTCCTCATTAGACGGAAACAACTTTTCATACCTAAATCCAACAAGAAATCCATTTTAAAATCAAGAGATTTAATCACAACAATAATAAAAAAATAATTAGTATCAAGAAATAATTAAAAGTTAAAATAATTGTGTGAAATAAAATAATAATTAGCAGTAAAGTGCAAAAGAAATCTAAATTTTATAACAATAAACACAATTATTTAAATCTGATAATACAACAGATCATAGTAATAAATGTCAATAATAAGGATATTTGATGCAAAATATAAACTCTCCAAGCAAGTTTGACAAGCACACAATAATTGAAAACTAGATTAATGTGTTAAGAGAAGCAGAAAATTAAGATAGAATTCAAAGACTAAATAGCAGAAGTAGAAATGCTAGTATCGCGAATGAAGCCATAAAAGTTACAAATAGGAACTTTAATTTAGAGAATTCCATTCCTAAGCAGTAGGAATTGTTTAAAGAAAATAAAAATATTCAAATTAATATTCCATAATAAGGAGTTACCTAAATCTAATAGCAACAATATCATTAAAACAGTCGTCACTAATTTAATTTAGTATTATCATAGTAGTAACCTAATATTAACAACCAAGTAATATAAAAAGATAGACAAACATTAAGTCCTTTGAATAGAAATTTCGTTCCTAATATATCGAATGTGATAAGCTCTACAATCTATAACTCCTCTTAAGGATAAAAAAACGCATAAAATTATACATAGAAAATAGTTTAATCATAAAATAATATTCTACCTCCCTACTCTCCAGTTCGTGTTGTTTTGAGCCATCCTACGAATTAAAATAACGAAAACTTACAAAGAAGATACAGTGGAGTGGAAAACGTTGAAAAAGTTTAATTTGTGTCTGTATTCACATAAAATTTACAAAATAGAACGCAAAGAGGAGAATATGATTTGCACTAAAAGAGCCAAAGAACATAAGTAAAATACTCTGAATAATATCCATAAATATAAATAGTTAATTAGCCTTAGTAGCAATAATCTCTTTATCATAAAGTATTAGGGGAGTTGTAAACAAATTAAATAAACCAAATAAGTGACCTTAATCAAGGAAATTTACAATAGAAAGCTAAAGAAATAAACTACAGCAATAAATAATATGGTATTAGTAATAAGTTACCTTATGAATCTGTTTCAATAAATCAATAAATTTAAACTACTTATGAGGCCTCTGACAAGTAAAAGTACCCAAATTTAGATACTTAATTACCAATATCACATTAATAACAGAGCTAACCAAAATAAATTTAGCTTCACACAAACCATAGTAATGATGATGCAATCTAATATATTGATTGATTTTTATATAATATAATCTTATTATAATTAAATTGTAATAATTCTTTCCATTAACTTAATTAAATAAAGGAAGAAGTTTGATTTCTAAAATATTTTTTTAGTGTTAATAGTGTAGTAAAATAGTTAGAAATTTATTTTTATTAAATATTTCTTTCTTTCAATCAAACAAAATATTTTATTTCATAAAATTGTTTAAAATTTAAAATAAAACAAGAGCAAAAATAAAATTACTATATAAACTACTTACAGTAAATACCAACCAAATACAATACAAACACTCATTAAATTAAAAAGTCTTTTTATCATAGGTAAAAATAAAAATATTAAAATTTTTATTAATTTTATTTCTTTTTAATGAGTATTTTGACTTCTTTAATTAATAATATATTTTATTAAAATGTTTCTTTATTAGTAAGTAACAAACAATATAAATATTTTATATTTAATTTAATACTTTAAATAAATAAATACTCTTTTGTTGGCAAATACTAATCTTTTATTTTCATTATTTTTCTTCTATAGAAAAAGTATATTTTAATATTATTATGAAAAAATTTAGTAATCAATCAATTTATATCTTTTTTAATTTAAATGATTAATTATTGATATTAATTATCTCATAATAATCAACAAAAAATTGCTTATTACAATTAATTGGTATAAAAATTAAAAAAAATCTATGCATACAAAATAGGATTATTAAAAGTGAATAATAAATATCTTTTAAGAAATCAAAATAGCTTTTGCATTGTATTATTGAATAAAAGTGCTATCTTTTTTATCTAAAACATATTTTACATATAATATTTTAAATAAAATATTTGATATTTAATGAATTTCAATATATGTCTTAATATTCATCAAAATATACAACAAATAACTCAATTATTTTCTACAAGTTTATATTATTTTCATTTTTTCAAATAGATTTTTTGCTATCAGCTAATTCATAAACCTTTCTTGCAAGAAGAATACATTCTAAAAGATGGAAGAAAGTAATACTGAGCATTAAGAGATAGTAATTACCTATTCCAATTTTTATTGAGTAATCGGATTTTAAAGTTTTAGAAGTTTTAGGACAATAAAATGTCTGTTCGGAAGATTGGCTGTTATAATAGTTGTTATAGCTCTAATCCCAAACACATTAGAAGACAAAACAGAAAAAGTGCACAACCCACATCATGAAATAAAATAATTTGCTTGTGTTCTTTTGCTTTTGGAAATGAACAACCAAAGGAATGAAACCGATAATGAATGCTGGTAAAATGGTCATATTATAGTAAGTAGCGCAATTAATACCAACAAGGACAGAAACAATAACTCCTGAAAATCCAACGCATGTGGTAAATACCAATTTAACTAAATTAGCAGTATTTTCAACTTAAGCTTTTCTGTTCATCTTATTCTTTAATCATAAAAAAAAATATAAATATGAAGTTTCCTTTATCATTAGCTAAAAATGTGCTTTTAAATAGAAACTATTTGTAGAATTTGTAAATCATTGCACATATTTGCTATTAGAATATTTTATTTACCTAATTTGAGGAGGAATATATTTATATATTTGATTTTTATTAGTTTATAAATATTCTTTAAGATGATTGATAAGATAAAAAAATAATTAAATTAGTGTAAGATAAACCTTTTTTTCTTAGTCCATAAAAATAGATAATTTACTTAACTTTTTTGATACCATACAAAAATTTGATGGAGGAGTTAATAGGAGAAATTAATAGAAAGAAAATAAATAATTTTTATACATACAAGATGATTTATAAAAAAGCTACTTTTACAAAAAGCTTTTAAATAAACTTAGAGAAATATTATTAATAGAATTGACCTTATTAATTAATTAGCAAGATAAAATATGCCTTACAGACAATAATATTAAAAATACAATATATATAGAAAGCATTAAAATTTACTATTTATGTAAAATAATTCATTCATAATTTTAACTTCTTACTTTTGAATATATTCTTTATGAATACCCTTAAAGTAAAAAGCAAAATTTATAAAATAAAAAAAGTGATTAATTCTCAATTTAATTTATTTTTGTGTGTTAATTCAAATTTTATTTAATTACAATACTTATAATAAATTAGTCAAATTAAATTCGGTCTAAAAAAATCATTTTAACTTTTACTTTTTTAAAAAAATAAAAATTTGAAAACAAACTATTTAAATAAAATAATTGATCGTATTAAATGGTATGTACCAGATAAAAGGTAAATAGTTTAAAATATAGATTAAATACTTATATCACAATTTAATTTACCTTTGTTCTTTATTTAAATAACCAATTAAAACCTTTTTATATACATATTATTTAATAGAATCCTTATTTTATAAAAAATGGATAAAATAATATACTTTAAATCCTTAAAATTTTTGAGCAAGTGCTAATTTAGAAGGAGTTTTAATAATATGGAAAATTATAGTAGTCAATTTCAATTTTTATATAATTAATTATTTATTTATTTAAATAAGAGCATATATATTATAGATTTTGCAGTTTTTGCATTTTGCAATTTTTTGCAATTTTTAAGATAGTACCAAAAATTTTGACCATTTTTAACAAGTGCATGCTCAATTTATCAGGATTCCCATCTTTAATTTAATAGTAATCAATTTTATTTTCATTTTAAAATATAAGATACTAATTATTAATCATATTAATATAACCAAATTAGGTTTGATTGATTTAAAAATATTATCGGATACGAAATTAATTTTATTTTTTTGTATCTTTAGAATTTTAAGGTTTTGAAATATAAATGAAGATTAATGTAATATAATATCAAAAAGTTATAATATTAGTACATATAAAACCACAAATATTAATGGATAGATAGATACTCATTTTTTATCAAATGGTATTAGGTGTTTATGCCAATAGTGACTAAATATTTGATTATATATAAAACCAAGTAATTAAAAAAGCATAATAACAAATCAAAAATTTAACAGATATTTACACAGATAATAAACTTTTATATTATTAGTATTTATTAAATTTTAGTTAAAATGAAAGAAAATAATTATAAGAAATCAATCTTTAAATCTGAATAAGTTAGCAGCTAAGATGAACATAAAAAGCATAATTAATCAATAAAAATATAAGAATATGCTGAGGATGATTCTTCCTCAACAAGAAATAACTCAGTTTGCAAGAATTGCCAAAAATTTGAAGTCTTAATGAGGAAAATGATTAAAGAAAAAGAATAGCTCCTTTATGAAATTAAGTACAAAGATATAGCTTTGCAAAAAAGAGAAGAATTAATGACTCATTACGCTACTGAAAGCCAAAGCTTAAAACATCAAATATTAAACTTGAAGAATAGGATTTCTAAACTTGAATCTTAAATTGAGCAGCAATAACCTGATTATACAGCAAGAAGTTTTTTTTCTAAAAATTCTTAGAATATTTTAAGGTCTGCATCCATAAATTCTGCATAGAAAATTGAAACAGATGAAAAGACTGAAAAGCAAATAAAATAAAAAGAACTGGCAAATTAAATCTAAGAAGCTGTTCGCAATCTTTAAAAATAATAACTAAGTAATAAAGAAGTAGAATAAAGTAAGTAAATACATAGCTAACAAAATAATTAAAATGATAAAGAGATAAAAATTGAAGATTAGACTTTAAAATAGAACAATTAAGCGCTACAAAAATAAGCAACTTTTTAAAAGCAAGATAGCACTAAAAATTTATATAAATTAGAGGTGCCTAATTCATAAAATAAGGCTTTTGTGGATCTATCAAAAGGGTTTCCAAAAGTCATAAAAAGCAATTAAAGCGATAAAAACAAAACTGTACCTAATGAAAATTCAAGTTTTTACAATAGAGAATAAGATAAAATGTTTAATTATGATAAATATGAGCACTTTATACTCAAAAGTAACACCGAGAAAAAAGTTTAACCTTATTTATAATAATAGCCTTCTGCTTACAAAAATCCTACAATTAAGATAAAAAAGAGACAAAGAATTGCTTAAAGTGTATCTGACATTACTTCTGCACAAAGAGTAATGACTTCATATACTCCAACAAAATTTGTTGAAAGAGATTAAATTTAAAGGGAATAAGATGCTAAAATTATCATTAATAAAATGAGTACAAAAAATTTAGAAATTAGTTAAGAATAAGACTCTACTAATAAAATTTAACAATAAACAAATGTAAGACCAAGTTCAAGTATCTGTAAATTAAACAATGGCCACGATTCATTAAATCAATAGTTTACTACTGAAAACTAAAAAAGGCCATACTCAGGAACTGTTATACCTGAAAATAAAAACGAAAAAATTAATTTTATTTAAAATTAGTAAAATACTTAAGCTAAAACTACCTAAGGTGGCAGTGAAATAAATAAAGGAAGCTAAGAAAAAAACAAAAATTAAAGTATTTAAAATTAGGTTTCGACCAATAATAATCTAAATGTACCATAAAATAACTTATATCTATAAAGTCCATAATAAAATTAAATATAAAGATCAAAATCAGCTTCTTCATAAAATTATAAAAAAAGTGTATAATAAAATAACTAGAATGTTTAAGATGAGTAATCTAAAAATAATTCAGAAGGATAAACTTAAAATTTGGAATAAAAAAACAATAAAGTAGACATCAAAATAAATAATCTTCCTTTAGAATATACTAAAAGTGATTCAAAAGACTAAAATCCAGATTAAGTGATGAATGAGTCTTAAAATTTGATGACAAAAAGCATAAGACATTCTAGGCATATTCAAAGTGGCGATTAGACTAATAGGAATAATGCTCTAACTCCTCCTACTTAAAGAAACTCAACAACTAAAAACAGAAATAGCAGTTCCTAAATAGCTCCCCAGTAGGTAAATAAACCTGCTATTAAAAGAAATAGCTTCTATGCAACTTTAGAAACATTTTAATCTGATGACCACCTAGACAAAAATAATGATAAGCAGGATTCTACTATTGAAGAAGATTATGACGAAGAAGAAGAAAATAAAAAAAATTTAAACTTCACTCAAGCTATATCACGACAATCTCCATGCAATTCACCATAAACGAGATAATTAAATTCGAGTGGAAGCACAAGAAATTTAAAACAAAATGCAAATTTCACTATCACAAGCAGCTAAAATTAGAATATACAAACACCAAATAGAATGCTACTTTCTCAAAGATCCCCTTAAAGAATACCAAAAAAACGTAAATTAGAAACTTTATAAAAATATTTTATAATTAAATTGAAAATTAGATTAATACAGGAAGTTAGATGATGAAGAGAATCAAATTATGTTTTTAACTAGCGAGCAAGATTTAAAAAAAGCAAAAAAAAATCCAAGAAATTACTGGATAGGAGACTTTGTTGAAGATCCTACATAATTTTTTTATAAACTAAGCTTATAGCCTGTTGATTAATAAGTATCTTTTGCTGATAGCATTTAAAAGCTGCTAACAGATTATGTAATTTCTCTTGATTATGGATTAATGCTTAAAAAATCATTAGAATCTTGCATTGATGTATCTAAGAGCTTAAGATTTAATGAAATTATGAATAATTTACATTAGCAACTAATTAGAAATATAAACTGCTAAAAGATCTTCTTCTATATTTATGATGAAAAGACTAAAGAACTTTGGTCAAAAAAGAGTGATAATTCAGTAATTAGAATAAAGCCTTAAAGAGGATTACTAAAACACTTAGTAACAACCCTTGAAAAAATAAAAGTTGACGACATTGCATATGATCCTCGTTTTGATCCAGAGATAGACTCTATCCTCCATCCGGATATCAAAAGCTTACTTCTGATTCCATTGCTTAATTATTAAAATGGATTAATGGGTACAGCTATTTTTTGATTAGCTAATTAAATTTCATTTAATTTTAAAAATAAATAATAGGTGTTGTTTAAATAGTGAATCTGAACTACAAAAGCAAGGCGAAATATATTTATGATCAAATGAAAGTTGAGAATATCATCAGAGTATCTGGAAATATTATTTCAATTGGGATGATATATGAATAGAATTTTTTAAATAATTAAAGAATCTCTAGACTACTTCAAGTAAAAATATTTAATTTATTTATATAAATTAACTATTAATCATTCACTTTAGAATTATGTTAGGATGTTAGAAATCGAAAAATTAAATGAATTAATGGCAGAAGCATAAGAAGCACTTATTGAAATTTTTGGTACTCAAAAATGTTTTGTGTATCTAATTAATTCGAACAATAAACTTGAAAGATTTACTAAATAATACTTAGAAAATAATTAAACATTAACTGAAAAAAGAATATATGATGAAAATAATAACAATAAATCCGCCTAAAATAAAAAATATATTATCAATTCAGAAGAGTTTGAAATAAGAACAGGTATTATAGGATTGAGTATAACAAGTAAATAAGAGATAGAAGTGATGGAATAACAGCAACATCCCTATTTCAATCCCTTGACTGATATTGATACTTATTTACCTACTTATACATTACCTATCATATCAAATAACTAAGTTTTAGGAGCATTGTAAGTTTCTTATCTTAATACTTAGCTTGGTAAAAAAGTGCTTAAGATGGATATTCTCTATAAAGAAATTATGCAAAATGTTTGTAGCCTTATTGGACATTGTATTGAAAAGCTACTTAAATATAACTAAGAAATCAACTTCAAGTTGTAGGAATAAAGAAATTTTTTTGAAAATCAAATTGAGTAAATAAAAACAAAATAGTTAAAAACAAGATCATATTCAACAAAATCTGTAGTTTCCCCTGTTATATAATCTAAAACTTCTAGAGGGCCAATATATAATTCCTAACAACAAATATAGATTTTAAATAGTTAAATTAAAAATAAAATTTAACATCATGAAAAAGAGTAATATAATAATTCTAACTTAATTTGTAACCAATCTAAGTAGTGATAGAAGGAAAAATATATAAATTATCGTTGAAAGTATGGATATAATAAAACATTCATATAAGCAATCAATGATTCATTTAAATTTCTTAAAAGTCATTTTTAAAAATTTTGAGTTTTATCATATTAAATTTTATCATTTAAAAATAATTTGTTAAAATAATATCTTGTATTTAAAATTAAAAAAACAACAAAGAATAAATAAGGTGTGAGTATCTTTTTTATAAATATTTTTAATATTTTAATCAAATGTATATAAGTATATTTATTCAAGTAATCTTATTTTATTAAAAAAATTAAACTTAAAAAAAAAATACAAAAGGCTTAGTTATTTAATATTATTCTTCAATATTTTTTTCAAATTTTTTGAATTTTAGCTTCTATAAAAATGATTCAAAGGGAAATTTTAATAAAAGGTTATATATAGATAATAAATTTTGAGCTCTTTTTAACATAATTCAGCAAACTCTCAAACTTAACTTGAGGTAAAAACAATAAATTTCTTTTAAAAATTTTTGTGTAATTTTTTTAATTAGTAAATGTAATTACTTATTTAGTAAATTTCCTTGTAATTAATATCTTTTCTAATTTTCTTAACATATAAACTATTGTTAACTGTTTATTCAAATAAATGTATTATAATTTATATTTTGATGATAATATTTAACATACTTTGTAAATAAATAATAATTTATTAATCTTTCCATTTATAAAAAATCTTATTTTATTTAGTTTATACATATTTATTGATAATAAATAATAATTAGTTACAATTAATTTAATATTAATAAAAATTGGACTATGATTTCTAAAATATTGGCTGATTTTATCTAAATTTATTTTATAATTTCTTAAAAAGGGATAATTAAAAGGATATTGATAGAATAGTTTCTGATTTGCTTTAAGTATGATTTTTGAATAATTGTTTTAAATGGTTATTCTTATTGCTTAGATTTAATACAGACAGAATAATAGATAATTTATTTATAAATCATACTATTTATTCTTTTCATATAAGAAATTTGGAATAGAAATATTAGTAAAAATGCAATGCAGGTAATGATTTTCAATCACTTTACTTTAATATATAGATTGAGCATAGCTAATTGTAAGTATTCTCATCAATAGAATGGTTTTATTCAAGTGAATCAAGAATTTCTTAGATTACTATATTTATATAAAAATATTTTAAATGTTTATAAAAATAACTTCTCTGCTAAAAAATAATTAATTACTATCTTATTGATACTTATTTATGTACAGGAGAGACTAGAAATTCTTAATTTTGTAAAGGTTTTCTATGTAAGATTTGACAAAAGCATCACTTTTAAATTTAAATAAATGTTTAAAATTGTAATATCTTTACAAAAAATATTACTTTTCAGTCCTTTCATGTAGAACTTCGATAATTTGGCTGAATAATTGAGGCTGCATTCCATGTTAGAAAATTTAAGGTAAATTTTTAGTATCTATCCTCTATTATATTAAATTACAAAAAAAATATTTTAAAAAATTCCAATGAAGTTTAATTTATGTATAATCTCTGTTTTCATTAATTAAAGCATAATTAAATTAATATCTTTACCACTAAAAATTTTAATGCAGACTCTATGTAGTCGTTACGGATTGAAGTCCAGTTTGCAGTGAAGATTTCAGAAGTAGGAATATCGAAACCTAGATTCTCTTTGATTTCAATTTTACGATTAGAGAAATTACTTTTCTTTTTAGTGGTTGGAGTATTGTCATTGGAGGAATTAAAAGTAGGTGGTTTTCTCATTTGCACACTTGAAGATCTTTTCAAGATAGATTTTTTATTTTATTCATCGTTCTATTTTTACTATTCCTCAGTTTATTATGAGTTATACTAACGAATTAAATTTAAATTTATTGATATTTATTTAGCCTGATTTTATGCTATATTATTGCCACAAGTATTGCCACTATTAGCTACATTTTCTTCTGCTTATTCTACTTCACCAAAATGAACAACCTTCTCGCCCTCTTCATCATCATCTCCTTCTTGATTTTGAGTTTTACGAATGTAAACACCATCTATATTTTTAATAGGCTTTTTGAAGTCTAATGAGCAACTACGTCCCCTGTAAGTTTTAAGAATAGGTTTTTGGGGTTTAATAGATTTAGAAGCAATATTGACCTAGTCCCCTAGCTTATCTGTTTCAAGAATTTCAATCCCTCCAAACTTAATATCTCTATTTTAATCTTCAGTAAGATTTGTGTCTTCAATTACTTTTTGCTACCAGTGCTTAATAACTTTTCCATCTACATTCTTAAGATTCAAGAAGTCATAAGACATGCGCTTTCTTTTATTTTCTTCATTCTTAACATTAGAAAAAGCTATTGATGCAAACTATGAAGATACGCTAGCTGTTGGAGTCATTGCATGAGTCATGCATGAACCTCTTTTAATAATAGGTTTCTTTGGGTTTTCTTCAGGGTTATACTTAAATTTATAGGCACTTTCATCTTGAAGGACAATATCACCAACAAAACGAACATCTGATTCTTCATTGTCTTGACTATCCTCACTATCTTCTCCACTTTCATTTTCTTAATTTATCTTATATGCATTTTAATCAGTGCTGTTACGATGGCTATGGTTGGCCACCTTTTCAATTTATTTGAGTGATTTGAACTCAGAAGGTTGCACAAGAGGACTATTCTTTAAAATAGAATAAGCTGGGAAAAGTAGAGAATTTCTTTTAGCAATGCTAGTATCAATTGGTTTTTCAGAAGCTTCCTAAACAGTAGGAATTAATTTAAATCTAACTTCACTATCTAATCTATTACGAAACTCAATTTTATTTTCGTTTTGATTTTCATCCTAGAAATAATCATCTTCATCTTCATTTGAATCTATACTTTTATTCATGATGCCAGAGCCTTAAGATCTACCTTAACTAATAGAATCTTCATTAAACTAACAGTTTTTTAATATCGAATTTCTTAAATCATTATCAATTTAATCATCAGGATTCATAGATAAATTATCATGACTAATTATCTTGCCTTCAATGTCTTTTAGCATTCTATATTATTTTGATTACAATAAAATGTAAATAAATAAATAAATATAAAAGAATTTATCAATCGTTATTATAAAATGCATTTTAAGAATTTAACAATTTAAATTTTATATTAAGAAAATACAAAAAATAGCAGAATTTAAAGTTTTTTATTTTATAAAGTAAATGTGATTTAATATTACCTAACATCGAACGATATATTTCTTGAGCGATTTAAATCGTTTTTCAGAATACTTTTCATGGGAACATCATCAGGTTCATATTCAAACTTAGGAAGTTCACCTTCATTATCATCTAAAATTTCTAATCCTCCAAAATGAACTGAGAGATTATCATCTTAGTTTTCACTTTGTAGACTGCTAGCATTTAAACTTTTTTCTACTTTCTTGGAAGGAGAAACTGTTTCAGTCAATTTATCTTCACAGTTTGGTAGAATAACATCAATACTCTTAATATGTTTAAATTTTGATTAATTTTCACCAACGATATCATCAATATCTTCCTCTCTTTCCTCTCCTTCGCGTGTTGAGTCACTTACTGCTCTGCTTGTGTTCTGATTTATTAGTAATAAAAATTTATTCATTCATTATACTTTATTTAAAATTTAACTAAAATCTAAGTTCTGAAATAAAAAATAAATGAAAGGAATGAATGAGCTCTTAGCTTTCAAAAACGAATATACTTCACTGAATTTCCAACTGAAAAATTATCCATTTTTAAAAACCAAATTAAGCTCACCAATTAGGATTTTAAAATTATTTTTTATTTTTATTTCATTCATTTTTTAAAGTTACCACTGATTTTTAAAGGTTTCCTGATGGAATTTAATCATCTTGTTCATACTATTCTTGTAAAAATCTGATTGATTTCTTATTTGAAGACTTTCATTTTTTAAAAAATAATTTTTTTAAAATTTTTACAATAAACTGCCTTAAAATATTTATTTTGATCTAAAAAACAATTAAGATATGGCTTCTCCACTTTTAACTCTAATTTTGTGAAATGAAACTCACTCATTTAGTCAATAAATGCTGTAAAATTTAATCTGATTAAAGATAAAAATTTCGCAACTTAAGCTAAAAGTAAAATAAGCCTACTCCTAAATATTTCTTTTTAACCTAAAAAATAAAGATTACATTAGTAGTCTATACTTCTTCGCTTTCTTTCTTGTTATCAGACATTTTTATTTGTTTTTTTTATGGTATAAACAGTTTATATGAGCAATTTTCTAATATTTATGCTTGCTTTATAATGTTTTTGATAGTTTATTTATTTTTTGGCTGATTTCTTATGTATTTTATCTAATCTTCTTTGCTTTATATTGATTTTAATAATCTTATTGTTTTGATTAATCAATAACATAGCTATATAAAATAAAGTAATTTATTATTATTTGCTAACTAACAAACTGATTCACTTACTTGCCTTCTAATCATTTAATTAAAAGTTTCGGTCCTTATAAAAAATAAAGAAATGTGAAATGTGAGCAGCTGCCACTGTTTTAAAAAGCTTATTTATTTTGATGAGCTTATCATACAAAAATAAAGAGGTTTTATATACATCTAAGCAATTTGAACATTTATTAATATTTTTCTTTATTTTTTGTTAATATTTGTTATCTGATTACTAGTGTTTTTAATGACATCATAAAATTCTTACAAAATTTTTAATTTTTAAACTACATACTATTTTAAGTAAATAATTCTATTAGAAGAAATTTAACACTTTTTTTTTAACTGAGACACCTATAACAAATTATTATATTCTTAAGTTAAAGAGGCTCAACTAATTTGAATTATCCTATTTTTGCGTATCCCCACCTCACTTTTTTCATTTATTCTATAAATATATTTTCTTTTTGTAAAATGATCTTGTTTAAGGTAAGCAAAACCCACAAATTACAAAATCTATTTCTACTCATTCAATTTTTTTTACTGTATTGATTTACATAAATTGTATTCTATAGGATAATATTTTCCTTTATGCAATGCTTAAAGATAGAATAAAAAAATCAAATTTTTGTTACTAAAATTCGTTTTCTTACAAAGGAAAGAAAATAATATATATTTTTATCAAAATTAATCCAAAAATTGTTTTAATTTTTAAAAATTAAAATTGATTCAAGAGTATTTTTTATAATTTTGTAATCAATTTACATAGTAAATATAAGCATATTTGCTTTAACAATCTTAAATATTTTTATATTTAATAATTTAATCAATTTCTTATTTCAATTATTTATGAGTCATGAAAATTTTAATATAATTTTAATTCTATAAACTACTATTATGCTTTTATGCTTTTTTTATAATTAAATTAAGCTAATGAATGTTCTAAATTTCTATTTCTAGCCAGTCTATTAAGCATTAAATTATTTTTATTTGTCAAATGTAATTAAAAAATCTCAAGCTCGAAAGTAAAAATTCTAAAAGGGAGTTATGATGTAACTATAATAAATAATATATTATATTAATTATTATCTAATTAAATAATTTATTCTTCTTATAAAAAGCAAACCTTAAATAGTTAAATAAGCTTAAAATTCCTACTAACAAACAATAAATATTTTGAAAATGATTAATTTATAAATTTTATGTTTTTAGTAAAGTCTTTAGACTGAATATGAATTATTAATTAGTAATATATATCATTAATAAATATTTTATAAAATTTTAATTATTTTAATAATAAAAATAGACAAATTTATTTTATTTTATAAAATTAGTCTAATAGATGAATTTTAAATACCATTTTATTTTTTAATTGAAAAATATTTAATAAAATTTTTTTTTAATTATTTTTTAAATGAAATTGATATTACATTTAGCTAAAATAGTTAATAAAAATATCATAAATTAAGGTTAGAATGAATTTATTATAAAATAACATTTAATTGAAACTCCATATAAATTAACATAAATTATGTTTAAAATTAAGATTTTACATAAGTTATTCAATCTAATTTCGACTATGAATTTATTTTAACTTTTAAATAGCTAAATACTTCTAATTTATTTTATAAATTTTTAGATATTTTACTCATCTTAAATTCATTTTTAGGCTAAAGTTAAACTTTTAATATTTAATTTTCTTACTTTTATCTAAACTCTCTCTCAGATATATTGATGGTCTAACGGTATAATTTTTATTAAATAATTAAAATATTAGATTTATAATCATATTTTTAGATAATAAATCTAATAAATGAAAAAATGATATATGCAAATAGAAAAACCAAGCTTAATAAAACCAAAGATACTATTAATACTTTAAAAATTAAGCACTGCTTTAGCATATTTTCGCTATCATTTTTATCTAATATATTTCTTTTTGTCTAAACACTTAGTAGCAGACTAAATATTAATATAGATATATAGATTGCTTCTTAAACCAGAATGTTTATCTTCATGATAGTTTTATTTTTGTATTTGATTGCTAATATTGGTATGCAAATTAGTATCTTATAAACCAATATCCATACTATTTACCATTAGTCTTATTAAGAAAAGTATAAATAAAAAAGTATCAAAGTTGCTAATTATCTAGCAAAGTATATTTTAAATGAAAATATTTTTAATTTCTTACAGTTAAAAATTACTTCATATGGATCTTACAAAAGGTTTTAGCAAAATTTTATTTTGTAAGCATAATTAATAGTAAAAAAGCAAATCATAAATATTGATGGTACTTTAAAAAAAAGTCGGCTATCTGTAGCTCCAAGGAATGAATAGAATAGTAATAAATAGGATAAAATCCCTTCAAGAGAATAAAATACATTTATATAGTAGAGATTATAGAGCCTAGCTAATAAAATTCTTGAATGAATAGCTTTATAATATTAATCAATAAGAGTATATCTATTATGAAAAACAGTTTTTCTTAAAATAAAATGGATGAGGTACAGTGATAATACTATTATTATTACACCACCTCCTTATTTGTAAATATTTGTAGAAATTTTGTACTCTTTTAAATTATTACTTACATAATAATCATCCTCGCTTGATAAAATATTTTAAAAGGGGTTGATATAGCCTATGTACATGTAGATTGATTTATTTGTTATAGATAAGAATTGCTTAACGTTATCTATAGGCATTACATTTAAGTATAATAATAGTTCAATATCAAAAACTCTTTAAAGCATAATATTAGGTAAGGTTAAATTTCCTGTGAAAATACTCATAAAAGAAAGAAATCCAAAAATAGGATAAATAAAATTCATCATTTTGCTTATTAATTAGTGGATAGTGCTAATTTATTATTCTGTGCTTTAAGTTATATAGCTATCTAATAATTCACATGTAAAGCTTCCATCCTCATTTAAAATTAGTTATCTACCATAAAAACACTCACATATTTTAGTTTTAGGGTTAAGTACTGTAAATTTCATTACATCACAAGACAAACAGGTAAGTTTATTATCACAACTTTTGCAAGTAGTAAAACATTTTTTGCATAAATCAGTTTTATTCAGAATAGAAATTTATTTTCTAGGTATCATAGAATATTATTTATAAAATTCAGGGTCTTCATAAAAGCCTTCGTTACATACACATTTACTGAAGTAGTTTAAGTCGGAATTTGGATGACAAGTTGAACAAACTTTAGGATTGTCTTTACAGCTTTCACAGTTTAAATCACAAGGTTAGCAACTTCTGTCTTAAACTTCAAATGTTCCTTTATAACAAGTGCACCTATTTGTTTTGGTATCTAGCTATCTTTAACTTTCTTCGCAAGTTAAGCATTTTTTTTCAAGATTGCAAGTATAGCAATCATAAGGACAAGGCACACAATTATTGTTTACATCCTCAAAATACTTTGGCAAACAATCACACTTACCGTTAGATGAATAAAATCGATGGCTTAATTTCTAAGGAGGACAAGTTATACAAAAATTAGCTTAACCAATACAAGTCTCACAACTATAATGACATTTTTGACATTCTGAATCACCAATATCATAATATCCTTACTAGCACTTACAAGTTCCTAAACTATTTTTCATATTAGCGTTTTTAGGTACAAATACTCTCGTAGTAAGAGATGAGCATGATAAGCAATCATCTAATTATAATCCATCACATTAATTACAGCTATAATGGCATTACTGGCAAATACCCAAAGTGCTCATAAAAATAAAATTTTATTTACAAATGCAAACTCCGTTTTAAGAAATAAATGAATTCTCAGGGCAAGATATGCAATAATTAAATTAACCTTAACAAGTTTCACAGCTTGAATGGCATTTTTAACACTTTAACTAATTTTATATTTCAAAATAACCTTTTTTGCAAGAACATTCAACTAAATGAGGAATTTAATTAAGAACAGGTTTAGCTTGCCTAAAATTTAAGTCCTCATCTTTACAGCTCAAACAATCTTATGCAGATGGTCCTACACATGTCTAGCAAGTAAAATGGCATTTTAAGCATTTTAAAAGAATAATATCTTCATAAAAACCTTCCATACATACACAAATTTAATATTTCATATTATTTGTTGTTTAAATAGGTGTTAATTACATATTTTATGGGCAAGATAAACAAATATTTTGATTATTAGGATCACACTATTAGTATTCGCAAGAAGGATGACAACCTAAGCAATTTAAATTAGGATCACAATTACATTAATATGTCTATTAGTTGTTAAATATACCTGATAAAACACCTAAATAATTATCTTTACAAGTAAGACACTATCCATTTTAAGGTCCTAAGCATTATTTACAAGCGTATGAGCAAGGATAACAATAATTAGTTTTAATATCTAAATAGTACCCAGATTAGCACTCACATTTGTATGATTCCTTATTCAGTACCATGTTATTATTGCATTATATACATTTATCACTTTTCATTTCACAAGTTTTACAATTTTAATCACATTTCTAACATTTTTAAGTATTTTTTATTTCAAAGTAACCTTGCTAGCAATCACAAGTGGAATAAATTCTATTAAATATTCTTAATGAATCACTGCTACAATCTGTGCACTAAAAACGTGAATATCCATTACAATTTAAGCAGGAATAATGGCAAGCTTGGCAAATACTGTTTTGATTTATTTAAAAAAATGATTATTTACACAGGCACTACGTACCAATTAATTCTCTATTCTAATATGGAAAGCAAGACAAGCAATCTTCTTTACCCAACCCTTTACAGCTTTAGCAAAATTCATGGCATTTTAAGCATGCATTTTATATTTAATTATAAAAGTGTTATGGTTTGCAAATACACTGTTTCTATTAAGTTAACATAAAATTTCTTTCATCATAGCATTAATTGCAGCCTTAATTGGAGCTATTAAAGCAGTTTTTACATGTAATATCGCAAGCAGTACATAATTCATTACTACCATTCTCGAAAAATGCTTCTTTACAAATGCATTGACCTTAATTTTAGCCTTACTGTAAAAGCTTAATTCTTCCAAAAGATTAATTGCATTCAGTACAGTTTTATTTATTATTACCACCCTCACAGTTTTTGCATGAATAATGGCATGGTAAACAAAGTGAATTAATATTATCACTATAAAATTTTTCTTAACAAACGCAAAGAAAATTTTTTAATGAAAGTTCACTAGGAATTCTAAAATTTTATCTTGAACACTAAGTACAGTCTTCAGCTTTAGGACCGATACATTCTTAACATGAAAAATGGCATTTTTAACAAACCAAGTTAGAATCTTCATAGTAAGAGGATTTACAAAAGCATTAAAATGAGGTTTAATCTTTTACTGATTACACTCTTTAATCATCTATATTACATTTAGTACAATCTTTGTTTGTTATTCCAATACATTCTTGACAAGATTTGTGGCAAGGAACACATATATGATTAACTTCTACATAACCTGATTTACAAATGCATTTTCCACTATTTAGTACTCTAAATAAAGAGGAATCACAAGAATCACAAGAATTTTCATTACTATTTTTAGAACAGGTTAAGCATGAATAATGGCATTTATCACAAAGAGCCTTGTTAGATTCATAAAATGTTTACATGCATTAACAAGTGATTTTTGAATCCTTTTATTACACTACTCTGTTATTTTAGTAGTTACAAGTTTTACAGTCATTAACTGACCCACCTCCTTCACAAGTATCACAAGAAAAATGACAGATTTAACATATTCCAGATTTATCTTCATACATTCCATCCTTGCAATCGCATTTCTTTGTTTTATTATTTAAAACTCTGTTCATATCTTATCTGCAATCTGTGCATTAATCTTTTTATTTTTCACAAGACTTACAGTTTTAAGAGCATTATTAACAAATTTTATTTGAATCTTCAAAATATCCAATTTAGCACAAGCAGTAAATTTTATTAGCTTCTACCTATTACAATTACCTAAAAGAAGACTGATCACAATTGGTGCAAATGTTTTATTATGAACAAGTTTTGCAGGAATAATGACATTTATCACAAATATTATTATTACCATCATCATAGTATTAATCCTAACAAATACATTTAAATTAAGATTAAGATGGTAAATTAATTTATTGTTATTATATCCTATAATTTTTTAAAGAGTTTCCACAATTTTTGCAAGAATCAGGTTGATTATTATTACAAGTGTAGCAAGAATAATGGCATTTTTAACATAACTAATTTGAACCATCATCATAATAAGAATCTAAGCAAATGCATTAATTTTATTTGAATATCCTATTTTTAGATTAAATACAAGAAGTACAGTTGTTTGATCCAGGTCCATTACATTTCTCACAAGAATAATGACATAACTTACATAAACCATTATCTTCATAGTATCCATCTTTACATACGCACTGATTTGATGAGTTTAGTATGAGTTATAAGCTTTGATCACAGCTATCACAAGTTGTTTTATTTGAACATGATAAGCACTTTGGCTAACATTAGTCACATATTGTGCTGGATGATGAAAAAGATTCAAAATAACCTTATTTACATTAACATGAGTTATTTTAAAGTATTCTATTGTCTGTTGGTCTGCAAGTTAAGCAAATATTATTTTCTTTTTATCCACTTTTGCAAGTTTCACATTTATTATAGCATTACAAACAAGAAACATCATTTGAGTTGATATAAAAATATCCTACTTTGCATACGCATTAATTATTTTTTAAAGTTCTTGTAATTTCATCGCATTAAATACAATGATTCTAATCTCCAGAGCATTGATTACACTAAGGATTACACTATCCGCAATTTTAATTATTTGGAATTTCAAAAAATTTATTTTAGCAAACACAACTAAATATTTTTTAATCAGGAAGTGATTATTAAATCCTATTTGAGCTGAATGAACATGATGTACATGAGTTTGAATTGTTATCATTTATACATTTTTAACAGGAATAGTGGCATTTTTAACAATTAAAATTTGTATCTTCATAATAACCATCCTAGCATAAGCATTATTTTTTAGGAGATACTTATTAACGTAAAGAAGCACATGAATCACATTCTAGTTCTGTTCCTCCAGAACAAGTTTTGCAAGATTTATGACAAATTTAGCATGTCTTATCCTTTTCAAAATATCCCTCTTTACAAATGCAGCTATTATTTTTTGGACTGTAAATTCTATTATCTTCACAAAGATCACAAATATTATTATTGTTTTAGCATTTGAGACAAAATGGAATTTTGCAGATACAATTTTTTTGAGAGTCTTCTAAATATTATGGCATACATTAACATTAACCACCAGTAAGTATCCTGAATTTAGAAGAATCACATGAAGTACATTAGGATGATGAAGGTCCTGAACATTCTTAACATGTAGAATCGCATTTTTAACAATTTGATCCATCATCATAAAATCCAGTTAAGCACTAACACTTATTATATTAAAATTGTCTATTTTAATCACATTTGTTACAAGTAGTACTATCTTAACAAATTAAGCAATTATTAATACATTTCTAACAATTTGTTTAATTATCTTCGTAGAATCTATCTTAGCAATTGCATTTTCCTAATTGCAAAATTTTCAAATTATCTAAGCAGCTTAAGCACAAAATATTTAATCCTTATAAAATACAATTTTTGCATGGATTTTAGCACTTTTCGCAAATATTTTTATCTCCTTTGTCATAATACGTATCTTAGCACACACATTAGCCATCTTTTAAGTATCTAAATTTACTCAAATCGCAAGTCAAACATTCTTTATCACTACTTCCGCTGCAACTTAGACAAGATTAATCACATTTGGTGCAATTATTCATATTATCATAATATCCCTCAATACAATTACATTATTAAGATCCAGAAATTTTCCTAAATTTTGAAATATCGCAATCCAGACACTAATTAAAGTTTGTTCCATTGCAACTTAAGCATGTAGGATGACATTTTTAACAAACTTTACCATCAAAATATTCGCCATTATTACAATTTTATTATAATTACCTAAATGATACATCATACCTTTTACCTAAGCTTTTGAAAAAATAAAATATTTTTAAATGATTAAAATATAAATAAACTGAATACTCTAATCTTAAAAATTATATTTCACTACTATTAATTTAGTATTAAGATTATTTGTTTGCCAAAGTTTGAGTTATTACTAAAATAAAAATGATAATTAAATCAAATACCATTTAGGAAATTAAATGTGTTAATTTATTTAACTTTTGATTTTTTTTTTTTTGGATTGTTTCTAATAATTTAAAGATCAGCAATAAATATACTGCAAATGTAAAATTTTGATAAGCTATAAGATAAAAGTAACATATTTAATCAAATTATTCGGATATCTAAACTGATACAATAATATCTTTCAATTATATAGTATTCAATTAGGAGAAAAAGTTTAGTTTATAAATAAATGACTTTGGTGAAATATAAATATGTAAAATCTATTTTAATGAAAGTAAAAAAATAAAAAGTAATAAACTTACTTTTAATTTTGTTATATGATTAGAATAAGTTTAACTCATAAAATTAATTAATTTATTTAAAATTTTCTTGTTTATTTTTTAAAATTGACAACTAAGAAAATTAAGTATTTTTTCTATTATACTTTGAATTATAGATATTAATTAAAAATAAAGAAACTTTAAGAGAATGAATCATAATTCCTCTTCTTCTATAAAATCAAAATAACTTTGAAAATTTTTTTGTAAGATAAAATAATATAAATTAAGATTATTTTTTCACATTTATTTAATTAATTCTATTTCAATCATACTATAAAGTACAATATTTTTTTTTGCTTTCTATTTATGATAAAAAACATTCCAGAATTGCTTTAATTTATGTATTAATTAGTTATTTTATGATGTTTTATAATGGGTAATCTTTAAGCTTTTAAAAATAAATGATCATATATAGATTTACAGAACACAAACCCACTAAATTATTTTATTGACTCTTTTTCATTTTTAAAAGTTCACTCATTACCATACCAGTTATAAAGTATTTTTAAAATAGCAAATTGTTATAATTGTTTTTATTTACTATATTTATAAAATAATTTTCATTAAAATACATGTTTAAAAATAATTTTTTTATTAAGATATTAAATTTTACTTATTAATAATATAAATTAAAACTCAAAATTAGCAATTATAAAATTATTAAAAATTAAATGTCTAATGTTTTTAATTAGTGAGTTTTTAATCTTATAATTTATTATAAAATATATTTTTAAAAATTTATTCTATATAAATATTATTAACTTAAAAATTTATTTTTAGAAGATTTATGTATTTTAAATGAAGTGTAATTTTTATACAACATAATCAATTTTCTTAAATATTATTTATTAAATTTAATTTTTACTATGAATTTTTTTAACTTTTCAATAGCTAGTTATTTCTAATTTATTTTATAAATTTGCGGATAATTCACTCTTACTATTTTCATTTTTAGGTTAAATTTAAATTTTAAAAATATAATTTTCTTAGTTTTATCTAAATTATCTATCAGATAACACGATGTTCTAACTGTATAATTTTTGTTGAATGATAAAAATATTAGATTTATAATCATATTTTTATATAAACAGTCTAACTAGTTAGTAAATAACATATACAAATAGAAAAATTGTGCTTAATAAAACTAAAGAAACTATCATAATCTTGAAAACTAAGCACAGTTTTAACATCTATTGTCTATCGTTTTCATTTAATATATTTCTTTTTGTTTATACACTTAGCAGTAGATAAAATATTAATATAGATGCATATATTAATTCTTAAACAAAAATATTTATCTTCAAGATACTTTTATTTTTGTATTTGATTGCTAATATTGGTATGCAAATTAGTATCTTATAAACCAATATCCATACTATTTACCATTAGTCTTATTAAGAAAAATATAAATAAAAAAGTATCAAACTTGTTAATTACCTCGCAAAGTATACTTAAAATGAAAATATTTTTAATTTCTTGCTGTTAAAAATTACTTCATATGGATCTTACAAAAGATTTTAGCAAAATTTTATTTTGTAAGCATAATTAATAGTAAAAAAGCAAATAATAAATATTGATGGTACTTTAAAAAAAAGTCGGCTATCTGTAGCTCCGAGGAATGAATAGAATAGTAATAAATAGGATAAAATCCCTTCAAGAGAATAAAATACATTTATATAGTAGAGATTATAAAGCCTAGCTAATAAAATTCTTGAATGAATAGCTTTATAATATTAATCAATAAGAGTATATCTATTATGGAAAACGGTTTTTCTTAAAATAATATGGATGAGGTATAATGATAAAACAAAAATGATTGCACCACCTCCTTATTTGTAAATATTTGTAGAAATTTTGTACTCTTTTAAGTTATTACTTATATAATAATCATCTTCACTTGATAAAATATTTTAAAAGGGATTGATATAGCCTATGTACATGTAGATTGATTTATTTGTTGTAGATAAGAATTGCTTAACATTATCTATAGGCATTACATTTAAGTATAATAATAGTTCAATATCAAAAACTCTTTAAAGCATAATATTAGGTAAGGTTAAATTTCCTGTGAAAATACTCATAAAAGAAAGAAATCCAAAAATAATATAAATATAATTCATTATTTTGCTTATTAATTCGTGGATAGTGCTAATTTATTATTCTTTGCTTTAAGTTATATAAGTATTTAACAATTCACATGTAAAGCTCCCATCTTCTTTTAAAATTAGCTATCTACCATAAAAACACTCACATATTTTAGTTTTAGGGTTAAGTACTGTAAATTTCATTACATCACAAGACAAACAGGTAAGTTTATTATCACAACTTTTGCAAGTAGTAAAACATTTTTTGCATAAATCAGTTTTATTCAGAATAGAAATTTATTTTCTAGGTATCATAGAATATTATTTATAAAATTCAGGGTCTTCATAAAAGCCTTCGTTACATACACATTTACTGAAGTAGTTTAAGTAGGAATTTGGATGACAAGTTGAACAAACTTTAGGATTGTCTTTACAGCTTTCACAGTTTAAATCGCAAGGTTAGCAACTTCTGTCTTAAACTTCAAATGTTCCTTTATAACAAGTGCACCTATTTGTTTTGGTATCTAGCTATCTTTAACTTTCTTCGCAAGTTAAGCATTTTTTTTCAAGATTGCAAGTATAGCAATCATAAGGACAAGGCACACAATTATTGTTTACATCCTCAAAATACTTTGGCAAACAATCACACTTACCGTTAGATGAATAAAATCGATGGCTTAATTTCTAAGGAGGACAAGTCATACAAAAATTAGCTTAACCAATACAAGTCTCACAACTATAATGACATTTTTGACATTCTGAATCACCAATATCATAATATCCTTACTAGCACTTACAAGTTCCTAAACTATTTTTCATATTAGCGTTTTTAGGTACAAATACTCTCGTAGTAAGAGATGAGCATGATAAGCAATCATCTAATTATAATCCATCACATTAATTACAACTATGGTGGCATTACTGGCAAATACCCAAAGTGCTCATAAAAATAAAATTTTATTTACAAATGCAAACTCCGTTTTAAGAAATAAATGAATTCTCAGGGCAAGATATGCAATAATTAAATTAACCTTAACAAGTTTCACAGCTTGAATGGCATTTTTAACACTTTAACTAATTTTATATTTCAAAATAACCTTTTTTGCAAGAACATTCAACTAAATTTTAATCAAGAACAGGTTTAGCTTGCCTAAAATTTAAGTCCTCATCTTTACAGCTCAAACAATCTTATGCAGATGGTCCTACACATGTCTAGCAAGTAAAATGGCATTTTAAGCATTTTAAAAGAATAATATCTTCATAAAAACCTTCCATACATACACAAATTTAATATTGTATATTATTTATTGTTTAAATTGGTGTTAATTACATATTTTATGGGCAATTAGGATCACAAATACATTAATATGTCTATAAGTTGTTAAATATACCTGATAATAAGCCTAAATAATTATCTTTACAAGTAAGACACTATCCATTTTAAGGTCCTAAGCATTATTTACAAGCGTATGAGCAAGGATAACAAGAATTCTCTTTAATATCTAAATAGTACCCAGATTAGCACTCACATTTGTATGATTCCTTATTCAGTACCATGTTATTATTGCATTATATACATTTATCACTTTTCATTTCACAAGTTTTACAATTTTAATCACATTTCTAACATTTTTAAGTATTTTTTATTTCAAAGTAACCTTGCTAGCAATCACAAGTGGAATACATTCTATTAAATATTCTTAATGAATCACTGCTACAATCTGTGCACTAAATACGTGAATATCCATTACAATTTAAGCAGGAGTAATGGCAAGCTTGGCAAATACTGTTTTGATTTATTTAAAAAAATGATTATTTACACAGGCACTATGTACCAATTAATTCTCTATTCTAATATGGAAAGCAAGACAAGCAATCTTCTTTACCCAACCCCTTACAGCTTTAGCAAAATTCATGGCATTTTAAGCATGCATTTTATATTTAATTATAAAAGTGTTATGGTTTGCAAATACACTGTTTCTATTAAGTTAACATAAAATTTCTATCATCATAGCATTAATTGCAGCCTTAATTGGAGCTATTAAAGCAGTTTTTACATGTAATATCGCAAGCAGTACATAATTCATTACTACCATTATCGAAAAACGCTTCTTTACAAATGCATTGACCTTAATTTTAGCCTTGCTGTAAAAGCTTAATTCTTCCAAAAGATTAATTGCATTCAGTACAGTTTTATTTATTATTACCGCCCTCACAGTTTTTACATGAATAATGGCATGATAAACAAAGGGAATTAATATTATCACTATAAAATTTTTCTTAACAAACACAAAAAAAATTTTTTAATGAAAGTTCACTAGGAATTCTAAAATTTTATCTTGAACACTAAGTACAGTCTTCAGCTTTAGGACCGATACATTCTTAACATGAAAAATGGCATTTTTAACAAATCAAGTTAGAATCTTCATAGTAAGAGGACTTACAAAAGCATTAAAATGAGGTTTAATCTTTTACTGATTACACTCTTTAATCATCCATGTTACATTTAGTGCAATCTTTGTTTGTTATTCCAATACATTCTTGACAAGATTTGTGACAAGGAACACATGTTTGATTCACTTCTACATAACCAGATTTACAAATGCATTTTCCACTATTTAGTACCCTAAATAAAGAGGAATCACAAGAATCACAAGAATTTTCATTACTATTTTTAGAACAGGTTAAGCATGAATAATGGCATTTATCACAAATAGCCTTGTTAGAATCATAAAATGTTTACATGCATTAACAAGTAATTTTTGAATCCTTTTATTACGGTACTCTGTTATTTTAGTAGTTACAAGTTTTACAGTCATTAACTGACCCACCTCCTTCACAAGTATCACAAGAAAAATGACAGATTTAACATATTCCAGATTTATCTTCATACATTCCATCCTTGCAATCGCATTTCTTTGTTTTATTATTTAAAACTCTGTTCATATCTTATCTGCAATCTGTGCATTAATCTTTTTATTTTTCACAAGACTTACAGTTTTAAGAGCATTATTAACAAATTTTATTTGAATCTTCAAAATATCCAATTTAGCACAAGCAGTAAATTTTATTAGCTTCTAACTATTACAATTACCTAAAAGAAGACTGATCACAATTTGTGCAAATGTTTTATTATGAACAAGTTTTGCAGGAATAATGACATTTATCACAAATGTTATTACTACCATCATCATAGTATTAATCCTAACAAATACATTTAAATTAAGATTAAGATGGTAAATTAATTTATTGTTATTATATCCTATAATTTTTTAAAGAGTTTCCACAATTTTTGCAAGAATCAGGTTGATTATTATTACAAGTGTAGCAAGAATAATGGCATTTTTAACATTACTAATTTGAACCATCATCATAATAAGAATCCAAGCAAATGCATTAATTTTATTTGAATATCCTATTTTTAGATTAAATACAAGAAGTACAGTTGTTTGATCCAGGTCCATTACATTTCTCACAAGAGTAATGACATAACTTACATAAACCATTATCTTCATAGTATCCATCTTTACATACGCACTGATTTGATGAGTTTAGTATGAGTTATAAGCTTTGATCACAGCTATCACAAGTTGTTTTATTTGAACATGTTAAACATCTTGGCTAACATTAGTCACATATAGTGCTGGATGATGATAAAGATTCAAAATAACCTTATTTACATTAACATGAGTTATTTTAAAGTATTCTATTGTCTGTTGGTCTGCAAGTTAAGCAAATATTATTTTCTTTTTATCCACTTTTACAAGTTTCACATTTATTATAGCATTACAAACAAGAAACATCATATGAGTTGATATAAAAATATCCTTCTTTGCATACGCATTAATTATTTTTTAAAGTTCTGAATTTAGAAGAATCACACTAAGTACATTCCAAAGATGAAGGTCCTGAACATTCTTAACATGTAGAATCGCATTTTTAACAATTTGATCCATCATCATAAAATCCAGTTAAGCACTAACACTTATTATTTTAAAATTGTCTATTTTAATCACATTTGTTACAAGTAGTACTATCTTAACAAATTAAGCAATTATTAATACATTTCTAACAATTTTTTTAATTATCTTCGTAGAATCTATCTTAGCAAATGCATTTTCCTAATTGCAAAATTTTCAAATTATCTAAGCAGCTTAAGCACAAAATATTTAATCCTTATAAAATACAATTTTTGCATGGATTTTAGCACTTTTCGCAAATATTTTTATCTCCTTTGTCATAATACGTATCTTAGCACACACATTAGCCATCTTTTAAGTATCTAAATTTACTCAAATCGCAAGTCAAACATTCTTTATCACTACTTCCGCTGCAACTTAGACAAGATTAATCACATTTGGTGCAATTATTCATATTATCATAATATCCCTCAATACAATTACATTATTAAGATCCAGAAATTTTCCTAAATTTTGAAATATCGCAATCCAGACACTAATTAAAGTTTGGTCCATTGCAACTTAAGCATGTAGGATGACATTTTTAACAAACTTTACCATCAAAATATTCATCACTATTACAACTTTCTTTTAATTATCTAAGGTATATATCATATCTTTTATCTAAGCTTTTATAAATTAAAATATTTTTAAATTGTTAAAATATAAATAAAGTGAATACTCTAACCTTAAAAATTCTATTACGCTATTATTAACTTAGTATTGAGATTATTTATATGCCATCATTTGAGTTATTACTAAAGTAAAAATGATAATTAAATCAAATACCATTTAGCAAATTAAAAGAGATAATTTATTTGAATTTTGATTTTTTTTTTTTTGATTGTCTTATCTCAATCTGTAATAAAATATAATTTGATTTAAAATTTATATAAAAGTGACATATGTAATCAAAATACTCGTATAAAGAGAATTATATAAATACCTCTATTAATTTAATTGTAATTTATACCAGAAAACAAAAGTTTTGGTGAAATGAAAAAAATGTAAATATTATTTTAATGAAAGAAGAAAAATAAAAAGTAATAAAGCTACTTTGCAATTAGGTTACATAATTAGGATAAGACTTTTTTGCTTAAATTAGTTTGTAAGGATTTTATTAAAAATTTAAGAGTTAATTATATTCTACTTAATTATAGTAACAAATATCAAACAAAGAGGTAAGTTAGCTTCAATTTTTAATTTAAAGAAAGAAAGTGATAAATTTCGTTTAGCTCATAATTATTTATTATTTATATAAATTAATAAAAATACTAATTTAAATTACTTTATATATTTTTTTTTTAAATTGCTTTCAATGTACAATCTATAATGTAAATTTTTAAATTTTCAATAGGAGTTTTTATGCTTTAAAAAAAAAAAGTTTAATTAATAAAATATTTTAACATTCAATTATTACTAATTAATTGTGCGAAAGAAATTAAAATTAATATGAATTATAAAATATATACTCTAAAAATTAAAAGAAAAATAATAAGAATGATATTTATCCCCTCTATCAATTTGGTTTCTATTCTCAATATTATTATCATTTAATCAAATATTAATCATAATATTATTTAATTTTTGATAAAATCAAAAATATTAAAAAATATCAACAATTAATTAATAAAATTTAGATATGATTTTTAATAATTTATTTAAGCATTATTTAAATAATTTATTCTTATGATAAATATTTATATATGAAATTTAAGAGGTTTTTATGTAGTAAATAGCATATCTGCTATTTATTAATAATTTTTATTGAAAATAATAAATTTATTGATTAAATTATTATTTTACTTATTTAAAAAATAATATTTGTTAAATATTTTGAGATAGAATCTTATTTTTATTTAAAAACGACTATATAAATTAATTTTAAGAAAATCAAGTATTTTTTTTCTTTTATACTTTGAATAATAGACTATATTTAAATATAAAGAAACTTCAAGAAAATGAACTATTAATCTTCTTCTATTATATCAAAATAGTTTTTGGTAATTTTTAGTAAGATAAAATAATATAAATTGACCTTATTTTTTCTCATTTATTTAATTAATTATATTTCATTCATACATACATATATACTAGTACAAAGTTTTTATTTTTAGAATATAACTAGCTAATTCATGAAATGTTCTATAAAATTCTTAGTGGTTTGTTATATATAAAAAGTCCCTTACTTTTTATATAAATATTTTTAATAAATTATTAAATATGAAGGAAGATTCAAATGATTTGCGAGAAAGGTAAAAATAAATAATAGAAACGATCATTAATAGTAGATAGTACTTATTCTGACATTAGTATCGTTTAAAAATGTAATAATAATATGGTAATAAATGCATGATGATTAATTAGAAAATACTTTACAAAAAATGTAAAATAGATAAAAGATTTTGTAGTCTTAAAAGATAAATTAAATTTATAGACTACATTGCTAAATCCACTAAAAAAAATTATTAATTAATTATTAGATAATATTCATACTAATAGTAAAATACATAAAAAGCAAATTTAGTTAATAGGATTTATACATAAATGGGCTTAGATATACTTGAAAAGCTTTCAATTTTAGAAAAAGAGCATTCCAGAATTGCTTACATTTATGTTTTAATTGGTCATTTTATGATGGTTTTTTAGTGGGCAATCTTTAAGCTTTTAAACAATTATCATTTTGATCCAAATTAAATACTCTATGTTAGAGGAGTTATGGTATTTCTTTTTAATCTGTATTGGATTAAGAAGTATTAACATAAAATGTATCCAGAAAATGAAGGTGCTTAAAAGACTTTGTTTGCTAGATTCTTTATTTAAATGGTTTCTCCTCTTTTCTAATTCTACGGAATAACTTAGCTTTAGATCTCAGATGCTACTGTTTTAACTCTTACTAATCCAATATGGACTTAACTTTTTTGTTGGCTTATTTATGGAGAAAAGCTATAATCAAAAAACTTTTTGTATACTTTTTTGAGTTTTACAGGAATTATTTTCATTTGTAGACCAAGCTTTATATTCGGAAATGATGAATAAGTAAATAATGATTTATCTGATAAAAATCACTTTTTTGGGTGTATTTGTATGCTTTTTGGATCTATGACTCTCGCTTTGTCTCAAAGCTTATTTAAAGGATTGTAAGGAAAGACATCTAATTTAATAGCAATGCAATATTTCTATTTTTCTAATCTTATCAGTACTCCTGTTCTTATGATTTACAGAGAAATTAATGATATCAGAGTTTATTAAAGCTTAGAATACTTTGCACTAATACTATTGATCACTTGCATAGCATATTTAGCATAATTGTTAATGACAAGAGGGATGTTTATAGAAAGCCCTGCTAAACTTTCTTAGTTGGCTTACACTAGAATTTTATATTCTTTTACAATAGATATTTTCTTTTTCAAGTCAACAATTAGTTATTTAAGTGTAATCGGGTTTTTGCTTATTTTATACTCTTCTATTAATATTGTAAAAAAAAAATGATTGTATTTTAAAAAACTATTTATCATTTAAATTTATGTTAAATGTATCTTTTAATAAAATTAATTAATTTTTTGATCTTCAATCAATAAATCACCACAAATTGATAATAAAAATATTTATTTAAAAATTTTGATATTAAAGGTAAAGACTTCAATTTATTAATAATTTTTTGCATAAAAGATTTAATTTTAATAACAAATTTTTGAAAAATTAAATATAATAATGTATTTTGCAAAATTTGGCCTAAATAATTAAAAATTTAAAGTATATGATATTTCATTTAATTTTTTTATAATTTTTTTTTTATATGTTACATCTTAATAAAAAATAATTAATAAGCGACAATTTCAAACTCTTATATAGATTTTTAAAATTGGTTTATTATTCAAATATTATGAGTGAAATCATTTGTTAATTAATTGAAAAAATAAATATTTTTATTTTAAAGGTTTAAATAATTGTATCCGATTCCTTAGTGTAGTGGTTATCACGTCAGTCTAACACACTGAAGGTCCCGAGTTCAAACCTCGGAGGAATCAATTTTTTTTATTTAAATAATACGAAACAATAATTATCTAAAAAATATTAATCAATATTTTAAACTAATATCCTTTATTATTTGATCCTTTATGTTGAATACTATTTACCATTATTTATTATACTTTAGTTGTTAATTAATTTTAATAAAAATATATTTTATTTTTAAAACTATTAAATATTATGAAATTATAGAGTCTTTGATATGTTTTTAGAAAAAAAAATTAATTCAGAGAAACATAAAATTTTTATTTTGCATACAAATATTAATTTTTTATTTTGAATTTGTTAAAAATAATTTTTGAAAAATAATTAATTTTTATTTTAAATCATTTTTTAATAGATTTGAATAAGGAACAGTTTTTTATCTTAAATAAATTATTGATTATTTTAAATAATTAAAATTTTGTGAAGTATCTACACTTGTCAATTGATTTTAAGTTATTTTTAAAAATTGTTTTTGCCATTTTAATTATTAGGTAAAGTTATTTTTTCTTAAGTTTATTTTGTTTAGTTTAGTTAAATTTGTTTAAATTTTGGTATAAAATAATTATTCGAAGCAATTATTGGTGAATCAGATAGATTTAAGTTATTCTCATAATTATAGAGGGAAAATATTTCTTTTCTAATCTTTTGTAATATAGTTTCTTCATTTATTAATATATTCCTACGAGAGTATAGTTAGAAGCTAAAATCAAAAATAAAAACTAAGGTCATCAGGATAAGTACAATTATAGTATTTAATTTAAATATTAAACTTAATGTTATTATCAGATTCTGTTAATCTTATGAAACATATTATTTTTCAGTAAGATATGTGATAATTATTAAATTTAAATATCCAAATAAAGTAAATACTTATGAGATGATAGCTATTTAAAAAAAATACTTCTTCCCTTTAAACTTTAGGATATTTAAAGAAGCGTAAATGATCTTGAAGTACATAATAAACGCCAAATATTAAAAATTTGACAGAGATACTAATATTTGAAATTAAATGCATGAAATAATTAATTAAATAATTGAAATTTTATATCTGTATTTTATCTTTTAATCAATCTAAAATATCTAGAATGGGTCTTAAAAATATTCATTTACATTCTTTATATTAAAAAGCTAATAAATAATTAACAAAGCTAAAATAATATAGCTCGGTAGATATATTTTTAAGCTTCCATCTTATACTCCAAGAATCAAAGCAAAAAATAAATAATATACTAAAACATTAGATGTTGATATGATAATTGGCTGTATATGATTATTGTATAGTTTTGATAGAAATATCCTACCCTTAGATATTTTATATATCTAATCTAGCAAAACATACCTTTTGTGAAAGATTGTTTTATTCAATACTAAATTAGCTATTTATATAATTGCCCATAGTAATATTGCTCCACCACCTAATTGATATAGGTTGGTAGATATTTTATAATATTATTAATATACTGATAAATAATTTTCTTCTTGTATTAAATCTTTAAATAAATTTATGTAATTTAATAATTTGAAAATAGAATTCTTATCAAGAGCTTCTAGGAAATCTATTATTAAATTTAGTTTCATTCCATTGTAATAAAGCAATAATTAAAAATCAAAGCAAGTTTAAAATCCTAAATCTGAGACTATAAATTAGCCAAATATCAAAGAAAAGACTGCTGTTATGTTAAATATATACATAAGTAGTCCTAATACTCTATCCATGGAATGCTAAATTGAGTTTTGGTTGGTATTTTAGAAAGTAAAATTATCTTATTAAATACAGCTGAAAGTATTTGCTTGTAAATTAGCTACCATTTAAAATCCAAAATAGCACTCACAAAGCTAGGTATCTAAATTAAAATAAACATTGCTATTTGATAATAAACATGAAGTACATGTTGTAGAATTATCACAAGTATTGCACCTGTAGTTGCATTTTTAACATATTTAAAATTAAATTTCTGGAATTTTGTTTATTTAATCTTAGGTTGGTTACATTTCATAAAAACCATCCATACAAATACAGGTAGAATGGTTATTTAAGTATGAATTTGTATGGCATTCAGAACATAGGTTTGGATTTGTATTACAGTTTTTGCATCTATAACTACACTTTTAACAAGAGGTATCATTTGCTTCGTAATATCCTTCTCTACAAGAACATCTTTTTGTTAAAGGGTTTAAGACCCTTAAGCTATTTGAGCAGGTTATACAATTACCATTATTATCACACATCAAACAATCATAAGGACATTAAACGCAAATTCCACTTTTATTTTCCTTATACCCTTCTTTGCATACACATTAGTTGTTTACTAATATTCTTTTGCTTATTTCTTAAGGGTAGCAACTTAAGCAGTGGTCTGAAGATTAAATACAGCTCATACATATTGGGCTACATGCTTGACAATCATTAACTCCTGAATCATAAAAACCTTAATTACAATAACATGTAATTTTAGGTGGAGATTAACTAATTATTAATTAAGTTCTTGTTTTAGATGAGCATTAAAGGCAATCAAATTCTGTCGGACCAAAACAATTTTCACAGCTGTAATGACATTTTAAACATTCTCCTTCTTAAGAAAGAAAATAGCTAGGGATGCATGTACAGATTCCTAGGGAGTTTAAAAAGGCATTTTATTAGCATGAAGTACAAAAATTAGAGTTTCCTGCACAAGAGGCGCATGAGTTATTGCATTTTTAGCACTATTAAGTCAATTCATTTTGAAAATAACCATTTTTGCATAAACATCTACCATAAATAAGAGAATTTTACAAGTCAATAATTCTATTTTAATTACAAGTAATGCAGTCATATTCAGAAGGACCTAAGCATGTAGCGCAAGATTAATTACATGGTTTACATTATAAAGTTATTTCATCTTCATAAAATCCATCATTACAAATGCATATTTATGCGCTTTATCCTTATAATTATTTTTAAACTAGTTATCTATTTGGCAAACAATTTTAACAAATATTCGGTTTATCTGGATTGCATGAATTTAACTAACAAGAGTAATGACATTTAATACAGTTTTATTATGAGCAAATACATTTATACAGTTTATTAAAAGGAGAAACAGCTTAAGTATATGATGGTGTTTAAATCAAATTTAATTTGCACTTTAAACAATCTTATTGGTTAGGTCCTACACAACTCTAGCATGTTTAATAACATTATAAGCAATAATTTGTACTTTTATCTAAGTAAGTTCCTTCAGGACAAGAGCATTGAAAGTTAGGTAGTAATATTAAATTGTTTATACATCCTAAACATGAGCTGTTTGAAGTGCAATATGAACATAAAAAATTGCATTGCAGACAGGTTTAAACTTTCGGTTTCCCAGCTTAAAATGGCTATAAAATATTATAAAAACCTTAAATGCAATCGCATGTAGAGTAATTTTAGTTGTAAAATCTATTTTAAGAAGAGTCGCATTATGAACATTAGAATTTTGTAGGACCTATACAATTATAACATGAAGAATGGCAGGGTTAACACTATCCTTTAGCATTCTCAAAATACCCTTATATGCAAACACAGCTAGAGCCTTAAAGCTCTCTATATAAAGAAGGTAAACAAGAGAGACATTATGTTTATAAAGCACCGTTACATGTAGCGCATCTATAATTACACAATATACATACAATGTTTTGGGGATCATAAAAGCTGTTAGAAATACAAACACAAGAAAATTATGAAGCAGAGGAATTTAATGGCGTGAAATTTTTGGATGAATCACATTAAGTACACATTGAAGGAGAGGGACCAATACAATTTAAGCAGGATTTATCACATGGCTTGCATAAAGAATTTTAAGATTCTTCATAATAACTTTATTTGCATAAGCAATTACCTTAACTATTACTTGTTAAATATCTAGTTGAATTGCATGACGTACATGAATTAGTAGAATTACCATTACAAGTTTAACATGTATAATTGCATGGAGAACATTTTTTATTTTATGTGTCGTCATACTACCCAGGGTAGCAAAGGCACATTCCATTCTAAATGTATCTATCTGCTTAACAGCTGGAACAGTCACTGCTAGACCCAGCTGTACAAGTTAAGCAACTATATTAACAGGGTAAACAGTTTTTTGTTTAAGTATCATCATAAAATCCACTTTTGCATGGACATGAACCTGCAGAAAAATTTCTATTTGACTTACAAGTTTAACAACCATTAAAAGAACTATTTTAACATGTTTAGCAAGAGTAATGGCAAGGAACGCAAGTTTATATTAATGTATCATCATAATACCCTTAGTTACAAATACATGTATTTCCTTATTAAGTTCTGTTAGATTAACATTAGAGGCAATTATTAATATTTCTACCAGAACATGTTTGACAAGAATAATGACAAGGTTAGCACTGCTTAGAATTTGAATCATCATAAAATCCTTAGTTGCAGAGACAAGTACCATTCATTTGAGGTGTTCTATTTTACTAACAAGATAAACAACTATTATTCTAAGAGTTAGAGCAGGTAGCGCAAGAGTAATGACATTAAGAACAAGTTTTGTTAATTACATCTTCAAAATATCCATCGATACATAAACATTAATTGCCTTATAACTATCTATTAGCTTAGCATGCTATACAGTCATTTGCAGTACTATTAGTACATTTTGAGCATGAATATTAACATGGTTAACATAAATTTGACTTGCTATCTTCATAATAGCCATCACTGCAATTACATATTCCATTTTGAAAAAATCTAAATTATTTACAGGTTAAACAGCCATTTTATGAACTATTTTGGCAAGTTTAACAAGAAAAATGGCACTATTGGCATTTTTAAGAAGCAGAATCATCATAAAATCCTTAATTGCAATGACAAGAACCATCATTTTATTGGCTTCTGTTAGCTTAACAAGTTATGCAACTAGTTTGTAAGGAATTTAAACAGGTAGAGCAAGAATAATGACATTATTAACATAGCTACTAATTAGAATCATCAAAATACCCTTGATTGCATAAGCAAGAACCATCATTTTACTTAGTCCTGTTAGCCTAACATATTAAGCAATAATTTTTTTAAGAGTTAGAGCAAGTTGCACAAGAATAATGACACTTAGAGCATATTTAATTTATTGAATTATCAAAATATCCATCATTACAAACACATAAACCTCCTTTAAATTATCTATTAGCTTAGCAAGCTGTACAATCGTTAGCGGTACCATTATTACATTTTGAGCATGAATATTAGCATGGCTAACATACATGAGATAAGTCTTCATAATAACCATCATTGCAATAACATATCCCATTACTTAAATTTCTATTTTATACACAATTCGTACATTAGTTAGATGCAGGACCTGAACAAAATTAACATGCCGAGTAACATTTTTAGCACTGGTTTAAGCTATCTAAATAATAATTTTAATTGCAAGTTTAGCATTAATTAGAGCCTGGACCTAAACAATTTTAACAAGTATGATCACATTATTAACATTAATTTTAATTATTCTAAAAATAGCCTTAATTACAGACACACTATGAATTTTATAAAGAACTATTTTCAAGACATTAATCACAACTTGTATTTTTAGATATTTTACATATTTTACAAAGACTGTTACATTAAATACATAAGCTACCATTTTCATAGTAGCCTTAAATGCATTCGCATATAGAATTTTAAAAAATCCTATTTTAAGAGCATTAAATACATTACAAAGGGTTAGTAGAACTACAATTTAAACAATTTGCAATACAAGCTAAACAATTCCCTGAACCATCATCGTAAAATGAAGGATTACATAAGCATCTTCCGTTTGAGAAAGTTCGATTAGATTAACATTATGTGCAATTTTAGTTATTTCCTCCATTACAAGATTTACAAGATAAATCGCATTTAGAGCAAGAATTTGAATTCAAATAATAATTTTATTAACATACACATTAAAATGGAGAAGAAGTACCTGATTAAACCAAGTTTTTAGAAGAGTCACACGAAGTACAACTGTATTAATCAGAGCCAATACATGTTTAACAAAGAGGATGGCACATTAATAATTTCCTAACTTAAAATTAATTTTCTTTCCTTTTAAAGTAAAAATTTAAATTATTTTAGTTTTTTTATAATTAAAGAATACCTTAAATATGTTTCTTCAAATGGATAAAAGCTTGTTTACCAATTTAATGATAGTACGATAGGTTAAAAGTAATTAAAAATTATGAAAAGCAATATTTTTTGAAAAAAAGACATCTTCAAGATAACTTAGTTTGTTTTACAATACTTTGTCTAATATTTTTTAATTACTTTAAAAATAAACTAAGTAATTTATTTATTCATTTAAAATTAGATTTAGTTCATAAAAAAAAATTGAATGATATTCACTGATTTTTACATCAAATTGTAATATTGTTATGGAATCCAATCATTAATTGCTTAAAAATCAAATTTATACTTTTTATCATACAACTTATTAAATTTAAAAAAATAAAATCGAGGTACTTTTTGCCTTTAAAAATGCAAATAAAACTAAAATAAATAGTTGCTGTCATGAGTATTTAGTTTTATCAAAATATACATTTTTTAATTCGTAGTTAAATGATATATATTTAAATAAAGAAATAACACTAAAAAAAAAAATTAATTAAAAACTAAAAGTTGTTGTTTACTTATTAGAAAGAATAGATTGATATTGCAACAACGAAACATAAATTAAATCCATACATTACAAAATATTATTAGAAAAATTTTTCTCAAATTTTAAACTTTCTGGAGGAAAAATAAGAGTAAAAGTAAGGGTTTTCTATAAGAAAAGATATATGAAAAAGCGAAAACAGCTACTTTGAAGAATATAATTAATTTTGCAAATTGCTACAGAAGTAGCTCCAACCAAAGTAAAAAATAAGAAGAAGCAAGATAATTTGGTAGCAAATAAGGGCTAGCTAGACTGTATACATGTAACTAAAGTATGATTAGCTTATATCAAGAATGAAATTTTTGCATGCATCTATAAAAATAGAAAGACCTACATTATAATTATCAAGATCAACAAGGCTAGTTGTTTTTTAATATGCGTTGAGCAGTTATTTATAAAGAATAGGATCATTTATCTTGTATAATGAAGCTACAATCGGCATGATTCCAAATGTATCACTAATACTTAGTAATAATCCTCTTGTAAATATTCCATTTCTTATTTATAAGCAATTGCTGTAAGTTAGATCTGATTAGTTATTAAAATATCTACTATTTTAATTTATCACATTACACGCATTTCCCTCTAAAATAGCCAAAACAAAATTATAAAATTCGTCTTAATTTCTTCTAATAAATTGATGTTACTACTTTACAATAATTTAAAGCTAATCAATATCTTATGTGTTTTTATCTATAAGTACATTTCCTCTCATCTCAAATTAAGTAACATTAAAACTAGAATACTCATTAGGCATCATTTTCTTATAACTTATCAGATAGTTAAGTTCAATATTTTCAATCGAGAGTGATTTAGTATAAAAAAGAATTTCTTTTTTTAAAAAATAATTTTAAGGTTAGTAAAAATTAATATTTTATGGATAAAGAATTTAATAAGTTTTTCCTTATAATTTTCTTTTAAAATAGAAAATGGGAGGAAGATTACGCAATTAATTTTAAAAAATTTTGTAAAACTAAAAGCATTGTTAATCAAAATATTTAGCATGAGGATTTTAGATATTTTTTATTTGGTGATGGTGTTAGTAAGACTCTCATATTTTTTATAGAAATTAAATTAAAAATTAATTACATAGTAAATTGAGATTTTGGTGCTATTCATTTACAAAAGCTTGGCAAAGAAAAAAATTAAGCAGAGGATAAACAATAATCATCAAAAAACAGGAGATTGAAAAAAGGATGTGGAAAATTTTTAATTTTGGAAGATCAGTCGTATCAGAAATATTTCTTTTTTTTTCAATTCTCATAGTTTCAAACAATAAAATATTCTATTATTGGTGGTGAGTTAAGAGCTTTTTATTTTTCTTAATATGCTTCGAAAATTAATTTAGATGAGTATGCATCTGAGTAAGGAGATCATGAGAAAAAGTAGAGAAGATTTTCAAAACTTTTTAAGAGTAAGAGGAAATGATTGCATACAATGGGAAAACTGATATTGCAAAAAACAGAGATATCGTAATCATTGCGAATAGCCCAAAGTAGAGCTGAAAGTCCAAGTAGGATTTAATGTCATTCTCATTATTTAAAGAATTATTATTTATTATATCTAGGGCATCTAAAGATTTTAAATAATTTAAAAAAATATTTGATTCATCGTTTTCTCTGTCAGGGAGCATGTTGCTTATTCGAAATAAAAATGAATTGATAAAATCTATGTTATATTGTAAAAACATAGTAGCATTATATTAATAAGGTAGAGTATTAATTGAATTTTAAAAAGTGTAATCTACCTAAGTGTTCACAATATCTCGAAATATTAGATATTCATTAATATCTTTTCCCAGCTGATCTGTAATCAAATTTTATAATAATTTATAATTTTATTAAAGTTAATGTTAAGCTATTTAGGAATACTAATCTATATCTTATTATTCATAATTAAAAATATTATTCTTTAAATATCTTAAGAGCACTTCTCCTTTTAATACTAAAATGATTTGAGACTTTACGCTCATAGGCCACCCTAGGTAGTCAATATTTTTTTTCATCTTACCAAATTAATTATTGATATCTAAATATATTATAAATGTCCCAAGAGCTATTCCTAGCAGTACCAAGAAACCAAGTATTTTGATTGCTGATATAATTAAATCCCTCTAATATTTATTTATTTAGTGCATAATCAACTTTTGAAATATTAAATTTCTTTTTTTTTATTCACTTTAAGAAGAAGTCTCCTCATCTTCATCAATATTTTATTTTATGTCAATTTTATTTTTTTTCTTTTTTTAAAGTTGTTGTTTTGTCTAATTAGAAATTTTAAGATCATTCCTTAATTTCTCAATTACTTAGGCACTATTAAATTATCCAATGTTTCCTGCAATGTTTGAACCGCTAAAAATATTATTCGCTGTTTAAAGTGGGTTTTTGATATCTTATCGAGAATCCAAAATAGCTAAATTTGTTTACAAATTTTGGGTTTACTGCTGAATTAGCTTGGAGGTTTCATTATGATTTTAATTTTTTAAGCTTCCTGATGACTCTGAGGATGAAGAAGAGAAGTCATAGTCGTATACATCAAATTTTGTATTTTTAGATTGCATTTCCTGAGCTTTTTCAAAACTATACTTACTCATGTGATTCATTTCGGTGTTCTTACTTATCATGAGAGTTGAACCCTTCTTTGAGATTTTAGTACCTGATTCAATTTTACTATTTTTAAGAAAATCTAAACTAGAAATCTTACTTTTAATCATATCTTCTTTGAAGCTTTTTTCTGATTATTAAACAATATTGCCAAGTTTTATTTTAATCTTGCCATTTTCATTAAGATTATTTATTTCCTGTTAAGAATTCAAATTCTTTCTATAGCTTTTGAGCATATCTTCTTTGTCATCTTTTTCAAAAATAGCAAAATTTTTCTAGCTTTGTTCTCTATCAGATGTCAAAGGAGCTTATTTTATATCTAAATCTTAACTATTGCTTTGCTGACCATTTTCTTCATTATTATCTTCTTACTTTTAGATATTCTAAAATTATTGTTGAAGAAGATTTTATATACTCTTTAGCATGATAGTTCTTTGCTTGCCTTACCTAAATGATGATAAAGGAGAGTTAGAAAATGGAGATATTTAATCTATCTCTGAGCTAGATTTTTTTTATATTGAAACAAATGTATGTTTATGCATATGATTTCGTTTGTGCTAGTCTGTACTCTAATCAATAATTGTATTTTTCTTTGTTTTACTTTTTGCACTGTTATTGCTGCTATCACTTTCAGACACTACATTTTCTTTATCTTACATCCTACTTGTTAACAACCTAATTAATCCTTTTCTCTAATTTTTTCTTTAAAACTTAATGCCTCTCTAATTCTATAAAGGTGATTAGAATTCATTTGAACTACTTTTTTTATTTAATTGTAAAATTTAAATAACTTTTTCAGGGCTTAAAGGGGATTTTTTCAATTTTGGACTTTACTTATTCTTAGAATTTTATAAACTAAATTTTAGTTTTTAAGCAAATTGTTACAATCTCTTGTTGCCTGCACTTTAATACATTTACTGTTAATAAATATCATTTTATTCTAAAGCTAATTTTGTTTCTTGTATCTTCTACAAAACTTAAGATTGACTATTTTAACTTTTACTCTAAGTACCACTTGTTTTATTGCTCTTTGTTGTTTAAGCAAAACTTTCTTGTTCTTCAACTGGTTCTTCATTAATAGTGTTATTTGACTTTTTTCTTTTAAGAATATAGTTATTTGTAAAATTATCAGCAAACGTCAAATTTTTTTTTTATTTCCTCAAATTTAGCTCATTTTTATGCCTTACATAATTTTACACTTATTATGAGTTTGAGTTATTGTTTTCTTTACTAACTTAAGTTAGTTATATATTATCATCATTGTTGGTTTAAATTTATTTAAGAGATTCACAATGATTAATTTAAGGCATTTATAAATTATTGTCTGGCTTTTAATCATTTTGGTCATCAGAAATATTGTTGATGGATTTTTATATTTAATTAAATGGATTAAAATTGCTTTCAATTTCTTTCTTACTAGGTATTTGATTAATTTACACTTAATTACTTTCATCTAATGGAAGAAAAACACTATTTTACTCTGCTAATTTATTTGTAATCATTTTTTCGATGCTAACTTCATCATCATATTTTAAATTTAAGCATTGGTCCATTAAATTTAAAAGAATTTATCTGGGAGTTTGATAAATTTCATCGAGCTGCTACACAAGAGTAGAACAAGCACTAGCATATTCTTCTGAAAGTTATTTTATTTTACTAAAACTATTTATAATTAAGTTATAATATCTAAAGCCATACGAAAAGTGAGATTGCAATTAAAAAACAATTTTATAAATGTTGCTGGTTGATAATTAAATTTATTAAATGTCATTTTCGATGCTAAATGTTTTTTAAAATAAGATCTAACGAGCCTGCTTAGAGTAGTTGACAATTAAAAAGGATTCAAATATTTCATCTTAATTGTTTGAATACGCTACATCTTCTTCATTTTTAATTGTGACTGTTCCTAAAAATAGTGGAATCAATTTATTAACATTAAATTATTATACTTCACTTAAAGTAAAATATTAAGAAAAGACTTCTTTGTAAATACTTTCAGAAATGCCTGAAATGTTAAATGCTTCAGAGATCATCATGAAATTCTACTTTTCGCTAACCCTTCTAAAGATTCCACTTATTCCAAAATCATCTTTGCCTACAATATCAATTTTTAACTTAAGCATTAGAGGTATAATAAAACCTTTCTTATTTTACCCAAGAATAAATCTGAAGTTCTAAAAGCAATGATTATTAGAGCCTCTTTTAGAAAAGTTATTTAAAATTTACTGGTGTTTTGTTGAAATGTTGGAAGGGATAATTATATTAATATTTTTTCCAATCATTTCGTGGTTTTGGTAGTCAAATAGAGTACCTAAATTATTAGACGCCCCTGTGATTGTTCCTATATTTTTAACTAGAGTTATAAAAACAATGCTAAAACGCTCTGATCTGTACATTTAAATTTTAGGGGCTGCTTGATTTTGTCCAGTATTCTACTGATTATTTATTTACTATTAATTGCTCTATGAAGACTTTTAGTAAAAATTTTTAAGCTTGACATCGCCCATGCTAAGAAAATATATGTAACTTTAAATCTATTCTTTCAAGTTACTATTTTCATCATTAATTGCGCAGCTTTAATGCAATTTCGCTTTTAAAAGTTTCCTCTATTGAATCAGCTAGGTGGCTTTTTTAAAAAATTAATTTAAGTCCATAATATTATTAGACATATCATTTAGGAGTAGCTTCTTATTTTTAATGCAATCTTCAAGTAGGAATTAATTATTTTTCAACTCCCTATCGTAGTCAATAATTTACAAAACATTGATATGATCATTCATAAAGGCTTCATACTTGAAGGATTCTTCAGCTTGCTATAATATTGAGTAAAGAGATTATTTTTCTCTTAAAGATTTTTATCTTGTCTTGTCATTTTTTTCATTTAAAATTTCTAAGTAAGCTATTGTTCGTTTTTTGTACACTTGAATTAAAAATGACATGTAACAATATTTTATATTTGCTTTTTTGTCGATTTTCTAACGCGCTTTGAGGATTTGCTTATATAAGTCTCTAAAAAACTCTTAAACAATAAATGTTTGTCTTGAAAGCCCTATGTAATCCTCTTTTTCATCTTCTATCTTTTATAATAAGTAACTTTATATTATTGTTGTACATTTATATTATTTAAATTGTAAACTTCTCAAAAATTGAGATTAAACAAAAATTGTAATTATAAAAAATGAGGCCAATATTAAAGCATAAAATTCTAAGTTAATACAAATTCCGCTATTAAATATGTAGCTTTAAACTAAATAATTATAATTATCCTATTATTGAGATGATATAATATTTTTAAAGCTGTAATAATACTAAATAATTTTTATAATAAATTTGAATTTTATTTATAGTAACTAATAAACACTAACTTACATTATCTTCAATAGATTCAGATGAAATTAAAGCAGATAAAGTTAAGCAAGTCTCTGGATCATTAAAGAAATGACTAAATTTAAAATTAAATTAAGTTTTTTCATAAAGTTTTCTTAGATAAATATCTATGAAATTAGGATTCCTGCACTCAAAATCTGGGTTATTTATTGATTAGAGCAACTAGTATTCTGCTTAATTTATCAAACTCCTATAAATAAGGTTCCCAACTTTAATTGAGATAGGTATAATACAAATTAAGCAAAGCAATAAAGACAAATCTCTACCCACATCAATATAAACATTAAAAGTAAAAATAACACTTGATAAAAAATTAAATATACAACAGTACATATTTATCTTTTGCAAGATCTAAGTATAGTAAGGTAATTCGTAAATAATATCCAAGCAAGTAGCTAAATTCATAGCTATATTGACATAAACAATTATCTTATAATTTAAGATACTGTTAAAAACTGCATTTAATATCTCTATTAATGCTATTAAATATGTAAAATAAGAATATCTTTTAGAAATTTTATTTTTTGTTGCATAAGCGTGTTCATATATATTAAGACAACAGATGTAACCTAATTTTTTTTCATATTATTAAAAAAATAATTTAATAAATAGTATTAAAGAGAAAATATTGATTATTTATATATTCATTATTTAAAATCTTTTAAGAACAAAAATGTTTCAATTTGATTTATATTTTCTAAATTCTTTTTTGCTTAGATTGATTGATATTAAGATTATCCTTTTAAGTGAATTAATTTTTTTGAAGATATTATTTCAGTTCTTGAATTTAATTTCGATGCTTCTTACTTCATCAGTTCTATTGATTAATTTTAAATACTATAAAATTACGTAAATTAAATAATAGCAATTATTAGCATCGAACAATTATTAAAAGTTAATATATTTGCAGAAGCAGTATATTTTGTAATTTTTTTCTTTGTTCTGAATTAACCTAAATTCTAAATGGAGATTAATTTATTTTAGTTAGATGCAGCAATCAATTGATAAAAAAATTAAGAATTTATATATTTATACCAATCTATTAATCAATCAATCAATCTTTCTTTCTTTACAAAGAGTTTTTTGATAAAACTAATCAATTATAATAAAATATAGTACTTATTAGCATAGTAAATATAAAGTTAAGGAGCCACAAAATGCTCTTATCGCTTGAAGATTCTGAGCTAAAATAGGAAAAAGGTATCAAAAATATATAATTGTAGCTTTAATAGAAAAAAGAGAACGTCTTTTCATAGTTTTTAAGTTATTAAAGTCTTTCTTCTTCTACATCTGATGTCTTTTTTTGAGTTATCATGTAGACAAAAGACTAGGCTAATAAATAAATGATGAGAGTAGAATTTACAGAAAGTGAGAAGTAAAATATTATATTTCGATATGATGCATTTGGTAATAATAATTAGAATCTATTTAAGTTAGATATCAGATAATCTTAGCTTTCTAAATCCTTAATTACTTAAGTATTTATTGAAAGCTAAAAGCGAAAAGCATGATTAACTAATATAAAAATTATGCTTAGAAAGATGTTTATATCATATCCAATCATCAAAACTCTGATTTTTTCAATATAGAATGATTCTAATTTTCTAAATACTTCATTAACTTGATTCTTATTTATCAACCTGATTTGCATATTATTCGTTTTTCCTTTATATATTCAATTTAATTACTTTTGTTTTACCTAATATTTGTAATCAAAAGAATGTTTACCAAAAATTAGTCTATTAATTTTTTTAATATACTGAATAATTTTAAAATTAAAAAATTCATTACATGTAAATGTGTATTTTTATAATTGATAATGATAGCCATAAACATTTTTACAATATAAAATGAACTTTTGTTCTAAAATTTTATTAATTTTTCTTTTTAAATGAATGTTATGAAATATGTAATTTACAATTTACATTGATTTAAGTAATTAAATGATTGTTATATCATCCTATCTACATTTTATATTAAAACAGTAAATTACCTTATTTAATTTCTATCAAAATTAATATTTATTTATTTAAAGGAACATCAAAAGCATTTAACACATATAAAACGAAAAAAATAATATCATAAATCAACATTTCTCTTTAAGAAATTATATATATAAGAATTTTCAATTAGAGAATTCACGTCCATCACTGAAAGTAGCAGCTTTGTTTGAAATAGTTGGTGATCAAGATACTTATAAAAGGAGAACCACCCAAAGTAAAAAATGAGCACCATTATTAGCATTTAGTATATTAACAAAGCAATTTAAAATGTTTTCATATAATTGAAGTAATCTTCACTATTTTAAATTATAAATGTTCTCAATGCTGAAATTATTTGAGCCAGATAAGTTGCAAATGTATTGAATTCTGCAAAGTTAAAAGCAGATTAATATGCAGTAAATTTCTATGTAAATATATTGCTGTCTGTAATTTAATACATCGAAAGCATATCAGGAAACACCTCAGTGAACTTTTTAAGAGATATTTGTAATCCTTAATTAAGTATTCCTTTTCTTATTCCTGTGCAATTGCTTTGGGGAATCAAATTTTACTAATCTTAGAATTGCTAATATTAGTTAAGAGGAGTGCAAACATTGTTATTTAAAAGTTCGAAAAGAAAGTTATCATAAAGGTTTTATTAATACCTAATTATTTATTTATATAATTAGTTATCTAATATTTTATGATTTAAAATTTTACCTGTTGATAAACTCTTGTTATTAAATTGTTCCCTATAAATTAGTTATGAGATTTTATCCTTATGTGTACATATCTTGAAGTGTTTAAACTTGCAAAGTAATATTAAACTACTTTTTATTAGGAAATCCTTTTAAGATAAGACAAAAGTAGTTTTAAGCTACGCTAGCTAATATGAAGCTTTGAATTTCAAATAAATTAGCTAATTTATAAATTAAAATAGTTAAATTTTGCTTTGAATTTATTTAAAGATTAAAAATAATTAAATTGAAAAATTATTATTAATATTTTTAAAATTTAATATTTTTAAAATTTAATAATTTTTGCTTGAAAATATCTTGAAGATAAAAATAAGTTTTTTACACATCAATTATGTATTCTATTTTCCTTATTAAGTGTAATTTGAAGTGATGTACTCATTTAATAGTGGATAGATTATAGATAGACAATAAGAAATAGCAGTGAATACCAAAATCGTCTTGTTTATTCTAGGTAAACTTGAAGTAGAGCTCAGAATCTGCTTTTTAGAAGATTATATTTACTTTTATTTCACAATGATTTACTAATTTAACTTTGTCTTTAAATTAAGACTTCCCTTTTTAAGAGATGTGCTGTTTTAAAAATAAAGAGTATTTAATTAAATAATCTTAATTTCTAATTTTTAGCTATCAAATGTTGCAAACAACTTTAATATTTATTCTCTTTTCGATTGTATAAAAGAAAATAAAGGAATGACAACAATTAAGCAGCAAGCAAGTACAATCATAATAATGATCATTAATTGACCTAACTATTGTTAAGTATTATTTAACTGATCATACATTTATTGCTTCGATGACTAGTAAACTGTGTTCAATTAATTTTTCAAGACAAACATATTTGTTATAAATCCTCTTTCAGATGTTCCTTAATCATCATTCAAAAAGGCATAGCTAAAAATATTTTCTGATTAAAGCAGTAAACTATAGTCAAGGGTATAAGTAGTGTTTTGCATAGTGGAATAAAATAAACTAAAATTAAACTAATTATTGCTTTAATTATACCAATTAGTATTATTCTAGCCTGAACAATTTCTATTTCCACCACCTCCACCTCCATTTCCCTAACCACCACTTCCAGTACTTGGATTTCCTCCTGTTCCTGCACTACTACCTCCACTTGCTCCAGCATTCCCACTACTGCCTGAACTACCACTTCCTCCAGTACCAGTATTTCCTCCAGTACCTGCACTTCCACCTCCTCCTGTACCTGTGCTACCACTACTTCCTGATCCAGAGTTCCCACTTCCTCCTTTTCCTGAACTTCCACTTCCGCCTTTTCCTGTACTACCACTTCCTCCAGTACCTGTACCAGAATTTCCACTAGCTCCTGTACTTCCACTACCACCTGTTCCTGTACCTCCAGTTCCAGAATTTCCACCAGTCCCTGTATTGCCACTTCCACTTCCGCTAGCCCCTCCACTAGTTCCAGAACTTCCGGTTCCTCCTTATCCTGTATTTGTACCATTTTAAGTACAGTTTGGTCTTTTTCTATTATCGAACTTTTATGGTATATAGGTAAAATTAGAAGGTGTTTATCTAACGTAATAAAAAATCTGAATCTGCTATGAGGGTTATTACATTTACTAAAGCAGTCTAATTATATTACTATATGAGCTGTTTAGCTCTTAATCAGATTGATAATTTAGTTGAGTAACATTATTACCAGAGGCTATTGGAAGTTAGTTTCTGCTACCTAATAAAGTTTGAAAATTTACATTCTTTTAAATTAATGACATTTAGCTTTGTATTTACATAGGCCAGTCAAATACTTTAAAATTTTAAATCTGGTCATCGAAAATTGAAATGATTTAATAGTACTACCATACAGTCACTCCAATAATAGCACAAACACACAAGAAGCCAACAATACTGATTATTTTCATAACAAACAGAGATTTTTTAGTTTTTACTATTTTTTTAATGTTTTTTTTTGTAGAGCTCAAGTTTGAAGATCTAGAGTGGGTGGAAGATACTTCTAAAGCATCTTAGAGATCTTTTTCTTCCTTGTTTTCTTAATTTTCCTTTTTGTCAGAGCTTTTGTGCTCACTTGGCAATTATTCATCTACTTGACTCTATTATTTTGAAAAGAACTTCTGTTGTCTTGCAATCCCGATGTGACTTTATTCAGAAAAATTTGAAAACAATTTATTCCTCGAAATTTAAGTACTGGCTTTGATATACGAAATGCTTTGGCTTTAAGAATTATTATGCAAATTATTAGCTTCGTGGTTAGTTTAATCATCAATTTACTTAGTTTGAGTAATGTTAACCTAATTATTCATTGAAAACTCATGTTTATAGTTATCTCCGTTATCATTATTTTTAGTGTAGTTTAAATTATCATATTCATTATTTAGATCCTAATAGCTCATAATATTTAATGATTTAGGAGAAAGCATATTTAAAGGCATATTATTAGTACTTAAATGGCCACTATTAATAATAGGTGAGTTTAAGGGAAAATTTACATCTTAATAAACTTGTTAATCGTTTTATGTCTATTAATTGTCATAGTTTATTTATCTATTTTTTATGATTTTTTCTTATCTTTAAGACAGCAAATCATTCTCATTTTCTTCTTTAGTCTCTATAACTTTTTCCATCTATTCCTTTGATTTATTGTTAATTGGTATGCTACTTTATATATTTTTGGAGTCATTACTTTTTTAATTTTCATTTACTGAAAAAGATCCATTATTAATCATTATTTTTTATGAAAAATCTTTAGTCCTTCTTTTTTGATATATATAAGGGGTGGTTACCTCATCATATTCTTCTGTTTCTTCGGATATACTGGAGACAGGGCCTTACTACTGCTATATCTATGTGAGAGTTTGAATATTTTGTAATTCTAATATAAACTTCTCAAGATCGTGCTAATTGACTGAAAATTTATTTGTTTTTATTTCAGCAATTTCGTTATTTGTTAATAAGGGCAAAATTGTTTAAGTGCATAAAACAGGATTTATTTCAATTAAAGAATCTATTTCGAGATAATTTAAATTTAGTAATCTATTTCTAAAAGGCTTGACATTTACTCTCATTTAGTAAAATGAATAGGCTTTTGTTGTATTTGATTACAAATTTACTTAGGCATAAAGGTTTTGAATAGAATTTGTTGTATTCACCTTTTATTATATGTTAGAAAATTATGACTGTGGCTTTTCTACGATCATTATAAACACAAAATCAACAGGGAAATCTTCTTCATATTATTGATCTTCATCATTTTCTTTATTTTTAAAATCTCCTTCTTCATCATAGAATGTTGTCAAGTTATCATATTAACTATGAAAGCTCTAAGGATGTCTTGAAGATTAAGCAGGTTCCGATTGCATTCCTTATGAGTTATTTACAAGATCTTAATCATTATTTTTAATATTATTAGAAGTTTATATTTTTTTTAAGCTATTCACATTAGTAGTACTTTAGAAGTATGAAGAGTTATTTGTGTTAGTGTGATTAAATGCTTTTAATGTTTTTTCATAGTTAAAAAGCTAGCGAATGGCATTTTTGTTTTTTAAAAATGGGAAAAATTTCTTTAAATCAATTTTTTTGAAATCTTTAATATGACCAAACACTGTTTAATGAAAATTCTCAGTAATGCCAACTATTTTATTTTTTTTAGAATGTTCATAAAGGATAAACTCACTATTTTATTTAATTCCTTTAATAAGCGCTGTAATTCCAAAATCATCGGTGTACTCAGAACCAACTATAAATTAGGTTAGTCTTAAATTCATTTCTATTGGAAGAATGTAACCACCTTTTATGATTCCAAAGAGCATATCTTTATAAATATTCTATTCACTCAAATTAGGGTTTTCTAAGAACCTTTAAATATAAATTTTGTGCTTTGATTAAATTTAAGATGGAATAAATCTATCGATTTCAGTGTTTATTATATCAGATTCATTCACTTTGAATAGTGAACAGAACGAACTAGAAACTTTCTTTATTATATTTTAACGTTCTTTTTAAATAGACACAAATAATACTCCTGTATCTTCTTAGAAAAAATGTTTCTAAATATAATTTAATTATTTTTATTAATAGTTTATTTTAACATCCCTTTCTGAGAATGACAAGTTTTCTAAGAAATTCATATATAAATAGTGTAGTTCTTCACTTAATTAATTCATAGAGGCTAAAGAATTCAAATTTTTCACTATTCTATCTCTTAGTTTGTAAATTTAAACCAATCTATCGTTTAATATTTCTAAATCTATAAATTTATTTGACATCATATATAAAATATTCAATTTAATATTTATTGCCTTATCAAGCTAATTCGTAGTTTCTTATGTGATTTATTCGAATATTATTGGAAGAAGAAATGAATTATTAAAATAACTGTAAGTATTTCCTTCAACTTTCTATTCAAATTCAAGCTGCTCATTAAATTTTTATAATAAAACTTCAAGCATTTACTGGTTTTTAATAGACATCTCATTTTAATCTTTGTTGTGTATTTACATTAGAAATTATTATGGAATCTATTAGATTTGCATCAAAAAAATTAGATAGTAAAAGCGAATGTCTGTCTTTTTTTCTTAGCTGATGCTAGTTTCATTTAAAAAAATTTTAAATATTTTTTTGAATATTTCCTTTAAACTTATTTTTAACTACTCATCATTACCAAAAGCTTATTCTTTTTTTACATATAGATCACCATCTATTATTTCTTCTTTCACTACATACCGTTTAGAGCCATTTAAAATAGATTAATCTTCCTATTCCTAATTGACAAAATAATACTACTATAGCAATGTCTGATTAAAGCTTTCATTTTTCTAATTAGCTGAGTCTTAAAAGATTAATCTCATTATTTAATCTAATTCAAAGGGGTGAATTTGGGCAAACAAATGCTTATCTTTTGTTTTTAGGATTAATTTTAGTAATTGCATTTTTTAATTGAGATAAATTTAATATATTTCATCTAAATACATTATTATTTTGTATGTAATAGGAATAAGAATCATGATTAGCAAGCAATAAAATTATGAAATACTCGATTTGTAGCATGAGAAAAGAGCTATAAATATAAATGATAAATATAAATAACCAAATTAGACTATCTTTAGAGTTATTTATTTATAGAAGGATTTCCAAATTAGCTGAATACAAAATATTATGAAATAAATAATGCCTAACAGCAGGGATAAAGTCTGCAAGGAGCTAATTTACTGGCTGCAAATTCCCACAAGTATTAGTAATAATAAACTTATATAATTGGTTTTTGAAATTCTTTTTGCCAAATGATCTTTAGATGATATCAGATAATCGTAGTCTTAATCAGTGCATATAAGTCCTATTTTTATTTGATTAATAAATATATTTATAGCATGCTTGACTTATTTGATGGTTAGAAAAATATCTTAAAAAGCTCAATTAAATAAAGAAAATTTTTTCTTTTAATCAAATATATTTACCTATTACAATAACTAAAATTAAAGATACTATTGATACAGGATTGTAGTTCATTGAGGAAATAATTACGCAAGGTACCAGCAGTATATCATTGTGAATTTAGAATACTATAGAAAATAAGACCACAACAAAGTACTGCTTCTATTTGTGTTTTGGTATTTGAATAATATCATTAGTTATCTGGTTAGAATATAAATTATTGATTTGCAATGGCTGCTGCTTTCTTTCCGCTGTTTAAATTTGCTCATAAAAGAATAGAAAATACTAAATTATCAAATATAAAAATAAAATTGAATGTAAACAAAGAGATGCTATTTGAAAAGAAAGCCTTATAGTTTGATTTTCCTTTATATTTGTATTATAGTTTAGATTATCGAAACTTTTAAAACTACTCTCTCTTGTTTGAAAGTATATAAACAACTCTTCTTGACTAAATAAAGGTAAAAGCAATATCAAGAACTTAATTGAGAGAGTAATGTAACTAAATAACTGATTTCTTTGAAAAACACTTATTAAATTATATAACCTTTGCTTATAAAAATTGCTCGATTTGTTAACTAAATCCTAAAAAAAGCTAATCCTCTCTACTTATGTACTCTTCATTTATTTTATTAAATCTGTTAGTTATTTGTTTTGTTTCTTTAAATTATTTGTTTCTTTTTAATTAAACTTACTCAATTATCAAAGTCTTTTTTCTTTTCCCCTTTTTGTTAATATCAATAAATCAAACTAATTGATAATGATGCTTTTTTTTTACCAAAATAAAACAAATAAAAAAGTAAACCAAATGTTTAAAGTATACAAAAAACTATCTAATCGGTTTACAAAGTAAGAAGCAATTGACTTTATTAGTTTTTATATTTCGAAACCAACCAATTAAAATTTCTCCTTAAAATTTTAGATGAGTAATAAATATTGTATAAAGTTGAAATTCAATTCATAATAAAACATTTTTCATATCCAAAGTCAAAAATAAAAAGCACATTTCAGATGTAAATGTTAGTTTATTAATAAAAGAAATTAATAGCATTGAAATTATTATTGTAACACAAATTTATAATAAAATAAAATTCTATTTACTGCTTTGAGCAGATAAAGTAAACTGTAAATAGCTATTGAGACAGATAAAATATTGGATTTAGCAGTTAAAATTTTGTTTCCATTAAACTGTTAAATTAACTAAGATATAAAATGGAACAAAAATATAAAAGATATTTAAAGTATTACATGATACGTTTCATAATTCACTTGTATCAAATTTATGGAACTAAATGATAATAATTTTAAAGAATATTAAAAATTTTAAAGAAATAAAGTAATTGCACAAAAATTAATATATATTGTGTAAAAATAGAAAATCTATTAAAAATTATATAATTTTTTTAAGAACTTAAGATTTAGGTGAAAATATATTCATGACATTAATAATATTTTTTGATATTAATAACTACTTAAATTAATATTTGTATTTTAAAATGATGAATTTTCTAAGTTTCAATTAATACCTTTAGATAATTAAAGCTTAAACTAAAAATTAAGAATAACAAAAAATAAAAAATGACATTATTGAAACATATTATTTTTATAAAGATATTCTCAAATTTCTTATGTTGCAATCTATTGATTTTTTTATTTTAATTCACATAAATACTTCTATTAAAAAATCAAATTATTAATAAATTTTAGTTCTAGAGATAAAGTTAGTTTAAATTTATTTGCTTACACTTATAAATTTTTTATGAAGATTAAAAAGTAAAATATTGTAAATTGAATTATAATTAAATGAAAAAATTAAATTACAAAATTTTATCTTTTTAGTCACAAAAATAATAAGTATTTATAAAATGTCTGATAAATATAAATCAGAATTAAAATTTATTGCTTAAGATTTCATTTTTAATAAGTTTAGTGTTATAATTTCTTAAACAATTTTAAGACCTTTGCAGAACTATTAATTTATTATTAAAGAAAAATAAACTCTTTCTTTATTATAGTGCTTAACTAAGCTATGGATAGGTAATAAATCTATGTGTATTAAATAAATGTTCTTCGCATAGAATAGCTTTGTCTATAAAGATATTTTTGAAAGAAATTTACTTTAAAAAAATAATTAAAATGAAAATGGAGGAATAGCATTAATGAGTAAAAACTATATTATTTGTGGGGTAGCTTCTATTTTACATCTGCTACAAAGAGATCTTACTATAAATAAGTTTTAAAGTTCATTAAATATTAAAATATACCTTTAAGAATTTGTCTATAAAGCAGTATCTGTAGGTACTTATGACACTTTTAAACCTAGCATATATTGTTAAAATTAATAACTATACAAAAATCTATTATTAGCTTTGATTTGTTCTAGTTTAGGATAACTCATGATGATCCCATTCAGGCTCCTTAAAATTTAGTAAAGCTTAACACAAAACTATCAAAATTAGAAAATAACAAAAAGTTTTTCTATTATTAAAGAGATTTATGGTAAAAAATAACTCTTAAAATTTCTTTAGACTGATAAGAGCTGTATTTACTAATAAATAATTTTTGATGCTATTTTAATATTTATTTATGATAGTATAAAGATTAATAATATAAATTTATACTGATTATTAAGTATTTCTTTCTGTTTTTGCCTCTTTACTAAGGCCAAAAGACAAAATTAAATTAAGAAGTTTTAAATAATTAAATTTTTGCAAAACTTCCTCTATACAAAAATTAATTAATTAAAAATATAAATTCTTTCTGTTTGTATTTGCGTAGCTATATATATCTGTATAAAGTATATCCATCCATCCATTAAATGATATTAATAATATATCTTGCATACATACATAATTCATTTTTTTTGATAAAATATGTATAAACAAATTTATTAAAAAAGATAGATTTATTAATATTTTACCAGTCTGGGTTTATAATTTTTATTATATTGATTTATATATAAGCAAAATACTTTGGTATTTTTAATTTTTTATATTAATTACAAAAATATTTCATTTAATTTATTATTTTTACTTAATCAATTAATTGCTCAACTATAGAAATGTAATATTAGGTTACTATTATTTTAAAAACAATTAGGTTGTTTGATATAATTAATCATTCGAGTGAACCCAATTTAAAAATCAATAACTTATTATCAAAATAAAAGACAAAGAGTAAATAGAAAATATATCAAAAATTTTAATTTGATTTTTATTGAGGAAAAACACAAAATTAAGTATAATAAAGGGAAAAATTTTAATTAATATTAGAGTTTTTTATTTTTCTTTAGAAGTTTGTATTTGCTTTTAGTTAAATACAGTCAACATAAATTTATTTAATATCAGTAAAAATCAATAATTAACATTAGATTTTAAATAATTATATACATAAGTGTTTTCTACAAGAAAATTGATATCAAAAAGCGAAAGGAATTACTTTGTTTCATAAATTTGATAATCTAAATAGCTATAAAAGCTTATCCACCCAATTAAGAAAACTAGAACCATTACAATAAGCTAATAGAATAGTATTGAAAGCTAAAACTGATTTATATAATCTAAGTACTATTAGCTGTTTTGTAAAATAAAATCTCTCAAGATGCTAATGACTTTTGTCAAATATGTTTCAAATGTATTAAAATCATTGATATCAAAAGATTACTGCATTTATTTAAACTAAGTTTAAATTAATGTTGAGTTATTTAAATTATATAAATTTAAAAGGTCTTCAAGAAATTTAAAGAAATCTACTAGAGAAATAATGAGCCCTTAAGTCATCATTCCTCCATAAGTAGTCCTACAAACATTTAAATCTATTTAATTTTATGAGCTAACATATTACGGATAAGCTGAAAGTATATCGCAGATATTTCCTTCCAAAATAGGAAACAAAAAATTATCAAATAAGTCTTGTTAATATCTATTTTTAAATAAAAAATCTATTAGAATTTATTTTAATTAATATAAGTTTTTTAGAAAAGTGAGTTAATTATTAAGTTTGTGATTAATTAGATACCTCTAAAATTATTGCTAGCTTTAAATAGTTGATTATAGATTCGTTAAAAGCTAATTTCCTTTGTCTACATTAGCTGTAAGCTATCCTATTTGGCTGGTAAGATTGTATTACTTTCTATTAGGAGCTACAGCTAAAAGCATAGATAAATAATTTTCACCTAAAGTCTCAAGCATAAATCCCTTAATTTCAAAAATGCTAGCTATTTTTTAAGAAAATAAATAATTAATATAAAAGTATTGTATAATAAATCAATATAGTTACCAACTAACACAGTATTCTAATTAGATTAATTGATGAATTAAGTGGTTACAAATTTATTTAACAGAGGATATATAATTGAGAGTCCATACACTATTATTGTTAATAAGATAACTCCTTTGTTAATTTTAGATAGTTTTGATGTTTCACTGACACTTTACTTTCTTATATCATCAACTTTCTAATAAGCCTATATTTAGCGCTTCAAAAATTTCTAATAATTAACTTCTATTTAACTATAAACAGCGTTATTTTGATTATATATTTTGCTTAGTAATGCAATTTTCATATCTAGCTTTTCAGAGTTAAAAGTCCCAAATAATATTAAAATTTACTATCTTTTTTGTTAAATGAAAGAATAAAGAGGGAATACAGTCAATAAACAAAGAGCATTGATAATAATAATAATTATCATTAACTAATCAAGCTGTTGCTAAGTGTTTTAAAGCTGATTGAATGTATCTTGCTTAGAACTTGTATATACTAAGTTTAAAGTATCTAATCCTAATTACTAGTTCTATAAGAAACCTTATTCACCAACGTTATCTCCTATTATTGCATATCTATATAGGTATTGTGATAAGAGTATTAAACTGTAGTCTAAAGAAGTGGAATAATTTGTTACAATATAGCTATTTTTATTTCCTTATTGATAATATTGATTTTGCTATTATGAATTATTTTAAGAATAGTTACCAAACTATTAATTATTGCAGTTATTATTTGTTTTATTTGAGTTACCGCCATTGTTTCCAGAAGAGTTATTATTATTATTAGTATTTGTTTGATTTTAATTATTTCCTCCTCCTCCTCCTTAACTAGAGTTGTTAGTGCTATTAGAGTTACTATTAGTACTATTAGTCTTTGAACCACTATTTGTATTTGTAGAGTTTCCTAGATTTTGATTTGTAGATGTACTGTTATTGCTTTGATTTCCGTTACTAGTCTTGTTTCCAGGATTATTATTAGTACTTGTACTATTACTACTTTAGCCACTGTTACCTTAACTCCCAGTGCTATTAGTGGATTTTCCTCCTGTACTACTACTTCCTGTACCTGAACCTGTCCCTGTACCTGTCCCTGTACCTGTCCCTGTTCCTGTCCCTGTACCTGAACCTGTACTATTTCCTTAATTTTGAGCTCCTCCTGTTGAAGTATTATTTTAATTTGTATTCGTACTATTAGTTTAACTTTGCTAATTTCCGTTGCCTGTTTAATTTTTATTACAATTATAATTATTTCTTTATATAACTTATGACACAAAACCAAAAGTAAAGTTTTGATTTCTAACGAATTAAAATATCTATCTCTTAACAGAAGGGGATTCCATTTCAGAAAGTAAATCTTAATATGAGTTAAAAGATGCATTGAGCTCACTTAAAGATTAATTTTTAAGCAGTTACAAATTGTATGCTGGTGTTGAGTTAAATGCTTTTGCTTGAATAAGATTTTATAAATTTTCATTTTTTTGCATTAGAGCCATTTCACTTGCAATAGAGATAGGCCAATCAAACATTTTTAGATCATCAATTTAGTCATTAAAAATAGTTAAGCAATTAATGTATTATTGAATTGTAACAGCTATAATTAATGCTATGCAAATTAGCCCGACGACGCTTATTATTCTCATCACAGAAAGTGATTTCTTTGTATTTATTATTCTGTAGAGTGTATTCCTAGTACTAACAATACTAGATTCTCTTGAATGGGTGGAGCATTGGTCTAGTTTATCTTTCAATCCTTGATCTTCATCTTCGTCAGCAAGATCAAATATATTTTTTCTTGCTTTTGAAGTGTTCCCTTTCTTTTCTGAATTTTCAAGTTAGAGCTACTTTACCTAATTAGGCTTTGAGAAGAATCTTTGCTAATTTAATAGTTATTGCTAGCTATTAGTAAGCTTTTGTATTTAAGAATGAGTCTAATCCTTTTGAAGTGAGATTATTGTTGTCCTATGTTAAATAGATTTATCATCTATTTTATTGGAGTATATGGAACTAGATACTTCTTATTCTCCCTTTCCTAATTATTTTTATATCTTTTGCTGTAATGCTAAATTACTTTTTGTCATTAATTATTCATAATTAAGATTCTAAAATGGTAAATCTGTTATTTCAATAGGTCTAGGAGAATTAATAGCACTTTAAAAGATTTCATCTTAACTAAAAAGTTAATTATTTGATAAAAAATTATTATAAATATTTGGGTCACTAAGTAAAATTTTTTGGCTCAAATGAGTTTCTTGGTTAGTTTATGAAAGTATCACTTGCTATTAATCTATAGAAAAATTTTTAAGTTAAGCTTGTAAATAACTATTTTTTGCAACTTGATTGTAGTTATTAGGTTTTCCATTTATATCTTGAATGCTTATAGCAAGAGGACTTAGCAAAGGAGATAATTAAAATACCTAAGGAGAGGATTAAAGATTAATAGGAGAATTATTATTTTCAAGTTTATCTTTTTTACTTTATCTACTATGCATTGATTTTCGTAGTGAGCACTCATCTTCTTCATTTTTTTCAGATATTGAATTGTTTGAGTAATTTTAATCTTGTGTTACTAAAATTAAATGCTGAATAATTTTATCAATCTCATCTCTGTGGAAGCTAGTTTTATTAGTGTATAAATTAGATTCTTCGCTTTTAAGCATAGATAAAATCTAGATACCATTTATTTCAAAATTCAGCTAATGAAGGTTAGACATTTATATGTACATTAAATTCTATAATTCTGCTTATAATTTTTGAATTTGTATTTTCATATTATAGAATTCAAAAGAATTTTATATTTTAGCTTCATTTTTTTGTTTATCAATTATTAAAAGAAAATTTATTTCTTTCTAATGGAAATTATTGAGTAAATCATTTGAACTTTCTTACAAGTATATCTTAACTTCACTATTTTGTATTAATTAAAAAGAATTAGAGTTTTCTAAAGTAGAGTTTTATATTTTTTGCTGTTGATTGTTATTTTTTTAAATTAATGCAATTGAATTAGGCTAGATTATTTTTTAATTATTATCTAATTATTAATTATTAAGGAAAGGCTTTATAAAAGGGAAATATTTTTGTAATTCTATCATTCTGCAATCTTTAAAATTAGAAAAAACAATTTGATGAAGTTATTGAGTAGCTCCTACGATTTACATGTTCTGGTGATTGAATAAAATGTATTCTAAACCTTGTGATTTTTTACTTCTAACTAATGTACTCATACCAAATTCACTTTAAGTAGATATCTAAGTATATTTTAAGGAAATTTCTATAGGAATTATGAATCCTTACTATGTTACTCCAAACATAATAGATTTATGAAGGTTTGCACTATTGAAAACGTTTATGCATTTTTGTACATACATTTGATGAGTTTTATGGAAAATTCTTGGCATTAGTACTTCAATATTGCGCCCAATAAGCTCCTCTTCATTTCTTTCAAAGATTCTACAAAAATTAGCTGATACTTTCCTTATAACAGAGTTCTTTTCATCAACCATAGATATAAATGAAATTCCAATATCTTTGTTGAATAACTTTTTAGTTAGCAAATTTTTGGTTTGGAGATTAATAATTGAGTTATTATTGACTTATCCAATTAAATTAAATTGCTTTTTCAAATTCTTAGTGTGATAATTACTATAATTAATGCGAATATCTCTATCTGTAAAAGAAAGACAGTCAAGATAAACAGAATAAATAAACTGCAAGCTTGTGTTGTGTTGGTTTAAGAATGCTAGCTCATTTAGCTTATCCCTTAGAATTACTCTCAATTATAAAAGACTTCTTAGCTTTTATATCAATTATCTGAGCTCAATATATTTTTATTTCATAGTGTATAATATCTCCGCCTTTAAATTTACAGCCTTGTCTAAAATTATATAGCATTCTTTGAGGCTTTCCTCAAAACTAATTCCTAGTAAAAATCCATTTGAGAAGTGAATATCATTTTCATTATTAGAAACAAATTCTTTGTTACCAAAAGTTTAAGATAAAAATATTTGGAAGAGAGTATAATATTTTTGTTTATTCTTTAAAGATGTCTTATCCTGTTAGGTATACTGATAATATTTAAGTAGGAATAATTAATAATTCTTAAGTACTTGCAAAATAAATATTAATTAAAGAAAGGAGCATCTTTCTTAGTCATTTGAATTTTGATTTTTTGAGAGCTTATTAAATAATTTTTGAAATATTCTTTGAAGAGCAATTTTTAAATTTATGTCTTCACCATATACTTACTCTTTCGATATAAAGGTGGTACCATCTATGGTCTATTCATTAATAAAATAATCTCCTTTCTAAATATTGCTTGATTAATTTTCTTGTGGATTTAGATATCTAGATGACAATTGACCGCTTTCTAACCCAAAGGCAATAGACTCATTAAAGTCAAAATTCTATGACATTTTTTTCTTACTTGGAGAAAAATTAGACAAACGACCGATTGACTTTGAATTTACTTATATCTCTCTTTATTCTTTCAATAACTACTTTTCATTCATTTTTTAATTACAGATAATACTGTAAACAAGGATATCTTCACTAAAGTTATTATTACAGTAAACCCTTCTAATTATTGGATCTAAAATAGACTCGTTTCCATATTAAATATAATCGCTTTTTTCCTCTTTTAGTTCATTTTCAAATAAAATCTTTTAAATTATTGGAACATTTTTATTAATCCACTGAACTTGAAAATCTTCTAAAAACATAGAAATTTTAATTGAAATTGGCATGAAAATAATAATTAAAAAACAGATCAAATTAGCTGGGCGATTATTGATCTTCAATGATATAGACAAAGTAGCAGATAAAAGTATACAATATATGCTGCAAATATTAAAAATTCTTTGAATTTAATAGTTGTAATAAAGTCGAAGGAAAACATTTTTAGTGAGATGTAAAGCAAATACGATCAGTAGAATGATACTCTTTAAATCATCTGAAATTATTTGTGTTAAAAATATAAGTATAAATTCTACTGTATAAGAGAAAATTGAAAACTTTGAATATTTTCTTGCTAAGGCATCATTACTTTAAAGTGAATAATCGTAATCAGAATCCTCTTTTATCAGACCTTTTAGAAAAAAAAATAATTTAGTTTTTATTTTCCCCAGTATTTATTTATGAAATTTAATTGATAAAATCAAAAAAAATAATTAAAGTGATGAGCTAAGGAGTAACTTTAATTATTCAACCTAAAAAAAGTTGATTAATTTTTAGATTAAATTTTTCGGGGGGAAATTATGTTAGGAGTTTATTAATAAATTCAAGAAACTATATACCAATAAAATATGTAGATGCCAAGAGAGTATAGCGCAATGAACTGTACTGACTTACACTTGAAATAAATATTAAAGGTATAACGAATACCTCAATATATATTTAAAATATGCAAGAGAAAACAATCCTTAAATAATCAACCATAGAATTTTTTTGATCATTTTATGAAAAGCTAATTTATTGGTCTGTTAGTTGCTTTACATTAATAGAAAAACCTGCTATTTAATTATATGTTATGCTTTTGTTGTATTACTGATACTAAATCACTATAAATAAAAAATATTCTATAAGCAAAAACGCAATTAGAGTAAAATTAAGCGTTAATCCAACTATCTCTAGTGATAAAGAAAACTATGCATTATTCTTTAGAAAAGCTTGCATATTAACTTAACATATCTATAGTAAATATGGTTCTGAAACTTAAATTTAATCTACAATATATTAGTTGTTCGAAGAAACAATTAAAAATAGGTATTTTATGAAGACTATTGCATACCCTAAACCTAAGTGACGCTTGTAATTTTAAACTAAGAAGTATAGCTTTTATACATAAAACTTTTGATTTATGAGGCTTAGCTTTTCAAAAATACTAATTTCCTGAATTGCAGCTTTCTCAATTTATTTATTATTCATTTATTGAGTTTGTTTTATTATTATTTGTTTGATATATTTTTACTTTAGCTTTAGATTTTTAATTAAATATTATATTTAAGGTTTCTAATTTATTCAAGTTAAACTATTCATTATTCCAGTTTAAGCTTTCTAAGCTGATTTTAAGGCTCTATTTAACAAAGTTAACCTTGCGTATATAATGCTAAATTTATCATATATTTTAAAAAGAGAGAAATTAATTAAATCACGTTTAAAGCAATATTTTTGTTCAGTATTTTGACTTATTTTTATTACTATACAAATAATTTAAATTACACATTTAATTTTATACAACATTTTAGAGAATATTTTAAAGTTACAACATTTACAGTTTTTAAATATTTAAAACTTACACAAAAAGTGTTAATCAAAATTTTAATTTTTGAGTTCTTGCTTTTTCAAATTTATTTTTAAGTATTGTTACATTTTTTTCAATATAGTCGTACTTATCTTGATTTTTATTTTTTTTAATTTTTAAAGAAAAATTAAAGAAGTAACAAAATAAAAAAAATAGAAAAGTAAGTATCTTATTTCAACCTATTATAAATTATTTTTTACCAATTAACAATAGATGCAATAAAAATCAATAAAAAATAATTTATTACATACCATTATTTACAATTATTAATTCAAATTCAAATAAAATGAACTCTTAAAATAACATTTACAAATTAAAAGACTTATTAATTTAAATTTATTTATCAAGAAAAAAAAAAATTTTTAATGCCAAAAAAATATTTAAGTTTATCAAATAAATTTTTTTCTTCTTCTAATAAAATTGATTTATTTGTTTCATTAAAATTATTTTGATAAAAAGCAAATAAATAACTAATTTTAGTACTTTATTGTATTAATTTAAAAATCAGTATAAAGTTTGATTTACTTAATAAAATAAAATATTTTTATAAACTATTTCTTAATACAAAAAAGATTAAATTATTTAATTAGAATATAATAAGTCTTTCAGATTAAATTAAATATCCTTAAAAAATAATTAATATAAGCATTAAACTTTTAAATTATTTTTTTTTTGTTTCTCTAAATTAAAATAACTTTAATTCTTTTTTGGAAAGACTTCAAAATTTTTTAGCAAACAAATAAGAATAAGAATTTAAGCAACACTATTTAGCTTAGCTATAATATTCATAATACAAATAATGTGAGCTAAGATAGAGATATCTATTAAAAGTGAGTAATTAATTCTATTGGTTTTGCATTAGTCATTAAAAACAAAAATTAAATTATTAATTTATTAACAATTATTTATTTTATAAATCTTTTGAAAAAACTAGAAAAGCTTAATTAAAGGAATTTATCAATCTAGCTAAAAAAATTAAAAGCTAACAAAAAACTGAAAACTATATTCGATATCTACATCTAGTTTCTAATATTTGATAGCTCTATTATAAAATTAGGTTGTAAAAACACTATTAGTTAGCATAAATGAAAATTTGCCCAAAACATAAATTACCTGCTCTTTAAGTTTGTTTATCTATTGATTGCAAAAAGTAAAGAATGATGTGCTATAAGTGCCTTCCTGATCATAGTCTCCATTCTGAATAGATTGTTTAGCTTGATAACTTAAGTGATAAAAAAAACTTGGATTGCCAAGAGAATATCAATAGCTCTATAGACAGCAACAAAAATAATAAGCAGGGAGTCAGTCCACTTAAGGTAAATAGCGAATTCAATGGATCTCCTTTTATGTTAAATAATCTAGCTAACTTAAAAATAAACTCCAGCTCATAGGAGCCTTCAGATTAAAACGTAAAAAGAAGTAGTGTTAAAAATAGTTTTAGCAAAGTAAAAGAATTCAATTCAACATCTAACATAGAAGAAGAAATACTTGACTAGGGTCAAATCAAGCAAAAAAAGAAAAAATCTAGCATTTCTCTTGATAAGCCAGAAAAATAAATACAACTTAACAATAATACACAAAGTAGAAAATAAGAATTTAGAGATGTGTTTGTAATTAAAGAAGAAAATATGGATGATGATTATACAAACTGTAAAATTGAGAATGGTGGTAATTCTCATTTGAAAAACACTAATGCTTTACCTCAAAATGGAAAGAAATATTCTAAAGAGTCTGCTCAAACTAAAGTTTTTGGGACAGATATGTTGTCACAAATTTCCAGACAAAAAGGTAGTAGTTCCTAAAAAAACATAAATCAGTTACTAAGTTAAGCTTCCACAGTATCTCCAAGCATCTAACCTGTTGAGAAGAGTATGATGGATGTGATTTCTAATACAACTAATTATTATCCATAATATCCCTTCTATCCTCCTCATAATCCTTATGAAAATCCTTTCTAATTTAGCACTAATTTTAATCCAGGCCACTAAATGACTTATCCTCATCCACATCCTTAAGGGTACCCACCAAATTAGGTAAATGCGCCTTTTTCTCACCTCTATAACCAGTAACATAATTTTAACAATATGCCTCCTTACTATCCTCCTACTCGTTCTTCTTATATGCCAAGCTTTAACCATAATTATTAGTAGAACCACATGCTTTAAGAGTAAGAAACTAAAGAATAATATCATACTATATCTGATTCCAGTTCTAGTGATAAATATTTTTCAAAAAAAGATAAATTAAGTAATGAAAGAAGTCTCTAAAGAAATTAAATGAAAAATGACAAAATAGATTTTGTTTCATCTGATGAATCTTTGCAATAATAAGAATAGACAGCTACAGACTTTTTTTAAAATGGAGCTCTCTCTGAGTTGATTAAGCAAAACGAAAACATTCAAAAGATATGTGTTTATCTTAGAACTTTAAATGACATTAAAATGTCAGTATGCACTAAAATTGAGGCCATGAAGAATAAATTCCTACAACAAATATAAATGAAAGAATAAGATTTCAGTTATGCATTTTTGGCAAATACTTTCAACCAAAATAATAACTAAGTAGAAGAAAACTTAAAGAGCTACTTTGCAAAAATACAGCAACTAAATTCCTTTTTTGAAAAGAATTAACTAAGCTACAACCCTTAAGCTGCTAGCAAATAGAAACTAAGCTAGATTGAATAAGAACTTGATAGAATGCTTTTTTTTACTATTGAGAAAATAGATTAGGAAACTTTAAATTAAACTAAACTAATCAAGTAAGAACATATTGACCCTTTCAAAGATAATTCAGAGTATGAAGAATTAACATAATTTTATCAAAACTAACCTGCTAATATTGATGCAATCAAAGACAAAATAAACTTTTATTCTTAGTGTTAGCTCGAATTTGATGGAACATCAAAAGGAAACCCTGGAAGATCTGGAGCTGGCTTTATCATCAAAGATTTATACACTGAGAATAAATTACTTGAGTATTCAGTAGAAGTAGGAACAAAAACTATCAATTAATCTGAGTATCTAGCTTTAATCTATGGAATGTATACTTGCTATAAGCTAGGTATTAAGCAGCTTACAATTTAAGGTGACTCTGAAGTTGTGATAAAACACATGTTAGGTGTTTACTAATGCAGAAGCTAACAGCTCAGAGAATACTATAATCTAGCTAAAATTTTAGATGAGCTTTTCCATTTTAAGGACTACGTTTAAGTAAAAAAAGAGCTTAACACTGAAGCTGATGCACTAGCCAATCTAGCACTTAGTTGATAAATCTAATAACCAATTTATATTATATTTATAATAGTTAAATATTTACCACCAAAAAAATTAAGAAAATTTATTTGATAAAAAAAACATGGATAATTATTGAATTATTAAACTTTTTACTTTGTATATAAAACAAATTTAAGTTCTATTGAATTATATATAATAGAAGACTGAATTAGCTTTTCATTACAAGCATATAATTATAATTAATAAGAGTTAAAATAAAACTATAAACTAATTAAAATCAAAACAAAATCAATCAATCCTTAAAATAATTTTCATTAAATTAACTATATTTTTATTTCTCAATTTATATATAAACTTTCTGTAATTAATTATTTTGTAAGTGTATTCATTATATATTTTTATATAAATAAATTTTTTTCCTAACTTATAAAAGTAAATATTTTTATTTTTTAATATTTATTAAGCATTTCTATACTGTTTATCGTAACTAAAATGTTTTTCATGTATTTTTTGAATTTGCACTAAATTCGAAAAAAAAGTTCTTAAAATAATCAAAATTTTTAATTTTCAAAAAAAAACAAATGATATAATCTTACAGTGCTAATATTTTTTAGTTGGTTTTTTTTATTTTATAAAAGTATTAAATCAATTAATTATAAAATTAGAAAGGAATTGAGTATTTATCTTTTAAGAATTTTAGATGAATTTTAATATGGATATTTTTAATATTTAATTTTATCATCAACAATTTGCAAATCAATAAATGCTATTAGAAAAAGATAGAATATATTATTTGACTAATTTGACTAGAAAGTAAATGGTGATTTTTTTATAGCAAAATTAATAATATATAGAATAAAATTTATTTTTTCAAATAAACATCAGAAAGTAAGCTAAAAATTTTAAATATCAATAAAGTTTAACATGAAATTGATTACTTTATCACAAAAAATTAAGAGAAGTAATACTTTATAAAATTAACTAGTTTTTTTACTTCAGAAAAACTTCATCATGAGCAATAAGAGACATAATAAAAGCCAAAAGGAATTAGTTGAGGAACTAATTTAAAGAGGTACCATTAAAACATAAGAAGTAGAATTAGCTATGCTTTCAGTCGATAGATCTGATTTTATAAATAAAGATCCATATTTAGACATTCCTCAATAAATTGGATATAATGTCACTATCTCTGCTCCTCATATGCACGCTTTTAGTTTGTCATATTTATAAAGACATCTGATTTCTGGTAAACCTGTTAGAGTCTTGGATATTGGCTGTGGAACAGGATATCTTTGTCCTGCATTTCTTAAGATGATACCTGTTTAATTTTAATAATAGAGTACTATTGTAGGGATAGACCATGTTAAAGACTTGGTCCAGCTTTCAGATCGTAATATTAGAAAGTCCTTTAGCTAAGAATTAGATAAAAAATAAATTATTTTAGTAACTGGAGATGGTAGGGAAGGTTATTAGCAGCTTGCTCCATATGATGCTATCCATGTTGGAGCTGCAGCAGAAAAAATACCAGAGGCTTTGCTTCAGTAATTAAATTTCGGAGGAAGAATGCTGATACCAGTAGGTAAACATGGTGGTGAATAAGAGTTTTTAGCTATTGATAAAGATTTATAAGGTAAAATAACATAGACTAGATTATTTGGAGTATCGTACGTACCATTAACGAGCATATAAAAGTAGCTTGGAACGTAGAAATGAAAAATAAATATTATCAAAAAAATTTTGGAAAACTGAATTTTTATTTTAAAAAAATCTAATATTAAAAATTATTTTATACTTTAATTTAAATTCTATAAAAATTATATTTTTAAAAAATAATGTAATCACATATTATAAGAAAATGTTTCAAAGTGCTTTTTTGTTTATTTTATTACTGTAAATTAAAGCTACTGTCATTAAATTCATAAGATAAATTAAAATTTTTGTAAGAAGATTTTTGTTTATTAATTGATATATTTGTTTAATTGCTAGAATGTGGCTATTGAGAGCCTAAACAAATTCATTTACAATAATCAAAATAGAGTTTATGGAAAATTAAGCAAGAATTCAGATATATATTGATTTATAGCTCTTTTCTTTCAAACATACCTGTAAAAATTAAATAAACAAACAATGTTCTTTTTGCTTGCAAGTTAATTTTTGAGATAATTTTGAAAAAATTGTATTTATAATAAATTAATCTCTATTAAACTCAGTAACAAAACAGCTAAATTGTAGTTATGAAAATTATTTACTAAATATCAATGAAAATTTTGCTTTAATTTATTAAATTGTTACTTTACTGTCAAAATAAGCAAGTTATTTCTTCTAAATTATTATTCACATTTTAAAATTTAGTTTAAGAATATAAAATTTTACTTTCGTTTTGATATGGTTTGTTTTGATTTATCTTTTTTGTGTGTGTAAATTGGGTTTTCGATATACCAATATTTTGATAATATCAAACAAAGACTTTAAGAAACTATTTTTGATATTCTTCAATATTAAGCACTAAATCAATAATTAGCAAATGAAAGATTAAAGCAAAAGAAAATAAAATGAAGATTTAAATTTAAATAAAGATCAGCAATCAACAACAATTTAATTGAAGGATCAGCTTGGATAATTAAAAGGTTAATTTAAGCAATAGTAAATTGATTAGAGTAGAAGGAGTTGTGATTTTAACTTGTCTGAGCGTTTGTTTGAGACATATACTTAATATTTCCATAAAGTCTTATACAAGATTAATAAGCCGCTGTGGCTATCACTTATACTTTTATTCATTAATTTTTTACAAATGTAAATATTAAGCTTCACAAGCGATCTAAAGAATAAAATCAGCAATTTATAATATGAATCTTATGCAAATGATCTTTATAATATATTAGAATATAGTCACTTTCTTAAGGTAATTAATATTGTCACAAAGAATGATGATAGATTAAGCTAGCACATAATGAATATAATTTCTTTCTCTTTCAACCTTCAGTTTTTATTGTTTTTAACTTTGGCTGTTATCATGAATCTCAAAAAAGATAATAAAGGAAATATTTTAATATAAATTTTTCTGATTTTTGAATCTATATATCTATAATTATTTGGCTATATATTCTACGTTCCTTAAATCTACTCTGCTTCTATTATTATTTTCAATGACAACTTTTAAGATAACCCGATTTAATTCTCATTTGCTTCTATTTCTCTTATCTTAACCATAATAGTAGGTAAATATTTATTTTATTGTAAGTAGAATTTTGATAAACATGCATGAAAATACTTTATTTTAAAGCTAATTATTTGAATCAGATATTTAAGAATAAAGAATATGTATTTGTCAGCTTACAAATTTAATTTAAAGTGAAGTTAACGATTCAGCAAATAAAATAAAGAAAATATTCAAAAAAAAAAATTTGAGCAATTTAATTTTGTATTAAGCAAAAACTTGTTAAACATGAAAATACTCAAAATACCTTTATGAAGATTAGGATATATTTTAAAAATATTAAGTTTCATAAAATATTTATTTTTGATTATAAATTAAAGTCAGTAAAAAAACATTTGAAATAGAAAGAATGATTGCGTTATTTTATCAACTTCTCATTATTATTTATAAAAAATAAGGTTTTATATTTCATACACATGACTTTGATTACAGATTTATATTATGCAATCATTTATCAAAACGACACAGTAACTGGTCCTTTGTTAGGATGATTAGCGAAACTCTTATTACTGGCCTGTTTTCTTAAGGATCTAATGGATGGCTAATTAATTTACTGTTATTACTTACAGGCATATTAAATATTTTAGAATTTATAATTTCCTTACCATTCTATTCTAAGAGCGTTTAAGTTTTATTTGTTTCATTAAGCATCAATAGAATATTTATGAGCTTGATCTTCTTTATCTATCTGATCAATGTTTAAATGAATTCACTTTTAATAGTTTAAGTTTGCGTTGTCACAATTTGCTTCGAATTGGGAAGAAGGATTCATTCAGTTAGATATAGATATATTTTGTTTAATCTAATTTCTCTTAATTAAACGAACAAAAAGGGATTTTCACCAAAACTATTTGATTAGATTACTCGCTACATTTATTACAATTATGACTACTTCTATGAAGATTACATGGTAAATAAGACAGGAGTTTTTTATGAGACCGTCTATCTTAATCATATTTAATCTTGCTTCAAATAAAAATGTTATTGTCACTCCATTTAAACTGTAACCTACCAATTTGTTTTAATTAATTTTTTTAATTTTTTCTTAATAGTACGACTTTCTACTTCTAAACAAATCTATTTATTAATAGCCGCAAAAAAATACTAAAAAAAATAATACATATATTTATTTATCTTATCAAAATAGGATAGTCAATATGATATTAATTTCTTAGGTGATAAAAACAGAAAGTCTTTCATGGACTTTTTTCTCATGGAAATTATGGAAAATTATATAAATTAGTTTAAAAATGTTGAAGATAATTACAAAAAATTCATTTACACTTACATTAATTTTTTAATCGATGTGAAATCAATTCCTTAAAAAGTAAGTTACGAGCTCCTTAAAATGAAAAACAATTCGCTTCATAATTATAATAACTCGCAAGATAACAGCAAATAAACCTTAGGCTCACAAAAAAGTGGAGGTGTTTCTTCGTTTGTTGAATGCCTCATTTATGAATAAATGAAAGAAAGGTCTGAAAAAAAATTTTCTTTGTATTATTCAAAGGACGAATTTTAGAATTAAAGGCTAAATTTAGAATTGGTCATTGAATTTGATGATCTTCTAAATAGTTCACATATATTTCTTTAAGATATTGTTTATTTATAAGGTATTATGATAATTTAAAATTTTTTTGTGGTATTTACTCCAATATTATCTATGTATAAATAGGAACATTTTATGCATTTTTGTCTTAAGATTACCTGAATATAGAATAGATAGAAAATAAAGGCAGATAATTAAAGCAGAGGAGAGATTTTTTAAAACAGTACATTTAGCGCATGTTTGATATAAATTATTCTAACTCTACCTTAATTGAAATAGCATTAATTTATAGTCAGTCGTTAGATTTTGAAAATAAAAGTATAAGAGAATACATCAAGCAAAGCAAAAGATTGATAATTAGGAATTTAAAGAAAGAAGATTTGAATATCGACCTCTTCAAAAATGAATCTTGTACCTTAAAAATTTCTCTTTTAAGTGAAATGGCTATAGTGAAATAGGTCTCAAGTTAATTCGAAACAATTCTAGGATATTCTCAGAAAGAGATTTAAGAATAGAAAGCTAGCTTAATAGTTCCAGGTTTTTTCCAAAAGCCTTTCTAAGATTATATTCATTAATTTATAAATTCAAACGATTTTAGCTAAATTCTTTGTTCTAAGATGCTAGTTTTCCCACTTAAATTCTAAGGATTTATTCTACCTATGTATATGAGATGTTGCACGTATTAATCGTTAAACGACTTTGGAGTATGCGCTTACCTTGAAAAAGACGATTAAAAAAAATAGTATATTATTATAGATGATTCTGGATTAATCCTTGATATTTCAGAAGAAATATTTAATTGTGCATTTTCTTTCGGAAATAATAAATGTAATTAATTGAATTAGTTTACACTTTTTTGTTAATTTTTTAAATTAATTAAAATATTTCTTTAATTTTTAAATGAAATAGTGCAAAACATCAAAAGAGTTGATTTACTCAAAATTTTACCTGTTTTAGGATGTTTACTGAAATCTAAAAATGATGAATAATAAGAATTTCTAAATGTGGGAAATGGAAAGAAAACAACAAAAGAGATACAAACTTTAATGATTATCAATCCTCGAATTCAAAAATAATACATAGATACAACTAATAGCTTAGAAGAATATTATAAAAAGACGTTTTCACAGTTTAAAGGAAAAGGATATCGTTACATTTTAATTTAATGGAGTTTTTAAGAGCAACTATTAAATTAAGGACAAAGTATTAAGTATGTTCAAATAACAAAATTCAGAAAACTAGACACATAGAAATATGCAAATCTGATAACGATGCAGATAGAATGTGCTAAGCATTTTATGAATACTCACTTAGATTTGAATTTAGCTATAGATGTTGCTTCTTATATAAATCTATTCCAAGCAGGTGTATCAACAACATTGACTAACTAGTCAACTTTTAATTAAAGAACAGATACAAGGTTATACAATAAAACTTTTTTAAAATCGATTATGCAATTCGAAAGCTTGATTACTTCAAGGCATTTGGGCAATAACTACTTGTTAAAGCAAGTATAGCAGTAGCAAAATAATTAGGCTAATTAAAGTACAAATACAACTGCTGTAAATAGTACTTATGCTAACCAAAACCATTCGTCTTCTCTAAATTCAGAGTTTTAAATAAATAAATAGTTGGGTAAATAGTTGTCTTTAATTTAGACTTAAGCTAAAGATTATTTGGCAAATAGCCATCATCATATAAATTCTCTTTAATATGCTAAAAGTCTGCATCCAGAAACCAAGTAAAACTCTTTAAGCAAGCTTGAGAAAGATAACATCTAAGAATCTTCTGATTTAGATTAAGATATTAATGTATTTTCTGAGAGATAGATAATGAACAAATAAGCCACCAATATAAACTTAGAAGAGTCAGAAGTAATTGAAGAAAGTTAATAATAAAGCGAAGATCTCACTGCTATTTATTCATATAAAAAAAAGACTTTCTTAGCACCTAAATAAAATTTGCTTGCTAAAAACATAGCTAATTCTTTAGAAAATTTGTAATATTAATCTCCAAGAGGTGCTTATAATGAAAAGGATTTGAATCTAATTGCTCAATCTCCTTTGATGCCTTTATCTCCTAAATTTAACGAAAACTCAAATCTTATTTAAGAAAAAGAAGAATTAGTAGATTAAAGTAAGTTAGAATATACTGCCAACATAGAAGCCATTGATTAAAGTCATTTAAATCCATCATTTATTATTTCAAATAACAACTTATTATCAGGTAGGGCATAACCAATTATAGTATCTTAAAAGCCAATTATTAATTTATAGAGTAGTTCTAATAATCCATTATTTTCTTTAGAAGTGTTTGATGAAAATCACATACCTTTAAATCATAGTAGGATTGAAGCTTATAATAATACTTCATCTTAGCAAATTTCCTTGAATAATTTAGAAAAAAACTCTAATAGTTATAATAAAAGCTAATTTGCTAATTAAGACAATTTTTATGAAAAAATAGGTGACAATATTGTTGAAAATAATAGATCCTATTAAAATTTAAGCAACTAAAGCTCTTTAGCAACCGGTCATTTTGCCTATAATAATGCTCCCAATAACTAATATAATATAAATATTCCTAGTACCCAAGTTAATAATAGTAATAATAATACTAATAATAATAATAATAATAATATTAATAATAATAATAACAATTAAAATTCTATTTAATCTATATAAGAGATATAAGCAGGCTAATCAACACCTACTTCATCTTTAAAATAAAATTCCTAAGGTAATAATGTTGCAAGCAATTTAAATAACCCAAGTACTGCTGCTTTTTTGAATAAAAAGTTTAATAGCACCTTAGATGGTATAGCCTTTAATGGTGTTGCTTAATAGGCTGCAGGAAGTGGTTCAAATATGAGCTTTTCATCAACAAACTAAATTAATAGTATAACCAGCTTAGCTTAGCTAAATAACATCAGTAATAAAATTATTAAAGAGGATAGCAAAAGAAGAAAATCTTTATTTAGTTCTCGTAGGATAACTTCGCCAACGAAAAAATAAACACACGTTTCATTTAAGAGTAACGAAAAACCTGATAGACAAGCAAATGATAAAAATTTACTTGATTTAAATAAATATAACTTTGATCAATTCTAATTTTATGGGGCAGACAAATCTTAAGAAATTTGGGAAGAAGACAGCTCAAGTGGTAGCATTAATGATGATTCAGAGAATTTTTAAAACAAGCAAAAAATTAATAGCTTAGATGTTGTTAATGAAGAAGCAGAGATAATGGATATTTCTCATTTCATATAAAACACAAAAGAATCAAATAACTTTAAAAAATCTAAAAAGACAAACGTTGCAGGTTAAAATTAAGATTCAATTCATTCATCATAAACTCAAAACTCCTCAAGAAGACTCTACGTAATCAAAGTTGTTAGATCGAAGAAACTTTCTAAGCTTTTTATAACTGCTAATATAGCAGGATATATTGGATTACTTCTTCTATTAATAATGACTTCCGGATTGTATGCTGTATCTTATTCGTATTTTTAGGATCAATACTATTCAATGGTAAATATGCCTTTGTTCAACGATATGTATTCTTCATTCAGTCATTTAATGAAATGCTCAAATCAAATCCTCTTGTATAAAAATAATTACTTTTAACTTGATAAAAATTACTTAAACTAGCTTTAAAAAAATTTAACAAACATTGAAGTGACTTTGAATTAAAATTTCAAAGATAATCTCTATCAACTTGTTTTAAATAAATAAAATATGGATTACTTAACATATGCTTACAATACAAAAGCTAAAATAAGTATATATCCTACACCTTATGTATACGACAATGTAGTTACTTTGTCAGTAAGTATCCTATATTCTTTTATAATCCTGTGCGGATACTTATATAAATATATCTTTCCTTCTAGTTTGTATGATGCTGTTATTGGAGAAGTATTCAGTGTAGCAAATCTTAGGTCATATTAAAAGTCTATGGACACAATTTAGAGCATGGCTGTGTAATTTAGCTATAATTCTTTCAATTAAATAGATAATAATTACAATATTTCATTGTCTATCATAATAGTTGTTTCTTTTATAGTTACTATCATTGTCTATTTTATGAATATAATGTTTATTACCAATAGAGAAAATATTTTAAAATTATTTGCTACTTTCTCTCCAGAGCTGCTTTAAAGGCTTATAAATAACTTAGATGAGCAACTAAAGTAATTGTTTAGTATAAGAAATGTCATCAATTCTACATAATTAAATACTTTGTAAATAAATGTAGATAAAAAAGGAAGTACTCATGGGATAGTAAGTGGTAATTTGAGTAAAGGAATATCGGCATCAGTACACAGCCTTAGTAAACTTTAGCTATATGGAAGAAAAACTATTTCATTAACCAACTCATTGCCCAAATTTAGTCTTTCTTCAATGTTGATTTGCTTACTATCACTAGTTATTGTAGCAACATATCCAGTAGTGAACTTGGTCGTCAAAAATAATTTGAAAAAAGAGAGCTAAACACAAGTTTAGGAGCTCAACTATATATTATCTGTACCTGCGCAGCTTGGATAGCTGCTTTAAGCTCATTATGGTACTATGGGATGGTAATATTAAGGATTTTAAGGAGTATAGGATCCAAACAACATTTATTACAATATGACCAACTTATTCACTATTTAAAATTAAGTTTTGATAAATAATTTATACTCATTGCTTTCTCTTAGTTAAAGTTTTTAAAGAGACTAATAAAGTAACTACAATAAATACTTTTATCCATTGTTAGATAAAAATGTTTGTGAAGTACTTAAATAAACAACCAAATATAACGACCCTTATATGATGAGCATCTGCAGCACAGTGTTTTCTGGTATATTTGAATAGGGTTATATAATTGCCTTAAAAAACTTTTTAGGATTAGTGGATTAGCTTTCTTAAATATACAATAATACAAACTCTTAATAGCTATAAGCTACTCTCATTTAATGGAATAATAATATAAATTAAGGTTCTAATTCCTATAATACAATTCCTGTACCTGGGTTCGTAGCATTAGATGATTCTTTTGAGCTTATAATTTACATTTCTGGTTTTTTGAAGGAATTTGTAATAGAATAATATCAAAATACATTTTAAAAGACTTAAACCTATTTCATTTTACTTTTTGTTTACTCTCTACTTATTTTCATTCTTCTTTTCTTGCTAGGGTGGTACTAATTTTTTAATTCACAGCTCGAAAAGATCTACGAATGCAGAAACCTTTTAACAATTTTCTAGATATAAACCTTATTAGAAAATCCATATATCATGTCCTATTTTAAATAAATTATCTCATATTCTTCAAACAACTCTAACTCTTAATAAAATTGAACTAAACTAAATTAATAAAATCTTCATCTTAATTGTAGCATTAAATTCACCTATATTAATATTTTTAAATTTAACTTATTAACTATTTGTGTAAAATTAAATTTATTTAGCAAAGCTTTATTTTCTTTTAGGCAATTTATTTTTGATTTCTATTTATAAAATAAAAATAGCTTGTAAATATTTTGCTTTAAAGTGATGTATAATTAGAGTTTATAGCAGTGGTAATTAATCCTTATTAAATAAATTTGAAATGTATTTTCCAAAAAATTTTTTTTATCATTTAAAAAATATAAAATATAACAAAAACTCTTTTATAATTTTTTAATAAAAAAATTGATGGAATTAAAAAATTACGCTTCTTGAATGCTAAATAAAAATTTTTTTTCCCTATTTTTAAATGTGTAATCAGATTGGATTAAAAAGATTATGCAATCTGATTATTTATTTTATAGAATTTTTAAAAAAGGTATACATGTAAATTAATTAAATGAGATCATGAGTTATTTTAGTAACTTTTATACTTAAAAAATGTATTTAGTTTTACTTTTATTTATTATAGAAAAAATACTTTGTTAATTTTAGACAAATATTTTTAGGTAAATCTTAGTTCTAATTGAATTAAAATCACTAGAATTTTAGAAAACAAAAGAATTTTTAGATTAGGGGATTTTTTTTGATTTTTAAAATTTTTCTTTTGCTTTTAATTAATTGGTAAACACAATACTAAGGCTTTGATAAAAATTAAATTAAGTTTTACATCTAGAAGGTATTCAAAAAGTTAATAAATGTGTTTAGATTTTATCAAAGAACAATAGAGAGCTTATTTTATCAATATTATTATTTTAAATCACAAATTTTATAATTTAGTAAAGAAAAAAAGAATTGTTTATTCTCAAAATAAGTATTTCAATATAAAAATTTCTTTACTGCACATCGACAGCTTATAACCTTTTAATAATATAATTAAATCTCTTATACTGAATAATGAGCTAAAAGTTCATATTTTTATCTATTTTTTTCTTAGTTATTATTAGTGCTATTCGATCAGATAATCTATAAAACTAATATGTTAGCTGCTTAAAAACAAATGGGTGCTATAATTTATAATGTGCTTCAATAAATGGATACCTTGATTAATGCTTTAAGGAGGCTATATTATACAATTAATGTCTAAATGCTTATTCTATTTAGAGTGCATTCAAACTAGAATCTTAAGAGGATAAAGATTTCAATATTTATAATTATTATCATTATCATTAGACTTGTTCTTAAAATTTATATAGTAGCAGTGTCCTAAAATTCTCATAATGCAGTTAGAACTGTGCTTTAATTTCATAAAATTCATTTTAGGTAAATAGAATAATTTAATATTTTTATTAATCTATTACTGACTTTATCTTTTAAATTAAATTTATCAAAAATTTTGTCTAATTTTGAAATAGATAATACAAAACGAATGTATAAATCAGTGCGGCTCATTAAATTGTGAATATATTGACATCAATAATAACTTTGAAAAAGATAAATGTAATAATAGTTTAACCTTATATTAATAATGTGAATAAAAATAGCCAGAATGCATTTATTACTACTAATCTAAAAAAAATGACTACTTCTAAAATTACAAATAATGCTTTAATCTGTGCAAACAGTTCATAGAAGGCAATGCTAGACTTTTAAATATAGTTGAGTGTACATCGAATTGCCCAAATTAAAGCAAATCAAATTCTAAATAAATTAGTTCTCATATAATTAATACTTTTAATATTTAATTAATTTTTTTACTTTTGTTATAACTATTTATTTGAACTTAATAAAATATATTTTCCATAAAAATTACTTAATTAATAAAAACAAATTATAATTTTTAATTTATCCTATCATTTTTTATTAAAGTTTTAAATAATATATTGCCAGTTGTTTTATATTAGAGTAAAAACAAGTTAAATAAATCAAAATTTAAATATCAAAAAATAAATAAATGAAGATGGTTTTGAAGAAAAAGAAAGTCTAAGATTAAATTTTATAAATTTCTGAAAATTAATACAAAATAAAATTTTAGAAGTAATTGATTATTTATTATTAACAAAGAATATTTCAATATTAATATAAGTTTTAGTTTCCTTATGTATTTCCATCTACATCTTTTAATATAATTAAAAAATTATAATTTTTATAAATATTAATAAAATTTAATTTACTGAAAGTGTAGGTGTAAGTTGGGACTGTATTACGACCTTGTACTGTTTAGATACTGTGAATTTGCTATGAACTTGTATATCCATTATTAAGTGGAATTTATGATTATGTTAATGGAGCTTGGCTAATTGTGTTTGCATAGTTTTGACCTTTTTTAAGAATAAGTCAATTAAAAGTGTTTAACTATTAATAAAAATATACCTCCAATAGCACTACTTGTTTAATAAACATAAGTGCTTCCTCTTTGTGATTAAGGTAATCCTAGTTTACCAGGTTGGGGTTCTCCTAGTCTGCTTAATCTAAACTCAAGTTCTGCTACAGTTTCAGATAGAGCTCTATTAGCAATTTCTCTAATCGAATTAAATATTTAAAATGATTAAAAAAAAAAATTTAATTTTTAACTTACAGCTTAGTATTTTTTTCTATTAATTCTGGATCATTATTCACATAGGTGGTTTGGAATTGCTATCCACCTTGAGTGTTTCTTGATTTTTTTCTTGTTTCTTCTTGAACTTCTACAATTTAATCTTATAGTTTCTAATTCATTTCAGCCAACATTTTATTTTCACTTTATAACTGGACTACCTCAGCGGTTCCATTAACGTTAATAGCATTAGAGTTAACATATGATGGTCTGTTGGAGTAGTCATTCTTATGAATGTTATTAATAAATTTTTTTATTTTGTAAAAATGATTAAATCTTACTTTTAAAACGGCAAGCTCAGAAGTAACGTTTTTCAACATAGATTCTTGTTATGCAATTACCATTTCTTTTTGCTAAATAGTGCTACGAAGAACATTCAAATCTTAATTTCCAGATTACTAACTGACTGCTATTTAGTATTTTTCTTTCCACAAATTAGCTTGTTAGATTGCTAAAAAAATATTTTAAAAAATACGATTTAAATATTGAAAATTTTTTATTGTTTCTAATTTTATTTTACTTTCATTAACAGTCTCAGCCATCTTTTTAGCCTTGTCTCTGTAGTCTTCATTTTCCATTTGAAGCTACTTTTCTCTGTTTCTTAAATAGAGTACTTCTTAGTTTAATCTGTTGTATTGATCTTCAAGCTCAATAGTTCTCTTTGTGATAATTCTTTCCTGCTCTACTCTCATTTTTTATTCAATTTGTTAAACCTCTAAATCTTTTCTTTCTTATGAAATTTAATTGAATTTTCTTTCTAAATCAGTGTAGTTGTTTAGCTTAGCTGCCATTTCTGATAATTTAAATTTCAAACTTTCATTTTCAGCTACTAAATTGCTTTATGTATCCTAAGATCCTTAATTGTATGCTGCTTGCAATTTCTCAAGTTGTTTTTCTAAAGTTAACAATTCTTAGTCCTTAATTTTGATCTAGGTCTTTAATTCTAATAAATAATTAATGCATTTTATGTATAATTTTTACAAATAAACCAAACCAAATAATTATTTATTTCTATTGTAATTAATTAGCGCAATTTAATAATATAAATAAAAATTATAATTTTAAAAAATATTTATTTACATTCTTCTTCAAACTCAAATTATTTTGCATTTCTCTCTAAATAAAAGTGGAGATGATCATATTTTCTTCTTTATTCTTAAAGATCTTCTATCAAAGTTTTTTAGCGTTCTCTTAAAGATTTAATTTCTTATGAATGCAATTCCTGTTCTTTTTGTCTTTGTTTATTAACTTCTTCGATTTATTCCTCCAATGTCTTTTTCATTCCCTTGTAGTTAATCTAATCAGACCTTATTTTTAAAAGATAAAGTTAATACATAAAATGTTTCACAATTCATTTAAATTTTTAAGATTATTAATTCATTTTATTAATATTAAATAGTATTTATTTAAATAAAAGATGTTTACTTAATTTAAGATAATTAAAATTATTTCTCTTCTAATTGTTTGTCAAAAACATTCTAGTTGTTATTTATAACTTATCTCAAATTCTAATTCTAAGTCTACAGCTCCATTTTTTCCTTTTCAAGAGAAGTTTTCTATCTCATTAGTTATTGAATCTCATTTTGTTTTTCAAATAACTGCTATTTGTAGCTTTCAATGGTTTAGTTGAGGTTGCTGTTTACTTGTAAATTCTGATTAATGGATAAATTCTATTATGTACCCTATTACTAAATAGGGTAAGCTTAATTTTATGACTATCTGTGAGGAGGAATATGATTGATAGTATTTCTATTTGAACCTGCTTAAGGAGGAAGAGGAGTGCTCATTTATTTCTTAAACTAACTAAATTATATGATTACAAGATACTTTGATTTCGCAACACAATTTATTTATTATTAATTAAATAATTAATTATTAAGTTTATCTATAATCAAAAACGAATAATTACTTTTGTAAATGTATTTTTACTTGTATATTAATTACTAATCTATTAATATTATAATAAAATTTTAATAAATATTTATTTATAATGTTATCTTAGCTGGACCTGCCTTTAGAATAATTACAATAAAGCTTTATTTTTGAAATTTAATTTAAATTAGATTTTAATTCATACTTAGCAATTAAATAACCTAAATATTAAAAGAATACACTTTTTATAACTCAAGAAAACTTATGGTCCAGTCATTAAAAAAATAAATATGAAAAAATTTTATTCGTATTATTAATAATATTTAACATGAATAAATTATATCTTAACATTAAATAATAAATTTAAAATAAAATAAATTATAACAATTATTCGTTCAATCCATCTGTATAAAATTATAAATGCAAAATAAGTCACAATCTAGTTTTTATTCGTTTTAGATTACGTTTATAATCAAGATTGAATATTTATTTTCTTTATTATTCCTAAAAATATTTATAAAAATTAATAATCTTTCTAATAATAACAATATATATTTCTCAAATTTTATAATATTGATAATATATTAAATGTATTGCTTTAAAAGTAATGTTTTAAATTTGTAAAAATCTATCGAGAGTTTGTTTAAAGTAGTATCTTTTTACCATTAATTTTAAATTCGCTTACTCATAGTGATAATAATTTAATTATTTATATTTGCTATTTTAATAAAAAAATATCTTTATTGTAAAAAAAGTCAAAAATATTTCCATAAATAAATTTTGGATATTTTGATAATTGACTCTACTCTGAATAAATTAGCACCTCATCTCTATCAGTAAATTTTAATTTTCAGAAGAATAGACTGATAGTAGGATCTACATCAAAGAGAAATATTTGATAATTTTTACGTGTTTACTATTTCTTAGTTTTTAAGAAAGCTTTCTAGAATATAAATTTATTCTATTTTTTAATTGTTTTATATGCTGATACATATTATAAATATTTTACAATTATTTTTAAAAATAATAAAAAAAACATAAAATCTAGAAAGTAATTATAAATATGATAAATCAAGTAAAGGCAAATACTCCTTTATTATTTAAGCTTCTACAAATTGGAGCTTTGATATTAAATCTTTACTATTTAGTTCATATGTTGAATTTAAATCTTATCTTTGGTAAGGGGATTACTTTTCATGCTGTTTGGAAGTAGCTTTGCTATCTTACTAATCTAGATCATATTCTAATATTCTTTTATCATCTATGGTCAATCTTTACATTTTTAAGGGGTTAATAAAGGTCTACCTCATTGAAGAAATTCTATCAGTTTGTATTTAATTTATCTTTCTTAGCAAGCATAACTTATTGGGCTCTTAGATCTATTGACTCTAGATTGGTTCATGGCAAACATTCTCCAGAATAGCTAGGACAAGTTTATCAAATTTTTATACATGGGTTCAACCATTTCTTATTATTCGTAGAGCTTTTTATTGAAGATAAAGAAAATGAATGGAATAGCAGCTTTTTATAATTTACTCCATTCGCCCTTTTATACACTGGTTAAATTGCTATAGAAGAATTTTATTTTGGAAGACATGTTTACCCATTCTTTAAATTGATAAAACCATATGGATTCTTAACTGCTTTAGTCAGTATTCCAGTATTAGTAGTTATTGATAAGCTTTATACTTAAAGATTATTCAATAAATTTTAAAGTAAATATGTGGAAGAAAATAACATAAAAAATAAAACTGATTGAGCGTTAAATTTATTTTAAAAGAATTATTAAATAGTATTTTTATTTAAATAAATTTTTAAATAAAATAATTTTGTAAATCATAAAAAGTTAGATATTTGATTTGTGTTGTGAATAATATAAAAGTTTAATTAATAATTTCTTTTAAATAAAAATGTATTTTTTTACTATTTCTCTCTTAATTTTTTTACAAATAAAGTTGCTGTAATAATTATTTATAATGAAAAATTAAATTAGAATGAAAATATTTTATTGCATTTGAACAAAATAAATCGGAGTAAAGATGTTAGAAATTTTTGTTAAAACTGCATTGGTGTTTAAAAAATATGTATTTATTTTAAGAAATACTATGTTGAATGAAAAGAATTATCAAAAATAGAGATTGATTAAGAGTAAAATCAAAATGGGGAATCTTTCTTATTTAATTAAATAAAATAAAAAAATAAAAAAGATATATTATATAGTAAAATCAAAAAGTAATTAAAGAATGTCTTTGGTTTCTCTCTTCAAGAATACTTTCCTTAAGTCTAGAGTTATTGGATTATCATGTAATTAAAACAAAGATTAATATAGATTCATAAAGCAATCAATGCAATAATAAAAAGCCTGACAACAATATACACCTCAAGGCTGCAAAGTCATAATATTATAAAAGGATTTTAACATAAAATGTGTTTCAACAATGTGTTCAGCGCTCTTTATTATGGCATTTTCAAACCGAAGTTCTGAAAGTTCTTATTTTTTACATTTAAAATTATTAAAAATAGTCCAAGCCCAAAGAGTCATGGCTTAGATGGCTAAGACTGATTTTGAAAATCCTGATGAGCACTTCCTCTTAAACGATGCTATGAAATATAATGTAATAAAGTTAATAAAGTATGCAAAGCAGTATTTGTAATCAATCTACCAGCATTTTAATTTGAGTGTTCCTCAATCATCAAAGCAAAAATTAACTTCTTTAGATTTTTCCTTGTATTTTCTAAGCCTTTCCTTTTCTTTATAATATTGAATCTTAAAAGGAAAGATAGCTTAGAATTCTCCTACTACTGCTTTCCATAACCAAATAAGATATTTGAAAAATATTGACATAATAACTCATTTAATATTATAGGAACTTGTCTTCTACGGCAGACTAGCTGAAAATTGGTCAATTAACCCTGAATTATTTGGTAAGGCCGAATTAGCTAAGTACAATGAAGCTAAATAGACTTTAATCGACTTCAATTAATATCACGCATTAGTTCAAAATCTTCACGAATTCTATTGGGAATTGAAGACTATCTACCTCGAACTTTCAAGAGGTGTTGCTACTTCCAACTTCCACAACAAGAGAGAAGTAATTTTATTCATAACAATAATTTAATTTTCAATCTGTAACCTCAATAGGCCTAAATAGCATTCATATTTTAGCAAATTAAATAAAATAAAAGCAAAACAAAGCATTATAAATTCAATGATAATTTATTATTTGTTTATTTAGATAGATAGATAGTTTTAATATATCTATATAGTTAATAAGCAAAACAACAATATAAAAACAAAAATCTTTAAAAATGATTGAAGATCTGTTGATTTTAATTTTAATTTTTCTAATTATAAAGGTCACTCACTCTATCATCGAATCAGACATTAAGAATTCCATCCATAAATATATTTAGCTTATCGATGACTTAAAAGATTACCCTGAATGGTAACACAAGGTACAAACTATTCATTTTCATTTTAATATGAAATGCTAATAACATTAAATTTTACAATAGGTCAGAGAAGAAATTGGTTATTATGCTCATATGATCTATACTTCAGTCAATCACGACGGTAACTTCCCTGAAATCTTTAAAGAATTCGTAATATATATATATTTTTTTAACATGTACTAAATCTTTAAAATTCTAAAAAAACATAGAATAAGGTCGACTCCCTCTATTACTTCAAATGAAAAATAAATTCAGGCAAATATATCAATCAATAACTTTAATAATAAGTTAAAAAGAATAGTGGAATATATAGTTAAGCAAGAAATCAAGCTAGCAAATAATAATATTTAGATAGTTATTAGGTGATAGAAATTATCATTAAAATTAGTTCTTATATGCACTTGTAATGGTTTTCTTTCGCATTTATCTACAGTATTATCTAGATATTAATTTTATCAATCTTAATATATTCAGATTTTTATAGAAAATAAATATCTTTATTATTTTATTTCATCTGTTTAAAGCTATATTAAATAAATTATTTATTTTACAAATTCAATAAAATTAGAAAATAAAATTTAAAAATAGCCAGCCATGAAAGCAATTCATATTTTAGCTTGTAATAAAACATATTAAAATAAATAAAAATATAGTTCTTTGTGCTATTTTGATAGATATATATATTAAAAACTGTATTATTCCTTCGTTAATTTTTACTTTTATAAGGTTTTAAGTTATTTAAAGATATGTGAAATAAATTATTTATTTGTTTTACAATATTTATAAAATTATAAAATACAATTTAAAAATAACAATAAAGCAATTTATATTTTATTTTATAGTAAAGTAGATTAAAATAAATAAATTGTTTTTATTTTTAAATAGATATATTTTAAAAATTGTATTATTCATTCTTTTAGTTTACTTTTAAATGGTTGTGTGCTAGTTGTTAATATTAATATTATTTTATATATTTGTTTTATTACCATAATTCCTCAATTTCCAATTCCTCATCTACCTTCTTCCTAAAACAAGTAGGTTCATATTATATTACTCTAAAATTTATAAATCTTTTGCTTTCAGCTAGGTTATCTGCAAGAGGAATTATGGTATTATTAAATGTTATATAGTCTTTCCTTTTTTATTTTCTCAGAATAAAGATGGGAAATCTTCTTCTTTTGGTTTAAAAACGAGATTCTTTTTTTCCATGACTTTTTTCTTTTTTTCAGCATCAAATTTATCAGTCAAAAATTCAAGTGAATTTGTTGGGGCAGTAAGGGCTTCTTGTAAGGTAATTTTTTTGACCAATTCTCTAGACCTTATATCAGCTACTCTAACCTAAAATATTTAAAGAGTTTAGTTTATTAGTTAATTATAATATTTATTACTGGTTCAGGAATTCTAAAGTTGCAGCATTTTGAAATCAAGTCTAAAGCACTCTAAAGAGAAATCTTATGTCCTACAGAGACAATAATTGGATCTACTACATCTTTTTTGCTTTTGTAAGCCTTTTTTAAATAAAATTATTAATACAATTAGATAAAAAATTAATTTTTACGGCTCCCCAAATTCTTCCACTATCACCTTGAAGGATAGCAAATCCTCCTTCATCAGTAACTTTCTTAAATTTATCTAAGACAATATCCTAATTTTTATTAAATTGAGGATAAATTGATGTTTATAAAATAAATAATTATATTTTTAAATAAATATGTACTTTTCTTAATCCATCGACAAAAAAAATTGTCTTGCCAACTCCAATAGTTGGCTTATCAATAAGTACACCCAAGTGACTTGCAAGACCGCAAGCATTTTAATGGAGAATTCCATTTCCATCTACCATAATTACTTATGGCGTAAATTGAGGTTTATTAATTTAAAGCTTTTTAAATAATTTGACAAGATGTGCTGCTTCTCTGAATGCAAGAAAACCTGGAATGTATGGCCCATCTAATTTGACTATCTCAAATTCTTCATGAACTTTCTGTTTTATTAAAAAAAGAAATATTTATAATTTAGTTAATTGAGTAAAATAAAAAGTCTACTTTTAAGCTTGGATATTCTATAACTACAAGGATTGCAACAGCAATATCTTAATGCTTCTAAGAAAAAGAGATGTCAACTCCACCAATCTTTTTTAAATTGTATATTTTTTACAAAAATAAAACTTTATTACTTTGAAAATACATATTTAAGAGCTTTTTCAGACTTTGGATCTAATTTCCACTCAAAAGTATCTTCTTCAGTAATCAAACCTCTGACATAAATTTGTTCACTTTTGTTAAAAAATTATTTTATTTTATTTCTTTCATATAAAATTTAATTATTTACCAGTCCCATTTTTCATATACTTCTGGGTCTATTTGAGCTCTAAGCTCATGAAAAGATTTTTTATCTTGATCTTCAATATTTTCCATTTACTATTTTTGATGAGTTTGCTAATTTATATAATAATTAATTAATTACTTTATGGATATAATCATAGAATAAAGATATTTAATTCAACTCATCTGGTAGATACTTCTTACTTTATTGTGGATACCAGGCTTTTTATTTTTAAAAATCTAAATACTTTTAGAGACTAATAAAATCTTTCGTATTAAAAATAAAAACCATTTAACTCTATTATATGTTTTTAAATGAATTTAAACATTAATGCTATCAATTTTGAAGAAGGATAAAAATGAATTAAAGCATAATTTGCATTAAAAACTAATTTAAATAAAATATATGTAAAAACTTGAAAGTTTTTCTAAAATGATAGATTTTTATCAGTTGAAATAAAATAATACATAATGTTCTAGATAAAAAGCTAGTATTTATACTTAACTACTAGAAGCTATAGTATTAATCACTCTTAATTAACTGTTAATTATGGTAAATTGTTATGATCATTTTGCTTGAAACAAATAAAAACTATTCTTGAATGTGCATTTAGTATTTTATTTATTAATGAAAATTTTGGAGCTTTCAAAAAGATAAAAATATGAAATGATTATTTAGCTTTTTGTATTTAAATTATCTAAATTCATCAAAAAAGAATCATTTTAATAAAACCTTTTTTTGAATAAGTTAAATTTATTTACATTTTATTTAAAAAATTAGGTTTTCTTTTAGAGATATTTATTTAATCATGAAATATAAAGATCTCATTTTTAGATTAAAATTTCATTTGAGATTAGCTTCTTCAAAAGTTTCAAACATGACAAATTTATATACATTTTAATAATTTATCTAAAATAGCTTTTTTTAAGTTCATATTTTTTAATAAAATATTTGATTATTAAATTAAAAAAAATTAATATAAGAAATTGCTTGTTTCAATTAATCTTATTAATTTTATTTAAATCATTAAGTAAAATGTTTTATTTTATGTTTAAAACGACTTTCGAAGAAAAATCAATTACCTACCTGCTAAAGATAATTTATTGTAAATAAAATAAAGATTCATAATGAAGTATTTAATGGTTAATTAAGTTTAAATGATCTAAAAAATGTTATATTCATTTTTAGGTGCAATATCAAAATTTAAAACAAAAATTAATTAAAATTTATAAAGATTTTCAAAAATTAATCAATTATTCAGTGATAGATAGTTAGTTAGTTACTTTTTTCAGCAAAATGAACAGAAATTAGGAAGATAATGAATAAGAAAATAATGAAGTTAATAAGGGGGATAGGAGTAATATTGACCTCTGGTCTCATGCTGAAGAATCGGAGTTGAAACAAGGATTTGCTAAAAATTTAGAGAAAACTTTAGTCGTAATTGGTGATAAAGGAAGTGGCAAAACTACATTTGTTAATATTTTGAAAAATATGCAGTAAGTAGATGATAGGTACATTCCCACTGTAGGTTTAGATTATTAGTATGTTAGAAGGACAAATGCAAATCGTAAAGAATTAATTCATAGCTATGAATTAGGAGGTGGTAAAGAATAGAGTAAAATGATCACTATTCCAATTTCAAAATAAAATTTTAGAGATGCATTTTATATATTGGTTCTTGATTTGTCAAAGCCTCATTAAATTATTGAATCAGCTACTTTTTGGTTCGAAGAAATACGCAGATAAATTGATTAGTTTAATTTGACAGCATTCACTACACCTGAAGAAAATGATTAAAGATCTAATTTTGAATTTGCCCAATAAGCAAGATTTGAATCACACCCTGATAAAAATAGAGTAAAAATTCTCCCAATTCAGACCATAGTAATAGGAATGAAATATGATTTGTTTGAGAAAACTGATTCAGAAAATCGTAAATGGCTCACTCGTACTCTTAGATATTTAGCCCATGTAAATGGGGCTTCTCTTTATTTTGCTTCTAGTAAGTAAGGATTTGTCATTTAAGCCTAATTTTAAAATGATATATTTATCTTTTAAACAATATTTTCTTAAATCTACTTCAGAATTAATTACCTTTATTTAATAAAACTAAATAGAATAATTTCTTTAGCAAAAAAAATATTTTACGAAGCACATAAATTCATGTTTTATTTAATTAACATAATAAAAGAAACAATGATTTATTTTAGAATGTGAGATCTATTATGAATAATGCATTGTTTGGAAAAACTTTAGCTTAATACTATCAATCTGAGCATTTAAGACCTATTGAAATTAGTTTATCAAAAGATGAACTTGCTAAAATGGGACTTCCTTAAATATCAGGAAACATGACCTACTTAGAGGCATTTAAGAAGGTTATACAAGAAACTTTCCCTGAGAATAAAGGTGCTTAAAACGATGCTTCATAAGATCCACTCAGACTTATGGAAAAATTTCCTGAGGCAAGAATAGATTCCATCAGAGCAGAAAAGGATAAAGAGATGAAAGCTATTTCTAAAGAATTTATGTCTTATTTTGATAACACTTCTCCTGTAAAGCTGACTAAAAAATAGCTTTAATAAGAATACGAAGAATTGTTTGAAACTTCATAAAGTTATTAGCCCGACAGCTAAAATGAAATCTAATACTAAGACAATACTAACTACAAATAAGATTAAAAATACACTGATAATACAAATCAAACCAGAATTAAACCAAATAATTAAACATCTACATATTAAGGTAGCGCTCCTCAGCCAATTGGTGGTAGTATAGATCCTTAAAGAGTAAATCCTTATACTAAAAATACAGTACGTTCTAATTTAAAATAAACTAACTAAACTAGTAATCAAGGAGGAACTGGAAGATTATCAGGAATGGGAGGACTTCCAAATATAATCTGAAAATAAAATATAATGTTTAAAATATTATTAATATCAGAAATATTTTTTAATTAATTGTAAATCTTTATAATCTAAATAATATCAACTTTATTGAAATTAAATAAATAAATTTTATAAGTAAATCACCTTATTTAGAAATTCACCTTGATAATTTGTACCCATATGAAGGGGTATACGGTAAATATAATTAAAATTTAATAATAATTATTAAATATTTTACCTTATATGAAGTTTGTTTTTGAGTATTATTTATTTTCAAGATGATGAGAAGAAAAAATTAAAAAATTAAAAGAAATTGTTGAACTTTAGATCATTTATGAAATAGAAAGAATATTTAATACTAAAAAGATATAATTTACATTAATTAATTGAAGTAGTTTTGTTTATTTAAATTTTTTATATTTTATAAAGTGATTATACTGATGGCTATTATAGTTGATTGAAATAGAGTAAATTTATAATTATTTTTATTATAAACATCAAAAAAAAAGTAATTACTATTCAACTGAATTAACTTATTGATTATATAGTATACAAACAAAAATAAAGTAGTTAGTAGAAATTAAAAAAATTATATAAATATATTTATTTGAGAATAGAGATGAAATCAAACATTAATTCTAACCCTGCTCCACGCTTAGGACCAAAAACTCTTCCAAAGTATATATGATAGACATTTTTATGTTATTAATATTTTGATTTAATAACTAATTAATCAGCCATTAGAAAGGTACTTTGCAGAAGAAGAAAACCTTAAAAAAAGACAATAGTTCTAATGAAAGTAATTCAAAGAGATCTTCAATCATTTAAAAAGATAATGAAAAACAGGGATCAACTAAAAATATTTCCAAATGTAAAAATAAGTACTAAATACTCAACCAAAGTCTTTATCAATTTTCTAATAAAAGTAAACTCTTCAAAGTCAATTGAAAAATAAATAGTTTCTGATCTACAATTTATATTTGAAGGAGGTTCTGATGCTTATCCTACAAAGCCTTACTTCTCTGATGGAGATCCTTCTATGTATGAAAAAAATATTTAAATCAAATTAAAATAACTTGCTAAATAGCTAATTAAAGATCAATAAATTTATTTATAAAAGGTATACTGCAGAGGCAGTAAAAGAAAGAGAGCAACTAAAAAATGATGTAGAAGTAAAATAACAAGTGTTCAATGTAGCAATAATTTGAAGAAAAAAATAGAATATTTATTTATTATATCTGTTTAAATTAGTTCATGAAGCATTACAGGTTTGATGAGAATGGCTAACTTTCAAAAAATGAATATTTTACTGTGCATTTATAATTAGCTTCATTGCTAAGATAAGACCTCAATTCAGAGTATAAATAAGGAGAATTAAAGTATATTCTTGAGCAGGACTGGAAACATGACAGCAAAGGTAAAGATAAAATGAATAGAGATGATTTATTCTAATCTCTGTTTGAACTTGTGGACATATGGACTCCTACTACAAAAAAATAAGAGTAATTTAACAAAAAACTCAGCTTAAAATACATTTTAATTTTTTATTTTATTTTATTTTAACAGGTATTTAGATTTTTTTACCATCATGTCTGAAAAAATATCAGCTAATCAAAATGAATGTAAAAAATTAAAGAAGTTTTATTCAAAAAAATTAATTTTTCTTTATTTAATCCTTTTTAATAGATGACTTGCCAAATGCTTATTAGATCATATGACAATAAATTTACAATTAACAAGCAACTCATTATTCTTTGAAAAAATCTTAAATAAATTTACTATTCAATTAATAAAATTACTCTTTAAATATTTCATGTTTATATTATATATAAGATATAAAATATTTATTTTAAAAATCAATTAATCAAAATAAGTTAAATAGAAAAAAATAGTTTTAATTAAAAAGATTGTAAAAATTTTTTATTTTAATTGGCAAAAAATATATTAAATATTTTTTCAATTTATCCAATTATTATATTTTATATTTCATTTGCTTAGTTATATTTCTTTTAAATAAAATTTAAAAATATTAAAGTAAATTCTACTCTTTAAATATTTCTTTTAGTTTTTTTTTACTAAATTTAATAATAGTTTAATATTTATAATTTATTAATACAAATTATAAATTTAAAATCTTACTTTTTGCTTTTTCAGATATCACAGTTTTTCAATTAATTGTGTGATATATTATCTGAAAATTCGAAATTAAATTATTATTTTATTATTGATTGATTAATATTAATTAAAGATATATTTAAGGATTTACAATAAAAATATTTATTAGCAACAACTATATTTTTTCAAAATAACTAAGGGTATTAGGAAATAACAGTTTAAATGAAGAATATATTATATTCAAACATTCAATAGTAGCCAGCATATAATGATATAGTCAAGAAAAATTAAAGAGAATCTAAATTAAAAGATATGTTGAAGAGTAGTCCCATATCAAACTAAAATTAAAAAGTATCCTCAAGATCTTCAACTCCTTCAAAAAGAAATAATTTATCAAGCACAGGATTCCATTAATAATCAGGGAGTAAATAAAACTTAAAAAACAATAACAATGAAAGCAGCTAAGATCCTATTTCTTATTATAAGAAGTAAACTAAAATGTTAAAAGATTAACTCAAAGATAAAGAAAACTAAATAAATTAATTGAAAGCAGATAATGATCATTTACGCACATTAAACACAGAATATGTCAAATCAATTAATGTAAATATATAAAAAATAAATAACTTAATTAAATGAGCTTAATAAGTATTTTTGAAAGAAAAGCTTTATTCAATCATAATTAAATAAAATTAGGATGTAATTCACAAAAAAGTAGAAAGCATGGAACATATTGTCATTGATAAAGCTCTCTTTGAAGGCCCTACTTTTAAATCAGACACCAAAAAGGTGATTTAAAAGTTAGAATAAAATTTAGAAAAAGTAGAAGCACAGTTAAAATCCTTCATTAAGCACTGTAGAATTATGGAAGCTGATATTGAAGTTTATAAAAAGAAAATAATAGATGCAGATTACATTTTGTAAGGCTTAAAGAAAACTGGTGAATTTTCAATAGACAATCTTGTCTATAGGTTAAAGTATAACGGTATAATAATATTCACAAAATTAGATTTTGATTTTAATAAAAATATTTAAATCCAAGAACTTTTTTATCTGATTAATCTCTTTAATTAAAAGATGATAGAATTTAAGAGCTGGAAGCAGAAAACAGACAACTTTAGTATGAAAATTGTTTGAATGTTGAGAAACTAAGAAACTTTGATCTAAAATATGGAGATATAGAAGTATGCATTTTACTATTTATTTGTTTTAAATTAACATGTTCTTAGTTTTGTATTATTATTTTTTGGGTTTTGGATGAGTAAATTTACAAAAGACCTCTCATAAATTAGTAATTAGCTTGAAATAGTGATTTATATTTTATAAAAAGATGAATTATGAAGATTGCAAGTAGGATTACCAAGACCTCATTATAAAACACAATAGATTAATAAGTGAAAGCGAAGCTAGAAAAAATAGTGATTAAAGAACTGTAATTTATTTATTTAATTAAGCAATAATAAAATAAAACTTATCGTTAAAAACAGATTTATGAACTAAAGTGCAAGAATGATATCTTTGAGCATGAATTGAGAACCTTTTAAAGTACTATTGAATCTTAAGTTTAAGAAAAAATAGAATCAACAATGTATTTATTTATTTATTTATTTATTCGATTTTAAGAATGAGATTTAATATAAATTTATATAAATAGAAAAGCAACTGAGTAATCAATAAAAAATGAAACTTTAAGAAGTACATTTATGAGCTCTAAAAGAGGTTCTGCTGGAGGCCATGGAGGGTTTAGTGTATAATTCAAATAGTTTTGATTCTAAAAGAGAAAATTAATTAACTAAATAATTAGTAAATTTGTTTAAATAGATATTTATGAACTTAATTGTAAATAAAAGATTTATTTTAACTCAAACTTTCAAATAAATACACACATAAAATTTTTTTCAAATAAAATAAAATCAACTTCATAAAAAAATAAATAAAATATTTCTATGTCTAATATAAAAAAGTTATGTAGATCCAAATACTTTTTAGATTATTTGTTGATTTTTAAGATAATTTTTATTAAACAATTTTCTATTAATAAAAAATTGTAATTTTAAGAAATTTAAAAATTGATAGATAGAAAAAATATTTAGAAACTAATATTAATTTAAGTGCTATTAAGTAAATTTTAAATATCAAATAAATTTATCAATTATTAAATGAGTATATTAAATAATATTTAAAATTTTATTCATTTATCGATAGATTTTAAAAAAGGAAAAATTATAAAGTTAATTAATTAATTTATTTAAAATAATTTAATTGTTATTTCAATCAGTAAAATGAATAAAAAATGTAATACTAGAAATATATACTTAGAATATTTTATTAGTATATATTTTAATAAGATTTACTGATAGTGTTGTTGAATTAAAACTATTAATATTGGTTTGTTGTTTCAATTAAATTAGCAATTTAAATATGAAAGTTAGTTCAGCATTTATTTTCTCATCAAAAATCATTCTAAAATATTAATTACTTGCTATCTATTTTGAATATGAAAGGTAAAGGTAATTCAGCATTTATTTTCTCATCAAAAATCACTCTAAAATATTAATTAATTACTCACTATTTCTATTTTGAATATGAAACTTAATTCAGCATTTAAAAAAATAAATAAAAGATAGTAAATAAACTTAGAAATATATTAACTAGGATTCAAGAATGAGTGCTTTAGCAACAGTTCCAATATTCCATTTAAGCATTTTATAATTTTTCAGGGATAAATTGTTAAAGCAGCTTTGCATGAGATACAACTGCTATTTTTTCTTCTTCCTTTTAGAGATAATTGGTTGAATATTCGTTTATAATATCTCTTACTTTAATAGATCTCTTTGATAAATCTGATGGAGTTTCAAGATAGTTATTTTTTAAGTAATCTACTAAAATATATGGACCTTAATTTTAAATTTATTTTTTTAAAGGACATCTCATTTCTAAAATATTTTAAATTGTATATTTTTTTTCACTTGAAACCAAATTTGAAATATTCCAAAGTTAGTTATCCTTAACCATTTCTTCAATAGCTTAAAAGTCAAAATTTTTAAATTCTATAAGTTTTTTATAATCTAAAGTATTATTTCCAATATCATTAGCTGTATTCATAAATTCAGATAGCTCTGGTATAACTACAATCCAAGGCATAGGTTTATAATTCTTAAAAATATGATAAGCTGTTTGTAATGCTCTCAAAAGAGGTGAAACAAGGACAATTTTAATATTTTAAAGAGATTTGATGTGATTTTCGTACAATTATTCGCTCTTTTTATAATTTAAAATTTTTTAAATTGTAAATAAAATGAAGACTATTACCTAAGATATACCTTCATCTGTGAGAGGAGAGTCTATATAATCTGAATTAAATCTTAATTACTCGCTTATATTAACACTTTCTTTAGAATTGTTTTGCTTTTTGAGCTTCAAAAGTAATTCGTGCATTTAGTTAAATTTAGATTGGCCATGCCTTATTAATATGACTTAATTATTCTACTTCTACATTTGTTAATAATTTTATTTAAATAACAATTTATGCGAGATAAAAATTTATGCATTTTAAACTTTCAATTAATATTCACCTCAACCAAAAATAAAAAAGCATAATAAGCTGACTGTTTTTTATATTTTTTAAATTCTAAAATTTGCTATTTTATTTAAAATAGAACTAACCAAAAATCTAATAGTAATAAAGCACAAAAACTATGTATTTCTTAATAAATCTAATGACAAATTTAAATAAATTTTTGTATGAATTTACAGTAAGTAAATAAATAAATAATAATTTATTTTTTAATTTAATTTATTTAAAATTTCTTTTAGTTTTTAAAATATTATTTTTAAAATAGGCTTTTTTTAGGTTTGCAATCAATTATTTGAGAAGGGGTCTTCTACACTTTGTTTGTTAGGATTTCTAATAAATATATTAGATTGTTTTTCGTTTTATTATGAAGGTTAGATGGAAGATTCTTTCTATCCTAAAATGACTGATTATTAATTAGAATTTTTTTGATTTATTTCTGGGGACTCCTATGAATTTTATTTCTAAATCTGTTATAAGCTTTTTACTTCTTATTCTTTGTGTGTATGTTCTGATATATCTGAGACTTCGCTATTAGAAACTCTCTCTTTTATAAATGATACAGAATCTTCTTCGTCGTTATTGTCCTCAATATAAATAAGTTTTTTATTGTCAGAATTTTAGTTCATGTTTAGAGCCAAGATACTTTATCTCTTTTATTCCTCTTTATAGTCTTCGATTTCACCAAACTCTTACTCTTCTTACTCTGACTAAGCTTATTTAATGTAGTAGTACCCTAATTTTTTTATTGTTAATGTGTTGTGAATAAATTAATAAAAAAAATGATTTACCTATAATAATTCCGATTATTAAGAAGATAGGAATATAAAATACCAGCTTAATTGCTTTGATTCCTTTATGAAGTTAAGATATTTTATATGCAGAACAATCTTCTCCAGTGAAGCCAGGTTTACAATAACACTCTTATTTATAGCACACTCCATTAAATGAACAGCTATTTTCACAGTCAGAGAGATTTGATACTTATTCTTATTTCTGATTTGCTTTTAAGGCCATGTGAATAAGCTTAGCAATTTCTTCACTTTTAGATAAATCTTGTTAGCTTAAATCTGATTCTTCATTTTTTGATTCTGATACATTTTATAACTCATCAATTTAGCTATCTCCTTTTTATTCCTAGTTTTCATCACCATCAGATGTTTTATCATTTTCTTCATCCAAATCATTTGTTTTTTAAGATTACTGTTAATCAGCTTACAACTTAGACTCCTCCTCAGATGATGTATCTTAATTTTATTATGTATTCTAATCAGGTGATGATTATTATGCTTCTTATCCTGCATCTACATTTGATACATTTATTTTATCTCCTTCATTCACTTACTCTTTTGGATTTTAAGATTCCTATTAACTTTCTTTGTTGGCTTCATCTTCTTATTTGTCTTTGTTTCCTTCATTTTTCTTTAATTCTTCTTATTTTTTCTTTAATTCCTCTTCTATTTTCTTTTATTCTTTCTCTTTTTATTTCTACTCCCATGCTTCGATTGTGAGTGAGCAATCTAGATCACCATAGCCATCCTAAATAAATAAATAAATTAATTAATATCGCTTAAAACAGTATTAATTTTAAATGATACTTCACATATGCATATTCCTGTTATTTCATTGCATTTTCCTCGATTGCTGCAATTTTTAGGGCATTTAACTTCTATATCAAGTAATCCTTTTTATCCAATTTCACAAGCTAATCCTTTATATCCTTGATTACACTAGCAAAGTCCATTTGATTAACACAAGCCATTATCTATGCTGGTACAGTTCGATGGACAAGGAATATACAATTCGCATACTTTACCTGCAAATCCGCTGTAGCACTTGCAATTGCCATCAGTTCCACAAATACCTCTGTTTGAGCAATTATACTCACAATGCATTTCAATTTCGCATTATTCACCTTTTTTAAGAATAATTAGGAATAAAATTTCCAATTTTTAGATAAAAAAAAATAATACCAAAAAACCCCTCCTAGCATTAGCATCTATTGTTTCTACAAATACCTCTTCCAGTGCAGTTTTTAGGACAAATATCAGTTATATTCATTACTAAGAAATCGTTGTAGCACTTTTCCATCATTTAACAACCCCCAAAAAGATAAAGATTAGACCCCATTAATGTTAGACCATAGTTATCTCTTTCTTTAAGAGTGTTCCTTTTTAAAATGTTAAAAATTAATATCAAATTATGATGATTAAGTTATTTATTTATTTACTCAAGTACAAAATCTAATTTAGTCCATGTCAAATCATCAATATTTAATTAATAAACATCGTTGAAGCATCTTTATTCCTTGTAATTGCAGCCACCTAATGTATAAAGTAGTTTTCCATGAAGAACCATTTAATGCCCCTGTCTCTCAATTGGTTTAGTGCCATAACTTTCTAAAATCTTAGTCCATCTCATATTTTCTACATCTAGTTGCCATAAATCATTCGTTTCTCCTCCAAGACAGTAGCCTCCAAATATCCAAATATAAGAATCACGTACGAGATTCATGGAAAAATTCTCTCTTGGGCGAGGTGGTTCTCCATTTACGAGTGGCTTAACCCATCTAAGATTGACTAAATCAAGAAAATAGACATCGCTAGAATATCCTTGTACCTTATTTTTTATTCAAAATTTACTAAATAAATATTTATCAAAATAAACTATACTGTAAAACCTCCAAAGAAAACAATTCTTCCCTGATTATCTAATATAGCTTTATGGTTTGTTCTTCCAGGTGGCTTGGGTCCTTCAAATTCAAATTATTCCCATACTCTCTTTATTAAATAATAATATTTATATAAATATTCTTTAAATTTCTTGTTAGAAAATTACACTAGCCAAATTAAGTCTATGCAGGTCGCTTAATATACCATGTTGGTTAGATCCACCGAAAATATAAAGATAAGATCCAACTAAAGTAGCTGAGTGACCACTTCTAGGGCTTGGAGGTTCACCAAATATCTTAGAAGTAGACCAAGTGAGCTCCCTAAAATTAAAAATGAAAAGATTATAAAAACTTGGATAAATATATTTAGTTAGGTAAATAAATTACATGATATCATAGAAGTATAAATCATTAAAACACTAGATGTCTTAAAGGCATCCACCGAAAAGGATTATTGTTTAACCAACAGCAATTAAAGTGTGACCACCTCTTCTTTGTGGAATTTCACCTTCAGATAAAACTTAAAACCACTCAAAAGGATCGTATGTAGGAATAGTATACTTTTATAATTTTTGCTTATCTGAAGTAGATGTATCTACAACCATTTTACTATTTTTAAAGTCAACTTCTTTGATTTTATTCATGTTCATCATTTATGTTGTTTAACTAACTGGGTCATATCGAAGAAAATATATTTCCCCATCTTCCTTTTATATAATTTAGCTATCTGAGCCTTTAAGTTATAATACAAGTTATTTTGGTTATTATTAGTCTTAGTCTTAAGATTATTCTTTATTTTCATTGTTGGAATTTGTTTAAGTTTTTTGTTTATCTTCTTTAGTTTGATCACTTGTTGTTTCTTCACTTTATTCCTTTTATGAATTTATTTCATCATTTTCTATGCTTGAAACATCTTCTTCTTCTTCACTATCAGAGTTATCTTCATCTTAATCAGCTGTTTTTTTATTTTTAACTAATGAAAAATAATCAAATACTTATTTTTAATCAAAATATTCTTTTTTTGATGATTTATCATTATCTATTGATAGAGTATCATGCAATTTATTTTTCTTAGAATGAGAACTTTCCATAATAATTTTAATACCGTCCTAATCCTCCATCATGTTATCTTAATATTCTTTTTTTATAGCCAAAATGAAACTTAGTTCAAACATAATCACTAACCCGCAGAAATATGATAGTAATTTCATTTTTAAAATTTAAAGTTTTTTAAAATTTATTTTATTTTTTTAGTAAATTTGTTTATTAGTTAAGTGATGAGAGATAGTTTTCTAAAAATATTTTATGCTATTGCAGAAATTATTTTTACAGAAGTATTGCTAATAACTTTTGTTTGGTTTTAGTTTTCAATTTTATATTTCTTTTAATATCCTTTTAATTAGTAAATTAAATACAAAAAAACAAATACATTTGTAATTGATTGACTTTACAAAATTAAAACGTATATGTTTTCTATTCGTTTTTAATATGAAGCAAACATGAATTAGCAATAACAAATCTTCACAAAAATATTTGTAGGTTGATTATAAACTTTTTATGGTTCATTAATCAGCTAGAATTTTGAATAAAACTTACATCTATTTAATTCTGTCCTTTTAATAATTAAATTTAAGACAATATTAATCTAAAATATTTTATCCTATTCATAAATAATCCTAAAATTCAGATTTAAAATTTGTAAAAAATAATTAACTATATTTAAAAGATAAATACATAAATTAATATTTAAGTATTTGCACAAATATAGAATATATTATTTTCAACAAGAGCATCTTTCTTGATTATATATTTAGTTTTACATAAAATAAACAAAATAATAATTAATCTAAAGATATTTATATTTAAAATAGAATAGACAATAGCTGTTTTCATTTATTTTAGTGACAAAAATTATGTATTATTATTATCTTAAATTTATTAGAGTTTGTTATTTTTAAAAAAATATGTTTTAAAGAAGAATATTTGACTCTTTCTAAAATATTTGATAAATTAAACTAATCAACTATTAGGAATTAAAAATTAAATAGATGTTTTTGGTAGTAAATAAATAACATAAGAATATATTAATATGATTGTTAATAAATTCAAATTTTATGGTATACTATTGAATAAATTCACAAACAAAAACAATATTAAATTAAAATAAATTTTTATAATGTCTTCCAAATAAATTATAAATTAATTATGGATAAAAACAAGAAATTGTAATATATATGTATAGATTGAAAATTGTAAATTTGATTAACTACTTTAATAATTAAGGTACGAAACATAAAATAATATTCTATAAATAAATCAAAAATCTTAACTTTTTAACTTTAAAATACCATCAACATATTATTTAGGAGTAATAAATGAAGTACCTCCCAAAATTGTTAAGAAATCTTAATCTTAAGATCCAATTAAGTTACGAATTGCACGAATTTCGTTGTAAGCTATTCCTCCTGCTACAAATATGATTATTTTTTAAATTCCATTGTTGACTTCATCATCATCATTGTTACCACCTAGAATGTTGGCCAATCTATTTTTTTACTATAAAGATTTGGCACCTTTGCCACTATAGTCCTCGCAGTTTATCTTTAGAGATTTAAAATTTGGAGGGATTTTAAAGTTTTAAGTACTTCTAAAATCAGAAATGAATGCTTCCATTAAGTTTTCAAGCTCTGGAGTAGTTCTGCACAAATCAAAAGTTTATTATTACAATTTGTGCTTTGATTTTTTGATAGCTTCCTTAGATATTCTAGTTTTTGATTTAGATTTTTTATCACCAGCTCTTTATGGATTGATACCAAGTTAAGTAAGGTTATCTAAAGCGACTTGCTTTTGCATAGGAAGATACTATGTAAGATCTTTTCTGTGCTTATCTGTTAGCTCGATAGTCATTGTTGCAATTAAAACTAAACGTAACTTATCGTAATCATCAAGAGTGTCACTTTAAAGTCTTGCAGATATTTAGGAAATCAACTATTTTTCTTTTGTTTTATCTCCATTAACATCTAAACCTGTTGCTAAACTTTATTCTAATTCTCCTACCATTTTCAAGTCTTTCTTTTCAAACATATTCCAGCAATCTTCAATGATCTTCATATGCATATTATATTTTGCTATTAGTTCTTGATACTAAGGCATACTACGAATGATTTCTGACATCTTTTTAAAGTCTAATTCTTCAAATGCACCCATTTACATTTTAGCAGTACTGTTTGAGTTTACAAATTTTCCGAATTCATCACCAATACCACTCATAACTTCAGCAATGTGAGAGAAACGATATCTATTTAAAAAAACATTAATTGAGAAAAAAATATTAAAACTTGATTTGTGACTTAAAATTTTTTATAATGTGAAATGTAATTTGTTAATTATCATTTTTATTTGTTTATTTATTTTTATTTTTTTTATCATATAAAACCTATTTCATAATGCATATCTTTTAGTTGATGATGCATATATGATTTGAAACTATTTCAAAGAGTAAAAATAAAATAAAATTAATGAAATTTATACCTTTTAAATAAATCGTCTTGCTCATTTAATTAAGCTTTCTTCTCTACTACTTAATTGGTTTTTTCGTCTTAAATCTTATACTTAATTATATCATTTTCTATTTATTCCTCTAGTAGATCGTAAAGCATAGGTTAATAATAAAAATCGTGTAAAATTGGTGATAATGGATCGAAAGCGCGATCAATTATAACCAAAGTTATTTTTCCAGCAGTTGAATCGAACTATTCAGATTTTTCTGCTTACAATTTATTAATAACTTCATTTATACGCTAATGAACTGATTAAGCTATTGTTTGAGAATAGTCTAATTCGCTTTTATTATGCATTATTTCGACTCCATATATTTTTTCAAAAGAAAGAATTACTGTTGCAAGTTTATCTCCAATTTCTTTAGCAAATTATTAGAATCTTACCATCTTAGAGCTATACATTAGTGATAAATCATCTTTTATTTCAAGATTAAAAATATTGTCGAATTTGCATGCAAAATCTTGATTAAACTCCTTAAAAGTTACTACCCTATCTAAGAGGAGACTATTGGATGCTATTTTGCTCATATATTCATTAGAGACTCTGTTGATGAAAAACAAATGCACTTATCCATATTTTGCTTCTTTTTTATTAGGAAAATCTTTTAGCAATAAGTCAATAGATTCAAGTTAGCAAGACAAGAAATAAATAACATGCTATTTAGGATATGGCTTTCTATCATTATCAATACGTTCTACTGCTAGAATGTTCAACTCCATAAGTTCCATCATCTTCATAAATGAACTCAAGATTTTTAGTGAGTTAGCATCTGTAATAAGCAAGTAAGAAGATACACCCTTATTTGCTCTCTGAAGATCTTCAAATAACCCTTTTATCCTGAGTTTACAATTCTACTTTAATGAATATTAAACTTTCCTTAACTTATTATCCATCTATCTTCTTCTTTTACCTTTTTTATGTGAGAATAAATGAATGAATGTATTTTTATTTCAATACTTAATTAATATTTATTTTTTTATCAATAAATAAATACAAGTTTATTTTTGATATCAAATAATTTACAAAATAACAAAATAGATGGGTAAAATGTAAAAAAAAGAAATTAATAAACAAATAAACAAACAAATAGTCACCAGTCGTCTTTTAGATTCCTAGTACAAAATCTGTTTGGCAAACATTTTAATTAATTTAACATTTAATTTAAACATTTTCAGATTTGAACATCAATCCCTCATATTAATTTTATTGAAATCTTTTTAAATTTTTTGTTATCCGCAAATTATAGCTGAATCAGAAACCAAAATTTTATTTTGTATGTAAGAGTACAAATAAGCATTCCAAAATATTCATTTACTAAATGCAACAAAATGTAAATTATTAAATTACTATTTTTGTTTAAAATGTTACCTTTTTGATAAACACATTTCATCTTATCCATTTTTATTATTTTAGTTGAGCTTAAAATTTAAATTTATTCTATTAAAATTTAACAAAGAAATATTAAATAAATTATTTAATTTTTTAAAACAAATTTATTCAGATTTTATAATTATAAAAATGCAATTTTAAAATATTAAAAACATCTGTTGAAAAATTGATTGTAAGATAAAATAAATTATGTTTTTAAAATAATTAATATTAAAAGATGAATTTTATTAATTTATATTTTGTGTTAATACCTTAGAAAGATGATTGAAAATCATGAAAAATAATCCTAAATTATTAATTTTCATCAAAAATTTTATTAAGAATTTATATTTTATCTTTGAAGTATTTTAAGTTAACTATAAAAGAGGAATTACAATTTGTTTTTATGGTTTAAACAATAATTTTACTTAAAATTACTGAAAATGTTCAAATGTATATTCTGCTCAAAAGAAAAGGATAATAAATAAAAATAAGCAATTCTCAAAATCTTTAAAAATAAATGAAAATATTTTTTATTAAATGATAAAACTTCTTGAGTCTGTCTATTCAATGCTTTTATAACAAATAAAATAATACTTATTTAAATTATTTTTTATTTGTATTAATGAGAAAATTTATCGATGAGATGTAATTTTTAATCTTAAAAAACTTTAAAATTGATTTTAAGATATAAATTAATTAGATATTAAAGCATTTAAATAAATCAGGTAATTTAACTCTAATTTTCAAATAAAGAATATTATTGTAAAATAATTGATAATTATATCACATAAAACTAGAAATAAATTTAGTGATTTTTAATTAGATTTAAATTTTTTAATCATTTTTAAAAAAATATTTTGTTAGACATATTCAACTTTAATTTTTTATTTCATCTTAAGAGTAAAAAAATTCAAAATTAATTAAATTTAATTAATATTAAAAGAGTAAGCCATAAAAGTTTCCATTAATTTTTTTTTCACAAATCATTACTTACTTATGTATGTTTAATATTTATTTTTAAACATTTGAAAATGAAATATAAATTGTCTTTCTTAATTTTTTAATGCAAAAAAAAGTATAAGAAATATTTAATAGCATTTAAAAAATTAGTTATTTATTTTATTTCTTAAAGAGAAAAAGAATTGAAATTTTAAGTCATATTTAATGAATTCAAACAAGTCAATATTTTTTATAGGCAATATTAACATTAATTAAGTAAACTTAAAAAATAACAAACAATTAGTATCTGATTAATTACTTATCAGCTTGAATTAAAAATATAAATTTTAAATTATTTAGTATGTTGTAGAACAAATTGTCTATTTTTTTACTCAATAATAATTTACATATGCAAATACACACACATGCATAAAAACAAACAAAAAAAAGTTAAATTTAGTTTGGAAGAAAGAAGGTTTTTGCAAAAAACTAAATAAAGAAAAAATATAAACTTTTGACAAATTGAATGGAAACATATAAATAGCAATCAACTAATTAATTAATTTTACTTGCTAAAAAATAAAAAATACCAAAGGCCTAAGCTAAATTTTAATAATATTTATTTGAAGAGTATTGATTAAGAAATAGATTTTAATAATTAAGATAGATATACTGATGATGAATAATTTTGAAAAATAAGTTTAGAAAATGAATTTAATTAATAAATCACAAACGAGCTCCATGATTGTTATATTAATTTATTCCATTCCCATTTTCATATTAATATCTTTATTATACTTATTATGGATTCTATATGTAGTTATTATTCATGTTAGCATTAACCATTTATTAATTGTAAACTCCAACAGGAGGAACTGCTGGTTGTAACTAATCACTGATGGGATTTCCACCAAATTTAGTTTTATATTACTCTATATCAAATAGCAAATTCTTGGCATTCTTTATAAAGGAATATAGAATGAGTAAAGTAAGAATGAAAATTATTACATAAGACACTTTCTTTACTCCAGATTAATCACCGAACCCTGCAAATATAAGAATGTTAGCTAAAATTTCCATACAAATGCATAAAATCAAACCCTTGATATAATATCTAACAAAGTGGAGTTTACTGCTAGTTAATCCATGAATAGCAAGGATAATAAATATGAACCATAAAATATATTCTATAATAGAAATAACAGCTGAAGCACGCAAAAGGTTATTTGGGGAATCTCCATCATTAGAATTATTATTTATACTCCCGAATCCGGTTGATGATTTATCACTGGAAGAAGAATCGTCACTACTGTTATATAGACTTATCTTGTTCAGTAAATTAATTACCAGCAAAATTGTAAAGCAAGCGTTGCATCCTGTGAACCATTTTGTATTCTTTCTTATTCTAAAAATAAGTTGCTATCTTATTTATTAGTCGCCATCAATAACTACAATTGCATTTTAACCTAAACCTGCAATATTTTAGTTTATTTGTGGTTGCTCAGCTACCTGAACTGGAATTCCTGGCATAACCATACCTCCCTAATTATCGCTTCCATAAAATCCACCTGCATAAGGAGCAGGCATTCCAAATTAATTTATTTAAGTCCCTTATACTTAACCATTAGGTTTTTAATTTAATGGCTGAAAGCTACTCTAAAAGGGAGAGTAGAAATTTTAATACGGTTGCTTCGGTTCTAAAGTTAAATTCTCTACTTAAAGGCCAACTCCATAATAATTGTTGTTGCCATAATTCCAATTATTTTAATTCCCTTAATACTAATTTTTTGCATTTTATTTCAATTGATTATCTTCTTCTTAAACAGGCTATCCAGAAGGAATATAACCTATATTTTAATTCTTATCTTATTATGGCTTTAAGTCATGTGTATCATCATCCATAACAATTAAATTGTCAGGATTGTTCTCAATATCTTTTCTATCGTATTGCATTTTGATATTATTTAAATTGATACTTATACTTGCTATTCTTTTCAAATGAATTATATTTTTTATTAATAACAAAGATTATATTTTTTAATCAAAAACTTAAGCTTTTATATTCTTTCTATGAAATTATATTGGATGAGGCAGGCAGGGATATAAAATATAGACTATATTAATTATTAAATAAATAAATATATATTTAGTTATGTAAAAAACATTTTTTAAATTGAATGATTTTTGAAAGACCCACAACTTAAAAATGACATTTTATTAATTAAAATAATAATAATAATAATGATGAAAAAACTAGAGTTAATATAAATGAGCTTATTTAAATAAATTTTAAGCTTATTGTTAAAAAAAATGATTATTTATTATATAATATGAAAGTATATTTTTTTTATTTATTTTCTATAGAAAACTTTGATAAAAAACTACCTAAAATATAGAATGATTAAGAATAATAATTATAATTTTTGCTTTATTTAATTGATAAATAATGAATTAAAAATGTTGATATTTAATTTAAAATGAAATCAACAATAATTTTTGTTAAAAAATCTAATTCAAAAGTAAAAAAATGAATTTTAAATGGTTGGTCTTTGATTAAGTGTAATATTTTTAAAAAAATTAATCATAAGAATTAACTAATTTCTACTTTTTATATCTAAAACAGAAAATTTAGATATTTTTATGTATATTTTTTAAGTCTCTATTGGTAAGTAAAAAAAGTAATTAACAAATATTAAGTGCATATTTATTTTTATGAAAAAGTATTAATAACTACTGGAAAAATACTAAAAAATTTAATTATATATATGTCTAAATCGAAAATAAAAAATAAAAAGCTTTAATAAAAAACAGTATATTATTATTTTCACTATATTAAGAAGATATATTATGAATATTCATTCATAATATAAGCTAAAAAAGCTTTATAATATATATTTAATTTTTTTGTTATTTTAAATAATATATTTTAATAAATTTCAATATAAGGTCATTAATAGTTTTGTTTCTACTAAATTGGCGATCATAAATTTGAAATGAACCATAAATAAAATCAATATTATTGAAACATTTATTAGGATTAATCTATAAATTAAACTGATAAAAAATATTATTTTACAAAAAAATAAACATTTTTTAGATATGTTACTTTCATTCATAAGTCCTATTCAGCAAAGTAATCAGTATTTAAGTCATACCCATGACATGTAACATCATTCATTACATCGCTAGCTTCATTTACATTATCTCTTAGTACAGGGTTTGAATTAGATTGCTTTTACATGATTTTTTAAGATAAACTAACTAGGATTCTCTTAACAATACAGCATAAATCATCATATGGAATTGAATCATTTTGCGAATATTAAGCTTTATTTAAGAATTATCTTATATCGTTACCATCAAAATAATTTGGTGGTAAAAATGTTGAGTTGAATTTTTGTAGAAGTTTTAGTGCCTCGTTGTAACTATAGAGACGACTAGTAGTATATTAATTGGCACCACATATTTATCTAAATGCTTCAAAAGCCTTGCAATCATAGCTGTTACAATTTAAAGGTGCTGTAGTTTAACCTACTGTATCGTAGGTGTAATGTATTGCATTTACTAAATCTTATAGTGATGGTGTGCTCATTTTAGAAAATAATTGTCTTTTTCGCTTTTATATTTATAAGTCAATTTGTTTGTTTTTAAAAATCTAATTATTATCTGATATAATAATAAAAATATATATTAAACATAAAAACGTAATATAAAATTTAATTTGAATTCCGTTTTTCGCTCCTTTTAATTTGATAAATTCAAAACGGTTACAAATAAATTAGATTTCCTTATAATAAAATATATTATTTTAGCAATATTTATCTACTTTATAAAGTTTTTTCATAAAAATCAAAAACTTTTTTTATAAATAATAAATTCTATAATAAAATTTAGGTTATCAATAATGAATAAGATTGATTAAACACTTAATATATGTATATTTTTAATTTATTTATTTATTAAACTGAAAATTTTCTGTCAAACTTATTAACATTCTCAGCATAGATTTTTGAAAATTATTAACATGAATTGAAATTTGATTTAAAATCATTCAAATCGAATTATATTATAATAATTTTTAAAAAAATTAAATTAAAAATTAAAATTATATTTTTTAAATATTTTCTTTTTGAAAAATATTTGGTGAATCACATGATAATTTGCATATTAAAAAATATTTTAAACTTTGTTTAAGCTTGCATTAGGAAATTTAAAAATATATTCTAAATAATTTCATTTTCAAACAAAAAAACTTAAACAATTTTCACTTTTCCTTTGTTAAATTTCCTTTTTGATTTTATTTATTTATTAATTAAATATCTATCTATTCAAGTTTTAAATTTCAATTTCTCTAATTTTTCAAGAATTTAAATAATTAAATTTATTGTAAATCAACATAAAACATAAATTTAAAATTTTTTTTAATGATAAGTAAATTTTGAGACATTTATTAAATTTGAGGTTATAAATTTTATAAATTTAAAAGATGTAAAATTTATTTAGTACATTATATACAATTTAAAATATAATAAAAATATAAATAATTATTGTAAGAAATGAAACTTTATTTATTATAATTCTTTAACCATGGAAAAGTAAATCTAATTAGTGAATAACTTACTTACTTATTTACTTATTTTCTAATTGACTAAATAAATGAATTTCAAATACATTTAATTTATTTAACTCACTTAGAGTCAAAATTTCAAAATTCTTTATCTAAACGTAGAATATTTATTTATATATCTATTTATTATGATTTCTCATGGAAATGTATGTTATAAATTAATAATTTTAATGGTAATTATGAAATTTTATATGAAAATTTTAATTTGAAATTATTCTTTAATAAATATTTTAAGAAAAATTATTTAATTTTATTTATTTAGTTATTTAATTATTTTTTTAATTTATTTTGTTAGTAATTTGGTTATGATGCTGATTTATTTTATAATTTGCTTTTTATTATCTAATTGGGTTTATATACATTTTTTTTGATTTCAACTATCAAATGAGTGATTTTAGATGTCAAAAGAGTTATCAGTATTGTGAGACATGTCAATCAAACGCATTTTATCGCATTCCTTAGAGAGTTATTTTAAATATTAAGCATCTAATAAATCGAAGTTAAATCTACTGTTTTTTTGCTTTACAAATCTTCCTTGAATACGTTCTCTTTAATCTGCTAAATTCTTACGGATATTATAACGAATGCTTTTCCATTTGCGATTTTTTTTCTTTTCTAAATATTTTTCAACCTTTTCTCTTCTCTCATCTTTAGTTAGATTTCCTATAAATAAAGGATCATCTTATTACTCTTATATGTGGATTTGATTGCTAAATTATTATTTTTGATTATCTAAAAGTTCATCTTAAATGAATAAGCTATCTGGTTTACTTATTTTCTATAGACTTTGTTTTATTTCTTATTCATCTTCTTATTCCTCAAAATTAAACAATTTACTAAGTTATCCCATTATTGGAATTCCTACAGGGAAGATTATAGGAAATTACTTCTTTAAAGCCTTTAATGGGCAATTTTCTCCTAAAGAAAGTCTTCCACGTATTGCCGATTGCTAAAATTCCTTATCTTCTAAAAGAAAACTGTTTCTTTCTTTGGATTCAAAGTTCTTTGCTTCTATTTTTTTAAGATATTATTCAAAACCCTGCTCCTCGATCAAATCTCTTAACGAATGTTCACTCTACTGAGATTACTCTTCGATTTCTTCATTTATATGCTAGTAGAGAATATCATTTTCTATTTAGCTTGAAATAACTGCTTAATTTTGCATCTTTTAAGTTGCTTACCTAGCCTTATCTTTGTCTTACTAAGATTTGCTTAAGATTATATTATTTAAAGAACTTGCTGTTATTACTTAATTCTATTTAATTTATGATGTAGAAATCTCATCTTGCTTAGAATTCATTTAGAAGTATTAAGGTGCTTAGGATTTTATTACTTTGGGTATAGTAATTATACTTTGCCTTTTTTGGGAGAAATAAGCATCTTAAGTAGGCTATTATTGCTATTATGGGTTATAATTACTTTCATTTATAGATAGGTTTTGAAATGAAGCCTGTAGGAGAGAATCAAAACTCTTTCTGTCTGTTTAACTATCATTTTATGAATTTCCTTATTGTGAATTGTTTTAGTTCAACAATTGCTAAAAGAAATAATTGTTGTAATCAAAGAGATTTGTGTTATTAATACTTGTAGACGATTAGGTTTTTGAACGATTTTCTTTGTAAGAATTTAGATTGCAATCTTGGTTTTAAAGATTTTAAGCTAATGTCTATGAGTTTGGAGAGGAGTTAAGAAAGTCCTTTAAACTAGTTTTGCTTTTATTAATGCAGCTTTACTTCTTACTAGGCTAAAAAGATGTTGGAAAATTTTTTTGTTGCTCACCTTAAGCTTTTTGTTTTGAAACAGAAAGCTATTAAATGACAGAATCTGGCTACTTCTAGCTAGAAAATGTATTTATAAAATTCAAGGAGGGTTAGTAGCTGTTGTTATTATTATTGTTACTGCTACTACTGCGACTACTGTCACAATTCTGCATTGAATAAGTATATTCATCAATAGAAGAATGCAAAGAAGAGTTATTATTGTTGTTGTTGTGGTTGCTGCTACTATAATGGTAGTTTGTGTGAGGATTGTTGTTTTAAAAGGTTGACGAATATTCAGACAACTTTCTTCTCTTAAATATCTATTCAGTGGTAGGATTCTTTTCAAAGTAAGAAAATCCCTTAGTAGGTTTCTCAGGTGTGATTCCTGTGAATGGATCCATTTTGATATAAATAATTATAATTGCTGAGGATTATTTAAATAGCGATTAAAATCGTCTATTAACTTAAATTAAATAAAGCTAAGAGCTAAAAGAGAATGGGATAATTGGTGGATGATAGATTAGAGAAGTGAGAAATTAATCAATAGTGAATGATCTCGTATCTAGACTTCCGTTGTAGTTGTTGGATAGGACTTAGTCAGATTGCAGCAGAAGATAGATAGATAGAGATGAGTGATTCTTTGAATCTAATTTATGTGAATGAACAACTTTCAAAATTATTTGTAAGTAATTAATTATTAGCCAGACTATAAATTGTTTATATATAAATATATGAATTTGTTTGACTATTTATTTGTTGCTTTGATTGCTTAAAAATCTCTTTTCTCACTAATTAATTATTTTATAATCAATTCAAAGTGAATTTTAATAAATAATATTTAAGGTAAATTTTTTGTTGTTGTGATCTCTTTTTTGTTTTTTTGTTTTTCTTTTTAAATTCTAATATTCCTTTTAATTTCTTATTACTTACATGAAAATCTAACAAAAATAAATTTTACAATTCCTCATTGATAAACTTAAGCTAATTAATTACTTGCTTGCTCGATTGTATTCAAAACACATTTCTGAAACAAGATTTTATTTTTACTTTTATAGTTTTTTTATCAGTGATTTTTGTTTGGTTTTGATCTTTACTTATCTTTAAGTTAACCTTTGTCTTTCATTTCGTAGAATTAATTAATTTTTACCTTCTATCAATTAATTGCTTTTTTCATCAAAAACCACATTTACCTACATAAAAATTTCAATCCCATATATATTAATTTTATTATTATTATTTTTTTTAGTTTGATCTACCTTTCAAAACTAAAAAATTATTGAAAAAATTATATGAATATTTTTCTTATTTATTTTTGCTTTATCTTTAAAAATTCTATTAAGAATGATGCAAAGTACATTAAAACTAAATCTTTTACTATTCTAAATATTTTTAAATTCTTTGATTTTCATAGCCACTTTTCTTTTTGAGGTACCAAGCAAACTTCTTAGTTATAATTTGTATAATATCAAGATACTTAATATTCCATAAATATAATTTTAAGTATACACCATCAACCTTTTATGTAATAAAAAGTGTGCATAAGTACAGTGGAAGTCGTACCAAAATATAAATTAAATTATTTTAATTCAAAAATAGCTCATATTAAACTGAAAACTACAAAATAAATGTTTTCTTTATCAATCAATATCAAACAATCGAGAAAGTTATTTATTGAATGTTAATTAACTTCACATATAAAAAATTTTAATCCTGCCTTTTGCTTAACCTGGAGGGCTTGCAATATTCGATAACAGTAATTAATAAAAATGATAGTCGCAAAGAATAAATTTTGTAATATATCAGATTTTATAATAATCTCTTGTGTTTATTCTATTAAATTAAATTGAAAAAAATTACATATTTGCTACTTTGTCTATATTAATTCTAAAAATAATTTAAAGTGATAGGTGCTATCTTTCGATTTAATTGTCTGTTTGCTTATATCTTTGTGAATATATACTATTTATCTTATATCTTTTAATATTTTTAATCAGATGATTTTTTACCTCACACTTTTTGTTAATTTTTTATTGTTGGAAGTATTTTCTTAAGAATTTTTCTCTAGATCTCACTTTCAAGCTTGAATAGATATTTAGATATTTTGAAATTAAATTGAATGCATAAGAAGGAGGGAGATATCGCATAAATTTTTTATTGACCAAATATTTAATCTAAATATCGTAATATTTTCATAGTATACTAATTACGTAAGATCTACCACACAATATCATCATTTATCTATTTATTTTTTTCTGGATTCTTCTTATCAAAAAAAGATATTCATACCTGTCCATTTCTTAAAAAGCAAATTTCACAAGTAATTTTGTTTAAAACAACAAATCTATTTATTCCTTAGTAAACAAATTTTTATCTTCAAAATTTATTTTCAACTTCTCAAATGGGAATTTTATGCTTAAATAAAAGAATAAATAAAATTTAAAATTTGTCTCTCCAGAAATTTCTAAAAAGCTTGATGATAAAATTAAAAATAGATAAATGATTCAATTCCAGAAATTTCATTAAATATTAACCTGTAATCTAAATTAGTAAGCTAAAAAGGCTTATTTTTGTATTAATTTAAGCTTGCTTACATATGCATTTATTTTATCTCCTAAATATTCTATATTTCTAGAACCATTCAGACAATAAAAAATTAAGTAAAGTTTATCATTTATTTTTAACACTACAATTATCTGTTTATACCTTAAAATATTTGCTTTTATTTGCAAAAATATATTACCAAAAATCTTTAATTTTTAAATAAGAAAGATAATTTTCTAGAAAATTTATGAATTTAAAATAATCATTCACAATCTTAGATAAATTTCACAAAGATAAAATTTTTGTAAAATATTTTAAAATTGTAAAATTAATATTTAAAATTAAGTTATTCATAAAATAATCATAAAATAACGAAAATATTTTTTTTAATTGGATTGAACAATTTTTTAATCAAATTTAGATGATTTTTTAAAGAAAATGAATAAATGGTTATTTCTTAAAATACAGTAGTAAAACAAATAAAATATATTATCTACACTCTCACTTTCTAAATAAATCAAGTATTTTCTTAAGGATGTTATCATCATGACCTTCTGAATTAACCTTTTCAGTGGATAGTCTGAAAATTTAGAGGAAAATGTATCCCATAAGTACACAGACAAAAGTAATAATGTTAAAGGGCATAGAAAAATCAGGTTCTGGTAAGAATGCAACTGTATTAGCTGAAATTTTAATGACAGGGGTTTATCCATACTCAGAATTTTGCTCTTTGATTCTGTAGATAATAGGGACAGCTATAATATCGTGACCTCTTTAAGGATCATAGGGATAATTTTCGAATGATTTCATCATTTTAATCATAGGAATAACAATACTAACTTCTTGGTTTGGTTTAAGTTCAACTTTTATTTTAAACAAGACATTGTTGTTACTCAATCTTTCAAAAGAAAGAATTGATTTGTTGTAAGGATCTTTCTCTAAAAGGTTAACGCCGTCTATAGATACTTTGACTTAAGAAAATACGGGGTAAAAATAATAGTTAAGATATTCTGCTGTTTCGACATCTAGAGTATATTTATCACTTCTATTTTTAATAGTATGGACTAATGCATCTTCATGATAATACCAATTATTCTTCATAAATCTCTTAGACTTAATTAAATTAAGTTTATGAAGCTATTTTCCGTTTTTCTTTTGCTTTTCAGGTAATTCTATGCTTGATAATCTCTTGTAGACTAGTTTTGCCATTGATGTTTCATTTTCAGAGGTTTCATTTGTATTTTCAATTCTCTTGTTGCTAGCTTCAATTTTTTAATCACCCTAATTTTCAATAAATAATATAAATATAAATAATGCTTTTCTATTTTATTTAATTTTTAGTTCATATACGAAATAAATAGTAAAATTTATTTTATGCTTATTAAAAATCTTATTATAAATTTTCTTAAAATACTCATTTTATTAATGAAACATTTTTATAAAATTTAAAAAGCTATCTATTATTTTAAAACATTATTGTTTATGCTTTGATATATCATATTTTTGTGATTATATTAAACATTTATAGCTGATTTTATTGATATTGCTTTATTAATTTATAAAATAGTAGAATTACTGATATGATGGCAGAGTCTTAAATGTAGGGACAAGCTTCAACGTATTTGTTAGAAACAAATATTGCATCTTTTTAGCTATTTAAAAACTCAGAAACAACTTATAAGCTCAAGTTTACCCTATTTTTTTCAATTTTAACTTTGATTACAATACCTACATAACTAGATCTGAAAAGTGTTGTTTAATCAATTAAATCGAAAACACCCTTATTACCTAAACAAGGGAGATATTTCTTCAATTTTTCAATATTATCTGAACAAATGTAGTCTGTTGGGTCTTATGCAAAGATAAATTTATTTTTAAATTCTTTAGTAGATGCAAAGCTAGATTAAAACTCAAATTTGTTTTCGCTTTTAATACTGAAGCGAGAGAATTTGAATAATTCACTCAAAGTTTCTATACCAGCTTCATAAAATACATTATCGCCATAAATTAATGTCTAAACTCCATTCATAGGGAATTCTACTTCATCTAACAAAGCAGCGTCTTTATCAAAGAGAACGCTATTAAATGAACCACAACCTGCGTGTATTTCAAAATCTTTTGTGTTTGTTAAATGCAAATTATCTAACAAAGTTGAAGGAAAAATGTATTCATCTCTAAATAATGAATTTAAATCTATATCATGGCTGTAAGATGATTTAAATACTGCTAAAGATTTATCTGAATCTTGAAGAGGATAGAATTTAAGAGATTCCTTTGATTGCAGTTCGCAAACTGCTACTTGAAAAATGATCAAAATTGCTAATAGATATATTTGCTTATTTCCTATCATTGGTAATTACGTGTTAATATCTTAATTAATTATCTTAAAAATAAATAATTATTTAAAAAATAAACCAAGTAAAATAATAACAAATTAATTAATATCGAATTCAAAAATTTAATATATCTTAAAAAAATAATAATTAATCTTATGCTTTTTTAAGATAAAATTATTTTAAAAATAGAATAATAAGATAAATAATAGAGCAATTTTTATTTTTAATAAATTTGTTAGATTTTAATAATAGAAAATAAATCAAAACAAAAAAGAGTAATTTTTATTTGATTTTGAATTAAAAATGATTAATTTATATATATAAAATTTTATAACTAATTTAATATTTTATAACATTTCAATAAATTTAAGCTAATTATATAAAAATATAATAGAAATAATTTTAAATTTTGAATAAATTTTTTAGATAAATTTAAAAATAAAATTATTAAAAACTTATCAAGTACAATCTGCAAGTTAGATAGTTAAATAAAATTGTATTAGATAATCTTTTTATATCTTTCAAAATGTTTATAATTAATTTAAAAAGTTTTATATATTTTTTTTTAAATAAATTATTTAAAATTTTAAATCTTAAGTTAGCATCTAAAAACTAATTATCAAAATTTATATTCTTCTAAATTTCTTTTAATTAAAATTTAATCAGCCTATTTTATCCAAAATTAAAAAGGTATTTTACTTTATGTTATTTATTTAATTTAAATATTATATTTTTTATTTTGAAAATATGAATTTTACAAAAAAACTTCAAGATGGATTTTAAAAAATAAAATTAATGTGTTTATAACAAACAAAAAATTGAATTAATAAAAATATTTCTTTTATAAACATTAGTTTAAATTTTGAAAAGTTTAAATACTAAAAAAAACTAAATAATAGAAATAAACATAAAATATTAAATTCATAATAATAACTCTTTCAAAATGTTGATTTTAAATTATTTTTAGTAACATTTTTCATGAATTTTTCTGTTGTTTTTTGTTGATTTCTTTTTGTGTAAACATAAAATATAATAACAAATTTCATTCTTAGATTTTATTAGTTTAACTTTGTTATGATTTGGTTTCTGAAAATTATTTTTATTCATCATTTTATTAAAATTACAATTCTATCTCTTAGTTTTTATATTATTCTATCATAAATACTGTTTCTTCATGTTTTTCTTACTCTTTAATATCTTATTAGTTATCAATCTCATAAATGTTTATACCTATCTATGATGTCTAAACTTACTTTACTTCTTTATTAATATTTGAATTTGTCTTAAATTATTTAAAATATTTTTAGATTTATTCTTTTCTTTTTTGCTCCCTTTTATTAATTTTTTACAAGATTTTTTTATGGAAACATATTATTACTACTATTAAACTAAGAATTATCAACAATAATATTATAATAGCAATTAATACTTCTTTTGCTGAAAATAGTGACTTAACTTATTCTTTTTATTGCTCATTTTAATTAGGAGTAGTTTGATTTATATTAAAGGTAGTTATATTTACTTGAAAATTTTAGTTTAAATAAATACACTACTAAAAATAAGTACTCCATTCCAGTCCATCTTAGCATATATTTGATTATTTACAATCAGAGTCTTTATAAGAAGTAATACCATTCCCACAATATTTCATACATTAAGATAATTTAGAAGAATATATTTCATTTGCTTAACAATTATACTATTCTACTTTACAGTTGTTGATATTATTAACTATACTGCAATCTTAGCATATATATTAGCCAGGGCTATATACAGATTTATCGCAGAAACGTTTGTAATAACAAAAAGTTGAGTTAATTTACAGCATACCATTTAGACACTATGGCAGACATTTTTAGAAAGTCTAACTCCATCCGTACCCATATTAGCAATTATATTATATATCTAAACAAGTATTCTAAAAGCATTTGTTACAGGACTTAGCTTCTTTTGGTAAGTAGCATTTTTGTTAATTATATGATGAATCCAAATAATATCCTTCTTTATTTAAGTAAGAGCATTAATTAGGATAATGTAGGTTAGTGCCTGAACTACATATGTTTTAAAAAGGAGCTTTATACATACAGTAGAAAAATAATTTATTTTTTTTAATAATATTTTATAAAAAAAAAGTTTGTTAGAATTTTTTACATGCTTAATTGGTATAGAAGTTAATAGATGAACTAGTAGATAAATAATAGCATATGCCATTAAAAAGTATATAATAATCTTAACACTTTTAACATTCGTGATTTAAATTAAACTACTAGCAAAAATACTATGAGTAATTATAAGTGCATATAATTTTATTGTCAGCATTCTTGTAACCTTTTTAAAAAAATCTAATTAATTACAAAAAAAAAAAAATTATTACCGTAAGAACCATAATTACAATATTAGCACTATCCATCTATTTAAGTACTTCCACAAGGTATATATATTTGAGAGTAATCGTTTTTTATGCATTAAGATGTTTGCTTTGAGTCATCCACATAAATATAGTAATTTTGCTGGCATTATTTACAAACAACATAACTATGTGAAAAGTCATAATATGAGCAACCCTTAATCATAGGAACGCACCTAGAATAACCTAATAAATAATATTTTTGACATAATAAACAGTTACCTTAATTGTCATAAGATACACAATATTCTATGGGGCCTTTAACACATTAATTTTATTGTAGAAGATAGAAATCTTCACAAACTATACAAAGTTTATTAATGCCAATCACTTTACAATTAGGTATATTTAAGTCTTCAGATTGTCCACAGTAACTTTAAAATATGTTATAAAAAGGTATTAATTATCCAGACTTTTATACATAATAAACTTTATTCTAATTGCATTTTATACATAAATTGCTCAAGTAAGAAATACATCCTTACATCAGATAAGCACCAGGAATTTACTCACATTCTTAAATTTAACCAGCCATATAAAAGTAATATTAATATTATTCATCTTAAGTGAAATCCATAGCAAATTATAAAAGCTAAAGATAAATAGGATCATCAAAATTATTAGTAATTTATAAATTTAAATTCCTTAATGAATTTTATAAATAATTCATAGTCCTTTAGTTTAATTGATTTCCTACAGCACAATTAAAACCTGGAGTAAAATCTTATGAAGAAAAAGAAGGAGTACCTCCAGCTCCAGTTTAAGATATACATTAACCCCAGTTACTATTGTATCCACTTATGCATTTAATGCAATATTATAATTGTCCTGCAAAACCAAAAACTAAACAGTTTTTGTAATATTAGCATACAGATCCAGTAGAATCTATTGCTTCACCATCTGTACACTTACATCTTATACCATCGTTATATAGACATTGAAATTTTGAGGGAATGCAGCCATTTAAAGTAAAAGAGTAAATAAAATTTTAAGAACACTAAATTTCTGAGTCATAAATAACATTAGGTTTTATCATATTTAGATTAATAAAATTAAAGAAACCATAGTATGTATTGTAAATCTTTGATACATAGAATATCTCATAATTTTAAATACATGTTTAACCATTCTTTATTTTACAGTACTATTGTATTTCATGAATAATTTTGTTCTATGAAATATCTAGAGTGTAAGGAAATCTAGGAGATATACAAATTTTATTTATTGTATCAATTTTCGAGCATCTTTCATCGTATTATAAAGTGTTTTGTGTCACAAATAGCTAATTCTCATCAATTTAAATTGTAAAATAACCTTCATCGCATTCTCTGAATCTGTCAAGCCTTTTGCAATACTAATATAGAGGCATAGGCAAAATAGATGCTTAAATACATGATTTAAAATCATAGTCTACAACTTAGCCTAAATTGCATTCTTAGCAAACAGGCTAAGGTTCAGAATTTTAAGGGTCTTGGAATACTATAATCGTATTTGCGCAATTCTCAATAAATATTTTTGACTAAATATTTATCAAAAGTAAAAAAATCAATAAAATTAATCTTATTAAAACTGAAAACTAAACTTTTTTCATCCTAAATTTTGATTGATTGAATTATTTTCTAAAATAAATAAATTATCTTCTTTTTAAATTATTCATAAATGATATTTTCTAAGCATATCAAAAGAAATAAAAAAAGAGAAATATTTTTTTTTAAATGTATGGTAATTACAATTCCAATATATCTATTTATATGAGAAACTTTCATAATTTTTTATTTTTAAATTTTGTTAAGCAAGCACAAATCAATAGTCTAAAAAGGTACTTTGGATTCAATCAAAAAATTATTGATATCAAAGTATTTTGTAAACATTTTTGATCTTGAAAAAAGCTCATATTTAAATAAATATTTATTATTATTAGATAAATCACTTAAAATCTATCATTTTTCAAAGCAAATTAAAATAAATTGCAATATTTAAAAATAATATCTAGAAAATTCATTTCATTAAAATTAATTCATATTTTTTATTAAATTACATTTTTAAAATTATTTCATTATTTTTAAACTTACAGAAATTTATCAATTAACAAATCAATATTTCTTAATTCTCATTTTTATATATCTATCTTTATTTCTTACTATTTATTTATCTTTCTATCTGTTGATCTGATTTTTTATCATAAGGTGCTAAAATAAATTAGAAATAAATTGATTAACAATGAATAAAAAATATATATTTTAATTTTAAATATATAAAATTATAAAAATGAATATCGTTGAATTATTTTATTATTATATAATTTTGGAAAATATATATTTAATTATTTTTAATAGTTGCAATTATTAAATATTAGATTAGTTTATTTTTATATAAGAATGTATTGTATTGTATTTTATGATTATTTTAGAATTCGTTATTTTAAATCATTTTATTTTTTATAAAATATACAATAGACACTTATAATTAAATTTCTATTGAAATTAATTGTTGCCATAATAGGTAAAATATGATCCTAAATATTTAGTATTTAATAATTAATGATAATAATAATAATAATGAAATTATATTGTTTATCTAAGAATAAAGGCTGATCTTATTTAAAGTTACTCTATGAAAACAAACAAAATAATATATATAATAGATGAGTAAAATGGGTTTAATTATTCTTTTTGTGTTATATATTATTACTATTTTATATGTAAAATATAATTAAAATGCCTGCCTGTATGTACTTAAAACGATTTTAAAATTAAGAATTAAATGATTTTAAAAGCTTTAGAGCTGATATAAATATGATAAATTGTAAGAATGCAATTTTATTTATTGCTTTCATGGTTAAAAACATTTATGAATAAAAATTTTTCAATTCTACTGGAAACAATTTCAATTTTAATTTTTGAGAAATAAAGTAGATTGCTTTTTCTGTATAATAATTGATGCTTGATAATTACTCCTTCTTTATATTTTAATTAATATTTATGAGGTTATAGTGAACTGAATTATAAAATGTATAGAGTTTGAAGTATATTTTCTCTCTTAAAAGTTATAATCCGTCTTAAAAAGAATGCTGAAAAAGTGTTAAATTTGTTAATATATAACTCAAAAAATAACAAAGAGCGAATAGAATCAATTTCTTAAATTATTCTTCATTAAAAAGTTATTAAAATAAAGATATTAAGAATTGTAATAAAAAATCACGAAATACAATCTTTATTTACTATCCCTTAAAGTAGAAGAGAATAAAAAAGGAGAAGATAAAAAAATTCAAGAAATAATTTTAACAGCATCCTGAATTAAAATAGGAATTAAAAGAAAACATAATTTGGATCAGGTATTTCAAACATTAAATAGTAAAAATAATTAGATATTTAGCTGTATAGACATAATCGACTAACTGATTGATGGGTTGTGCTTCGAGTAAATCATAAGGAAACCTTACAGAGGAAGAGGTTTAGAAAATGAAAAAGTGCGAGTAGGATTCTGAAGATGTACTTAAAGAATTGTAGCAAATTATGAAAAAATTAGAATTAGCAAAATAGGACTTTTTTATGGATGCCTAGCTTTCTGATATGAATATGAGCATTAACTAAATACCTTATCTTATAGATTTAACTTACAAAGTTGTTTAGGAGCAGTAGGATTAAGACAATAAAAAATAGCTCTTTAATGCTTTGAAGGAATATTCCAATAAACTTTTGTAGGTTCAAAAGATACTTCCTCCTTTATTTAAAAAGGCTGAAGCCTCTATGGAAGAGTACAAGACACTTGCTCTCAAAAAGAATAAGAAAGCAAGTAAAAAATACCCAACAAACTTCGATCGTCTCAATTGCTTGCTTCGTTAACTTAAGTTAGTTGCATATGATTTAGAAGTGCCTGATATACTAAAAGAAAATGTAAACATGAAAAGCAATTAACTTACAGAGTCAGAATAGTAGCGCCTTAACAACAGATTAGCTAGTATCATAAATTGTTTAGCAGTTAGCGTAAAAATAGATTGATTACATTTATAAAAAGTCATTTAATGTGATTGATTGGTATTATTTACCATATCTATCAAAAATAATTTTAAAAATAACAATTTTATACATCTATAACTTCTAAAATGAATATATTCTCACTCTTCTTGATTCTTTAAATTGCTAAATCATTAAAATAAGCAATTATCCAGATTTTTCTTCTATAACCTGAGTTGAATTAGCATTACTCTTTCAAAACAGACAAAAGTTAATCAATCAGTTTTTCTGAACAAATAATAAATAATGCAAGTAATAAAAATAATAATTTCTAGAATTTCCTATACGCTATGCCAATGGTATGAATGTTGAGTGCATGTAAGTATGAAAAGATGCTCGAAAGAAAAATAAGTATATACAATAAAATGGAATAATAATAAATAAATAAAGTATAATTCCAAATAGTTTTAAACAAAATTAATAATAATAATAATAGTAGTAGTAATAATCGTTTGATGATAATAAATATGTAAAAAGTAAATATAAATAAATTATATATCAGCAAGCAAAATGAATATATTTATTTATTGTTTGATTACCAATTTTATAAGCTTCTATATTGTTAAATAAAAACCATCAATTAATAGGTATGTAGAATTTTGAATATCAAAACCATAAATAAAAGCCATTAAATGGAGATATTTTATGCAAATAATTATTTAATATAAATAAACTAGCAAATATGTATTTTTTAGTTTTATTTAAAGCATATTTTAAGTGATTTTAGTCATTCATGCTTGTGCAATTTAATTATTTTATTTAATTTTTTTTATTAATTTGTTGTTTTATCTTACCTAATTACTGATTTCAAATAATAAAATAAGTGGATAATTTTTCTTCTTGAAAAAATACGTTTTACGCAATAAATTTATTTAGCAAGTATTTTTATTTAATCATAAATAATTTTGGTTATTCCGTTTTCAATTAAAATCAATCAAAACATTTACAAATGACAACTATTAAATATTTAAAAAAGTTAAAAAAAAATAAAATTATGACTTAAACTAATTTTTTAATTAATATAAAATATCTTTTAATCTATAAAATAGTTTTTATATTAAAAAATGGAAATGTTTTTCTATATTGGGTGTTGTATTTTTAAAAAATTAATTAGATATTTTAACACTCTTTTAAATAATATTAATTTATTAAAGTATTATTCATCAAATTAAAATAAAAGGTTATTTTGCAACAAAAAATAAATACAAAATGCCTCAGATTTGTTTTTTTATTTTATCATAAAAAGCTAAATTTCATATTAAAAAAATATTTTTGTATGATTTTATAAATTATACAAAAAACAAAACTTTTTCTGCATTGAAGTTAAAATTATTTTTAATAAAAATCCTTTGAATTTATTTATATAAAAAGATTATTGACTTTGAATAAATATTATATATTGTATTATTTTAATAAAAACAACCAATATTTATTTTGAAAGAGGGAAAACTAGTTTATTTAGTTGCTTAAGATATTATTTAAATTTATTTCCTTGAAATTAAATTCTAATTTTTATAATAAATTTCTTATTCTAAATTATCGTATTTTTAATAAAAACTTTACAAAAAATATGAGTGTTTATAATGATCATAATTGTTCTAAAAAATACTACTGCTTCTGTAAGGGTTGTGAAATAGCTTTATGTGATAAATGTATTGATTAACATGAAGAGCACTAACAGTTTATAGTTGAAAAAGATTAGTTGATAAAATAACTTGTTGAAAGTAAGAATAAATATTACACTTTTACAGAGAAGCTCATTACAGATATGAAATAGACACTTATGTATGCAGCTTCTTTGTTTGAATTTGATGTTAATTATATCAACAATATGATTAAACTATTTGTTGACTATGAAGACTAGCCATAAAACAGGAAAAAGCTAACAGAAGATATAGAAAATTTTTTACTTGGATCTTATAAATCAAAAGTTAGTTTAAATGAAGTCTATATTGAAAATGTTAACATTAAAAGCTTTATTAATCCTATTAAAGAATCTTTTTAATCTATCTCTAAAAACTATCTTGAATTCTATAAATCTATGAGAAATATGGAGCTTTTTAAGATCAACATCAAAAACATTAATTCCAAAGTAAACTTTTATCAATTAGGTTAAATTTAAAAAAATAATTTTTGTAGATATTAAATAAGAAGAAGAGCTCTGGCATTAAAATCACAGATAAATCGGAATTAATATAATAAGATATTTTAAAAGGAATGAGAGTCTAAGATATAGTTGAAAAATACAATGTTAGTTCAAGCACGGTTAGTAAATACTTAAGACTAATGAATGTAAGCAACTTTTACTTTTAATCAATTTTAAAAATTTTTATCAATTAAAGAGAAACGACGAAGACATGAAGAGCTTCAAATACTCTGATGAATATAAAGAGCTATAAAACCTCTTCAAAGAAGATGATGCATTTGAATAAGAGCTTTTAGAAAAAAAAGAAGCTGAAAATTTAAAGCTTGCAAAAGCTTCCACATCTGGTAAAAAAAAGGGAAGAAAAACTAAAAAAGATATTTTAGAAAGTACAGGTAAAAAGAAGGTTTGCTCAGATAATGGCAGTGATAACAATTCATCAGACTCTATTAAAATCAACAAGAAAGAGGAAAAGAACATCTCAAAAGATCAAAATAAAATGATTTAGGCTCAATTAAATGAACTTATTAACTAGTATTAGCCTTAAATATCCCAACAAACATGCTCTTAAAATATTTAAGGATCATTAAAATAAGCTGTTTTGTTGCCAAAAGAAATGAATTTGTAGCTGAATTGCAGTGAAAATCAAAATAAAAATTTACCACAATCAAGCAATTAAAATTTTACTAATCAAACAGTAGAAAATTCAATTTAAAATGATCCCTGTAACTTATAAATTTAAGATTAGCAACCAAATAACAACATTAAGAGTTTAAATGATTTTAGGGTAAATCCTCTCTTAAAATTGAGAGAGCAAGCTGATAAAGTTAAATTGAGTAATCATATGCTGCCTTTTTACTACAAGTAACATCCATCTTTAGGGATAACCTTTAAAAATTAGCTGAATTTCTATTCAATAGATGGTAAAAATAGTTAGTTAGGTTAGTACAAAATAGAGCATTCTTCGATTTACTAAGATAATTTTATTAAAAGTATTTGCATACTTTAATCAAGAAAAATGAATAGAGATATCATATTTATGTAATCGATGAACAATATTGTATTTATAATTGATAGTACCACTTATAACATGAAACTCCTATAATCTGGAATAGACTGCTTTGATTTTTTTAGAGGTGCAGAAAACGATGGATAAATCAGAATGGGAATTATAGCAAAACAAGGGATTAACATAGTAAGATACACTTATAAAGTTGAAAAAGATAAAGAATTGGATTAAGAATGGATTGATAAAAGAGTTTTATGTTAAGTAAACCCAGTTGAATTCTTAGAACTTAATAAAATCGTATTATTTTTCTCTGGAAATACAAAATTTCTTTCTTTTTTATGTAAAAATGGCATATTTATATACAAGTAAGATAAACAAGACCTAAAATATAACAAAGTGGATTTTATTCAAGAACCAGGAGTTATATTCATTAAACCAAGTCCTAAATCAGTAAATAAATTCATTTTTTAATTAAATTCTTATTTTATTAGATTGAAAAAATGAGCATTAATTAATTAATTCTTTAATTTAAAAAATTAAAAATCGATTTTAATTTAATAAATGTTTATCATTCATTAAAAAGTTAATTTTTAATTTTTTAAATTAAGATTTTATTTTTTATTATAATTTATGAATGAATATTTTTAATTTTTATATTAAAAAACGATAGACGGATTAAATTATATTCAAAATTATTACATTTTTAAAATTAATAATGCTTAACTATTAATAAATATAAAAAAAAGTTTAAAATGAGTAACAATGTAAAGTATAATTTGTTTGCAGCCTCTTAATCTTAGCTTATTATGTATTCAGCAACTTAAAATATATGTGAGAGAATATCCCTTTAGAGGGCAAATGAGACTATCAAAGATTTTGTTGTGACATATAATTCGAAGTTAAATAAAGAATATGTAGTTGTTTCGTATTCAAGAAATATTATTGTAATAGTAGATAAATAGCTTGGGAAAATTGATGTTAGCACAGAATCTGATATTAAGAGTATTTAAGTTTTTTGGGTGGACACAACTATGCAGCTTTGCTACTAGACAGTTTAGGACGATGCTATGAAATTTAATATTGAATATTTTGAATTTTGAGATATTAAGCTTGCTTAACTTATAAAAAATTAATTTAATTTTGCTTGGTTGTTTGTTTGTTTTTATGTGGTAATAAAATAGATTGCTTTATATAAAAAAAAAATAGACTATTTCTAAAACTAGAACTTTTATAAATTAAGAATTTTAACAAATTATTTACCAAATAAAGCTTTTTTTAATTTTATGAGCTGTCTTATTTATGAATATTGAGTTAAAATATATTTTTACTACTTTTTAATCCTATTTAATTGCTACCAGAATTCTTTTCTTTTTTGATTTTTTAATAATTGACATCAAAAACAATTTTTTTGCAAGAAAAAAAAAATTAATTTGCTATTTTAAAATAGAATCTAGCTTCAGATTACTTTTAGATTTTTAGAAATAGTTAAGAATGTTTTTTATGTGAAAGAGATCCTAAATTTTCTTTAAGTGATCTATTATAGTTAAAAAGGAATATCTTTCTAGGAATTAATCTGTTTCTGACAGATTTGGTGCGTTAATATTTACTTAAATGCGTACTTGATTTTTAGATTTGGTATTAAAATTTGTTTAAATGGTCTTGGAATGATTTAATTTTTTAGGATATAATTAATAATAAATACATAAACATTATTAAAATTTTGAAAAAGTGTAGAGATTAATAAAGAGAATAAGTATGAATTAAGAGGTTACCACAGCTAAAATATTATTAATTAGACATGCTGAATCCATGTTTAACCTCAGTTAAAGAGTTGCTTGCAATACTGATAAGGAAGTTCCAGGAGATTAAGAATGTCTGGTTACTAAATTTAATGAAGAGTTGATTGATTGTGGAATTACACCTTAAGGATATGAACAAGTAATTATCATTTTTTTCTTTAATTTCTGAAGTTTTTAATATTATTTTATATTTATAGTGCTAGCAAGCAAGATAAGTCTGTTAAAATGAAGATGTTGCTGTAGTATTTGTGAGCCCTCTAAGAAGAGCTCTTGAAACTTGTGAATAAATTTTCTAAGGACACCCTTCGAATCCTAAGATAATTCCTCACCCATTATTTAGAGAAATGGTTTTAAGTAATTGCGATATTGGTGCAAAAGTTTTAGAATCAAAAGAGATTTACAAAAATGATGACTTTTCATTCCTTGAATAATATAAATATCCTAATCTTTGGAGCATTTATGAGCTAGTTGATAAGGAGAAGTCAAGCTAAATTATTTAATAAATTGAAGAAAAGTGTGGAAATGATGAATAAGAAGTTATTAGAGTTGGGCATTTAAAATTGCTTGAATTAATGAAAGATATATATCCTCAAACTGTAGAAACAGAATAGCAACAACTTGAAAGAATCATAAAGTAAAAAGAACTCCTTAAAAAAACAGCTAAAGAAATCCCAACTGGTAAAAAAATTGCAGTAGTTGGTCATTCTAGAACCTTATATTCCTTTACTGCCTAATTTTGCCATAAAACTTTAACAGAATCAAATGGAAAATGGTTCCATAATGGGGAAGTCCATGAATATGAAATCTAGCTTGATTGATTAATAATTAATAATCTTTATTTAGTTTTTAATTTATACTAAAATATATAGTACTGTAAATATTATAATAATATGAATTAATTATCATTAATCAATTCAAGAATCAAAATAAATCCTTCCTTTATTCAAATTATAAAAAAATATGTATGTAAAAATCTTATTCAGTTTATAAAGATTCTCAAATAATATTTTCTTGGGTATGAAGTGTTTATATTTTAGTTGAATAATAAATATTATTTTATAAATTAAATGAAAATTTAAAAATAATAAAAAAAGGGTTCTAAACAGGTTTAATAAACAAAAATAAAAAATGTTTAATTAAAAATTTAAAATTTTATTATTATCATAAAACTTTATTTTTGCTAAAATTTAATCAAATTAATAATGATAATAAATGAAAAATTAATTTAATAATGTTTATTTTACATTTTCGAAATATTTTTAATTTAAAGATAATTTTTAAATTTATCTAAAAAAATTTGTTTATATGTATATTATCTAAATATTGAATTAATTTTTTTCATAAGTATCTTCGTACTTTAATAAATTCTAAAAAATGTTATTTTTTATTAATTTATTTATTTATCAGTTTCTATCCTTCACTATTCGTTGCTATTTCAGAATTTTAATTACTTTTAATCTAAATTTTTCTTTTATTTAAACTAGGTTTAATAGCTTTATTCCAGTCGTTAATTTTGATTAACGCTATTTTCAAGTACCAATTATGATTCACTTATTTCGTCAACATACTAAGGGATTTGCTGAGAGGAAAATATATCTGGTAATTCTTGCTTTTCTTTACTTTTAATTATAATTTCTTCTTTGATGTTAGTTTGATTACCGCTACTTTATACTTAGAAGCTTTTATATTCTTTAGAAAAATATTAAAAATTCTTTATTTAATATTACTAATATGTTTACATTTAGTTCCACTTTTGAGTTTAGATATCTCTGTTTGAACAGAGATTTAAACTTAATTTATTAATGATATTTTCTAAAATAAGGGACTGCTGCTATTCTAAATGCTATTTTGGTCTATTAATTAAAAAATAATTTAATGATTCAATTAAAATTATATTTTAAAATCATGTATGTAAATATGTATGCACCTTAGGTTTAATCATTTAGTTGCTTGACTTGATCCTCAGCAGCAATTTTCTCCAATGCTTAATATTTCACCAAAACATTCAAATTTTTTTTCACTAAAATCCAAAGTTTATAAACATTCCAATTAGTAACTCCAAACTACTTTTTATATGAATTATACAAGGATTAAGGTAAAATACAGTGCAGAAACTTTCCAAAAAACTACCCTATAATAGTTTTGGAGTTACTTATTTTATATAAGATAATTAGTATGACAACTATAAAGATGACTAAATAATGAATAAAATATTAAATTTGTTGAATAGCCTCTGAGTATAAAGAGGTGTTTATTGATGATAAGAAGCAAATAAATATTAGAGTAATATTCGTTTACAACTCAAGCTTTTATAACCAGATATTTCTGATAGGATTAAGAGTAAGCGTAAGCTTAAGGTATACAACAAGTAGCATAATAATAATTTAATAATTGATAAAGTTAGACTAAGTGCTAAGAGTGATAATAACGGCTACAATAATTCTTAAATATATTCTTATAAATTCCCAGTAATAAAAGTTTTCTTTATACTCTTGATAATAATAGCCAAAATAGAAAAGTGTATAACAAGTTTAAAGTTTTTTAGATCTTTTTTATAAAAGCTTAAATATTACTAGAGGGTAAGTTATCCAAACGACAAGTAACGGTATTGATATAATATATGTGAAATAGTTATAATCTGGGTCTCCACATAATATGGTCAAGTCTGAGCTGACATAATTTTAAGAGCCTATTTTTGTACAAGAAAGCTGCTTTGTAAAGAACTTGATTTAATTTGGCTAAAAAAATACAAATATAAAATTAACGAGTGTAAATTGATGGAACCTTTTTACTTTAAATATGTTAAATATTCTAAAGATATTCAGTATCATTAAGAGTATTATCAGAGTCAATACTGGTAAAGAAGCTTCTATAATTTGGTTGATATGAGCATAACCATATTTTTTTATCGACTCCTAACTGATTAAGCAGGGAAACCTTTTGATCACTTAAGCATTAGCATTTCCTAAAAATTCTGAAACAAAAAGAACCATATTTGGGAAGGGGCTAATAGAGAAATTAGTTAAAAAGGATGAAATTTAAATATAGTTGATTAGTATTTTTAGATAGAAGGGAGACTGATCTCTGATACAATTCCTTGAAATAGGCAATATTCCCATTTTTCTAAAATAGTAACAAGTAGAAAAATGAATTAAAGAGTTAAATATCAGTAACACATTAATGAATATATATATCATTAAAAATAAGCATGTTAAAAATAAAAAAACTATTTATGTGTTATTACTGCCACATCCCACACACAATTACTCATTTGAAAATGATTCTATATACCTTTCTCCATCCCAAACTTCTCCTTCTAAATCACAAACTCTGCACGTTGGCCCTTTGTATCCTATAAGACAACCATTCCTACTTGTCTAGTCCTATTAATTGCATGCATTATATGGTAAAGAACATTCTATAATTTCTGTAGATGTGTTGTTTATCCTCCAGTATCCATTTCTTAAAATAATAGTACTATTTTAACAGCTTTAAGCTTCTTAAGGACATTTTTAGCAGTCATGTAAAGTAATTTATTTATTTTAACTTGTATTTCCTTATTATTGATTTACTAAAATTAGATCTTGGGCAGTATCAATTAGAGAATATGATCCTAAAGGACAAGAATAGCAACTAAATATATTTGCTTCGATTTGTTTAATGATTTCCCCTATTTAGCATATTCTCATGTTAATTTTTATTTGTATAGGGAGGACATTAATATTAGTAGGAGTGTAGTTAGGTTAAATAATTAAATACGTAGTTTTATTAGGTATACTTGTTATTTGGATTTGCCAAAAAATAAATTATTTATTTGAGTCATTATAATCAAAAGAAGTTACAACATTCGGACCATTGATCAAGACTTGTTAATTAAGAGTTTAAGATTGCAATTTAAATTAGTAGATTTATAATTCTTCTATTATAGATTCAGGGAATTTTTTATAATAGAAAGAATCAAAAGAAAAATTCAAATATGTTCCTTCTGAGTCAATTAATTTTATATAAAGATTGATTAAACCTCCACTCTAAAAATTAAATATTTCAAGTATTTGTTAGTATTATTTCTAATCAGCTTAGTTCATTTCTTCAAATGATGATATATTGTATGATATAAAATTTGCTGAATTGTTAGAATCCCCACTTAATTTACTCGGTTCTTCTTATAATACTCCAATAACTGCTTATTGAAGGAAAGTTGCAAAATTCTTTCCATATAAGTCAGCTTCGTTACCAAAAATAAAATTTTTATAATTCCTTTGAATTTCTTATGGGTAATTTAATTGATTGTTATAAAGTCTAACTCCTCCTCCAATAAGAGCTTTATTTTAAGTTATTAAAACCTATGAGTCAAAAAAAATTGAGGCATTTGTATTCTCTAAATAAATTGCTCCTCCACTTGCAAATGCTAAATTGTGAATAAACTAACTTTTATATATTTTAACCTAGTTTATACTAGAAATAACTGCTAGAGCTCCTCCATTTAAGCACTAATTGTATTCAAATAAGCTATTAGATATATTCAAGTATTAAGATTAGAGTATTTTTAAATTTCCTTAATTTTTAGAGAAAGTAATATTCTCTAAATAACAAAAAGAACTTTAGATATTCACAAGAGATTATTAATCTGAATCACTAATATTATTTTACTGTAATTTTAAATTTGTAATATTTAATGTATCAGTATAAATACTATATTAAATACTTGTATCATCGTAAATATTACTTGTCCTTATGAATAGTAAATTCGTATTATAATTCATTAAAATATCTGATAGGATTGAGTTGACAACTCCAATAATGTTAATAATTTGTTTGTCTGCATTAGTTTAAGCATAAAAGCAATTAGTAATTTGCAAGTTATTTATAGTAAGGTTATAAACTTAGATAAAATTGAATAAATGATAAATTTCTGCATTTTAAATCATTAAATTTGATAAAATAAAATTCTAAACATTTTTAGCTGATATTAAACCGTTGAAAGAAGAATTTATCATTTAACTATTGTCTAGACTTAAATTATAAATATTGACATTAGTCACATTAAGAAAATACATTAAGGCATCACTCTCATTACTTTAAGTTTAATTTCTTTATAACTTTGTCAAATGAAGTCCATTTATTACTACATTTGACATGTTTGTAAATAAAAGTGTTGTATTGCTCATATTTTAAGATTATATTTAAATGTTATTTAATATAACACTTAGAGATTATTAGTTGAATTTTATTTATCCAACCTAATTCTAAAAAATAAAGCTAAAATCTCTCATTTAAAGTTCCTCTTTAATGTACCACAAAAAAGAGTCATTGTAGATTATAATTGGATTTAATACTTATTAATTTGTTAGATTATTATCAGAATAAACTTAAGCAAGACTGTTTGCAGTACTTTTAAAGTCTATATTCCTCAAATCGCTATTAACTAATTAAACATTCCAGTAGTTATTTAAGCTTGAATCCTATACAGGTATCATAGACCTTTGAGATGAATCTGGAAAAGACACTGGTTTTATTGTATTAATTGAAAAGGATACATCTTAGAATGTACTCACCGCAATATCTACACTACATATCTTATTTTAGTCCTGTATGTTTTCATACACAAGATTATACCTTTGTTCTTATATTTAATTAGATGAAAGTAGTATTACTGATAAGCCTAAAATTTTATTTTATTACTATCCATAGTTTATTTTATATCCCATAAAAGAAGGATACTAAAGTTAAATTTAATCCATTAGCAATGCTTCAGAAGCTTAATACTAGATTTGGAATAGTTCATACTTAGTATAGGTGACAATTAGAATATATTAACTTTCTATTTCTATTATATCTGTGATAAAGTCATAGAAATTATCTCTCCTAATTCTTTAGATGTATTGAAGAGTTTATCTATCATAAATCATTATATGAAAAAAGGTGTAAGCTAGTAAATGAGAAGTGTTTATTTGCAAATTATTGTATGTTCTTCCAGGTAAAGAAATTAGGTTAATAATGTTTCCTGATAAATCAAATACTCTCATTAGTTTTTCTCCAAGAAAACTTAAAAAAAACCTATTATATTACTCATCTACATCAAAAATCAATATATTTAGGTATTCATTATATTTGTATGTTGTGAGGCTATTAAACTAAACAATTTGCTAAAAACTAAAATCTATTAGGCTAATTTTATAAACTCCAACCGAGCTTGCAAAGCAAACCCACAAATCAGTAGAAGTCTCAATTAATTTTCCTATCTGAGAATCGTTTACTTATACTTAATTTTCCAACAAGTTTACAATTATTTAATTTTTAGTGTTTTAATTGTATATCAATACTTTTCCTATATTTGATCCTAGATAGAGATATGGTTTATTAACTGAGCAGATTTTCTATAATATCAATGTCTAAGAATCTTGAAAAGATATTTTACCTAAAATTACTTAATTTACGAAATCGTAGTGGTAAATTTGCCTATCTTTAGTCAAATAAATGTCTTAGCAAATAAATTACTAAAACATTCCACTTACAATAATTTCTTTTTAGCTATTTTATTACCATGGGTTCTACGTACCTAAAGAACTTGAATCAAAATTCTAAAATAGTATGAATCGATCAGTGAGAGCTATTATCAGTAACTCCAAGCTTTAGTTATAAATAACTTCTAGAATTTCTTAATTAAATTAATAAAAATATTCAAATACAGAATTTTAATATTTATATAATAGGCCTTAATCTCCTGCTATTATAAATCCATTTTGATTAACAGAATCAGAGTTTATAGTTATTTAAGAAAATAATTATTTTTTATTCACTACATACTTTCTAGCTTAGCTGTTGAGTTCTTCTAAGTAAAGATTAAAAACTTGAGTCTAAGAATAAATAAAAACATTATTATTTTCGTAGTTAATAGAATATCCTAGAATTTGATAACTTGAATTTTAATCATATTCAACTAATCTTGCTAATTAGACTTGCTATATTTGTTAATTAATTAAATAAAAATTTCCTCCTGAGTCAAGCAAGATGTAGATACCTTAGTCTTTATCATATTAACAAGCAACTGTACTTGAGGGAGTATTTAAAGGGCTTTTAAATGACACAACTGTCTAAAGAGTATCTAAATTAAATGCGAAAAACTATGCAAATCTTAGAGTTGAGGTATAAAATATTATTTAATTTAAAGGTGGAACATATTTTTGTGATATGATATTTCCTCCTCCTGCAGCTACAATCTATCCTCTAAAGTTAAATGAAGTTCTATCATAAACGTTAATGTCTATTAAAAATTATGAAAAATTAAAAATAAATTATTATTTTTAAAAATTTACAGATAGTCAACTACGCAGATATATCATTTTATAATATCTATAAGTCTTAAATTGGAGAGTTTATTGTATTGATATAAAGCTACAAAAATCCAGCAAAATTGTAAACTTCAATATTTTAAGAATAAAGGATTATTCTCTAAAAAAGCTCATCAATTTGAAAAAAATAACCTTTATCAATAAAACGCTGCTAAAAAGAAGTAAAATGATTAAAATTAGACTTATCAAAAATATTCAAAATACCTGAAAAATACTTACAAACTAAAATTTGTGATATTACTTTACATTATTAAATAACATTTTAATTGCTATTTATCAAAAGTTTCTCTTACATATCAAAATTTAATATAGCTAAATTTGTACCATATAGGAAAATATTGGTACTATCTAACACATAATTTGTAACTTTAGATAAGCTACTATAAGTATAAAGCTTATTCTCTTTGTAATTTTTATAAAAAAGTGTGTTTCCTTTAATAAAAATAATTGATTGTTATTGTTCTAAAATTTAAAAAGATATAATTTTAGAATTTGACTAAATATCTATTTATTCGATGTATTGATCTGTTAATAAGTCATAAACAAGAATATTAGATTTTACTATAAAGTATTTTTAGAGTAAAAGACTTTAATACACTCCTTGGATATAGTCATTTTATTGTTTTTAATCTGCATTCAGTTCATATACATTTTGATAAAGCTACCTTCTTGTGATATCCAAAGCAATTTAACCACTTTAATCACCATAAAAATAAAATTAATCTGATTTAATTAACTAAAAAGTATTCATTATAACATTTTGAGAATCTCCAACTCCATACATAAAATTAGCTTAATTACCCATATTAAAGTAATAATCTTATATGACAGTATATATACCTATAACAAAGCACACTTTGAAGGTATATCCTATTGCAAGATTTGCTGGATTAACAGATTTGTAAACAGGGAATAATTTGTTTATTTTACTAGCACCTATTACTTAAAAGACTCCTGTTTAATTCTTAAATAATGCAAATGCCTAATATAGAAAAGTAGCTGACATTTAACTAGTGATTCCTCCAATTACGTAAACATTATCGTTTGGGTCATTTGTGACAAAGCTAATATCAACTACCTAGGATAGCTGTATATTTTAAAATGAAGCTACTACTGATAGTTGTTAATTAAAAATGGTAAAAGTATAATTCGAAAAGTAAATAAGTATTTCAAAAATAGTATTGTTTTATTGAGATTTTTATGGAAAGTTCCTTATTTTCACAAATTGTATCAAGGCTATACTGGTATAATACCCCTAATATACTAGTTTTTATTAAATTAAATCAACAAAAAATACTGTTATTGAATATTTTTTTTATATTACAAGATAAAGTGATTGATCTAAATATGTATAAATTATTATATCATCAAACAACTATGAGCAATCATTAAAAATTTGGTTGAAGTTTTTGTCAAATGCGTAAAAGCACGAGTCAAACAATAGAAAAGAATTTCCATTAAAAGGCAGAATGAATCTATTTACCATTTTTGAACTGGGATTTATAAAATTCCAAGTATTCAAAACTTTTAATAAAATAACATCTATAGCAACAATAGAGTTTTAGAATAAAATAAGAGCCGTACTATTACCTAAAAATTTGATTGTATTACATGATCCAAAGTTTGTGATAAATGCAGAATCTACAAAACTAGGCTGCATTAAAGTAGAATACTCCCAAGTCATAATTTACCCTTTTGCAGAACAAAAAGTAGCAAGATTGCTATTGTCGTTTGTGTCCATGGAGGTGATACTCTATTGCATGTCGTTAATTTTTCTTTTGAATGCTTTGAGAAAATATTAATTTTACAAGACAAATTAAATACCTTCTTTGATGGTAATTGTTAAAGATTGAATTTGATTGGAATAAGCAATTATTTAAAATTTGGTTGTTTGGTTATTATTATCCACTTAATTCTACATAATCATAATTTTTATTGGATAAAAGTTATTTAATTTAAATTAATATATTAACTATTAATGCAAGTTATCATTGATATTTATTCCAATAAAATTTATATTTTACTGGTTATCAAGAATTGCAATTATCATTGTAGAATTAACAGCGATCATCACTACTGAATCTATTATTTTATTTTAATTTTTAACTTAATTTATTAAGTTAGCATTATCATCCAAAATATTTACCACTGTTTATAGTTGTAAAATATGATAAATTGAAATCCCATAATTAATGTCATAAATCTAGGCAAAATACTCTTATGTTTAAACACTTTAACATATCTATTATCCTAAAATTATGTAAAATGATTAACTTGTAAATGTCAACAAGAAATTATCATTTTTTAATTTAATAATTGATGAAATAGTAAAAGGTAAGTTTTAACATTGATTTTGACTAAAATATGGATTTATTATTAATTGTTTGTTAATACCATCGCTAAAAATTATTTGAAAAGATTAAATTCCACTTGAATTTATTATGAATATTAAATTATTAAAAAAGTAATATTGAGAATTACTTAAATAATTTAATAATGATACAGAAGAAAAGCTAACAAATTGCATTTAAATTTAATCAAATAATACAGTAAAATAATACTAAGAAGCTTTTTTATCTTACGTAATAACATAAGAATATTACTAATTAAGTTAATTTATTTAAGTATTACTATCAATATCACCTTTCAAGGTAAATGGGAAGTAATTTGTGACATTCTTTTAAAAATCCCATATTGCAACAGTGTTTCCATTTTAAAAAATGAAGAAAAAACCTTAAAAGTACTTAATGTACTATCTATTAGACTGAAAAGAAAGCATTTGCATAAATCTTCCTGTCTGTTAAAGCTATTTTGTTATGTACGAAGAATAAACTATTACAAAATATTAGCTATCATAAGGGATAATTTAGTTTATAGTTTCATTGCTTTAGCTGATACCTGTCTAAAGGCTGAAGGAAAGAGAGCACTACTCTACTCTTGTACATAAATTAGTTTAGCTATTTCTTGAGTAATCTTGATTGCATATAGCTTAGCAAGCTCCATCTCCAGTAGAGTAATTACCTTAGAAATATAGATATTATTTACATTAATTGTAAACACAGCTCTTAGATTAAAGATTTAATGAAAAATTTGGTGAACAATTGATACAAGAATTTAAATTGTCACACTAATTACATCCTTAAGGGCAAGAATAATGTAATTTGATTTATATTCCTATTATGAATATGAGAAATTCAATTATTTTCATTTTGATTGCCTAGTAGAATTATCTTATTTTGATTTTAATTAATTATCTTCAGTTTTAATTAGTTTTTGCAATTTAAATTCTTTTTCTATTTAAAAAATGATAATCTGCTATTAAAAATGTAGATAGCTAGAAAAATAACTCATAACTATAAAAAGTTATTTCATTTTTTTTAAACATAAGTAATAAATGATTAATTAAATATTAATAAGGAAAATGTAAACAAATAAATAGCCTTAGATAAATAAATAAATAAAAATATATATTTTATTTAAAAGTAAATCTTAAAAATCATTTTAATTTAAATCATTAAATTTTACTAATAAAAATAAAAATATTTAAATTAATTTATATGCAGTTCATATATTTAAGTTATAATACTCAGTTTATAGAAATTTAATTCTTTCTGCTCTCTCTTTTAATTATTCCTCAAAAGGATATAAATAAATCATATAATATATTTAATATTTCTATACAATAGAATACAATATTTAATACAGATGTTTCAAATAAAGTAACCCTTAAATTTTTTTTCATCTATTTTTTATTATTATGTTCTTAATTTTTGAGGAATTTTTTAAATTAATTTAAAAAAAATTTGTTTATTTAATATTTTATTTTTATCTAAATATTTAATAATTTTTTTTGTTTTTATTTTACATAAATAAAATCAGACATTTAGTTTTTATTTACAACTTATTTATTTAAAAAATTCTAAATTTCAATTTATGTCGTTATTTCTGAATGTTAATTAAAGTTAATCTAAGTTTTTCTTTAGCTTAAATTCTGTCTAATAGATTTATTCTAATCGCTAATTATTATTAACATAAAATTGAAGTGTCCCTTAAGATTCATTAATTTCACCAGCATACTAAGAGGTTTATTCACAAAAAAATATATCTGATAATTCTTATTTTTCTTTACTTTTAGTTATAATTTCGTCTTTGATGTAAGTTTGATTAACACTATTTTGTAATTAGAAGCTTTTATATTCTAATAGAAAAACGTTAAATACACTGTTTAGTTAATATAATTAAATTTTTTACATTAAATTCCACTTTTAAATTTAGAAAACTCTGTTTATAGCTAACGTTAAACTTAATTTATTAATGATATTTTCTAAAATAAGGAACTGCTATTCTAAATGTTATTTGGATCTATTTAATAAAAAATAAAATTAATTATTCAATAAAAATTATATTTCGAAGCCATTTATGTATGTACCTTAGGTTTAATCATTCAATTACTTGCTCTAATCCTCATCTACAATTTTCTATAAGGCTTAAAATTTTACCAAAACATTCAGATTTTTTTTCACCAATATCCAAAGTTTGTAAACATTCCAATTAGTAACTCCAAACTATTTTTTATACGAATTATACCAAGATTAAGGTAAAATATAATGCAGAAACTGCCCAAAGCACTTCCCTATTATAGTTCTGGAATTACTTATTTTATATAGCACAATAAATAATATGATAATAAAAATTACAAAATAATGAATAAAATATTAAATATGTTGAATAATGTCTGAGTATAAAAACATATTTATTGACTATAAGAAGCAAATTAATATTAGAATCATATTCGTTTATAACTCAAGTTTTTGTAACCAGTTGTTTCTGATAGGATTACGAGTAAGCATAAGCTTAAGGTATACAATAAGTATCATAATAACGATTTAGTAATTGATAAAGTTAGAATAGGTGCTAAGAGTAATAACAACAGCTACAATTATTCTTAAATATATTCTAATAAATTCCCAGTAATAAAACATATCCCTATACTCTTGATAATAATAACCGAAGTAGTAAAGGGTGTAACAAGTTTAAAGTTATTTAGATCTTTTTTACAAAAGCTTAAATATTACTAGAGGGTAAGTTATCCAAATGATAAGTAGCGGTATTGATACAATATATGTGAAATTTTTATAATCTAGGTCTCCACATGATATGGTCAAGTCTGAGCTGACATAATTTTAAGAGCCTATTTTTGTACAAGAAAGCTGCTTTGTAAAGAACTTTATTTAATTTGGCTAAAAAAATACAAATATAAAATTAACGAGTGTAAATTGATGGAACCTTTTTACTTTAAATATGTTAAATTTTCTAAAGATATTGAGTATTATTAAGAGTATTATCAGAGTCAATACTGGTAAAGAAGCTTCTAAAATTTGGTTGATATGAGCTAAACCATATTTTTTTATCAGCTCCTAACTAATTAAACAATGACACTTTATAATGACTTAAGTATTAGCATTTCCTAAAAATTCTGAAACAAAAAGAACCATATTCGGGAAGGGACTAATAGAAAAATTAGTTAAAAAGGATGAAATTTAAATATAGTTGATAAGTATTTTTAGATAGAAGGAAGACGGGTCTCTGATGCAATTTCTTGAAATAGGTAATATTCCCATTTTTCTAATGTAGTAGCAAGTAGAAAAATAAATTAATGAGTTAAAAATCAGTAATACATTAATGATTATGTATATCATTAAAAATAGGTAAGTAAAAAATAAGAATACTATTTATGAGTTTACGTTGCCACATTCCACACATATTTATTCATTTGAAAACTATTCTATATACCTTTTTCCATCCCAAACTTCTCCTGTTAAGTCACAAACTCTACAGATAGGGCCTTTATATCCTCTAATACAACCATTTCTACTTGTCTAGTCTTGTTAATCGCATGCATTAAATGGTAAAGTACATTCTACAATTTCAGTAGAAGTGTTGTTTATTCTCCAATATCCACTTTTTAAAAAAATAGTGCTATTTTAACAGCTTAAGGCTTATTAAGGACATTTTTAGCAATCATGTAAAGCAATTTATTTATTTTAACTTTCTTTAGTATTTCCTTATTAATTTAATATTTGATTTATTAAAATTAGATCTTGGGCCGTATCAATTAGAGAGTATGATCCTAATGGACAAGAGTAGCAACTAAATATATTTGCTTCGATTTGTTTAATGACTTCTCCTATTTAGCATAATCTCATATTAAACTTTATTTAAATAGGGAGTACATTAATATCAGTAGATGTGTAATTAGGCTAAATGATTAAATATGTAGTTTAATTAGGAATACTTGTAATTTGGATTTGCTAAAAAATAAATTATTTATTTTCATCATTATAATCAAAAGAAGTTACCACATTAGGACCATTGATTAAGACTTGTTAATTAAGAGTTTAAGATTGTAATTTAAATTAGTAGAATTATAATTCATTTATTATAGATTAAGGGTATTTTTAATAATAGAATGAATCAAAAGAAAAATTCAAATATGTTCCTTCTGAATCAATTAACTTTATAAATAGGTTGATTAAGCCTCCACTCTAAAAGTTAAATATTTCAAGTATTTGTTAATATTATTTCTAGTCCGCTAAGTTCATGTCTTCAAAAGCCGTTATTTTATATTCTATAATATTCTCAGAATCTCCATTTTATTTATTGAGTTCTTCTTAAAATACTCCAATAATTGCTTTTTGAAGGAATGTTGCAAAATTATTTCCATACAAGTCAGCTTCGTTGCCAAAGATAAAGTTTTTATAATTCTTTTGAATTTCTTATGGGTAATTTAATTGGTTGTTATAAAGTCTAATTCCTCCTCCAATAAGAGCTTTATTTTAAGTTATTACGACTTAAGCGTCCATATGTATGGATGCATTTGTATTCTCTAAATATATTGCTCCACCACTTGCAAATGCTAAATTGTGAATAAACTAACTTTTATAAATTTTAACCTAGTTTATACTAGAAATAATTGCTAGAGCTCCACCATTCAAGCACTAATTGTATTCAAATAAGCTATTAGATATATTCAAGTATTAAGATTAGAGTATTTTTAAATTTCCTTAGTTTTTAGAGAAAGTAATATTCTCTAAATAACAAAAAGAACATTAGATATTCACAAGAGATTAAGAATCTGAATCAGTAATATTATTTTACTGTAATTTTAAATTTGTAATATTTAATGTATCAGTAGAAAGGCTGTAGTTAATACCTTTATCCTCGTAAATATTACTCGTTTTTATAAAAAGCAAATTCACATTATAACTCATTAAAATATCTGATAGCATTGAGTTTACAACTCCAACGATATTAATAATGTGCTTGTCTACATTAGTTTAAGAATAAAAGCAATTATTTATTTGCAAATTATTAATAGTAAGGTTTTAAACTTAGATAAATTCAAATAAATGAGTAATCTCAGCGTTTTATATTATTAAATTTGATAAAATAAAATTCTAAATATTTTTAGCTGATATTAAACCATAGAAAGAAGAATTTTTCATTTAATTATTGTCTAATGTTAAATTGTAAATATTGACATTAGTGACATTAAGAAAATACATTAAGGCATCACTCTCATTACTTTAAGTTAAATATCTTTATAAATTTGTCAGATAAAGTCCATTTATTACTACATTTGACATATTTGTAAATAAAAGTGTTGTATTACTCAAATTTTAAGATTATATTTAAATGTTATTATATTTAACGCTTAGAGATTAGTTGTTGAAATTTATTTCACCAACCTAATCCTCAAAAATAAAGCTAAAATCTCTCATTTAAAGTTCCTCTTTAGTGTACCACAAAAAAGAGTCATTGTAGATTTTAATTGGATTTAAAGCTTTTGAATTTGTTAGATTTTTATCAGAATAAACTTAAACAAGACTGTTTGCAGTACTTTTAAAGTCTATATTCCTCAAATCGCTATTAACTAATTAAACATTCCAGTAGTTATTTAAGCTTGGATCCTATACAGGTATCATTAACCTTTGAGATGAATCTGGAAAAGACACAGTTTTTATTATATTAATTGAAAAAGATACATCTTAGAATGTACTCACTGAAATATCGATACTGCATATCTTATTTTAGTCCTGTATGTTTTCATATACAAGATTATACCTTTGTTCTTATATTTAATTAGATGAAAGTAATATTACTGATAAACCTAATATATTATTTTATTACTATCCATAGCTTATTTCATATCCCATAAAAGAAGGATATTGAAGTTAAATTTAATCCATCAGCAATGCTTCAATAGCCTTAGTTTAAATTTTGAATAGCTCATACTTGGTATAGGTTACAAGTAGAATATATTGACTCTCTATTTCTATTATATCTGTGATAAAGTCATAGACGTTATCTCTCCTAATTCTTTAGATATATTGAAGGGTTTATCTATCATAAATCATTATATGAAAACACGTGTAAGCTAGTAAATGAGAAGGATTTATTTACAAATTATTGTATGTTCTTCCAGGTAAAGAAACTAGGCTGATAATGTTTCCTGATAAATCAAATACTCTCATTAACTTTTCTCCAATAAAACTTAAAAAAACCCTATTGTATTACTTATCTATATCAAAAATCAATATATTTAAGTATTAAATATATTTGTATGTTGTGAGGCTGCTAAACTAAACAATTTGCTTAAAACTAAAATCTAATAGGCTAATTTTAAAAATACCAACTGAGCTAGAAAAGCAAACCCACAAATCAGTCGTAGTTTCTACAAACTTTCCTATCTAAACATCATTTTACCTATTTTCCATCTAATTTTCCAATAAATTAATGATAACTTAATTCTAAGTGTTTTGATTATATATCAAAACATTTCCTATATTTGATCCTAAATAGAGATACGGTTTATTAACTGAGCAGATTTTCTATAATATTAATGTCGAAGAATCTTAGAAAGATATCTTACCTAAAATTGCTTAATTTACGAAATCGTAATGGTAAATTTACCTATCTTTAGTCATATAAATATCTTAACAGATAAATTATTAAAACATTCCACTTATAGTAATTTCTTATAAGCTATTTTATGACCAGGGGTTCAACACACTCAAAGAATTTGAATTAAAATTCTAAAATACAATAAATCTATCAGTGAGTGCTATTATCAGTAACTTCATGTTTTAGTTATAAACAACTTCTTGAATTTCTTAATCAAATTGATAAAAATTTTCAAATGCTGAATTTTAATATTTATATAATAGGCCTTAATCTCCTGCTATTATAAATCCATTTTGATTTGTGTTGGCATCAGAGTTTGTAGTTATTTTAGTAAATAATTATTTTTTATTAACAATATACTTTCTAGCTTAATTGTTGAGTTCTGCCAAGTAGAGATTAAAAACTTGAGTCTAAGAGTAAATAAAAACATTATTATTTTCATAATTAATAGAAAATCCTAGAATTTGGTAATTTGAATTTTAATCATATTCAATTAATCTTGCTAATTAGATTTGCTATATTTAATAATTAATAAAATAAAAATTTCCCCCTGAGTCAAGCAAGATGTAGATACCTTAGTCTTTATCATATTAATAAGCAACTGTACTTGAGGGAGTATTTAATGCACTTTTATATGACACAACTATCTATAGAGTATCTAAATTAAAAGCAAAAAATTATGCAAATCTAAGAGTAGAAGAATAAAATAAAATTTAATTTAGAGGTGGAACATATTATTATGATATAATATTTCCTCCTCCTGCTCCTGCAACTTATCCTCTATAGTTAAATGAAGCTCTATCATAAACATTAATGTCTATTAAAATTATGAAAAATTAAAAATAAATTATTTTGATTAAAAAATTACAGATAGTCAACTACGCAGATATGTCATTTTACAAAATCTATAAGTCTTAAATTGGAGAGTTTATTGTATTGATATAAAGCTCCAAAAATCCAGCAAAGTTGTAAACTTCAATGTTTTAAGAATAAAGGATTATTCTCTAAAAAAGCTCATCAATTTGAAAAAAATAACCACTGTCAATAAAATGCTGCTAAATTGAAGTAACATGATTAAAATTTGACTTATCAAAAATATTCAAAATACCAGAAGGATATTTACAGGCTAAAATTAAAGACGCTAATTGGCATGATTGAATGATATCTGAATTACTGTTTATTAAAAGCTTTACTGTCATGTCAAAATTTAATTTTACTATACTTATTCCATAAAGGTAAATATTGTTATTATCCAGTAAGTAATTTGTAACAATAGATAAATTACTATATGAATATAACTTATTCGTTTGGTAATTCTTATAGAAAAGTGTGTTTCCTTAAATAAAAATTATTGATTATTATTATTCTAAAATTTAAAAAGAATAAATTTTAGAACTTGACTAAATATCTATTTATTCGATATATTGATCTGTTAATAAATCATAAACAAGAATGTTTGATTTTACTATAAAGTATTTTTAGAGTAAAAGACTTTAATACACACCTTATATAAAATCATTTTATTATTTCTACTCTGCATTAAGCTCAAAAACATTTTGATTAAATTGCCTTCTAGTGATGTCTAAAGTGATTTAACCACTTTAATCACCATAAAAATAAAATTAATCTGACTTAATTAATTAAAAAGTATTCATTAAAACATTTTAAGAACCTCCAGCTTCTTATATAAAATTAGCTTAATTACCCATATTAAAGTAATAGTCTTATATATTAGTAAATATACCTTAAAAAAAACATATTTTAAAGGTATACCCTATTGCAAGATTTGCTGGATTAACAGATTTATAAACAGGAAATAATTTGTTTATTTTACTTGCAGCTATGACTTAAAAAATACCTGTTTCATTCTTAAGTAATGCAAATGCTTGATACTTAAAAGTTGCAGATTTTTAACTAGTAATTCCTCCAACTACATAAATATTATCATTTGGGTCACTTGTGACAAAGCTTATATCAACTACCTATGAGAGTTGTATATTTTAAAATGAAGCTATTACTGAAAGCTGTTAATTAAATATTGTAAAAGTAAAATTTGAAAAGTAAACAAGAATTTCAAAAATAGTGTTGCTTTATTAAGGATAACTTTCTGGAAAGCTCCTTATTTTCATGTATTATATCTAAGCTAAACTTTTATAATCTCCCTTAAAAACTAGTTATTATTAGGCTAAATCTACAAAAACTACTGAAATTGAATATATTTTTTATATTACAAGATAAAGCGATTTGTCTAAATTTGCCTAGACTATTACGTCATCAAATAGCTACGAGCAGTCATTAAAAATTTACTGGAAATTTGTGTCAAACACATAAAAGCATGAGTCAAACAATAGAAAAGAGTTTCCATTATAAGCAAGAATGAATCTATTTACCATTTTTGAACTGGGATTTATAAAGTTCCAAGTGTTCAAAATTTTAAATTAAATGACATCAATAGCTAGGATAGAGTTTTAGAATAAGATAAGAGCAGTACTATTATATAAAAATTTGATTGTATTACATGATCCAAAGTTTGTAATAAATGTAGAATCTACTAAGTTAGGCTATAGTAAAGTAGAATACTCCCAAGTCATAATTTACCCATTTGCAGAACAAAAAGTAGCAAGATTATTATTATCGTTGGTATCCATGGAAGAGATACTCTATTGCATGTCGTTAATTTTTCTTTTGAATGCTTTGAGAAAATATTAATTTTATAATAAAAATTAAATATCATCTGTTATGCTAAAAGTTAAAGATTGAATTTAATTGGAATAAGCCATAATTTAAAATTTGATTGTTTAATTATTATTATCCACTTAATTCTACAGAATCATAATTTTTATTGGATAAAAGTTAATTAATTTAAATTAATAAATTAACTATTACTGCTACTTATCATTGATATTTATTCCAATAAAATTTATATTTTACTGATTATCAAGAATTGCAATTAACATTGTAGAATTAACAGTGATCATCGCTAGTGAATCTATTATTTTATTTTAATTTTTAACTTAAGTTATTAAGTTAGCATTATCATCCAAAATATTCAACTATGTTTAAAGTTATAAAAAATGATAAATTGAAATCCCATAGGAAATATCGTAAGTCTTTGCAAAATATTCTTATGTTTAAACTTTTTAGCATATCTGCTATCCTAAAATTATGTAAAATGATTAACTTGTAAATGACAACAAGAACTAATCATTTTTTAATTTAATAATGGATGAAATAGTAAAAGATTAGCTTACACATTGATTTTAACTAAAGTATGGTTTTATTATCAATTATTTGTTAATACTTTGACTAATAACTATTTGATAAGATTAAAATCCACTTGAGTTTATTATGAATATTAAATCATTATAAAAGTAATATTGATAATTACTTGTGTAATTCAATAACAATACTGAAGAAAAGCTAACAAATTGCATTTAAATTTAATCATATAATACAGTAAAATAATACTGAGAAGCTTTTTTATCTTATGTAATAACATAAGAATATTACTAATTAAGTTAATTTATTTGAGTATTACTATTAATATCACCTTACAAGGTAAATGGGAAGTAACTCGTGACATTCTTTTGAAAATCCCATTTTGTAACCATATTTCCATTTTAAAAAATGAAGAAAAAACCTTGAAAGTACTTAATGTATTATTTATTTGGCTGAAAAGAAAGCGTTTGCATGAATCTTCCTGTCTATTAAAGCTATTTTGTTATGTAGGAAGAATAAACTATAATGAAGTATTAGCTATCATAAGGGATAATTTAGTTTATAGTCTCATTGTTTTAGCTGATGCCCGTCTAAAGGCTGAAAGAAAGAGAGCACTACTCAACTTTTGTACATAAATTAGTTTAGCTATTTCTTGAATAATCTTAATTACAAATAGCTTAGCAAGCTCCTTCTCCAGTAGAATAATTGCCTTAGAAATATAATTATTATTTACATTAATTATAAACACATCTCTTCGATTTAAGATTTAAAGAAAAATTTGATTAGCAACTGATACAAGTATTTAAATTGTCACATTAACTACATCCTTAAGGGCAAGAAGAATATAATTTAATCTATATTCCTATTATTAATAAGAGAAATTTAATTACTTTCATTTTAAGTTATCTAGTAGAATTACCCTGACTTTGCTTTAATTAATTTTATTTGATTTAATTAACTTTTTTATTAGAAAACTTTTTTACACTCAAAATTAGATATTCTGTTATAAATATAAAAATTATAGGTAGTTTAAAAGATAACTAATAATAAACAACATTGAACTGTAGATTAATTGAATATTAACAAAAGTAATTAAAATATAAATTAATTAAAAACATCATCAATTTTGTTAAATGTTTATTCAGATTATTTATTTTGGAAAAATTTAAAATACAGATCCAAGATTTTTAAAAAAATGTTAGATTATTTGAGATAATAATTTTTTAGGATAATTATAAAATTAATTATTAAAACATAAAAGGTTATAATTTATTTTTATGTTGTTTATTTAATATCATTCAATTTTTATATATCCTGTAAGAAATTTTAATTTTATATTTTTGAAATTTTTTTATATTTTAGATATTACTTACTTATTTTGAAGAATAGAATAACCTTCTTAATTTATTATTTTTAATGAAGTAAGAAGTCATATGTTAGATTCTTATTCGTAAAATAATTCGCTATTTTAAAGTATTCGCCTATAACTTAGTCTGTCAGATAAATTCTGATTTAAAAAAAATATATGGACTACCTACCATTTAGTCATTTATATTTATATAAATACTAAAATAGGAAAGGCTGTACTTAATTTTAATTTTTAAGTATTTTGTTATTTTTAGAAATATAAATAAATTTTTTTTAGGAAAATGTATATTTTGTAAAGTAAAAATTATTTTCAATGAAGTTTAAAATTTTATTCTTTCAATAGAATATTTTATTTTTAATGAATTAAATGATAAAATTTTTAAAAAATTTTAAATATTAATAAAATTGAATTCTTCTTTTCATTGTTTGTAAATCAGAAATAAAATTATTATAAATTTACTTATTTGATCTAAATATAATAATAATAATCATAATTTTTTTTTTTAATTATTTGATAAGTTAATAAATATATCAAAAAATAAGATTAAAAAAATATTTTAATTTTGTAATTTTATAAACGATTATAAATTAGATGATTAGTAGAAAATGTATTATTTCAATAAAATTAAAATATACATTTTATATTTAAAAATATTTATTACTGGAAGCAATTTAATCTAACATTAAACAATTTTATGCATTCAGGGTTTATACATCAATCTAAAGTTAGATAAAAAAATTAAAATTTACTTAATTGTTTATATTTTTTTATTCAGTTTTTAAAAATCTGATTCAAATTTTTTTTTGAGTATCAAATTCAAAAAAATAACTATAAAATCAAAAGGTTTTTAATTATTACAAAATATATGTTAAATTATTGCTAACAATAAACAAAATTTTAATATGAGCTACTCCAAAAAATAACAATAGAATTTATTGCTAAAGAAATTTTTAACAAAATATTCATCTGTGAGGAAGATGATTTAATTTACATTTAGTTTAGGATATTGTTTATATTATATTTTTATTTAATTTCTTAATTAGATATTTTTTATTTTTTTAATTAATTATTTTTTTATTTGTGGTTAATTATCTATCTATTTCTTCTATTTTTTTCTTATTTTAATTTAAATTTCATATTTATTAATTTTCAAATTTTCTTTTTCTTTTTCTTTTTAATTATTTTTCTTTCTTTTTATATCTCAATTTTCAAATTCTTTTTAAGAGAGGACTATCAAGCTGCTTGCTACTTGTTCATTTTTTCTGTTAAATCTGTGTATTGTTCTCGCTTTTATAAAAAATACTAATTATATATGTGGAAAAAGTATTAAAATCAAAATTTTTGATTTTAATTGGTTGAAAATTTTCCTGGCAGATTAGAAGAACAGTCTTTATAAATATAATTAATAATCGAAGGCATTAAGAGCATCTAACATTAGTCATTATTTTATGATAATTTTTATTTTTCTATGATTAAATTCGTCCTTTTATGTCTGATTGATGTTGATAGAAATATTTTCTTCAAATTTAGGATTTTTGAATTTAATCATTTAGAATGTTAAAAACTTGATTTAAAGATGGATCGAATTAAAAACTTAATTATCATTTATACTAAAATAAGACTAATGCTATTACTCCACCCACACACGTCGTCGCTCCTGAAATTTGATTATAGACTGTCTCCAATTTAGATAGGAAAATATGAAAATATTTGTATTTGTTTTATTTACTTTTTTTATTTTTTAATAAATGAATTTAATAATTCTTTCTCAAAAAATTTAATTAAGTAAAATTGGCTTTAAATAAAAAATAAAATTTTCCTCCTCCTTTTGAGATTAGAATTTGATTAATTTTTTTCTAAAGGAAAACTGTCTAATAAATTATCTTAATTTACCTCCAAATAATGACTTTAAATTGATTTATTCCTAATATTTTCTTCATCAATAAATTATATATAGTTGAAAATATTTGCTTTAAAATAACAATTTAAATATTATAAAAATAATTTAAAAAAAAATATTTTTTATGGAAATAAACAAAGATAAATTTATGAATAAGGTTTTTTAAAATTTTAGTTTATCAAAAAAGAAATATTATTTTATCATTCATAAGAAAGAATTAGAAAATACTGGAAACACATAAAAAATGAATGGTAAGCGATTTGAATGAAATAAATAAGAATTACTGCATACTATTTCAATAACAAAAATAAAATTAATTTTTATTCTACAAAAGATTTTTCACTATATTTAAATCATTCTTGTGAATAGATTTTTATTAAAATCATTATTTCAATTATAAAAGTTAAACTCTTATTTCATTTTTGAAAATCCGAATATTGTAAAAAATCTGAATTTTTGAAACAGTTTGATAAATTATGTTTTGTCAAAGCAAATAACTAAATAAATATAAGCTTATTAGAGTTTTTTATATATTTTGAAATATGTTTAAGATAAATATAAATGCATTCCCTCAGTTTTCTTGATTTTATGCTTAGGATTTATCCAAATTATTATTTTGCTTTCTATCTTAAGGGCTCTTTCTGCTTTGTACTCCAAGATACTTTCCAGTTGCGTCATATATTTCTTATCTATATAAAAAGTAAAGAACTGGTGTAATAGCTAAGGCTACAGAGCCTATGATCTTTAGTGGTTCTTATTTCATTTGTAAAAATAATATGAAAGTAGAAATTGCTTTAAAGATATTTAAGTTTGTTAAAAGTCTCTTAATCCAATCAAGTTTTTAATTAAAATTAATTCAAAATTTACTAAAAACATAAAATATTGGTTACAATATATTGTCTTATACACTAATTAAGTAGTTTGTATTTTTTTAGTTATAAGATTAAGCAGATAGTAGTCAAAAATATAAATTTCTTAAAATAACATACCATTACACAAGTAAGTGATATTGTCCTAATACATACATCATTTAATTAACTTAATATTTATTTTTTATGTAGTTTTGTAGTATTTTAGTCAATAAAACAAGGATATAATTTTACTATTCCTAGAACAAACATTTTTGGCAAATATAATTATATAAAAACTATTTACTAGGGTTTACAAACAAAAATAAAATTCTTACCAAATTTAGAAAAAAAAGATTTCAATTTAATTTAATATATTCATTTTAAAATTTCAAATTTTGCAAAGTATTTGATTTTATACAAATATATTGAAGTTTCTAAAAATTCATCCAAAATTAATTGTGTAGACTATTAAAATATTTAGTAATTGTTGATCATAAAATAATGATTTTTTCTTTATATAATATTTGTTTAGCTATTTATTTGTTTTTTTGTTTGATTGATTTTAATCTGAATGTAAATATATAAAACATTAATTTTTAATTTTCTTTAAAAATTAGTATAAAATTAATAAATTTGTTAAGTATAATATCTGATTTCAATTGGTGTAATTAAAAAGGAGAGATGTTTTATGATGATTTGTTTTTTTTATAAAAGGTTATCAAATAATCTTTGCAAACAAAACTTGATTTAAATTAACTCTAAAATTATACTTAAGTTTATAATTTAATATAAAATAACTGACGAAATCCAGTAAAAATTATAAAAATACTATTTGATATTTATATCAGAACCAGCTTTTTAAAAATGATTTACAAACAAATAAAATTAATTTAATAAATAATTGTCATAAATAAATGTGAATTTTCTTAACAATAAATTAGCATAATTAGTAAAAAATAACTAAAATAATAATAGGCAAAATTATTATAATATTTGTAAGTAGGATTTTTATATTTTTGTAGAAACAAATAACAATCTATTACAATTAAGATTAAAAGAATTCTATTTATAATTTGATTTATTAACTTTTATTTACAAAAATACTTAATACTTTTTTAATTTAGAAAAATCTAATTTAACTTTATAAAGCAAAAAGATATTTACTTTACTGTTTGTTAATTTACGTGTAAATTGTTTTTTATTACATTTAAATTCAGTAAATTAATTGAATTTGCTTTTAAAATCACGACAAGAGGGGTATTTAATAAATAAATCAATATGCTAGATTGATCTTTATTTTCTATTTTACTTGTTTTGCTTATAAAATTTGATTACTTAAGCATTCAAACATGTGAACATCAAGTAAAAATATGTATGTTAGTAATCTAGTTTTGGAGAATAAGAAAAGGTTTGATTGATTTTACTAAGAATAGTAATAGTTGAAGGTAATAACTTAAATAAGATAGAAAGCTATCTATAATTTAATTTTTTTTAAAAATAAAGTATTAAATATACATAAATTTATTAATATTTAGTATTAAAGGTTGAAAACAAATTCTTTTAGTAATATTGCAAAGCATCATAAAAAACAAAAAAAACAAACAAATAAATAAATATCAATCTATAATAGGTACGAACTAAGTGAGAATAAAGAAACATAAACAATATTTAAAAGTAATTAAATTAATCAAAAAACTCTTGTTATTGATTGAAAAATTCAAAGTCTCCAAATTTTAAAACAAATGATTGCAATAAATAATCCAAGTGACTTGTAATCGAGATTTTAGAATGAAAAGCTAACAAAAGCTGAGCTCGTTAAAGTTGATGTTAATCCACTATAAGACAATTAATCAAACAATGAAGATGTAGAAAATAATGACAGCTCTACAGATTTTAATAGCTCTGTATAGCCTGAAAATATGAATTAAAAAAACTCTATTAAGGAAGTAAATTACCAAATAATTCGGATAAAATGTCAAGAAAAGGTTGACTTCAATTCTCGCTTTAAATAGATTGTTTCTTTAAATGTAGATAGTTCATTAAAAAAATAAATGCTTCAAGCTTTAAAGCAATAACTACAAGAAAAACTCAATGATTAAACTTCCTTTAGACATATTATGAGAAAGAAAGTGTCAAAAAAACAGAAACAGCCTAGTAGTGTTTAAACAAAAACAACGGCTGCCCATTCAACAGCCAGCACAGTGAACAATATAAATATTATCAACATTCAAAATAATAATATTTTGACTTCCAAAAACCCTTCTTCTGTTTCTCCTATGAGCTATAATCCACATTAACTCAGTATATCAAATAATCCTTAGTTGGCAAATATACTCGCAAATGCTATTTAATAGAATTAAGAAGATAATTTGGTTAGTAAACGCTGTTCGATTTTTAGCGTTTAAACATAGGTTATTTATAGCGCAAGAAAAGATGGTCAATCCAATTTTGACTACAAGTACAATAATTCCTCTCGCTTAACTGAACATTCTACTCTTCATAAAAATTAATCTAAGTAGAATATAATTAAATTATGCTAAAATGAAGAAAAAGAAATTAAGAATATTGAAAAATCATTAATTCCAGCTAAAAATGAAAGAAACAGAATATCTGAAGTGCTTGAAGATTATAAAGATGATTTGATAGTTAGCAAACAATATCTTAGAGATATAACTATTACTTATGACTAAAAACACTTATATCTTGAGCAACTCATTTAAAAAATTAATTCTATGAGTAGAAGTGGATATACAATGAATAATAGAGAAAATAATATGGCAAATATGTCTATGCTAAACACTACAAGAATGAATGCAACTTTTGTTGATGAAGCAGTCAGTAAATTTAAAGCTGTAAAAGACTTTTTCAAGTCAAAAATATTCTCTAACAAAGATAATTCTAATTAAGGACAATTATTTGGGGCTTCTACTACACGTAACACTGGAGTCAGCAGCAGCAGCAACAACAATAACAACAACTAATACCCAATGACAAATCGTATCTTGGATTTTAATTATTGAAAGACTTTAAAATAAGAAAATATAACATTACAATTGGCTGGAATTGGAATTGCTAAATTCTCAATGGCTGATTAAAAAAAACAAACTAATAATAACTTATAAAATTTATTAAAATAATGAAAATGACAATCAGATTTTTAATATGAATACAATTTTATGTAATCATAAATAAATTTGATTTATCTTTTAATAAAAAATAATAACTAACAATAAAAACAATAAATAAATATATCACTATTATATTTATCAATAAAAGATATATATATATATATAAATAAATAAATATATAATTTACCCTATTAATTTAATTTTCCTAAATCCACTTGAATTAAAAACGAGTATTTTATTTTATAAATTATTGCTCCTCTTTTATATTTAATCTTAATTTAATTTAAATACCCAAATTTATCCAATTTCATTCATAAAAAGTTAATTATTTTAAATATGTTTTCCATAGTTTAATAACAATTTATTTTTTTGTTTTGAGAAAATAACTTATTGACTATCTAGTACTGATATTTAATTTGTAAATTAAAATAATATCATTTAAAGTAGTTAAAAACAATTTATTTAATTAATTAGGTTTGATAAAAAAATATTAACAATTTATTAAAATTTCAGTTTTTGAAAAACTAATAACAGTTAGAATTCAATAAGGAAATATCATTTTAGCTCTTAATTAAAAAATAAATTATTAGTTGAGTAATAATTTATAGATGTAGTTTAAAATAAATTTGAGTAGATTGCACAACAAAAATAAAAATAGCTTTATATTTAATTTAAAATAAACTAATTTTACTTATTTAAAATAATATAATATAACTTAAAAGCAATAACTAAACAAATTTATTTGAATTTCTATCATTTGTGCCTAGAGCTACTACTGCTATTATTCGATTTTTATCTTGATTGATAATTTATGTAGCCTAAATAGATTACAGCTGCTAAATATAGAGTATTTTAGTCTGTGTCATACTTTGGAGGAAAACCTGCCTCATAAGTATATGGATTATTACAATCACAACAATTAAGTTTAAGATTTAATATTCCTTTATTATTTTCAGCATCTTACACTTGATAAGAGGATTAATTACATTAGCATTAGCAAAGAGGTAAATAAAATGAAAGATTATTTAAATAGCTACTATTAACATACAAAGCATTTCTGCATCCCTCTTTTATGTTCCCTATTAATGTACCGTTTCCTTTTTCATTTATAAAGATATCACAAGTATTAAAGCCGCAGCAAACATTTTTTTCTTTTAAGAAAAGGTAAGGAGTATTGCTTGAAACATCATCCAATTTAGTTGTTATAGCAATCTAACTAGTACCCATAACTGAACAATCGCAAGTACAACACTCTTAAAGCTTTGCGACTGCATAAAGTATGGGTTATGAATTAGGATCTAGTCTTTTGCCACTTGAATCAGCTTCATGAATTTCAAAAACATTTGATGTATTCCACGAAAACATATTGCTGAGCATAAATATCTCTCTAATATAAACACCTTTTACTCCGTTTAATTAGCTCACTGATTGATTAATCATTGTGAGTGGCTTTAGTTCCTCATCAAGATGCTAATGAATCACTATTTTTGGTTATTATTGTTCTTTTGGTAGTTTAGAAAGATATTTTTATTCTATATCTTCATGTTTATGATTAATTGATCCTTTAAGTAAATCTTTTATCATCACTTTAAATATTGATAGAAGTTTTATTTCTAGCTAATAAATTAATTTTGTAATAATTAATATATTATCTACTTTTCAAATTTTTTTTATTTTTGCAATTTTAAATCTATTCAAAATGCAAAACAAACAAGCAAATTCATTAGCTTTTACAGATAAAATTCAAATAAAAGTTGAAATAAATAAATATCAAATGTTTATTATTCGATCGTTTTTAAGATCAGATATAAGTATAATTTAAATGTTTGATAATTCAAATGACAATTCAACAAAAAAATGTTACTGAATTGAACTTTTGCAAATACTAATTATTTTTTTGAGAAAACAAACAAAATATTTTAGTAAAATCTGTTTATTTTTATTTGAGATATTCAAATATCCCAAAATTTCATAATTTAAATAGCTAGATTTTTAAATAATTGTATTTTTATTGAACATTTTGATTCAAAAATTGAAGTAAATTTTTTAAATATTAAATAAAATTAATCAAAATAATAAGTAATATATATTGTAATTTAGCAGAAAGTGCAAAAAAAAGAGAGAAGGGTTTAGTTGGTAAAACTTGAAGTTAAAAATTGAAATTTTATTAAGAACTCATATCTCAGGTAGTAAAGTTTCTGAGGAGTTATGGTAAAACACAAAAATATGTAAGACTGCCTTAATAAAGCTTCCATAAAAACTATAATTGATTCTAAAAATTTAAATTAACGAATTTTATTAGATAATAATCAGAATCTAAAATTTTGAAATATTCTCTTGATTACAAATTTTAATAACATAAAAATATCACTCTTGATAAAAATAGAGTTTATAATTCAGAGTCATATTTAGTAGGAAAACCTACCTTGTATATATATGGATTATAGCTATTACAACAATTATATTTGAATTAAAAAATACTTTTGCTATTATCGTCATCATGCTATGCTGATAATAAGATTAATTGAATTTGTATTAGAATTGTGGTAAATAAATAAAAGGTCATTATAATTGTTATCCTTCTTCTTTGTTCCTAATTAAAAAGCTATTATTATTTTAATTAGTAAAAATATCATATAAGATATTACCACAACAAACATGTTTTCTTTTTAAAAAGATAAGATGTTTAGCTTAATATATCATCTAAGTTATCGGTTATAACTATCGATCTTGAATCCATAACTAGTCAATAACAGTGAAACACTTTTATTTACAATACCACTAAAGAATTTTATAAAATATCATCTTATCAATTAATATAAGTTATGTTAAATGATCTAGTAATATTAGAAAATATTCATAATTTAGATAAGGATTGCTATTTTTTACTGCAATGAAAATTGTATGTTTTTTTCTATTTGAATAGAATTTATCTAGAAAAAAATAAATTTAAAGAAAAATCAGTTTTAAAAGCTAAAATTTTTTAATTATTTTAAAAAATGAGGAAAACGATCTTAGAAATTGTATATATGAACATAATAAATATAAAAGTATAGAATAAAGCTAAATATTAGATTTGTAAAAGACTATAAAAAATCATTTAATGCATTTATTTTTGAAAAAAATAATATATTTTAATTTAGAAGTGAAAATATTTATTTACATCAATCTAACTATATACTTAAAAATAAAAAATTAAATCAAGATTTCATTTAGTTTATTAAATTCAATAAATAATATTTTTAATCTCTGCTTTGTTTTTTTAATTAATAAATAGAAATTAAATATTATCACCTGATGAAAATAAATTATAAGACCTTTTCAAGAAAAATTTGATATTATCATAAAAAATTTTATTATCCTTATTTATTCTAATTAAGGGTAATAAATAAGATATTATTTTTTTTAAATTGCACTCTTTAATTTTAAAAATTAACTAGATTTTCAACTCCCTTTATAATGTATATAAAACTGTATTTTATGATCTTAAAATACTATTTGAATAAAATGAGAGATATGTTTTGTATTTATTAGGTATAAGTATTAAATAGTATAAAGAAAATAAATTATTTTAAGAAAAAAATTTGTTAGATAATTCCTTTAGATGTATATAAAACTGTATATCTTCTTTTAAAAATACATCATCCTAATTATTTATTTATTAAAATTCGCTAATTTTTCTTTTTTAGTAAATAGAAGTCTTAATTAATTAATATTAAAAATAAGTTTTTACAAATGTAATCTCAAACAAAAAGAAAAATAAGCTTATCAATTTGTAAGATATTGTTATTATTCATTAAATTCATCAATAATAATCATATAGTTATGATATTTTTTCTTTTATTTTTATTCCATTTAAAATTTAAGTAGTTCAATTCAAAATAGCTAAACTTAAAATTCTTATTAAAAATTATTGTTCAAAATATTAAATTGAGAAAAAATTTTTAATATTTTTTTTTCAAATTGCTAAAAATTTTAATAAGATATATTTTACTTACTTAAAAAATGATACAAATAATATAAAAAACAAAAATAATTAATCCCTAATTTTCATTTATTAATTAATTAAAAAAAATTTGATTGATACAATTAGGTCATTACAAAATTTAATATACAAAAATTTATTTTTTATCTATTTTGTATTTTTTATGGCATTTTCAATCATAAGAAAAAACAAATTTTCATAATTTTACTTACACTATTTTACAAATTAAAAGTCCTTTTCTTTTCAAATAAACAAAAAATCTTTTCTTTGTTTCTCAGATTAATTTCTTGAAATTTTATCATTATTAATTCCATTATAAAATTAAACGCTCAATCATAAATAATATCCATTTTTATTGTAAATCGTTTATAAAGGTATTCTATGATAAATATATGACCAAGCAATACCTTATATTAATTTTTATGTTATAATTAAGCTAAAATCAAACAAAAATTGCATGAAAATACTTCATTTTCGTAAATTTTTTTCATGTTTACAGTTTCATTGTATAAGAGAAAATAGTTTGCGAATGTTAATTAAATTTAATGTAAACCAAACATTTTTATATTAAATAGACAAAAATGCTGATATTGCGTCGATAAATTATAAGCAAAAATATTATTAATATTCATATTTTTTAAAAAGAATCTTTATCTTTCTTTTCTATCAGAAAAACTTCACACTCATTTTTACTATTTAATTCTTTTATAAGACTAAAATACAAATATGGGATTAAAAACCAAATCAATCAAAACAAGATATCATCATTTTATCCTTTCTACATGAACAAATTAATTTCATTTTTAAAAATTAATATCTAAAAAAACCATAAAAATATCTTTGTTGCAAATTATTTTTTAAATTATTTTTGTGAAAATTGAGAAAAATGACTCTAGCTAAAAACAAGTTAGATTAAAACCTATTGGAGGAAAGGATTAGAAAATCAATTTAACAAAAAAGTAGGGTAAAGAAATAGATTCATTTTAATCTTTTTACTCTAATTACCATTAGTTTTTTATAAAGTGCTTCAGTTTCAATTATCGTACCTTTCTTTCCACCCTTAGCAACCAAAGAAGGTGCTCCTTTAATTTGTAAAGGATTAGTTTTAGGTATCAATCCTATTGGCAGCTTTCTTTATTCTTTCATATCTGGGAAAATGCTGAATTTGTTAGGGTAAAAGAATGTATTTTGCTTGGGTATAATTATTTAGTCAATATCAATATCAACTTTTGGTGCTCTATACAATTTGAATGATGATGCCATTTTTATTTGTATTTGCTTTTTTTCTAGGTTAATTCAAGGTTTCTCTAGAGCTGCTATAAGTTCTTCTTTCGTAACATATATACCATAAATATGGCCAGAAGAGTAATTTATTTTAAATATATTAAGCTCTATTTTATAAAATTAGCTCATATTGAATATTAATATAATAAGCGTTTATAGACTTACAATTTAAAATTGGAATTAAAAGGCAAGATTAAAGTTGATTCAATTTGTATTGATTTTTTAATAATCCTAAAAATTGAAAGTCGTTTATTATTAATATTTTTTAAGTTCAGCAAATTAAAAATAGAAAGAATAATTTACCAAAAATTTTAAAGAGAAAAAATAATTTAGTAAAATAAAAATAACATTTTTGGAATAATATTCTAGAAATATTCTTTTGCATTATTATTCGAGGAGAAGATTTAGTTACTGTCAGATTTGATTATACAAAAAAAAATAATAGTACAATTCAACTTAATTCCCTTTACCACTGAAATTCTTTTAAATTTATGAATAAAAAGCTTATCTACAAAAATGTGTAACAAAGCTTTAATATTAGAGAAAATATTAGCTTTTATTTTAAGTTTCACATTTTTTAATATTTCAAATAATAAATTAATTAAATTTTATTAAAATTTATTATCAAGTCTATAATAAATCTAGTTTTAATTTAACCACTTTATTCTGTAAATTTATCAATATAAATACATTTTTATTAATTAGATTCTAAATTAAAGCAAGTTTGATAGAGAGAGTAGGCGCTTTAGGTACTCTATTAGGTCCTGGTATTGGATAAGTATTTTATACATTCCTTGGACACTAAATGCCATTTTACATTCTTAGCTTTATTTTTTTATGCAGCTTACTTACATTAAAATGGCTACCTTCAAATATAAAAATAAATAATTCAGTTGATACAAGCTAGTATTATAGATATTTATCAGATAAAACTATTTTGGCTACTTTTTTAGTTATTGTTGGTATTTCAACTGCTTAGTCTTTTATAATACCACTCTATGCAGTGCATATAGAAGGATTAGGATTAACTGATGATCTCATGGGATATTTTTTTTCAGTTAGCTCGTTTTTTTATATAGTTTTTTTATTCTTAATGCCTAGAATTTAAAAGTATATTAACAGAAAGCTTTTTTTAACTTTTGGAATACTAATAGCTGCTATAGGAATTGAATTTTAAGCACCTGAAAATTTAATTGAATCATTATTTGGAATAAATTTAAAAAAATGGTATCTTGTAACTATTGGTTAATGTATTATTAATATTGCTTCTTCTATGTGTATTTTACCTATGGTTCCTGAATTAAATCAACTAATTATTGATAAAGAAACGAAAGAGAGATAAGTTTCTGTTCTAGATACAAATCTTATAAAAACATTTAGTGGAATGGCTTCAAGAATTTTTATATTAGGCTCTTCATTAGGATTATTTATTGGACCTTTTTCAGCTGGTATCCTTTACTCATCATTTGGTGGTTAAGACATAAATGAATATAAAAATACTTCTAGGTGTATAGCTGGCTTTTAATTTGTTATTTTTGTGATATATTTGATATTAGGAGAATCATACAAAGGTTTTATTTAACAAAAAAAATTAATTAAAACTTTTATAAGAAAGTCATAAAAATTTAATGAAAATTTGCTAAACAGTAAACACAAAAGCACCCTCAAAAGCTAAAATAAAGATAGCAAAAAATAAAGTGGAAAGAACTCTGTACAAGTAATGGGTGAGTAAAGCAATTTAAATAATAATAATTAAGAATATTAATCAGTTGTTATTTAAGAACACAATTAAAATGCTAGTCAATTTTTGTATTAAAATCCTAATGATGTATCAGATATTCTTCTCTCTGATAATGAAGATGAAAGTGATTTCTTATCATTTGGACAAGAATTATCTGATGAGTGTACTAACAATGAATATACTGAAAACTAAGCTGAGAAATTAGATGAAAATTGAATAAAAAATTAATTAAAATATAAAAATTGATAGAATAAATAAAAAATTAAGAAAACAATAGTTTAATAATGTAACAAAATATTATATAAATTAACAAAATAAAATGAGATAGATAGATAGATAGATAGATAGATAGATAGATAGATAGATAGATAGATAGATTTGCTTATTTTATTAAATATCGCCAAATTTATATATTCAAATAATAATAATAACAATATTTACACATTATAATTTGTATTAAATTTAATTTATTTTTTTTTACTTATAGAGTCTAGTTAAACTAGTTCGTAATTATCTTATTTCTAAATTTTATTTTTAATTTTCACTTTCCAAACAAGAAAAAAATTTCATATTACTTAGATAATTATTTAACTTCTTTCTTTACTTTTTTAGTAATATAAAATTTTTTGATTATTGATTCTATTTTTAGAAATAAATATTGACTATTTATGAAAAAATTAGACTAGACACTCTATTTTTAGGTCTATTATATGATTATTAATTATTCGATAGGTATAACCAATTGGCACAAAAAAATTTAACAAAAGACTTTTGCATTTTTTATAGTGTTTTTTTATATTTTTAATTTTTCTCTTAAGTTAATATGAATTACTTAAAACTATAAGAAAAAGAAGAAGATGAAGTTAAACATTAATAAATAAATTTGATTGCTTCAAGCTAATAAAAGTAGAAAAATTAAGATAATGTATCATAAAAAAATCACCTCAACTTTTAATATTTTATTTTGATAGCAATCTGCTTTCTTTAAAGTGCTTCAATTACTATGATTGTTCCTTTTTTCCCACCATTAGCAAAGAAATAAGGGACACCTTTAATCTTAAAAGGATTAGTATTAGGAATAAACCCTATTGGAAGCTTTGTTTATTCATTAGTTTCTTCAAAAATGCTCAGTATTTTAGGATAAAAAAAATTATTCTGCTTAGGGATAATATTTTAATCGATATCAATATCTGCATTTGGTGCACTACACCATTTAGATGATGATAATATTTTTATTAATATATGTATCTTCTCAAGGTTAATTCAAGGGTTTTCTAGAGCTGCTGTTACTTCTTCTTTTCCTGTATAAATAGCAAGAATGTGGCCATTATAGTAAATATTTATATTAACTTAAATTTATTCCCTAATTATTGATATTACTTATTTATTATTTTAGTTTTAAATAACCAACTATATTTTATCTTTAATTCAGGTAATTCTCATTATGTATTTTAATAAAAACCTTAAATCAAATAATTTAAACATCTGTTTGAAAAATTAAGCTGAAATATTTATTGAGTTATTATGGGTTAAAAATAAAATAGTTTAATTGAAATTAAAAAAGATAAATTAACTATCTTTTAATTTACAAAAGAAAAGAAAAATAATTTAAAATAAAAAGAAAACATTAAATTAATCATTTTTAAAACATAACAAAAAATACTGCTTAGTTTTTTAAATGAAAATAAAAATTTAAAGTTAAACTTGAATTTTTAATACCCTTATTTATTTATGATTATTTGATGATCATTTTTGCAAATTTATTAAATATTTTTAACTTTTTTATAAAAAGGTTAATGTTTATTTATAAATTTCTCTTTTTATTTTTTATTTTGAAAATACTTTTTACTATTTAAAAACTCATTGATTTTAATTAATATTTAAAAAAAGAATAAAAGATAAAATTAGCTTAATTGAGAGAATAGCAATTTTAGGCGCATTACTAGGTCCTGCTATAGGTCAAATATGTTACTCCTTTATTGGAGACTTTATACCTTTTTATACTATAAGCTCTATCTTTTTACTAAGCTTAATTGCTGTTAAATATCTCCCAAAAAATATAAAAAAGAATAGCTCTATTGACACCAGCGAGTATTACAAATATTTGACAGATAAAAAAATATTCTCAACATTTTTAGTATCCATTGGAATTTCGACTGCTTAGTCTTTTATTACTCCTTTATATGCTGCACATATTTAAGGACTTGGTTTGACATCTGAATTTATTGGATATTTTTATACTCTAAGCTCAATATTTTACATTATTTTCTTATTTTTATTTCCTTTAATATCAAGGTATATAAATAGAAAAGCTTTTTTAACAATTGGAATTTTAATTTCAGTGATAGGTATTGAATTTTAAGCACCAGAATCCTAAATTGAAACCATAATCGGAGTTAGCTTAAATTAATGGTATGTAGTAACCATAGGTTAATGCTTTACAAATATTTCCTCATCCATGTGCTTATTACCAATGATACCTGAATTAAACCAATTAATAATTGATAAAGAAGTATTCGAAAACAAAATATGCTTGATTGATAAGCCACTTAAAAAAAGATGTAGTAGAATAGCTTCCAGAATATTTATTTTAGGCTCTTCATTTGGGTCTTTCATAGGTCCATTTACTGTAAGTATCCTTTATTAGTAATTCTAAGGAAATGATATAAATAAATATTTGAATACTTCTAGGTGCATTGCTTGCTTTCTATTCTTAATTTTTTTAGTTTATGTAACTTTAGGAAACTCATGCTTAAGTATTTAGACAATAAATTTCATAAAAGGTTTTACATAAAATTCATCGAGCCTAATGAATAGCTAAGAAAAATAAGATAAAATTTTAGGAAACTAAACATAAGACATTATTTAGTACATGATTGAGGAAGAAATAGAGCCGTCCAAATAAAGTTTAAATTAAGAAAACAGCTTGAGCTAAAAGGAATAATATGATAAAAATGTTTAAAACTCAATATCAAGTGATAGTCCTATCTCTGAAATTGTATTATGAGATAACACAAACATAAAATTAATTTTATTCCTTTAACTTATTTATTTATAAATTTATATTTTAATAAAACTGTAGAATTTTACTTTTTGATAATTCTTAATAATAATTTATAGTTTTTTACACTATTATATTAAATGATTTAAAACAAATTTTAGAAATAATTTTTATTTTATTTATGAATCATTTTTAATTAACTAAAATAATATATTAATTAACCTGGAAAAAAACGTTGGACACTTAATACATACCTTAAATCTTTCAACCATTATTAATATCATATTATATCCATATATACATATATACCGAAGCTTACATTTTAAAATAAATTAATTACTTGATTAAAATTATTTTGATATGTTATAACTATACACGGTATATATTATATTAAATTTTTAATCTTATTAATTTAAATTTTCTAAAAACATAGAAATAAAGCTGTTGTTTTAAGCTTATTTAGTTAAATATATATAGTATGCCATTAAAATATATTACTTTTCGCATTTTGTAAATTAAATAGGCATTTCAATCTTGTAAAATCCAGAAATATAAAACTCTATTTTAGATTTATAAAATGATTCTTAAAATATTAAAGTTCTTCATTAACTATTACTTAATAGAATAAAAATACTTACTTATTGATGATAAATAAAAATCTATCTTAAATCATGAAAGCTTTGAATATTCAATTGATTCAAAACTAGTACCCTGGTGATATATTTAATATTATTCTCTTAGATAATAACAATAGCAGTTGCTTACCTTTTGACCATACTTTTCTGATTTATAAGTTAATGATATTTATATATAAGTATATAATTAAATAAATAAATAATAATAACTATTTTGTAAATTAATGTAATTAAAAAGACATATTTAAAGAAAAAAATTTCTTAAATTTATCAAATTAATTTTTTATTTATTTATTTTTAGCACACATTTAATTATTTTTTATTTGCTATTTTTTGATAATAGTGAATAGTATTTTTAAATTAATCATCCAAATAATTTTTTTTTTAATAAAAAATATCTTCCACAAGTTTATTTTATTTTATCTATTTACCTTTTTTCTCATTAAATTATTTTATATTCCATAACATTGAATTTATTTGAAAACATAAAAAATTCATAGATGATTGATTACAAAATTTATTATTTTAATGATTTAAGGCAATTAAAAAAAATTTATTTAATTAAAAATATTTCAATAATAAAATTACTAGTTTTATAAAATATATTTCTTATTTTTAACATTTATTTAAATATTTTAAAATTTAGAATTTCTTTTATTTAAAAACATTTGTGTAATTAATTAATTTATTGGTTTAATACTACTTAAAAAATGCGTAAATTTGATAAAGATAATATTACATAAACTTAGGATAATTTAATTTTATTTAATGTAGGTTTTATTTAAAAACTATGTAAAATACATATTCTAACAGGACATTTTTGCTTAGAATTACCATAATCCTTCATTCTGATTTAGAAATAGAGCACTTCTTTGATTAAATAATTAAAGATATTCAAAGAAATAAAAATGAATGTTTCAAAAGTAAATTTTTAGACTCTTCTGGGTCTTATTTTGAAAATTATACTCGATAAACATAATAAAAGTTGACTGAGTTAACTCTTTAAAAGAAATCTAGGTTTCTATAGTTATAATTATTTTATAAATTGTGGATTTTATAACAATAAGAGAACTGTCAATTATATATGATATAGTTTAGGTCACTGCCAAAATATGAAAATGCGATTGCTACTAAATTTTATCTAAAATAATTATTTTCCCTATATTCATTATTATTATAGGTATAATGAAAGCCCATCAATAAAAAATTTTAATTTCACTTCTTTTTGGTGAATATTAACTTAAATATATAATTTATAATGAATGAGGGAGGATTAGCAAATATGTAATTAATATCCCTTGCAAATTAAATGTTAAAATATAAAAATAATATTAATACAAAACAGAGACTACTTAAAATTTTATCACAATATTGCTCTATGAGAAATGAATATGGATTTATAATAAATTTTTTACATTTATTTCTAAAAAATGTATTTAACTAATTAATGAAAAACATTTGCAAATGAATTTGTAAAAAAGAAAAGTGAAGTGATTAAGTGAATGAATTAGTAATTGAGTGAGTGCTACTATCTATCTTAATATCTTAAGTAAAATACATAAGAAAAATTTATTCATTCAAATAAATAATTGTTAATTGTTTAGAATTTTAAATTACTTTCTATCATATCTTTTGTTAAATGCTTACTAATTTCAATAAATGACTAATTTTTAGTAAAAGGTTTACTAAATTAAATTATAAAACAAATTAATAACTCATTTTCTCAAATTTTTATAATTTTCTACATTTTTGTTTTACAAATATTTTAAAAGTAATTATTTATAATCTTAAAGTAATTTATTAATTTATCCATTTCATCATCCTACTCTTCTTTTTTCTTTTGTGCTTAATTATACTTTATAAATAATTGATTGTTTTAATTGCAACTAATAAATCATAACTTTATGAGATACTTATTAGAAACAGTATAAAAATATTGTTTTCTTTTGGTTTTGTTTCGAATTGTATTTTTGATCTAATATTTATTTCACATAGATTTTTGAATGGCTTTAGATTAATAAAAATTTAAATTGAATTTATATCAATAATGAATTTGCTTACAAAAGTAGAAAACAGATATTGAAATATTTATTTCTGTGATTTTTTTTTTTCATAATAAAAAAATGAAATTTATTCATAAAACAGTAAAAGGTATTTTTTTCCATAAAAAAATTCATCTTAATAATTTAATATGTTAATATTATTGTTTAGATTAGAAATTATGAAAAGAAATACTAAAACAAACAATTTATTTGTATTTAAATAATAAGAATATATATTAATTTTAGAGGTAATTCATCACAACTACAAGGGGTAAACTAAAGGAAGTTTCTATTTAATTTTATGGTTATAAGATTACTAAATTAAAATTTGGTAAAGATTTATTAAATGGGGAATATTAATTAAGATTTTAGAAAATTTACTTTAAATGCAATTGATATAGAAACCAGGTAACATTTTAAGGTAAAATAAGAGAGAAAAAACTTAATCTAATTTTGAAGTCAAACAAATTTGAATGATGAAAAAAAACTTATCAGATTTCAAATAATTGGTTAATGAATGATTTTTATTTAAATTACAAATTAAGGTCTTAGCTAAAATTAAAGTTTTTTTATAGAATATAATCTAAAATATAGTAAAATTTCTAATCATAGCATTAGTTTTATTTTATTTTTGAGTTTTAACTATCCAAAAATTGATGCAAAAATAACTTATATTTTACTATTTTATTAAATATTTTATTATAATAGTTAATACAATTATAACTTTTAATACTGTGTAAGATGAATAGAAATTAGATGAAATTTTTTATTTATTAATTTTATTATTTGTTATTGCGATTACTTCCAAAATTATTTTGATAATTTAAAAATATCTAAGCTCTATTATGAATTTTTCTCAAAATAAAATTATTTTTAAAAGTTTTAGAAACTAATATTATTATTTTTAAACATTATTTAATGAGTTAGTCTTGTAATTTTAAAGATTTTCATTTTATGATTTATTGTGGAATAATTATTTATCTTACTATTAATTCTTCAATGCTTGAATTATAATTAAAATTTTTTTCACGATTAAAAACGTTTGATGCTCATCTATTTTAATATATAAATAGATGAGCTCTTTTCTTTTAAAAAAACTTCTTAAGTAGGTAATTTATGTTAAAAATTGTGAATTATCTTAATTACTCAGCTGAAATAAAGTAACCTTATTTAGTTTGTTTGTTTTATTAATGAATTTGAATAACATCATATATTTTACAATATCTCTTTTTAGTTACAAAATTTTTAAAAATTATGTCTTTGATTATTTTAAATTCGTTAATTTTTTTGGTAAAAATCAAAAAAAGTAAATTAAAATTTCTGAAATAACTCATAAGGAATTGTATATTTTGTATTTTTATTTATCCACATCAATATATGAACCAATAAAATAAAATAATTCAATATTATTAATTTTGTTTTGAGTTCATATTACCCTATCTTATTTAAATCAATTTAAATGGCATTTCTTTATAAATTTCTATATTTTAAATAGCAAATAATAGAAATTAATATAAAACTTTAGAAGAAATATTGGTAAATAATAAATAAATCCCTATATTTCATTAAAAGCAATAGAAAATATAAAATATTATTTCAAACATTTGGCAATATCCATTAACTTTATTAATAAATATATATTATATTTAAGTTAATTCAGTTTTATTTTAATTATTTTTATTACTCTTTCTAAAGTAAACAAAAAAATTTGAGGTAATTAATTAAATTGTTAACAATCTAAAATATATTCACATAATTTTAGATAATTTAGGTGAAAAAATGATAATTTAGTTTCACCTATTTTATAAAGCAGATTTTTTAAAAATTATCCGTCGTTTCCTCGTTTGAAGTAATCACCTTTAAAATATGCAAGCGCTGACAATCTATAATTATTTTTTTATAATTAAATTACAAACATAAAATTACTAAAAAGCCAAAATTTGAAAAAAGCTAAAAGTGTAAATGGTGTTAAATAAATCATTAGCCTTTGTTTTTGCTATTATTTGCTGTAAAAATTATTTCTATTTTAATATTTTTAGAGTAAATATTATTTTAAATAGCATTTATTTCTCAAGTATTATCATTTGATGAAGGAATTAAATGTGAAGATAAACCAACTATCACAAATTTAAATTTCTAACCAAATACAAGTATGATTTGAATTTTTTTAAATTTAAAGTTGATTTTAATTTTATTAAAAATTAAAAAGGAAACTACACTTGTGTTGCAAACTTTTAGAATATTGTTAATGGAGATGTAGTACCAGGTCTCTCTGTTCCAGATTGTAATTAGTATTTTAACTATGCTGCTTCAGGACCTCTTCCAGTAATATTATAATATCTTGGTGGACCTAATTGTAACACAAAAACTACATTTACGATTAATTATGAGTACTTAATTTATAAATTTAAAATTTTTTTATAACTCTTTCAATCATTTGCTGTTTTATTTTAATACCAATTTAGGAATTAATTTTATTCAATTTAAAATAAGTTAAACTTCTAAAAACTATACTGATTAATACATCTAAAAGATCTATATATGGTATAATATCATTATACCTAATCACTCTACTCCTGTTTAACTATAGAATTCTGTAACCACAAACGGCAATTAAGCAGTCGCTAGTACACAATTTCCTTTATTTTTTGGTGGAAATCTGATGGGATAGTTAAAATTAACTATTAATGATATAAAATCAAAATCATTAAATCTTAAGTATCAAGTATACGATTAAAACTAAGTCATTTATCCTATTGGATATTAAGCATCCTGTGTAGTAATCTAATTTGTAAATTTATTTTTATTATTTAAATGATTAATTCAATTTTTTTCCCATAAAATATTTATTTATAAATACATTATTAAAGTGTCCTCTTTATTGCATCCAATGTGACGATAATAAATGTCTTGTTTGCTAAGATGGTTACTTTTTAGATGCAAGTAACACATGTGTTAAATGTAATCCTTCTTGCTAAGCTTGTGATTAATCAGGCTGTTTAACTTGCTAGTAGCCTTCGTACTATATTTCAGTTATTGCAAACAACTATTGCGTTTCTGATTGTGATACAAGTTTAGGCTTGTATGTAGAAACTTCATCTGTAACTAATTCTAAATACTGTAAAAAATGTAATACATTATGCTAAAGCTGTACTGATTCGACACTTAACTGTGTTTGTAAGCTTTATAGTTCTCAAGATTAATGTGTTAATACATGTTAAGCATCAGAAGTTTAGTTGCCTAATAATTCTGGATAATTAAAATGCTATCCATGTGATCTATCATGCTCAACATGTAATGGAATAGGAAAGACATAATGTACTAAATGCAATACAAACTATTTAAACTAAATATCAACATCTTTATGTGTTAAAACATGTGATTCAAGCGAATATCCAGATTATAATTTAAATTAATGTTTACCTTGTGATAAAACTTGCTTAACTTGCAATGGGCCTTCAAATAAACAATGTTTAAAATGCAAAGATGGTAACTTCTTCTTCAATGGAACATGTGTTTAGATTTGTCCGAATGGATATTAAAAGAATTTTTCTTCATTTAACTGTGATCTCTGTACTGATTACTAAAATCCTAGCTGCTATTCCTGCGATAATACCTGCTTTGATTGCATTTATCTATTTAAGTTTATTCATAGAATTTAACAGATTCTAATTATTATTAAATAGCAAATAAACTTATTTAGCAATACTAAAACATCTAAACAAGCAAACAAATAGCTAATTTATGTATCATTGGTGAAGATGTCAGTAAAAATAGTTAATACGATAACTCCCAAATAATTAGCAATTTAAAAACAAATTTAGTTGCAAATTTATAATAATAATCTCAAACCTTACCATAATCCTCTCTTATATCTACGTATTCAAATAAAGTAATTGCATAATTATAGCAATCAATCATTACTTAATCTGAATAGTAAAAAAATTCTATTTACAATCAAGTTTAGTCTATAATTATCAATACATAAAACAATAATGTAAACCAATTCTAGAAGAACAACGATTTACAAATATAGAATTTAGTCGATTCGTTTAAAATTTTGAATTCAACAGTAACTTAAAATACAAATAATTAATAGAGTGATTTCACGCAATATAATAATTTGACTAATTAGATAGGAAGTATCCAAGCAAATAGTTTACTTCCAAACCAGGGAGAGCTTATTTTGTAAGGAAATTTATCTACTCTTTTATCAGATTAAATTACTCAAAAAAACCTAAAACAATATGCTCTTCCATTCGATAGTGATAATTAATTAGCACCAAGCTCAGCAAACACCTTCGTGATTACAAGAAATACATATTAAGAAAATATTTATTAAAACACTTCTAGTTTTTAGGCTTATGTTTAAAAGCTAAATAACTTAAGTTCTAATTTTAACTACTCAAATAATTAAGTTATTACAACATCTATAAATAGTACTCAAACCAAAAATCCTATTACCAACGCTACCATAATGTACTAATTTAATAACGCTAAAGCAAGTAGTAAATACAATATGACTTGTTTGCAGTCAGCAGATTAAATTTGGACAAAATAAAATTGTAGTATAGTAAAATAAAATAGTAACAATTATGCCTGCTTTTGCTAAACATAAGCACCGACAACTGTAATTGAGGATTTAGATGATTTGTTTGTAAACAATAAAAATCTATAAACAGTTTTTAGTGATTAAGGCATTAAAAATTTGGAAAACTTTTCACAATTTTATTTATACATATCATTTTGGATGCTATCTATTTTCACCATAAACTAGATTATTTTATTTTTTGTTGGAAGATACTTAGATTTGAAGTCTTCAACTAGAATAAACTACAAAAATATAGAGGAAGAGCAAAAAAGTTTAGTAGATAAATATCAATAGCAAATTCAAAATTTAGAATAAAAAATGAAGGGTGAATAAAGCAAAGACTGTGAAAATGAAAACAAAAGTATTTAGTCTACATAAAAAGTATTTATTAACCAAAAGTAGGATTCTGGATAAAATTAAATGCAAACTTCGCCATTTTAAGCTCCTACTAACCCTCTAATTTAAGTTAGCAATAATTAAGAAGATGATTTCAACATGTAGAGATAAGACATGTAAGAATTAGTAGTTTAAGAAAGCGAATCAATAATGAGATCAAATAGAAAAAGTTAACTTTAAATTAAAAATTTTGGACAAAATAATAATTTACTTTAGATTAATTATTTTAAAAATGATTAAAATTAATAAGAGAAGGAACTATCAATAAAATTGGAAGAAGGTTATAAAGAATAAAATACCTAACAAGAAACTGCTTGTCAAATTAATTAAGTTCAAACTTAAGAATCTTGTTTAAAAGAAAAAGATTAAAGAAATTATTTACAAATATCTACAATAAAAAAGATAATAATTTTTCATTAATTTTTAGGAATCTTCTATATATTTGACAATATTATATCTAGATCAACAAGATTCACTCTTTTCTATATAAAGACCATTCACTAGTTAGCTATATCAATAATATTCGGTCAATATAAAGAAATTTCTTAATAAATTGCAGTAGCAATAGTCAATTCAATAATAATTGAATTCTTTTCTTTTTTAATTCAGTTAACGTATAAGAAGGGAAAATTAGGAAAAAGATTGTCAGTAATTTTTTCAGTATTAATAGTTTTATCTTATTACTATGCAATCCTATCAATATCTAGTGGCTAATCTCCAAGTGAATCTAACTAGTTCTTCCTAATGTTTATTTTAACCTTAATCTTGAATATAGTATTTGTTTAACTCTCATTGTCTTTTGTCATGATGTATGTTTCCATAAAATATATTAAAAATTAGCAAACTAAGGTGGTATCTAAGCTATTTAATCTTTTTTCGCTCAAATAAGTAATAGAAAACATTGATTTGTGAATTAATAACATATAAATTAATATAATATTAAATTAATTTGGAAAATAGTATTTAAATGTTTTTATATAATTAGTATTTAATTTTTTATAATTAAAATATATTTTTAATTTTTACTTTTTATTAAAATTTTAATTAATAATAAAATTAAAATAAAAAAAGCAAGCAAAGTATTGGAAATAAATATTTTTTAAACTATATTAATAATTTAAAAAAAGATTAAAGACGAATAAAATGAATATATTAATCAAAATAAATTAAAATATGAAAGATTATTTGAATAAAAATTGTGATTATTAATAAATTAAAAATGTTAATTTTAAAGATTATAAATAAGCAATTTCTGAAGCATAATAATAAGAAATAGAGAAAGAAAATATTGGGAGTAATTTTAAACTGATTATAGTACTATTTAATAATTTGAATAAGTTGATGTTTAAAATAAGGTGATTTTTTAAATAAGTTGATAAAATTTAATAGTAATTATTTTTCATATCACCTTGGTTAAAGATTTGAAATTAGAAATTCTTTGTACTATTTATTTCTATCTAAAGTAAATATAAATTAAATATATTGATTAATAAGGAAATAATTAAAGTTTTTATAGATAATGGAGGAAGAAATTGAACTGAAGATAAAGACTTTTTAGAATTTAAGTAAAATTATGATTCATATTAAAAGTATATCTTAAGGTAAGTACTTATATTAGTTTTACAATTTAAACAATGAAAGTCTTTTTAGAATAAGTAGAAGTAAGATGATGATAGATACGAAATAGAATAAATATAGTTGTTTGCAGCAAATTTCAGATTAAATTAGAAATTTTATTTTATATATGAAGGCAACGAATGAAAATCTCCATATCAATTTTTACAGGAAATGATAAGCCATCTAAGAATTCATATCAACTGTTTACCAAATCATTCTAACTGATATTAATTTTGAAAATAAAAATAAAAAAATTCAATTAAAAATAATAAAAAATAAGCAAATAAACAAGGGTACAAATTTTGTGGGAGTCTAATGTCAAAAAGCCAACCAGAATCGCTAAAATGGCAAAGATATCTTTAACCACAAGCTATAAACTAGTTGGGAAGCTCAAAATTGCTTATCTTTACAGAGAAAATAAGGTTCAGGAGGTCATGATAAGATATCGCTAGAGAAAAAAAAGAAGATTATTTCAAAAGCAAAAGACTCAAAAAAACATTAAACTATTCAATTTGTCTTAAAAATAAGATGTTTCTATGGCTTCTGTTAAGAGAAATCTGAATTAAAATGGGATCAGTAAAAAGCTGTAAAAAGATAAAAACTTAAATAACATATAAAAATAAAATAGGGTTAACTTTTGCTAATAATAATTGATGATTATGATGTTGATCAACTTATTTTTGCAGATTAAACCTCCTTTTGGCTGAATAAGTCCAGACCCTAGTATGGGTGAACTGGGAAAACTATTGATAATGAATATGATCTTAGATTATCTCAATCAAACCTCTATTCTTGTAAACTACACGTATGGTGGCTATATCTTTACATAGTACCATATCAATAGAAAATTGGACAGAAAATATGATAAAAGAAATTTATAAAAATATACTGAAGAAAAGGAGAAAAGAAATGCAGAATTTCTATCCTTATGGCTATGTTCTTATTTTGGATAATGATCTGAAGCACAATGCAAATACAATTCTAGATTATATTTAAGTATATTTTTTCCTACAAATTTTTACTTCATTACTCTCATGATATTAATCCAATAGAATTAATATGGAGTTTGCTGAAATAAAAAGTGAACTTTGAATCTCCAACTACAATAGAAAATCTTAAAAAATTAATTTGAAAATACTGGAGATAAATTCATATTAAGATGTTGAGTTCTTATATAAAATCCATAAAGAATATGTGCTATGAATAATTGAAAATAATGATTTTATATGTTTATGTGTGAGTAAAGAAACCATTTATTCTTTCAAATTAATATATATAATATTTATTTCTCAAATTTGCTGCAAACAGCAATATAATTAATAGAATAGAAAACGAAAGAACTGATTTTAAAAAAGGAAAGATTGATAAGATGAATAAAATTAGGTAACTTAGTAAATTTCAGAAACTGAAAACATGAAAAGTGTTCTCAAGCAAAATGCAGATGTAAAAAAATAATGGCTAAACGAAGATATAGAAAGGAAGAAGTATTATATCTCAAGTGCTGGATGAATTCTTGATAGGATCAACTTAATAAATAATGATTGACTTTAAAAATAAATAATAAGATAAATTAATATCTAGGAATTATGACATTGATCATATAATTAAATTTGTTTAATTAGGTATCACAAGATATTTACAAGGTAAAAATATTATCGATTTTTCAAAAGAAAATCATGCTTGTGTTAAAACCTTTAACAATAAAAAAAAAATCATATTCTTTAGGATTTTGCATCTCATTATCAAGTATAAAGCTGAAATCTACAAATATTTGACCAGCATTAAGAGTTAAAAAATAATTTGATAAAATACCCAAAAATATTAAAATCTTTTTTGGAGGAGAAGGTTCTTATAGTTGATGATTTTGGGAATTTTAGAGATGAATTGTTGGTGGTGTGATTGGTGGGATAGAGATAATTGGGTTGTGTTGCGATTGGATTGGAGATTATTTGGAAATTTTTTGATGACGAGTGATGGGGCTGAAAAGATGGTGAAATATTTATATTGGGATATAGTTCACATATTGTTATATATTACTTTAACTCCATTTCTTTCTAGTGAATAATATAACTGAAATATAAAATATTTTTTGAAAGTGGATAAATAAATATTTAATTCATATGCTTTCAATATTAAATGTTAAAATATAGCAGCAATATTATTCATACAATGAATACTTAAAATTTAATAATAATATTTCAAGAATCTAAGAGAAATTAATATGGATTTTTTATAAATTTTTTTACATTAATTTTTTAAAAATGTATATGACTATTTGATGAAAAACATTTGCATTGCAAATGAATTTTTTAAAAGGAAAAGTGAATTGACTTAGTGAGTGAAAAAGTGCTACTATCCTCTTAATATCATAAGTATTATACAAAAAAATTTTGTTCTTTTAAAAAGTTGTTAATTGTTTAGAATTTTAAATCACTTTTTATCATATGTTTTCCTTTATTATATGATAAATAATTTCAATAAATGACTAATGAATTTTTTTAAAAAAGGTTAACTAGCTAAATTATAAAACAACCTAAAAACCTTTTTTCTTAATTTTTTGTTATTTTCAATCATTTTTGTTTTAAAAATAATTTAACTGTAATTGTTTTTAATCTTAAAGTAAGTTATTAATCCATTTCATCATTCTAATATTCATTTTTCTTGTATACTTAATTATACTTTATAAACAAAAGATTCATTATTTTAGTTGCAACTAAAAAATCAGATACTTAATAGAAATAGAGTCTTTATAAAACAAGTTGTTTTGTTTCAATTTGTATTTTGATCTAATATTTATTCTATATACATTTTGGAATAGCATTTTTAGATTAAAAGAAAATTTAAATTGAATTTTATTCTATCATTACTTTGCTAATATAAATAGAAAGCAGAAATTGAAATATTTTTTTCTGTCATTAATTTTTTCATAATAAAAAAATGAATATTATTTATCAAACAGTAATAGGTATTTTTTTGTTAAAATAGCCATCTTAATATTTTAATATGGTAATATTGTTAATAATATAAAAGCAAACAATTTACTTGTATTTAAATAATAATAATATTAATTTTGAGTAATTGATCACAACTGGAAGAGGTAAACAAAAGGAAGTTTCTATTTAATTATATGATCGTAAGATTGTTTATATAAAATATAACTAAAGATTATTAAACAGCTAACGGATGGATGAATTAAGATTTTAGAAAATTTACTTTTAAAAATAGAAGCAAAGTAACATTTAAGATAAAGAGAGAAAAAAAAAGTTAATTTTGAAATCAAACAAATTTGATAAATTACAAATCAATTATTAGATTTTAAATAATTGATTAATGAAGGATTTTATTTAAATAATAAATTGAGGTCTTACCTAAAACTAGATTTTTTTATAGAATACAATTTAAAAACTAGTGAAATTTCTAGTCATTGTATTAGTTTTATTTTATATTAGAGCTTGAGCTTTACAATAATTGATGGATTGATAAGACATATTTCTAATTTTGTATTAAAATTCCGCTGATTTTTTACATCATTTCAGTAGAATTTCAATAAATTTTAATTAAAAATTGAATGCTAAGTAGTCCTCTGATAACTTCCAAAATTATTTTGATAATGAATGAATTATCTAAACCCAGTTATACATTTTCCTCAAAATAAAATTACATTTAAAAGTTTTAAAAACTAATATTATTATCTTCAAGCATTATTTAATGAGTTAATCTTGTAATTTTAATGATTGTCATATTATCCTTTATTCTAAAATAACTATTTATCTTTCTATCAATTTTTCAATGCTTTTATCGTAACTAAAATTTTTTTTGTGACAAAAAGTGATTGGTGATGATCAATTTTTAAAAATAGATGAAATTTTTAATTTTTAAAAAACTTGTTAAGAATTTAATTTGTGATAAATTTTTTTTTTTTTTTTCGAATAATCTTAATTATCTAAGCTAAAATAAAGTGGCTGCATTTATTTTGTTGCTTTATAATTGAATTTGAATAATATAGTATATTTTTTTAATCACTTTTATTTAAATATAAGAAGAAAGTTAAAAAGTTTTAAAAAATTACTTTTTTTTATCATATATTAGTAAAGTTTTATGGTAAAAATCATAAAGAGTAAATTATAATTTCTTAAATAATTCATAGGGAATAGTGTAATTGTATTTTTATTTTATCCATATCAATTCATGAATCAGAGAAAATAATAATTGAGTGTAATAACATGTTTTGAGTTAATATTAAGCAAACCTATTTAAATCAATTTAAATGGCATTTCTTGATACCTTTCTAAATTTTAAATAACAAATAATAGAAAATTAAAGAGTTAAATAAAAACTGATTGATATAAAACTTTCGCTAAAATATTCATAAACAATAAATAAAGCCCTACATTTCATAAAAAACAATAGAAACTGTAATACACTATTTCAAACAATTAACAATACTGGCTAACTTTATTAATGAATGTGTAGTTAATTCAAATTTATTTTAATTATTTGTATTACTCCTTCTAAAGTAAACAAAAAAATTAGAGGCAATTAAATGATTAATTAATAATTAAAAAAATTATAATCCATAATTTTACATAGTTTTTGAGAAAAAAGATAATTTGATTTCTTGTATTTTATATGGCAAATTTAAAAAAATTATCCTCCATTCGAACTAAATATTCTTTAAAAGATAAGCAAGTGCTGTCAATCAATAGTTATTTTATTATAATTAAATTACAAAAACAAAATAACTAGAAAGCGAAATTTTTAAAAAAAACAAAAATCTTAAATGGTTTTAATAAAATCTTCAACTTTTATTTTTGCTCTCATTTGCAGTAAAATTTCTAAATCTTTAATATATTTAAATTAAAATTATTTTAAATAGCGTTTGTTTCTCGTGTGAAATCATATACTTTAGCAATGGATTGTGGAAATTAATAAATTTTAGCAAGCTTTCATTTCTAACCATATACTAGTAAGATTTAAATGTTTCTAAAATTTTTAAGTTGTCTTTAATGTTTTAAAAATAAAAAAGGATAATACACTTGTGTGGCAAATTTTATGAATATTGCTTAAGGAGATGTTTTACCAGATGTTTCTACTCCAGATTGCTACTAGTATTTTACAAAATAGACTACAGGGATGTTTAAATCAACTTGGCAATATCTTACTGGACCTAATTGCCATTCAGGAACTACATTAACATTTTTTTATAAGTACCTTATTTATAAATATTAAAATACATTCTATAATATTCAATCATTAGTTATTTTATTTTAATACCAATTTATGTTTTAATTTAAAAAAAGTTAAACTACTGCAGGCTATACTAACTTGTACATATAAAAGATTTATATATGGTTAACTATATATTTATTTGATTAATCTAGTACTATTATTTAATAAAATACTATAACTATAAACGGAAATTAAACAGAAGATACTATATAATTTGATACAGGTAAAAGTCTTAACGATCTGAGAGCAATATATACAAAAACTATTTATGACATAAAATCAAAGTAATTAAATCTTTAGTTTAAAATATACGATAAAAACTAAGCCATTTATCCTTTTGGATTTGCAGGATCTAATGTTTTACTCTAATTTGTAAATTTATTTTTATTATTTAAATGATTAATTCAATTTTTTCCCAAAAAATATTTATTTATAAATTTATAAAAAAAGTGTCCTCTTTATTGTCTCCAATGTGACGATAATAGTTGTCTGGTTTGCTCAGATGGTTACATATTAAATGCAAGTAATACATGTGTTAGATGCACTCCTTCATGCTAAACTTGTGATTAATCTGGCTGTTTAACTTGCTAATAGCCTTCATACTATATTTCAGTTCTTGCGAACAACTTATGCGTTTCTGATTGTGATACAAGTTTAGGCTTGTATATAGAAACCTCACCTACAACTAATTCTAAATATTGCAAAAAATGTAATGCGTTATGCTAGAGCTGTACTGACTCTACACTTAACTGTGTTTGTAAACTCTATAGTTCTCAGGATTAATGTGTTAATACATGTTAAGCATCAGAAGTGTAATTACCTAATAACTCTGGACAGTCAAAATGTTACCCATGTGATTCATCATGCTCAACATGTAATGGAACAGACAAGACACAATGTACTGCTTGCAATACAAACTATTTAAAATAAATATCAACTTCTTTATGTGTTAAATAATGCGATCCAAGCGAATATCCTGATTATAATTTAAATTAATGCTTACCTTGCGATAAAACGTGCTTAACCTGCAATGGGCCTTCAAATAAGCAATGCTTAAAATGTAAAGATAGCAGCTTTTTCTTCAATGGAGCATGTGTTTAGATTTGTCCGAATGGATATTAAAAGAATTTTTCTTCTTTAAATTGTGATCTATGTACTGATTACTAAAATCCTAGCTGCTATTCCTGCGACAATTCCTGCTTTGAATGTACTCCTTCTTTAGCTACTTCAAATTAATGTACAAGTTGCTATAGTCAAACTAGAAAGTTTGATTCTAATTTATGTAAATGCTTGAATCAAAAAGATCAAAGAAATATATTTTATCACTGTAGCTACTAAGATATAGCTGTCCTGGATATGTTTCTTAGTGGGAATATTCCTTAGCTAATTATTGACTTTGGGTCTCCAATAAAGAGCTTAGGTACTAATATTAGCTCTCCTCAAGATTTATGCAAGTATGTTTTTGATTAAAATACTATGAAAAAAATTGGGAACAATTCTAGCTGTTCTCTTCAGGGAAACCAAATTTAAGTTGATTTAGGTAAACATTTGTTGAATTTATTTTACTTTCTGTCAAAATTGATTTTTAAAAATATTTTAATGGATAAGATAATATCCATTTATAAAAAATACTTAAATCATTCATCGAAAAAAATACCTACCATGATTATTTAAATTTAGGTATTGAATTTTATATAGAGTGATTATTTTTAAAAATATTATTTTCAAAGTTAAAATGAAATTTAAAATAATATTAAAGAATTTTAAATTGAAAAATTTACATATAATATAAAATATGATTTATAATCTCTTTATTAAAAAATTATATTTAGATTAATCATCAACAATTATGGAGAATGATCAAATTAATTTTTAATAGGGTACATTATAATTTACTGATTATAATATGCCAATTACATAGTTCTTCAGAAATAAAGTTAAATAATATCCTTATGGAAAACCTTAAGTCTTGTTTTTCTATGACTCAACATAAAATACTTGTAATCCTTTCAATATCACCTTGAATAAAATTGTGAGTGATGCTGGAAGAGGGCTTTTAAATTTTAGTTGGAGCTTAGTAGAAGTAACAGGTAATTTAAACAGTAGCTAACTTTAAGCAATCAACTAAGCTATATTACAAAATAACTAACTTAATAATACTTCTTTGGTATTAAGTCCAGGAATATTTCCTTCAAATCAAAATATAACAATAAAATTCAGTTATACATTAAAGGTTAATTATACAAGCTCTCAAGTAATTTAAATCTTCTATAAGAAAGAAAAAATAATTAGAATAAGCTATTTATAGTCAATTTACCCTCCAATATATAGGTAAATGATCATTTAATTTAAATTTTCTCTCTAAATTATTTTTATTGTTATAGGTATATGGCTTTAAGCTTCTATTTTTCATTTGTTACAGAAATCTGTGATTAAGGATAAGTTTTTTAATTTTATGATCCTGTAGATTTGTAAATTACTTCTTCTGATCTTACATCGATATAATAAAGTATTTAGAACTATAGTCAATCAACATTTGACTTAAACATCTCTCCTTACTCTTTACCCTCTAATTAGACTTTTAATTTTATGGTAAATTCTACTTAGAATAATTTCTAAATAATATTATGCATTTTTTAAAAATTTTACTAATATTTTATTTTCAAAAAAATAAATAATAATTTAATTTATAATTTACATTTTGGCTTTTCTTAAGCTTAACTTTTATAAATGTATTGAAAATTAAAAATGAATTATTAATACTTAAGATTTTTATTTAAATTATTAGTTTTAACTAAGCTTAACATCAGATAACAGTATAAAAACAATATAAAATGTATCGGTTGATATTTTGATCACCAAATTATTTGTAATGCTTTAAGGTGGAAGTGATTAAATTGCTAGCTATTAAAGACCTTTTAATTTAAACTCAACATCAAGAGATTATGAAGTCTAAAGTCCAACAGCAGATTAATCTATCACTTTTAATTGGATTTGCTAAAGTCTCGGAAGCTCTGATTAAAATTGCTATGATTATAACAAATAAAAAATAATCCTTTAATAAGGCTAGAGTAGTATTAGTATTCCAGCCAGTACATTTCCTCCATACACAGTTGTCTAACTCTCTGTTTAAGTTTCAAAAGACACCAGAAAATCTAGCGATATTGCATTTTGCTATTTTTCAGAGCTAGATTTACCACCTTTGCTAGTGTTAACTCCAATTTAATAGACAGATCAAAAATTTAATCTGAATGAAGATCTAGAATTCTCACTTATATACAGTTCTTAAGTTTCTTCTGATATTTTATCTTATGCAGGAGCTCTCTTATATAAAAATAATGTTGTTGGAGCTATCAAATTTGATTACTACAAAGTCAGATTTAGAATATGGAATTATTTTAAGTAAATTGACCCTACATAAAGTACTATTTAGGTACGTTTTTCAGTTTACAATCCATCATATGTCATGCCTAGTGTTTCAACTATAACAATTTAAATAAATATTCCTCCTTAAAATTGCATTTTAAAAGTAAATCCTTAACAAGGTATAGCTCTTGAAACTAATTTTTCCATTGAATTTTCGAATTGTTCAGATGAAGATACTCCATTAAAATACTAGTTCTTTTATTATAACACTATTGATGATTTAAACTCAGAAATTGATTAGCCTTGGAATATAGTTAGAAGATAATTGAATGACTAAAGCATGAGTAATATTCTTTAAACAATTTTACCATAAGGTAATTTAATCATAATGAGCTAAGTAATTGATTCTAGACTTGGTGTTACTAATAGCACTTTGTCTATTTAAGTTTATTCATAGAATTTAACAGATTCTAATTATTATTAAATGGCAAATAAACTTATATAACAAAACTAAAATAGCTAAACAAGCAATCAAATAGCTAATTTATGTATCATTGGTGAAGATGTCAGTAAAAATAGTTAATACGATAACTCCCAAATAATTAGCAATTTAAAAACAAATTTAGTTGCAAATTTATAATAATAATCTCAAACCTTACCATAATCTTCTCTTATATCTACGTATTCAAATAAAGTAATTGCATAATTATAACAATCAATCATTACTTAATCTGACTAGTAAAAAAATTCTATTTACAATCAAGTTTAGTCTATAATTAGCAATACATAAAACAATAATGTAAACCAATTCTAGAAGAACAACGATTTACAAATATAGAATTTAGTCGATTCGTTTAAAATTTTGAATTCAACAGTAACTTAAAATACAAATAATTAATAGAGTGATTTCACGCAATATAATAATTTGACTAATTAAATAGGAAGTATTCTATCAAATAGTATCCTCCCAAACCAGGGAGAGCTTATTTTGTAAGGAAATTTATCTACTCTTTTATCAGATTAAATTACTCAAAAAAACCTAAAACAATATGCTCTTCCATTCGATAGTGATAATTAATTAGCACCAAGCTCAGCAAACACCTTCGTGATTACAAGAAATACATATTAAGAAAATATTTATTAAAATACTTCTAGTTTTTAGGCTTATGTTTAAAAATTAAATAACTTAAGTTCTAATTTTAACTACTCAAATAATTAAGTTATTACAACATCTATAAATAGTACTCAAACCAAAAATCCTATTACCAACTCTACTATAATGTACTAATTTAATAACGCCAAAGCAAGCAGTAAATACAATATGACATGTTTACAGTCAGCAGATTAAATTTGGACAAAATAAAATTGTAGTATATTAAAATAAAATAGTAATAATTATGCCTGCTTTTGCTAAAAATAAGCACCGACAACTGTAATTGAGGATTTAGATGATTTATTTGTAAAAAATAAAAATCTATAAACAGTTTTTAGTGATTAAGGCATTAAAAATTTGGAAAACTTTTCACAATTTTATTTATATATATCATTTTGGATGCTATCTATTTTCACCATCAATTAGATTGTATTGTTTTTTGTTGGAAGATACTTAGATTAGAAGACTATTACTAGAATAAATAACAAAAATAACGAAGAAGAGCAAAAAAGTTTGGTAGATAAATATCAATAGTAAATTAAAAATTTAGAGTAAAAAATAAGGGGTGAGTAAAGCAAAGACTGCGAAAGCGAAAACAAAAGTATTTAATCTACATAAAAAGTATTTATTAACCAAAAATCGAATTCTGGATAAAATTAAATTCTAACATCACCATTTTAAGCTCCTACTAACCCTCTAATTTAAGTTAGCAATAATTAAGAAGATGATTTCAACATGTAAAAATAAAACATATAAGAATTAGTGATTTAAGATAGTGAATCAATAATGAGATCAATTAGAAAAAGTTAACTTTAAATTAAAAATTAAGGACAAAATAATAATTTACTTTAGATTAATTATTTAAAAAATGATTAAAATTAATAAGAGAAAGAACTCTCTATAAAATTAGAAGAATGTTAAGAATAAAAAACCTAACAAGAAACTGCTTGTCAAATCAATGAGGTTCAAACTAAAGAATCTTGTTTAAAAGAAAAAGATTAAAGAAATTATTTACAAATATCGACAATAAAAAAGATAATCATTTTCCATTAATTTTTAGGAATCTTCTATATATTTGACAATATTATATCTAGATCAACAAGATTCACTCTTTTCTATATAAAGATCATTCACTAGATAGCTATATCAATCATATTCGGTTAATATAAAGAAATTTCTTAATAAATTGTAGTAGCAATAGTAAATTCAATAATAATTGAATTATTTTCTCTTTTAATCCAGTTAACCTACAAAAAGGGCAAACTAGGAAAAAGATTGTCAGTAATATTTTCAGTATTAATAGTTTTATCATATTACTATGTAATCCTATCAATATCTAGTGGCTAATCTCCAGGCGAGTCTAACTAGTTCTTCTTAATGTTTATTTTGACTTTAATCTTGAATTTAGTATTTGTTTAACTCTTATTGTCTTTTGTTATGATGCAAGTCTCACTAAAATATATTAAAAATTAGAGAACTAAGCTGGTATCTAAGCTATTTAATATTTTTTCGCTCAAATAAGTAATAGAAAATATAGATTAATGAATTAATAACGTCTAATGCATATTATATAAAGAATAACCCAATTATTATACATAGTTGAGAATATATTATAATCTGAATTAATTTATTTTTTTTTTGCTTAAATTAAATTTATTTTTGTATTAAATTTAATCAAAATTTATCAGATGCTTATGATCAAAATTTAAAAAGATTAAAATTAATTTATCAAATAAGTCTGGCAATATATAGTGTTTATATCATTTATTTATGGTGAGACAGTTTTTGCTCATATTAACTTTGAAGTAATTATAAACAAAATAAATTAAAATAACAATAGTCACTTTCATTTTTTATCTGTTTGAATAACTTTTAAAACAAAATAAAAATATCTACTAAAAAAATAAATTATTTATTGAAGACTGAGATGATTTTTTTGAGGGAATATAATAATCTTAAATATTTTATTTTTATTTTATAGAAATTAGGTAATTTGAAAATAATAAAAAAAAGGATACATTTGATAATAAATATAATTAAATAAACTATTATTTCTTTTTACAGTTTAGATTTATTTTATATGACATATTTCATTCAAATATTTTATCTTAATAAAATTTAATACAGATTATTTTATAAATTTTACATGCTAAATCCATTATTAGGTTAATAAACTCTATAATTTTATTTAAAATAATAAATTTTTTATGATCAAGAATTTCTTTACTCTGAATTTATTAATCCGAGATAAACTATTGATGCAAGATAGATTAATTTTTTATTGGTATTGTATCAATTTGGAAATCCTACTTCATAGTTAAGCCCTTCACTTCTGCATTTCATCTTATATAATAAGCTTGTTTTATTATTATCAGAATCTTAAACATTATAAACAACTTAGCTGCAAGATTAGCAGAATGGACTATTAAATTGGATCTAATTAATGTATGAACTATGGACTTTAATTGATTGCATACATCCTTTTTATATTTAGCCAATTACTTGCATATTTTCATTATTCTTGATTTATATTTCGCAAGTTCCAAAAGAGCAACATGAGTAATTTTCATTGAGTACTAAGAAAGGTTCTACTTTTTAATGATTTTCTGTTTTAGCTCTGATTTCAATCTTTAATCTACTATCAGTGCTTTTACAAGCGCATTTTTAATATTTCAAAACTGCTTGAAAGATAGGGGGTGTAAAGTTATCTAACCTTTTTCCTTATGCATCAGCTTCATAGATATCAAAAACAGTATTTACTGTCCAAGAGAAGGATTTGCATGGTAAGAAACTTTCTTGAACATTTATCCCTTTAATATTATCTAACCTAGCCACTATTTTATTAAAATCAGAAAGAGATTCGATTTGTTCACTGTAAGTATGAATCTTCAAATCTTTAGGCTTTTGGTTTTCTGATTTTTGAGAAGAAGACTCTTTTTCGTTTTATTTAATAGATTAGTTTTAGGTATTCATCTTTTATTAAAAAGAGTAATTTATTTTTAAATAATTTATTTAATTAAGTTGAAAAATTAATTTTTGCCTTCACTTTTTAATTTCAAGATAAAAATAGAAAAAAATTAAAGCTTGAAAATGTTATTGATTGTTATTTGAAATTACTATCTATCCTAATTTTTAAACCACTTTTTAAAAAAATACTAAAAACATATTGATTTAAAATTGTGTCCAATATTTCATCATTTATTTGAAATAAAATGAAGCAGCTGAATAAAAATTCTATAGAAATCATAATTAAAAAATTACAAAAAAAACATTATTTAAAAAAAAAATATCATTTTAAATATCAAAATATCAAAAAAAATAATTTTAATTTTTAATTTGATAATTATTTAATATAATTTTAAGAAAAGATATTTTGAAAATGACGAAATAGATGATAAATTTTAGATGATAATAGAAATAAGAAATAAAAAGAATTGAGGTTAAAAGCAGTAGATAGCAATCTATTTCAAGAATATTATAATTTATTAACAGTGTTTTGAATTTATTTAAAATCATCCACACACATATCTTTTATTTATTAACTAAAATATAATTATAAAAAGAAAAATACAATTACTGTCTTTCTATTTTAATTCACTGTTTTTTCTTTGTCAATTAAATCCAATTTTAAACATCAAAATATCAAAAAAATTATTTATTTTTTTATTTGATAATTATTAAATATAATTTTACTATAAAATATTTTGAAAATAATGGAATAAATGATGATTTTTGGATAGACAATAAAAATAAGAAAAAAAAGTTATTGAGGTTAAAAGCAGTAGATAAATAGATAGATAGTAATCTATTTCAAGAATATCATAATTTCTAACTGTATTTTGAATTTTATTAAAATCAACCACACACATATCTTTAATTAAAATATGATTATATAAAAGAAAAATACAATTACTGTCTTTCTATTTTATTTCACTGTTTTTTTTGTTGTTAATTAAGTCAAGTCATTCATTATTAAATTAGAATAGAAAAATTAAAATTACTAAATTTTACAATAAAGTTTATCCAAAAATTTAAATCAATTTTAAAGGGATTTCAATTATCTAAACATTTAGCGTTTGAAAATATTTTATAAAAAAAAATATTGTTTTTTTTAGATTATTGAGAATTTAAATGTTATTTTTATATGTGGAGTTTTATTTAAATTGGTTGAAATTCTTAAATTGTTCAACAAATATATACTTACTGGTAACGTTATATATTAAAGAGAGATATAAATTTAATGAAGTTATTATTTTTTATATAATAGCAATTATTTTCAGAGATAATCTTTTTTGATATTTAAAGATTATTTTTTAGAAGAAATAGAGTCAAAACTCTTCAAATAAAACCTTCCTCGTCATCATAGCAATATTCTTGTTCAAGTTGGTCATTCTCTTTTTCTTGAGCATGAAGTGATGAGTAATCAAGAGAGTATTTGAGATAAGCACCAACTCCTTAAAAGCTTTTAGAAAACTAAACGCCTTACTAAGTCTTATCACTTACAAAAACAATTTCTAAATCTTAACTAAATGAAGAAATATTTTCAACAATCCATTCGTTGATGTTTTATTGTGAGTATACTTGTAATTAGTTTTTCTTATTGTTGGCTTCTTAGTCACTAGTCTTTGAAATAGAGTCTTAGAGTGCTTTCACTTGTGATGGCATTAAGTATTAGATAGTTTCTTCTTGAGTTTTAGAGTTATAAACTGTAACTCTTTGAAGTTCTGAATCCTAGCAGAGAATTAGCTTTTTAACATTTCCTTCTTCTAAAGCTCGAACAGTTAGCTCTCCTCCATAAACAACTTTGCTTGTTTCAAGACTGAAATTAGCGAAAAAGTCACTGAGGAGATTCATCTCTTAAAAGAGTTAGTCTAACTTTAACATCTCGGTACTCATTTAAAGAGCCTACTTTAGTCCTGCTTAACCACTATAACTTACATCATAGCTAGCAACTATTTTGTTCTCTATGCAAGGACATAACTGCTAAAGCTCTTTTTGCACTTTATCTTTGATATCACTCATTCCACAAAGCACTATTCCACTAAGATTAGTTTATGTTCCATTCTCATTAGCATAGCATCTTCTCATAGCGTCAGCTATATTCTTAACTAATCTTTCTCTCGCAGCATCGCAAAGCCTAGAAAATCTTAAAGACGACTAACCACCTTTGTTATGTTTATTAGGAAGATCCTCTTATTTACTTTAGAGGATTTAAATATCAAAGCCGCAGACTGTAGCTATCAGATATCCATGTCCGTCTGCGACAACAAAACCATATGTTGGTTAGTCCTTAAGCATATATTCAAGGTCATCTAGATAAAATATGGTATTGCAAGAATAGCGGAAAGACTGAACTGCCTTTGGAGGATCTAGAATTTCGATCAAAAGACGCTTAGAATCTAGAGAATCAGCACAAAAGAAAATCATACCTTTAGGATACTTTTTGTGAAGGTTGAAATTCTTCAAACGTTCACGGAGCATTGATAAAGCACTCTGCACAGATTTACGATTTTGGGTATTTTTAATAGAGGCTGCACCACTTTCTTCTTACTGTAAATAATTGACAACTTCATATAATTTCTTTCTCTCAGGAATATATAATGAAACACAGCTTGTTTACTCTCCTCGCATGTTTCGGAGCATTTACAATTGTTTTCTTAATTAGTATTAAGAAATTTACAATCGCTTCTACTCCTCAGCTTATTTGCTCATGCAGGAGCCGCTGCTTTAATCCATTTTAGTCCCTCGATCTTACAGTTTCTAAAGCGGATTTTAAAACGGTGGCTTCTACTCCATTTCCTTGCTGAAAATTCTAAGAGAATATTCAAATATTATTTGTTGATCCTTAAGATTTCGACCTTTCGGTATTTTGAATTTTGTATTTTTAGGTAAAAGTTTCCTTCTACTTAGTTTTTATTTAATGATTTATTTATTTATTTAATTTATCATAATTCTTTGACTAGTACTTAATACAGATTATAATAATTCTTCTCACTCAATTAAATTTCTGATATGATTTAAAAAGTGTTTATTCATTTCCATTCTAATTTGATCAAAAAATTTTTAAACATGTAATCTATTTTACTATTAAAAATAAATTAATTCAAAATATTTATTGAAATAGGAGATAATTTTTTTAAAAAAAGCAACAAATATTTTAAATTAAATTTTTCTACATCTATTCCAAGTGTTTATAATCCATCTACTAAGATATTTATCTATTTTAAAATGTATTTAAGTATTTTCATTTTTTAATATAAAGTTAAATTATATAGAATATCAGTTAACATTTCTTTAATTATCTTAGTAATAAAACCATTTTCTTAAAATAAAAAAAAATAAAATGTTAACTTTTTAGTTCATTCATTTATTTAAATAAGGACTGAAAGCAAAAAATATTTAAAATAAAATTATATTCTTGATTAGTAAATCTAAGTTTAATTTTTAAATAAAAATAAAATAAAATTATTTGTTCATAAAAAATTAAAATTTATTTTAAAGTATTTGAAAGTCATCAAAATTTGTATTATTTTTTTTAATTTTTTGTTAATATTAAATAATATTTTTTTATTTTGAGATTAATTTTAATTAATTTTATGTGGTAAATATTGAAACAAAAGCATAATATATAAATTTAAGTAGAAGATAAAAATTTAGAATTAATAATCATAATAACTCTTTTCATTTGCTATTTAATTGGTAAATTTAATTAATTTAAATATTTTTTGTTAAAAATCTCTTTTTATTTTAATAAGAGAGAATAGGAAAATGATGTAAAAATATTACTTAAAAACAAATAATCTTTCCAAATTATGAATAATAATTAGATAGGTAATAAAATAGTTAATTTCAAAATCTAAGGTTTCTAAAAGTAACTCAATTTACATAATTGATATAAAGTTTAATCTTCCTATTAAATATAATAAAAAAGTTTGAGTCATAGTAAAATATTATTTGAATAAAGAATGATTAGTCTCGGTAATTAAAATAAGGAGTTAGAATTAAATAAAGTAGTTAATAAAAATGCATCATTTTTTGATGAGAATCATTTGAAGCAAGATCAGAGAGAAGAAGGTAATTAATAAATTTTTTAATAAATACTTATTCGGCGCAAACTAATAAGATAAATGATAAATAAAATATGAAATGATTAAGACATAATTGCTATTTATATTATTTAGCATTTAATTGAAACACTTAAATGTAAAATTAAAATATTTTTTTTTAGATGAGGTGATGAAAATAGAAGAAAATACTTAGGTTATAAGAAATTTCTAAGACATTAATAATAGAAAAAACAATAGACAGGTTTAAACAGAATTAAAAGATAGGATATATTCTCTTTTCTTAATTAAGATCATGGATCTACATATCTTTGATTAAGTGTTATCTTTCTTGGACATAGATAAGCTTAATTAATTTGCTAATATGAGCAATCAAATTAGAATTAGAGTTAAGAAATATTTTTTGTGCAATACCTTTTAAAAGCAAATAAAATGTTTTGAAAAACAAAAAAAAACTGCACTTTATGAAACCATGCTATTTCATATGAAAAATAAGATGAAATTTTATTATCAAAGTGAAAAATTTTAAGAGAAAGAGCTTTTATAACTAAATGTATAGGATCATTTACTTCAATTAACAATTCTTTTTAATGATCTGATTGATCAAGGAGCTTAAATTAAGGATATAAGTGAAGTAATTCCTTATGTAAAATAAAGAGGAGTTAGAGAAAGCTTTTCGGATGTGTTTAATTTAGAAGAATGTTCATATTCTTCGTAAGTCAACCAGAAAAACACATTAGTAGAGCTTACTTAAAGCAAAAACTTAAGTTAAAAATTAAATTTGTTTCTATCAATTTTGTAGGAACAAAGAGCAATTAGAACTGTCTTCAAATTTGATGAAGATGAAATTGGTGAAAGAGAAATGAAAAGCTAAATTATTAGATATATAAACTGGAAAGGATTTGAAAGAGTAAGACCAATAGTTGTCAAACGAATTTAAGGTGAGAAATTCAGGAAAGAAAATAACATTTATGCGTTTTTAAATAAGAATAATTTAAATCGTATTCTCCCATTTTTATCTGTAAAAGAAATTATTAGATTTGCTTAAACATCTAAAAAAATTAATTGGATTATTTCTTTAAATATCGAAAATTAATTACACCAATTAATATAAAAAAAATAAGAAAAGATTTAAGAGTTAAACATAGATGAATCTTTAATTTAATAAGCAGAGCAGTTTTCTAGCTATCTTATTTTAAACAATAGAATTTAAGAATGCCTTTAGTTTGAAGTTGTCTTAATCTCTAATCTATAAGCAATTGTATAAATATTGAATTATCTTACTGATCAAAATCAAAGCATGATCGATCTTGGTCAAGCATACGCTTGGGAGTACATTTTAGAATAAAGAGAAGCAGTTTATAGTTAATTTATATAATAATTTATCCCTTAAACAAATACAAATGGATAAGTAAATTCTACAAGTTAAACTCAAGATTAAAGCTAAATTTAAGAAGAACCTGTTTCATTCTATTATGAAAGTTAAGAAGAATTTTCTATTATTACATAAACACTAAAGAGTATAAGAAATCAACTAAGAGATAATTTAGAAATAGATCCATCATTTTAAACTTATTTACATGAATATTTTACATTTTTCTATCAAATTAATAAGTAAATAATTCTACTAACAAAATTATATAATAAAAATACAATCATCCCTCCTATCTATGCAAACTCTATTTTCGATAATTTAATTCTATCGTTTTGTTATGAGTATACTTAAAATTAACAAGAGGAGTAAAATGAAGGCGCTAATGACTACCAAAATCAAGTATAAGAAGAAGAACAATAAGAATAAGATGAAGAAGAGTAAGAATAAGATTATGAAGAATAAGAAGATAATTAGTCATAAATAGAAGAAGAAGATGATGATGATTAATCATAGCAAGTAAATCAAGATTAATAGTTAGTAGAGGAAGAAGGAGACTAATAACAAGAAGATGAGGAAGGAAATTAACAATTAGAAGAAGAAAAAAATTAACAATTAGAAGAAGAAATATAATAGGAACTAGACTAGAAGTTAGATGTAGAAAAACAAGATGAAACATTTTAAGGGTAATAAAAAATTTTTTTTATTAAATGAAGAGATATTTATAATAAATCATATAAATAAATTAACAATAAACTTGAGGATCAATAAGAAAACCGATATTAATAAAAAAAAATTCAAATGTTTTACTTTCTTTCAAAAATTTTTTTAAGATTTAAAAATTGATTTTATTTATGATAAAGTTAAAAAATAAACCAAATTATACAGTTAAAATTTAAAAAGATATTTTGTTTATGAAATCTATTTGGTTTATATTTTAGTTAAAAATTATTCTAAAAAGTTGGATAAAAACACAAATTCATAAATAGCTTCTTAAATTGAAATAAAATTAATAAACATACTTTGTAATTTTCTTTGATGATTTTCTACAATTTCATATATACTTTTTAGATTATTCAAAAAATATGTTTTTAAATTATAAAATATAATATAAAAATGCCATTTTAATTTTTAAGATTCTTCAAATAAAATTTTTTTTTGAAAGAAATTTTTAGAAATAATTTTGAATTACTTTTTAATAAATAAAAATGCAAATTAAATCAAAAAACAATAAAATAAAATAAAAATAAAGAATATTAATAATTTAATATAATTTAAAATTAATAAGAAAATAATTTTTTGATAAAAAAATAAGAATTTAATATGAATTATTTATGAAGAATTGATAAATAATGCTTTAATATTTAAATCTTAATACTAATTTATTATAGTAAGTAATTATTGTAAATCAATTATTTTATAAATTTAATCAAGTATTGATACCAATTATAGATATTTTTATTATCAGATAATACTTATTAGATTCAATAAAAACCTTAATAAAAGAAATTTAGATCAAGATATTCCTTTTTTTATAATTTTTTATCAAAGTAATTATTAACTTCAATTAATTTGTTATTTAAAATATACTTTTTAGTTTCATGAGAAATCAGTCTCAATAAAATAGCTAAAGCGCTAATTAATAGCACATCTTAAAACCAGTAGGGAAGTATTGGTTAATATTTGGAATAATTTTAGCAATAGATTTAGTAGCTATAGTGTTACCTTTAGTTTCTCATTTTAAAATAGCTGCTATTAATAGTAAAAATGATCATATAATGAGTTTATATGATAAACCGCAAATTAAGGACATAATTGTCATAAAAGAAAGCGAAAATCAACACGATGATTGCCCCTAAGATTATCATGATATCTTTAATTATGAATTTTAAGGTTATAAGCCATTTTATTTATGTAGACAAAATGTGTTGCCTTATAAATAAGGTGAAACTTATGTCGATGAGAGAGAGCAATGTCAATTCTTTGAAGATTAAAAACCCAAGAAATTAAGTATCCTAAAGTTAGGTAATAATGATCTAAACTTATTCATAACTTTATTAGTTTTTAATATAAAATCAAATAAGGAAATGAAAATATAAGAATTTGTGGAAAGTATATGAATATAAACATATAATAGAAATAATAATGTGATCAAAATGAAGTAGTTTGTTCATTCATATCAGAATTTAACTCATTCATTTGCGCTAATTCAGAGAAAGATTGTCCAATTAATAATATTTAAATGGATGAAATATAATCCGCTAATGGATCATATTAATAATAACTGTCACCTTAAAGGTAAGCTCCAAATTAATTACCTCTTTTAGGCTTCGAGATTGTAGAAGGAGAAACAAAATGTATTAACAAAGATGGTAAATTTATAATTAACCTTTATTTTTATTATTAAATCTTATTGATTTTATGTTAGAAATGTATAAAACAAAAGTATTTTTATAAAAATAAATTAGCGAGCATGTTTTAAGATCGTAAATATCACGAAATTTTCAAAAGGATGAAATATTCTAATTAATGCGATAGAGATTATCTATACAATACTGTATTTGATATGAGTGAACATGATTTTTATGAGGCAAACGATATGAACTTTTTAAATTAAATCAATGATTTCAATCCTACAAATTAATATAAATACACTTCTATGATTATACATTAAGTACCTTGGGATCTTAAACATAGAGATTAATATGAAAGCTACATTTAATGGTGGAATGAAGATATTATTTATCAAGATAATATCTAAGTATTCTTTTTGTTTTTGAATTTAATAACTGCAATTCTTGTAGCTTTGCTAAGTTGGATATCCACTGATAGAATTGAAAATTTCAAACTTGGGTTTAAGCTATTCTAAATAATTGCTTTATGGTTCTTTTTCATCAAGAGTATTTTGAAATACAGGTATCTATTCTAAGACATAACTTCTAATGCTAAAATCAGTAGCCCTTAAATAATTTCTGACGTCCTTAAAACTAAATAAATCTACTATGAATCTATAGATCTTTTAGATACAATCATGATCTCTTTTGTCACTACTTCTATCATGCTTTGTATTATGCAAAAGTGGTATTTCAGAAAACAAACAATACTAAATTCTAAAGTATCTATACAGCAGTTATAAACTTTCTAGCCATTTTTCGATGATGATTAAATATGAATAAAGGAAATTACTTTAGTAATACTTCAAATCTAATAATTATATGCCAAAAGATAAATACAAATTTGAGAATATTAATTATATGTCAATATGGTCAAGTATTATATTTATTTGACTTCAAAGTTTAATTTTTCTTTGGAAAAACTAAGTATTAATTTTTAATATGCGTAATTAATTTCTTTTTTATCAAATAAAACATTTAACATTTTTTTGGATTAAAATATATTTATTTATTTTTTATAAGATTAAAATCTTTTCTAAAATCAAATAAATTTTACTAAATAATCAAGCTTAAAATATCTTTGACATAAAAAATTCTGAATAAAATTTACATTTCTTATCAAAATTGTTATAAAATTCTCATAAAATTTACTTTTCTTATTAAAATCGTTTAAAAATTTTATGTCAAAATAGATTTTAAGTAAAGAATTAACAAATAAATATTGAAATTTATTTATTTTTACAATCTTTTTTAGTTAGTAGAAAATATATTTTGTGTTTGTTAAAATAAAAAAATATGTAAATAAATTTATTGAAAATTATATTTTTAATCTTAATTTTATCAAAATAGTTTAAAAAATTACATCGATTGAAACTAAAAAATATTTGTTTGTTGTGAAGTTTTTAAATACACAAAAATTCTATTTTGAATATGCTTAAAGAAAAAATTTGAGGATTAATTTTGAAAATGCTTGTGATTGTTTGGTTTTATAGCTATATATAATATATTAAATAAAAAGCTTACTGAAAAATAATTTACTAATTTTCTCTATGTTTGGTTGGAATGATCGATAAAATAAATTTTTAGAAACTTAAAAATCTATCTTTAATGAATATTTTTATATATAGAATGTTATTTTTTTTTGATAAATTAACAATAGCTTCTAAATTTAAAAATAAAATTCAATAAATCCCTCTAATTAATAGCAAAAAATAACTTTATAACTAAAGCAATTTTCAATTAAAGATTATTTTTTATAAAAAATATTTTCAAAACAAATTAAAATTCTTAAAAAAAGATCAAAAAATCTATCAAAAATTATAATTTCTGATTAATACACATAGAAAACCAATATGATTTCAAACAAAGATATGAAAGCTGACTTGAAAAAAATCTAGCAATCGCTTGAAGAAATTGAAAGAAAAATGGACTTACTTAAAGATAAGAAAAGAGTACTTCTAAAAACTAAATAAAAAATTGTAGATATTTATCGCTAAGAATTTAAATCTGGCTAAGCTAAATAAGAAAAAGTTATCTAAAAACCATCTCACAAGGATGATCAAGGGTAATCAGCTGATGATAATCCTGATAAATATATTTTTAAATCTGGCAGAAGACTTTACACAGATGCATACAAAAATTATATCGTGAAACTTTGCGAAATTTATAATCTGAAATCTATTGAAAAATATGCTAACGTTCTTTATACTAACATTATTAGATGGAGGATAGAAATGCAAAGAGTAAAAATTTTTCTTTTTCATATTTTAGATAATTAATTTTTACTATTTTTTAGTTTAATTTTAATTAAATTTACTCAATTTGGCTAATTATTAGTTACAATTATAACATCAATTTTTATGAGCAAAAATTCACTAAGATTATTAAAGCAATAAAATTGTATTTAACAAATTTTTTAATTTCCAAGCATTGCCAAAGTTAACAAATTAATAAAATATTTTCAAAATTTTAATGAGTTAATATCAATTTAACTTTATTTATCATTCATAATTTAAATTATTATTGAAATAAAATAACTCTTACTTAAATAAATCAAATTTAGTCAATTTCAAAGTTATATTTAAAATCAAATTAAACATTTCTAATAAATCTATTTTAATAAATAATAAAGGGCCAAATTCCAATTGATGATAGCTATAAACCTAATGAAGCAGAAATTCAATAGCTAAAATAAATGGAAAAGTATGCTGACAAACATGATTATGACTATGAAATGAAAAAATAAATGAAATAATATGAGTAATAGAAGATGGATTAGGAATTAGATGATAACAAAATGTCTTCTACTAACTCAAATGATATGCAAGAAGAATATTAAGTTAAAAACTAGCAGAATATATATAATAAAATGTATAGTGAAGACACTTTTAACTAAAAACTAAGAAATAGTGTAAAATAATATTAAGAAGATACCTTCGCCTCTTCAAACGAGTGCTCACCAGATGGAAACAAGCAAAACAATCAAGAATAACCTTATTTACCTAATGGTTTTAACCTTGATAAAGTACTTGAAGTAAATCCAAATTTCAACTCGCCTTGGTACACTAAGTTTGAATCACAGCTAGTAAAATCTATATTTAATTCTCAAGAGCCTGTTAATCAAAGATCAATAATGGCTGCTGCCAAGCACCTCAGAAAGAGCCTAGATATTCCAGAATAGGATCTGAAATTCACTAAAGAATGGTATTATGATCTGCTTGCTCGTAGAAATATTCAAAGTTCTTAATGAATAAACACATAAATTAAATTAAATAATAAGTATTAAAGTGCATTTTTATATTTTAATATTCTTATTAAATAAATAATATTATACATCTTAAATAAAACAATATTTAATTTAACTAATTTATTAAATAAATAAATAAATAAATAAATAAATATTTACTTAAACAAAAATAAATTCAATCGTTTTTAGATAAATTAGAATTTTATTTTGAAATTATTTTTTAATTAATTGAATCTCCTTGCTTTGATAGAGCTTCTTAAATTATGTTAGTTGTATGCTATGTAACATTGTTATCATTAATTGCGTGATGATGAAAATCTCTGTAATCAGTTATTAAGCTTATTTGATTAATTGAGATTTCTCGGTCATTGAACTTTAAATGTGAATCATTATGATCATATGCATATTTATCATAAGATTAATTAATATCTTTATGATATCTGACAAGATGATTTAGTTAACTTTTATTAAATCTGCTTTCATCCTCAATTATTTAAGGAGAATTTACAAATTGTATAGATTTAGCAGCCATTTTATGACCTATTGGGGAATTCTACGAGTTTGATATGATAAATGAATTTTGGAAGTTACTTTTAGGAACTAAAACAGAATTTATTTAATTAGGAGTCAAATTTTCATTAGGAACTTAACAGGCGGCGTCTGATTAAATGCTGCATCTAGCAAAATTTATTTATTTATTTACTATTATGGTTTCATTTACTTTTTGATTATGATGAGGAGATTCTGCGTCATTATTTTCTGTTGTTAAAAAGATTTTGCTTTAAGACTCATAATTTCTTGAACTAAGCTTAAATCCATAGTCATTGATATCAGAAATAAGGTTTTAGTTTTATTATTTTTAAACTTATTTGGCTTATTCCATTTACATTTACAGAGAATTTATATTCACTAAAAATGAGCATTTATTTTAAGACTTTTTATTACTTGTACGAATCTTTTAACCTTCAGGCCCTAGCTTTTGTACAATTTGCTCTGTAACAAAAAGAGATATTTTTTGCATATTAAACGAATGAAGATCGCTTGATATTTTAAGTGAGTCTGAAACTCTTTGAGTTAAATTGACTTATCCAGAGTCTTTTATAGAAATTTTAATGCAGTCTTAATTTTTTTCAACAGACTTAGAAAAATTAACCAAGATATATTCTTACATTTATTAGTCTTAACTAAACTATTATAATTTACTTTATACTTTTATATTTTCTTAGCTGCCATTCTAATTATCTTAAGTAGATGTTTATTATTTTTTATGGATGCTTCTAATAGAGAAATTTATCAAATTTATCATGCATTGTATTAATCTCCTCTTATCTGAAGTTACAATAAAATTAACATTTTTGTTTATAGAATTATCACATTCTACGTCAAACTATATTTTGGAATCTTATAAAATTTATTTAAATACACTTTAAATATCTGAAATTAGGCTTTAAAGAGAAAATTAAGTCGTTTTTATATCCAAAACACCTTATTGATAATTTAAGTAATCATGTGCATTGTAAAAATAGTTTAACCCAGTAACTGCTCTATGAAGTATCTTTTTGGCCTTAGCCTAAGAATCTGATTGTACTTATTAAATTAAGGAATTTGTGCAGATTATTAAATGTCCCAAGTTTTTCACAATCTTTTTTAAAATTATAATTTATTATAATATGAATTTTACTAAATTAAAATTTATGTCAAAAAAAAAACGGTAAATAAAAACTGGTAAAATTTATTATTTTAAATAATTTATTTTATTTTTAATTTAATTTTTGATTATAATATTTATTCCTTTAAAAATAATTATTTAAATATAAACAGATTTAGATTTATTTAATTTGACTTATATTATCCATAAAATGAAAAATTCATCAAAAAATTATTATTGATAATATTTTTTTTTTTTTTGAGTTATATTTTAATCTTACAATTTATTCCAATATAAATAGTTATTTTAGTTTTAAATTGATTTAATTTAAAGAATTTAACTTCTATAGTTAATAAAGCTATCAAGAATTAATAAAAATATTTCTAAACTATTAAAAATAATAATTTTTTTGTTATATTTTAATTTTGAAAATTATTCAAACAAAAATAATTATTCTAAGTTTGTATAGATTTATTATAAAAGAATTTTATTTCTATTGTTGAATTAAAAATATTAAAATTTTTCATATTAAAAATTTTTTTTTAATAGAAAAAATGTTTTATTTGATAGAAAATTGAAATTGTTTTCTTCATATTTAGGTTAAAAAACTTTGAAAAGTTAGTAATGAATTTTCTTTTTGAAATATTATTGTAGATTAATAATTTTATAAATTAATTTAAATCTATTTTTATGAACTAATTTTAGCTAAATTTAATTTTTTAAGATGATTTTGTATTTATTTTATGCAATAATAAAATATTTGATCAAAAATATTATTAATGATTTTATGACTTTTTAATTATAATGTTAATATAAAAATTAATTTACCTTCTAATATAAAATTTCAGTTGTCTTTTGATAGGCTTTTGTGATATTCACTTTTTCTTATATTTAAGATGAAGGCAAGGTAGAGTTTATTTCTTCAAAGAATAAAATAATATGGATTTGATCACTTTAGTTTACTTTTTGTTTATAAAAGAAATAATTAAAAATTTTGCTTTTTTAATAAATATCAATCACAAATTTTAAAGTATTTTTAATAATTTTTATTGAGTGAATTGGTAATCACAATTTTGTGATTTTTTTAATTCAATAATCCAATTTAGTTTATTCAAAATACTTATTTAATTATTAAATGCTAATTTTTTTATGTATTTTTTACTTCCGATTTTTAATTTATACTTTTTTCTTTCCTTGGATGGAGAATTAGCCATACAATCAGCACTCTATTTAATACCTAAAAACTCCATGATGCTATTCTTAAGGATTTAATCACAGTCGATGACTCCAAATTATGAATTAAGCAAATAAAGAAGCATATTTTTTTTATTTTTGGTACTCTATTCTTTCTCTTATAAAGCTTAGCAGTATTTTTATAAATAAGAATTTAAGGAAATAAATTAGTTTTAAGTATTCCAAGAGTATTAGCTTCCAGATTGATTTTCATCTTTTTGATTTAATTTTTACAACTACCTGATCTAATAACCAAATATGATAAATTGATTAGAATTATAAAAATACCAAAATATAAATTTAGTTACATAAAATGTATTCATGAACTCGGTTAATGAAAGATTGTCTCTAACTTCTTAGAATTAGCTTTTAAAATGTTCGTTCTAAGTAAAAAGCTCAAATACATTTTATTTCTTTTTGAGAGTAATCACAAGCATTGGGTTAGTAACTGTATCTCTAAAAGATTACCCTAATTTCTATTTAAAAATTAAGAAAATAAATTAAATCAAATATAATATACTAAAAATCAAATGAATAACGTATAATTAATAATAAGTATGATAGATGAATGAATACCTTTTCCTTCTCCTTGAAATAAAATAGAAGTCTTTTACTTTTTTCAATTTAATATTTGACTTAGCACAGCATCACAAAGCATAGTAGTAGAATAGCACAATTACTAAAACTGATTTCTATATTTAGTACTAAGAAAAAGCCAAATGTAATCAAAAGCTATCCTAAAATATCTATAAAATAGTTGGTGCCTACCATCATGAGAGTGGCTGAATATGTTTACAAGGCGAATCCATAAATCGATGATTCAAATTACTCTAAATATTGTTCAAAAAAAGGATGAATCTAAATAATCAGAAAAAAAATAGAAGGTTTAAAACAATAATAAATAATTTTCTTTTATTTTAGTAAGAAAAAACGAAGTAGACTTTTACTTAAATCTCCTTAGTGAGAGAATTAAAAAAGGATGCAAAGAGCAATTAAAAGGTTCACAAACTATGAGTAGTCTAGCCATATTTTAATTCTATTTATAATAACTATATTAGCCCAATGGAAAACTATCCACAGGAAGAGAGATATACTTATCAAGTATTACTCTCTAATTAAACTTATAATAATAGTTGGAGTAAATAGAATTGTTATCAATAAAGAGACAGATTAAAGTATCCTAACTCTGCTTTTCACTTCAAATTTAAAATATTTCTTCCTGTAATAAGAATCATTAAAATTAAGAGTGTATGCCTACATTCTCGCTCGTTTTTATTAGCTAGATAATATTAAAGTGTTTATTTCTATTCTTTCTCTTTTCAGATAATAGAGTTTTTATGCTCCTTTTTTAATCAATTGTAACAAAGAATAATTCTTATTTAAAGAATATTAGTTTTAATACAATTTTTTTTAACGCCTTTTTAATTTCTAATTTTTTAAATATTAATTAGATTGATAGATAGATAATATTCTTATGGACAACTATTATCATGCTTTATTCACATAATATATTTCCATATTGATAATAATACCCTTAAAAGAATAGAAGAAAAGTGTTATAAGCAATCAATATCTGTGGTTATCAATAAGTCTAAGATTCTAAATATTTAATAAAAAGATGATTTATTATTAAAAAATAATGAATGTCTTTACAATATTTTTCTTTATTTACATTACTTTAAATTTTAATAAATTAATTCATTCATGCTACTTCCATTTTTATATCAAATATTTTTGATATTCAAATTATTTATATACTTAAAAACATAATTTATTTAAATGCAAATATATATTTTTACAAAGTAGTATAGAAATTTATTAATTTTCAAAGCATATAATTAAAAAATTTTTTTATTTGAAGTAACTAATTAAAAAATAATAATACACATATAAATATTAAATATATTTTATTAAGTAAAATACTAACTAATATCAAAATATTTATCAAAGCTAATTTTTAATAATAATTTAATTAATTCAATAGAAAATTAAAATACAGAAATGAAAATATTTTTTTTTATATTTATTATTTAAAATTTTGTTTAATAAATAATAAATACTTCAATATTTAATTAATTATTGAATATTAAACACTTCTTTAAATATTTGAATTTAAATTTTTTTACATGTTTTTATTGAATTTTTAATTAATATTAGCTTAATAATTAAATAATTTTTTAAATATTTACTGCAATTTTTTTTTAATAAAAAGAATTAGATTTTAATTATAAAAATTTGAATATGAAGATTTTTAAGTTTTATTAATCATTTTTTTAGTTAATAATCACTGTAAAATATCCTGTTATGATTTTATATATATAATGTGAGATGATTTAATTTAAAATTTAAATAAATTATATCTTTAATATTAAAGATTTTTCATTTTATAAAATATATTTTCTATCAAGATTGTTAGATCAATTTAATTCTCTCATATTATATTTATTGAAGGAAAAAAGTTATTTTAAAAAAAATACATCAAAAGTTTGATTCGATTAAATTTATCTTTTTTTAGATTTAATAAATTAAAATGTTTAATTAATAAAAAACTTTTAAATGAATTAAATGAAAATTTTAGGTGTCAAACAGAATATAAATCATATAAAACTTAAGCAGGATTAATATTTATGTAAACTGTCAAGTTTTGAATGAATGCTCTTATCTAAATTGATTATTAAAAAGCAGCTAAGTAAATTTGATCTCTTTCAACACTTATATTTAGTTTTGGGATATCATTAAATTTGAGGAATAAGCATCTTTCAAGCTATATTTTTTAAATATCAAAATTCATGTAGCTTTAAGGTGGTAAAAAAACAACAGGAATCTCTTCTACTTCGCATAGGAGCTACATTAAAACGCTTCTTTAAATAATGCTATGAACTATAAATTATTCACCTTATATCAAAATATTATATTATTAAATTGATATTAATTCTTTATCTTTTTTGCTATATAAGTATTATAATAAATCATATTACTCTTTTTCAGTTAAAGAAGAGTCGTCTTACTCTTCTAATTCTGAAAATATATTTTATTATTTGGTTAAATCTTTACTGTTTTTTTTTTAAATTATCAGGGCTTACTAATTAGGGTAATTTTTCAAGAATGGTAGAATTTCTTATTAAGACTTAAAAGTTTTATTTACTTTTAGCACTCCTTTAAATTAATAAGCTAAAGATATGCTAATTACAGTCAAAGGCAAGTTAAATAATGAGATTAAGATGCAGACAAAGTTTTTTTCAAAAATAAATGAAAGGTAAAGAAAAATTAAACTCTGAATAATAAGTGAAACAGCTAAATAAATAGAAATTATTTTTGTAATGTTCATAGATTGGCATATTTTAGAGACTTCATAATGTTTAAAATTGAAAGTAGGAGTTTCAAATAAAGACCAACAAAATAAATAAGGTAATGATTCATTAATCTCACTTTTAACTAGAATAACAGCAATTATTTTGAAAAAAGAAGAGATTAAAAAATAGATGATAAACTGAATCCAAATTGTACCAAAGTATATGAATTCTGATATTATTATTAAATTTGTTATAATCTTATATATCTTAATGAAAAAGTTTATGTCAAGGTATTTTAATTGCTATCCACATTAACTCATTACTTTTATTACCATTACTAATTGCAGCAATATCAAAATCTTAATTAAGTATTTTTAAAATATATTGTTTTCTAAGTAACCACTCAACAAAATCTCAATAAGATTAATAAATCTGGGGTAATAAATGCCTAGTATTTTATAGTATTCAAAAAGGTATCCTAAATATAAATCATTTTTATATGTCTTCCTGCATTTTAATGCTTTCAAAGAATAAATTAATTCCATCTTCCATGTTGCTTTGAAACCTAATTTAAAAGTTAAAAAAACTTTATCCCATAAAGAAACAATAAGCAATTTAAGTCCATATTAAAGTGGAATAGTAGCATCAAAAAGCAACATTACTGCTAAGATTATGCTTATTACTTCTACAATAAAAAAATTAGCATTTAATATACTTGCATCAATCATTTGTAATTATTTATACTCTTTTTTGATATTAATATTATTAATTTTTTTAATTAAACACCAAATAATTTTGTTTATATATGGAAAGATAAAATCTTACTCATCAGAATTAATAGATTTTGAAAAATCAATCTATTTTATCAAATGATAATGTTAATTATGAATTTAAAATCTTTACTTCTATATTTTTTTTAATTGATAAATTACTATTGTTTTTTAATCAATTTCAGCATATTAATAAATATTCTATATAAAATATTTAAAAATTAAATTAATTTAAATGAAGATTTTTATGTTTCAAAAAAGAAAACAATAAACAAATATCCAGTTAGTTTCCTGTTGAAGCAGAAAACACAATTTTAGTTAATAATTTAAACAATTTTAATTTCAAATATTTAATTAGTTTTTTTACTTACTCATAGAGGAATAAATCAAGTTATTTTATTCATTATCAAAAATGGTATTAAAAAAATGAGTTATTATCCAAAAATGAAGATTGAAATAAGCTAAAGAAATTTTATGTCATTTATTCTTTTTATTTATAAGTAAAACAACAATTTACTTTCGATTTTTCACAAAATTTTTAAAAAACACTAAATATATAAAAAAACAAAGATATACTTTGGAGGTAAAAGGTATTTATTTATTTATTGTTGTAATTTTAAGGTGCTTTGATAATAAATAATTTATATAAAATTTATTAATCATTAAAAAAAAATTCTAAAAAATAATGATTAACAATATTTTTGTTTTACACATTCTTTTAATGTGTGCACTTGTTTCAGTATCTGGAATATTAAAAGTGAACACTGAAACGCATCAAATTATAGATTAAAATGGAAGAGAACGTATTTTCCATGGTGTTAATGCTGTATAGAAATCATTTCCATACATCCCTAATACTGATGTCTTTGATCCCTGCTCATCTTTATCTGAGTAAGACTTCAAAAATATGAAAGAATGGGGTTTAAATGCAATCAGACTAGGAACTATGTGGCCAGGAGTAGAGCCTTAGAAAGGTTTTTATAATGAAACATACTTAAATTAGCTAAAGTACATTGTTGACACTGCTGGTAAGTATGGTATTTACACTTTACTAGATATGCACTAAGACCTTTTTAGTGAAAAATTTTGTGGAGATGGGATTCCTTTGTGGTTAATTCCTGAAGCTGAATATAAATACTTCCCCCTTCCAATTCCTAAGAAAATAGAATTCAACAATTAATCAGGGCTTCCTATGGACTGTAATATCACTACTGGTTGGGGAACATATTATTTTTCTTATGACGTTGCTGAAGGCTTTGAAAAGCTTTATACAAATTACGAGGGTAGACTCAATCTTATGGCCTAATTCTGGGGTAAGATTGCTCAAACTTTCAAAGGAAATCCATTTGTTTTGGGTAATATAATTAATTATTTGGAACTTAATTTTTTAATGGGAGTAAAATAAAAATCATTTAGATGAAGCTGATTTTTAAATTTAAGGATTTTAAAAGAAATTGCTTAAATTTTCTGTAATTTAGTGGTTTTTAATTACATTTTTACAAAAATTTACTTGGCTATAATTTTTTAAAATTTTTTATTAATTTTACAAGATTTAATTAAATACTTAATAAAACTCCCAATTTTCTTTTTAGCTCATTAAATATTTTATTTTAATTCTAAACATTCATTTTCTATATTTTTTATAGGTTATGAGCTCATTAATGAGCCATTTGCAGGAAATATCTTTAAAAATCCTCTATTGTTAATCCCTGGCTTTGCTGATAGACTTCGTCTTTAGGATGCTTATGAAATAATTGCTTAAGAAATTAGAAAATATGATGAAGATCATATCATCTTTTTTGAGCCTGTTACTTGGGATAACATGATTAAAGTTGGCTTTACCTAACCACCTGGCGGTAATAAATATTCTGATAGATCTGTACTTGCCTATCATTACTATAATCCTCCTGATTTTGCCATGGGACTCTTCTTTAATGAAAGAAACAAAGATATTCAAAGACTTAATGTTGGAGGTTTCTTAACTGAATTTTTTGTCTCAGGTGGTTCATTTGCTGAAAATTAAAAAGTTATGGACATGTGTGATAAATATAACTAAGGTTGGCTTGGTTGGATTTATAAACCTTACGCAGATCCTTATAGAGATGAAGGACGTTGTACTTATAATAATGGTACAAATGGTGGTTTCTATTATAATAATGGTACTGCTGTATACGAAATAGTTCACACCATAGTTAGAACATATGCTAGTGCAATAGCTGGTAAAGTTATAAATTTAATAAAATTTATTGTTTATATTTTGATTTAAAAAAAGGAAAATCAATCAATCAATACTTTAACAATACTTCTGGCGAATATTAGCTGGAATATAGACTATGTATAGAATGTGGATAAACAGAAATTAACTATAATGCTGAGCACTATTATCCTTAAGGCTTTAATATTTAGATCTCAGGAAATGCTTCTTACATCTTAACGAGCGATTAAGTATTTGTTATTCCTAACTCTAACTCTAAAAATAATGAAGTTATTTCTGTGAAAATAACAACTGTCATTGAAAAATAAATAATAGAATGAAATTATGAAATTAAGTATATATAAATTAAGTGATATAATATAAGTATATATTAATGTAACAGATTATAAATAAAGAAGTTATTTCAGCTAAAATTAATATATGTCTATGAAAAATAAACAAAAGAATGAAAATGAATAAAAATTTAAATAAAGTAAATAATAAAAATAAATATAAATTATATATTGAGGTAGCAGAAAGTTGTTTCTGGTAAAAAAAACTACCTAAGAAAAATAAATAAGTGAAAATAAAAACTGTCTATTAACAATAAATAAAACAATAACATTATAAGATAAATTCAAGATTAGGTAAACGATAAGAATATAATATGTAACAGATTAAAGAAAATGAAGTTCTTTCTGTAAAAATAAAAGTTTTATTTGGAAAAATAAATAAGAGAATGAAAATGAGTAATATTTTATTTGAAATAATTAATAAAAACATAAATTATTTTATATTTATGAAGTAGAAAATAAATATAGTTGTTTGTTTTTGTGAAAAATAAAAGTTATATTTAGAATAAATAATAAACATAAGAATGAAAATGTCTAAAAGTTTATATTAAATAAACAATAAAAATATAAACTATAGATGTATGTTACAGATTTAAAATTATAAATTTTTCAAAAAATATTTTTATATTAGAAATATTTAAAAACTTAAAGAATTTTTTTTATTTTATAAAGAACACAAATTTATAGCTGAAAACACGATTATAAACTCAATAAAAAGAATTTAAGATACTTTAAAGCTAAAGAGCTCATTAAAATATTTTTTCACTGATAAATAAATGTTAATTGTATCACTTTGGATTCTTAATACATTTTAGTATTTTCAAATTAAAATATTCTTTATATTGTAAAAAGTTCATCTTTTGAATTATTTTAGATTACATTTTATTTAATTTTTTAATGGCTAATAAGCTAAATTCGTAGCATACTTTAATTTGTTGGATTATTTCAAAAATATAGGTTATAATAAAATCAACTGGTTTCCACAAAACAATTTTTTTTTACTATTTTATTGTAAAAGAAATTTTGTGTTTTTATTTAAAGAATAGATATTTTGTATTTACTTATTTATTGATTGAATTGTCTAACTATAATAATTATTAAAATCAAAAAGCAAATATGACGTATAAAATTTAATTTAGTTGGTTTATTTCATCATGTGTGATAATTGATGTAATCTTAAAAAGTAGAGGTTATTTTTCTCATTTTAAATATAAAATTTACTTAAAAATCTTGCGAGCCATTTGTTTATTCAATTTTGATGATTATAAAAGAGCAAAATATTAATTAATTAATTAACTAACTAACAAACAAACTAACCTTTGTTTATTGATTTAGAAAAGAAATATCTAAATAGGAATTAATAGGATAACAAATTAGAGGTGAATAAATACTTAAAAAGGAATATAAGTATAATTAATAATTTAGTAAAAAAGATTAATAATATTGCAAGTATTTTTAAGTAAAATAATGAAGAATATCACTATTTTATCTTCGCTTTTGGTACTTTCAATCGTATCTGCTGCTGGAGTCTTTAGAGTTAACACTACTACTAATCAAATAGTAGATGAGCAAGGAAGAGAACGTATTTTCCACGGTCTTAATGCTGTAGGTAAAGTCAAACCATACATTCCATACATAGAAGCTTTTGAACCATGTATGTCACTTTCTGAAGAAGATTTTAAATTCATGAAGGAGTGGGGTTTAAATGCTATAAGACTTGGAACTATGTGGCCAGGTGTTGAGCCTTCAAAAGGTAACTTCAATGAAACTTACTTGACTCAATTAAAATGGATAGTAGATACTGCTGGTAAATATGGAATTTACTCTTTGTTAGATATGCACTAAGATAATTTCAGCGAAAAGTTTTGTGGGGACGGTATTCCTTTATGGCTTATTCCTGAAAAAGAGTATAATTATTTCCCATTGCCAATTCCTAAAAAGATTGAATTCGACAATGAAACTGGCATACCCATAGACTGCAGTATAGCTACTGGTTGGGGTACTTATTACTTCTCCTGGGACGTCGCAGAAGGATTCGAAAAGCTCTACACAAATTACGAAGGCAGACTTGATTTGTTCGCTAGATTTTGGGGAAAAATAGCTCAAACCTTTAAAGGAAATCCCTACGTTTTAGGTATTCTATTGAACCATAAATTAAAATTGTGAATAAGAAAAAAAAATCTACGATTAATTTATTATAATTAATTAATTACCTTCTTCAATAAAATTTAAAGAGATTTATCAAAGCTCAATTTAAAATTATTTTTACCAATTTTTCTTTCTTATTTAATTTTATTGACGACTTTTAATTTAACTCAATTATCTTCAAATTATGCTCATAACTATTTAAAAATTTATTTCGATACTCTTAAGAAATAAAAAAATATTTAAGTTAGAATTCTATCAAAAACAATAAAAAGAATATTCTAAACATTTAAGTTGTTAAGCTAGTTGAAATTTTAATATTAAATAAAAATTAAATCTGCTTAAAAATATAATCATTTAATACTTTTTATGATGAATAAATAGGTTATGAAATAATTAATGAACCTTTTGCAGGTAATATTTTTAAGAATCCTCTATTACTAGTTCCTGGATATGCTGATAAAAATCGTCTTTAAGCAGCTTATGAGAGAGTAGCTTAAGAAATTCGTAAATACGATGAAGATCATTTGATTTTCTTTGAACCTGTCACTTGGGATAATATGATATCTGTAGGCTTCACTCAATCTCCTGGTGGAGAAAAGTACTCTGAAAAATCAGTTCTTGCATATCACTACTACAATCCTCCCGATTTTGCTATGGATCTCTTCTTTAATTAAAGAATAAAAGATATCTAAAGACTGAACGTTGGAGGTTTCCTTTCTGAATTCTATGCAAATTATGGTCCTTAATCAGATGTTTTAAAAACTATGGATATGTGTGATAAACACAACTAAAGTTGGTTAGGATGGCTTTATAAAGGTTTCTACGGCTTTTGTGGTGGTTCTCCTTCTGACTAAAATGGTGGTTTCTTTTACAATAATGGTACAGCTGTGTACGAGTATGTACATAACGTTGCCAGAACATATGCTACTGCAATAGCTGGTAAATTTTAAATATAATCAAAAATATGTAAATAATTTGTAAATTTATAAAAGGTAAAACAATAAGTTCTTATTTCAACTCTACATCAGGTGATTACACTTTAAAATACAATTTGTGCGTAGAATGCGGTTAAACAGAAATTAACTTCAACTCTGAACACTATTATCCAAATGGTTTTACAGTTTCAATTTCAGGAAATGCTAAGTACGTTTCTAAAGAAGGGCAACTCATTGTTACTCCTAATTCTAACTCTAAAAATAATGAATTAATAACAGTAAAAATGGTAGCTAACCAATAAAACAGTTCACAAAGTGCTCTTTAAATTTGATAATAAAAATATATTTTAAAAAATATTGTTATATTCCTTATATATATGCAATAATAATAATATCAAAAAACTATTAAGTTTTATAAAAAAAAATATCTTTTTTAATTAAATATCATTTTATCACAAATAAAAATATTCATTTATTTATTTATTAAATTTTTAATTTTATCTATTTTAAAATAATTGTTTAAAATAAAATAAATTAATTTCCTTTTTACAAAACATTTTATTTATTGAAGAAAAAAAATGATAATTTTAATGTAAAAATAATTAAATGACTTTGATAGCTTTAAGAAATATTCTAAGCAAATTTTAGACTTTGAATTTGGATTATGCTAATCTAGTGTATTATATGTAAGCTACTAATTTTCAATTAAAAATAATTCATATCCTGTAACTTTAATAAGAAAATGTGTAATTACATCAAAATTCGTTAGACTTGAAAAAGTTAATCACAAATTTATAAAAAGTCTTTTAATAAAAGAATAATGTAGAGCCCTTTCAAAGATATTACTTATTAAATAATTTATCATACTTGCTTTTCAAATAATTCATGGATATTTCATTTCCACAAACATATTTTAACCATTTGGAGTATTTAAAAGGGTTATCAAACCATATTGCTTAGTTTTTAACAGACACATAAATTTTACACTTTTTTATTGGTGTTATTTTTTTAAAAATTTTATTGTAATTAGAGATATGGATATATCTAGTAGCGTCATTTGTCTAGATTGGTTTAGATAAAAAAGATCTATTTATTGTTCATTGAATTTTAAAATTAGGAAGCTAAGATAACATTATTTATAAACGACAAATCTTTAATTTAATAAAATAATAATTCAAATAAATAACAAATAATTAAGAATTACTTAAAATAAAGTAAAACAGTTCATGAGAAAGTTGACTATTCTTTCAGCTCTTTTGGTTGTTTCTTTTGTAGCTGCAGCTGGAGTATTTAAAGTTAACACCACAACTCATTAAATTGTTGATGAGTAAGGAAGAGAGCGCATTTTCCATGGTGTGAACACTGTGGTTAAGGTCAAGCCTTATATTCCTTATATCGATGCATTCGAACCTTGCATGTCTGTTTCTGAGTAGGACTTTAAGAACATGAAGGAGTGGGGATTAAATGCCATAAGATTAGGTACTATGTGGCCTGGTGTCGAACCTACTAAAGGTAACTACAATGAAACTTATTTGACTTAGTTGAAATGGATTGTTGATACTGCTGGTAAATATGGAATTTACACATTGCTTGATATGCACTAAGATTTATTTAGCCAAAAGTTTTGTGGTGATGGAATTCCTATGTGGTTAATCCCTGAAGAGGAATACAAGTATTTCCCCTTACCTATTCCAAAGAAAATCGAATTTGATAATGAAACAGGTTTACCTATAGATTGCAGCTTCATCACTGGTTGGGGTACTTATTACTTCTCTTGGGATGTTGCAGAGGGTTTCGAAAAGCTTTACACAAACTACGAAGGTAGACTTGACTTAATGGCACAATTCTGGGGTAAAATTGCTTAAACCTTCAAAGGAAATCCTTACGTTTTAGGTAATTAAGCATAAAATAAGAAACACAGTTTTTTATTTAAAATTAACATTTTTAAGATATCAAAAAAATATAAATGAGAAGTTTTAAAAGATAACGAAAAGTTTTAAAAGAGATTGTTTAAAATTTCTAACATTTCTTACACTTCTTACAATTTAAATTATGTAAGTAAGCTAAAGTTTTCACTTCAAAGATAGAAACCTTTTAAATAGAAAAATTAGAATTAAGAAAAATGTAAATTAATTGTGAAGGATTAGAACTTAAAGAAGAAATTAATTTCAAGGATTAAAGATTAAGCAAACAAATAAACAAAGTATAATAATAATAATATTAAGAAAACTTTTGATCCTTTAATCGCTTGTTTCAATTATTTACAATTATATCAAAATCAGATTGAAATTCTTTTACTCTTGAAATTCTGATGAAATATAAAGGAGATTATACTTTCTAATTAATAAAAAAAAAAGCAAAAAATTTAAACATTAAAAATTTAATTATTCATAAGGAGTATCCTAATTACTAAGCTTAGTAAGTATTTTCAAATAGGGGCTAATTAAATACATCAATTTTAGCATTAATTGTTAATTTTATTTCCATTCAATATTACCCTATCTCTAAATCCACAATTTTATTAAATCAGATATTTCTTACAATATTAATAAGCATTTTTTAATCAGATTACATTTGGCTTAACTACATATTGAGTTTTCTTTTCTTACTTTTCTTACTCGCTTTTAATTATTTTAATTTTAATAATTATAGGTTATGAATTAATCAATGAACCTTTTGCAGGTAACGTTTTCAAGAACCCTCTTTTACTTGTTCCAGGTGTTGCAGATAAGAAATTCTTGTAAGGTGTTTATGAAAGAGTTGCATCAGAAATTCGTAAATATGATGAAGACCATATTATCTTCTTCGAGCCTGTCCCTTGGATTAATCCTTTCTCTGTTGGCTTTATTCAACCCCCTGGTGGTGAAAAGTACTCTGAAAAATCCGTTCTTGCCTATCACTACTACTCTCCTCCTGATTTTGGAATGGAACCTTTCTTCAAATAAAGAGTGAAAGATATATAAAAACTTAATGTTGGTGGTTTCCTCACTGAATTTTATGTTACAGATGGACCCTTATCAGATATCCCCAAAACCATGGATATGTGCGATAAGTATCACTAAAGCTGGCTTGGTTGGACATATAAGCCATTCTGGAATACCTGCGACACATCTTCTCCTGATTCTAATGGAGGATTCTATTACAACAATGGAACTGTAGTTTATGAAGCAGTTCACAATGTAGCTAGAACATATGCCACAGCAATTGCAGGTAAAACTAACTAATTTAAAATTTAATTTTAAATTTATTTTAAAAAATAAAAGGTCAAACTATCCTCTCCTATTTCAACACAACATCTGGCGATTATACTTTATAATACTCATTGTGCATAGAATGTGGATAAACTGAAATTAATTATAATTCTCAACACTACTACCCCAATGGATTTAAGATTGAAATATCTGGAAATGCTAAATATACATCTTAAGAAGGAAAAGTAGTTGTTTCCCCTAATTCAAACTCCAAAAGCAATGAAATAATTACTGTTAAAATTACAGCAAACTAATAATAATGAAATAAGAAATATTAAATTTGATAAATTGAAATAAAACTAATTTATTAAATTTATCTTAAACATAAAATTAAAAAATAATAAAAAATATATATTCTTATATTTACACTTAATTCTTAAATTTTGTTTTAGAAAATCTTACCAATTTATAAATTAAAAAAATACTTATTAAATTAATTGATATATTAAAAATTGACAAAAAAACTATCTACTTAATACATAAATATAAAATCTTTAATCTTAATAAGATTATTTATTTGTATAGATTATTGAGTTAAAGAAAATAATCAAATTATAAAAATAAAAATTCTATCCCCTCAAAGTAAAAATCAAAATTTTTAATACATATATATATAAAAGACTATTTATAGATAGATAGTTAAATGTAAAGAATATTCTATTTTGTATTATTTTCTTAAATATTATTAAATTATTTCTTTTATTAATAATTTAAAAATAATTTTTAATCTTAATAAATAATTTGATATTTATTTTTACATTTTGCTAATAATTTTATTAATAAGCTAAAAATTTTTTACTTAAATTTGTATTAATTTACATTAAATATTTAATACTATAATTGATAAACAAAATTTAAGATTTTTTATAAGAAATTGCTAATTTATTTTTTTTTAAATATTCGAAATAAATAAATTAAATTATTTTTTGTTTTAATTTAATCATTTTATTTACTTAAATTAGTGAATGTTTTTAAAATAAATAGCTAAATTTTATAAAGTTAAATTAGTTTACCCTATTTTAGTTTTATTTTTCTAGATGACTCTCAAAATATTTCTCTATAATAAATAATTTATAAATATAGAGTAGATACTCTATCTTTGCTTATCACTTTAATTGTTTTTCTACTGAAAATTTACATTTTGATAAAAATTTTATTCATAAATTAATACTTGCTTATAAAATTTATTTACATTAAATAATTATTTCAATTTTTGATCTTCAATATTCTAAATTTTTATTAGAATTTAGATAATTTATTTTTAAAATAATATTCCAAATTAAATACTTTTATTTACTAAGTTTTACTTTAATAACTATTTACTTAAATAAGTGAATACTTTTAGAATCAATAAAATTCATTTTCATTATATTTAATAACATTATTATTTTAATTTTCTTAACTTTATTGGTGATTATTACAATTAAGTACAAATAATAGATACTTTTTTAATAAATAAAAAACCTAAATCTTTTTACTAAAATTTTAAGCTTTGGTTATAATTTTAATAAGATATTTAAACATGTTTACAAAAACTCATGTAGATTTACATTAAAGAAATATTTAATGCTTGATAATTGAAATTCTAAATTTTGATTAGAAATTGACTTATTTTTTTATACGGAATATCATATATTAATTAATTACTTTAATTGATATCTAGTTTTACTTTAAAAATTATTCTATTGATTTAAATTAATCTACTTTTTTAAAATGAATAAAGTTCATTTTTATTCCGATTAACTAACGTTATCCATTTGTTGTTCTTAATTTTTCTAAGTATTTTTACTCTGATCATTAGGTGCAAAAAATAGACTCTTTAATTATTTAAGAGCAGGGTGATTTTGATTAATAACACTCGGAAGATTATTTATAATATCTCTTGTTGTCTTTTGAGTTTAAAATATTTGAGAAAGTGGTTTATGTAAATCGAAATTGTTAACATTCCAGTGATATACTATATGGTAGAATCCATCTTCAGTCAAAACAAAAGTAAAGAAATGCACTATATCTTGCTCAGGATCCATTTCAAATTTCATATTGTTTGGGGAGAAGCATAGAGATGGTCCTTTCATATGAACACTTAAATATTCGCTTCTTATGGAATTGAAAGAAATGCTTCTTTAATCCTTATCCCAGTATCTAACTCCACAAATTTGTTCTTCCTTTTCCTCTTCACCTGCAGGTATCATGCATACTGGGATGTTTGTAAACATTCGTTTTGTTGTCTCAAAAATTATAGTTTGGTAGATAAATGGATGAAATACTATATTCATGAAGTTAGGTCTTGCTTTTGTGAATATTCTTTTATTTTAAAAGCTTACGCTCCACATAAAATTTATTTGTAGGGCAGGAGGAAATTCAAAAGGATGAAACTCTGGAATATTGTTAGATTTTTTCTTTTTTTCTTCATGCTTTTTATCGCTATCTTTATTATCATCGTCATCTGTGATTGGCTTATTATGCTTGATCACTTCGGGTATTGTGAAAATGATGTTTTTAACTTTTTAAGGTAAATTTATTTCTTCTTAAGAGGAGGAAGTAACTATCTTATTTGACAGTGAATCGCAGAAGCATTCATGAGCTATCAAAAGAGGTACCTCATTCATTTCATAACCATTTTTTCCATACTTTCCAATAATTGGTATTGATGGCAAACCTACAAAGTCATTGCAAAAATATGAACCCTCATTTCTGTCTCCAGAGGCAGCTATGAAATCGTAATTACCTAATTTCTAATTAGAGATATCTAAAATAGAATTATTTTAAATTTGCTCCATATCGTCTATAACTTTCTATGTCTATTTTTGTATCTTAAATAGTATTTCTACTGATATAAAAAATAATATTACTAAATAAATTAATAAACTTAATTTGATTTTTGTTGATTATAAAGAAATTAGCTCTATTTTAAATTAATTTCTCTTTTATTTTATCATGATTTGTTAATCTTATTGTTTCTACCAATACAATATTTTGCTCAAAACATAATAATTTGAAGTAGGATATTCTTCCCAAGAAGAGTCATCAGATTTCATAATACTGTTTTAATTACTGTCTATAAGTTATAAGATATGTTTTATTCTAATTATAAAAAACTTAATGAATCAATAATAATAGTTCATTAATTTTTATAGTAAACTTAGTTTAATTCGAATAATTAAAGTGTTTTATTTTAAAAACTTAACTCACAGATCATAATTTTATAATTAATAATTTAAAAAATCTTTAAAATCAAAAATATAAATATTTATTCAATAATATAATCTATCTATAAAAAATGAGAGTTAAAGCACAATATTTTGGCTTAGACATATCTATTGACGAATAAGTCCTTAAACTGATCAAAAATGGAATAATCAACACATGTTCTATTGTTGTTAATAAGTAAAATCTTTAAATTTATCATTCAAAAAAAAATTTTTTTTTTAATTAAACAAAAGCTTAAACCTTGAAAAAAATGTAGCAGACCTAATGAAGAACTGTAAGTAAAAAGGATTGATGATAAACCTAACTCAAGGATGCTCGTTGTAGAGCAATTCAGAGTCTTTGATATCTTCTGAGTAGCTTAAAAAGCAAATTTAAGAAAATAAAGTTAACTTAAATTTGATTAAATCAGAAATAAGAGCTTAAATTTATAAATACATAAAAATATTTGAAGAACTACCTTTACATATTGATGGGTTTGAAGAAATCCATTAAATTCCTGAGATATCAAATATAATTGCATAAATCATGGAATAAGAATTAGGTATTTATGAAATTCACTTTTAGATGAGAAACATATTATTATCTGAGAGAGAAATAAATCAGTAAATTTAGCTTATAAACAAATTAATAAAAGTGTACTGCTCTCATAATATTAAACCAGTAATATACATGGAACAAGAAGACCTTTTCTTGTATAAAGAGTCTTTAAATAAGATAAATAGTAAGATTGAATATGATTATTCCATAAATTTAAGATATGGCATTACCTTAACAAAGCTTGCTATTTCAGATATCAATTCTTAGTAAATTCCTAAAATTATGCCTTAAAAGCGCCTCAGCCAGTCTTCTCAAAAAATCAGCTAAATCATCAAAAAAATTTGTTCTGATTAAAATTAGCTAAATAAAACGAATATTCTTATTTATTCAAAGATCAATCCTGCAACTGGGAACTAAACATTTGCTCTCCGTTTAAAAAAGATTCTTGATAATAAATATATGAATTAAAGAAAGGTTTTCCTTAGAGGAATAGATTAATTCAATTAAAATGATAATCAATCTTTTTAGAATGAAGTAAAAAACCTTTCTTAATTTATTTAAGAAAACAAAATCGGTATGTGCTTAGGTATAAATGTTTATAGAACCAGTATAATTTTATCAAAAGTAAAAAAAAATGTCAACTTTGATTTAATATCGATTATAGCAGGGACTGATGCCTATGAATTTTTAGAAAACGATGTCACAGCTTAATAGATGAAAGAAGCTTGTGAGTAATCTTCATTAGTAATTTCAATAAATGAAGAAATGAAACAAAACTTTATGAGAAAATTTGGCATACCAGACCATTAAATACCTGTGATTAACTAGTCAATCGATCTGTCTTTGGCTAAAAAATTCGATATTCGTTAAGAACTTGGTTTAAGTGGTAAAAATTTTTTAAAATTAAAAATTTTTAAATTAAATTAAATTTAAAAAATACATTTTATTGAAATTTATTTAATAAAATTTAGAAAGAGACAAATTAATTTTGTTTCCAGCAGGTGTGAGAAAAGTAAAAAACTGTAAATTCTTGATAGAGCCAATGAAAAAATTACTCCTAAAATATCCAAATCACTTCATGGTACATGTCGGATCAATTTTAGAGCAAAGTTATCACAATGAATATCTGAACGAAATTGAAAAAATTAAATAAGAATTCCCATCTCTTAGTAATAGGTTTATTTTTTACGGAAGTTTAGATTATCCTTCCTATCTTGGCGCGCTCCAGTAATCTGATTTAGTATTAAATTGTTCATTCAGTGAAGGATAATGTAATGCTATTTTAGAAGCAATGGGAAGTAAAATAATAACCTTAATAAGCAGAATAGAAGGAAATAAAAGTATATGCGAAGACCAAGAAACATCCATCATGTTTGAAGGAGAGGAAGAATTTACTGATATGTATGAAAAAATTTTTAACAGTAAAATTGATACTACTTAATTAATCGAAAACGCTTTTAAAAAATTCTAAGAGTGCTATGATTTCAGTATTGAGGAAAAAGGTTTCTCTGATTTATTTTCCTAAGTTGACTCAAATGCATGCTTACTCTGAATAAGAATAATAAATCATTAAAAATTTACTTATACTAATAACCATACTTTACATTATAAAAAAATTTACTCTAGTATTTTACATCCATTTATATTTTGAAATAAAATAAATTAATATCATAATTAAACAAAATTTTAATAAGCTTTATATTTTTTAATACACGCATACTTTTATAAATTAAATGGTGAATATCAATTTTTTTTCAAAAATATATTTAAAATCTATTTAAAATCAGTGAAATAAGTATTATTTAATTAGTAAAAACTTCATTAAAAAAAAATTAATTAAAATTTTTCATTTTTCTTTATTCAATTAGATAGATAGATACAAATAGGAATTAATCTCCTAAAATTTATAAAAATTTTTTTGTTTCAAATATTTTTTTATTTTTAAAAATTAAATCAAAATTTCAATTCTGAAAACATAAATATATATTTTTAATATGTAAGTGAAGGTGTTTATACATTAATGTAATTTTAAAATTTATCTAATTTATTTAACATAATAAATGATTTGATAATACTATATGCTTAAAAAAATGAAAGAATACAAATTTTTTTAGTGTTTTTAAAAATAACAATAATTAACTTGTTAATTTAGAGATAATACAAAAAATACATATAAATATATTAACAAATAATCAGATCATTTTCTGATAAATAGAATATAAGTAAATTTAATTTTTCATAATCTGTTTGACTGATTATTAAATTTTTAAAATATATCAGAAAATAAGATTTATATACATATATTTAGTAATTCAACTTAGATATATTTTTTTACTTACTTATTATCTTTTTTAATTTTTAAATATTTTTTATTTGAGTTGAATTTAATCTTAATAAACCAAAAATTAGAATAAAATACAACTTTTAAGTGGAGAGAAGGCACCAATCAATATAAAGCAAAATAATTATTTGTTTTAAATTTTTTAATAATAATGTTGAATAAAATATGAGAATTATGTTTAGTTTTGTATAGTCAATTAATTTAAGAAAATTTAGTTAAATTTTTCCTTTTTCTTGGAAAATAGCTTCAGTAAAAGTAGTAGATTTTGGATTTTTTAATATTGTATCATTTTTTTATTGCTAGAATTTTATTATCAACAGCAATTATAATATTCATTTTCAAATATGTTAAAAGTGTTCTAGTATCTTTACTAAGCTTCTCTGAGAGTGGGCACTTGCCAATCTCTATATTTGTTTAAATATTATATTTATTATTTAATTTTAATTATTATTTAATAATTTTTACCTTAACTAATTATCATGAAAAAATATCAATTTAATATTTTAAAAAACTCCTTAATTAAAGGGGTAAAAGCCTTTTGGCATCTTAGCAATATATGATATCTTATTTTTTTTGACATGCTCCCAAGTAGTTTAGTTAGTTAAAATAAGAAATGTATGATAAGCACATAACACACCCTATTCATAATTTAAAAGAATTTAAAAATCTATAATTTAATCTTTGTAATTTTAAAAATAATTAGAAAAATTTTAATTCTAAAATTAGTAATTTTATTTTCATAAATATTTTATTGCTAAAATTAAAATAAATTCAATACTGTGAAAAGGAATAGTATAAAAAGGACAAAGCTTAAAACTGCAAATGCACCATATTCTTGGCTATAAGATTCTTCACCTTGATTATTTACTGAAATATATCTATCCAAAGCATTTAATGACTATTTTTAAATAAATATTTTTATTATATTTTTTATTAAAAATATTTAGTAATCAAATAAACAAATAATTTACATTCATAAAAGTCCAAAAAATAACAATGCTTTGCAAGAGCAAAAAGAACCAAAACTTTCTATGATTAAGCTCACCTACACACCCTCCTATCCAAAAACTATTTCAAATACAATGAGAACATTAATAAAAAATAAATAAAAAATATTTTTAAAGTGATAATTTTAAATATAAAATTTTAATTTTAGAATGCCTTTTCATTATTTTTTGATATTTTAAATTCTTTATTTTGAATTTATCTTCTTTCTTTCTTTCATTCTTTCTTTTTAAGAATTGATATAGACTTTTTTAGGTCATCTAATAATAAATCAGATATTTATTTTATTTAAAAATGTAAACAAACTTTAAGAAAGATATTTGTAAATTATACCAGTGATGATCAAATTTGCAAATACATCTCCCACAGTCATCACAGTGTTTTGATCTGAATGGTTAATGTCTTTTGCATATATGGCAATAGAAGAGTTAAGCAGCTGCATCTAGCTATTCGTTATTTTCACTCTCTTCATTTGTATTGCTTGACATTCTCTAAGAGTTACTTCCACTTGTGTTAAATGAATTAGTTTCCTATTACAACTCGTTACGATATTCCTAAGATAATTCACTAGCAGAATGATTTCTGGGACCGCTAGAATTTTTAGTATTGTGCTAAATTGAATCATCTTCTTAATTAACAATAGGATGATAATTTTAGTTATCACTATTATTGATGTGATTTTTCTAAGAATACTAATTGCTGCTATACACAATATCACTATGTCTCTTTCCTATTTTTGTACACACTCTATTAAAATTTTGATCTTATTTATTTTATTTTTCATCAATTTCATCATAATCATCTTGCTAAAATTATTTTGAGCTCGATTTTCTTCCATCGCTGTTTTATTATTCTATACTAGCTGCTAATGCGAGAGAATTCTGAGGGATTAAATTCTAATTATTTGATGAGCGCTAACTTTTGTTGCTTTACAAATCGTAATTGTCATGCCTGTCTTAACTATTTTAAATTTCCTAATAATTCTAATTATCACTACTGCTTTACTCGCGTAGCTAAGTATTCTACAATTCTATGTCATCAGCTTCGAAAGGAGCATATCCTGGATTCTTTCCGCAAGTCCAAAAATAATAGGCACTTAATAAAACCAAAAAAAGATAAATAAAAGGGTCCAATTCCCCTTCAAGAACTTCATCTCTCAAATCATTTCCGTAAATAAGCTGCATACAAAGTGACAAAACAGTCATTGAAACATAAAACACTCTTGATCCGCATAAGGCATCCTTAACACTCTGTTTCATCTAATGCAAAGATGGTCTGGCCAATATATTATTTGCTTAATTGTTAATACTACTACCAACTTGTTAATTGATTTGAGAGTCTTAGTTGTTTATCGGCTAATTAATGTTTGCCATTATCTAACTATGGTATTAGTGCTAAAGAAGGGCTTGCTATGGAAAGCTCTAGATATCTTCCTCGTCTTCTGATTCTATTATTTACTTTCCTCTTGTAGTGCTCACTTTGGCTTCCTTCAAGACTATTGCTTTTATTCAAAAGAATCAATATTAATATTGATTTTTACTTTATCTCGTTTCTTCTTTAAACACAACAACTCTTCTAATTTTAAATTCTTAAATCATAAATATCATTATTAATAATTTATTATCATTAATCACACCTCCTCATTTCTTCCTAAATTCTTCCTTTTCTATCATTGTTCTTGTATTTAATTTTTACCTATCTGTCTAACCTACTTTTCTAGTTTATTGGTTAATTAATTAATTTATTTATTTTTCGAGTAAAATTTTTTTTCATTTTTAATTGCTCTAATTTTGAATATTGAATTCAGATTATCTCACAAATATCTCAAATAAGCTGATTAATGCCAAATTATCTATTATCATATCAATTAACTACTGTCTTTTTCTATTTTAACTATTTCTTATAAATATGCAAGTTTGCTTTTTTGAAATCAGTTTATTTTAAAAGTACTTGAAATATTTTAAAAATTCCCTCACATTCTATTTTAATTCAAAAAAATCAATATAATATATGATTTTTATTCTATTCATTTTTAATATTGAGATTAAAAATACTTGCTAATCCTTAAACGATTTTAAATGTATTTACAAAAAAATAAAATAATAAATCATAAAAAAATAGATTAAAAATTTAATAATATGCTATTTATTTTTTGTCATAAATTTTTTCTGATAATTATATGCTATAAACTCTTAGTTATTAAAGTTAGGATTTATTAATTACTATTGATTATTTTAAATATCAAAAAATTTTAAAAAAATAAAATTGGTTTTCAACATGTTTAATTTATTATTTACAATTTATGGTTTATAATATTTATTCATATACTTATTATCGTGGTTTTTAAAATAAAGTTTAAATAATATTCAATATTAGTTTTAGATAACTAAATTCTACAAATTTAAATATAAATATTTTAAATTTTGATTTTTTTATTCAATATGATTATATTCGTTTTATGTAGAGTATTTAAACAGAAGAATATTTACTTTAAAAATGTTTAATTATAAATATTTCCTTGCTTGAATTATAATTGATTAAACATAATTTTGATCAGGAACGCTTTAAAAATAAAAAGATTAGGCATATTTAGCATTAGTTAAATAAGTTATATAGATAGATATATTTGATAAATCAGCTATTTTTGTTTTTTGTAAATAATCATAAAAAATAAATTTGTAGAAGATACTTCTATTTGTAAAATAATCTAATAATTAATAAATCAGTATATTTAGTACCAAATATATTAGACATGGTAAACATTAAATAAAGATTTTATGTTTCTTGCTGTCCCATAGGTTGCAAGGCAAAGCACACAGAGGATTAGATAGCATTATTAATTAATGAAAATTTAGAAGACGAAGATGAAAATTTGCAATAATAGTAGCAAAGTGATACAGATACATAAACTAATGATGAAAATAGTTTTGTTGAATACAATATTTCTCTGATTAGTTCAATATGTAAGAATAAACTAAAATTGCTATAAAAAAGAATTAATGGACATTAAGAGTCTATTTTTTTGGTGATTAATGACATTGACTCTAAAAATATTTAGGAGACTTACGAATTTGTTAAAGGGGATAAAATAAAAGCAATTAAAATAAAGTTCATACAACTTTTTCATAGATTTAAATAGGCTGATTTGCATAAATTTTTCAACATGGTTCAAGGCTTGACTAATTTAGAGATTTTGCAAATATCTAATTAAGATGATATATTTCAAAGTAATCCAACACGTATGAAAATCCCATTATTTTAACCAACTAGAAATGGAAGTCTTTCTAAACTTAAACATTTTAGCCTGAATTCTACATTGATGCAACTAAACTACCAAACTTTGTAAAATTTTGAAAAAGCTCTTACAAGCTAGCAAGAGGTATAAGGTTGCTTAGAGAGCTTTAACTTATTCACTGTTGAATGCGAATTAGACAAAAAGTGTTTTCGCTTTATAAACAATATTTTGTACTTTAATAGAAACACTCTTAAAAACATAGATATTAAAGTAGCTGAATGTGATTTTGATTAAGATAATCCTATTAACGAAATAGGCAAATCTATTTAAGAAATGAAAGAACTCCAATCAATCACTCTTTAACTTAACTTAATCTAATCAGAATTCGAATTAGTTAACACTAATCTATTGAAGTTTTTTGAAGGTATATCTAAATGTAAAAGCTAGCATTTAAACTAAATTTCTATTATCCTACTAAATGTTTATATTTTGTCTTGTTCTAAAGTTGGCCAATCAATTTCAAGAATTCCATCTATATCATATTTTGGCCCTATTAGTGTTACACAAGCTGTAGAAATGGGAATAGCTTTAGGAAAATCTCAACAATTGACAAATCTTAAAATTTATTCAAAGAGTGATGAAATGGCTTTAATGCTTTCTTACTTATTGCATTTTTCAAAAACTCTTTAAAAAGTTCATATTGATTATCAGGGAAAAAAATTACTTTCTTTCAAAGAAATATATACAGGATTAAAATCAAATTAGTCTCTCGATGATATCACAATTACAACTAGTGATTCTATCGCCACCAACATTAAAGGTTTATCTTATATTGGAAAGGGTATATCGCTAAATTAGACGTTAAAAAAAATAGGAATTATGTATTACTCTAAAGGTGATTTTGATTATTTTTATAAGTTTTTTGATTATATATCATCTAGTTAAAGCATTGAGTAAATAAGTTTTGATTTTTAGTCTGATAATAAATTGGATAAATTTGATCCAAAAGCACTATCTAGTAGCCTTTCTTAAGTCAAAAATTTATAAGAGTTTCATTTTGGGTTTAATCCTTTCTAATAAAAGAAAGTAAAATATTATTTATCATTAACTAAATTTTATTAACTTTATATTTTTAAATCTAGAAAAAAGACAAATTAGATTATATTAAGCTACTAAAAGGACTACTTGACCATAAGTACACATTTAATATATAATTAAGCGACTCTTATCAAGATATTTAAGAAATTACTGATAGTCTTTATATTGAATGTGAAAATTTAATTCTTACTTAAATTGCATTTAATAAAATAATAAGTCCCTTCCTTCATTACAATCCTATTAGGCACATTGAAGATTTGTACTTCTCATGAAAAATAAAATATTTGTAATGTTTAATAAATATGTATTTTTGTTATCTTACTTCTCATTAATTCAAAATAAATTTTATTTTCACCAAATATTTTTTGAAAAAATTATTTTTTGAAATCATTACAATAAATTAGAATTAAGAAATTACATTTATTTTAAATTTATTTCAGAAAAGAAATTTTAATATTTCAAATAAATATTAAGCAAATCAAAATATTTTCATAAAAAACTAAAATTTTAGATTCGATTAATTCCAATATTTAAATTTCATTAAATATTCTTCCAAATTTCAATTCAAATTTTCTATTTTAAAACATAAAATCTTTAAATATTTTTAAAATAAATTTGCTATGTTTTTGTTTTAACCTTCGCCAAATAAAATTTTATAAATTAAAAATCCCTATTAAAAAATTAATGGGTTTATTTTTAATGAATTTAAATAAATTCCATTATTGAGATTTTTATTAGTAAATATTTGTACAACAATTTTTTCAAGACTTTATACATTTTTCGGCTGATTATTTAATTATTTTTAATAAAATAAACTAAAAAAAAATGTTTTATATTTTTTTTCTTTCATTTTGCATTTCTTAGCCTGATAATTTTTCAAAAATTCAAATTGATAAATTTATTTTAATTAAGTATATATATATAAAATAGATTAATAGTTTTTATTTTACAAGAGTAAGATAAATAATATTTTGATCAAATTCTAAAGCTAAACAAATCGGTTATAAAAAAGTTAATTCTTATTGGGTTAATAATTTAGTCGTTTAAATTTTTAATTATTGATTAAATTTATATTTTTTTGAGAACATTAAATTTATAAATTTATATGACTTTTATAAAATTGTTTAAAATTAAAGTATAAATTTACAAAACATATTTAAACCAAATTAATTAGTTTGTTATCATTTTCTTTTAATTAAAACTAATTTTTAATCCAAAGGAGCATTAGTAACCTTTTAAATAATACTTAGTTTGTAATTGGGAACAGGTTCAATTTCAAAATTCATTAGTATATGGATAAGTATATACTTTGCTTCTAAAATAGCCATGTGCTAACCTATGCAATTTCTAGACCCAGAAGAAAACGGAATCATTTCATAAGGATTATTTATTTTACCATTTAAGAATCTTTCAGGAATAAATAAATCGCTGTCTTTAAAAACTTAAGATTAATCTTCTGAATATTAGGCAATTTTATACATTACTAATAGATCTTTTCTAATAAACAAATTTTCTCTCTTATAATCTTAATTTGTGACTCTTGGGAATATAAAAGGAGCTGCAACATAGAGACGAGTACTTTCTTTTATTACCAAATCAAGGTAATTAAGTTACAACAAGTTATTATGTTGAAATTCGTCATATTGTTTAATATTTTCTTTAATTTCTTTCATTAATTTTTCATATACTTATTTATTGTTGGCCAAGGCATATAGTGTCATTGATATAAGATGAGCAGTTGTTTCAGTTCCAGCAAAATAAAAAGTGAGATATTACTGAACGATCTCCTTTTTTGTTATAATATCAGCTTAAGGAATGCTTTTTAAATTTTTCTACTAAATCAAATACTCTTTAATGTAAATTTCAATAAAATTTCTTGGCTAATATTCAAAGATATCTATTCCTGTACTTATTACTTCTTAAATAGATTAATCAACATCTTACTCTATGATTTTTAAAATTTGGTCCATTCTTTATAAGTATTCTTTTTCAGTTGGGCTGTTCAAAATAAAAGAAGCACCTGTATTGCCTAAAAATGAGGATTTTAATATAAAGTAAGGTGAAGATAATCTGTAATTATAGGCCTCTTATGTAATATCTCCAATTTCTTATGTTAATGATTTTCCGTTGCTTATAAATTTGTTTTTGAACTCTCTATTAAAGAATGTGCGTGTTATTATTTCAGAAGTTATTTTTTGGGTTTCGTCAAACATATCTACTTTCACAAATCCTTGCTCTGGCTTTAAGAAGTTGCAAAAGTTCTTAGCTTCATCTTTAATTATTGGAACTCTTGCCTTCAACGAATCATAATGAAAGCTGCTGTTCAATAGCGCTCTTTATCTCTTCCACATTTTGCTCCATGTAAAGAGAAGAGAATCTCCATACATCTTACTAAAAGCGAATATCCCATCATTTTTGTAAAACCTATCTTAATCTTGAGAGAGAAATTTAATCCATTCATTGTCTATAGCTATAAAATAATTAAAGAGTCCAGATAAGATTATAATTGCCTTCACATGAGGTTTTTCTCTGCATACTTTTTTGATGAAGTGAGCTCCGTCATCATTCTCTTTTAGAGATTTTTACATAAAATAGATCAAGCCAAGTAAAGGGAAGAACATAAACTCAATTTAATTTCCATATTTCTTTTTGTAGATAAGATAAATTCTGAGGGTCTTCCATACTTAAATAGCAATTAGGATACTGAAAACAGTCAAAAATAAGTAAAAAGAAATTTTAATCAAATTTATCATGTTTCTTATTTTTTTTAATAAAATTAACTATTAATTTATTTTTCTGATGAAAAGTAAGTTTTTATAGAAATATCTAGCTAAAAAGTATGAAATTCAAATTATAAAAATGATAAATAAAATTGAAATACTGAGTAAATTAATAATTTTCACCACATAATAAAAGTATTCATTAAAATTTACTTTGGGGGTTCTTCCTAAGTGTATTTTAGAATTTTCTCTCTCAGCTTTATCTAAAAAATATTTATGTAACCTAAAATAAATAAAGATATCACTAATCATGTTTACTAGGAAGTGTTACATTTAACAGATTTAAATAGCTTAATAATTTGTTATTTTTACTTAAATATTTATAATTTATCAATTTTTGATTAAAATATTTTTGTGAAGTATAAATCATTAGTTTATATATACTTAAAATTAATTGTATTTAGTTATATTTCTAATAAATAAATGGAAATATTAAAAATTTGTTTATGAGCAGTATTATATAGAAATTTATAATATTAACATATATTTTTAATTAATTTTAAAGAAAATACAAACTGAAAATAATTTTATTTAGAAGGGATTATCTTTTTTCATCTTATGTTTATAAAAAAATTAATTTAGTCATTTATTGCTTTTAAAAAGATTTAAATATAAATAATTTAATTTTTTAAACTAATTTTTATCTTTATTAATAAATTAAATATTTACAATTTGCAATATATTAAAAATTAAGATTAAAACTAAAGTATAGAAACTATGTATGATTATTATTATTATCAAAAAATATTAGGTAAATTTGCACTACATGATCTCTAAATATCCGTATGCCATAATTTCCGCCTCCACTAAACACTATATATTTGGCTTTAGAATAATGAGTCTTTAATAGGTATGGAAATTCAAAATTATTAAAACCATATTTATGTTTTATATAAATTGGAAATTACCTTAAAACTTCAATTTATATTGCATTATGAACTTAGACTTCTCCTAAAATCGAAATTTTTATGCAGATTAATTTCTAAAATAAATATTTCAAAAGTGCTCCTTAAATTAGAACCAATGTGGTATTTATTTTAATTTATTTTGAATAAATTTCTTTTAAGATTTAACAAACTAACTTTGAGATTATTATATGTACATAAAATAAATAAAGAAATAGATAAATATAATAATCAATCATAAATTTATATTCAAAAACAATTTTAAAAATTTGAATTTCCAATTTTAAAACAAATAAATAACAATTTTATTCACAAAAGAATAGAATTAATTATTTATTTATTCATTCATTTATTATATAATATAAATTTTATTACTAATACCTTTCATAATATTTAAAAATTATTATTTTAAACTTAGATTTTCACTAAATTAATTAAATTTTTTTGCTAAAAATAAATTTTTTATTATTTGAATGATTAAATTGTAAAAAAATAAACATTTAAATTTTACCATAAATAAAATATCTAAATTTACATCTAATTATTTATTTTACCACAAATTTCATTAAAAAGTAAATATTAACATAAATTAAGTAGTGATTAGATCAGATCCTTTTGATTTATATAATTTCTAAATCGACTGGTTAATTGATCATGAATTAGCTCATTCTTAGTTTGTAGTTAGGAACTTCGGCAATTTCAAAATGGGTTAAAATATACAAGATCAAAAATTTAGCTTCCATTATTGCCATATTTTACCCAATGCATATTCTTTCACCAGAAGAAAAAGGAATCATATCATATGGACTAAGCTATTGGACATTCTTTTGATTTAAGAATCTCTCAGGAATGAACTTCTCACTTTCATTAAAAAATTCTTTTTCATCTGCATATTATATAAGTCTATTGGTTGCAAGCAAGTCTTTATCAATGTACAAATCTCCTCTTTAGTAGTTAGTATCAGTTCTTCTTGGAAATAAAAATGCTACAACACTATATAAGCGATTACATTCTCTAATGATAGCATCTAAGTAAGGAAGTTTTTACAAGTCTGAAGATTCAAGCTATTCATAATTCTTTCCACATTGTTTTAGCTCAGAGAATATTTTTTCTTTGATTGATGGATTTTTAGAAATCTCATAAAGACACATAGAAGTAAGCTGAGCAGTAGTATCTGTACCAGCAAAAAAGAATGTCAAGTACTATTAGACCAGCTCAACTTTAGAAATTATGTCTTCTTTTTTGTAGTTTTGAATATTTTTTTATTACAAAAGATATTCTTTTACGTACAACTCGCTGAAGTTTGTAGGTTAATATTATATTAGATCTTTCATTTTACTCATTTCTGATATTTTTTCATCAACTACTCCTTCTACAATAGAATACAAATCTCTAATCCTATTCATAATTTTTTTTTCTGCTTAACTCTGAAGAATGTGAGAAGCTTTGGCACATCCAAAAATAGCAGCTTTAATGATGAAGTATAAAGAAGAAATTCTTAATGTGTAACCATCTGAGCAGATGTCACAGATTTCGAGGGAAATATTTTTACCATTTTTACACTTGACATCCTTAAATGGACGGCCGAAGAAGGTCCTTGTAAAAAATTCTGATGTAATCAATTTGAGTTAATTATAGCAATTGATCTTAACAAATCCATCACTGGGTTTGAGGAATGAGCAAAAATTATTAATTTCATCTTTTAGAATAGGAACTCTCTATTTTAAGGAATCAAAATGGAAGCTACTATTGAGAAATAGTCTTTGCTTTTTCCATCTGTTGTAGTCACAAAAAGGCATTCCCTCTCCATGTAAAGAGTCGTAGCCAAAGAAAGCATCATCTTTGTAGAATTACTTTTGATCTTAAGATAAATATTTGATCCATTCATTATCATTAGCAATAAAGATATCCATAAAACCAGAAAGAATAATGATGGCCTTTACTTTAGGATTTTCTTTAACAATCTATTTCAAAAATTGATACCCATCATCATGCAATTTTAAAGAATTTTGCATAAAGTAGGCTAATCCTAATATAGGATAAAATAAGATTTTAACTTGGTTGCCATATTTGTTCTTATAAATTAAATATAATCTTGCTGTTTTATAGGTTATCCTGAGAAGTATCAATAAGATAATTAAACCAAAGCCTATCAGTAAATTAAATATCATATCTTTTTTAACTTTTTGATTTTATTTTTATTTTATAATAAATATTTATAGTAAGATATAATTTTTGATCGCTAAATTTTAAACCTAATTATTTCATGCAAATTATATTCTTTCTTTTAATGTTTTCCAATAATTATTAATTTTCTCTATTTATCAAATTTTAATTGTAAATACCATTAAATTATATTCGTTTTACTTCTATTTACACTAAACACAATAAATTCTGTTAATGATAGGAAAAATATTAATTGAAAACTTATTTAAAGGATGAGTAAATCAATTAATTATTAGCATGCAAATTTTTATATATTTATTTATTATTTTGCAGATTTAAATGGGTAAAAAATACATTTTTAGATTGTTTTTTATATTTTATATGAATAAAAAAAGCATAAATACACTAATTTTAGTAAATAAGAAATTAATAATAAAAATGATTTTTAAAAGTAATAAATAACACAAAAAGTTCTGTAAACATTTTTCCAAATAATTTTTATTTTTAAAAATCATATTAAGATTTTTTACATGAGCAAAAATAATTTACTGAAAATATAAAATAAAAAATATTTTTAATTCAATTATAACAAATCTCAAAATAATAAAATTTAATAGAACTTATGATAGTGTTTTTAAAAATAATTTTATCAATTTTCTATTTCATCAAAATAAATTAAACAATTAAGGTTTGTATTCTATTTTTTAATAAAATAAATAGCTAAAGAATAGATTCCATCTTAATTGAAATAAATTTATTTTTTGAGTTCATTAATAGATTAACGATTAGGATACTATGTGATATATTTGACTAATTATGAATGTATCAAAAATATTTTTTTGAGAATATTTTGATAAATAATTTTAAAGATTAAATTAATTAAAAATCAAACAGCCAGCAGATATTTTTTATCACTTTTATATTTCTTCAAAATAAATTAAATCAATTCTAGTTTAATAGTAATCCTTACTGAAAAAATAAATAGATAAAAAATAATCTTCATCTTAATTTAAAGAAAATTATTCATTTAGTTCATTAACTGATGAATAATTAGGATAATCTAAAAACTATAGCTATTAGTTTTCTATATCTATTCTCATTTCTAAAATTTAATCTTTCTCTATTGAGTTAAAATAACTTCCTTAGGTCACTCTTCCACAAAAAAGGTTGTTATTTACACAAAAGGCCTTTCCTAAATTAGTTTTATTAAGAGTAGTTTACAAATTATTTTAATTTATGAGGCCAATTATAAAGTAGCTTCCTGCTTGATCGTTAAACTTAAACCTTATTGTATAATATTTATTTTTAGTTAAATTATAGTTAAAATACATTTAACCTTCTTTTTCTAGGAAATCTAGACTTTTATTTATAGATATTTTATTTTCAATAAAATCATTTTTAATTTCTATTATAAGAGATTAGTCTTTTATTTCACAAATTTTAGAATTTCCTAATAGTTAATACAGCTATGCTTACTATGATATTTATAAAGATTTTTCTGATTGAATTAATTACTTTAGCTGTATGGTGAAATCATCTATTTTTTCTTAAATAGAATATCTTAGAGTTTCAAAATCATCTAATCTACAAATATTTTAATTCTTATATTTTTGTAGTTGCTCCTTTAAAATAGCTGTGTTTTATTCTTTTTATTAAAAATATTATGATATAAATTAATTTAAATCGATTATATTATGCTATATTGTTTATTTATTAAAATTAATTAACTATTTAAACTAATCTCTTCCTGAAATCTCATTATAAAATGTAAGTATCTCTTGTTTTCTTTCTCTTAAACTTATTATTTTTGATATCATTTTTTTCTTTTCTTATTCTAAATAAGTATTTAGGTCTCGAATTATTTTATTAAATTAAAATTCTAATTGCTCTATCAATTCAATATCAGGCTTTGTAATTGCCTTAATATCTTAGAGTAATAAATAATCATTTAAAGGTGGCCAATTTGTAAATATATGATCCTCATTACACATTTTAATAGATTCAATAGAAATGTAATCATTCAATTTGCCTTCTTCAAACATACATTCTTGGCACCTCAGTTCTGCTGAATTTTCTTAAGAAAGCTTAATGAAATTCACTTTAAAATTGGGATGACTATCACAAAAGATTGCAGTTGAGTCTTCAAAGTAGTCCATAATTACTATTAATTAAAATAAATATGTTTTTCTCTACTATTTTAATCAAGGGATTAATTAATAAATTAATATACTTAGTTATATTTTCCTGTAGAACTAAATTTTGTATTAAAGGTATTGAACTTTAATATTCTAATATCAAAAAACATATTTTATTTTTACCCAAAAATGCAATATTTAATTCTAATAATTATTAAAAAGAGACTAATTTCATAATAAATGAAAAAAATATCATTTTGAAATTTTGTTAGTGTAGAATTTATTTAATTAATTTTATACTCCATTGTAATATTTTTAAAAAATATAATAATTATAGTAAACAATTTATTATTTTTTTTTATTCTGAAGTTATTCTTGCAATTATTTTTAGAAAGAAACCGTTTTAAAATAAATTTAATCTCAAATTTAATAATTCAAAAATAAATAATTACCTGCTTGATAAACAGAAATAAATAAATAAATAAAAAATAATAATATGATTAATACGTTTTCAATTATTTTAACTATACTCTATATTCTACTTTTCCAAATATCTGTTTAAGTTACCTTCTAATTAAATAAATGATCTGTTTTTTAAATATCTAATTTAGTAAATTTTAGTAAACAATAGTGTAACTATCTAAAAAACTATAATTGTGCTAGGATATGAATTAATTAAACATTATAAACAATGTTTTAACAATAATTGTCATTTTGAAAGAGTATCCTAAATATTTAATTACTGAATTCTCATTGTTTAAGCAGCTTATTCATTCAATAGTTAGGTTAATAACAATAAGAGAACTAATCAATTAAATTATTTAAATAATAACAAAAATAACTAAAGAAATATTGTTAGAAGATAAAAATTCAATAAAGTAAATAAGACCTACAACATCACTGTTGTAGGTAGGATTTAGATATTTAGCATGATTGTTGTTGCTTTCATGAATGATTATATAATCCATTTCTAACTATTTATTACATATATTGCTATAGTTACGATAATAAAAGAAGTTGCATAAATTATATGCTTAATCAATTCTTACAAGTCTTCTGAAACTCCAAATAAATTAGCTATAACTTAAAATCCAAAATTTTTATAACAAAATGGAAAGGAAAAAGCAAAAGTAATAACTATTAAAAAAACATAATTTTCATTACTGTAATATCTTATTATATGTTTTAAAGAAATTCCTGCTCCTTAAAAAGCATGATAAATTTTATAAATCCTAGACTATTCTATTTTACAATAATTATATATAATTATCAGCACTCCACCTAATAATATAACGATTTGTATGATATGAATATAAATTTTCCCAGTTAAGAATCTTACTTCAAAAGATAAAAAAAGCTTTACACGATCAATTAAAGAGCATTTCTATTGCGTCTCATTCTAAGATTTTAGTAAATGTCAAAAATTAATAGTATATAGAGCATAAAATGACCCAATCAATAGAAATTCTTTATATACTATATATAAATATCTTCACTTAGTATTGACTATAATTAGAGTTTATTATCTTTAAAATTATTGATAGCAAATATATTTATTCATTATTTAAATGGGTAAAAAAAATATTTTTAGATAGATTATTATATTCTATATAAATAAATATAAATATACTCATTTCATTAAATAAAAAATAAATTATATAAATGGTTTTTAAAAGTAATAACACAAAAAGTCCTGTAAACATTTTTCCAAATAACTTTTATTTTTAAAATAAAAAATAAATGAGAGAGGGCTAGTATTGTTTATATAGAGTCGCAAACTTTCCATTACATATATTATTTTAAAAAATATTTTTATCAATTTTCTATTCTATCAAAATATATTAAATCAATTCAATTTTATATTTTTTCATCTTATTAAAATAAATAGCTAAATTCTTGATTCCATTTTAATTTAAATATAATTATCTATTGAGTTTATCAATAGATTAAAAATTAAAATATGTATAAGATATACTACAAATTTAGTATGTATCAAAAATAATTTTATTGAGTATATTTTAATAAAAAATTAAAAATAATTTTTATAAGTCTATAAATTAAAACAGTATTAAAAAAATCACTTTTATATTTCTTCAAAATAAATTAAATCAATAATTGTTTGATATTTTTCGTTATTAATAAATTAAATAGCTAAAAAATAATCTGCATCTTATTTTAAATAATATTCTTCATTGAGTTCATTAACTGATAAATAATTAGGATAATCTAAAAACTATAGCTATGAGTTTTCTATATCTAATCTCATTTCTAAAATTTTATCTTTCTATACTGAGTCAAAATAACTTCCTTTTGTTACTCGTCCACAATAAGTAGTGTTATTTTCACAAAAGACCTTTCCTAAATGATTTTTCTAAAGACAAGACAAATCTTTTTAATTTATAACACCGATTATAAAACAGTTCCCTGCTTGATTATTAAACTTAAATCTTATTGTATAATATTTATTTTTAGTTAAATTATATTTAAAATACATTAAATCATCAGTATCAAGACTTTTAATTATCGATATTTTATTTTAATATAAATCATCTCTTTTTATAATAGGAAATTAGTCTCCTCCTTTTTTACAAAAGATTGAGTTTCCGAGTAGTAAATTCAGCTATGCTTACTATGATGTTTACAAATATATTTCTGATTGAATTAATTACTGTAACTTTATGATGAAAACATCTATTTCATCTTCAATAGAATTTCTTATTGTTTCAGTATCATCAAATCTACAAATATTTTAATTCTTATATTTTTGTAATTGTTACTTTAAGATAGTTGTGTTTTATACTTTTTATTAAAATTTTTCTGATATAAATTATTTTATATCAATAATATTTTGCTTTATTATTTATTAATTAAAATTAATTAATTATTTAAACTGATCTCTTCCTGAAATCTCATTATAAAGCGTAAGAATCTCTTGTTTCTTTTCTCTTAAACTTATTATTTTTTATATCATTTTTTTCTTTTCTTATTCCAAATTAGTGATTATGTTTCTAATTATTTTATCAATTTACAATTCTAATTGCTCTATCGAATTAGCATCAGGTTTTGTAATTGCCTTAATATCTTAGAGCAAGGAATAATCAGTTAATGGTGGCCAATTCTTAAATATATAATCATCATTACACATTTTAATAGATTGAATAGAAATGTAATCACCCAATTAGCCTTCTTCAAACATACATTCTTGACACTTCAGTTCTGAATTTTCTTAAGAAAATTTAATATAATTCACTTTAAGATTTGGGTGACTACTACAAAATATTGCAGTTGAGTCCTCAAAACAGTCCATAATACCTATTTTTATTAACTTAAAATATGTTTTGCTCTATTATCTTAATCAAGGGATTAATTAATTAATGAATATATTAATATATATTTTCCTTCAAAAATAAATTTTGAAATAAAGGTATTGAATTTTAATATTCTAATATCAAAAAATATATTTTTACTAAAAAATGGAATATTTTCTACTAAGAATTATTAAACAAACATCTTACATAATAAATTAAAAAAGTATTTTTTGTAATTTTATTTATGAAGAGTTTATTAAATTATTTTCATACTTGATAGGAATATTTTTTTTTAATATAATAATTATACAATTTATTATTATTTTATTTTAAAGTTAATCTTGAAATTATTTAGAAAGAAATAAACAGTTTTAAAATAAATTTAAACTCAAATTTGCTAATTCAAAAAATAAATAGCTATTTGTTTGATAAACAGAAATAAGTAAATATATATAATAATAATAATAATAATATGATGATGAAAATGGTTTTCAATTATTTTAACTATACTCAAGATTCTACTTTTCCAAATATCTGTTTAAGTTATCTTCTAATTAAATAAATGATCTGTTCTTTAAATATCTGATTTAGTATATTTTAGTTAACAAAAGCGTAACTATCTAAAAAACTATAATTGTGCTAGGATATGAATTAATTAAACATTATAAACAATGTGTTAACAAAATAATTGTCATTTTGAAAGAGTATCCTAAGCATTTAATTACTGAATTCTCATTGTTTAAGCAGCTTATGCATTCAATAGTTAGGCTAAAAACAATAAGAGAACTAATCAATTAAATTATTTAAATAGTAACAAAAATAACTAAAGAAAAATTATTAGAAGATAAAAATTGAATAAAGTATTATAAGCCCTACAATATCAATGTTGTTAGGATTTAGATATTTAGCATGATTGTTGTTACTTTCATGAATGATTATATAATCCATTTCTAGTTGTTTATTACATATATTACTATAGTTGCGATAATAATAGATGTAGCATAAATTATATGCTTAATCAATTCTTACAAGTCTTCAGAAACTCCAAATAAATTAGCTATAACTTAAAATCCAAAATTTTTGTAACAGTATGGAAAGGAAAAAGCAAAAGTAATAACTATTAAAAAAACATAATTATCATTACTGTAATATCTTATAATATGATTTAAAGATATTCCTGTTCCTTAATAAGCAAGATAAGTTTTATAAATCCTAGACTATTATCTAATTTTTTCAATTTTACCATAATTATATATAATTACCAGCACTCCACATAATAACATAATGATTTATAAGATATGAATATAAATTTTTCCAATTAGGAATCTTATTAGATGATACTTCAAAAGATAAAAAAAGCTTTACACGACCAATTAAAGTGCATTTCTATTGCATCTTATTCTAAGATTTTAGTAAATGTCAAAAATTAATAATATTGAGCATAAAATTAACCAATCAATAGAAATTCTTTATATAATGTATATAAATATCTTCATTTAGTATTGATTATATTTAGAGTTTACAATCTTCAAAATTATTGATAGCAAATATATTCCATTAGAAAAAAGAAACGAAGCATTAAATGAAAGCAAATCAACCATGTAGGCGAAAATCAATTAAGCAATTATTTACAAAAAGAATACTACCACAACAATCTCATTATGGTTAGACATAGGAGAAAATGATTCATAATCAATAATTTAAGAGAAAACAATAATCACAATACCTAAAAATATCTAATTAGATTTCTCTTTTTTTATCTTCCAAATTTATTACTGGATTTCTTTTTCTAAATTAGGGATTATTAATAAATTGTATGATTATCCATTTTCATTATCAATTTAGTTAGGGATAGCTTCTTTTACATTTATTTTATTAACTAAAATTTAATTCATTTTCTTCTTATTCTTATTTAGTATTTTAGCCTTACTAATATTTTAATCAATTATTTTTTATCTTTACTAAATAAAAATGATTCAAAAATAATCTACAAAATTAATTTCCTTTTAAAGTTAGAAAGATTAATTAATTATTATAGTCTTAAAGTTTTTCAAATTTTTTCAATTAATCAAACTTTTATATGAGTGAATTATAATTTCAAAAATATTTCAATTTGATTGTTAATTAAAATTAGTGGTCATCATTTATTAGTAGGTAAGTTAGTAATAGAGAGTAATATTTTCTAATTTATCCAAAAAAATTTAGTAATTAGTACTCATAATTAATTGACTGCAATAAATTTATTTGTTTCTAGTTAGATTTTTATTTTAATATAAATTAACCCTATTTCATTAAAAATATTAAAAAATATTTAATAATAATTTTAAATATTTAAATAAATAATATTTATTAATATATGTGTATATAGGTAGATAAAATAAAGTTTAAATTAATAAATTATATATATATAAATTATTTCAGAAAATTTTGTACACTTTATAAAAAATTCACCTTAATTTAGAGTGCACCTTGACTTAGAGAATAGACGGTAATATATATATATATATATTATCAATATATTAATATTTGATTTAAAGATATTTTTAAATTTCAATTTGAGTTACAAATTTATTTAATTAAATTTTTGAATGTAATTTAGAATAAGTTTATTACAAACATATATAGGTATAGATACTAGCTAAATTTTGATAGATTTTTTACATTTTCTTTTAAGTTTGTAAAAAAATTTTTCATTACAAATTGATTTTTGTACAGCATTCATTCAATAACTCTTCAAACTATTATTCAATTTGGCCATAACATTATTTAGATTTAATAATTTTTAATCTTTCTTATGATTTATTTTTAATATCTATCAACAAGGACTTGTTTTCTTCAAAAGAGTTTTCAAATTTTATCTTCAATAGATTAAGCTTATAAAGATATATTAATGTATTTTAGTGTATTGCTGATTTTATTCCATAGTATTTTTCTGATATTTTATCACATTCTCTCATTTTTTCTATTGCAATCTAGAATTCATTAATTGATTCATAGTAAATTGCTTAGGTGTTCAGGTTTGTAATTTTATTGTAGTTCCTATTACTTTTACCATTTTAAGTTTCTAAATATTTCTATAAATATTAAAATGAAAGCATTTCATTTTTTAGTTTACTGTAAGTAATTGCTTTCACATAATATTATAGAGAGTCTCTGCATTTTTAGATTTGTGACATCTTTCCCTTTTTGCTAAAAATAAAAGTAAAATAAAATTAAAAATTTATTAAAATAAAGCAAATACGGCTATTAATCTATAAGATTGATGTATTTTAATGAGTTTTATAGGTCTTGTCTTTCTTCATAATGTAATGCTAGTGCAGAAAAATAGAAGATTTTATGTTATTCATACAAGTTTGGGTTTTCTTGAATTAGTTTTAATGAGGATTGCAATGATTCCAAAGCTTTATCATATTAATAAATAGCACTTTGTTATTTAGATTTGAATAATAATGATTTAGCTTTTAATGATTTAATTATTTAACTAGCACCTTTATCATCTGAATATTCTTGTGAAAGACTAGTTAATATTTAATCTGTGCAATCCATATATTTTTAAACTGTTTCCCATTCTCTGGCAACAGTTGCACAGTCTGCCAAGGACTAGTATACTCTAGCAATTGTTAGAAGGCAAGAAAATAATCTCCTTGAAATCAATTCTTATTCATCTTTTAGGTCATCTTCGTCTAGTCCACTTTCATTTTTTTCATTTAAGCTTTCTCCTTCTGATCTTAGCATTTAAAAGGTCCTTTCCAAATCTCCTGCATATTCTTCAAGTAGTTCAATCGAATTTTAAAAATCCCCTTCTTCTTAAGAAATTTAGCTCATAGTATTAATTATCTCAAACCTGTTTTCAGTATATGTTTCTATAAATAAATTATAATTATTTTTTTATCATAATTAGAATAATTTTTATTTTATCTAAAAAAATTTTTAATTTATGATAAAATTAAAAAAAATAATTTTTTAAATGGTAAAATTTATTTTTAAATAAATAAATTTATCGTGTTTAACTAAATAATCTACTTAATAAATAAAAGAAAATAGAAACAAACATTAATACCTAAACTCTCAGCTAAATCTTTCATATTTTTAGCAAATTCTTTTATTTCAGGGAAATCTTGAGCATCCCACCATATTGAAAAAAGGTGCATATAGCACTGGATGCCAGTTTTAATGTTTTTCTTTTTTAAACATATTTCTAATGAATTAATTGCTTGCTAAATGGATTATTAAATAGCATTTTCTTCTGAACTCTCCAAGGTGAATTACGATAATAATAGCAAATCATCTTCATAGCCTTCATAACTCTTTCCAAAGTTTCTTTCTTTTTCTTAAATATACTTTTTAGTCATTTCTATTCCTTTTTCATACTGGCTTTTGTACATGCATTCCATCAGATCTTAAAATTTAACACTAAGTGTTTTTATATTTTAATTGTGAGCACTCTACAAATTAATATTTTTATTAGCTGCTTAATTGCTATTTTACTACTTATTGTTGTTATTTTTGTTCTATGAAAATTTATAAACTAGTGGTTAGCAAAAAAAGCTCATCCTTTTTTGCGTTTTTGTAATTTATAAAATATTTTGCTTTAAAGAATAAATGAATTAGGAGTTTCTCATTTTCATCTTATATGAAAAATTGATAAAAAAGCTGACAAGCAAGAATCTTCTATTAAAAAATTATTTACTGAAAAAGAAAGAGGAAATTAACAAGAGTTTTTGATAAATAATTCAATAATTTTAGTTTTGCAAAATAGGATTTAAACAGAAATTAATAGAAAAGTCAAGTTAATTAACATTTTTATATTCTATTTCTGATATAATTAATGCCAAACAAACAAAAGAGCCTTCGGTATTAATTATACTTCATTTTTAATCAGCAATTTACTGATAATTGAGTAGATTATATCAGAAATCTATGAGACTTTTGTTTATAATTTATCAAAATTTATCAATTTTTAGCAACACAAAAACAAATTTGAATATTAAATTGGTTAATATGTTTAGTTTTGTAAGTAAGTAGAACTTTTAAAATTAAATAATAAACGATAATTAAAAACTAATGAAAGAAGATATTTTTAGATGAATCAACGAATCAATTTTTTATAAATTAAACATAAAAAAAACAATAGAAAACCATTTAACAAGATTTAATGAAGTAAATAAAAAATAATAGGAGGAATGGATAAAAATATAAGAAACTGGATTAAGATATAACATATATAGATAGATAGAAAAATAAATAGACAGATGAACCATAAATAAATACTAAAGCTATTATTGTTCATTCTATATTAGTAATTTAAATTCATATCTGTTTTTTTAGGTATTAATTTTGAACAAAATTAGTAAAACACATTTATTTAAACAATTGATAAATAAAATAGGTAGTATAGCAGAAATTAATTAACAATTATCAACCATTAATAGTTATTTAGTTTGATAGATATTTAGTTGGTTACTTTATTTATATTGTATCTTATTTTATTTGTTGAAAACATATATAGCTAAGTTTTTCAATTTCAATTCTTTTTTTATTGTTGTTGTTATTAATTGAGGAAGTTTTAATTTTAAAAGTATTAAAGCTAATTGAATCCAACTGGATGTGAATTAAAAGAACTGTTACCTTATCCTATAAATCCATTAGAAAAAGCTATATTAGATGTGTTGAAAACTCCAGACTATCCTAAATTAGTAGACACGTTTCCTGCTTAGGCATTAGGATTATTAGCTTCGAAATTTCCACTTGATTGAAGTCCGAAATTTTAGCTATTTAGTGATTGTCCAGGTAAATTTGGAGTTGAGGGTCCTTAACCCATATGCTAAATCTGAATACCTTGTGCTCCTGATTTTGCTTAATTGAAGCTTACATTTTTATTTGCTCCATCGAATTAGGCTTGGCTAGATTAAATTCCTAAGAATGAGGGATAGTTTTACATTCCTAAATTTAGACTATAATTATTGTTAAAGTTATAACTGTTGTTAGATGGATTCATGGCATTCATATTTAAGAAATCAAAGTTTTCGTTAATATTCCCATTGCTATTAAATTAGAGGAAATTGAGATCCTTCTTTTATAATTGAGAAGCATCAGATGATAAAATGCCTGTGGCACTTGGATTAATAAAATCGCTTTGGAATTCGCCTAATTCACGATTCTACTAGTTTTATGATGGCTGAACTGAATTATTGCCTGCAAATTTCTAGCCTTATTGATTTAAAAAGTTATTTTGAGAAAATCCTGTTTAATTATATCCACCTAGACTATCCAATCCACTGCCTGCTATCGGCTTATTTACTATGTTTTTACTAATCTAAGGTTGTATTGGCTAATTAGCTTATCCTTGCTATTGCTATTAAGATTATTGCTAGAGCTATTGCTATGATTACTGCTATTTACGCTACTCTTCTTATTGCTTTTATTCTACTATCTTCTAGAGATAATCCTTTTAAGTTGATTAAAAATTCATAGAGGCTTTTGTAAGATTAGATCCTTAATTTGATTCTTATAGATTCATCGAAGAACCATTATTTTTTCCTGAACCTTTGCTTTGTTTTCCAGATTCTTACGGAGCTTATGCTGCTGAACCTTCTCCTCCTTTCTCATTATTATATGGAGGTGATATTTAAATGATTGCATCAACTAGAGCGTTATAATCTTCATGCAACTTTTTGTTTTACTCATTAGGACGTCTGCTAAGATTACGGTAAACTCTGTTAAGAGACTTAGGGATAATTTTAAGAGCTGTTGTTCCATATATCTTTGACCAATACTAAAAGAGTTATGAGAAGTCTTTAACAATTGTATGCATGTGCTAGTTGAATACACGCATTTCCTACTCATCGTTAAGATAAAACTTCACTGCATATGCCATCAATATCAAATAGAGAAGAACAGATTTATAATCTAAGACATCCTTAACTTCAGTGATGTTGAGGAAGTCATTCATAAAATAGGCCTATTTACGCACTTCGATATCATCTACTTTCCACTTGCTTTCTTCCAGCACATAGCCAAAAAAGATCAACTCCAACTCATTAAATAAAAACTTTTTAATTATAGCACGTATCATTTTATAAAGAGGGAATTTGCAAGCTATTTCTTAAGCATGCTTTTCCGAAGCTATTCTTTTACAGAATCTGTTTATTTAATGGCTATACCTATAATTTAAAAATGAAACATAAATAAAAAGATATTATTATTATCTCTAGTATTTTCTAATACAATCTGAAGTTATTCAACTGTATTTATATTTATTTAAAAATAAACTCAATGCTCTAACTGATAAAATAATATTATATCTTATATATCATAATGCCAATTATATTTTATTTTTTATGTGTGTTGAATTAGGAACCTTTTTAGGTTGATCATTCTGATATTCTGATGAGCGAGTATGTTTTTATAAAATATAGAGAGAGAGTTAAGACTAAATCTAATTTTAAACTTTTTTTTGATAGTTAGAAACTTGTTTGTTTTAATTGCTTAATAAGATTAGTTTTATAGGTATAAAATAAAATAATTTATTTATTTATTTACTCTTCATTTGAATAGCGAAATTGCATGGCATCAAATTCTTTCAGAAGATTCTGTGTATTCTTTTTTTCATTTTCCTTTTAAGTAGTTAAGTTATTGAAATTATTGTCGTTCTTTCTATCCTAAAAGTTTTGGTTTTGCAAACCTCCCATCTAGTTTCCTCCCTATAACCCTAAATTATTATTATTGCTCGGTCCCATATTTCCATCGTTTAACTTTTGTCTTTTATCGGGGCCTCTTTCAAAGCTGCTAATATCATTGTTAGTGCTTTGATTAATTGAGCTTTGAATAAAGCCATTTGTAAGATTTTATGTGATAACTTCGCTGCACTACATACTGTCATTTTAATTATTACTGACATTTATTAGAGGGCGTATCATTTGATTTTATCCAGCTGCTGTGTTTAGAGGATATCCTCCTAGCATCTAGTTTTGATTCATTTTAAAATTATTGCTAGCCATATTATTTTCTTTTTAATCTGTTTTGAAATTATTTTGTAAATGGACAAGTCTTTACGGCGGTCTCCTTTCCTTAGACTTTTTATTGTTGTATTTAAATAAATGGTGAGTTAACATGCAAATTGTGTGAAAGCTAAAACATGAGAATTGAGTATATTTTATGAAGTTTAAATACCTTTTTAACTTGGCGGTTTTTATTAAGTTTGGACCAGGTTTGATTAGGTTCTTTATTAACTTTCCTTTTTTGTTTATCAAGTATTAAATCAATCTCCTTTCTTTCTCTTATGTTTTTTGATTATTATTTCTAGGAATATAATTATATTTCGTCTATATACTTTCTTATGAATGACGATTCTCTATATTCCGCTTCTTTGTTTTACTTAAAATCAAATTCCTTTATTCATCCTGCTTTCATTTCTCACTAAAATTTTTTTATTTTTCCTAAAATGTGCCTAAAATTGCATTAAAAAACTTACCCTGCTAAAATGACTTTCTAGATATTTAAAGATAGATAACTTTTTTAAAATAAAAATAATTTGAATGATAACAAATACACCAGTCTGCTTCTTGATAATTATAATAGCTTCTTCATACCTCTAAATAATTAATTTATTTATTGATGGCTTTTTAAATTATTTTTTCTTTTGTACAGATGAAGCTTTGAAATCCTATTTTTTTAAAATATACTCTCTATGTTTATCACAAAATACTTTCGACATTTTTGATAAAAGAAAATTTGTTAAGTTTCTCTTACCTTTTTTTCATTGTTTATTAAAAATATTTATTAGATTTTAAACAAAAATGAAGAATGAGAAAAAAAAAGAGTTAAATTTGCAGAGTAAGTTTTAATTAATGAAATAAATTGATTCTGATTTTTTAATTTCACTAAAAGAAATCAGATTTGAAGAGATATAAATGGCAAATAGATACGAATAGACAGTATATTAAATTGAAAGAAGATTTCATAATAACTGTATAAAACTGATAAGATTAAAAGAGGTTCTTCTTCAGAATGCGTCAAAATATAAATTCTTGCAAATTTGCTTTATGATTTGATTAATCTAACACAAATGAATATAATCTCTTGAGAATATATTAAAATTAATAGAAAATAAGTAAATATTCTTATTTAATATTGATTGATCAATGATTGTTATAATCAATTAAAATTTGATTGATTTTGCCATCTAATAATTTGAGAAATTGTTAGAAATTTGATTTTGTTATATTAATGATAGATGAGGTAGTCAATAATCAATTTTTTAATATAAAAGTTAATAATAAAATTTATCACATGAATCCACTACCTCTCATGATAATTATAAATTTTTGAGAAAGACCATTTATTAGGAATTAATGCTACTTATTTGCTTATTTATTTTATAATTTTGCGCGAATTAATTAATAAATATTAATACTAAAGTTTTAGATTTTGATTCTTACTTATTGTCAAAAATAATTAAAAAACATAAAACAAATTAAGACTATCTTTAGTCATTTTTTCAAGAAACTATTTTTGTTTAACTAAAAGAAAAGCTAAATTTAAACTAGATTAGTTATTTTTTATCAGTGAAATGTTTGCAGGTACTGATTGCAGTGATTATACTTCTTAGTTAGATCATTTAAGTTATCATAGTGATTAAGGACCTTTGAATAACTCTTCTGTCCAATCTGCAAATGCAACCATTAAAACTAAAAATATTCTGAGCTGTATGCAGCTAATTCAGCAGTAGTTAAAAGAGGAAGATATTGAACACATAAATCAAATGGAAAATGACAATACCATTAATTTTTTTAATTAATACGATACATTCAATAACAACTAAAAATAGAAATATCTCAACGCAGTTTCCTTACAAAATAATTGCGATGAAAGTAACATTATAAGCACTGGTTAATTCAATAAAAACGTGGAAAGCAATAACTAGTCGCTGACTTAAGATAAGATAGATACTGTCAGGTAAATCAAAAATTATCTAAAATCTAATTTGGATTTCAATGAAGCAGATTCAAATGATGAAAACTCCTCGACTGATCTATAAAATTAGTAGAATAATCAGTCTGGTAATTCAGATCAATTAGTTGATGAAGAAGATATCATGAGAAGAATTCATTAAATGGTTGAGCATTACAAATCTATGAGCTAAATGGAAAAAGAGGGGGACGAAGAAGAGCAAGAAGGTGAGATAGAAGATGATAACAACTAAAGCATAAAAGAATAAAACTCAATAGCAGCTGAAGAAGTTTTCTAAAGCTTTTTAGAAAGAAACTAATATTATACGATGCAAAAATAAGTAAATCTTTAAAAGAAGCGTATGATAAAATAGCAAGAAGAAAACAGCTTACAAAAAAAAAATATAATGTCTAAGAAGTCAAAACAAATATGCAAAGATATTTCTGATCAATTTAAAATAAGCATTGGAAATAGATCATAGACGATATTAGAAAAAAAAGAATATGACAAGATTTTACATTAAGCTACAGTTCGCTATTTAGAAACTTAAGATTGTTCATTTAAGCCGCTTTTGAACCCTAATTCTATGAAAATATTAAAATAAAACTAGTAACGTACGTATGACTAATTTTATGAAGATATGTGTTCGTGGCAAAGATAAACTGAGCAAAATAAAGCTCAAATTTTAATTAACATGAATCTTGAAAAGGAGAGGAAAGAGTAAGAGGAAAAAAAGAAACTTTAAGTTGGCCCTTAGATAGACCCAAACTCAATTAAAATCTTTGAAAAAAAAAATTAAAATGGGGATTTCTTAACTAGACTTGAAGTTGATATTGACAAGCGATAGTTAAAGAAAAAATAGTTAGAATTAAACAACCAACCATCATTTTAACCATTAATTTATGAAAATATAAGATCACCAGCAATCATTAATTAAATGAGAAGTGAACAAACAAATTACAGAATGCAGAAAGTTAAGGATGAATAAAATACTTGGAATTAATTTACTTCTCCTGTTTCTATAAAATCAAAAAAAGCAAATACTAGTTTTACAGTTTCTGACAACAAATATGGTATAAATAATTAATATTACTATGATTCCAATGTAAATTTCACAGAAAATGCTGCTGCAACTCCTTTGAAGGAAAAAAATAATAAGACATTTACCCAAGTTGTAACCAGCTCCAATAAATAGCAAAATAAATTTAATGCTAATTTAAATTCTTCTCAAAATATTAGTGCTAAAAAAGTAAGCACTAGTAACTTTAATGCAAACATCTAAGTTTCAAATGATTTCTCTAATCTAAGTGAATCCAAAAAGAATTAATATAATTCAAGTAACAAATATAATTCTAATAGCACTAAGTTTACATCAATAAGATCAAACCAAAAAGAAACACCCTAAAATAATAATAAAAAGCATTCTATTTAATTAAGTTCTAACCAAGATTTTAGCTATAGTCCATTTGAGTCTAATCCATATATAAATGAGGATTCGATGACAATGAGTTAAAAAAACTAAATGGATTAGTAATTATAAAATGATAAAATAGAAAAAGAGTAGTTTGATTCCTTTATAAAATAAAATTTAAACAAACTAAAAAGCACCTTAAACAAACAAAATTTATGAGAATTTGGTTTAAATAAATTTTTAAATAACATTAATATGTAAAAATTATAAATAAATTCAAAAATATTTTGATTTTTTTTAAATATATGTTAATATATTTATTTACTCTTATATAAATATTTATTGTGGTTCTTAATTAAAAATTCAAATCAATAAACTTTAAATTAAAAAAATTGCAAATATTGAATCAGATCAATTAAAAATATATCAATAAGTATAGTTAAGACTATATAAAAAAATATTTTACTAATCATTTTTCTTAAATTATTTACATAAACTGTTAGATAGATATTAAAGAATAAACTAATAAATTGAAATTGATATCTCAATCAAAAATAGTTATTAATTTTTCAAGTATTAATTAATTAATATTTGTTGCTAAACCAAACCAATACATAAAATATTTTTTTAAATATTTTGATAATATATTATAAATTCCTTTAATATAAGGATAATATATTTTAAACTTTTTAGTAATTTTATATAAAAAAATTTCTAATATTTTTTAAATTACAAAGCTTTAAAGTTTAATTTTTAATTACTCTTAAAAAATGAATGAAAAATTTTAAAAAGTTTTAAATCGATTTTAATGTATAGTGAATTAAATTCATTTAATATTAAAATTATTTCAAAAAGTTTGCTATTCCCTTAAGTATTATATAAACTACTCAAAAAATAAATCTTTCAATAATGTTAACCTAATGAGTGAAGTTAGAATGAGAATTGATTTTTGACTTGCTCATTATTCATAAAAATCACCTAACTCACACAGTCATACAATACTGAAATACTTTTTTATCATTAAATTAATTAATTTATGTGTTTGAAAAAATGATGTTATTGGAAATTTATTTTGCATTTGAAATACAAAAATTATTTGGAAAAAACGAATTTTATACATGAAAATAATAATTTTGTTATAATTCTAATAAAATAACATTTATTAAATTCAATTTGAAATAAATTATCTTTATCTATTTTTTTGTTTTATAAATCAAATACCCAGTTTTTAACAACTCTTACATTTCAAATTAATATCTATCTATCTTTATTAATTTTGAATTTGATTACAAAAGTTCATAAAAACCACTCAATAAATAAGGAGAAAAAGGATACTTGTTATTCTTCAACGCCAATCTTAGGTTTTTCTAATATTTAAATAATTTAATATGTAAAATTCTGAGTCAAACAGGTCTCTCTAGCAGAGGGATAACTCAGCCTCATCAGCAGCAAAATCATCGACTAATACTTCCCGCCCAAACATCACTAAAAAGGTAGATTCAGTTAAAAGAAGATCAAAAACAATAACATCAAAAAATTTATAGTAGAATATAAACAATTAAACACTGCCTAAATAAATTTCCAATGAAAACAACAAAAATAAAAATGAATTAGCTAATTCTGAAAAAGAGAATATCCAGCCTAATTTTCAAAAATAGGCATCCTTAAAAGAATTAAATGCTCTTAGCGCTTTGAAAAGATTATCAGATTTTAATGACTATGATGATTTTTCATAAAATATGTTAGGTAATTGAATTGTTTTACAATATAATTCTTTAATATCAATTATAATATTGAACTCTTAATAAATATTCTTTATTAAAAAGATGAGACCTTCAGAGGAATCCATGGATGGAACACTAATGAAGATATTAACTCCAACCCTGCAAGCTAAAGAGTTTTGAAAGAAAAGGCCGTGGTTATAAATAAAAGAGCAAATTTAATCAAAAAAGAGAAAGCATAAATCTAAAATGTTTCACATAACAACAATCCATTTAAAAATGTTCTACAAAACTTGTGCAACAATATTAATAATTATGAAAAAAAAGCAACTTAGCTTTAGAACATGAAAGAATCTCTCATTGAAACAGACAAAGAAAATATCTTTGAAAAAGAAAAGGTATTCTTGTAAAATGGTGCGAATAAAGGATTCTCAAATATTGTTTAAGATTTAAAAAAGCTATAAGAAGATTTATAATCTCCTGAAAAGGCTCGCAACAATTCTGAAAGCTTAAATAATAATGCTACAGGTTATGTAAAACCACTAAATTCAAATTTACTCAAGCAGCAAATTGAAAAGAAAGGGTTAGTATTAAAACAAAAAATTGATAGTCTAAATATTTAGAGTCAAAGTAGATATTTAGGAAACATTAATATTTAAACTCCTAAGGAATAATTCAATCCAGATTATAAAAATGTTTAGCAATTATTAAAAGTTACAAGCAATGAAAAATCATTGAAAATGAAATTTAATGAGGACTACTCTATAAATATTTGTAGTAACAACAACAATACTCATACTGTTGCAGTACCAGAAAAAAGTTAAGAAGAGAGAGTCACAGTTTGCAGTTAATAAACGAATAACACTACATATTTAAATACATCATCATCTACTTAAGAAATTGAATGTGTTCAAAATTAGTTGAATTAACCTTACCTTCGTAGTAGAATTGAAAGTTATTCACAAGTAGTTGATGAAATATCAAAAAAGAAGAAAAATTAGGTAATAAGAGTAGCTGATACAGAAAAATATGATAAGAGTTTTGTATCAAACCCTTAATAGAATAAAAATAGCTGTAATACAAATCCTGATGTAATTAATAACACATCTATTACAGAAGCAGCACCTTCATAAAATGTAAATAAAAATATTTATAATATCATCCCTCTTTTTTTCAAAAAAAAATATTTAATAAAATTTAATTTTTTTTAAAAAAGAGGGAAATATAATTTAAATTTTACTTAAAGCTCATTCCTTATAATAAAATTATTTTAATATTATTTTTATGTACATGATAAAATTTTTACAAAAATAAGTAAAATAGTGTTTTAAATTTTTTTTAAATATTATTTAGTCTAATCATGCAGAAAAGATCTCAAGCCCAGTTATTAATAGCTACTAAATAAAGAAGAAAGTTGATTTTATGCATCCAGAAAGTGAAAATAGAAGATCAAAAAGCATAAATGGTGCTACTAGTTAATAACATCATTTCTTAAGTTACTAAAATACTCTCTCAAGCTAAAACAATATAAATATGTTATTAAATTAAGGAAGTTGTAATAGCACTAATAACTAGACTATGTACAATGGATAATAGCTATCAAGGCATTAGCCTTCACTAAAATAAATATCAAAAAGTATACAAATAAATAAAAATAACAGCACAGTCGAAAAGGATAAAGAAATAATATCCAATTAGTAATCTAAAACAAATGTTAACAATACACCTAATTCAATGTAATTAAATTCCTACAATAAATAAAAGGATTTAGATATAAATTCTAGAGTTTTCCCCCATTTAAGTGATATTTAACATGAAAAAAAGAGTTTTTAATCTAGATTAAGTGGATTAGATAATGACTTGAATCCCTATAACATTCAAGGAAATGGCAATAATATCTTCTATCAACCTAATCACATTCCACTAACTCCAATTTAATTTAGTCAATCTCTATCTAGAAACAATTATAATTAGAAATTTTTGGTTAACTAAAATCTTTCTGATAAAACAAATAAAAATGATTTAAGTTGTACCAAATCTCTGAGCTAGAATTCATAATAATTATTATCTTAAAATTCAAGCTCTCTAGACAAAAGGAATATCCCTGTCTAAACTCAAGGTGGATTATCAACTTTAGTTATCTACACTAACTAAAATAACTTAAATGTGAGTAATATTCCATCAGCAGTTTAGAATTATTCTCAGTAACCTGTCACTTCTCAAAACTATTTTAATGCAATTTAAAAAAGGATTATTTAAGGAAATAGCTAAATTAGCTAAATGAATAACCCTTAATGCCTTTTAATTGGTAATAATCCTTAAATTTGTGTTTAAGGAAGTGGTCCTAGCAGAAATAATAGCTCAAGCAAGTTAGTATTACCTCCAAAACCACAAAGCAGTAATATTAATAGTTCAGCTAATTAGATTTAACAACTCTCAAATAAGAGTAAATTACCAAAGCTATTTAAAAATAGTAATAGAACCTTCATGAAAAAAGTGAACAGTAGAAACGAAGAACTAAAAGGACTGCAAATATAAGCCTAAAAAGCAATTAACAACTCTTTTACATGAAATCTTTAAAACAAACTACCTCTTAATTAATATTTATAATTATAATTAAATAATTTTAATACAAACTAATTTTTAGTTGATATTAAATAAATATAGCTAGCTTATTTGTATATAGATAAATTTATTATTTTGTTTATATAAAATAATTGTAATAAAAATTCTAAATATTTTTATTCAAACAATAAATTTAAATTAAATTCTTTACTAATTATAATTTTTAATTTAATATATGGATAGTTTAGATTTTTATCCATTTAGTCTTAGAAGTTTGATTGCAATTCTTATGTAAAAATTTTCATTTATTTCATTTCAATTTTAAATATTTAATTTTTATTCATTATTAACAAATACTTCAATTTATTGTGAACAGCATTTTCGAATCTATAAAAATAATTTTAGTTTAGTTTTTAAAAAAGAATTCAAATAAAAATAAATTTTCGTTTTAATTAAAGAAGTTCTTGCTTCAAATAATTAAAAGCTAATTATATTCATTTTTGAAAAATTTTACTGTTTTTGAAATAAAATTCAACTAATTTATTATTCTCTTTGAATATTTTTACAACTTTTGTTAATGTTTTAATTTTTTTATTAAATTTCAATTACTTAGAAATGCTCATCACAATTTAAGCAATCTTACAAGTTCATAATTATCTATTCATTATGTTATCCAAAAAAGGAATATTTTTTATACTTTATAATTATTTTTTTAATAAAAGTATTAATTTGATTTAGAATTATTTATCTTTTTTAAAAATAGCTAGCAATATCAGTTTTATAAAGTTTTTATGGTTGCTATTCTTTGAATTTCTTCAGTGAAAAATACATTATAAAATTCAAAGCAATTCTTTTAATTATTTTTTAATCTAAAAAGAATTAATTTGTATTTGAGTATTTAAATTCAGTTGAATATTTTAAATCAAGCAAGTTTTTTAGTTGAAATCAATAATAAAGAGCAAAATTAACCAAAAAAAAAATGTAAAAATTGAGCCCACTAGATCAGTTGGATCCTAACAATGTTGGTGGAAGAGAATAAATGATAAACAGGATGTATAGTCATCAAACAGCACTTTTAAAAATTAAGCCAACATTAGATACAAAAAAGCCACCAAAACCGCATGTTGATGCAAATAAAAAGGATAAACCTCCTTTGAAATATAAAAAATTATTAGAATATGGAAATGTTTATAAAACATTCAGTGCAGTTGTGGGAGCTTCAAAACCGTTAATTGACTCAAAAGAACCAGAAACAACTAAATTCAAATCATTTTGGGGAAAGAAAAATAAAGCATAAAAATTTTAAGAAAAAGAACATGAGCTTAACCTAAGAGCATAATAAAAAAGAATATAAGGAATAGGTTCTATGTAAGAACGCAAAAAGAATCCTAACGACCCACTTGCTCATCCTACATACCTATTAAGCTCTGATCCCTAGCCAAAAACTAATAATTATTTATTAAAGTAAATACTTAAGCCTTAAAAGACAGGTAAATAAATTATGCAAATTAGTTGATAGGATTTTTTATAAAATATTGAAAAACTTATTTAGATTAAATTCAATTTAATTTTTATAACATAGCAAATTAAATCGATCTCAGCAGACTTTACCCGAAAAAGGAAAAAAAAGAAAAGCTATAACCTGAAGGAGGTTAGGATTAGGTTTATTAAGAATTTAGCTTTCGTCCTCAATCAGCAAAGCCTGTTGAAAGATCCAGTAGCTATATGAAAAAAACTGATGGAAAAAAAGAGCCCCCCAAACCTGTAATTGATAAGAGCAAGAGACCTCAAACGGCTAAGACTATTACTAAAGAATAATACGAATAATATAAAAAAGAAATATAAATGAAACAAAGTGGTATTATCGAAGTAGATTTTGTAGATGAGATCCCTAAAGCCAAGGGAGTAAAAGAAAGTGATTATGAATATATAAAACAAGCCCTCATATAGTTATTAATTAAATACAGAATATACTAAGAGAGAGACATGAAAATTCTGTTTGGTCGTACAGTTGTTCATAATTAACACATGAAAATGGATAAATTAGATTAAATATTTGAGGAAATAAAATCAGAACTTGATAAATGAATTAAAATAAAAAACTTCTTAATTAGTTGAAATAATTAATTTAATACTTAAAAAAATATTAGAAAGTTAAATATTTTAATTATTAGATTATTAATAACAAAAAATATATTGTATTTTATTATATTTATTTCATTTAATATTTTAACCCTTCTTAATATAATTATATGCTCAATAAATTTACAGTAAAACACTCATGATTAAATTTATAATAAATAAGTTAAAATTTTGAAAAGATTATAATTTGAAACATAAAAATTCTAGTTAAAGATCTGAGTAAAAAATTGTTTAAATTTAAGAATAATTTAATATTAATCACTTTTTTATTTTTTATTAAAGCAAAATATTATAATATAGAACTGATTTTATTAAACGTAATAAAATTAAAAAAGATTATTTTATTGCAGTTAAATATTCAAATTAATTTTCAATTTAATAGCAAATATATTTTGTGCAACAACAAATTGATTGTCAATCTAGCTTTTTAGACACAGTTTTCTATAAAATAAATAAATTTATTTAGCAATTAATAATTTACTAAATTCATATAAATAATGATTTAAGGAAAAAATATTTTAATTTTTTCAATTTATTAATTTCTTTCGAGTTAAGGTTTTAAAAACAATAAAAAATATTAGTTAGTTATTTACTGTATTTCATAATAAATTAACATTCGTTATCTTGGTAATTTTTTATTAATTAGGACTAATAGGTCTGATTAATTGATTATAATTTTATATAAAAAAATTACAAGAAATTAAATATACCTTGATATTTAAAATTAAATAAATTTCAAATATTTTTAAATTAATTTTTCTACTAATAAAGAATTATTTTAAAAAGACTGCTTTATTCTTTGAAAGTTGAATTTAAAATGTAAAGATTTTAATTGATTAAATACCAATCAAGTAGAGATTAAAAGAGAGGGAATTTCTTAGTTATTCAATTTAGGCGCTAAAATTTCAAAAGATTCTTGTAAATTCCTAAAAGAAATATATAAATTTAAAAAATAAATAATTTGTATCAAATTTTTCAGCGAATAATAAACTAATTAACTAACTAACAAACATAATATTTGCGAAATAAATACAGACAGACTTAATTAATAATAAATAGTATATTGATAACACTTTTATATTGTGCAAAAATTAGCAAGAATCCAATTAAAAATCAAATACAAAGATAAATACTAACTTAAAGATATTCATATTTATAATAATATCAAAGCAAATAAACTTTTTGATATATTTTCAGAAAGAAATAAAGAAACAAACAACTTGCGTTCTTATCAAGTTTTATAAGGCTCTACAAAGTAATACATTTTTCCTTGTCTATTTTAAGATAACATTAGCGAGCCGACTACAGATAGAGCAATAAAATAGCGCTCTCTTTATTGATGTCTATCAAGACAGACTTAAAAATCTCATTTCTTACTTAATTTATATAATAATTAATAAATTTAAAAAAAGGTTAAATTGAAAAAGTAAATCTTTCAGAAAAATGAGCAAAGTTAAAGCTGATATCTTTTATCAACACCATAAGCAGCTATTGAGTGTTTGGAATAAGGTAATTAGATATACTTTGTTAGCATTTTTTTATATTTTTAATTGCTGGTTTCCATTCACTAACTTTTCATTTTATATTCTAGCAACCTCAATACGCCAATATCGATGCTTTTATTATTAAAAATGGTAAAGATCAAGGTGGAAATAAAATCAAAACTTCTGCCATTTCTATGTGGTATTTTGGTTTCGACTTCATTGACACTATCCTTTTGATCACTAAAAAGACTTTTGCCATTATTGGTGGTAACAAGAAAAGTAATTTTGCATTTCTAGAATAATTTCATGCATTAAATTTGTGCTTGATAATGCCAACAATTAGCTAAATTATTTCAATTATAAAAAAGTAAACATGTTAAAATCTGTCTAGGAACACGCAGAAGCAAAAGAATACAATTTAGTTTTCATCGAAAAAGACTAAGCAAACAATTCCAATCAACTTTAATAATTATTTGAAATTCTTGACAAAGATTTGAACAAATCTAGCTTCAATGTAAATTCAAATATTATATTTAAATTGAATTTAGACTCATTTTGTGTCTCAACTGTAATTATGCAGACACAGGCAGGGATGAATCTGAAAGAATTTTAAGCAATTAAAATAAATTTTATCAAATTTTAACAATTTATTAAAGATTGGAACTCTAGCTAAAGAATAGCAAGTTGGCCCTTTTATGACTGAGTATGACTCATTTATTAAAGACAAAAATTAATATAAATTTGCTGATTGCAGTGTATTTGTATAAGATTGTCTCTCTGTAAAAGATCAAAATGAAATAGTAATTTATTTGATATTTAAATTTAGAATACAATTTTTTAAGATAATTATCTGAAAGAGTTTTAGAAGCTTTTCTTTTGACATAATTTGTTTATTTTGATTTCATTATTTTATTAAACTTTCTATCCATAACTAAAACAGTCTTACATTGGAAAAGCTGCTAAAGTTAGTGTCTATTTAGAGTCTAAATTGATAAAAGAAATTGAAACAATCATTGAAGATGAAGGTAAAAAGACTCACAGTCAAATTGCTACTATGATTGAAGGATTGATTGAAAATGAAAAAGAACTTAAAAAGATCTCAGAAGTAAAAAATATTTAACATTATTTAAGTAAAAGCAATATAAAGCAAAGTTCATTCAAAAAAGCATTGATTATCAAAATTTTCATTTAAGTGCATGATAATTTAAATAAAATAAAACGAAGTTTCATTAGGAACTTATAGCAAACAGCAGCAATATAATCATTTGAAATTATGAATAGCATTAAGTTATTAAATTTAAAATTTAAATTTATAGGAAATTGGAGGTGAGAGTGACAATCTTGATTTGGCTTATGTCCCAATTGTCTAATCTGGCGGCAAATATGATTTAAAGTAAATAACTACTTATCCATTTAAAAAATTAAATAAAATACTCATTAAAATATCAATAGACCAAATGCTTAATCTAATGAAGATATTCTTTCTTATGACACAATTATTGTTTCAGTAGGTACTAAATATATGGAATATCATGCTAATATTGTTCGTACCCTTTTCATTGACCCAACAAACGACTAAAAGAAGATTTATTAGAGAGTTTATGAGCTCTAAAACTAGATCGCTGTCTAACTTAAGCCTGGTATTAAGCTCAAAACTGTTTATGAAAATGCAGTTAATTTCATTAATGAGAAAGTACCTCAATTGAAGGATAAGATCCCAGCTAATTTTGGATTTGGTGTAATAATTTATTTACAATTTGAGTGCTTTAGCAAGTAATTTAAATTTTTATATTGTATGATAATAGATTGGTTTAGAATTTAGAGAATCTAACTTGTACATTAATGCTAAAAACGAAAAAGAAGTTGAAGAAGGTATGGTCTTCAATGTTGTTGTTGGTTTTGACAACTTGCAAAGTGAAAAGGAGAAAGCTTATGCCATACAAATTTCTGACACTGTTGCAATTAGAAAGTAAAACACACCCAATGCTGTCATGACATTCAAAGTTTCTAAGAAATATGAAGACATTTCTTACAGCATTTAAGATGAGGGTCAAGATGAAGAATAAGAAGAGGAAGAAGATGATTTAGAAAAGGAAAACATTATTTAAGATGGACGCAGAACAAGAAATGCCTATCACAAAAATACAACTATTGTTTCAGAAAAAGAAAGACAAAAACACTAACTTGAATTGAGAGAAGTCAAATTAAAAGAATTACAAGAAAGATATAATAACAATGGATTCTTATCAAATAAGATCAATTCCAGAGCTCTTGAGTTAGATAAGGTCTAGTGTTATGGTGGACCTCAAGATATTCCCAAAGAATATAAGAAAAATTAAATTCATATTGATGCTGCTCATAATGCAATCTTACTTCCTGTAAATGGTGAACTAGTTCCCTTCCACATTTCCTTAATTAAAAACTACTCTAAAAACGACGAAGGAAAGACTCACACATTACGTCTTAACTTCCACAATGTAAATAAATATATTAATTTTTACTCATTTTCAAATAATTTATTAATATTATTTACTTTTAAAAAATAATTAGCCTGGTAGTGGCAGCAATTTAGCCAATATTACTTTCCCTAAGATTGATGGCTAAATTGTCTTTATTAAAGAACTCACTTTCCGTTCAAAGAACGCTAAAAATATGTTGGAAACAATTAAGAAAATCAAAGACTTGCAAGCTAAAGTTAAACAAACTGATCAAGAAGCTAAAAATAAAGACGAATTAGTAGAGCAAGACAAATTACAATTACGTAACACAAAGAGACCTGCTTTAAGAAATTTAAAAGTACGTCCTGCTATTTCTAAATAAAAAGTAAATGGTATGTTGGAATTGCACTTAAATGGTTTCAGATATATGACAACTAAAAATGAAAAAGTTGATGTCATCTTTAAAAATATAAAACATGCCATCTTCTAACCTTGCGATAACGAAATGATTGTTGCCATACATTTCAATCTCAAGAATCCTATTATGATAGGCAAAAAGAAAGTTTGGGATGTACAATTTTATACAGAAGCTGGTCTTCCCCCAGAGGATTTAAGTAAGAGAATTTAACATTTTTTTAATGTTTATTAATAAAATTTAAATTAAATTAATAAAGATAACAGAAGAAGAGGTCATGACTACGATGAAATAGAAGAAGAATAAATGGAAAAAGCTCGTAGAAAGAAATTAAATAAGGACTTCGAAGCCTTCTACAAAGAAGTTGAAAACTAGCTTGGAGATAAAATTAAGTTTGAAGTTCCATATGCCAATCTCGGTTTCTACGGTTCACCAAGTAGATCTACTTGCCTCCTTTAACCTACATAAAATACCCTTATGAACATCATTGAATTCCCCTTCTTTATCATGTCCTTAGAAGAAGTAGAATTAGCATGCTTCGAAAGAATGATCGTAAATAAATTAAAAAAAATTCTATTTAATCAATCAAAAAATTTATATAAACTGAATATTTATTTATTTACTTACTTACTTACTTACTTACTAACACATTTTTATTTAACTAATTTAGGGAAGACTTAAAAACTTTGATCTTGTCTTTATTTTCAAGGATTATGAAAAACAAGTTACAAGAATTGCCTCTATTCCTATTGATAAGGCAGAAATAGTTAAAAATTGGTTAAACAGCTAAAATATATTGTATTTTGAATCTACAAAGAGTTTCTCTTGGGCTAATATCTTAAAGACCATTCGCTAAGATATTGGTGGCTTCATTGAAGATGGAGGTTGGAATATTATTTTGGGTGAAGATGAAGGAGAAGATGAAGATCCTGATGAGGGTGATGAAGATTTCTCAGTAGAACAAGACGAAGAGGAAGAAGAAAGTGAAGAGATTTCTGAAAGTGATGAGGATTTCGATGATGAAGAAAGTGCGAGTGATTTTGAAGGAGATGAAGATCTCAGTGAAGAAGGCTAAAGCTGGAGCGATCTTGAAGAAAACGCTAGAAGTAATTAATTAATTAATTTTTATCAATAATTGATAAATTTAAGAATAATCTAATTTATTTTTAATAATACAGAGGAAGAAGAGAGAAGAAAGTAACAACAAGTAAAACCAACAAAGCCTGTTCCTTAAAAAAGAAGATGAAAAATAATATATATAATTATTAAACTCTAGATTTACCAACTAACCTCAATTAATTTTATTCACTTAAGTAAATCTATTGTTTAATAAATTAAAACTTTGTAAATAAATAAATAAATTTTAGGATATAAAAAAGTAATTAATATATGTAACTAAATTCTTCGCATTCTCTTCATCTATCTTAAAAATTCAAAGATTAATTTATTTTTCTAAATATTTTTTATGTTTTGCTAAAAATCTATTAATAAATCCTAAGTTGATTTTTTTAAAAAATTTCTAATTATTTTAGATTAAATGTATCTCAAAACTAAATAAAGTGTTTTATGCTTTTAAAGCATAAAAAATTCTAAAATAATATTATAAAAAAATATTTGTTTTTTTAAAGAGTACAATTAAACCTGAAAAACTGGACTTCCTAAAAAAATAAACACTATTTAATATTTGGCATAAGCTTTTATCCTAAATTTAACTTTTTCATAATAAATTTCACAAATAAACTGGACAAGTTTATATTTTTGGCAAAAGATTTAGTCTTCAAGATGCATTGTTGAGACTGATAAAAAAAATATTACTTAAACAGATAGTATATATTGAAGCAAATATGATACCATCGTTTAAAAATTTTATTAAATGATATAGATCATTTAGGAATACTAAATATTTCTTAAGGCTAGATTATTGGCCAAGTAAGTTTAGCCACTTTAAAAGTGTTAATTAATATTAATTCTATACAAACTCTTATTATAATTGATTCAAAGCTCATAATTTTATGATCTTATTCAATATTATATTTCATAGGGATATTTTTTTTTAAGTTACATTCAAGAAATTTCATCATTTTATAAAAAACATATAAGTTTGATATAAAATTAAATCAAATAGCAAATACTTTGATAAGTTTACAATTTTATATTGCCAAAGATTATTTTATGCTTAGATTTTTTATTACTTAGTATTTATATGAAAATGTGATCTCAAACAAAATAAATATTTTTATGTGGCTTTAATCTATTTATTTTTTAAAACTTTAATTTATTTTAAAATTATTGAAAAAAATTAAAATACTTGTTGTCTATATAATTTTTGTTAATGCAAAAATTAAAATTAAAATGATTTTAAATGAAATAATATATTAAGTAAAAAGTTTAATTTTGATTTTTATTTACTATTTTACTGAGGAGAATATTTAATTGAATTTTTTTTTAATCAATATCTGCGAAAAATACTAATTCAATCTCTTAAGTTAAATTCCACCAATTCAAAGTTGGCTTATGAATCAAAAATTGATTAATAAATATTTAGAAAATAAATTTTGTAAGATTATTATATATTTTAAAAATTGTGGTATTTTATCAATTTTTGCAAAAGATTTAAACACAATCAAGCAAATTTAATCACTTTCATTTATTTATAGTAAGCGCTATAAAGTAAAATTATACATTTTAAATAATTTTGAACTATTTGGTAGGTTACATTTGAATTAGCTTAACATGTAATCAACTAATTTTACATAAATTAAATCAAATACAAATAATTATTTAGTTTGAAAACCACACATATAATTATTTATTTATATATTACAAAGCTATTAAATTTCATGGCTATCAAAATTATTATAGAGTCCTTGCAATTTAAAAAATATTTATACTCCAGTATTCGAGGTATTTTGGTTTATAATGATAATTGTTAACAAGAGAGCCTTTTCAAAAATACATAAAAAGTATTGGTGGATAAAAAGTAAATTAATTAAAGCAAATAATACTACTGCAATTTTCAAGATACTAATTAATATAAGTAATAACGCAATATAAAAAACAATAACTAAGGTTATTTATTTTAAATAAGTATACATAGGAGACATCAAAAAAGAAGCAATAAATTGTTTTACATAATAGCTTTGCATTTAAATTTAAGAGCTAAATGTCGTAAGAGCAAACAGTTTTAGAGTCCAATGCAATTTAATCTTTGTAAGAGTTATATTCAGACGATGGCGAAGAAAGTTATGTTGATGATAATTTAAAGGTCAAGAGTCCAGCCTTTTCAGGATGGGACTCTCCCCACAAGAATCATTTATAATTTTATAGTGAGTAAGCTGAAAGGAGTAAAAGCAACAAGAGAGCTTTTGAGTCTCCTGTTAAAGCAAAAAGTACACTTTCTCACTTAAGTGAAAACCTATAAAGATATCATTTTTAGGCCTTTCACTTAAAAAAAGAGAGTGTTACAGATGAAAAATAGGAAGCAAGTTTGAACAAAAACTAAGAATAAATTCTTTCATATCAAAATAGAAAAATATAGTTCTAAAGAAATAAATTTAACAGATACACTGTAACTGAAGGCATGAAATAAGAAGAGGAAGAAAAGTATGAAGAAATAATTTAATAGAACGGTTTAGAACCTTTTGATTACTATACAGACAGTGTTAGTTAAAATACTTTCAAAAAGTAAGCAAAATTTTAGGATAGCTAATATCAAGATTAGCATTTGTCCAAGACAAGCAAATCATTTAGCATATATACCGAATAAAATCTTACATGCGATTCAGTTTAGACAGAATAAAGTTCAAGATATAACTATCGCAGAAATTCAAGATAGAATTTTTGTAGCAGTAAATTGTAGGAGCATAGATAATAAGCAAATTTATCAGTAAATAATATTAATCTCTACTAAATTGAAGAAACAGCACATCCTAACAAAGATTATAAGTCTTCCTTTAGGACCATATGGAAAAGGCAAGAAAAACTAAGTAAATCATAGAGCAGGAAAGGCTCCTTGGAGTAAATTTCTGAAAAGAATCTACCTTGCTCATATTAATCTCGCTTAGAAACAGAATCTTGCCAATAAATTAATCAAAGTATAGAACACATTGACCCATCTCAATTGAAAGAGAATTTGGCAGAAGAAGAGAAAGAATTTCAAATACAAAAGTGCTTATTAAAGCCTGAGACAATAAGATTGAAAAATATTTGCTAAAAATCAAACAGTTCTATTTAAAAGGTATAAAAAAGCAAATTGAAATAAATAAATTTATTTATTTATTTAACATTGATTCAGTAAATCAAGTGTGAGTATATTACTAAACTTTTTACTCTATCAAATACTTTTACAATTTAATTTATAAATTGATTACATTTTAATTAATTAAATTATTATCTTAAAGGAAAAACATTCAGATTTCTAACTTTTTGACAACTCAAAGATATAGACTATTTTCAATAGCAACTCAGAGAGCGAAAACTCAACTCAAGAGTCTACCAGAAAAAGTAGTGCTAAATCAGTTTTATTAAACAGCAATATTGACAAAAATTTCACTTACTCAAAGAAAGATTTACATGCAATTCAATCTAACATTGATTTATGTTAAAAAAACTCTAAGAATGATCAATAAAAGCATATTATAAACCAAAATGAAGAATCAAATATATTAGTTAGTGATTTAATAGTTCCAATTCATAATAGAGTAAAGACAGAGCAATAACCACGCAAAAAATAAAATATAAATAGACCTATAAGCAATCATTGCAGTAATCTTTAGCAACAAAATGGAGCAGCTTATTGCGATAATTAAATGAGACTCTTTCATAAAGTCTCCATAGATGAATCAATTTAATTAGACCAATAATAAACTACTTAGAATTTTTATAAATCATAGGTAAATACTAACCAAGAAATAAACCACAAATCATTTAAACAGTATAACATACCAGTGACTTTAAGATCTCGTTCTCTATAGAAGAGATAGTTCAATTCAAGGAAGACTTCTAATGCTTCTACAAATTCTAGAAATAACAGCACTACAATAAATGATACTTTGTTATTTAATATTTACAAACCTCATCAAGTACCAGAAATATAATAAAAAATAAATGCTTATATACAAAGTTAAGAAGAATAGCTAAAGATATAATATTCCTAGAATTAAAATTATCAAATAAATGATCAATAAAACAAATATATCATCTAATCCCCATTAAAAAGTAAGAACTACCGAAAATATAAGCCCTAATTTAAATTAGAAACATAATCACTTAATTCAAAATCTAATACTTTGAATGATAGCCAGCTAGGTAGTGTGCTAATTCATTCTAATTTCTGAATTAAAATATCATCATATATATATTCATCTTTCCTCTTTTCAATCTTAATTCTCTTCCTATTTAACTAACTAACTAACTTACATAATTTTAGTATAAAGAAAATTTTCAATTTAAATATAGTATTTTATGTTAAAAAATAAAATTAATGAAAAATAAATAAATAAATTTTATTATTCATTGATTAAATTTCTTACTTTTTATGCTTTTTAATTAAAATAATTATATGGTCTATTCTGAAATAATTCATCATTTTTATTATGAATATTATTAAGATAACAAAAATTAATTTAAAATTTTTAAATAGCTTTAAGTGTTAGTTTTGATACATCAAACAGAGCAATTTAATAAATTAAGTCCTATATGACTACCTTAAAATCAAATTTATTTACCACTTTTATTAATGTTTTATGAATATTATAGTTGCTTAAATAATTTAAAAAATAAAAAATTAGATCTTTGCAAAACATCTAATTAATTTTGAAGAAACAGAATATAAAAACCCAAAAAATCCAACCAAATTTTTATCTATTTTTATTTTGAAATAAAAAATATTCTTTATACCTTATATCCTCTTCTAAAAGAATGAATAATTTTTAAATAAATAAATTTTTATTCATAAGTACTAAATTTTCAAAAAAATATAAATTATTTATTAAAATAGATTTTAAAAAAGCATAATTACAAATAATGATATATTCATGATGATTAACTAAATATGCTTAATTTCCAATTATAGAAACATAATAATTTTTATTTTAAAGAGTAAATTGTTAAAACTCTCTAATCTGAATTAACTAATAAATAAATATATTAATTAAAATGCATAATATATCAAATCGAGCAAGCATGTATAAAGTTAAAAATAATTTTTAATGTTAGAATTTACATTTTTTTCTATTATTTATTTTTAAATTTGTTAATATCTGATAAATCCTTAACTATTCTTTGTCGAAATTTATATTTATCTATTCTTTCTTTCTTCAACTTTTTTATTTCTCAATCTTCTGTTTCTGATATATCTTAGTTTAAGAAAAAAATTATATATTTTTTATTAAACATTATCTTTTATCAATTTCCAAAATCTTATTTAAAGCAATCAAAATAAAAACAAAGTAGAAACAAGATAAAGAAAGCTTTTTCAGTTATCGAAGGATTTAACCATATAGAAAAAATGAGTTAAAGAACACCTTTGATTTTAATTTTGCTAAAAATTCCTGTTAGCGTATTTCTATTCATCTCCTAATTTAGTGGTACTTTATTGTACACACCTACATATTTGTATTTTCTTGCAATTAAGGTACTTTATTTTTGTTCTTTGTTTATATTTATAAAATGATAATTCAAAAATAAGTCCTTCGTTTTCAACTAAAAATTTGAGAGCAGTTCCAGCTTTTATGCCATGTTCTTCGTTCCTAGGTATTTAATTAATATTTCTTAAAATAAATCTAAATTTTATATTTTCTTTTAGGGCGTTGTTAGTAGCCTTGGGTTTTATATTTGCTATTGCGTAAATGCTGTTCGTTTACAATTTTATGATGGACATAACTCATTAAGAGGGTAGTTTAATGCAATATGTAACTCTGTTTTCAACAATATTTTGTCTTTCTTTCCTATTTAGGAGAGGATACAAGTAGCTGTTTGAGAAATGGAAGTTTCCTCAATTAAAAAGTGTAATAGAACACCTCGAAATCCTACTTTTATTTTTGAAAGATATGCTCAGCTTGGTTTTAACTTTGGTATTAACTTAGAATTTATTTTAGAGGGATGCGTTTTTTAATAAAAATTGAATTTATATAGGTTGTAATATTGCTCATAGTAAGAATAAGAAATTTAATAAATTACAAGTAAAAGAGCAATTAATAAAATCAATACTTATTATTTGTTTGGAAGATGGCCTACTACAGCTTATTTGAAGATATTGGATTACTAGGATATCTGTTTCTCCACATTTTTAGGTGGAGATTACAGTTGACAAAGGATTAAATGAAATAAACGAAGTATAAAATTTAAGAATTGTATATTGTCTACGAATAAGTATTCCATACTTTAATAGAAATTGTTTTAAGTCCTCTGCTTTTAATTATGATAATATTGAGTAAGTTTTCTAGAAGGTCTGTAATATTAATGATAAAAGTTTTTCCTATTGAAATGTAATTCCTAAATTAGTAATATTTTTAATAGTTATTAAATAATCTTCAAATAAATAGGGTAAAGAGAATAGTTTTTGATCATTTCATAGAGTTCTTATAGGAAACAATTAGATTCTTTCTATTTTGTGTTGGATGCTTAATCCTTCCATATAAAATTAAGCTTATTCCTCACATTTTTAGTTTATACGATGAAATCTTTAAATAAATAAAAGACTAACTCAATGGAAAAGAATATTAAAATCACAGTCTGGAGAATTACCTCAAGCTGTAATAGGAAGCCAAAGATAATCTAAAACAGCCTGCTATTAAAATGCAGAATTATTTTATTTTAACTCACTTATTTGACATAATAGCTATAATTTGCTTATTGTTACAAGCTGTGACAATTTTTTATTTAAAAAGGCTGAATTTAGTACTAAAGAAAGAATAATTATCTTACAACTATTTTCAGAAATTTACAAAAGAATATGATGATCAAATAAATTCAATTAGAAAAGAAAGGAAATTGAGCTACTCAAATTTAAATTTACGTGTCTAAGGAATTATTATAGGTAATTATTAAATTTTTGTTATTTTTTTAATATAAAAATATGATAAATTTATAAAGTTGGGTTCTTGAAAATGCTATTTGACATTCCTTTTTATATCATTGGACTATTATCCATTATTGTTGCACCATGGAGAGCTATTGATTTTAGGTCAAGTGAATATAAAAAAATGAAGTATATGGATAGAAGAGTTTTTGCAGTAAAATCCTTAGTGAATTCTGTTATTGACTGGTTTGTAATCATACTATTTGCTGTTGCATTTATTTTTACTTCATTATTTAGATGGTCTTATATAAAAAAGACAATCTCAGCAATTCTAAAGAATGATAAAGCTAATGCTATAATTCCTGATTCAAATTTTGAGAATTATAATAACGACTTTATATTTAATAACCTTTAGTTATTCATGATTGATTATTTTATCTCAGCTTTATTTGACATTTTTTACTCACCTTTGTTCTTAATTAGTTTTTCTCCTATCTATACAATTAAAATATACACATAGATTTATAGTAGTAATGATATAAAGTAGCATGAACTCACTAAAAGTAGAAGAGTCATTTTTACTGTGCTAAAATATTTATTAATAGACTTATCGTTTATTCTTTTATTCGCTATTATCAATATTACATATTACAAAAGAAGTTATTACTACAGCCAATTATAAAAAGTAGAAGAATCTGCTTTAAACTAATACTTAAAATAATAACGTATTGAAAATTAAAATAATAAAAAGAATAAATCTAATTAGGACTAATAGCTTAAGAATAAAAAAGATAAATAAGATAAGGAAAGCAGTGAATAGCAAGATTCAGATAAAAATGAATCATAATCTTAAATTAAAGACATGAAAGTCAAAAATAAACTTTAACAACAAGTTAAAGAAAAAGATCCAGTCAAATAAAATAATGATGAAGTTCAAGCAATAGGATAATCTTAAATTTCTGAGATTCAAAAAAAATACTTCATAAGAACATTAAAGCTAGGTTTTCTAATTCTAATATTTTACTTTATCATTCTAGATATAATTTCATTAATCTCTCGTAGCTTTATTCTCTTAACTTATGTAAAAGAGAAAAAATATCGCTTAGTTTTATCTCAAAAACTTGAAGAATTGCAAAAGAAAGAAAAATGTGATTTTGTAGATATTATCATCGATTATGAACATTTTAAGTTCAAGCTTAAATTTAAAATTTCGATCAAACTTGCTATTTAAATTATAGTAGCCTTTTTATGCATTTGCTTTTCTGTAGTTTCTACTTGGAGAATACCTTTCTTGATTATGATTATTAGAAGTAAGTTCTTCATAAAATAACTTATTGGGAAAGAAAAACTAAAAACACCTATTCACTTTTCTATCGTTTATGGAATTACTTTTGTTGCTTATATTTTAGATTTGATATATTTTCCATTGATACTGGTATCTTCTTTAATGAATCCACTAGTTGTAGTTAATTACATAAAAAACATTACCTACAGATACAGAGAGAAGATAAATGAAAGTCTTATGAGCTAAGTTTACACTCACAAAAGAATTATATTCCATTATGTCTTTGTATCAGCACTTAGAGACATTACTATGATGTTTAAATTGATATGTGTTTTATTAACTGGTATTCGTGTTCCATTTTTAATCTTAATGTCTAGAAAGAATTTGTTAAACATCAGTTCTATTTATACAGAATTTTATTCAATGGTTAAACCCTAGAGTAATAAAATTTCTTCTCAAGAATCAGAAGCCAAAAAGTCAAAGATAGGACAAGCTATTAATAAACTATCTAACAAAATTAATGAAGAAAAAGATGAAAATAAATAAAATTAATAGTAAGTTGATTCGCTTACTGAGTTCATTAAAGAGAGGTAATATATGTCAAAGAAGCTTACTTTTAGGAAATGCGTGAATGTTTCATTTGTAGAAATGCTATAAGACATTCCTCTAGTTATATTTTCTATTTTGATTGTAATAGTATTTCCATGGAGACTTTTTTCAATTATTCGCCTCTGGAAACAAACATTATTAAAAATACCCTAAATAGAAGACTAATATGGTCGAGTAAAATTATAATCAGTGAGAACTGACTTAATAAGGCTATTTGGTAATGTCTTCTCTTACGACTTGCCATGCATAATTTTGAACTGTATACTTATTTTGAGCATATACAAAATTCCTAAGGTAATCCACTTGTTAACATTCTAATTGAGAAAAACATTTAGAAAGAAGAATACATATGCCTATGATATTTTGGAAAATTTTGATTATAGGAAAGAGCTGAAGAAACAGGTGAAGTAAGTTTGGTAGGATGTTTAAACATGGTCATAATATTTAATAATTCACTTGCTTTTTATTAGAATTAAAAACTTAAGACGTAGATTAAACAGGTTTGATAACAAGAAATAAACATTAGAAAAGCTAAGGCTGTATTCTCTGCTTAATCCTATACCAGTTGAAGACCGTCCTACAAGAGCTTGTATGTAAACTCTCTCTTTTAATGTGTATAGTAGAATAGCCGATTTTTTGGATGTTAAAGATTTAGGTTCTATGCTTTTAACAAATAGAAAATTGCATATTTTTACTAAATAAGAAATAATTTGGCAACATTTATTTGAAAATAAGTTTAGCTAATTCAACATTCACTTTTACTAAGATACATTCAAATTAAAATGCATTGAGGGTTATATTTATGAACAAAAGTAGTAAATAGGTAAGCCTATTTCCGAAGAAATAAGAGATGATATCATAGGTAGAAATCATATTATCTTCGATGAATACTTATTATCACTATTCGAGTTTCCAAGTTTTTTGGCAGAAGGATTTTCACAAAAAGTATCTAAACTTTTATTAGCTCTTCCTTAGAATTAAGCTTCTTACAACCAACTAAAATAAAATTATAATAAATCTTACTATATAAGCTTTCTTAGTAAAAATGTTGATAGCATTGTTACTGAAATGGTTTAATTCGAAGTTAATGAGTAGGGACTTTTGTAAAAGTAATAAATTTATTTATTTAAATTAAATTAAAAATTTTTTTTTAAGTTTTTTTTATTTAACACTTCAATTAATTGAATGCTTATTGAATTAATAAATTAATTTTCATCTTCTAAAAATATTATTTTTTAAAAGTTTATTAACAATTTTTTTTGAAAAATAAAAGAGAAAAAAGTGTTGTTTTTATTCAGAGATTTATTTATACATTTTTGAATTTCTTTGAAAACTATGTTTATTACTTATCGTTATTCCCTTAGAAAATTCTAAAAATTTTAAATGCTGGAGATCCTAAAATCTACCATCTAGATCATATTCCTAGATAAAATTTAATTATGCCATAAGAAGCTTAGCCTTACCCTACTTTTAAGTCATTAGTTTACTGCTTCTTTTAGACTTTTGGCTAGATAGCTATTCTTACTTTCTTCTAGACTTTGTTTTTAGGTTGTTTTGAATACAAATACTTTTACTTAGGAGGTTCATTTTTAGAATCTATATTCTGGCCAAATCCACTATTTTTGCTAATACAACTTGTAGCAAGCATATATTTAATTATCCACTAAAGAGTGTTTTTGCTGAGAGTGTATTTATATTTTAGGCCAATAGCTTTCTATATATACTTGTTTAAGAAGATAGCCAAATTTGTAAAATACGTTCTAACAAAATTAAAAAATATGTTAAAAGCAGCTACAAGTAAATTGTTTAAAGGTGATATTCTTACAAAATTAATATTTTTAAAAAATAGAACCACTCTATGACGCAGTTGTTGAACTAATAAGGATATTTATTAAATTTACTTCTGTTTTTAAATTTTTTACAAAATTAATAAAATTTATCTTTAAAAAGTTGGTACACATTACAAATACAGTAAATTATTTTTTAAAGAATGCTTAAATTTAATTTAGTTTTTTTTATTAGCTGAGACAGATGATAAGATTTAGCAAAAATGGATATTATTAACTCCTAACAAATGTTTTTTACTTCTTTAGCAAATTTAATCTATTAGGAGATCTTATATTTACTATTTTTGTCTTTGTTTGGATGTTTTGGCCACTTGCAATCGCCTACCACTTTAAGCTAACATCGTTATGGATATCTGCAGTATTGATTAGTCTTGTGTTAATGGTGAAAGGGTAATTTGTTTATTTAATTCAATATGAAACTAAAAAAATTTAATTTAATTATTAAAAAGGTATTTATTGATTAAAAAAATTTCAGCTAAGTGAGATATATAATTTTTTTTATATAATTCAATCAACTAAATTCAATGAATATTTATTTAAATAGCTTTAAATCAATATTTTTTAATTATTTAACTTTCTGTTTGACTTTTATCTGAATACGATTTATAAATATAAACAAGCAATTTTTAACAAAATTTATTAATTATTTATATTTTATCTAAAACATTTAAATTATATTAAAAATCATACAAATCTAAGCTTCATTATGCTGAAGTTAATCTCACTTTAATATTTATGTGTTTATTATTAGTTAAATTTTTACTTTAAAATTATATTTATCAATTTCAAAGAGAAATAAAATTCAATAAAGTGAAACTATGATTTTAATGAATCCTATACCTCTATATCGAAATGCAAAAATAGTTACAATATTTATATTTATAAAATTCAATTTTTAAATCATAATTAAATTTTATAAATTAAAAATACTTTCTTTTTAAAATATTCAAAAAATAATAAAAAGTTTAGAAGATATTATTAAAAATTAATGTAATTGAATTTAAAAAATTTATGATTAAAAAAAAATATCAATTTATTTATTTAAATGCTTTAATTTATTTAATTAAATAAATAATTGAATTTGTGATTTTATTAAATTTATAAAATTATTATTTCATGATTTATAAATTTTTTTGTTGTTTAAAAACAAACTAGTATTTGAAAATAATCTCTTAAAATAAAAATATTGCTGTCCATAAAAATAATTAATTAGCTTATATAAAGTGAGAAGAAAAAAAAATAATTAATGAAAAAGAAATGGTAAAATTTAAAGAATCTTTAATATAAGGAGTAATGAATGGCTATTTTGATTATTATATTTTCCAATAAATTTTAACTCCCATAATTTGACTCAAATATTACAAAAAAAAATTGTTAATAAAAAAGCAAATAAGTTGTTAATTAATTATTTATCAAATTTCAACCAAATTTTTTAAGTCTTACTTATTATTCATAGAAATAAAAAATATCTTTGATAATAATTTCGCAATTTCATCAAGTGCAATTAGCCCTGTAGAGTAAAGCGCAAAATGATATTTAATAGCAAGACGCTCATAAACCCTTTTAATTAGCGTCCTGCACCTTAGAGTCATAGATAGAGCTCTGGAAGCCCAAAAAGAAGGTTTTAATTTATAACTTTAGCTTAATAATGGATATTATAAATACTTTTAAATTTTTATAAATAGTAGTAGCAATAAAAGAGACGCAATAAATAAAAGTAATTATAGAGTCTCCAATTCAATGAATTTATAAAGCGGAGAAGATTTTTATGATGATTAGCAATACTACACACCAAAAGTAGAGAAGACATAAAAAAAGAAAATATCTTCCGTATCAGGATCTCCTGCTTCTAAAACCACATCAAAAAAAGGAAAGAAAAAATCTAAAGACAAAAATGATACAGCTAGATATCTCCCTTCAATAGAAAGTTAATAAGTATAGAAGTTAGCAGAAAATTTAATGGATCAGGAATAGCAAACTATTTTTTCTTCTCCTTAAAAAGAAAATTTGTATCTCTAAAGAATTAAGCTTTAAGAAGAGTATAATGTATTGCAAGAAGATAATATAAAAGCAAAAACAAGGGTATAAGCGTTGGAAGTAAAAAATTTAAAGTATAAATAAATAATTTTACTAATAAATTATAATTAAATAGACTAATATGTAGCTTATGGCAAAGAGACTATCTGAGCTTAAAGAATAACAAAAGGCAGAAATGCAATCTTCTACATATTCTAATAAATAAAAGCAATAAAGTATCTCTGGAAGAAGTGATTCTAAAGATAAGCCAAAATAAGAAGAACATGTAATAGTTTTACGACTAGTAAATGAGAAATTAATTTATTTTTAAGATATAATCTATGAAAGAAATGAAGAGTAGCTTAAAAGTTACGTAAGAAGAAGGAATGTATAAAGAAGATTAAATTGAGAATATAAAAAATGTACTAAAGCATACTGAAATTGGTGTTTTAGAGGATCAAAGGATGGCTTTTTTTGAAAGTGTTATCTCTTTAAGATAAAATTTAGATAAAACTTTACTGCATAATAAGCTAGCTTAGTTAATGTATTTATATAGTTAATAAATTATACTTAGCTTAATTTTTAAATAAATTTAGAAAGGACAAAAATTTAGATGGAGTTGAAAAAGTATTTAGTGAGAGAACTCATATTTTATAGTAAGATAAATAAAACCTTGCAGAATAGTATTAAAAGTTGTGGAACTACAACTAGTAATGGATAGTAAAAAATTAATGTAAAATTATTTGTATTAATTGGTATTTTAGTAAAAAATAGAATCTAAGTAGTTAGAAAGACATGAGTTAAAGGTAAAAGTTAAGAAGGTAAATGATGATTTAGACAAAGCTAAAAAAGATTACCAAAAGCTATTATATAATCGTAAGGAAGGAATTTAATCAGCTCCAAAAGCTTTAGCTAAATTAGTTTAGAAACATTAAGAAGATAATAGAATAAAGTAATTTACATATTTATTTTCGTTTTTAATTAAGCTTGTTTTATCATTCAAATAATTTAGAGATTTGTAAGCAGAGCATGAAGCACTCTTACATATTGTTTAGGACAAACAACAGCAATTATCAATGAAAGAAGACGAACAGCTAAGGTATGAAAGAAAGTCAAAAGAAGAACTTGGAGAGGTCAAAGTTGTCAATAGTGATTTAAGAGAGAAAATCTTAGAGCTTAGAAGATAGAATGATGTAAATAATTACATTAAACTAATTAAATTAATTTGGAATTTTGAAAAATTAAATTGAATATTTATTTATCATTTATAATGATTTTATTCTAATAAAAAGGAATTATTTAAGGAAATCAGAGTTAAAACATAAAAAATTATTGAAGCTCCTGAATTCGAAATAACTAAAAAGAGAAGGAGCATGATGATTGGAGTAAACCAAGAAGATACTATTCTTAATTCAACGAGATAAATTAGAAGACTATCAGATTTACTTAAGCATGACGATAACTTAGAGGGATTTGAGTTTTCCTCTATGAACAAAGCTGAATAAATTGCTCGTTTGAATATATACAAGTTAGAAATAAATAAGCAACATGAAAAAATATAAGGTATTATTAGAGGAGACAAAGATGGGCTTAAAGAAAATTCTCTTTCTGAGAATCCTCCTATTGATAAACTAAGTAAAACACCTGCTTAGCCTTTAACGCAAAATGAAATATAAAACAAAACAGTTCTTAATGACAATTTGGAAGACCTTCCACTAAACAACAGAAAAAGAAATTCTCAAAAGGTGCTAGAGAATTTAGCAATAAAAAGTCCCCAAGCTGATAGATTGCATAGTGAATTAATTAAGAAGGAATAAGAAAATTAATATAATAAAAAGCAAGCTGATTTGCTCAATTCGAAAAAAGAAGAAGACCTTCTAAAACTTAAAGAGTTAGAGTTGCTTGAATAATAAAAAAACCTATTATTGCAAAAGTAAATAGAAATAGACAAGTTAGAAGAATTAAAGAAATAACATCATGAAAAGGAGATGAGGGAAAAGCTAGCTTAATAATAAGCAATATTATAAAAATAAAAAACAGACGAAGAAAGAAAATTAGAGAAACTTATTAAAAATGATAAGAATGCTGAGCACAAAAATATGGTAAATTCTGAAATGGCTTAAAATGACAATTAGTAATATAAGCCAATTGATCCTAACTCAAATAAAGAAAATAAAGCTCTTCAAACAAAAAGACTTTCTGTATTAAGCTAAGATTAATGGAAATAAATATAGAAGCATATTGAATAACAAGTAGAAATGGGAGATAAAAATTAGGCAGAGAAAATAATCTCTTAAACTGTTTAATCAATTACTGAACCTAATGTAACAGATGGTGATTAGTTTGAAGTTGAATATGTAAATAATCCTAAGCATTATGTAGATTCCATAATTACTAAATTTGATTATGAAGAAGAGAAGAAAAAGTATCTCCAACTCATTTAAGATAAAAATTACAAAGAATTTCCAAATGCAGCTTTAAAAAATAGACACCTTGATTAAAATGTCACATAGAATTAAATTGATTTTTTAGAAAATGCACTCAATTTTGACTTTGTCTAATTTAGTGGAGATATCAAACAAAAAAGAGCTGAGAAGTCTCTTAATAATTAAAAGTATTTAATGTCAGGCCAGCCATTTTCAGATTAAATAATCCTATAAAGTATTTAACTTTTTCTTCATTTTTTACATTTTTAATTCATTATTTTAGTTCGAAAAATATTTTTATTCATTTTATACCGTAAAAACTCTGCCACCCCAACTAAAAGCCTAAGCTTGAGATGAATAAATTGTAAAAATATTGAAAAAAATGGAAAAAAATAATAAATGGTTTCCTCGGCTAAAATATGTCCAAAGAGTTGCGGTATTCTGGTTAAACCATTTTCAAAAATAAATAATTCTATTTGAAAATAAAATTTTATTTCTTATTAATAAAATATTTCACAGTTTTTATTTAACATAAAATTTATAGGTTAGGAATTTGATTTTAGTCACTTTATGAATAGTGAGGATTTAACAAGAAATTGTGAAGAGCATTACTCAAAAAAGAATATTTTAGGAAATATAAACTTTTTACTTTAAAACGAAGCATTTATTAAATTATTTACCAAGAACTTTTTGGTTATGTAAGTGCTGAATAAAGATTAATTTAAAATAGGAGAAAAAATTTCCTCATATTCTTAAGAATCTAAGGCTTTCAAGGGTTTGATCAACTAGAGTTAACAATAGGTGAGCATTTTAAAAATAGAAGTAAATAAAAAAGAGGACTTGGTGATGTACTCTTAAGATATATCAACCATAACATAAATGAAAAATCCTTTTATATTACATCCTATAGCTTCATTTATAGAAAGTAATAACTCAACAGACTCTGCAACATACTACAGAGTATATCCACCTTTTAAATAATCACTTAAAGACTACTTTACAAAAAGTTTATCTAAATTAAATTATGAAAATAAGCTGATGATTTCTCTATAAATTTGCATGGGAGTCTTTGCTATTCACTGTAAAAATGTAGTGATTGGTGGTTAAATAGATTTGGAAAATATAATCATACAAGAAGGAGAAAAGAATGTTTAATTAATTAAATTCATTTAAATTTTTTCTCCTGTTTAAGTAACAGAAAATGAAAATTAAAATTAAAACTAAAACTAAAACTATTTTAGATCTCCTGAAGCAGTCTATAACAGAATGCTTGAATTTAGGAGTGACGTATATTCATTAGGTCTCCTACTTTATAAAATATTCACAAACACAGATTCTACTGATAAAAATAAAATTTTAAGTGACCCAAAAGTACCTGCTTCAATATCTAAAGTTTTACCTTTATGTTTGTAAGAAAATTACAGAGACAGAATTAGTTCAGCCGGTTTATCTATTTATTTATAATATTTGCTTTTCTAAGAAAATCCTGAAGTAGTAAATAAAGTTATTTTCAATCCTCTAAATAATTTTGATACAAATGATGGACTTTTTGCTGATTCATTTAAAATACTTCCTTATGAAAATTCGAAAGCTGTACCTTTATAAGATAGAGGGTTTGTCTATCTAGAAAATGGTTGCTATTATGGAACCCTTAACAAAAATAAACAATTTAATTGCGAAAAATCTTACATTTTCTAATACGACCCAATAAATAAAGTTGTCTGTGCTTTCATTTCGAACTTCCAAAATAATCTCTATCAGTTTTCATTTTCTTTCAACACAAAGTAATTTTTAAAATTTGATTCAAATTAAACAATTTTAAATATGTATTTTAAAAAATATTTAGATTAGAAACTCTGAACATATATCAAAGAGAAAAAGATAAAATATGGTTCGCTGATTCAAATTCTTAAGAGTTGCTTGAAACGAAAAGTTATAAAGGATTCACACTGATTCCAGATGAGTTATAAATAAATTTCATTGATTTTGTGATTTAAAAAAAATTCAAGCTTCTTGATGATGCAGGAAGCCTTATAATTGGTGAATATGGATAAAATGGATTAAATGGAATAGGATGTAAACTAAATTAAAGATCTAAGCATATTTAAATTGGAATATATGAGCATAATCATTTTAATAGTGATGGTATTCATTATCATTAGAGTAGAATATATAACTACATGCCTTAAAAAGATTATAAGTTAAAAGACAGAGGTATGTGTGAATATTCGAACGCCTTACAAATAGGCCCATTAAAATAACCAAAGTATGCTCCTTCAATTTTCTTGAAATATACAGATAATAAAGAAGTATAAGCTAAAGTAATTAGAAATACAGTTGCTTTTAGGTAAATTTTTGTAAAAATAATCAGATAAATATTATAAATTAAAAAAAAGGATTGAATACATTCTAATGAACGAATTAGTAGTAATATGCATGTAAAACTAAAAAGTAGATGACCCATCTTCAGAAAGAATATTAGTAGTAACAAATAAAGATTTACAATTGCATTCATTCTTGCCTGCTTCTAACACCGCACAAATTTCAGATATGCATTTACAGCTTGGTTATCTAGGAATAGCTGTTAGTATAGATAGAGATGAAGTTTATATTGGGCATTTTGCATAAAATAGTAAAGAAATGGATAAAAACAACCTTTTCATCAACTAAGGATACTTCTTAACTGTAGATGAAATAAAAAAAGTATCATGTGTAGAAATTAAAAAGATAATAAACAATATAACAATAATGTGACATTTTATATTATTTGTATGTACTCTCACTTTAAATTATTAAGCTATTTTGCTAAAAATAAATAATCTCTTTTAAAAATATTTCAAGCTAATTTTAATTTAATAAACTATATCATATACAAAGTGACAATTAAATTTTATTAATTTGTTTGACTCATTAAAGATGAAAAAATATGATTGAAAATTAAAAAATGGCTTAAAAAGGAAAATATATTAAAGATTATTTTCATTTATGCATGTGAGTCAATTGAATATAAGCTTTTTATTTTCTGAAAGCTTCTTATATATAAAATAAATTATCATTCTTTATCATTATTATGTTCTTTATTCACTAAAATAAAAAGTAATAATTATAATAAAGTAATTTATTTTTACTTGAAAAATAATTGCTTCTGTTTCCATAAATTGCTTTGATAGTAAATTCTAACTTCTAAAAAAATAAACAATTTTTGCACACATTAATAAACAACTTTTTGAAGTTGTAAAACTTAAAAGAAATCGAATAAGCTATTTTCTTTTAAAAATAAAATGGCTGTTGAGTCAAAGTATATATTGATGTAAATAATTAATTTAAAAATTAAATAAGTATGGATTAAAATAATAAATAGATAAGTTAGTGAAATGTAAATACAAATTGATTTTTATTGGTAAGAATGTAGTTGGCTTTTGAATTTAAAGATATTTTGTTATTGTTAGTTAAATTGTTTTTATTCAGATTCAAATTCAAAAAATAACATCACAAACAAATAAAGTGAAGTTGTAATAAAATAATAAATTAACAATAATAATCTGTATTATATTTTGCTTAATTAATATTACGAAGGCTAACATTCAATATACTTACAACATTATGTAAAATAACTAGCCAAATTAGTAGTAGTAACCTTAACAAGCTACTGTAAATGCATCGCTTGTTGCCAAAGAGAAGGCTGAAGCAGCTAGAGCTTACATAGAAAGTAAGTTCTTGCCTTAATAATTTATTTTTGTGGATCAAAAATGAAGAATTTTAATCATATGTTTTTAAAGAAAAGTACTCTAAAATGAAAATAGTGGAGTAATAGCGAAAATAAAATTGGGAAGCAATCAAAGGTAAACTAAAGGAAATGAATTTGGATGATAACTAATCACAGCTAATTACTGATGAAATCAGATAGAAAGAAGCTGAATTTTTAAGAAAATAGTAAAAAATTGATTGAAATAACACAACATATAACTCTTTAAAAATTATGTTTAAACTAATAGTTTTATTTTTAAAATTATTTTAGGAGGTAAAAAATAACTACAAATGACTTCGAACCTCTTACCATCATAGGTATTTAACTTGAAAAACTTACTTAATTTACCATAAAGCTGATTCATTATTTAAATTACTAGGTAAAGGAGCGTTTGGTGAGGTGAGAATCTGTAGATGCAAATTAACAGGAGAGATAGTTGCAGTAAAAAAAATGAAAAAAAGCGAAATGGTTTTTAAAAATCAAGTTGGACACGTAAGAGCTGAAAGAGATGTTTTGGCCTCTGCTAACATTCCTTGGATTGTCGAATTAAAATATAGCTTCCAAGTAAATTAATTTTTTAGATTGATTAAATTAAATATATCATTTGAAATATAGGACAAAAAGTATCTTTATTTAGTTATGGAATTTATAGAAGGAGGAGATTTAATGACTCTTTTGATGGAAAAAGACATCCTTTCAGAAACTGAAGCTAAATTTTATATTGCAGAAACAGTAAATTTTACTTATTGCGAAATTTATTTCATAATCCAAACTTAAAATATTTTTTTTTAGATACTTGCAGTTGAAGCAGTGCATAAGATGAACTATATTCATAGAGATTTAAAACCAGATAACATCCTAATGACTGCTGATGGTCATATAAAACTTAGCGATTTTGGCTTATGCAAAGAAGCAGTAATTTAATTTTTTAAAATTTATCCTAGAATATTTTTCTAATTTAAAATGTTAATTATTTATTTTATAAAAACAATTTAATTCACTTTTTTAATTCAAATTTGATAATAAAGGACATATCTCCAAAAATAGATTTTGGTAGAAGAGATTTACGGGAAGAAAATGGAAGCAGCTCAGAGGCTGTTTTAACAAATTTACACTAAATAAATAAAGAAAGATTTAACAGAAATAGATAGAAGCTTTATTCTACAGTAGGAACTCCTGATTACATAGCTCCTGAAGTTTTTACCAATCAAGGATATAATGAAACTGTTGATTGGTGGTCTGTTGGTGTTATACTCTATGAAATGTTAGTTGGATACCCACCTTTTTATTCAGACGATCCTAAAACCACATGCATGAAAATTCTTAAATGGAGAAAATATTTAGACATTCCTAAGGAGGTTAATTTATCTGTGCCTGCTCAAGATTTGATTCGCAGATTGCTAACTGATGCAAATGAAAGACTAGGAGTTAATGGTGTATAGGAAATTAAAATTCATCCATTTTTCTAAGGGATAGATTGGAAGAATATCAGAAACTAAAAGTCTCCTTACATCCCAGAAGTAATTCTTTTAAAAATTTTTTGAGTTTATATTAATTATTTATTTTTTATTTAGATTAAAGGACCCTTAGGCTCTCGTTTTGATAAATACGAAGAAGAGGAACCTTGGAATTATGAATTCAACTCTGGATAGCAATTATAGAAGAATAGACAGGTAAATGATGAATTTAAAAAAAATAAATTAAAATAAAATTTTTAATATTAATAAATAGCAAGATATTAACTTCATTGGATACACTTTTAAGAAAGATGAAGAGAAATCTTTGCTCATATAAGCTTTGTAAAAATTAGATTCTGTACAAACTGAAATAGATGAAATAGTCAAACACAAAAAAATGTAGCAATAATAGCAATAACAGCAGATTTAATAATAAGTATAGTCCTAATAAAATCTATAGATAAATTAATAATAAATAAATTAATAGTAATTACAATCATAATAGCATTTAGCTTATTTGTAATAATAATAATAAAAGCAAATACCACAATAAGAATAGATCTAATAATAGCAAACAATTTAACAATAAATTTCAAAGTATTCTTAAAATTTATCTTCATAATAGAATTCTATTTAGTAAAAATATTACTTACCTTCAAAGCTTCCTTCTGCTAGTTAAAATAACAACAACAACAATACTAATAACACTTCTAGAAATTATAATAATAACAGTAACAATTTAAGCAGTACATAAAATATAAACCAAAAGTCATCTAATAATTTAAATTCCAGTGGTATTTCTCAAAATTAGTAAGATACTAACAATAACAGCTATCAATTGTAAACTTCATCAACAAACACAATTAAACAACCTTTGTCAGCTATTAATAGCAGCAACTATGTGAATATAAAAAATAATATCCAAAGCAACATGTCATCAAATAATTTAAGCTCTAATAATGTAAATGGGAAATTTTCATAGGTTATAAAATCTAAAATACCTACTGAAAGAAATACAAGTGCTAATAGCAGTAATAATTAATCAAATACTATTAAGAAATAAATTATGGGAGAAAAAGATGAAAAAACAGAGAGACAAATAACAACTTAAAGAAATAATTATTTAGGTAATCAAAATCTAGGATTATCCTAAGTAATCAATAACCAAAAGAAGACTTCAAATAATGTATTAAATAATTAAAATATGATGCAAACATCATCTTCAAATAATATAAGCTCTTAGTAAAATAATTACAGCTATAATAATCTCTCTTCCAATAACAAGTTACCTACTTCTTCTGGTACTTCAAACATTCCATCTTATTCATATATCAATTTGAGTTCAAGAAACTATGATATTTCATTAGAAAGGACTTAAAATATGAATTATATCAACTCTGCTCTTAGTTAAAATAGAATTAATACTGAATATGATTATTCTAAAGAAAGAGTATCAAAAGTTGCATAAATTACTCCTAGAGTAACTGGAAATAGTCCTATGCAAAAGTCTAATAATTATTAAGCTAACAATACACCATCATTACTTTAGTAAAATAGCAATAATAATTTAAATGGATATTCAGGTAGTAGTAATTTGGGAATTAACAATTACAATTTTTCCTAAGCAAATACATATCAGCTTAACTTAAATGCAAATTAACAGTTTGGAGGAATATCAGGTGTTCTACCTACTCCTACTCACCTCTAGCAATAATAATATTAAAATTTGCTAGAAAATTAAAAAAATAGTTATAAATTTTGATTTCATTTATATTTTACTTTTGTATAAAAAGGTTATTTCTCGTGTATAAAAAATTAAATTTATTTTATGTTTCAAATTTTTATATTAAAGCTAAATATAATTAATTATTTTATGTTAATAGAGAAAATTATTTTACATGTGAAAGAAGTAAAATTAAAATTTTGAAATATTGAGAGAAAAAAAGATGAATTTAACATTGATTTAATTTAATAACTTGCTTTTAAATTAATTCACTAAACTGAAAGATTTAATTTTAAAATAATTTTTTCATTTAAAAATATAATGAATTTATATTTACCTTATTCTATTCAACCTGTTGAAATATATATAAAAGTTTTATAATCATTAAAACTACAATAATTTGCAATAAAAAGAAATAAGAATAATTTAATTTTTACTTGCATATTATCCTTTTTTAAATATTCTTTTTTAAATATTGAAATGAATGAAAATATTAGTAACTAGATAAAACAAGGTATTTACTTTAATTTAATTATGAGGATTTATTTATAAAACAAGTTTGTAAATTTAATACAAATATTATAAATTTATATAATTATCAATTAAAAAATTAATATATAAACAAGTTATTATCATCAATTCAAATATTGATTTTAGGTTTTTTGAAGAAAATGTTTTAAAATTAATTTAATTTTAGTGAAAATTATTTTTTATTATTTATTGGTACAAAAAAATGAAATTTGATTTTTCTTAGTAACTATTTTGTATATTTTCTTCATCAATATTAAACAATCTATTTGCATTATATTTAGAAATAAATTTTTCATTTATATTTTGAACTTTTATAGAAATTTTAGCCTCAAAAAAAAAAAACAGGTATTTAAGAATTTTATTCTGTCCATCCATCCAAAGAAAATAACAAAAAAACTGATTATAGAATTATTGAATATTTTATATATCTATCTATCTTATTACGTAGGAGTAAATAAAATTTATAATTTATCTCAATTATTAATTAAATATACTTACTATTTTAGAAAGAATACTCTCGATTAATTTAAATGATCTAACATAATGACTATATTGACTAAAATTATTAGATTGCTGAAATGAAAGAAGAAACTAATGAGACAGATATTTCGATGGACAGATCTGTAGGATCTACATTAGTTTCTGGCAAGATCTTGAAGACATTACCATAAAAAGTAATGATTTAATCTTAAAAAGGAGATCAAACATAATAAGTATTTTAAAATAACTTCTTTAGATAACCAACTACTTAATCAATTTACTAACCACTAGTGCTTAAATCTGTATATTCAGGAAACATGTTTAATCCTCCTTCAGACTAATTGATTCCTGATGAAATGTTTTTAAGTAAAACATATATTAAAATTAATAGTCTAAAATCTCCAACCTAAATGCCAATTTAATAAGGTTTAGCTTTTTAAAACAAGCAAATTTTAAAAAAAGATAGCATTTATTCTATCGATACTCCTATATAAATACATAAATAAATATAATAGCAATAACCTTATGCACATAGCTTTTCTTTTGATCATAACAGAATATAATCTTTTTAATAGTAATTAGATGAACTTAAAAGTAGAAATAAAGATCTCGAGGGCTAGATTGCGAACTTAAAAAAAGAAAATACTAGTCTAGAAAATGAAAAATAAAAGAATAAAGTTCTAGAAGAAAAAATAAGAGAGTTATAATGGAAAATAGAAAGACAAAAAAACTAGCCTCTTCCAACTCTGAAGAGAGTAATGGATTCAGATGAAGACTATATACAAGAAATTAATAATATCAACCTAAAGTAAGAAAATAAAATATTAAAAGAGAGAATAAGTTCTCTAGAATATGATTTAAAACTAGCCTACAGTTAATCCAAGCAAGGTATTAAATCAGTTGTTCCAACATCATAACTAGAAATAGAGAATAGAAAACTTGTCAATCTGTTAGACGAGCTGCAGAGATAAAATGTTGATCTCACTGATAAATTGATGTTTTCTTAAACATATAAAGATAAATACAATTAATTATTGACAGAAAATTAAGCTTTAAAATAATAAATCTAAGATAACCGCATATCAAATAAATTCTTCGGGTGTTTTTGCTGATGTATTCTTTGATTAATATATCAATAAATAACAAATTAATTAAGTTTATTCTCTTTGAAGAATTAAAAAATATTATCCTGTTCTTTTTATTACATACAAATATTTAAAAATTTTTTAGATTACTCGTAAAATACTCAAAAACTATTTTTAGTAGCACATTAAAAATAAAATATCCCTCTAAATTTTAAAAGTAAAATGTTAATTCAAGAAGTTTTTATTTATTCTAAAATTTATAAATATTAAGAGATCAAAGTTTTTTTGAGGTTAAATTAGTTTTTATTTTTTACTTTTTTAATATAATTTAAAGATTCTGCCTAAAATCTAAAATAAAAGAAGCAAGTTTAGGGCAGTTAGTTAGCCATAGTAGAACATAAATTTTATTTAAAATCAAAGCCATTTTAGTATTTTAGTGGCTAAAACACCTATTTTTATATAATTATGAGGTTAATGAGAAGATTTCATAGACTTTAATTATTAAGATATTTTAAAGGTAAAAGTAATATTTATTTATAATTTTAACTTCTTAGAATTCAAAAATAATAAAATTCTTTTTAGTCATTTTAAATTTTATTTATTATTTTTGATAAATTTTTTAACTAACTTAGCAATTATTATTAAAATTTAAGTGCATTTGCAAAATCAAAATTCAGGCTATCAGAAACAACAAAACAACTTAATTGAATAATTAATTCAAGTAAATATGATAGATAATTCAAAATCAAAGATGCCTACTACTTTTGATATGAAACTTTAAAAATTAGACATTTCAATAATTTCAATACTAAAATCTCAAACTAATTTAAGTATTTACAATTAATATATTTGCTATGACAAGACAAAAAGAAAATTTAATAATAGTTATAAAAATAATAATCATTTATGTTGTATGATCAATCAAAATATTATATATTATATATGATGGTAATCACTAAAATAATTTAGAATATCATATATCTATTTAAAGTGCAAATTAAAACCTCAATAAATCGAAAATTCTTTGAATTTACAGGTTGCGAGTTAATGAGGTTTTATGGTAATACATGTATTTAAATTTTTTTTTATAAAATATACTTATTGTGATAGCTAAATAAAAATTTAAATAAATTTACAAGAGCTTATATATTTATTAAACAAAAATTACAATATTTTTAATAATAATTGAATAAAATTTAATCTAAGGAGAGTTATTAGAAAAAGTTATTTATTTCCAATTTAAAAATTACCTAATTTTTTAATATCACATAGAAAGTAAGCAAGCAAGCAGATTTGCATAAAAAAGAAAATAAGTAAATGGGTGGAGTAAGTTTTTTTAAAAAAATCGATATATTCTAGTAAAAATTCGCTTTTAATTCAGGCAAGTAAAATTTTTAAAATAGTACATGCTTTGGAGGTTTTTTGTCAATTATTATTATCCTTTTTGGCATATTATATTTAAGCTATATGTTAAGTCTGTATTTTGGAAATAAATTGCTTCCTAAAATAACTTCTTTGTAGTAAACTTCATAGAATAAGTAAGAGATAAGATTATCATTTGAGTAGTCTCCTATTTTATTCTAATTTTAAATGAATGGATTTCTAATTGATGATTTTTAAGCAAGTACTGGAAAAAAATATCTTAATATTGATCTTTACTATGTTTAATATGGTCTAAATTATACAAATCAATACCTATTACCAACAGAAGATTGTGGAAATACCTATCCACAATGGTAAGGGTATATTTGTATAGATTTTAAGAATATAAGTGATGAAATGAAAACAATGGTGTATTCTGATTCATTAGAGTCGACTATTGAAATTCAATTTTCATCATGTGCAGGAGAATAAAATTGCTCATCAGAGTAAGAAACTTTGGATATGCTAATCAAACAGACAACTTTTCTAGAAGTTTATATAGTTACTTAACAATATAACTATACTTCTGGTCAATTTTAATAAAGTTATGTAATGGAAATATATTAATTAGATGATTTATTAGTTGTTTATGGAAGTATTACACTTTAAAAAACTACTTCTACTATTTAAAAAGGATTGATATTCTAAGACAAGTATTAAAAAGATTATTTAGCTAACTATATAAGAAATGATGATTTTTTAAGTAGAAATAATATCTAATAGAAAATAGGTTTTGATGGCTATGGATACATAACCTTTTAGTTGGATTAAACATTCTGCAAATAAGAGTATTAATTCCCTATGATAACTGAAATATTATCATAGTTTGTTTCTTTATTCAACATTCTAATGTTCTTTGGAGTAGTTGCATCTAATTTTTCTAGGAAATTTATGCTTTAAAATCTATGTGAATTATATTTAAAAGAGCAATTTAAATGCACAGCAGTAAACTTAATTGGAAAATAAGAATGCGATTCTCAAAAAAATGATAAAAGTAATTTTTTTGCGGATGAATTAATTGGAGCTCAAGAACAAATTTAAAAAACAAATTTTAACTAAAAATTGAATAAAAAGAGTTGCTTAAACATTTTTTAAAAGTAAGTTTTTTGATGAATTTAAAAATAATTTAATATTTTATAAAATTAATTAGGTTCAAGTAACTTATATTAAAAATTTTTAGGGTTAAAAATAAAGTGGAATAAACTGATTTGTATTAATAAATGATGAACTATGCTCTAGAATAAATGGATATTTTTTAAATTTATAAGTAATTAATATAATTAAACATGGCAATAAAAGTTATTCTAACTAAGGACTAGTATGCTGCATTAAAATTTTGTGGTTGCGACTTTGAAGATCATTTAAATACATTTGAAACTAAGAAAATAATGAATTTAAAACTTTTTGAAGAACAAAAAAGAGGTGATTAAACCAACTAAATTAATTAAAAAATAAATGGTAATATTTATGATAATAAATAAGGCATGTAAAATGAATAAATATCTCATAATCAGTATTAATCTCCATAGAAAAAAGAGGACATTTCTATTATAAATCATAAATAAATATTATCAAATAAAAATATATCATTAAATTTGCCTGGAAATCAAAGTACAGAAGCATGCAAAAACATTTTACAAGAAGATTTTATTTTCAAGAGATTAGAAAATTAAAATAGTAATTATATTGATGAAACAATTAAGTAAGAGACGAAATCATATGATAGTCCTCTACTAAATTTTAATTATAAGTAATAAGACAATGATGAAAGTAAATAATTATTTGAAAGTAAGGGAGATAATAAAATTCAAGAACTCTAATTAGTAGAATAGAACAAAATCAAAATTTAAAAGTAAGCTTAACACTTTAAATTGAATTTTACTGAATCATACATACGAAGCAGAGATTAAGATTTTAAAGGAGATGACGGCTTGTAAATATTTGAAATTGAAGATATAGAAATATAAAATTCATAAAAAAAAGAAAATAAAAATAAACCAAGCAAAAAAGTTAAATTAAAAAACAAATATTATCTTAAAAGTTCGAATTATTTTAAAAAGCATTTTATAAATTAAAAAATTAATTAACCATATTATAATTTTAAAGATATTCAAGAATAAAAATCAAATCAAATATTTAAGCAGATATTTTTAGAAAACTTAAAAAAAGCAGAAAACTAAAGCAAAGTAACAACAAAGTAGGTTGCAAAAAAATTTTAAGCAAATCATGTAAACCATATATAAGAATTAAATAAATTAGACAAGGATGTTTTTCTCTAAAAGTAAGAACTTTAGAATTTCTTAGAAAAGTTTAAATATAGCAATAACTCTATAAATAGCTAGTCATCTATTGACTAAAATATATTAAATTCCTTAGTATTAAGTTATTCTAAGTTTTTCTTTTGATTTCGTTCAGTTTTATTAAAATAAATTAACAAAATTTTTTCATTTTTAATTTAAGAGGAATTTTTGTTTTAAAAAAATTATTATAAATTTCATTAAATATGAAGTGTTTTACTGATAATAAATAATCATATTAATGAGGATTAATTTTCATAATAATTAGAATTTTTAATTTTAAAATTAGTTTGCATTTAAGTTAAATTTTTAGATATTTTTATATGAATTAAAAATGATTATTTAATTTTTAAATTTATATTTATTTTTATTATTTTAAAAATAAAAATAGTAAGTTGTACTTTTATAAGCTTTTACCTAATTAATTTTTAATATTTTTTAATCAATTTATAAATTTTTATAAATAGAACTCTAAACAATATCTTTCTATAATTTATTTACATTTTCTTCCAACAACTAAGACAGATCAATATTAAAATATTTATTTATTTTCAATAGAAAATAAAAAATTATAAAATTCTTTAAAAATATTTTAAAATTTTATTGATATAATTGTTTTTTAAAAAAACTCAAAAATTATGATAAAGATTTTAAGCAATTTTATTTGTTTAGAGACCTTGAAAAATTGTTAGCCCAAATATTTTTTTGGACTTAAAAAGCAAAAAAGAAAACTCTTTTTTAAAAAAATCATGTTTTCAAATTTTACAAAAAAAGATTTAAATTTACAAATAAAATTTAATAAGGTACCAATAATTTGAATTCTTATAAAATTTATACTATGTGTATAGTAATCTTTGAAAATTGCATAAAAACTATTTAAAAATGTACAAATTATCCAAAAAAATTATTTTTCAAAAAATATCAATCATTTTCAATAATATAAAAATAGAACTTTATGCTTTAAAACATAAAACTATGCTAATTTATTCAAAACTAATAAGATTTTGCTTTTTTATAGTCCCTGTTTTTTTAGATGATATTTACTAAATTTATTACAAATTTAAGTATCTAAAAATAAAATAAATTTAAATATTATTGAAAAATTATCACAAATAATTCAATATTATGAAAAAAATTAAAGAAGGTTAATTAAAAATTTGAATCAATTAATTTTTTTATGAATTACAAAATAAAATTTCATTTATTTTAATTTTAACATTTAGATATAAGTTCATTTTTTAGAAATATATACATTTAATATAATTTTTAAATGGTAAATTAGAATAAATGAAATAAATATGCTTTGATCAAATAAAATATGAGTATCTAATAGAGACAATCTTAGACAAAGTTAGTTAGAATTAAATGTTTATTTTGATTTTATAATAATTCTTTTTCATTTCTTTGTTAGAATTTGATATACTTATAGATAGATATCTTTAAAGTAGCTACTAAAGATCAGAAAGAGAAGAATATATAACAAATATTCATTGTTTTATTTCATATTTAATCAGAATAAGTCAATTAAATAAGCTATTTTTCTATCTTTAAAAATTCTATTAAATAAAAAACACCAAAAAATTGTTTGATTTTTTTACATAGGAGTTCAAAAATTTATTTAAAGGAAAGATTTAAATATAAAGCTTACATGAATAAATCAGAACAACTTCTAAGGGAAGGCAAAAAATTTATAATTTACTCAGTTTAGGAGTATCCAAGTTAGAGTGCTTGTATAATTAGCGGGTATGATACAACAAAAAAGCAAAAATGCTTAATAAAGTCATTGTAATTAAGTGTTAATTCTACTGAAGATGTTAGACCTGAAAAGTTAGAAGAAGTAAATAGAATGATTTAGATGTTAAAAAATAGCAACAATTCTAATATCCTACAGTATCTAGATAGCTTTTAAATTGAGAATTACTGCTTTATTTAGTTTGAGAGACCTGAAAAAACGATTTTTGACTGGATTAAAGAAAAGAAAGACGATGCTATTATAGAAAGCAATGATTATTTATTCAAAGTTTGTGCATAAATAGCTAATGCTATGAGCTACTTGCATAAATATAATTGTTTTTTAATGGATATGTCACCTGAATATATTTTCCTTAACGAGCATGGAAATGTTAAAATTTTTTGTAATAAATTTGTTAGCTCAGATGAAAAAGATGGTATTTATAAAAGTTATGTCCGATCTGGTAGAGATGGAAAATACTTTTTATATTCTCCCGAAATGCTTTCCTAAGCCCTAAATATTTGGGATAGTGGTGTAAAGAGAAAAGAAAAATATGATGTCTGGGCATTAGGTATAGTCATGCTTATTTTATTGGGATAAAGCGAAGCAGTAAGCATAAATCTTCATTAATAAAATTGCATCAGTTCTGTAATAGAAAGCTTAAAAATTGATTAATCTCTAAAATGCCTACTTCAAAATGATATTTTTAATCTAAATATATAGAAAAGATTAACTGTACAAGAATTACTATCATTCTTTAATTAAGATCAACAAGTGATTTTAAAAAAATCTGATAGCTTATCAATAGTGAATCAAGAAAGTATTGAAAAAGAAGTCCAATTATAAGATTTAAATAATGAATAGCAGGATTAATCTATTGAAAAAACTAAATCTATCGATAGCGATGTTAAAACTTAGGATGAATAAGAAAAACATAAAGAGCAGCATAGTAGATAAACTGAAAAGAGAAGAAAAAGGAGTAGCAAAAAAGTTGAAGATTCTGATGGAAATGAAGATGAGGAAGAAATAGAAGTAGAAAAAGGAAAGGTAGCAAGAAAAGATTCAAAAAAGAAAAAACTTGAGAAAAATTAATAAAAATTAGTGAAAAAAGATGCAAAAGATTAAAGTAAAGATGATAAAGAAATCGATGAAGAAAAAAAAGATTAAGTTAAAATAAATAAAAATATTTTTATAGATAATAAATACTTAAAAAAGTTGATGAGCAAATCTCTTTCCAAAGCTGAGTTGGTCTAAGAAACTCAAAATTTAAAGGAGCATTTAGAGAAATAACCAAACGACATAGAAGCACTGAAAGTTATTGCAAAGCTGTATTAAAAAAGAGGAATGATTGATTAAGAAATTAGTCATTATAAATAAATTATTGAGCTTTCTCCTGATGATGCTGATGTGTATTTCTAACTAGGTAAATCTTATTTAGGAAAGAGTAAAGAAGATGAAGCTGTTAATTGCTTTAACATTTGCTTTGAAAAAGACAATAAACATATAGATTCAATAATTAAGCTTGGAGACTATTATTTAGTACAAAAACAGATAAAGAAAGCAGAGGATGTTGTTTTGAAGGGGTAAAAAGTTAACTAAACAAACCCATAAATTCTTTATTAGCTCGGTAATATTTATAGGTTATAAAATAGGTTGGAAGAGGCTTTGGAATGTTTTGATCTTAGCTTAAAATTTGATCACTCAAATAAATAATGTACATAAGATCGACTTTAGACTTTTAAAAAAATAAAGGAGGTTGAGATAGTTAACTGTTTGAAGGCTCTAGAAGTAGATAGTAATAATTATAAAATATTATATAAATTAGGTCTAGCATATAAAGACAAAGATATGTATGATAAGGCTATTGAATCACTAGACAAAAGTTTATCTATCAATCCCAAGCAAAACTTAGTGTATTTAGCATTAGGTGACTGTTTTCTCCTAAAAAATAATATCAAATTTGCCAAAGAAAAATATTATTAAAGCTTAGAAATAAATCCTAAGTGCTCTTTAACATGGAATTAATTAGGTTCTTTGTATACTTTGAAGAAAAAATATATAAAAGCAATCAAGGCTTATCTGAATTCTTTTCATTATAGTGAAACTAAATCTCCTGAATAGTAAGTTAAAATATGTGAAATTGCTAAAAAATAAATGGATGATTGTATCAAAAGATTTTTGAAAACAACTGAGACTGCAGACATTCACAAAATAAAAAAAGTTATTTAGACATATTGCTTTACAAAAGAACTTGAGATCAATAATTTAAAGGAATAGCTCTCTTAAGAATATGCTTAATCTCTTAAAGATATGAATTCTTTTTACAAGTTTTTCCACACACTTGGTTTACTCTACATGGCATATAAAATTCCAAAGAAAGGGATTTTACAACTTTAAAAGAGTTTAATTTTAAATCAATTAAATAAGGCATGCTATATTGATCTTTCAGCAGCTTTTGGAACATAAAATTAGAAAAATCAAGTGATCTACTATGCAAATTAGGCTTTGTTCAATTATTAGACCTACAAAAGTAACTTTCTTACCTATAAAGAAAAGAGAGTTTTAAAGAGTATCCAATAAATTAAGAAGATTTAAATTGATGAGATAAATAATGAAATTTCCTAAGATGATCTAAAATCTAAAGCTTACTATAACATAGCTCATGTCTTGGAGAATAAAATTAATTTGAGCATAGGTTATTACAACAGATCCTTAAAACTAGACTAAAAAAATGCAGAGAGCTACTACAGAACAGGTATTTTGCTCTTTAAATAGAATATGTTTGAAAATTCTATTAAGTCACTTAACAATTGCATTAAAATTGATAAATATCATTTAGGAGCACATGAATAATTGATTTAAATTTACGAAGTTTAATAAAATAAAGAGCTTGAAATTTACCACAAAAAAACATTGAAGGAATCAAAAGCCTTTAAAAAATATATTTATTATATGCAAAATAAAGATTACGAAAAATGTATATAATTACTTTAAGAATGGGAGGAAATTAATCCTACTAATGATGAATGCTAATACTATTTAAGTGATTTAATGAGAATTATTGGAAAAAAAGATTCTTAGGTGCATTACCTAAAGTAGTGCTTAACTCTTAATCCTACTCATGAACTTGCACTTTAAAGAAAATATGAATTGTAGAATAGTTGTTAAAACGAATAACTTGCTTAAACAATTTTTTATGAGGAGCTTGACCAGCATAACAACTGGGAATATGTTGAATAAGAAGAAAATGAATTTTAAAATTTGTTAAGCATAAGATCAAATTCTTACATTTCATTCAAATCTGGCCTCTATATGAAATCTAAGCAAGATTTAAGTAAAGCTTTTCTTTATTTTGAGGAATACTCAAATTAGCAACCCAATGACTACTTAGGATTTTACCTACTTGGTCATATTGAAGAAAAGAATTGTAATTTTGAAGTTGCAGCCAACTTCTATTTGAAGAGTTTGTAATTAAAACCAGAGGATAATTTCAATAGTAACAATAGACTGGGAATAGTTTATTTGAATATGAAAAAGGTAGAAGAAGCTCTTAAGTATCTAAATGAAGCAAAAAAAATAATTCATAAAGAGGAAATTAATATATGTGCTATTGCTTAATGCTACAGCTCACTTGGATAATTCAAAGAAGCTATTGAAAATTATCAAATATGTTTACAAATCAACCCAAATAACTAATTATATGAGTTTTTTATTTTTGTTATCAATTCAAGGAAGCTAAATTTAGATGACTTTTTCCCAGAAATGAAGAAGAAAGCTGTTGTTGTTTATGAAGCTTACAAAAATAAGAACATATCATCAGTCATGCTTCACTTTTTAGAATGTATTATAAATGAAAAAGAACACAAAAATAATTGTAGCGGGTTTTGTTTGTACCAACTTTCTAAGCTCTCAACTTAGCATAAAAAAATTGAAGAAGCTGTAGAACATTTAAAATAGAGTGTAAGGATTAGTCCTAATTATCCTCCTTTCAGATTAGCTTTTGCTTAAAATTTGATTTCACTTTTGAAATATGATAAGGCTAGCGAGGAATTAGAAAAAATTTTATAGCAGGATTCAGAAAATTATGATGCAAATCACTTCATGGGTATCTGCCAATATTAGAAAAATCAATTTAAAAGTGCTATTTAATATCTCAGTGTCTGTGAAGCTTAAAAGCCAAATACATATGAAATAATCAAATTAATTGGCTAGTGCCACAAGTAGATGAACTAAACAGAAAAAGCTATACAATTTTTTGAGCTGTGCATAGATCAAAACCCAAAAGATGCAGAAGTTTTAATACTATTAGCAGAATCTTTGTATAAACAAGGAGATGTAAAATAAACTCTTGAAATGTATTAGAAAGCGTTTAAATATAACACAAAAGATTCTCAATACTTTTATTAATATGCCAAGATATTATTTGAAACCAAAGATTTTAACTAAGCAATTATTTTTGCTTAAGAATGTATAAAGATTAACTCTAGTCTTGATAATGCATAAAACCTCTTGGGTTTATGTTACATGAATATTGGAGATATGAACAAAGCAATTGCAGCCTTCAAAAAGTAAGGTCAGATAAACAGATTACACAAAGACTATCTTCTCAATTTAGGAAAAGCTTACATTAAAAAAGGTTAGACAGTAGATGCAATAAGTACCCTCAGTAAATTCATGAATTTGTATCCAGATATAGAAGAAACCTATGAATTGCTTAATTACCTTTTTGATTTATAATAATAACCTAAAAAGCAAATAAAAATTTTATAAAATCTACTGGAAAAATATCCAAAAAAAACAAAACTGAATTTAAATATAGCAGATATTTAATATAAATAAAAGCTTTATCAAGAAGCTATAGAAAGCTATGAGAAATATTTAAAAGAAAACGAAGGAAGCAGAGAAATTTAATATCGTGTTGCTATGTGCTACGTTAGAAAGAATCTACTAAAAGAGGCTAATGAAATTTTAAACAAATCTATAGCTCTATACCCTGATATGATTGAATATCGTTATCATTTAGCAAATGTTAACCTAGCTTTAGGTAATTATGAGGAATCTTAGAAAAATATAGAGTTACTTTTAGAGCACAATCCTGATCATATTTCAGGGTTATTTATCTTAGCTAAATTATAATTCATTTAAAAAGATTACAAAAATGCTCTGGAGAAATTAGAAATATGCCTAAATACTTATGATTAGATTCCTGAATTATATTATTTGCTAGGATGTTGCTACAAAAAACTTGGAATGAAAGATTTATGTTTACCATGCTTTGAAGCAGCTATTGTTAGAAATCCAGAAGACATGAATAGCAAGATTAAATTAGGATATTTTTACATTAAAGCTAAAGAGTATTAGAAAGGATTAACTTTACTTGAGAACTTTGAAAACTTCGAAAATTTATTTGATTTTAATGATCCTAAATACTATTACTATTTGGCTGAAAGTTATTTTAACTTAAATTAATTACCAAAAGCCCATAAATTGTATTAGAAATGCTTTGAGTGCTCTTCAAGCAAATATTCTAAGTTTTGCTTTTAAAAGATTCATACAACTTTGTTGAAGCAAAAAAAATATGATGAAATAAAAAAAAGTTTATCAGGCTATATTAATAAATATAGCGACGATTTTGAAGTATATTTCATTCTTGCATAAGTGTATGCATATGAAGGAATAGAATATCAAAAAGTTTTAGAATACACTCAAAAAGCACTGGAATTAAAGCCTTCATACGATGAATGCAAAGTACTCTTAGGTTTTTGTTATTTGAATATTCAAAAAGACCTAACAAAAACTATTGAATTCTATAACGAATTTGATGTAAAATTTGTTGATTAAAATGTAAATGCTTTGCTAGTGTTATCGCAAGCTTACTTTTAGCAAGAAAATACTGAAAAATGCTAAGAATTTTTAAATAAATTATTGCAGATTGATAACAAACATGAGAATGCTTTATATTTATAGGGGATGTTGTATGTAAAATTAAAATAAATAGATAAGGCTATTTTAGAATTCTAAAAGAATGATCAACATGATAAATCTTTTTACTAATTAGGGGTTTTAAAGAAGAAGTAAAAAAAGTACGATGAAGCTAGATCTAGTTTCAATAAGGCAATATAACTTAACTCGAATGATCCTCTTTATTATGAAGCCTTTGGAAAGTTAGAATATGGCTAAAAAGAATATTTAAAAGCTTGTAATCATTTTGAAAAATATTTATAAAAAGTAGCAAATCCAGAAATAGAGATTATAAATTTGAATGCTTAAAGCTACTATAATATTAAAATGTACAAAGAAGCTATCAATTTATGTGATAAAAGTGTTGAAATATGTTTACAAGATGATAATTAAAAAAAATAAATACTGTCAAAGTCATATCATCTAATAGGACTTTGTTATTACCAGCAAAGCGAATATAAAAAGGCAGAGGAGTTCTTCTTAAAGTCTACTAATGCTGATCCGCAAAACAGCGAAAGCTTCTTTTGGTTGGGAAATATTCTAAAATTATTAAATGAGCAATAAGAAGCTAAAAAGGCTTATCTGACATGCTTATCTCTGAATAAAGAGCATGCCTTATGCCTAAATTATTTAGGTGAAATATATTACAAGGAAAAAGAAGAGGAAAGTGCAAAAAAGTGTTTCATAGAAAGTATACTCTACGATACTTAAAACCCAAACTCTCATGTTAACTTAGGTAAATACTTCTAAAAAGTTAAAAATAACCTCTCACTAGCTGAAGAAAACTATAAAAAAAGTGTATAGATTGAAAAATCAAACAAAAGAGGTGCAAAAAAATTATTAAAAGTATATATTTTGCAGAATAAGTATGAGGAAGCTGATAAAACCATTGCTGAATATTAGCACTTATTTGATAATGATGCCTCTCTCCTATTGTTTTTTGGAAACTTTTATTTTAATAGGCATAAATATGATAATGCTATTTCTCAATATGAAAAGAGCCTAAAGGTGTAAGACCAAAATTAAGAATGCATGATCAAAATTATATCGAGCTATTTCATGAAGAAATCATTTACATAATGCAATGATTCTCTAAAGAAATACTCAAATTAACTTGAAAATAACTTTATGTATCATTTCTTGAAAGCTCAAATTTTAATATACAATGAAACAGACTCTCAGATAGTAAGGTGTATTAAAAAGTGCTTGTAAATAAACAAGGATAATGAAAATATTTAATATTTATAAGCATATTTCTTTTACTGCAAAGGTAGTAAAAAATACTAGGAGTATTATGAAGAAGGCAACAAATTAAACCCTGCTTCTAACAGTGAACTCAAATTAATTCTATAAGGTATTATTCATGCAGAAAAAAAAGAAGAAGAATTAGCTATAAAATCATTTAATACCTGTCTCTCACTTTATCCTAAAAGTGAGCTTTGTCTGCTAAATTAAGGGTATTACTACTTAAACAAAGAAATGTATGAAGAAGCTAAAGAGGCGTTATAAAAATGCTTAAATTATGATTTCGTCAGCCTTCAATCCATTTACTCAAAACCTCTAACTCTAAAAGATATTCATAAACTAAAGATTGGCCTCTCTCTTGCTTACAAAGAGGTGAAGGATATCGACAAATCATTTGCTTTGATTAAATAATGTCTTGATAAAAATCCTAATGACCCTGAAGTGATTAAATTACATGCAAAAGTTCTTTAATAATAAGGAAATCTTTCATCTTCTATTATTTAGTATCAAAAATATCTCTCATCAAATCCAAATTCTTACGAAGTCTAATATCTATTAGGTAAAGCAAGATTGGAGATAGGCTGTCCAGATTAGGCTATTTATTCTCTTAAAAAGTGTTTACAGCTAAATCCAAAGTTCCCTAATATTAATGGTATACTAGGTGAAGCTTATGAATAAGACTAGCAATATTTAGAAGCTCTAATTCATTATCAAAAATAAACTCAAATTAACCCTGAAAATACAGAAATTCTTTTCAAAATGGCTTTAATTTAAATTTCATATGATAATTTCAATTAAGCAAAATAATTAATTGACAAATTAATTGAGCTCAAGCCTTAAGACTATTTAGTATATTCAGCTCAAGCTTATCTTTACAAGCGCCAGGGAAATCTATAGGAAGCAATAAAATCTTTTGATTAAAGTCTCTCAATATAACCTACAAACACTTTTACACTGTTTAATCTTGCACTTTGTCATGGAGAATTAGGAAATATAAAGCAAGAAAAAAAGATGTATAAAGAAATTTAAAAGATCAGTCCAAATGATAGAAAGATGCTTAACAATCTCGGTATTATTTACAGATAAAAAGGGAAGTACGAAAAGGCGATATAATTATTTAGTTAGTGCATAAAATTGGATTAATATTTCTGCGATTATTTCACAAATCTAGGATTGTGTTATTATGCTAAAGGAGACTACGATGGGGCTATCAATTATTTCTAAAAAGGATATACTCTAGATCGTATTAATGTAGAATGTCTATTAAATTTAGCCTCTGCTTTGAAAGCTAAAGGAGAACCTTAGCAGGCAATTAAATACCTCTAAAAAATAATCAAAATAAATCCAAATTACACAGCAGCATACTACAATTTGGGAATAATTTAAAAATAAAATGGTAACATATCAGATGCTCAAACCAGTTTTAAATTAAGTATAGAAAAAGATCCATATCATATTAATTCAGTTATTTAATTAGCAATAATATACAGAGAATAAAATGATTATGATAATTCAAAAAAGCTTCTTAAGTAAGCATTAGAGATTGATTCTAATAATGAATTAGCCAATTTCAATATTGCATTACTTTACAGATAAAAATGCAAACATGCCAAAGAACTCAATGCCTTGCTAAAGGCTTTATCTTATTCTCCAAAAAATGCGAAATACTTACATAATATAGGAATATGCTAAAGACTATAAGAAAATTATCAGGAAGCATTGATTTATTTCAAATAATCTGTATAAATAGACTCAGAAAATGCTAAATATTATTATAATTTGGCAGATATCTACAATTGTTTAAAAATGCCTATTGAAGAAATAAACTGTTATATGAAATGCATACAGCTGAATCCAAACTTTGAAAGAGCTCACTATAATCTTGGTATAGCTTATGAAAACATAAAGAATTACAAAGAAGCAATAAGTTGCTTTGAAAAATGTATTGAAATTGCACCTTCAAATGATTAATATTTCTTTAGTCTAGGAAATATATACTCACTGCAAAGAAACTTCGAAAAATCAAATGAGTATTATTAATTTTGTATAAGCCTTAATCAGGATAACATTGAATGCTTAAATAACATGGCAGTAAACTATATAAAACTTAAGCAACATTCTGAAGCAATAAAAATATATTAAAACTGCTTGAAAATTTCTCCTTTCTAAGAAGAATTCAAAAAAAAAATAAATTTGATCTAAAACTACCTTCATCATCAAAGCTGACATCAGTTCATTATTATTTATAGCCTTACAAGAATTAATCATAAATTAATTATTAATTTTAAGTTTTTAATTTATTTTTTATTTTAAGTATTCATCAAAAAAAATTTTTAATCCTTGTAAAATCAGTTTCTTTCAATCAAGATTTAAAAATAATAATAATTATCGTTATTATTTTCTATTTTTAATAAAGAGAATTATATTTAATTCATAAAATTCTATTCTTCTTGATTTAAAAATTAGTTATCTGAAAAATATAAAATTAATAGGGTGATTACACTTAAAATATTTTTATTTATAAAACTCTAATATATGATCTAATGTAAATAATATTTTTCATTTATTATACATAAATTTAATTGGCAGGTGGTAATAAATAAGGACAAAAAATTTTCATGAATAATATAATAATCATTTGAAATATCACAAATCCTAATATCATATGGTAGGTGATATTTCAAAAGGATCAGCTTTATTATCTAAAATTTGTTGAAAGCAATAAAAATATAGAGTGAGCAATATTATATTAGCTTAAAATGAAAAAATTAAATAGAATATCTCCACACAGTTAGCGATATTTTAATTTCAAGATTAATAATAGTGGAAATTATTTAATTTTTACAAATCAATTAATTTTATTGTTTGAAAAGTGTTTATATGATTATAAAATAGATATATTATATGGATATATAAAACAATTTAAAATTTATGTTAAATCACTAAAATACTTTTTATTTATAATAATTATAAATTATTCTAAAATAATAGAATGTAAAAATAAAAGAAATAAAAATACAATTATAATAATTAATTTTTTATTTTCTCATTTAATCATAATAAAAGAATTATTGTGTAATATAGTCTAATTTTTGAAAAACTAATTAAAAAGACAACCATTTAAAAAGTTGATAAAAATATTAAAATAAATTATATTAAATTTTATTCGTATTATATATTTTATTTATCACTTGTTTTTATCCTAATAAACATGTAAAAGTACATACATATTAAAAAATTGTATTCTTCTTTTACAAAAATATTTTTTTATAATAATATTTAAGTATATAACAAATAAATTAAAAGGAAATCTTGCCTATAGCATAATGTTTTGATTCTAACAAATTATAAATTATATTCTCAATCTTAATATGACTGTAAAAGAATATCAATTAATCACTATTAACAAAAAAATAAAATAAAATTTTATAATTATTTAGTAAAAATAATTAATTAGAGCTAAAAAATAAAAAAATGAACATTCAAAAATTAATTGCTATCCTTATATTAGGAGTTATAATGGTTTCTTCCTCCATTTATTTTGTTCAAAAATCTAATAATGTAGAAATGAGTTAATTTAATTATTAGTAGGTCTCATCTTCTGATGATTGTTATGGCCCTGGAGCTCCATGCTCATCTAATGATTAATGCTGTTCTGGATCTTGTAATTAAAGACCTCGCTCATGGCTTGCTTAATGCTCTTGATTCTACTAAAATAAATGAATTGTAACCACTAATAAAAAAGCCATTTTTTAAATAAATATTTTGAATACTTACTTTGTATATGTTTTATAAGCATTTAAATCAAAATATTAATTCCATTAAATTAATTTAAAAATTAAATTTTATTTTTTATAAAAGAGTTTTTCATTAAAAAATAAATATTTTTATTCATATTTAAAAGTAAAAATTCTAAGATCTATTCCAAATTATCCTAATCTTAATTATATGAATTAATAAATAATTATAATTATATCAAAATTGTATTTTAAATAAAAAATATGTTTTTTTTATTTATTTGAATAAATTAAATATTTAACTAAATTGAATATAAAGAGTGAGGATAAATAGTATTATTAAATGCCTTATTTAGGCAATAAATATTATTTAAAAAAAATAAAAATTTCTCTTAAATATTTAAAAATAAGATTGTGCTATATATTAAAATTAAGACCTCTATTTATTACTAAAGTGCATTATTGGCTTTCTTTTGATAAAGTTCTGCGAAGTAATTAATATATTTACAAAATAAAATATTATTTATAGATCAACTAAGCAAATCTAATAATCAAAAAATATTCTTCGAATATCTTCAGATGAATTTTTCAAAAATAAACTGACACTTTCAAATCTTTAAAAGACATTATTAAAACTATAATATAAGCAATGGTTTCAATATTATCAGATTATAATAATATTATAAATTTTAAATAAAATTCAATACTGATATGATAATTTAAAAATTTAGTGTTTTTATTAATATTACAAATTATTTAATTAGAATTTAATATAAACAATTTATTTTTGGATTTCGCATTAATTAAATAGTTTTGTTACATTTATTTATAAATTATTGTGTTATTAAATTTCTTGATTTATGATTATTTATCTTTAAAAATTAAGAAAACATGATTTAAAATTTTTTTTTAAAAATGGACATGTTCCAACAAAAATTTACTTTTTAATTTGGAAAATCAAATATTTAAAATAGTACTTGCTTTGGTGGGTTTCTGTCAGTGATTATTACTATTTTTGGTGTGATATACTTAGGCTATATGCTAAATCTTTATTTTGGAAATAAAATACTCCCTAAAATAACTTTGTTTTCTCAAACATGTTAGGATTAGTAAGAAATATAGCTATAGTTTGAATAGTCACCAATACTATTCAAATTGGAGTTGAATGGATTTTCAGTTAGTGATTTTTATGCAATAACGGGTAAAAATTATCTTAATATTGACGTTTATTTTGTAGAAGATGGCTTAAATTATACGAATTAATATATTATACCTACATAAGATTGTGCAAATGTCTACCCTGGCTGGAAAGGTTTTACTTGTTTAGACTTTAATAATGCTAATGATAAAATAAAACAGCTGGTTTATTCTAATAACATTTAAACAAGTTATTAAATTCACTTTTCATCATGTGAAGGTCAGAAAAACTGCTCTTCTAAAGAAGAAACTATGAATATATTAACCAATCAAGATACGACTTTTACTTTTTATTTAAATACATAATAATTTAATTACACTTCTAGCGAATTTCAATAAAATCTTTTAATGGAAAGTTACCAGTTTGATGACTTATTGGTTTTTTAAGGTGAAATTTACTTCCAAAAGATGACTTCGTACATATAAAAAGGAATGATGTTTTAAAATAAATATCAAAAAGACCATGTAGCTAATTATGATAGGTAAGATTACTTTCTAAGTAGAAATAATATTTATTAAAAGATTGGTTTTGATGCTTATGGCTAGCTCACATTTTAAGTTGATTAAAATTTCTCACAATAAGAATTTTAATTTCCTATGATAACTGAAGTCTTATCTTAGTTTTTTTCAATGATAAGTATATTTATGGCTATTGGAGTTATTGCATCTAAGTTTTCAAAAAACTTGATGCTTTAACACTTATGCATACTCCATTTAAAAGAATAATTTAAATGCACGGCAGCTTAGATTATTTAAAGAAATCAAATAAATCAACCAAATAAGAATAACAATAACAATAATTCTTTTATAGATGAAGTTATAAATTTGTAAGAAAAGATAAATAAAACAGATTTTTTAGATAGAAACAAACACATATCGATTTATTTAAAGTAAATTTCTCTAAAAAAATATTTTATTAAAACACTTTTTAATATAAAAAAGATTAAAAAAAATATTTTTAAAGGTCTTTAGAGTTAATTGCAGTAATTAAAATTAAGAATATAAATTAAATCAAAAAATAATGGACTATACTCTTGAATAATTGGATATTTTATAAATGTATAAATAATTGATAAAATTAAATATGGCTGTTAAGTTAATTTTAACTAAAGATTAATATGCAGCACTATAATTTTGTGGTTGCAATTTAGATAATGATATAGATGGTTTAAAAATCAAAAGTTGTTTAGAAAATAAATAGAAAAATCAGATTGAGTAAAAATAAGATAAATATAATTAAGTAAATACTAAATAAAATATTAATGATTATCACTTTAAGAATTAATAGGAAAATCAGGAAATACTTAATGATGTTTGCAAATCACCATAAAACTAAGAAAAAACTGTATTAAAAGATATTCAACAAACATCATCAAATCAAATTAACTAATTTGATTTAAGTAAATCATACATTTTAGATAAGCATCATAAGTAGAAAGATAATATGAACAAAAATCAATAAAGCAAAAATATTGAATTACTATCTAATTAATTTGATAAATCTGTTGAATAGGAATTGTAATTATTTGAGAGTAATTAATTTAAATTTTAGGATGAAAATTATTCTAAAAGTTAAGTGTAAATAGATAAAGACTAAATTAATTAAACTTTAAGTATTAATAATTAAATAAAAAGTGAAAATGCTAGTCGAATGCCTGCAACAATTTTGAAATTAAATTTCTTATAATCATATATTCGTAGTAGAGATTAAGAGTTCAAAGGAGATGAAAGCTTACAAACATATGATAAAGAAGATAAAGTAATAGAAGGAGTGAATACTGAATAGATGGATTTTAAAAATATAATAAAAAACATTAAAAATAATTAAAAAATATGTTAGAATTAAATTGACCAGGAAGGGAAGTGTAATGATGTTGAAAAAAGAATAGATCTATCTAATTTTAAAGAATAGGAACATTAAATAACAAATAAAAGAGTTAAGCAAGTTTCTAAAAAACACTAAAATGAAAAAATAAACTTTCCTATTATTTCAAGTCAAGTTGATAAAGCTAACTTAGAGACACAATTAAATCATATTGAAGAATTAAACAAATTGGATAAAGATGAATTATTATTAAAATAAGAATTTTTTAAATTTATAACTAAATTTGAATGCAATAATACTATAATTTCAACAATAGACAAAAATATACAAAATTCTTTACTAACTAATTGGATTCATCACAAATATTGACAATATAAATCCAACTTAAAATTAATTAGCTCATTTAAATATTAATAATAATAAAAAATAATTGCATTTATTTATAATTTAATATTAATAATCTATTTATTTTAAAAAAAATGTATCATAATTATAAAAATATTTTTATTCAAAAAAATCGAGTGATATAATAAATTTGTTTACTATAATTAGTTTCCTTTATTTTAAAATAATTAAAATAATTTATTTTAGATTAACTTATTCTAAGGTCCCTATTTATAAAGGATTAATTTTGAAAATTTTAAGACAAATGTAATTAATTAAATCAAATATATATGATATTTTTTAAGTTTATTTTGAGAAAACAATAGGCTATATAAATAAACCTTATATATTTGCTTTGAATCATAAATATCATTTAAAAATAAAATTTAATCTGCTTTTGTACATTATTTTAAACGATTAGAGAATTATTATTTGGGTCCTATAAAGGTTCAGAAGCTCTATATTTTGAAAAAAGGTTTATCTACATAATAATTATTATTTTTATATTTAATAAAATTTAAAAATTAATTTATTCAAAGTCAATAAAATTAATTGAACAACATATTTTATATATTTGCTATAAAAGGAGTCTTTCTAGTAGAATAAACTTAGGATAAATAAATTAAAATTATTTAAAATAATGGAGAAAAGATTATCTATTTTATATATTTATGTATAAATTTAATTAATTTCTGAATACCAAAAATATCTGATGATTAATGATTGTAAAAGTAATTAATTTAAATTAGTTATACTTTAATAATTTTTTTCTGATCAAGCAAATATATTTATTGAAACACATAACCTAATTATTAATTTAGTAATTTTCTGATATATTAGAATTCAAATAAAAAGATTTGAATTAAACCACAAAAAGAATTAAATAAATCAACCATTTAAGCTATATGTAATTAAAAATTTTAATTTAACATTAGTCATTTTTTTTCTGATCAATGATGGAATTTACTTAAATTATTTGATTAATTTTGACTTCTTCTGATAAATTAAAATTTTAGAAAATCATATCCTATTAAAAATCAAACAATCAATCATTATAATTTATATCAATAAAATAAAAAACAAAAAATTAAATTATTTGTTTATCAAATACAAAATGAAATTTGTTACTTTGTCAATTATAGTATTAGTTACTATCAGATTTGCTAAAGCTGATATCACTAAAATGTCTCAATACTAATATTGTGTTTCATCAGGGGCTTCTAGTAATATGTGGAGTTGTGATACAGCTGCTGACTAAGATAGATGCAACTAAAGTTTGTAATCTTTAAAAGATTGCTATTTAGAAGATTTTAGTTGCTTCCCTATGTATGCATTAAGCTATGAAAGTTATGTAAAATGTTTTACAGATTGTTCAAACAAAATTTTAGATCCTGATCTCAGATAATCAGTATAAAAACTCGGACTTTGCCTTTAAGGAAAGGCCTTTAGCTCTTGAAAAAGAAAAGTAGTATTCGTAAAGCTACTTAAATAATATTAAAATAATATGTATTATAAAATATTTAATCAGGATCCATAAAACATTATATAAAATTCTTTTTATAAACTATAAATTTTTAAATTATTCTTTAATTCCTTTTTGCTTTCATTTCATAAAAGTATTTCCTTTATTAATATTTTAATTTTTAGTAATTTAGAATTTTAATAAACTTTTTATTTAAAGTAAAATTTATTTTATTTAGAAAAAGTATTCATTTTAAAAAATCATTTTTTGTTAAATAATATTTCAGCTAGTAAATCAAAAAAATATATTATTTTTATTAGAAATAAATTCTAAATTTTAGACTAGATTTAATTTATTTAAAGATATATTTTACGCAAATAAATTTCTATAATAAATTGTAAATGAAACAAGCATCTTTTTTATGATAAATATTAAATAGTGTCTTTTATACTTAGAATTAAATTGGATTAAGATTTCTCTGATATTTAACAAGCTGTCTATAAAAATATTTATTTTTTTTAAATAACAAAATATTAATTCAATAATTTATTTATTGATATTATAAAAACAACTATTTTTGATCAAAATTAAAATATTTAAAAATTATTACGAGTTATTAAAAAAAATAAAGTTATTAAAATGGAAGAAGAGATTATTTATAATAGTAATTTATAAAATTAGATTGAATAAATAAAGTAGGAGTCAATTTCAGAAGAAGAAAAAGCTCTTTTGATAGATTTAGTTAAATAAATTCACTTTATATCATCTGAAAATCCTCTCGCTAGAGAAAAGGGGCAGAACCAATTCGAATAAACATTTAATTTTGTATTTGAAAATCCAATTCTACAAGATTGCTTAAAATAGATATTTGGAGCTGCTTAAAGATAGCTTGAATAAAGTTTATGGCAAGAATAAATGAGTGGTTTATATGCCATCAGAGTAATTACATTACCTCGAAAGAGATATTTTAACTTTTTAAAAAATATATTTAGATTGAAGTATAGAGATATGATTGCACGCATGAGAGATACTAAGAAATTTATAATTTTACTACTAAATACCTTGATAATTAAGAAAATAGAATTAGAGAAATAGCTTCGGATATTTTAGCTTGCATAGGAGCCAAAGATAAAGAATGTTTCTAGCTTCTCAGAAGCCATATTTGCAATTACTTAAATTAGACTTTTGAAGCTGTTGTTCTTCCTTAAATATCCCATGGAATCAATGAAGTGTAGGAAGAAGAATCAAAAGATAGTCATAACAACTAGCATCATTCTCATTAAGTTTAAGTGTATAAGGATACAGAAATATGTCAATGGTAAACTAAAAATTGCTACTTCTTAGAGAGCTATATTCAATGCTTAAAAAAGTCATTTCTCTTGATGCAGCAAAAGAATGAGGGTAATGACTTAATTGACAAAGAAATTATGGAAGTTACACTTAAAGCTAGTTTACATGTCCACAAGCATATCCGTGAAGCCTCAGTCGGACTGGCTCAAGTATTCTCATAGATCATGAAAGAAGAAGATTTTAAAGTAAATGCTTAAGATTTAAGTACAGTTATAGGAAGAGGTATAATGATTTTTCTTTATATTTTTAACAATTTTAAAAATATTATTTGAAATGTTTATTGCAAGAAAATTTTTAAAATGTGATTATAAATTTCTTTTAAAAAATAGGCTTAGGAGATTCCTTTACTTAAGTTAGACACTAGGCTGTTAAGGCTGTTAAAGATTTCTTTAAAAAATGTGAAGAGTTCAAAATAAAAGATACTTTTATTCCTTAGCTAATTTACAAATTTTGCTTTAACATTCATCACCCAGCAGAAGGTCTAAAAGCATTTACCAGATTGAGCTGGATGGAAATCTTCCCAGTGGGAGGAAGGGATTTAGTAGCTCAAAATGCATTAGCAACAACTCAATATTATATTTTGTAATCATACTCAAGAAATCACGAAATTAGATAGGCTGCCTGTATATGTCTTTAAGAAATGATTTCAAAGGTACATTACAAGAAATTTAAATTCATAAAAATGTTTAAAATAAATTCTTACTCAATAGTTTAAAATTAAATAAATAAAGCGATTAAAAAATTTAATGGCTATGAACAATCATAAAAGTAAAAAAAGAGAAATTTAGAATAGAATTTTCTAAATTAAATTTTTAGATTATTGAAAAAATATATTTAAAATAATATAAATTTTATTTTTATAAAGGTTATGGATACTAATGAATAGAGCAAATAGGTAGTAAAGGGTCTGCATAAAGATATTTTAGAAGCTCTTCTTAATTGTTCTCATTTTGAACCAAATTCTTGTGTAAGAGAGGAGAGTCTGAAATGCATTTCAAAACTACTTGATTAAATGGGAGAGTTATTGTCAGACGAAGAAAGAAACTAAATAGCTGAGGTTTCTTAGTTCCATTTGGCAGACTAATCTAATTAGGTAAAGCAAAATGCAGCTATGGTCCTTGGATCTTTGTTCAAATAAAAGTAGAACGAAGAAGAGAAAAAAGCTTATATTGAAGAAATCAAGGATAGAATTAAAAATGTTAGTAAGATTGATGTTTAACCCTCTGCTCCTTCTAACTCAGGATAAGAAACTTATGCTCATCCCTCATAATAATAAATTTCAGTTGCAAAAAATAGATTTGTTTCTGAGTATTTTGAAGGATTGGTGGCATTAGTAAAGGAATTAGCTTATGCAATAGGTAAAGAAAAGAGCCAAATAACATAGAGCTTTTGTGAACTCATTATATATAACATGAGAAATCTTAATTTTGAAAAAAATGAAAATATCAAAGAAAACATATGGGTTATGTACTCTGAGATTTTAACGAAAACTTTAAATAAAAAGAATACCAAAGACTTAATAGAAGACTTGCTTGACCCAGTATTTAAAGATTTTAAGCATGAGAAAGTAAATGTAAGAAATGCAGCACAAAACTTAATAAGAGAGTTAGCAAAATTCATAGGACCAAATATCTTAAAAGGAAGAATAGAAATGAAAGGAGATTTAGCATACATGTCAGAATATGATAAATTAAATTTAGTTTGACTTTTATCATTACTAAATAAAAGTATTCATATTTAATCTAATCATTTATTTATAAGTTTAAAAATCAAAATATATGCTGGTTTTTATAAATATAATTTCAAATATCACAATATATTTTTGATTAAATTTTATAATTTATGTAAATAAACTGTAACTTTAACTAAAAAACAAAATAAATAAACTTACATGTTAACATTTCCTATTAAAATTTAATTAATTAGTTTATTTATAAATTTTTAGGAAATATTGTGAGAATAAATGAAGATTTACAGAAACTAATTAATTTTTCAATAATTATTGACTTTAAATATTTAAATCTACTAAATTTATAAATTAATAGTACAATTTATGAAATTTTAAAAAATAGTAGATTAATTATATTAAAATTTTATTTTTTTTCTACTAATTCAAAAGCTAAGAAAAAAAGTGATAAAGTGTATCTTGTAGATAAAAGTTATTATTTAAGTTGGAAAAATGTAATATCTTGCAATATTTTAGATGTAAATAAACTAATTTTGGCTGAATATTAAGTGATGACAATAATTGTGTTGAAACTTAGTTAGATCATTTATTATATTATTTAATTTAAAAATGTTAAGCAATTATGTAATACGAGTAATTTTTTATGGAGAATAAAATTTTAGATTATTATTCTATTAAAAAGAGTACTTCTATTTCTTTATTAAGATCTGCATGCATTTATTTTTATTAATTTATACACAAAATTAGTGCAAATTATATTTTAGTTAAAAAATGAATTTTAAAAATTTTTAAACAACTGTAAACTTGAAAAAGTTGTATTATTTTAACATCAAGATATATAATTAGCCTTTAAAATAATCGTTTGAAGAAAGCGATGAAGAGAACCAAGAATAAATAAGGTCTTATTTAGATTTTTAGTAAACAGAATGCTAAGAAGTCAACGTTGGATACTATGAAATATTAAAAGCCAAATAGCCTATTTTTAAACAAAATAAAGGTGAAAATTACAACGATAGCTTCGATTTTGAGGACAAGTATAAATAAGAATACTTGAGAATGCATGACTAATAAATTGAAAATCCACATTATCTTTAAGGTGTCATTTAATTTAAAGTAGAAGATGAAAATAATTATAATAAAGAATGTAATAAAAATTATGATAAATTATTTTATTTTTCATTCTGCCAATTTTAATAAAAAAAGTCAAATCCATAATTTTAGAAGACGACTAGCTTTTCTATTGTTAAAATGATAACTTAACAAATCTGATATAATCAATACAAAAAAGCTACTGTAGAATTGTAGACGAAGGAGATGATAAAATAAGATAAATTACATTAAACAGAGACATATAAAAGCTTGATAGAATGAAATAATTTAATAAAGGATCATACTCTTACTTCGTAATAGAGAAACTTAAATTTAGAGAATATAAAAAGAACGTCGGATAAGCAGAATATAGATACTAAATAAAATCATGTGAGAGTATGGATGTTAAATATAAGTAATTTATTATAGTTGCAAGTTCTGATCAACAATTTAAATAGCATTTGCACCTCTTGCACAAACAGGATAAGCTTTCTGCTTATTCCATATAAAAGACTATAGAGTAGAGAATGGACACTATTATTTACCGTTCATTTAAAGATATTATTCGCTTGTGTTTCTACAGCAAGTTAGAAGATTAAAAAAGGTATGGTGATTTTTATCAAATTCTTACTTCTAAGGAATAAAAAATAAATCAGAGCTATTTTAAAATGTAAGATGGAAGTAAAATTAGTTTAAAAGAGATAAAAAGTATTGTCTACAAGAATGCTTGTATTGAAGGTATTTTTCCTTTCAACATTTACCTAAACACATTTGAAGAAAAGTACGTAATGACTAAATTAAAATTATTAGTTGGTAAAATTTTATCAGATAATTCTTATAAGCTCACCCACCACTTAAGTACTTAAGTAGGGAATATCTTTTATTCCTATAACACTTCAAATATATTTTAAATTTACAAAATGCAATAAAAGGAGCGTAGTGTCTCTAAAACCAATGAATTCACTAAAATTAGGGTACTTGATTTCTTTCCATTAAATTAGCAAATTGATGAAATCTCTCATTACATCTTCAATCGTTTAGATTACTTCGACAGTCAGTTGATTGATTTCTTTTCTTGTTTTACAGATTAGGAAATCATAAATAAATGTGAAGATATATTAAGTAGAGTTTATAAAATTAAAGAGTTTTTTGGTTTTGATGGATAAAGTATAAACACAGAACAAAAATATGAAATTATTATTTACCTTCTTAATGATATTGAAGATATATTAAAATATATCAAAAATGAAGAAAAAGTGTAGGTAAATTAAGTGAACTAATCTGAATTTAAGAGGTAAATTGATGTTATAGAAGAAATATTAAATTAATTTAGTCAATGTCTGTAAGATGATACAAGTATTTAAAATCTCCCTTAAGAAAATCAAGAGATGCTTCTAGAAATAGCCTATCAAAACGAAGACCTATATGAAAATTTTGAAGTTAATGTTTTAGAATAAATAAATACTCTTTACAAAACATTCTTGAAATACATACTTACTAACTCTCAAGTTAAAGCATTTTACTTCTCAGATCAGTTTTCTAAAATTCACGATTCAGATGATGAAGTAAATAAAAAAAAATCATTTATTTAGCTTTCCTTATATATAATTCACATAATAATTTTAGATATTAGTTTAGCCAATAAATTAAAAAATTTTAATTAAATAAATAAATAAATAAAAAAAACAAACAAACAAACAAATAGATAAATGAATGAATGAATGAATAGAAAATATTCTAACGAAAAAATTTGAGTTGAATAAAAAATAAATTTTTAAATTGAATGTTTAAAGAAATTATTGTTTTAATATTTCTGTCCGTTCTAAATGTTACCTATTACTTTTATTAATTTGAAAAGGATGAATTAGAAGAAAAAAAGGAAGATTTTGAAGAGTAAAAAGATTATTCAAGCTCATCTAATTTATATTAATAAGGCAAGTATTAATATAATAGCAATTAGTAGGGTGATGGCAGTGTTTACACTTTACTATTAAGAAGATTAGGATATTATTTCCTCTCACATTATTTTGGATAGTTTAAATATTTTCATAGCTGGCCTATTATTATTACGGATGTGGAATTTAAAAAATATTAGTTGCTATAGAATAATTGCCAAACTTCAGGAATTTCGTTTGCTTATCAAATTAAGGAGCTGTTAAAAGAATTTATTGAGCCCCTATTCATCCCTGAATAGAACTAATTTTTTGAATACTATGACTAGTATTTTAAGGGTTTGAATGAAAATAACCATTTGAGCTATTACTTCAAACCTATTGAATAAGATAAAAAAATTCATAATTAAAAAAAAGCTAAGATCGAAAGCAATAATAATAATAATAATAACAACAATAACAACAACACATTCAACAAAAATAACAATAATACTTTAGACAGTAAAGATAGTGTGATAAAATATTCTTAAAAAAGTATGGTAGAATAAAGCCCTTAAGAGAGAAGTGATAGAATCGATTCAATTGATATGAGTATACAACATACAAAATCAAATAAAAAGCATCAGTAGTTGTAATATTAGTAGTAGCTTGTATTAGATAAAAAGTATAAAGAGTTCTACTTTAAATCTTTAATTAAAACCTTTTAAAAGTATAGTTCTAAAATTAATACAATTTTGAATCAATCCATCAAGCCCTTGATTCTCGAAAAACCTCTACCTTATCACTAATTTTATGGAGAAAAAATGGTTTATGAGTACATGAACGCAATCATTTCAAAAGATGATCTCATTCTTTAGGTTTATAAAATCATCGTTAAAGATTTCCCTGAAACTCTATAAGATAAAGAAAAAATAAAATAAGTTTGCTTCAGCGTTCTTGGAGAAGAAATTGTTGATAAAAATCATGCATTTTAAGTTATTGTAAACTAAGCTTTAAGTTAAATTTATAAAAAACCAGATGATAATATGAATCAATAATAATACTCTAACAAATCAATTTCTTAAGATTTTTTATCTACTTTATTTATTATCTATGATGCCCTTTACTTCATGCGTAATAAATCATACAAAGATAATAGAAGCACTGGCTCAAATAATGGAAAAAGTGCTGCTTAAAATAATAACTTATTAGGAGATAGAGGAGACAATAACTCAAGTTTTACCAACAAAAAACCTACTTCCGAGTAAAAGATTATTGACTCTTAAAAACAGAAATACTTTAAATCATATATAAGACACGAATATAAAGATTTTTTCAAAGAGCTAGCCTTCTATTACTTCAACTCCATTCGTATGAAACATTCAACTTTTACATCAAGAGATTCTCTCTCATATTTAGGCTTTCTTCTAATAAAAGATCCAGAAAAAAAATATTATATCTGATAAAATTTAAAATTAAAGTTAATAAATTAAATATTTTTTATCCTTCTTAGATAATTAAATGTTTTTATTTTATTTTTTATTAATGAAATAATTAATTATCATTTAATTTTAAAAAAACTCTCAATAATTTGTTAAATTTAAGGAATCAAATTTTTTTTTAATTAGATTTAAAAGAAAGAAAATATTTTAAAAATATTGCTTATTAAATACCCGTTTTTATTTTTGATATATTAAATGTTAATATTTTACTTTAGGTGATAAATTTTTGTTTAATAACTTTATAAAATCTCACTTTTTAAGATCAAAAATGAAATAATAAAATTAATTTGAAAAAAAATAAATTAAGAAAATATTTTTAAAATATAACTTAACAATTTTTAATTAAATTTTAAATTTTAGCTCTAAATAAAAGATGAATTATTAAATATTTTAAAATTAATAATAAATGTTTAAGAACTTAAAAAAATCTTAATTATTAAGGTAAAAATAAAACAGTAAAATTAAAATTTATAAATTTTAATAAAGAAAGAAAATACTTTTAAAATATAATTAATATATTTTTAATTTTTTGAACTAAATATAAAATAGTTCGTTTTCTTTAAAATATTAATATAAACTCTAAACAAACATCTTTTTAAAAGCTAACATTATAAGGTAAATATGTAATAGTAAAATTAATATTTGTAAAATAATCAAGAATAAAATATTCTTAAAATATCAAGAATACATTTTTAATTAAATTTTGAAATTTTTAACTCTTAATTAATATAAACAGATGGATTTTATTTATTTAAAAGATTAATTATTCAATATTTTAAATTTGTATTAAATATTTTAAAATTTTATAAAATCTTTAAAAAAGTGAAATTCTTTTTTTGTAATTTTACTTGTTATGATAATGTTTGTAATTGATTAAGAAAAATTGAGGAAATTAAAGAAATTATTTTATAAATTTCAAGGTTGTTTATTGATAGATTTGAAATTTTAATTATAGATCGATAAATGTAGATAGAATATAAATTTTTTTAATTTCAAAATGGCCTTCCTTACTTATTTTGAGAAATTAATTGAATTTATACCTAAATAATAAATACAAACAAAAACTATATTCATTTTCAGTTAATATAATATTCAAATAAATTTGAAAATAACTAGTTGATTTGAGTGTATTCGTTTGAATCTTTGAATTAACAAGGAATTAAGAATTAATTATTATTAACAATTACTTTATCATAAAACTCAAATTTAAGAAAATAATCTTTAGCTAACAAAACACTCCAATAAATTAGTTTGAAGTTAATTTTCATAAAAAAGCTCATAAAAATTAGATTTAAGCTACTAGACATCTCAATATATATATAAAATTCTATTATTTTTAGCAACAAATACATTATTATTTAACATAAACTAAAATGAGAAACAGTTAGATGTCCAATTTTTCATTTATAAATCACATTAATAACATACAAATAGGAGATGATAAATAAAATAACTAATTTAATAATAATTTGGTCTTAAAAACTAACTCAAGCAACTCTACTCCGACTGACGATATGAATTAAGCTATTACTCCTTAAAATGAGAATTAAAATAGTTTTAACAATAATCTTGAAAATGTTAATGTTACAAATTTTTTAAAAGACAACAAAAAACTTTTTTGCTTTAATAACAGTCGCTGTGAATTTCCTAGTAATAATGAAATGGAATATTAATATCCAGCAAACTCTATGCAGAATAAAAAAATGTTAAATAATATCTTGAAGATTAATAGTCAGGCAGATGCAAATAATTCTTTTAACAATAAATTGTAAAGAGATGAAGCTATTTCTAATTATAATAGTGATATTTCTACATGTAAATAAGTAGATATTGATTAAAATAAGCTCTGTCCTAGACATCCATCGAAGGTAGTAAGATATCATTTAATTAGCAACTCGTTAGTTTAATTCTGCTCTAAGTGTGCTTTGGAATACGCAGTTAATGGAGTAAAAATTGAAAAAAACGAAAATCTTAGAGAAAAAAAGCTTGACTATGACAAAATTTCTATAAAAATTAGTTAGAATTCAAAAGATTCTTCCCTTTTCACAATTACTAAGAATACTTAACCAGATACTTAACAAACACTTCACACTGAAACAGCAAATATAGAACAATGTAAATATTCCAAAAAATGTTTATTATTTAAAAAATATTCGATTGAAATTATAATTTTCTCATTTAACTTAGAACAATTGTTCTGTCTTTTAAGCATATTTATTGTTTTATCAATGAAGATTTAATTAGCAAAAAAATTAAAATTTATATGTTTAAAATAAAGGGAATGAATCTTATAAGAATGAGAAATTAAGAGTTTTCATGGAGAGAGTTGGCTATACTAGCTAGTTTTTGAAGCAAACAGAAGAAAGTATTATAAAAAAACTTGAAGAAAGTTAGAGATACTTTTAATTAGAAGAAAAGAAAATAGTAGACACTTTCGAAGAGATCATGAAGAGCATATTAAACGAAAAGAATGAGATTATGCTTTTGTCTAAACATTCAAATCAAGAAAGTAATAATTTGCTCTTAACTTAGCTAGAGAGTATCAGAAAGCAGTAAAATGAGATTAATCAATTCAGCGAAGATATCTCTATAAACATAGATAATATTATCTTTTCAATGGAAAAGCAACCTTTTGATGATATAATTAACAGATATAATTAAAGAATTTCTTAGATAAATACTTTCACTATTTAATTGTCATCCCAATAAGTTTCTCTCCTAGAAATCAACTAAAACTTTGAGAATATAAAAATAATCAAAGCCAAAATTCTCCCTAACTTGCTTACAATTAAATAGAATAGCATTACTTTCAGAGAGTTTTTAAACAGCTGCATGGTCTCTCCTGAAAAATAGATAACCCCAATCCATAATAACTTTAATCAAGTTGATTTAGTTGCTTAATTACCTTAGATAGATTTAGAAAATTAAAATAACTACGATACTAACTGCGCTTAAGAAAACAAACCAAGGATCTCTTCTACTAAAAATATAAAGTAAAAAATTATGTCTCCCTGCTAAAACACTAGTAAAAGCAATTCTAAAATTAACTATTTTAAAATACCATAAAATACTCTTGTGAATAGATCCTATGATGGAGGATTTAGAAACGATGCTTCACTTTAATTAAACACTTCTCTAAATTTAAATAGTAGCTTCAATAAATTTAACAATAATTTATTAAATAATTCATTTTCACATACTTCTGCACTACCGATAACAAATAACAACAAGAATTATAGGGCTAAGAGCACCAATTGCTAAAAACCTAACATTCAGGCATTCTAGGAATCTAATCTATTCTCTTACACTCATAAACATGGTAAAAAGCAAGCAGTTTGCCAAGCTCAACCTTATTTCTAGAAAATTCATAATGAATCACTTGATTGCTAAAGAGAAAAAAACAATTTGAAACTGAAATAAGTATAAAACGAAAGTATAGTAAAACACATATAGAGACAAAATAAAGATAAAAAGCAAAGCAATCAGAGCTCGTTAAACCCTTCTAGAAGAGCATCCAAGCACTAATATTTAGTTAGCCAATAAGAGAGCTTGCATGAAAATTATGGAAAAAGCACTAATGAATTTTTGCATGAAGAAGACGCTTATAAATCATATATTAATAACACTTCGTTTGATAACAGTTTTTCAACAAATATAGGACCTGAGAAGATATCTGTAAATAATCCTTCATCTGGTATCATTGGATAAAGAAACAGCTAATATAATAAAAGTACAAGTAGCCATATTAACCCAGTATTCAACCATTCTCTAAATAATCTTAGTAATTAGCAAAATAGTAACAGTGTATTTAATAAAAGCCAAAACAATTTCATCAATACAAATAAGAACACAGTTTATACATAAGTGTTAAAAACAATGAAAGGGAGATATAATTCAAACAATAACAGCAACCATTAAGCATCTAAATAGAATAATAACCACTTAAATTCCTAAAATAATTCATTTAATAATTCTCACTTTAACAGTATGAATACCGATATCAATGATATTAACCCTAATAACATATCTGTATCAAACAAAGAAAATCTAACTCTCTAAATAAATACTATGTTTTGAATGAAGTATTTGGTTATCATTATAGACTTTGGTGAAATTGAATTCTACGAAAACGCGTAAAAGTAGATAGATTAATAAATAAATAAAAATATAATATTATTTATTAAATTGATAGTTGAAGGAAGACACGTGGTTAAATAGCGGACAAAAAAAAATTAATTATTTGCATATTTAATTGGTTTAGTGGACAATCAATTTTATTATTTATATTTATTATATATTTTATTAAAAATTTCAAAAATTTTAAATAAATTCTTTTATTTGATTTATTTATTTTTAATTTATTTGATCTATTATTTATTCTAAATTTTATTTCTTAAAAAACTTATTTTATTAAATTCAAGAATCTTAAAAATCTATTTTGTTTGCTTAAACAAACAATTTTATTCTAATAAAATATTTTTAAATATCTATCAACCATAATCTTTTATATGAAATGCATAAACTAATTTGTCTTAGTTTTTCTGATCAGGATAAATTTTTAATAAAAAGAAATTTTTGATATTTTTCTTTATTCGAAAGAAATCTAAATATTATCTAGAATATATGATTAGAATTTGCTTGTTTCCCCAGAAATACAATAATAAAACACAAGGAACTAAAAGCAATTAGAATTAATTCTATCAAAAGTGTCTAGTCTTCTAGAAATCAGTTTTTACTTAATTAATAAATATAAATAGTTCCTCTTTTAAATTAGTAATCTACTTTAATCTTTTGTAGGGTTAATAGCGATTGATTTGTTAAAATCGATTTGATTCAACCACCTTATCCAAAATTAATTAAATTAATTATCAAAAAATAGATAAATTTTCAATGAAGAAATAATTGAGAATAACTTCTGCGCCTATTGGAGTGGAAGCAAAACCAACTGAGCAAGAGAAGAAAGTTACTCTTGAGTCTTCTTTCTTCTAAAAACTAAAAGAAGAATTAAAGAAGTACGAATACGTTACCAGTAACGAGTACTTCTAAAAAAATTTTGATGTAGAAAAAATGAAAACACTCAGTAAGGCTTGGGACATGTATAGAAAATTGAAAGCTAAAGCTCACGAAGTAGTCTAAGAAGGATTTGAATTATATAAGAATTGTGAAAAGAAAGAAAAAGATGATAAATTAGAAACAGTCATTGATACTTACAATAAGATTAAAGAAAAAGAAAAGCTACAAGAAAAAGACTAAAAAACCTCTACTTCATCAAAGATAGAGCCTCAAATAGTATGGAGAAACGAGAAGAAAGATGACAAATACGATCACAAGCAGATCGGTGAAATCTATGTTATTTTGTTCTTTGGTTTACAGTTAAGATCTCTATGTGACTTTTTATATACGAACCTTAACCCACAAAAAACAGAAACATCAAAAGAAGAAGATGTCTTATCAAAATAAAGACATGAATACTTCAACCAAACAATTCCTAATTTCATCTAAAAAACGAAACAGAAAATTTACTATCAAGACTTACCAAATAAAGATAGAAAATTAGTAGATAGAATTTCACTTGGATATTAAGCCAAATCCGATTGAATCTAATTATTTGATCTCAAAAGTAATTAAATATTTTGTTTATTAATTAAAATTCCCAATAAATTTAGAAATGTAGTCCACTTTTATATTAAATTTTCTATTTCATCTGATGATTTGTTGTTTGTTTTAAGTAAAATTTAATATTTCTTTATCCTATTCTACATGCTACAAATTTAATTATCATACTTTTTTTTATTTATTTTAAAATAAAACCTTCCATGCATGATTATTGGTTTTTTACCTTTTTCATATAATCAAAAGTTTTAATTTTAAAAATAAAATCTTTTTTTTAATAGAATCAATTATTTTATGTATTTATTGATTGGTTTTATTTTCGTTTTCATCAAATTATTTATTTTATTTAATTAAAACACTATATTTTAAAATACATTTTTTTACACAATAATTTATTGATATTTTTTTAAATAGTGTTTTATTCTTTGAAAATTTAATAAAAGATTATCTCTTTATTCAAATTTACTTACTCTCTTTATTGATTTGTTTTTATATATTAACTTATTTATAAATCTATTTTTCTATCTACTAATTAGTTTAATTTATTTATTTATCTGCAAAGAATTACTTTTTCAATACTTTTATTTTATAAAAGATTCTCTGTCAAAATATTTATTGATTTGTTTTATTAATGTATTTATTTTTTGATTTATGTTTCTAACAATAAAGTAATTAATTTTATTTACTTATTTGTAAAGAATATTAAAGTAATCGATTTGTTTTTAAAAATTTAATAATTACTGTTTAAAATCTCTGTATCAATCAATCAATTTATTTATTTTTTATTAAAGCATAAATTTATCGAATTTATTTAAATAAAATATTATTTAATATGTTTATTTTATTATTTGATATATTTTAAATTGAGTTTTATTATTCACATTTTGTTAAGTGTTTTAAGTATAAGATCTGTTGTTTTTTGTGATTACTTTATATTTACCCTCATTTTAAAAAAAGTGTTTTTTATTCCTTGATATGAAATAATTTTTGCAAGTAATTATTATTAATTAATTTTATCAAAAAAATTTTTTAATATTTCTTTTTAAAAATAAAATTTACCTTAATAATTCTTAATTAGTCTAATTTTTTTTATTTGCTACAAATAAAATTTTTTTGAAATTTTTAATTTTAATAATTTATTTGTAAAATTATATTTAAAATTATTCAGATTTATTTATGTTAGAAGGTATTAACTTAAAAAACACTTGATGTATTTGTTTGAAAATTTTAGATTAGTATATAAACACAAATAATTTTGAAATTAAGAGCTATTTGATCAATTGTTAATAGAGAATTTTCAATAAATGATATGATGATACAGGGATATATAAAAGAGTGTTAGACTTTTAATAATATTTATATAGGTGATTAATAAAGATTTAACATTTAATATCCTAATCTACTTTCCTTTCTTTTATAAAGAAAAGGCAAGGAGATTAGTAATGAAAAAGTGTAAGGAATAAATTATTCATATTTTGCTTTTCAATTTAATTAATTATTTCATATGGGTTCATCATCTTCAACGACTTAGTGTTCTTATTATTCTTCGTGTCCTTCTTTGGCTTCTTATTCACCTTCAACACCATCAAGTAAATTTTCTTCAGCTGTATTTGTTTATTCTTATTTTTCTTCAGCTTTTTCTTCATGTTATTATTATTCATTAGTAACTGTGGTAGTAGCAACTTCTTCCTTTACTTCATGAGTTTCAGCTGCTTGTTTTTCTGCTTCTTCATGCTTTTCATCCTTTTTTTCTTCTACTTTAGTTTCATCTTCCTTCTTTTCTGCTGGTTTAGCTGCATCTTTTTTATTATCTTTTGCAGCAGCTTCTTTACCTCCCTTTGCAGCAGTTGTGGTAGCAGGCTTGTGAGTAGTACTAGTTGTAGACTTATGAGTAGTAGCAGGAGTTTTCTTATCATCAGCTTTATGGGTTACAGCAGGTTTCTTTTCATCCTTTTTTTCATCCTATTTTATTAAAATATGATTTAAAATAAGTAAACACAATGCTTTTGAAAATTTTTCTTTTATATTTTTAAATATTTCTTCTATTAAAGATTAAATTTAAATAGAATAAATCATTTTTATTCATATTTATATCGCCTTTTATTATATTAATAATATTTCTAATTTATTTGTAAATATTTGCTATTTATGTATGCACTTATATATCTTAATAATTTTTGAGGTAATTTTTTTAAATATGCAGAAATGTATTTATTTTTGGAATATTTACCTTGGCTGCAGTATGAGGAGTTTCTTTCTTAGGTTCATTATCCTTTTTGACAGGCTTAGGAGTGGTAGTAGCGGGTTTAGTAATAGGTTTCTTTTCTTCTTTCTTTTCATCTTTCTTTTCGTCTTTTTTATCGTCTTTCTTGACAGCAGTTGTAGGTCTTTATACTGGCTTCTTTTCTTCTTTCTTTTCAGATCCTTCAGACTTCTTTTCATCCTTATTTTCTTCAGGTTTAGGTTTAGCAGTAGTAGGTCTGGTAGTAGTAACTTTATGCTCAGTAGCGGGCTTAGTTTCAGTAGCAGGCTTATGTTCGTTAGCAGGTTTAGGATCAGTAGGCTTTGCAGTTGATGGTCTATTAACAACAGGCTTCTTATCTTCTTTTTTATCATCTGTATGAGCAGCAGTAGTAGTGGGCTTTCTTGCTCCGTTAACTATAGGTATAAAAAATAATTAAATCCAATATGAAAGCATTTATAACCTTGTATATTATACTGACTAAAATATTTAGTTTTAAAAACCATAGTTTAAAAATTTAAATCTGTTTATTTAAAAAACCATCTTATTAAAAGAATGCTATGCTGAAATTATTTAAAAAGCTTTTGCTTTGCTTTATTAAGCTATATATAATTCAAGAAAAATTTTGACTTTTTGAATTTTTAAAATATTTTAGGTATTTAAGAGTTTCTATTTGAAATTTCTACATATTCTTAAAAATTAACTCTTTTAACTTTTGAATATTGTTCAGATTTTGTGCTAATGTAATTGTTTAAACTATAAATTAAATGCTAAATCACCATTTTGAAGCACTTTAAGCTTGCTTTTAATGAAAAACAAAGATTTATTCTATACTAACGAAAAATGGGCTTTAAAATAAGTATTTTATTTAGGCTTTGATAAACTCTTGTTTAAGAAAGAACTGCTAAAGTTTAAAATTAAATCTTGAATTCAGTGCTTTTTAAATTTAGTAAAAGTAAATAAAACACGTACCTCCAGTAGTATGAGATCCATTCTGTCCGACCTTTGTTACTTTAGCATCTTTAGCAGCTGCCAAGTTAGAAGTCAATTGCTATAAGGATAATTCAAGAGAATGGATTAAGGAGTCCTTCTTTTTCTCATTTTCTTCAAGCTTTTCGATGCGCTATAAGTAAGGCTTGAGTTATTCTTTTAACCAAGCTTCTACTTCAGAGATAGCAATAGTTTGGGCTTAAGCAGGTGTCTCTTCCATTTTATTCTTATTTATTTATTCGTAATAAAATATTGATGATTCTTTAAATATTTGATATTATAATAATAATTATTCCTTATTTTTTTTATTTTTATTTTTTTAGTTTGTTTTTGAATATCTTTTCGATTCTTTTCACTTACGCACGCTTATAAGTATGCATTTATTTATTCTATACAAATTTTCAATTATTTACTAGATAAATAAACAAACAATCTCTATCTATTTGAAACAAGATAGGTATTTATGTCAAAATACAAGCTGTTATCAAAAAAACAACAAAGGGTTTAATATTATTGTGCGTGTTTTCATATAAATATAGTGTATTTTATAAGATAAGGCAACACTGATTTATTTATTAATTTACTTACCTTTCTATTTTATTGTTAATTAATTATTTTTCAAATTATTTTCTTCAAAATAATTTAAATTTTTCACTTTTCTATTATTCTTACTGCATTAAAATTGACATCACTGCTAAATCTTTTGATGCAATAAAACAGTAAATCTAATCAAAATAGAATGATTCATTAGGAACATTACATTCTATAATAAATATTAAGATATTTTTCCTTTTATAATCATAGCAGCTAACTACATCAACTTCTGCAATATTTTTATCAATTTTTCAGACCACCTTTTTGTTTGTACATTTTTATGAAATTCTTGTCTATTTTAAAATAAAAATCATGAATTAATTTCATTTTTTCCATAAACAAAATTGTCAAAAAAAAATAGTTAATAGCTGAAATTATTTATAAAATATTCTTTTTTTATTTCTACTTTGATATAAATTTAGTGATTTGTAATTCAATTTTATTATATAATATGAAAATTTTCTTAACAACTATTTTTTTCAATCAAGAGAGTGTTTTTTATCATGTTTTAATTAATTCAAATATTTTCTTTATATTAATCTACTTTTGCATTTCATATTAAATTCCTTCAAATTAAATTTATCCTATTTAAATCTCCTCATGTTTAAAATAAGTTAAAACTTTTTCATACATTCTGACATATGTATTAAGATAAATTCAAAAATTTAACTAATTAATTAATTTTTTAATTTTAAATAAAATTGCTCTAAAAGATCAAATAAACATAATTAAATAGATTTATAAACTAGCTCTAAAATTTAATTTAATTTTTACAAAAATGTTTTTATTTTTTTATTAAAACTAAATAAAAATCAACCAATCACAATTTAGCTTAAATTAAAAAAAATAAAGATTTGAATAAAGTAATAAATTTTAAGGAAGAATCTTATTCTCTTTAGTAAAACATAATTGCTTTTCAATCATAAAACTCAACTAATTTTGTTTTCTTTGTCTCATTTTTAAAAGTAAAATAAGCAAATTAATCCGTGTCTTAAAAATTTTTTAATTTTTTTTTGATAAAAGCTAAATTGCTAGATTTAAAATTAATATGATTCATCAAATTAAACCTTTTTATAATTAATTATAAAAACGCTTTAAACACTCAAATAAGTTTAGTATGATTTGTGTCATTTTTAAATTTAATTTTAATTATAAATTCAAAATAATTTATATGCTTAAATTTCTATTTTAGAATTAATATGTGCCTTTATAAGATTTTTAAAGCTTTTTATGATAAAGATTGCCTAAAAAATAGTTGAATTTAAATGTTAATATGATTTATCAATCAAATTAAATTTTATTTATAATTAAAAAAGGCGGATAAAACATTCAAATAAGTTTGTTTAGTAAGATTTATGCTTTTTTTAAATTTAATTTAACTTATAAATTTATACAAGTTTATTAACTAAAAATTAAAATAATTTTTAATGAGCATAGATAACTGTATGGTTAAATTAGGAGCTCATTTTTATATAATAATAAAAGAAGAAGAAATATTGAAAAGACATATAGAGAGATTTTTGAACACACCAACTCGAATTATAATAAAATTTCATACGCTGACATAAACACATTAATTAACATGTGAAATTGTTTACTATTCCTAATAAATTAATTAATTTATGTTTATTTAGAGATCTGCAAAACGAATATTTTGACCTATTGCTGCATAAAACTTCAAGATTAAAGAGAAGAATTGAAGCAAAGGCAAAATATTTAGCTTTAAGTTTGTTTTCTCAATTGGAGGAAGAAGAGAACTTGGTGACGGCCTTGGTACCTTCGGAGATAGCGTGTCTAGCGAGTTCACCAGGTAATAAGAGCTTGACGGCAGTTTAGACTTCCCTGGATGAGAGGGTTCTTCTCTTATTGAATCTGACTAACTTGGAAGATTCGAGGGCGATTCTTTCGAAGGAGTCGTTAATGAAAGAGTTCATAATGTTCATAGCCTTCTTGGAAATACCGACATCAGGGTGGACTTGCTTTAAGACCTTGAAGATATAAATAGCGAAGGTTTCTGATCTCTTCTTCTTGTTCTTCTTTTCGGTGGTGGGGGCCTTCTTGACCTTCTTTTCAGTAGTAGCAGCGGGAGCTTTCTTGGGAGCCATTTTAATGCTTTTTTATTAATTTATTTTTATTGTTAGTTTATTAATTATTTTTGGTAATTATTCCTTTCACACGCATTTAAAATTACTTTCTAATATCTTAAAATTCTGTATCTACCTATTTCTGTGATTTGATTGGATAAATCTTCCAAGATACGGATTTCTCCACAGATCCAAATCTACTTCATTCAATTTGCCATATTTCCATAAATTTAATACAAAACCTGTTGCTTCCATGCTATTTAATTGTAAGTTAATTTGAATAACATGGCTCTCACAAATATATAAGTTAACCATATATGACTTTTTGATATTTTTAAAAATATTAATCTCAATCATATCGAATAAGGCTATTTTAGGAAAAAATTACATATACAATAAGCGCAATTTCATTAATTTATTACATCAGAAAAATAATCTAATAATTTATCTTATTTTACTAACCTCTTTGTTAATTTTGAAATATTTTAAAACCAAACATGAAATACATTTAAAATGATCTAGAAATATCAAAACTATAAGTAAAATAATTTTAATAAGAATTTCAAATAAATTTAATGAAAATAAAATATTAATATAAATGAAAAAATAAATTCTAATTAATCTTAATATTTTTTAATATTTTGATAATAATAAAACAATTTACATATATTGATATAAATTAAATATTTATGATTTTTCATATTTTTTAAGTAAATTTTACTTGTATAAATATTGATTATTTGTTTAAAAGGTTTTTTTAATATAAATTTAAAAAAATATTTATTTTGCTTGTATTGGATTTTGTGGTTTGTTGTAAATTTGATTATAATGTTTGAAGTAAACTTTATATATTACTCAAAGTCTTAGAATTTTTAAATAGTTAATTTATAATATTGAAAACTAAATACCCAGAATTGAAATTATTCTTTTTTTTTCAATATACTGTAATTTCTAAGTTTGTCTTCATAAAAAGAATAAAATGTTGTTTTACTTTAAAATTATTAATGAATTCCATTTTTTTTTGTAAAATATAATCTGATTTTTGGTTATTAATGAAATTCTACGGTTTTTATTGCTAAGCAATTTATTAATTTAAAATAGTTTTTTTTAATTTTACTTTTACAAAATTTTAATCAAGTTTATTTTTTGAATTGAAATTAGATTTAAAAGATTGTAATAATCGATCCATTTATTTTCATTAAATTTAGTGGAATTCTTCAGAGAAATCAAAACTTAATCTTTCTATTTCTAATAAATTAAATAAAGATTGATTATTTTATAAATGATGAATTTAAATAAATTACATTGGAAACGAATGTATTCTATAATTGAATCATCTTCTTGTTATTTTTGTATTATTATATTTATGCTGCTTATCTCTTATTCTATTTATTCGATGTTTTGGCTTTAGTTTAATCTCTTGTAAATTTCTTGTATATTTTTTAGTGTACTTATAATTTCGGGGTGAGCTTTTCCATAAATAGACTTCTTCATTTATAATGATTGCTAGTAATACATTTAGGCTTTATCTAATTAATTTGTATTAAAATATGCTACTCCTACGTTATTTAATTAAGCAGCTATACTTGGATGAGAACTATTTGGATAAAGCTGTTGAAACATCTCTAAAGACTGTAATTTATATTCTAGTTCTTTACTATAATTTTTTACTCCACTATGAATGTAGCCTAATGTATTAAGTGTGTAAGCAATATCTTTATGTGGTTTTTCTCCATGTATTTGTATGTAAATATTCAAAGCTTTTTAAGCACTTTCAAGTCCTAAATATCTTTTATTTATTTACTGATAGGACCATGCAAGCTACCTGTAACATTCTGCAATAAATTAGTTTTTTTCTTATTTTAATAAATATCTGAACATGTCTATTGACTTTAGTCCATATTATACTGACTTGTAGTAGTCCTTAAGTTAATAATAATTCCAACAAAGTTATTATAATTATTTAGCTATGTCCATACAACTATACGAATACACTTTCTAATAATTCTTAATAGCATTTCCTCTAAGTAAGATAGCCTTATTGAATTTTCCCAACTACTCACATATTAAGGAGCAATTTGATAAAGCGTCTCCAATAAAATGATATTTTGTTGGAGGCTTCTTTTTAGCATTCGAATTACCCATTTCATTATTTATATTTCCATGATATATATTTTAAGACCCAGATTTATCAATAGATATATTAGTCGTTAAATTTAAATCTTCTTATTAAAGTAAATTATTAGAAATATCATCTTCATCCTAATCTTTAGATGGATAAGAAAGCTATGAAATAAAGGATTTCGAAAGCTTATTGAAAATAAACACTTCTAATAAAGAATAATAAAGCTTTAAATTTAAAACGAATGAAATATGTCTACTATTATCAAAAGTATCTTGCTTTTTTATACTTCTCGCAATGGTAAGCAGTTAATTTAAATTTTTTTCGCTAAATTAAAGTTCTCCTACAAGAGAATAAATTAATTCGTAAGAAGAAATTCTATTACTTGGATCGATCTTAAATAATTTTTAGCGCAATATTTTGAATATTCCTGAATTCTACAAATAATCAATACTCTTCAACTCTTTATAATTATTTTCTCTAATTTTTTTAGCAGTACTTTCATTTAACGGAAATTTAAGTAACTCTAAGAAAACAAGGCCAACAGAAAAGATATCAGTTTTACAACTTAGTAACTAGTCTTAGTTTTCATAGTGCTTATACTATTCAGGAGAACTATATTTAAAAGTCAAACCGCTGATATCATTTGTATTCGAACTATCTGAATTAAGTCTCTTGGATATACCGAAATCGCACAATTTATACTTCCCATCTTTCGTTTTCAGGATGTTTTAAGGCTTAATATCTGCATGAATAATTTTATAGCAGTGAATTTAAGATAATGCATAAGAAATTTAAATAATTATTGAAGTAATTTCATCTTAAGAATACCATTTATTCAATTATTTATAAAGCTCCATCTCTTCGTACAAACTCATCTCACAATATTCCATCACCAGCACAGAAATTAGGTATTTTTCAAAATAAATAAAATCATATATTTTAACTATACTTGAAGCTTCTTTAATCCCTTTTATTATATCATATTCCCTCTTAAGATGTTCTAATGAACCTTTTATGTAATTTGAAACTTTCAAAGCAACATTTTATTTCAACTTTTTAGAGTACGCTTTAAGTATGACAGTTTGTCTACTTTCCTATAAAAACTCTAAATTGATGAGCTACTGCTTTTTTAGCAGCCCTTCTAACTTCTCACATAAATCTGTTGAAAATCCTTTTATTCTATTATACCAATTATCTTATTTCTCATACTAAAATACCTATTTCAAAATAGTTAAGATTTTACTCATCTAATACTTACTTAATATTTACTTCAAATTTAATTATTTTTTAAGATTTTCTTTTGATATATTTAATTGATTGTGTGTGATATCTCTGTTACTTTCTGATTTATTCCTTTTGACCATACTTCTCAATTCATTTTACATAAATACTTAAAGATTAGCCATACAAATTTTATAGTTTGCTCATTCAATAATAACACTTAAAATATAAAACTAATCTTATACTAAATATTACTACAAAAGAATTAAATTATTGTTTTCGTTTTCTTTTTTCATGCATGAAAATATCTAAATTCAATAAATCAAAATATTCTTTTACAAAAATAAATCTTTTTCTCAATTTATTATGATTAGCGTCTCCTAATTAATATAAAAATTACTCATTTAACAGTAATTAAAAACTCTTAATATTTAATATTTATTCAATTTTAAAATTTACACAAACTATTTTCTAAATTTATGTTAAGTTGAATAATTAAAATATTTATTTAAATAACTTTAAAACGAACATATTATGTAATAAATTTAATTCAATCCACAATATGTATTATAAGTTAATGATATTAATCAAGAATTAGTAAACTATGAATTAATTAACTAAAAATGTTGTTTGTTTTATTCATGAATTTAAACAGAATAGATAAAAATAAATATTTGATTTTACTAATTCTTTGCTTAACTATTACTATGAACAATCATTTCATATGAAAATTAAATAAATTTAACTAAGTATCAATAAAAACACTTTAAATAGTAAATTTTAAGAGATTATTTTAGTATATATTTAAATCTGTATTAAATCTTAGAAATATATTTTTTAATTAATAATTTAAGAGCGAAATGCTAATTATTTGTATTTTAATTTTAAGCAACTATTTCAGCTTTGATCATTTATAACATTGATTTTATTGTTTAAATTATCAAAATTATTTTAGAATGTTAGAAAGGAGAAGTTTTAATTAAATTTTTTGAGAATATACCAAATAAATAGCACTTTTTTTTAGAAAATTATGTAATTATTTTAAATTTATGTAAGATAAAATAAATAAAATTTTATTTTCTAATTTGTTCAATAATTCTCATTATTAATTATTTAATTATACTTTTATTCAAAATTTCAAAAAATTTATTTATTTTTAATCAAGAAAATATGTGTTCATTTTTTATTTTTTAGAAGGTTTTTTAATTCAATAAAAATTTTACTTAAACAAATAAATAATGTATCGTATATTTTAATTATATAGTTTATTATTAATAAATAATTCATCTTTCTAAAAATATTATTTTAAAACTATAATGCTATAAATTAATCAATTAATGTTTCATTAATTATTATTTTCTTCACATAAAGTTTTTAATTTTCTAAGCTTTTAAGCACTTCTAGCAGCTTCAAATATGCATTTTGAGTTTTATTTACCTGTATGTATTACCATATTCTTAAAGATACTATTATCTTGCTAAATAAGAGAATAAGGTTCTCCTTATTCCACTACACTTCCCATATCTAATACTAAAACCTTATCATAATCTGCAATAGTATTAAGCCTATGAGCAACTGTTAAAACAGTGGCATTTTTAAATTTTTCTTTAATTTTGCTTTAAATAAATTCATCAGTTTGCAAATCTAAATTAGCAGTAGCTTCATCTAACACTAATATTTTACTCTACTTCAAAAGAGCTCTTCCCAAACAAATTAATTGTTTTTGTCCTGCACTAAAAGTTTCACTACTACTTGTTATAAATGTATTTACGCCATCAGGAAGATTTTATATTGTTTCTATTATTTAATTAATTAATTATATTTAGAGTTTAATAATTTTTGAAGATTTTTAATAAAAATATTTTTACTTTTTAACCCTATTTCTTCTATGCAGTTATCTATTTATTCGTCTGAATATTATTTTAAAGGATCCAAATTCTATTTGATACTTCCACTAAAAATAAATGGAGTTTAAGGAATGATACTCATCCCTCCACGAAGTGTGTGCAACCCAATATTTTTTATTGAGTGGTTGTCAATTTTTATGTCTGTTTTATCTCCTTTATTTTCAGCATCTTATATTTCTGTCATTCTAAATAAAGCTTAAATTATGGATGATTTCCCAGCACCTGTTCTTCCTATACATCCTACTTTCATTCCAGGCTCAATATTAAATGATAATTTATTTAAGACTGGTTTTAGTCCTTCTCTATACTTCATAGTTACATTAGTAAACTCTAATTTTCCATTAGAAGGGAAATTTAATTTTTTTAAAGGATCTTCTAAATCTTTAGTTGATTATTTTTTTTCATACAAATTATTTCTGTCATATTGAGTTATAAGTTCTGGCTCTTATTCGAGTTTACACATGTTTAATATTCTTTAAGTACTTGACATAGTGACATCAGTTTATATAATTTATCTGTTAAATTAGTAGATTTAATTTTAGTTACAATTTTAATTATATATTTACCTTAATCCCCATTGAATACAATCACTCATTGCTAAGAAATAAACTATTGATTCTCCTATATCTGAACCTCTTTTATTTATAGCAATCAGCATAAAAATTCCTATTTAACCAGCCAATGTAGATAAAATGTGTACATAAGATCCAAACGCTCTTGAGTTTAACCAATAAATATAAGAAGAACGCAATGAATTGTCAGATAAAAAGTCAAATTTCTCTTAAAAAATTTTTGTTTAATTATAAACTCTAATAGGTAAAATTCCTTAGACAGTTTAAGTAAAGTAATTGAATACAGGAGAGCGATTTCTCAAATCAGTTTATTTAGATTATATCAAACAAGGTTGAGAAATTTTAGCAAAATAATATAAAAATATAAACTGTATGATTGCAACTATAAGAAAATAAGGGTTAATGATTATAATCATAACTAAAAGAGATATATGATTTATTATAACCTCAAGAGCATCTATAGATGTTAAAGGTAAACTTTAATCTACTATTACTATTTTTATAAATATAAATGTTAAACATTTTGCATTTACCTTAAAAGCTAAACAAATTCTAAAAATAAATTTATCATGATTTTGTTATTAAAAATAAAATTAATTTAAATTTGGATAATTCATATTATTATTTTTTAAACTTGTTTACTTCCATAATAAAATATGGTACTTATTAATGAAAAATGTGTTTTAATTTAATTACCTAAATCTGTAGAAAATCTGTTGATAATTCTTCCACTTTAAGTTGTGTCAAAGTACTCTACTTTAGATCTTACCAAAGATTCAATCATTTTATCATGTAAGGTTTTACTGCAATTATTTTAGATTTTCATGAATGAAAAATATTTTATAAAAATATTGAATGCATAAGCCAAAGTAATATATCCTAATAAATTTATTAATTTAGTGTTATCGAATTTATCTTGACCATACAGTCCTATAATATTTGTATAAAGGATACTCAATCCTTCGGAGGTGAAAAAGAATAGGATAACTAATGGAATATAGACTAAAGATTTAGATTATTTAATGTATTCCAAATAAGTATGGAATGAAACTTTGATATTTTCACTAGACTCTTTGGTGTAAAGTGCTATATTTTTTTTCTAATGTAAACTGCTGGTTTAATTTTTGTCTAAATTTTACTCAGTTTAATTTTAGCTTTTTAGCTAAGTTAGTTCTACTTAAGTAAAATTTTACAAATTTTAACTAAAAATTTTTTATTATGTGCATTCAATATTGTTATTATTAATTTTTTCATCTGATTTATCTTTTGAAGATGGTGACGAATTTCTCTCTAATTTTAAATCTATACTGTTATCAAAATCTAAACATTTATCTCGTTAACTATTATTTGAATCTGTTGAATTAGTACTAGACTCATCAAATAATTAGGTTTTACTTGATAGCTCTTACAAGCTTGCTTCTAAATATTTATAAGTGCCATGATCTACAATCTATCCTTCTTATAAAATGTAAATTCTGTCTGTATGCTTTGTAAAATGAATTTAATGTGTAACAAGGATAACAGTTTATCTCGATAAAAATTTCTTGATAGCTTCATTGAAAATATAATTAGAGACCTATTTAATATTTAAAAATATTCATAAGCAGTAAAATTTTAAAGTGTTATACTTTTGCATCGACAGCAGAAAGAGGGTCATCCAAAAGGTAAATGTCAGATTATGAATATAATGCTCTTGCTAAAGAAATACGGGCTCTTTATCCTCCACTTAAATTTGCTCCTTTTTCACCTATTTCAGTTTAGTCTCCATTTGGAAAATTTTGAAAATCATCTACCAAGCTACATACAGTAATAACTTCATTATAAAAAGATTCATCAAATTATTTGCCAAAAAGAATATTATCTCTAATTGTACTACTAAAAATATATGGCTCCTGCTCAACATAAGCTACCTTTCCCTTAATAGCATACGAACCAGAATATTTTGGAATTTCTCTAAGAATGCAGTTAAGTAGAGTTGATTTTCCAGATCCTATTTTACCAACTATAGAAATACATTCTCCTTGATTGATTTCTAAGTTAATATTTTGCAGGACAGGTTTTTCATCAGACCAAAAAGCACAAAAATTTTTCATTTTTATTTCTCCTTATTAAAGATTTTGTAAATCCTCATTACTATCTTATCCTATTTTTTTAATATATTTTATTATTATTTAATTTTAAAAAGTTGTTTTTATTCAAATAAAATACTTGCTTAAAATTTAACTATATACAAGCAAATTTTTGGAATGAATTTTAATAATTGAAGGATTTGAAATAAATAAATAATTTATGTTTGTTTGTTTATTTGAAGTATTTTAATTATTACCTTTTATGCATACCATTTATGAAGATTAAATTTTAAAGATACTTGCCATTCTTTATAAAATAACTTTTAACTCAAATATTCCAGAGAGTCCATAGCCAGCATAAGTAATAATCGAGATTCGAGTATACTAAAGGAGATCAAGTGTTGCGAACATATTGCCAATCGATAACATGCTCTATTCTCCATACATTTGTGTTAGGATAAATATAAAGTAGCATCCTAAAATGCCAGTTGATAATGAAAGGGAGTGCTCAATAAAAAAAAGTGTAAATTTAAAGAGAATTTTTTTAAGTTCGAGCTGCCTTACTGATTTAATTGATTTAATAAATGCACACTCCCAACCATACATTTTAATAAAGCGAATGCCTTCTATAACTTCAGAAGTTTAATTGACTCTTTGATCGACTAGACTCGATTTCTATGCAAAAAGTTTTGATGAGATATTCGCAACAAGAATTTATAAAGGTATAAAGCAAATCATGAGTATTAATCCCAAAATTCCGTACCAATGAAATCTAATTAATTAATAAATATTAGGCTTAAATTATTAATAATATTAAAGTATTTTTTATTACAATTTTTAATTAATTAAGTACTTAATAATATTCTCCTTTTAGTAGTAACATAAATAAATTAAATGAATTTGTTAATTTTATTTAAAAAATTAAAATATAAGCTAATTTTATGATTGATTACCTTTAGTATAAAATAAGTGCTACAAAAATCAGACAAAAGGGTATTATAGTGAAACACATAATCACGTAGCTCATATATTCTATACTAGATAGATCCCCAGAAATTAAATTAATTAGTTTACCAATATTAGCATCTTTAATGGTATTGGCTGAAAGGCTTGAAACTTTTATGTAAAGAGACTTAACAAACATTGCCCTGATTTTAGAAAATAAGCAATAGTTTATTTTATTTGCATGATGCATCAATAAGACATATGCTATGTTACTGGCAGCAATAATTCCTGCCCAGAGCAATATATCTTATTGCTAAATATTATCAGAAATATTGTCAATCAGATTTTTTATTGCTATCGAAGAAAAAAGCTTAAGTGCATTCATAAATATTAGCAAAAGATACTCTTAAATTAATTGACCTTTAAAAGTCTTTAGGATTGTTATCAACATACTCCAAGCACCCAACTCTTTTCCGTGTGTTTTTGCTTATTCATATTCTTTTTAAAGATTTTTTTCAAATTTTTAATTTAAATTGCAAGTTTGTTCTTAAGGATCTAGGTTAGGCAAATCCTCGACTCTTATCTACTTCCATCTTTGAATAACTTTTCTTGAATAAAGTAATAATTTAAGTAAATCTACCAAGAATAAACGAGAAAACCATGAAGTATTCATTTTAAAGTTAAATTTTTTTTATTGATCATTTGAATTAGCATTTTTTGTATTGGTTGATTCAAATGACAATATATCTTTTTGTTAATTAAATTCGTTATTATATTTTAAAAAAACATTTTGAATAAAACAATTTTTTTCTAATGTATTCATTTGTATAGCTAGGTTTTATATTTCTTCATTTTCTTCATCAAATTCCATCTTCTCTAAATCACCTATTGAAGGTAGAATTATTTGTGACTTTTACCTCTACTATAATTTCATGAATTAAATGGGTATTTTATGCTAAAATTTTATTTTATCTTTAGTTAATATTAATAAATTATAAATCAAAATGAAGTTAAATTCAAGTATTTATACACATCAGAATAAGGACAAAAAATTCTACCCTAAGTAAAATAAAAAAAGATAAAATTGGTTATATAAACATTTAATAAAAATTAAATTTATAAGGTGTAAATTATATTAATGCTTATCTAAATTTAGATGAATGTTTAAAATTAAAATTTATTTTTTAAGTCATCAAAATTACAGATGAATTTTTGGACAAGGATAAAAAAAGCTAATTATTGCTTTCTCATTTCGCTTTTCTTATTTCTATCAAACTGTGATAAATAAAATTACAATTTTGAGTAAATGTAATTGGTTTTTCTAATATTACATATTAATAGTAAATTCTCATAATTTGATGATTAGTTAATTTTCTATATAATGACAATTAGCCCTAAATGAAAATATCAAAAAAAAAATTGTCAAATTAAAAATGTAAATCAAAATAAATATACCACATAATAAAATTTATATATTTTTATTTTAATTTGTTTCTGTTCTAATTAAGATAAGAGGCTCTTAATAGATCTTTAAAAAATAGGTAAATTTATAAATTTTTTGTAATGTGCTCAAATTAAGTAAATACTAAGCCACAATTCAAAAAATAAAATTGATAGATAGATAGATAGATAGATAAAATTTTTTATTTTCAAAAAAATTAACTAGTCTTTTTTTTCATTAAATTTTATCAATAATTCGTTCATTAAAAAAACAATTTAACACTCTTAAATAGCTCTCTTGAAAGGCAGTTGATTACCAATAAGATAAATGCTCTATTAAATGTTAAAAAATATGAAATTACTACTATTTATGTTTTCAACATCTGTATTAAATACTAACAACCTTAAATTTATATTTAAAAATTTTTTCTTATTAGTTATTTTCTCTAGAAATTCTTAAATTATATGAGTATAATAATAAAATGTAGTGATAATTATTATATATTTAAAATTTATCATAGATTCTCATCAAAAATAAAAAATTATTTTTTGGCAACTTACTATCTTCAAAGTCTTACAACTCAAAAAAAAAGTGTTTTCAAAAATACATAATTTATTGATTATAACCCACCAAAATTTGGACACTGATAATATGCTGCCAATTGTCCTCTTAAAAAATAAAAAAAGAATAATTGAGAACTTTTTTCAGAATATAACTTAATTAGTTGGTCTAAAATTACTGAATACTATCTTTTGAATATTCACAATATTTATTTAGTTTTTAAAATTTTAAACACAAATATTTTCATTTTGTTCAGATTTTGTAAAATTTTAGTAAATATTTATGTTTTCAGTGGTGTGTGATATTTTTATTAAATTAAATAAATATTTTAACAAATTTGCTTAACTTAAATTCAAATATATGACTTTTATTAAATTAATATAAAATGGTGGTTACCAATTAAAAAATTAATAAATATAGTAAATTAAATTCAAATTATTATAAATAATTATGAAAATAAATCTTCTATTTCAATAAAAATCTCTTTTTATGATTTCTATTTTTAAATAGATTTACTTGTTTTTAGTTAAGAAATCTAAAATTAGTAATAAAAAAATAGAGCTATGCTTTTAAAAAAACCTTTATTATAATTTTAAATTAATGATTAATGCACACTTTAGTGTGGATTTTAATGCTTAAAATAAAATTTATAAATTTATTAAAGAAAAGCTATAACCAAATTTAGCAAGATTAATTCAATTTAAATATTAAATAAATAGATTATATAATTAAATAATAAAATCAAAATATTTATTTTTTCATAATCAATTATTGATTACCTTTATTCTTCACAAAAAGATCTAATTATTATTAGATATTATGCAATAAATTATTTTTACTTAAATCATATAATTATTTTAAGTATGGTTTTATATCTACTGAATTAAATTTTTAATTAGATTTCTAAATTAAATTAGATGCTAGAACAATAAAATAATTCATCATAAAAACTTTAAAAAATTTAAATTAAAATTACATTTATTAATTAAATAATTGAAAAGTTAGTATAGAAGTAAAATTGCTTAAAATAGATTTTTTGTTTAATTTCTATTTATAGAAATAATATTTTTTTATAAAATTTTACAAATGATTTACAATTTAATGATTAAGTCCTATTAATTATTAGAGAAACTATTAATTAATTTTATTCTTTCTTAATTGACAAAAAATAAGGGTTGTGGTTTAAATGTTTTAAACATTTTAATATCAAAAAATTACCTTAATATTTAATTTTATATTTTACATCAAAATATTTTTTATTTATTTACCCTTCCAATTAGAAATATTTATTTCTTTTTAATTTTAAGTGTTAGAAAAAGAAAGATGAATGAATATTTGATTGAAGTAGAAAAAAAAATATTTAATATATACAAACTTCTAATTATAGTGATTATAAATTAATTTATTTTAAGTTATTTATTTTCAAAGTTTTTTAATGAAAAAGCAAAAATTTTTATTTTGAATTTTGTTTTTGTTCTTAAATGAATGGCATTACTCTCAAAATTATATTAGGTTTAGAAATACTGAAAATATTTGTTTTTATTTAAATGAATATGAGATATTTTTATATATTTCTATCTTTCATGGATTTCATCAGTTTGAAAATTTGAAGCTTAAAAAACTCAGTTATTATTTTGTACAATAATTGAATTTTTTTCTTTTTAATGTAATTTTGTAATAAGATTCTTCAAGCTTTTATTGGAGATAAATGCCTTCTCTTAACTAATTTTTATAATGATTAAATTGCAAATATTTGATTAAATTGCTTGAACAAAAATTTTTCAAAAAATTTTTATGAAGATTGATAATAAAATGAATAATTTAGGAGTGGAAGTATCTAAATAATTGTAAAATGATAGCTAAGAGTTATTCAAAAATTAATTTGAAGTTATTTAAACTATCATAAAAGATTTATAAAACTATGGATATACAGTCATAGGATTGTTAAATAATGATTATGAAAATCCAAAACTTGAGGCTTAAAAGTGTGGTATGGTTGTCATAATAAAATGTAAATTAGTTTAGAGTTTAGAAAAAATGAATGAATATATTGACTTAATTAAAAAATTGAAAAGTGTTCCTCATATAAATCATTTTATAGAAGGTATTTTTTCAACTGATGTGAAATTTTTCTATTACATTACCTAAAAATTAAATTGTAATTTAGAGCAAATAATGCTGAATTCTTAGTAAAAACAAAAAGTCTTACCTTTTAATTAGATTGTCGGACTTGCTATTTAAGTAACTAAGGCCATTATTGGTATGCAATCATAATCAACTTTTCATCTAACCATAAACCCTTAAAAAATTCTTTACAGTGTAGAAAAAAATAGCTTTTATTTAAGTGATTACGGATATATAAATATGCGTAATAACCACATAAATTAATCAAATTTGAAGCTGGAATAGAAAAAGTATTTGGCCCCAGAGATTTTATTCAACTCTTAGAAGCCAAGCAATAGGTCAGATATCTATAGTCTTGGATTAATTTTGCTGGAATTAACTACAGGATTTTTTGTGGAAAATAGTAAGGCATTTTAATTAAAAAAATCATTTAAATTAAAAGATAATATCTACAGTGAGGCTAAACAACATTAAGAACTGAATGAGATAATACAATAAATGTTGTTAATAGACAAAAAGAAGAGAATAAATGCTCAAAATCTTCTTAAAAAATTGGATTATTTAAGGTAATTGGAATAACTCTATTACAAGGAGTAGCTAGAGGAAAAAGTAAGTTCTAAAGTTTTATAACAAACGGTAGAAATATTTAACAAATCTTTCGATTAAATAGACATAGAATTTATTTCAACAAATGTTATAAAATAATACCAACAAGAAGAGGCTCTTTATAAAAGAATTAAAAATATTAAATAATTAAATGGTCTTCCTAAATCAAAATTTTTATAAGAGCATAACGCCTAAAAGATTAAAAATTAAAGTGATATAGCAAATCTAGAATCTACTTCTTCGATGAGCTAGATGGCTTCTTCTCAGACGTTTACAAATCTCCAAAATTAATCTTTAAGTTAAAATTTAAGCAAGACCAAAATTTCTTTTTAACAAAATTTCAAAAGAATAAGGACACTCCCATCAAAAATATAAACAAATAATTTAATATAATTAAAAAAGAATTATCATAAATCTTATTCCGATTTTGAAAGAGTGATTGATTGGTCGATAGACTGGAATAAATTACAACAAAAATATCTTATTCATAAAGACAAGCTTAAGAAAATTTTTACTGAAGTTGAAAGCCAGAAGGATAACTATCTCACAAAATAGGAAATAAAAATTGAATGTGAGAATTATAATTTATAAAACAGCGGTTTGTTGTTCATCTCAAATGCACTTAGTTAATGTTTACTTTTAACAACTTTGAATTTAAATTTTTAATTTAATTAAATTTCTGATCAAAGCCTATACAAAGTATCAAAGTATCTAAAATAATGCTTATATCTAAGGAATTTAACCTTGTTTTTAGATCGTAACTAAATCAGTGATAGCGGATTGTAAGATTTATCCTTAAATCTATTAAATAATTGGAATGGAACTAATTTAGCCTTGAGTTTTAGTCGTAATTAAATCAAAGACTAAGGCATATGCAATCTAGCTAACTCTATAAATACTATGAAAAACCTAACTTCTTTAGGATTATACTTCGATCATAATTTCATATCTGATGCAAGCATATACTAACTTTCAAATTCTATTATCAGTTGTAGTTCTCTTTGCAGTATTAGATTCCAATTTGATTACAATTAAATATGCAACAGCAGGACTATAATATAATTAGGATAAAATCTATCCACTCTCTCATAAATTTACTACTTAAAACTTTCCTTTTATGGGAATAATTTTAAATTAAAAGAAAACATCTAAACAGCGTTTGATTAATACTTTGGAAATTTAAAACATAATTACACAATATATATGTGATTTTTCTATTTCTATTGATAATTAATTCTTTAAATTTTTAATTTAAATATTTTCTAATACAAAACAGAAAGTAAATAAATATTTACTTTTAATAATTTAAATTAATATAAATAAATAAATATATCTATCAATATAAATAATGATTAACTTTAATTTCAAAGAATAATTTAAAATATTATCAAGTAATGACAAAATATTTCTAATTTGAAAGATAATATCAGAATATATTTAAAACAAACTCTGAATATTCTAAATTTTTCATTTATTTTTGAATAGAATACTATGCATTCTCAATAAAAAAACTAATTAATAGAATATCTTTTTTATCAAAATTAGACTTTATACTATAAAGTCGATTAGCTTCATCTCTGGTCTTAATATAAATTGAAATTCATTAAATTTAAGGTATATTTAAAAATAATGACCTGAGATTAATGATTTTATCATTAGAAAAATAAAAAGTCTATCTAGTTAGAAAAAATATTATTTAAAAATTAAAAGTTTTTATAATAAATAATTTATCTATTTAATTTAAATTCCAAAAGATAGATTTAAAATGAAATATAAAATTTAACAATTAATTTAAACTATTAAATGAGAATTAAATTAAAAAAAAATAAATGATGCTTCTACTTGGTCACAAAAATCGGAAATAACCAATAAATATATAATAGAATTAAATAAATAGAGAAACTTGTGTATGAAAACAAATTAAATATCTATGTTTTTAAAAATTTGAATGTCTGTAAAGCAATTCAAGCAACACCTGTTTATTCTTGATTTAAACTTATTTAAATTATAAAATTCAATCTTCTATTTTTGTCAACCAAGCACGTCTACCTTCCTGTGTCAGTAAAAGAATAGAATAATAGCTTATGGACATTAGAATACCAATCCAAAATATAATAGTCCATAAAACTGAAAAAAAGGTTGATTGAGTAGCTTCTATCATTTCAGAAGGGTCCTTCTTTCCTACATACTCACAAAGTTAATATACTTTCTTTATAAATTAATCTTCTGTTTAGTTTTCTTGCTTTACAAAATTTTCAAGCATAAAATTAAAACAATGTGAAACTCTCTTTTCTGATTAAATGAAAGTTTGAGTATTATGCTAATTTTTTTCTCTTGTGCAGTCTATGAATTTACAAAGCTTGTCCATAAAGTAGTATTCTTCGCTGTTACCTTCGGCTGCTAACTAAAAAGTACTAAACTAAATGTGGTCTCTTTATAGATGATAATGTACAGATGGATTTGTTATAAAATTTTTACCACATTTAGAGCATTTTCTCTAGTTTGAGTCATCATAAAAATCAATTGGAGAAAGCAAGTCAGAATTCTTGAAGAAATTAGGATTTTTAGGAACCAACTCATATTTCTAAACAAAATCTTTAAAAAAAGATCTCGCTTGTAGAGCAAAAGAGTTGCAATAAACAATATCGTAGAATGTATGGTTATGATTAATCATCATAGAGCTACCAAAATTATCAAGTTAAATGCTAGGATCAACATCAGTTTAATTTAAAAAATATGATTGAACTATTACTTCTGCTCTTAGAAGAGTTTAAAAAATAGCCCAAATCGCAATTGAAAAAATGAACATCAAAAATAAAAAGTAAAAATAATAGCAAAATATTGATTTTGTTATTTTTCTAGATTACTTCTTCTTTTGAAATGTATTAGTAAGTGATCTGATATTAGATGCAGTAAATGATAAATCAAATATACCAAAAAATGAAATTAATTTAAAAATTGTATAAGAAATTCATCATCATCATCCATAAATCATTTTTATAAATTTTTTGAATATATTATGAAATTCTATGTATATTTTTTATGTGTTTGTATTGGAAATTGATTTAATTTGAGTTAAAGTCTTTCATTAATTATTTCTGATGAAAAGAAAACTCTTTAGTAATTTATTTATTCATTCCATTTCTATTTTAAATTTAATATCGCTTTTATAAGAAACTTGGCTTACTTTATTAATATTTGCTTGAAAATATGTATGTATTTTATTCTGTTGAAATTCACAAATTAATTCCTAAAATGGTTCATCAAATTTTATTGACATATTCTATTGATGTTTATTTATTATTATTAAATAAAAGTGTTTTGAGTTCTATTAAAAGTGTATAAATAAATAAATAATTTACGCCAAAAACTTTTACATAATCTTATTAGCGTAGTAATAAAATATATATATTTAGGTAATACTTGCTTGAGGCATAGCTGATAAATACAATACATTCTAATCAGTAATATTAAATAAATAAAAGCTTTAACCATGAGCTTCGCTAACGATCTTTGGGTAATTTGTTTAACTTTTGCATTTCTTAACATTGATAAAGTCATATATATGTAATAAATTGATAATCTTATTCATATTATTATGTTAAGGATAAATTTGAACAAGTATCAAGACTTTCACAAGAAAATAGAAAAGTGTTTGAAGATTTTATAGATCTCTTCTAAGAAAGAGCATAGGCAGAAGAGTCTTATTCAAAAACTATGGAAAAATTAACTATTAGATTGCAGAACTTATAGATAGGAAAAACTTAGTAATATTACTTAAAAACTTATTATTTATAATGACTAAATGTGCAAAAAATACATAGAAAAGAAAGAAATTTTAATGAAGAATAAAATATTGCAAATTAATTTTCCTCATTAAAATGAATTTAAATTTTTTTAATAAAAATTAATATTTACAGCATAAAAATTTTTTTTAAATAGAGGAGTTTAGAACATTATTAGTAGCCTTAAAACAAACTTTATGAATAGATCAGAGCAGGCTAAGGCTTTAAGTGAGCAGATATAAGTTGAAATATTAGAAAAGTCAAGGCAAATTATTAATGAATAAAACAACACTTCTAAAAAATTAATTTCAGATGGCAGAAAATTCGAAAAAGATCTGAAAACTGCTTAGGAAAATTTAGATAAGGTAGCTATCTTCTATAGATATTATAAATTATCACTTTACTATTTAAAGTAGTTAATTTAGATTTGGAATATCAATTTTTGTATAAAAAAGGCAAAACTAAAGTTTTTAAGAGCTGAAAGAGAAGCATAGAGCTGCTAAATACAAGATGAAATTCTCAAGCTTTCTCAGGACATATCATCTGAAAAAAGACAGAAGCAAGCACAAAAGTGATAAAAATAAAATTAATAGTGCTATTTATCTAATTAAAAAATAAAAAATATTAGGACAAAGCAATGTCTATCTGAAGTAAAGGAGTTAGATTAGTAATATAAATACTACTTGCTTGAGTTTAACAATACTCTTGACTTATTTTATGAGCAAATGGTATGTTTAAAAAAAAAGTTTAAAAAGAAGTAATTTATTTCTCATTTAAGAATAGAATACAAAATAGCTTGCAAGATTATGAATGCCAAAGAATAAACCAAATGAAAGACTCTGTTATGAAAAATTTAGTATTTGAAACATCATACATAAAGAACATAGAATATGATATTGATAACATCAGTGAAGTAGAAATAAATATATTTTTTTACTATTAAATTCAATTTATAATTTACAAAAAAGAAATTAGGATAAGTAGAAGCACAAAAAGACGTCTAAGAAATTATTAGCAGAAACTAGAGTAAAAGGCCAAAATAAGAACAAATAAAATATGAACCTTACATATCTTTCATTGGCAAGACAATTCAGTCGTTAGAATTAAAATATAAAAAGCTAAACACAGAAGATGTTATTGAAGAATATTTATCATATAAAACCAATCCCTAGCCTCAATCTGAATTTGCTAGTGATTAATTAAATTAAGAATTAAAGTCTTAGTGTGATGCTATTTACAGATAATATTAAGAAATACTCTAAGATTCTGACAAGGAAAAAGCTTTTTTTGATGATGTAATGTTTTATTTTTTTACAATAAAATAAATAAATTTCTGCTTTAACATAAAATAAAGGCTAATATACTTACTTGGTATTTATAAATAAAATATCTTTTTAAACATTAATAATTTAATGCATTCATTTTTCATAATTTAAGCAAAGATTTTTGTTTTTAATGCAAAAATTTTTAATAATTCCAAGATACTTTACATGAATTTGGTGATATTTTATTAATAGATAATTATTCTAATCTTTGGTATTAACTATTTTAATAGATATATAGATAGATTGCTGCATTCACTTCAATACAAATTCATAGAATAAAAATTTTAAAGAAACAATTATTGCCTTTATTTAATTTTAATTAGTTTAAATAGTTAATTTTATAGATTTATTTTTGAATGATATAATTAATTATAAAAGATTTTAGTTTATTTCAATAAAGTTTGAACAGTTTGTTTGTTAAAATTTTTTATTTTTCTAATATAAAACAAAAATTAACTAGATTGAAGAATCTTTAGATTCAAATTAATTAGGAAGAATAGTTTGGAGCTACTGCTTTAATTTTTATAGAATGAAGGGTACAAGTGAATTAACAAGCATCTAATTCAAAAATATTACATAGATATTTAATAGCCTGCTTGATAATGTAAATAGATATATTTAAGTAGAAGCATTAATTAATTAAATACATATTTTACAAAGTGCTTCAAAAACAAAGATTCAATAACAGCAAAAAGATTGATTTTACTAAGCTTTTCATTTTACACAACTCAAGAGAGTTTAGATTTTAAGAAGCTTAGGAAGCATTCAGATGAGTAGATATAAGAACTTATGGATGAGTTGCAAAAGAGTAAAGTAGATTTAGAAAACAAATCATAGTCTATGCCAGCAAACTAGAACTAAAACAAGGAGGAGGAAGAGTAAGAAGAAGAAGAGTAGAAAATAAATGTAAATGAAGTTAACAAAAATGATAAAAATATGCAAATTAGAAAAAAATCAAATAATGATGAATAAATAGAAGAGGAAAAAGTAGATTAAAACTAGATATTAAATGCAAATAAATAAGATTCAGTGGCTTCATAACTAGAATTTGAAATGGAAAAACGAAATTCGAAAAATATTGTAGTACCTGATGGAGTTCCAGAAAATAGTGAAGATTTATCATCACTAAGTCTTTTGGAAGCATAAAATTAAAAAGAGATTCTGAGAATATTCAGTAAGATAAACATAAATCAAACAAATTAATTTTATTTCCTGAATTAAATATTTTTATTAAAAATAGAACCTGAAGTTCCTATTAAGAAAGAAAAAATATATATTTAATACCAGCTTATGAATCACATAATTATAAAAAGCAAAGATTTCTGGGAAAGTTGTGCATTTGAAAGCGTGGTCTCAGAGCTACAAATAAAAAGTAGGAGAAAGATAGAAAAAAAAGAGAATTTTGATTATACCAAAGATAAGTATATCATTTTTGGCTAACTAGCTTCTGTATCACATCATATGCTTATATTCAATTTTGAAAAGCGTGAAATAAAAGACATAATCTAAAGGTATTCACGCTATTTCTCTCTTCCTGAAGATTAGCTCAACGATTTAATGGTAAAAAATGACATAAAAATAATTAAAGTTAACATTTTTTTTAATAATTAAAACAAAAGTTTACAGTGGAAAACCATGTCTAAAAGGTACCTCTTAATAACATTAATTATGATAATTAAGCTATAGAATAATCTAGTGGAAACTTTCTAAAAGATTTAGGATCATTTTTAAAAATATGATCCTGAAAAATTCTTATTTTATTTCTTTCTAAAAATCTTTAGAAAACAGCATAAAGTCTTTAATATTTAGCAAAAATAATTCTATTTTATCAATGACTTAAAATAATAACTGTATAATACTAAATAATATATAAATAAGTAACTTTATAATACATTTTTATATGTTAAATCTGTCTTAATATGTAAGTTTTGTATATTCTTTTATTAAAGTAAATTTTATTTTAATTTTTTAATAAGTTAAATTATTTTAGTTCATTTTATTAGACTCAACCAATAATCCAAAATTTAAAAACAATCAATAAAAATAAATTAAATGAATGATATGAACGTAAATTTGACGAGCACACAACATATGATGTGCGCAAACTTGCATTGGTATTTTGTGCACAAAAAAACTTTACCGATTTGTTTTAATTTTTTTTTAGCAAAAATGAATGGGGGGGCATTACACTTTTGCGCACATAAAATCCTATTCAAAGTTTGTGCAAAAAAAATTGATGCAATTTTATGCACTTGCTTTTATGCTCATGCTATGTAAATAATAGATGTAATATATTAGCAAATTCAAGGTAAATAAAAATGCTTAACTAATAACTACATTAAAAAATAAATAAAAATCAAAACTAATCTTTGTCACAATAAGAATTTCAAAAATAATTTATGTGTAAATTTCTTTGATAAAATTAATGCTAAATACTAATATTTATTTTACATGATATTAATTTTTTGAATTTATAGAATTTGTTCCCTCTTCTGTGATTTGGGTTATTAAACTTTATGAATCGACCTTATTGAGATTAGATAATTTTAGATATGTTTGGTTGGACATTTTCAATTTATCTTATAAATAAAAAGGGTAATTTAAAATAAATATTTTTATTATAAATTATTTGTGATAACTTATCAAAGATAGAGATTGATTCCGGGTTTATTAATTAATTAATTTATTAAATTAATACATTGATAAATTTCATTTTGTCTGAATGATTAATTTGGGCCAGTTGTAAAGTAAAGACTTTTATGGGTTAAAAAATAGAGAAAAAGATGACATAATAGAATAATTAATAGAGAGAGTTGAGTACTTATAAAACCAAAAAGATGCATATAAAAACTTATCAGATAATTTGTAGTTCAATTATTAGAGAATGAAGGACTTGTATAATTTTGAACAGGATAAATGCCATTAATTAAAAGAAGATAATAAGAATTTAAGAAATGAAATATACCATTTAAAATATAAATTAGACTCATTAGCTGATGAAGATGTAGAAATTCCAGTACAATAAGTTATAGATACACCTTTAAGCAAAGCGAATTAGGCAAATAATCAATTTAATCTAACATTCACACGCAATGCAATGAGCAATACTAATAATAATTAATTGAATTAAATATCTACTCTTAATGACTTAAACAATTAACAAAAAAACAAGCTAATTAGATAACAATCACATCTCAGCTAGAATTCTAATAGTGCAGCTATGAACTAAAGTATCGAATAAAAAAAAATAATTGACACTAATTAATAAGAAGAGTCAGAGGCTATTTAATTCCCATAGAGTTTTTAGGTATTTCATTATTCTTTTTTAATTTATAAAACTGAATTAATTAATATAGACATACCAAACAAAATTAATCAAATTAATTATTGATGAATAATTTTTAAATTTTTGATTTACTAATTAATTAATCAATCATTATTTATCATACAAATATTATTTCAAAATTTAATTCTTAATATATTTTCTAAAATGGTAAAAAGAAAATTAACTTTCAAGATGAAGAGAGCAGGTAATAAGCAGATATAAATAAGAGATATAATGTTAAAATAGGTGATCTTCTCTTTTAGGATTTCTTATTGATTGGCCCTTCTTTAGATGAATTAAATGGAAAGTGTCCTATCGGTGAAGGAGGGATTAATAAATTACTGATGCTCAACAATTCTGAGAGCCAAAGAAACAGCTAAGGTTTGGTCGGATAAAATGCTAAGAGTTTAAATGATGGCGAAGATGCTTATTTTTCATAAGAAATACTATTTGATTTACTTAAAAATAAGCTAGATGAATCATAATAAGAAGTAATATCAAAGCATCCATTTCCTTTTAAAGTGAAATGTAGAAAAATTAAATTGAAAAAACAAGAAAACTTCCCCTAAGAAATATAAAAAATATTCACTGAAAACAAAGTGCAAGACATAAAACAGTTTGTGTTTACTATGGAAGGTAAATTTTCAAAGAATTTTACAATTTTCATTTAAAATTTAATCTGTTTAAAAGTTATTTAATAAAAAATGGAAAAATTTATTTTATCAAATGAGAACTTTTCTATTTTCTGAGAAATAAACGAGCATATTTATTCTCTTTCATTTTTCAAATTATGACATATAATTTTTACAAATATTATCAATCAAAGAAAATGAATCTAATTTTTACCTTATTAGAACTATTTATGGAAAAAACAAAAATTTTATAAAATAATAAAAATAAGAAGAAAAAAATCAGATAACTTTTTTTTAACTCTAAAACAAATAAAAATGGTTTTTTATTAAAAATATATGAATTTTTTATTTTGATTATCTTGAAAAGCTTTATTTTTATCCTAAAATTTTAAATAAAAATAGGAGAACATAGAATGGCGAAGGATGCTTATAAAGAATAATTCAATAAGCTTGTTGAATTGTGTAATCCTTGTAAAAAATAATATTGTATTTATTTCGAATGGGAAGATTTTATTTTCACTGAAAAAGATAAAAACACTTTATTTAAATGCTAATTTGCATTTTGTTTTGTTACATATTATCCCTTTTTTAGCTTTTTCAGGGAAGTTGTGTGCCATATTATTTCCAAAATATAGAAAAAGAGAATTCCTTTAATAAGAGTTTTTTTGGATAACAAATAAGATATTAATTAAATAATTGAGTAATTGTCTAAAACTTATAGTAAAAACTTATTAGATCTATAATTGGTTATGCCATAAATGCTACAGACTATTTAGTTTAGTGCCTAAGAAGAAGAGGATGAAATAGAATCTAACTCAACTTTATAGGCACAAGAAGATTTAGTCGATTAAAGAAATTCCTTCAGCTAGTTTAAACCGAATGTTCAATCAGAGAATTCCTCAAGGGTATCTTATATGGTCCCAAATTATTAATAACTTAGATTGCTCGAGACAAGCTAGAATAGTGGGAGTAATTGGATATTTTAAATGTTTACTTTTGATGATTTTTGGATGATATTAACTCTCGTAATGCTGGAATAAAATATTGCCTTTTTTAGTTCTAGCATTCAATTAGTAGCAGGTGCTTTACAAACTTTTGCTTCTATATATAAGCCATTTACTTAATGCAATTTGCCAATTCTACACATATTTGAAAATAATCTTACTTACCTTGAATCTCCATTTCCCTTCTTAAGTGGAATCAACCAAAACTAAAATTACATAAAGTAAAATAAAATTATTTGTGAAGATTCTAGGTCAGTCACATTCATAGATTTAGACAATCGTAAAATTCATTTAAGTGAAGATGCAATAAAGTTATTTGAAGAATAAAATTGTTACATGAACTACACTAAATATATTTATGAACTTAGAAAAGCTTATGGTATCTTACAGATACAGCCCTACAGATAAATGGTAGCATCAAATTTCACAGAATTCTTCAGCCATTCATTCAAATTATATAATCACATGGTATTTTAAAGTCCTCCGATACCTCAAAACTTAATTCAAAAATACAAGAGCTAGCAGCAATTGTCATCGATGATTTAAAAAAATCCTGCTATGCTATCAGAAGGAAAGAATTTAAATTTATAGACAAAATCATATAACAATATACCATTTGGTAATACGAATTCTAAGACTGAACTTTATAATAATACAGATATGTTCAATGAAAAAGGAATAATAAATTATGCAATAGATAAAAGAAACTTGAGTCGTTATCAAAATGATTAATCAGAGGAAGCTAAAAGTATTTACATTCAATAGAAAAATAGTTACTATGCTATGCTCAAGGACTTAAAAACTAAAGCTCTGGAAGAATTTTACGAATATCTTGAAAAAACATTTCAATATTACATTTTAGACAACTTGCCAAAAGATTAAAATTTAAACACTAACTTCAAAGATATAAACATCTAGGAGTTCCATGATAGAATACTTAAAAAATGTGAAGAAAAAAATTTCACAAAGCTCTTTCTAAAAACCTAAACATTTTCATATTATTCATAATAATATTACGAAAATGAGAATCAAAAACCAACAACATCAAGTACTAAGGCTACATACAGTCAGCCATCTACAGCAAATCCATTAAACAAATTTTGAAATTATTTAATTTATCATTCATTCTTGTTCTATATAGTAAAAAGATTCTTTATCTTTAATTGTTCATAATTTCCTTAATATATTTTAAGTTTTTATAAGAACTTTTTTAAATAATTTTTATTAATTAAAAAAAATCTGAAAAAACATACACTACCAACTTAAAGTTATTTAAAATATCAGTTTTGTAGATACTTAGGCGTTACCTATATATTTATTTTAAAGATTTGAATTTAGAAATATTAATATCATTTAGATAAATAACAAAAATGCTAAAATGCATTTTTAAAAATTATATCTCTATAAAATGTAAATTAAAACAGAATTTAATTAATAAGCTAATTAGTTAAACAAAAATACAAATTTTTTGCAAAATATTAAAAAAAGAAAAATTAATATTTTAAGCTTTATCACCTAATTTCTTTTAATTCAAATAGAAAAAATAAAATTAAATAAATTAATAAAAGAAATATTTTATCACTTTCATTTGATTTACCTCCATATTTATAAAAGATTTCTGATCATTTATTTAATTTGAATTTTATCTTATTTTAGCAGAGTCAATAAAAATTTAATTGATTAATTTTTATTCAGGTTTTCTTTAAATTTATTTTAGATTTCTCTATTTAAAGATAAATTGTTTTTTATCTATTTTTCCGTTTTTTGAAATGTTTGAAATAACAGATAAATAAGTTTTTATTTTTCTCATATACCAATCAGGCTATAAGTGATGAATTTAAGATTTAAAAAATGATAATTTTATTGATTAATTTAAAATACAATTGGATGATTACATAAATGACATACCATTAACAAGATTTCGTCTTATGAATTTCGCAAAACAATCTGATGCGTATTAATTAATTAATAATTATTAATCTTTGTTTGAAATCAATTTTTTTTACTTTAGTTAATAATTATATTGGCTAACTTACTTCATCAAACAGCAAATAATTTAGTTTTTTTGATTTTATATAAAGTTACAATTTTTGTATTTTTTCTCAAAATTAAAAAAAAGATGTTAAATTATGAATAATTCTTTTACAATTTGCTACATTTTTAAAAGTCTTCTATTTCTTTTCATTTTTAATTTAGCTAGTTTGAGAATTTAGAGGCCGAATAAAGGCTTATCTTTAATGACTATTTTTGTATATTATTTTGTAGATTGTAAATAGTTGATCACTTTGAATTTAAATTTTAAGAGGGAAAAAAAATATGTTAAGCGTAATTTGATTTACATTAATAGAAAATAGTTTTTAAATGTAAGAAAAATAATAAGAAATTATACAGAAAACACGTTTTTGTTTTTATTTATTTTTTGAATTTAATATATTTTTAATAAAAAAAGAAAATTTAATCTAACAACAAACAATTTACAGATGTAATGACGTAAATGAATAGATGATTATTAGATATTTTAATTCTAACAAAAAGTAACAAAATTAAATTTTTTTCATGTAAGAACTTAAATTTTAAATATTATATTCTATGGTATTAAACAATAAAAATAGTAATGGATTATCTTCAATGATTTATTGACAACTGGACTTAAATTATTTGATTATAGTGATTCTATTATTTATTAATATTAGGGAATTTTATATTCAAATTATTAGAATATATAGCAAGCTTATTAGTTTTTAAGATGATTATAATACTTAAAAAAGTGATTGATTTATATTCTGATAGAAATTACTCTTGCGAAACTCTTCAGACGTTTTCTTGTCTAGTAAATTGCATTTCTTTCTTTAAGAAATACTAATAATGGTGTATTTAACCAGCTTAGTAAATCTAATCTGTTACAAACATTTATTCAAAATAAGGTAAAAGCACGAAGTAGTTATATGGCAGAATGAACGAATAAATTTAGAAGGGTTTTTATTTGATTATAAATTCTTTATCACATAATATAATCAGATTTCTAAAGTATAGTTAGTGTTTTCAAAAATATATAATATAATAGACAAAATATGAGAAAAAAATTGATTATTATATAATTTACTTAACCTTGTTAAGCTCAATCAAAAATTTAGGTTTTAGTTATTATTGATCATTAAGATAGGTGTTTATGGACAAAATTTACGTCAAACTGTCTGATAATTAAGTTTTTTGTGATTGACTAAAGATAATTTATTTCTCTAGTTAAAATTTTTTAATTTTTGATAAAAATGAGTCAAATGAGTTGGAGAGCTTTTGTATTCCTTAACATTTGTTCATTGCATGCAAAAATATATAAGCCTAATTATTTTTGATAAATTTGTTGAATAATTATTTGTAGATTCCTTTAAATAATCTAAAATTTTTTCCAGAAGATTGATAGAGGATCACTTTTACCAAAATCAATCTACTTTAGTCGTAAACAAATACTTGTATTATCACAAAAATGTTACTAATTTTCTCTATTCTTTTAGTATTTTAGTCTTTAAAATATTGAACATCTGTAATAAATTTGTGAAAATAAATGAATGGCATTTCTACTAAAATCCTCTTAAAAATGTCAGATAAAATAAGTTAAAGTTGTGCTTTATTATTAAAGTCTAATCAACTAAATGTTATTAATCTTATATTTAACAATCAAATATTTTCATAAAAACATTTAAGTAAATTAAATTTCAAATATCATCCAATGATTTTTATAGTGTTTGATGTTTTTTTTAACTATATGCAGGATGAGATCTTTATTAAAAATTTATCAGTCTTTAATCTTTATCAATTAAGACAAAATAAAAATGTAAAAAACGATCTTAATAAAGCCAGTATAATAGACAGTCATAAATATTTGAACGGTAGAGAAGGAGAAAAGCAGGAATAAGAAATTCATTGATAATATCAATTACTATTACTAATTTTACAATTAAAATAGATGATAGCATGTTTTTACAATAATTGACTAGTAGAAAATGCCTTTTTAATTCAAATATATGAGTGCATCATGTATATATTTATAAATTACGATATATACTTTTATGTTATATGCTTGTTAGCGATCATAATTTTAACAAGGTTGTTAGCTGAATTCTTTTATTTATTACTATTTTTATCAAAAATCTAGAAACCTTTGTGCTTTGTAGTGGGGAGCGAATGAGCGAGTGGGTGATTAAGTACAAGTATATTTTTTAAATAAAAGAAGTTTCACCTCAAACTAGCTCTTTTTGTTTAATGAAATACTAATTTGATGATAAAGTCTTTGTTATTTTATATAAATCGCACTTTTTGGTCTCACTTACCAAAAGTCTGTAAAGTTATGAGCATGTATATACTTGCAATGAAATCTATTTGTATTTAATGATTATTTTTAGCATTTACTTTATAATGTATATATGTATGTATGCTTGTATGGCTTATTTAAGGCAAGTAATTAATGGGGTTGTCTTATGTTTTGTTTGAAATGAAAGAATTAATTAAGGAATTGGCTTATAATGATTATTGTTGCTAAAAAATAAAAGAAAATAAAAAATAAAAGAAAGTTAGACACTCACTCACTCCTGCCAAGAAAGAAAAATCGCATTACGCTTTTTTCTTGATAATAAGTCACAATCGCTGCTTTTGCGCGTCTGTTTATCCCTAATTCAGTCACACTAATAAATTAATAAATTAATTAAAAAAATAAATTAAATTAAATAAGATAAAATCCTATCTTATAACCTCTTTCTATCTTAATTGAATAAATCAATAAATAAATCATCAAGAGAAAAAAAGATTAACAAAAGACCATTCATATTTTCAACTTGAAAATAAGAAAAAGAAAAGAAAAATCATAATTAATTAAATAATTAAATACTGAACTATCTATCAGACTCTATAAATCATATTTGCGAAACAAAATCAAAAAATCAAAAACAAATAAATAAATAAACAAACATTCATAATCAAACAAATATTAATTAATTAATTAATTATTACAACTCTTTTTATAGCAAATTTAAAAAAGAAAGGCATATATTCATTCATTCATACATTCATACAGACCACTTAATTATTAACTATAAAAATATTGCATACCCACTTATAAGCTCAATCGATTCCACATAGCGTTACTCAATATTTTAAGGAAAGTTAGCATAAAAACAATTTAAAGGACCAGATTTGTCAGCAATGAACCAAGAAGAAGGTTTAATGATAGAATATTTATCGAAGGTTGCAGAATTAATACTCTAAATGCGTTATGATCCATAAATTCTCGCATCAGCATCAGCTACTTTATCCTCTCAAGCAAGTAATAGCAATTCAAACCCAGGCGGTCGAAGTAGTAACCAGAAATTTGGTTTTGTTTTACCCAAATAGCAATATAAGATGTGCAATATCATCACAGAAAAGTGGAATAGCTCTTGCACTGCAATGACAGTAGAGTTTTTCTTACAAAAAAAATCTGATGGCACTAATTATTGCATTGAACAATGGTAGTTTTGCTACGAAAAAGAATTTGCTCTCCCTTCAAACGCTCTAAACGGAAGCAGTAATAGCAATAACACAAATGGTAAAAGCAATTCAGCTCCATCTGCAGCTAACAAAAAGAATAAAAAGCAAAGCACAGATATGAAATTATCAATCTTATCTAGAAGCATTGTAAGCCTATTGATAAATACCCCACTTTGGTAATTTTACATTCAATCAGAAAATCGAACTATTAAGAACGCCTATATCTTAGATTACAAGATTTCATTTGCTAAAAACAAACCTCTTAGCAATGCTGCATCGATCTAGTTTTCTGAATTGCAATTAACTTCTGGCTCACTTATGTTCAACTGCTTCTACTTTAAAGATTTAGAAAAAATACTACTTAGCTCAGTAAATAACTCTGGAACTTAAAATTTATAAAATTGCTATGCACAATGTTCTAATAACTGTTCTAATAATTGTATATCTGGAAATTGTCGTGGCGGCAATACAAACAATAACAATTCTGGAATTAGTAATAATCTGAATTCTGTCAGCACAGCCCACTCAAGTCCCAATACAATTAACAATATAAATACTAACTAGTATGTTCCAAATTTCAAAAAGAAGCACGAGCGTGAGCGCTTTTTAAGTGATAACCTTGATTTAAAAGATCTCCTTCCATAAAGCAATTAAAATACTTGCAATATTTCAGCCAGTACTAGAATCAATACTTAGCTCAACAAAGAAAACATACCTAGAAGCAAGCATGGTATTATTTAAAATTAAAATAATATGACTTTCCGTTTCTCATTCAGTGACAACGAACCCCTTTCTGATGAAGAGAAAAAAATAATTAATCATCATTTAAGACAAAGCTCTGTAGTTTCAGTATATTCCCGCAAAGACGACATCACAATTGTAAGCACTCCTGAAGAGATAGCCCTTAAAATGAGTGATGGATAAGCTAACGACTTGGGTGGACTTGAAATAGAAATGGTTCTTGAAGAAGATAAAGTTAACAACTGCAGACCATTTCCTACCTCTGCTTAAAATATTTGCTATGATGAACCAAGCGCCAAAAAATAGCAGGAATAGTCTAATTAATAACAAATTTAGACTAAATCAAAAGAAAAAAACCATAAAGATAAAAAATATGGTGATATGGATGATAAATATAATGTAAATTAGATAATTTCTTCAAAGGCAATGTAAGAAACTCCTGCCGCTTAAATCATTATAGATGACGATTTTGATTTCTAATTTATAGAAGAAGAAAGTGACAAACAACTAGATTTAGCTATCAAAAAGCTATCAGATCTCATCAATCAACATAAAGTTTCAATCCGTGAGTAAACAGCTTCTTAGTCTGCCTTTGAGCTATACCAATCTCTGACTAAATATGTAGAAAATTATTGAGAATATTCTACAACATTTAAAATAATACTTAATAAAAATTGGAGGTAATACTATTAATATATAATGATCAGAGCTTGTATGAAAAGAGATAGCTAAAAACTTAACAAAATTATAAATTAGTTGCAATTAAATAACATCAGAATAGAAAATTTTTACTCATTCCATTAGATTCTTAGCAATTCGAATCCAAAAACTTTAATTTCAATTAATAATTTAAATTTAAAAAGAATCATTTCAAAGCTTCCAAGGTGTAACCTAGGCATTTAATAAATCTGATTAAACATAAAATTAATATATTTGATAATCATGTTTTTAATTAGACTTGCTTCTGCTTGCTGATTTAAATAGAAATATATTATGATGATCTTTTGGTAAAGAAAATATTAAATCAAAAAACACAAACTTTTATTTATAAAACCTAAAATTCTATGTTTATAATAGCACACAGTTCATTTAATACTTTAAAGAATCAAAGTGAAAACTCCACCAACAAATCTTTTAATAATAATAATAATAATTATCATCTCACTAATCTTAACATGTAAATGATTGTACAAATGTAAACAATGTTTCAATATTTATCCCAAATCTTCCTCCCTCCATAATTTTAATAATAAAAAATCAAAGAAAAAATATTCTATTCTGTTTTAATGTGCCTCAGCTTTCATTTTCTTTAGCCTCTAATTTAACCAAACAACCCATCAAGCTACCTTCACTAAAATACCTTAAATTATCTTGATTCACTCTATATATAAATACTACTACAAAAGTCATTGATAATTTATAAAGCTAAAACTAATCAAAAATACTTCTTTCTTTGTTTATTATAATAAGATATTTTGAAAAAATAAAAATTAATGCTTTTTAATATCAGAAGTAAATTAATTAATCAATCATTTTTTATAATTATGATTGCCATTTTTATATTAAAATAAACATATAGATTTTATTTTTTACTCTATATTAAAATACTTTTGTTTCATAAAATATAATTTTTTTGTTATTCAATTTATTTGTAAATTACTACTTATTGGTGTACTTATTTTATATTTTTTTCAATGCCTAAGCTTTTTAGTACATAAATCTTTATTTAAAATAATTAATTAATTCCTTTTTAACTTTTAATTTTAAATATTGCAAGATTACATTCTTAGAAATTTCTATCAACTTTAATTATTTTCTTTCATGTAAAGCTTTTCTATTTTATAATTTTTGTTTATAATATTGAAAAAAAGAATAATAAAAATAAATTAATAACATTTAAGAATATTCTTACATAACGTTTAACAAGTAATGTATTTTTTTTAATATTTTCAATATTTATTTAATGTTTATATAGAAAATCATAATTAATGGATATTTAATTTAATGGATTCTTATTATTTTATTTTTTACTTTTCTTTTCTTTTTCATTTTCCTTTGTCTATTAATTTATTAAAATCAATTAAATTTTTGAATATTTTAACAATTTTAAAAATTTAATTCAAAGAATTAAAAAAGTCATCTTTTATAAGTAAAAATATGTTAATTCGATATAACTTCTAAACTAAAAGTAGCTATTATGATATAATTTAATAAAAATATATAATTTGTAAACGAATTTATAAATATTTTAATTAATACAATTTTAATTTTTAACGTTTAATTTTTTTATTAAAGAGAGAAGAAAAAAAAAGTAAATGATTTAATTATATCTGATTTGAATTAGAATTAATATTTAATTAAAATTTTTCTCATTTGTTAGCAAATTTTCTAAAAAATTTAGATTTAAAATGAATTTTAAATAAGAGAAATGAAAGGAACTTACAATAAATTTGGAAAATGTAGAAGTTTTGTTAAAAAAAGTGTAAATTGTGAAATTCTGATAAATTATAACATGAAGGTATCTATAATATTTAAGATTAAGTAATGGTGATTAATAATCTATCTAAATAAGTGTGTTTTTTGCTGATTAGGATATTATCTTATGATAAAAGAAGAATGGAGACCGGTTTATAAAGAGACTAAGACTGGAATTATATAAAAAGTTAAAGGTATTTAAAAGGTAATTAAAATAGTAAGCATTTTTAATTCTTAATCTAATAGTTTGCAAAAAATTTTGTAATTTTTTTATCAGAAAAAAAATATTAATAAAGCTATTTGTGTTAGTATTTGATAGAACTTTAAATTTTTGTAAAACTCAATAGCAGAAGGTTAACAATTAAACAAGCAAAAAATAATAATTAGCTAAACTTTAAGCGAAGTTCGTTTTTCATTTTGAATAGAAGCAAAAATTAAATTCTCATGAATCAAGACGAAGTTTAAGAAACAATTGAACAAGCTCTTAGTATTGATGCTTCAAGTATACAGATTGTTGTTTAAGAACCAGAGAGAAAAATACTCTCATCTGTCGTAATTAATTAATTAATTAATTAACTAATTTCATAAATATTATGCTTATCAATAATAAATTTTACAAAACACTATTCTAATATGGTAATTTAATCAAATTTTTTTGCATAAATCAATTTAGACCTACTATCCGATAGATATTTAACTAGGAGAAGTAGAAAAAATAACAGTTTATAAAAGATATAGTGAATTCGAAGCTCTGTATTAAGTGGTAATTGATTATTTTTTTTAAATTAGGAATGATCTAAAATATCAAAAAAAGCAGCAGATAGTTAAATTTTAGCGAAAAATGAAGAATTCATTAGCATTATCACTTCTAAAATATTTTATAAGCAATAAATTTGAATTTTATTTTATTTTTTATAGTTGGAGATGAAATATCATAACTTTAAGTTTCCTGAGCTGCCATCTAAACTTTAAGTTTTCAATAAAAGTTAAACAAGAAAAAAATCTTTTTAAGAAGTGTTTGACACAATCTTAAAATATGCAGTAATGTATCCTGAAAAGAGACTAGATTTCATACAATCATTATTTGTTTTTCTTCTTGAGGATAGTAATATTTCTTTATGTGCTCACAAAAGTTATAAAATTTAATTAAACTTTTAAGTAAAGAATAAAGGAAAGAAAAGAAGGATTAAAAAGTCTTTTACTCTAGATAATTCAGAAGCAGGCTTAGTAAGTCCATCTCTAATTTCTTAAACTGAAGAGGCTATTTCTGAAGATAGCGCATCATTTAATGATATGAAAGGTATTTCAGGAAGTATGAGTGGAGGTTTTACCCAATCACCAATTTAACAAAACAACAACAATTCAATCTAAAACGAAATCGTTTCTAAACTTGGCAGTACAGGCGAATTAGGAACAACTAAAGAAACTACTATTTAGAATGAAACTTAAAATTTAACACCAAATGATATAAATACTTAAGAAAATTATTAAGTAGAACCAGAGTACACATTTCAAAGGAGAGATGCAATCTATAAGATGTCTATTTGTTCTAATGATGATATGATTGTTGAAACTCCAGTAAGAAAAAGATTAGATAGTGAAGACTTAGGAAGCAAATTATTCAATTCAAAATGTAAAGAAAAAGAATAAGAATAAATAACTAAAATAGATGAAGTTGAATCTGAAGAAGAAAAAATATCCAATTTCAATTTCAAAATGCAATTTAAATTTTATTACAAAGATAAATTCGATACTTATTTTGTCAAATTTAAAGGCCATGATATGCTCCTCTACTCTAAAATTTATGTATTAAATTTCATTAAATTTTCTTTCATTTAGTCAATCAATATTTTTAATCTTTGACTAAAATTAATGAACCTTTTACAAGTTAATTATTTATTTATTTATTAATTTTTTTAGCAACAATTTTTTAATTTCAAACAAATTTTATTTTGTCTTGAAAAAAGTTAAAATTTCAATAAATAAATTAATAAATTATGCTTATTTGATATCCAAACATTTATTGAAAATATTTAGGACAGCAATTTCAGCAAATTAATTTGCATACATGAAATGATAATAAAGAAGAGTGAAACAGAAGAAAATTTTATAGAAATGTATCATCAACATGATTATAAACCAATTTAAATCTAAACAACCAGTCAGAGAAAAATGAATAATTTGATAAATCAGATAGAAGAATATGGTAAATCTACAAAGTTTGATTCATCAAACTCGTTTACTCCAATTGGAAAAGTTGTGATGCTAGGTGAATATTTAATTTATAAAAAAATTTTATTTAAATTTAATTTAAATTTAGTAAATAGATGCTTAAATATTGGAATTCCTAACGGTGAACCTGTCCTTATTAAATTGAAAACACATCACTTTACATTTGAGTCTTCAATTCATATTCATACTTAGAATGGTATTTTCATAAAATAAGAGTTTTCATTGTAAGTTATTTAAATGTCATTTCTTAAATTTAATTCTAACAAACTTTTTATCAATATAGCCCTATCAGCAATCCTTATGAGACTATTTACATAGAATTTTATCATTTGGTAAATGATTCTTGGCTTAGAAAAAAGCTTAAAGAAAATTTGATTGGTAGAGCTAAATTTAATTACATTGACATGATTAGCTTGAATGCAGGATATGTCATAGAAGTAATATGCTTTAATATTTTCAAAAAATATATATTTATTAGCTTACTCATAAGAAAATAAAAAGACTTTTTATTTATCCTAAAATTTTTACTTACAATTTTTTAAAATTACAAACACGAATTAATTATAAAAAAATTAATCCATTAATCAATCAATCATTCAGTCCTTAAAGAAATTTTTAATAATTTTTAAATATGGATAATAAAAATATTAATAAATATAAGTTTTTATGATTGAGACAGAATTTAAAACATTAAATTTTGATATTCAATCATTTTTTTAAACATTTTTGAATGAATAATTGAGTATTCTTGTATTTGGCAATTTATGTTACAATTTAAATTAATTTTGAAAGTAACTTTAATTAATCGTGTCAGTAAATTAATTTTAAATTATATGAGCTTAATTTTTTTATAGGCCTTATTGATATTTTATCTTTAGTAAAAGAAATAGTGAATATTTATATATTTATAAATTAGGGAATGATTCTAGATATTGAGCTTGTGGATGATAATTAGAACAACCAAAAGAAGAAAGTACCATTAAAAATAAGTGTAAGAAATGATACGAATAGGTTTAGCATTTTCGCTAAGAATCCTCAAGGTTATGAAGAGGGAGAAAAAAAAATGTCAAGCATAGATTTATTTATTGTCAGTTTTTACAGATTTAGGAGAATTATTGGATATATTTCAAAGTTCTTTTAAATTATGGAAGACCTTTTTTACTTTAAATACCCTAAATTAAGTAACCTATTTTTTGCTATTATCCTTCTATATGTGATTTGCTGTGACCCTAGTAGAATTTTCACACATATATTCATGCTTATTGCTCTACTTTGTTTATCATTTTAAAAGGACATCAGATAAAAGTTGGATGTCTTCTTCAAAGACTAACTTCTTGATTAAAAAAATTTGTTTTTTGCAGAGCCATCATTTCTCACAGATGATGAAGAATTGTATGAGCAAATGAGAAATAGCTTTGATAAAATCAATATTTAAAAGATAGTAGTTGAAGATAATGACGATGAGTCTACTTCAATATTCTAAAAATACTAAAATTTGAAAAAAAAGTTCACTTAAATTCACAGGTACCTTACCACTATATGCAACTTCTGCGAGAAAATAAAAAATATATTTACTTGGAAAGACCCAGTAGTGACAACATATTTAATTATTTTCTTGTTTTTGCTTTGTATTATCATTCATGCTCTTCCAATCAGACTCTTCCTGATAGTTGTAGGTAAAACATCAAATTATAATTAAATATTTTTATAATCTTTATTCAATTCATGATATGGATTGCAAATCTAGTATTAATTTCTGGTTTTTTATACAAATCAAGAATTTGCTAAAATTAAATATGATAATTTTTTTACTGTTAGAACACTGCATTCATTTTGATTTACAATTTAATTACTGATTCAAAATTCAATAATTTATTGTTACTAATCAGATTTAAAATTTTAAAAAATAAACATTGTTATAAAGGATGATTTCTTAAAAGACTATATACGCATTAAACCCAATCCATAACTTAAAAAGGCGTTATAAATAATAGGGCAAATTAATTTTTATTAATAGTAATTTACTGGCTCTATAGTTTGATTATTAAAATTCTTGCAGCTAGATTTTAAATAACTTCACTTATTTTACTAAGTATTTTGATATGTATTAAGGGCTTTTAGAATAATTTCTCTATTCTGTTTTTATTTTGTAAATTTAATAAAGTCATACACAAAAATCTAATTTATTAAATCATAAATTGGGAATATTTCAAATTAATTTTTTTATGTGATAAAGAAAATTAATTTACAATTTTATTTTTAAATTAGTTCTAGCTATTTATTAGGATGGTAAATAAGCGCTTAAAGTAAGGAGAAATTTTAACAAACAAATTTCGCTAAGTGTTTGTGAATACAGTCTAAGAAAAAATTTAGGTTTGAGTAAGGATTAAGTAGATTTTACTAAACAGTGGACTAAAAATGAGAAATTGCAAAAATAAATTACTGAAGATTTTTATTAGCATTTGTAAGTTGTCTTATGGGAAGGTTCTTTGAAAATTTTTGACTGCCCAATAACTCTAAGTGAAGAAATATCTAAGTGCACTACTCTTTTAACACTATATGCAGGTGATAAGATTTAAGCGAGTGACCAACTTTTTGAAGAGATTCGTAAATAGGTGTATCCAAAAAGGTCTATAGTGGAAAACATCTACTATTATTTATTTAATTTCATATATAACATTCCAAGCGATTATTATCGCTTATTGAATCCTAATAAAATACAACAGCATTTTGAAGAGTAGAATTAAAGAAAGAATAAATAAATCTAAGATTAGAAAACCTAGAAATTAGTTAATTAAACCATTAAATAAGAAAGTAGCTTATCCCCTAAACTTGAAAAAAAGTCAAATGCAGATGAAAGAAATCTTTCTAAAGATGAAAAAGGCTTTAACTTGGAAGATAAAAAGCTAAGTTAAGAGGACAAGAAATAAAAAAAAGAAGAATGAAAAAGAAAATAATTCAATCAATAAATCACAATTCTAATAAAAATTTAAACTTTATGGCCAATAGACTGCTTCAAAAAATACAGTTTAATTTAATGCTAGCTTACAAAAAAACTAAAACCAGTAAAGAAGCAGGATTATTGAATCGAGAGTTACAGCAATTGTTAATAATATGTAAACACACACAACCTCTAAAAATTTTTCAATTTTGTAATTATAAAATAAAAATAATGTAATAAAAATATTTAAAATGTAAAGTAAAATGGAATTAAATGTAAATTAAATTAAATTTTTGTATTTTATTTATATTTAAAAATTGTTTTCTTTGTAATATTCGTAAAATAGTTCGCTTTTTTGATAATTTTTTTAATTAGACTCTGTAAATTATAAAATGCATATAATAGCTACTCACTTGCTTATAGATTTCGAGATTTAATTTCAAATTAAATAAATTTTCAAGAATAAAGGATAACAAAGTAACAAACACTCTTACTGAATCAAATAATATCATTTAAAATCTAAAATTTGATTAAAGCGATATTGCATTAAATTATTAGATTAGATAGAATCCATCCATATTTTATTTAGTTAACAAATGCAAAGTATAATTTCAAATTATAAGCAGCTTGTACTTCCAAATTATGTCTTTTTTTTGCTTTCCTATCCTATAAAAAGAATGCTACTGGTTATTTATTTTTATATTATTTAAGTTTCTTGATTGATAGAAAAGCTTTCAATCAAATCGTATTTTAAAACTTTATTGCTTATATAAATTAACATAAAACTTCTTTTAATTTCTATTCTATTATCAATAATTACGCAATATCGAAATTGTGATAGTACTTATATATTTTATAATAATTATAAGCTTTTATCAATTAAAATAAATGTTAAGTTATTTTTTTCAACTTCATTCACAAAGTCAATGTTAATCTTACAAAGTAGAATATAAGAGGGAATAATTAAGATTCTTCTTTTTACTAGCTTTTATTTAGTGTTTTTGCTTTTATTTCAATCGCTTTGATAAATATATCTTTTTTCTTAAATGATACTTGCTTAAATACAAAAATCTTTTTAAGCGCTTTACATAAATGAGAGGTAGTTCAAAAACTATTTACTTTTGATTGAGTAAAATCCTTAAAAATATAAAGAAGAATTTGACTTCTCATTAAATGAGGTGAATAAGTGATATTTTATCTTTCATGCTTGTATTGAGTTTGATAAGAGTTAATTAATTTAAATCTTTATCAGCCTCAATTTATTGATAGGATCTTTAATCGCTTATTTGCTTTGTCTAATATACTAACTAGCTGGCTCTAAATTGTAAAGTATAAATTTTATATATGAAATATATATATTAACAACACTATCATTATTTTTTATTATGAAAATGCATAATATTAAAATCTAGAATTGCTTATTTAAGAACTAAAGGCTAAATTTAAAACATTCTTGTTGGAGTTGTTTGACTCTTGCAAAGATAAGTAACATAGAATAATTAAAATTTTTAATTTAAAAAACTCAAGCTTACCACTTGAATAAAAGAAAATATATCACTAAAAATATTTAGATTTATCCAGATTTTTGATTAACTTTGAAAAGTAAAGCTATAAATCTATATTCAAAATTAATTAAAAGCTTGAAAATAATAGTTGATTGAAATTATAATTCATTAAATTAAAAAAAAATCAAAACATAAACAAACAAATAAATAAATCAAAATCTAAATCAAAAACACTCTTAATAAACAAATAAATATATTAAATCTATGTCTTCTAATTCTAACTCTCCTTAATCAAAACCCTCTCTTGTTGAAATCTAAAGCAAAGTCTTTCTTGAGAGTATGATGTCATTAAGAGACTCAAAAATGGATGATAATACTTTTTGCGATGATGATTTAGTATTTGGAGATGAAGATGACCATTAAATTAGTACTTTAAATATTCTTTCTAACAGTGGCTCTGCTTCTGGAAGAATGAGCAGGCTCGAATGCATACAAGCAGAAGTAGAATAAGAAAAATATTAATGTATGAACTAAATGGAATAATAAAACCAATACAATAACCTATCTAGCTAAGAACAAAAAAAATGCTTATAATAATAGAAGTAAAAAAGTTATGAGAGACTAGCTCAATCTAGTAAGCTTGACAAGGTTATGGATCAAATTAAATTTGAAGAGAAAATACAGGCTATTATTGAAAAACAATACTACAAGTAGCTCTCTCAATAATGTAGTGAGAATATATATGAGCTTTTTGAAATTCCAGAGAGAAACGAATCTCAATATTATGGTGTAAGTCCAAGAATGTATTCAAGCTTGTAATTTGCTTTTAATTGATCTTCTTAAATAAAAAACCAGATAAATAATTAAAAAACTGAAAATATCTTTTTTTGGAAGCAAGTAAATAAATAAATAAGTAAAATATGTGCTGGAAATTTACTTGTTTTAATAACCACTAACTTAATTTTCTGTTATGTTAATAGATTCTCACAGGAAATTAATTATGTTAATTAAAAAAATATAAATCTAAGCACTTAATTTAAATTACCATTCACTTCCTTACTTGCTTACTTATTTTTGCTTGCTTGCCTGCTTCCTCTTCTCCTTAATAAATTTTCTTAATCTTAACAAATAACAAGAATGCAAAACTCTTAAAAAAACTTCCTTTCTTTATGTCTCAAAACAAATATTTATTTCTACTTATCTTCTCTACCATACCATAAATTAGTTTAAATGGCTAAAGGTTACCAAAAATTCATAGGACCTAATAATTACTAAAATAAATGAAAAATACACTTATAACTTATTCATATTTGTAAATTTTAATAAATTTATGTTTTTGAAGAATTCTTTCAACTTTTGTGCAATATTTCTAATTAATTATGTACTTACTACCGTTTAATTATCTAAATTACTTTAAAGAAATTAATTATCTAAACATTATAATATAAATTTCTTCTATAATTTACACTTTTTGTATTAAAAATTAACTAGCTTAGGAGAATTCAAAATCAAACTTTCTATAATTTTTTTCTCAGAAAATGATGAAAAATTCCGAAATTTTTATATTTATCTAGGCTGATTTATTTAATTTTAAAGTAAAAAGCTAAATTAACTAAAAATACTTTTGAAATTTAACTACTTGCTAAAAAAAGCTTTTAAATATTTACTTTTGCACATTCAAAAAATGATATAATAAAAATCCTACAAACTTTTCAATAAATATAATAATTTTTTATTTATATTTTCTTAATACTTTCCAAATTGTTTATGTCGTCTAATTCATTTGTTTTAAAGTAGAAAAAAAGTCAATCAATCATATCAGATCAGAAAATTTCAAAATCAAGATTTGTCATTACAACTTAAAATTTACTGATAGATTATGATGAAATATTGAAAAACTATTACTATAATTACACAAACTATCTATATTCCTGCTATCTTTAAAATAGAAAAAATTAGTGTCCTATCCATGAATTTACATTATCTTGAAACTAATTTAGAAAATACAATAAATAAATAGAATTATAAAATCATTATTAAATATTTAAACCTTAAATAGGACTGAATATTTTATTTAAATACTTACTTTGATTAAATTACATATTATGAGAATATATCAAATATAATGGAGGAATTGCTTGTCAGAGAAAGAAAGTAACTAATTTTTCTTCTATCTTTTTTAATTTAATTTAAATATTCAAAAAAATACATTTCAAAATCGCATATTTCTTTTAAGGATTCAAATTAGTAAAAGCTTTAAATAATTAAAAACAATATTTTCATTATATTTTTGAGTAATTAAATATTGTATCTTTTATTTTGTGTTACATTTTTTCCTAAAATTTCATGCATATGTGTTTCTGTTCTTTTATGTTTGCAGGTTTGTTTGATGGGGTAAAAACTAATCAGAAGCCTTCAGAATATATGAGATGTGATGTGATCAGCTCAATGATAAAATAAAATATGAATATATAATTAAGAATTTTAATCAATAAATTTAATGATTTAAAATAATTCTTAGAATAAATTTTTGTGACTACCCCACTAAATATTTAATAAAAACTAATTTTTAGTTTTTACTCAATCATCAAAAGCATTTTAAAATAGATTTTATTAATTTGTAGAAATAATAAATAAGTATCATGAAAAGAATTTAATTTTCTTTAATTTTTAATATTTTCAATTTATTTGCATATAAAAATAAATTTAAAAAAAATCCGAACTCCCGGGTTCGAACCGGGGACCACCGGATGACTACAAACTTTACAGTCCGATGCTCTTCCAACTGAGCTAAGTTCGGTTCGTTATCAAACTAGTAATATTTAGACTACTTTTATCGAAATTTAATTATTAAAATTAAAAATAATTTTTTTACATAAATAAAATGAAGAATTAATTTTTAAATTTGAAATAAAAATGATTTGCAATAAAGTAAAGATTAGGATTAAGCAATTTCTAATTTTTTTTTTTTATCAATGATATTATTTATAATTTATTTTGTGAGTACTTAGATAAAATTTAAGATACGTTATGTTTTAGAGTTTTAGGGAGAGAAAAAAAAAAGATTATCTTTCAATAGTTTATTCTTTTAATAATTGGATTTTTTAGTTTTGATTTATTTTTGTGTTTAATATTTGATCAATAAATGATAGATATTAAATAAATAAGTAATAAATTTTAATTAGTAAAATTATTCAATCTAAGTATTTGCTAGTGATATAAATTGGAAATATATTTTAGATATCAAATTATTAATTGTGATATAGTTAACGAATCTAATATAATAATATAATGGATTTTATAAATTTAATATAAACAGTATTAATATATATTTTCAGCAGAAACAACCTCTGAAGCAGTTTGTATTTTCTTAAAGCAATAAGAAAGCACCATATATAAGTATTTTGTCAGCATCGCTCTTTATGAAAGTTTAGAAGTCTAAGTCTAATTTATCGTACAAGTGGAAGTTGCAGATAAAATAGTTAAAAAGAGCTCTGAAACAGCTTCTTGAGTAAGTACCATTCAAGGTTTATCCATTCTTTTCAACGTACATTTCTTTAGCTTTAATGAAACAACCAAAAAATCTTTCAATAAATCCTGTGCAGATACTGTCGTTTGGTCTTAAAGTGATTTATTCATTAGTAACAGCCTTTGTAATTACAACTTTAGGTTAAGAACAAATAAGCAAAGCACAGCATTAGCCAGGTTCCTAAAGTTCATAAGTACCTATACAAATACCTTTTGCAAAAACTGAACCGTGGTATTTGTTAGCAAATTTGATTTATACTCCTTCTTAGAATATAATATCATTAGAGATAAATGGGGGAATATTGAATGTGCAGCAGCATATTTTGCATGGCCAGCAAAAGCATGCGTTAAAATAGTTAGGCTAGAAACGTCTTACTTTATGTTCACCTAATTATTGAGATCTATATTTAATATCTCTGAAATCCCAATAGCATTAGAAGCATTGCTCATCTCTTTCGACACTCAAATTCTAAGATCCTCTCATTAAAAGTGATGCTGAGTTTTCAACTTCTCTTTCCTGGGAGTTAGCTTAAGAAGTAGGAATCTATGGGTACATCTATTAGTTCATAGGAACCATCTAGAAGTTAACATTTTGAGGGTAAACAGGTATCATTTATTTCTAAATACTTTATTGGTAAAATTTTTTTAATTAATAAATGAATTTATTTATATTAAATATTAATATCAATATTAACTGCACATTTTTTTATTTGAAATACTATCTACATATTTATATACACCATTCGAATTCTGGTATTTAACAAAAATATATAACTTTCGTATCTAATTAAAGAATGATAGATAATACTAACCTAAAGTTATTAATCTAATTTTCAGTATCAAAGTTTTAATTTTTATTAAATATTGTTTTATGACTTTACCGAATTCCCCACTTTAGAGTTGACAAAAGCACATTTGAAAAATTGATAGATAAAATGTATGGATTTGATTTTGTTAAAATAATAAAAATATTCGAAATTAAAACAAGTGAATCAAATAAATTATAAATTTATATTTTATAAGTTACAAGACAATATTAACATCTTTTTCTGAATTTAGACTTTTGCGCAAAGTAAGAATATTTCCCGTTTCACACCACAGATTCATCAAAAAACTAAATAATTATAATTAAATTAAATTTTAGCATAACTAAAATATCCCAAAAAATACAAAATTTTTAATTTAATCTAAATTAATTATATTTCTTTAGTATTTAATAATGTAAAATCCATAAAAAACAAAAACATCAAAGAGAAGACATCATAATTTTAGATAAAACCCTTTCTTACTCAATCAATGATTATTAATTGAAGAATGTTAAATTTATTTATGTATTATAGTTTCTAATAAATTAACACCAATTTTTTAACACCTCATTAACATAAATAAATATGTTAATAAAAAAATAAACTAAATTTTTAGAAAAAAAAATAGCTTTTAAGATTTGTTTTTTAAAGTATATTAAAAAATAATCTATCTAGATATATGAGAGTTTGGAACCATAATTTAGAATTACTTTAAAAATTTTTAAAAATTATTCATTGTGAGGTTTGTAAGTTGAAAAATAGCAGCGCGCTTGCCTTAACTTTAATTATTAAAGTGTAAATTTGCTAAAATAAATTATTTAAACTAAGGATATATCTCTTTTGAATTAGGTTCGAAATTAAGGAAACAAAAAATGAATTAGAACAAAGAGCTTAAAAATGAATTACACAAGAATTAAGATTAAATTTAAATGAGATGTTACACACACATTTCTAAATCTATTAATCACTTATTAAAATTAATAAAAAATGAATTTATAAAAAGAAAAAGGAAGAAGAGTGAAGAAGAGAAGAACTAATTTTTGAGCAAATAGTAATGAATAGTATAATTAATCGTATTAAATAAATTGTGTAGAATATTGCTCAAAAATAATAGTTCGTATTTAGATTTTGTGGGATAAAAATAATTTGATTCTGATTTTTAATATCCAAAGCAGTTGTAAACAAATTTGAAAGATATGAATAAAAATGTATTTAAAAGATGAAAATAGTTTGATTTTACTCTCAATTATTATATGCTTAATTATTCGCAAAATAAAAGAAGCATTTTTGAAAAGAAATCATCTTCAAATTAATTTTATGAATAACTTTAGTTAAATTTATTAATTAAATAAAATATAGATAATACAGATCTATAAGATAGTATTTTTTTTAGCTTTTCAAATAAGGAATATACCCTTTATAATTAAAAATGTAGTCATTTAAATCTTTAAAGAAGAAATATAGCTTAATTCAAGCTAATAATTTTTAAATAAAGCTCATTTTTTTAAAGCTGAAATTAATTTGCCACTGACTCAAATAGATATACTTTAAATTTAAAAATTCTTTTATTGTTTTAGTCTTGTATAATAAAAATATTTTATATACATGAAAAAAATTCATAAGGCAAGAAAAACAAATACAAATTACTTTGTAAATAAGATTGTAAGTTTTTTAGTGTATTGATTTATTTATTTTTATCAAATATTTTATAAATATTTTATAGAGAAAAAGATTAATAGAGAGAGAGAGATAGATAGATAGATATTTTTTATAATATTTTCAGTAATAATTATGAAAATCTATTTTTATATATTTAATTAAAGATTTAAAGTCAATTTATTATATTTCAAATAAAGAAGAATATTAGTAAGTAAGTAAGAAGCTTGAATAATTTTGTGCTAATAAATATTTATTTCTTTTCTTTTTTCATTCATTGATTCATTCATTTATTTATTCATTCAATCATTAATTATTTTATCTCTTTGTATATAGTTCTTTCAAGTGGTCTAAATTGAGATTTAATTGCATTAACTTATTTTTTCTAGAAGCTGCCGCTTCTTCTGCATTTTTAAAAGATTTAACATAGGGGCTTTAGTGAACATCATACTCAACAATGTTCTTGCGCTGCTAGAAGGTTGGCATATTTCTTTACGATTGTACTTTATTAATTCCTCCCTTATTTTTAATGCTAGGAGTATTATTTGAGCTTTTTCGCTAAGAGTTATCAAGCGATTCTAAATTTTGTATACTGTAAATATGATTTGTGTATTTATTTACAAGATAATTTTGATAATTATAACTTGAATATGGATTCTTAGAATTAGGAGATAAATTTGTATCAGAATAAGAAATATTTGCTGTAGATTACTCTTCCATCATAGAAGATTACATATTTTTCTTTTACTTTTAGTATTAAGGAGTATGAGAATGAAGAGGGTCACCTTACATTTTCTAAACTCTTTATTTTTTTGCATTTAAGTAAGGGTAAAGTGGCCTTTTATGACTTGAGTTGCTACCAGATGGACTATTAGTAAAATTAGTAGGATTTTTAGCTGATAAATTAACTTAGGATTAAACTCTTGCAGAAGGTATGAATCTCTTTTTCCCTTTACTTTTTGGTTTGACCAAATTTTATATATCTTAAATACTTAAAATGTTCTTTGCAACTGGTCTACCAACTCTATCAGCTGATTATCTTGGATTAGAATACCTATTGTTATTATTAATTTTTGTCATAGAAGGTATGCTATCTTAGTCTATAGAATGCATAGATATGTTTAGATTATTATAATTATTGCCGTAGCCACCTCCATTGTGATTAATATTAATTGAATGATTTTAGGTATAAGCTGGAGATATAGATGAAATGATTATGTTTGTATCTTTTATATTTGCAAACTTGGAATAATGTGGAGCTATTTCATTTTACTCTAAAACATTCTTTTATTGGATGAGGATTCGATCTCTCAACTGAAGTTGGTCCGACAGCTCTGCTATCTCGATTTCTTTTTCTCTAATTTTATCTTCATTTTGCTTATAAGTAAGCTCTTTTTCTAGATTACTAATAGCAGCTTCGTTAACCTTTAATTTATTAATTAATGAGTAAAGATTTAATTAAAAGCATTTGGTATGTGGTTAAAATTTATTTATTTTTTTATTAGTGGCATTATTTTATTAATTAAATAAAGAGATAATGATAAATTAAAGTAAACTTACAGCCACCAGATTTTGTAAATATGTTATCATTTTTGGAGGTAGTTGCGCTCCCTTAACTTTTTGTATAATCATCTTTCTTCCTTCTTAGAGTGATCGAAATCTTTAATTCATTTCCTAAATAGTCTGTTATATATTTTACATGCCTTAATTATTAATTTAAAGCTGTTCCCTAAAATGCTATGCTTACTGATTGTTAGCAGAACCTTTCTGAAGTTCTTACTAAAGTTTAAGATTCATTTTATATATCTTTTCTTACTTCATTTAGCTTTCTTATATAGTCCTAAAGCATCCTTACTCTTCATCAAAGTGGACTTTTACAAGCTATTCTAACTATTCTAATTACTGAGATAACTATGGATCTAATTGGTTATTCATGTGCATTGGAGAGTTTCCATTAATTGGAGGAAATCTTCCATTTTCACTATTAAGAATGTTTCTTAAGTTTTCATTTTCTCTATTAAGCTTTTCGATAATAGCTGCATAGTTTGAAACATGATTGCTTGACTGTATAACATTTTTATGAACATGTACTTAAATATTTTTAGCTCTACTTGCATACTAAAGCGTATTATATGTATCTTCGAAACTTAAAATGCTACCAGAAATATTAGCAATCATCACAGTTCTGCAATTTCCACCTAATGAATCCTATAAATTAATAAGTTAAGGTGTAAAGATAATTAATCAATTAAATGTAAATCTTTATCAGATTGAATGTAATTAAATTAATTTCGAGTAAATTGGGGTAAAACATACTAAAAATTCAAATTTGTTTGATGTTACTAATTTATTAAATGCAAATTCCTTAAATATTTCGATAATGTGATTATTTCAATTTCGATCAAATATTAATTTGCACATCTCCCATTCTTACTAAATTTGAAAATTATGTAGATTATTATTGGTTCATTTACAATTTTCTCAACTTGTTAAAGTAATTATTTGTAAATTCTTTTTCTAGTGATCCAAAGTCTCAAAAGCTAAAGAAAGTGCTAATTAGAAAATTATGCCCAATAACTAATTTGAAAATTTATTTTTTGAAGTTTTTTTATTATTTTTCTTTTTTTGATTCTATGTAAAATTTATTACTATTGTTCTAATCTCATTGTAGAAAAAAAAGATTTTAAAAGTATGATACAGTTCTAATAATTGAAACTTAAACAACCTTTTAAGTTTTTTATTTTTGATTATAAAGAAAAGTATTTTTTATTTGAAATAAAATGAAATTCTGATTGCTAATTTTGATGAAATTAATTCATAAATAAATAAATAATTAATTAATTTATAAAAATTAATTAAATTTAATTGTTATTAAACAAAAATTATAGAAGTTAATTTTGATATTTTTTAATTAATATTTTATTTTATTTATTTTTTTAATTTAATTAATCTTTAAAAATAAATTCAACCAATAATTAACTATCTATGAATTTGTTTCTCTAATTTCGTAACTTTTAATATACATTTAGGTATTTAGTTTTTTCCGATTTCTATTTTTATTTTCCATTTTATTTTTATTTTAGAGTTTGTTTTATGAAGATAAAAGTGATTAATTTAATTACTATAAAATTAATTTAAAATATCAATTAATTAATTACTTTTAATAGTCTTGTTAACTTTGACCCACGGTAAGGAATAAAATTATTTTTTGAAGGACCTTTTTCACTTTACTCACTAAGAGCCTAAATGCAGTTGCCTAAAGTTAATAAAGATTGATTTATTTTTGCTCCTTCGAGCTTTGAAACTTTGCTTTTATTAGACCAAGCTCTTTCTGATCCTGCTAAATCAACTAAAGATAATTTCGAGACTATGATTTCTTTTTCTAGACCCTCTGCCCTGTCTGCTGATTCTATAGAGATTTATAATATTGCATGAGATCTACTTGATGCTTCATTAGATATTGTAGAATCTTTTGATCTATTCTTAGCTCCTATTTTCAGAATATTAGCAATAGATTAGGGATCAGTAACCTCTACCTCCGTTAAGCCCTTTTAAAATTAAAATTAATAATTTAAAATACTTGTTTTTTATTTAAGAAGAAATAATATGAACTAAGAAATATTGAATTTGGCTTAACATATATGATCTATCTATCTATTAATCAATCAATATTTTTTTGATTTTTATTTTGAATGGAGGAGAAAATTAGGATTGGAAAACACTGGTTTTGAAAGATAATTCACTGAAAGTGTTAATTAATAAGCAATATTTGTGAATTTATTTATTAGTTAATTAATTTATTTATGATTATCTATTTATCCTGATTTAATAATAAAATAATGTACCCTCATAAAGTAAATTAACAATTGATAATTAAGCAATCAAAAAATCTTCTTTTAAACACATACATGTATTAAGGTGACGTCTGACTTTGGGTCTTCTCTCAAATCAAGATTCTTTTAGTCTGATGAAATTAAATCTTTAAGATTTTCATTATAAATTTCCATATATGCTATCCTTACAGTAACATCATGGGTTACCTCTTTTTATTTTACTTTTTAAAACAATCCATCAAGCATGATATTCATCAAACCAGGCATATCTTTTGATCCTACCATTCTATTTATTTATATATAAAACAAATCAATTTTTTGAATACAAGCTAGCTAACAAGCTTTCATTAAAATATTTTAAAATCAATGCAAAATCTAGTTTTTATTTTCCTATTCAAAATGCATCGTCATATATATCATTGTTTTAATTTCATGAGTAATATTTTTGTTTTAAAATATTAATAAAAAATCACGTGTATGTTTTTCCTGCTCCAGTAGCACCATATGCAAAAATGGTTGTATTAAACCCTTCTAATATATCATTTAAATACTGCTCTCCTACTTCTTAGTAAATTTGGAAATTGTTTGAATTTTCATCAAACACACTGTCAAATGTAAAGTGTGTCTCTTTAAACCTATTCTTGTTGACATTATAGTGAAGATTATATCTATGATTTATTTCGTCAGGATCAAGCAAATTAATTTATTATCTATTTACTACTTCTACTACTTCTGCTCCATTACCTTTTTCTATTTCTTTTTATAAAAGAGGCCGTTTTCTTAAAACGACTTAAATTTTGCTATTTCCTTAGTTCATACTATTATTATTATAATAATTGTTATTATTATTGTTATTCATGTTCTTATATAGTAATCGATATATATATCTCTCTTTAATTATCTTATTAATCAAACTATTTCTAATTTATAGTCAAATCAATCAATCAATCACAGTTTATCTAGAATTTATGTTTTCTTTACTAATGATAAATATTAAATTGTTAAAATTTTTTTGCTTGACTGAGTAAATTTAATAGAATAGAACCTATTTTAAGCTCCACACAAACATAATTTTCTAAATTTTTTCTTAACAATTAATCAATCAATCATCCATTTCTTGCTTTTGAATTTATTTTAATATTTACATTTACATAAATTAATTTTCAAGTAATTTTTTACCTTCATATGAAATTTTCTAAATCCAATCGTTTTTTAAATATTTAGTTTAGCTAAAAAAATTGTGTTAATTTAAAATTTTACCACTTTAAAAATTTGTCATTTTAAAATTTTACCATTTTGAAATTTTGTAATTTTCAATAATAGCTGGGATTTGTTTAATTATAATAATAAACTAAATATAATAATTAATTATCTACTTCAAAACCTTTTAATTTACCAAAATGATATTATTTTTGTGAAATATTATTTTAAGCTCATTACATTATTTTCTAAAAGATTTATGTAAACTATGTAACTAATAATTTTATAACTTACATATCCATAAATTAATTAATTAGTTTTTAAGTTACTTTTTACCTTCTTTTGCACACCTATTTTTAAAATTTTAGTATAACTAAAAAGTTACTTTTCTAAAAAATATGGTTCTAATTTGTTAATTAACTCTAAGAAATAATATGAAAAAACTTTATTTAACTCCTTCAAAAATAATTACTTGATAAAAATTCTAGTAACTATTTGAAATATTGCTTCAGCATAATTTTAATTACTAAAAATAGTAAATATTAAAATCAAAATTTAATAAAAAATTAATCATATTTAACTATTCTTATTTCATTTGTAAATTTAAAATAAAATCAGTAAAAACAATAAAATATTAAATTTTAATCTCTCTTTTATAAATTTTGTTAATTAAATAAAAATAGAAAAAAATCCAATTATTTAGCAAAATCAAATATATTTTTTGAGAAAATGAACTTCAGTAACTAATTAAACATACTTTCTGTTGAAGTAAAAAAATAAATCCAACTAAATTTATTACCTAAATCAAGAAGAGAGGAGAAAGTATTTTTTAATGCTAATTGTTAAATCAATTTAATAAATAATTAATGAATTTTAAATTGTTAAAAAATAAATTTAGTAAAAAATCAGATATTTTTTCTTTGCTTTTATAATAATAAAATTTATATAATATTAACTGATAATTTTGCAAGTACTAGTTAGCTTTTGTTTTAATTATGATCAATTAAAAATATTGTTTGTATCTGTACTTAAAATTATTCATCATTTGAATTACTTCTATATTTACTTTTTGCTCTAATATTAAAAATAGATAAAATGTTTAAATAATACTTGTTCCAAACTTAAATTGAGGTAGTTTTAAATATTTATTTTTTTAAGCTTAAATTTGTATAATTTTAGTTGATATAATATTGCTCGCCTTATTCTTTAAATAGATATTTAAATCTTCCTCATAAATTAAAATTTAAGGATCAAAAAGGTTAAAAACTACTTTAGATAGTAACTTACAATCAAAGTTAATTTATTTAGGGAAATTTTATTCATCAATTTAGTATTTAAATAAACTTTTTTTATTAATTTATATTAAACTATTCAAATAAATTAATTATTTTATTATTTAAAATAAATCTAATTAAATAAGGCAATTGTTGATTCAATTATGATTGACTAATTAACTGACTGACTCACTTCTAATTATATTATCATACTTAATGAAGATTCTGCATTTTAAGGTTGTATTGTATATATTAATTTTGATGTTTTGGAAAGTTAAAACCATAAATAGAAATATTGTAAGCAGAACATTTTATAACAGTTTTATAAAAAATTAATATATTTCTTACAAAAATATATAAAAGGTTTAAAATTTTAAATAATGAAAATTTTTTTAAAAAAAAACATAAAACTTCAAAATATTAATAATTAATTATAAAATACATAATAATTCATTTAAAATTTTATTATTTTTGCTTAAATATTGTCAAAAGTTATTTAATTAATTAAAATTTGTGAAATTTCTAAAATTTTCAAATATAATTCTACCTAATTTTTAATATTATAAACCTTTAAATTTGTTTTAGCTTTTTTGCGGTTTTTATACAGTTAATAGATTAATAGAGTGAGGCTTAAAATTTAGTATCTAAAGTATTTAATAAAAATAATTTATTAATATATCTGCTAAATTGTAGAATTGTTTTTTTTAATATCATTAAAATCAAATCTTTTAAAAAAAGAATAATATATATATAAATGTAGTTAAGTATTTAATTTGTGATTTTTTAAAATGATGTTAGTTGAAATTATATATTATTATTTGATTTCAAATAACTCAGTAAGTTTAAAAATATTTTTTAAATTGAATTAAGCAATATTTATTGTTTATATTCTAATAAATTTAATATCAATATAATCAATTTATAATGCTACAATAATTTTTTAAATTATGGATATTAAATCATTTAAAATGTTTATCTAAAGCAAATCAATCTTAATTTATTTAAATATTTGATTGAATAAGGTATTAAAGAGTTATAAAATATGTCAAATATTACTCAGTTACTCCAATAAATTTACATTATTTTTAACTAAATGTTTTTACTTTAAATTTTAGATTGTATAGGTAAATCGTCAAATGTAAAAGTAAGAATGATTGTATTTTCAGATACAAAAGTAAAATAAAAGAATATTTTAGACTCAAAAGTTTTTGGATAAAGTAAAATTTAAAGGTAGAAGAAATTAAATTAAACTTAAATCGCAAATTCCAATTCTTAAGAGAAAAACAATATTAATCTATGGTAGCTAAATTAGCCTCAGCTTTTATAGAAAGATGTTCTAGTTATTCCGATTTGATGGAGAAGACTCTCGGAAATGATCCAGCTGCTTACACTTACGGAGTGTTATCAGAGCTATTTTTTTTTGTTGCCAACTTGGGAGTTATTCTTATTCCAGGTATGGATTCTGGAACTGCATTGATGATAAGAGGCATTTCAAGCATGATAATAGCTTTAATTATGTCTAAAGCTCAAGGTATTCCTCTCCACTTAAATTCTCACTTGTTTAAGGTAATACATGATTTTGTTAATTATTTATTTACTTTGGAAATTAAAAAAATCCTTTTGTTGAGCTTGGCTTATTTCATTTTTATCTCTTTTTTAAGAAGATATGATGAATTTTGTAGAAGTTTCTACTGATTTATTATTTCAAAATCTTTAAATAAAAAATGAAAAATATTTTTTATTATCTATCTAAAAAAGAATTTTAATACATTTTAAATTAAATTATATTCAAATTTTTTTTAAAAAATGAATAGGTTGTAACGATTAGGAATTTTTTTGTAGGCTTGCACATTTTGATGATATTTTACTGCATTGGTAAACTCCCTGTTTCCTTGATTTATATTATTGAGCAAACTGCCCCACTATGGATATTCATCATTAATTACTTTTAATATGGACTCTAAATTCGTATTAAAGATATTTTTATTTTTATTGCTTCAATGCTTGGTGTTTGCATGATTACTTTTCCTCAGACATTTTCTTAAATACTTTCCTCAGTATTCTCTGCTTAACAGTAACCAGAATAAAATAGTAATATCTAATAAAATGGTGAAACAACTTCAAGCGATAAATACTACTAAGGCACTGCGCGTTTAATTTTAGTTATTATCTATTCCATGAGCATGATTTCATTTAGCTTCGGACTGCTCTATATCAAGAAGGCTAAGGAACACCTTTCTGTGATATAAATTATCTTCAACCAAGGGTAAAAAGCACTTATTTTAATCTTAAATTTTTCTCTACAAATTAAATGAGTATCAATAAAATCTTAATTTGTGATAGTCTTAGTACATCATTAATTTGCATCATTTTGATTATTAAGCGACTTCGAGATTAATATTTTTGATTTTAGTACCCACTTTTGGTTACTATCTTCAATATAGTAGTTATTATTAATATTAAAGTGTCGATCGTACAATTTCGTCATCTCTAATTTCTTTAATAAAAATTTAATTAACATCACATACATTTATTTAATTTACACATTATAATTCCTAGGTTTTAATATTTAATTTTCGGCTCTGTCCTTTCTCTTAATTAAAAAGAAGTAGGATTATCTTTTTAATTAACAGCTGAAACAATAATTAATGGGATGATATTGATTGGTACTTTCTCTTATATTTATTAAATTATGTACTTGAGAGGATCAATAATTACAACTAATCACGGGAAATATGCTATGACAGGCTACAGTGCTGTTTTATTTTCTTACATTTATGAAATTTTAATTTTAGGAGAATTACCAAATTTTCTATAAATAATTGGCTTAGTAATAGTCGTTGTAGCCTTATTAAATAATTGAAAATATTAATCAAATTATTAAGCTATTTAAATAATTATAATAAAAAAATAAACTTCTCTAAAAACTCTACTATAATTAATAAAAATATATTATTTCAAAATTCTTGTAAAATAATTCATAATTTATATTGTTAAATTCTACCTAGCTTAATTCTTCATCAACAAGCAAACAAAATAAATTAACTCAATTTTTTATTTAATAAAAACAAATTCAAATAACTAAACAAAAAGAAAGATATATATTTAATATTTTCTATGAAATTAAAGAGTTATCTATTTATCATTTATCTATTATTTATTTATTTTTATTAGAAACAGAAATCTGTTTAAATTTAATAGCCGATAGACGAAAAATTCCTAAAATTTTAAAATATTAATTTAATTTATAAAAATTTTCAATAATTTGATTTTGATTTTAACAATTAAAATGTAAAAGCTTTATTAAATAATTTATTAATCAATGAAATAATTAATTTATGTAAATTTTATTAAAAAAAAGAAACATAATTTGAAATTAAATAATTAATTTTTGAAATCAAATTTCTATTTCTAATATTAAATTATTTCATTATATTTTAATACATATGTTTATTAAAACAAATCATGTTCTAAAAAACAAAGAAACTAGCATAGAAACGATACCATAAATAAATATTGTTGAATAAATGCTTTTGGTAATCAAAAGAATAATTAGAGGTATAAAAACTCCAAATATCCCTATTGAATTGACCCATTTCCATGTTTGTTCCTTCATTTAGCTTGTGTTTTCTATCAACTTAAAATTTCTTATTAAAAATGATAGGCCAAAGATTGTTGAAAATCTTATTAAACCAATGAATAAGAGTTGCACTATTTTTTCTGGGCAAACTGCAATATGGCTTGCTTCACAATATTTTGATTATTTCATCATGATAAATGAAGTTGAAAGTATTCCGCTTACGAACAGACAATGTTTTACAGTATTACGAGGGTCAGGGAATTCAATAAATTTATCTGCAAACAGAATTCCTATAAACTCACTAAATCCTAGTATGAAGATATTGTAAGATAAATTAATTCCTATTTTATCTATCTCCATCATAAATAGGAAATACATTCCAAAAAAAACACTACTAGCAAATATATAAACTATCAATCTTTTTAAATATTCTTGAAATTATTACTTTTCATTATATGGTTGCTAATTCTCTGACTCTTCACATACATTATTTTCTATATTTTGGTTTTATCTGTAGGCTATTGTATTATTACTTATTGCTTCGCTTTAACTTTTTTATTCTTCACCCATATTGATGTGAGTAAATGCTTGGTATGTATAGTTGTTGGTAGTTAATTATATTGGATTATTATTCATATTTGTGATCAAGATATTATTTGTGTTATTATTGTTATTCATATATATGTTATCATTTTAGTTTAGATTCATTTAACTTCTAGTAAAATATTCAGTTTACAGATTGTTAATGTTCATTTAAGCTTGCTAATTTTCTTATTAAGATTGTGCAAATTAATTAGTTGCTGTTTACAAATTGAATTAGTTTTTTTGTTGAACAAATGAATTTTGAAGGTTGATTTGGTTGTTGGAGCTTTAAAAATTTATTTGAGTGTTAGAATTTTAAGGGTTATTAGAATTTAAAGATTAAATATCCTCATTCATTTTCTAATTATTTAACTTTGTAGAGTTCTAATTATTTATTTAATTGTTTGAGGGTATTTTGAGGAAAATATTTGACATAATCTCTGGTGTAGGGTTATGGAGACTGATCAAAGATATTTTATCAATTGATTTGTCTTCTGCTAGATTAGCTAAATTGTTGCGATTGTATGATTATAAATCTAACTTATTTTAAAGCATAAGGTTGTTGCTATTATTTTATATACTCTTTCTTGAAAATATATCCTCCATTTTATTATTTTCAATATTTATCTGAGATTGATAATAATTTTATAAATTAGGTTATTGTATTTATTAAATTTATTATTGTTATTAGAGGAATGGCTAGCTAAAATTATCTAAAGCTTATTGCTATTAGCATTAAAGATTATTCTTATTCGATTACTACGCATAAAATGGAGAGCCCACTGTATTTGCTCTTTAGTAATCCTAAGTATTAACTCTATTAATGTCTATGGTATTAAATCTAATTTATTCCTAAGTATTTGCCCTTAAATTGTCAACTGTATTATTTCTATTATTCATTAAATCATTTGTGTTTATTCTGTTAGGTTAGTTATTATTGTTGTTAATATTATTATTCATTTCACTTAGCAAGTTTATGTTGTGGTTATTAGAATTTCTGTTTAATTGTGACGGAGAGAGATTAGATCCAGAAGAAGGAGATGATAGAGGATTTTGTCTACGATTTTATTACCCTTCTAATTAATTCCCATTTTAATTCTATGGAGGATAGAGCTTTAGGGTTACCAACATTTTGACATAAACAATATCAAATTGTCGTGGAGAAAAAAATTTTCTAGCATCATTAAATAAAAAAATATCATAAAAAGCTTTATATACTCGATTGCTGTTTGAGCGACCAATTAAAAATCTTGGATTTTCTATCATAAAATATAGACATGCAATAAAAAGAATTCCTAGTGGTACAGACACAGCATAAATTAAAGATTTTCTCCACTCTGAGATAAATGTGAATAGAAGAGTCACACTCATTTATGAGATAGTATTGAGAAAGAAGATAGCACACCTGTAATCAATAAAGAATTCTTTTGAGCAAATATCTCTCAAGTAAGTCTATGAAATACTCCATAGAGCAAAACCAAAGAATCCTGCAAAGAAAATATGAGAGCATATAAAAATAAAATCTATTGCAAAGAAGCACATGCAGAATATATTTATTGATTACAAAAGTAAATAAATCTTTATTTAAAGAGCTTAGCCTAGCCTGTTTGATATAAAAACTTGGCTAAACATCACTCCTAACGAAGCTCCAGCAAAAAAAAATGAGAGTATAAGAATCTTGTTGTGAAAATGAGAGCAAAACATAGAAAATTAAGTTATCAGTGAGCTATTCATTTAATTTAATCTGTCATTCATAATAACAATTTATTTTCTGCATGCAAGCTCATTTTCCCAGCATTCATAACCCTCCAATTCTTCTATTTTTATTTAATTAGCATTTTATTAATATTAATGAAATTATTAGTTCTATTGCTAGCTTTATATGAGATTGTGCTGATGCTAAATTTCTTCTTTATTTTTGAAAGGTAAATTATCAAATATTTAATTGGAAGTAGAAGCGTTAAAGAACAATGGTGTTTAACTAGCCTGAATAGGGTCATGAGAACTAAATCCTTCGTAGCACATAAATTTAGGATTTTAAAAAATATAAGGTATAGAATAAAGTCCTAAACCAGAAAAAAACCATATTAATCCTACGAGAAGCGACATAATTAATTAGTAGAAATCATCACTTCCTACAATATTTAAAACTTCATAATATTCCACTTTCTCTTATTGAAAAATAAGTCTGTTTATATATTCCGAATTGTAAATATCTTAATAATTATTTTTCTCCTCCTCCTCCTCTTCTTCTTAAAACTTTTTACATAAATAACTTTACCATGTTAATACTAGAAAGAAAATTTGCATAATTCAAACTTTTCCAAAAAATGAAATAAAAAAGTAGCCAAATTACATTTTCCCAATAAACAGGTATGATTTAATCTCCCAGCATATCTGCTAACTAAGGTTTATCTTAAATAATATGGAAAATATATTATTTTCAGCTTTCTTAGGCCTATAAAAAATAAATTTTTTTGTTTAAATAAAAATAAGTAAGTACTTTTGATTTACTAAATTTGATAATCATTAAATGATAATAACTAATAAATCTTCTGTATCAAACAAACTCACTATTTTTAATAGTCTTAACAAAAATTAGATAAGTAAGCACACATACATATCTTTAAATTTATTTAAATCTTAATAAGCAATATTTATCAAAATAATTGACTTACAAATATAAATTGAAATATTGATATTATTTGTTAAAATTATTTTTATCATTTATAAATTTCTTGAATAAGCTTATATGCGTTTGTAGTATTAAAAATTTATTTAACAAAAATTTAGATAATAAGTTAAAAAATTAGAATGATTTCTTTTGAAAGCTCATTAAATAATTTAAAATTAAATTAACAAATTACTTTACTTACTTATTATTAGCTTTATTAAATTATAATTTAAAAAAAATTAATTAAAAGTGTTTTTAAAATTATCTTTATAGATTAACTTATTCAAATTAAAGTTTATTAATCAAGCTAAGTAAATAAATTAAAACAATTTTGTAAAATATTTTACTTTCTCATTATTGAGCTTGATTAAATTATATTGCTTAAAATATTAATTTAGGGTTTTTTTAAAATAATCTCTAATGATTGATTTATTCTACATAAAATCTTAAAACTAATTAAAATTTCTAATTCTAAATTTAAATGAAAAAGCATTGAAAGACATTTTAATTTTTTATTTTTATTTTTTTTAATACAAATTTAATTTTTAAAGTTGAGTAAAAATTTAGGACACTATGAGTAAAAAATAACACAATTCAATACAATCAATCAATGAAATTAATGAATATAAAAATTTTTAAATGGTAAATATTTTGTTATAAAAAATAAATTTTTTATTCTTTTATTATTGCTTGATTGGTATCAGATATTAATTATTTAAAAAATATCTTTTAACAAAATTAGAAATCAATTTTTGTCAGAAGATATATTCTTACACATCTAAAAAAAATTAATGAGAGATAAAGAATTAAGAATATTCGAGCTTATTTTGATATCAAATTAAGTGATACACTTCTTAACTATTTTAATGCCTTAGCTTGCAAAAGATCTATCATGGATAGAGGGTTTCAATCATTAATTTTTATTATTGTTTGCTTTTTTGGTTTGTTTTATAGGATATTGTAAAATAGAAGGACTAAGAGTGAATATAATTACCATTTTGCTTGCAGAGGTTTGCATAATCTTGGAGAAGTTGAGTATAATTTCTACTAATTTTAGATTTTATAATATAATAATAGGTTTATTACTTAGTTTGTTGTCATTTATTGTATATTTTGTTTTTCCTGTTTTGAAGTAAGTTCCTACGAATGGATAATACAGAATAGGCTTCATTTCAACTGATATTTCTGGTACAGAGGTTTCAATATTTTATCCTACTGAAGAGAAATATACAAAATAGTCTGATGTTAGCTATTTACCGTCTTCAAATTATTTTGATACTCTTCACTTCATTATTTAAAGGTCTTTAGGCTTCAAAGTAGCTCTACCAAAATGGCTTATTAAAATTTCTGGCTAACCTATGGCACTCAGATCGATGGGAGTCATAAGAAATGCAAATTTAAGTATTCTTAATTCTAAGATGTAACTAGTCATTTACTCACATGGTTTAAGTTCAAATAGAAATTACTAAGCTACTTTTTGCAAAGAACTAGCTTCTAAAGGCTGTATTGTAATTTCGCTGTAGCATAAAGATGAAGAATATCTTGAAAAAGTATCTGTACCTCCTTAAGAAGCTGATTTTGTAAATACTATGTACCAAGCTACAATTCGTAGGAAAGAGTAAGTATAACAAATTTTGGATTTTGCCTTCGACACTTAAAAATTTGCACAAATTTTTAATAATAAAGTATAAAATACATAGTTATAATTAAATGGTAAAGTATTAATGTGTGGCCATTCTTATGGAGGTTAAACAGCTATGTTAAGTGGATTATAAGATGATAGAATTTATGCAGCAATCTGTCTTGATCCTGTGATGAATATTTTTGATTTATCAGCATTTAAACCTTTGATCGAAAAACAAGTTAAAAAACCGTTTATGATATTGTGCAGCGATAATTTTAACAAACTTTATCCTTGCAATCAATAAAACGAAGGACTATCTGTTTGGCTATCAAATAACAAAAATTCTAAAAATCTACTTCTTCCTATGAGAATGAAGAATACTGAACATGTAGATATGATTGATGCTGCACTATTTCAACCAAGAGAGCTACAAATAATCAGAAAAGACGTTTACTCTCCAAACACAGTCACAACAAATCTCAAAATTATAAATAAACTTACAGAATTATTTATTTTTGAGGTCTTTTAAAATAGTTACCAGAATATAGATTGCTAAAGAGTATTAGAAAACTTTAAATAAATTTGCAAAGATAAAATTAAAATTCCTTGTCCATTTGAAGTCATAAAAGGATGATTTTTTTTTTTCAAAGTTCTTATAGCTTTAATTGAAATATCTTTTTTCTATTTAAAAACTTTTATTTCTATAAAATTGTACTAAAATTAACTACAAAATTTTTTAATATTCTAAAAAATTAATTTATTTTTTCTTGATTTAAAAATTATTTTAATATTAAAATTCAAAAAGTTTCTTTAAAATTTAAATTGAAACATAATTCATTTCAGAGATATTAATAAATAAATTTAATTATTGTTGTTTCTGTTGATGTTGATGATGATGATTATTATATTTTTTTATTTATTTAGATCAGAAATAAATTTAATTTTGTAATAATAAATAAAACAAACTAGAAAGATTCTATTTTTTATAAAAACTCCAATTTATTATTTTTAGGATATTTCATAATATTTAAAAAGTTAGTAAGGATGGAAAAAAAGTAAATAAGACCTTTTGAAACAGGGCTAGGTATTAGGAATATAGGATTTTTGTTATCTTTATCTTCACTAAGTAGCAGATTAGAGAGTAAATGGATTCTAAATTAAATTTTAGAATACTCCATTTAGAGCGAAATAGTATTAGTACTGTTTGTGATAATGATAATTAAAAAGGAAGGTATAAGACTGCCAACAATATATGCTATTTTATTGGAATTTGTATTGCAATTTTATAGATACGATTAATAATATAGTTGGAAAATTATTGCTAATACAAACATCGACCACATTTTTATGGTTTTTCTCACTGGATTAGTTATTGTCCATTTCATTTTAATGTACATCAGTCCAGTCTATTTTCAAATACCCGTAACAGGATCTCTTAAAGTTGGATACACTGTTAAGAATATCGATGACATTCAATTCGCTATATTTTATCCTACTAATGACGAATATTAACCTAAAAAAAATTTACCCTATTTTTCTAATGTGGATAAATACTTAGACACTTTAGCTTATTTTACATACAGATATCCCAGAGAATTCAAAGTTGATCATGTTCCAGCACCTCTCCTTAAAATAAGTTTAGGGCCTTTGCTTAGAACCCAAATGATGGACGTTATAGCTAATGCTAATTTGGCAGTATTGAAAAATAAATATCCAGTGATGATGTATTCTCATGGATTCAACTCTCATATGAATCTTCAAGCTACATTTTGCAAAGATTTAGCTTCTAAAGGTGTTATTGTAATTGCTCCTATGCATCGTGATGAAGATTTTATTGCAAAAATTAAAGAATATCCCGTACCTCTAAATAGATTTAAAGAAGTAATGAACGAATCAGTTATTAAGAGAAAAAATGATATTCAAAAAATTATTACATTTGTTCTTGACCCTTCTAAGAAGTTTTTGAGCTATTTCCCAAACGGAAACGAATTGAGAGATTCATTTTAACCAAGAGAATAGATTATTATGTGTGGTCATTCATATGGTGGATTAACTTCTTTGGCTACTTCTCTTGATGATCCAAGAATCTATACTACCATAGTTTTAGATCCTGCTATGAGTTTATTTGATGAAGATGAAAAATATATTAAGCTATTGAAAACACCTCAAAAGAAGCCTTTCCTTATATTATGTAGTGAGAATTTCCATAAAAGATTCCCATTATTTAGTCAAAGAGAACACATTCAAACTTTCCTAAAGTCATAAAAAAATTACAAAAACGCAATACTAGCTGCAGAGCTAAAAGAATTTGGTCATGGCAACTTTGTAGATATGGCTTTCTTCATCCCCTTTGAACTTTAATAACTTCGTGAAGATATACTTAAAGTTAAAGAAGTTAGTAACTTCTATCTAATGCTTAATAAATTAGTAGAATATTTCATCTACGAGAGCTAAAGTACATTCATAAACTTTGAATAAATTCATATGTAAAATGTAGTAAGCTAATTTGAAGAACTTACTAAAAATATCTTAGAATATAAGAAAAAGAATTTCCTCTATTAATTTGAGATTTGAAATGTCAAATAAAGCATTCTCCATATATTTTTTTATATGTATAGTTTTATATGTTTGTTTATTTTAAATGATAAAGCATTGTTCAATTTATTTGATAGTGTTTCAGCATTAATAACATATTTTTTATGAAATTTATTTTCTTGAATAACTGTAGCAATAAGTAAGTTATATAAAAGAACTTTATCATAATTATGAATAAATGATCAAGTAAATATTTTTTTATTAAGAAAAATAAATTTATTTGAAAATTAAAAATTGAATTAATAATAATAAAAATGGCTAATCCTTTTTCCAAAGATTTTAAATTGTTAGGGTATTAAAAAAAAATTTTTAAACCATCAGGAAAATATAAAATTTGGAAAAAATAATTCAAGATAAAAATGAAATATTATGCGTAGATTTTCAAATCTACAATAAATTTTATTCAAAATTGTAATTAAGAGATATAAAATTTCAATAATTTGAACAAGAAAAATTTATTTTTTTTCTTTTTTCAAATTTTTAATTTATTTTTTGAATTAAAATTTGAATAGATAAATAAAAAAATATTATCTGAGTTTTTTTTAATCATGCGAATGAGAACAAATAAATAAATAAATGATATATATCATAAATTTTAACAAGCGAATAATTGATCATCTATCTTTTTCTTATAATCAAAAATTATTATGTTGTAAATAGATTGATATAGAGATAGTATTATTGATATTGACATTTAAGAATTATTTATGAAAAAAATGTTAAATTTTAGTAATAAACAACTCAATTATTTTTGGTGAAACTTTATATTTATATTCAAAGGTTTTTTTATTTGTTTCCTAATAATTATTAACTAAATTGAATTTAATAAAATATAAGAAAACATTATTTTCTGATTAAATCTATAAAATAGATATAGACGCAGATATATTAAAGGGATTTTTCACTATAAAATATTAATAGTATAAATGTTTAGCTGGTAAGCTAGAAAATATAAATCATCGCTGAAAATGTTTCTAGGATCAACTTTTTCAGCATCAGGAAGACCTTGGCTTTCTAGTTCATTTTATGGTAAGACATATATACAAGGAGTACCTTAGCAGTAGGCTGTACAAGAACCAGAACAAGTAGAGTAACAATATACAGGGTGATTTTTGGTGAACCAGTAAACTTTCCAGCGCTACCAATTCTGAATTTCATTAACGTTTTTGAATACTCTAGTCGAGCCCATAGCTTACATAATATAGTTGGCCTTAGTTAAAGGTGATAGCGGGAACATAGTATCTTGTTAAAACTTATTTTAATTCATGTTTTAAATATAAATATCTCTTTACAAATTCTACTTGCAAAGGTATGCGATTGTTTCACAGTTTTAAACATAATCATTAGAATAATTAGATTATACTTTTTATTAGTCCATTTATTTTTCAAGCTTTTATTGATTTAATTTCTCTAAAGTTTTTAAAAATTATTTATAAAATAAGATATTATCATATGTGAGAGCTGATATTGCATACTTTCTATCATCATAAAAATGATATGGATACTTTTCAACCGAGTAGTCATTTGGCTTTTTCTCGTTAGATTTAAAGAAGATATATTAATTTTAATCTGAAGAAAAGCTAAAACCATTCTCTAATTACTCATAGTATGCTTTTCCATTTTAACTTTTAGAGTTAACATACTTTTAAAAGTCATCCCATTATAGTTGAATTTCTAAAAGGTTAAAGTAAAAAAGATTTATCTCTTTCAAAAATGTGGACTCTTCTCTTGAGATGACACCCAGCATCGACATTTAAGCTTAATTATATGGTTTAGCACCATAATTTTGATTAATAATTTATTGAATGATGTCTTTTTTTGAATTCTGATTCAAGATAATTTAGTTGGCAAACATTTGAGAAAGCTTTAGATATTTTAATATTAAGATTGTTAAAACTTTTTGATTTAATGTTATTTATTATGAGAATCCTAAATAAAAAATATTGCTTTTAGTATTTTAATATGATCTTAATAGAATAATTTGCTTCTATAGATAAATTATTATTTTGTTGAATAAAAAAATGATAATTTTTAATGAAATTAATTGTTTTTTATTATTAAAGACTTGTAATAAAATTATAAATACTTAATCAGATAATTAATAGATTTTACTTGTAAATATATAAAATATATTATTTGTTATCTTTGGAAAAATATAATTAAATGATATTTTGTAAAATTATATTTTTTTTAATCTTTCTTTTAAAATAAATAATCTAAATAATAACTTATTAAATTGAAAATATTAATAAATTAATTTATTTAGTCAATTTCAAAAAATTTAATATTAAGTTAATAAAATATCTAAGTAATAAAGAAAAAATAAAAATTTTTAAAAAATTAAATTCATTTTAAATAATAAAATTAGTAAAAAAATAAAGCTAAATAAATGAAAGTGATTAATTTAAATTTATCTAATGACAATTAAATAAATTTATTAATTAGTCTTAAAAATATATTTTAGAAATAAATTAGTTCGGTTTATTAGAAAAAAGTATAAATTAAATAAAAAGAGACATTAAATTATTTTAAATTAAATAGGAATTTTAATTCATTTTTTTATTTAATTAAACCCAAAAGTTAATATTGTTAAAGATTGGCTAATCATTTTAATTCATGAATATTTATAATTTAAAATCAGATAATTAAAGAAATACGAAAATAAATTACTGTTGACTTTTTCGACAAATAAAATAAAAAGTTTTGAGTGATAATAAATTAGAAAAAGAATTTACTATTTATTTATCTTATTATAATAATTGTAAAAGTTAATTTATTTATTTATTAAATCATATTTTTACCTTTTTTTTAAGTTTCAATATATTAATTTCTTTTAATTAATGCTTTTTTTTAATGTTTATATTTAAAAAAAGCTTAAAATTCTACTAAATGCATATTTTTTTATCAAATATAGAGTGAATGACCAATTTGTATTTTTTAAATTTTATGCTAGCTGAATTTAGAAAATATTTGGTAAAAAATTCAATTTATTCTAGCCTTAAAACTAATTTCAGAAAAATGATTGATAAATAAATAAAAATTTTATTTAAAAAACCATAAATTCTAATTAGAAATAAATTTATAAAACAGATAAAAATAACAGATAATTTTACAAATTAGAAATAAATACACTTTTAGGTTTATCTAAATTATTATTAATTAAATAATTAAAATTAATTAGAGAAATTTTCAATCAGCATTAAAATGTAAATTATTCAATTTGTTAAAAAATATTTTAATTTTTTATACAAAAACAATTATTATATAAAAATAAGATTAAAAAGAATTTTATGGATATTTCATCTATCTATTCTTTGAATATATATTTTGAATATATAAAGGAATATTTATTTTTTAATGTAAATTTTGATATAAATAATTAGGCAATCCTAAATTTTATTTAATAAATTATATATTTTTTTGATAAGAAAAAATATTGTCATATAAAATATTTTTAATTAAAAATAAAAAACTAAAAAATAAATATTGTGTTTTTGAGTTAGTAAATTAATTAAGATAAATTTATATATATTTTTTTTTAGTTACTTTGTTAATTTAATTAAAATTTAGTAAAGACCCTTATTTTAGTAACCTTACTAGAAGTTCATTTTCTTTTATTAATTAAAAATAGACAATTTCTGATAAATTATAACAAAAAAAAATCACATTGAAGAAATTAGGATTTATATTGCTAAAATAAAGTAAAAACTAACAAGTTAATAAAGTATATATCAACTTTAAGGTTTGGAAATTTGACAAATGTATTTGATTTTTAAAAGTAGATTGTAAAAATTATGACTTTAAGAGTTTACAATTCCATAAAAACATATTTTTACTAACTTAATGAAATATTTTATAAATTTTTATTATTTTGTTATCAATCTTTCCAAGGAAGTCCAGCACAAGCTCTTTCTACTTCCTCAATAGTTCTTGGAACTTCTGTAAAGTTAATGTAACCATCCTTAGTAATAACGATGTTATCTTCTAGACGAACTCCTGAAACTTCTAAATACTCGTTTATTTTTTCTTTTACAAGATATTTAGATACAACTGGATGGTTAAAGGCTAAATGTAATAAGGATTTATTGAAATAGCATCCAGGTTCAACAGAGATACACATGCCTTCTTGTAAAACTCTTCTAGTTCTAAGACTTCTTAGTCCTGCTACGTCTTTGAGTTTAGGAGGATGACCTGGATTGTAGCCACCAACATCGTGAACTCTTAAACCCATAAAATGACCTAATCCGTGAGGGAAGAACATAGCTGATACTCTTTTTTCAATTAATTCTTGGATTGGGGTATCAACAACTAAGCCTAATTTAATCAAATGCTATAATATGATTCTTTCTGCTAAGAAATGCATCTCTTCCCAAGAGACTCCTGCCTTTACCTTACTAAGAACTGCAGTATAAGCTTCATAAACTGCATTATATATCTCCTTTTGTTTTTGTGAGAATTTACCATTAGAGGGGAATGTAATTGTGATATCAGAAGTGTATCCATTATATTTAGAACCCATATCATTTAAAATAAGAGCATTATCAGGAATTTATTTTTCATTGTCGATGTAATGAAGAAGGGCAGGTGCATCTCCAGAAGCGCAAATACAGTTGTAGGATTTTTCCTTAGAACCAATTAATTCGTGAACGTGGAACTTATATAAAGCTTCCATTTAATATTCCATCATTCCAGCCTTGATATTATTCATAACTCTGAGATGAGCATCAGAAGAGATTCTACCAACGAATTTCATTTATTCAATTTCTTCAGGATGCTTGATAACTCTAAGTTCATTAAGTATATCATAAAGCTTATCTTTAACAACAGTGTAATTCTTTAGGCATTCAAAGCTAGGTTCAGGAAGACTCAAGCCACTATCTGAATCGATACCATGGTAGATATGAATTTCTTCTGGGTTTTTTTACTTTAAATAGTTTTCCATTTCAGTATCAAACCAAGCATCATCAACTTAATATTGCTACTTAAAGAAAGGAGGTTCCTTAACAGTAATCCATATCTTCCATTCATCAGGGATTTTGCGGCAGAACAAGAATGCCTTGCCAGTATCTAATTCTAAGACACCATGGCAGTCAAACTCTCTAACACCAAACAAATAAAAGATGTTAGCTTCTTATTAGAACTCTTCGACTATATCTTGGTCATGCATGAATTTAATTGTGTCACCCTTAAGTAAAACAATTGATCTTTCTTTAATATTTCCGTTCTTCTTCATAGCATCAATCAAGGTCTGTCTAACCTTTTTATGGAAGGAAACAGGGAGTTCAAGTTTAAGTGTTTATTCACTGAGAATCTTGTCAAATTTTCTTCTACACTCCATTTTTTTTATTTTATTTGTTTATCTTTATTGAATTTTTAATTGATTTTGAATTTTTTATTTTTAATATTGTTTATTTTATTAATTTTTTTTTCCATATTTAAAAAAAAAACATAATTTGAGGTTACAATTATAAGGCCATGCAACATGAATGTAATCAACCAAATAAACACAGTTAAATCTGGTAATTTATTTGATAATCATATAAAATAGTAAATTAAATTAGAACAGTGCGTAAATTTATCACTAGTTTAATTTATATTGATTAAAACTATCAAATTTTAAATCACTAACTAAATTAATAAATTTTTTCATTTTATTTTAGTAACTAATTTATAACATTCAGAAAAATCATTCATTTTTAATTCTTAGATTCCAAATTACTAAAATAAGCACGCTGGTATATCTTTTTATATTTTCATTTAAAAAATTAATGTTTCTATTAACTAAAGAGAAGTAAATTTCTTGTAGCTAAAATTTAGAATTATTTATTTTATTAATTCAAATAAAATATTAAATTATCTATTTTGACTCAATATAAAATAGCATATAAATTATTTTATTTTATAAAAATAATAAATTAATTTATAACACCAGTTAGATAGAATTTTTATAGATTAAAAAGTTTCCAAAAAATATTTAATTGAAATCTTATGATTTTTTATCTTTTCTAATCTTATTTCTTATTATTCATCAAATAAATTAGTCTTTATAATAAAAATAAATACTCAAAATATAAAATAAAATTATTCCTATTTTTATTTTTTTTTATTTATTTAAATTTTAATCAAAGAATTAATCAAATAAAAATAAAATTATATTTTATTTATAATAATTCATTATTAACTCCAAATCCATCCTTCATATTAAATTAAAAATTAACTAAATATTTATTATCCATCAAATCAATCAATCATTAAAGAATAAATAAATACTCAAATTACAAACTAAAATATTAAATATTTTATTTAAATTTTTAATTGCATAAAAGAATTAGTTAAATTAAAAATAAAATAATATTTTATTTGTAATAGTTCAAAGTTAAATTCCAAATCTCATTTTCAAATATAAATTTTAAAATATTTTCTTTTTTTTAAAATTTTATTTTTAATTTTAAAAATAATTTTTATTTATCAAAAATTACAAATTTTATTTAAAATAGAATTGTTTTATTCATATTTAAAAATATTTTTATTAAATAATTATTTGGTTTTAAGACTTATTTTAATTTTAATTTAGGGCTCATATTTAAAGATAAGATTTAAATTTTTACAAATCTTAAAACTTTCAATAACGAAAACAAATAAAAAGATATACTACTGCTTGCTTATGGCTTTTTTTATTTGTTTGTATGTATGTATGCTTGTATGAATGAATGTCTGAAAATATTATAAGATCACATAATGATTTGTATGAATGAAATCAAAGATATGAATGTAAAAACATATTGAATTTTTACATACTAATTTGAATGAATATTTAATCTTTTCTTTGATTTTTAATTGAGAGATTAATTAATTAAAAGGGTATTGAACAACATAAGATTGAATCGCCAAGAAATATTAAATATATATCAAGGATAGAAGTAAGTAGAAAAAGAAGAAGCATTATTTATTTATAGAGAAATGATTATTGCTAATAAGTTGTTCAGTAATTTAGCCAAAACATAAGTTAAGCAATTCGCTTTCCACAATTATATAACAGCTGCATTTGGTAGAGCTAAGCCCAAAGGTAATAGCTGATGATAGTTACGCATTTAATATATATTGCCAATTTAGTTTTGTTATTGTTGTTAATTATATCATACAACAATTATTGTTTAGGCAGATATAAATATACAGATTTTGAATCATTTTAAGTACTTATTTTTGAATAATTATGGCTATAAAACTTATTGCTTAAAATTTCGACCTTTTTTTTGGATAATTAAGCAAGTAAATTAGCTGAATTCTTTTAAATCAAACAATTTTAGCATAAAATGTTAGCCATAATTTTTCGAAAATATTCTAAAATGATCGATTGATTAAAAGTATAAATTCTAAAAAATTTGAATAAAATTGAAAATTGTTTATCTTAAAGATTAATTTTACTGGTTTAGTTTAGCATGCATTTTAAAATTATTATAATTTAATAAATATAGTAAATCACCATACTCCTTTCGAAGAGAAAGATTATTCTGAATTGAAAATCTATGATGATGAAAGATTAATGGACAAGTAGTACAAGAGAATTCGTGATGAATATTAAAAGGCCGCAGTTAAAAAAGAGCATAGAAGAGAAAGAATTGAATAAATTAAAGCTGAAAGAGTATTTTTTTATTTTCGTTAAATGCTTATTTAATAAATTAGCAATACAAATTTAATTATGCCTATTTATTTTGTTTTTTTACATACTTAAAGCCTGAAATCCCTCCTGAAGATTAAAAATTAGTTATTCATGATCCTTAAATTGGTATTTAATATCCTGCAATAGAAAACTAAATATTTGCTGTAGTAGAAATTCTTGGATTCCAATATAAAGTAGCTTAAGATGATATTTTGACTATCGATTGGTTATCAGAATATGATATTAATGATCAAGTAGTTTTTGATAATGTTCTTTTAGTTGGAACTACTGATTACACTTCTATTGGTCGTCCTTATATTAGCACAGCTAAAGTAAATAATTAATTAATTATTACATTTGAGTTAAAGCCTTTAATTTTCTTTAAAAAAACTCAAATATTTATTAATTTATCTTTAAATTATCAGGTTTACGCTACAGTTGAAGAACAAACTTAAGGTGAAAAAGTTTTAGGTCTTCATATGAGAAGAAGAAAAACTTCAAGAAAATCTTGGGGTACATTATTATTAAATTTTACACTTGTTTTAAAAATCAAAAATACAAAGATTTCTGATTGCATCCATAAATTGATTCACTTAAATAACAAATAAAAACTTCAAATAAATGATTATCAGCAAATAAATAAAAAAAGATAAAATTTATGATAAAATTATTAATCATCATCAATATTTATTGAGACAATCATCAAAAATGATTTTTATAAAATAGTTTAAGTAATTAAAAAGGTAACAATTTTATTTAAAAATAGGCCACAGATAAAAAATGACTGTTCTTAGAATCGATAGAATCGAACACAATTTAGGAGAAAAAGAATTAACTAAAGCTGTATCTCTTTGAAAATAAATGGTTATCTAACATTGGAGAAGTTCTTGAAAAATTGGATAGAATTTATGAAAAATAAATATAATTTTTTGGCAATAGAATTTAGAGTTAAAAAAGAAATAAATTAATTGCATCATCAAGAAAGAAGATAGATAGATATATTGCTTTTAATTATAAATATGTAATTATCCTTTTCTATTAAACATATTTAAATATTTATATATTTGTATTTTTATCATTAGTATTGCTCCCTATCCTTTCATTTTTAAGCATTTCACCTTTTAAATATATTTTTGAAAATTAGCCAATTAATTTACTTACTATTTCTAAAACCAAATATTTCTTCATTTTAAGATTATATCAAATAAATTATATACTTTATTTAGAAATGATATTTTTTAAATTGTAAATTGAAAACATGTTTAATTATCTTAAACTTTTAAAATAATATTATTTTGAATCAATTTATTTAACATTTTGATTCAATTTTTAATTCTATTTCAGAAGGTTTTTATGCCAAAAATAAAAAATATTTTTTAATTACTGTATATGATAATTTATTTAAATAATATCATTTTAATGTCAGTTTTTAGAAAATTAAAAATTTAAAAATCTTTATTTTCTGAAAAAATATAAATTAAAAGCAAGTATAAATGGAACAAATAAATTATATTAAAGATTGCAGTTTTTTTCTAATTCTTTGAAAAATTATTTAAAATACTGTTAAGTTAATTTTAATTAAAATGTGGACTACTATTTATTAATATTGCTATTGTAATTCAGTTAATTCAGTTAATTATTTTCAAAATTTAAAAAAATTTAAACTTTTGCTAATAAGATTATTATTTATCATTACTTTATATTGTAAAACTATTTTAAATTTCAATTTTGACAAAATGAAACCTATTTTATTAACGAAGAAATTTTTTTAATTAATATTCATAAATAATAAATTTTTTAAAATAGTAAATATCTATAAAAAATTTCGCTTACTCTCTACTTTTAAACAATTTGGAATTTCTCAAATTTTCTAATTTTAATAAAACTCCAAAAATAATATTGATTTTTTAAATGAAAAAAATTTATTTAAAATATCGAATGTAGCTTAATTCCATTTAAAATATGATTTTTACAATTGTATTAGCCAGTCAGTCTCAAATATTATTCTTACAATTTCATTAGTCTCAAATATTATAAAATATTTCATTATGTATATACATCTAATTAAAAGGATAAAATTAGAAAAATCCTATTTTATATTAAGATTTATATTTGTAATAATTTGATCACACATATTTTTAAAGTTTATTTTTAATTAATTATATAAATTCATCAATTTATTTTTGGATCACAAAACATATATTTTATATAGATATATTATACTTTTTTAATATAATTTTTATATTTATTATTATCATTAATTAGAAGATTTGACCTCTAATGCAGCCATAATCTTTGATAATTCTATTGCAAACTAAACTGACAAATCTTAGTCATCTTTATTTTGCATGAAATTCTAGGAGTATTCTAAAATTTTATTTTTCAACTACTCAGGATCAAGTGATAGATAATCTGAAGAATCGTTATCTTAAGATGATTCATTTTCGCAATCATTATATTACATTGGGAAACCAACTCCTCTGCCATAAACTGGTTTTGTGCAAGAAACTCCGATATCGGTTGTTCCTGATGGACAACTAGGAGAGCATACACAACAACCAACACTATGAAAACCTTAAGCGCATTTAGGGTAGATAATTAAGCCGTTTTATTCACAGCCTTAAGGATTATCTCTTTGGCATCTGTTATAAGCATCGTTCAAGTTTAAGTCATCACCGAATTCCCAAGGGTAACCAGCACCTCTTCCATAAGAATCAGGTTTAGCACAAAATAATCCATCATCTCTGAATCCAGGAGGACATTATGATTCACACAAACAGCAACCTACATTGAAGAAACCATCATTACATTTAGGATACATAATAGCACCATATTATTCGCAAGAATTTCCTGTTGATTCTTCACATCTTTTTTGAGCATCAACTAAGCAAATTGGATTAGAACATTCCTACACCAATGGCTTTATTTAACCAGAAACATTTCCAATAGATTCAAGTATGACAGATATATCCTCATTTTCTTGGATAGAGGCGACTAGAGTAGTGATATCTTCTATTGCATCACCTATTTATGCAAAGCAATTTAAGATATTTCCTAAATTACGATTAGGCCTTGAGTGACTGAAAGAAATGAGCAAAAAAATTGCAGTAATAAACAACAGTGTTTTTTACATCTGAATGATTTTTCTTTTATTGTGATTTTTTATTTTATTTTTTTGAATTATATTTTTCTTTTGTTAGCAAAAATCCAAGCTTTTAAATAAGGTCAACAAAATTATAAATGTTGTATAATATTAATAAAAAATGGAATAGATTAATCAAAATATAATTTGATAAAAATTGCTTTCATTAATACATAAATTTATGAGTAAACAAAAAAATTTAAATCCTTGAAAAAATCTTTTTGAATTAAAGTAGAAAACTAAAAATAGATTTAAAGTTATAAGGTAGATGAGTTTGAATATAATAAATTAATTAAACTAGTAATTGTCATTTTGTCTATTCTTATTCTCAAAAAATTTTATGCTAGATTTTTAAAAAAATAGTTAAAAATATGAAACCTACAAAATCACCTTTGATAACTCCATTAAAAAATAAGTATTTAATTATGAGAAAATTATTTTAGTTTTCAAAAATTTTAAATTAAATGGTTTTATTTGTAATTTTTATATTAGGATTAATTGCTTTATTAGCCTTTGAATAAGCTAAAAATTTTATTTTATTTGATCATTCATCTATTTTTTCAAAGTTTACATTTTTTCAAATAGTTTTATGCTTTGAATATTAATCATATCTAGTAGTAAATTATAAACTATTATTAGTTTTTATTATTTAAATTTAATAAACATATTCTAAATTGATTTATTTCTTTCATGAATATAAAATTTACATAATATATTATATATTCCATAACTATTTTACATACTATCTAGGAGTATAGAGCACCATTTTTTTTGTATTTATATCAAAAACTCTCCAGAATTATAAAAACTCCTCAAGGAGGAAATTTTAGATGGCTGAGTGGAAATCGCTTATGCAAATGCAATGAATACAATGGTCGAATACCTACAATTTTTTAAAAAAATTATATTAAAAAAAATAAAATTAGAACCATCATAATAAACCATCTGTAAAGTAATCATCACATACACTAAACATACATAGAAAACCAACAATGAAAAAACTATCTCTAGTTTATTAAAAATTGATTTTAGGACTATTCTGATATAAATCAAAATGGAATAAGAGATCATAAAAATTTATTAAAAACGTTTTACTTCAGTAAAATATAAAAAACTAAATAAAAAATAATTACACCCTTAAAAAAATTGAAAATATTTAAAAAATTGACCATCCTTGCTTTAAAAAAAGATTAGTTTAAGTATGTTATGGTGGTCATAAATTTTAATATACTCTTAAAATGATAAAAATTACTTATAAAAGTTAAAGTATTAATCAGGATAGCTTAATTAGCTGAACAAAATTTATAAATTTATTAATATTCTTAATTGATTAGCTTATAAAAAAACAATAGAATTGGAACTTATTTTTTTGCTTATTTTGAATTTTTTCAAAACATTTTTTATTTTATTTAACTATTTAAGAGACATAAAATGAATGGCTTAAAAAATAAAAGCAAGAACTTTTTAGGCTTATATTACCTAAAATAAATATTTCATTTTCATTGAGGATTCGATTTTACGTCATAAAAATTAAAAAACTAAACAAATATGTAGAGTAATTTTCATTTAGGTGTTTATATTTAAGGAAATAGTTTGCTGATTAAAATTTTCGATTGGTATTTTCTAATTGTTAAATATATAAATTAAGAAAAATTCAAGTAAAGTTGCAAAATATTTTTATTATTTCCAAATAATACGAAATATATAATATGTAAGAATAAAATATATATTAGTATCACTTTCCAATAATAAAAGACTAATTCTGTTTTCAGAAAATAGTAATTAAAGCAAGGAGGATTAAGCTAAATTGAATAACAATAGAAGAAGAATTATCATCACATTTGCTAACACCATCGCTAGGACCTGAAGTATTTGCTGGGCAAGCACAGGCAGTAACAGAGGTAGAACCAGCAGGGGAGACACGGCTATTTGTACAAGCAGTGCATGTTGCTGAACCAGTAGAAGAATAAGTATTTACATCACATTTTTTGCATCCAGTACAGTGCATGTCTGAATCATATCCATTATTTTTGCTGAAAAAGCCTGCAGGACATTGTCTAACATCAATAGTGCAAGTCGTTGATCCAGCATTTGACCATTTTAAATTAGGGCAAGCAGGACAAGAAGCAGCTGATGTTACATTAGAGGCTGTTCCAGCAGGGCAAGGCAAACAAGCTTTAGCGCCAGCACTTGAATATTAACCAGCATTGCATGGATTACAGGTATCAAAAGTATATCCAGAAGTACTGTAAGTACCGGCAGCACATTATGTTACAGCTTTAGGGCAACTAGAACTTCCTGAATTATCATTCCAAAAATTAGTGGGGCAAGGGGTACAAGTGGTAGCTTAAGCAGCAGAGTAAGTACCTTATGAGCACTTTGTACAGAAACTACCGGATCCATCATCGAATCCAGTTGCACTATAAGTACCAGCTACGCAAGGTGTCAAATTTACAGGACAGTTAGTTGATCCAGAAGCAGCATTAGTAGTACCTTTAGCACAAGGAGTACAAGTGATAGCTTAAGCAGCAGCAGAGTATTAACCTTTTGGGCATTATGTACAGTAACTACCTGTTCCATTATCGAATCCAGTTGAACTATAAGTACCAGCTGCGCAAGGTGTCAAAGTTACAGGACAGTTAGTTGATCCAGAAGCAGAATTAGTAGTACCATTAGGACAATAATTACAAGAGGTAGCTTAAGCAGCAGAGTATTAACCTTATGGGCATTTTGTACAGTAACTACCTGTTCCATTATCGAATCCAGTTAAACTATAAGTACCAGCTGCGCAAGGTGTCAAAGTTACAGGACAGTTAGTTGATCCAGAAGCAGAATTAGTAGTACCATTAGGACAATAATTACAAGAGGTAGCTTAAGCAGCAGAGTATTAACCTTATGGGCATTTTGTACAGTAACTACCTGTTCCATTATCGAATCCAGTTGAACTATAAGTACCAGCTGCGCAAGGTGTCAAAGTTACAGGACAGTTAGTTGATCCAGAAGCAGTATTAGTAGTACCGTTAGGACAAGCAGTACAAGTGGTAGCTTAAGCAGCAGAGTAATAACCTTATAAGCATTTTATACAGACAGTACCGGTTCCATCATCGAATCCTGTTGCACTAGAAGTACCAGCTGCGCAAGCGGTGTAAGCCTTAGGACAACTAGTTTAACCGGTAGCAGTGTTATATGTACCAGCAGGGCAAGCAATGCAAGGACTTCCTGGAGTTGCTGAGTAATAATTAATTGAGCAAGGAGTGCAAGTAGTTGAGCCAGCAGTAGATGAAGAACCAGCGTCGCACTTAGTGCATCCACCACCGAGACCGTCGGTATCGTATCCATCAGCACTCTTTGTATTGGCGGGGCAATAAGTAGTACAAACAGAGCTAGTAGCAGCCAAAGAGATTGAAATTATGTTAAAAGCTATAAGCAAAGCTATAATAGTCTTATTCATTTCTTTTACTTTTTTTATTTATTATTTAATTGAATTATTTAATTTAATAAATAATAATATCAATTACCAGTTACCTAAATTTAAAGCAAAAATTTTAACATTAAGGATTTATTTCTAAGGCTTGATAGGCTAATGAAATAATAATCTTAAAATAATATACTCAAGAATATTTAACTTTTCTACATAAGATGAATTATCGATTGTTTATATTTGATAATTTCACAATCCAATTTAGCTTTTTAGATGTTTGAAATGGTAGTAAACAAAAAATGGTTTCATTACAGACAAACAGAACATGAAAAATAAATCACTGCTAAGATTAATTAGACTATTTTTAAGATACAAATCAACTCACAAATACAATAAGATATTTTCCTTCAAATCTTTGTATTCAATCTCATTATTATTGCCTAATTTATGGAATGAAATTAAATTTTCTTTAGCTTTTGAGAGATCAAATAATAGTAGAAGCATATTTTGTTAGTAATAAATGTCAAGGAGATCATATTATTTTTTAAAAGAAATTTATTAGTAATTTGAGCAGAGTAATTTAAAGATCAAATATATGATGGAAACTCATAAATGAATGAATACCCCCAAGCAGAAATAATAAAAAAAATGTTTGATACTGTTTTTAAAAATATCTTTTTTGGTTTAAATTCTATAAATAAAGCATTTTCCTGTGAGTATTTATGACGTAATCGAATAGTTATTACCATCTAAAAAGCAAGTTTATGCTGCTTAGATTTATTAAAATAGAAGAATAAACAAATCGCTACCCAAATTCGATAAAAAATTAGTTAGAAGTCTAATATTTAGACTTACTTTCTAAATTGTTTTCATTTTCATATAACAATTCAAATATTTCTTCATTTTTGTTAAAATAAGTAATCGAAAGTTTAAAATTTAGTAAAATAATAATAAAATCACTAAAATTTGTAGCTAATCTCAAAAATATTTTTTAAAATAATAAATTTTATTTGTATGTATTAATTAGAATATTCAATGCAATTTAATTAAATTAATTAAGAAAAATAATGACTTAATATAAAACTTACATACTATTTTTTATAGTTAAAAATAAAATTACATCCTTTAAAAAATAATTTGTTCTTCTTCTTCATAAGAACAAATAACTAATTAGATTAATAATTTTGTTTTTTCTATCATGCATTTGGTCTTCAATTAGAAGTTCGCATATCTTTTTTAATTTATTTCACTTTCTTTAGGTGATATTTACAACCTGTACCTTCAAAAAATTATTAAATGTGTACACTACATTTTTAAAAATAATAAAATCAAAAACAATGCTCTTGATTGCTATTAATAAAATGTTATTTATAAATCAATCAGAAAAAATAAAATTAAATATAATTTGTTGATAATTTATTTAATTTCTAATCATTTGAGAGGAAAAATAGTAAATAATAAGTCCTTCTATAATACATTTTTCTAAAGTGTAACAATCTTAATTTTGTATATAGACAAAGGTCAAAAAATTTTAATATCATATATATTTTAGAAATAGAAGAAATCTTTACTTGCACCTTATGTATTTTTATAAAAATAATAAAATCTGATGTTCCAACATAATTTCAAGAAATCTCCCACCAGTTTGATTAAATATTAAAAATTATTAGTAATCATAACAATTAATAGCAGTTACGAAAAGCGAATTTTAAATTTTATTTATATATTAAGTATTATAGTAGAATTTTTAGTAGCTATTTGGATCAAATTTGCTATCTTTTAGAGTCTCATATAACATTTTTGATAAATCACAAAGAGGCACATTAATTAATTTAGTATTAATTTTGCAAGATCATATAACAAAAAGCTTGATATAAATTTAAGGATAACAGCGTCTATTACTAATTTAATAAAGAAAAAAAATCATAAAGGCATTGATAAAAATTTAGTTTTTTGTCAAACTAGTTTTCTTCAAGTTTACAGAGTATGCATGTGTTTAATCTAAGAGTTATAAACTAATTGGATATAAAATTTTTATTTTTTTAGAATTATATACCAATCCCTAATCATGAAAATTGAGAATAAAATTAAAAAAACTTTTATCATAGCCATTTATTCAAAAGATAGAATATCTTTCTTTTTTAAAAAAAGTAAATTAATTTCTTATATTTTATGCTATATAAAAAATAGATAGATGTTATTTATTTTTTTAGCAATGAAGAAAAACTAAAGTTTTGAATATTAAGAGAAAGTATTAAATTACTTCAAGACAATTTTCATTAAATCAAGTTAAAATTATTATTTAAAATTTTATGAAAACTATTCTGATAACTAAAACTATTAAAAGATATTTTCATAGATGCTTATATAGCATTATAAAAATTCATTTTTTACTAATATAAATGGCTTTAAAAAATAAATTTCAAATAAAAATAACATATTTTTAGTATTCTAATTGGATTGAAAGAAATTATAATTTTTGATCAATGAAATAAAAATAATTTTAGTATTGATAAAAAAAGAAATCCTCTAAGTTATCATATTAACTCTAAGTGTGTTTGCATTACTCTTGTATCTTACATTATTCGTTTATATACAAATTTCTAGTAGTCTTTAAAAAATTCATGCAAATAAAATAAAAAATAAAAAATTAAAAGATATTAGTTAATAAATTAGTATGTTCATTATTCCTAAATAGCAATTAATTAATACTAAAGAAGAGCTTTTCAAATTATTTTCTTGTAATAGCATCTGTCATAAATAAAGTTTTAAATAAATACAAAATAATTTCTAAATTATAGTTATAGAAGGATTCATACTCCTAATTAATTCATACATTAAATGTAATTAGTTTTAAAAGTCATAAAATTTTATAATTTTAAATATTTCTTTAATAGAATAGCGAATTATATTTTATTTTAGTTTGATCCAGAAATAAATTTATTTATCTTATAAATTTCATATCGCCTTAAATAAATAAATAATATTTTATACTTTTAAAAATTGCTTAATAAGGAGGATTTTTTTATGTTATATATTAAAAAAACTTCCTTACTTTAGAACTTTTATGGTATTAAAATTGAAACTTTGATAATAAAAAATATATAACTAACAAGCAAAAATAGTTATCTAAATTAATTAATTTTAATAAATTACTAATAGATGATTTATATCAATATTAATTTTAAAGCAGGATGCTAGCTGCTTAAAGAATATTACAATTAAAAATATTTGAATTAATTTAACTTTCTTTTTCATAATTACTGCTTTTACGCTTTTAAAGATTGATTGATTGTATACTTTTAAAATAAAAAGGCTATCCTAAAAAAATAATGTTGTTTCAAATAAAAATCTTAATTTTTCTTTTTTAAAATCAATAGATTTCATTAAGCGTTAATAGCAGATTAGGTGCATTATATTTTTACATTCTATTAAGTTGTTAACATAAAATATTCTTTAAAAATATTTGAAATTTTCATATCGTCATATTTTACAATGTGCTCGAAATACGAAGTTCAAATTATTTTAAATTATTTACTTCAAGTAATGTACAATATTAATTTTTACATTCTATTAAATTGTCAACATAAAATATTGTTTAAAAATATTTGCAATTTTCATACCATCGTATATTACAATGCGCTCGAAATACGAAATTCGAATTATTTTAAATGATATACTTTATGTAATGTATAATATTTATAAAACATCTGTAGTTAAAATTAAAATGAGAAAATAATTTTTAAATGTCAGATTCAATATTAATTAATATGCCTTTATTCAAAAAAAATATTAAAACAGCTTTTAGTAGTCCTAAAAATTTTATTTTTTACATTCTATTAAGTTTTTTTTATAAAATATTCTTTAATACAAATTGTAATTGATATCATCATCTATTACTATAAATATATGCTCGAAATACTAATTATTATATATTACACACTTTAAGTAATGTACAATATTAAAAAACATCAGTAGTTAAAATTAAAATGACTAAGTAATTTTAAATGTCAGATTCAATAGTAATTTGCCTTTATCCGAAAAAATATTTCAAATAAAGAGCTTTTAGTTTTGTATTTTTTTACATTCTATTTAGTTGTTTTATAATATTTGTAATTTTCATATCATCATCTATTACAATATGCTCAAAATAAGAATTATTATAAATTATATATTTAAAGTAGTATATTATATTAAAAAACATTTGTAATTAAAATTAAAATGACTCATTAAATTTAAGAATCAAATTCACATTTAAAGTAATGATTTGCGTTGTCCTAAAAAAATATTTTAAAATTTCAAATAGCTAGCTTTTACTAGTTCTAAAAATTGATAATTTCTAATAAAAAATAATGGACATTATAAATCTTTAAAAAAATAAAAGTTACATTAAAATAAGATGTAATAGACATTAATAAAGTGAATCCACCTATTTTTTTTCCCGATTTTCCCCTCTTCACATTTAAAATTCATCTGAATGAAAGTTTCTAAAAAATCTTGTCCATATGGCTCTGTAATTCATTTTATATTATATAATATTAGAATTATATATATTATTTTATAAATAAAAAAACAAATTATTTTACAATTTAAATTATTTAAAAAAGCATTTAATTATGCTTTGTAAACTTAAAAGAAAATATTTTTTATTAATACAATATTTTTCTTAACTTAAAGATTCTATTGATTATTTTTTTGCAATTATTTTATCAATATTTTTTACATTTTTTACTATTTTGAAAGATAATCCAGGAATTAAAATATATCATAATATCCAGTTTATCATATTTTAATTCTTGGATTAGCAATATTAATGGAAAGCTAAGATAGAGAGAGTAGAAAGTTATCAAAATAAATTTTATGCAATTTTTATGTTAAAATCAGTTATCAATTTCTTTCCTTTTAATTTAATTTCTATTAAAAAATTTGTTAGCTTTATAAAGATTATTATTATGCCAATGATAATTTAAAGACAGAAAAATCATCAAAATAAATTTTACAAAATTTTTAGTCAAAATGAATGAGCAAAAATCTTAATTTTTAATTTAAATTCTATTAGAATATGATTTCTAAGATTATTATAATGGAAATTCAATTTTAAAGAGTGGAGAATCATCAAAATAAATTTTTTAAAATTTTAAGTTAAAATCAGTTCACAATTTCTTGATTTTCAATTCAAATTGTATTAATAATATGTAATTTGATAACTTTTAAAAAATTAATTAAAAAAAAACGCACTCATCAAGTACTGATTTGTTTTTCTAATATTATTAGAATATAAATGTATGTTTTAAATTTGCTTTAATTTTTTATTCAGCTAACATATTTTTTGTAATATTTGATAATTGATTTATCTACTAACTTCTTAACTTATGATTGCAATGTAAAATCAACAAATTAATATTTCTTTAGTGTTTCTTTTTTTTTGATTTCAAAAAATTTAATTAATATTATAAAAATATTCATTTATTATTTTCAAAGAAAAGTTTGTTAAACTAGCACAAAAAATAGATAAAAAAAATCAAATAATTGCTGTAAAGATAAATAGAAGAAAACTTGTAAAATGAAAGAATATTTCATCAATTCAACCATTTTGAAATTGATTTTAGATTTTATATGGATATAAGTATCATTTTAGGATAATATTAATTAGATATACTCCCCAAAGCAGCTTAATTAAGTCAATTTGACTGAATCCTGGATACCTCTTTGTATTGTAGCTACTAGCTAAAGTAATTTAGTTTTTGTATCAAGCGGTTTCGATGGCATACAAGTAGTTGACAGATTTGGTAGTAAAATCTATCTATCTTTTAATATTAGCGATAGCTACATATCAACTTTCCAAGTTAATTAAAATGGTGAGACATTATTTTTGGCTGTTAATTAAACTTTGCAGGTTTATTCTCTTAGTTATTCGTAAATAAATTAGGAGTTAGTTAAAATTGAGAAGTTGAATATGTTACAGTAGCTGAATTTCTCTCAAATAATTCTGTCAACCAAATATGTAGAGGATTTAGAGCTACTCTTCGTTTCTGGAAACTAGGGTTTGATTATTGCGTATGACACTTCTAATAAATCTAATATTACTCAAGTAGGCTCGTATAATATCTAAAATACAAGAGTCCTGGACTTTTTTATTACAAGAGATTCTTAATTCCTCTTTGTTAGTGCTTATTAAAAAGGACTTTATATATTGAAATTAGAAATAACAAATTCTAATTAAGTAAATAAAGTGCGTCAACTTAATTTTGTATTATCAGGCCAAGGAAATCCAGGCTATTAGGCTTCAAGATGTCTGGCTACCTAAGATTTCATTGTATATTGCTATGATATTTGGACTGGTTTATATTTTGCTAATTACCAATCTCTTAAATAGTTAGGAAGAAGTACAACTCCAATAACTGCTAATTTTACTCTCTACTAACCTCAGAAATAATTAGTACTTACTTTTTCTGAGCTGATAATGAATAAAGAAGAGACTCTTCTTTTTGCAGGAGTAAGATCTTATGGGATATTTGTGCTTGACATCAAAACGCGTAATTAAATAAAATTATTTTAATAAATTGGTCCCTACACTGAGATATAGTCCATCAAGCTCTCCTCAGACCAAAACTTTCTTTATGTTACAAGCGTTTCAAGTCTTTTTACATTTTAGTAAATTTAAATTAACTCGAATGACAATTATCCTAATCTTTTTAACATGCATCAATCAAACTTTTATTAGCTTGACAACTTCCTTTACAGGACATGCTATATTGATCCTTAGGATGAATATCTTTTTGGAGCGTTTGATTTCGAAGGAATGCATGTTTTCCCTTTTTACAGGAATCCTTACAGGTTAAATGTTAATAATTCTAAATTTTATGATGTATACACTGATTAGATCAAATTCGATACATCAGGCAGGTACGCTATTGTACCTTAATATTATAAAGGGAGCATACTCAGTATTTACTAAATACGCCCTCTTGATAATACTCCATAGTAGCAACAAATATCTCCAATGAATATGAAATTAATTAAAAGCTATCCTTATGATAATTCTTACTTTTCTTAAACATTTTCTTTTAACTTAGATAGAACTATGGCAGTTTAGCCAATCTAATATGGAGTTACTCTATACAACTCAACAGATATTTTTAACTTGTAAATTCATTCTGTTTGGAAAATGCCTGATTTTATTTTAGGGGATTTAAATGGTGCTTGTTTAACCTATGATAGCAAATGGGTGGTTGCTTTATTATATTAGATAGGGTTTTTGGTAGTAAATATTGAAGATAGGGCAGCTCCAAAACTAGCTAACTATTATCTAAACAATGGCGCAGAAGATATTCTACCTTCAGTTTATTATAACTATGTATACTTGATAGATGGGACTAAAGGTTTCGCAATAATCGATTCTAGTGTTTTCCCAAAAATCAATATTATCTCTAGAATAAAATTATAGGGTAGTGCAATTTATGGGTTAATACTGTAGAAGGAAGACTATATTATAATAGCTTAAAATGATTTAGGAATGGCAACTTTAATAAATATGAAGGATAAATACTTTCCGTAGATTGTCAGCTCAGCCAACTACCTGAATGAACATGCAGAAGGAGTATGCGTGTGTCATACAATGAATTAAATTTTTCTTACAACTGCGAATGGTATATTAACTTTACCATTTAAAAGCGAAATTAAAATACATACTGCAGTGTATTAAATAAGACAATACTCATCCTCCTAGCTTAGAAAATAAGCATACCCTCAAGCAAGCTAGAAAGGCACCAAAACCAGTCCAAACTTAATTAACGAATATATTTTTTTAGTTGGGCAGACAATCGAATTAGACTTTGAAATAATTTATCCAACAAACTTGTATATGAAAATAACCAAAGTTTACTTTTATACTAATGAAATTTAATCAGATATTCCTTCTTTCTTCTCATATAATTTTTAGTAGTAGAGCCTATAAATGTACATCGACTAATCTTTAGGTAGCAATGATGGTACTCCTAAACAAAATATGGTTTTAATAAAAACACAGATACCTCTAGATGTTACTTCATTTATTTACAGTGCAGAGGATTCATATGATTTAGCAGTCACTAATTCAGACCAATCTGCTGCCATCTATAATAGTATGATATCATAAAACATACTCAACTCTGATGGATCAGTAAATGATAAATTCGATTTCTATAAAAATCTAATTTTAAATAATGAATTAAAAATCGAGCTAATCAATCTATCTCAAAAAAATGAAGCAAGCCTAAATGAAACAGCAATTGAACAATTAGCTCAAAAAATTAGCTTAACCCTTAAGAAATCATATTTTTTGAATCCTTTCAAATTTTATGTTGTTTCATCTTTATAATTTAACAATAAAAGCACTTTTCAGTTCATCAAAACAAATTCTTTAAAATAAGTGGAAGTTACTTTGTAGATTAACAGCAACGATGGAAAGCTTCTGCAAAAGAATTAAGACAGTGTTATTTTTTAGATTTCACAATCGAAAGATTAACTAAAAATTACAGGAACCTTGGAAAGCGTAAATAAAGTTTTATAGCAAAAGATTATTTTTGCTAATAGCACTGCTTTCTCTGAGAAGGACTCCCCATAAATAACTATTACTATTGATGATAATACAAACTTTCCTCTAACGCTGAAATAAAGTATTTATGAAAGTAATTTTATCATTCTTAAGAATTCAATAAAATTAAATGATAAGCTAAACCTACAATATTAACTGAATAACTAATATCAAGGTGGTATTGTGTATATTGAATCAGATGTAGCGATTTCATTTTCTTCAAACACATTCTATGTCAAAGATTCGAAATAAATTACTTATTAAACTTTTTATCTCAATCCAAATGGAAATTTTTCATTGATACCTCCAAACTTATGGCTTCAATAGATGAGTAGTGACAAAATGAATTTTAAAGGTACGACTACCTCAGCAATTTATGGCAAACAGTATTAATTTAAAGTAATAGCAACAGATGGATACACTATTGCTGAAGATTTTTTCACTGTTGAAGTAACCGGGATACCTTTTACATATGCATTGAATTTAATTTTGAAAATATTAGGTCCAGTACTAGCTGTTTTTGGAATTTATAAGGAAAGATTTACTTTTTATAATATGATTTTTAGAATATCAGTAACATTTTCAGATGAAGAAATAGTGTGTGGCAATCCATTTAAAAAAAGAATTATTATTATAAGCGATGAATAAGAAGATGCTATGGTTATTTTCAATAATTTAATTAAAAATATAATACAAAAAAGGCCGAAAGGATAGTAAGAAAGCGACTCAGAAAGACCCTCAACTAGCTTAAAGAAAAAGATATATGATATATAAAAATAGATAAAAACATGGAATGACAAGTAATCTGAATTTTAAGAAATCTTAAAATTAGAAAAAAAAAAAAAATCAAACTTTGAATCGAAATTGTAACACTAATACATTTTAAAAATTTAAAAAGAACTCTCCATAGCTGGATATTAAAATAATGTATCTGAACTACAAAAAAGATATCTTGATAAGCAAGGAAGCTTAATGCTATCTTAAGTTATCTAAGATGTAGTAGATTTTTAAATAAAACCTATCTCATATCAGTCAAAATCTTAAGATTAATATTTAGAAGAAATATCTGATCCTAACTCTTTGCTGCAACGAATATTGAGGGCTTTGATGTCTAGGCATTTACTGAAATAGGACAAAAGATCATAAATTATTTATGAATATATCAAAAACTATTGTTCTTAAATCATCCAACAAAATAAAAATGATTGGTTTAAAGCAATTGTTAAAATTACATATAATACAGATTAAGAACTTAAAAACACAGAAAAAATTACTTTGTTTCCTCAATTAAAACTGAATTACAGTGTTTTAAATGAAATAATCAAAAGTCTAAACTTGACGGATTAATAAAATTTATAGCTAATTCCTTAGAATTTAGAGTAGTTAAAGAAGTTGATAGACTAGCATAACCTCAGATTCAATATGCATTTAATTCGAGAAGTTATATTTGCAGATGCACTTGGTTTTCCTGAAGAAAAACCAAATAGATTCAAACCTTCTATGGGTTAATGTATACATATAAATTTTTATGAAATAAGTTAAATAATTGCTTACAAACAAAGAAAAATATTTGAATTCTTAAGACCAATCTATAGATTTTTTAATATGGAATACACTAAGTATGGTTTCTCTAAAAATATGAGGTTGCCTTCTTGGCTCTACTTTGATTAAAAGAGCAATATAATTTTGCTTCACGGTACTCCTTAAAAGTGTGATATAGAAGAAGTGCTTCTAAAGATATATGATAAAAGTGGTTATGTTATATATTAATTTATATTGAAAGTAGTTTATCAAAATTAAAAATAAGAGTTAAAACTTTTTAAAAGAAAAATTGATTAAATATACAATGAGACAGAGGAATTCTAATAATAAGAAGAATCAGTGCATTCAAAAATAAATGAGCAAAATAAATTATTGTCTATTCGTTCACCTAAAATATCTTTAATAAAAAATACCTACAATTAAAGTGAGACACTTGAAGACTCAACTTAAAGTATATTCAAAGTTAGAACATAAGGAAATAGCCCTATGCTAAAAGCTTCACCTGAAAATTAATGTGTCTTATTGGAAACGAATATTTAAGACACTAAAATTGAGCAAATCTGTTATACTAACTTTGATGATTTCTAAAAGTAAAAACATTTAAAAAACTTAATGAACCTAAAAGCCAAAAGTAGTAGCATTACTCAAACAGATAGCTTACAAAAATAAATTGGAATAAAAGAATAAATTTGTTTGAAGTAATTAGACTAAATAAATGAGAATATTTGATAATCTATTTATTTATTATTTTAGCATTTTTATCTATTTCATTAAATTGTTGCAAAATAAAAATTATTTTTTAGAAATTTAGTTTGCAATTTTTATTTTTTTTAATAAAGCAATTAAACTTAAAATTATTATTTTTTAATTTCATTAAACTTAACAGTATAAAAAATCATTAGTGTTTAAAATAAACTTTAAACCTTATTAAATAATCTAATAATATATTAATTTTTACTTAAATTAATTAATATATATAATTATATTAGAATATTAGTATGTATACCTTTTTGAAATAATACTCAATAATAATGTTTAGATAATTATATAATTTATTTTTTAAAATTATGTGATCATTTAAGTTACCTAATGAGTTAAATATTTTAAAAAATTTTAAGGAATGATTTTAAATTTTTAGTTATTAGTGCATTTATTAATGAGTTAAATAAAGAAGAATTAAATTCAGTAATGATGCATATTTGATAATGAAATGTAGTATTAAAATTTGCTTTTTAAGACAGTAATTCTTCCTAAAAAATAATATAAAATTCTTTTTGAAAGACCTTTAAAATACTCGTAAAAATCTCCAATTTAAAAATTAATTAATTTTATTAAAATTTTATTGCATTAAAAAGAATTATCAAATAAGATTACAAATTTTTTTGTTTTATTTTTTAATATTAGCTGATTAGTGTTTATTAATAATAAATTTTATTTATTTATAAATACTTTGTTTTCATAAGAATTACTATAAAAAGCTCATAAAAATTCGGACTTTAAAGATAAAAATTAATTCAATTTCCTATTTTAAGTAAAAAATAATCTTTAAATGTTATTGCTTGCAAATTATTTTCAGAAATTAATTTTTAGCTTACATTAATATTTGAAAATAAAAATGAATTTTGAGAAAGACTAATAAATAAATTATCGTTAATTTAGATATGGGATTGAGTGAATATCCTATTTATAATTCAATTAATTAGCGGAATATACTTTAGACTTTAAAATTATGATTAAAAAATATCAAAATACTTTAAAAATAAATACTAAATTTTAAGTATTTTTGATACTGCATCACTAGAAGATAATATTGGCCGCTTAAGAAATGCAAACGAAATATTTTTTTGCTTTGATAAAAATGAATGAATGATAAATTTTCATCAATTTTATAATTTTTGAAGATCGTTTAAAATTTGATTAACAAACAAATATTATAAACAAATTTAATTGAAAAACTTGAATTTAATTGATATTGTTAAAGTTTTCAAAAGAAAATTACTTAAAAAATAATATAGTAAACTAGATTAAAAGTTTTTATTGAGATAACTAATCATTTGAAACATTTTATCCTCTAGCAAGTAGCAAATAAAATAAATTAAATTGCATAATGAGTTAGTAAGTACAAGTAAGAAAATTAAATATATATTGAATTGATCAAATGATAAAAATTATTTTTTTATTTTAACAGATTTATTTTGTTTAGTTATATCATCTTATTTATTCATTAATTAACATATTATAAATAGAGCGGATAAAATTTGTAGAGCTAGGATATTCCAACAAATCCTTTTAAAAAGAATAAAAGATTTGGAGGTGTTTAGAAGAGTCCCTCACCTATTAATTAGCCACGCATTTAACCTAAAGCATAGCCTATAATTTAGAATTAATTATAACAAGGTTAGTAGGAGCAGCGCAATATTAATGAAAATAACTAGGGTTAATAAGATGTTTAGCAAAGATAAAATGTATAGGTGAATTAGCCTACAAGATGCAATTCTTCTTTAGTTATTATGAATTTCAATTAAGATAACTCTTTCTTTAATTACGGAAACTCAGAAAATAGCATAGCCATAGGAGGCACTCCAGTAGCTACTCCTCGTTAATAGAGTCTGCATATTTAGGGAAATTCTTAAGCAATGCAAAAACCACTTAAACTGACTCCAACAGAATAAAATTATTTGAAGCAATAGCTTGGTTAAATGAGTAATGAGCAATAGAATCCTATTTAAACAGGTTCTTTTTACAATAATATGAACTCTTTGAATACTTAAATTAAACAGAGTTATGATAATCTTAATTTCAAAGACCTACAAATTAATAATACATACAAATAGAAAATTCAAAATCTCATTCAGAATGAAGAAGAATCTAATTAAGAAAACAACTCAAGTTAAGCCTTAGAAAATATTATGGTAAATCTTGATACCTTTCCTGATGATTTATGTAACCATTAAGATCACCAAGAAGAGAGAATAGTTTAGCCTAGACATTTGGATTTTAGCAAAAAACCTGAGGAAATCCCTCAGCAATCATAAAAAATAACTAATGCAATATCTCCTCTCCCATTATGTCTAATTTAGGAAAAACTCAAATAAAATTCAAATAAAATAGAAGAATATTCATATACAGCTAAAAAGAGTGCAAGAAGTGGCAGCTCTGACTTCCAGAACAATGCTTCCTAACAATCCAATTTTTCTTATTAGACTTTTTACTCTCCAAGGATGAACAAAAATACAAGTAGACAAGGAGATTAAGTGTAACAAGGAAGTGTCACTTCTTAATAAATATCTTAAAAACTAAATTTATCTATAAATAACAAACAATAATTATTAAATGCTAACAATAATAACGCGTAAATTCTAAACTATAGCAGCGGGGATCATTTAGTATAAGCTTAGACAACTATCAGTAATAGCAATTAAATATAGAGTTAGAATTTCCAAACTCTTGTAAGTAGAAATCAGTCACCTCACAGCTAATAAGTGACTCCTAATCCATTCATGAAAATATAAATTGCTAATGGAATTAATACTTTAGAAAGACAGCAGAGACTAAATCAGTCTCCATTATACAAAAACATAAGCTTAAGTCAATTAAACTAATAAATAAATAGCAATTCAGGTTTAAATAGCTCTACCAATTAAGTTGCTAGAAGTAATAATTAAATTACAACCAGTAATAATGAAGCTATTAATGGCATCAATAACTTCGGGTAAATAAAAAGCGAATAAACTATTAGTAATAATAAGGCAGTTAATAACAATATTATAATAAATTCTGACAGAATTATTAATTAATAGAATAATTTTGTCAGTTTAAAATAAACTTAATCTTCATTTGTTTAAAATTAGCTTAACAACATTTAAATGTATTCAAGCCTTAATTTTAATGTACCAAATTAATCATAATCATAATAGCTGCAACAATAACAACAAGAAAATATTAAATAAAATATTCCACCATTTTAAATTGCACCCTGCATTACTCTCTCTAGATAAGTCTCAGCAAATTCGATTCATACAATTAATATGGCGAGCCCAAATAGCGGAGTAAACTCTTTACAGTTAATTCAAACATAAAATAATAATTAAGCCCATCAGAATTAAGCATTGTAAAGCTCTAGCCTATTTAATGTAAATTAAATGGCAAATAAATCTGTTAAAATGATGGATTCCTCTAGCAATTTTAATAGCCAGTACGTTAGTGTTCCATAAACAAGCGTAAGCCTCAAATAATAGCTTTAAAGTAATGTAAATAATCAAATAAAAGAACCGAAGACTGATAAAAATATATACAAGTCAAGTAATGTGTAAAACGATTTCTAAGAAGCAGTAGAGAGTGTCAAAAGAGCAGCAGTAGAAAGAGGTAAATCGGCAAGTAGAGTGGAGGAAAATAAAGCAGACTAAAAATAAAAGTAATTTGTGCCTCTCCAAGGAGTAGAATTTCCAGTAATTAACTTGGATAACAATAATAAAGTAGATGATTCTTATCTTAAGCAAATAATATCGCCAGAGACATTAAAAATATTATAAGAGTAAAAGGAAATTAAAAAAGAAATAGTTAAATATAGAAATATTAACAGTCCATAAGCATAAAACAAGACCTCTTAGAGTAACAATGACAACAGTAGTAACAGCAACTGTTCTTCATTTTAATAAATAAGCTCATAGAATAATTTAATATCAAACACTTTGACTTCTCTACAAGCAAAAGTTGCCAATTAACCACTAGGAAACATTATAAATGTTTTCGGGTAGATGAGCAATAGCATCGCTCAATCACCTCCTAAATAGCAACAACAATAATAATACAATCATTAAAATATCTAAGATGTCTATTAGAATGTCTAATAAAATTATTAAAACCTCCCTATACTATTAAATTAATCTACTTTAGTCAAATAGATTCCAATAATGTAAGAACCTGTTTTAAGCTAAGTTTTTCCCAAGTCCAAATAATCTCCTAACTATCAAATGCCAATATTTTAAATGCAGCCAATTTAAATTTAGCCTCCTGCACCTGCTGTAGGATTAACTCTTTTATCTGTGTAAAAAAATATTCCTTAGTAAGAAGTACCAATTCAAGGAATTTCCCTACTAAATTTACCTCAAGAAAATAAAATAATCTAAAAGGAAACACCTTCTAATAATTTATCACCTTCAAAGGATTAAGATAAGCTTTTGATGGCTAAGTCCCGCTCCTAAAGCAAGTTGTAATTATAAGATTCGAAACAATTGAATACCCAAGGCTCAAAGTAAGGTGAAGAGTAGCAATCAGCTGATTTTGCTAAAATAGATTAAAACAATTAACTTGAATAAAAGCAAGAAAAAGGCTTTTTGCTAACTTCCAGCAAAGAAATAGCACAATAAATAATGGATAAAGGTTAATAACTATCAACAACTACAATAGTCGCACCTAATTAACTTAAACTAACAGAAAAAACAAATTTTAATGCAGAAAAAGAGGAATAAAAGCCTAAAATAACTTAAATTGTTCAAAGTCCAAGGATATCATAGGTTTCTTCTCCCAAAAGCAGTCTACAAAAATAAGAGAGACCTTAGTTACTAGAAATAAAATCCTTCCCTATATCTATTAATTAATCTTAATAGTTGAAGTTTTAAAATTAGAGAGAAACATTTGAGTGTATTACAAACCCAGAGATAAAAAATATTTAAAGTATTAATAATTAAGATTTAAAATAAAATTTTTATAATAGTTCTAGCAACGAAATAGAGGCTCATATGAATTACTAAAATAATTTATTTGTGAAATAAAATAAAATAGAATAAGAAGAAGTTGTTTTTACTCCTTAAAAGGAAAAAAAGCAGCCAGATACATCTCAGGCAGAAAGTAGGGTGAATGATGATATGAATGAATTCGAATCTACTAAAAAGGCTTTTCCAAATAAAATTAGCCCTTCTTATGGATATTCCCCATGCTTTAATATAGATAAATAAGAATCTTAGTAATCACCAAATCCTATTACTAAAGCAAATACAAATAACCTATAAAATGTTTTACAAAGCTTTGGTTTCAATCCATATAACATATAATAGATACAAATTAATGATAGAGCTGAAAATAATATCATGAACTCAAAAGAAAATGTAAATTAAATTTTATAAACTTCTAACGAAAACAAACTTCTATCATCTGGTGCTACTGAAAATGATCATGTGCCTTTTACTTAAAATTTCAACTTAAATTTTAATAATTAGCAATATTTTATCAATAATAACTTTGTGAATAACTTTTAAAATCCTGCAATTGTTAACAATATGGTTAAAGCCTCGTTTGAATATTCAGATATGACTAATATTTCAGACACTAAGCATATAATCGTTCCTGGAACTGAGCCTATCAAAAAAGGTAATTTTAGCAAGAGTTCAAGCACCAATAATATAAATCATCATCCTTAAGAAAATCCTAACCAAATCCCGCTATATTAAACAAATAATCAAGTAATATTTTTATTAACAATTTCCAGTATTAAATAAAATATTTAATAAAGCTTAAGAGTAGCAATCAATTTGATATCTAGTAGAATCTAACCACAGAATCAATTGAAGTAGACCTTTCGGAAAAAAACACACATTTAGTTTATGATTCAAAGCATGATCTCACTCCAACTTTAAAGTATCATTTTAGTTTGACTTATTCAAATTAAATTTACATATTAAAATTATTTATTTATCTTGATATTCAAATTTAAACAAACATTTTCAACTTAATTATTTAGGAGAAATAATTAGAACGGAATTCCTATACAAGCTACGCCAAACCTAAATAAATAATCTTAGTAAAATAATATAAATAAGGTTTCTACTCCTTCAACTTCTGCTACAACTGACAAAAGCAATAAACAGAACACTACTAGTAAGTTAAATTCAGCCTAATTAAGTAAACAAAAATACAACCTTTCAGTCCATAGAAGCTCAAAACCTGAAGATGTACTTCATGAATAAATTATGGAGCTTTAAAAGCAAACTAAGAAGATGATTGAGAAGAGCTAACAAAAAATTAAGGTATGATTTTTCCATATTTTAGATTTATATTTAAGATAAAAATTTAAAAATAGTCTTATAGCCAAGAAAGAAGCTCTAGTTAGGCTAAGTAGATTAAAGCTGAAGCGAAAAGTCCCATGAATTTTGAAAAGTAAGTTAATAGATTAACTGAACATTCCTAAGTTGGATCTACATTCAGTGCAGCTCTAAGTAAAGGATCTTCATCTTGTAAGAATTAAAATTAAGGATACAAAGACCACTAAAATATAGTTCCTAAAGCAGAAATCTCTGTAAGGAAAGATTAAGACTATTACAGCAGCAATAACCTTAATTTAAAAAGAAACAGCAGCCAGGAAATATAGCCAGTTCGCTCTGCTAGCACCTAAGTGAAGGTACCATAGTAAGAAAGCAACAATTCATTGTAAAGCTCATTTAATGTGTTTTTAGCTCAAAATATGAATAGCTCTAACACCTTTTAAGATAAAAGTCCTAGTTATATTTCAAGTTAAAGCTAAGTTGAAAATAAGTTAAATTCTATTAAACCTAAACTTGCTTCTAATACTTCAATCTAAAGCAGCATAAATAACTCAGCCTAATCTAAATCATAGCTTAAATACTATTAGAATGAAACAATTAATAATCTTAGTAGTATTAATAGTAGTAGAGCGAACTAAAATACAAGCAAATAGAATAACTCATCTATTTCTAATTACTTAAGCAACTAACAAAGTCTAAATTAAATAAATATTCCATTAAAATTAGGCTTGGTTACAACTGTTGAAAGTGATAGAATTAGCAAACATGATTTTGGTTCCCAGCAGCAGTATATTGACTTTTAGAACTATAGTTCAACTCCTATGAATGCCAATTCAAACATATAAAGCAATTCAAATAGAAATAATGATTTTATCAATTAAAATAAAGTTAACAATGTTTAAAAGAGCTAATCAAATATCGCAAATAATTCAACAAACGATAAAAACAAAGTTGCTTGCTAATGGTAAACTAGAAGTCAGATAAAAAATTTGTTAAAAATGAAACAAGACACATTCTTTTCTCACCAAAGTTAAGCAAAGAGCAACATCTTACCTAATGAAAAAAAGATGAATTTTAAGTCATGATTTATTTAAAGAGAATTCTACGAATGTGTTAATTTCATGAACAAATAATTAAAATTTAAATAAATAAATGAACTTTATCAAAAAATTATAAAATGATACTGATAATTTAATTTCTTATTTTCCTACTCTAACATTAATAAAATCCATCAATTTTAATTATTTGAATATTTTCTAAGCTTTAATCATTAAAATTTAGGTTGGATATTAATTAATATAAATTTGTTTATTACTATTTTTGACATAGAAGTATGTATATAAAAATCTAATATATTATAAAAGTATCAATTACTTTATTATTTTCTTAATTAATTAGTCATAATGTTTACTTCAAACTCTATATTTTTAGTTTATATTTTAGTTATTCTTATTATGTATTTTTTTTTTCTTAAAATTTTATAAAAAATGTTTCTATTTAGTAGATCTTTATCATTTCTTTAAATAATCTATTTACTTATGCCTGACTTGTAAATGAACTATTTGTATTACAATAAAGTGAAATCAATATTTATAATATTAAATAAATTTAACTTCTTATTAAGAAAAATGTTATTTTATTTACTTAAATCTTAGTAAATTTGCAAAATAAATTAGCATTTTATGATAAATAATTTTATTTTTAAATCTATTTTGTGTTTTTAATTCTTTTTAAAACTCTTCAACAAAAAAATTATGTTGTTTATTACTATTTTGACATAGAAATGTATGTGTGTATATATAAAATCTAATATATTATAAAATAATCTATTAAATTATTCTTTTATTAATTATTTAGTTAATTAGTCATACATAATATTTACTTCAAACTCTATGTTTTTAGTTAATATTTTATTTATTCTTAAAATATTATTATTTTTTTTTTCTTAAAATTCAATAAAAAGATGTTTCTCTATAGTAAATTTTAATTAATTTTTTGTAAATAATATATTTAATTGTGCTTGATTTGTAATGAACTATTTGTGTTTGAATAAACTGAAAAAATATTAAAATACTAATTTAATTTTAGTTTCTTTATTTAGAAATTAATATTTTATGATATTAATTTTACTTTTGATTTTTCGCTGTAATTTAAAACTCTTCAAAAAAAAATTAAGTTTAGTTAAAAAATCCGCTATAAGAACATTAAGATTTTAACCTTATTGTTATAAACCGGTTCTATAGTATAGCGGTTAGTACTGGGGACTCTAAATCCCTTGACCTGGGTTCGAATCCCAGTAGGACCTTTTTTTAATTAATAATAAAAACAAAAAGTATAGCACTTTTTCTAAAATTGTAGTTTTTAATGAGCAAGTAATATTAATGTCTGCTTTTTTATAATTTTTTTAATAATTTTAAGGCAATATTGTTTATTTGTTGAAATTCCAAAATATTCTTTTTACTTTTATAATAATATAGTAAAATAAGACTGATTTGTATTTCGTTCTAATTTATAAGTGAATTAATTTAGACTTAATTTGTGTGAGTTGGTTCTATAGTATAGCGGTTAGTACTGGGGACTCTAAATCCCTTGACCTGGGTTCGAATCCCAGTAGGACCTTTTTTTAATAAAAAAAATTTTTAGAAATAAAAATAAATAAATCAATCAATATTGCCAAAATAAATAAATATTTTAATTTTATTTAGTAGAAAGAAAAAATATCATGTTTTTTAGAAACAAATGCATAAAATTGAAATTAAATGATAAATGAAACTTTTATTGCTAATTTCTAAAAAAAATATTAATAGTTTATTAAAATAATCAATTTTTAACAATTTCGAAGCTATTTTTAAATGATAAGAAAAATTTGATATTATTTTTACATTTCAGTATGATTAATTTCTCATTAATTTTTTAATCTAATTTTATTTGAGTAATTTTAAATTCTATTTAATTTAATTTTGCATATCATTTCTTTAATCTTCACTTTTTATTTAGAATTTTTGAATAAATTGAATAATAAATATATTTTTTATAATGACGATATAAATAAATAATTGGTTATTAAATACTTTTAATACATATATAAATTATTCTATTTATCAAATTTCATGTTTTTCGTTTTTTTACTCTAAAAGCTGAGTTCTCAAACTATTTTAATCTAATTCTTTATAAGCCTTTTTTGCTATTTTATCTAAAGTGAGATCTTCATCTGGCTTATTGTTTAAGAATAAATCTTCACCAAATTTATCAACTAAGTAGGCCTTCATATCTGCCTAACTAAGTTAAAGTCTCTTTCTCATATACAAATATATCTTTCTCTTTAATTCGTCATTTACATATGTTTCAAATATCTATCCTGGAAGCATCTAATGAATAAAATAATTAAATTAAAATAAAAAGAAATTTCTTTTGAAAATGCTTACAGATCCTATTTTGTATGGGCCATAGCTTAATCTTTTTAGTCTGCTTACTCTCAAATCAAACTTCTGCATAACTTTTCTAATTTCTCTATTTTTTCCTGTATATAAACCTACTGTTAACCAAGTGTTAGAAGACTACCTTTTATCTATTTCTACCTAATTTTTTATTAATAAAAATAAATGAAATAAAAATAAAAAAACTCTTTCATTTTATAAAATTTGTGCAAAGAAAATTCAATTAAAATACACAAAAATAATTTTTTTTAAGGATAAAAAATTAAAAATCATTAAATAAAATTACATTAAAAGGTCCATATTGTACTCCATTAATCACTGTTCCTTATCTTAATTTAAGTAATTTTCTTTCATCAAGCTCTCCTTAAACTCTAACTCTGTACTATCTGTAAATATTTGATTCTGGCTATTCTAAGCACTGTGCGATATCACCATCATTTGTTAATAATATCAGCCCCTCTGAGTTATAATCTAAACGACCCTTTACATTTTTATAAATAAAAAATCAAGTTTCTAGAATTTGTGAAAAATATTACGACTGCTATAATATGAGGTTCTTTAATCTTAGTGTTATTGTAAATATAATTAAAAACGGAAGGTCTTTTCAGAGGATCTTGTTTTAATAAAATATTAAGTTAAATTTATTCTTGTTTGCAATTTTTTCTTACCATCATGTGAGCAAATCATTCCTCTTGGCTTATAAAAGATCCAAATTTTAGCATTTTGCTTAACTGGTGCGAATTTTTCTCCCCTTTAAGTAAATATCTCTATATTGTTTTTAGGAGTGACAGGTAAATTGCTTGTTGCTACCTTACCATCTACTTTAATGAGTCCATCTTTTATCATTTTCTCTGCTTATCTTCTAGAGCAGACTCCTGATCTGCTTAAATATTTTGACAACCTTTCTTCATCTGTTAATTTGTTATTGTTAAGATTGAAAACAAAAATTTAATTTGCTTTTATATTTACTCATCACTTATTTTCTCAATCTCTCATATTGGATTTACTATTATACTTTTTGGTCTTTCAAGAGTTAAATTCTTCTAACTTCGCTATCATCTATATCATCGTCATTTCTTGCTAATTCGCTTTTTTAAGTTGTTTTTTTATCTAACTCAGGAGATTTAATCTTCTACTTCTTTTAAACAATTTGAATGTCTTCCTCATTTTATTCAATATTTTCATTTAATTTGCTACGACTTGATTTTTAAGGCTTTTCTACTTTTTTGACTTATTCTTCTTTCTGTTGTGATGCTTCCATAGCTTCTTTAATTAATTCAGCTTATTTTAATTTATATTCATTCTCTTCTTCAATCTATTTAGCTCTATTAAATACTTCTTAATTTGCCTCTAAAATCTATTTATTTTTTGCTGTCCTCCTTGCAAAGTACTAAACTTAATTAAATAATGTCTATTTGACTACTGGCTAAGGCCTAAACAGGCAATTAAGTAATAAACCTCTTATCATTTATTATAAATTTACAAATTTGAAATTTATTATAAAAATTTAATTCTTCAAACTAAATCAATAAATATTATCCCATCCGCTAATTGATTGATTCTAAGAATTTCTCAGAAGATATTATTAGATTTATATCTTTAATATATACTATTCTACCTCTACTATCTAGCAAATTATATTAAAAAAAGTACTGCTAAAAAATAAAATATTCAAAAAAAATTACTTATTTTAATATTTTATTATTTTAAAAATCAATAAAATGATAATAAAATTTTAATTAAATGCCTAATTTTTTCTAATATATAAATAACTGGACAATATATCATAAATTAAATAACATAACATTTTGAAATAATTTAATTTTTCTGTGATAAATTTTTATGAAATTATTTATTTTTACTAAATATTAGTTGAATAAAATTTTTTATACAATTAAAAGACCTTTTCTTAATTTAATCATTATTTTATATCAGTTTTATAATTAAATTGTTAATATAAATTAATAATTTTTTTTACTTAATTCAATATTTGTAAAAATATTATCATTATTTCAAACAAAAAAAAATGATATATAAGAAAAAAAATAAAATAGAATTTATTGGTCTAGAATAAAAATAGACAAAAATAAATTATAAAAAAATAATTAATCTTAAAAAAATTAAACTTTTAAACATTTATTTTTAATAAATATAAATTGAATAAAATGTTTGTTTGTATAATAAAAATACCACTTCTTAATTTAATTTATTATTTTTGATTAATTTTATATTGAAATTATTAATGTAAATTTAACATGGCAATTCTTTTACTTAACTGAATATTTATAATGTAATCATTACTTTTATACAGAGTGATATAAAGAAAATAATTTAGAATTTAACTATCTATAATAAAAATAGCTTATTATTAATTTCTTTTAGCATATATTTTTTCATGATTTTAAATTTAATTAAATTAATGATTAATTTAAAAAAAATAATTTATTTTAAATATTTCTACTAAATTACTACCAAATATTAAAAAAAAATAATATCCCAAATTATAAAATCAGAATAAATGATGAGATCAATATGTTAGTTTTCTAAATCAATTTGGTTTACGCACAAATAAGATTTATCAGTTAAAAAGGAGAAAATTTGTTTGTAATTCTGTTCATTATATTTTTAAGAAATTATGGAAATATAAATAAATGAATTTAATAAGCCATTCATTCATTGATTAATTGATTAATTTATTTATTCATTGCTTATTTGATTGATTTTATTAGATAGTTATCTTTAAAAAGATAATTAAATTAACATCAAAAAAGAAAAAATCTTATAAAAATAGCTGTTGATCATTTGTGTTTAATTAATTTTAAGAGCAAAACATAACGAAATTATCGTATCTAGTTAGTTAATAAGATTTTTAAACAAAGATATCAATTAAAAATGGATTAAATAAAAGATAGCTAAATCCTTCCATCTTAATTTAATCAGTCTGCATAATTTAAAGGTAAATAAAAATGCTATTTAGCTTTGATAGCTATCTATAAACACTTTTACCAATAAAATTGCTTTTATTTTTAATATTGAAATTTATATAATTAAGAGTTTGAAGCAAGGTGCACAGAGAGGGTTTTATAATATCTCACCTAGCCAAGCTAATTTTAAGGTAAAAAGAAAAATGAAACATAAATAAATATTCTAGATACTAATGTTATTCTCTCCTTAATATTAGATGAACAGCAGTAAAAGTAAGAAAATTTGATTGAATAGTTTCAACTGAATATAGAAGAAGTACTTAAATATTAAACTGCAGAGCCATAATAAAAGGAATATGAACAAAAAATCAATAACTTAGATGATTAAATGAATAATGGTCTTAGGCCTAGTGAATACAATAATGAAAAAATTCAATCAAACGATTAAAATTCAAAACCTTCTCAAAAATTAGAAAAAATACCTACATTTTCATAAAAAGATGATGAAATGTTTCAAGATGAAAATGCAGGAGTTGATAAGAAATATTCTTAATTCTTCCACAATAGTCTTCAAGTTAGTGAAGACTCATGCTATTAAATTTTACAAGACAATTAAGAGCGTTTCTAAGTATTTTATTTTTATTATTAATTATCACATTTTCAAAATTATTTCATTTGTTTGCTTTATTTTGGTTTGGAGTGTCAATTTAACAGAAAAATTAATACAAACTGATAGAATATTTTCAAATATGATTTTTTTAGATTAAAATAGAAAATTAAATAAGTTTTTCATAAATTAGATTTCACTAATATACTATTTTGATACTAAAATATCACTATAAACTAAAAAGAAACTCAAAAATGATTTTTTTATTTATGTGATTTCATAGAGAATTTAATATTAATAGTTTTTAACAAATAATATATGATTCCTAAAGTATTTAAAAATCACATTACAAAATAAATTATTAATATATTTTCACAATCAAAATATCAATTTATTTTTATATATTCCGCCAAGAAACTAGTTTATGAGAATAACTTTTTTTTGTAAAAACTATAAATTTACAAAATAGCAAAGAAAAATAATACCTATCCCAATAATATTTATCATTTTTACTATGTATTGTTATTTATTTTTATTTGTTTTTTTTATTTTTTCATTTCTAAAATATTTTTTTAACAAAAAGGATGAAGAAAAAGAAGGCTAAGGCAATCTTCTAGCTATAGGCAATTTAAATGATTAAATGAAAAATTATGAGCTATCTAGTATTCAACAAAACACTTAGAATTCTTTGACTAATTTCAATCCAAATGACGATGTGTTACTAACTTCGAATAGAGATATTGGAAATTAGTAAGGATTTAGTAGCGAACTAAATAATTTAATGCAACTAAACTTAAATTTATTATTTCCTAATTCACAAGTAGATTCTGAATCTTAAAAATCTAGTGTTAGGAAATAGTTTGATAATTAACAGTTTTTTTAGTCTTCAGGTAATATAGCTTCATATCATGAAGGAGATGCTAAAAAGGAAACTCTAACTGCAAAAGAACTTTATTTGAAAGCTAAAGAGCAAAATAGAATATTTTTAGAAAACCTCTAAAAGCAAAGCATGAGAATACATTTTGACGAACTTCTATTAGGTGAAAACCCATTTAAGGATAGCAAATTGTTAGAAAATGAGCTTAAAGAAATGAATTAAATGACAAATTAAGAGTAATAGGAGGAAATTTATAGTTAGTTTAACTAAGTTCGTGTAAAAACTCCAGAGTTGGCAAATAATGATTTAAATAATGGTGAAAAAACATGCATTAACACATTAATAACTGAATGTGGAGAATAAGGGGATCTCTTTTTTGATTTAAATGAGCTTGATAACTCCATAGATAATGGAAATTTCTACGAAATGATTTAATAGAATATCAATAAAGTTAAAGAATAAACAAACTTTCCTAATTTTAATGCTACATTTTATCCCTTAGACACAATAAACCTCGATCAAGAAAAATCAAAAGGAGAGTAAATGGATGATATTATTGTTTAACTAGACCAAAATCAAATTAATTCGTCCAATTAAATTTAATAAATTAATAATTCATCTCGCTGGAACACTAAAAACGCATCTTATTCAAGTGGAAATTAAAACCAAAATAATCAATAATGTAAGGAGCAAAAAAGTTAACCAGAATAAAAGAAGTAGGATTTGAATAAGAAAAAAACTATAAAATAATAGTAAAACGTAGCTCCTTAACAAGCTCCTTCTAATAATGCTGCAAGTTTGATAAATAAATATTATAACAAAAAAAATAGGTCGAACTCTTAATAGGTTTAATAAAACTCAAATTACAATTTAAACTTTAATCTTCATCCTTAATAAAATCGTAATAGCTCCTCAGCCTTTTGTGATAAGGAAAATTAAATTTGCAAAGAAACACTTAAATAGCATTGCTCTAAAGAGAATGAATAGGATCTAATAATCTTGAATCAAGATCCTAGAATCGAAATATTGCAAGTAAAAGCTGAATAAATGCCTTTAAAAAGCATATCATCTAATATTTAGAATAATATAACAAAAGAAAGTTCTAAGGAGAACTCAATTAAACAGTAAATAAATTAATTTAAGAATATTCTTTGCTCCAAAAGTGGAGTTTAAAATTAAAATTTAAGCAGCTTTAACAGTAGAAAAAACAGTAATGTGTCTTCAGTAACCTCTAGGTAAGGAGCTTCTTAAATGTCTTCTTAAAATGGAGTTTCTTTAATTAACTCTTAAAATGGAAGATAGGAAAAAAATAAAACAAATGGAGTTTCTGTAAGCAAATGTAATAATAGTAACACTAACCAGAGCCACTAACAAGTTAACTTAAATATCTTAACTAAATCTATAACTCATTTAAAACAAGCAAACAAATAACAAAAGTAAAACTTTGAAAATCAAGAAAATTAATATAAAAATTAGTAAAAAAAAATAACAAAAAATGCTGCTTATGAAGCGCTTTAGAAAATTAAAAATGCTCGCTCTTAACAACCATAATAAGGAGCAAACAAAGAAGATATATAACACTTTTCATAGAAAAGAAAAAGAGCATAAAGTATTACTGGGGATTACTCAAAAAATCATACTACTCATTCTTCAATAGATTAAAAAATAGAATCAAAATTAAATACCGAAGCTACTAGCTCTTCATCTTATTGTCATACTGATCAAGGATCAGAATTTAAAAGAATTAACAAAAGGTAATCAGTTCAAGCATCTTAAATTTGCTAATCTTTAGAAGATCTTCCAAGCGCCAAAGCTAAAGAAATTTCTTCTGACTAATATTTGAGAAGCTCATTAAATTAAGTAAGAAACTCCTTTAACGATTGCCTCAATTCAAGTGTGGCTAAAATACTAAACAATCCTAGAAAAATATCAATCTATGAGGATTAGCACCTTATGGATGCTAAAAAGCAAGAAATAGAAGCATTGCAAAACTTAATTAACAGCTACGAATAAGAAGAGTAAAAATTCAACTCAAAGTTAAATGAAATGAATGCCAATAATATCGTAATTGGAGATAAAAAATTCATATAATAAATAAGAAAATCCAGAGAAGAGAGAAAGCATTCAACTAGTAATGTTTTAGGTATTCCAACTAATGTCTCATTTACTTCCAGAAATAATTCAATGAGTATCAATCAATAATTAGAAGCAACATTCTCAAACCAACAGTAAAGATAAAGTCATTCAACTCAGCATGTAATAATAATTTTTCATTTAAAAACTTTATCAAAAAATAATATTTTAATTTACTTTATTTACTTTTAAAAATTTTATTAATTGTTTTCTTTTACAGCTTGATTTCAAATTAATTTAGAATATATTTTTTAATAAAAAGAACGATTTCAACTAAGTTCATCGCCTATCAGGAAGCTTTACAACAAAGAACTCCAGAAATCATGAAAAATCTTCTTAGTAAAATAGCTTTTCAATAGACTCCAGAATTACTAGCAATAACTAGAGCTAGAATTAATCAATGAATTCTTAAGTATAGTAATAACCTTGGTTTATGAAAAAAGCACCTTTTTATGTAAAGCAACAACAGAATTAGTAGATCAATAATCATTAGATCAGTTAAGATGCTATCTAAAATGTAGCTCCTTCCAACACAGCTCGTTCATATATTAACAAATCTTAAAATGAAATAGAAAATAAATCTCATTTAACAAGTTAATGCGAAGTTGTGTCTAACTCTCCAAACCCTAAGGAGTAAATTAATGGAATCATCAAGGTATGTTTATTTAACTTTAAAATTAAAAGTGAATAATTAATTCATTTATTTTAAATATCAGGATCTTATATCTGACAAGGTGTATTTACAAGCTGTAGCTTTGTTTACTTCTTGCTATTATTACTCTAAGTAGGGCACATAACCATAAAATAATTAATCTAGCATCGGAGCTTCTTTTGAATAGAAAGATACTCCTACTATTTGAGAGATTTTCTTGAAAAAAATCAAAAAAACAAACAACACCTTTAATTAATTTGGAAAGCTTAATAAATATATTATATTATTAATACTTTGTAAATACATATATATATAAAAAATTAAAATTCTTTAAAAAATATTTTTAATTAAATCATACTATATAAAATTTAATTTAAGGAATTTTTAATTAAAATTTTTTCTACCAACCCTTTTATAGTTTTTTTAGTTTAAGAAAGACTCTCTAATAATTTGCTTTATTTATGTTTTTTAGAGCAGAAAATATTTTCAAATGAAAAATTATAATTAAAATTTAAAAAATTTTATTAAAAAATGTAGAATCAAATAATTAAGTACTTAGTTAACTTAGAAAAGGACTAGTTTATAAAGCGCCTTTAAGAAAGTATAAAATTCATATAACAGGCAATATATTACAATAGTAAGTACCTAGACAATGAGCTTGAACTTTCTATTTGCTACTCTATGTTTTTTAGGGGATTAATTTACTAGCTGAACTAGAGTCATAATTTTTTAAATACAAATGAATCAAGTATTTCTACAGAAAACATATGCCTAATACCTAAGGAGAATTTGGATTTTAATGCCCAAGGAGTTAGCTTTCTAATTGTAATTAAAGCTATACAAAGTAATGAGATGAGTTTAGATGAAGCATCAGAGTAATTATAGTTAAAAGCTCAGTAAGGAATATAAGAAATATATTAAAATAAATTTGACTGTATACTTGAAAAATATAGCCCAAATTCTAATAAAGTATTTATATCTCTAGCTTTTTACAAAGACTTTGTTGATGTAATAATTAAATCAAAGCTAAATTAAGATTATGATAAATAAAATGAATGGAATAATATTCTTAATCAAATCAATAAAAAATATAATTTAGAAACTGATTAACAAAAGGAAATTGCTAAATAAAAAATTGTTAAAATATAATTTCTATAAAATAAAGTAGTACTTCCATAAAGTAAAGAAGATAATAATAAAGATGATATAGAAAAAATGAATAATTAATATGAAATTCTAAGTTTAAATTTATAGCAATTATAACAAAACAATTAAAGCACTTCAGATTCCTCTTAATAAGATGATAAAATTGAAAGATTAAATTGTGAGAAAGAAAATGAGAATTTTGTTGAAGAACAAATATAAAAGAAAGTAATTATTTTAAAAAAATCTTTGATTTTTAAGGAGGAAGAAAAATAAGACAATATTCAAAAAGAAAAACGTCTAAATCTAAATTAAGATAATAATTCTATCTTAAAGTATGTTATAAAAAAAGTATAGAGCAAAAAAATAGATTTAATTAAGAAATAAGTTAGATTTCTAGAGCAAAAAAATTAAAAACCAAAAGAGTATAAGCAAGATTAGGTAAGCAGCAAGAGAAAACGTAAAAATAAAAAAGAATATAAATAAAAGTATACCAAAAAAATAAAAAAATGAATGAAAATAAATAAACAATTTTATAATTTATAAAATTTTTAATTTTTTGTTAAATATTTACTTGTTTTTCATATTGTTAATTTAAATAAATCAAATGTTTGTTTCAACTACAATTCAATAAAATTTTTTCTTTAAAGCTAAGCTTTAACTTACTTTCTTTGAAAAATGATAAAGATTTTTTAAAAAAAATATTATGATGTTAAGATTGTTGATAGTTAGCCATTAAAAATAAACAATTTATCATAAAAAAAGAAAAATATTAATAAAATTTTATATACTTTTTTTAAGCTTTAAGCCATAAAAGTTTTCAAATTAAACTATTACAATTTTTTAACCATATTAATTATTAAATAAATAAATAAAAATATTTAGTTAAATGTTTATTATTATTTTTAATATGATAGCTTATATTTTATGATTAAAACTTTCAAAATTTTTTTTGATAAAATAATTAATTTTTTAACTGCCAATTTATTTTTTTAATTTTTATGTTTGTTTTATTTATAAATTTGTAATTTGATTTTAATAATTTTTTCTCAATTATGTCTTAATAGTTTTATTTAATTCTTTCTAACTCAACTCGTTTAAAAATATTGATCTATAATTTTACTTCCAAACATATTCTTTGATTCTATTAGAAGTGATTGATGTAAGAATTAAATTTTTTTTTAAATAATTGAAAAATGAAATTGAGCATAAAATAAATTAATTTTATTATATAAGAGAATATTAAATTTGATATAAAAAAAGTAAAAGATTAAAAATATAAAATAATTTGATGATAATTTAGTGAGAATATAAGACATAGATTATATATTAATACAATCAAAATAAAATTTACATGTGTTCATAGTATTATAAAGAAATTAATTTTTAAATTAAAAATTATAGAATTTAGAGGAGAGATATAAAGAAATTCAAGAGTTTTTTTTGAATTGATTTATTTTATTAGATTAGATAATTTTGAATTTGTACTTTTTATTCAGTTACTCAGCTTTTTATATTTAGTTTATATAAATTGTCATTATTATTTATAAGCACAAGAAGAGAAAATCATTATTTATTTATTTGTATCAAATATAGTTTTTTCAAAGAAAAATTAAAATATTTTATTGTTAATTAAAAGGAATAAATTTAATTCGATTGGTTGGTTGATTGATTGATTGATTGATAGATTATTGTAGGTTTGAATTCACATATTTGCAAGAAATGCAAATTTTTAGTTAAAAATTAGCTAGAAAAATTAATTAATAGAAAATGAACTCATTTTTCTGTCAAAATTCTGAATCCTTTCCAATCTTTAGGAGCTATGAAAGTAGATTCTTTTATATGTTCATAAAGAGTTTGGCTTGGACCGTCTTATCTAAATTAGAACCAAACCTATTATATTAATTTAAATAAATCATTGAAAGTCTTAAAAATTGTTATAGAATTTATTACTAAAGTTTTTTTAAGGAGTGAAGCAGCCTCAACCCATTTTCCGTCATGATAACATTTATATGCTTCTTCCCATGCTTGATAAAATTCCTTTTTTTTATTATATTATTGATAGATATATAACTTATTAATTAAGATATTTATTTTTTACTTAGGTATACTCCTTTCTCATTTCTATAATATCATGATCTTTGTCAAATAAGTCTGAAGGTTTTTGGGTTCCCTTTAAAATCTATGATTTTAATGCGTTTCTTTTCATTTTGTCTATGACTTTTTTCTTTCTTAGCATGGATGGAGTAAAATAGGAGAAGTCAAAAGGATCCTTCCCTTTTCTCTTTTCATAGAGTCTATCAAGATTAACATCACATGTATATAATTCTAATTTTTGATAAAAATTTGATAAAGCTATTTCAAGTAAAAGTATTTATTTAATTATTTATTACCTAATGGAACGATAGAACCCTTAACTGTGACACAATCTATCTTTCTTAGTTACTTTTAGAGTTTTTCAGATAAAATGTCTCTTAAATTACCACTAATTAATAGTCCTGTACCAAATTATTTAGTAGCAGCTTCTAATCTAGAAGCAATATTAACATTTGGACTTAAATAAGAAGCATCAATTTTATAATCTGATCCTATTGCACCCTAAAATATATGATAATTTATAAATATTTATCAAAGTCTAAAATAAAATCAACATTATCAAAAATTAAAAAAAAAGTAAGAATATGCCTAAAATCATCTTATTAAAATGAAATTAATCATTAGAGAAATAAAAAAATTAAATTTATCTTCATTCATTCATTTTATTTTAGTTTTTTTATCACTTGACAATTAAAAAAAATTTTTTATTAATATAATTTACTTCAATTGCCCAACCAAAGTGAAGTCCGAATCCCATCTTTACTTTGTATCCTTTCAATCTTTTTTAGAGACCTGGATGGTGCTTGTATTTTCTTAATTTTTTTGATAAAGTAATGGCTGCCATGATTTTAACGAAAGCTATTACAGAGGAATCAGCATAATTAGATGTAATATCATTTTTTAAGAATTCCATAGTACCATCTGCGTTTTTTAAATAATCTTATTCTCTAAATTTCCACACTAGTAGGAAAGCGTCACCTATATTTTTATTTGCCGAGCCTAGATTTTGATCAACAGTTTAATGCACTATTTAAGCTATCTCGTTAACAAAAAGCATGACTCCTTATTATAATACTTCTGTTGCATCTGTAAAATTTCTGATATCACAAAAACCGAAAACGGCCATAATTTTAAGTCCAGGCAACATAGGATCAACTGTTCCGTCTATTTATTTTTTTATTTATAAAGTAAATTAAAGTTATAATTAATATTCCACCATTAAAAAGGTAAAGCAAGCAAAACACATATTCAGATTATATTTTTTATTTAGATAATATGATAATAATTTTTAAAAATTTTTACTGTTATTCATATTTTTTGCTATGATTTCAGATCCAGCTTCTCCGAAACCAACAGCTAAGAGTGCTCCGATTCTTATGATCAATTTTTCTAAAACTGTTGTTTCATAACCTTCAGTCTCTTTGATTCTTTTAAGCTCTTCTACATTACCATCTTATTCAAGTTATTCAATAGCAAATTACTCCTTTTCTTCCATCTGAGCTGCTTCAAGTGGATTTTAAGAAATTCTTTTAACTTTTTAAAGCATATTTTCTATTGGATCAAGAATAAACTTTTCGACATCTCCTGTAAATTTAATTGAAGCAATTGTTAAGACAACTGCTACAAATACTGTTCTACATATAGAAAGACCAGCATCGATCTGATTTGATTTCTAAGAACTAACTATTGAAGTCGCAACTATATTACCATTCTAGATAAAAAAATAATTAATCAAATTGTACAAACAATCAATTTTATTTACTGCATCTGAATATGTATAATACGTTAGGTCTGCATCTCTAAGAGTTGTAAAATCAGGGACGTCTGTATCATTAATTCCTGGGAAGATTTTAATTCCATCGATATCAAGCCTAATCATAGGTGTGAACTAATTCTATTTTATGATTTTTATTTTTTAGATTGTTAATTGAATGTAATATTTTAAGAATATTTAATACATAATTAAAGCTTGTATAGAGACTAATACTGTTTTGATAAACAATTGGACTTGGTTTGTTTCTGTTTTAATAAATATAAGGTCAATTTTCTATTAAAATTAATCAATATTTATTACTAATAAATTAAAGACAGACCACCTTAATATGAAGTTGCAGGATCTGTATAAGTATCGTAGGTAAAAATAGGAATGCTAAACATAATACATAGAACTATAACTATAACCCTTTTTATTGTCACATCAGATAAAGCTTTTCCGACTTTTGTTTCTTAATTTGCAAGTTTTGATGCTTTCTTTTTTTTTAATAATAAAACACTTTAATACCATTCCTTCATAAATTTAAATTAAATTTATTTCTCCCATTAAATTTAATTATTTTATGATTTATAAATTCATAAAAAATAATATTTTTGGAAGAAAAAATTAATAAAACTGTTTGTTAATATAATAAGAATCATACAGATTTATTATTACTAACCTGCTTTTTTGCTTTTAGAAAGAGAGATAAATATTGAATAAAATGTAACTGTCAATTAATTAATTTGTTTAATTATCTTTAATTTTATCTATTTATTTGCGATTTTTATTTATTAACATTAAAAGTTTAAATAGTTAAAATATCATACTAAATAAATATCTCAAAGCTTGGATAGATTTCCTTATTATCAAAATTTAATAAAATATTAAAAAAATAAATATCATTTTTTGTTAAAATAAATCAAGACAAGTTAGTTAATTAAGAAGATCGACTTTAATTAAAATATCTTATTTGAATAAACTAATTTTTCTTAATTAAGAGGATAAATATTTGTATTTGAACTGCTAAGAGGAACTTTTACTTCAATATTAATATTAAAGGGATAATTAACTTGGCAATTGTATATAAACGAAATTTTATTTAGCATAAAAAAATATTAGAAGGAAGGAATAGATAAATAAATAAATTTAAATATATTTATTTTTTTATTTTACAGTTGCTGAACTCTAGCTAACATTATTATTGCTACTCTAATTGAGTGATTGGGATTTAGAATAGCTTGAATTTCTATCTCTATTTGAAGAAAGGTGCCTCTTTTGGTTTCTTTCTTGTGGTTAATCTTCTAACATATCTGATTTCACCAAATTATTTTCAGAGTGATTGCTTTTTGCTTTAGAATTAACATCATATGGAGTGACTCTGTTTTTATTTAGAGGAATTATTTCATTTGTCTGGTCATCTAATCCTTATCTCTCTATAATTAGTGAATTTTTAAAAATAAATTAATCCACTCTTAAATGTTAAATTAAATTAAAGCTAGAATCGATAAACTAACTAACTAACTATATTCAACCAAAGAATTATGCAATTTCAATTCTTAGATTTTATAATTTTATTATCTTTCTACAATTAAATAATTTATTTATTTATTTACATAAAAAAGTCTGCATTTTCCCTTTTTCTCCTTTATTTTGAGAAGTGCGCATTTAATCATTTTGCTAGTCCTAACCATTTTCTTATGTTCCATTTAATGCAGGGTTCATTGCAGCTGTAAATCCGTTTTATTGGAGCATTGTAATTTAAGGTGTTTTGCTTCTTATGCTATTACCTTTTTTGAAATTTCCTGTCCCATTTCTTTAGTATTAGGGATCATTTATGCTATCAAACGACTCTGATTTTTAATCTTGTTGCATTCTTTTTTATTCTTCCATTAATTATCTTTATTCTTCCTCGAATTTTTTAGCTTGCTTTTATAAAGCTTGCTATGCATGCTTATATAGCCTAACCAGTCGAATAAGACGTACAACTCTAACTATTCTACCTGCTCTTGTTCCTAATATTTTTAATTATTTCGTATAAGTAAGTATCTATCTCAATTAGATGAGAGTATAATTTATAAAATATAATCTCAGTATATCAATTTTACATATACTTGTTTTATTTTTAATAGTTGCTATTTTATTTCACTAATAAGTTTTTAAATAAATCCATAAAATATTTTCCTAAAACATCTATCGAAGATTAATTAATAAATAAATAAATTATTACCTACACGAGATGCTCTACTTGCTTTTGCAAGAGATGCAACACTTCCTCCTTTACCTTTTCCTGTCTGGAATATCAGATTTGAGATCCATCCAATGTCCAAAATTAATGACACTGTAGATAAGAAATCTAGCCAAAAGAAGAAACCCAAAAAATATCCAGGCTATTTTAATATTTTTTTAAAAAAATATGAAAAGCGATATATGTATGTTAGATTTAATAATTCATGTATTTATTTATTTATTTTTAAAAAATAAAAATCCCTCCTTTTCATTTATACTTATTTTTATTTAAAAACGAATTGAAAATTGTAAAGCATCAAATAACTCTTTAGATTAATTTTAAACTGAAATTTGTTTTCTTTTTAAATAATTGTCAATTAAATTTGGGTTTTTAAGAAACTAATAACAACTTATTCAAAATATTTTTTATATTACTATTAATCAATTAATTAATTTTAAGTAGATTTTTGTAAATAGCATGAAGTAAGCAATGTAATCTTTGGCTATCGGTAGAGATTTATTACTTGATGATTTTTTTGCTGGTATTTTGTGAAATATATTTGCCAAATTAAGTAAGTTAGTAAAGGAAATTATTAATTGTTTACAGTAGAAATAGATTGAAGGATAATTTCTAGTGAGAAAGCTGCTAAACAAAAAGCACTTGCTCCCCAAAAATAAGGATCAGCATCTTTTGTTGTTGCAGCTACTCTAATATCATCAGCGAATAATGCATACAAAGTAATGATTGCCATAACAATAGAGAATGGAGTGGAAGTGACAAAGCTTTATATTTTATCCTAAATAAATGTTAAAAAAACTTAAAGATAGAGTAAATCTTGATTAAATATTTAATTGTTTTTATATTTTGTAATCAACAAATAAATAGATTCATTCTATTCTTGCTTGTATGTTTGATAGCTATTACATCACTTATTAATAAATAATATAAAGGCTATAAAAAATATGATTAGAACTATAATAGATATCAATAATAATAAAAATATCTAAATAGTAATTCATCTCTTACTTTGCAAGATTCTGGTTAGTAATGATCTATAGCTTCATTTTTTAATGATTGTGAGCTTCTCATATTACCTAGCTTTTATTCCCTAAGCATAGCTTTATAAAATGACAATTAATCACTCAAATTTAAATAAATTATGTAAATTATTGTGGTGTTGCTAACTTAAAAACACCAAATTTACCTTTATATGTACTCTTTTTTGATGATTTTCTTGAATTATTCCTTGAAGAATTTCTTTTCTCTATTTTTGGCTGATATAAAATAAATTTTATTTGCAATTCAGATATTGAGTAAATTGATGATTAATGTAAGCCATAAATGTTAAAAATATAAAAATGATACATTGAATTCCTTTTCTTCATTGTTATTCTAAACTGTATTATTTTCATTATCAATGTTATGATTTATATTGATCTCCTTTATAGGCGATTCTGACTCCATTTTATAACTTTTTATTCAGAAATTGGAGCTATTAGTTGATTCTTTCTTTCTCTATATATCTAAATATATCAAATTCTTTAAATTAACTTTACTTCCTATTACTTTTTTTACTAATAATTATCAATTATTTTAAAGTAAATACAATTCAAATGATATGCATGAATCGAATATTTGCATATTTAATTTAATAAATATATTTGTTTGGTTGATAAAAACAGATCAAACCTGAAAAATTGATCGATTTTTGCAAATCTAAATCAAAAAACACTCATTGTTAGTTAGTTAGTTATTTATTTATTTAATTATTTTTGTTTGTTTATTTATTTTTTTTTACTTGGTCTATTGATTGGTAAATGTTATGCTGTACTGTATATGAAAAATAGGTTACGTTATTTACTTCTATATTATTTAGCTATTATTTTTTTAATAATAATGTATTCAAAATAACTTAAAAACTTTATTTAGACAGCCTTTCATTTATAAAATTGAATAGGCATAATATTAATTATACAAGTTTACTCATCTTAAATTATTCACTCTATAACACTTTTATATTTATTTTTTAATATTTAAATATCTCACAAAACTCTTCTTCAAAATCCGCTTCTTCCTTGCTTACCTGCATTTTATTTAAACTTCAAATTCTTTAATTAATTAATTCCACTCAAATCCAAAATACTTTACATCAAACGCAGCTTAGAACAAATTAATTGACTCCCAAAGATATTGATATAATCTATAAATTAAATTCACTTAAAGCAAACAAATATTTAAGGACACATCAAAAAATTCCAAAAACTTAGAGTAAAGATTCAATTTACCTTTTAAACTCAATCAAAAAGTATCAAAAAATAATTATTACATTTTTCTACAAAAGTAAATTCGCAAAATACCAATTAAATTTTTAAGATTTTGATTAATCTAAAAAAAAAATCTAAAAATTACTATATGAAGTTTGGAATTATTAGTCATAAAATAATTTGAAATTTTAAATATTTTGAGAAAATTAGTAAATATATATATATATAATTTTTGTTAACTCTTCTAGATGAAAAAATAAGTAAATAAAATAAATTAATAAATTATTAATAAATTTGATGAAATCTATTAATCTAAAATAATTCAGTATTAATGCCTATAAATACTTAATATTGTTACTGGAGAATCCGCTTCATAATCTTCACTAATTTTAAATAAATAAAAAGCTTTAAAAAGACAAATTAAGTAAAATACATACACATCCATCTCTTAATTATGATAGTCTAAGTTATATGTATATTTTATGTGATTTATTAAATAAAAATTATGATTACTATGAAAAATAAAAATTTAGGCAGCTCTAACTTAGTTTACATAATATATTTGTAATCTCAAAATAAATTATTGATAAATTTAACTTAAATCGAAATTAATTTTTAAGAATATATCAATAATTTATTAACTTTCAATTTAATAAAATTATCTACATTTTATAATGCTTAAAAATTCAGATATTTTTCAACTATTCTCCCAGTAAATATCATATTTGATGTAAAAAAATAAATAATTTAACATATTTATTCATAAAATATAATTTAAAATAGATATTTTGAAGCAAATTAAATTAATTCTAATAATAACTTTAATTTTTAAACTTTAAATAAATTTGAAGAAATTGGTTTTTAAGTAAAATAGATAAATTTAAAAAATAATTTTAATTTAAATAAATTTTTGTTTGAAAATATTTTTATTTATTCTTTCATTCATTGATTTATTCAGCAAAATGTTAATTGAATCAAAATCTTTAAGTAAAATAAATTAATTCAGTTATAAATTTAATCTAAAAAAAATATGATTGAAAGAATTATTTTAAAGTCAACTTTTGAAATAAGTAATCTTGATAAGAATATATAATCTATATTTCTATTTAAAATCACAATCAATTATTAAAAAAAAAACAACAAAAGTTTAAAATAAGAAATTATTTTTAGTATTGGCAAATAATTAATAAAATATTTCGTTTTTTAAATTTGGTTTACAAAAATTTTATTTATTTATTTAGCATTTTAAATGTTTGTATTTTTAAATTGGTTTTTGATGATATTAAAATGAAATGTTTAACTGAGAATAGCATGCAAAATATTTATAAAAGAGCAAACCTACTTGAAATTTTATTGATAGAAACATAAACTATAAAATAAATATCTTTTGAATTTGGATATATATCTCTTTATAATTTCTAATAAACAAAATTTATTGTTCTTTGCAAATAGTTTTTATTAATTAGGTCTACAAGATAGATAGATATATAAATAACAAATGACTGAATTCTTAGATTAGAAATAAGCTAAATAGGAAGGCAAAAAAAACTTAATTTATTCTTATCTTAACATAACAAATAACTTTGTAGTTAAGGGGAGCGCTTTTGTTGAGTTGCATTTAAACAGCGGATTTGAGGAGGATAAATTCCCTAAAATTCCAAACAATCAATATCATCAGTTTAAGATAACTCAAAAAGAATCTGAAAAATATTTTAGCCTACTTACTTACTTGATTTTATGGTCTGATGATGCTATTTAAATCTATTAAATATTTGGTTCTTCCTAATCTGAAGGCAAATTAATTGACACTTCGCTTTAGTTATATCAATAAATCAATGGAAGAATTAATAGCATAAAGCCTTTTAGACGCGAAAACAATGTTTATTTAGTGGTTTTTTTAGAAAAAAAGAAAATGATAACTCTTTTATATGATAGATAGCTTAATTGTTTGCAAACAATCACCTAACACTGCTTCAGAAGTTAGCTTGTTAATGAAATGAATGCCACTTGTCTTGAAAAAGAACTAGATGATGATAGTGTTAAACATCACAATTTTTATGGAAAAACAGATATGAATATGCACGAACAAAATGTAAATGAACTAGTTTGTGTTTTAATTTCAAGAAGAATTTTAGCTCTTTGCTTTAATAACAATTCATATGACTTGTACTTTAAATCTATTACTTCCCAGTTATAATAGAATAACTTTATTTAAGCTTAGTAAATATACTAAAGTATTCCTCAGCCACATTAACCATCTGTGCACCCAGAAATGAAACAAAATAAGATTATTTTTGCTCCTTAGATTTTTTATTTAGATTTATAAAAAAAATATGATTTGAACCATATCATAGATTATGCAGTTGTAACGCTTAAGCAAATAAAAAACAACCCTGATTAGACATTGCAATTTTAGCAATAACAAATGATGTCAAACCAGTATATGTCAAACTAAAACTTTGGTATTTAGCATAAGCCGATTTAGACCAGCATTTATTAAAAAATACCCTACATATTTATCATCAACAAGAAAATCCACTATAGTAAGGAGGAATAATCTAATTTACTATCTAATATGGCTAATAGTAATCTTGAAGCTCCTATCTATGAATGCATAAAAATAATCTAAACTGAACTCATAGTTATTTAAGCAGATTTATAGAAGTATGCTTAATCTCAATTACAATAAGCTTAACAGAGTACATAAAGTAAAGCTGAGCACCCAAACGAAATGTTTAACTTATAAGATAATTAATTACCTCCATAAAATACTATGCAACCAGCTTTTAATGATAAATTTGATCACTTCAAGGTATTTTACAATTCAAAAAACAACTAAAAATAATTATTTTAAGTTTATATTTGTGCTTAAAAATTATTATTTTATTTTTAAATATAAATATTTTATTAATTAATTATAACTTAGCATCCCTAGTTTGAAAGATTGCCTTCGAATACTTATCATATTTAAGCTCTCTAAAATAACTTAATATTAATTATGTCAAACTATTATTTGTATTTGGGAACACCGACTACATATTAATATGAATTTACATGTCTTGCCTTCCATCACTAAAAATATTAAATTGATCAACAAGTAAATTCTTAGTTTCAATATTCAATTTATTTTAATATTAACTCTAACCATAATTAACCAAATAATAAAAAATTTTTCACTTTAGATAAGGTTTTTTTAGAAATCTTATTGATTGTCCTTTAATTAATAAATAAGCAATACACATCTATATTTATCAATCTAATATATTCTAAGCTGAATAGATTTTGCCCATTTTTTCAAATTAGATCTCAAAAGTTTTAAAAAATGAAACCCTTAAAACGCTTGTTAAAATTTTATTGATAATCTTTAAACAAAAATTGTTGAGGTAATTAATTCCTTGCGTTATCAATAGCTAAAAGAGACAAGTGTAAAAAATAAAATAGTATTAAAATGAGTAAATAAAACTAAATTAATTAAGCAAGATTATTGGTATAATTAAACAAGAAACAAATAATATTATAAAAATAGATAAATTCATAAATCATTAAGCAATATAGGAGTTGTATTATTAATTTAGATAGAAAATATTAATACATTTTCTAATTATTATTTACAAATATTTGTAAAATTTAAAAATAAGATTATGAATAAATTCGATAAAGGAATATTGTAAAAATGAAAATTAATTTACTTATTTTCAAATAAAGGTTTTAATATGAAAATATTTAATAATTTATTCTAAAAATTAATTAATAAAATATTAACAAAAATAAAAAAATATATATATAGATAAATTTAAAAGACTTTTAAGGAGCCACTATAAAAAATGAGTTGAATATAGATTAAGATGAAGGCTTAGAAAATGTTACATTTTAATAACTTGACGAAAACAGAGTTTTAATGAGAGCTTTAAAAAAAATATTTATGCTCGAAATATAGCTCAATTAGTTTGGACAAGTTGCAAATCTATAAATATCTTTTGTTAGAAATTTCTCTATGCATGGATAATGCTTTTCAGCAAAAACTTGCTTGGATAGTGGCAGAAATGATTATGACTTGATGTTTATAAACTCAAGATTTTCATACAATCCTACTAACTCATGTTTATTTTTACTATCAACAACTGACGATTAAGTTGAAAAGAAACTCAAATAAGATGATCAAGCAAGGAATATGTCTATTCAACCTCAACCTAATCTCCAAAAATACAAATTAATAGTAATTCTTTTATTATATGAATGAAAAAAGCAATTTTTATTCAATTATTTTTGTGCAATTTGTTAATTTAAATTTAAAAAATAAAAACATGCTAAGCCATACAAAATTAAATAAATTGCTTAAATAATTAATTAAAATTTAAAAAAACTGAAAAAAAAAAGAAGCATTTTTCAAATAATATTTAGCAATACAACCTTAATAAACAAAAATTTCTAAAAATTTTTTGCGTATTCTTGCAATCTATTGAAAAGATAAATCTATTGATATAATTAATAATCATAGTTATTAATTTATTTCAATTATTTTATTTTTTAAATTGAATTTATTATTTTATTAATAAATCTATATTTATTTTGTTAATACAATTTTAATTGTGAATTTGATATAAATTTAAAATTAGATATGTGAAAATTTTGACAATTGGTCTACGATCAAAGATGTTTCTTTTTGTGATAAAGAAAGACCATAATTTAGTAACTACTATTTTATGACTGGAGATATGAATGGAAGAAATACTATTTATAAATGTGAGAGAATGATTCGTCCTAAGAGAATGGATAATATAGATGCTTAATTTAAGACTGAAGACTATACTGAAAGAATATTTGAAATAGATAATACATATTATATAATGTCATGCAAAAGTGGTAAAACTATTATCTATGAAAAGCAAGGTACTCAAATCATGGTTTCATCCTTAGGAAGTCTTTTTATGACAAATATTTCTACAATTGGTATTACAAAGGGCTAACTAATAGAAGAAGATTAGTAACGTCCTATATTTATATAAATGGGATCTAGTTAAATAAGAGTCATAGATATACATAATCAATCATATTAAGACATTTAAGATGACGTATTGTCCTTATCTTCATAGCTTGGCATTGGCTCATATGGATACGATCTGAACTAAAACTCATCACAAAGGTAAACGATTAATTCTTTTTTAAACCTTTTAAAGAAATACCTAATAAATTACTTACTATTTTGGTTAAAAAATTTAATTCAAATTTAAGCATTAAAAATTAAATTAATTTATTATTATTTTATTTAATAAAGACATCTAAATAAATAAACAAATATTTTTTCTTTTGGATACTTATTTTTTAACAAACAAAGTTTTGATAAATATTTTAATAATTAGCCAACAAAAAAGCAATAGAACTTTAGTTAAGCTAGTCTATCTGTGCAATACAATTTTTATCATGGATAGCGAATAAAATCTACATACTTTTTCATACTTGTAGGGATAATGGGAAAAAGTAGACTATCTAGGAAGTCTGGTAAAAGATAGATATATTATTAATATTCAAAAGATAACTCCTTACTTTACTAACAACTCTTAATCCTGTCCAGATTTCTTATTTGTAGGATTTCCAAATGAGTTTATTATTTTCTCAGCTCAGTATAATAGAGATAATGGATTAGTGAGATTTCATAAGAGATACGAAGCACATTACGTCAAAGAAGGTCTTGTTTTTATTTAAAATGGTTTAGTTCATATGAAAAAAGAAGTACTGAAAGACCATCTTGTGAGAAGTATAACTGACCCAAGTATTAAGTTAAGTTATGATCTTCGTGAGACTTAAAATACTTATGTTTCTGAATACTCTATAGAACAGCTTCAAAAAACTCTTATTCTTGTTATAAAATTGAATACAGGTGATATTTATATTTATAAAGGCATTCTTAAAACAAATATGGAATAGATTTTCCCATACGATTTTTAAAGAATACCTCTCAGGTCTATGCAATACATAAACAGAAAGTAAGCTTTCAATTTCCCTGCTAACTTCGAAGATATGAAGAGTAACTCTTCGATTACTGAAAAATAGCTTTATTCTTTCCATAAAAACCAGAAGACAATATTTAAAAATAGCTCAATAGATTGTGTTGTTATTTCTGATATAGGAAGGCCAGGAGCTTGCATCACTATTTTCCAAAATAATACTCAAGAAGTCTTCTTCCATTTGATGCTTCTTTAGAGTACACCCTCTGTATTTAGCTCTTTAGCAGCTTTTACTTTAACTGATAACGAAAACTAACCTGTAAGATTAAATTATTAATTTATTTGTTTGTTTTTAAAATGAAAGATATTCAATTTACATTTAATTTTTAAACAGCTAGCAAATGGGTTTTTGATTCCAATTGACGGAAAGATTATATTTTTCTATTTTTTTAAGAATTTGAGATATAATTCTTAATTTATCTATGAAACTCCTCAGGCTTTGTAGTAATATAACCCCTAGTTTATGGACATAGTTAGAGCTAAATCAGAAAATATGAAATAGGATGACATGTCTCCTGAAAGTTTTAAAAAGTTTTTAATAATCGTTAATTAAAATGGCAACAGACAAGAGATTAGATTAATAGATGAAGAAACCCATAATTCAACAATTATTAAAACACTTCCCGAAAATGAAAAGATTTACAAATTCAAAACTTTCGAAGGAACAAACAAAAAAAACAATGTGAGATATAAAATTCAAATTGTAGGATACCTCACACTAAATATTCCAAAAGAAAATGAAGAAATCATAGAAACTAGATTCTATTGCCATTACTTCTAGTATGACTAAATGCTTGAAATGGCAAATCCTTGCAAATATCATGATTTTATTTTTGATTTTTGTTTCCTTAACTTCCCAAGCACCGTCGATCTGAGTAAAAAATTATTATATTTTGTTTCTTTTATTTAAATTTATTAGCCATCTGTCAGTCTGCTCTTATTTATCTAAATAAATTCTTTTAAATAATTATTAATTCCATTAATAAAACAAACAAATTTTATTAAACATTTTTGATTGAATTCCTTATTATTTTATAAAATCTTAAAATTTTTCCAAATGAATAACATCAATCATCCATCTATCCATCCATCATAAATATCATTTAAAATAGTGATGAAATTTTCTAAAATAATTGTCTTAAATTCCAAAAAAATGTAAACATAATTCATAATCAGACTGAAGATTCTTATGGCTTTGATGATTCTATCTATTATCCTAATTATTAAATTTAATTAATAAATTATTATAAATTTTTAAAAATCTGATTAACTCTTCTTATTTTTATTTACTTGACTTAATATTTATGATTTTAATAATATATTTCTTTGAAAAATATTAAAATAATTATGAAAATTATTTTGTTATTCTTAATTGGAAATTTTTGAAAAAAGAAAACTTAATTTTATAAATTTTAAACTAAAATAGATAGTTCAGAGCACTTCAAAGTAGTTTTAATGGAAAGAGATAAAGTAATGACTTTAACTTTTGTGAAAAACTAAATCACTTAAGGGAAAGACGATGGACCTTATCACTAAAGATTAATGATAAGCTCTATATGGAATAATAAATAATATTTTTTAGTTGGTGATATCTAAAAAGGAGTGCAATTTTATGAAATGGATGAAATTTAATCAAAGCCTAGATTAATAGCAGAAGAAAATATTAACATAAATGTTAGATAATGTGTTTTATTTTCTATTCAGAATAAAAATGCCCTAAGAGCCCTAATTACAGATGAGTCAAGAAATGTCTATGCCTATTCATTTATTTAATAACAATAAGAATTACCTACTGATAAACGTAAAATCAGTATGGAGCTAGTTGCAAGTTTCCATGTTGGATCTAAAATAAATAAAATAACAACTGATTATAAAGTTAATGACACCTCAATGTAAGAATCGGTAAGCCATCTTTTGCTATTAAAATAAGATGGTAATCTTTCAGATATTTAACTCATCTATGAGCCAGGAGATAATACAAATCTCTTTGATATGTAAAATACTATTTTCGAAGAACTGCCATATATAGGTGGATTGGACCCTAGAGAATTTAGGGAAACAAAATAATTAAATCATTCATACAAATTAAAGCATGCTCATAGCTTCTTTGAAACTTCTGTAGTAGATATTTACTTTAACCTAACTAGGCCTTTATAAGAAAAGATAGCATCTAAATTAAACAGATCAAGAGAAGACTTCATTAAAATGATTATTGAAACAATTTTATCTTGAAAAATAAATAAATAGATTCTTTAAACTATTTTAAATAATATAACCTTCTTTTAGCTTAGATTTAATATTTTAAAAATATAATTTATGTAAAAAAGTAATTTTATTTTACATAAATATTTTTCAATTTTTGAAAATTTTTTATATATCAAAGCTTCTTTGTATTGTAAATGTGAATGATTCTTTTCATAAATAAAACTAAGTTTATTTTTTAAATTAAATTAAAAAATTAATTTGATAGAAGGAGTATATTCTGAGCTTACCACTATATTCAGATATTTTTTATTATAGTTAAGGAGGATACATTCTTAAGCAATTAAAATACTGAAAATTTATTTTTTAATATATAATGTCTTTAATTGATTTAATATTAATAAGATTTTAATCAAAACCTATAAAAAATTTTATTGTTTAAAAATATTATTGAAAATTAAAGCCTTTCCAAAAATATTTATTTATACCCTATTACTAGATAGCATTTAACTATATTTTGTGACTTTAAATAAATGTTATTTATATTTTTTATATAAAAACCCATTAAAATTATCTAGATTAATTTTGAAATATGAAGAAAAAATAATTTTTTGGTTTATTAAAAATTTCTTTTTAGTATCCTCCTTCCTCCATTCAAATTCTAAAAAAAAGAAAAAGATATTTTTGTTTAATTTTTTAATAAGAATGTGGTATCATAATAGTTATTTAATACTCAATAGAAAAAGATACCACAAATTATAATTCTAAAAAAATAAAAAGAGAATCTTTTTCATTACACAAATAAATAAATAGATATATCAATTAATATTTTTATTAATGAATTTAAATACTTACTTTTTTTTTAGATTTTTTATTGTTATCTCTTTTATTTTTGACATTATTTAAAATTTCTTTTAAAATTTAAAACAATATTTTGAAATGAAATTAATGAAAATTTTTGAAAGTCTTAAATGTAAAAATACTTTCTCTAGATGGAAGCAGTAACGTTATTTTTTAAATTTATTTTATGAATTTATTAAACTTTATGCTTTTATATTGATATTCTTAGTCAGTTTATTTTCATCTACTAAAATAATTTACAAACATAAAATTTTAAATTGATCTTAAGAAAAATAGCAATTACTTTTTATGAAGAAAATAAAAACTTTTTTAATAAAGAAATAAAGCAAACAAAAAGAAGCATATATATATAATATGAGATAATTTGTTATTTAAAGAAAATACAACAAACATCATGAACTTAGCTTTAAAAGAAAATTTAAAGCTATGAAAGTACAAAAATAGCTTATTTAGTAATAGTTAATTATAAAGTGAAAATTTGATTTAAAATAAATTTGTTTTTTTTATATACATTTTTGGTATTTTTTAAATAATATTCAAAAGAAAGTCAGAATTTGATTATTTATTTATTAACAATTATATTCTTCCTTAAAAACAGTCAAAAGTACTGATTGTTTTATTCGTCTCTACTTGAAAATTTTAACTAGGTTCTATTCTTTCTTACAAAAAACTATTAATTTAATTAGATTAGATCTAAATTAAAATTATGTATGTTATTTTTATTATTTATTTGGGAAAATAATTTTTTGGGTTCTAATTATAAAATTTTAGCTAATCTTATTTCATTTTTCAGTTAATGCTCTAAATCCTCTCCAATCTCTAGGACACATATAATTATATTGTTTTATAAATTCTAATAAGGTTTAGCTAGGTCCATCCTACCTACCTCTGAACCAATTCTTTTTTTAAAAATAATTATTTAGAAAACATTTGAATTAATTCAATCTATATTACCAATGTCTATTTCAGATACACACTACACTCAAACCACCTTCCTGAGATATAGCTTTACATGGCTTGATCCCAAGTATCATAGAATTCCTTTTAATTTTTTTAGATTTTTATTTAAAATTATAAATTTATCTTAATTTACTTTTTGGAATTCCTTTCTCATTTCGTAGAGATCTTAATCTTTTTCAAATGCATCTGCTACTCTTGTAGTTCCCTTTAAAACTTCGATTCTGAATGCATTTCTTTTCATTCTATCTATAATTTTCTTTTTCTTGAGTTGATCTACTGTGAAATTACTAAAATCGAAATTATCTTTTCCTTTTCTCTTTGCATAGAGTCTCTCTAAGCTAACATCACATGTATAGAGATCTAAGTTAATATAATGTATCAAAATAAAAAGTTGTTTATAAATATTAATTAATACCTAATGGTACAACTGATCCCTTAACTGTAACACAGTCAATATGTCTAAGCTCCTTTTGACACTTTTCAGAAAGAACGTTCCTCAAAGGACCGCTGATGAGAAGTTAAGTACCGAACTATTTTGTAGCTGCTTCTAAACGAGAAGCCATATTAACATTAGGACTTAAATAAGACGCATCAATTTTGAAAGAAGAACCTATAGCTCCCTATTTTAGGAATAGAATTAATGAATTACTTTTATTAAAAGGTAATTTACTTCAATGGCCCATCCAAAATGCAATCCAAAGCCCATTCTGACTCTGTAACCTTTCAACCTTTGCTTGATACCTTGATTATATTAGTATTTTTTAAGGTTATTAGAAAGAGTAATTCCAGCCATGATTTTTAGGAAAGAAATAACTGATAAGTCAGCAAAGTTTGAAGTAATGTCGTTAGGTAAAAATTCTACAGTACCATCAATATGCTTTAAATAATCTTTATCTCTAAACTTCCAAACCAAAAGGAAGGCATCACCAATATTTTTATTAGCTTGTCCGCAGTATTGATCAACAACACCATGAGTAATTTAAGCTATTTCATTAACAAATATCATAACACCTGTCTATAATACTTCAGTAACATCAGTAAAATTTCTAATATCACAGAATCCAAATACTGCCATTATCTTTTTACCAGGAATCATTGGATCTACTTAGCCAGCTAGTTATTAAACAAAGTGTTAAAAAAATAAACACAAAAAATTAATGTGATCAAAAAATATTTTAAAAAAGACGCATGAAATCCTGATTAAAAATGGTTAAAAGCAAAAAAGTTTACACTAAAGAAATCTAAAATTAAATCTAAAATAATAAAATTTAAATAAGCAATAAGAAGAGAGATAGTAAAATAGATTGATTGAGTCTAATTATTTTAAAAAGAATTGAATAATTTATTATTAAAAATCGTAAATGTGAACTGGGCTGTTTATGATTTATGCGTGATAAGATAAGACAAGACTAAGAGGTATGATTTAAATTTTTTTGAAAGCTTGAATGTAAAATTAGAAGAGTAATGTAAAAAATCTAAAAAATAAATTAATTATAGTGCTTTTAATTAAAAAGAATAAGATTACTCAATTTCATATTTTGAGCTATGATTTCTGAACCAGCCTCACCGAATCCTACAGCAAGAAGAGCTCCTATTCTTATAATTAGCTTTTCCAGAACGACTGTCTCATATTTGGATTTTTACTCTATTTCCTCAAGTTCTTTAGTTTTTCCTTCTAACTTAAGCTATTCAATAGCAAATTCTTCTTTTTCTTCCATTTGAGCTGCTTCTAGAGGATTTTCAGCAATTCTAGTAACCTTTTTGAGCATAGCTTCTATAGGTTCTAACAAATACAACTCTACATCATTATTAAACTGTACAGCTGCGACTGTTAAAATGATGGCAATTGTAACTGTCCTAACAATAGATAAGATGGAGTTAATAATATTTGATTATCTTTGGCTAGATATTGATGTGATCAATACATTACCACTCTGTTATATAAAGATGTTTGTTTATTTATTAATAATTATAGTTAGAAATTTTACATCATCAGAATAGGTGTAATAAGTATAATCATCTTCTCTCATATTATTGTAATCTACTGCATTTGGATCTTTAGGGAAATACTCTACATTACCAATCATTAATAATATTAACGGATTTCTGTAAGCCTTTTAATATTAATTTAGTTTTTTAAATAAATGATTTGAAAAACTTTTGTAAGCTGATTTATTAATTAGTTTTTTTGTCTGAAATAATGGTTATAAATTAAAGGAAAATCTAAATTATATCTTAATCTTTAATGATTACTGTATGGAAATCTATGTAGTTTTGAACTGTGAGATCAAATATTCCTGGACTCATGAACTGTGAACTATTCATAAAGGTTATATTGTTTACAACTTTAATTCAAGTTTTAATTTATTTACTTATAAATAAGTGATAAAGAAGGTCCAAAAGAATCAATAGGATCCTGATAAGTACTAAGTGTAAATAGAGGGACACTAATTAAAATAGCTAAGACAATAATAATAACTTTTTGTGTTGTTTTATCAGATAGTGTTTTTCCTACTTTAGTTTCTGCTTTTTGTAGCTTTTTAATAAAAAAATGACATTAATAAAAATGAATAAACTAGAATAAAAAATATGAATAAAATATTAAGAATCGAAAAATAACTTGTAACTAACCAATAAATTATCTGTTTGTTTTGTTCTTTATTTCTTTAAATTAACAAAATAAATAATTCTTTCGTTCGTTCATTCATTCATTCATTTAAAAATATTTATTTCTAATATTTTAAGAAAACTTAATTTAGAATCTATTCTATCTTTCTATCCATGCGTTTATTCTATAAAATTTACTACCAAAATTAATTTTTATCGATATTGTTTATTAAATTTAAATCTGTTAAGTGAAATTAACGAATTAGGGGTAAGGAAACTTTAAAATAAGAATCTTTTTTGATGTGATTGGAGAGAAATAATTAATTATGTATTTGTTTATCTATCTATTTATATATGTGTTTATATATTGATCTATCAGATTTTTTTTATTATCATTACCTTAGATAAATTAAAAGATGAACCTTTTGAAGTGTTACTCCCTGAACTTTTTCCACTTAAAGAACTTATATTCCTAGATCTATTAGCAGGCAAACTGCTCATTGATTTTTCTCTTTCTCTATTATCAGGCTCACTCTCAATATTTCGACGTTCAGCATTAAGAACAGGGATGTGGTTATCATTTAGGACTCCTTACTAAATAATATCTTAAGCTTAACTAAAAGGTAAAACTTGATTTTCTCTAATGCTTTTTTCCCTCTGTAATTAATTCAGGAAAGTTGATTTCTTTTAAGATTGTTAGCGAACTATTTGTTAAGTAAAAAGTTTTTATTGATTGAGCTTAAGTATATTAATAAGTCATATTTTTTAAATAAGTCTTAAAATGAAGAGTGTAAGTAAAAAAAATATCGTTGATAATAAAATATTTTATGAGAGTTAATTTACCAAGCTCTGTCATAACAGTTTGCTTTTTCTCTTTATTACGATTTGTGTGACTATTTCCTCTCATATCCATATTTATAGGGGGTAAGGTTGGAGGACGAAGATGAATAATATTTGATGGAGTAAGAGCTTTGTTTTACTATATTTCAGGGATATTTAAATGATTAGAATTCCCTATAAATCCATGAGGAGTTTAATATTAATTGAAAGATGAGCTGACTTTAGAATCTCCTCTATCTCTCATTTCATCCTGCTACTAAGCTCTTAGTCTTAATTACTCTTTTTCAAATTCTTTTGCTTACTTTTTTAGAGCATGCTATGCGTGCTTGTAAAGTCTTACTAATCTTACTAATCTCACTATTCTTACGATTCTTCCAGCTCTCGTTCCTGTAATTTAAAATATATAATAAAACTAGCTAAAATTTTATACCAAGCAAAAAATCTTTGATTACCAACACGAGAAGCTCTACTTGCTTTTGCTAAGGATGCTGCTGATGACGCTTTTCCTTTACCACCTGAATTAACGTCGAAAATTTCATTTGCTATCCAACCTATATCAAGAATCAAAGAGACAGTGGAGAGTAAATCTAACCAAAAGAAGAAACCAAGAAAATATCCATCCTAAGTATTTAATTTATAGAACAATAATTAGATAAATGTAATACTAGTTTTAATTTAAATGGATAGTTTTGCTTCAAAACCAAAGTAAATAAATCAAATTTATTTAATAATCTTTAGATTGCATGAATTGATGAATACTGACTCAAAAAATTAATTATGCTTCAAAACTTTCAATAACTTGAAGGAAGATATTAATTAAAATATCTAAAAAACTACGTTACAGCCAATCGATCTAAATAAGAGTAAATAATTGTGATTTCAATCAAGCACCTTGCATCATTTTTAAAATATTTAAAAAGTTATTTTATCCAAAAACGAAACTATAATTTTAGTTTTTCATTTAAAAATCTCGTTTTTTATTTATACTTTCTACTTGTTTATCTGACAGTTTTTGATTGCTAAACCTTGCTAGAAAATTCAATTAATCAAATATTTAAAGTTTTGATTGCTTTTATTAATTTATGATTAATTTCTGAATAAATATTTCTTGAAGTCAGTGCACATTTCAATCAAACAAAATAATTAAAAGTAAATAATTCTATCTATTTTTTGTTTATTTGTTTTTCTTTATCCTTACAGCTTTTTGATTAATTTTATAATTTACCTTAGCAATGCTAGAAAGTATAATTTCAATTGTAAAGGCAGCCAAAGCGAAACAACTTGCACCCCAAAAATAAGGATCTTCATCTTTTTCAGTGGTAATGACTCTAATATCATCTGCAAAGAGTGCATACAGAGTAACTAACGTCATAAATGCAGTATAATAATTATTATCCAATAACTTATTTATATAATACTAAAAAAAAATTAATATACAAACAAATATAAATAATTTCATATTTTGGTTGATTCAAGGCAAAACCAAAAAATAAATTGCTCTTCTTCATGTTATAATGAATTTCAGGTAGTTTTTAGTATTTATGCTTTTACTATTCATGTTTTTTTATGGATTACAAATATTGAATTATAAAAAATATTTGAGCCCCTTTTATACTTAGTGGAAGCTGTAGGAATCTGTTTTTATGCAACAAAACATAATTAATTCCAGTAAAGCAAAAACTCAGACACTATGTGCTGACAAATTATCAAACTAACGCTCTTATACCATAAAACAAAAATTAAAATATTACTTTAATTTTTTACACTGTGGTTAGCTTCTATACTTACTCATGGATCTCCTAACTTTCTTAATGAAGTTTTAATTCTTATAGTTTCCCTTTATTATATTTCAATAAATATATTATTAAATGCTACTTAGAAGTGGCGATATCTTTATTGATATCATTCCAAATTTTATTTCTAAATACTTTTAAAATCTTTTGATCTTGATGATTTTTTGCTTCTTGGTGTCTTTCCGCCTTTAGAAGATTGCTATGAATATAAAAAATGAATGAATTATTTATTTATTTGCTTGTTTGCTTGCTTGCTTTTGTATTAAACTATTGATTCTTTTGTTTTTTTATCTATAAATAGTAGATAAATTATAAGTTTTGATATATTTTTAGCAAAAAGAATATAATGCAATGTGTCACTTTACCTAATCCGCAGCACTCTGCGATAACGCTATATGATTAGAAGCCATTTATTACACAGTGTTTAGATTGTCATCCCCTTCAAGAGGGATGCTTTGAACTTAAGGTATCATAAGGCTTAATGATTATTCTCTTTCTTTCTTTATTTTATTATTTGGTTTCAAATGACTTGTAAAATTATTGAATGAATTCATATTATATAAAAGTTATTTGTTTTGCTTTTGTCTTACTATTTGACAAATAACTTAGTAAAGTAAAATATTAATAATTTTTATAAAATTTTAATTGACTTTTTTCTTGATTTGAATGAAAGAATCAGTATCCTTAAATAAAAATTAGGAACATATATAAACTAGTTAATTTTTAGTTATTCACTCAAAATATTAAGAATTAATCACAAAATAAATATACTGATTCATTTACCTTTTCTTTGACAATTAAATTAATTAATCAATAGGGTAAAAACCCGATCAAATTCACAAAATTTTGGTATCGATTAACTTATTTTTATAATTTCTACCATAAATTAATATCAAAAAATCAGCAAAGAATTTTTATCTTTTTTAAATCTTTAATCCTAATACTGTAAGTTTATAAACAATTTTCTGTGGCTATTATTTTTTAAATATTTTTACTTTCAACGCTTTTTCGTTGAAACAATCTACAAATATTTATAAAGTTATGATTCGCATTATTCATTCTTCGTAAATTTTTCCACAAAAATTAAGTAATTAAAAATAATAATAATAATAAATTATTTGTGTGCAATTATGCAAAAGTAATAAGTGTACATATTACAGCTTGCTTAAAAAGGATCGATTTATAATTATTTGGAATTGTTATTTAAATTTATATAGATAAAAACTACAAATTTTTTTACCTTGAATTTACAATTCTAAATATTCCAATATAAATAAATGACTAACAAAATTATAACTTAATGAGTTTTTAGACTAGAACTAATTTTGTTAAAATCTATATAATTTTTTTAATTTATTATTAGGTAAATAATTGATAAGCATCAATCAAAAAATTGTATTAACCAGTATTTGATAATGATGCAGTAAATTAGCATAGCAACTAGTACTTCTAAATTTAACTAGAGCGAAATAACTCTTCTTCAGTTCACTTTAATTAATATATTTTTTAACTTAAAATACAATTTCCATAAATTTTCTATCAAATTTTAAAGGGTGACGAACTTCTATTTGATGTTATTTGATACGAATTCATTCTTATTTATTTCTGACTAAACAATTACTTTTATATGTTAATTCTAATCTCAAAATCTAAAAGGAAACTAAATTATTATCAATCAAAAATGTCTATTTTATAATCCTAAACTCACTCTTCTAATAATATATGCATATTTGTTAATTCAGCCTAAATATACTTAATCTTAATATAGAATCAAGTTGCTTGTTTACTTTTTAAAATTGAATAATATTTCCTAAAAATGCATACTTATTTCATTATTAGAGTTTTTTTTAATGAAAATTTATTTTTCCAATCAAATTCTAGTATGATATTTTTTATTTAACAAATTTATAACAAAATCATTCAATCAATCAATCGGTTGATTAAAATTTAATTCAAATTTATCCAAACGCAAAGTATAAAATATAAATTACTTAAATTAATAAATTTGTTTAATTATTGATTTTCAAGCTGTTTTTTCTTCAGTTTCCTCCATCATTTTTTCATCCTATTTTTTTTATGCAGGAACAAGAGCATAAGTTTTGACCTTAAATAACTCTTTTGGGAAATTAGATTGCATTTAAGTCTCCACAACCTTCAAGTCTGCTTATTTGAAAACATCTAAAAAGAGCTTATCTGATCTAAATAAAAATAAGAAAATAATTTAATAAATATGATAGAAACTATTAATAAAATGATGAAAATAAAAGATTTAATAGAATTAATAATTTTATATTTTGATAAAAATTATTTTGTTTAAAATAATAAATAAATAAATAATTTTTATCTTTTTATTTAAATTAATATTTTTGAATAAATGTTATTTCTCTAAAAATTATAAATTATTTTTTTTTCCGTCTTTATATGAATAGATTTTATTCTTTACTAAATCAAAAAACTTTTAAACTTTGAATAAATTGAGATGAAAAATAAATAGTTACCTTGTGACACTGCTATCCTCTTTATCAACAATAAATCCTTTTTATGCAATATTTTCTTTGACTATAATAAATCCCTATTCATTTTAAAAGATTTTTTATTTAAATAATCATTTTTGTCTTTAAATACATTTTAAACAAGAGCTTCAGAGCATCTCTTCAAGAATTTAACAAAATCTTCATCGGTCAAATAATTGCAAACCTATTTAATATAATTATTATTCTTTAAACAAATATTTACTAATTTTTTAATTTTACCCACTAAATCCAAATGCAATCGTATTTTTCAGGAAACTCAAGCTCCTAAAGACCTTTAGCTATGAAATGAACAACTCTTTTATCATCCTTAAAGTTTTATTTGCATGCTTCGATGTACTTAGGATTTTGGTCAACAACGTCTGCCTAATGGTTAAAATTAGTATATTAATTTATTTATCTCAATAATTAATAATAATTAATTTCAATAAAAAATTTCTTTTTTTATAAAAATTAAAATTACATTTTTAAAAAAGTGGAGAAGAAACTCTTTAGTAATTCTCCCCATGCCAGCTCCGCAGTCAATAACTCTTCCATAGTTTAAATCATATTTGTCATGCAATAATTCTAATAATTTTCTTGAGTCAGTGATATCAGGCTTATGAAGTTTTCCAAAACCACCAAGAACACCTTCAACTGTAGCTTCTGTTTTCTATTTTTTCATAAAAATTAAATATTATGTTAAGATAATAATGTTATGAGCTCTAAAAACTCCTTATTAGCCTTAATATATATGACTAGAATGAGGATTTAATATTTTTTTAAAAATATCTTTAGAATTGCTACTTCTTTTTTTAAATTAAAATAATTACTTCCCAATATTGTGCTTGTTTTGAATACCAATTGTCTTTTGAACCAATTTTGTTAATAACACTACCAGTATCTTTATTGCTTAATTCAGTATCCCACATTTCTTGAATGTTTTTATAACTAATTAATAATAATTTTACTTAGCTTAAAACTTCTTTTAAAAAATATATCTATTTATATTCATTATTTTGATAATTATCAAATTTAAAAATGCTAATTATTACACAGAACCTTAGCAATCGCTTCCTACTTCTTCACTATTTAAGTTGCTATTTTTAAAATGAATAAATTTAATATATTGTTGATTTAATGCAATTAAAATACATTTTGCTTGCCATTTTTAATAATTTAAATATCTATCTAACTATTATTGTTCAGATTCTACTTATTTATTCAATTAATTTTGTTTTGTAATTGCTTATTTAAGTTTTGAAAATTGTTAAATTTCTTAAGGATATTTTCAACCAAATCTATTAATTTAATCAAAAAACAAAAAAAAATAAAAGATTGCACATTTTTTTTTAAGAACTAATTAAAAAAAGTAGTAAAAAATTGTTTTTATCTATTTACTATTGGTCATTAATATTATTAATATAAATTTTAGTATATTTACTTTAATTTAATGCGCTTAGCATTAATTTTCAAAATTAATTCCTAAAAATATGCAAATATTTGCGAACAGATCAAGCAAAAGAGAGCTTTTAAATTATCTTTTTTTATAAAAAAAAAAAACGACAACTGCAGGATTCGAACCTGCGCGGGTAAACCCAAAAGATTTCTAGTCTTCCTCCTTAACCACTCGGACAAATTGTCTTATTGATATATAATCTATGATAGCGAGAGCTATTCTTATTTTTTTGTATAAGAGCTGATTGTAATTAATCAAAGATAAGAATTCTTTATTAATTTCTCCTGCTCATACATATTTTTACAATTCATTATAAAAATTGTTTCTAAAAAATATACATAATTAATTACTTCTACTTTTTAACTTAGTCTTTAATTTGAAATTTTTTAAGAACTACAATTTAAGAAGAATAATAGTTATAAAACTACTTACCTAAATAAAAAAATATTAAAAAGTAAAATGTAATAAGAAAAAGATTTACCTTAAAAAGACACTAGAGAATTCGATTATTCATAAAATAACTCTTGTAACTTCTTTAAATTATCAAAATAAAAGAAATATAATGCATATTAAATTAAATATATTAATGAAGTTAATTGCAGTTAATTTGACGAAGCTATTGATTTCAATTAATAAAAGAGCATTAGAGATGGTGATAATAATAGAAAGAGATGGGTATCACTTTAAAATGATAATATAGTCAAAAGGATATCAGAAGAATCTGTTAAATAAATTGATATTTAAGAAATGTCTGACACATAATCCAACATATTAAGAAACTCAAATGCTAAAAAAAACTTTGAATTTAAACAAATCAGCTAAGAGTTAAGCTAGTCAAAAGATAGTAGTGCTTTGGCTAAATTTTTTAAAAACTCAAACGATTAAGATTCTATTCTTAGATCAAGAAAACAAAGGATGAGTATCGCTTCATAAGATGGAGTTAACAGTGCTCTTATGTCTCTTTATGAAGATAAAAAGATTAAAAATACTCAAATGAGCAAAGCTTTTAAAGCATTCAAGCAAAGCGAAATTTACAAATTTGATAATTAGTCTAAATTGTAATAATATCAAGGGAGCCAATTCCAAAAAGCGCGTTAAATTTGGGTTAAAAACTTTTTTAAAATTCTCATTTTAGTAAATAGACTAATTTTTAAGACTAGATAAAGGTTAATATTTTTTAGACCAAATAATCTTCAATAAAGGTAGATTGATGCAATCAACGATTAAGGTATATTTTTAAACTTGTTAATATTATATTAATTAAAATATTTCAATTTTATTTGAGAATATTTTTTATTCATTAGATTTTCTATAATTTTTAATATTAATTTGTAAGCAGAAAGCATTTTTCTACATTTTTCTAACTGTTAGTTGATTATTTAACTTATATGAAAAGTTTTTACTTTCAATTTATTTTTATTAATCTATTAAATTAAAAAATATTTCAATAAAAAAATAAGGATTAGATTTAAAATTATTTTATAAACACTCAGCTTTACTTTTGATTTTTTTAGAGATTTATATATTTAATATAAAAATAATCAGCATAATTAAATACTTTGCTGAAATTGTTAAGATTTTTATAAACTCATTAATTGAAGGCAAAGGTTGCTTCTATAATTTATTTCTTATCAAAAAGCAACTTAAATATTTTATTGAAAATTTTAACACTAATAAAAACTCATTAATTACAGATAATATTGATTTATTTTTAAACTTATCTGAAAAGCTTTTATTTAACATACATTTATATCAATGCATACTTATTTTTGCTGTAAAACTAAAATAATGTTTAAACCAAAATATTAGCATTAAATTTTATTAATTAATAACTTTTGTTATTTAAAATATTTTTTGAGTTATTTATTCTCTCTCTATCGTTTAATATTTCTTAAATAATAAGCAGCTTAAATATTTTTATGAAATTGCTAACAATTTATAAAAATTATGTATTTAAAATAATAATTACTTATTGAATTTTATAAAATATAATCTCTAATTTTAACATCTTTTTATTGTCATATGAATAAAATCACAAATATTCTTTATTAATTTTATATAAAATAAAATAAATTTACAATAAAATGCTTCTTTAAAGCTATAAAAGACATTCTATATTATTTTTAAAAAATATAAATTATGCTGAATTTTTATTATTTATTTTAAAATTATAGCAAGTTATATTTATTCTGTTCATGAATAGCTAGAAATTAAAAGTATAACTAGAAGTAGATACAAATACGTTAGAAAGTTTCGTATTTTCCTTTTGCTGGCTAGAAAATAGTTTAAAAATTAAATTTAAATTATAAAGACAATCAGTCAATAAATTAGCAACTTTTTTTTGAAATTAAAAAACCCTATTCCTGTAATATTACCTTATTATAAATCTTTGCTAATTTGGGAATTAATCCTTGTTATATTTATTTTTATTAATGTTCTAAAAATACCTTATGAAATATGCTTTTTGTAAGGAAACTTTTTTGATTATAATTTATCTTTTGTTAGCAGAGTAGTGTTTGGCTTAAATACCTTAATTATTATGAATACGGCTTATTATGAAAATGGAATTATTTAATAAAATAGGAGTAGCATAATGCTTCATTTTATCAAATATCATCTAGCTTTTGAGTTCATAACCAACTCTTGTCTTTGGTTTAATCCATTAGGTTTAAAAATGTTAAGAGTTCTTTTTATGATTAAAGTGCTTACATTCTATGATATTATAGAGAAATTTACTGAATCAGTTCAATTCTCCCCTAAATATAATTTATGCATTAAATTAGCAACTCTTTTAGTAGAAGTTATCATATTGTGTCACCTATTCGCTTGTATTTGGTATTCGCTTGGGTATTATTAAGAAAGTTATGGAATTTATTAAAATTGGCTTCGTTCTTAAAATTTATAAGATCAGTTGGTTAGGACAAAGTATATCTCGTCATTATACTTCTCAGTAATCACTATAGGCACTATTGGTTATGGAGATATTCTTCCCTAAAATGAAATTGAAAGAGGCGTCTTAGCATGTATGGCAATTATGGCTTGCGGAATATTCGCATATATTTTGAGTAATATCTAAAACGTATATCGAAAATACAATTAAAAGCAAAAAGCTTATATCAAAAGCTTAACTGATTTGAATAACTTTATGACAAACAGATCCGTAAATCCTATTTTGTAGTAAATGGCTCGTAAATATCTGAAATACATTCACGATCAAAACTTTAGGAAGGGAGAAGTTCCATGTGAATCCTTGAATGTATTGAGCAAACATTTGAGAGAAGAAATTACATCTGAAATATTTAATAAAACTATAAACTAAATAAAATTCTTTAAACAATTTAGTTAACAGTTCAAATAATAGCTTGCTCAAAGAATGACTGAATATACTTATGGTAATTAATTATTCGAATTTTCTATTTAAAATAATCAAATATTTCTAGCTTTTTTTGCTCTTTAATTAAAGATTATATTTTATGATAATTTCAAAATAATCAATTTAGCAATTTTTATTAAAAGAATGATAAATATGAAAATTTTTTATTTTTTTTTAAGTTGTATTTTTCTCATTAATTAAATAAGATAAATAAATACCACAAAAAATTCTTTAATTAATTATGGGTTTTAATAAAAATTATTATTTAAAATTTTTATAACTTGAGCTTTCGATAGTGACTTGGTCTTAATATGTGAGAAATTACATTCCTACTATCGTTTTATGTTTAAAAGAATACTGCTTCATTTTTTAAGAATTTCAATTAGAGGAAGTGAAAATACTAATAATTATTTTTAAAAATAATTTAGGTCCAGATGAAATAATTTTTAAAATGAATTCATAGCAAGAACCTCAAATAATATTTATACTTAAAGGGAGTATTGAAATATCAATAGATTAAGGAAAGTATTTTAAATATAATAAGGAAAAGCAGAAAGAGCCTTTCCATGTCTGCAAACCTAATTAGACTTTAGGCGAATATGAATTTGTCTCTCAATCATAAGTATCTTCTTTTAACGCTAGAAGTATAGGGATAACTACTACTCATTAGTTAAAATTATCAGAATTTTTGGAAATATTGAAATAGTATTCTAATGATAGAGAGACATATTAACAGTTAAAAGATTCTATAAATTTATATGAAAGATACTCAATTTGTAACATTAATTGCTACTCTTGTAAAAGTAGTAAACATCTTACAAATGAATGTCCTATCTTTTTCTATAAACCTAACAAATAGAGAATAATTAATTTGGAAAGTAGAGATCAAGAAGATTACATCAAAAATTTTCATAGGTCAAAGAATAGATTGAAATTTTCTTCTTTGCTTTATTAAAATGGAATTGCCATAACAAGTTTAGCTTTTTAATAAGAAAATTAAGATGAAATGTGTTTTTTTACTTCCATGAAATCTTTAGAAGATTATTAAGATGATAAAAAAAACTTTCTGTAATAAACTAAATCTTAAAAGCTTATTTCAAATTGTGATGAAGGAGCACTTGAAAACATCTCAAGTCAGGAAATTCTGGCACCAAAAAGGGATTAAGATTTTAAAATCTAAACAGAAAGTAATTTTAAAAGTTATTAACTAATTAATTAATTATCAATAATTTTAACTTATTTTAAATAGCTTCTACTAGCTAACTAAACCTCAAAGATAATCTAAGCGAAATCAAAATAAGTTTTTTAGAATTGCAACAAGTTGATAAATCATAAAATAAAAGCTAATTTATGTCCATACATAAGAAATTCAAAGATATTGATGAAAATATTAAGTTATATAGTTCAAATAAATTAGATGAAGAAAAAAGTGATATAACCTTAAAACTTTTTGATGCTAGGAAAAAAGTTCATAAAAAAAAAACAAATTTTACTTCCCAATAATACCATTTTCAAACTAAGCATTTTAAAAATTAGTCAGATTAAAAGGAGGAATTATAAGAAGATGATTTAATTACTGAAACTATGAGATCTTATACAAGATATATGATTCATAACAATATAGAAGTTATATTGAGAAAGATTAGAATATAAGGATTTAAAGCAAAAGAAAAAACTAAAAAGATTAATTTTACAAAATGTTGAATAAAATTTAAATAAATATCATTTGTTTTTGTATATTCTTTGTCTAAAAATCAGTAAATTTAATTTCTAAAAATCATCTTTCATAAATTTAATATACTACCCAATTAATTTATGATTTATTGTCATAAAATGAAGGAGGGAGGATTGTAATTTAGAAAAAATTTCTTTTGATATTTTTTGAAGTTGATTGATGTATTAAGCACAAAAATTTATTTAGATTTTTCAAAAGGAACCCAGCTGTTTTAAAAAAAGGATAATTGATTTTTATTTCTTAATATTAATAGAATGGAAAATTTTGTTTTTAATTTTTTTTATTAATGTGAAAAAAATTTTAACAATAATTGATTTATTTTATACAAAATTAAAATACAATATCTAAAGAAAGCTAGTTAAAAAATCCTTAATTATTTCTTACTTTTTTATAATATTTAGAAATAAATTTACATAGAAATTAATGTTTTAAACTATTAATAATGAGTTTTAAATTGATATCCATAGTTTATTACATAAAAATATTTAAGCTGAAATTTGAAAATTTTGTAATCAATTACTTTTTTCCTAAATATTAATTTAATATTTTCTCAATAGTTTCTTGTATTTTTAAAACAAAAATTTTATAAGAAATCACTATTATTTTATGGACTTTTTTTATTTTTCTAGAAAAAATGAATCAATAAAAAATTTACATAGTTTTTCTAAAAGCAATCAATTTAATTAAGTAATATAAGAATTCACTAAAGTAAAATTATTGGATAAATATAATTTTAAAACGCATTTATTTATTCTTAGAGATCATTTTTATACAAATATATTCAAACAAATAATGAGTTAAAAAAATAATGAATAAAATAAATTTAAAATTACAGTTTAGAGTATTCAACACTTTTCCTATATTATATTCTTCAGCTCATACAAAAAAAATAGTCATTAATTAGAAATTTTACCAAGATAATCATTGAATTATTGATTTAATTTTATAAAAAATAGCTATCTAGATATTTTAGCTGACTTTTTTATTTTAACTTTTTAAGTTAAATAGATACTTCATAATTAATACAAAACTGTTTGTCAACAAATAAAAAAATATTTTAAAATTAAAAGGTGAAACAGAGAAACACTATTTTATAGACAAATAAAAAAATCAACACAAGAGCAACTGTTATAACTAAAATGACAAATAAAAGTATACTAAGTATAATTTAATTATTAATCAGTAAATTTTATTGCTATTATTATTATTATCATAATTATACTCTACAACAGCAAATAGCAGGAATAGTGAAATAAATTTTGGTTTGATAAATAAATTTTTTAAGTTTTTTGTTGAATAAACTGATTAGTTATTGGTTATTATTGTTGTTTTTTCCTACCCACCAATCTTAAATTATATTAATAGAAAAACTTTATAAATAAAGGCATAACAATATTTAATAACTATTTAAATCAATATAGCATACAAATAATAAATATATTTTTAATTTAAAATAAAAAAAACAAATAAAAGGAAAACAAATTAAATAATTTCCACTTTCTTCTTCTTCTTGTCACAAAAATGGAAAAATTAAAAATTCTATTTCGACCATTAAAGTATTTAGACATATATGGAGTTCCTATAAGAGTCAATTTCAAAAATGAAGAAATTCATAAAACCAGTTTTGGAGCATTAATGTCATTCGCTGTTTTCATAATCACTGGATTAGCTGTTTATTTTTATGGGTAAGAGTTATTTAATAGGAATAATCCGATTGTGATCACAAGCGAATAGTATGTGAAAAACCCTCAAAGAATGGATATTGACAAAACTCAACAAATAATAGTTATGGGTTTTAATAATTCTACAGGCCAAACAGTTTACGAACCATCTGTAATTTAAGTTTCTGCTTCTATATCTAAATTAAAAAAGATTTACAATGAAACCACTTAAGGATATCAAAATTCTCTTTAATCTACTAGCCTAATAATTAGACCTTGTAATAGGTAAGATATCAGAGTAGGTGAAATTAATAGCTATTTCGATTCACTTCCATTAAGTAACTATTTTTGTTTTGATGACAATTAAGAAGTTTACATTGAAGGAGATTATTCTGGAGATGTCTACTCTAAAGTAGATGTATTCTTTTCTCAATGCAAAAATTCTACTTAACCAGGTTCCGTTGTTTGTAAGCCTTAAGAATAAATTGATAAAGTTACTTCAAATCTTTTTTTCCTAGCGTATATGTTGGATAAAATTGTTGATCCCACTAATTTAGACAATCCTTTCAGTTACCAAGGAATAAATTTAGAGACGTAAACATCTGCCTAACAAAGCTAGTAATATACAGCCTTTTTTGAAAATTATTATATTTAGTCAGACACCGGACTTATTACATAATAAGTAAATGAAAAAAGGGATTTCTTGTATGTGTAGTCACGTTCGGATAATTTATATGGAAAACCAGGTTTATTAATTCAATTTACTCTGAGGCCATATAAAAATAAATAGCTCTTTATGTAGAGGAGGTATATGAAATTTTCTGATCTTATAGCGCAGTTAGGAGGAATCATAAAGCTACTTACTTTAATAGGTTTTGCTGTAACATATCCTTTTGCAAGACTTCACTTAAACAAAGAAATCATAAATAGTATTTTTGACTTTAACTTTACGCTATCTGAAAAAAAATTACAGATTGAAGATGATAATTAGACTGAAAAAGATTAAGCAGCAGAAATTGAATTTAATAAATAAAAAAAATTACAAACAGAATTTAATAGATAATTTAAATTGATGTAAAATTAATAAGACTTGGACTCTAAACTAAATGAAGAAGATTAAAATCAGTGTAATAATTCTGAGGTTAATTAGAGAAGTAAAAAATAATAGGCTAGTAAAAAATTATTTGATTAAGAAAAACCAACAGAATAATAATAACTTGCTATTTTAAGCCCTAATAACAAAGACTCTTAATTATTAAAAAAAGAAAATTTAAAAATTCTATAAATAAATAATTCCGTTGAAACAGATTTATCTAATAATAAGATCATAAAAAGAAGTTATGAATCAAATTTCAAAAAGAGAGAACCCTTCAAAAATTTAAGAGAAAGTGATTATACTTAGGAAGATAGAAATGAAAGCCAACATATAAGAAGGGAAACCTAATAAATTCAAGAAAATTCTCAGATTGTCAAGTCTCTAATGGATAGTATTAAAATCATCTTAAACCCATTAAAAGCCATAATCAAACTGACTATAATAGAATACATAAAATATTTCTCTTCATCTAATTCTAAATAGTTAAAGTAAAAAAAAGAATTTATTTAGAACGGGTTCAAAAAAGTATCAAACCATCTGGATATTGAAAACATCCTAAACAAATTATAGGAACTAGAGAAACTTAAGCAAGTAGTACTAAATGAAGACTAATTGAAACTTTTTGAACTTTTGCCTCGACCTGTTTTACGGAGCGATAGTTCAGAAAGTCAGTCTAATTAAGGTAATTCATTTTATGACAAAATTAATAAAACTTATGAGGAAAAGGTAGATGACGCTTTCTAGAGCTTGGCAAATATATTGAATAAACCTAAAAAATCATAAAGAGATATTCAGTTAATTTAGCTTTTGGATAAAAAGATCTATTCAAATATATTAGATGCTGGTCTTTTAGCTTAGAATGCAGATAAATATTCTTAAAATAACCAAACCAATAACTTAGAAAATAGCGTAAACAATTAGAATTATGTTTAGGAAAACATACCAATTTAAAGATCTCCTTCATGCTTTGTTGGGAAAAAGTTTTTCAGAAAAGACTCCTAATTCAAAGAAGAACTTGAGAAAAATCAAATAACATAATACGATGTTACAGAAGGCAGTTAAACTAAAATTGATGATGTTTACTTTAACTTTAAAAATAAAATTATTAAAAATTCTATGAATTTATGAGAAATGTATGTTTATTCATATTTTATCTAAAATTGTTATTATTAATTTTATTATAGATTTACCTCATTTAAAAATATTAAAATAAAAAAGATTTGTTTGTTTGCTAATTGTTTATTTTATTTTTAATAAAAATATATTTAAATTGATTATCTAAATCTTTTTTACTTACCTAACAACTTTTACATCAATAAGATTATATATTAAAGTACAAAACAATTAATTTATATTTTTCAAACATTTTTACTTAAGCTAACTATTTTATTCAATAACCCCTTTGAAAATAATATTTATTTAAATAATATTCATTTTAATTAATAATTTTTCTTTCAGAGGAGCCATTTTTGTAATTAATTATTACTATTTTCCTAAATTATTAATTTAATATTTTCTAAATGTTGTTTTATATTTAAAAAAAATTATTTTCAAAATCTGCATTATTTATTGACCTTTTTTAATTTTTCTAGAAAAAAAGAACATAATAAAAAAAAAATTTGCTTAGTTTTTCGAAAGAAAAATAAAGAATTAAATAAAGTAATTTAAGAATTCACTAACGTAAAATTATTGAAAATAAGTAATAAAATAACAAAAAATAATGGCCACTTTGTTAATGTACCAAGATAACCATTAAGATGTTTATTAAATTTAGCTAGATATTTTAGCTGCCTTTTATTTTAACTATTTAAGCGATAGACAAATAATAAAATAAAAACAAGGGTAATTGTTATAATTAAAATGTTAAATAAAAGTATTCTAAGTTTTATTTAATTATTAATCAATAAATTTTATTTTTATCACTATTATTATTACTATTGTTATTTTTATTACACTCTACAACATAAATACTGAAATAAATTTTTGCTCCAGAAATAAAATTTTAAGTTTTTTATTAAATAAACTGATTAATTATAAGTTATTATTGTTGTTTTTTCCTACCTATCAATCTTAAATAATTCACCACTAAGTTATATGAATACAAAAACATTAATAATAGATGCAAATACAATTTTTAATTATTATGAAATTAAAATCAATATAGCATCATAAATAAAAAAAAACTAAAAAAACAAATTAATTGATTTCCACTTTCTTCTTATTCTTCTTAAAAAATGAAAAAATTAAAAGTTTTATTTCGACCTTTAAAGTAGTTAGACAATTCCTATAAGATTCAATTTTAAAAATGAAGAAATTCATAAAACCAGTTTTGGAGCATTAATGTCTTTGATTGTTTTGATAATTATTGGATTAGCTGATTATTTTTATGGGTAAGAGCTATTTAATAGGAATAATCCGATTGTGATCACCAGCGAATAGTATGTGAAAAACCCTCAAAGAATGGATATTGATAAAATTCAACAAATAATAGTTATGGGTTTTAATAATTCTACAGGTCAAACCGTTTACGAACCATCTGTAATTTAAGTTTCTGCTTCTATATCTAAATTATAAAAGATTTACAATGAAACCACTTAAGGATATCAAAATTCTCTTAAATCTACTAACCTAATAATTAGACCATGTAATAGGTAAGATATCAGAGTAGGTGAAATTAATAGCTATTTCGATTCACTTCCATTAAGTAACTATTTTTGTTTTGATGACAATTAAGAAGTTTACATTGAAGGAGATTATTCTGGAGATTTCTACTCTAAAGTAGATGTATTCTTTTCTCAATGTAAAAATTCTACTTAACCAGGTTCTGTTGTTTGTAAGTCTTAAGAGTAAATAGATTAAATTACTTCAAATCTTTTTTTCCTAGCGTATATGTTGGATAAAATTGTTGATCCCACTAATTTAGACAATCCTTTCAGTTACCAAGGAATAAATTTAGAGACGTAAACATCTGCCTAACAAAGCTAGTAATATACAGCCTTTTTTGAAAATTATTATATTTAGTCAGACACCGGACTTATTACATAATAAGTAAATGAAAAAAGGGATTTCTTGTATGTGTAGTCACGTTCGGATAATTTATATGGAAAACCAGGTTTATTAATTCAATTTACTCTGAGGCCATATAAAAATAAATAGCTGTTTATGTAGAGGAGGTATATGAAATTTTCTGATCTTATAGCGCAGTTAGGAGGAATCATAAAGCTACTTACTTTAATAGGTTTTGCTTTCACATACCCTATTACAAGACTTCACTTAAACAAAGAAATCATAAATAGTATTTTTGACTTAAACTTTACGCTATCAGAAAAAAAATTACAGAATAATGACAATAATTTGACTGAAAAATACCTAGCAGAAATAGAATTAAATAATAAAAAAAAACTACAATAATAATTTAAATTTATGTAAAATTAATAAGACTTGGGCTCTAAACTAAATGAAGAAGATTAAAGTTAATATAATAATAATGAGGTTAATTAGAGAAGTAATAAATTAAAGGCTAGTCAACAATCCTTTGATTAAGAAAAATCAATAGAATAATAATAACTTGCTTATTTAAACCTTAAAAAGAAATAATCCTAATTAAAAGAAGACAATTTTAAATTTCAATAAATAAATAATTCAGTTGAAACAGATTAATTTAATAATAAGAGTGTGAAAAGAAGTTAAGAATAAAATTTCAGAAGAAGAGAAATCTTGAAAAATGTAAAAGAAAGTGATTATTCTTTTTCAAATATTTATGAAAACCAATTTATTAGAATGGAAACCTCATAAATTCAAGAAAATTCTCAGATTGTCAAGTCTCTAATTGATAGTATTAAAAACATCTTAAATCCATTAAAATCCATAATTAAAATGACTTTTATAGAATAAATTCTTTATTTTTCTTCTTTTAATTCTAAAAAGTTAAAGTAAAAAAAAGTGTTTATTTAGAAAGGGCTCAAAAAAGTATCAAATTAACTGGATATTGAAAACATCCTAAAAAAATTATAGGAATTAGAAAAGCTTAAGCAAGTGGTGCTAAATGAAGACTAATTGAAACTTTTTGAACTTTTGCCTCGACCTGTTTTACAGAGCAATAGTTCAGAAAGCCAGTCTAATTAAGGTAATTCATTTTATGACAAAATTAATAAAACTTATGAGGAAAAGGTGGATGAAGCTTACTAAAGTTTAGCAAATATATTGAATAAACCTAAAAAATCATAAAGAGATATTCAGTTAATTTAGCTTTTGGATAAAAAGATCTATTAAAATATATTAGACGCTGGTCTTATAACTGAGAATGCAGATAAATACTCTTAAAATTACCAAACCAATTATTTCGATAATAGTCTAAAAAATTAGGATTATATTAAAGAAAACCTACTATGTTAAAGATTTCCTTCAAGATTTGTTGAGAAAAATTTTTTGATAAAAGACTCATCCTTCAAAGAAGAATTTGAGAAAAATCAAACATAATATGATGTTACGGATGATAGTTAAACTAAAATTGATGATGTTTATTTTAATTTTAATAATAAAATTATTAAAAATTCTATGAATTTATGAGAAATCTATATGCATATTTTATCTAAAATTGTTACTATTAATATTATTTTTGATTTTTGTTGTTTAAAATGGTTAAAATAAATAAAATAGATTTGTTTGCTATTTTGCTAATTATTTATTTTATTTTTATTTCAAAATATATTTAAATTGATAAACATGTAAATCTCTTTTACTTTTTCTAATAACTTTCACATTTATTAGATTATCTATCAAAGCAAAAAACAATTAATTTGTAATATTCTAATTTATTTATTTATTTAAGCTAATTATTTTACTCAAAAACCTTATTGAAAATAACATTTATTTTTATTACTTTTTAAATTGGTTTTTTTAATCTTTTACTGCTATTTCTTAAGTATTATTTTTAAATTTATAAAATATATTAAATGTTATCTCTAATAGAAATATAATTAATTATATGAGTGATAAATAAAATTTTTTTATATAAATGGTTTGGAATATGGTTATTTAAAATCTTGCTAGAAAACAAAATGTGTTTTGACTTAAAATTGAATTTTTTTAATTTACTTATACAACAAGAAATATTAATTATACAATTAGGAAATGAAATGGTATATCTAGCTAGTTTTTACCTTATTACATAATTTATTTTATATTGAAAATAATATTGATTAAGAAATTATTAATAAATTTAAATAAATAGAATAATAAATGATAAAGAAAATAGCCGCTAATATTCATTCATACTCAGTATAAACATTTTTAATAATGAAAATTTATTTCTTTTAAAATTAAGAAGTTTACAAAACAGGTTTTGGAGCTCTAATATCTGTGATCATATTTGCAGTTTTTTGTCTTGCTTGTTATTATTAAAGTAGTGAATTATTTTAAAGGTATAATCCTATTGTGCTTACAAGTGAGTAGTTTGTGAAGAATCCTGAAAGAATGACTTTTGATAAAGAGCAATAAATAACGATCATGGGGTTAACTGACAACTTTGGTCGTAATATTTATGATCCTTAAGTGATTTAGGTCTCAAGTTACATGACTAGCTTAAAAAAAATTGATTAAGGGTCGCATTAAATTTCACTAAATAAAACTAAATTGGCAGTAAGACCATGCAACATCTAGGATATAAAATCAGTCAAACTAAATGATCTGTTTAATAATCTTCACCTAGATTATTTCTTTTGTTTTGAAGATGGTTAAAAAGTATACATAGAAGGGGATTATTCAGGTGATTTTTATTCTAAAATAGATGTCTTTTTTAAATAGTGTAAAAATTCTACTTAACCAGGCTCTGTTGTATGTAAGCCTTAAGAACACATAGATTAAGTGACAAAAGATCTTCATTTTCTTACTTACATTGCTGATAAGATAATTGATCCCTCCAATTTAGAAAATCCTTTTGGATATCAAAGCAGTTATATAGAAACTCAGACATCAGCTCTTTAAAGCTAGCAATTTACTGCTTTTTTTGAAAACTACTATATTTAATCTGATACTGGCTATTTTTCTAAATAGATTAATTAAATTTAAGATTTTTTATTTGTATAGTCTTAATCAAATTATGTATTTAGTGACCCAGGTCTAATAATTTAATTTACTTTGACACCTCATAGGAATAAGTAAACTTTAATGCAAAGAAGGTACATGAAATTTTCTGAGCTAATTGCTCAATTAGGAGGACTGTTTAAGCTGCTTACATTAATCGGATTTGTAATAACATACCCATTTGCTAAAATCTACTTGAACAAAGAAATAGTAAACAGTTTATTTGAGTTCAATTTGAATAGCGAGGGATAAAAAATTGAAAAGACTAACTAAAATAATTGCCTGTTTGAAACAAATTTTATTGAAGCTGGAGATAAATAGAATCAAAAGTAAGTTAAAATTTGTGAATAAATTTAATAAATAAATTAAAACCTTTAGAAGTAAACAAATAGTGTAAATTAAAATATCGAAAATATATCTTAATTTGACCATGTTTTAGATAAAAGCAACAATAAAAATATACAAAATTCATTATTTCAAAATTAAGAAAGTGCAATTGAGTAGCTAACAACGAGTAGTCCTAATAATAAAGAAGTTAATAAAGAAAATTTCAGGCTTCTATAACTTACTTAATTTTCTGAAATAGAATCATAAAATGTTCCTAAAAAAGTAACTACTCCAAACCAAGCTTTTAGGAGAAACGGATCATAAAAAGCTTTCAAAATGACAAAAAGCAATTTTAATCATCAAGAAGAAAATAAAATAACAAAATAAAACCAATAAAAAAAAGAAAATTAGATTTAATTATCCTATTTTGAAAGAATAAAATGTATTTTGAATCCTTTAAAGAAAAAGATTAGCTTAAGTTATGCAGAATATTTTCAGTATCTAACATTTAAATGCTCTAAGTTATTTGAGTTAAAAAAATTCTTTATTTTAGAAGGAATAGGTAAGGTATAGAATAGTTTAGACATTTAAAATATTGTTAAAAAATTATAGGAAATAGATAGACTTAAATAAATAATATTAAATGAAGATTAGTTAAAACTTTTTGAAATCATGCCTTAACCTATTTTAAATAGTTAAACTGAGTAAAGTAAAACAAAGAATTAAGATTAACATAAAACTAATTTCTAATAAGAAGAAAGGACAAGTAGCGCTTATAATAGCTTGATTAAAATGGTCAATTAGCCATTTCTATCAAAAAAAGATTTTTAAATAATTAACCTGCTAGATGAATAAATATATAAAGCTCTTAGAAACTCTTAACAGGATATCAATTCGTTAAAAAGTTAAAATAAAAATGTTTTCATCAACGATTATGTAAATGAAAATAAAAGCATTAACTTAATAAATTTAGGAGTCAGTAATGCCTATACTGACAAATTTAAGAATCAAATATTTGATAATTTTCTTAAAAACGAAGATGTCCCAGAAGAATGCTTATAAAAATTAAATGATTCATACTTTCATAAACAAAAAAAAAAAAATTAAAATTAATTGAATTTGTTTTGAGATGTTTTTTATTATTTTAAATCTTTATTATAATTTTTTTAATGGATAATTATTTAGCTCATATCACTTTTAAACTCTTTAATATTTGAAATACAAATGGATTATTTTCTATACAAAAAAATAATTTATTATTAATTTAATAATTTTTTAATTCAGTGAGTAGTATTTTCAGAATTATTATATTAAAGAAAATCAAATTCAAAAACCTCAAAGATATACTTCATTTTTTGGGTAAACAGATTATTCATTGACAACAAACAACTTTAATGAAGAAATTGATAATCTCAAATAGCTTATGCTACAAATGATGGTGAAATTTAAATTGAAGATATTTACTACAGTTTAAAAATAAAATTATTAAAAATTCAATGAATTTGTGTGTTTATATATATCCATATTATTTTCTAAATTGTTTAGATCTTTAAGATAATATAAATAATAGAAGTGCAAAAAATTATTTACTCCAAAATTAATTGACAAATAAAACTCTTAACATAGAGTTCTGTCATAAGAAATAAATTCATTAAAAAGTTAAAATAAAAATACTTTCAGAATGCTTTTTAAAATTGACTGATTCATAGAAAACAACTAAAAAAATTGATTGACCTTATTTTGAGGAATTTTTATAACAAATTTCTCTATATTATTTATTTGTTTATTTTTAAATAATTCAAGCCCTTTGTATTAATATTTCTAACATTTTTAGTTTAGAAATACAAAAGAACTTTTAATCTAAACATTTAAATTCTTAATTTTATTAATTCAAATCAACAGTCAGTTTTTATCATTTTACTTTAAATTTTAACAACAGAAAAAAAATTTGGATTATAAATTTTAATTATTTTAGATTATTAATTATAATTTTTTACTTTCATATCATATCAAAAAATAATAATTAAATTAATTTTTGACTTCAATAAGAAATAAATTTTTTATTACATATGAGTATGAATGCCCAGAATTTGTTCATTTATTGCAAAATAAAATATTTTTGCAGGAAAATTTGTTCAAATTACAATCTGAGAGCTTATACTCGCCTTATATGAAATTATAAGTCTATTTACTAGGGTCGCTAAATAAAGGCTACTCAAAATTCTCAATTAAGATATAAATTTTTAATTGATTGTTGTAGAAAATTTTTTAACTTAGATTTATTTGATTAAAAAAACTTTTTAATAAAGCTAAATAGTAGAAGTAAAACTAATTCTAAGCCTACGATTTTTAGCACAAATTAAACAAAAGGAAATATACAATTTCTTAAAATATTTAGCAGTGATCTTCAAATTTTTTAAATAACTACATGAAATAATCAAGTTAAATGCTTCTTTAGAGTAAAAAAAGCTTAGGTAACATTGGAGTTTAGCAGATAAGCTCTCTAGATCAATTACCTATTCAAAATTAAATAAGCTAAATTGAATAATTATAAATGGGGGATTTAAGAATTGGGTAAATTTCTAGAGGCTAATGGACCCGAGAGCAGACAAATAATAAATGTGTAGAATCAAGTATACAGCCATCTACTGAAAACTTTAGCGAGTAAGACTGTAAATAAGTCTAAAAAAACGATTAAGCTTAAGTAGAATAAATTAATTATTTTGAAGAATGTTATGATAAAAATAACTAGTCTATGGCAGTTGAGAAATTTTTTAAGGATAATTAAATTTAACTTAATGCAGATTCTAAATAAGAATCATTGAATACGTCTAATTAGTCGCCAAACCTAAATTTTTCAAAGATTAATGAGAGCAACGATTAAATTAATAGATCTAAAGTTACTAACTAAAGATAGCATAGGCCATCTTACAGATTCAAACCTGATGAACTAAATAATTAGCTTGAATCAGGTTTTAAGAAAAGAAAAAATTAAAAAACGCAGCAGACTTTTGGCGGAACAAAATTTAATTCATCTGAGAGTATTAACAATGAAGAAACTTTAAAATAGAAATCGACAAAAAAATTACAAAGTAGAACAACTCAATAAGTTTGGAAAAACAATTTTTTTAACATATTATTTTTCTTCAACAGATTTATTCACAGGAACAAATAAAGGTTGATATATTTTAAGCCTCAAGAACTTCTAAGAAACTAGTGGGATGCAATTAATGACTTAGGTAATATTCACTATTAATATTTTATGCTATATAATATTTCTTCGTTGGATTAAATAATTTTTTAAAATATTTATTTAAAGCCTCGCATCATATTAATTAAAAGGAAAGCTTTTCATATATAAAAGAAAACATACATAGAAGCAGATTTAAAATTATCAGAAAAATTAGGATTTGTTGGCTGTTAGTTAAAAAAAGATTAAAGGTATTCTTCATGCCCATTTAAAGCTTTCATGAAAAATTTGTTGGCATTATTATAAAAATATAAGATCCAATACCTGTTATTTTACCTTACAATAAGGTCTCTATTTTTTGGGATTTCATCACTATTTCATTTATTTTCTTAAACTCCTTTTTACTTCCTTTTGAAATAGCTTTTAATAATGGCGAAAATGTTAATCCTCTTATTGCATAAATCACTCAATTAGTATTTTTGCTTAACTTTTTAGTATAAATGAACACTGCTTATTATGAAAATGGTGTATTATAAAAAAACAGATCAAAGATATTTATTAATTTTTTACAAAATCATCTCCTATTTGATTGTGTAGCATACTTGTCCTTGTGGTCAGATTAGATAGGCTTTATAAAATTAAAGATTTTATTTTTAATAAAATACTTTTCATTCTATGAAATAATTGAAAAATTAGCAGAATCATTTAAATTTTCTTACAATTACAACTTTCTTGTTGATTTGCTCACTTTATTTGTAGAAATAACTTTACTTTGCCACTTATTCGCATGTGCGTGGTTTATGATAGGAGACTATCAATAGAACAACGAAATGCTTAATAATTGGGTTAATGTTAATAATCTTGTAGGTAGTTCAATATCATCCTAATATGTTTCATCAATTTATTTTTCTGTAGTTACTATTGGCACTATCGGCTATGGAGATATAGTTGCTAAGAGTGATATCGAAAAAGTGTTTATCTGCTTTATGGCTATTTTTACATCTGTCATATTTGGTTATATTCTTACAAATATATAAAATGTTTACAAAGATTATCACTCAAAAAGAAAAGTTTACATCAGACATTTAGCTGAGCTGAATAACTATCTTTATAGCAGAGATGTGAATCCCCACTTGCAGTAAATGGCTAGAAAGTATTTGAAATACATTCATACTCAAAATTTCTCTAAAAGAGTGCTGCCAAATGAGACTCTGAATGTGTTAAGTAAATTTTTAAAAGAAGAAATTATAGAAGAAATATTCTATAGATCAATAAAGAATATCCCTTTTCTTCAATAATTTAGTCATTAATTCTTGAATGCCTTAGCCCTTAAAATGAAAGAAGTGAACTATGGTAAAAATATAATTTAAATTGCACTAAATCCCACTATTTAATTTCTGTAAAAACTAAATAAAATATAAAAGAAATTTGATTATTGGAATTAGTTTTTATTTAAATAAAAATCTTCTTACAAATTTTATGTTTGATTCAAAAATTTTTAAATGGATAAATAAATAGGACCTGATGAAATAATAATGAAAACGGGAAGTTATCAAGTACCTTAGTTATATTATATAGTACAGGGAAGAGTAGAGATTTAATTAGATTAATCCAGCAAATAAAACTAAAAATAAAGTCCATTCTCTGAATACAAAACTTTTTTTGAACACAAGGAAACTTAATCTTTTGGTTAATATGAGTTTTTTTCTCAAACTCATTAATCGTAAATAAATGTGAAGAGTTTGGAGTAAACTACTTTGCATTAAATCCTTTTGACTGATTTTATTGATGTGCTTAATTAGTTTTAGGTAGATAAAGAAAAATATCAAGAATTAAAAGATAAACTGAATCTGAATGAGAATTACTCATGTGTAAACGTTTTTTGTTAATCATGTAAAAGCAATTAGCATTTACTCAGGGACTGTCCTTTATTTTTTTACAAACCACAAAAATTTAAAATCGTAAGACTTTACAATTGGTAGATAGATTTTGAAAGAACTCTAATAACAAGATCTACAGATAGACTAATTCTTAATTCACTAGCGTTTTAGCAAGAAATTGAAGATGATTGTATATTCTTTAGAGAGGAAAATTAAGAAGAGTTGGGAAGTATGATATAGCTAGAAGGTGATGAAGAATATTAAAACAAATAAAAACTCAAAAACCAAAAAAGAATGTCATGTGACATCCAAAGTCTTAACTTACTTTCAAAAGATAAGCATACAAGTTCAAAAATTTCAATATCAATTCCAAGATTAAGTGTCTAGTAAAGCAATAATTCTGCATTGTCAACTATTTAAGTTGAGAATAAAGTATCTGAAATATAAACGGATGAGTTAAAATTTGATTTTTAAAATGAAACATAACAGCAATCAATGAATAGCATCAAAAAAGAGACAAGCAAAAATAAATTAGAAAATTAAACTAATCAATCTATTAAATCTATTATATCCTCTCACTCATCTGAATCTGATTCTGATTCTTCTTAATCATCATCATCGTCATCATCTTCTTTAAGAGACAAAAAAATTAAAAAATAGCTAAAATAAAATAATGCCTCAAGAAAATCAATAAATGAGATCTGTGGTCCAAATTAAAAAAGTAGAATGTCGTTATCAAGAATTAATACTAAGCAAGAGTTTTAAAAAAAGGCAACTCTTCTTTCAGCTAGGACAAAAAAGAATTGGTCTTTGCTTGAAAAGAGTAAAAGTCTAAATGATGTGTAATTATTGGTAAGACCATCCTTGACATAATAAATTAATTTAAATGACCCAAAACTTGCAACATAAGTGAAATAAAATTATAAAAGATTAATTACAATAGGTTAAATGCAGCATGTCTTAGAACTGATGCAAATGTAAAATGCACAGAAAGCTGCAAAATAGATGATTGAAAATAATGAAGACATCACAACAGAAACTGTAAGAACGTTTAAAATATATTTACCTCATAACAATATAGGAAATATTATCAAAGAACATTAAAAATTAAAATTGAAGTAAAAATTAAAGAAGAAAATTATATAAACTGTAGACATAGACAATTCGTTCAACTTGAATAATAAATAGATACTGCCTAAATAGTGATTAAAATACTTTAAAAAAGAGTTCTGTTGAAAAGAAATTTCAAGCAATTATTTTATAAATTTTTAATATATTTTACTAAATTCAAAGAAATATGAAAAGTAAGTATTTATATAATACAAGATAAAATCAATTTATTAAAGTTAATAAAATTTTTATTAAATAAAAAACTGTTAATTTTTTTATCATATTAAAAATAAAATAAGAAATATTATTACCACAAGACAAATAAATAAATAGGAAGGAAAATTTACCTAAAATAACTTTAAAAAAATAATATTTGATTATAGAAAATTATTAATAAATTTAAAGTAATTTTTAATTTAAGGGTAATTCAATTTAGTATATAAAATATTTATTTTTAAAAAGAATACCCATTTTCATTAGTAAATTAACAAAAATTTGAGAATCTAATTATTTAAATAAAGTATTTTAATCTATTTTAAATTACTATTTAAAATAACTCATATTATAAAAATAAATATTATGGATGAAAGCATGTTTTCAGCATTTAGACTAAAATACTAAATTAATCCTTATTTATTTTCTTAAATCTCTAACTTTTTTATAAAAAAATTGTATCAATTTTATTTTTATTATAATTTAATAAACATAAATTTTACTTTAAAATTAAATGAAATTTAATTGAGTGAAAGGATTTATTTTTCTTTGTTTTTAAAATATTCCATTTAATTTTTTTGTTTGATTATTTTTTACTTACTTCTTTTTGTTTTCATACTTTATGCACTTTATTTTTAAGGGATATAACCATCTTGTTAAAAATAATTTTTCGATAAAGTTAAATATTTATTTTATCATTTAAAAATGCTATTAAACTAAAATTAAATTGTAAAATTTAAAAATATTCTTGTTGAGCTAATTTACTCATCAGACTTTTAAATTATTTCATTTATAAATTAAAAAGTAATTTTAGGATATTTCATTTACTATGAAAAAAAAAAAAATTTTTAAGTTAACATCTAAAAACATAAAGAGAGAAAAATAAATCAACAATATTTTTAATTTTAATAAGAATAATTATTAGTCTAACTTATTATTTGGAGCAGAAATAAATTTTTATAAGGATTAATTACTTTATTTAATCTATAAGTAGAATTAAAAAGTATACATTCAAATTTAAAGAAGCTATAATCTATTTAATGAAAAAGACCTCTGTTACTTGGCTTGACGAATAGTGTGTTTAAGTTTAAATACCTTAGAAATCAAAAGGAATATGTGAGAATAGTATTTGTGAATCATCAATTTAGGTTATAAATGATCAACAGAAAGTAGAAGATTCTAATTTTTAAATGAATTAAAATAATTTAATTTATGATTAAGTAATAACAACAACTTTTAACAATGAGAGCTATTAAGACTTAAGAATTGGAGAATAACATAGACAAAAATGGGCTGAAGTTTAGATTGGTTAAAAAATTCTCAAATCTAGTCCAAACCTTACTTAAATTGAATTAAATAATTAAGATAATAAATCTATAAAAGTGGATGGAGAGCAAAAGTAAGATGAAAAGCTTTAAGAAGAAGATTTATAAGAATTATAATGCTAAACAATAGATTAAACTTTTTAAGAAAGAGGTTAAGTTAATGAGACTTAGGATGTTAATAATAGCAATTAAATTGTAGATAGATTTTTTAAAGGACATTAAATTTAATGTAGAAGCAATTCTAGAAAAGGTACTAGAAGAATATAATCTGGCGAATTCCAAAGTCTTGATTAATCTAAAATGTTTGAAACATCTGATTTAAATAATAGATCTTTTTCTAACTCATCAAGATAGCATAGAGGTTCGTACAGATTCAAACCAGATGATCCTATCTTTGCAGAATCTGGATTTAAAAAGAAAAAAAACTGGAAAACAATTGGTGGCACAAAAATAGATTCTTAAGATAGTGACAACAACGAAGATGCAATAAATTATAGGTCCTAAAAGAAAATACATCGCACTTCACAAGAAGTTTGGAAGAAAAGCTTTTTTCATATTTTAATATTCTTTAACAGGTTTATTTATAGGAATAAGCAAAAGCTAATTTATTTCAAACCTTAAGAGCTAATGAAAAATCAATGGAATGCAATTAACGATTTAGGTAATGAATTTTTACATAATTAATTAATTATTCTTTTTATTAGTAGAAGTTAACAAATTAAATATTATTGAAAAGCCTCACATCAATAAATAGAAGGAAAAAACAAATATTAAATGAATGAAAATTACTTTAGAAGTCGATTTAAATTTGTGAGAAAAGTTAGAATATCTTGGCTGCTGCTCAAAAAAAGAATGAAGATATTTTTAACCCCTTTCTTTAATTTTAAAAATAAAGTTTAAGAATTCTCACAGAAATTACTTGGTCCTATTCCTATTATTTTACCTTATAACAAAATATCAATTTTTTGGGATTTGGTATTAATATTTTTTATTTTTTTAAATTCATTCACTATCCCTTTCGAAATTTGCTACGCTGATGCCCAAGAGATAAGCTAGTTCTTTTCTTAGTTGACAAGACTTGTTTTTATGTTTGAGTTTGTAGTATAGGTAAATACAGCTTATTATGAAAACGGAGTTCTTTAAAAAAATAGACTTAAAATTCTCTTTAATTACATTAACAGTCATCTATTGATAGATACAATAGCCTACTCGTCTCTTTGGCTTAATCACTTAGGCTATCCATCGCTAAAGATTATATTTTTAATTAAATATTTTTCATTTTATGAAATTATTGAAAAAATAGCAGAATCCTTTCAATTTTCCAGTAAATATCATTTAATAATAAATATTTTAACTCTTCTTTTGGAGATATTTATGCTCTGTCATTTATTTGCTTGCGCATGGTTTAAATTAGGTGATTATCAGCAAAGTATTGGATTATAAAATAACTGGATAGCAGCTAATAATCTTGTTAATACTTCTATGATCTCTTAATATATTTCATCAATTTACTTCTCAATAGTAACAGTTGGAACAATAGGATATGGAGATATAGTTCCAAAAAGTGATGGAGAAAAGGTGTTTATTTCTTCAATGGCTATATTCACTTCAATAATATTTGGCTACATTTTAATGAATATTCAAAATGTGTACAAAGAGTATTACTGTGTCAAAAAAGTATACATCAAGCATCTAGCATAGCTTAATAACTATTTATTTAGTAGGGACGTAAATCCTCACTTGCAGTAAATGGCCAGAAAATATTTAAAGTATGTCCATACACAGAATTTTTAAAAGGGAGTTCATCCTAACTAGACACTCAATATATTGAGTAAATTCCTTCGAGAGGAAATCACTGAAGAAATATTTAAGAGATCTATAAAAAACATACCTTTTTTATAGCAGTTTAGTTAACAATTCTTGAATGCTCTTTCACTTAAAATGAAAGAAGTCAGTTATGGTAATATTACTTATTTATTTCTTGTATTTATAAATTAAAATAAATTAATTTTTGCTTTTTCTTTTAAATAAATGGAATGAATTTCTTTTTGTTATTTAGCATCAAAAATAATATCTTTTTGTTATTTTCCATTAAAAATATTTTTTTTTTAATTATTTAGCATCAAAAATAATAAATTTTTGTTATTTAACATCAAATAGAATTTATTTTTATACTTTTAAACAATTAGGTCCTGATGAGATGATAATGAAATCGGGAAGCTATCATGTTCCATAATTGTACTACATATTAAAAGGCAAGGTTGAGGTTTACTTAGATTAATCTAATAAATAAAATTTAAAATAAAATTTTTTTTCAGAGTATCAAACTTTTTATGAATATAAAGAAAATTAATCGTTTGGTTAGTATGAATTCATTTCGTAAGTGCATTAATCTTCAATAAATGCTAAAAGCTTAGAAATAACAACGGTTCATTAAATAGCTCTGACAGATTTTATTGAGGTGATAAATTAATTTTCAATTGATAAAGAAAAATACCTAGAACTTAAAGATAAATTGAATCTAAATGAAAATTTTTAATGTGCAAAAGTTTACTGTTAATCATGCAAAAGCAGTTAACACATTCTGAAAGATTGTCCACTATTCTTTTACAAACCTGCAAAGCATAAAATAATTAGATTTTACAATTTATAATAAGAGGATGAAAGAAAAAGTATCAAAAGATCCTTAGATAGATTGGTATTAAACTCTCTTGCATTTCAATAAGAAATAGAAGATGATTGCTTGTTCTTCAGAGAAGAGAACGAAGAAGAATTAGGAAGTATGATTTAGATAGAACCTGATTTATAAAGCTAATCAAAAAAGTAAGTACAAAAAGAAAAAAAATCTTAAGACATGTTCAGTTTAAACATACCTCAGGTTGAAAAATTAGGAAACGGCTCAAGGATATCCATTAATATTCCTAGATCAAGCTTCTAACTAAATAATTAAGGAAATAGTCAATAGCTCATTTAAACAGAAAATAAAATAGTTGAGTAGGAAAACGAGGATTCTAAAACTGACTTTCCAAAAGAATCTGCTTAAGAAGCGGTATAAATGACTTTAAATAGTATAAAAAAAGATTCGAGTAAAAGCAAATTAGATAACGACTCTTAATAATCATCCTTTAAATCATCTACTGAATCTTAAGATTCATCTGATGATTAATATTAATCAAAACAAAGTAATAAAAATTTAAACTCCAGAAAATCTCTAAATGACTGTGGATTTTAAAATTAGAAAAGTAGGGTGCCAAGTATGAGAGTTAACAACAGACAAGAATTCTAAAAAAAAGCTACTTTGCTTTCTGCTCGTACAAAAAAAAATTGGAACACTCTTGAAAAAAATTAAACTTTGATCGATGTTAATTTGTAAGATTATAGAAGACCTTCATAACTTTTACTTAATGATCCTAAACTAGCTACACAAGTCAAGCAAAATTATAAACGATTAATTACAATAGGTTAAATGCAATAAGTTTTAGAAATAATGCATATGCAAAATGCACAAAAAGTTGTTAAGCAAATTATTGAGCATAAAGAAGATATTCCCACAGAAACAGTGAGAACCTTCAAGATCTACATGACTCATAATAATATTGGAAGCATTATAAAATAATACCAAAAGTTTAAGATGAAAGAGAGATTAAAAAAAAAAATAGTAAAATCAGCTGATATTGATAACCCTTTTATAATCAAATAATTTGCAAATCATCCCCCTAATTCCCCAAACTGACATTAACCTAAAAAACAATTTCATTAAAAAAAATAAATACAAATTTATAATTAATTCATTTATTTATTTATTTAATTAGATTTTATTATCTTTTCTTGATAGTTTTATCTAAATTAACTAAATAAAATCAATCTAACCTCTTTTTAAACAATTTATTTACAAATTTAATTTTTATAATTTAATAAATAATTAATCTAATTACTTGATTGATGAATTGATATAAGTATTTTACATTAAATATACGTTTCGAGCTTTTACTAAATAAATAAAGGATTATAATAATTTTTGTGGAATTTACTCATACGAACGAAATCTTGGATTATCAATTTTTTAATTTTATTTTGCATTAATATTGTGTATTATCAAATTATCTATCTATTTAGTTATTTATATTAATTATTAAATTGTTACTTTAATTTATTTTTTAAAAAACTAAAATAAAAAAAACTCAATAAATAATTGAATTTATTTAATTGATTTAAAATTAATTAATAATATTATCATTATAAATTTTCATAATATTTCTATTTAAAATTTTACTCAAATATTTTAAAAAAATTTATTTTTATAAAAAATCTTACAGAATATAATTAAGGAATCTCTTTTAATTAAAATTAATCAGTGAAAGCTAAAGTATTTATTTCAATTTTAAATAAATAATACCCACAAATTATTAAATTCTATATAAAAATAGGTTATACTTCAATAGTTATAATAATTTATTTTGCATACATTTAATAAAAATTAATTAATAATTAATTAGTAGTATCTTTAGATATCAAATTATTAGATTATTTTTAAGATTTAAAGTAAAATAATTTAAGACAAAACCACATTTTATTTCATCTGTCCTTTTAAAGGATATTATTCATTGAATGAGTGAATTCTATTCAAGCTATAAGCATTTATTTTAGGATGATACTGTATTTATTTTATCATTTATAGAATTATTTGATAATAATTAGACTTAAAATAAATTTAGGATCAATTATACAACCAGCAACTTAGACATTTAGATTCAATAGTCTAGTAAAGCAAAAAAGATAGAGCTAACTCTGAAAAAAAGAGACAGATTTAACTTTAAAAAGATTTGCAAATTATAAGCTAAATCAATATGTCACCGAATGTAAACACAAAACTTAAAATGCAATATTGTTATTTAGATTGTTATTTTTAATTCATAAGATATTTCAGTAAGGTAAAGAGTTTAAAGACTACAATATAAATATAAATGGTTAAGGCGGAATATTTAATAAAAATACAAATAATAGCAACTCAATATTGAAATTTCAATTCAAGGATGACAATCCAGTAAATATTTATTTTGTTTTATAAAACTGCGATAAAAGTTCTAATATTTTTTATAGTTTCAAAATAATGTAAAAATGAATAGGAAAGATTAAATATCACAGCTATTGTAATTTTAAGATAATCACTAAAGTAAATTTATTATTTTTAATATATAAAACTATTAATTTTCCATTTATATTTGGATTCATAGGCAATAAAGACTTGTTCGTAAATGAAGGAATCTTTAGAAACAAGCAGTAGTATAGGGGCAGCAATGATTATTAAGTAATACCTATGTAAAGCAAAAACAGGAGTAGTTCTATTGAAGAGTTAATTAAAATTGATTACCCAAATAGTAATTAATTAATACAATAGTTTTTTTATTTTAAATCTATAAATTAATTTTCATTCAAAATAAATTAGTGATTTCGAATTACACTTAGCAACCTTAAAGAAAAAATATCTTTTTATCAAGGAATCAGAGTTAATAAAATTAAATACTATCTAGACTGCAAAACGAAAAAAATAATAATTATCCTAATATTTTCAAGGATCCTATAGAGGTTCCAAGACTTCGAGAGATTATGTTAGGAGATGGAATGACTTTTAACGAATATGAAGATTAAAATCCATAAGACTAGCAATAAAGAAAAAATTAAAAGTTGATAAATCATTAGAGCAGATAAGAATAATTGAATTATTCTCCTCAAAATTATGGCTACAGTAAAAAGAAAAAATATTTAGAATTTCTTGGACACAATATTTTGAATCCTATGCCCTAACCTAGCATAGAAGAAATATCAAAAGATTAAAGATTTAATAGCTATGATTCACCTGAAAAGAATAGAAAAAATAAGATGATCGATTAAAATGATAAACAAATTAAAAAATTTTTATAAAGCAGCTTTGAATAATACGAAAATGAGAAAAATGCAAATAGAAGCTTTGTAAAAACTCCTATTTTAGAAGTTGATTATAACCCAAATCCTTTAATATATGAAAGAATAAAATCTGAATTAAACTATAATAAAGCAGGCGCAGTATCCAATATAAAGAGTTAAAATAAGAATAATAACTCTAAAGATAACCAACCTCACTAAATAGAATCAATCCATAAGGGATTTGATAAATATTAGAATTTCAAAAGAAAGTAAAAAGATTTTTCCCTAACACCAGAAGTTTATAATGAAAATCTTAAAAATTCTCCAATTGTCAGAAGATTAGCAGCAAGCCGTTAAATAGATGTAAATTTCTTTATCAAAATTTTTAAATTCAAAAATAAGGAAGGCAATAAATTTATTTGGAAGAATAATTTTCTCAAAATCAATCAATATATTTCACTATCTTTTTAATAAATTAAAGTAAGATATAATTTTTTAATATTAATAGAGGAAAGATAGGGTTGCAGATTTATTAAAGTAAGATATATTAGATTGAGTTATATAAGTATTGTTTGTTAAATAATAAATATTTTGTTGAATATTTTTTCTTTGCAAAAAAAAAATAACAACTTTTCGCTACTTTAAATTCTGTTTTGGAAGATATATTTAGTAATTAAATTTTTTCTATTTTATTTACAGTAGAAAATAATATATCAAACTGTAACTAACTAACTAAAAAATTAAATAACTTACTAAGTTTTTTTTCATTATCAACTATGAAACATAATTTAGAATTTCTTTAGATTAAAATTAACAACATAATTCTATATTAATTGGATTTTAAAGATATTTTAATTTAAATATCTTTAAAATCCAGCTCATTGAGCTATTAAAAAGTATGTAAATTTTAATGAATTAATATTGTATTATACTTAGCTCAAAAAAACTATGTATTTTCTATCATTCATTAAATTAATTTTTATTCTACTAATTTTGAAAGGCTATTTGAAAAAATTATGTTTGTTTGTTATTTTACTTTTGAAATGTTTTTACATAAATTAAATTCAAAAAATTATAGTTAAAACTTAAAAAATAAATTAACAATTTTTAATTCAATTGAAATTAATTAGTTATTACTTAAGCTTTCATTTAGTATTTGCAAACAAATATGGGATAAAACGAAGTGAAACCACTCAATCAGAGATCAATATATTTTGGTTAGACAGAATGTCCTAATAAGAATAAGTGTATTACTAGTATTATGAGAAAGGCCTAGCAAGAATATGAGAAATTTGATCCTTAAAACACTAATTGTTCATAAAATAAATAGCAAAAAGAAAACAATAATACCAGCACTGGAATGCCTTACCAAGGATAAGCAACAAAAATAACGAAAATAAAAAGTGCTGTTAGTCCGAATTAAAGTTTTGTTTTAGGAGATCGCACTAATATGTTAAATAATCTAAATTCACATAGAAACCAATAAAATAATGGCAGTTTTAGTAGTCAAAATAACAGTATTTTTATTCTAAAAGATAAAGCAGGATTTCCTAATAAACACAATTAGTCGTTAAATGAGAGTTAACTGTCTAACAACAAGGAACCTCATAATATATCTGCTCGTATGGGAAGCAGAATGAGTAGTACCCATTAGTAATCGTAGCTTGGCTCAAACTTAAATAATGAGCAAACTCTTAAAAAAATGGCTTAGAATACATTTTAATAGCTTAACAACAACTAGAGATACAAAAGAATTTTAGAAGAAGAGGAAGATAAGAGCGATTTTGGCATGGAAACAAAATAAAAAAATGATAGCTTTGAAGAAAATAATTAAATATCTAACTTTCACAAATAGGTAACTGACACAATTTAAAAAGACCAAATGAATAATTCAATGCAAACTCTTTATAGAGAATCTGTAAGAGGGAGAAATAACCTTAACAACACAAGCATGGTTGAGCGCTTTTCAATAAGCTCAGTTTAACGCAGAATAAGTACCAGATATGATAATAAGGATAATGATATGTTTTCAGAAGGAATGATGCTACGCAAGCAGGCCTCTAAATAAAACACCATAAACTAATCCAAGAAGATTAAAGTAAACTGCAACTTTATGGAATAGTTCATTAAACTACCTGAGATAGCTTAAAAAAAGATTTTCTACTTTTTATTCGACGAACAAAATAATTTACGTTTAATAAACTCTCTCTTTTATTATAAAATAAATGAAATTTTGGAATAAGAAATGGTTGCCTTAGATAATTCCTTTATTAAGAGCACCATGGCCATTCTTTCATTCAAAGATAGCTATTTGACTTAAGAAAGAGTGTAATTCAAAGATATAAAAGGGGTTCGTATGGATAGACATATTATTGCTGAAGTTCTTCCATGTCTAAAAGGTAATAAAAAATTAAATTTCAAACGATCATTGCAATTAAAACTAAAACTTTTTAATTAATTCTTAAATAATATCAGAAGATAATAAAATATACATTTTATATAAAGAATTAAAATCAATATTATTATTTTCATAAATGCCCATCATTTAACACAATTATTATTCTTAATATTTATAATTTTTTAAAGCAGTAATAAAAATAAATTTAATTTTCAAAAGATTATTCCAATTAAAATAAACATTTTTTATTTCATTCTTCAATAGATTTCAGAATATAAAGTAACTATACTTTTTACATGAAGAATTAAGTATTTATCTTTTATATTCTTCAAATTCTAAATACCATAATTAGAACTATTAGATTAATTAACATTTTTATTTCATTCTTCAATAAACTTCTGAAGTGAAAATATACTTTTTATATGAGAATTAAGAATTTTTTTATTTATTTATTGTTTGATTATTACATTTTTTAAAATTACCATCATTAATACTATTATTATTTTTACTGTTTAATGTAGTGTATTGATGAACAAATTAAAATCTCCTTACTATAATTAAAATTATAAAAATTTATTATCAATTATTTTCAAATTTGAAGAGCTGATTTTTAGATTGTTAATTAAAATATATCAACAATAGGCTATAGCACCAAGATATCGTTCAGTTACAAGTATGCAAGTACATTTTCAAATAAAAAAAGAAATTAACGTTATTTCTGTGAATATTAATTTGACTCAGTTGAGGATAGAAAAGTTGTGTGGGCTTTTAAAGAAGAGTGTAGAGTAATTTAATTGCTTGCTTATTTGCTTTGGATTTATTTTTTTATTTTATTTTCAATATAAATATTTAGCATAACTTTGATTCAAACACACCAACTTTTGTTCAGCCTATAACTGTGTCAAGAGTTGGAGACAATATTAAAATTTAAATTAATTTTTATGGCCTTGCAGGAATGATAGATTTAAAAACAATTGTCTGGAATGAACCATAATTTACTCCTATTCCTAAAATCCCTATAATGCTTGATCCTAATGAAATTTAAGATTATGACCCAAACAGAATTTGTGAAATAGAATACTTGTACACTACATGGTTTTTGTATAGCTATTTTTAAAATGAGTAAAAAATAAAACTTGATTTCTTTGAGCCATATTTATATCTTAAAGAAACTCGTTGTGCCGGAGTAGATGTAATTACTTCAAAGTTAATCTTTTAAGCTAAATAACCAGGTATATAAATGAATTAAATTTATTCATTTTTTATATATTTATTTTTATTTAAAAAAAGGGTTCGTTCCAAAAAGCTTTGAAAATTTTGGTGTTAGAATTAAAGTTGTACCAAAGGGAGAAGAAGCTGTCTGCCAAGTCAAAAAACTTGGTATTTTCTCTGATTAAGAAAATCAAATAGAATTAAGAGTTGGAGACATTTTTGTCTTTTATATCTCTAAAGGAGATTGATTGCTTTTGATTAATTCAATCTAATTTATTAACAACTTATATTAATTAACTTTAATTTTGTATTTATATTTATATTGCATTACTTCATTATTGATTCGATAAATTTTATTAATTGCCATGTCATTTTATTTGTTAATAATACCATTTAATATTTTATAAACTGAGAAATTATTAGATTCTTTTTAAGACTTTTATTTATAAAAAACTGTAAGCAATATTATAAATATAACAAACATTTAGAATAATTTTTAGCTAATTAAACAAATCAATATATTTTAATATCAGACTTCAATAGGACTTTATTTTTATTAATCATTTTAGCTTTTCCTCGAGTAACAATTAGATAAAATAGATGATTAATACTGCATTTAATGTAAGCATGTAATATGGAATTTTCTACAAATTTAGACATCTAATACATTTATGATAAAGAATATTAGCTATAAAATTTTAATTAAATAAAAAATTTGTGGATAAAATATTGCTATAATTATTATAATTAATATTAATTAATATTTTCTAAGTGTATTTATAAACTTAAAATGGGTGCTTGCTTTTTTAAGAGTAAATTTGAAAACGTAAAAAAGTTAGAAAATACTTTCTTCGATTTAGAAGCTGTTGACATAGATGGAAATCTTGTTAAAATGAGCTAATATAGCAATAAAAAGGCTATAATTATTGTAAATGTTGCATGTAAATGAGGTTTGACAGGAGACTAATACAGAGGGCTTGTCGATCTATATAAGAAATATAAGTAACAAAATTTAAAACAAATGGAATTAACTCAAAAAATAATTTTTTTTTAAATAGAGACAGCGGCCTAGAGATTTTAGGCTTCCCCTGCAATTAGTTTATGTCCCAAGAACCTTGGGCTGAGCCAAAGATTAAAGATTTTATAACTGAAAAGTTTGGTGCATCATTCCCATTATTTTAAAAGATTGAAGTCAATGGCGATAATCCTCATCCTATTTACAAATTTTTGAGAACTAACTCAGAGCTCTACGATCCCTAAACTAACAAGGCTAAGCAGATTCCATGGAATTTCTCTAAATTTGTTGTAGATAGAGAAGGCAAAGTTTGTGGATTTTACAAACCTACAGTGAAATCATAAGATTTGGATGGAGTTATCCAAAAGCTTTTAGCTAACTGATGAAAATTTGTATGAAATTTAGTAAAAAAAATATTTGAATATAGATAAAAGAGATATCATTCAATGATAGCTTTATAATTAAATCTTTAATAGAAGTTATAAGGTTTGAAGCTAATGAGCTCTATTATCAAATTTGAATATAATTACTAAATTTCTATAAATTTTATAAATTAATATTTGAAATTAAAATTAAATTAACTAATTTCTATTAAAATATTTTTTTTTTTACAATTTGAATTTTTATTTATGTATTAAAAGTCTCTTAATGATAAATGGAAATAGTAATTAATTTAATAATATTATAATGCTGATTTTATACAACTTAATTATTTATTTTTTTTCTTGCTTAATAATTTTTTAAACAAAATTATTTTTTGAAATGTTAATTTTATTTTATAATACATTAAATTAAATATTTAAAAATATCAAAAACATAATTCAATAAATTTTTAAATCTATTTGATTGTGCTTTTAGTGATTGGATCAATACTAAATAAATACTTAAATCATTAATTTTTGTGTAATTAATTTTACTTTTCGAACAAAAAAAGTTGAATTTCTATTTTCATGCTTTGTTTGGAAAAATAATTTCAAAAAATAATGTAAAAAATGTTGATATGAGATAATTAATTTTTATATTAAAAAAATAATTAGATTTTAATTAACACTGCTATTTAAATAATAAATAATTAAAGTTGTTTGTTTATTAATTTAAATAGAGAATAAAATTTTTAACAAAATTAGGCACTCCTTTTTTAGATATGTCTAAATCAATGAATTAATGCCAGCAAAATTTAAATTAAAATCTCCATTTCGATGCATTGAGTAAGGAAGCTAAAATTCATGAAACACTTCAAAGCAATTAAGGAAATTTCAGAGGCTAGTAGTTGGGTGAACTAAAATTTACTATTCCTAAAAGAAACCGAAACTAAGATTAATAAATGACTGTGAATAAATTAGAAAAGAATATTAATGATTCATTTAAATTTATAAAATTATCTATTGAAAGTGATGTTATTACCACAAACCACTTTAAAAATTTTAAAGCCTAAAGTAGAAAAACCTAGTAAAGTGCCCTACAAAATTAGAAATCTAAAATGGTAGATTCAAAAGCTTCAACAGCATAATTTAGTCCTAGTAGAAATAATTCAGCTTAAAGAAGTTAGAAGTAATTTACAGGTTAACCTTATCTGTATTAATCAGAGAATTCTAACTAGTAAGAAAATTTGATTAAGAGTATATGTGATAGATTTTTTTATACACAGAGAAGCAATCCTTTGCAGCAAAGCAAATTTTAAGGCAATTATGCTCCATATTTGAAGTAAGCATATAGCTTAGAGAGAGTAAAAGAGCAATCTTAAGAGAGTTAATAAAAAATGGTGAACTAAAAGTATGAAGACAATTAAAGGATAAAGAGATAAAAGATAAGCTTAGATAGCTTGGATGACACTCATAATAAAAGCATTAAGCAATTATTATTATTAGGAGATTAGATGAAAAAAAATCCCTAACTTTATTACTTGAAGTAGTCTGCGAAATAGAGAGAGTAAGATATCAAATCTTAAGTGAGTATTTCTTTATCGAAATTACATGCGTCTAATGAGGATTTTTAACTTCCTTAATAAGGAAATAACATCGCCAGCTGCCAAAAATTATACAAAGCACAGGCCAAACCTCAAGAGAAGCATTTAAAAAGCAACTCAAGTTTTATAATTGGGAAACACTAACTTGAGACGTTGATACAAAAGAAATTTGAAAATAAAGCTTTAAAGTAAAGCAATAATCCAAAAAGTTTATTATAAAACATATCATTTTTGTAGACAAAAGGCTAAAACGAAAGTAGCGATCATAAGCAGTAGCTTGAGAAACCGAATAATTCAAACAAAAACGAAATATTTTAAATTTAGTAAAATAAAAGCTACTTATATAAAAATAAATACTCAATCAATTTGTCTTAGCTCGAAAGTATTAATTTTAAATAGCATGAAATCCTCTCAGAAAGCCAAAACAAATATTATTAATAAATTTAAAATAATATTTTAAGAAGAAACTAAAGCTAAGATCTAAACTCCTCTAAAATTAGTTAAGGTACTTAAACAATGAATATAGATATCGATATAAAATCTTAATTATCTTCATCTCCATCAGAAAGAAGCAGCTATATTGCTTCTAAAAACATTAACAGTTTATAAATAAATCCTAGTGATTAACAAATCAATAAAGATCTCCAGTTAAAATTACCTAATAATGAATCTTAATTTTAGCTATAAAATTCATAAATATGCAAAATTATAAATAAGAGAAGAGGTAATTCAGTAATTATATAGCATGATTAAAATATCTCTCTGTAAAATAATTAAAGAAGATAGTCTTTATCTCAAATAAATAACTCTATTAATGCAGCATAAAATAGAAAGAAGACTAAAGAAAAAGAATAACTGAACTTCTCAAAGTAAACATACTAATTTCTAAAACCAATTTCTTTTTAAGATTAAAGCAAAATATAAGAATAAGTAAAGAAATAGAATTCCATGGATTAACTTAATCATCTTATATCTCCAACTATGAACTACAAGCCATATAAATATTTCCAAAAATAAATTGAGTAAAGAAGCGAAAAATTGTTTCATACACCAAGCATAAGCAGTTTAAATAATTTTTAAAAATATTAACAGAAAGTTTAAAGTAACAAATCTTTTTAAAAAATAAGCTTTCTATAAAGTCCTATCTAAAATATAGAGGGGTATAAATTGCTGCTAAACAAATCTTCAAAGCTACTATTAAATTAATAAAAGAGTTAAATATTGCAATAGATGGGATTAAAAGTAATCAAGAGCAAGTAGAATATTACTTAATAAGAAAGTATAATAATATGAACAGTATTTTATATAAAACTTAAAAATATTTGCATTAAAAAAATACTCAATTTAATATATTTATTATTTTTATAAAAGGTTAACTTTTTAAAAATATTTCACTTTTCAAAAAATAAATTGTTAGAAAATAAATATTTTAATTGATAATAAATTTAATATTTTAAATCAACATTTTAGCAATTTTTAATTGTTTATAGGACTAGTAAAACTGAATAAATTTTAAATAAAAATAAAAAATTAGTATTTTTTTTTTGATACATCCATTTATATTATACTGAAGGCATAATTATTAAATTAATTTTGATAATCAAAATTAAACTATTTAGCTCTTAGTTTGTTTATCTATATTAATTTAATCAATATCTCTTTATTGAGGTACTTTCATTTATTATATATTAGGGATACACTTAAAGGATAGCAATCAGTATTTTCTTTAACTTTTTTTTATGAATTTTCTTATGGTTTAATATATAAAAATGTATTTTTAATTTATAGCACTCTAATATATTTAAAACTTTATTTATCTAATAAAAGTTTAATAATTAATTATTTACTTTAAATTTAATCATATTCAAAACATTGATAAAGCAAGCTAAAAAATAAATCTAAATATATTAAACTAAAACTTAAACATTTACATTTAAATATTTATCAACTATTTTTGCCAAACATTAGGTATCACTACAATAATTTAAATAAACATATTATTATACAATAGTTTAGTTTGAGAAATTTCAAAATTAATCAAAATATCAAATGTTTTTTTATATGAAATAAAAAATGATCTCTCCTGCTTTTAAAAAAAAATATATAATTTTTATTAAATAAATAAAATTCTTATTGTTTATTAATTATTAATATATTATTATTTTTTTATAGGTATTTTAAAATTAAAAAAATATATTATCAAAAAAGACACTAGAGCCTTATTTGATTTAATCCAATAGAGTTAATATATCATTAAAACCATGAATTGAATTATCTATGTATGTATGTATTTGTTATAGATATGAATTATAATTATTAATTAATTAGTTTGCAATTAATTATAATATGAATATCTATTAATCCTGAAAATAAATTTTGGATTAATTTAATTTGTTTGCTCTTCTTTATTTATTTCTTTCTTTCTCTCTTTTTTAATTTGTTTTTGAATTCATAATTTTTTTAAATTTTGAAGTAGGAGGGAATTTTTTGTAATTATAAAAAAGTGATTGTAATTAATAAGGTGATATTTTTTTTTGTTTTGCTTAATTAATTTTTGAGATAAGATTATTTATTTATTATATACTAAAAAGGAATATTTACAAATTTTTAATAATAAAATTTTTTATCATTCATTTGAAGAAACAAATTTATTAAACTATTGGCCATAATAGATAGATAGATAGCGTTGTCACAAAATTCTGATTTTTCAAAAATAAATAACTCTAGCTAGGTTCAAGCAATAATTCTACTACCTACTATAATTTTAAAAGAGTCTTCAATGTAAAATATAAAAGTTAAGCTTTTTATTTGTTAAATTTTCATTTTTTAGAATTAATAAAGATTAAGATAAGCAAGCAATTATGGATTCTACATTAACTTAAGATGTTTAGTCTTCTAATCCATAGGCGATGAACAAGTTTGAAAATACAAAGAGAAAGAAACCTTGGGAAGTATTTAAGAAGCAAACAATAGAAGAAGAAAAACCAGAGAGTGTTTAGTAGTTTGATTCATTCCGTGATAAGTGTGCTCACAACATGTAAAGTGGAGCTGGCTTTACAGCATTCTTAAATAATGCAATGTAGCAAGATAATAACTTCTAGATTAAGCTGAATAAGAACTAATATTATTAAAATTTAAATAAGAACAAAAAGCTATTTGGCTTAAATAACTATTAAAGTACCAAGTCTAATAAATAAGGAGGTGGCAACCAAAGCAGAATATAAGAAGATAATAATTAGCCTAGATTTAATGCAGTAGTCAAGAATAATTTTGAAAAATAAAGCAATTACCACACAAAAAAGAACGATGAAACAAAGGAAAACACAAACAACTAAAATTTTAACAAATAAAACACCTTTCATTTTAATCCATTCAATAAACATGAATAACAGCATGCAAATTAAGAATTAAGCAAGGACGTTTAGCATTTGAATAAAGATGAAATTTCTAAGGCCAAATACCTAGAACGTAAATAGAAGAAGGTAAGTGATTTAATAGAATAATAAGCATCTCGTGCATTAAGAAGAGAAGAAGGAGAAAACATACCTTCAGATGAAGATCCTTTAATGAATTATTTATCTGATTCTTCATCAAATGAGTCAGATGGTGAAGGAAATAAGAAAAAAACAAATCTTTCCTCTTCATAAAAAAAGAAAAGATCAGGTTTAACAAGAAGGAGATAAAAAATTTGCGGCTCATGGGTAAGAGTTTGTGATACTTAAAAGCTAGATAAACCTCCAAGCTATAAAGATTATTTAGGAGCTTTAACTAATGCTAAAGGAAAAAGACCTTTAGAAGAACTGAATAATAAAGACGATGATCTATATGAAGTCAACAAAGAATTAGCATAAGATGCAGAGGATGGTGAGTTAAAAGCAGTTGCTGACCTTGAGGATGGAGAAATAAAAATGTAGGAAGAAGATTTCTTTTTAAAGAATAATGCAGATATAAAATTTTAGCAAGAATTAGAGTTTCCTTTCCCAACAAGAAAAATTCAGCAAAAGCCTCATAAAAGCAAAAATTTTATGAATATTAGTCCCACTAAAATTTTGAACACACTTAGAAAGACAAGCCTTTTAGATGAAGAAGATGAAGCAACTTATAAAAAAAAGCAAAAAATTCCTACAAAAGAGGAACTTCTAGAATAGGAAAATAAGTTATTAGAAAATCAAAGCCAACAAATTTAAGATTCTACAAATCCACTTTAACTTCTTAAGAAAATGGATTAACTTGGAAACGAAGCATTCAAAAACAGAACAGGCAACAACTTTTAAATGCAATAAACTCTTGCTGCATAGCAAGATCTTTTCCTTCATTCATATTTCAATAAATCCAAACATAAAGGGGAAAATTTAAATCAAGAAGGCAACGCTGCAGCAGCCAAAAAAGAGAAAAGATTTGACCCTAAAAATTATTACATAGATATTGAAAAAAATATGATTGATAATAATGTGTAGATGACTGAAGGACTGCTTGCTCTTGCTAAGATTTAGAAAGAATAATATGTCTCTGGGGTTAAAAAGAAAACTAAATAGAATAAAGATATTCTTTCTGGTTCAAATTTTAGCAGTGGAAGTGGAAGCAAAATAAATAAAATATTGTAGCAAGATAGCACAGAGAAGGAATTAAGAGATGCTTCCTAGAGATTAACAAAGTAAGCTGGAATGAAAGACTTGTAGTCCAAGTTAAATTTTGATTAAAATAACTCACACCCTCTTTTACTTTAAAAAGAGAAGCAGAATGAATAATTTAACAAAGCACTAAATAAATACGAAGAAGAAGTAAACAAAAAAGAAGAGCTTATTAAATAGATTTAGTAGTAAAAAAAGAAGGAGGAGAAGATGAATCAAAATACAGATTAAGCAACCGAAGAAGCTAAGCAATAAGGGAAATAAAGTGATGATGCTACAGAAGCAAATGCAGAAGCAAAAGAAGGAGAAGAAATGGATATTGATGATGAAGATTTGAATGAATTTGAAAAGTTTAATGAAGAATACTTGAAACAGTAAGAAAAAATGTTAGAGGAGATATAGAAAAAAAATAAAGAAAAGGTGAATGAAATTAAAAATTCCAAGTCTTTAGATCTTGGATTAGGCCTAGAATTTGGATTAGATTACTCGTAAAAAGAAGAGCAATTAAATCCTCTTGAAAAAATGATCCAAGAAGAATTAGAAAGAAACCGTTAAGACAAACAACAATAAAATTTCCGCCTTATGGAATTATAAAAGCTCCAAGGAAATCAACATATTCAGCACGCACATTTATTAGCAAAATCTACTGTAAACGAAACCAATAATTCCTACAAGAATTTAAATGATAATCCTTATGCTAAAATAACATAATAAAATTTATATGCTATGTCCAATAACCCAACTGATAATTAAAACAACAAAAGAAGAAATAAATTTTCAGAAATCCCCACTCTTCCTGCTTAATTTGCTAATGTTGAAACATTTGCCTAAATGGAAAGACTTAAGCAATTAACCCAAGCACAAAAATCATAAAACTAAACCTAAATCTAACCACCTCAATAAACCAAAAAAGAAGCATATCCAAATGAAATGACCTCTCTTTCTCAATTACAACAATAGCTATTCACAAAGAACCAGTAATTAATTAAGTAAGAATTTCCAGACAGATCAAAAAGCAAAATGGAACTAGAGCATTAAGACAGCAAGTCTTCTAAATTCTCATCATAAATTCCTACTTTTAATTTGCCATAAATTAATAATAAGGTAAAAATCAACAATTGACTTAAATTTATTAAAAACTTATTTTTAAATTTCAAAATTTTCCATAAAAAAATTATTATGAAAAAAAATATTTGCAATTTAAATCATTGATAATTTTCAAATTAAGAAGTTTAAATGAAAAGAAAAATGTAAAGACTTTTTTAAGGTTAAAATATTTTATTATTAAAAAAGAATGAAGATAATCGCATTTAATAGGAAGAACAAAAACCAATTAGAAAGATCAGCTTTGATAAAAGTGTTAACATTCCAGAAAATATCAAATCCATGGAAATGCAATTAAAACCTGAAAAATATGAAAAAATGGTTCTTGAATACATAAACATGTACAAAAAGTAGAAAGAGGAAATTCAAATTGATAAAATAAAGGATCCCAGACTGCGTGCCCGTGCCACCAATAACTTTGAAGAAAAAATATAATAATTTGCCTCATAATTAGTCAAAGACTATACTGAAAAAATAAATAATTACATTCCTATGGCGAATGAAGATAATAGCTTACCGCTTCCTAGTATACAAGATGATTCTGGAAACAAGAGAAAGACAAGTTTATTAAGCTTTTCAGTAGAGACAAGCACCATGCCAGCATAAGGTAAACAAGAAGTATCTGATGATAAGGTGGTATACAATTATAAAGTACTAAAGAGTGAAAGAAATTTTATTACACAAGAGAAAAATTTAATTGAAAAGCATAGTGCTTTATCTTTCCTTTAAGGATCTTCTTAAGGTCCTGATTAATTCCAATTACTTCGCATGCCTTAGAAAGAAGAATCAACTGAAAATTAGAATGATGAATTTAAGGATCTATTTAAGAATGAAAAAGAATTAAGATACTTTAAAGAAAATAAAGCAATAACTTGCTTTAAGTGCCATAGAAACGGTCATACAGCATAATTATGTACAAATCAGTCTGAAGAAAGAAGTAAATGTGTCTTCTGTCTTGGCGATCACTCAAAAGATTACTGTACCAACTATGTTTGCTTCAAGTGCTATCTAGTTGGTCACCGTATTAAAGATTGTGCTTTTGAGCAATCTATGGATTAATCTCGCTGCAGAATCTGCAGAAAGAAAGGACACACTTTAAAACAATGTGGATCTCTTAATTTAGACATAGTTTAGAAAAGCTATGATTTCTACTCCATGAACGAAACAATTTGCTTAAATTGCAGAGAGCCTGGGCATATTAACTGTTTTAATCCTTAATTATACATTAATTATGATGGACTATATAAGCTAGATCAAGAAACCCTAGATAAATTATTTTGAATTTGAATAGTTCAATAAATTAATTGCCACAAACCTTCATTGAGAAAATCTAAAGCAGTAATTAGATTTTATAAAATCATTTGCACTACGAAATCTGCCTCGAGTTTTGAGTGAATAAATAAATATTATATCATAAAAATAATTTCAATTTATAAAGAAAACTAACACACAAACAATAAATAAATACAAAAAAGAAAAATTTAATCCATATTACTTTAATTAAGCAATAAATAAATAAATAAATATATTTTTAACTAAATCATTAAATAAATAAATAAAAAATGAATTTCTATTTTAAATTTCAAAATAAATTATGTTTGTACTAATTATTATAGTATATTTATAAGCTTTTATATCTAATTAGTATTAAATTTAGTATGAGTTAGAGTATTAATTTTAATTTTATCTTGTTATATTTTGAGAAAAAATAAACAAATCAATAACATACAAATAAATTTTAGAATTTCCTTTTTTATAAATAATTGATTGAAATCCTACCTACTTTTGATAAGAACATTTAATTAATTTTTGAAGATTTTATTTCAGATTTTTAACTATTTGGTATTTTATAAGCATTTATCTCAAATTTAGTATCAAATTTTATCTTGTCTGATTATTTTCTTATTAAAATGATAGTTTTATAAATCAATATTTAATTTAATTAGTGTTATTGATGAATTTTCAATAGAGAAATATTTATTATAAAAGTAAAATTAAAAAAAATTAAATATCTATATATTTTTATTTATTTTTTTAAGGAAGAAAACCATCAATCTATTCAATTTATTTATAAGGATTAAATATACTAAATTAAAATGAATAAAAAATCTAAACATTTTATTTAATAATGTACGAAATGTTAAATTATTAGTATTTGTTTACTTGATCAGAAATAGTTATTTTTGTGAAATTAATTAAGATATTTGTGTTTTAAAACAAATTGATTATAAAATACTTTTGAAATTTAGCAAGAGACAATTATAATTTAACATATTATATTACAAAACAAAAAAATGGACAACAACTATTAGCAACCTCAATATAGATATGAGGCAGGTGGTTACAGTCAATAGGATTAACAATCTTATTAGTAAAATTAGCAGTAAAATCAATAATATTAATATGGTAATGTACCATCTAATGAAAATATGTATTATGATCCTTAGTTAAATTAGCACGCAAACTAAAATTAAGCATATCCAGTTGGATCTTAAAGTTCGCCTGATTCTATTTACTTCTAAGCATCAATAAATTAAAGCAGAGATGAATTATATCTATCAAATGGACTTAAGGTTGTTTTAATAATAATTGCAATTGTATGTCTTCTACTATTTGCTATTCTATTTTCTTTTGGAAAATGAGAGGAATAACCTCTTATTAATAAAAAAGACATAAAAATATAATTTTATTGTTTGTTTTCTGTCTCTCCATGAAAAACTATTTTAAAATACCCTAAAATTTAACAAATTTGTATTCATTACTAACAAAATAATATAAAATATAAAAACAACTCTTTATGTTATCTATCTAATTAATTTAAAAAGAAAAGTGTTGAAAATAGAAAAATGTTCTAAATAAAAAGAAAATTGTCTAATTATTGTCGAATTAAACTACCTAAAAATTTAAAAAGGAAAAAAAATGAAATATTTGTTAAATTTAAATAATAATTAAAAATTTATATAGAAATTTAAATAAATGTTTTATTGTGAAGTTAAGGAGGAGTTTTATGCAAAATTTAATAAAAAAACATAAATTATATATAATTCATTTGATAGATTTTGCTTTTCTATTATTTTATTTTGAAATATTTTAGACTACCAAACAAAAACATAAAAAAATTGCTAAATTAAATAAATGGCTTTAAAGTTTTTAAATTCTATCAATAATAAAAAGTATTTTTTTTTTTTATTTTAAAAAGAGAATGCTTAAAAATGAATAATAAATTTTAAGAATTCAGGATAAAGATGTTAAATTATAATTTTGCAATTTAAATTTTAAATTATCATCTTGTGCTTTTATTTAATTAAAATAAGATAAATATTGTGAGCAATTCAAAAGACAGACCTAAGATTAATTATTTATTTATTTACTTGTTAGGATTGTAAATAAATTAATCAATCAGAGCATTTACTATTATTCAAAACAGGGTAAAAATTAATTGCAATATTTTTTATAAAAGAAGCAAAAATCTAATATCATTTAAAGTATGATTTATAAATTTTATAGATAACCTTATTAATTAGCTATTATTTTTAAGAATGTGTTGTATTTAAATCTTTAACTTTATCCTAACTTTTGTTCTTTTACATTTCCTTTAAATAAAAGGTAAAACTTTTAACATCAAATAATATCAAAAAGCAGATTACAAATTATGGAAGTGAGATAAAAATAGTAAAACAAATTTTGTAATTTTTGGGTGTAAATGAACTGATAGAATGGATGGCTAACAATAAAATAAATGATCAAACAAAACTAAGCAAATGACTGTTGCGGTATATATTAACTTGAATGAAAATAGATAAGCTTGAAAGAAGTAATAAGACATAATATAAATATAACTGATAAAAAAAGGATAATACAAGGTTGATAAATTTATAATTTCGTTAAACGTTTAAGAGAAGGTAAATGTATGATAAATAAAGAGCTTGAAAGAGAATGAATTAAATTTATTATAAGATTAATATATTTTGACATTTTTTGTCAATTGATTTTGTTTTTATTTATTTGTTTGTTTGTTAGTAAAGTTAAGAAGTTATTATTATACTTTTTAGGTTTAATTTAAAAATATAAATAGACTATCAAAGAGAAAGAGGATAGATAGATAGTCTTTTTTATTAATTTAAGAAAAAGAGGTATCTTTAACTACTGTTTAAAAAAGAAAAGAAGATTTTTGTTTGTTTGTTTGTTTTTTTATTTTGATCGTTAAAAAGAAATTTTATATATATATATCATATGGTAAAAGAGTTTAATTACTGTACTCTAAGTAATGTTCATTCAATAGAACTAAGAGTCCTTGAATTGTTTATCATCCAAGAGCTCTTTGTTAGTAACAAGGTTTTTTTTGCGTTTGAGAATCTTCATAAAGCTTTCTAACTATTCTTGATTGTCCCAGTTTTCCACAATAAAAGTAACAAATTGTGAATGCTAAATTTTATCTTTTATGGATGATGATTCTATCCATTTTTATGCTGGAACTTTTAAAAAGTACAAAAATATAGATTTGAATCTATGATGATCTATGAGTCTTTACAAATTTTAATGGTTAGGTGTTTTTTGTTTAATATAGCGATTCAATTTTTTTTTGACTTGATTGGGAGTTAGTCCTTCTTAAATGTCTAAAGGACAGTATTATATTACAATTTAATCAGAAATATCTTGTTTGCACCAATTTTAGAAGGCTTTAATGACATTTTTAACACAATTTCCTTTTTTCATGTAGTCCTCTTGCAATGAAGGGTTACTCTCCAAGATCTCATCCTCTTACAATTATATGTGATTATTCGATTAAATTTACTGTTATTTTGAAATAGATGATGAGGTTTGCGATTATTTATCTTGTTCACTGCTTTATAAGTCTTCCTAACTTTTTTTTCTGATGCTGCTACTTTTTATTTCTTTGCTTCTTGCTCTTTTTAATTCTTATGGTTATTCGCATTGAGAACTTTAAATATCTTAATTGCATCTATTTAGTTATGAATTCTTATTGTTAGCTTTTGATTTTTGGGTTACTTTTTTTTAAGGAGATGAGATATGATAATCCTCTAAAATATTCTATACTTAAGCAGAAGGGGTTTTTATAGGTTTTGAAGATTTTCTTCTTGTTTTTTAATTAAAATGGTCATTATTTTACTCCTTATTACTCTCAATCTCGTCAAAATCGATAGAAACTTCAATCTCTGATTGCCCATTTTACTCTTATATTATATTATTGGGGTTTTCGTTAATTTCAGAATTAGAGCTTGTAAAATTGCTATAAGAAATTTTTTCGCTTAGGCTCTCTCGATTTTTTGAATGTAAATGCTATTTTTAAATAGAAGAAACTTAATTAATTTTAGTATTGACTTCTTATTTGTAAGCGCTTGTGAATTTTTAAACTCTTGAACCACTTTTATTAATTTTTTGATTTAGAAATGATGCATCTTACTATAATAATATTGAGTTATTTTATGTTTCATTCATATTTTACTGATTACTAATATTTATCTCGCTTGATTGCATTTGATTTAATGAGTTAATCTCCTTTTCTCTGAGAATTTCTTGGTTTTATTTTTGATTTACACCATTTAAATATCTTACTTCTAACTTTTACTAATCGCTATTCAAATTTGTCAATTGTTCAACTGCAACTACTGGATATTTTTGCTGTGCAAATACATCCTAATCTTTAATTTCACTGATTTTCTAGACATGCTTTTTATATTTCTCTAGCTATTTTTCCTATTTTTTGCTAGCCCTTTTGCTGACAGAGTTATTATCGCTTTCAGAAATATTTATTGTATTATTAATAGAAGAAACTTGTAAGTGAGAATTAGACGAACAATAATGATCTTAGTCTGATTTGTTAATTAAATCATTGTCAACAAAGGTATTTTAATTTAAAAGGGAACTGCTAAACTGATCACTATGTTTCATAAGGCAAGTTTTTGCAAATTTTTTTTCATTTATACTTTTCTATTGTTTACTGTTCTTATTTTAATCGTGTTTTTAAAGGCTTTGATTATTTAAATCATTAACTCTGCTGATTTTCTGCTTTAGTTATTTCACATCTGAAGCACTTTTAGAGTGTCTTTCATAGCTCAGATCGTAAGACTGAGGCGAATTAGCAGATTTTATTTGTATTTATTTCTGTCTTTGTAATTTATCTGATGGAATAACTTACTATAAATACTCTGTTTGAATTTATTTATTCCTTGACTGCTCAATGCCGTCTTCATATTTTACTTAAAGGCATTACTTATTTGAATCGATAGTAAAATTTTATGATTTTTTATTATTTTTATCATCATGTAAGTTATTCTGCCTGAGTTCGGTTTGATTGATACTTAGGCTTGATTCTTTTGAAAACTCATAAAAATTATTTAGTTCTTTAGATTCCTTCTATTAATACCTTTCGTTTAAATTATTTAAAATGCTGAGCTGGCTAGAAGTTGCCAACTCAGTGCTTTAACTACCTTCTATTTTAGTGTAATTAAAATTGCTAGCAGTTTATTCAATTTTGACATTTTCTGGATTTTATGTACTTTTTTATTCCTATTATTGTTAATTTTTTGCTTGTTATTATAATTAACTATTGGCGCATCCTAATTAAGATGGTTGCATTAAGAAAAATTGAAATGGGGCAGGATTAGTTCCAACTGCAGGGCTTGCTGCTGGGATAACAGTAGGATATCCCACAGGGTAGCCTGGAGTGTATGGGTAATAAGGCATAATAGGATAGACAGGGACTACTTGACTTCCGCACACAGGAATAGTTTAAGGAAAAGTAGAGTTATTACTATTATTCATTATATTCACCGGTTAATACATAATGTTTGGGTAATAGGACTGGTTTTAAATATTAGGTTAATAAATTTAGTATGAAGTGAGTTGATCTTAGGAGGATTATATGTTCTCTCCTACTCTTTAATTAGAAGCGCTGCTACAACAATCACTTACAGCATTGTTGGTTTAATTTGGATTCATTTCCTCTTATTTGGAATACCGTGCGTGCTAAATATTAGGGTAAGTTTTTTAAATATAATTGTTAATAAATTACAAACAATATTTTAATTCTAATTAATTTTTAGTCTTATTCAAGAAATTTTAATTGTTTAAAGATATTTGTTTGGGCTTGAATACTTTTTTTTATTTCTTCCAAGTATTTAATCAATTTATTAATTTAACTAGCAATGTTGAAATATTTTTTTTTATAGATTTTTAATTAATTCTTAGTAATTAATTGTCTAATTTATTGTAAGTATTGAGTGAAGAACAGAGAGAGATCGCGCTATGCTATGATTTAAAATACTATTTTAATACTTTTAGTAAATTAAATACTGTAAATGAATAAGCAAATCCTAGATGATTAATAAGTAGAATCAATAAAATTATTATTGCCTCACAAAATAATTAATTTTGTTGATTATTGGTAAATTGTTTTTCTAATAAGTTTTAAGCTTATTCAAATTTTACTTAATTTAATTATTATAAGCTCGAATTGAGGAGCGCTTTGAGATTTTAGCCTTCGTTAAAATACTGTACATTTTTATTTTACTGCATAATTTTAAAATGATAACTTTCATTACCTAATGAAATATGATAACTAGCACACTTCTACATTGTATGCGTTATGTGTCACAATTTGACTTTTTGCCTATACTGGTCTCTTTTAGTTAAATTTAAATATGGATTTCATTAAATAATTAAAAAATTTCTTATTTTTGACAAAAATGTTTTGTTCTTAATTAAATAAGCGATCAGCTTTATTTGCTTTACTATCCTAATTTCATTTATAATTAATACTGTGCAGAATTAATCATTGCTTAATTAATTTTGTTACCGCACATTCTTTTAAATCATTTAAATAAATTTATATCTCATTAGTTGAATAAAAGTTTGTTTTAAATTTTAGCTTTTAATGCACTCAAATTTATAAAATTGTAATTAAAAACTAAATTAGTATGCTTAATTTACGCCTGTGTTCATTATTTTTAACCCACTAAATTTACTTTTTGAATATTTCTAGGGTAAAAATAATTATTTTCTAAAAATTTGATCTTAAAAGAAAAAAAATACTTTATTAAAAAAGAAAGAATTTTTTGCTAATTTTTGAATCTTTGAGTTATTTAATGAATTTAAGAATCCGAATTTAATAAATTTAACCTCATACACAAAATTCATTAGCATAATTTACCAGAAAAATTGCTATAAAGAATAATTTTTACTTTTAGTGTTGAGTATACAAAAATGTATTGATTTCTTACTAAAAAAATTAAGGTTAAAAAGGTTATCTGATTACAAAGTTATAATCATTTATAATTTTTGACGGATCAGCGTAAATAATTATATAATTATCGAGCAAATCAGTAAGTAAATACGTACTTTTATAAAAATTTAGTTTAAATAGAAATAGAAACATTTATTTTTCTTAATTATATATTTAATTACTATTACATTTTTGATAGAGAGAAATAGAAAAAAAATACATTTTAGAAATTTAAATCTTCTTGAATCCTTTTATACTTTTAGTTAAAATCTTATCTAACTTTATTAAAAATAGATTATTGATTTGCAGTAAAGATTCATAATGATAATATAATGCCTCTTAATAATATAATGCCTCTTAATAATATAATGCTTATAGCTTAATAGGAAAAGCAATCTAATAAGTACAAATAAAAGCTAAAAGTAAAACAATTTTTATGTTATTTATTTAATTATTTTTGTTTTTGATTTAGTTTTTTTTAAATTATAATTACGAATGAATGAATAATTAAATCATTTTTTAACTCACTTTTGAGTAAACTAATAATTTAAATAATTGATTAGAAAACAAATTTCTAAAAAGCAATCTTTATTGCCTCTTTGTTTTTCTCATTTTTTGAAATAAACTTACTTTTGTATTTTTTTATTGATTTCTCTTAGAGTAAATTTTAATTTGTATAAGGAAATTAATGTAATATCAAATGAAATTTAATATAGTAAATAAAACAACAAATCAAACTATTTAAATTAGGACAATTTAGCTGGTTATTTATTCTTTCTTGCAAATAATATAATTATCATCAGCGGATGACTTTTCAATATATTCAAACTATCTGATTCCTTCATACTATGGAAGTCGCAATCAGGATTTTGCAACTTGGTGCTTCGTGAGTTAATCAAATTATTCATCATTTTATTGGACACATGGTATTGATGTCGATGATTAAACTAATCCAACTAAGAAAACATTTTATGTAATTGATGCCAGCGAGTAGACCATAAAATCAATCACAGATTAATTTGTTGTTTCGATATTGGCATCAACATCTGGAGGTTTTAGAGATGGAGATATAAGAAATTCTTTGTTTAATAACTCTAAGGCACTGGCTTTTTTTCGCTAAAACAAATATAAAGCAGCTATAGCTCAATACAAATAAGTAGCAATTCTTACATAAAATACAGCTGAATGTATGGCAGATCCGACACCTGGTTAATGCATAAATAACTCTTTTTAACTAAATTCTACTGTTACACCACTTTACTTAGGCTAGACATATAAATTACCTGATGGCTTCGATACAACTCAGCTTCCTGACAAGAATTAATATTTAAATGAAGTGTTAATCATTGCTGATACTCAAAATCATTGCATTAGAAAAATAGATCTAGTTACAAAAACAACACAAACAATAGCTGGATAGTGCACTGTTGCTGGCTTTTTAGATGGTCCTCTAGGGACAAACTTAATGAATTCTCCTTCATCTCTTGGTGTCGATGATTAAGGTTTATTTTATTTTAAATATCAATTCTTTATCCATCATAATTTCTCCTTTGTTAGTTTTTTATAACTAAAATATTGATCAGCTTAAAAGAAAGATTAAAGAAAATACACGAGCAAATTAATTTTTATGAAATATGTAAATATATAATGCTTCTTCTCTCTCTTTATCTATAAAAAAAATATTTTGAAACAAAATAATTTCTTATAAATCAGTGAAAATAATTGAAATTATTAGAAAATATTTAATAAAAACCTTATATTTTTAAGTGATGGTCTATATTTTTATAAAATAAATTATTAAAAATAATAGAGAAGAAGATAGATTGATTGCTCTTCTTTTTAAATTTTAAAAACAGAACTAATCATAATTTTTTTAAAAATAAATAAGATTGCTTCTTTTTTAAATTGTTAAAATTTATTTAATTACTGATTTATTTTCTAAGAAAGGCTCTCTACTAACTATATCACTTTTTTTAAAAATTTAATTTAAAATTTAAAGGAATAATTTTCTTCTATGATGAGTTCTATGATCAGATTAGAATGATTGATCCAGTAACAACTTTTGTGAGCACTCTTCTTAAAGGAGCATGTAGAGAAGACATTACATATTAACCGAAATAAATATTTTAAAACTTCTCAAAAAAGAGAGTAGTCTGCTATAAAAATTGGGTAAATGTAAATGCACCAGAGCCGTCAGGTCATAAATATTCAGAAAATTTATCATCAATATGTTAGCTCTAACAAAGTTTATGTCCAACAAATAGCTCTACAGAAGGTGGTTGATTAAGAATGTGCTTTACTAAAAATTGAAAAGTAGCTAGCTTATTTTAAGTTTAAATAACTTTACATTTTTTGCTATATATACGTAGTATCTAAAATTTGTCTTAATCACCATACAAATTAATTTGCTTAGATTTATTTCTATCTGTCAATTATTACCCAGAATTAAAAATTTAATTTATTTAAATAATTAGACATTTATTTCTTTTAATTTCTATTTTATGGGTAAACAAACTAATTACATAATATTAGAGTAAATAGAAGGAGGATATAATATTTTTTAATAAAAAAATGATGTATTGATTGTTTATTTATTAATAAAATGAATTTTTTTTATTAAAAAATGTTTTTTTAAGATATTTAAGTAAGTGAAAATTCATTATTTGAGAAATTAACTTTTATAATTTGTATTTATAGGTATTTTTGATTAAAAGAGTTAAGGTAGATAGTTAATAATAATTCAAGATTTAAGTTATTTTTAAAAATGAAGCAATAGTAAAGTGTAACTTAAGTATTTTAAATTGATAAGTAAAGTGATCCTTCTTTTATCAATAAAAATTTGAAATGGAAGAGTTGATGAAATAAAAAATATCAATTTTTCACATAATTGTTCATCTTAGGCATATATTTAAATATAAAAATGTAAAATTAAACATAAAAACAAAAAAATTTGAGTACAAAAACAAATCAGCGACTATAAACTCATCATTTTTGTAAATATTTACATATTTTATGCTAAAAATATGAAGGAAAGTTTATAAATTGCAAAAAATGTTATAATCTTGGCAAATAATTCTTTATAACGCAAATTTTGCTAGTTATTAATTTATTTGTTTTTAATTTCAAATTACATTTATTTATATTCGATTAATTAATAAGTGCACACAAATTTTAAAAAAAGTTTATTTTTAATCTTTTGATTAAATATTAATTTGATAAAAAATTTTTATCCAATCATACAAATAATTAATTATTTTTCAGTCAAAATCTATTTAATATTAGTCAAATTATAAACCAAACCATACCAAAAAATTTTGATATGTTTCTTTTATTAATTAATACGAATAAACATAACTCATCATATTTTTTCAAAATAGTTGAAAATTTTTTATTTAATTTATTGATCTTAAATTATTTTAATTAAAAGCATGTTAAAAAAATCAGTTTCATTCAATTTGGTTAATAAATATAATTTGTCTAACCATTATTAACACCTTATTTTCTTTTTCACCTCATTTTATCCCTTTGCTTCCCAATTAAATACTTTAAATTTTTTAATTTTTATAAATATGATCATCAAACAAATAATAATTATAATATTATAAAATAAAATATAGAGTCCTATTTTTTCCTTTAAAATATATCTCCGTTTACTTTTCTTCACAAATATAACACTTTTGAATCAAGGAATAGCTACAAAAAAATTATGACTATAAAAATGATTAAGCAAGTAAAATTGAAATTTCACAGCTTATAGTATATTAGAAGCTAATATGGAACTGAAGTTTGTTTCATTAAAAAGGTAAAAGAGTTTAATAGAAAATAATTGAAGAGTAAAGTAATGTAAATTGTAAAGTAGTTGAATATTCCTAAAATCAATATTAAAAATAATAATATTTTTAAATAAATAAAATTAGTTTCCTAAGTTGAATTATTTATTTATATATCTATATCTATTTATTTATTTAATTGTTAATTTGATAAAAATAGATTTTACTTATTAAAAAATATTTATTTTTATAATAAAATTTATCTATCTCACGAATTTAGAATTTATTTTTAAGTATTAGCAAAAAAATGATATTTATTGTTAAAATTAAAAATATTATTTATAAATTAAATAAAATGATTGCTATAAGTCTTTAAAAAATAAAATATTTATCTCTCAAACAAAGCTTTTATTAAATTGAAATTTTAGGATTTATAATTTACTTGTATTTTCAATTATTATTTATTATCTTAAACAAATTAAAGAATATAGGAGTTAGATTAATTTTCAAAAGCATGAAGAAGTCTTAAAACTTTGATAAAAATCAAGATTACAATCAAAGCTCTAAATATTATGTAATTAGAAATACAGGAAAAGAAGAAGAGCAATACAATGAAGATGATAATCAGATTCCTTAGACTGTCACTTCAGTTTAATCATAAAAAAAGATATAGCAAAGATCTTAGAAATCTTTTAATTAAATTAGTAAGAAGCCCTCTTCCTCAAATAATAAAGAATAGCAAGGCGGATTAGATAGTCCAACTAGCTAAGAATCTAGAAGATTACTATAGCGTGAAAGTTCTTCTCAATTGTAATCAAGAAATACATAAAGAGAAGCTCTAAGTAACTCTCATTTCGATCTTTAAAGAGAATCTAATCCTTAACTTTTAGGAGAGGGAAGAATTGGAGAATACGGAGAAGAAGAAGAAAATATAACTTGCGCTAGGTAATTAATTAAACAAACTATAGCATAAACAATTAGATTAACTAATTTGATCATTTAAAATAATCGAACTTGATATTTAATTATTATTAAATGTCTTTATAATTTTATTACTTTAATATAAAAATATAGATTCCCTCATTTGAGCTTCTGTGCATGTGAAATTTAATGTCAAACTGCAATAAAAGAAATATAGTTGTTAGAGGTTAGCTTTTAATTGACTTTATTAATAAATAAAATTATTTTTTTACTAAATTAGGTCTATCCTGGGATTTATTTAGGAAATTTCACTCATGGACTTGGTATTAAAAAGGTAAATAAAAATATTAAATCAAGTGTTATCGATTGGCTAATTAAATAATGATAGCTAGATAGCAATCTATTTATCTAAAAACAGTTGTAAAAATAGTAAATAAATCATTTAATTTTTTTATTATAAAATTAGTTGCTACTTAAAGGAGTGACTCATATTTTAAATGTAACTGCACAAGAATATAAAAAGAGAACTAAATATTTCAAATACCTGAATATTGATGTATACAATAAGAGTGACGAAGATATTAAAAAACACTTCAGAATTACTAATAGATTTATTAAAGATGTAAATATTCTTATTTATTTTTTTCCATCATTTCCAATTAGTGAAACTAATTTATAATTTATTTATCTATCTATCTAAAAGTGTATTATATCAGGGGGAAAAGTATTTATTCATGACTTAAATGGAATTAATATAGGACCATGCTTTTGTCTTGCATATTTGATAAATAATGAAAAAATACCTTTGAAAACGGGTTTTGACCTCATGAAAGAAAGATAATAACTCTAAATCACCCCTAATTTTTTTAAACAGTTGGAAAGATACGATTTAGAAAAACTTGCTTTAGTCACTGTTAAAAAGAAAAATGATTGAACGAATGAATCTAACTATCCAATATTATTTCTATCGAGTTATTTCAACAGTAAATAAAATACTTGTTTCTATATATATTAATTAATTAACTAATCAATATTTTTTTCAATTGTTTTATTCAGTATAATTTATAGCTTAATAAATTTCTATTTTTATTAAAAACTTAAGAAAACCATTTTTATTTTCACTCTAAACGAAATTATGTCTATGTTAAATATTAAAAATAAAGCAATCATGGATTATATACCTAGAAATTAAAAGGAAATTTACTTTTATTTTATTAAATTTATATAATAATTTTCAGAATTTAAATCATTCATGTTGTGAAAAAGTAAAAATGATTTAAAATTTTAGCTAAAAAATAATAAATAATACAAATAATTAATTAATTAACAGTCAGTCAAACAAAAAAACATTCTATTTAAAAATAATTTATTACCTAAAAAAATTAAAAAGCTTTAAATAATAAAACAGCTCATTCATTTATTAATGAAAATAAAAATTTATTATGGCATAGCAAATAAAAAATTGATTCATATTTGCTAGATAGATGCCTTATTATTATTATATGAGATAAAAAGGTAAAATTTTCATTTTTAAAATTAAAGAGAGATAATTTTTACCATTAGGGAAACTTTATGTTTAAAAATTGTTGCTAAAATCTAAGACATAGTCTGGATTACTCTTAACACACTTGCTTGATAAAATTACGATTTATTTATTATTGCTTAAAGTAAATAATCTTAATAATTTTATATTCTAATAATGAATAAATTTTTTTTTGGTGTTATAATAACAACTTCTATATCATTAAATTTTACATTGAATTGAACCAAAAAAAAATTATTGTAAAATCGAAATAAAATTACAATCTTACTTAAAAAATTAAAAGCTATTTATTACAAATACTATTAACTATATTTATGTAATAAATATATCTGCAAACTCATTCTTAATTAAAATTTTTCTTTTCATGTTATTTTTAATTATATTTTTTTCAATACTATATGCCATCCATCCCATATTATGAAGTAGAAAATTACAAAGTTGTAAAAATTATTTGATAAATTATAGATAAAAAGTTAATTTATTTGTATTAAACCTTATTAAATTCTGTAAGATAATAATAGTAAAAATTGAGAATCATATAATAACTAATAAATAATTCAAAGTTTATTAAAAAACTAAGATATATTTTCCTTGAACTCTTTTCATAAAAATTTCCCTAATCTCTCATATGCATCTGAAAGAATATTTTTATAAGATAGTTGCATATTTAAATACTGAATTCCCAATTTGGACTTTGATTTTAATATTTCATATTGAAAATAATTGAGAAAAAAATATTTTAATTTATTAAAAATAAAGAGATTGATATTTACTTTTATTAAATAAAAGTGTATTTATTATTAATCTTTTTTAAAATGATGTTTAATATGTTCTATAGCTAGGGAATTAAAATTAAAAAAAAAAATTTTAAAATAAGTTTTAGACTAAATTTTGAGAAAATTATTTATTTTTTATTTATTTCCTATTTTAAATTTAACATAAAAACTTATTGTTTAAATATGCTTATTTTAAAATTTATTTAATTATTAACTATGTCATTAGTGTATTTTTTTTGGTCAAAGTGAGATTTTGCTAATTAGAAATTAAAATAAGTTCTAGTTAAATTCAATAATTTTATTTAAAATCTTTTAGTTAAACGAATATGAAATTAATTAAAGTATTTAATATTTATTTATGTTTTTCGCTGTGAAGAGATTACATATTTTTAGGATTTACTTTATTAATATGTGGGGATTTTAAAAATAAAAATTAATATTATAATAAAAGGTTAAATGTGAGAATGTTTCTTAATTGAATCTTCTACTAATTTTTAATAATATTAATTTATCAACAGAAAAAATATTTGAGAAGAAAAATGAATAGGATTACTAGATCATACACGCCTAAACATAAGATTGAAGAGGTTGTTAATGTTTTGGATAAATTAGTTAAGCAAATGACTCCTAAATAGTAGATAGTACAAAACTATTCCGCAGATTAAAATATCAGCCCTATTAGATAAAATTAGATTCATTTAAAATAAATTGAATTATAAAGATAGAGTATTGACATATTGTAATAACAAATTAGAGATAAAAGTTTAGAAAATGAATAGCTTAAGTAATAAAAACAAATAATTAGATAGCTTTCAGCAACAGGTAATAAATTCATTTAAAATTCTCGCCTAGATTAAAGTAATTTATAGGATTCTCCGATATCGCGTCATTCACATTAAACTAGCTAAACGCTACCTAATTTTGCAAACAAAGAATAAGATTTATCACTCACAGCTTTACCTTCCTAATTTGACCTTAGTGTTGAATAAAAAAATATACAAAACTTAATATTGTAGAATCAGATGTTAGAAGAAAAAAATTCTAAATTCAAACAACTCATTTAAATGATGGAAAATAAATTTAATGCTAAATTATAAGCTTATTAATAGAAAGAAAAAAAGTTAGAAGATAAATGCAGATTTCTTTTTTCAACATTGGAAGGTAAAGACAACGAAATCAAAGAAATAATTCAGATATAACAAAATATGCTATAGAAAACGATCAAAGAAATAGAAGATAAGTATAGACAGGACATGTTATAATTAAAATAGGAAATAATAAAATTAAGAGAAGAGCTATAATAAAAAGATTTGTTAATACAAGAAAAAAGCTATGAAATTTTGGCAAAAGAAGAAACAATAACATAGCTAAAAGTGAAGTATTTAGAGAATGTAAAGCAAAGTTTAGCAAAAAATAAAACTAGTTGTCTTAACTTGACAGTAGTATAAAACACAGAAGAAAGCTACGAGATTGAAAAATAAGATTCATAATTCAACTAGACTGACCAAATACCTCAATTTAATCAAAATAGTTTTAAAAAAATTGACATAGATTAAACAAGAAAAAGTGAATCATACAAATAATCTGGAGATTTATAAAATAATTAATAAGAAAATGAATAGCCAAGCCAATATAAAGCTGATTAAATTAATGAAAATAATTTAGATTATAGCTCAGATTTAACTTTTAAGCAAAGCCATCCTTGCTAATAACTTAATGAAAATTAATTTAATACCTAAAGCGAAGAATAAGTAGAAAGATATAGTAATACTTCTTAATCTTAGTTAAATAAAGACATATCTCAGTGTAATGATTAGTGTTAAAGTAATAATTAACAATAAGAATAAAATAATTTCATTAAAATAAATCAAGATAACACTGCATAACTGAATCAACAAAATGATTGGCACTAGCATAAACATCTATTTGAAAAAGTATAAAAGTCAAAAAGCTAGCTGTAAAATATTTAAAATTTTTTATAGCTAAGCAAAGCAGAGAAATCAAATGTAAAATATTTATATATTATTAACTTCTTTAATAATTAAATGGACTATAAAAAAAGGTTGAAAACTAGGTCAAAATCTCTTTAGACTTAAAATAAAGTTCTCAAAAAGAATAAATGAACTTCATTTAAAACTACCCAAATGTAAATGGACCCCTTTCAAACAGATCTCAGATGTAAAATTAAATAAATGAGCTTAAAGTTAAATACTCAAAAAATACTTCATTTAATGATAATATGAATAAATCTCTTCCTATTATAAATACTCAAAATTAACTTTCTTTAAAGAAAATTGATTCATTTCAAGATGTTGAGAACGTAGAATAATAAAGATCGAATTATTCAGATAACTTTTAAAATTTATAGCACTTAAAGCTAAGTAACTCTTATTTTGTAGAGCCAAACAATAAATTATTTTTTAACTAAAACAACAATCGATCTGATATTTTGGCTTTTTAAAATTAACATTAAAATTAAAATTACAATCAAAATTAAATAAAAGAAATTCCATTAAAAGATTTAAATAACTAAAGTGAAGTCTAAAACAATAGCATTAGCGAACTTAATTAAAGCAAAGATTTAACTAAAACTAAATCTAAATTATATTCTCTCAAGCTTGAGCAAGCTGAAGCTTGGAGGAATACCTATTCCCATATGTACGGGAAGAGCCCAATTTATAATGATAAAAACATTAAATAAAATAAATTACAAAACAATTTTTGAATGAATTTAAATTGTTTTTATATTTATTTATTTATATGTGTATGAATTAATTTATTAGTTAGTTAGTGTTAGTAAAAACAAAAAATTAAAAGTTTGATTTTAAATAAAGTTTTTTGGGAAAAAATAATTCCCCCACCGGGACTTGAACCCGGGTCTGAAGGGTGAAAACCTTCTATCCTAACCTGCTAGACTATAGGGGATTACATAATTAGATAATAAAATTTCACTTTTATTTGATTTTTTTTCAAAAAAGTAATATTTTACAATTAATTGTAAAGCTTTAAAAATTGCTAAAAATAGACTAAATAAAAACTTATTTGTAAAATGATGCATTTTCTTTTTATTTATAAAATAATTTTGAATTTAATTTTAAATTAATTAAAGAAGGATAGCTAATTAACTAACTCTTTTTAGATTTAGTAACCAACACTACCAATCTCATACTTAAAATAGACTAATAAAATTGTAATATAAATGAATAAAGTTAAATTTAAGTGAAAGACAAACCAGTTTTACTATTTTAAGGTGTAATTTATCTAAAATAGATAAAAAAACTAATTCTATTTCCTCTCAGTTTAAATTTATAAGCAAAAAGTGACAAATGAAGCAATCGTTTTTAGTTCTTGCGTTTGATATTAGATTTCCTTATAATCTTTAAAGTATAGGAAGTTAGGCATATACGGTATTTAATTTAAATTAAATATGAAGTGATTTTAATCAGAAATTTTAAAATCAGCTTATCACAAAATCAATTAGGCTTTAATTTAAAGAAGAATAGAAGTTTGTTTGTTTGATATAGGAAAAAAATAAATAATCAATAATACATGAACTTATTGCTTGATTGAAGGCATAAGATTTTTGTAATTGATTTAAGAATAAAGCTATTAAAGGAATACGTTGCTTGAATTGCAAAGTTGCAAACATATGTTTGCTTGTAGGAAATTCGAAAAATTAAATAAAGAGAAATGTCAATTGAATAATAAATATATAAATTATCTCATTAAAATAAAAACACGCAAGTAATAGAAAGAATGAGTAAAAGTTTAATATTTTATCATTCATCTATCTATGTATGTATGTATGCAGATAAAATAAGATAAAAAATAAGAAGAAAAGAAATTAAAGAAATAATTATTTCCAAATAAAATATCAATCAAAATCAGATTAAAAAAGCAAATTAATCAGCTCCTTTTCAGCGAAGAAAATTCAACCTATAAAAAAGGAAAAAAACTAGTTATTTTAGAAAGACTATAGAGACTTTTACAGAAAACTCTGAAAGGCGAAGAACAAAATATTTATTAGCATATAAAGCTTATTATAACAAATTTTATTGTAAAAAACCATTAAAAAAATGTAAAATAAACAAGATTACGATACTTTACTTAAGTTTTTGCTTATTGGTGATTCAGGTGTTGGAAAAACCTGTTTCCTAGTCAACTATTGCGAAGGTACTTTTACTAGCGCTCACTTATCAACAATTGGCATTGATTACAAACTTAAATATGAAGATATTGATGGAAAGCGCGTTAAGCTCTAAATTTGGGATACTGCAGGCCAAGAAAGATTCAGAACAATTACTTAAAATTATTACAAAGGTGCTATGGGTATTATTCTAGCTTATAGTGTAACAGACCCCAATTCTTTCAAGAATATTGCAGATTGGATGAAGTAAATTAATGAACGTGCAGATCCAAATGTTAAAAAGATTATTATAGCCACAAAAATTGATATGAAGGATTAAAGAAAAGTCTCTACTCGTGAAGGAGAAGAACTTGCTGATAGATATGGTGTAAAATTCTTTGAAACTTCAGCTAAGGAAGGCGTTAATATTTCCGAAGCTTTCAAGTGTATTGCCCGTTAAACATTAGAATCAATGGACACATCTACTAAAGATTAGTTTAAAATTAATTACAAACCTAATAATCCTCAACCTAATAAAAAAGATGGAAAAGATGGAAAATGTTGTTGAAATATATTTATTTTTGATTGCTATAATTATTCATTGATTTTTTCTTTCTTTCTTTAACTTATAAAATAAATTAGCCCAACTTTTAATAATAACAATAATATTAATAATATTCATAACTAAATCAATACAAAAAAAAACAAACATACATACATAAATACATTCAAACGTACAAATAAATTTACTCATACGTATGCTTGCTCATTAACTCAATCCTAAATCAATTTATGCAAATAATGTATTGAGATTTATGGAAAATACTTCCTCTAGAACTATTTCAAAAAAGTTAAAAGTATATTCAGTATTTGATGACGATGTTGATTGATACATTTAAATGAAAAATATCTTTCTTTAAAATTATAAATTTAATTATGAGATTATCTTATTGCCTTTATGATTTAGAATAACCTTCTCAATTTTCTTTTACTAAAAAAAGCTTCAACTTTGCTACTGATTACATACGGTTGCATGCATGTATGAGCAGCTTTAGATAGAAAATAATAAGTATTCTCCTTATAATATTAACAAAATGTCTAACCTTTATATATAATATATTTGAATTAACATACATCTATCCATCCATACATACATATTGATATTCTTAAACCATATCTCTAATCTTTATTCATCTAAGCAAAACTTTCTTTAATTGAAATTCATTCTTCTATTTTTATTATTCTAATTTTAACCTATTAAATCTATTTTTCTAAATAAATATAGCTCATTAATGTCAAAATATTTTTATTTGATTTAGAAATATTTTCAAGGTAATATTTAACATTTGCAGAAATATTATTTCTGCATAAAAAATAAATTGATTTTGAATTTCTGTAGAATAAATTAGAATAAAATAATTACTAATTTAATAAACCAAAAAAAGAATTCCCCCACCGGGACTTGAACCCGGGTCTGAAGGGTGAAAACCTTCTATCCTAACCTGCTAGACTATAGGGGATTACAGTAAAACTGCTAATAATATAAATAATTTTTCTTAGTTTACAAAATTTAAATTTTTATTAAATAGCTAATAAAATTACTTTAGAAAATATTCAAATTTATTTTTGATTAAACAAGTAATTTATATATTTCATACACTGCAAAAAAATTTTACTTAATTTTTGTCTAAAATTTTTAAGCAAATTCAATTTTAGAAATTTATCTAAATTTATGAATGGTGAGTTGTAAATTTGATTATTTTTATTTTATTAAAAACAGCAAATAAACCATTTATATACTGAGGTATTAAAAAAAAGCAATTTAAATTATGTATTAAATAATGTATTATACTCTTCAAAATTATAAAAGTTTTACTTTTAAAATTTACTGAAATTTAGTTTTATACTAATTTTATATATTATGGTATGTATTTAATAAGAATTTTTAGATTATTTAAAAGTATAGAACTTAGTTTTTTAATTTTATTAGTTATTTAAGTAAAATAATGTTTAAAGTTTAAAATAATTAATCTTTTTATTATTTTAAATAACAAAAAAAAAGAATTCCCCCACCGGGACTTGAACCCGGGTCTGAAGGGTGAAAACCTTCTATCCTAACCTGCTAGACTATAGGGGATATCTGTAAGTTATCATAATTTCTATAGTTTCTTTTTTAGTTTTTTATAAATTAAGAGCTTTTATTTTATTTTAAAAAGTATTTACATACAAACTAATTTTGTTATTATTGTTACTCAAAAGTTAAAAAATTAAAAACTTATAGAAATCACTAAATTAATTATATAATTTCTGTTAATTTAATGTAAAAAGAACATCTTTTATTGTATTTAGTTTATTTCAAAATAATTTATAATTTAAATATTATTTTAGTATTTTTAAGAAATAAAATATTGGATTAAAGAATTATTTAATTTTTTATTTAAGTTGTAAATTAAAAATTATTTTAAATATTGATCAAGTTTAATTCCATAACTTTTTTTTAAACAAAAATATTTAATTTTTATTATTCACAAAAAATACTGATAAAACTTTACAAATAATTCTTTTTATATTTTTTTTTAAAATAGAAGAATTATTATTATTTTTTTTAGAGTTTTTGGATTTTAATTAAATAATATTGATAAATAAATAGATTTGTAATAAAAATAAGAATACAATTTGTTATAGGTTCAAGGTAGAAGATTTGACAATTTTAGTTTCAGTAGAAATAAGTAAATGCTCTAGGGATTTAAAAAATAAATTAATACTGTAAAATAGTTAACTATTACATCCAGTCTTTCATAAACTGAATTATAAAAATATTTGTTTGATTAAAGAAATATTTTACACTTAAAAATTAAATTAGCTTTGCATTATAAAGAAAAATTAAATGCTTCTACTTATGCGAAAACTATGGGAAAATGTCTAAAGAGTTTGTCAAATTTGTTAAGTCTTTCACTTATTATTGGAAGAGCTAATTAAATAGATGATGTTGGATATTAAAGATTAGGAGATGCCTTAAAATCATTCCAAAAAATAACATCTTTTACTTTTTCTGTGTAAAATGATAACCTCCTTAATTCTGAATCTTTAAAGTTTATTTGTGAAGGTGTAGAAACTATGACAAATTTAACTAGTCTTAGCATTAATATTGAAGCAAATATAATATACACTGAAGGGGCATAGCACATAGGAAATTGCTTAAAAAAATTAAAAAATCTTAATAATTTAACTATTCAAATTCTTCATGGAAATTGTATTAGTAGTTCTGGAGCAGAAGCATTAGCAGAAGGTATTCAAACCTTGGTCAATTTAGAAAATCTGTAAATTTGTTTGCAAACAAATTATATAGGAGTAGTTGGTGCCTAAAATTTGGGATAAGCAATTAAAAACTTAAAGAAACTAAAATATTTTTTTTTAAAGCTTAATGGAGAAAATTAAATTGAAGAAGATGGTGCTATTGGCTTATCATAAGGATTGAAGAAATTAGAGGAGTTAAGAAATTTATCACTAAATATAGGATTAAATAATTAAATTAAAACAGAAGGATTTTTAAAAATTTGTAAAAGTTTTGAGTCTATGGAGAAGCTACAATCACTTAATTTGTTCATAGCTAAAAAAAATATAATTGGCTAAGAGGGTGCGATTTAATTAGGAAAATCTCTTAAATAATTGTATACTTCTTTGTCATCCTTATAATTAACTTTAAAAGATGTCGAAATTGGATTTGAAGGAATGGAAGGATTGATGGATGGTTTAAAGTCTTTAAAACAGTTAAGTAAGTTTAGTTTTACTGCTCATGAATGCAAAATCACCAATAACGGGTTTTAGAAATTCTTTTCTGAAGTTATTCATTTAAATTAGCTTACTTCATTTTCTATTGAATTTGAAGAAGATGAAATAAATGATGAAGCTATTTTAATTTTATGTGAACAAATAAAAAATCTTATAAAATTAAAATCCCTTACTATTAAATTTCCAATAAACAATGATGTATCACTAGAAAGTAAATACAAATTGGTAAAATCAATCAAAAATCTTTAATTCATAAGATAATTAGACTTATAGTTAAACAGCTAATCTTTTGATGATGACGATGAGCTAAATCTTTTATTTTGTTAGCTAATAAGAAGAGACATTCGTCGCTCAAAAAGATTGGTCATTTATTAGCTTAAATTGTTTAATTGATAATTTATTTTTATAAAAAAATTAAGAGTTTTTAAAAATAAAATAAATAGAAATAAATATTCTAAAATTAATTAGAGTTATTAAAGATTTTAATGGATTAAATACCAAAATAAATTTATATGGACAATATTATTTAAAATTTTAAGTTACTTAAGAAAGTCTTTCATAACATTTTATTAAAAAACTTATATATAATTTCATTTCTTGTTATAAGAACTCAAGAAATAATAAAATTAAATTTTTTTTCTGAAATATTGAAAAGACTATTAGTATTTTTTATATAAAATAAACTTTTTTTATTAATAATTATTTTTACTAAAACATTAAATAAGATAAATTTAAAATTTTAACAATTTTAATTTTACTTTCAAGATTCTTTTAATTTTGAATAAATTAATAATTTTCTTATATTAATTAATTATGATATTTTAATTTTTAGTCAAAGATTGATTCTAATAATTAATTACCTTAAATTAATTTATTAATTGCTAATAAAATCCAAAATCTATAAAAACTGTCAAATAAATACTTTAAGACTCAGTTATCCAAGCTTATTAATAATTAAAAAATTTTTCTCAAAAAAAAATTTTATCAAAATTCAATCATTTTAAAAAATATTTTTTATTTTACCTTTTTTATTATTTAATTAAGGTTTATATTTATTAATGAACCACCATTTTTTAACTCAATTACTGTTTGTAATTTATTTAAGTTCAATATAGAAAAAATTTATCTTCAAACAAATAACGTTTATTTATCTATTTTAATTTAAGTCAACAAAAAAATTTGATATTTTTTTAAACTATAAAAATAATTAATCAAGAAAACAAAAAATAATTAGAAGTATATTGTATTTATGATTTCTAAAAATTAACAAACTTTCAACTATGACACAGATTGTAATAACTAATATGGATCTCCATATTTACAATCTGAATAATACAATTTAAAGTAAGTTTCAAATTAAGTTCATGCAGAATTTCCATCGAATAAAGGACTAAGTATTTTTTTATTTACTTTAAAATTATAATTCCTTAATTAAATATGTTTTTTTTTTTTAATATAGATTTTGGTTTCATACCTAATGCAGTAGAAATATTTAGCAATCTAAGGATCAATGCTGCAAAAAATATTTAAATCCCTCCTGCACCTTAGAATTATTTTGAAGGGTGTGATGACAGTAGTGCTAGAGCTATAAAAGAAAGTGAATATGAAATTGATTTAGTTAAAGCTTCTTTGAAGTAGATTTAATAAGAATAACATCTAAATTTTGATGGTTTAATTTATGAATAGCATACAAATTTGTTGGATTCTAATTTTGTTTCTAATATGTAAGATTAAATTTGCAAAAAAAATACTTAATTCTCAAGTAGATAGATAGCAGCAGGATAAGTTATATAGTCTGCCAAACAATTACAAGAAAATCTTATAGATATTTATAAAAGCAATTTAATTTACTTCTACTTAGATTTGATTCCTTTTTTTGCTTGCTTTTTGGCAGTAACAATTATGCTTGCAAGCGATTCTTAGACAGCCTTTATTCCTATTCTTGTTATTTTAATTGTGATCACTTGTATCAAGATTAATATATTCTTAAAATTAGTTTTTTCCCTTAAAAAATCTAATCCCTCTGGATTGCCTGGTGGCTCTCAATGCTGTGGTGTATTTTTATAAATCTTAACCATTCCTTTTAGTTTATTAACTATTACTCTAATGAATCAAAATGTCAATAATATATTTACTTGTTTACCTTTAGCTGCAATAGGTAGTATTTTTAGTTTACTTATTTCATTATTTCATTTAAATAAGATATTTACAATAAAATCAATCATGAATAGAATTGGTTGCCTATTTTAAAAATACCCAGATAGCTTTATTTAATGATAAAGTTAAAAAAAAATATATGTATTTATATATTATTATTTTGTATTTGCAATCCTTATTAAAAGAAGAATAAAAAAAATTTATATTTCACATTTTTATCTCTTTTAAATAAAAAACGATAATCATAATTTATTTCCATATAGATATAATAAAAAAATAATTACTTAATTATCTTTATATTTAATAATTTCTTTACCAAAGCTTATGTTTTGATTTAAAATTACTATTTTTGTTGAAAATTATCAATACATACTTACATTAAATACATTAGAAATACTCAATTATTTGACAAAATTTTTTAAAGTTTCAATTAAATTAATCCAATTTTTTATTAAATAATAAAACCGTTTTTTTAAAGCTTTTTTCTTTTCCTTTTTTATTTTTAAATTAAGGTATTTATTTTTTTAATTAAACAAACGTCAATTATTTAGGTAATAACTATAAATTTAAAGTTCATAATAGAAAAATCTATCTCACAAATGATGTTTTTTTTTAAATTTAAATTGTTCTAACAAAAAATTACTTCTTTAATAATATAGATAATTAATATCAAAAATATAATCAAAAATAAATTCTTCTTATGATTTATTAAAACAAATAAACATAAAATTATGAAACATAATATAATAATTTCAATGGATCACCAAATTTATTAGCTTAATAATATGATTTCAGGTAATTTTCGAATTAAGTTCATGCAGAAATTCCATAGAATAAAGGATTGAGTAATTAATTAATTACTTTTTAATAATAAAAATTCAATTAAAATATTCTTTTTTTTAAACATAGATTTTGGTTTCATACCTAATGCAGTAGAGATATATAGCAATCTAAGGATCAATAATAAAAAAAATATTAAAATCCCTCCTGCACCTTAAGATTATTTCAATGGGTGTGATGATAGTAGTGCGAGAGCAATCAAACAAAGCGAATATGAATTAGATTTTGTGAAAGCTAGTTTAAAGTAGATTTAGTAAGAATAAAATCTAAATTTTGATGGCTTAGTTTATGAATAGCATGCAAATATACTAGATCCTAATTTTGTTTTAGATATTTAAGAGTAAATTTGCAAAAAAAACACTTAATTCTCAAGTAGATAGATAGCAGCAACATAATTTATTTAGTGCACCAAATAATTGCAAGAAAATCTGAAAGAAATCTATAAAAATAGCTTAATTTACTTCTACTTAGATATTATTCTATTTTTCTCGTGCTATTTGGCAGTAGCAATCATACTTGCCATAGATTCTTAGGCTGCATTTATTCCGATCCTTGTTATTCTAATTGTAATCACTTGTATTAAGATTAATATATTCTTAAAATTTATATTTTCCCTTAAAAAATCTAATCTCTCTGGAATGCCTGGTACGTCTCAATGTTGTGGTGTATTTTTTTAAATCTTATCTATACCTTCTAGTGCTTTAGTTTTATCTCTACTTGATGAAAATACCAATAATCTATCTTTTTGTATGCCATTAACTACTTTTGGTGGGTTTTTTAGCTTAATTATTTAATTTGGATATATAAACAAGATAGCCATTATTAAATTTATAATGAAAAGAATTGGTTGTCTGTATTAAAAATATCCAGATAGGTTTATTTAATGAAATAACTAAAAAATTATTAAGCCTATATAAAGATTTTTTTTGTAATACTTACTAAAAAAAAAAATTACAATTTTACATTATTTTCTAACCTAAAATAATAAAATGATTTGCATATTTTTAACTTGTTATTGTTAAGTTTTGAGTAATAAATAACTTAGTTATCTTTATTTATTTATTGTAAAAGCTTTGAATTTTGATTTAAATTATGATTTCTAAATATTTTAATCACTTAGAATTAAATATCAAAGTTTTGGTTAAATTAGAATTTTAACAGTGAAGTATAATAGGATATATTATAGTTAATTTTCTTTCTAAATCTAGTGAAGCAAGCGACATACTATTTCTTAGAAAGGCCATTCTTTTTCATAATTTTTTTCTAGTATGAAAATATTAATAATAGATTTAGATTTATTTATACATTATTAATTTTAAATTAATTGAATAAACAACCCACAATTTTGAAATTTTCACTTGAAAAATTCAGAAAACTAAATAAATTTAATTATAAAAGGTAATTTATCTTCAATAATTAAAATAAATAATTGTATAAATCTATTTTACATTTTTTTATAATTTATATTATTTTTTTAAATATTCCAATTTAGTTTATAGTGGAATTTAAACCACTAAATTTTTGATTGGCATATTGCCATACTCTAATTAATAAAACTATCATAAAATTCATATTATTTATTTCTTTATGTTTATTTATCTACTTAAAATTTTGATAATAATTTTAAAAAATTGATTTATTGAAAGTTTTTTTAAAAACTTAATAATTAAGAGTAATAATGATTTATAATTAATGATTAATTTAATGAGTTAAAATGACTCAATATTAATCATAAATTACTTAAAATTAATCTTAATTAGCCATAATGAACTATAATTTGATAACTTGTTTCCTTCTTTAAAGTAAATAGGATTAAAAGATATTTTTATAAATTTGATATTAATAAATAATATTAATTTTTAATAAAGAACTTATGTTATTCTATTAAATATTTATATCAAATTGTTTATTTAAAATTGTTTTTTTTTTATTTAATCTTAATTTTCCACAAAAAATGTATTGATTTTTTTTTCATTAATTAATTAATAACATTATGATCAAGATTTGTAAAAGAATTTAATAAATCATAAAAGAAAAAATTAATGATACTTATGATGTAAAATATATATATCTATTTGTCTATTTATTTCGAATCTTATTAAATAGATTAATTAATTAATTAATAAAACTTGTAAACTAAATATCTATTCAATTAATAGCCATGAATAAAAGTATAGATTATCTTTTTATTGCTTCATAAAATTATTAATTAGTTGAAATAAAATGGTTTTATCAGCAATTGATATGTTTTACCTATTTTACATTGCGCTTACTATCAAATATTTGTTTGAAAAATTAAGATATTAAAATGTAGAAGATTTTCGTAAACTCATGAATAATCAAATTAAGAATTAATCAACAGATCTGAAAAAAGCATCTTGCTTTGAAAAATATATATTCCCTGACAAAATTCAGAATAATTACCATTCAATCATTAGCAAATCAATAAGCAAAATATTAAAGGTGGGTTTATTTTAATATACTGTGAAAATTCTTTGTTACTCTTCGTTTTTTTCTCTCTAATTTTTTTGTTTTTAATTAAATCAAGCAAAAAATTTTTTTAAATTAATAGATAATCAATAATCACCAAATAAATATATTTGAAACGAAATATGACTAAGATAAACTTTGTTATAGTGGCCACTTTGCTAGCTTCTTTAGCGCTTTGCAACTAGTATCCTATCAAGAATGTAGTAGTTTTAATGATGGAAAATCGTTCTTATGACCACATGCTTGGATGGATGAAGCAAGGAGGAGAATATGGTAATCCAGAAGTAAATGGATTGACTGGAAACGAATGTAATTACAAAGATCCTTTCCTTCCATTTTTAGGAAAAGTTTGTATCAGCCCTGATGCTCCTGATAATTCCCTCTATGATCCTAGTCATAGTCACGAATCTACTACTGAACGTATATTTGGATGCAAATACTCCCTTAATATTAAGGATAAGAACATAAAAAATCCATGCGTAAACCATGCTTCTTCTGAAGGCGATGCTAACATGGGTGGATTCGTTATGGCTGCTAGATAGAATAAAGAAAATGGGCTTTAAGAAATGAGCGCATAATTATCTTCAAACGTTCCAATTATTACTACTTTAGCTAATGAGTATGCTTAATTTGATCATTATTTTTGCAGCTATCCAGGACCTACTAATCCAAATAGACTTTTTGTACACTGCGGTACTTGCGACGGTTGTTTAGGAAACGAATAGAAAGCTGGTTAAATTAAAAACAAGACTCTTCAAGAAGTACTTGCTAATAATAACTTAACTTGGAGATATTATTATGAAAATGATGCTGATGATTGGTTCCTCTACATTAATTATTTCAACTAAAATTTCAATGAAACTCTCTTCCCTCCTATGGAATAATTCTATACAGATGCAGCTAATGGAAACTTGCCTAATTATACTTTTATTAATCCATCAGAATCTATTAATCCTAATTACAATAACACTAAATCATTTGGTTTAATGAATGATCAACATCCTAATCACAGTGTTCGTGAAGGAGAAAGACTTATGAAAAATGTCTACGAAGCCTTAAGAAATGGTCCTCTATGGAATTAAACTCTTTTTATTATAACTTATGACGAACATGGTGGTTTCTATGACCATGTTTCTCCACCTCAAAACGGAGTACCAAACCCTGATGGTAAGAAAAATAGAAATGGCTTTGATTTCACTCGTCTAGGTATCCGTGTTCCTATGCTCTTGATATCTCCTTGGATAGAAAAAGGAACATTAGTCAAGGAACCTGCTCCTCACTAGAAGCCTTTTGAAACATCTTAATTTGAGCATAGTTCAATTATTTCATCTGTGCTCAAAATTTTCGGAATTGATGAGTATTTCTCAAAGAGAACTGAGTGGGCTGCCACCTTTGATGATCTCCTTTTAAAGAGAACTGAACCAAGAACAGATTGCCCAACTGAACTTGCCTATATTCCTCCTCCCACATAATAAGATATTGAAAGACTTTACAATCTTCCTCTAAAAGATCGTTTAGTTTAAAAAGTTTAAAAAATATGTCGTTAACTTAGAAGAAACGATGAAAATTGTGGAAAAAATGTTAAAACATACTAAGATTTAAACCATTTCCTCACTCATGAAATTTAATAGTATGATTATTGAAAATAAAATCAAACTTTAACTATATAAATATTATGAATATTTTATAAATCAAAAATGTTAGCATACATATTTTATCAATTAAATTTTTTAAATTAAATCTGATTTTACATTCATTTTCTTAATATATAAATATGATTTAATTTATTTATTTCTATTATAGATTTATTTTATATTAAATTAATTTCTTGACTCTTAATATTAAAAAATAAATTATAAATGAAAAATAAAAAGATTATTGTAAATTTATTAAAAAATGTAAAATATTAAAATTAATATTTTTTTTTAAATTTAAATATTTACAAATAAATTTTGGGAAGTTTTATCAATATTATTATTTTTAGTTTTATAATATTTTATCAATAGATTTTAAATAATCTTTTTAAATACAAATATTATAAAATGTATTAATTTATAAATGCTGAAAGAAATTAATTGTAATTTTTTTTAGAAATAACAATTTAAACTTCTTTATATTTGAATTGTTTCCTGTTCTAAAAAATATTTGTTTTTTATTTATTTAAATGCTGAAAAATTAATGTATAGTTTAATAAATATAAAAAGATAAAATAAAATTCACATAATATAAAATATACCTTCACATTATTTGAGGTTAGATCTGTCTGAAATGTGAAAGATATTAACATATTAAGCAATAGATTATAACAAAAAAATTAAATAGTTTTTTAAATTTACTAATATTTAGTTATAGAATTCAATATTTAATAAAAGTTTATTGAAATTCGATTTGAAATTGGATAAAATAGGAGACAATTATTTATGAAAAAAAATAAAATGTGCTGAATCAGCTTTTTTTACTTAAATTGAATTTTTTAAGCAATGTTTATTAATATGTTTAATAGAAATATCTGATAGAGATAAATATAAAGTATGTATTGTAAATATTAGAACATTTTTTATTTTAAAGTTTAAGATTTAAAGAGTTAAATTAGTAGGTTTAAATTAATTATTTTAGTATTGTACTTTATAATTATAGCAATTAATTAATTAGTTTGTTTGCTTATTTATTTATTTATTTATTTATTTATTTATTTATTTATTTATTTGCTCATTCATCATCGTGTTCTGAGTATCTTTTAGCATTAGCAAATTTGTTTTAGTTCTTTTTATTTTTGAGGATGTTTTCATAAATATTTGATATATAGCTACCAAAATATTTTGATTTGAGGTGAATATTTTCAAAGTTACCATATTTTTTTTCAGCAGTTTCAAATTTTTCTGATTATTTGGATAATAAATAAGTTCCTCTTTCTAAGAAACTTTTTAGATTATTATTATAATCTTCTTTAAATGCATAAGTTATAGAAGTTGTTTGTGATTGATTAGGGTTGCATAAAAGATTATAACTCATTTTTTATTCAAGCTGGCTAATAGTATTTTGTTGGTCAATTATTTACTTTTCTAGATTTTTAAGTTGAGTTTGCTGAATTTTCATGTTGAATTCCTCCATGAATGATGTGTAAATTTAAAAGTCTTTCTGCAAATATTTTTCTAAGGCTTAATCGTAAGTGATTTTTGTTTCTTTTTTATCTAAATCGTAAACAACTTTTAGTCTTTCAAATTTAAGTGTTTCCAAAACCTATTTGGGAGTTACAGATATTGGGGTTTTAATTATTAACTTTTCTTTATCAAGAAATATATTTTTAAGTTCTGGAAAGCGAGACCATAAATCAAATATAAAATTGTATGATTTATTATGGTAAATTTTAGGAAGCTAAGTGATTTATTTTAGCTATTCAATCATTTTTTATATGCATTTCTAAATATTTTAAGTTGCTTTTGAAATATCTTTTAACTAAATTAGTCTGTGAGCAAAATTCAAAGCCTTTACTTAGCCCGCAATTGAGTTCCTTTAAATTGAACCACGAGAAGTATCAATCATGGATTTGATTCTTAATGGGGATCTCTCTGTTTTTTCAGAAATCAAGCTTTTTCTAATAAAATTATAAATTTGACTTTCTGTTTATTTAATTAATTAATTAATTAATAATAATATTTACTCTTTTTTTAGTGTTACTGGTGAATTATTTAGATGAATATCAGGAGAAGATGCGTAAGTATTATTTCTCTTGTGGTTTCTTTTAAAATTTGGTACAAATAATTTTGTCGTTTCTTATGTGCTGTCATCATTTATATCAATGTTTTAGATGCTTGTAACAAAGTGGACAGTCTTAGTTGTTGGGCTATCTTCCTTTTAATGAAATTTATGAACAGATTCATCTACCTAGTTATTTTTTACTGGCTCCATGATTTTTTTGATTGAAATTGGCTTTAAGCTCATCATGTTAGTTTTTTTTGACTCAATAATAGAAATAGAAGGTATATTTGTACTTTTAATATTAAAATGTAAGTTAAAATTTATAAATAAAAAATTCTTTATTAATTTACAGAGTTTTTATTTTTTAGGTTGATTGCTATTGATTTTGCAACTGAGAAAAGGTTTGTTAAACTGTGTCTGAAGAAGGAATTTTATCTTTTTTAGAATGAAATAATTCTGCATCATCTTTTTCTACTTTATGAAGTCTTATGCTCAATCTTTTTTTATTTGATATCAGTGCGCTTAAGTTATTGCTTGATTCTAGCCTGTTATCAAAAATATATGGAACAGGACTTATATTTGTTAATGATAAATCTTTTTAGGATGAAATTGATTTTTGAGATCTATTAAGCTGAATTAATTTTTAAGAGTTATTTAAGTGTGTTTCATAATCACTAATGTCATTCACTGGTCTTCTTTGGCGAGCATTTGATTAAGATTGCTTAATGAATTTTTTATTTTTTTACTTTACACTTAAATTTGGCTAAGAAGATAAATAACAAAGATAATCTTAAAAATTTCCTACATTCATAGTTCTAGCTTATTCATTAAATATTAATTTCATATAACTCTGCTTTGAAGTGTTTGTGCTCATATTGCTGTTCGTTTAATTATATATACTACCCTTGTTAGATAGTTAAATACACTGATTGCTATCCTAAATAATAGGTATTTCAGTATTCATACTGCTGCTGAAATTATAAGCGTTATCACTAGTTTTTATTAGTCTAGAAGACATTTTCATTCTTAAACTACTACTAGATTAGAATTCTCTCTTCTCTTCAACACTATTCATACTTAAATGCTAATCACTTTGGTAAGAGTTAAAATTTTACTCCCTCTACTTAATCTTTAATCTATTTTAACTAGATGTAACACCTGATGATTAGTCTAATTTAAATGATTTTACTTATCTTTTGTTTATAGTTTTAGGTGATAAACACAAAGCCTTATCTGTTGCTTAATTATCCATATTCTGTATTTCTTCTAATAGACTTAGTTTATTAAAATCCGTTTAAGGAATATTTTAGCAACTAGGAGTTCTAGCAGAATCTTTTTGCTAAGAAAATAATGATCCATTTTTATTTCTAATCCTTTGTGTTTCATCTGAATCATACTTAAACTGAGAGATATTGCTTATCCTCTTATTTATAGGAGTATTGTTAGTTAAAGTTGAACAAGTTGCTTCATCAGAAGACTACTGGTATTAAAAAAATGATGTTTTCCTTTCATTCGAGTTAATTGTAAATCTATGAGTGTAAAGAGGATTATCTTTGAAAATGATAGGCGGCTTAAATGTCATTGAATTAGCAATATAGTTATTTTATGAGCCATTACATTAAGAATCCTCAAGGATATCATGCGTTTGATAGCTATTTGACTTCAATCGCTTTTCAATTACTTTTATCATTTCTCTTATTAGCTTTATTATTAATCAAGTATTTATTATAGGTTTGAACTATATCTTTAGTTTACAATTAATTGATAATAAGATTTTCTTACAATTAATTATTTTCTTTGTTTAGCAAAACAAAGGTTTATTCTAACTAAGTACACAAATTTCAATAATCTTAAATAAATATATAATGTATTTGGTTATTTATAACTAAGAATTAGGTTAAACCAAACCCAATTATTTTTTTAATCAAATTTTGCTTTTATGATAATAAAAAGAAGACAGGACGTAAACAAAAATTCGTTATGCTTTTACTCATTTAAAAGTAAATTAAATTTGATTGTTATTTTGTAAAAATAATTTATTTATTAGCTATCTACTTTGTTTTATTGTCAAATTTTACTCCTTACTAATTTTACTATTTATTTTATCAAATAAATTCATTTGTAATATATAATTCATAAAAGGCTTCAATCTTCTTATAGTTACTAAAAAGCAGTCAATTTACCTTACACCGCAAATTAAAAATAGTACATACTTAAAACTTTTTTATATAATCTTACGGAATTATATTCAATAAGAATTCTTTATTTAAACTAGCATTTAACTTAATCATTTATAGCAAATATTTTAATTGATCTTAATATTTTTTATTGATGATTTCTTAATTTTACTATCATTTTTATACAAAATTTGGCATTTCTTTAATAATATTAATTAAAAAATTGAATTCTAAAGCAAAAGTAAATAAAATTAATTCTCCGTCCTTAAATTATTTCTAACAAATGAATACTATTGGGATAGACTCTTGTAAGAAAAATGAATTAAAAATTATTTTTTAGATTATGACTTAAAATTCCAAAAAAAAAAAGTTAAATATATTAATAATTTCTAAACTCCATAAAAAACACCTTTTATTACTGCAAAAGCTGTAATATTTTTTATGTTTCAAAATAGTTTTTACTTTTAATTTGATTTTTACATTATAAATTTAAACTGTGATAAATAAAGAATACTAACTAAAAATAGGAAATGTTATCTGATTTTAAAATTTATCTTTCAAAGAAATGTAAAACTAAACATATTTAAATTATTTTTTGCTTTAATATAATTTATAATTTTTATTGAAAATAATTTAAAATTAAAATATAAATTTCTTCTAATAAATACATCTAAATTAATTTAACAATGAAATTATTAAATTATTCATTATTTAGGAATGAAAGAGCTTATTAATTGATTTAATAAAAAATTTAATGATTAATCGGAAATATCAAACAGCTTAAATATATTTATAATTGTATTTTTTAAATTTAAATTAATTTTTGAAATTAAAAAATAAATAATTATCCTATACCATCTAACCTGTAAGTTAAGTTAAAAATAAAATAATTTTTTTGGGAATTATTTTAATATTTTCGAGCAAATCTCTAAAATGTTAGGAGTCCATTCAATTAGAAAAATTACAGTATCATACTCCAAAAGCTCATAATTTAAAAAGTTTGGTAAAGACTTTGATTGCTGCTATGAGTATTTTGAGGAATTAAATAAAGTTCTAATAATTTTAAATAAATGCAATAACAAAATCTTTCAATAATTTAATTATTATTTTTTTGCAAATATTGATTGAAGAAAAAAAATAACAATTTTTAAAAGAAAATATTTATTTTTCAAAAAAATTTTGTTTACTGAACATCTCAAAAAATAATTAATTCCGCTTGTATTATTATTTCTTTCAAGACCAATATTTTTTTTGTATTCTTTAATAGTATTTAAATTTTTAGCTAATTTTATATCTGTAAATATTTGTTTGATGAAATGAATATTTAAAGTTGACTATTAAAAATAAAATTTTTAAGAAATTAAATAAAAATTAAGATATTAGGATTGGTTAGCATATAAAAAAGAAATATTAGAGTCTTTATAATAATTAAATTAGGTTTTATCTTTATGAAAAAGAATTCTATTATCAAAATTAATTATAATTTATTTCACTAGAAGGTCTTCATATATTATAAATTAAATTAATGGTAATCAATCTGTTATAAGCATTCATCAATTAAATATTTATTTTGATAAATGATTGGCTAAATATTTCATTTTTTATTGTACTATAATTGATAGAACTAAATGGTAACATACAGGCAAAGATATTACAATAATAATAAATATTTAAAATCTTTAAATTAAGGACAAATAAATAAATTACTTTAAGGAAAAAATAGGCATTTGAGTAATTGAGATATTTAAATGAAATTCAAAATAACACCTTCAAATACAAAATTGTTAATTAAATTTGATACCAAATTTTGAGTAAAAAGAAGAAATATGAATATTAGCAAAGAAAGATACCATCAAATTTATAGAAATATATTTTATGATTACACTAATTGCAAAACAACTAAAACGAGTGATAATATTAATGATGAATAAATAAATAGCTTAAAAATATTATGACTTTTTTTAGTCTGCAAAATATTAAAGAGAAATGAATGTATACCAAATACATAATTTAAATTAAAATCAGTTTTGATTAATATTTATAAATATTAAAAGCTTTGTAATTTGATTCTTCAATAACAATATCAATAAAAAATAAAGCTATTAAAAGACTTACTTTTTAAAATAAATAGAACACTAATAAGGCATCTCGAATAGCTACAAGAAACAATCATTTTTCAAATTGTTTAACCAAGATATTAAATTGATATATATGAACGAAAAAGTTATAAAAAGCATTTAGGAATGCCAGAGTTATAGTGCAGGTGAGACTTTGCCTGAATAGCCTTTTAGAGAAGTTTTTAATTACTTAGAGTAATTAGATCACTTTAAAAAAATTAAGAAATTACCTAACTATTTCGAGCTGATGAGACTGTCCATTAGGTCTCTTAACTTGTAAATATTTAAAAGAGGGGAAATATTAGTAAGATAAAGAGATAGAGGAGATAAATTTTTTATTATTTTAAGCGGTGATGTTAATGTCTACGTTTAGCATTCAACATAAACTTTAAAGAAAATGAATGCAATTACTAAAAAAGTTAACCTACTCTAGCAGCAGGAGAATGTTGTGAATCAAGAGGCAATCAAAGAATTAGATTATCAGTTTAGACTCCTATAAGATGTTTAATAAGAAGATAAAGAATTACTTTAGTTGACTAACGATCCTATGTTCGTAAAATACTCTTCTTCGCAACTACAGCTTTTGTAAATTCAACAAAAGCAAGTGTAAAATAATTAAAAGAATGAATATAGCATATCCCAAGAAGCTTAAAAGTTTTTTTGCAAAAGAGTTAATCAACTCAAAACTAATTGCACTTTTGGTGAATTTTCTCTTGCTAAATTAGGATAAAGGACAGCTTCAATCATTGCTAAAAGTCAAGAAGTAGTGACTGCCTGGATTCCTTATGAATTATACAACATTATTTTTGATGTTGAAATAAAATTCAGAGAAAACTTTGCTAAATTTATTTAGCAATTTTTTCCTAAAATAGGAGATACCTTCGGAGTTTAAATTGCTTACTTTTTTTAAGAGAAACCTTTGCTGAGAAATTAGGTAAAATATTGATAGATCAAAGGATTTATTTAATTTATTTATTATTGTATGAATTTCTTCAAGTATTTCTTATATTTTTTGATCCATAAATTACTCTATTTGTATGTAACGCAAGCCAAAAATTGACTGGATATTTCCCAACCCAAATTTAATAAAGTATTCAGAATAAATCTAAACCAGTAAAATATCTTATAAATGCGTTATTATTATTTTCATTCCTATACTTATTTAAATATGTATTCCCCAAACAAATATAAAAATGATGGATTTAACTATCTTCTCAGGTTAAATTAAAATAAATTTTAATGGATGTTTGATAAATAATAATAAATCACTTCTCACTTAAAGATTTTCTTGAAGTAATTAAGATTAATTGCACAAAAAATAATAAAATATAATTTATGGTGTAAAGATTTATTATTTAATTAAAAATTTTAGAATGTGGTTCTAAAAATTATAATATTACCATTGAAACACCAAATATTATCAATTAATATCAGAATTCATAATTTCTTTTATTGTTCTACTAACCACAAAAATTGAATAAATTTATTTATTTCCACTACAAAAGTAAAGATTATTCGATAACAAAGATTTACTTTAAAAATCAAACATATTTTAAGATAAAAATAATTCATTCAAAAGAATCCATTCTCCTATGTATGTTTGTTTGAGAAAATATTCACCAAAAAATATTTTTTAATCAAATTAATTTAATTTTCATGAATAGGTTGTTTACAGAGAAGGAGATCAAGTAAACGAACTCTTTTATATCCTTGAAGGAAACATAACTTTAACTAAGAGATTACTATCTTAGGAGAGCTAAGAAAGCTAGTCTTAAGATTTAACTTAAACAGTTAGAGAGCACTAAATCTCTCAGTTCAAAAAAAAATTTGAAGAAAAAACTATTGTTATTTTACAATAAAATCAATTCTTTGGGTATGAATAAGAGAATGCGCAACATTTTTTTACTGCAGTTTGTTCTGCCACAAACACAAAGATCTATAAGCTAAATAAGTATTTATTAAACTAGATATCTGATTATAATTTTCATGATATCTTGCACAAGAAGTCTTCTGAGAGTATTAAAAGGTATAATGAGCGTATTAACTTTATTTCTCAAACATAGCTAAATATTAATTAAGTTCTTTCTAGTTCCACTAATAAATAAAGCTTACCTCCGCAAAATAATCCTTTTGTGGAATATCAATTAGATGAAAAAAACTCTCCCTTAAATTAAATTAGCTTACTTCGAAACTCTATCAATCAAATTGCTTTAAAAAAGTATCATTTAAAATCTAAAAGCATAGTTAGCTTAAATAATTCTCCTCATTAATCAACAACCTCTTTATTTTAATCCCCTTAATCAAATGATAATAAGTCACTTACTGAAAGGGCTAGTGCTGAATTTTAAAGAAAGTCTCCCTTACATTTGTAAAATTAAAACATAATCAACCTTAAACCTATTGAAAATAATTCTTACACAAATCATAACTCTTCAAGTGTCGCAAATATTTCTACAACAAATCTAAATAATCATTCAAATTGCAATCTAAAAACTGAAGTTGCAGATGAGTATGCTCCCAAGTCAGAAATCTTTGAATATGCAGAAACATTCTCTTAAGTAAAAAAAAGATTGAAATTAAACAAGACAAAAATGTTGAAGAAAGAATAGCTACCTTAATTTGGAAATATATCTCATTTAAATAAACTGAAATAGAAACTTTCCATCTCAAGGCTTTTCTCATAAAAAGAAGAAATCCAACAAACACAAAAGTTATGCTTCCAATAATCACTTCCTGAGTTAAGTGATGAAAATATGCTTTTTGGATAAAATGAGAATTTCTCCATTAGAAACATTCCATCCTTGAGATTTATTACGGAATCTCATGTTTTCTCTATGAATCACACAAGTCCATCTTCTCCAACAACTTTAAATTCATAAAACCTTTTGAGATCCTCAGTTCATGAAGCTTAAGTTGAATAAACTCCATAATAAAATGCTTATCAGATCATGTCTAGTAATACCCAATATCCTCCTATTTATCAATAATTAAACTATCAAGAGCAATAAGAAGAGTAAATATCTCCAAAGTTAAATACCAAATCAAACAACTAGCAACAGTCATCATTGCTTAGTACTTAAAAGATTCCCTTCGAAAATTCAATAAATGTAAGCAGTGTTCCTCGCTATTCTTTAGAAACATAAGATAGCTCAAATAATACAAGTGAGATTAATATTTTCAAGAGTGAAAAGCTATAGCGGGGTTAATCTCATTCTAATTTAGTCTCTTCCCTTAGTATTTCAACCCCTTTGCAATTAAGCAACAAATAAAGCCCTATGAAAGGTATTTCATAAACTTAATACTAATAGCTGCAAAAAAGTAATACCATTACAAATGATGGTAAATTCTCTTTATACCCTGTGCTTACTAATAATAAATTTATTTAGTAAGTTTAATAGTAATAGCAATAAAATATAATATAATCTCAAAAGTTTTTTAAGTAAAATACTTCTAATCAAAATACTAACTCAAACGAAGGATTTTCAATAAGAAAAAAAGTGATTTAAACTTACACTACGAATTAAGCTAAGCAAAATATAAAAGCTTCCTAAAATACTTAAAATACTGAGGAAATTTCAAGTATATCTTAACAAACTAATGAAGAAGAATTGAGTATAGCACAAAAAAATATGATAAAGTCAATTACAAAATTGGGTGAGGAATTGCTGTTTGATGATAATACAACTACAAGTGGAATGAGAATCAGCTCACCTATGAAATCAATAGAAGAAGAAAAGATGAAAGAGGATTTAAGCTTTTTTAGTGAAGAAAATATAAAATTAAATACTGAACCTAATTATGTTCATTAAAGAAATGCTACTCAGCACGAAGAGCCAATCTATAAAGATAAAAGCTACTCTCCTAACTTTCTAAGCAGAAGAAATAAAAAATTTTATAGCCTTAAAATCATCAAATCGTAAGTAAACTAAAAAATCAATGAAACTGACATTCCTAACAATGTTTAGCCTTAATAATCACTTTATTTCTTTTCTTCTCAATGTCATCCTACAAATTTTAAAAACTTGCCACAGCAAAAAAATGAAAATAGCAATAGTAGTAAATCAATTGACAAAAAGAAGATGCATTTTGAATCTCCAACAAGATATGAAAAATTATCTACAGATTTAAAGCCTTCTATTGTTATCTCACCAGCAATTAAAGGTCTAAAAAGTGATACTAAACTATCTAAACTTCCTTAATCTCCAATTTCTTAAAGAAGTAGTAAAAGCATAGAGAAACTAATAAGCTTAAACCAAGTAGAAGCTTCATCAAATTCAAATTATTCTTCTGATTAGAAGCTTGAATAACCACACTTACATTCACAAGAGACTCTCAAATATTAAGTTAGTCAACCTGTTAAACATTAACAAGAAATAATAGACTACTAATCTACTGACAAGGAATTAAATGAATACAGAAACAGTGTAACAAGCACTGAATTTAGCTATCCTAAATAAATATATATAGTAAACAGACCTACAAAACTTTGCCCAAACGACTAAAGTTTATCTCAAAAAAATGAACTTTCACCCTTATCTCCTAAAAATAAAATAAACTTAAAGAGCTATGAATACTAAACTTCTGATGAAGCTTACTTTACAAACATTTGTAAAGAAGATTTAGCTTAAAATGATTAATTCAAAATAATGTTGCAACCAAGCTCTGATTTTCTTTTGAAGAAGCAAAAAGGTTACAAAGAAACCTTGAGAAATTATTATAATTTACATAAGCAGCTGAAAAAAAGTGGTAAATCATCTACCTCTTTAAAATTTGAATAAAAACTATTACCACTCTAACTTAATTAATGTATTACACCTAAATAAGAGTATTTAGAATAAACCTGTAGAAATACATAAAAAAACAGAATTCAAATCGCTCTATCTAGTACCTCCAGAAATAATGCTAAATCTAGTTCGCTTGATTCATTAAATAACTTAACTTCCTTTTAATTAGCAAATTTTTCTACCAACCTAAAAAAACTAAAAAAATAAAATGAGAATTAAAAAAATATACATTTAGTACAAAAAGAGTAATACACAGATTCAAATTACCCATTAAGAATAAGTAAAATAAACATTTTTAAGGAGGAGCCAAATACCTATCAAAAGCAATCTATTTCTTGAATATTTTCTAAAAAATTTTATTATTACTAACAAAAATAAAACTAAAAAATATATTTATAAAAAATTTTATCATTATGAAATTAAAAAAACCTACTAACCCTTAAATAAATAAATAAATTGTGTTTATTAGTATATGTATAATTCTTCAGAACATTTTTAATTGTTATTTTTGAATTTTTGTAATAGAAAACAGTCAATTCAATAAATAAAATGATTTAAATAAATAAAAAACAAGCAAATAAATTTTTTCTAAATAATTATTTATATATAATATAAAATTTTAATTTTTCAATATGAGTATTTTTAAATATTTTATTATGTGACTAATGTTAAATAAATAAATTTATAAAAGAATAACTAATTCTTTTTTATATTATTGTGAAACCTTTCTAAATTGGCCACTCACTGGACCAAAAATTTTACTTTAAATTTCGAACAATTAAATAAAATAATCTTCAAATAAATTAATTTTTTCATAGAATTTAAGTTAAAAACAACAAATTAAAAGTAAGTATGTAAAATGTAATCAATATGTACCGTAGTTTATTTAGGAATTAAGTAAATTAATTTGAAGTTTTATAAAAATTACTTATAATATTATAATCAAAATTAAATAAATTTTCTTCACTTTTACCCATTTTGTAAGCCACATAATTTAATATAAGTGTTTTAATATAAATATTTTAATTACACGTATTAAAGTAATTTGTATTAAATCTGTAATTTATATAATCTAATTCAGTATTTTATGCAACATTTATTCTAATTGAATCAAATGAGCTCATCTTTAAATAAGGCTAAACATAATTTTTCAAGCCAAGTATAATTTTTAATTTAATCGCTTTGATTTATATTTTTTAATCAATAAAATGAAGGTTTTTAAATTCTATTAAGATAGAGTTTTAAAATATCTTTTCAATTTAACAATTGTGAATATTAAATAAAAAATTGGATTTTTTAAATATATTTTTTTAAAATGAATTTAATATTTTAAATTTTTACTGATCTTTATGTTCTTTTTTTTATTTTCATTTAATTTAAATAAAATAAAATAAACATCTAACTTTAATAAAATATTAAAACTAAATTTATGATGAAAAATGATAAAATCTTAATATTTTATGAAAAATCACTTATACATGCTTAATTTCAATAAAAATATAAGAAAAATTATTTAATTTATACATAAAGATGAAGGAAGATTTTAAAATGATAGACTTAAACTTAAATAAATATAATTTTATTTTAAGTTTAATATAATTCAGATAAAATAGCATTTAATTTCCTATTTTCTTTTTATTTTTTATTTAATTTCTTTGATTATTTTTTTTTTAACTTTGAAAATTTTACGTTTTGTGTTTTATGTGAAAAATAAATTAATTAAATGTTTTATTTTTTTAAAATGAAAATAGAATAGCAGAAATTAGAAAAATTGAATTAACACTATATATATTTTACTGTATGTGCGTGAATAGTTTTTGTTTAGAAGAGTCTCTCTGATGTTATTGCAATTGACTGACGAAAATATTAATTTTAATTAAATTTTGATTGATTGTCAAATGAGATGCATTAAGAGAATGATTCTGCATTAAAAAAATAAATGAATTTTTATCAGTTTAAGAAGAGTTGCTTGTATTAGATTAGTTGTTTGTTTATTTGTTTGTTTTGCTATTTTAAAAGATTGTTATTTTAAAATATAGAGCTAAGTAAAATCAGACAGACAATCAATATTTTAAAAGGAAAAAGAATAGAAAGGATCTCTATATTAACTATTAAAATAAAAATTGTATCTTAATAAGAAACAATAGAAAGGAATTAGAGCAGCAATAAGTAAACAAAAGCAAAGCATTTTATATTAAAGTAGAATCAACTAAATAAATAAATGGCTCCTAGCGCAAACGACAAAGATAATTAACAAGGTGAAGAAAAAAAGCACATCCCTTTGGATGAAGGTGATATTTCTTTATTGAAAGTTTATGGCATGGGTCCATATGCAGAATCCATTAAATCAACTGAAGAAGAAAATAAGAATTTAGTAGTAAAAATTAACAAACTATGCGGTATAAAAGAGAGTGATACAGGTCTTTCTTTACCTTCTTAATGGGATTTGAAGGGTGATGAAATTAGATTGTCTTAATAACATTCTTTACAAGTCGCTCGTTGCAATAAAATCATTCCTGGTGACTAACCCACTGAAAATAAATACATGATTAGCATCAAGCAAATGGCCAAATTCGTTGTAGGTTTAGGTGATAAGCTAGCTCCTACCGATATTGATGAAGGTATGAGAGTTGGTGTTGAGAAATAAAAATATTCTATTCAACTTCCTCTTCCTCCTAAAATTGATCCTTCAGTCACCATGATGACTGTAGAAGAAAAACCTGATGTTACTTATTCAGATATTGGTGGTGCTAATGAATAATTAGATCGTCTTAAGGTAATTAATTCATTTTAAAAAATAATATAAATCAAAGGAGATGCATGCATAAATTTGATATTTCAAAGCAGTAACGAAGTTAGAATGAATAGCGGTATTTTCCTATCTAAAATAATAAAGAAATTAAGAAAAAGCATAATCATTTCAGAAAAATATGCATTTATTTTGAAGATTTTAATAAAAACACTTAGTTTAAATATTTAAACTAAAAAATATGGTTTTTGCTTTGAAGCATTTATTTATTAACAATAAATAAAAAAGCAAATTAAAATAAGATTTTTATTTATTGCATTTTTTATTAATTGAATTGATATTTAACCAATTTATTCCCTTGAATAATAAATAGGAAGTTGTAGAAATGCCTTTACTCTAGCCTGAAAAGTTTATTGAATTGGGTATTGATCCTCCTAAAGGTGTTTTACTCTATGGTCCTCCTGGTACTGGTAAAACCTTAACTGCAAGAGCCGTTGCCAACAGAACAGATGCCTGCTTCATCCGTGTCATCGGTTCAGAACTTGTTTAAAGATATGTTGGTGAAGGTGCAAGAATGGTTAGAGAAATCTTCTAGTTAGCAAGAACCAAGAAAGCTTGTATCATTTTCTTCGATGAAATCGATGCTATGTAATTAAATTAAATATAAACACTTTCTAAGCATTCAAGCCAAATTTTCAAAATTTATAAATAAACTTTTGATTAACTCATTATAATATTTTTTTAAATAATTAATTAATTAATTAATTTAGTGGTGGTGCTAGACATGATGACGGTGCTGGTAGTGATAATGAAGTCTAACGTACTATGCTTGAAATCGTAAATTAATTGGATGGCTTTGAAAGCAGAGGTAACATTAAAGTTTTGATGGCTACAAATAGACCTGATACTTTAGATCCCGCTTTGTTAAGACCTGGTAGATTAGATAGAAAGGTTGAATTCGGTCTTCCAGACTTAGAAGGCAGAACTCACATTTTTAAAATTCATGCCAGACACATGAGTATGGAAAAAAATATTCGTTATGAATTATTAGCAAGATTATGCCCTAACACCACTGGTGCTGATCTTAGATCTGTCTGCACTGAAGCTGGTATGTTCGCCATTAGAGCAAGAAGAAAAGCCATCTCTGAAAAGGACCTTCTAGAAGCTATTGAAAAGGTTATAAAAGGATATTCTAAATTCTCTGCAACTGGCAAATATTTAGTTTATAATTGAACAAATCATATAAATTAATAATAAACTCTATATAAACTTCCTTTGCAAATCATTTATAAGTTATATTTTACTGATTTAATATCATAATAAATACACAGTAATTAAATCACTAAATATCTCCCACTCACTCATTCAATCTACTTAATTCTCTGTTATTTCCTCCATTTTTAAATTCATCAGTATTATCATAGTAATTAAATATAAATGCATAATTTTCATGTTTGTGTTTTTTACTTATTTACTAATAATATTGCTTTCTATATTTTAAATTAAATTGAATATAGTAAAAAACAGATAACAAGCTATAAATTAATTAATTATTTTGAAATATTTTACAAAATCTAAAATAAATAGCAACTTAATACTTAATTTTGATTAATTAAATATTAAATTTACTTCTTTTGTTGATTTATTCATTTTATTTTTAATTTATTTATTAAAATTAGTAAATATTATTTAAAAATAAAGATTTTTAAGATTTTAATTTCATATTTATATGAGATATTTCATACAATTTATTTAACCTGTAACAAATAATGTTTGTTTGGTTGTTTTTAAACAGAATATAAGAAAATTATAAAGATAAAGAACACCTGTTTACAAAAATTAGATTTAAATGTTATATGGATCTAAATGATACAGAAGAATAAGATGAACTATCAGAGTCTGATGATGATCAATAACTTTATGAAAATAAATAATAAATATAAAATATTAATTTATGATTTTATTAAATATTAATTCATTTCAAACAAATAAATTTATATACTGTATGTATTTTTATTAAGATTTAACAAATTATTATAATTATTTTTTCTTTTAAAGCCTAAAAATTGTTACTTACTTTTTTGGCCAAATGCAAAATTTATCCATATAAGACTAGAATTCCAAAACCGCTTTAAATGATCATCTTTAAGTAGAAATTCAGTAAATTAGAGTAATTATTGTATAATTAATTATAATTAATCAACAACTTTAATAATTTATAAAGTAAAAAGATTAAGAAATAATAAAAGATTTAAAATTAAAAGAATTATAAAATATAATAAAGATATTGAATAAAATAGATAATAAAAAACTATAAAAATTAAAGATAAATAAATTATAATACTTATACAAAAAAATAATAACTATAAAATGGGGAAACTGGTGGAAGAATACTCATCATCAGACTCAGAATTAGAATGGGAAGAAGATAAATGGAGCGATATCTCAGAAGAAAAAAGGGATATAGAAACTGAGAAAATATCACAAGATCTGTATAACCTTCTAACTCAGGACATGACAGGCAAAAGAATCTAATTGGAGGAAGACTATAAGATAACCAGGAAAGCCTAGGAAGAAAAACAAGAAGGTATGGTCACACAGCTATAAGAATCTCTATTAAGATTGGAAATAACTCTAAAGCCAGTGTATGAATTGAGCAATGAAGAAACTAAGATGAAACTGGATAGCTTCATTCTGTCTGCAAAAAGAATTTATGAAAAAGAAAAAGAAAATGAAATGTAAAAAAATTCAGAGAAAGAAAGAGAAAAATAAATTTTAAATTAAATGAAATAAGCAAAATAATAATAAAAGAAAACTCTAAAAAAAGAAGCAAATTAAATAAATATAATTTTATTTAAAATTATTGCATAAAATTATTTAGGAATCAGTAAATCAGTAGGAGTGAGATACTTTGGAAAAGCTGCACTTTAAAATCAAAAAGCTGAAGAACAAGAAGGTACAAAGAAACAATAAAATTGAAATAAATGATAATTATATATTTTAAAAAAATAAATAAAAATTTTGATGCAAAAATATATATTGCATATTTGTGGAAATAAATAAATACAATTAATTTTTTTGCTTTTTTTGAATTTTTTGCTTAGTCGCTATTAACCTGAATTACTCTAACTTTGGCAAGTTAGGGTTTTTCTTGTTTATCGGGATCAGACGGTATTCATAAGAATGAGGGAAAAGTAGCCTCACATTTTGCTAAGTCCACCAGTTGTTGATCAGAGTTTTTTTTATTTTGCACATTCTAAAGAACTAATCAGAAAAGCTGTCCCATGTAAGTTACTGTTTTGTACTTTTAAATGTGCTCTTGCTTCCACTCAACTTCATCCTCAGATATTGCTGGTAGATTTGAAATTTTGGGAAATAGTGGAGGTTTCTAACAGTCTTCATCAGATTTTAGGATTGTTTGGAGTAATTTGAGAGCAGATTATGGTCAATTTCGGTGGTGAAAGACTTAAGTATTCTGAGTTATCTTGCTCTTTGACTTAAGGCTAACCAGATTTTGTGGAATAAAGGAAATTTTTTATTTACTTTTTTATTTGCTCTTACAACCTATTCTCTAGATTGTAGCCATATAACATAACACGAGGCTCAAGTCTTTTCTAGGTATTTGATAGTTTGTAAGAGATATCTAATTGATTAGTAATTTGTATGTTAGCTAGAAGTATAGAATTTTCAGATTCATTTTAGCAGGGAATTGTTTCGATGGTGAAGTTGAACCTGAAAGATGTAAAGATGTAGTCTAAAATAAATGGAGGCTATGTATTTCTCTAGAAGGTTGAAGCATATTAGAGGTTTAAGTAGTAAAGATGAGGGAATGGGTTAGAATAATTATTCAATTAACCACAAATAATGAAATTTTCAATATGGAGAGAGGCCATCAGGTGAATATTCCATATACTAAATTATTTTTTTAAATATTTGTTTCTTTAGATTTTACAAGGAATATCAACATTAAATATTGTAAATTTAAATATTTAATAAAAAATTTCTACTAGTTGTAGTTCACACTGCTATTCTAGGATTTATTCTGGTATTAGCTAATCAACAACTCTGTAGTTGAGTTTCGAATCAATCCGAATGCAGATTCTTCCACCTTAATTCTCATCAGATCTGTTTTTTAAAACAAAGTTGAAAGTAGGTGAATTTCTGAACTGTTATTGTCTTATTTCCTACAGACATACTACATTTGGCTGCAGCTTTCTAATCTCCATCAATTTTTTTTCTTTTTTGATTGAGATAACATTCCAGATTATTATCCTTACAGATTGATGCTATTGTTTTTCGATATTAAGGTGTTCTGGGTGTGCTTAAAGGTAGGAAAAATTTAGAAATAAATTCTTAATCACTACAGAAATTAATTTCCCAAATCAGTATTTTGGCTATTCCACTTCACAAAAATTAACTAAATTTAAAAATTTAGGTGTAAAAAAATTATTTATTTTTATTATATTATTTATTTTTTAAATTAAATAAATAAAATTATTAATTAAAATATTATAATAAAATATAAAAATCAGATTTTTTTTTAATAAAAAACTAAAAAATCTATTTCATAAAAAGTGGCATGCATACCAACCACTATATTTTTATATTTTTCTATGGCATCTTGATATCAATTTAATTCCTTTATTCGTTTAGAAATATATTTATGAATTTATCAAAATACGAATTTATAAATATAAAAATAATACAAAATCATCTATCTATCTATATTTTAGGTTAATTTTCTAATTTCAACATATTGTAAAATAAAACATATTTTATTAAAATATTCAAATAATATTTATTCTTCGTATTTCACAAATTTGCTATTAAGGTTACTAACCTTTTTGATTTATGGCACTTTGCTCTAAATTATTATCTTTAATTGAATATTTAGTTTAACCTTTTAATATAAATAAGTGTAAATTACTAAAAAATAAATAGAATAAAATTTGAAATAAAATATTACATTTTAAATCAAAAAATAAAAAAAAAGTTAGCACAATAAAAATAAAAAGAAAGATAAAAATTAAAAGAGTTAGTTATATTGTTTTAAATTAATTTTTATATTCAAAAATAGTGCAATCAAAATAAAATGTTTTTACCTAATATCAACTGTCAATTTTTAGAGATTAGTGCACTTTCCTAAACCAATACTTAAGCCTGATGCTCCTTCATTACCAATATAATTATCACTTTTTATATATTTATGAAAAAATATATAGCAAATTAGTTAGCTAGAAGGAAATAATGAAGAAATAATATGAAATAATAAGAAATTTATTAATTAAAAGTAATAGTTGAAAAAGAAAAAATGAGTTAGATTAACAATCAAATAAATTAATAAATAAATAAAGAATATATAAGCGGAATAAAAAAAAGTAATATATCCAATAAAAAGCTCATAGATAAATTAAAAGACTTTGTTAATTATATTATTTTTAATTTATTCAAATAAATCGCAATCAAAAATAAATAAACTGTTTTTACATTATATTAAGTGTCAAATTTGAGAGATTAGTGCACTTTCCTAAACCTGAACCTAAGTCTGATGCACCAATTGCACCAATATTATTTCCCCTTTTTAAATATTGAAGAAAATTTATTTAGTTAATTAGTTATTTGGTAGGAATAAATGAAGAAAAAATATAAGATGATATAAAATGAATAATTCACTATGAATAAATGTAAAAGTTGAAATTAAAATAAGAATTAAATTTGCAAATAAAAATATATAAGAAGAATAAAATAAAATATCCAATAAAAATTTAATAAATAAATTAAAAGAGTAAGATAATTAATTTTTATATTCAAAAATATCAAAACAAAAAGAAAATAACCTGTTTTTACCTTATATTCAGTGTCAAATTTGACATATTAGTGCACTTTCCTAAACCAGAACCTAAGCCTGATGTACCTTCATCACCAATTTAATTATACCTTTTTAAATATTGAAGAAAAATATATAGTTAATGATTTAATTAGTAGGAAAAAATGAAGAACAAATATTACATAATAAAAAGTAATTATTTAATTAATCAACTATTAATAAAAGCAAAAGTTTAAAATGAAAAAATGAGTTAAATTAACAAAGAAATAAATAAATAAAAAACACAAGCAGAATATTAAAAAAGTAAAAATAAATAAAATAAAAGCTAATAAATATATTAAATGAATTATTAATAATATTGTTTTAAATTCATTTTATATTCAAAATTATCACAACCTAAAGCAAATAAACTCTTTTTACCTAAGTATAAGTGTCAGATTTGAGAGGTTAATGCAGTTTCTTAAACCAGAACCTAAGCCTGATGCACTAATTGCACCAATTTTATTATAACTTTTTAAATATTGAAGAAGAAATATATAATTAATTAGTTAGTTAGTTTGAAGGAAAAAATTAAGAAAAAATAGGAGAAAATAAAAAATTAATTAATAAATAAATAATAAATGCAAAAGCTCAAAATAAAAAAAATGAATGAATTAAATTAAGAAACAAAGAGATAAATATATAGCACAAGCAGAATATAAAAAAAAGACAAATAAATTGAATAAAAAGAAATTAAATATATAAATATAAATTAAAATATTTTATTTTATTTTTTTTAAATTCATTTTAAAATTTAATACATAATCCAAAACAAATAAGCTGTTTTTACCTTAAATCAAGTGTCAAATTTAGGAGATTATTGCACTTTCCTAAACCAGAACCTAAACCTGAAGCTCCTTTATCAAAAATATTATTTTCACTTTTTAAATATTGATGAAAATTAATAGTTAATTAGTTAGTTTATAGGATAAAATAAATTAAGAAAAAATATGAATAAATTAAAATCAAAAGTTGAAAATGAAAGAATTAGTTAAATAAATGAATAAATATGAGCAATAAAAAAATATAAATTAATTTCCAATCTAAATCTAATAAATTAATTAATTAAAATAGTTAGTTTTATTCTTTTAAATTAATTTTTATATTCTAAAATATCATAATCAATAACAAATAAACTGTTTTTACCTTATATCAAGTATAAAATTTGAGAGATTAGTGCACTTTTCTAAACCAGATACTAAACCTGATACATCTTCATCACCAATTTAATTTTTACTTTTTGAAATATTGAAGAAAAAAATATATTATTAATTAGTTAGTTAGTTAGTTATATTATTAAAAATATATGAATTAATTAATAATAAAAGTAAAAGTTAAAAATTTAAAAATATGTTAAATTAACAAACAAATAAATAAATAAAAAAAAGAGCACAAAATTTTAAAAAATAAAAATAAATCAAATAAAAAGCAAAAATAAATAAATAAATTAATTAATTAATTAATTAAAAGAGTTAGAAAAATTCTTTTAAAATAATTTTTATATTAAAATATTTCACAATCTATAACAAATAAACATTTTTTACCATAGAGAGAGCTACAAATTTGAGAGATTAGTGCAGTTTCCTAAACAAGAACCTAATCCTGATGCCCCAATTGCACCAATTTTATTAGAGCTTTTTAATTATTGAAAAAAAATATATGATTAGTAAGAGGGAAAAAATGAAGAAAAAATATTAAATAATTAGAAATTAATTTATTAATTTTTATGAAACATAAAAGTTAAAAATGAAAAAATTATTTAAATTAATAAGCAAATAAAAAAAAAAACATAAGGAAAATAAAATAAAAAATCAATTAAAAAGTAATTAAATTAATTAAATGAATTAGTTATATTGTTTTAAATTCATTTTTATATTCAAAAATATCATAATAGAAAACAAATAAAGATTTTTACCTTACAGCAAGTGTCAAATTTGAGAGATTAGTGCACTTTCCTAAACCAGAACCTAATCCTGATGCCCCTATTGCACCAATTTTATTAGAGCTTTTTAAATATTGAAAAAAAATAGAAAGTTACTTAGTTAGTAAGAAAGAAAAATGAAGATTAAATATTAGAAATTGATTAATTAATTAAATACTAATAAAAGCAAAAGTTTAAAATTAAAAAATGAGTTAAATTTACAAACAAACAAATAAATAAATAACACAAACAAAATAAAAAATAAAGAAATCAAATAAAAGCTAATGAATAAATTAAAAGAATCAGTTATATAGTTTTAAATTGATATTTTTTTAAAATATCACAGTCTAGAATAAAATAATTCTATTTACCCAATTTCAAGTGTCAGATTTTTGAGATTAGAGCACTTTCCTAAACCAAAACCTAAGCCTGATGCTCCTTCGTCACCAATTTAATTACCACTTTTTAAATATTGAAGAATAGTTATATAGTGAATTAGTTAACCAGAAGGAAAAAATATGAAATAATAAGAAATAAATAAATTAATTATAAAAGTAAAAGTTGAAAATTAAAAAATGAGTTAAATTAAAAAATAGATTAAAAAAATAAGCAGAATAAAAAACGAATAAATAAATTAAATGAGTTAGTTAATTATTTTGTTTTATATTCATTTTTATATTCAAAATTATAATAATATAAAACAAATAAACTATTTTTACGTTATATCAAGTGTCAGATTTGAGAGATTAGTGCAATTTCCTAAAGCAGAACCTAAGCCTGATGCACCAATTGCACCAATTTTATTCAACCTTTTTAAATATTGAAAAAAAATAATTAATTAAATAATTAGTTAGTTAGTTAGAAGGAAAAAATGAAGAAAACTATTAAATAATAAGAAATAAAACTTATTAATTATTAATAAAAGCAAAAATTCAAAATAAAAAATGAGTTAAATTAACAAACAAATAAACCAAAAAACAAAACAAAAAAATAAATTAAAAACCCTAGCAGAATTATAAAAAAAAAGAAAAATAAATAAAAAAAAACTAATAAATAAATTAAAAGAGTTTTTTATCTTAATTTAAATTCAATTTTAAATTCAAAAATATTATCATCCTAACACTGTTTTTACCTTATATTAAGAGTCAAATTTGAGAGATTAGTGCACTTTTCTAAACCAGAACCTAAGCCTGATGCACCAATTGCACTAATTTAGTTAGAGCTTTTAAAATATTTAAGAATAAAATATAAAGAGATTTAATTGGTTTTTTAGTAGGAAAAAATGAAGAAAACAAATTAAATAATAAGAAACTAATTGATAAATAATAAAATTAAAATTTGAAAATAAAAATGAAAAATGAGTAAAATTAACAAACAAACAAAAAACAAATAAATAAATATTTAAAATAAAAATAATCAAAATAAAAAAAAAGAAATAAACTAAATAAAGATTGTTAAAGGATATATTAAAAGAGTTAGTTATATTGCTTTCAATTTAAAAATATAACAATCCTAAACAAATAAACTTTTTTACCAAAGAGAAACGGTTAAAATTGAGAGATTAGTGCACTTTCCTAAACCAGAACCTAAGCCTGAGGCTCCTACATCAGTAATTTAATTTTTACTTTTTAAATATCAAAGAAAAAATAATATACTTAATTAGTTAGAAGGAAAAAATGAAGAAATAATATGAAATGAATTTAATTTATCATAAAAATAAAAGTTAAAATAAAAAAATGAGTTAAAAAAATAAAAATCTAATAAATAAATTAAAAGAGTTAGCTAATTATATTGTATAAATTCATTTTTATATTCAAAAAGATATTAGAATCCAAGACAAATAAACTGTTATTACATGAGGTCAAGTGTCAAATTTGAAAGGCTAGAGCACTTTTCTAAGGAACCTAAGCCTGAGGCTCCTTCATTGCCAATTTAATTATTTCTTTTTAAATTTTTAAGAAGAAATATATAATTAATAATTGGCTAGAAGGAAAAAATATAAGATAATAAGAAGTTAATTAATTACTAATAAAAGCAAAAGTTGAATTGAAAAAACAAGTTTAATTAACAAGCAATTAAACGAAAAAATAAATAAAAAAAATGAAAGTAGTTAGAATAAAAAAATCAAATAAGGAGCTAATAAATTTATTAAAACAGTTAATTTGTTTGTTTTAAATTCCTTTTTATTTTCAAAAATATTATAAAATAAATAAACTGTTTGTTTTTACTTTATATCAAGTGTTAAATTTTAGAGATTAGTGCAATTTTATAAACCTGAACTTAAGCCCAATGCACCAATTGCACCAATTTTATTAGACCTTATTAAATATTGAAGATAAAATATAAAGTTAATTAGTTAGAAGGAAATAATGAAGAAAATATATGAAATAATAAGAAATTAATTAATTAATAATAATAGTAAAAATTCAAAATAATAAAATAAGCTAAATAAAGAAAGAAAGAAACAAATTAATAAATAAATAAAAAACTTAAGCAGAAATAAATCAAATAAAAATCTAATAAATAAAATTAAAAGAGTTAGTTATATTGTTTTAATTTCATTTTTATATTCAAAAATATCAGAATCCAACATAAATAAACTGTTTTTACCTAAGGTGAAGTGCCAAATTTGAGAGATTAGTGCACTTTTCTAAACCAGAACCTAAGCTTGATGAACCTTAATCACCGATTTAATTTTTACTAAAATATAGTTAATTAGTTAGAAGGATAGAATGAAGAAAAAATATAAAATAAAAAAAAATAATTAATTATCATAGTATAAATTGAATAAGAAGTATTAAAAAATATTTATTTTAATAAAAATGAATGAATATAGATCTGATAAAAACTAAATATTAAAAAAACTAATAAAAATATTAAAAAATCAATATACCAATCAGTCAGATTAATATCGAGAACCTAAAACGATTAAAGTGAAGAATTTAAAAACTTATTTTATTAATAAAAATAATTTAAATAATATTAATACAAAAAAAAGTATTTACTTGTTTTAGATTCTTATAATATGTTTTCTCTTATATCATTTTTTTTTTTCAAAAATATTATTTAGCAATTTATGGAAATTAATTAATGTACTTTTATATCAAAATTAATTAGATAAAAAGATGAAATAAGTTTTAATACTTCTCAAATATAAATTAAATATAAATTTGTTTTTAGGAAGAGAAATTACAAAAAATTAAATGTAATAATAATTAATTATCAAATATTAATAGATTTTTAAAAAAATTACTATTATTAAATTACCAAGAATCCAAGATAATTAATTAGTCAATTAATTGCTTATAATTAATTAATTAACTTAAATTTTTATAAAATAATTTTAACTTATTATATTTTTCTAAAATAGTCCATCGAGTAAGGAGGGAATATTCATAGAGTTAAATACCTTTTTAATTTTGTTTGGATAGGATTTTCTCACTAATAAAAACTACTATAGAGACCACTTTATCTTTAAATCCCTTGTTCCATTTTAATTTAATTTTTATTTTAATAAAACATTTTTTAAATAGAGAGTCAAATCAGTGTGCTCTTAAAAAGTTTATGATTATCAGTAAATAATTAAAATATAGAATTCCTGCTTTTAAAGCAAGATTAGCTTATTTGAATGAAATTTCACTGATTTACTAATAAATTAATTATTAATGTTTCATAAAAATTAAATAAAAACCAGTTTAATTACTAGTTTATTGATTGGTATTAATAAAAATATTGCTAAATAAATTTCTTATATTTAGTTTTGTTTAAATTAAATCAAGTATTATCATATTTTTATTTTTAAAGAATCATAGTTTTTAGACTTCATCTTAGACAAGGCATAAAGAATTATTTCATAATTTTTCCATAAATTTGCTTAAAAATTAACTTTTAACTGATGATAAAATCCGACTCTACAAACATTTTGCGCTCTAAAGTCATTGATTTTTTAAATTCTCCTAACTATCAATAAAAGAAAAGTACTTTCAACATCAATGAGAAATTGACTGATTAATAAAAAATGAAAATACTTAAAAAAATTACTAGTGAAAGTGATAGATTTCAATTTGAGTTAACTTATAGCTTAAAAAATTATCAAAAGGCCACCTTTTAGCCACCTGTTAACTCTGAGTACTACGAATCTGTTAGAAAAGTAGAAGAAAAAAGTAAATATTCAAAGGAATAATAAAAAGAGTCGACTCCTATAGAGTTTAGCTCCTCTCAACATAAAAATGAAGGTAATGAGCAGCAACAAAAGCAAATATTTTTGCAAGACAAATTTAATTTCGTCAACTCTAAAAAAAATATGAGTCCTCGTCATCAATGCCTTCCAACTACGTTTAATGAAAGTGACTTTTAAATATAAAATTAAGTAAACCCATTAGACAAGTATTCTATAAGTTATTAGTAAAATCAAAATGATAAAAAATAAACTGAAGAGAGTGATTAAATTTTTGATGTAATCAAGGAGGTAGAAGAAAGTGGAAGTCAAAAAGAAAATTCATAGAAAAGTTTAAAATCAAAATTAAATACTTCATAAAAAATAGAAAATAATTTCTTTCCACTTTCGCTGACTAAAGAATATAAAAATCTTTATAAGTAGAATTCTGTAAAATAAGAAAGCCCTTTGAATGCAGATTAAAACTGCTTAAATTCGACTAAGAATCAAAAACTATAAAAAAGTTAGGCACTCTTTAATACCATAAAATATCAGTAAATAATTAGTGACCCTTTGATAGATCCATTGACAGATGATATTGATGAATTGTCTGCTCTTCGTAAGAGGAGTAACCACAACATACTTACCACTAAGATTTCTCTTGCTACTCCTCCTTCTTAAATACATACTTTAGTCAAAAAGAATAATACTTACTTTTTCGATAAGTCAAATAAATACAAAAAAGAGTTCTTTGTTCCTCCTGTAAAAAATTAGTATCTTAGAGATATTCAATTTAAAGAGGCTGAAAGCGAATCTCTTCATTTAAAAAACCAATTTTATGACTAAAATTAGGCAATTATAGAGGAGTAAAAGGAAAACGAAAATCAAAGTAAAGTGGCTGAAAAAGACGAGTTTTGCAATAAATATTTCAGCAAGTCGAGTTACCATTAATAGAGCTATACTTTATCCACACAAAGTAATAGGACGCTTGACTAGAGTTCGTTGGATAAATTTGGTAATTACACAATACAATCTGCTTTAAAAAGCCAATAAAAAATCAATAAGAGTAAACAAAGCGAGAAAAGCGTGAACTAAAATTCTCTCAATTAATCTTTATTTCAAAACTCATAGGCACTAAATATTTAATAAGATTTTAATGGGCTCAACAAAACATAAGAAGCCTCAATACAATCTGAAGAGTTAGAGAGTAGCTAAATTAATACAAAAAGCTAAACTTCTCTTAATCCTATTTAAAATAGTAAAATAATTCCCAACTTCCTTCCTCAGAATCCATAAATAGAAACGAGAGTTAACTCATAAATTAACAATAATAAACTTAATTTTGGAGAAAAATAAAAGCAAAATATACGCATCAATATAAAAGATACAGACAAATCTAAAACAAAGTTATTCAGTGAAAACAGTGATGAAATTGTTAATTCAAAGGAAAGCATTACACTGAAAGATCTTGGTGACTTTTAGCAGTCTGCTTCAAAAAGCAATAAATTGGCTTATGATAGATTTATATTTAACATTGGAGAGTATGAAAAGAACATTCAGAGCCTGTTGCTTGTGTCGCTTAACGAAAGTCCTTAATTTAGCAGAAAAAAAACTTCACTTCCAAAAATAAAGATTGTAAGCAAAAGTGGTCGAAATGCTTATGAAAACCCTGCTCCTGGCTACTACAATTTAGCAGATATCAACCACAAGAATAAAAGGGGACATACTTTTTCCAAAGCAAAGAAGGTTTCTTCAATCCAATTATTGTCTTAGTATTATGAAAAGTACACTCCTCTGAATAACCTAAAGCAGTAACCTCCTCATGAAGAAACAGCCGAATAGTATTTTAGTAAATTGATGAATGAAGTTAAGAGATAAGTAGATCGAGAAAGGCGTCAAATAGGATAAGTTTTACTAAAAGCTGACTCAATTTAAGAGCTTAACTCTATAGAATAAAATGTCATAGATCGCTATTAGACAGAACTCATTCAAAAGATGATTTAGTGCAAGAGATATATCAACAGCATAAAATAACATTTAAGAAAGGATGATCCACCATTTTTAAAAAAATTCTGAATTTATTAGATTCGTTTAATTTTATTAGTCATTTTGGTTAAAAAAATACCTTGCAAATATTCAAACAAAAAATATTGCATGTATATATAAAGAATAGATAAAATGTTTAAATTAAATAATTGCTGATCATGATTCCTGATAAAGTCATCAAAATCATCTATCTGATTATGAATTTTTAACAGATTATTTTTGGAATTTGAGACTTTGATAATAAAAACTCTTTTCCCTTTTAAATTTTGACAAAGACCATAATTAATTTTCAAAATCCAATAAAATAAATAATCACTATTGATTATTGATTATAATAAATAAATGTTAAACTAGATTTCCTATATAAAATAAATAAATAAATAAATATTTATTCTCTTTTACTTTTTATTTTTACAAATTGAATTTATTAAAAAATTATTTTTAAATAAAACTTCATTAAAGTTAACTTTCATTTGTTAATAATTTAATTAATTCATTTTAAGTTGCAAATAAAAATTTATTTTTGAATTTGTTAATTGGTAAAAAAATATTTCTATGATCAACTGCATAAAATAACATTACATTGAAGAAAATATGATCCATCATTTTTTAAAAATTCATGATTCACATAATTTAATAATTTATTATATTTATGTTTTGGGTTAAAAAATATAGCTATTCATTCTCTGATAATTAATTCTTGAGTTATAAATCTACATTTATTTAGTAGAATAATAAATATTATTTAATAAAATATAAAAAAAGATTTTGAAGCAGATTTCTAACCTGATAGTAGAAAAAATAAGTAAAAAATGTTTAATCAAAGAATAAATTAATTTTTTGATGAAGAAATTTAAATAAATTTTTTTATCAAACATTTAATCTTGAATTAATTTTTTTTTTTACATAAAAAATGCTTATCTCTAAAAATTAAATGCTTGATTAAAAATTTAGATTTATTTATTCATTAAAAAACAAATTAAATTTTTGATTATAAATTTTTTGTTTGTTTGTTCAGGTTTGAAATCTATTTCGATAGATAGATAGATAGATAGATAGATAGATAGATAGATAGATAGATAGATAGATAGATATATACCTTTTTTTATTATTTTAAATTTTTTAAATATTATTTATTATTCTACTTAATATTTATCTCCTACCAAAGAAATAATTATCAGAGAATAGCAAGCAACACCTTGCAACTTATCAAATAAAAAATATTACATATATTATATGTACAAAATAAAAAATTTTATTTAAATGATTGATGATCAGGGTTCCTGATATAATCATCATATCCATCTAATTAAGAGTTTTTAACGACATTCTTATTGGTTTTTAATATTTTGAATATAGAAATCATCCAAATTTAATTTACTTAATTTGTTTTCCCTTTCAAAAGAGCAATTTTAAAAATCCGATAATAAATAAATAACCGATGTTAATGATTGATTGTATTAATTAAATGTTGTTTTAGAACTATTTTTGAAAATAAATAAATATTTATTTTTATAGCTTCTTTTTATAAATTAAATTAATTATAGGTATATTTTTGAATTAAAACTAATCTAAGTTAAAAAATAAACAATTTATTTTTATCAATAACAGATCATAGTTATTGGTGTCATAAATATTTTTATGAATTAAGGGAGTAAAAAAATTACTTTTTTTGTTAAAAAAGATATACTAATTCAAGCATTTGCTAAATTTTGAATAATATATAAAAAATATTAGGTTAATTTTAAATTGTATTTATTATGTTTGGTTTTTGTAATTAAAATAAAAAAATACAGATAGGAATTACAAATTTCATTCAACATGTTATTTATATTTTACTTAAATAGCTAACGCTATTAATGGTGGCAATTAAATATATAACAAAAATAAAATATGAGATAAATTTGCAAATTATTTATTAATTATAGGAAAGGAATAACCAGAAATAAGAAACACAGATCTAAACAGTAAGGCAAAAATTACATACGATCTTTAGTATTTAATATTTGCTAGAAACACAGAACTTCCAGCCACAGTCACCAATTCCATAAATCTATCAAAAGGTAAAGGTTAGATTAAAGGGTAGAGGAAGGGTATGATGTAAAGCACATAAAGATATCGTATATTAAATCTATTATAGTTTAGATTTTATAGAAGATCTTCTAAAGTAAAGTACAGCTTAAAGCTGGTTATTTCGAAGTAAATATGATATTAAAACAGATGTTATTTATTCCTATCTTTCAGCTTAGAATAAAAGTAGATCATATTAGCTATCATAAATGCAATGTAAATTTAATTAGCTAGGTTATTGTTTTTATCTTTTATAACTTTTTTGGAAATTATAAAAACAAAAAGGGTCAGTCCTTAAATAAATGGAAAGAGAAGGTCCTATTCCCTAGATCTCTCTGAAAATTCCATCAATAATATAGCAAGCATTTCAGTGATGCACTTTAGACTCAAATAATTTTTTATGAATAAAGGAATATTTTTGCCAATTCTAAATCTAAAATCCTCATCAATTTACAGTAACATTTATTTTTTTATGTATGTATGTATCTATACTATTTTTGTGGATTTTATGATTTAAATTTTTTTAGCATTAATTTATTCAAAAAAAAAAATGACTTTAAGATCACAAATCATTTTTTTGATAAGAAAAATAGTAAAAAGAAAAGATTACATAATAAATAAATAAATTTTAGCTATTTTAAAATTTTGCATTTAAATATTATTTAAAAATTAAAATAAAACAAGCTTGAGCAGTTACAGGGCTTGTGGTTTTTGGTGTATTCATTAAATTTAATTAAAGCAAGTGTAATATTAATAAAAAAAATAATTTACCTTACTATCATTAATATAGACAATTTAAATTGAAGAAGTATTTAAAATTTAAAAATGAAAATATCTTTTAGTAGTATTTAAACTTATTTATTAAAATAAATTGTAAAAAACCTCTAAAAAGTAATTTCAATAAATATATCACTTACTTATTAATTATATTTTTTAGAATTCTCTATTTAATTATTTTTTTAAATTATTGTTTAAATAGATTTAAAACCTATCTTTTGTTTTGAAAAAGAATTTTAAATTATATATAGAATATGAAAAGTAAATGAGATAATCAGTTATAAATTAAGAATAATAAATTAAATATTTTGATGATTTTAGAATATAAATAAATTAAATAAGATAAGATTCTAATCGTAAATAGGTTTAAAAAAATAATAAATTAGCATTAAATTTACTAATAATTTTACTTAATTCTATTAAAATATTTGAAAATAAACAAATAGAACAAAAACAAAATAAGCAAAATCATATATTTTAATAATAAATAATATATCACTCAAATAAAATTAAAAATTTTGAAAAATTATGCAGGAAAAAATAATAAATAAATGTAAGTAATACATATCTATTTGTATTTTCAGAGTATCTAATAAACTAAATATGATAAAAAATATTTTAATAGCTTATTTATTATTTTTCATTTCAAAAATAAATAAAATGTTTTGTTTGTTTTATTTACACAATTTATGCCTTTTTTTTGTTTTTTTACATTTTTTATTTATTCACTTTTTAAATTTTCTTTCTTTTGATTTCATTAATAAGAAATAAAGGAAAGTTTCTTATTATGAATGGAAGAAACTGTAATAATTATCTATTTACTTAACATTTAGTTAATACTGCTTTTTTGATATTCAAATATTTATTAATGTGTAAGATATTATTTTTGATTTAATTCAAAAATTTATTGAATATTTATTTAAATATAAAATCAGATATGAAATTTAAGAAAAACTTACTTATTTTTGATATAAAATTTAATTATTTTAGTTTCTAAATAAATAAATATCTTTATTTTTTATTTTGATTTTTATCATTTTATTTAAATTCTAATTAATCATTAATTAGTCTTACTTCTTATTTAAGAATATATCTAAGCTAATTTTTTAATCAAGGATAAATATAAAATTATTTAGTTAATACACTCTTGTTTTGATAATTAATATCTAAATACAAAATTTTTTGTAATAAAAATTTTTTAATTAAAAGTAACCTTTTCAGGTATCAAATATTGTATAAAAAATAAGAATACTTACGAGATTTTATATGCGCAGTCATTATCTTTAGTATTTTCTCATATTATTACTCAATTTGCTTTTACTCCAAAATTGTCTATTATCCCTCCCTCTCTATCTTACTTTTAATGCAATAGTGGAAATTTTAGCTTTCAGAAAATCCAAACAAAAAATTGTTATAAATTTTATGAAAATCTAAACAAAATTTACTTTAAACTTAGTTACAATATAATTTTTTATTTAATTAGCTTACATTTAAAAATCATTGAAATAAAAATAAGGTGGATATGGTTGGATACAAATTTTTTTGCGATAAATTAAAAAATATTCCTTTTATTAAAAATAACTCAGTGCTAGTCCTAAAGTAGGGGGATCACCAAAAACAAACTTTAGATTATTTGATAGTATGAAGTGTTTGTTTAATTCAATATGATCTTAATATATCCATAAACTGCTCTTATGCAAATAAACAAACAAAAATATATCCTCCACACACAAATTAATATGAAGGGAGATATACAATTAAATTAGATAGGTATAGGTAGGTAGTTCTATTAAATTTATCAATCTAATAATCTTTTTTTTGAAGCATTATAATAAAGAAAGTTAATTAATTACAAAAGTAAGTAGGTCAAATAGAGTTAGAAAACATTGCAAATAATTTAAAAATTATATAAAAAGAGAGATTTAGAAAGATGGATACCTTTGAAGGAACTACCTTTAGATAAAAGCTAATTTATTTATCAATAATGTTGATTTTTGCATGTTAGAATCCCATAGCTAATGAAGTTCCTTTTCTCTTTTACAGATCAGATTTGGAGTGTTAGATAGATGGAGAGTGGAGGGCTTGCAAAGAATAAGAGATTTGCGAAAATGGATACGAGCATAAATTTGTTAACACGAATGGTATCACCAGTATTTCTATGACTTAGGACTTTGTCTGCACAAGAAAACTAATTGAAGCTACAATCATTTTCTTGGGTCCTATTGCATAAATGTTTGCCAACTTTTTAACTATTCTTTACGAAATACCAAAGAGCAAAAAGTTTGGCATCATTTATAAGGTGTTGCTTTTAGAAGGTATTTCATTGATGTGTATAGGAATTTTCTAGCAGAGCTTGATAATGGTTGTCTTAATATGGATTATTTGGAATTTTGTTTGGTCGTATTACTTTGCTCAAGTAATGTATTATATTGAAGATATTTTACCCAAAAAAATCTACTTAAAAACGCCTGAATTTATGAATATAGTCTGGCCCATAGGAGGTCTTATTTTCGTTTCTATAGCCTTCTTTAATGGCAGTTACGTGTTTCATTGCGTGTATATGATTGGTATGCCCATAGTTATCACAACAATAGCATTTTATTTCTTGACTGTCACAAGTAACAATCAGCCAAATCCAGATTTGAAAATTAGTTCTCAGCCAATAAAGTAATAACTCATATAAAAAAATATATCTGCACACGAATAGCTTTAGCTTAAGGATGGGCAGATTTCAAAAGCTCAGCAGGCATAAGAGCAATTGCAAGCTGAAATAAAGTAAAAGAGCTTCATTCATGATTTAGTGGAAAAATTCAAAGAATTATTACATAACAAAGTACTGCTTAAAAACCTCTTCATTTATATGGGATGTTGGGTTATCTAAATGATGGGTAACAGTGCAACTTTTATTGCCTTCAATTCAGTAGGTGGGGTAATGAAGGTGAATGTGTTTATCTCTGTTCTTTTCGAGCTCTCAGGCACTTTTTTACAAATCTTCTTAATGAAAAAATACGATGCTTTCAAGATTTTATACTATAATTTCTTAATAACTGGTTTGATTTAGACTTCCACTATATTCAATAATTCAGGATTTGTTTAAATGCTTGTTATTGGTTGCTCCAAAATCTCAAATAAAGTTACCTTTGCTGGCATTCTTATGGCATTAAATTATCTTCTTCCTTAGAAATTTATTCAGCTTGCATTTTCATTAACAAATATCGTGTCAATTTTAGCCAACAGCAGTCTCCCCTTCTATAAATACTACATGGATTTAATTGAAATAAATTTCTTTTTCGGATTAGGAATTTTGAGTCTTATCTCTGTCTTGTTAATTAAGTCTTCCTAAATTGTTGTGAGTGATCCTAAAGCAGAATAAAATCCTTAAGACCATGAAATAAATAAAAAATTATCTGAAAGTCCCTCGAGGAAGATAAGTGCAGTAAGTGCATCAAGTAATATCTTATTAGTAGATAAGAATGTGATATAGTGAATTTTTAATCAATTTATTAATTAATCAATAAGTTTAAATAGCCATAAAATCTTAAACTCTATAAATATTGCTTAATGTTTTATTTTTATTTTAAGCTTCTTGTAAAAATGTATTTGAATCAATTAATACTTTAAGATTACCCAGTAAAATTATTTTTTTTTTGCTAATTTGTTTTATTTCTAAAAAACAGAAAATATTTTGTCTATTTTTTTGATTAAATCATGCTGTTAACCATTATATGTTGTCCAAAAAAGTTAAAAAATCATATATTGTATAAAATATGCTATGATGTTAATTTTAATTTTTGTTGAGTTTTAAATACATGTTAATAAAATAAAAATTATAATTTTAATATAAAATGAAGCTTTTTTTGTAAAAGGTAATGAAATTGTGATTAAAGGAATGAAAAATTTTGTTATGGTAAATAAAATTAGTTAAAAAAATCTATTGATATAGAATAAGAAGAATTAAAAGAATTATATTAATAAGATAATTTTATCTATTAATTGTAAGAATTAGACCCAAAAAGAAGATTAAAAGTAATAAAATTTAAAAAATTGATAATTTTTCTAGAATATTTAGAGAACATTTTTTTATATAAAATAAGATAAGATTTTAAAATTTATAATACCACATTAAAAAAAAATTATATAAATTCTTGATATGAAATAAGCTTTTAAAAACCAAATTCAGCATTAACGACTTTTAAATTGATTAATTTACTCTAAATATTATTGAATAAAAAAATCAAATTTGTATTATCTGAATGAATAAATGATAATTTAAAAAACAATTATTTTATAATAAGATAAATTAAAAATTTGAGAAAAAAAAAACAAAAATAAACATTATAAACAAAAAAGCTAAAATAAAAAGTTATACTTGATTTCTCCCTGAGGTTTTATTTAAATCATGGCATTTAATTATTCAAGATAAATAAAAAAAGGATAAAAATATGAATGATGCATAATATTTAAGATTAAAATATAACTGGCATATAAAGTTTGGTATTTATATAATTTAATAAGATGTAATATAACACTTAAAGTTTCAAATTGTTTGATCGTTTTTGGAGAAACGAGAGTTAGCTTAAGAGCATTTCATTTTTTATTTTTATAAATAATTTATTTACTTACAAAAATATGAATGATATTTATAAATATAAAATCAATAATAAAATCTATTTATATTTATATTTTAGGTTTAAATTTTTTTCAAAATATTATATAATAAAATATATAATATTATTCAAACATTTTATATTTATTCATCCTTTCTTCAACAGTTGTTTATCATTAGAAATAAATTTTAAAGACAACTAATTTTTTTGATTTACGACACTTGCTTATTTCTTTGAATATTTATGATTTATTCATTGAGTTTTAACTTTTATAATAAATTTGTGTAAATTATTAATAAATATCAAAATAGAATAAACTTTTAAATTAAAAATTATTCTTTAAATTAATAAATAAAATAATATTAGTTGAATAAAAAAGATAAAAAAATAAAATAAATAAAAGCTATCAAATAAATTCAAAGAGCTTTTTTTTTTTATTTTCATTTTTTTTGTTTAAAATATCACAATCCAAAACAAATAAACTGTTTTTACTAAAGGTAAAGTGTCAAATTTGAGAGATTAATGCAATTTGCTAAAGCAGAACCTAAGCCTGATGCACCTTCTTCACTAATTTAATTTCTACTTTTTAAATATTGAAGAAAAAATATATCATTAAATAGTTAATTAGAAGGAAAAAATGAAGAAATAATAAAATTAATTAATTAATAATAATGGCAAAATTTGAAAATAAAATGATGAGCTAAATTAACAAAGAAAGAAAAAAATTACAAAAAAAGCAAGCACAATAAAAAGAAAAAGAAAAAAGAGCTTTGTTGTTTTATATTAGTTTTTATAATTAAAAATATCACAATCCTAAACAAATAAACTGTTTTTACCGAAGGTCAAGTGTCAAATTTGAGAGATTAATGCAATTTGCTAAAGCAAAACCTAAGCCTGATGCACCAATTGCACCAATTTAATTGTCACTTTTTAAATATTGAAGAAAAAATATATCATTAAATAGTTAATTAGAATCAAAAAATGAAGAAATAATATGAAATAATAAGATTAATTAATTAATAATAAAAGTAAAATTTGAAAATAACAAATGAAATCCATATCTAATGTGGTCTGGAACAAAAAGAAGGCAAATTAAATAAATATTATATTTTATTATGTGAATAAAGCAGGATTTATAGTTTAAATTCATTTTAAACTATACTTGCTCACTATAAATAATCTAAAATTCAATAATTTGTATACTTAATAAGCATAAAAATAAATAAAAATATAAATAAATATTATAAAATAGTTAATTTAAGAGTTATTCTGAGTGCATATTTATGTGCGAGTATTTCTATTCTATTCTATTCTATTCTATCACCAATTTAATTTCTACTTTTTAAATATTGAAGAAAAAATATATCATTAAATAGTTAATTAGAATCAAAAAATGAAGAAATAATATGAAATAATAAGATTAATTAATTAATAATAAAAGTAAAATTTGAAAATAAAACGATGAACTAAATTAACAAAGAAAGAAAGAACAAAAAAAGCAAGCACAATAAAAAGAAAAAGAAAAAAGAGCTTTGTTGTTTTAAATTAGTTTTTATAATTAAAAATATCACAATCCAAAGCAAATAAACTGTTTTTACTAAAGGTAAAGTGTCAAATTTGAGAGATTAATGCAATTTGCTAAAGCAGAACCTAAGCCTGTTGCACCTTCATCACCAATTTAATTTCTACTTTTTAAATATTGAAGAAAAAATATATCATTAAATAGTTAATTTAGAAGGAAAAAATGAAGAAATAATATGAAACAATAAGATTAATTAATTAATAATAAAAACAAAATTTGAAAATAAAATGATGAGCTAAATTAACAAAGAAAGAAAGAAAGAAAGAAAGAAAGAAAGAAAGAAAGAAAGAAAGAAAAAAGCAAGCACAATAAAAAGAAAAAGAAAAAAGAGTTTTGTTGTTTTAAATTAGTTTTTATAATTAAAAATATCACAATCCAAAACAAATAAACTGTTTTTACCCAAAGTAAAGTGTCAAATTTGAGAGATTAATGCAATTTGCTAAAGCAGAACCTAAGCCTGATGCACCCATTGCACCAATTTAATTGTCACTTTTTAAATATTGAAGAAAAAATATATCATTAAATAGTTAATTAGAATCAAAAAATGAAGAAATAATATGAAATAATAAGAATAATTAATTAATTAATTAATAATAAAAGCAAAATTTGAAAATAAAATGATGAGCTAAATTAACAAAGAAAGAAAGAAAGAAAGAAAGAAAGAAAGAAAGAAAGAAAGAAAGAAAGAAAGAAAGAAAGAAAGAAAGAAAGAAAGAAAGAAAGAAAGAAAGAAAAAAAAAAGCAAGCACAATAAAAAGAAAAAGAAAAAAGAGCTTTGTTGTTTTAAATTAGTTTTTATAATTAAAAATATCACAATCCAAAACAAATAAACTGTTTTTACTAAAGGTAAAGTGCCAAATTAGAGAGATTAATGCAATTTGCTAAAGCAGAACCTAAGCCTGTTGCACCTTCATCACCAATTTAATTGTCACTTTTTAAATATTGAATAAAAAATATATCATTAAATAGTTAATTAGAAGGAAAAAATGAAGAAAAAATATGAAATAATAAGAATAATTAATTAATAATAAAAGCAAAATTTGAAATTAAAATGATGAGCTAAATTAACAAATAAAGAAAGAAAGAACAAAAAAAGCAAGCACAATAAAAAGAAAAAGAAAAAAGAGCTTTGTTGTTTTAAATTAGTTTTTATAATTAAAAATATCACAATCCAAAACAAATAAACTGTTTTTACTAAAGGTAAAGTGTCAAATTTGAGAGATTAATGCAATTTGCTAAAGCAGAACCTAAGCCTGATGCACCCATTGCACCAATTTAATTTTAACTTTTTAAATATTGAAGAAAAAATATATCATTAAATAGTTAATTAGAATCAAAAAATGAAGAAAAAATATGAAATAATAAGATTAATTAATTAATTAATAATAAAAGCAAAATTTGAAAATAAAATGATGAGCTAAATTGACAAAGAAAGAAAGAAAGAACAAAAAAGCAAGCACAATAAAAAGAAAAATAAAAAAGAGCTTTGTTGTTTTAAATTAGTTTTTATAATTAAAAATATCACAATCCAAAACAAATAAACTGTTTTTACCCAAGGTCAAGTGTCAAATTTGAGAGATTAATGCAATTTGCTAAAGCAGAACCCAAGCCTGATGCACCTTCAATATAAGAGGAAAAGTGAGGTCTGGCGATCAATTTTTTTAGACTAGCTTTTTAAAACAAATTTATAACATTTATAAAATAGAATATTAATGAAGAATAATGTTTATATTTTTATTATTGAATGATTGATTTTTTTTATTGATTTTATTTTTATTTTAAATTATTTTAATTTAATTTAAAAAATTGAAAAATTATCAATGTGAAAAAATACAATAATTATATGAAAATAAAGTAAATAAGTAGTAAGAAAGAACAGAGAATTAAGAAGAAAAAGAAGGAAAAATAAGTCGGAAATATAATAATTAACATGGATTAGAATAATCCTCAATCTTAAACTCTTTCAGAATAGATTTATCATGGAGATTTTAAATAAAGAAGGAGACCAAAATATGTCAAATGGTTTCTTAACATTAGAACAACTTTAACAATATTCCATATAAGAAATTGGAGAAAATGTCATAGGTGAATTTGAAAATGTGAAAGAATAATTCGGAAAATTTTTTAAAGAGTCGTAAGATATGAAAAATAATAAATATGATTTACTTAGATAAGAATCAATATTATTATAGTTTCATAAAAAATAAAAAAATGATAAAAAAATTTACAATCATGAAGAAATTGTAGATTTCTTGAGTGGCTTTAAGATTTCAATTCCATAGAATACTATAGCTAAAGAAAAGAAATAAATATAATCTCATTTTGATATAGAAAATTTAACAGAATAAAAAATTTTTGGGAGAATAATTTAAAATTTAGACTATAAAAACAAAAGCATTTACAACGTGAGTACGGATGAAAGAGAAGAATTTTAAGAATTAAAGAATATTTTTATGAATCATTTAGGAATAAAAAATAATAAAAGAAGTAAAAGAAAATAATTGAAAGAATTTGAAAAAATTTCAGAAAAATACAATAAAAAATTTTTAGAAGAGATGAAATTAGACTATGAGGTTGTAGATATTGGACAAAAAATATTAGATTCATTACAAGATATCAGAAATGAGTAAAAGAGAGTAAAACTAGAAGATCTAGTTCTTCTTCAGTATATGTTTTATAATTCATATTCTATTTTATTGTATTAATCTAGATTTGCGAAAAAATATTCAGATAAGACGTTTTGCAATAACAAGTGGATGTATTATATAACATTCTTATTAGGTTATGCTTTCTAATTTTCGCAAAAGCGCTAACAAATTGAAGATCTAATGAATGCTGAAATTGGATCTGGATCATTATAATAAGAATAATCTCAATAAGAATAAGATTTGAAACATAGCTATTTTAAATATATGAGCAAATTCGTCAATGAAAATTAAAATAATCTCACCGGAGTGTAGAATATTCTCTAATATGAAATGATGGCGAACGAATAACTATTTCAACATATAAACTAAATGCGATAAGATGATCAATAAAATAACGTAAATTTTGAGATAAAAAAGCAAATAGACTACTACTTGCTAGGATTAAATTTGATTTAATAATAGTATGACGGATTGAATTAGATGAGAACAGAAGAGAACAAAGATTTCTAGTTGAAACCTATATTATAGGAATTAATTTACTTACAATACTATTTAGCAAACGCAATCCATTATCTAAATACGAAATATTTAGAGTAAGACGGTTTTATGAATAGATTTTAAACAGATGCTTAGAATTTAAAATGTAAAAAAACTTCTAATTTTTCAAAATTTTTTAAAAACTAATAAATGAAAATGGGAGTTTTTGTTGAGATAATCAAATAAAGAAATGGAAAAAAAAAATTATTACCCGTCGTGGTTCCTTATTTAAGAATAGGCGAATAAGGTGAAGATTTTGATTATACACCAAATCATTAAAATTAAAGCCAAAATATAGATTAAGATCAAAAATCAGATAATTTGGAAAAATATCAAAAATTCAACATGATTAGGATATAAAAAATTTACATAGAAGAGTCAGTTCTTTAAAACAAACAATTAAATATGAGGAATAACATTTTTGGTGTCTAGTATAAATTTAAAGACATTATGGACAATATAGAAAAGGGAAAATAATTAGTATTGCCTACTAATTTAAATTTTACCTATGGAGGACACTTTTTTAATATATTTTGGAAAAATATATTAACTACTATACATGGATATATGTTAGAACCGTAAATTTATTTGGTTTAAAATTTCTGCAAAGCAATTAAAAATAAATAATAACAACAATAACTTAATATGGGCGGTGATTCAAATGAAGAATAATATAATTAACTTAGAAAATTATAAAATATTATGCTTTATGAAAAAGCAAAGTTTTTTATCTACTAATGTAAAGTAAGCAAATGTGGAGATGTACAGATATTTTCTCTTATTATAAAATGTCTACTCAAAAGATATGAAATAATTAATAGAAACCAAGCTCAATTCAAGAATCAACCTTACGTATAACACTGTTAACACTTATTTAGGCACATTCAAAATATTTAGAAGAGAATGAATTCAGTTTTTCAAAATGATATATAAATATAAATAAATATTTAAAATTAATAATATGAAATTAAGTTCGCATAAAGTATGTTATTTATATAGAATTATGTGATCAAGAAATATCAAACAAGAGATTTAAATTAATTAAACTGTTAACTCTTTTAATTTATAGAATTTTACGGTCCATAATAATATTTGGGATTAGAATTAGAGAAGAAATAAAGAGAGGAATATATTAAAAAAAATTAATAAGAAGAAGAATTAAATCCTAAAAATGATTAAGAAAACCAAGATGATGATGATGAAATACCTGGAGATTAAAATTCTAATTCTATTCCCATAAACAAAAAAATTAAGAAAGCTAAAAAAACATACAAGAGACCAAATACGAAAAATAAAAATTCTGTTAACAATAGTTAGATCAATGTTATGAATTAAAATAATAATGTCGAATAATAGGAAATCTAAATTTAATCTAACGCAAATGTTATCCCTTAGCCACAATAATAATAACAGAATTAATAATAATAACCATAAAATTTATTAAATACAAATTTTGGATATATGACCTTAGATATTGCCCCTAATAGAGAATAACAAAGATGGGTTTATGAGATATATTTCTCTTAAAATATCGAATTTTAGTAGTAGTAATAGGAAAAGTTTAGTAGATCTGCGCTCTAAGATTAAGAAATGGACTACCAACATGAGGAACCATAACAAATATAATTCCAGTAAATTTAATAATCCGAATAGAACAATAATTAGGCTCTTCAAATGGAAGAAGAATAATATGAAGAAGAAGAAAAACATGAATTCTAATATTATAACTTCAACTCCGATTTAAATACATAATTTATTTATGGTACTCCCAATAATTTTGAAAATAATTATCAAAACCAAGCATTGACCTTGTATCAAGACAGGACTACAAATTATAATAATGATTTATAATATTAATAATAATAATAAAATAATCTATGTATATCTTAATTCGAATTCGATCCACTCAATTTTTTCGATGACGATAATAAATACAACAATTGATGGATTCTGAAATGCTTTCTTACAACCAAACAATCGAAATATATAATCTGAAAAATAAAAAAAAAACAAATAAAAAAAAACAAACATTAAAAAAAAAATAAAAACTAAAACAAAACAAAAAATAAAAATTATATTTTTATTTTTGAAAAATGGTTAATATAAAAATTGAAAAAATATTATTGTGAAAAAATATAGTAATTATAATCATATAGATTAAAGCAATAGTGATAGGTCTGGATAGGAACAGTAAAAATAGATTTAAGAAAACTATTAGAAATGGAATAAGAAAATCTGTAAAACTATACTCTCTATGATCAAGATAAAAAAATCATGGAGATTCTAAACTAATAGAGAGACTAATTAGAAGATGATTTCTTAACATCGTAATAACTCGAAGATCATCATTTCGAACAAATAGGAGATAACGGCACTGATGAACTTTATTCTTAGAAAAATTAAATAAATTAATTTTTCTAATCTCTGTAAAAAATTAAAAAATAAGAATCATATTTAGTATAATTTCATAAAGAGTAAAAAAGGTAAGATAAGAATTTTAGTCATGAAGAAATCATAAAATTCTTGGCTGACAATTCATGCATGTCTAAAGTTTATTATAATTGTGCAGATAATTTTTAGAATCATTTTAAATCCTTCTTCCAAAGAGATATTTTAGCAAAAGAAGAAGTTTTCGGGAAAATAATTTAGAATTTCGATTACGCAAATTAAAGATAACCCACTAATGAATTTAAAAAAATTAAAAATTTTTTCATAGATTATTTGAAAATAGCTGATAAATAATAACAGAAGAAGGAATTTAAAGAAATTTCTAAAATTCTTAATGACAAATTTTTAAATCAGATGAGTCTAGACAGAGAAATCGTTGACATTGGTTAAAAAATTATAGATTCTTTGGAAAATATTGGAGATAAATCCAAAAGAATAAAATTAGAAGATCTGTCTGTCCTATAATACATGTTCTATCATGTATATTCCATTTTTGTTGATAATGGTGATTAAACTTAACATGGTGGCAAATTTAAAAAAAAAATGTATCCCATAGCATTTCTGATAGGATATGCATTCAATTTTTCGTAAAAATTATAACAAATATAAGAATTAATAAATTCAGGAAGAAGATCTCAAAAATCTTAACAAGAAACTGAATAAGAAGAAAAATTGAAGAAGAGATAATTTAAAAATATGCATAATTACATTCATAATTAAAATACTTAAAAGAAAGTAGAATTTATTCTTCAGTACGAAATGTTAGCTAATGAATAGCTATTCCAATATTTAAACAATTTATAATAAAGTAAGAATGATTTATAAATAAATATGGAAACTCAAATTGATTATTTCTTATTAGGAATGAATATAATATTTTAACACACATATTCATATGAACAAATATCTCTTAACAAAAAAGAATAATTTAAATACATAATACAAGAGATAATTTATTTCCAATATCATTTAGGAAACGCGATTCATCATTTAAATATAAAGTACTTAGAATAAGATGGTTTTTTGAATAAATTCTAAGAAAAAATAAGTAATTCGGGACCGGAACTTTAATTTAGTTTTTTAGAAGTTTTTAAAAGACTATAAAAAAATTTGGGAATCTTCATCGAAACAAATCATGATGAAAAAACTCAAATACTTCCTGTAATCATCCCATACATAAGAATTGGTGAGGAAGATGAAGATAGCGTTTAACCAGAAAACATAAGCCAAAATCAAAAAAAAAGACTTATAAAAAATTATAAATATAACATGATTTTAATGTAAAAATTTTACTTATACGAGCAAAGGTAAAATCTTAAAAATGAAAAAAAAGGAAATTCTAGAAAAGTCTCCCGATTATACATGAGAGATGACATTTTTGGAATTTAATTTAAGCAAAAAGAAATAATCGAAAATATCAAAAAGGGTCAATAGTTAGTTTTGCCTTCTAACTTGAATTTTACTTATGGCGGGCTTTTTTATAATTTATTTTGGAATAACGTTCTTACAACTATACACGGAAACATTTTGGAACCTCAATTACATTTACTTTAAAATTTTTGTAAATACATCTAAATTAAAACTTAATTCTATGGGATGGGAAGCTAAGAAAATTAATAATTAGAAATATTCAATTAATGCAGAAAAATTTAAGATTTAATGCTTTACGAACAAGCAAAATGTTTTATTTAATAATGCAAATAATACAAACGTGGAAATCTTTAATTATTTTCTCTCATCAATAAAAGTCTGCTCGAAAAAATTGTTATGATGGATGGGAATAAAATTTCTATTTCTAAGTATCCTTAACTAAATAAAAATAATAAACAAAAATGTGAATTGCTGAAAAGTATTTAATAAATTTAGAAAAAAATGAAATATACAATTTAAAATAGCATAAATATAGATTTTATAAATGAATAAAATATATATAAAATTAGCATAAAACAAGACATTATAAATATATGGATTTCTAGAATAAAAAATTTCGGAGATTTAGAGAATATAAATAAAACTTTTATTTAAAGAATGAAATTTTACGGCCCAAAAGAATATTTGGGAATCGAATTTGAAGATTAATAAAGAAAAAATTAAAGTATATAAAATTAATAATAATAACTTAGCGAAGGTTCTAGGAATTAGTAAGCTCCTCCAAAAATAAAAGCCATTAAGAAAGACAGAAAAAGAAAAACAAAAAAAATGAATTCTTAAATGCCTGTAATTGATAACGATCTAAATGTAAGCGATCAAATTTAATCATAATAAGGATAATTATTAGAAAATTTACCTATGTAGTAGGTATAAATAGAGAATGCTCAGGATAATCAGCCAAACATTAATTAAGTTGAATAACCGAACAACTAATAACAATAGTAGAATATAAATGCGGTTTGCGGATTCAATGAAATAAACATGGTTCCTGGAAATTAATAACAAGCATGGATTTACTAGATGTATTTCCCTTAAAATTACTAATAAGCGTACGATAATAACTTTAGGGCTGTGCCTTTACCAAATATGGTTCCTGATGCCCAACAATAACATTGGATCTATGAACTATAATTCCCCGACGAATAAGGAATCGATGAACAACACGAGGAACAATAGTAAATCTAAGAAAATGGGTAGAACAATTAGGTTCCATAATAAATGGAGGAAGAAGAGGAAGAAGAATAAAAATAAGAAGTTTATTATAACCCCGACAATGATTTCCCCCATATGTAATATATTTACAGCACTCCTTATAACTATAACAACAATGAAATTTATTAGAATCAAGTGAATTCGTACTGGGATAGAACTACGAATCAAAATTATAACAATGGACAATTATAATAATAATAAAATGATTTATATATTTCTTAATTTGATACATTAAATTTTTTCGATAATGATGTTAATAATAATAATAATAATAATAATGATAAATACAATAATTGATAAATCTTGAAATACCTTTTTTTTATAACCAAATATTGAACTATATAATCTAAAAAATAAAAAAAAAAATCAAAAAAAAAAAAACAAAAAAAAAAAATAAAAACTAAAACAAAACAAAAAATAAAAATTATATTTTTATTTTTGAAAAATGGTTAAAAAAAATGAAAAATTATTATTGTGAAATAATACAATATTTATACAGAATAATATTAAAAGCAAGTAAGAGATAATAAGAAAAAGATAATAAAGAAAAATAGAAAAATAGAAGGAAAAGCTATCTTTTGGAGAAGATGAAACAGTTTGATTTTGTATAAAATCAACCTAAAAATGAAATTATAGATTAGAATCTATTAAAGAAGCATGTAGGTTTCTTGTTAAAGACAGATATTAATATGAATGAGGAATAGGAATAAGAAATATAAAATGATAGTTCTCATCTTGAATTAGAATAATAAAAAATAAAAAATGTTTTTAAATATCTTGATTATTGTAGCAGATAAAATTCCATTTTATTTTAGTATTAGTAGTGGTATGAGGAAAAATCTTAAAATCCACCCAATAAACAAGAAATTATAGAATTTATAAATAAAGGATTAGAAAATTTCTTCACTATTAATATTGATAGTACAAAAAAAATTTCCAAACATCTTGATTTCAGAAATTAAGAAATTTTTGATATTGCAGCAAAATTTAAAGATTAATTGTTTGGAGATGTCATTCAAAAACTTATGAAAAAAGATAATTTTACTTTGAAGTACGATGATAAACTCAAAAAGTTAATGTAAATCTATGTAACATATTTAGAGAATGGTAATTTATTTAATGAGTAAAAAGATCGTGTTGAAAAAATTAATAATCTTCTCTAGGATTTTAAGTTAGATGATAAATTTGTAGATATTGCAGATAGAATAATTGAAACTCTGGAAAATCCCGAAGACAATAGCAAGAGACTGAAGATAGAAGATTTTGCTATCATACAAATTTTCTTTAAATAAGCTTATAGAGCACTTTATTCTAATTCTAAGAGTGATGGAATAATTAATGGTACTTTAATATAAAAAGATAAATTTTTTTACGTATGTTTCATGTTAGGATATGCATTCTTATTCTCTTAGAAATAATAAAGAATAGAAGATTTGATGGCAGGTAAAAAAGAAAAACCTTAAGATGTCAATATTTCATAAGAAGAAAAGAATGATTATTTTATAAAACTAAATCATTTTATTAACAGTGAAAACTTTAAAAAATTAGATAAATATTAGAAATTATAAGTATTATTATAATACAATATGTTTAAAAAAGAATACTTATTCAGCGAAATAGAATATACTGATAATATGAAAATAACTACTTATGTTGAAGTTTATTTGTTAGGTTTAAACATTATTCAACAAAATATTGACAAATTCGAAGACTTAAACCATGTTGATGTTCTATAGAAAATGGTATTTTAAGATATTGTCAATTTCCAAGTTCAGCTAGGAAACATCGTTTCTCAAATAAATTATAATTATTTGGAAAAAGATGGAATTATAGATAATATTATAAAATCAATTCCTGAAATTGTCCAACAAAATAAGTACCATATTAAGACATATAACGTTCCTTAAATGATTAAAAATTTCTAAAGAAAAGCAGGAATTTTCTTTGATATCAGTAAGTAGAATGAATAAACTTATATTTATCCTGTAATTATACCATATCTACGTTTTGGCAGTTATGAATTTGATTTTACCAAAAAAACAAAAATTAGTTATAATATTGTTTAATTTTTGTCTTTAAATCCTTGTTGTTGTACTTATTGGAAAAATGTTTAATATAATCTTATACTTAATGATGATATTTTACTTTAAAATAAATTCGAAAGAAAACATTTAATCTTGCCTTATAAACTGAAATTTTGCTCTGAAGGTTTGTTTTATAACTCTTTTTGGAAAAACGTTTTAACAGACAGACCCATAGGGTAATTCATCAAATTTGTAATTACAGTTAGCATATTATTTCTGTAGAACTATTAATTATAGAAATGTATAGTAATAAAATCAAATCTAGAATTCTGAGCAAAAAAGAATACTCCAGAATTATTTGTTCGAATAATAAGCAAAATTTTATATATACCAATGTAAATATATAAAATAAGAGTTTCTGATTTCTACTTCTTTTATCATAGAAAAGTTCTTTTTAGATAAAATTGAAAGTTAAGATGCTAAATTAGTAAAACAAATAGGTTTCCAATTCAAAAAATCATCATTATTTGAATGTATCGATAAGGTTCAAAGAAATACTAATATACTCAAAACTAATATTTTTACATTTTAAGATTAAAATAGTTAGTTAGAAATTAAAACATAATAATTAAATTTGGAAAGTAAAAGAAAAAATGAATATCCAAAATATCATCTCGAAAGATTTAATTTACTTTTAATTACACAAAGTGATCTATAGAACTAATTTTAAAATGAGGAATTAGAATGTTTAGAGGAAGATAAATTTTAATACTACACATTTTATGATAAAATTTTCAGAAAAGAAACAAAAATTTAAGATAAATACAAAGAAATTTTAAAGGCATCCTAAATAAAAAAAAAACAGATGTATTAGGTTTACGAATAAAAATAAAAAACAATTTAAAATTTAGATTAATAGATTTAAGGTTTAGATTAGTAGATTTAAGAAGAATAAAAAATCTTTAATTAATAAGGACTGGCATTTATTAATAAATTATTATATAGGGACTATTAATAAATATAAGATGAAAATTTTAAAGTAGATTATGAACCTGAAGTTGAAAATTCTATTGACGACTTGAGCAACAAAAAATAGAAAAAGACTAAGAAATTAAATAGAAAAAGAAAGAATTAGGTTCCTGAAAAGAAAAATCTAAATGAAAAACCTGTTAAGAAACAGAGAAAAGAACAAGAATAAGAGTAATAAGTTTCTTAAAATAATTCCATACCTTAGAATGATAATGCGATTTAAAATGAGCCTCAAATTAAAATTAAGCCTCAAATTAAGCCTCAAAATGAGTATCAAAATGAGAATCAAATAGAACCTTAAATTTCACATAATGATATTGGATCTTTTGTTTTCTCCTATGATAGAATACCTAGTCAACATAATCTTGTTTAGAATAGCTTTATGTCTATACCATTTAGCTAACATATTCATTCTGAAATTTCCCATTAGCAATTTACATATTAAATTCTCTATGAAAAAACTCTTCTTTAATAGTAACTTATTTATGGATAAGCTTAATAGTATGCATCCTAAATTTTCCCAATGATGTAAGCTCCTTAATAATATGTCCCTTATATGTTGCCTCAATAATAATTTAACTATAATTAAGCTCCGATCTAACAAATTCCTCAATAGAATGTTTTCTATAGTTAAGTTCCAACATATCAAATTCCTCAGTAATATAATCCCTACAATTAAGCTCCAATGTAATAAGCTTATCAATAAAATATCCAAGGGTAGAATCCGTAGATGATCAATATGAGCAATAATATCTTATGTTCACCTTAATTTATAAATTTACCACTCTACAATAATCAAAATAGAAATTGATTTCTATTACTTTCTTTATTTTAAAACATTATTTACACTAAAAGTTGATCTTTTTCTGAGCTAGGAAATATGAACTTTTTAATTAACAATTTATAACTTTTTATCATTAATTTAAAAAAATAAAAAAAAACAAAAAAAAAAGAAAAAAACAAAAAAAAAAATAAAAACTAAATTTTTTCTATCCTAGATTTTTAAAATTTATTTTTTTTCAAAAAAAATGAAAAGTTATGCTTTATAAAAATTAGCTTTATTTATAATGTTATTTAGATATAAATTAAATAGGTACTTCACTATAGTTAATTAGGAGGAAAAAATGGAGAAAAAATATATAAAAATAAAAGATTAATTAATAATTAATAAAATTAACAAAGAATTAAAAAATATGAAATTATAATAAAAAGAAAAAGGAAAACAAATCAAATAAATTAAAAGAACTTTAATGTTTTAAATTAACTTTTATAATTAAAAATATTATTATGTAAACAAAAATAATAGCTTTTATTAAGTGTAAGTTTTAATAGCAAAAATGAAGAAAAAATATCAAATAATAAAAAATGAATAATAAATAAATAATTAAAAATTGAAATGAAAATTAAGTTAAAATTGCTAAAAAATTTAAGTTTTAATAAAAATCAAAAAATAATGATGATAATTTCTTTTAAAAAAATTATTTATTCAAATAAATTTAAAATAAAATAAACAAAAAATATTAATAATAATAAAAATAATATTTTTTAATTAAATATACCTCAGATCAATATGGAGAACCTAATGAGATAAAAGTGAAGAGCTTTTAAACTTTTTTTATTAATTTATATAAATATAAAGGATATTAATAAAAAAATTAATAATTACTTTTGCTAAATTTTTATATCTTTTAATCTATTATAACATTTATTTTTTTTTTTCAAAAATGTTGAATAGCAGTTTATGAAATTTAATTAATTAATTATCAATGGATAAAAAGAACAAATAAATATAATAATTAATTAATTATCAAATATTAATTTATATATTTGGTTTTATGAAGAGATATCATATTCACTATTTAAACTTAATATTTTTATTTAAAACAAAAACTTAAATATATAGTAGGAATTAAAGAGGGCCAGTTATTTATTTAGTAATATTTGAAAAAAACCTGGTATTTAATTAATTTTAAGCTAATTTTTTTGTTTAAAATGATCTTTATTAAAAACCCTCTAATTAAACAGTGCCTTGGTAATATGATTTATTTTTATAATCAAGAATTTTATTTGAAAATGAACATCCTATCTATCTTAAATAAATATCTGCTTCAAAAAATATATTTTTATTTGATTTCATAATTTTTATTTTGAGCTTAAGAAGATTATTTTAAATTAAATTAATATTTAAGTAACAATTACAATCAAATATTATTTGTACTTACAAAAATTAAGACTAAAATTTAAATTAGGAAATATTTATTCTTTGGATTTTCCATAATTTTTTAAACAATTAATTCTGACTAGAAAATGAGTAATTTATAGTTTTAAACTCTATTTTATAATCACCATTAATAATATTTATATTAGATCTGATAAAATTAGCAATAGCAAAATTAAAATATTGAATTTAAATGGCATCATATAATTTTATTTTTTTTGCAGTTATTAGCTGAAAAACAAAAATAGAAATGTTAAAATTTTTTAAAAATTCTGTTATAAAAAATAGAATGTATTAATAAAATAATATGTTTTTTCTTATGTTAAGATTATTATTTATTTTAAATTTACAAAGAAAAAGTTTTATTCCATACAAATAATAAGACTAATATTGAAATCATATCTTAATTATATTTTAGATTTTCTACAGTCTTTTATAAGATTTAATTCTGATTATTGAAAGAGTAATTAATGACTTTACGTATCATTTAATACTTATCATTGATTTAGTGATTAGATTTGATTTAAAGTAACAAAAACAAAATTAATCATTGTAAGTAAATGACATATTCTTAATTAATTTTGTTTGGTATTAAAGTTAATCAAATATCCGAATTAAAAACAATTAATTAAAAGTAAAAAAGTATTTTCAAAAAGCTGCTAACAATTGTTTAAAATGGAAGCGTTTAAATCCTTATCGCTGAGAGAAAAAAGCCTTTTCGTTTCTCTCTTTGTAATGTTTGCATTCTAAAGCCCTATTACTAATGAGCTCCCCTATCTTTTTTATAAATCTGATATGGAATGCCTAATAGAAGGTGAATGGAGAATGTGCTAAGAAAAGACTATATGCGATAATAAATAGGAATATAGATTTATTAACACTAATGGTGTTCAGAGTGTTTCAATGAATTTTGGACTCATTTGTGAGAGGAAGTTGTTGGAAGCGATTCTGATATTTTTAAGTCCAGCAGGTTCCTTAGTAGCTTACTGTGTTAGCATTTTTTATGAGATTCCTAAAGACAAGAAATTTGAATATATTTTCAAAATTCTGCTTTTAGAAGGCTATTCTTTAATTTCTTTATACATATTTAACAGTAGCTTATTAATGTTTGCACTTATCTTTTTCTTATGGAATTTCAATTATGCTTTTATTTTCTCTCAATTTGTGTATTATATTGCTGATAACTTTCCAAAATAATTAGCTGTAAATTCAGCAGTTTTGATAAATTTTGTTTGGCCTGCAGGAGGTTTGATATTTCTTTTTATTGCTACGATAGATGGTAATTGGGTTCATCACTGTGTATTCATGACAGGTTTGCCAATACTCGCTATCGCTTATGTAATATATTACTTGAATCCTCGAAAGAGATCTGATCAAGACGAAAGTGATCTTTCAAATTTATTACTAATTTAATCAGTCAAATTAAGTAGCCTAAGTCATGAAAACTTTAATATAACAAATGAATCATAAATAAAGAGAAATCTTGATTAAAATTAAGACAATTTGAAGAAATCAAATATTTTCTCAGAATTAATTAAAAAATTTAATGAAGCTAAAAAAGATCATGTCTGCTACCAAAATATGTGTATTTATGTGGTTGTATTTGTTGTGTAAATGGTTGGTTTGAATGCTTCATTTATTGCCTACAATACTGTTGGAGGAAATGTGAAAAACAATCTGATTAATTCAACTATATTAGAGCTTATAGGGAGTATATTTACCATATATTTAATGCAAAAATATAATTGCATCAAATTGCTTTATTATAATGTGATTATTGTTTCGTCATTTTAAGCATTTGTTATGTTGGATAATTCGCAGTTAGTCTAATTAATAGCCATAAATATTATTAGATTTGGTATCAAAGTTACCTTCGCTTCTATTATGGTGGCTTAAAATTATATTTTGCCTAAGTAATTTGCATAATTAACCTTTGCACTATCTAACATCTGTACCATTTTAGTTAGGCTCATGCTTCCATTTTATAAATACTATATGGATATGTTGGGAATTAATTTTTTTTCAGGTATAGGTTTCTGCGGCTTGATAAGTATTTTTTTAATAAAAAAAATAATCATCATATCCAATCCATTTGAGGAAGAAAATTCACAAGAAAAAAATTCCTCTCAAGATACAGAGCTTTAGGAAATACCAATTGAAAAATAAAAAAGAGTTAGCAGCTGATTATTCATTAATTTAAAAAATTATTTGCAATTAGATTTATTAAATTGAAGATATAAAAATATTACATTAATTAATTATAATAATAAAATTTATGAAGTAAAGTACACTTGTATTTAATATTTTACAAATATATAATTTTTATTTTTACCCAAAAAATATTTGTGTGATTGTTCAAATGCAAATATAACTAAAATATCAATTAATTATTATCTTAAATTTGAAGTTATTATCAAATAATTAAAATTATAATTAAAAATAAATCTCCCAGGCTATGAAATAGGGAAGCCCAGATAAAGTAGAAAAATATTTAAATTATAATTTGGCTTTTTTAAAAAGAATTATGATAAAAATAAAAATAGGTAATTTAAGCAGTTTAAAAAATGGGAAAATGTTTTAAAATTAATTTATAGCTTGTATTTTTGTATTCTTTACTATTATAAATGAAGGATTACCTAAGATTGTTGGTAGAACTATTTTACTTTTTAAATTCAACTCATTTAGGAAAGATTAATTATTTATCTCAAAGGATAATGAAAAAAAACATGATTAAATTGAAAAATTGTTAATCTGAAAAGAAATCAGACTTTATCTAGCCCTTGCTAATTAATTTATAGAAAATATTACAAAAGTATAATTGCACTACATGCTACCTTAGAAAATAAATTGATTCCAATTTTAGTTTGATAGTAGAAATTAGAATTATGTTAAGCTTATTAAAATTTTCAAAAAAAAGAAATGCCTACTTAATTTAAAAATTGTTAATTTTTACTCCTGGAAATTTCTAGTAAAAAACTGATTGACTATCATTTATTAACAAATTTATTTATAGTACTCAAATTAATAAATTAATAATTTAACTATGACTACTCAAAAGTTTAAAAATAGATTTAAAGGGAGATAGATAGGCAAGAAGGTAAGCAAGTACATTTATTTTACAGTAATTAAAATAACAAACGTTTTTCTTCAAAAATAAATTCTAAACCAAAATTTCAAAAAAAAAAAAAAATTTATTTTTCTTAAGAAAATATAAAAACAGCAATTCAAAGATAGAAATTAAACACATCAGAAATGTTCGCAGGTACTCCAGTTAAAATGCAGCTATAGTTTTTAGTATTGTGCTTAATATATGCGTTTTAATGCACAGTCTTTAATGCTATTCCATTTTTATATTATCGTTCAGATCTTGAGTGTAAAATAGATGGCAAATGGTAGATTTGCCAAGAACAAGATATTTGCAATAATGGCTATGAGTATTAGTTCACAAATACAAACGGTATGAAAAGCATATCTATGGATTATGGATTGATTTGCAATCAAAGACTAACCGAATCTACATTGATTTCTATAGGTTTCATAGGATAATTTAGTGCCTTTTTCATAGCAATTTTCACTGAAGTTCCCAAGAATCAGAAAACAAAGGTATTATTTTTGAGCATCCTTGTTGAAGGAATCATTTTATATTCTACAGCTTTGATAAAAGGATTTATATACTGGATTATGATAGTTATTTTTGTGTGGAATTTCGTTTACTCTTATCTCTACTCATAAATATTTGCATATATTAATGATATGTATACAGACTCAATTAAAGACAATTCAATTAACATTTTAAATATATTTTGGACTTCATGCGCTCTACTCTACATTATTTATGCTCAGTTTGATGGAAACTGGATAAACTACGTAGCATACTTTAGTGGAGTAACTGTTTTTACTTTGAGCATACTTTTTTTTGCTCTTTAGTCGCCCCCTGCTGAGGTAGATCCAATAATTGAACCATTAAGGAAGTTTTCTGTGAATGAACTAGCAAGTGATAAATAAATAGCTAAAGAATAATAAAGAAACTTCATAGAAGATTTGATACAAAAATTTAGATCACTCAAAAATAATAAAAAATATTTGGTAAACTGCTTAATATTCATTTGTGCATGGACAACATTTTAGCTGAGCTACAGCACACCTTTCATAGCATTTAACAACTTAGGAGGTATTATTTCTATTCTTGAATCTGCTTTAACATTAAAACTTCTTTTATTTCTTTGCTTTTCTAAATGTGTTCAGATTATACCAAACTCATTCAGTAAAGTTTAAGAAAAACTTTGTCATACAAAATTATTTTTCAATAAAACTCAAAATAAAATAAATTTATTTTGGAATCATTATGTTAAATCGAATTTTGAATTGTAATTTTATAAAAATCTTAAAATAAATACTATTAAATCGTAAAAGCTATCAATAAAAATATGTCAAGTAAAAATGAAAAGGAAATTAAATCTTATTATAAAAAAATGTTAAATAAATCCAATCAAATTAATTAAAATTTTTGGTAATTCAAATAAATTGTACTATTAAATTAAATACAGAAAAATTAATTAAATCAGGTGATAATTTTAATTTTTAAAAATTTAGGTGATATTCAAAGGAATGTTTTAGTTTCTGTGATAGTAGATGTAGCAAGTAGTTTTGCATCATTTTTTATTTTATATTTCATTGATGGCTTTAAGGCTCTTAACTACAACATAATCATAATTGCAATTCTTTAAACTGTATCATATTTTTTTGCTTACAATAATTTTGCTGTGTAATTGATAGTTATTCTCGCAACCAAACTATCTACAAGGTTGGGATTAACTACATGTCTTGCAGTTCTTCCTTTTGTTTTACCATATATTTTTAATTAACTTACCTTTAATATTGCTAACGTGATAGCAATTTTGCTCAGTGCACTTCTTCCTTATTATAGCTACTATATGCAACTTTACTAATTGAGTATTTTCTGTGGGATAGGAGTTCTTCACTTTTTGCTTCTCTTATTGGTGCAAGGATTTAAGAAACTCGCAGATGAAAATTCTGAAATCAAGGCTTCTAGAATTTCTAAGAGCGTAATTAAAAGGTCTAGCTTTGGACCTGTAAGAAAAAACTCAGATATGCTTATTGAGACTATTTTGCGTAAATCTTCCATGATTGTTCCATAAGCAGGTCTGATGCTACTTGATAAATAATCAGCAACAATAGACAAAATATACAATTTATAGGCCAAGTAAAGCGAGTTAGAAACTATTAACGAAATTTGAATGAAAACAACAATTTAAAAAATAATTTTTAATAAAACTAAATTTACAAATTAAAATATTGTTTGCTTTATTAACTAAATTTCAAGCTAAAAATATTAATTTTATTTATAATTGTTTTAGATAATTCTAAATTGTATTTATATTTTTTCATTTTGAATTTTTTGTAATCAGGTAAAATTAATTTGTTCTAATATTACTAAATATGTTTTAAAATTTTTTATTCTGAAAATAAAAAATCTATCAATTTTTCTAATAAATTAATTTTTGTAAAAATAAGAAATAGTGCATCACAAAAGAAATGAATATAAAATGAGCCTTTTAATTAAATAAAAAATATTATTTAATTATTAAACTAAATTTATAGATTTAAATTAATTTTGTCATAATATTTTTAACTGTAGAACTTGTCATATAAAAATTGATTGCTTTTTTTAAATAAAATAGACCAAAGTAGAACTAAAGGATGCCATACCGATTACATTAAATGAATTCTTTTAATTTGATAAAATTTATGAAGCAAGAATCAAAAAGACTTAAAATATTGATCACTATAATATTTACTAAAACAATAAATCAAGAAAATGTAATCATAAATCAATACAGATTTATTTAATACGAAAATATAAAAGTAAATTTGCTTAACATCATTGATTTCAACTTAACTAGTTTCCTTTTAAAATTAACATAAGCTTTGGCTTAATTTTTAAATTTCTAAAGAAATGCATCACGAGACAAGCTACATTGATAAATCAGATATAATTTAGAAATTTCCATTTTAATTTATTTTATTTTTATAAAATTCGTTTCATGCAAAATACCATTTTATTGTATCTGCTTCAATTTTTAAGCATTTTATGTGTTACTCTTTTACACACACATACTCAATTAAAACAAAATAAATTTGAAATTATCAATTAAGCTAAGTCTTACTATGTTTTGAAAGAAAGACTTTAGTTATAAGAAATACCTTAAAATTATAAAAATATAGCTAGTTTTAAATAAAGATGTAAATTATATTAAAATATAAATTAAAAAAATCGTTTAGAAATAGAAAAATTAAGTATTTTCTATCAACAAATTCTAAATTAACAAATATTAAAAAAATTTTTATTTTGATTTGAATTTTTTTTATATTTCTCCAGTCTTAGATTTATTTTAGATTTAGACCAGTAGTTATTTAGTTTTATGTATGAAAATGGAAAATTTTGAAAGCAGGAGAATTTTAAAGATAGCTTAGCAAAACTCCAGCTTTTACACCTAACATTAAGAAGCAAGGAAATTATGGTTACTTTATTAAAAATATCGCAGTTAAGGGAACTTAAGTGCGAGGGATGTATAATGAAAATTAGATTAATTCATCATTTTTAATTTGGTGGTTTCGCAATTAGAAAAGGATGAGCAAATATCAAATTAATAAGGTTGGACGCATAGTTCAAGAATATACTATTAAAAAATATGAAATTATATTGACTAATAAAAACTGGCTTTAGTTGAATATTATTAAAATATTGAAGATGTTTGGTAAAAATTTAATATTCAATTAGTTTATTTTTGATTCAATGAATGAAATGTAATATGTGCATATAAATGATAGAAGATTCGACTCGACCGAATGACTATCAATATAATTTTATTTGATAACAAAAATTTTGTCATATCTGAAAAGCAAATAGCAAAAAGTAAATAGATAGATAGAGTATCATTCATACTTACTTATACATAAAAAAGGTTTTTATAAGATAGATAGAAGCAAAAAATAAAAATTTTTACTTTGAAATCAAAAATAAACAATTAGGTAGAAAAAATAAATCAAATTAGTATTGATCGATACAAAAAATGATATTTAGTGACACACCTTTTAAAATGGAGCTGCAGTTCATCTGCCTATGCTTGATCTATTCATTTTAAGCTCCTGTATTTAATGCTATCCCTTTCTTGTATTACAGAACCAACTTGTCTTGTAATATTGATGGGGTATGGTAGAGCTGTACTGAATAATAGATTTGTGACAATAATTATGAATTCTAGTTTGTCGATAAATAAGGCATGGAGAGTATTAGTATGGATTACGGTCTTGTCTGTGAAAAGAGATTAGTTGAAGCTTCAATTATGTCTCTTGGTTTCGTTGGAGAAGTCGCTGCCTTTCTCATAGCTGTGTTGACTGAAATTCCTAAAAGCAAGAAAACTAATATTCTCTTTATTTTAATGTTTATTGAAGGTTTCCTTCTTTTCTCTGTATCTTTTATCAAGGGCAGTCTTACTTATATTATGTTCGTCATCTTCATATGGAATTTTGTTTATTCATACATCTACTCTCAAATTTTTGCCTACGCAAATGATATGTACACCACTGCCATTAAAGACAAATCTGTTAATATGATTAATATTGCATGGACAGGAGGTGCATTGATGTTTATTGTATTTGCTTAAATGGATGGCAATTGGATTGACCATGTTGCTTACTTTAGTGGTGCCACTGTCTTAACTCTTAGCATATGCTTTTACCTTTTGAGATCTCCTCCTGCTGAAATTGATCCTATTCAAGCTCCTTTCAATAAAAAAAGTTCAGTTCCCAAGGATGAAAATGTAGAAGCAAAAGAATAATAGAAGAATTTTATTGATGATTTAATTCAAAAGTTCAAGGTTATGAAAAGCAATAAAAAATACATGAAAAATGCAATCATCTATATTCTTACTTGGTCAACATTCTAATTAAGTTATTCAACTCCTTTCATTGCATTCAACACTCTTGGTGGTAATATTTAAAATAATGTTATGCTCTCAATCTTGTTCGATTTTGGTGGTAGTTTTATTACCTTCTATCTCCTCACTCATTTTGATCCTTTACGTCTTTTGTTGAATAATATATTGATAATTGGTGTTCTACAAACTCTAGCTTTCTTTGTCCCTGTAACTAGCTTTGCTTTCTAACTTATTCCTATTTTAGCTACTAAGCTTTCCACAAGATGTGCATTCCCTACCCTCTTAACTTTACTTCCATTTATCCTTCCTTACCAATTTAATTAGCTTGTTTTCAACTTAGCAAATGTGGTTTCAATCGTTTTAAGTACTCTCCTTCCCTTCTACAGATATTACATGGAAAGTAATGGAATTAACATATTTTGTGGTATTGGTGTAATTACCCTTTTACTATTATTTGTTGCAACACAATTCAAAACTTTGGAAGACGAAAACGCTGATATCAAGGCTGCTAGATTATCTAGAGACTTCAAGAAGAGATCAAGCTTTGCTCCTATGAAGAGAAACTCAGATGTTATTATCGAAACAATGTTACGTAAATCTTCATTCCTTACCCAACAAGCTGCAAAAATGGTCTTAGATAAGTAATCAGTTGCAGAAGAAAGAAAGTACATGATCTAATAAAAATAGACTGAGCTTGAAACTATCCAAGAAATTTGAAAGCATAAATATTATATTTAATCATATAATATTATTTTATTTTCTTTAGAAAAATAATATTTATCATTATTATTTATTTTTATAGTACTTTAATTCAATACCACTCTAAAATTTATAAATATATATGGGACTATAAATGTACATATTCATACATACAGAAAGAACTCTTGTGTTTGTTAAAAACAAAATGTTTTTTTAAATGTTCAACCTTTTTATCTTTTTTCTCAATTATTGTTGCAATTTCAAATTTTAAGTAAATTAAACTAAGATTTCATTACCATTCTCTAAAAATTTCAGATTTAATATGAAGTTAAATAAATCAGACGTTAAATTTAAACTCAGAGTATAAAATAATCTTCTAATGTTTAATAAAAATATTTTTTGACATTTATTTTTAGAAGAAATGCTCATTTATTGTTTAAAAAATAAAAAAAATATTTTGAAGAGTAAGTATTTTTTAAGTTATCAATGCTCAATAATTAACTATTTTAAATATAGAATAAATTAATCATACATTTTTAAAATAAAATCCATTTTTAATGGTATTATAATGAATTTATTTACCTTATTTTTATTTTTATTTTTAAATTTCAAATTTTATTTTATAAAAATAATTTTCAAAATTATTTAGAAAGGAAATATAAATTTTAGTATTAAAATATCTTGAGATTGAATTATTCAGTAAAAAACATAAGTTTTTTTTAAATTAAATTTGAAAATAAATATTTATTTGTAATTTATTGCAAAATTTTGGACTATCAATATCATTTACTATTTAATAAATTATTAGGTTTATTGAATAAAATAATTTCATTTATTTTGTGTTTCCATAATTTACAAAAAAGGTTGTCGACACTGGGACTTCCCAAGCGGTCCCCCACCTTAGTACTAACCCAGCCTTAAGGCGCTTAACTTCGGAGTTCGAATGGGATCCGGTGTTTTCACCTTAGTATGGCCGACAACAAAACTAATATCAATTAATAATTATTTATATCTAAATAAATCTTTATCAATTTAATTTAAAGATATAATATGAATAAAAAAATAAAAAATACAAATTCTATTTTTAAATTAAACTTTATAAAAAAAGGTTGTCGACACTGGGACTTCCCAAGCGGTCCCCCACCTTAGTACTAACCCAGCCTTAAGGCGCTTAACTTCGGAGTTCGAATGGGATCCGGTGTTTTCACCTTAGTATGGCCGACAACAAAATTAATATCAGTTAATATCTATTTATACTTAAACATTTTTTTAATAAAAAAATTTATTTATTTTAAAGATATTATATAATCAATCATATAAAAATACAATTTTTAAAAACTAAGCTATATAATAAAAAGGTTGTCGACACTGGGACTTCCCAAGCGGTCCCCCACCTTAGTACTAACCCAGCCTTAAGGCGCTTAACTTCGGAGTTCGAATGGGATCCGGTGTTTTCACCTTAGTATGGCCGACAACAAAACTAATATCAATTAATAATTATTTATATCTTAGTAAATCTTTATCAATTTAATTTAAAGATATAATATGAATAAAAAAATAAAAAATACAAATTCTATTTTTAAATTAAACTTTATAAAAAAAGGTTGTCGACACTGGGACTTCCCAAGCGGTCCCCCACCTTAGTACTAACCCAGCCTTAAGGCGCTTAACTTCGGAGTTCGAATGGGATCCGGTGTTTTCACCTTAGTATGGCCGACAACAAAATTAATGTATAAATTTTGATTTTATAACTAAATTAAAATTACTTACAATAAATATAATAAATATTTTGGATTAATTCTTGAATTATTTTATTGAATTAAAAATTAAGATACAATTTGATAAATTTCTATTAATTTTATCACAAAATTTTTTACAACTTAATATTATCTAAATAAATTAAAATTTTTTTATTTGATATGCTTAAAGGATTTGTATCTGAAATGTTCAAAAAATAATATTTAAAAAGTTTATTTTTAGAGAAAACATTTAAATTTTAATGATTTTAAAACCACATTTTGAAAGATGTTGGTAATTTATTAAATAAACTAAAGAGTTAATAAATATATTTAAAAATAATAATTCTATTTAAAATTTATATTTTCTAAAATCTTAAAATGAAAAATGTTTTAAATTTATTCAATTTAATGAAAAAAATGAGTGCAATAAATTGAAATGATTTGTTTGAATTAAACAATGCTTGAAATATTTATGGTTTTTTATTAATCTACAAAATATTCAATATATAAATTATTAATAATTGTAAATAAAAAATATGAAAAATAATTAATCAATTTATTTTTTAAACTCAAAAATTTGTATTAAAAATTAAAAAAGATATTTAATTTATTAGGTAAAAAAGGGATTAATGTATCCGTTTATTTTTGAGATATTATTTTGTACTTCAAAATATTATTAAAAATATATGGAATCTCTTCAATCTTTTCGTACGACTGTATAAATTTTTAAAATGTTAGGCGCTAAATATCAGTAATAATTTTGCATAATACCGCGGTAAAAAAATATCTTTTGGTTGGATTATTTGTAATTATTAATTTGATATATATAAGCTGAGTCATTTATAATTATTAAAATTAATGTTTGAATATTGAGTATCTTTATAAAAAACTTTTTAATTAAATTAAACAAAAAGAAAAAAAATAAGACACTTTTTTTGAAAAATCTTAATAAAATAAAAAGATAGCAAAGCACCTAAAATATTTTAACAATACAATAATAAAAATAGCAAATAAATAATTAATAAGGACAAAGGTAACAACTAATAATCATGAATCAATCTGTTTCTGGCGAGTAAGGAAAGCAAACTCCTAACACTTCTTTTCAACGTAGACATTTGTCTCAAAGCATCGGAGGAAACTAATCTTAAAGAATCCTCACCTAACCCTCATCTTTCATGCAATCTCCTATGTAGGATGGAACTGCAACTCTTTCTGGTGAAACTGGATACATAAACTGGGGAACAAATATTAATACATAAGAATGTAGTAACAAATTCGAAAAGTTCTTGTTAGAATTCAAGGCTATTCCTTCTGATGATCATGACATGTTAGATGAAAACGCTAGTGAAGTTAACATTTATGTTGAAAAATTCAATTAAATGGCTGCTCTTGAATAATACATATTGACATTTGATGGCTAACATCTATTGCAGTTTGATAAGATTCTCTACTACCAACTTATTTTCTTCCCTGCTGAAGTTATTCAAATATTCGATAAAGTAGCACAATCCATTTTTAGAGAACGTTTTGCTTAGAATGAAACTCAAGTTGAAAAGTCAAACTCAGTCTTAGTTGCTGTAGTCAATATTAATAAAAGTACCTAACTTAGAGATTTGCGTCATAAGGATATCAACCGTTTAGTTTCCATCAAGTGTATTGTAATTAGGTAAAAAAATTAATTTATATTTTCATTTTCTTTTTTTTTTTCAAAGTGCTCTTTAAAACAAATTTTATAACACTAAAATGTTATTTTGTTATAGGATGTTAAATAAGCTAAAAAACATTATGAATTTAAAGAAAAGCATTTAAAGTGATATAATGAATAAATGATTGAAATCTATCAACATTTTATTTTTACCTTTTTGAAATGGCAAAAAGATATTTTTTTATTTAAAGAAATAAAAAGGATATTTTTTTAAGTTGATAGGAGCGAAAATTTTTTAAAAATTGCAAAAATAAATATGGCAAAAATATTTGTTAACATTGAACTAAAATATAAAATAGAGTATCAGATATCTATCCTGAAATGAAGATGGCTGTTTTCAAGTGCAGTAGATGCAGCCATTCAGTTATTGTACCTCTTGAAAGAGCTCATGTTGATGAACCTAATGATTGCGAAAGTTGTCACACTAAAAACTCTTTCATGATTCAACATAATTTATCTCACTTTACTGATAAGTAGTATATAAAGATCTAAGAATTACCAGAAAAAGTGAGGGAAGGTGAAACTCCTCAAGTAAAAACATCATTTTAATTATTTAGTTTTAATCTAAGTTATTTTAATATTAAACAATTAGACTGCTACTTTGATGGCTTATGACAATAATTTAGTTGATCAAGTTAAACCTGGTGACAGAGTCGAAGTCGTTGGTGTGTTTAGAGCAGCAGGAGTAAGAAAGAATAAAAATATAAGAACCTTGAGATCCGTCTATAACACTTATATCGATGTCGTCTCATACTCTCTTTTAAGCAAGCAAAAGTTATAAGAAGAAAAAATCAATTTTTCCGAAGAAACCAAAAGAAAGCTTTAAGAAATTGCTGACAGTGAAAATGTTTATGATAAACTCATTAAATCAGTAGCACCATCTATTTGGGAAAATACTGATGTTAAGAGAGGTCTTCTTTGTCAACTTTTCGGTGGTAGTGTTAAGACTATTCACGATGCTAAAGACAGCAGAACTAGAGCAGAAATCAATTGCTTATTGGTTGGTGATCCTTCTGTTGCTAAATCCCAAATGCTTAAATACGTTCACAACTTAGTACCCAGAGGTATTTACACATCTGGTAAAGGTTCTTCTGCAGTAGGTTTGACTGCATACGTAACCAGAGATCCTGATACTAAAGAAATAGTTCTTGAAAGTGGTGCACTAGTACTTAGTGATCTAGGTATTTGTTGTATTGATGAGTTTGACAAGATGGATGAAAATACAAGGTATTGCATTATTTCTTTAAATAATAAAAGGACCAAATGACAATTAAATCTTTTAAAGCAAATATTATTTAAAATAAGATATAGCATTTAGCAATTAAAAAAGCAATAATTAGAAGATTTTTTTCAAGTTTTTATAACACATATTTTTTAATTTAAATAGAACTATTTTACACGAAGCTATGGAATAATAATCTATTTCTATTGCAAAGGCAGGTATTGTTGCTACTTTGAACACAAGAACTGCAATTTTGGCTGGTGCTAATCCAATAGATTCCCGTTATGACCCCAAGAAATCAGTCATCGATAATATAAATCTCCCTCCTTCTTTACTTTCTAGATTTGATTTGATCTATATTTTATTAGATAATCATGATGAAAGAAAAGATATTTAATTAGCTTCTCATATCTTAAAGCTTTTCTCTAATTCAAGCTAGCATAGACTTACTCAAGGATAAAATAGTGGATACTCTGATATTGATATTATTGATAAAGATACACTTATCAAGTATATTGCATATGCTCGTTAAGAAATTCATCCCAAACTTACTTAGGAAGCTGCTGACAGACTAGTTTAAGGATATGTTGACATGAGAAAGGTTGGTTTAAGCAATAAAGTTATTACTTCAACTACCCGTCAACTTGAATCATTAATTCGTATTTCAGAATCTTTGGCAAAAATGAAACTAAGTGATTAGGTTACAGTTGAAAATGTAGAAGAAGCTATCAGATTAATGAAGGTTGCCACACAAAGTGCTGCTACTGACCCTACAACTGGTCTAATTGATATGGATATGCTTGCAACTGGTATATCAGCTTAAAAGAAATAGAGAATTTTAGACTTATCAGATTAAATCCGTGGTTTGGCTAAATCCAATTAAGGTGTATTCAAAAAGGGTATTTCAGTCCATGAATTGCGTTAATTGTTAGCAAACAAAGAAAATATATAAATAATCAAGATCGATGAATAAGAAGTTATATCAGCAGTAAATATGTTAGTAGAAGAAAATTTACTCCTTAAGATGGGTAATAATAAGAATCCAATTATAAAATTATAAAGTATCGAAGAGTGAGTGTGTTTAATCTGACAGATTTTTCACTAAAAATATATTTTAAAAAATAAATTCGTTAAAAAGAAGAAAAAATAATGAAATAATTAAATCTATTTTTTCGATAAACAATAAAATAAGCAAATGGATCCAAAAAACAATGATTTGGAGATAAATAGATATGCATAAATTAATCATATGAAAGAAATAATTTATTTTTTTAGTTCTTTTAAAACGAATGATAATATAAAAACAATTTTAACAATAATATAAAAATACTTACAGCTAAACTGAATTAAACAAACAAAACAATAAATATAAACTAAATAAATAAATAAATAAATTAATATTATATGTAGATACTTATTTATATATTAAAAATTCAACTATGTTTTTGACATTATTTCATTAATTAATATAGATTAACTTTAGTTTATTTTTCTTTGCTTTTAATATAATTAAGCAAACATATTAAGAATTTTTTTGGTGCATAAATACAATGAAGAAATGTGTAATTTTATATTGAGATAAACGCTTTAATTCTATAAAAAACAAAATATAAAGGAAAAAATATCTTTTTATTGATTTTTAATCACTAAATATAAACAAAATGAATATTTATTTTCTTAAATTAAGAGATTTTATCCTAAATATCTTTATAAATTTAATTATCAGAATAGAATACAAGTATTTTTAAGCTTATCATTTATGCTTTAGTTATATTGTAATTACAAAAAGTAATAAAATTTTCAATAAAGAATTTAGATTTTTAAAATTTAATAAAGATTTTTTTTTTTTGATTTTAAAAATAATTTTTAAAAGTATATTTGATAAAATATATATCTTTTACAAATAATAATTATTTTTATAAATTATAATTCTAAAGCTATTTATTTACAATTAGCTATTAAAAAAACCAAAGTTTTTTTATCTATTTTTATTTAATTATTTTATGTTCTCACAAATTTAAAAAGTTTACTCTTGTTAACAATTAAATCCAAATAAAATTATAATAGTGACTAATTATTTTATGTTAATTTTATACAATTTTAACTAAAAATTAAAAAGTTTAATTGCTTTTTTACTGCTTTCAAGTAGAAAATAATTTTTTAACTAAAAATAATTCGATTTATGAAAAGAATAATAATTTTATTTAAGCTTGAGTGATATATAAATTAACTCTTATTTCTTATCATGATTTATAAGATTTTTGATTTAGAATTAATCAGATAAATTAAAGGTGATAATACTTTGCGTCTATAGCTATAATTAATAATAGCAGCAATAACGTAAATTATATGTTTGTCTCCTTTAATTTTTGAAATAAAAATAAATTGAAATCCTACTATAAATAAATGTAATTTTTAAATTAAATATAACAATCAATTATTAATGATGATTTCATTGAAAAAAAAGATTTTCGCTGCTGATGAAGCAACAGCAGCTTCCTCAAGTTTATCAACAGTGACTACCTAAAATTGTGATTTAGATGACTTTGATCTTTCTGATAGCGATAGAGAAGACTACCACAACAATGTAGACATTCTCTTTGTCTTGGATACCACTGGATCAATGGGGCCTTACATTCCTTAGGCAATGCTAACTATATAAAAAATTGTTGAGAAGTTTTCTAAAATGGAATTCAATATAAAATTCTCTCTTTGTACATATAGAGTAATTAATTAATTAAATATTTTTTCAACCTATTTGTATTTTTATTGAAAAATTTAAATAAATTTAATCAATTTTAAATCAAAATATTTATAGTTTTTTTATATCAAAAAAATTAATTAGGATCATCCACCTTAAGATACCACTTATGTAACCGAATTTTTTGATTTGACATCTGCCAAGTAGCTTATTACCACATTAAAATCTGTGTAAGCTGCAGGTGGGGGAGATGGACCTGAAGCTGTGATGGACGGTTTACGTGAAGGTCTCTCCAAAACTTCTTGGAGGTTGAGTGAAGATAATGTCACTATTTCCAAAAGGTATAGAAAATATTTTATAGCCATTTATTTAATGATAAATTATTTAATTTATAAAAGATTTATGTTTCACATATGTGATGCTCCTCCTCACGGGCAAGAATATGGAGGTTCAAGTAGTGATCCTGCTTGGTAGAAGAATGGTTGTCCGTGTGGAACAAACAAAGATGATATCAATTCCTTATTGAAAAAACATAAAGTAGACTATCACTTAATAAAAGCAGTTAGTGCTGTAGATAAAATGGAAAATATTTTTAAAAATTGCTTTTAAGAAAATTATGCTGAAACTATCGTTTTGACTAAAACAGCTGTTAATAATTCAAAATCAAAAAAATCTCTTTGTAAGAAAGACATAAAGCGTAAAGTAGCAGTTAAAGAATGTGATGATGATGACGATGATGATACTAAAGAAAAAGAAAAATGCATAGATGATAAAAAAGGAGAGAAAAAAGCTGAAGAAACTGAAGAAGGTACAATGTGGACAGGAGTTCTTGGAGCTTTAAAGAAAAAACTAATGTGAAATTAGAAAAAGTTTTAATTAATTTAATAATAAAATACTTAATAATTAAAAATGTAAAATAAATATATCTATATAATATAATAAATTAAATTGATTGATTGATGATTAATGATATTTTAAATGTTAAATAACTAAATTTTATTAATTATTTCAAATTAAATAAATTTATATTTTAGAATTTAAAATTAATTGATAATTTTTAGTTTTAAAGTTTGGTGATTGAATGAAGAAAATAAGTATTTATTTATTTGTTTATAATTTCATAATTAATTCAATTGATTGTTTGATTTATTTATATTTTAATAATTAAAAATAGTTTTTAATTTGAACATTTAAGGATTTAATAAAGATGAATAAGAATTATTTATTATTCTCTTGATATTTTAAAGGATAAATTAGACATTAAATGTTTGAGATTCAATCATATTAATAATTTTTTAAGAGTTATATTTTGTGGACATTTATTTAATGAAAACAACAAGTATTTATTTATATATTTTTTAATTTATTAACATGGTTTTATCAATTAAATTAATTTATATTTTAATTATAATTTTTATACATTTAATTTATTTTTTGAAAAGCAAAAATTTCAAGAAACAAACTATTATTTACTTTTGAGTTAGTTTTAAATAGCTTCTTCTTTATTTATATTACAGTTTAGTTATTTTTAATTATTTTAAATCATTTGAAAACAATAATATGTTTGTCTGTTTGATTGTTTATTTTCCATTCTAACCTTAAGTTGTTATTTAATAATCTATACAATCAGCTTTCAATTTTTTCAATTTCTGCCAGGATTTTAGAAAGGGCAACACTCTTGTCAATTCTAATAATGCTTCCTTATTTATTTGGGATGAGAGTTATCCAGAAGGGGCAGTTTTATATGAGATAATCAATCATTTCTATTGCAGAACTTTTAGATATGATGATGTTGCTTGATTAAGTGAGATAATCAACAATAGAGGCATAAAACATGTTTGATACTTTACGTTAGATGTAATAAACCATTATAATTTCAACAACTTTTTTGATTTCAGGAATTCTTCTCTGCATTTCAGTTCCTTTAGATAAAGATTATCTAAGTTTTTCCTCATTAATTTTTTCTTCTTTAGCCTTGATAAGCTGGTAAAGACGATCACTCAAGCCTGTCTTATTTTCTTTTGTGGAAATATAAAGACTCTTTTCAATAAGCTCTTTTCTTTGTTTTTCTTTTTCTTCTTATTCTTCAGCCTTTGATTTCATTAAGCGAGCCAATATATCGTTTTTTACTTAATTCTTTTCCAAAGTTTCTTTTAGAGGTTCAACTTTAATTTCGAAAGGTTTCAATGGTAGAGCCTATTCTTCTAAATTGGGGACATCTTATAACTTGAAATCATCATGCCATCTAAAGTTATCTAACAACTCTTGCTCTAAATGCTCTCTAGCTTGAGATTTGAGGTACAAGTTATGGAAATATTTAACCTTTTCAACAAGTAAATTTCTAAGTTTTTATAAACGATCTGCTTTAGTTAAAACAACTCTGTTATCGTTTTCATCACAGGCAGAATTAACTAATAAATCCAATTATTCATGAGCTTATTTATTTTAGACCCACTTTAACTAGTAAGCTTAGGGGTACAAGTGAATAATTTACTAAATCTGTTTAAGGGAGATAGTGGCACGCATAGTTTGTTCCAGATTAAATTTAAGATCTTTGAATAAAGTTGGTTTGTTTCTATCTTTAAAGAATTATATACACTCATCAAACTTTGAAAAAGTTTCTAAAAGCACCTTGTATTTGTAGGGTAAGGCAAATTCTTGTTGATCACCTTTCAATAAATCCTCATATCTTTGCTTTATTGATGGTCCAGCAAGAATTTTCTGAGCTTTTTCATTATTTTAAACTGTCTATAAAATTTATTCAAATTTACTTTCAGCTTTATCTTCTTATTTAGTAATTTCAATTTCTGAATCAACTTAATTCAACTTTTATGTTTGAAGTTCAAATATTTCTTCTTTTTCATCAATCATTTTATTGGATTGCTCAACTTTTTGATTTAATTTTTAAATTTAATCAGCAGCATCCATTATTTTGCTTGAATCCTTTTCAACAGAAGAATTCATTTTAAGTGTTGAAAGAAGCTTTTCTTCAATCAAATCAATCTTTTTGGCAGAAGAAAGATTATTGAAATTTTAAATATTATCGGGTTTGTCTTATTAAGTTTTATTTTTGTTTAAAATTTTTGATATTAAATCTGTAGTGCTATTAGACAATGCAGATTTCTTTTTTAAATTCTCAAAATTTTAGAGTAGTTTAGCATTTTTTTACTGCTGTTGTTATTTTTATTACTCCAATTCTTCTTCTTTTTTGAGTTTTTGCTTTTGTTACTCATCTAAAAATTGTTTAAAGTCGATAGCAGGTTTTTAATTTGCTTAAATATCTATTTGCAAAGGCTTATCTTCGACTTACATAATATTAGAATTTCCTCCAATAGTTATAGTGTTTCCAGAAGGAATTTAACTAAAATCAGAAGCTAATTTGATACTCTTTAAATGATTAATTCTTTCATAATCTATTGTTGTATTTGTTGAGGCAGTTGATATGCTTGATTGGTTATGATCTTTTTCATTATCAATATCATGCGAGATAAAGGTTTTGTCATTTCCATGGATATCATAATAATCATCAATTTTAGAGTTTTTACCATTTAATTTTTTTTTTCTTGTTTCCTTTCCTTTGACAAATTCAGTAATTGGAGTAGCAAGCTCTATTTCTTTTTTAGCTCCTCCTCTTGTTCTAGTTTGTGGAGCTTTTCTTACTTCATTAGTAGCTGGAACCAAGGATTGAGTTAATGTTTATTGTCTTAAACTCATCTTTTGTCTTACTATTATTAGTTTTGTATTGATTATTTTCTTCTGAATCTAATAAATAAGAGGTTTGCTTCTTTCTTTCTTTTTGAATAATTAATTATGTGGCTTTATTTCAATGGATTTTTATTTTGTTATAAGAATGTTTGCGCCAAATTATTCGAAGTTGTGCCTTATTATTTATAATTTTTCTTTGTAAATTTTGTATAATTTAATAAACTAATAAAGAAGTGTTTTATTAATCTTTGTTTTTTCCTAAAAAAAGATTTGCTTTTTTGCCACCAAAATCAATTAAAAACTCTTTAGAGCGCGCTTATCTGCACAAATTTTCAAAATTTAAATAGAAGCATAATTCTTGAAATATCTTTTATATTTTTCATCATTAAAACATTAACGTTAAAATTTTAAAAATAACAAAAATGTCAATTTATTTTATTAATAAAGTAGCAATCAATAAATTGTATTAATTAAATCAAATTTACAAAATCTTTTTTTTAAATTCAAAACTATTTTTATTTGAATTTTTTTAATTGAAATCAATCAAAAAATATTATTTTTAAATAATGAGTTATAAGAAAGATAATATTTAAAATATTCACTAAAAACGTTCTAATTGAACATAAATAAATGTTAGATTTTATATTTTTATAATTTCAAAACAATAAAATAAAAATATTTAAATTTGAAAGGTAAATATGATATTTTATAATAGATTGTGATTTATTTTATAATAGAAAATCAGATATTTTTTATCAAAAAATTATTTTTCTATTTCTCAAAATTTGTACTTGAAAAAAATAGAAAAAAATTAAAAAAAATGTTTACAGAATTTAGTAGAAATTAAATAATGGCTAATAAAAGCAAACAAACAATTTTTAGTTAAATTTTTCACAAATGTTCAAATAATAGTTTTGGTGAACAAAATTTTATATTTTTTGGCACAGTTTAAATTAAATAATAAATAAATAAATACAATCGATTAATCAATAATTATAATTAAAATAGCACATAAAAAAATACTACTTTTAAGATCAAAAAATTAAAAAAAAAATGAGTGAGTCACTGATTAAAGCTTCTAAAGTAAAATTAGATATAGAGAAATAAATATCAGATCTTGATTCTTCTAAAGCATACATCGTATACCATTCAGATAAGGAATTTTTGAACCTCTTCGAATAATCAAAAAAGAGATTAGAAAATGATACACAGATGATAATTAAGTAAATTGATGAACTTCAAGCTAGCATTTCATAGATACAAATATAAATATAAAATGATTACAATATGTCAACAGAGTCCAAATAAATTTAAAAAAAGTAATTATATTCTTTCTTTCTATATAAAAATTATTAGATCATTACAAGCAAGTTAGTTAATTTATTTTCAAGCTAAGTGACAAAAAGTTAATAAAACATTTGTTTAAAAATTTTTAGGAAAGCTCAAAATATTGAAGGATAAGTCAGAGAACTATAAAACTATTTAAGGAGAATTAGCGTCAAAAAAATGGATGCATTAAAATCAGAAAAAGACAAATACTATCTCTATGGAAATAGCAAACTAAGCTAAATTGAAAACAATACAATTAATCTGCAATTATAAAATAAGGAATAAATCACATAAAATTCAAGGTTGACAAACAAAATGATTGATGAAGGAGTTTTGCTTCTCTAATCATTTAAAAACCAGTCATAGTCTTTAAAAGTAAAAACTTAACTATTATATTATATTTTTGGATATTAATTAATTGATGATTTTTTTAACAAAATTATAGTCAATACACAAGAAAGTAATTAATATAGTAAATGAGTTAGGAATAAGTAACTAAGTAGTAAGAATGATAGGGCAGAGATCTAGTACAGATAATATTATCATTTGTGTCTTATTTGTTGTCTTAATGATTTTCATTGCTATTTGCTATTATATCATTCGTCCTATGGTAAAAGGATATAGCGAGTGACAAATTATTAATAATAACAACAACAACTATTATTGATTGATTTTTAAATAACTTTTATGAATGAAAATTTAAACAAACAAACAAACAACTATCTTATCAAAATTATATAAAAACACATTCTTAATTTTAAATACTTATAACCTATCCTTTATTCTTTGTCTTACATTTTTAATATATTTATCAAATTTATAGCTTGTTGCTTACACAAATTAATTTAACAACACAATTTTTAACTTAAATTAAAGTTTAATTTTATTTATAATTCATTTTACGTTGTATTAAGCTTAGAGTTTGAGAATTTAATGATAAAAAATTTAATCTTTATAATTTATTATTTGGAGTTAATATTTTTTATTAATAGTAAAGTACTTATTTTTTTCTACAAATATCAGAAATAAATAGGATAGTAACAGAAAATATCTTTTTAAAATTAGCTAAAAATAAATTAATTCTTTGCTAAAAAATGATATTTATTTACTAATAATTGATAAAGTTGTGTTCTCAATAAAAAAGTATTTTAAAATATAACTAGTTTTATTTAATTTTAATATTATTAATCAAAATACATTTTTTAAATTTAATTAATTGACTCAAAATTGAGCAATAAAAAATTTAAATTTAAACAACAAAATTAAATATTGTAAAAGTAATTTTTATTTAAATAAATAAGAATTGTTAAAATTAAAATGTTTTCATTTTATTTCTTGATAATTATTGAGTTTTAGATTTTGTTGAAAAATGTTTTGACATATTTTCAATATAATTGTAATTTTTTTGTTGTTGCTAAATTAAGAGAAACTATTTGCTAAAAATTAAATTATTCTGATGATGGCAAAAAATTTTGTTAAATAAAATGAATTACTTTAAATGTTAAAATAGTATTGATTGAAATATAAATTCTTTTTTTTTCATTTTAATGCGCTTATAGATTGTAAAGATTAATAATTTTTATGATAGTTTTAGTCTAAAAAAGTTAAAACTCTAATTTACCTGATGAGGCGTTGAAAAAATACTTGGTGGTGCACGTGCAATTTAATTTTTAGATGTAAGAAACTGACTTAGTTTAAAATACAAATAAAAGAAATTGATTGATTTACGAGCTAATTTAGAAATTTAAGTAAAATTCAATCAAGAAAATAAGGTGATTTAATTTGGCAATATAAGTGAAGCATATAAGCAAGAAAAAGAAAAAGAGAAGAAATTAGATTTTATTTGTTTGCATCTATTATTCGAAATAAATTAAATTATAAAAAAATTGAGGATATTAAAAAGATACAAACAGGTTAATAAGAAAAAGAAAGCATCAAAAGAAAATTAATTTCAATAAACAAATAAAAAGCTTATTAAAAGTAATAAATAATTAATTTAGGAATTAAGATAACAATAATATTAGAAAACAAATAAATAAATAAACAAACAAACAAGTTAATATATAAAAGACAGACAAATAGATATATACATATAAACGAACAAATAAAATCAAATAAATAAAGATTCAATTAATTATTAGCAAATACATTAGGAATATACATTAAAAAGTAATTAAAACAACAAAAAAGTTATTTAAAGTCAAAGATGTCAACAGCTGAAACTCTTATACCTTACCACCCAGCTGTAAATCCTGTTGAGTATGAAAACCTGGCCATTATACTTCTTGTAATTGGGTTTTGTATGATGAGTTACTTCTTCATGTAAATAGTTTTTTATTAATTTACTTCAAATAATTTGATAGCAGCAAATAATTTTTGATAGAAACCAGCCAGACATACTCACTCTAACCGTTATTTTTTTAATTTGAAAAAACTAGATATCAAATAACATACAATAAGAGAAACAGATCCTTGTCAAAAGAGGTTATAATTGGCGTTTTCTCAAGTATATTCTTAGCTTTAGGCACATTTTTCCTTTTCCTCGCTTTAGGATTTTATCTTTGAAAAACTCACTAAATAAATATCTAAAATGAGCTTCTTTCAAAAAAACACGTATTGAATTAAATAGCGTAAAACAAAGAAAGAAAGAATTCATTCACTCATATAATAAAATAATTTAAAAAGCTTATATAATATCTTCTCATAATATAATAATTATATAATCTAATAATACAAACATTTATGTGCATTAAAGAAAGTGCAGACAGAAAGACAGAAAACCAGTCATTTAAATACCTTATAAATTAAAAAGATAATCTATGAATGAATACCCTTACAGTCAATCAGTCAGTTAACCAGTAGTCAATCAGTGAGCCAATGACTAATTTTAATAATTTCTTTCAATATATAATCTTCTAAAAATATCTCTTGAATTTAATAAATAAGTAAAAATGTAATGTCAGGAGGTTAATAACAACAAATAAGTAAGTAACTAGCTAACTAACTAACTTAATAAGTATATAAATAAATAAATAGATAGATAGATAATGGGTGTATTTATATTTATTTTATTTTATTAAATCTTAATTATTTTATTTTTATCATCTAATAATAAATATTATTAATTTAACGAATGTTTGTAAAATATTTGAACTAATAAGATATTCTTTACTTCAACAAACTTGTAAGTTTTAAAATTAAGTTAAATTAATTGATAGATATTTATTTATTTATTAATTAATTGGTCAACTTTTAATATATATATATCATAAAATATTTATAGGTTTTCTATATGAACTGTAACATAAATTTAAATCAAATTTAAAAAACTTAAAACTACTCAGTAATAAATAATATTAAAAATAGTATTTTGGAATAGATAAAACTCAAATTTGATGTTCTATTCTTTCTCTTCTTGTATTAATATTGTTTCTTTACATATATCTACTGATCGGCGAATAGGTATGTAGGGGGGCTTCCGTGCTAGAAAAAGTTTGCTTTAATTTAATCTATAACATTAATTATTTAAAAATTCAGATTGATGAAAACCTCAGATTTTTTTGCACATTTGCTAGAATTTCATGATTCATTTAAATAGAATTAAATACTAGAAAATTTATTAATTTATTTATTCTCTTGATCATTTAAAACACATCACTCTTAGTTCTAAAAAGAGAATTGCTACCATAAATTTTTTTTTTCTTGTTTATTACTCTTGTTGCATTTTGGAAGCTTAAGTAGTTTATGTGTTCCATAAAATCTATTGGCATATTTGATAAAGAATTAATTAATTATTTAATAAATAAATAGCTGGAAGGCAAAAAATAATAAATTAATCAACAGAGTTATTCAGAAAACAATATCAAAATAGAAATCTTTTATTTTTTATAAGATAATTTTAATAAATTTAAAAGGTTTAAGTAAAGTCATAGCTTGAGCATTTTCAATATGAATTAGTCCTAGAATTAAAACAACTTGTAAAATTATCCAGGATTGGATGTGTCAGATAGGGAAAAAGTTGAAATTTTTATTTCCTGTAGATCTCTCACTGACAAAGATGTGCTTTCAAAGAGTGATCCATTTGTCATAATGTAAATCTAAAACCCATAGACAAAGTAATGGGGAGAGCTTTTTCGCACAGAAGTGATCATGGATAACTTAAATCCAAATTTCTCAAAGTCTTGCATAGTTGACTATATATTTGAAATACAACAAAACGTTAGATTTTAAGTTTTTGATTACGATGGCCCTAATTCCAGTGACTTTATTGGAGAAGTGAATTCAACTATTGCTTAGATAGTGGGTTCAAAGAATTAAACTCTCATTCTTGATCTTAAAGACCATCACGGTAAATATGGTGGAAAAATAATTCTAAGAGCTGAAAAGGTTAATTTAGTTAATGATGAAATCGTATTAAGAATTAAGGGTAAAAGTATTAAAGATTTGCGTTTCTGGGGAAAGTCTTGTCCTTTCCTTATATTTTACCGCTCTAGTGAAAACAAACAACCTATAAAAGTTTTCTAAACAGAGGTTGTAGAAAGAAATTTGGATCCCCAATTTGCAATCATTAATATTAAAGCATAAAAGTTGTGCAATGGAGACTATAATATGCCAATAATTGTAGAGTGCTGGGATCATCATTCAAATGGTCAGCATGAATACATTGGGTAGACATAATTTTCAGTTGCCGAACTTACTTCCCAACAAAATAAGGAGTTTAAATTAATAAACAAAAAGAAGAACTCAAATGCAGGCTTTTTAGTAGTTTAGGAAGTTAGATTAATTGAAAAACCTTAATTTTTAGATTATATTAGAGGAGGTACTCATCTCAATTTAGTTTGTGCAATAGATTTCACTGGCTCTAATGGAGTACCCACTCGTCCTGAGAGTCTTCATGCTATTAACTAATATGGATAATTAAACCAATATTAACAAGCTATACAATATGTAGGCGAAATTCTTTTGAATTACGATGAAGATAAGATGGTCCCTCTATATGGTTTTGGTATTTATTTATTTATCTATCTATGAATCATTTAATTAATTTCCTTTCAAATTTTAATTAATTTTAAATGAGAAAAATTTAAATTAAGCAATTCCTTAAAATAACATCAGAAAAATTATAATTATTTATTTTGATCTAAACTATTTTTTCAATTAATTATTTTGTGAGATCAAGAAAATAAATAAACAATTTATTTTCTTGTATCTTAGGGTTTTGTCTTTTTTGCAATTCTTAGTATCTTTGTAAAATATAAAAATAGGAGCTAAGCCTAAACTTCCTCACTTTAATTACACATAAACTCTTCACTGCTTCCCTATTAATGGAAATCCTATGAGTCCTTAAGTTTATGGCCTAAAAGGAATGATGGATACCTATGCAAATTTCTTAAATTTCGTAGAGTTATCAGGACCCACCTTATTTAATCCTCTTATATAAGAAACAATGAAATTAGCTTAACTAAGCAAATAACAAAATGACAACAATTATTACATTTTATTAATATTGACTGATGGTGAAATCCATGATATGGATTAAACTACCACTTCAATAGTTTAATCAGCACTTTTACCTCTAAGTATCATCATAGTTGGTATAGGCAATGCTGATTTCAATAATATGGATATACTTGATGGTGATAACGGGCTAATTGACTCAAATGGTAATAAATTCAATTTATTTCTTTTTATCGTTTTAAAAATTTACTTTTTAACAAAACTAAAGGTCGTAAGGCCCAAAGAGATCTTGTTTAGTTTGTACCATTCAACAGATACAAAAATAACCCATAAGCCCTAGCTCAAAACGTCCTTGAAGAACTACCAGATTAAGTAGTCGAATATTACAGACTTGTAGGATAAAAGCCCGTTCAACCTGTGTATCAAAGAATGCAATCTATTCAAGTTTAAAACGTTCCATAAGCTAATTAACAATTTGGATAAAACCTAATAAAAGCTGGATTTATGGATAACATAATTAACAATGCTATGATGGATTCATAAAGATAAAACCCATAAAATTATCCTCCCCCTCCTGGAAATTAAAATCTCTAAAACTATCCTCCACCTCCTTCTTAACAATATTATTAAAACTATCCTGGCTAAAATATGAATTTTTCATATAATTAAGGTCAAGTTGCTCCAAACTAGCCATACATTCCAATGAACAACTCTGTAAATTAAAACCAACCATAAAATAATTATATGAATTATCCTCAAAACCCATAGAATTTACCAAATTATAGCCAAATCGTTGCCCCTCCTCCACCTCCACCAATGTGATTAAAATTTAAACAAACATATTTTTATGTTTTTTCTTTAACTTTATAAAAGTGTAAATTAATTACAATATTAAGTTAATCTAGTGTTTAAAGTAATTTTATAATAACCTGATTATTAATTAGTTCTTAAACGTATAAATAAAAATGTATCATACAATCGAATAATAAAAAAGTATTTATTTACTTACAAAAAAATAAAATTAAGTTTTAATTTCTGATGTAAACAAAGTATTTGTAACTATAAATAAATATATTATATTATTTTCAAGTTTTAAATCCTCTAAACCAGACCGAAAATCTTTATTTAGCATATCATTATGAATGAATGATTGGTTACTTTTATCAAATCAAATTATTTTTATAAAATTTAAATTAATTTTTAAACCCTAACTTAATAAAGAAATTGTAACTATTTATATATATAATTTTAAATTAAATGCCCTTTTAAACTTTTAAACCATGTCATCTTTATGGAAATATTTATTCTTTTAAAATGATTAAATTTATTAATAAATAAAATATTTATTTTACAAAAAAAAAAATAAATTACTTTAAAAAATAAATAAAATTAATTTTTAAATTCTAATTTAAGAGAAGATTTTGTAACTATTTTATATATTGTATTTTTGTTAAGTTATATATTCTTTTAAATGAGTCCATCTATCTTTATGAAAATATATTTGTTTTTAAACATATCTTTATGAATGATATTTTATTTATATTTTTTTTCAGAAACCTTGAATATTTAAAATGCCCTTTTGGATCAAAACTTATATTTTTTTAGCTAAATCTTTATCTTTTTGCATAACAGAATGAAAATCTACTTTTTTTTGTGTTTACAAGAAGTGAATAAATTATTGAACTTTAGGATCTTGTAGAGCTTCTTATACCTAAGCATCATTTTAAATTAAATCATTTATTCTTTTTTAATCTGGATCCAATTTTTCTACTTTTTAGAGTAAAGGCTTTTCTTATTCTTTCTTACTAGCTTCTTCTTTATCTTTAGATGATAAATCCTGGAAGTGATTGCCCATCACTTTGCAGAATTCTTAGAAAATCATCATAAATTCAGGGTTTTTACCATATCTTTCCATAGCCTCTTTTGGCTTTGTTTACATTAAAGAAATTGCTTACATATATTCTGGGTTTGTAAATAACTTAGCTATTAAGGGATTAGTTGCAATCTGGTTAAGGAGTTAAGGATTCATCCATTAATCTTTTGTGTTATTTAAAGTATCGTTGAGCTTCATTGCTTCCTGCACTTCTTTAATTTCAAGTTTATTTTTTTTTTATTCTTCCTTATTTACTTTTACTTCTATTATTTCTTCCTACTTTTTAGCAGCCTTGGGAGCAGGATTAGATAAAAATCCTTTTGCAAAACCTCCACCAAACAATCCATCTTTTTTTGAATCTTTTGGTTTCTTAGCTTCTTCTTCTTTTTTTCTTTTTTCTTCTTCTGCTTTTAGTTTCATTTTTTATTCCATTTCCTTAGCTAGCTAATCTGATACTTCCTTTTATATTTCTTCTCTAGTCTTAGTGTAATCACCTACGTTTAATGTGCTACTCTTTTCTTCTTTTGGTCTTGCTTTCTATATGACTTCTGTTAAGTCATCAAGTTCAGGAGGCATTTCATCATCACTCATTTCCTAATAATTTCAACTTTTTACAGATTTCCTTTATATAAATTTATTAAATTAATTTATTTGAATTTAAAAAAAATATAAATATTTTTCGCATACAAATTTTATTAAAAATCTTTAGAACTTTTTTAATAATTCATTTATTATAATTCAGAATTTATTTTTTTAATTTATAAAAATAAATGTTATAAAAATCAATCAGCATTCATTTAAATAAATTCATTAAATCTTTAATTTTTAATTTAAAATAATATTTTTTTTTAGATTAAATATTTATAATTTTCAATTTTTTTTGTTATGTTTAATAACTTTTAAAAAGAAATAAAAATAGATCATCAGAATCTAGTAAAGTAGAAGTAATTATGAAGCAATAATTTTGTAAGCATAAATTAAGTTTCTTAAATTCTAAGAAAAAAGTAATTGACAACGATTAAATCTAAAATTTGATAATGCGAATTATTAATATCCTATATTTTAATTAAACATAAACCAGACACCTCATCTATAAGAATATCCCTTCTTCTATGCAATTCTAAATATATCTTTAAGAAAGTAAGAAAGTAGGATAACAGTTAATTAAATCATCTAAAATTATTCATACTACTAAATTTTACTTTTCAAACTTAGTAAAATAGGTAGTCATCATTTTTGACTGAATAGACAGAGATCATCAAGAAAGGATTTCTTTTATATAGACTAATTAAGTTTTCTAAATTTAATTTATTTATTTATTTATTTTTGAAGTAATACATACTTATTTTTACTAAATGCTATGCAAAGATAAATAATAATTAGTTGCCTATTAAGCAAAAAGCTTTACTACATTAGGCTATTTAAAGAGAATGGTGTTTGCTATATAAGAATAAATATGTGATTTTATGAATTTATATATCTAAATTAAATCATAAGTTGAAATGTGATAAACAAATATTGACGAAGATGATAAATTAATTCGTTGATTCTACTTTTTAAAACAAATTTAGATTAAAGATATTATAAATGTAAGAATTCATAATTCTTATGAATACTTAGCATGTAAAGAATTTTTTAATGAAATCCTGAAAAGAAGATAAAAATAAATCCCTCATGTAATTAAAACTTTGAGATTACAATATATGGAAATAAGAGGATATGTAATAATCAGGTGAATAGTGCGAAATATTTTTTTATATTTTATTAAATTATATGCAACAATAGATTTCTAATACAAATGATAATAAATTATGCTTTTATTAATGTATTCACCAATACAAACTGGTCATCTTTAGTAATTAATATCATCAAAAATTTATATAAATAAGTATCTTTCAATATCAATTTCTTTAATAATACTTAAATATCTAAAATATAAATTATTGTAAAAAAATAACAAAATATTATTAAATAAAATGGAAGGAAGATCAGTTTTTATTGTTGCAGCTAAGAGAACACCTATTGGTTCTATCGGAGGAAAATTAGCAGCTCTTAGAGGACCAGAGCTTGCTGCAGCTGCTATTAAAGGCGCCTTATAATCTATTAACTTAGATCCTAAGCAAGTTGAAGAAGTTATCTTGGGTAATGTTTGCAGTGCTGGTGTTGGGTAAAACCCCGCTAGATAAGCCGCTCTTGCTGCTGGTAACTTTGAAAACTTTCACAATAAAGAAAAAACTAAAAGTTGATTAATTTTTCATCTAAAAAAATATAGGTTTACCAATTGGAGTTAATTGTTATAGCGTCAATAAAGTTTGTGCCAGTGGTATGAAAAGTGTCATGCAAGCTAGTCAAACTATTCAATTAGGATAGGCTGATGTTATTATCTGCGGTGGTTTTGAGTCTATGAGCAACGTTCCTTTCTACGTTACTAATGTAATTAATTCGATTTATTTTCTTTAAAAATAAAAGATATATTGATCATAAATAATATTTATTATTAATAATAATAGCATAGAAAGGGTCAACTCTTTGGAAACTAAACATTAGTTGATGGTGCTGCTTTTGATGGATTAACTAATTTCTATGACAATAAGGTATTTACTTAAACATTATGATGCGAATTAATTTAATATTTTTTATTTATTCAAATAGGCTATGGGTTTTTGCGCTGAAAAGACTGCTGCTGACTTAAAAATAGACAGAAAGCAAAATGATGAATATTGTGTTGAATCTTATGAAAGAGTCTTAAAGGCTTTAAAGACTCCTGAATTCAAAAATGATATAGTCCCTGTTACTGTTTAAAATAAAATTGTAATTAATTTTTAGAAATATTAATGATAAGATTAAAAATATTATGTATATATATATTTTTATAGGTTGATGCTGATGAAGAACCTTTAAGATACAATAAAGCTAAGATTCCTTAATTAAAACCAGCTTTTACTCCAAATGGTGTCAACACAGCTGCTAACTCTTCTAAATTAAATGACGGTGCATGCATTTTAAGTACTTAATATTAAATAATAAAAATTATATAAATTTAATAAATTTATTTAAAAAGTCTTAATGAGTGAATAAAAAGTAAAGGAATTGTAGATTAAACCTTTAGCTAAGGTTTTAAGTTATGCTGATGCTGAAGTAGAACCAGTAGATTTTTGTATAGCCCCTTCTGTCTCTGGTGAAAAGGCACTAAAAAGAGCTAATTTGACCTTAAATCAAGTAGATTTGTTTGAATTCAACGAAGCATTCTCAGTTACAGCTATTGCCAACATGAAAATATTGAATGTTCCTCATGATAAAGTTAATGTTAATGGAGGTGCTGTTTCTCTAGGTCATCCTATTGGGTAAATTTCATTAAAATTAAATATATTCTTATTTTTTTAAAATTAATTAGTATGTCAGGTGCTAGAATAATTTAAAACTTAATTACTGTTCTTCGTCAAAGAAATGGAAAAATTGGTATGGCTGGTATCTGCAACGGAGGTGGTGGTGGTTCCTCCTTTATTCTTTAGCTTGTATGAAAATATTATCTAAAGATATTAAAATTGTATTTTTTATATGCTTAAATTATATTTCGTATTAATTTTAACAATTCAGTAAATTTTTTATTAAATAAATTTGAGTCAAGTTTAAATTCTGTTTTTTTATTAACTAAAATATTTTAAAATTGAAAATCAAAATAAAATTATCTAAATTTTGATTTGGGGTTAAAGTAAAATAAATAGAGGAAATACTAAATTAATTAATTGTATTTGGCTAATTTATGTTTTTAGTAAATAATTAAAATGAGAAAATATTTATTTTTAAATAAGTTAGCCAAATAAAATAAAATTTTATATTAATGATAAAATAATATTTTAAAATTATATTTAACTATACAGAAAGATAAAATAGGTAACGAAAACTATGGGAGAATTATCATATAATCATCAAAAGAGATGGCAATACCACTAAAAGTAATAAATATTTATTAATAATAAAATTTTATTCTAAAAAAGACTAGATTATGCAATTATAAGTCAATAAAATAAACTGCAAGTAGCAAAATGAAAATTTTATATGATTTTAACTGTAGTTTAACTAAAATATTATCCAAATAAAATCATATTGAGGTATTTTTTTTTTTCATCCTTTTTGCATTACTAAAAAATATTAGCAAAGTTTTAACGAAATTTTTAAGGAAAAGTTTTTTTTCGATCTATTTAATTGTTTTGAATAAATAATAAATTAAAATTAGATTTTGTAAGAATTTGTATGTTTTAGAAATTACTTACTTTACTATCTTACAAAAATTCAATGTAAGAAAAATATCATCAAATATAAAACTGAATTATTGGTAATTTTTTGTCTAGTTTTTTTGATAAAATTTTGTTTGTTTGTCTTACATTAATTAGTTTGTTTTTTTTTATTTAAAATAATCTGAGCGAATAAAGCAAAAATTTTGATATATTTTGATAAACAATGAAATAAAATTTTTCTAATAAAGTTATGAAAATCTATCTACAAATGATAGATTTACTAAACAGAAATAAATATAAGATTTTAAATAAATTAGGCTAAAAATTTAATATAAAATTTAAATAATGCAATTTTATTAAAATTACATCATCATATGTTTGCAGCTAAGAGTTATTATTTGTTTTTGTTTGTCAGGATTTGTTAGAGATTTTTTTAAAGTTAATTAATTTTTGGCGAAAGTGATTTAAGTGGTCATAGATAGAATTTATGATAAAATCTTCCTTACAATTAATTGCTCTATTTTTTTTCTGTTAAATCGAAATTTGCAATAATTGAAAGCTTTTATTTACAAATATACTCTGATAACTCACTTCTTCACCTCTGGTTTGATAAAGTTAATATAATTAATTGTATTTGATACTTGTTTTTGTTTTTGATTAAATTATCAATCATTATTTTAGTATATTAATCATTCCGAATTCAAAGCAAGATAAATAGATAGATACTTAAGTTAGGTTTTGAAATTATCATTTATAAAATTTATCTTAAAAAATTTCAGATACAGCACTATATCGAAAATCAAAAGTATCAATTTTGAAGCTTGATTTAGTTCTTTTTTCTTCTAAAGCTTTGATTATGTTTGGGTTAAATTGGTAATTAAAGATGATCATTGAGTCATAAAGGGTAACTCCTGGACAAATTTCATACCCACATAAGTTGATCTTTGATAGATGCAATTAACATGGTAATTATTCTCCATCCAAGCATGTTACTACAGATTAAAGCGTTATTTCATCAAAAGAAAATTTATACATCATTTCCTGCAAAGATCTCATATCTAAAATATTGGGAAAACATTTTCTGATAAAAAATATGTTGGCTTCCTAAAGCTTATTGTTCGATATAAGGTTTACCAATGCGTCAGATGCTATATTGGCACAGTATTTTTCGGTTAGAGTTTGTGGACAAATGCGCCTTATCACAAAACTTATATATTAATTTTCTAAATTTAATATCTTTTTAATATATTGCAAGGCTTTCTCAAAAGAATTTTCATAGTTGCGATTTAAATCTTCTCTAACTTTCTCCCAGTTATAAATAGATTTTAATTTTTTGGAAAAATTGTACATTTCTTAGAATACATTTTATAATTCTTGTAAACGATTCGCCACATTATAAGCAGTAATGTGTTAAGCATTTACTAGTCTATTAATTGCTATTGTATGATCTTATAAACCAGTTTCCGTTATTTCAAGTAAATATGCAGTAAAATTGTTGTATTTCATATATGTGCTAGTGGGTCTTATCAGGCACAACTTACTCATGTGTTCAAAAGCTAACTAATCTCCATCTACGTCATCAATATTTCGTCCAAATAAATCTGCAAGAATAAAAAAATCATAGCACAGGTGATAGAATTCTTTTGTCAAAATGGACTTATTAAATTTAAATGAAATGTATCCCATTTCTTTTTTGACAAAAGCTAGCTATTTATTTTCTTCACTGCTATTTTTCTTATCGATAACTTTCAATTATTTGCCCTATTTTGCTCTACTCTCAGCTGATTCATCAGTATTTTCTATTTCTAATAATTATTCATTATTTGTGTTCTATGAGAAATACTATGATTCTGTAGATCTAAATCCAGTTGATTCTTCGTTCTCCTCTTCTTCTATATTAGATTATATATACTATTCTTTTCCATATCTATTTTTTAAAATGCTTTATTCTTCTGAGTCAGGATAAAAGCAAGGAAATTCCATGTCTTTCTTTCTTTTTTTTATTTACTTATTTATTAATTTGTTTGCTTGTTTGCTTATTATTCTTCTCTTTTGTAAAAATTTAATTACTTTTTAGTAAAACCAAATGATTATCTTTTTGGTTTGTTAATCTTAATGTTTAATTCTGCTTTTATAAGATCAATTCCTTATATTAATTACTGTACACATAAAATATTGTTGGTGATATCATATCAATCAATCAATCAACCCTGTTTAATTTATTTTTTTAAATTCATTCACTCATTAAGAATTAAAAAATGTAAAGCAAGCTAGCATTATCATATCTCTGCTTAATAGTCAAATTAATATATTTAAAGTTTTTTTATCTCTCTTGATAATTTGCAAATATAAAAAATATGTAAATACAAATATAATTCTGGTCTTTTATGTTTCTGGTAAGATAAACCAAAAAACATTTAATTAACTCTAATTAGTCATTAGTTAATACATTAATAATATTTTTTTTAAGTAGTTTAAATGGATTTATAGCAAATTAAAATTTAAAACGTGATTATTAATAAGCATAAAAATTTGATTTCTAATAAAAACTCTTAACAAATAACTTTTCCTTTTTTTAAGATAAAAGAATAGCTTTGAAAAAATTATTATATTTTGATTTTTTATAAGTATTTTAGTTGGTTTTGAAAAATAAAAATTATTTAAATAGCTGTTAGTTTTTATTTAAAATTAATTTTAAATTGTATTTTAAACTAAAAGTTTCGATACAAAAAAGCAAAGAGTAATTTTGAAATATTCATTTTATTTTTTAATATTTCTTGCTAATAATAAATCATTAAAAGTAAAATTGATAATTTAAATATATCAGAATAGAATTAAAATTAATTTTACTTAAAAATTAATAAAATTATTTAAAACTGCTGATTTGACCAACAATTTCAAATCAAATTTATAGAAAAATAAAGTTAAACCTAGATAAAAATATATAAAATAGATATTAAATTATAAATGACAAATTTAATTAACTAGGAAATCTTCTTTTTACTCCTAAATTAATAAAAAGATTCAGCTTTTTAAGTAATTTATTTGGTTTTTTTAATAAACATATTTTAGATTTAAAGTAAATTCCACACATTTATTTAGTTAAATTTAAAAAATTTTTTTATTAATTATTTATACTTTAATTCAATCAATAGAATTTATTAAAAGTCTTTTAAAACAATCTTATTATAATGGAAAATCTAAAATTTTAAGTTACATGAGTGTTATACATCAAAAATATTTCTGTTTAGCCTTTGAGATTAAATTATTTCATTTTAAATATCTAGAAAAAATTTCCCCCACCGGGACTTGAACCCGGGTCTGAAGGGTGAAAACCTTCTATCCTAACCTGCTAGACTATAGGGGATATATGATAATTAATAAAAAAATAATCTTATTTTTTTTATTTTACTATTTTAATACTTATTATTAGAATATATGTTAAATTAATAACCTAAAATTTATAAATAATTTTACTAAAATCCTTATTTATACTTAACCAATAACCAAATAATAGCAACATATTTGTTAGCATAATTCTTATAATTCTAAACAAAGAAAGGATTAAATAACAAACAATTCATTTGATATTTTCACTAATGCTTAAATCTTATTTAACTTCTTAATTAGTAATAAATTTAAAAATAAGCTGTACTTAATTTTAATTCATAATATAAAATAGAGAATATATCTAAGTACCTAATTATCCTATGTTAGCTTCATTAATGAATTAAATGAGGAAATTAGAATATAAATTAAAAGAATAAATAAACAATATTTTATTACAGGATGAAGTTGTTTAAAGTAAAATTATGTCATAAGTCTTTATAAAAACAAAATAAAAAAATTATTTTAAATGTTTTTATCAAATTATTTATTTAATTAATCTTATTTTGATAAAATACAAAAAAAAGTAAAATAAAAAAAATTATAGCCCGCCGTGGGGCTCGAACCCACGACCACAAGATTAAGAGTCTTGCGCTCTACCGACTGAGCTAGGCGGGCTATTCAAGAGTTATAATTTGATTTAAAAAGTTCTTTTTTTAATTTTTGTTAGTAAATTAAAATGTAACCAATCAGTGTACCTTAAATTATACAATATTAAATAAATAAAGAAATATTTAAATGTTTACTAGCAAAAAATTGAATAGCGAATAACTTTCAGATTTAATTGAATTTTGTATTTGAATTTTACCATATAAAAGTTCAAGAAAAAGAATTCTAAATCTTTGAAGATCTTTTAATCATTTTGTAACACTAAATTCTTTATAGTAATCAAAAAAATTAAGCTTAGAAGTAAAGTAGCAAAAAGAAAAAGAAAGGCATTAGTTGAATAAATAAATATGTTTATTTAAATTTGGAGGAAGTATTTTTTGTCGTTCTACATTTTTACAAAGATTCTTTAAGCTTGCTTAATTTGGTTTATTTTGCAAATCATTTAAGTAATAAATAATTTATCATCATTAATTTAATTCTACTATATCTATAAATTTATTACTAATCAAAAGGAATATGATATCTTACTGCTAGTTGTCTTCATAGGGTGCATTTTGTTTGAGAGGATAGCAACTTTCAATATAAAAGCCAATAGTATAAGCCTATCTAAATTATAATATATGTTTTACTTCCTTTTTTCGCTACTCCACATTGATGATATTTTTATGCTTATCTTTTATAAAAAATTCTAAAACTACTTCAGGACAGGACTAGGAACGTCTTGTTACGTTAGCAATTTAATTTACATAGCTATTTCGAGCAGTTTTATTTAATGGCTAAGTGAAAAAGAGGTTTTCTAACAGCCTTAAGTTTTAATTGGACTTATTCCAATATTATCTATAATAATCGTTGTTCACATTATTAAGTATTTAGTTTTTTTCAATAACGACTCTAATTAAATTGAGTAATTAAATACCACGTCTAAATTGGTTTTAAATTTACTCATTTAATGGATCCTAACTACTTCCTATTTAATGGGATTGATTATATGCTAGTCTATTCCCTTTTTTACTTATTACTGGTTTTCTTCCCTTGGACTATTTTTCCTTATTTTCTTGATTAAATTTAAAAATGAAATTATTTTTTCTGAAAAGGCGCTGTTTATGAAGGTTTCTGAAGTATTTATAATATGCATCTAAATTATTTACCATGTCCCTATAGATTTAAGGGTTTCTTACAATAAGTGTAATTTTGATTATATTAGAAGATTCGGGTGTAGTTTTATGAACTGGCTATTAACATTTTTTTTCTCTTAAATGTTATTCATCTTTTTGTCATATTTATTGACCATTAAATTCTATGAAGATTCCATTTAAAACCCTTATAAGATAATCTATTTAGTATTTATAGCTATTAGTTTAGTCGTTCATTTGAAGAGATTAATTACTATTGTAATTCAACCAATGATATATGGACCAAGAGTTATACAAATTAAACAAATCGACTAACTAATTAAATACAATAATAATCAGATATAAGAAAAATTTTAATAATTAGAAATAGTGTTTATAAATCTGACTGAATTTGGAGAAAATATAGAGTAATAATTACTATTTAGTAGTTTATTTAAATTTGGAAAAAGTGAAATAAGAATAAATACTTCTCATTACACAAGACTAAATATTCAAACATAAGAGAAATATAAATATTAATAAATAACGCTTTAAAGTAATTTATAAGAAAATATGCTTATAAAAGAACTTTAAAATAATAATATTTTACCATAAATTTGGGAAATTAGCTATATCAACAATTCATAAAATTAAATTTTACATTATTTAAGCATTCTTAAAATTTTTATTAATAATAACCAATATGTAAAAATTTCAACTTAAAAAATTGAATTGGATTTATACTAAAAAATTCTAGATATTCACTAAGCATTTATAATTAAAATCAGAGTAATTATATACCTACAAAGAATTGCTTTTTCAAAATCTTTTGAGAAGCAATTAATTTTTAATCCTCATTAAATATTCTATGATCTTTATGATATTTGAATAAAAAACTAAATTGTAATCAAATGTGTTAGAAAATTATTATTTTGTATATTTTTAAAAAGAGATAAAACAAATTTTCTTTTTATTTTATTGATTTATTTTTTAATAAGAATTAAATTTGGATTTTAAAGAGAGAAATATTATAGCAATTAAAATCTACTTAAAAATTTTAAAGCATCTTAATAAAATGTCAACATTTAATAAAAATAATAAATATAAACTAAGCAAAAATATAATTTTATGTTTTAATATTTAAATTCCCTTACATTTATTTTCTTCACATAAATAAAATAAAGCAAATTTAATAAAAAATATTTTTTTTTATTTTAAATCAAAAATTTTTATAAGATAAAACATAATAATTATGCTTGATTTTTATTTTAATTTGTTATTAAAGTTTCATATTTAACATAAGCAATTAAAACATATTTATTTACTTATTTCATATTATTAAAAAAAATTTTTTTTATAATCAATATTTTTGTACAGTTTTTAAATCATTGAAAATTAATGAATTTTTTAAATAATTTGGGGGAAAAAATAAAGGAAATTATTGAAAAAATCATTTAAAATAAAGGATAATTTAAGAATAAATTGCTTTTTTTTATTTTTTATAATTAGTATTAGAAAAGTAAGGAAAAAAAAAAATAAAGCAATTTATAACAGAACTGGACTAGTATTTAAGGTGAATTTTAGTGTAAAAGTAAACTTGGGTGTTTAAAATGTAATAATAATAAATAAAATTAAACTTAGCATTTTAATTAGGGTTTATCCTATTTGTGAGAGCTTTATAAGTAAATTGCATTTGGTGGCTAATTTATTAATAAATTGTAAGGATTTTTGTTTTTAATGAAAAAATTTTAATTAAAACAAATTTTTAACAAAAAGTATTAAAATGTTCTGTGGATGAGCTACGTTCTTATTTATTTTTTAATAGGAGCAACAGTTACTTTTAAGTATTACGTTTAAAGATTGAATGTGCAAAAACTTGAGCTTATTTTTGTACCTATTTTGCAGATTTTGTTTATCGAAGATATTTATTATTTGATTAGATTTGATAAATTTTCTTAGTATTTCAAGGGTGATGACAATGACGGATGGTTTATCAGATACATAATTATGATTTGCTCATTTATTCCTTAAATAATACCAATGCTAATTATGCTCGACTTAAATAAAAAAGAATGCTTATTCATTGTTCTGCCAATTATTTCTATTGTTTATCTCTGCTATTTAGCTTAAAATTATATTGTAATTAAAGAAGTCGAAATTTTTAAAATATAGATGCTAATTTCATATCCAAGAGTACTAATTACCTCTATTTAATCCTTTACCTTTTCTGGTATTTCTTTTTAACTAGGGTAGACACTTGAAATAAGATATATCTGGTTTACCATTTTGATATTAGGCTATATTTTGATTTTAGTGCAAATTGTAAGAATATGTTATCGCGCTGAAAGCAAAACTTTAGCAATATATCAAATGTTAATTACAATTAAGCTAATATTTGGTGTAAATGTTGATAATCAAAATGTATACATTAGTAAATTAGCTACTAGGATAAGAACCTACTTAATTGACATGGATAATGAATGTCTTGTATACTTTTCGTTTACCTCTATTGCACAGCTTATTTTATTTATAATTTAAAAAAATAACAATAATGAATCTTTAAGTTCAGTAGTAGTAATCCCTTGGTTAATAGTGTTATTTCTCTCAGTCATCATGTATACTTACAACTTTTCTAAAAATATTGTCTACGATAACTTGTTTGGTAAGGAAACTATTTGTATCACTTCTTTTAAATAGTTGAGGAGATGTCTCAGTTTACAAAATAGCTAAAATTTCTAAAAAACTAAAGTTATTTTATTAAACATTAAAAAAAATAAAAGTAAAATTCATTTAGCAATCCAAAATTGTCTGCTGAGCGAATTTAAAGGGTGTTAGATTATAGACATAAATAACAAATTTAAGAGAAAAGATCTAGTTGCAAATCTTTTTTAATAAGTTAGATTGAATTATGAATTTAAATTTAATCTAGAAGAATTTGAGAAGCATCTCAATGAAAACAAAATTGTAAAAGAAATAATAAAAATAAAATTTAATTAGATAGACGATAAAACATACATAAGATTGGTTAATCTCCTCTTACAAAAAAATCTGATTATTAAAATAGAATGTAAAAATAGCTATTTTGAAAGCTAAAGGCGTAATCAAATCAAAATCATTCATTAAAATTATTTAAACTTATACTATAATGTGACTTTAAATAATTAAATTGCATTTTATAAATATTATGCAGAGTTTATTCCACTCAATCCAGCCCTTGTTATATATGATTTATTATGTGAATGATCATCATACTATAATTTATATGATCATTAAACTCATAATATATAATATTTGTTTTATCAAGTTAATAAATAAACTAATATGTATAATAATTTGATAAATAATAATAAATTACACGAACAAAATCCTCTGGATTTAAAGTGTAATATATATATAATTTATAGCCAATGTATTGAATTAATAAAATTAATTTTTATATAAAATTTATTTCTGCAAATTTATTAACCAATTCATCAAGAGAGGATATTTATTTAAATTTAAATAACTTAAATACTCACATCATCTTTCCTTTATAATCAATAATTAGTGATTGAAATAATGAAGGAATTTTAGTCTTATTTTATCATTATAGAAAGTTTAATTATTTTTTATTAAATAATCATTAAAAATAATATTTTGATGGTAAAAATAAATTATCTGATTTAAAAATAAATTTTAAAAAAACAAACAAAATTTGTTGAAAAAGTTAAAAAGAAAAAAAAAAATGGATTTAAAAATGTAAGATTAAATTCAATATTTATCTGAAGATAGCATTTTCTTGAAAAGTGAAATCCTAGATTTACTAAATCAAATACAAAAAATAAGACAAGATTTGTCTGAATTCGAATTTTATGACAATTAAATTTATTAAATAAATTTCATTGCAAAAAATTCTAAAACAAATTAAAATTCAATGCTATCTATATTTTAAAAATATAGATTAAATTAAAAGAATCAGCTTAAGCTTGGTAAATAAAAACAGATAAATAGAAAATTTTAATCTAATAATATTTTATAGGAAATAGAATTAAAGGACAAAATTACATCATGACATTTTGTATTGACCAGTGTTTTGAGATTGATAAATTTTTGATTCAAGAAACTGAGTACACAGAATGTAAAGAAATTCAAATTCCTATTAATTAATTAATTTTTTTAAACAAATAAATTCAGATTTAAGGAGAAATAAAATTTATAGTCTTGAAGAGGTAATAATAGATGATAAAATGCTATTTGAATTATTATAATATTTAATAAATTAGATCAATTAATACACAAAAGATATCATCAGAGTTTTAGTTATAAATAAGAGGTAGATTATTTTCATCTAATAAAATAATTAATTCTTAGATTTAAATATAAAACAAATAAACACTTTCATCAATATCAATACATTTCTGATATAAATCAGGCTTATTTATTCATAATAGATAAAATTACTTTAATTTACTCATAATTTTGAAAACTTAAGAGAATAAATAAAACTTCAAGGATTTATTCAATTTTTAAATTTTTTTGAATTAATAGTGATTGCAAGATTAGAGATCAAAAAGTATTAGCAATTGCATCAACTATAGGCTAATGCAAAAATCTAAACACACTGAAAATTGATTTAGGGTAAATATAATTATACTAAGAAAGTTTATAACTTTAAATTTCTATGACAGTTTAAATGAAATTGGATGTGATGGGGCAGGTTAATTTTTACAAAATTTATCAGGATGTAAAAACTTAAACAAACTCTTTTTAAGCTTTTCATTTGGCAAGTCTAAATATCCTCCATGGTAAATAATTTGCATCGTATATATAATTTGTATTAATAAATGATAAAAAGGTCTAAACAAATAAGTTTAGAAGGAGCAGAAGGTTTGGGATAAGGATTTGAGCAGCTAACTAGCATTTAATGCCTAACAATAGATTTAGAGTAAATAATTAAATTATTTATATCATAGATTTTAAAATATATAATTTAAATCAATAGTAAATAGCCTCTAGGAAAAGGTTGCGCTGCTCTTTTCAGAGGAATTAGCAAGTGCCAAAATCTTATTAATCTTAATTTTTCTTTAAAGTATTATAAGATTTTTTTAAAAGGTAATATATTAATGAATTAATTTTAGTCATTGCAACATAGACAACAATGGAGCTTTAGAGTTAGGTAACCTAATTAGCAAGTGCATGAATTTATCCTAATTATGTCTAAAATTAAAGTAAATTTCATCAAATAATTAATATTTTTAACAAATATTTTTTACTGAAGGACTAATCTTATTTCAATCGAAGAAAATGCGAATTTGGTAAAAAGTGTGAAGTCAAATTAAAGTCTTTTCCATGTTTATCTAGAGTTGACGTAAGATTGACATTTAATTAAAAAAATTTTAATAATTATTTTATCAGAATATAATACAATTAAGACACTTTTAGAAAATATGCAACGAATTTATTGAAAAAAAGTAGGCAGATAGTTCTCTTTAAGATTTTAATTTGATAGAGATAAGAAAGTAGACATTTAAATAAAAATATGTCAAATTAAATAAACCAATATATTTCTGTTTTTTTAAAGAATTTTAATATTAGAACAATAATTTATTTTAATATCTTGTTTTGATTTTAAGTTATAAATTAAATTCTCTGTCTAACATATTTTTTCGTGTTCATATAAAATTAATATTTGTTAAGATTCCAAAAAACTTTCTCTTATATCTTTACTAAAAAGTAAGTAAAAATAAATAAATAAATATATTTGATTTTAAAAATAATGGCTAAACAAATTTCTAAATTAATATCAAATTTCACTTTAAGATGTTTAATTAAAGTTAAAATTTATATTCCTTTTATTCGAATCTAAATGAATTATTACGTTAATTTTTTTGAAAAAGTTTGTAAATAACTTTATTGTATTCTTTTTTCTTATTTATTCTCTCTAATAAATGGAATATACCACAATAAAAAGCTTTATTATTTTATACAGCCATAAAATTTTTTGAATTTTTGATAAAGGAATTTTTATTTGATTTCTTAAAAAATCTTTCAAAAGCCTTACCTGATTTGATATTTCCTATATCATCTTTGAAGTTAAAAAGTAAGTTAAAAACATATTAAAAATATTTATAAATATAAAAACCATATTTTAAATTATGATAATTAAATCAATTTTTGTATTTAATTATATTTGATTAAAGCTTTATTTATTAAAAAAGCTTTTATAAATATTTTAGATTTATCGATTTTTTCTTTTTATATTTTTAAATATTTCTAATTAAATTCAACCACAATTAGTGAAATTTTAATTTCAAAATAAACAAATAGAAAGAATGAAAGTTTTGATTTATTTATATTTATTTAAATATTTCTTTATTTATTTAACTTCATCCCACAGTAATCATAATTAATTAAAAAATTATAATTTGTTATACTTATATATATCTTAATAGTATTAAAAATAATTTAGATTAAAATTAAAAAATAATCAAGGATTTTAAACAATATAATAACTCTTGTTTACCTTGAAATTAATTGCAATTTAAATAAATGAAAAATTAAATAAGTTTTTTAAAATTTTTAATTAAACAATTAATTTAAAATGATAAAGATAGATTTAAGTTAAAATAAAAATTAATGTAAATTAGTAATGTGAAATTTTTAATTTAAAAGACCAAATTTAAAGTTTCTTTAATAAAATTTTTACAAATATAGAAAGATGTAAATAAAACATTTTCTTTTCTATAAAATTAATTTATAACAAAATATATCAAAAATCAAAGTCTTGGCTACTCACATACTTCTTCACTATTCTATTTAGAAATATTCTCTTAAATTGTAAGTCTAATAAAATAGATATCATTTTATAGCAATTTTGTGAAATTTTAATTTAAGCTAGCCATTTATTGAAGGGTTAAGACTCCAACGATTTTACCTCCATATTTTTGACAAATATGTCCACTCTTGGGATTATAAATTAATCCTCCTAAATAACAATATCCTTTGGTTAAAGCGTGATTGTAGCATTTATATAAAATGTAATGTCCTATCTTTTAGTTTTCATACCCTCTTCTTACTCCAAAGCTCATATATACTAAGAAATCACCAGGGTTGTAGTTAAATTTAATCTAAGTTTCAGCAGCTTTGAGCAAGACTATTCTACTCATTTCTAGTTAAGGATCTTCTGATGGAGTACTTAAATAGTCGAGATAGTCGTAAAACTCAACAAAAATTACTATTCCGGCAACAAAATTTTCTTTTGATTGGTCAACTGCAATGTATGTGTTTTCATAGATCTTCTAATTTTAAAACATGCTTCTAGTAGATTACTCTAGCAATTCTCTAGTTAGCTACATAGCCTCACCGACAGACCCATTTTAAATTTTAGTTTCAAGAATGCAATCAATAGCACTTTCTAAGTATTTTTCTTCTAAGAATTAGTAGGTTATCATTGTTAAGTACACTATTAAATTTATTATATAGTAGACTAAATATTTTATTATTTATTATTTATTTATTTGATTGTTTTTTTTAATTAAATTATATCTTTAAAACTTTCAGACTTGCTCATTTTTAAATCATAAGCAAGCTTGTTTATTGAATACTTAAGTCTATTACTAATATAAAAATGTCCTTGGAAATTATAATATAATTATATGAATGTAATGATAAACCAGATAAACACAAATGCAAAATCAATAAAATCAATAAATAATTCAATAAAAATGTCCAAAACTAAAATATTTTTGTAAAATGGTGCACTTGAAAATGAATAAAAAATAAAGATTTTAAGTTAAAATATTAAAAACGAATTGAGTTATTAGAATGGAGATTTTACGTTAGGTAGATTTTCAAATCAAGTAATAATTAAATATTGATGAAAACTGTCTGTCTGTCTATTTTTATATTTACACATAAACTCGATATTTTATTAATAATTGCTCAATTTTAACTTAATTGACGTCAAAAATTAATTAATTAAATTTTCAACTTTTTCCATATAAATTTGCTTCTATTTCATCAGAAATTTCTTAATTGATTCATGAAAAATTAATTATTTTTTTTATGATATTAAAAACAATAAAATAAATTCATTTATATTTATTTATTGATGAGTGTTGAAAATATATTTGAATAAATTTCAAAATTATTTTACTTTAATTATGTAAATTTAAAGCTTTCATTTTATTAATAAAAGATACTCTAAAGATAAATAACAGCTATTAGATGTTTTAGCAAATTTATTAGAATAGAAAGTATTTGCATATCAGAAAATGTAATGATATCATTAAAATATAAATGCGTTTAAACAAATAATGCACTTGAATAATATAGAAGCTAAATATTTTTAAATTTAAATTTCTAATAATAGAAGGAAAAATTATTTGTAGATTAATATATCAATCGAATTATATCCATTATTTAGTTATTTTCTATATATTCAAGCAGATGATTTTTTTTCATGAAATAAAAAATCACAATCACAGAGTATTATTTTTAATTAAGTTCATAGAAGAATATTTATTCTATTACAAATATATCTTATAACTAAATAATTCATCTCATCTTTAAAAACGGTATTTACTTGAAAAATAAAAATAATTTTTAAATATTAAATATTATGGTAATACTTACTATTTCATCTAAAAATTTTATATGTTTTATTTTTAACAAATTACTTTTAAGTTAATATGATTATAATAAGCATAAATATATTTATTTTTTAAACACAAAACAATTTTGATTATTTATTAAAATAAAAATTTAATTGACACTTTGATAATTAAAATATTCAAGTTGAAATATCAAAAAGCCTCTTGCTATATATATAGAATAATCTTTTTATTATCAACTAAATATTAAAAGAAAATTTAATTTATTTATAATTTTAAAATGGAAAAAATTTTGTGCGCAGCTTTCTGTAAATCGAATTCTGTGCACATATGGGAACCCTATGTGTAATTATCAAAAATTGCTATTTTTTTAAAATAAATTTTATTGATTTATTTTTCAAATATACAAATTGTTATTAGATTTTTATATTTATTGAAAAGTTTCACTGCATGAAACATTAATTTTATTATTGTCAACCATTTAAGAGATTTAATATATCTGATGAATAATTATTATGCATCTATTTGTTTATTGATAAAAATATATTTACATAAATCAAATTATAATTAGTTAGATTTTTATATTAATCAAAAGCTCTTTCTACATTGAATTTTATTCATTTTACTTTCTATTAACTTTGAGAAGAATATTTAATTTATCAAAAGAAAATAAAAATTGATTGATTTATTTATTTAAAATAAATATAAATTTTAATTACATTTAAAATAAATTAATAAATTTATTAATATATAAATAAATTGATTGATTGTATTCAAATTGAAATTAGATTTTAATATTTATCAAAAAGCTCTTGTTGAATCAATTAGTCATTTTTCTTGAAAGTAAAATCAGTTTTGTTGACTTCAAAAATTTAAATGTCAAATTTGTAGTTATAGTACCAGCAGTATTCTATCCATTTGTAGGAAATTATTGGAATATTTTTTTCTATAGCCTTGCTTAGTTTGTCTTTTCTAGGAGAACTTCCAATGACTAAATAATGAATTTCTTAATCGTTTTTTAGTTTTTCAACCAAGGTTCCTCCCATTCTCTAAAATCTTTAGCAGATTATATTATTTTCAGCTGTTTCATTTTTGTCTTTTCTAATAACTGATGACACCAAAATTTTTACGCCTTTTAAAATTTGAGAAGTATAATATGAGAAGGCTTATCTGATGTCTCTTTTACTTTCATCGCTTTCTTCGTAATACTTGTTTTTTAAATGAACCAATATAGGTGCTGCAAAGAGTAAGTAGTTGTCTGTTTTTTTAATTACCGTTAGCTTGTATTGTAAAGACTAGTTTGTTTTCCAAAAAGTATAATTATTGTATTAATTCAATATTTATTCTTTGTACTTTGGTCTGTACTTTTTTTCCTCCAAAAATATTGTGGAAGCAGATTAAGGATTCTAATTTACTTAATTTTTTTATTCATCTTGTATGGTTTAATTTGGTGCTTTTGTTTATTCTTCCAACTGTACAGAATCAATTTATAAATCCATTTCAGATTCCCTTTAATTGAAACTTGGGTATTCTTGAGTAATTTGTTATTCACTTTAATCACCTAGTTGATTCTACTCATCTTATTCCAAATCCATTTTTTCTTCATTTTCTGGAATACCTTAATTTTCTGTAGTCTCATTTTATTTGTCTTCATTTGAACTATCTTGGTTTTCAATCTCAGTCTTTTGGTTCTCTTCGTCAATTCTTATTTCTTATTTGTTATTTTAAGTTTTACTATCTTATTCATTTGTTTATTATGTTTTATCTTAAGAACTATTTATTTTATCACTTTATTCCTCTTAATTAGTTTCTTGATTGCTATTTTAGCTTTTTTCTGATTACTTTGCTTACTTTTCTACTGTAATCTCTGAATTTGCTTCCTAAGTGCTATCTTTTAAACTTTTTTAGTCATTTAATTCATTTTAACTATCAGAATTCTTGCTACCATTTGTACCATCATTAGCTGGAGTTTATGACTAAGATTTAATTGACTTCTTAAAATTTTTACTTAATTATCTGTGATAGTTAGCTCTGTTAACATAGATTTAATCAATAGCTTTGAATGCTTATTCGTTAAAACTGTCACTTCCTTCCCACCAATAAATATAAGGGAGAGTAGTTACTAAATTCATTTTGTTTTTAGCCCAAACATCATCTCTGTCATCCAAAATAAGCATAATTTTTTCAGAATTAGGTAAAATCTGTTAAAGATCTTTATTGTTACTGCTAAACTATTCTCTAGAAATGATTCTGTCATAATTAAATGTCATAGGATAATCATCTAAAATATCTTTGTATGTCTATTTTAAGTAATCACAAACACACTTGGCATAATCTAGCATGGCCATTGTAAAAATATAAATCTCATAATGAGGTAATACTGTTTACAAGAATTCCTTCATATAAGGACGAAATTTAATCACATATTTACTATACCTATTATGAAATTCTTTGAAAGAATCTTATTAAATACCATCTGCATTGTCAAAAAGAGCATTCTTAATAGCAGGGACAGCATGTAAAATAGTGTTGTCCAAATCTAAAACAAGAATGAGCTTTTGATTGCTATGAAGCTGCTAATGAGCTAATTTCTTAGAATATTCAGCATATTCTTTACCAATTAAAACACTTTTATCCTTTTAATCTAATCCAGCATACACTTTATTTGTATGCTTGGGGAGATCTTGATAGCAGTAGACGCAACTATTGTTTTGGTCTATTTTTTAATGAGAGCAAATAACCTTTTCATATTTTAAAATCCAGCTTCTGTCATTATTGTAATTGTAATTGATGTCCTTTATGTAGATAACTTCGTTTAGATTAAACTGTATTTTTTCAGATTCATCTTCGCTTTCGCTGTCACTTTGACTATTTTGAGAGCACAGCTCTGCTTCAAAAAGAAGAGATTTAGGTTAAAGTATTTCATTCTTCTTTATTGAGCTAAACTTAATCTCATAATCTTTATCTTTGTGATCAAGTCTTTTACTTGAATTAAAGTCTGAAAGATTTTAAGCTACAATTAATCCTACTGATTTATCTCTGTATATCCAGACTTCTTCTGAGCATTTGGAGCAAATAAACATGTGCTAAAGCTCTGTATGATTTAATTCATCATGCCCGCAAATGTTAATATTGCATAAGCTAAATGAAGGCGCATTCAATGTTATGTTTTGATTGATTTAATCTATTGTTCCTTTTAAATTAATTTTGATTACTTTTTCAGACCCATCAGAGCAAATCAATTTGCCCAGTTCTTATCCTTTTTCAACCCAATCGCCAGTTTTAGCATTGAATTAAACTGAAGAAATTTAAACATTATTTCTTCTAACAATAACCTATGAAATTAGGTAGTCTCTATCGTCTCCTCGACAGTAAATTTTAACCTTTTCGCTTAACATCTAAATAAAGTTGAAGCAACTTTACAAACTAATCTAAATAAAGTAATAAATTTTAATTAATTTTGAAAGATATTATGTTGTTTAGCATATAAAACGATTTGACTTTTTAATTAATTAACTACACTGTTAAAAAAAATCAATTTTTTTAATTAGACACAAACAATATATTTTTAGCAAATAATAAAGCAAAAATGAGAGAGTATCATGTAAGTGAATTTAATTTAGACAGAACATGAGAATTTTGATAAAACACTTTTCAGATCAATGAAAATAATTTAATTTAATTAATTAATTTACAAGTAAGTTAGAAGTGATCGAATTTTAAATATTCTTCAGTAAATTTAAATAATTAATTAAGCAGTTTTGCTATGCATAATTTTTTTATGCTAAAATAAAGCTAAAAAGATTTATAGTTAGCCAGTTTTAAAGCAAATTAATTAATTTATTGATTAATTCCATCGATAGTACACCATTATAACACAAGAAGACATAAGAATACACTTTTTTTGAGAATAAAATTAATATTAGTTTAATTATGTGTAAGGCTAAAGTTGTTAACTAATTGGTATATTAATTCAAGTCAAAATTGAAGAAGCTAAATAAGATAATTTATTTGATTAAGCTGAGTCATATTTAAAATATAAAAAATATTGTAATCTCAGAAAGTTGGAACTCAACTCAATTTTTCTTTTTCATCCTGTTGAAGTACAAAAATGAAACTATAAAATTTTCCATTTTGCTTAAATTAAATTTAAAATAGAGATCACTTGAAAAGGATAAATATAAATTCAATGTTTATGATCTATCTATCTATTTATAATTTGTGAGAATAATTCAAGAAGTGGTTTAAGAAATTAAAAAGAATTTTAGCCATAGAAGTATGCGATCAAAGGAGAATGAAAACTTATTACAATTTATTTTTATATACAAAGGGAATAGAATTTAGTATATTTAGATAAAGTAATAGGGGAAAAGAATAACAATCAAACAAACAAACAAATAAAAAACAATAAATAAATAAATTATTTAGTTAATTAATTAATTGTATGTATATATGCATGCAGTACTATCATAATAGATAGAAGGAATAAATAAATTGGTTAATGAACAATAAATAAATAACACAGAATTGAAACATTATGAATATTTTATAAAAAGTTAAAGCAGATTTACTATTTTAACAATAAGTAATTAAATCAGTCTAAATGCAAATAAAAAGAGTTAAGGAAGAATTATTAATATTTAAATAGAAAAAGAGGTAAATCAAATAAAAAAAAGAAGAAGACAAAGAAATAAAAAAAAGCAGAAAATAAATATAACAAACAAGTATTAAAAACTGCCCTTTTGACTTAAACAAATAGATTAAAAATGAGCGATTTCGATAAAGAACTTATTTAAAAGACAGAAAAGTTAACCATAAAGGAAAAGGAAATAAATTAATAGGAAAATATCAATGATTTAGAAGATATCACTCCTAATCGTGGTAGGTTTTTTTCATCTATGAATTACAAAGAATATGTAAGCAAATTTGATAAACCTCCAGCTCGTCCTAAAATCATGTACGTTTTTATTCAAATTCAAAATATCCTCTTTTATATTTTCAGGTAAATGCAATAAGTTAATGCTACAGAGCTAAGCAAATATGGGAAATAAGTATTAAATTGGTAACTAAGCTATCAATTCAATTTGTTTGTTTCTTTCTTTCTTTAAAAGTTGATTAGTTAGTTAGTTAGTTTTATTTGATATATTTCTAAATAGAAACAAACACAAGAGTATAACAAGCGTTCTTATTAATTTTTTTTCAACTTTTCGAATCTACTCGAGTTATTTCTTCTTCATGTATTTTCTGTAAAAGTTGAGGAGTTTTAAAAGAAGTCAATACAATAAATTCTAATTAGCCTAACAAGCAGTATGGCAGACAATAAATAGTAGCCATTTATATTCAATACTAAACTTAAAAATTCTAATTGAACAGCAATTAATGTCTGATTTAGAAATATTATCAAATCAAAAAATTAATGAATGAATCGTCTAATATATTTTTAATTGACAAAAAGAAACAATTAATTTTAATAACTTGCTTGTTTGTTCTACCTGAAAATCTAAAAAAAAATTTAAATTAGGAATAAATAAATTATATTAAAGTATTTTTTCCAATTTAAAAGGCCTCTTGCCGCTGATCCTATCATAGACAATGAATTTTCACTCGATAGTTACGAATAACCCACAGAAACGTAAGCTATTTTTATGAACTTATTTAGAAAAATGATAGTTATTTGCACAAATTTCTATTTTTTGAGCTGAAAAAAATAAACTTGAAATGATTGATTTATACTCAAGTATTCGAATAAGCTTAATTGAAATTTTTTAATAAAACACCTAATCAAATTGTTATAATTCAGTAAATAATGATGTTTGCTTTTTAAATTTTAGCAAACAAAGTTAGTCGAACTATCTTCTTGTCTTTCTTCTTTTAAACCTAATTATTAGCGCAATGTTAATTTTATTTACTGCCTCTTTATTTTGTTATTTTTTCAATTAAACCTCCGAAAAATCTAAAATTAGATAAATTTTGATTTTTGGTCAATTTCAATGAGCTATTATCTAGCCCCCATTCATTTTGAATGAGAGTATAAATAAATACGCTGCTCTCTTTTTAACATTTGCCACCAAACAATATCTTGAATTTATTAATAAAATCTACAAGCTTAATTAATCACTCATTCTTTTATTCTTTCAATGAGTATAATGTTCAATGAATTTTTATATTTAATAATATGTGCAAATCAATCAAAAATTTATTGTTTTCTAATTCCTAATTCATTTTTTAAATATTAATAGGAGAAGCTATTCATAGAGCTTACCAATGAGACCTTTGGAGCTTAGCGGAAGCAGTAGTTTAAAATCTGGATCTGAATAAAAAACAATAGAAGAGGAAGATGAAGAAAACGATGAAGAAATTGGTGGTATTGAAGAAGACCCCATCTATCCTATCGATACTTTGCCCTAAAATAGTGAAATAGTAAACAACATAATTTAAAATAATGATATTATCAGAAGTAGATCTTAGTCTGAAAATGCTTCCAATTTGAGTATATTTAACTTCTGTTAAGGAATCAGAAAGAAATAAAACACTATCATCAATTGATTTTTTAAGAAAAGCCTGTATAATTATTTTTATTCACTCTACCATTTAACTCTACACTACTATTCTTCTTAACCACACATACACACACAATATTAATTCTACCAAAATAATTAAGAAATCAATGCAGTAAAAGAAAAAAATTAGCTTTAATTACTTTCTTCAAACAATCAATCAACCTATTTACAAAAATACTAAAAACTCATTTAGATAGATTTATTGATAGATTGATATTACTTATGCTCATACTTAATTATTGATGAGGCTGAATCAATTGAAATAAAAAAATGAATAAACTAGCAGCTGCATTGTAGAATAATAAATATATCTATAGATATTCAAATAAATAAAATAATTACTATAATTAATGTTTACACCCATTTAAAAGATAGATAAATACTTAATAAATAAATAATTATAATTATTATATAAAACCCATTAGTTTTGATAGCCCTTCTTAATATTTAAGTGAATGATTTTTTAATTTGCTTACAAAAATAAAAATACTTCCTTCTCCTACAGTTGATGAATGAAAGATAGTATATCTATCTATTCTCACTAATTGCATAAACAGATATAATCTTCATCTAACTATATAATATTAAACAAGTTTAGCAATTTAATTCTTCCAGCACTTAAATAAGAATGTCTATAAATACATATACACACACACATAAACCAACACTACTCACTAAATTATCTTAAGCAATAAAACAAAACAATAATAAAAATAATAGTAATAGTATTAATATTAATAATAATAGAATAAATGGTATAATATTGTATGTTTATCTCCTTTCTAAATTTAATTTTGTATGAGATGATGCATTGATTCTCACTGAAATATTTTTTCCTTTGTTAATTTAATTTTTTTAAATTCCCAGTCTCATTCATTCATTGAATCAAGCAATCAATAAATCATAATTCATACAATCATTAATTAATTAATTTTCTCTTTAAATTATCAAATATTTACTTCATAATCTTCTGTAACCTTAATCTAAGCGATATTTAAAAAAATTAAAAACTGCTTGAATTAGGTTGATAGAAATTTGCATGATTTATTTTATTTGATTAAAATTTAATTGTATTTTTGTCAGTAATACCTACCTATAATTAAAAATACTAAATATTTTCCATTAAATTTACATGTAAAGAATATTGAATGATAAATTATTTAAATTAATCTTTCGCTTACTAAAATATAAATCTTTAGTCAAATTAATAATTTTACTTCAATATTTTTCTTTCATCTCTCAACTGTAAGCTAGATTGTAGAATAAGCTTTCATGATAAACTAAAAGAGAAAAATGATAAATACAACCTCCATGTTCAATATTTTAAGATAAAATTATAATTACTAAAAAAGCTAGAATGATTTAAAAAATTATATTGAATTTTTAATAAAGGTACTCTTTTGACTAAAGTTACTTTAGAAAACAAAAGCAGTAAATAAATAAAAAAATGAACTGGATTAATTTAATTAATAAATTATAATTCTTGTAGAAGCATTTAAAGAAATTTGCATAATTTAAAAAAAATTTTGAGAAAAAAATATATTTAATGAATGAAATAGCTTATCTTATCTATATCATCTAAATTATAAATTTGATTGATTATAATACAAGTTTCTCAAATTAACTTATTTATTAATAGAAATTTGATAGTATTAATTTAAATTTTGCTCAACTAGAAATTGTAGCTCATTTTCTACCTTTCTAAATTTCAAATACATTTATTTTGAGTTTTAAATACTTTTTTTATATTGTCGAATTTTTAAAAATCCAATTTGGAGCTTACAATAAATTATAAAAGAAAAGTTGAAATAATTTATTACTTTTTTAACATAGTAATTTATAAAATATTAAATAATGGAATTAAAAGGCAATCAATTATTATAAAAATTATAAATCAAATTCAACCATAAATATTTTTGCACTTTTATTTATTGAAGTTAAGTATTATAATTAATAAGTGCAATATTTTTACCAAGAAACTAATATATTATGAATATTTTCACTTCAATTTAAAATAATAAATAAATTAGCTTTACATATAATTATCTGCTTCTTATACGAAAAAAACTAAAAAAATCTTTGATTATAGAAATTAAAAGCAAAATTATATTTTTTAATTTATATAAATTAAAATTTCAAATTATAATTTCATTTGCTACTCGTGAGAGAATTTACAATCGGAGCATTTTTAGATCAGTACAGGTAAAAAAAATATTCTACATAAAATTAAAATTATAATTTTATTTACATTTGTTATTTTATAAAATAATTATTTCTTTTTACATTTATTATTTCTTTTTACATTTATTATTTCTTTTTACATTTATGATTTCTTTTTATATTTCTTACTTCTTTTTATATTTTTATATATTTCTTATTTCTTTTTATTTTTCTCAAGTTTCAAAAGATTAATTATCAAGTATAATTTTAATTTTATGTAAGTGAAAGCTTACGAGGAATCATAGTAAATATATCTAATATATAAATGATTATCAATATAAAAAATATGAATATATTGCTAACTAAGTTATGTTTTATTTAACTCGTATATTTAAACTATAAATAGATTCTTTAAAAAATTTTTTGGATGTACCTACTTTCTTTTGAATAATATTCTAATAACTTTCAGGTAAACATTATCGTAAAGATAGCTATATATATTCTTTGTTAAATTATCCTATTAAAAATGTAATAATAAAAAACAAAACATATTATATTCAATTATTAAAGTATTTTTTCAATTTATTCATCTTATTATCATTTATTTATCATCCATCATAAGTCTGTCTATATTTTAACTTATCTTTTTGGTTTAAGAAAATAACTTTTTAGTTTCAATTTTTTTTGAGATTTATTGATTTAGTTTAATCTATTATTATAAGCAGCTTTAACATATTTTAAAAGGTTGATTTTGATAATAAAATAATTAAAAATACAGTTAGTTATCAATGAGATGTTTTCTTGAACTTATTTTTTTGTGGAATCAGATTTTTGAAGAATATGGAGTAGCTTACATTTATATTTAAAATCAAATAACAAAGTAGTTTTTTTTCAATATAATTGTAATCAAAATCTGAAAGAATAATATTAGTAAATCCAAAGCAAATAACATTAATTATCGAATCGAAATTCACATTAAAATTTTATCTTGGACTTTATTAAAAATTGATAGAGTTGAAAGCTTATTTTTTGAAATTTGTGATTATATCATCAATCTCTATTAATTGATTATTAATTTAATTGTGTAAAAAATTATTTTATCCAAATTTATGAATTTTCATGATTATGGATTCCGCTTATCAATTAATAAATAAAAAGATTTAGTTTTCTTTAAGTTAGTGATTTAAATAAATTAATAATTTATTTATTTATTTAAAAATTTTTAGAAATTAAATAAGTTAAGTAAATATCTTCTAAATAAAATTTAAATTTAAATTTTATCAAAGTTAATTTTTTTTATTCTTTGAAAAGTTCATTGAATAAATACAAATAAAATATTTTAAAAGTTTACTAGAAATAACACATTTAATTTATTCTACTTTAATATTATGTATGTTAATATTTAATTATTTATTAAAATAATTTTTAAACAATATATTTTAAGTAAAAATAAAGGAAAAGAGCTTACACACTCAATAACAAAAATTATTTTTAAGTTAATTTCAATATTTTTTTATAAACAAAATTTTATTTTAATTTATTAAAATTGATTGCTTTTATTCTCATTTTATATAATTAAAATATAAACAAAGTTTTCTATGTATTTTAATGTAAAACAATATAATTTTTATGAATAAATAATAATTTTTATTTTATTTTTTATATAAATTTTGTGGAAATAAATAATTTTTTAATAGATTGCTCAAGGAAAATTAGTTAGGTTTGTTATTTATTTGTTTATTATTAAGCTTTTTAGTAGTGTTTTAGTTTTATAAATTTATTTATTTATGTTTAATTTTATAGCAGATTTTAATTTTATGGTGTTTATCACACAATCAAATTCAACAACTTTTAATTCTTGTTGTTTCTTGAACTAAATTATTATTGTCCCAAACTCCTAAGATTATTGTACCGTCAATCAAATAAAATGCTCCATTGCCATTCACAGCATCTTTGTGGAAGTTTCCCACAAATTTCTCACCGTTTTTTAGGTATAGAGTTCCAAGTCCATCTTTTTGATCATCTACAAAGTTTCCATCATACTTAAACCATTCTTCTTCAATATTGTCAAAACTTTTATAGTCGAAACCAACTATTTTACTTTACCTTTTTGAATGGTTTTCATTGTATACGACTCCGTTCCCATTGAATTTATTTTCTCTCCATTGGCCTTCGTATGCAACTCTGTTGTCAGAGAAAAAAAGTATGCCATATCCTTCGATGTTACCTTTAAGCCATTAGCCTACATACTTAGCTCCTTAATTTGAGTAAGTGAATGTGCCTTACCCATCCCTCAATCCATTTAATACTTGACCTTCATAGACAGAACCATCTTCGTATATCTCTTTGACTCTCTTCCTCTCATTTGCAACATAAAGGGAAGTAGAATGTGTTGATCTTGTCATACTCTATTAATTGAGAGAAGGTCTACTTGATTTAATACCTTCTTTTTCAATAAATTGTGCCTGACTGCAATTCATATATGAGTTATTCTGTTATAGTAAATTGCTCTAGACACTTCCTACAACATGTCTATTTTTTTCAGGTGGTTTTTAAAAAATTTATTTATTAAAAAACAATGCATTTGGTTTTATAAAACTGGTAGAATAAATATATATTACTAAGAATATGATGATCTATTTCTTTAGCAGTCATATAGAGCAGTTGAATTCAAAAGATTATTTGAGTACATCGAGTTGAGTAATTTTGTTTCATTTTATTCAATTTTTAGAACTTTTAAAGCGTTGCTTTCAATTAATCCTTTGTCAAACATTTTAGAATAAGCAGACTTGCTATTCTTTGATTCTTCTGTTGTTAATTCTTATATTGGCGAAATATTTTCCTAATGCTACTTAAGGTAAGAGTTTGACTTATTAGTTGGTTATTTAGCTTGATTTTCTTTGTTTTAACCTTGAGTTTAGAGTGTGCTGGTCTGCTAAAGAGTTTTTCTATTGCTACATTGACTTCCGCCAGTCGCGTTCAAATAGACTTCATTATCGACTTGTCTTGTAGATTTCTCACATGAATTAACTATACCCATAGATAAACTAATTGATATTGTTATCTAATATTAATTTAATATGCTAATTTAGTAATTAAGTAGTTTCTCTCTTTTTTATTATCTTAATTTAATATTAATGAATATTATTTGTTTTATCTCAACAGATTTATAAAAACTATTAATACTTTTTAAATTATGTAAATTTGGTTTATTTTATAACTATCATGGATTTTATTGAGCGCAATTATTTATTTATTTTTAATAATAAAAAATATTACAGGATTTTTACTGATTAAACATTGTTTGAGCGCAGATTTGATCATAAAATGCAATAAATATGAATAAAATTAATTGATTAATTACTAGCTCAATAAGATTATTACGAATTAGATTTGTTTGCTTGTTTGTTTCTGTTATTTATTTATCTATCTATCCTTTAATTTATTAATGCGTGAGCAACAAGGAAATAGTTTGTTTTTCCTGATTATTTTAATAGTATTTGATAATAATTTAAGTCAAACAATCAAATATTTAATATAAGATTGCAATAAATTTAAACTTAAAATTAAATTTGCATACAATATTAAATAAAAATTATTTAAAATATCAAACATAATTAAATAAAACAAGGTTTAGCTAAATAGATTTTTATAATAACAAAAATAATTAAAATTTAAAAGCTAATTGAATCCTATTATCTGATCAAATTATTTCAATATAATAACAAAGATCTTAATTAGTCTCTTTTAAATTTTGTTTTTTTTTTTTAAATTTTGCTTAACAATTCAAACGAATAACGAAATGATTTTTTCTATTTTTAAGAGTTTAAAATTTAAGCAAAAATATAAAATAAGGATTAGATGATAATTAATCGATTTTGTATTTGGTGTTTATAATTTTTTAAAGAAGAAAAAGAATATTTGCATATTAATAGTAATACTCACTTTTAACATTTAGAGAGAGCTTTTGAAAATAATCCAGTTAATAATTTAATATTAAAAGAAGAATTAATTATATAAATACATAGATGGAGGAATAGATTCTATAGAAAGAAAATATTTCAACAGTCAATGAAAAAGAAAAGATTCCTGTTGAAGGAATTCTATCTGAAAACATATCAACCAACAGAAATCTTATAAACTAGACAGAGAGTTAGAATTTAAGTACATCATTTTACAAAATATCTAAATCGAATAGATACAGCGTCAGTGAAAATAGAGAAATTATTGAGGAAAATTTGCAATTACTTCAGAGCAAAATGAAGAGAAACAATAATATACCAAGACCTAAAAATTCAGAAATTATCAAGAGAGATAAGGATAATATATAAAAAACAATTGGCACTCATAAAGCCGCACATAAATTTAATTAAGGCTCAACTATTGAGTAAGGAGATTCTGATAATAAAGTTTTCATTTAGAATGGGAATGTAAAAAGACACCATTCTTTTTCGAAAGGCAGAGGAAAAGAAAATAGTGTGAGTTAAAATTGCTAAGAGAAATCTAATGCGAGTTCCTCTTTGAATTAATAAAGAAAAACAGCTGAAATCTGCCCTCCATTTTAAGAGCAAGAAAACATTTAAAACTTAAAACATTAAGAAATTAATCAAATTTCTTACAAACATTGTAAGAAGGATACAATTTTTGAAAATAATCAATACAAATTCGTTAGATAAAAAGCCGTTATCGCTTAAAACAAAGAGAATTTAGAAAAAAACCTGATAAAACTCAATAACATTAAAATGGCAGAATAAGAAAAAGGAGCTATTATAATGCGAGGATTAGAAAATAAGTAAAATTATCAAATCAGCAAAATTCATAACAGTCAATAGACTCACTTAGTCAAACAAATGGGAAATTCTAAGCAGCACTCTTATTTGTTAAAAAGTGGAAACAACCCAAATAGAAACAACCTATCGAAAAACACAAATAACAATTCTTACGATAACTAAATGATTAACAGCTTCAATAATGACTTAAATGTTTTAAATGAATGTTAAGAGTTTTCTTAAGCCTCAACTGATTCGGATAAGATATAGAGTAATTAGAATTACCCTACAGTTAAAAATCAAATTTAAACAAGAGGTAGAAGTACAAGAAAAGCAAACCTTAATTAAGACATCACTCAAGAAGACAGGTAAATTTATAAATTAACTGAAAAATAAACTGTTTTTGTAATTTTATTTTGTAAATAACATTAGCAAAATATATTAAATTTCAAAGAACTCAATATATTTAGATAGAAACAAAACCGAAAGGGACGAATTAACCAATTAAATGTTCTCTAAAGATATTGATAATTAATAAATAGGATCTGTTTCTAACATTAGTTTTTCTGTAACTCTCACAGAACAAATAAGAGAAGTAAATAAAAACAAGCAAACTCAAATAAAATTTATTTTTTAAAACACTTTTTTTTATTTTTATGCTTTTTTTAAATTTTAATTCAGTATTTGCATTTTAATTGGTTGATTTACAACTTAAATTAGTGATATTCCTCATATAATTTATTTATTTATTAAATAGTTTTAATTTTTTCAATCAACATATTCTTTATTTTAAAATGTAGTGATTTTTATATTTTAAAATGAATTAATTTTTTTAATCAAATAAAGAAAAAAAATAAAGAATTATTTGAAGAGAATAGAGCTCATTTATTAACTGAAGAAGATTAAATTACAAAAAAGGAATGGATTAAATTACATCTTGAAGGAAATAAGATAAAGAATTTGCCTTCAAACATAGAAGAAGAATATAATAGAATTCAAAAGTTAACTTAAAAAAATGAAATAGCTTTACAAGAATATGTTGCAATAAGAAAAAAGATCATTTCTATTTAGTCTAAAAATAGAATAGTAAAATTAAATTGAACTAAAATCTCACTAACTCATTTATCATATTTATAAAAAAGCCATCTGCTCTAAGGTGAGAATAATCCATGCTCTTTAAAAAATTAAAATCACATTTTATCATAGAGTTTTTTTAAAAGATTTTACAAAATAAGAGTCTAAATTTATATAAATAATCTACTAAAAAAATATTTTTTTTAATTAAAATACTACCTTAAACAAACAAAAAAACATACAATCAAACAAAAAATATAAATTATTAAACTAATCTAGAGTCAAATAAGCAAATAAATACCAAATAATATAAAGTAATTTAAACCTGTATATAGTTTTATAAAAATTGAATTCATTATTAATTATTATTTATTTCTTGTAAATATCTTATTCATTATTTTTATGTTGTCAATTCTAACTAACTTTAGAATAATTTATTCATTCATTCATTCATTCATTCATTCATTAGTTCATTTATAAAATATTTAAATTATTATTATTTTATTAAATAAAATATTTTTATTTTTTATACTATAAATCCTGATTTTTACAGTAATTATATAAGTATTCATATACCTATTTTTTATAAATCAGGTAACTTAAAAATAAATTTTATCCACTTCAGGTAATCAATCATAGTATATGAATGAATTAGGGTTTATGTAATTAAATTCAAATAAAATTATGCAAATATGTTTTGAATAATTTTTTTACAAAATCTTTTTTCATTTAATAAAAATAAAAATATAAAATAATTGAATGGATGGTTAATTAATTCTTATTTTTTTGTAAATACTTATAAAAAATATTAAAATTTACAAACCTCAAATGAGGTTGTAAAAATATCTCTGGTTTCTAATGATTTATTAAATTAAATGTATTTTTTACTAGTTTATATAAAATGATTATAAATAAATTGTTAAACTATAAATTTTAATCTATCTTTAATAAAAAATTGTATTTATTTGTTGGTGGTGTTTTATATACTTTGATTTGTTTAATTTATTGATATTTTGATATGAAGTAAAATTAAGATTTAACAATTATCATTCATTTAATTTATTATAATCGTTGATTTATTCTTTCGCTAATCTTATTTTGATAGATTTTCATACTAATTTATTTATTCATGAAAATAATATCGAATATTTAATAAAGAAGATAAGTAATTCTATCAACTGTTAGTTTTAAATCATTATTTACCTTTAACTAAAATACATAATTTAACAAAATATTGTATTGTTAACAAAATAATTAATTTTGATTAAATATTATATTTAACCAATAATTTTTCACATATTTTTTAAATAGCTCTTAGGATTGTAAACGTTTATTCAAAAAAAGCTAAAAAGTTTTCTTTTCTGTAGAGATTTACTTAACTTAAGCATATTTTCCAATAAATGAGCCGTTAGAGGCTTGAAAATTAGGCAAAGAGCTTTTTATTGGAAATAGATTAAGAATAAGAAATAAGTGATATACTTAATAATGATTAATAAAATATAAATGCAACTCAATTAATAAACCAAATTAATATAAATTCAAGAATGTCTTAAGCAGTAAATAGCTTAGGTGGATGGAATGGAGTTTAAGATGAATTAAGTGAAGAAAGCAGACTTTTTTAAACTAAAAATTAGAGAAAGTAAGTGCGTAATAAGACTGGAAGAAACATGAGAGCTATCTCAGCTTAAAATGAAAATAGTCCTAGAGAAAATTTGAAGTAGATTCAAAATTTATAGGGAACTGAAGCAATGGATTTTGTTGCAAATTTTATGAGAAAAAATTCTTTGTAAATTTAGGAAAATAAAAAAAACTTTAAAAGTAGACTGTAAAGGAGCTTCGATAGAGATTAGTAATAGTAAAGGGATAAGTTTATAGAAAATGGGAATAAAGAAGTATAATACAGCATGAACTACAGATAAAATATGGAGGATATACAATAAAATGATATTAATTCTGAAAATGATGATGAAGAAGAAGAAGATATCCTTTAAATGATAGGCAAAAAGAGATAAGCTAGAGTGATAAATAAAGTTAAATAAAAACTTAATATACTCAACTCTCCTAAGAATTTAGATCAAGCTAAGTTAAATTTGTTTGAGTAAGTTAGCCAAAGACATACTGCAGTTTTTACTCCTTTTAATATATCTAGACATTCCCCTATATCTTATTTGGTACCTCAACAGTAACAGTAATTGATTTAAACGCCTTAGAACTAAGCAATTTCTCCTAAAATGACTCAAAACAATAACTAAATCAAGATAAAAATTGATATGATATAAGAAAAAATATAGTAATATATAGATTAAAATGATAAAACAGTTGATGCTTTTAAAAAAATAACAGAAATAAGAAGAAACAGTCTACTTTTATAAAAAACTTAGTCAAAGCAGCTTCCGATATAGACTCATGAATTCATTCCAGTTGAATTAATTAACAAAAACTATCAAGATTATGGTAAATTAAAAGAAAATTCAGAGCAGCAAGTCAGAGTAAAACCATTTAATGAGCAGTTAAGGCAAAGAGATAATCTGGAAACATAAAAGTAAAGAGAAATTTATAAGAATTATTTAGAGTAGCAAAGTTAAATGCCTTAAATTGATAATACTAGCAGCAAAGCAAATCTTACACCAAGAGTTTCCTCCTAAATAAATAAAATCCCCACTTCAAATTAAGGATAAAGTGGTATTTAAAATTAATCCTATTAAGGCTCTGCTTAAAACACGCCATTAAAATCAAAGCAATATAGATTGACTCCAACAGAAACTAGAAAATTAATTGACCATATAGAGAGGTAAGGTAGAAATTATTTAAGTTCTTCACCAACAAAGACTAAAAGTAATGGGATTAAATTTCGTATTTCAAAGAAGTCAAGTATAATAGAACCTCCAACAATTTAAGTAACTCCGAATTACTTAAACAGTATTTCAAATCATAATGGGATTCACACATCGGTGCTTGATTCTATTAATTTTGAAGAAGAAAATTCTAATTCAACCAATAATCTAAAATAAATTATATTATAAAAAATATCTTAACAAAATTCACCTAATAAAATCATTGACTTATCTACTAGAAGTGCACAAGGAGCTTACAAATCTTTAAAAAAGCAAAGAATGATTAACAGCTAAATAATAAACTAAAATTCAAATATCAGCTCTCTTTTCCATAATTCTACCTATAAAAACTCATCACAGATTCTAGATCAAAGCAATTATACAAATTCAATTTAACTGGAAAACAGCTCTGCTTTGAATTCTAATAAGCCAAATGATGTAACCATATCAAACAAGAGATTTTAAAACTAATGTAAAGTAGAAGATTTTTTCAATTTTAAACAGGAAGCTCATTCAGCTCCTTTAAAAAGCAGACCGAAAATGAATATACAAAAACTAAATTAAGTAAAACAAATGAACTTTGAGCTTGAGAATGCTCTATGTAAACAGTCTCCAATTTCATCAATTGCTCAAACAGCTAAATACACTGATTATAACCATCAAGTATCTTTAAATTTTCCTTCATAATAAAAGATGAATAAAATAGTTTCAACAGATTCTTAGCCTTAATTCATGGAATACGAAAAAACTCCTCAAAGAGTGAACTTAAATTATAGAAATAACAGTATAGAAAGAAGAAGAGCTAAAGCAAATGTATAAAATATGAATTAAGATTAAAGAATAATAGAAATGTTTTGCAGCACACCTATTAATAATAAAATAATAAAAGAAACAACATCACAAAAATCAAAGGAAAACTAACAAATTTAATTAAATTAACTATCCTAAAATCATAATAGATTAAACGAAAAAAATATTCATTTACATCCTAAAAATCTATTCTGATATAACCAAACCATATTAAATTATTTTCAATAAAAATATTTAATTTTAATTTACTTCAATAAGAAATATATTTATTTATTTATATTGTTTCAAAATCAAGCAATTGTTTTTAATTAATTAATTAATTATCAAAAGTAAAAATATTTCTTTGAATAATTTTATAAAGAAAAAAGTAAGTTATTATAATAAACATATTTATGTATTTTTAATTCTATTTTTAAAAATGCAAACAAACTATTTCATCTCTTATTTATTTTCTCTTAATATTTTGATAGTAAAAAATAATATTTTTCTTTAACAAAAATTATTTATTACTTTTAATACAAAATTTAAAAAGTGGTTAAATGGGATGAAAAAATTTATGAATGATTGAATCAAGGAAAATTTATAATTAGGGTGTTTATTTGATAACTTATATTCCGATAGATGAATTAAAAATTGTTCTATCTATTATATTGAGTTTTTTTATATCTTTCTATTACAAAAAGTTTTAAAATAAAAAACTTTTTATTTAAATTAAAAAATTAGACTTACAAAAAAAAACAAATTTTAAATTAGAAAAAGTATTATCTAAAAAAAGCAAAAAAAAAAACAAAAAATTATTTAGAAATATAAAAAAAATGTCTCTGTTAAACACAAAACTTGAGATTAAATTTACTGCTAGCATTATTTTTGTGCTTTAGTTTTATATAATATTTATTACTATCTTTTACTTGAATGACTATCCTATACTAGAAATGATTTACTGCTTACCAATTATAGCTTTTTTTTAGTTGATTTAATATTGCCTCTTTTGGTGTCCTTATGAAAATTGCTTAAGACCTTTTCTAACTCTTAATATTTGTTGTTTTATAATCAGCTTAGGTTTATTTTTAGGTATTTTTTTAGGGATATTTAATTAAACACTAAAATATCAATTTGAAGAAATCTAAGATTGTTCAGTCATAGGTAAGTTTTCAACATATGTTGAAGAACTTGCAAATTTACCTGGTGAAAAATATTCAATTCTATATATTGATTTTTAGATGGATGGTCAAAAATTTTTAGGTTATGGTTGTTTGTCTTCATAGTCTTAAGATACTAGTTAAACATAATCTATATCATATAGCCCGCTATCATTTTTGTATTATGGAGATAATCAATGTTTTTAAGGACAATGCTCTCCTCCATACAAATTTAGTTAAGTTAAACTACCTAGTTGGATGTGTCTTCCATTCGATACTAATTACGAGGATTTAGTTAAGACTAAAAATTGTTATGTGAATTTTTATAATAGTAGAATAGAAAAAGGCCAACATAAAAACTAAGCTTACTTAAATTCTAAAAGCAGAATAAATGTTAAAGATTTAGAGCAATTCGCGCTCATATCTTTCAATAAGCTTAATGCCCCTTTTTCTTAGTATTTTGCGTTCTTAGTATTTACTTTTTGTCCTCTTATATCCTCAACAAACCTATTCTTTATTGGATTAATTGGATATTTAGAAAAATATATCATATCTATTACTAATAAAGATAAAAGATTCACCAATATAAATTAATATAATCAAGTAGAAGTCATGGCAATGGCATGATAATATTTTTAAAATGACTTGTTAAAAAATTATACAAGAGCAAGTTTCGTTAATTTATACCATAAATGTTAATATGATTTTTATATTTAGTATTCATTGTTTAAGAAAAATATTTACATTTATTTTTTTCAGTTTAAAATACTTGATACTTTATTTTTGCTTAAATTTTAATCTACTTTTTAAAAATTGATAAATTTGTGAGAAAATCCAACTAAAATAATTCTTAGAATTTAATGCAAATAGTCAAACAATCGTGTTTAATAAAGAAAAATAAAAGCAATTTAGTAGAAAAAATTATGAATGAATTATGTTGTTTTTTACCAAAAATATCTTTAAAAATTTACTGGCGTTAATTAAAAATTTCTTTTGGTGAGCAAATAACTATTTACTTGATATTATTAAAAACTGATAAATTATCATTACTTTTTTTACTATCTTAGATAATAAATTTGTTTATTTAATCTGATTAAATAACAGCATCATCATAATTTATTTATTTATTTAATTATTATTATATATATATATTACCCTAGGGTACTGTCTTTTTCAAGGCTACATACACGAATTTTCTTCTTTGGCTCTTTTGTTTTATTTATATCAATAATTAATTTTTTTTTTAATATGAAAATTCTATTAAAGTTTCTACCTTATATAAAAAATAAATCAAGCACATACTGATATCTTATATTAAATAGATAGAATAAGCCTTGTAATAATAATAATAATAATAAAAGAATCAACGTTAAAAAAATCAAAGGAAAGCTAACAAATTTAATTTAATTAACTATCCTAAAATTTGTATTTTTAATTCTACTTCTTCTGAGAGAAACAAAATTGATTAGCTTTTATTACATTTCGAAAAATTATTATGTCCTTAAAATAAAAGATATTCGTATTTTATGAAAAAATTATTCCTATTATTAATCAAAAATTAAAGAATTTATGAATGATTAAATCAATGAAAATTAATAAAAACGATTTATTTTTGATAAATTATATCCTGATAGATGAATTAAAAATTGTTCTATCTATTATATTTAGTATTTTTATATCTTTCTATCACTAAAAGTTTTAAAAGAAAAAACTTATAATTTAATAGAAAAATTAGATTTACAAAAAAAAATAAATTTTAAATTAAAAAAAGCATCACCTAAAAAAACAAAAAAAAACAAAAATTTAAGAAATATAAGAAAAAATGTCTCTGCTAAACACAAAATTTGAGATTAAATTTACTGCTAACATTATTTTTGTGCTTTAATTATATATAATATTTATTACTATCTTTTACTTGAATGACTATCCTGTGCTAGAAATGATTTACTGCTTACCAATTATAGCTTTCTTTTAGTTTATTTAATATCTCCTCTTTTGGTGTCCTTACGAAAATTGCTTAACATCTTTTCTAACTATTAATATTTCTTGTTTTGTAATCAGCTTAGGTTTATTTTTAGGCATTTTTTTAGGGATATTTAATTAAACATTATAGTATCAATTTGAAGAAATCTAAGAGTGTTCAGTTGTAGGTAAGTTTTCGACATATTATGATGAATTTCCACCTTTATCTAGTGAAAAATACTCAATTCTATATATTGATTTTTAGATGGATGGTCAAAAATTTTTAGGTTATGGTTGCTTGTCTTCATAGTCTTAAGGTACTACTTCAACAACGATTTAACAGCATAATCCTCTTACATTTTTGCATTATGGGGAAAATCATTGTGATTAAGGATAATGCTCTACTCCATATAAATTTAGCTAAGTGAAACTACCTAGCTGGATGTGCCTACCATTCGATACTAATTACGAGGATTTAGTTAAGACTAAAAATTGTTATGTGCATTTTTTTAATAGTAGAATTGAAAAAGGTCAACCTAAAAACTAAGCTTACTTAAATTCTAAAAGCAGAGTAAATGTTAGAGATTTAGAGCAATTCGCACTCATATCTTTCAAGAGGCTTAATGCCCCTTTTTCTTAGTACTTTGCATTCTTAGTATTTACTTTTTGTCCTTTTATTTCCTCAACAAATGTATTATTTATAGGATTAATTGGATAATTAGAAAAATATATCAAATCTATTACTAATTAAGTAAAAACATAAAATAATATAAATGTATTTAATGAAATAGAAATGGTATGATAATATTTTTAAAATGAATTAATAAAAATTTATACATAAGCTTGTATTATTAATATAAATAAAAAATGCTTATATGATTTTTATATTTAGTAATTATTGTTTAAGAAAAAGATTTGTATTCATTTATTTTGATTTTAAAATACTGGATAAATTATTTTTCCTTACAATTTAAGCTGTATTTAAAAAGTGTAAATTGTTTGAAGATCCAACTAAAATAAATATTAGAATTTATTTCAAAAAGTCAATTAATAGTGTTTCATGTTGAAAAAAAAGCAATAAATGTAGTAAAAATATTGAATGAATTATGTTGTTTCTATCAAATATATCTTTTTCTGATGTTAATTAAAAATATATATTGACTAACAAATAACTATACGCTTGATATTTAAATGCACTCAGAAAATACATTTATAGATACAATATTTTTAGTTGCAAAATAACTTTGAAAAAAATACAAAAAACAAATAGAAAGAAAGAAAGAATAATTTTCAATTCTTCTAGAGAAGAAAAATGGGCTGTTAATTTAGATAAGTTAAATAGAATATTAGAACCTTTTATTTGAGAAGCTTCAAACAAAAAATTTAGCTAATCATTAGCAATATTATGTCTTTAAAAAATCTATTTTGGGATTGAGGAATAAATATGAAATAGAATAAATTCCTTAAAAGATTGTTTGGGATTAAGGATCATGAAAAATTGAGCAAGTTAGTTCCTAAATTCAATTCTCGCATAATCATAAAATATAAATTTTTTCAATAACTATTTTAATCCTTTAAAAAGATGGTTTTAGTTTTCATAAAATATACTTTAGTTTAAATTTCAAAATAAAAATAGATAAATTAAGTATAAAGAGTCTATTTGGTTATTGAAACATATTTTTATAAAATTTTGAGTAGATTATTTACAATCAATCATTATTTATTTGCACTAGAAAAATAAATTTCAAAATTTAATTTTGATTTAAAAGTGTAAAATTGATTAAATGGGGATGAAAAAAAATTTATTCAATAACCTTTGTTAATTGTTTTTTTATTATAAATTAGTTTTTTATTATTTTATTATCATTAAAAAAATTTGAAAAAATTTATGTAAAAAAGTATTATATTAAATATATTTTTGTATTTTTAATTCTAAAATTCATTAATGAGAAACGAATTTATTAGCTTTTTAAATTACCAAAAATGATTATGTTCTGCAAGTAAAAGATATAAAAAAATTATTACTTTTAATAAAAAATTAATGAATTCATCAATGATTGAATTGAATAAGATTAGTAATAATGGTGTTTATTTGATAAGTTTTACTCTGATAGATGAATTAATAATTGTTCCATCTATTATATTGAGTTTATTTATATTTTTCTATCATAAATAGTTTTAAAATAAAAAATAATAATTTAAAATAGGCAAGAGAGAATAACAAAAACAAGTTTTAAATTAAAAAAACATCATCTAAAAAAATAAAAAATAAAATTTATATAGAAACATTAGAAAATATGACTATGTTAAGCAAAAAATTTGAGATTAAATTTACTCCTAACATTATTTTTGTGCTCTAGTTATATATAATATTTATTACTATCTTTTACTTGAATAACTATCCTGTGCTAGAAATGATTTACTGCTTACCAATTATAGCTTTCTTATAGTTGATTTAATATATCCTCTTTTGGTGTCCTAATGAAAATTGCTTAGCAATTTTCTTAACTCTTAATATATGTTCTTTTGTAATCAGCTTAGGTTTATTTTTAGGTATTTTTTTAGGGATATTTAATTAAACATTAAAGTACCAATTTTAAGAAATCTAAGGGTGTTCGGTCATAGGAAAGTTTTCAACATATTTTGAAGAAATTCCAAATTCTTCAAGTGAAAAATACTCAATTCTATATATTGACTTTTAGATGGATGGTCAAAAATTTTTAGGTTACGGTTGTTTGTCTTCAGAGTCTTAAGGCACTAGTACAACATCAATTAAATCACATAACCCACTAGCATTTATGCATTATGGGGAAACCCATTGTGATTAAGGATAATGCTCTGCTCCATATAAATTTAGTTAAGTTAAGCTACCTAGTTGGATGTGTCTTCCATTCAATACTAATTACGAGGATTTAATAAAGACCAAAAATTGTTATGTGCATTTTTATAATAGTAGAATTGAAAAAGGTTAAACCTAAGACTAAGCTTACTTAAATTCTAAAAGTAGAATAAATGTTAGAAATTTAGAACAATTCGCATTCATATCTTTCAATAAGCTTAATGTCCCTTTTTCTTAGTACTTTACTTTTTTAGTATTTACTTTTTGTCCTTTTATATCCTCAACGAATGTATTATTTGTAGGATTAATTGGATATTTAGAAAAATATATTAAATCTATTACTAATCATAATAAATAATAAGCATATATTAATGAAATAGAAGTCATGCCAATGCCATGATAATATTTTTAAAATAACTTATTAAAAATAATACATGAGCATGTTTCATTAATTTAAGCCAAAAATGTTAATATGATTTGTATATTTAGTAGTATACATTACATAAGAAAAAGATTTGTATTAATTTATTTTTACTTTGAAATTCTTGATAATTTCTTTTTGCTTAAAGTTTAAGTTGATTTTTAAAAAGTATTAAATTTTTGAGAAAATCCAACTAAAATAAATCTTATAATTAATTGTAAAAAGTAAAAAAATAACGTTTATTGTAGAAAAAAAGCAACTAATGTAGGAAATATTATGAATGACTTATGTTGTTTTTTATCAAAAATATCCTTCAAAATTTTCTGATGTTAATTAAAAACTTATATTGACTAGCAAATAACTATTTACTTTATATTATTAAAAACTGATAAATTATCTTTACTACTTGTTTATTAAATCTGATAAAATAACAATATAATAATTATTGATTTATTTTAATTATTATTAAATGAAATTTTTATAATATTATTTATTTTTATTAAATTTCCAAAAATTATAACAAAATTATTATGTTTTAAAAGTAAAAGATATTCGTATTATATGAAAAAATTATTATTTTTAATAAAAAATTAAAGAATTTATGAGTGATTGAATCAAAGATAATTAATAATAATGGTGTTTTATTTGATAAATTAATATATTCTGATAGATGGATTAAAAGTTTTTCATCTATTATATTGAGTTTTTTTATATCTTTCTATCACTAAATGTTTTAAAATAAAAAATATATAATTGAAAATAGAAAAATTTGACTTACAAAAAAAAACAAACTTTAATTTAAAAAAAGTATCAACTAAAAAAAGCAAAAAAACAAAACAAAATATTATTTAGAAATATAAAAAATGGCTCTGTTAAACACAAAATTTGAGATTAAATTTACTGCTAACATTATTTTTGTGCTTTAATTATACATAATATTTATTACTATCTTTTACTTGAATGACTATCCTGTGCTAGAAATGTTTTATTGTTTACCAATTATAGCTTTCTTTTAGTTGATTTAATATTGCCTCTTTTGGTGTCCTGAAGAAAATTGCTTAACTACTTTTTTAACTATTAATATTCTTTGTTTTGTAATCAGCTTAGGTTTATTTTTAGGCATTTTTTTAGGGATATTTAATTAAACATTATAGTATCAATTTGAAGAAATCTAAGAGTGTTCAGTCATAGGTAAGTTTTCAACATATCTTGATGAATTTCCACCTTTTTCAAGTGAAAAATACGCAATTCTAAATATTGATTTTTAGATGAATGGTCAAAAATTTTTAGGCTACGGTTGTTTGTCTTCAGAGTCTTAAAGTACTACTATAGCAATAATTCAATAGCATAACCCTCTGACATTTTTGTATTATGGGGAAAAGCAATACTATTAAGGAGCATACTCTCTTCCATATTAATTTAGCTAAGTTAAACTACCTAGCTGGATGTGTCTACCATTCGATACTAATTACGAGGATTTGGTTAAGACTAAAAATTGTTATGTGCATTTTTATAATAGTAGAATAGAAAAAGGTCAACCTAAAAACTAAGCTTACTTAAATTCTAAAAATAGAATAAATGTTAGAGATTTAGAGCAATTCGCACTTATATCTTTCAATAAGCTTAATGCCCCTTTTTCTTAGTATTTTGCTTTCTTAGTATTTACTTTTTGTCCTCTTATATCATCAACAAATGTATTATTTATAACATTAATTGGATATATAGAATAATATATCAAATCTATTACTAATAAAGATAAAACATCCACCTATTTAAATTAATATAATCATGTAGAAGTCATGCCAATAGCATGATAATATTTTTAAAATGACCTAATAAAAATTTAAATATGATCTAGTTTCATTAATTTAAATAAAAAATGTTAATATGATTTTTATATTTAGTATTCATTGCTTAAGAAAAAGATTTATATTAATTCATTCTCAGTTTAAAATACTGGATAATTTATATTTGCTTAATTTAAAAATCTAAAAATGATTAAATGGGGATGACAAAAAATTATTAAATGGCATTTGTTCTGATTCAGTTAATTGTTTTATTATAATAATTAGTTTTTTATTTTATTATTACAAAAATAGTTTGAAAAAACTTATGTAAAAAGTATATATAAAACATATTTTTGTATTTTTAATTCTATTTCATCGAATTCATCGAAGAGAAATAAATTCATCAGATTTTATTATATTTCCAAAAATTATAATGTTCTGAAAGTAAATGATATTCAAATTATATAAAAAAATTATTACTTTTAATCAAAAATTAAAGAATGTATGAAAGATTGAATCAAAAATGATTGATTATTTATGTATTTATTTCACAACTTATATTATTATGAATTATAAATTGTTCTATCTATTATATTGAGTTTTTTTATATCTTTCTATCACAAAAAGTTAAAAAAAAACTTAAAATTTAAAATAGTAAAACAAGACTTACAAAAAAAAACAAATTTTAAATTAAAAAAAGTATCAACTAAAAAAAGTAAAAAATAACAAAAAATTAAAAGAAATATAAGAAAATATGACTCTGTTACGTAAAAAACTTTAGATTAAATTTACTGCTAATACTATTTTTGTGCTTTAATTATATATAGTATTTATTACTATCTTTTACTTGAATGACTATCCTGTGCTAGAAATGATATACTGCTTACCAATTATAGCTTTCTTATAGTTGATTTAATATCTCCTCTTTTGGTGTCCTTACGAAAATTGCTTAACACCTTTTCTAACTCTTAATATTTGTTGTTTTGTAATCAGCTTAGGTTTATTTTTAGGTCTTTTTTTAGGGATATTTAATTAAACATTAAAGTATCAATTTTAAGAAATCTAAGAGTGTTCAGTCATAGGAAAGTTTTCTACAGATTTTTAAGAATTTCCACATTTATCTAGTGAAAAATACTCAATTCTATATATTGATTTTTAGATGGATGATCAAAAATTTTTAGGTTATGGTTGTTTGTCTTCAGAGACTAAAGATACTATTTCAGCAACAATTCAAACACATAATCCACTAACATTTTTGTATTATGGGGAATAGCAATGTTCTTAAGGAGCATGCTCTCTTCCATATTAATTTAGCTAAGTTAAACTGCCTAGCTGGATGTGTCTTCCATTTGATACTAATTATGAGGATTTAGTTCAGACTAAAAATTGTTATGTGCATTTCTTTAATAGCAGAATAGAAAAAGATCAACCTAAAGACTAAGCTTACTTAAATTCTAAAAATAGAATAAATGTTAGAGATTTAGAGCAATTCGCACTCATATCTTTCAATAAGCTTAATGCCCCTTTTTCTTAGTATTTTGCTTTCTTAGTATTTACTTTTTGTCCTCTTATATCCTCAACAAATGTATTATTTATAGGATTAATTGGATATATAGAAAAATATATCAAATCTATTACGAAAAATAATAAAAAATACACAAATATATTTTAATTTAATGAAATAGAAGTCATGGAAATTGCATGATAATATTTTTAAAATGAATTATTACAAAATTTTTAACGAAAAAGTTTTACTAATTTAAACCATAAATGTTAATATGATTTTTATATTTAGTATTTATTGCTTAACAAAATATTTGTATTAATTTATTTTCAGTTTAAAATACTGGATAATTTATTTTTACTTAAATTTTAATCATCTTATAAAAAAAATGTTAAATTGGTGAGAAAATCAAACGAAAATAAATCCTAGAATTAAAAGCAAAAAGCTAAAGATTAATTTAGAAAAAAAAGCAATAAATGTAATAAAAATTATGAATTAATTATGTTTTTTTTTTGTCAAAAATATCCTTCAAAATTTTCTGATTTTTATAAAAAACTTATATTGACTATCAAATAACTATTAGCTTGATATGATTAAAAATTTCAAGCTAACAGAAATACAATTATAGATACAATATTTTTAGTTACAAAATAGTATTGAAAAAATACAAAGAATAAATAGAAAGAAAGAAAGAATAATTTTAAACTTTTTAATTCAACAAAATTGGCTACTATTCATCTGGGTTCGCATTCTAATTATCCTATTATATTTGAATTTTTTAATATTTTTCTATAGCAATAAGTTTAAAAAAAAAATTTGTAATTTAAAAAGAAAAACGAGACTTACATAATAAACAAATTTTAAATTAAAAAAAGTATCATCTAAAAAATTATTAAAAAAAAAACTAAAAAACAAAAAATTATATAGAAATATAAGAAAAAATGGCTCTTTTAGGCAAAAAATTTAAGATTAAATTTACTGCCAACACTCTTATTGTGCTTTAATTATATACATTAATTATTACTATCTTTTACTTGAATGGTTATCCTGTGCTAGAAATGATTTACTGCTTACCAATTATAGCTTTCTTATAGTTGGTTTAATATCTCCTCTTTTGGAATTCACATAAAAATTGCTTAAAACCTTTTCTAATCCTTAATATTTGTTTTTTTTTTATCAGCTTATGCTTATTTTTAGGCATTTTTTTAGGGATATTTAATAAAACATTAAAGTATCATTTTTAAGAAATTTAAGAGTGTTCAGTCATTGGTAAGTTTTCTATAAATTTTGAAGAGTTTCCATCTTTATCTAGTGAAAAATACTCAATTCTATATATTGATTTTTAGATGGATGGTCAAAAATTTTTAGGTTACGGTTGTTTGTCTTCAGAGTCTAAAGATACTACTCCAACATCATATTAATAACATAATCCACTAACATTTTTGTATTATGGGGAATAGCAATGTTTTTAAGGATAATGCTCTATTCCATATAAATTTAGTTAAGTTAAATTACCTAGCTGGATGTGTCTTCCATTCGATACATATTACGAGGATTTAGTTCAGACTAAAAATTGTTATGTGCATTTTTTTAATAGTAGTATTGAAAAAGGTCAACCTAAAGATTAAGCTTACTTAAATTCTAAAAATAGAATAAATGTTAGAGATTTAGAGCAATTCGCGCTCATATCTTTCAATAAGCTTAATGCCCCATTTTCTTAGTATTTTGCTTTCTTAGTATTTACTTTTTGTCCTCTTATATCCTCATTAAACGTATTATTTATAGGATTAATTGAATATTTAGATTAATATATCAAAGATATTACTTATAAAAATAAAAAGCTCAATAATATAAACTAATTTAAAAGAACGATTAAAGGCAGGGTATGATAATATCCATAAAAAACATATTAAAAATTTATAGATGGGTTTCATTAATTTAAACCAAAAATGTTTATATGATTTTTACATTTAGTATTTATTAATTAAGAAAAAGATTATTTTCAGTTTAAAATACAGGATAATTTATTTTTGTTTAAAGTTTAAGCTGCTTTTTAAAAAATGTTAAATTTGTGAGAAAGAAAACTAAGTAAAAATCTTAGAACTAATAGTAAAAAATCAAAGAGTCGTGTTTTATGTAGAAAAAAAGCAATAAATGTAGTAAATATATGAATGAATTAAGTTGTTTTTTATCAAAAATATCCTTCAAAATTTATTTAATTATTTAAAAAATTATTAATTTATTGACTTATTAATAACTAATTGCTTGGTATTATTAAAAAGTAAATGCTTTCAAAAATACAATTAAATAAACAATATTTTTAATTGCAAAATAGCTTTTAGAAATAGATAAAGAACAAATTGAAAGAATATTTTTCAGTGTCTCTAGTGATAATGAAGAAGAAATAGGATTAGTTTAGATAAATTTAATATTATATTAGAATCTTGTATATGAGAAGTTTCAAACAATACATTTAGTTAATGATTAGCATTTTTACGTTTTTAAAAAATCTAAATAGAAGAGCAAAACCTAAAAAGTCTTTTTTGGGATTGAGAATCATGAAAAACTTTTGTAAGTTAGTTCCTAAATTCAGTTCTTGTATAATCCTGTAAATTATTTTTTTAAATAACTCTTTAAATCCTTAATAAAGATGGTTTTAGTTTTAATAAAATATACTTTAGTTTAAAATTATTAATATAAATAGATAAATTAAGTATAAATATTCTATTTGATAGTTGATTCATATTTTTATAAAATTTTGAGGATGTTAGATACTATCAATCCTCATTAATTAATAGAACAAGAAAAATAGATTTCAAAATTTAATTTTGGGTGTTAACATATTTTTGTATTTTATTTCTACTTCTAAGATATGTACTGAAAGTAAAAGAAAAGCATATTATATTAAAAAACTATTATTAAAAAATGTATGAATAATTGAATAAAAAAAGATTAATAATAACAGTGTTCATTTGATAAATTTTGTTCTGGTTAATTGAAAATTGTTCTATCTATAATATTGAGTTTTTTTATATTTTTCTATCGCAAAAATTGAAGAAAAAAAAACTTGTAATTTGGAATAGAACAGCAATACTTACATAATAAACAAATTTTAAATTAAAAAAAGTAAAAAAAACAAAAATTTATAAAGAAATATAAGAAAAAATGGCTCTTTTAGGTAAAAAAATTAACATTAAATTTACTGCTAACACTATTATTATCCTTTAATTGTATATACTATTTATTACTATCTTTTACTTGAATGGCTATCCTGTGCTAGAAATGATTTACTGCTTACCAATTATAGCTTTCTTTTAGTTGATTTAATATTTACTCTTTTGGCATCCTCATTAAAATTGCTTAGCACCTTTTCTAACTCTTAATATTTGTTGTTTTATAATCAGCTTAGGTTTATTTTTAGGCATTTTTTTAGGGATATTTAATTAAACATTATAGTATCAATTTTAAGAAGTCTAAGAGTGTTCAGTTATAGGTAAGTTTTCAACATATTTTTAAGAATATCCAAAAATATCTAGTGAAAATTATTCAATTCTATATATTGATTTTTAGATGGATGGTCAAAAATTTTTAGGTTACGGTTGTTTATCTTCAAAGTCTACAGTTACTAGTTAAACAATAATTCAAACACATAACCCACTAGCATTTTTGTATTATGGGGAATAGCAATGTTATTAAGGATAATGCTCTCTACCATATAAATTTAGTTAAGTTAAACTACCTAGCTGGATGTGTCTTCCGTTTGATATAAATTAAGAGGATTTAGCTAAGACTAAAAATTGTTATGTGCATTTTTTTAATAGTAGAATTGAAAAAGGTCAAACTAAAGATTAAGCTTACTTAAATTCTAAAAGTAGAATGAATGTTAGAGATTTATAGCAATTCGCACTCATATCTTTCAATAAGCTTAATGCCCCCTTTTCTTAGTATTTTACTTTCTTAGTATTTACTTTTTGTCCTCTTATATCTTCATTAAATGTATTATTTATAGGACTAAGTGGATGTTTAGAAAAATATATTAGAGTTATTATTAACAAAAATCAAAAATACAATACTATAAATTAATTTAATCAAATAATTGAATAAAGGGTATGATATTATTTTTAAAAAGACTTATTAAAAATTTAATGACAAGTTTCATAATTTATACTAAAAATGCTAATACAGTTTTATATTTAGTATTTATTTGTTACTTAAGAAATATATTTTTATTAATTTATTTTCAGTTTAAAATACTGGATAATTTATTTTTGTTTAAAATTATTTAATCTACTTTTTAAAAAAAGTTAAATTTGCTAGAAAGTCAATTCTAATAAATCTTAGACTTAATTGCAAAAAGCTAAAGATTCATATTTAATTTAGAAAAAAAGTAATAGATGTAGCAAATATGTGAATAAATTATGTTATTTTTTATCAAAATATCTTCAAAATTTACTGATTTTAGTTAAATACTTATTAATTGATTGACTAAGAAATAAATATTTGCTTGAATATTGTTAATAAACAGATGCTTTCAAAAATTAATTATATATATATATATATATAGTACCCTAAGGTACTGCCTTTTTCAAAGCTACATACACGAATATTAATAAGATTTATATTAAACATATTTTTGTATTTTTAATTCTACTTATTCTCTGAAAGTATAAGATATTCATATTATATAAAAAAATTATTATTTTTAATTAAAAATTAAAGAATCTATGTATGATTGAATAGACAAAGATTAATAACAGTGTCTAATAGATAAATTAATTTTGTTTTGGTTAATTAAAAGTTGCTCTATATTATATTTAGTTTTTTTTAATTTTTCTTTCACAAATAAAAAAAAACTTATATTTTAAATAGAAAAGCATAATAAACAGAATTTTAAATTAAAAAAGTATCATCTAAAAAAAGATAGAAAAAAAACAAAAAATAATTTAGAAATATAAAAAATGACTCTGTTGGCAAAAAAACTTATGATTAAATTTACCGCCAATGCCATTATTATGCTTTCACTATATATAGTACTAATTACTATCTTTTACTTGAATGGCTATCCTGTGCTAGAAATGATTTACTGCTTACCAATTATAGCTTTCTTATAATTGATTTAATATTTCTTCTTTTGGTATTCTCATGAAGATAGCTTTAAAAAGTTTCTATTTCTTAATATTTGTTTTTTTATAATCAGCTTAGCTTTATTTATAGGAATTTTTTTAGGGATATTTAATTAAACATTAAAGTATCAATTTTAAGAAATCTAAGAATGTTCAGTTATAGGTAAGTTTTCTACATATTTTTAAGAATTTCCATATTAATCCAGTGAAAAATATTCAATTCTATATATTGATTTTTCGATGGATGATCAAAAATTTTTAGGTTATGGTTGCTTATCTTCAGAGTCTAATGATTATAGTTCAACATCAATTCAATAACATAACCCACTAACGTTTTTGTATTATGAGGAAAAGCAATGCAATTAAGGAGCATGCTCTCTTCCATATAAATTTAGTTAAGTTAAACTACCTAGTTGGATGTGTCTTCCACTTGATACAAATTATTAAGATTTAGTTAAGACTAAAAATTGTTATGTGCATTTTTTTAATAGCAAAATTGAAAAAGATCAACCTAAAGACTAAGCTTACTTAAATTCTAAAAATAGAATAAATGTTAGAGATTTAGAGCAATTCGCACTCATATCTTTCAATAAGCTTAATGCCCCTTTTTCTTAGTATTTTGCTTTCTTAGTATTTACTTTTTGTCCTCTTATATCCTCATCAAATGTATTATTTATAGGATTAATTGGATGTTTAGAAAAATATATCAGAGTTATTATTAGTAAAAACAAAAAAATCAGCAATATAAATTCATTTGATGAAATGATTGATTTAAGGATATGATAATATTTTTAAAATGATGTTTTAAAAATTTATAGATGAGTTTCATTAATTGAAACCAAAAATGTTAATATGATTTTTATATTTAGTATTTATTAATTAACAAAAATATTTGTATTGATTCATTTTCAGTTTAAAATCCTGGAAAATTTATTTTTATTTAAAGTTTAATCTGTATTTTAAAAAATGTTAAATTTGTGATAAATTAAACTATAATAAATCTTAGATTAGATTGCAAAGAGTCAAAGAATGTGTTTATTGCATAAAAAAAATTTAATTGAATTTATTATATTTTGCTACCAAAAAATTTTAAAAAGCTTATGTAAAAAATAATATGAATATTTCATTAAGCATGTTTTGATATTTTTAATTCTATAACACCAAAAATAAATAAGCAAAATGTGTCAACTTTTATTTTTTATCGAAATATTACTTTATTCTATTAGTAAAAAATATCTACTTTATAGAATATTTTTTGTTTTTAATCCAAAGTTGATATTATTTTAAAATAAATTTAGTAACAACAATTTTCAAATATTATGATTACATTTTCAAATGATTAATTATTAGTTTTAACTAATTTAAAGCAAAAATCTTAATAGAATTTTATACTTAGTAGTTATATTTTTAAGAAAAAAGATTTACATTTATTTATTTTTTGTTTAAAATTTACAAATATGTTAAATTTGTTAAAAAGCCAGCAAAAAATCTTAGATTTTATTCCAAATAGTCTAAGAGTCGTTTTTAATATAGAAGAAAAAAATAAAAAATGTAAGAAATATGTGAATTATGTTGTATTTTATCAAAAATATCCTTCAAAAGTTTCTGATGTTAATTAAAAATTCAATAATTTGTTGATTAGGAAATAAGTACATTAGTTTGATATAATTAAAAAATATTTGATTGATATTATTAAAATGTTCATGCTTTCAAAAAATAAAATTATAAATGCAATATTTTAGTTGTAAAATAGCTTTGAAAAAAAAGATAAAGAACAAATAGAAAGAATCATTTTCAATTCTCCTAGCGAAGAAGAATGGGATTAGTTTAGACAAGTTTAATAAAATATTAGAAGCTTGTATTTGAGAAGCTTCAAATAGAAAATTTAGTTAATCATTAGCAATTTTACCTCTTTAAAATAGCTCTTTTGGGATTGTGGAGATAATAATGATGAAGAATAAATTCCTAAAAGCATTTGTATGGGATTAAGGAACATGAAAAACTTGTGCGAGCTAGTTCTTAAATTCAATTCTTTCTCAATTTTGCAAGAAAACTTTTTTAAAGATTTGTTTCTTGGGAATTTGCAGCAAGTAGGAACATTTAATAAATTAGCAATTCAATTTGATAAATGCAGCTTTTCGCAAGCTAATATAGATGATTTAGCTGATAATTTAGTTTTTCTGTAAAACTTAAAGCATTTAAGTATTTAATACCATCCATAATGCAATGATGAACTCTCCTTTTTTTAAAAAATATGGTTGGCAATTAGCTCATTAAATATTTTAGAATCATTAAGCATTGATTTAGGTTTTTAACCTTAATAATTTAGTTAAGAAGTAGATTTTTAAATGGCATTAAAGGATAAACCAATTTGTAATTCATTAAAATATTTAAGGTTGTTCATGGTAGAGACAACTTAAAGTGAAGACTAGTATAAATTATTTAAGTCTTTGTGTGAATTTAAGAAGCTAGAAATTTTTGTATTCGAGCAAGAAATTCACGCTTATTTAAAATAAATAGATGATTTATTAGCTTTATTGCTATAGAATAATAAAGAAACAATTAAAAAATTGGATTTGTCTTTATATGAATTTGAAGCTGCAAGTTTTGCTGAAAGTGAAGACAATTTAGATGAAGCAGAAAGAATGCCATTTAAGTTTTTAGATTAAATAAAATACCTATAGAATCTAGAAAGACTCAAAATAGTTTCTAATTTATTTACAGATTTTAACTCTCTTAAAACTCTAACGGAGAATGCTAAATAATGTAAATTTCTGAATTAATTTTATTTAGAATATGATATTACTCCGTTTGACGATTTAGAATTAGCTCAATATAGGAAAATATTTGATGACTTGATGAACGTACCATACTTGATCAATTGCTTTGCTGATGATAAAATTCGCTCGTATTAAGCCAGGTCATTTAAAAAAACAACTTTAGAGGTTTTTGATGTAGATGGTTCTATTACAAATTATTTTGACCCATTTACAATTTCAAAAATTTATAAAAAATATGAGAAATAACTGCAATTAAATCAAATTTCTATTGAAAAACTCAAAAATATTTTTAATTAGAATTTTATTAACAAAAGCATATCAATGCAAGATTTAATTACTCTTTAAATACCACCATAATAAAACTAAACAAATTAATAATTTGGAAGTTTATAAAATATAGAATAAATTGCAAATTATAGTTGCTCATCTTCAAATACTTTCTATTCTGAAGAAGGTGAAAGTTATTCCTTTTCTTCTGATGAAAGCAATTAGAAATCTCGTTGCTGTTTAATTGTCTAAAAGTATCTCCAAGAAAAAGTGACATAAATTTTATAGATTCATATTTTTAAAGATTAAATAGATCTTGGATTAAAAGAAACATTAGGAGATTTATCTTTAATAAAGTATTTATATTGGGATTTATATATTTGATTTCTTCTAATTTGTTGATTTAAATAATATAATATTTCAATTATCTTTTATTATAAATTTATATTGAAAATTTAAAAAAATAACTACTATATATATATAAATAATATTTTTTTTAATTAAGTATTTAAGTTGTTTAATTAATATTTTTAAATCTTTTAATAAAAAGAATTTCTTAATAGAATGAAGTTATTTAAAAAAAAACAAATTTTTCTCCAAATAATCTATATTTCTAGTTTATTTAGTAATAAAAAGATTAAAATAAACCAATAAAAAATATACATTTAGAAAGATATTTTTGTATAAGAATACATTTACTATTTAAGTGGTTTTAATTAAATATAAAATGTCAATTATTTAGTAGAGTAAATTAGAATTTATTTTAGATGTTTAATCTTAAAACAATTTATAAATCATAGAATTAATAAAGTAATGAAAAAAAGTACAGCGCAATGAGTAAATATTGGATTCGAACCAACTATAACCATATGAAGTAACTCATTTGCTTGACTTTAATAAAAACATAAAAAAAAATCAATATAAATGATACATATTTTATTTTTTTTTTATGGGTCTTGATAATTAATTATAAAAAATTAATCTTCAAATATCTTTTCTCAAATTTGATAATCAATTAATAGCTTTTCTAAGAATAATAAATTCAACAAAGTAATCAATTATAATAAATTTTTAAATTATAAAATATAAAATAAATATTTTATAAAATGGGGGGATTTTATTAATAAAATATATTTTACATTTAGATATATTAAGAACAAAAATCATTTGATTTTTTTATACCCCTAAATAGAAAAGAAAAGGATATAACCCCATTAAATATAAAACAAATAATAAGAATAAGTGCATTTAAATATATTTGTATAAAATAAAATAAGTCAGTATTTAATTTGAAGATGATTAATTACTATTTAGAATAGCAAAAATATGAATTAGATTAAAATTTTATATTTTTTAAATTCAAAAATTATTTTATTATTCTTAGAAGGTTAAATGATCTAGTTAGAGTTTTTTGAAATCTTCTCTAGAAGTAATGTATTTCCCAACATCTCCACTATAAACATTTTAGGTATTTAGTTTCATAGGCAAATCGCTTTATTTAACTCTAGATGGACTAAATAATTGAATACTAAATCTTGAGTTTGAGTTCTTAAAATACTTTGAAAAGAAGCTCTATAAATCTTTGCTTGTGAAAACCCTCTCATTAAGAATTTTAGCTGCCTTGTAGTTTAACTCAAAATCATAAGTCATGTCATCGATAAATGTCCAGAAATACTCAGCTTTATCTATGAATTTATCAAATTTATCTATTCTTAAGCTTTATATCAAACTTTGTTACATAGAACTGATTTCTTATTTTGTAAGAGATTCCAAATATTATTCAAATTTAGGAAGGAATTCTTCAATATGCTCATCGTATTAATTTGGATTGTGTTTTGATCCCTAAACAAGAATTATAACACTGAAATAATCTTAATTTTTTATCACTTTAGAAGCTACTACATATCCTAATTGCAATTATGTTCTTAAATAATCAAAAGCCTTCGTTCTTAGTGGTTTTTCAATCAATTTAAGTATTGAGTATTCTATTAAATCAAGCTTTCCTAGCTGATAAAAATTAGAGCATAGATTATTGTTACGATCTCCAGACTCATAGAATAGTTAAAGTGTTAGCGAATTATTCTTAAAATTCAAATATTCAGCTTGATATATAAAAGGTTAATCTTAAATTTAAGTGCTTTTTGTGAGGAGATCAAATTAATTTATTATTTAACTTTTATCAATATCACCGAAGACATAAATTACCAAATTAAATCCTTTAATGAATTATTCAATGATTTTATTTGCATAATTTTATTGTAATCCACTAACAACTTCTAAAATTTCTGCCTTAGAGTACAAATCAGTCTTAATATAGGAGTTCAAAAGATCTATATATTACATATATAACATTTAATTCTTGAAGATGTTCAGTTTATCCATTAGTTTTTATTTTTATTCATCAAATGAGGTTTAGTCATTAAGTAGTTTCAAGCTTTTCAAATTAAGAACTTCTAATATTTTTTAAAAGACATCCTTCACCTAAGAGTTGAGACAAGTTATCTTTATTAGAATTCCTCCTTCCTATTTTGTAGGTTCAACTTCTATTTATAGTTTTTAGAATTAAAGCAAATGTGTTTTTCTCTATATTTCATCAGAAACATAATTAGCCAATATTTCATTCACTGCTCTAGAGGAAGCGTCTTTGAGAAATATCTCACTTTAGAATTTTAAAACTATTGTTTAAATTGGCTTCTTAAAAGTAAAAATATCCTTTTGAGCAAAAATCTTTCCCTTATTAGTAGCATGTATTAGTTTAGGTTAGATATCATCATTAGCAAGCTCAGTATTTTTTAAGAGTTTATCAGGAATTATGCCAAAGCTCTCTAATGGGTAAATTTTGGAAATATTTAGGGTTTAATGTTATCTAAATATATTTTATTCTTCCAATGATATTTTTGATTGGGTGTAGTTTAAATCATTGAGCTGATCTCTTATAATTTTTTATCCTTCAACGTAGGTAGAATTGTTTGTTTTGTGGATAATCACGATTTTGCCTGGATCTGTTAATACACTCATTATTTTACTAAAATGGGTTTCATTATATTTTTTATACAGATTATTCTCTGCTAAAATGTCTTACAACCTGTTCTAGTTCATGAGTCTAGAATACTAAATTACTTCACTCATAACATCTCTTTAATTTTCATCATCAATTATGTCAAATAGACTTTTTTAAATTGATTTAATTGCATAATAAGTTTCTTATTTTTTAGGATAATTTGCTACTGCGTTCATAAAATAAAAGTAAGCTTTTACTATTTCTTCTATTGTATTTTCTGAATCCAAAAATTGTAAATTCAATTTAAATATCAAGAATTTGTTTAAATTGCTTTATTCTTGTTCTATCTCTATTTTGCACTACGTAGCTAATTTTCTGTCTTCTAAAAAAAAGCAAAAACTGGTTTCTTAGAATCCATAATTAAATAAATCTCTTACAAATTGCAAAGATAAATATTCGAAATTCTAATCATCTTCAAGTAGAAAAACAAGCTAAAGCTTTTTAACCTTATTGCTTTCAATCGAAACGCTCTTAATTGCCTGAGTTATTGGAGGTTTATTTGTAGAATTGTAAGAATATCTTAGTAATTCTGAATCTTTCTAAGTAAAATTTGATAAATTTTCTTATTTAGTAGGGATATCCTAAAATATTTCTTCAAGTTAGTCTTTGAGATTCTGTCTTTAGCTCTCCTCTGACTTAATAACAAGGAACATATTTTCTGAATAATAGTATTATTTTTTAAATGAGCGTAAAGCATTGTAAGTAGAAAGGCCTTTAGACTTAGGTGTATTCAACAATGAATCTGTATTTCCACAATAAAATAATTTAAATGGGTGGTTATCCTCAGATAGATTAATCAACAAATTATAATCCCTAAATTCTTCTCTTGTGAGAGTGTTGAAGTATTCTGAGTCAACAGCTTGAACTTCTCTCTATAGCTGATCTTCCAACAAAAGAGGATCTATAAAAAACCTACTCCAAATATTTAAAATATCTATTAAATTATTATGAGTCCCTTAAAAATGATAATTTGTATCTCCTCCTGCAGTAAAAGCATTGCTACTACCACCTTTTTATTTAATTTATTTAAAATTCTTTATCAATTTTTAAATTTAAATGTATGCATTTGAATAAAATTTAAATATTAATTAAGCATCTAATTTGTTAGTTTTTATTTAAATGTCAAAATATTTTTTTTGATGCAAATTTGATTGAGCAATTTAAATAAAATTAATTTATTTTATAATTAATTATTTTACTGCTTTTTGATATTAGGTTGTTAAACGCATCTTCTTATGGATACTTTTCACTTCCCATAAAAAGCATGTGCTCTAAAAGATGTGCCAGTCCTTAAAATTCAGTTGGATTATTTTAGGATCCTACTAATACATCTAATGATGCTCCGCTTAATTTTATATCTTTTTAAGTTATTAATAAAATCTTTAAATTATTTTTCTTGAGAGTTAGTAATTCATAATTAGCTTGGTCTCCATCTTTGATAATAATTTAATTTTTGACATCAACCCATTGATCATTTTTGTTACTATCAATCTGCATACTTACTATTGCTATAACTAAAATTATGATCACAACTAAAATTGAAATTATGATCTTCATCGGAGTAGTACAAATAAAAAACTAAGTGCCTTATATTTTATTTTCTACTAAGAGCTAATTTTCAACCTAATCTGCTTCATCTTGGCTCTATAATTCTAATTCTTAATACTACTCCTGTATTTCTTAAGGATCTTTAGAAATATTTCTTTTCTACATTACTTTAATTTTACTTAACTAATTCAAATATATATCTCTTAATTATTTAAATATGAAAAAGATATTTATATCATATTTTATCTATATAAAAATATTTGATCAGAAAGAATTTTTAAATATAAATTGCTCTATCAAAAAATCCAAAGAAATAATTGGATTTATAATTTTAAATGCTAAAGTTTCCTAGAATTTATAGATATATTATAGCACTTTGCAATACTAAAAATAATCATGTTATTTATTAGCAAGGATTTAAATAATATTAGAAATTAACATAATTAAATTAAAGATTATGGATATATCAAAAATTCATTTTATTATATATTAAATGAAAAATAGTAAAATGACATCAAAATATTTATTTAAAAATTTGATAGATTTTCCAAAATTATTAATTATTAAAATTTATTTGTTTTTTTATCTAAATTTATTGGTTTTTAATCTAAATTTATTTTATATAAAAACAAATAAATTTATTAATATAATTATAATTAATTAAATTTCCATAAATTACTATTAAATTTTTTGAAAAAAAAAATAAATGAGAAAAGAGTAAACAAATTTTTTAAATTTAGAAGAAGTAAATATTTATTTTTTTATTAATATTATTTAAATTTATTTTTTAATAAAATAAGTTTTTAAGCGCTTCACATGAATAGTCTCATGTTCTCAATATTAATATAAAATAAGAGTATATTTGATTAATTATTATTATAAATCTTTTTTATATTAAATTTTCATGTGATTACAATTGATTTTTTCTAATTGAAATTATCATGAATATTCATTCGCTTTATTTATACAAATATTTTTTAATTAGATTTCATTCAATTTATATTTTGACTATTAATTATTTTTTCTTCATTTTTTTCCTTCTTACCAATTGATTAACTTAATATATTTTTTTAAATAATTTAAAAGATAGTACATTTAGGGTTAATATGTAACTAATAGGTAAAAACTGTTTATTTGTTTTGGATTGCGATTTTTTTGAATATAAAAATGAATTTATAACAGCATAATTATTTTAATTTATTTATTTATTAGCTTTGATTATAAATCTTTTTTTATTCAGCTTCTGATTTTTTTCTTCTTTGTTTGTTAGTTTATTAACTTAAATTAATTTTTAATTTTCAATGCTTGCTTTTATTATTTACTAATTAATTCAATTCTTATTATTTCATATTTTTTCTTCATTTTCTCCTTCTAATTAACATAACAATATATTTTTTCTTCAATATTTAAAAGAATTGTTGGTTTTGAAGAGGCATCAAAGATAGGTTTTGTTTTACAAAATTGCAATAATCTCTCAAAGTTGACACTTGATCTAAGGTAAAAACAGTTTATTTGTTTTGAACTGTGATATTTATCAATATTAAAATGAATTTAAAACAATATAATTAATTTTTTAAATTTATTTATTAGATTTTTATTTGATTTATTTTTCTTTTTTATTTTGCTTGTGTTTTTTTAAAAATAATTTTTTTGTTTGCTTGTTAATTTAACTCATTTTTTCATTTTTAACTTTTACTTTTATTATTTATTAATTAATTTCTTATTTTTTCTTCATTTTTTCCTTCTAACTAATTAACTATTTATTTTTTTTTCATCAATATTTAAAAAGTGTTAATTAAATTGGGACAGTAGGTGTATCAAACTTAGTTTTTAGTTTAGGAAAGTGCAATAATCTCTCAATTTTGATATTTAATCTAAAGTAAAAACAGTTTATTTGTTTTGAATTATGATATTTTTGATATAAAAATAAAATTAACAACACAAATAATTCTTTTAGTTTGTTTATTAGCTTTTTTTTATTTTACTTTTTTTATTATAATTTTGTTTTTTTATATTTATTTCTTTGTTTGTTAATTTAACTCATTTTTTCATTTTCAACTTTTCTTTTATGATTTATGAATTATTAATTTCTTATTATTTCATATTATTCTTTGTTTTTTCATTCTAATTAACTAATTTACTTTATATTTTTTTTAAAAAAGTCAAAATAAAATTGATTTCTAAGGTGCATATAACATAGGTTTTAATTTAGGAAATTGCAAAAATCTCTAAAATTTGACACTTGATCTAAGGTAAAAACAGTTTATTAGCTTTGAATTGTGATATATTTGCTTATACAAATTAATTTAAAATATTGTAATTAATTTTACAAATACCGTAATACCTCAATTTTTATGACGAGCAAAACTGACGAGGAAACCCTAAAACTGGAAAAAAAATTCATTTCTCGTCTGTCGTCACTGTCAAGAAAAAGAGGACAGAGGATTGAGGTATTACGGTATTTATTAGCTTTTATTTGAATTATTCTACATTTAATTTTCTTATTTGTTTTTTTTAACTAATTTTTTAATTTTCAACTTTTACTTTTATTATTAATTAATTAACTTCTTATTATTTTATATTTTTTCTTATTTTTTCCTCTAATTAACAAATTCATTTTTATTGAAAAAGTTAGAATAAAATTTGTTATAATTCAGTATCAAGCTTATGCTCTGGTTTAGGAAAGTCCACTAAGCTCTCAAATTTGGTACTTGATCTAAGGTAAAAAAGTTTATTTATTTTGGATTGTTATATTTTTTAATAAAAAATAAATTTAAACAAAATATCTAACTCTTTTAATGTATCTGTAAGATTTTTATTTTATTTATTTAATTTAGCTTGTTTTTTTTTTTAAATTATTTATTTATTTGTTTGTAAATTTAACTAATTTTTTAATTTTTAACTTTTACATGAATTATTAATTAATTTTATCATTTACTATTATTTAATATTTTTTCTCTATTGTTTCCTTCTAACTAACTAATTAACTATATAATTTTTCTTTAATAATTCATTAGTGAAAATTAAATTGGTAAAATGCTCCTAGGCCTAAACTAAGGCTTATGTTCTGGTTTAGGAAATTGCGCTAATCTCTCAAATTTGGCAATTAATCTAAGGTAAAAACAGTTTATTTGTTTTGGATTGTGATTTTTTTGAATATAAAAATGAATTTAAAGTAATATAACTAGCTAGCTCTTTTAATTTATCTGTTAGCTTTTTATTTTATATATTTTCTTTATTTAATTCAGCTTGTGTTTTTTAAAAATTATTTTTTTGATTGTTTGTTAATTTAAGTTATTTTTTTATTTTTAACTCTTGCATTTATTATTAATTAATTATGCCATTTCATATTAAATAATATTTATTAATATTTTTTCACCATTATTTCCTTCTAACTAACTAATTAATAATATATTTTTTTTCTTCAATAATTAATTAGGTAAAATGAAATTTATTCAAATACACTAGCAAGCTTAGGTACTGATTTAGGAAATTGCAAGAATCTCTCAAATTTGACACTTAATCTAAGGTAAAAATAGTTTATTTGTTTTAGATTGTGATATTTTTGAATATAAAAATAAATTTAAAAAAATATAACTAACTCACTCTTTTTTAATTTATTAATTATCTTTTTATTTGATTTATTTTTCTTTTCTTATTTTCTGTAGAGTTTTTTTTATTTCTTTCTTTATCTGTTAATTTAACTGATTTTTTTTAATAGTAAAAATAAAATTGCCTAAATTTATGCAGGCTTTTATTCTGGTATAGGAAAGTGCACTAAGCTCTCAAATTTTACACTTCTTCTAACGTAAAAACAGTTTATTTGTTTAAGATTGTGATATTTAGTATATTAAAATCAATTTAAAATAATACAACTAACTCATTTAATTTGTCTCTTAGCTTTTTATTTTATTTATTTTCTTTATTTAATTCAAATTGTGTTTTTTAAATTTATTTTTTATTTCTTTTTTAATTTAAATTAACTCATATTTTAACTTTTAAGTCTTGCATTTATTATTAATTAATTATACCATTTCATATTATTTAATATCTTTTCTCCATTATTTCCTTCTAACTATCTAACTTCAATAATTAATTAGTGAAAATCAAATGAATTTAGAAATCCCATCAGGCTTATGTTCTGGTTTAGGAAATTGCTCTAATCTCTTAAATCTGAAACTTGATCTAAGGTAATTATTTTAATTTATTCATTATCTTTTTATTGATTTATTTTTCTTTTTTTATACTTTGCATAATTTTTTTTTTGTTTATTAGCTGTTAATTTAAATGATTTTTTAATTTTCAACTTTTTTTGTCTTTATTGTTAATTAATTTTTCCTTCTAATTAACAAATTTACTATAAATTTTTTCTATAATATTGAAATAGTCAAAATTAAATGGTCAAAATTAATGAAGACTTATGCTCTGGTTTAGAAAAGTGCACTAAGCTCTCAAATTTTATACTTCTTCTCATGTAAAAACAGTTTATTTTTTTAGGATTGTGGTTTTTAGAATTAAAATGAATTTAAAACAATACAATTAACTCATTTAATTTATCTCTTAGCTTTTTATTTTATTCATTTTTATTCTGTTCAGTTTTTATTTATTTATTTCTTTGCTTAAATTTAAATTTAACTCATTTTGTAATTTTCAACTTTTATTTTATTATTAATTAATTTCTTATTTTTTCATTTATTTTCTTCAATTTTTCCTTTAAACTAATAAATATTTTTTTATTTCTTTAATATTTAAAAAGAGGAAGTAAAATTAATTCAAAAGATGTAAAAAACTTAGGTCTTTCTTTAGGAAAGTTTGATAAAATCTTAAATTTGACACTAAATCTAAGGTAAAAACAGTTTATTTTTTTAGGATTATAATATTTTTAAATATAAAAATGAGTTTAAAACAATAACTTATTATCTCATTGCAAACTTTTATTATTATTATTAATTAATTCATTTCTTTTTATTTCATATTTTTTCTTTATTTTTTCCTTCTAACTAATTAACAATATATTTTTGTTCAATATTTAAAAAGTTAAAGTAATATTGGTTCATAAGACTTAAAAGACTTAGGTCTTTGTTTAGAAAACAACAATAATTTCTCAAATTTGTCACTTTCTCTAAAGTAAAAATTGTTTATTTGTTTTTGATTGTGATATTTTTAAAATAAAAATAAATTGAAAACAATATTACGAACTCTTTTTATTTAACAATTTGCTTTTGATTTGATTTATTTTGTTATTTTAATTCTTCTAATGTTTTTTTATTTATTTCTTTATTTTTTTGTTAGTTTAACCATTTTTTCATTTTTAACTTTTGCTTTTATTAATAATTAATTACTTATTATTCAATGATTTTACTTCATTTTTTCCTTCTAACTATCTAATTTACTCTTTTTTTTCTTCAATATTTAAAAGTGGAATTACAATTAATGAAAATGGTCTATCTTTCTTAGGTTCTAGTTTAGGAAAGTGCACTAATCTGTCAAATTTGAAAATTTTTCTTTAGTAAAAACTGTTTTTTGTTTTGGATTTTGATATTTTTGAATATAAAAATTAATTTAAAACATAATAATTAACTCTTTAATTTATTTATTAGCTTTTTATTTATTTAATTTATTTCTCTTTCTTTTTTTCTGCTTATGCTTTTTTAAATTTGTTTTTTGTTTGATTGTTAATTTATCTCATTTTTTCATTTTCAACTTTTGCTTTTATTACTTATTAATTAATTCTTTCATTCATTCATTCATTCATTCATTCATTCATTCATTCATTCATTCATTCATTCATTCGTTTATTCATTTCTTATTATTTGCCAATTTTCTCTTTATTTTTTCCTTCTAAATATCTTATTTACTCTTTATTAATTCTTCAATATTTAAAAAGTGAAAGTTAAATTGATGCAAATGATCTATCTGGCTTATATTCTGGTTTAGGACAGTGCACTAATCTCTCAGATTTGACACTTAATCTTTAGTAAAAACTTTTTATTTGTTTTAGATTTTGATATTTTTGAATATAAAATGAATTTAAAACATAAAAACAAACTAATTTTTTTTATTTATTTATTAGCTTTTTATTTGATTTATTTTTCTTTTTTTCTTATTTTGCTAGTGGCTTTTTTTTTTTAGTTAATTTAACTCATTTTTTCATTTTCAACTTTTACTTTTATTATTAATTAATTAATTTCTTCTTACTTCATATAATTTCTTTATTTTTTCCTTCTAACTAACTAATACTATATATTAGTTCTTCTAAATTTGTAATAAGTGGAATTAAAATTGGTTCAATTGCAGTATAAGAGTTTGGTTTTAGTTTAAAAAAGTGTACTAAAATCTCAAGTTTTGTACTTGATATAACGTAGAAACAGTTTATTTATTTTGATTGGGATATTTTTGAATTTAAAAATTAATTTAAAAAATATAATTATTAATTCATTTAATTAATTAATTATTATATATAAGAAAATAGACTCATGATGCCATTCCAAACAGTTCTCATATTAGCTAAATACTATTAATATATAATATCAACATATAAGAAAGATAAGGATTGTTTGGATTAGCATAATAGACCTATTTTCTTATATATTTTATTAGCTTTTTATTTGATTTATTATTTATTATTTTATTTGTTTTATAAATTAACTCATTTTTTAATTTTCAACTTTTGCTTTTATTATTTATTTATTTATTTTTTCATCATTTTTTCCTTCTTACTAACTAAAATTTTATTTTTTTCTTCAATATTTAAAAAGAAAGAGCCAAATTTTGGATCAAGGTGCATCAGGCTTAGGTTCTGGTTTAGGATTGTGTACTAATCTCTCAAATTTGGCACTTTATCTAAGGTAAAAACAGTTTATTTGTTTTGGAATGCGATATTTTTGAATATATAAATTCATTTAAAATAATATTACTAATTAACTCTTTTAATTTATTTATTTTCTTTTTATTTGATTTATTTTTCATTATTAATTCTGCTTGTGTGTTTTTTTATACATTTATTTATTTCATTACTTGTTAATTTAACTCATTTTTGCTTTTATTATTTATAAATTAATTTCTTTTTATTTAATATGTTTTCTTCATTTTTTCCTTCTAACAAACTAATTAATTGCATAATTTTTCTTCAATACTTAAAAGTGAAAATTATATTTGTGCAAATGGGGCTTGTGATTTAGGTTCTGGTTTAGGAAAGTGCACTAAAATCTAAAAATTGGTACTTGATTTAAGGTAAAAACAGCTTATTTGTTTTGGATAGTGAGATTTTTGAATATTAAAAATAATTTAAAACACTAATTAACTCTTTTAATTTATTTATTAGCTTTTTATTTAATTTATTTTCTTTATTTTATTTAACTGTCTTTTTTATATTTATTTATTTTTTTGCTAATTTAGCTCATATTTATTTTAATTATTAATTAAATTATTATTTTTTTTTCATTTTTAGTTCTAATTAACTAATTAACTATATTTTTTTTCTTCAATATTTAAAAAGTGGAAATAAAATTGGTGTATTTGGCGCATAGGGCTTATTTTCTGATTTAGGAAAGTGCACTAATATCTAAAATTTGACACTTTCTCTAAGGTAAAAACAGTTTATTTTATTGTTAATAAATTTTTTATTTTTTATTAATTCATATTTTATCTTCATTTTTTCATTCAAACTATCAAATTAACTATATATTTACTCTTCAACATATAAAAGTTAAAATAATATTGGTTCATAAGGTGCATCAGACTTAAGTTTATGTTTAGAAAAGTAGACTAAAATCTTAATATTGAAACTTGAACTTTAGTAAAAACAGTTTATTTGTTTATGATTTTTATATTTTTGAATATAAAAATTAATTTAAATCAATAAATTTAAAAAGAATAAATTAAATTGATGATAAAGGTGCATTAGACTTATTTTCAGTTTTAGGAAAGTGTACTAATCTCTAAAATTTGACACTTAATCTAAGGTAAAAACAGTTTAATTATTTTAGATTATGATGATATTATTGAAAATAAAAATGAATTTAAAACAATATAATTAACTCTTTTAATTTTCTATTATCTTTTTATTTGATTTATTTTATTTTTTTTATTCTCCTTTTGTGTGCGTGTGTTTTTTTTTTAATTAATTCATATTTTTCTAAAAAACTTTTGCTTTTATTACAAATTTTTTCTTTAATTATTCCTATTCAATAACTAATTAACTATATATTTTTTTCAATATTTAAAAAGTTCTAATTAAATTACTGACAAAGGTACATTAAACTTAGATCTTTGTTTAAAAAATTGGGCTAATCTCTTAAATTTGAAACTTAATCTAAGGTAAAAACAGTTTATTTATTTTAAATTGTAAAATTGTTAATATTGATTGAATATAAAAATGAACTTAAAACAAAAAAACTAACTCTTTTAATTTATTTAATAACTTTTTAATTGATTTATTTTTCTTTTTATTTTTTAATCTGCTAATGTTTTTTTTCTCATTTATTGATTTAAATAGCATATTTTATTTATTTTTTTTTAAGTAACTTTTACTAATTTATATTTAAAGTGGAAACAAAATCAAATAATCAAAATAATTGAAAGTAAAGTGTCACAAGTTAAGAAGTTTGTTTTTCTTAAATATAACATAATGATGATAAAAAATTGGTGAAATAGGAGGAATAAATATAAATATATTTGAACATTTTATTGTTTTTTTTTATAATGTTCTGTAATCATCCTAAAATTTAGTTAGATTTATGTTTTTTTTAGCATTATGAATATTGTATTTTGGTAAATTAATGAATTGAATATTAAAAAAGAATTAAATTTAATTAAATAAAGTAATTCCTCTAAAATCAGAGCTTTTACTAAATAATATTAAAGCTTTTATTAATTATAAAAGTCTTGAAAAAATTAATTTGTTTCGTTTTAAGTTATAGCATTTATATCTGATGAATTACAGTAATTTGACAAAAAAAAAAATGAAATATGTAGAATTATTTATAAAAGTATGATATAATATATATTTTTAAATTGACATTGATAGACAGACATATCATAGAAATAAGTTTATTAATAGTAGTAAATGTATTTTAATTCCTAATTTCTTTAATTAGATTTAATATAGAATTTTCAAAGCATTTGCTAAGGTACTGGATTTAGTAAAAACTTTATGGAATCAAATTATGAAGAACTAATATTTGGATCAACAAAAGCTACTATTTCAACATAGTTTTTCATGTACTTAGTGATTGTATTATCAATGTCTTTACAATTTTCTGGTTACAGAGAGCATAATATAAAGCCACCTTATTTCATTAAAATATGAGAAGCTTTTCTGGAGTAAAATAGTCCGCATTATATTTTGAAATTAGAATACTTTCCGATCCTTAAAAATAAGTTAATTAAATTTTTTCCTATTTTTAAATCCTGATATTCTTTTTTGACAGCAAATCCTGATCCAATTATGATTTCTCCTTTTTGGATAGGTAAATTGAGGAGTGGTTTGATTAATTATCTGTTCACATACTTTAATATCTACAAATTTTTATCACGAGAGTCAGTCATTTATGATTTTACAAAATCAACAAAATCTTCACCAAATATAGAACCAACTACTGCATGTCTATCTTAAGATGTGTCAATAGCAATTATTCTATTTACAGAATTCTTAATGTACTCTTTACATCCATTTTTTATTACAGATTCATCAACTCCAAAATCAGAGTATATAGAACCTTTTACCATTCTAGATTCTAAAACATTTTCGAATGTGGACTCGTAGTACTCATCAGAATAGATCTAGTATCTTATTGAATTTTCTTCAAGCAGTAATGTGCCAGGAGGTAAAGTTTTCATTAAAATTTTATTTAATAGATTTTTTATTTAAATTTCTTTTATTTTGTACTGGCTAGCTGATTGTTGGCCTAATTTTTAAATGGAGGTTTGCAGTAAATCAGTAATTATATTCTTTTATAGGGTCTCCTAACTTGAAGTAAATAACAGAAACAGTTTATAAATATTGAGTTATAGCTGATTGTGGTGATTTTTTAATTAAAATATGAAAGGTACTTATAAGTAAATAAATTTTTATTGATTTTCCAATTTCAGTTGACATATGATTTCCACATCTAACTAAATTTCAATCTTTATGGTTTTAAAAGCTATATTTTACACCTGATATTAATTAAATAATAAAAAAATTGAGCCATTAAATTAAATGTGTAAAATCGGATAAATTTTATTTTGTTTAAATCATAAATTAATCACTAAGTGAGTGAGTAAGTAAATAAATAAATAGCTATTTTATATTTAAAAATATTTCATAAATAATATTTTAAGTTGATGTTAATAATAATATTAAATTATATCTAAAAATATAATTAATATTTTGATTTTTAAATTTTGGCATAAGAAAGTATTTAAGTTAATTGAGTTACATTTATTGAAAATAAAATTTGAAAGAATATAGGTTATTATAATGAAACAAATATTGTATTTCATAGAAAATTGTTTAGATTTTGAAATGACAATTTATTTTTTATATTGAATGAACTCTTTCTTATCACTTCGATTACAGATTTTGAATTATAAAAACACTGAATAATTTAATAAATTATATAGAAAAATTAAGTAAAAAATAATAAAAGTCAATACTAACATTCTTCTTTTTTTCATTGGATTTTTCCATAAGTGAAATAAATAATATTTAAAATTTATGAGTAAATTATAAAAATAAGTATTTATCTAAGTTGGATTTACTAATTTTAGTCTTTTAAATATTTATTCATTTCTTTGAAAACCAAAAAGCAAATAATCTTACATTTAATCAAACCATTTAATAAATTTTAAATTGAGTAATTTTTATTTTTGAATGTAAATTTGGTTGGTTTCTGATAAAAAATTTTAATTGCAATGATAATAAAAATTCAATTAATGTAATGTCTAAATTGATTATATATTTTCTTTTTAATTCTTACAACTATAGTAATTGGTCTCAAATATAAGAATATATTATTACACTTTATTATTTTCTAATATTATTCTTAGAAACTCCTTTACAATTAATATAATTCAAAATATAGTTTAATATTCATTTGATAATCATATTAAAAGTTATTGATTATAGCATCTATCAAATTATTCCTTCATAAGTGTTAAAAAATAATTTACAAAAATATTGAAATATTTAACTATAATATTTATTTGCTATATTTATAAAGATCATAATTTTATATTTCCAGCTAAATAATTTAATAAATTTAGCAGATTTTTCTAAAAAAACAGATCAGACTTTTAAAATAGTAACACTTTTAATATTTTAAAAACAATCTCACCAAAATATAGAACAGATAAAAATATTTATTTGTTTTCATGATAAAGCACATAATTCAAAATGAAAAAATCTTGATTTTTCTATTATCAAATTATTAACAAATATAAAAATAATACATTTTATTCAACATTTTTAATAGTTTTTATATTTTAAATTAAATTTTTCAAAATAAAAAATTTTTATAATTAAAATTAAGAAAAAAAGATAAATTGACGGATATAAAGTTTGTAGAGTAATAAATTTCCTCCGTAGAGATTAATAAATTAGTTTTAATATTCATAAAACAATTTAATAATAAATTGATAAATTTTTAATTTCATTAATTGTATTTATTATTTTTAAATAAGAAAAATTATATATTTTTATTTTTTTAAGATTTTAAATAGTTGCTCATCCATCCATCCATCCAAACATAAATTTATTTATTTATTTTAAGATTATTCAATTTTTAATACTGAAAATATTTTAAATTAATTTATTCAAAATAAAAAATTTTATATAATTAAAATTAAGAATGATAAATATATAAATAGAAAGATTAACAGAAAGAAATATAGGTAAAGTTATGGATATAATTTTTGTAGAGTAACAAATTTCCTCCATAGAGATTAATAACTCAGTTTTAATATTTATAAAACAATTTAATAAATTAATAAATTTTTAATTTCCCTAATTGTATTATTTTAAATAAGAAAAATTAAATAAATTTATTTTTTTAAGATTTTAAATAGTTTTTCATCCAAACAGTAAATTTATTTATATTAAGATTATAAAATTTTTAATACTGAAATATTTTAAATTAATTAATGCAAAATAAAAATTTTTATTATTATTTAAAATTAAGAAAGATAAATAGAAAGAAATATAGGTGAATTGATAGATATAATGCTTGTAGATTAACAAATTTCCTCCATAGAGATTAATAATTCAGTTTTAATATTTATAAAACAATTTAATAAATGAATAAATTTTTTTAATTTCCCTAATTGTATTTATTATTTTAAGTAAGAAAAATAAAATATTTTTATTTTTTTAAGAATTTAAATATTTATTCTTCCTATTCCAAACAGTAAATTTAATTATTTTATAATTATGCAAATTAATAGTAAATTAATTGTGATGAATATTTTTTCAATTAAGCTCAAGGATTAACTTATCTTGTTTTTAAAGCATTTCATCAAGATATGAACATTTCTCATCTTGTGCTTTGATTTATGCTTTAATTTTTTCTAAGTCTATAATTTAGGATTAAATTTATTAAAATTAATCTTATTTTAATATATTCAATTAATTTTTCATTTACTTAAGTTATTCAGTAAGCTAATTTTGCATTTAATTAGCTTATTTTTTATCATCAATTTAAATAATATGTTTTGAGTTATTTATTGATTGTTATTTAGACTAGTTTTTATACCTCAGTCTTTTATCGATATTAATAGGTAGCGAAGGCAAATTGACTTCAAAATCATTTAAATAATTTTCATGTTTATTTTCTTTTTGTTAACTATTATCTCTTTTTAATGTAGAAATATTTAAATAATTTTATTTTTGATTACTGCTATTGTCCCTAGCATTAGCTACAGAGCATCTCCTATTTAAAAAATTTTAATGCCTAATCATTTAAGGAGCTGCTTCTTCATTTTTAAGCTTATTTTAGTTTTCTAAATGGATTAAACTAGACTTATTTTCTTAAGAAGTTTATCTAGTACTTAGATTATTTATGTTAGTAATATGCTTTTGTTTCACTTAATGGCTCAGATAAGGAGATTATATGATAATTTTTTATAGTTTTTTTTTAAAAGGTTAATTCTGTTTATATTTAGGCTCTTTCTCATGGATAGAGTTAAATTATTCTTAATCATCAGTTATACTATCTAAAAATAATTAAGAGGGTTAAGATTCTTAAGAAAACAATATATAATTAGAATTTGGTGACATGTTGCTTTTTTAACTTTTGGCTTAAGTATCTCTCCTAAATTAGAGCTGTGTTTCCACATCTGTATCGAGAGTTACATTAGTAGACCTATTCCATTTGTTAACATCTTTTAAATTTTCTTATGAACTGCTTAAAAAATATTTATTTTCCTTATCATTTTTAATTTATTTACTATCTAAAATTAGGTCTTACTAAATAGCTTCTTCTTAATTTTATTAAGCTATTTATGTTAATGGATAGCTTTCTTTTTGATTTTAAGGATTAAGCTGTACAAATAATTTATTTTCAAATTCTATGAGCTAATTTAGCTTATTTTTTCTGTCGTTTAGCAATGCACCATATAAATTAACATCTTTCTACAGACTTGTGAGTTTTTACAAAATAGTTGACTCCCTTGGACTTTTATTATTTCCTCTTCCAGAAAGAATATTTTGAATTTCCTTTTTGATAAGTGTAATATTTTTTTTAATTTCATCTGCTTTCACAGAGATATTATTAGCATAAAAGGGATTCTGCAGTCTGTTATAAAGCTATTTAAATTTTTCTTCTTGCTTTGAATAAAAATCTAAGTGCTCTCTTTAAAGTTAAAGCTTGGCATCTATGTCTTCTAGGTCTTAATCTATTTAGAGAGCATTTGTTTGTGAAATAAAATCAACATATCTCTTGAACCTTCTTACATATTAGGACATAATCTTATTTTCAGCATAAATTTCTTGATTAGAATACATGTCGTAGTTCTAAATACTCCCACTAACACTCAAAATATATTATATTTTTTATCTTTCTTCCTCCAGCTCATATTTATCTAAATGAAAATGCGATTAACATTAGCTACATGATCTTAAATTATCAATATTACTTTAAGATCCATGATGCTATTTACAACACTTTATGTTTATTGATTTTGTACTTAGACTTCTTAACCTCTCTTCAGAAATATCCTTTGATAATAATTTCTTTTGCTTCATTTTATCTCTTTGGCTAACTAAAGGACTTTTTTCTATAAAAATTTATGAGTAGTTATTGATTCCATTTTAATTTAACTATATATTTTGCTTTTTATTATACTGAATTGTACTAAACTAATCTAAGTCTTAATGAGGATAATGTTTATATTATTAAGGAGAGTTTCTAGCTGATTTGATTGGAGGAATGTTGTCTAAATTGATTGACCGTTTATTTTCTCTATAAGTCAGAGAGCTCCCTGCTTTTTCTTTTCTGTATGCATATTTTATTCTTTCAGAGGCAAGCGAAATATTATTCTACTTCCTAGGAATCTCAGTAATTGTTGAAAGAGTTTTTTCTTTCTAAGCTTGATCTATAAATGAACTATTTATACTCCTGTTAGAAGCCCTTTAATTTAAATTGTTGTCTGTTTAATATTCTTACTCCTAAGCCAGTTTTAAGCCATCAATTTTAATTTTCATTTGCTAATTTTCTACCTTTTATCGCAAGTTACAAAAGGTTTACTTGTTGCCTTAAATATTATTATTTAGGAATATCAAAAAATATTCTTTTGCTTTATTAGATTTTAGAAAGACAAATAAATTGTTGGGCATTAATTAACAAATATTTATTGAATAACCCTTAAAAATATGATAAATAATTAAAAAACCTGAAATAAATATTCCTAAAAGTATGGTTAGGTAGTACTAACTTTTGTCTATAAAATAAGCAAATAAATAATTTGCCATTTAAATTATTTTTTGTTATAAAATAAAAAAATAGTGGCTTATATTTACTTTCTAATTGAAAAAGTAAATAATTATATAAATAAGAAAATTTAGTGGTTATTTTGTAGATAAACAGTTTCTATCAAATAAAATAAGCAATCTATAAAAAAATATCTAGTTAATAATTAATCGATTTAAATGTTTAAATATCTCAATATATTCTCTTATATCGTTTCTATTTGTTTTAATTTCTTAAAATATATTTCCAAAAAACGAACAAAAGAAAGCTAAAATTAAGTTTGAATGATAATAAATTGTTTAAATTTGAATTAATTTGAAAACGAAAAATATTAAAGAGGCAATATTTATTTATTTTGCTTTTAGTTTTATTTAAATTATAAATCAACAAAAAATAATTTTATTTTTTGTTTTTATTTTTAAAATAATTTCAGATTAAATCATTTTTATTATTTTAAAAATTTTGATAAAAAATTAATTTTAAAACAGAAAAATAAATAAATAAAATTTAAAAACAAAAATAAAATTAATTCATTTTTTTTATTTTTAATTTAAATAATTTTCACGATAAAGCAAAATAATACGAAAAGTAAAATAGTTTTGATAGATTTTTATCATTTATTATTTGTAAAAATAAAAAAAATGATTGTTTTTAGACAATTTTATAAATTTAAGAAGATTTTAAGTAAGTAAGTAATTAATTTATTTTTTATACTAAAGTTAATTATGGCAAAACAATTGAAAAAGATAATTTAGCTGAGTTAATTATTCAAGATAGTGCCAATTATATGATATCTTAAATATTTTTATAAAATGGTATTTATTGATTAGATTTGAATAATTAGTAGTTTTAATTATAGATCATGTTAAAATCTATTAAATAAATGAATATTAATTCAAGAGCTATTTCTTTTCTTCTTAGAATTCTAAAGTGTTGGCTATTACTCGAGCAGAGTAATTTAAATAAAAGTAGCATTATTTTTTTTGTTGTGAGATAGTCTGATATGAATTTTTAATTCCTAAAAAGATATACTGATTCATTAGAAATGAAATGAGGATCTGAGCAGGCTATTAAGTCGAACTATCTTAGAAACTTTAAATTACTTATTTACTAATAAAAAGAATATTAGACTCTTTAAGGTATCTCTACTTTACTTAAATCTAAAATAAGTGTTTGTAAATGTTATAAATCTTTTAAAGGATTGAATAACATTTCAAATACATTTTCACTCACAAAAACATTACTCCATTCCTTTAAAGTTAGGTTTAGATATCGAAGGTTAGCATTCTTTGAAATAGAGCTAAAAAAACACTAAATAAGATCTATTATACATTCATACGTTTACTAATTATAAGCTTAGATTAAATACTAACTTTGAAAGCTTATATCTAATTCTAGATGAACTAAATTGCTGTTTGACAAGCTATCTGAGAGGGATTTAAGAAGAGATATATTTAAATGCTATGAAAGAGTGCGATCGAATTTTTTTTGATAAGGGTTTTCTACATTCCACATTTCACTATAATAAGACGTAGTTCCTTTCAATATTAATGAAAGATGAGTGAGATTGTTAATCTTTCTTATGTTGCGATACATATTCTGCAGTGCAATTTAAGAAAATTGATTCCTTTTAGGTAATTATAAATTCAAGTATTTTAAATTATTAGATAGACAATCTAGCAGTAAACCTATAAAAAGATTGTTTTTTTGGTTCAAAGATGTATTATCTTATGGCAGCTGAATGTCTAAGTATATAATTTATTGCAAATTTTTAATTGACTAATATATTCCTTCATAGTTTATTTGGTCTTTCTTTAATATGAGTGTTAAAAATCTAAGATTAATCATATTTTTAATCAGTTTCATGAAATGAGGAAATAAATCTACATCTAAATGATAATTGAATTCAAACACAATCAATCTCCAAGAAACATGGTCTATAAATTGAAATAGCTATTCATAATAGCTATTAATGAATTACTTAGAAAAAGAGCTAAGTTTTAATATAAGTACCTAGTCGCTCATCATCTTAAACAATATTTTTTATTAAAGAATATGGCTATAAAGCATTTCATACTATGGATTAATAAGTTCACATATAATTAGTTTTTTTCTCTCTGCTAAGCCTAATTACGCGTCAATAAAAGAATGAATTCTCCACAAAGGACTATTCTATACCAATTATCTAGCCCAAGATTCTTCCACTTCATATCTAAATCTATAACATACACGCTTCGATTATTTAATGTAGCTAAAATTGTTTTCAATCTGGTTTATTTCAAGCATACATATGTAGCTAGAATATTTTGATTTCTACTTAGCAAAATCTCTCTAATTTTATTGAATAAATACTGATGAAGAAAAAATTTTAAATTAAAAGATTATTTCCAAAAATTTTAATTATTTGAAAGTATATATCAACAAAAATCCATCCTTAAATTAAATATTTCAAAAAAAAATTAAGTGCTAAAAGAATATATAGCATACTATTCAGAAAAAAATTAGATCCTAAATTTAATTTCTCAATTTTTTTGATATCGAAATATTTATTTTACAAAAAAAACTTTAATTATTCTAAAATTATTTAACAAAGATATAATTTTTGATCATAAAAATAAATATTTTTGTATTATAATTAACTCAAATTTATTAAGATGATTTATTTTAGAAAAATTAAAAAATTGAAAATAGCACAAATACTCTATATATTATTAATTAAATGAGTTTGTTCAAAGAATTAATAGCTATTTTATATAATATGAATAAATTTAAAATAAAGTTGTAAATTAATAAAAAATTATATTAACTTTATCTTTTTATTTTTATTTTTTAAAAATATAAACAAAACTCTTAAAATTTTCATTTTTTTCAATTGGTTTATTATTCAAGATCAACATAGTTTGAAGCAAAATTATCTGAATAGAATTCTTCTAAATTTTAATCAAAAGACTCTTCCCTATATTAAATATAGGAGGAAAATTCTTCTTCTTATTTAATACCTCCAATAAATGAAGAATGTTCATTTTTTTAAATAAGTTCCTTTTGTTTAATAAGTTTATTTAAAAGATAAACTTCTATAACGTCTTCTTCTTCTACTTTTCTATTAAATGTTACTGTTAATTTGATTTTCAATTTTAGAATTTTAATTTTAAAATTAACTTTGGTTGTTATTTTATGAGTTAGCAGCACTTTAATTAAGATGAGTTATTGGCTTAGGAGGATTTTAACTTTGATAACTATGATTCGATTAAGTAACAGAAATTTAATTTTGATTGTTGTTGCTTATTTACTAAATGTTACTCTTAATTTTATTATCAATATTAGTATTTAAATTTTAAGATTAAGTTTAGTTATTATTTTATGATTTAATAGTACCTTAATTAAGATAAGTTACTAGTTTAGGAGGGTTTTAACTTGCATAGCTTGGATTCGATTAATTACCAATCATTTAATTTTGATTATTGCTACTAATTTATTAAATGTTACTCTTAATTTGATTATCAATTTTAGAATTTGAATTTTAAAATTAACTTTAATTTTTATTTTATGAGTTAGCAACACTTTAATTAAGATAAGTTATTGGCTTAGGAGGATTTTAACTTTGATAATTAGGATTCGATTAAGTAACAGCCATTTAATTTTGATTATTGTTGCTTATCTACTAAATGTTACTAATAAATTTATTTTCAATCTTCGAGTTTTAATTTTAATAATAAGTTTAGTTATTATTTTATGAATTATTTACACTTTAATTAAGATAAGTTAATGGTTTAGGAGGATTTTAACTTTGATAGCTTGGATTCGATTAATTACCAGTCATTTAGTTTTGATTATTGTTACTTATCTTTTAAATGTTACTCTTAATTTGATTATCAATTTTAGAATTTTAATTTTAAAATTAGCTTTAGTTATTATTTTATGAGTTAGCAACACTTTAATTAAGCTAAGTTATTGGCTTAGGAGGAATTTAACTTTGATAATTAGGTTTCGATTAAGTAACCGTCATTTAATTTTGATTATTGTTGCTTATCTACTAAATGCTTCTCTTAAATGTATTACCAATATTATAACTTAAATTTTAAAATAAAGTTTAGTTATTATTTTATGAATTAGTAACACTTTAATTAAGATAAGTTATTGGCTTGGGAGGATTTTAACTTTGATTACTAGGATTTGATTAAGTAACAGCCATTTATTTTTAATTAGTACTAATATTTTATTGAGTATGTTTCTAAATATAGCTGTCTCTATTAAATTAAATATTAGAATTTTAAATTTGATTAGAGGTATTTTAGATTTAAGTTTATCCTTACTATCTGTCACTTATTTATAGATTTGATTCAATTTCATTAAACATTGAAAATCTTCTACAAAATAAGCATTAGCATCGATAACCATTATTTTATTAAATGGAATTCTAATTTTAGCTGTCACTAAATAATATGTTAGAATTCAAAATTTAGCTGAAAAATTGACATCTGCATTTTTAGAAATTTTCACCACATTTATAGCAAAATTAGTTACCACATCTACATATCATTTAATAACATCTAGATTTTAAAATTAAATTATAATAGGGATGTATTTTATCAAAAAAAAAAATTTACCCATTTATTTTCTCAATCCACATTTTACACTTTGAACATTATTTTAAGTTTTTGCTTTTAGCCAATTAATAAAATTATTAGTCAAGCTCCTATTATAAAATAAAGCAATATATGGGTTATGTTAAATTAATTGAATAAATAAATAAATTATAATTACTTTAAACTTGATTGATTCTTAGTATTATTAGCAAGTCAACCCAGAATGGTATTTTTATTTACAATTCATGCAATAACTTGCTTCACAGACAGGACAAATGTATTATATTTAACTATCATCTTTGGCAAAAACATACTAACAGCCTGGAGTTAAACACCATAGAAACTATATTAAATAATAAAATGTTTATAAATTGACTATAAATAAAAAGATAAAAAAATAAATAAAATTACTTCTTCTTAGTGAGAGTCTATATAACTTTAAAATTAAAACATTTCATATTTTTAAAAGTCTTAGTCATTCAAAATTTCCTTTATATCATGATATTAAACATGTTGTTTACATTTAAAATTTGGGCAATTCAGAGGGAATTTTTTGTTGCTAATTTGAGTATTTAAGTATTGCTATAAGCAGCTCTTATGGAAAACATCCTTGCATTAAATGCTAATGTGCTATGAACTTGTCATTTCTTAATAGCAAATTTCACATTCCGAATCAGAATCTTAGTGGCTAGCATAATTATTTTGTTCCTCTATGAATATTATTTTTTACTGATAATTTCTACTATCAGTATCTTAGTGTTCTTATTAAGATTAACCTGTGTCAGATTAGAATTCCTATTTACATTTTTTAAATTATTTTTAAAATCAATAATAAATGTTTTTTATTTATTTGTTTTTATTTAGAAATCTCTTTTTATAATTAAATATCAAAATTTTACTTCTTCTTCTTCTATTTGAATGTAAGATTCAATTTATTGATTTCCATTTTGACCTTACAAATTTGGATTGTTAGCAATTACTTTTTTAGTAGTATTAGTAAAACTGTTCATTTTAATTGAGTGAATGAGTGTGCTTATCAGAGTGTTAGTTTTGTGATAAATTTGACAAGTTTTTGTCTCTTTTTTTATTGCTTTTTTATTCTTAAATTTTTTAATTAATTGTTAATATTTTTAGGAATTAAAATATGGCTTTTAAACAAATTGAGCTATAATAAATTTTTTGATATAAAAAAAATACTTTTATTTTTGAAATTCTTTTAAAATTAATTATTATTTTATCTCATTTTTATTAATTAAAATAAAAATTTTTAAATCTCATTTTATGAAAATTTGAGATATATTTTAAAATATTAATTTTGATAATTATTTTATAAAATTATTTATTTGAATATCTTTGACTATTAATTATTAATCCTGAAAGTTTGTTGGATACCATATCATATTATTTAAATTAAATTTAATGAGTATGATATGATAATTATTAAAAGTATTCTAAAAAATTAAATTGCCAAATCAATTAAATATTATTTTTAATAAAATAGACAGACAGCTAAAGTGAAGTTTATGTTTTTAATATTTTTATATGTAAAATTAAATATTAATTAACTCAAATTTAAGTCAAAACTATTTAGATTTTGTAATCTGATCTTAGTCTTAGAGACTCTGCTCTAGTTTTACAAAATTTCTTTTTTAATTTGAGCAAATCCAATTGTTCCCTAAATATTTTATATTTTTATTTTTAATTTTTGGATTTTTCTTTTAGAAATAAAATCTTAGATATTCAAAAGCTAATTTTTTATTGAGTTTATAAATTCAAAGAGATTTATTATAATAGAAAATAATAATTAATTCTAAAATATAATGAAATTTATTAAATATATTTATCTGATAATGTTGCATGAATTAATACCAGAGAAACCTAATTAATTACAGAATATCAATTAAATTTAAAAGCAAAATTATAGGAAAATATTTGATAGAATATAGGATTATCAAAGAAATAATCATTTATTTAATAAACATAAAACATATAATTAATTTCAACAAAAAGATGACTTAATTTATAGTTAATTTTACAAGAAAAGTAATAAATATTTTTTTTTTAAAGTTAAAATTTGATAATTTTTTTGAAAATAAAATAATTTTAGAGTTATAACAGTAAAAATGAATGAAGATAATTAATCTGTTATTAAAAATATAGGTTGCAAATGGTCCAAAAATAAATAAATGAAGAAAGGTTGTTTGTTTGTTTATTATTTTTTCTGAGTTTTATTTAATCAGAAATGCATGTAGTTATCAACTAAGATTTTGGCTGAAATAGTAATTAAGTTCTTGTAAATTGTTAGATTTGCGATTTTGAAATTGAGAATCCTGGTTATAATTATATTATTATTTCACAGTGAATTTAGGTTCATCACAGAGTCCTTAAAGTTGATCATTTTTTTAATGTAATTAGTTAACTTCATTTTATAAGAAAGCATTTTATTCTTCTAAAGACTCAATCCTCTTTTTCAACATTTTTTCTGACTTTTCCTTTTCCTCCTTTAAAATCATGTAATTTTGATGCCAATCATCAGAATATTAAGCCTAGTTATTATTGTTGTTATTCTCTTTCAACATATTGTTCGTGTTGTTACTATTGCTTTATCTTAGAAGAGAAGCCACTTTTTTAGATTTATTTATGCCAAACGATTATTATTTGTATTTATTCAACTCGTTATTTAGGGCTTGTATTTCCTTTTAATATTAATCTTTTATTTTTTCTTTTAGATTTTCTTCTTATTGTTCATACAATTTTTCTTAATTTTCATATTTTTCACGCCATTAAGATGCTTACAACTATGCTTATTAAAATTTTTATTTCAACTTTTTATTTTCTTCTTGCAATTCTAACATTTAAACTGAAGCAATTAAGTCAGATTAATTTGGCTGTTATGAACTGATGCTGTCAGACCTTCCGAAGAGAGAGTTTTATTACTATTGTTACTATTTCGATGAAGAGTTTTCTTTTAATTCTTAATATTTCTTTCTAAACAAAGAGTTGTCTTCTAATGCCTAGTTTGAGAGATTTGTTTGCTTTTCAAGCTCCTTAACGAGCTGTTAGATCTTAGTTTGAAGCGATTTTATAGTTCCTTAGAGTTCCTATTCTCTTTGACTAAAATCATTTGCTGCCTATGTCAATTATTTTTGTTAATCCTTTTTTAAATCGCCTTCTTTGAATTCTTCTATATTACTCAGATTAACAGCTACCCTTTGAATCGATAACTAGAAATATCAAATAAAAAATTTAGTCAGTTCAAAAAAAAAACTAAATTAAATAGAAAATAATCTCTTAAATAATCTATTATTAAAATAATATTACATTTTGTGCATCTAAAGATTTAAACTTAATTGTTTGAGGAGTATTAACTTTACTGTTTTCTTATGCAACATCCAATTATTATTTGTTATTAGTACTGATTTAAACTGAAGTTTTTTACTTGTCTTAAAGGTTGCATAAATTATTACTATTATAAACGCTGTTTGCAAATTAATTATTTTATATATTAACTGAAGCTGAGGATCTCGCTGATGGCTAATGAGAATTATACATATGTAGGCTTTGATTAGGGCTATACAAGCTTTTAGATACTGGGCTAGACTAACGTTGTAGAGAAGGAGGTATTTGTTGAATTACTGTTGAACTAGTTTACTATTTGACACCTTATTGAGATGAAAATTATATTTATGTGACAGAATTAGCTGAAAATAAGTAACTATCTTTTTGAGCATCACTATTTTGCTTAGTGCTGCTCACTGCTACTGATTAGGATGTTGATTTGCTAGTTGGAGTTTAGTCACCTAATTTTGCATTTCTAGTTTTTTAAAGTAATTTATTTAGCATTTATATAATAAAAGAGTGAAATTAAGGTGGCAGTGCTATTTAATTGCTTTTCTCTTCTACCTTGCTTTAAATAATATGAATTATATTGAGTAATATTAATTACAACATTTAATTCACATACAAACCTAATTATTATATTATTAATTTTTCTATCTAACCTAATAAATAAATGCAATTTACTTATCATATAAATTGAATAAACTTGATAAATAAATTTGATTTTTTTCGCCAAAAAAATTAATGAATGAATGAATGCTCCTTGTTTATTCTGCTATTATAAATAAACAAGCCATTCATTTTTGAATTTCAATGAAATTTATTTGAAAATAATAGCTTGGATGTTTGTTTGTTTTACAAAACATTCCATTCAATCAAAAAAAGATATAAATTTTTTATTTATTTTGTGTATTTGCTTAATGTCTCCAAATCTTTAAAAATTTGAATGAAATTTTATCAAAATTGTATGTAAGCTCTGTAATTCATAGTTTATACTGATGAGTCAACATTTTATTGATTGAAAAAATACATATTAAAATTTAATCCAAGGCATTTTGTTTAATAATTTAATATTAATTACAATTTAATAATTTATTTTGCAATCCTTAATATATTCATTAATATTTAAATTTTTGTTTTTTTATGTAACTAAAAAACAAAATAATCTAAAAATATAGATATCCTTTCTAGAATTTTTAACATATCTATTAAATTATTTTAACTAGAATTACTAAATTTTTATTAAATAAATTTTTTTATTTTAATAACAAAGAAAAATAGTCATTAAAATAAAACAAATACTTTCAAAATATATTTCTTAGATTTTTTGCTATTTGCACTTAAAATAATATAAGGGAAACATATTCTAATAATTCATTCATTCATTGTTTCTTTCTTTTACTTAATTTTAATTAACTTTATTAATGTCCTATTTTTAAACAAATTTAGAACTGCATTTTATCATTAAAGCCTTTGATGGTTGTTTTTTTACTTTTTAAATTAAATTTTTAAGATAAAATAATATAATTTTATAATTTGAATAACAATAAAGCTAAATAATTTAATTTTATCTTGTTTGTATTTGTTTCAAAGCAAATAATAAATTTGATTATATTAGCTCACTTGATCGATTGATTATAATAAATTATTATAAATATATTTTGAAATATTATCTAAACGTAATAAAAGATAAAAAGTGTAAAAAAATGGGTAGAAGCCGTTCTAGATCTCGTAGCAGAGATAAAAAAAAGCATAAAGACCATAAAGATAGAAAGGAAAGAAAGAGAAGCCATTCTAGAGATAAAAAATCGCATAAATATGATAGAAATGATAAAAATGATAAGCTTAGAGAAAAGCCCTCTCAAAATAATGATGATTAATAATCATTAGCATAAAACACATAATCAAAAGTAGAAAAAGTGTGGGAAAAAATAAAAGAAGAAAAGTAAGCAGAAGAAGAAGCTCTTTTAAAAGTATAGTAAAAATATGGATTTGTTCCCAAAAAAATTGAAAGAAAAGGACCAGAAAAATTAGAAGGTGTTTCATCATATAATCCTGTTATGATTGAAGTAATAATTAATGATCGTTTGGGTAAAAAAGAAAGAATCAAATGTTTACCTTCAGATACCATAGGAATTTTGAAAAAACTAATACAAGCAAAAACTGGTACAAGAGCAGAAAAAATTAAATTGTAAAAATGGCATTAAGTATTCAAAGATCATATTACTCTTGAAGATTATGAAATTCATGATGGTATGTCTTTGGAAATGTATTATAATTGATAATTTATTTAACTAAAATTACTTAAGCTGTTATTTATTGTATATTCGTGTAATCTAGACATAATTCTTATTAAAAAATTAATTTCTACTAACAAAAAATTTATTTTCTTTTTATTTTTTCAATCAGAAAGCTCATTCAAAAACAAAGTTGAATTTATCTTTTTGTAAATTCAAGTTTTAAAATATTTTTTTAAACAAAATTTTAAACAATTATGAATTGATTCTTTTTTAAATTCATCAATCAAATAAATCTTCTTAAATTAATATTTTTAATTGATTTGTGATAAAAAATTTAAGTTTTTAGATAAAAGCAATTTAGTTGCATTAAAGAAAGGATATTAAATAAATATTATAATTTTTAAATGAAAGAGTAAAATCTATTAAAATGATGAAACAAACTATTCTTGAAATTAGTTTTATTATATTTTGCTAAAAAATAAAAAAACCATTTGAAAAAGTAAAGTAAATAAATAAATTTGCTTCTTAGATATTATAAAAACCTTATTTTCTAAAATATTGATAAATTTCTATTATTTTTTGTATAAATTAATTATAAAAATAATTTTAAATTTAATTTTTAACTCTTATTTTTAAAATTATCAAATATTTTATTTAAAACTGATTTAAGAAAGCTGCAAATTGATTGTCTTAGTAAGAAATATTCTGTTAGAAAAAATTGTTTAAAAATATTAAAAAAGATATTTATTTATTACATGAAAAATTACAGAGGAAAAGAAAATTATTTATTGGCTCAAAACAAGTTTTCTAAATTTTTTTTATTTGATTTGTAAAAATCTATTTTGAATTATTAATTCAATTTCAAAGTTTCGTTCAATATTTACAAATGATATTTATATGGAAATTTATTATTCTAAATTAAAAATGATGCCTAATTATGTTACTTACTTTAAGTGAGAAAATAAATAAATAAATTGTCAATTTCTATGTAAAGAAAAAATTTTAGTTGATTAGATTTATTATTAAAATAACAAAAATACTATTTATTTATATTTGAAAATTAATGGATACTATTGTTTTCCAAAGCTAATTAATTTATCTAAATTGCTATTTTAGTTGAGGACTTTGTCAAATTATACTGAATGAGCAGAATTTAAGGTAATATCTATACATTTAATAACAACTTAAAAGTTTTAACTATTTCCAAAGTATTATATTTTTTTTACTAATTTAGATTGCTATTTTTAATTAAATGGATTAAATTTGTGAAGAAAATATTTAAGAAGTTAGAGACTTCATTTAGCCATAACTTTTGCCTAAAATGTAAACAAAGTCTACTTCTCTAAGCCCGATGCATAAAAGAATGCTAAAGGGTATAAAACCTATTTAAGAATAAGATGTACCATAATTGAATCTAAGATTAGTAGGATCAACATCGAATACAAATAGCTTGAATCATATTGAAACATCCCGAAACTACTCCAAAGATAGTTAAAAAAAATATATTAACTAGCTAAACTACTTATCAAAAGATGGAAATTTTACAGCCAGAAACAATTATAATGCTCATTTTTCTTCAACGAAAGGGTCATAATGGTAAGAAGCATATAGTCCTACTGAAACATTTACTAAAATGATTGCAAGAAGAACTAAAAAATAGACTACTTTAAATAACTTTATTACTCCTCAAAACAGAACAAACATAGGATTTGAGCAATCTGCTAGCTTAAACTAAATTCGTAGTTCTGCTTACTTGCAAGATTAACCTGATAGTGCCTAAGAAAGAGGCAAAAATATGAATTTAAAGAATCTTGAAATTTTAAGTGCTAGAAATAGGAGTTCTGAAGCTAACATTCGATTATTAAGAACTAGACAGAGTTCTTAAGCTGATATATCAAAATATACAGCATAATAAAATAGCTAAATTATTCAATCATTGACCTACTTAGATGAATACGAATCTAAAAACCTTTTAAAAGAAACTAAAGTAGAGTAAAAAAATCATCATTTTGAACTAATTAAAGAATTATTTAAGGAAATATACCCTGAATATTAAAGTAAGTAAATTCTTAAAATGATTAAATACTTATTAAAAAATTACTATTAGGCTAAACAATAATTTTAACTATTATTACTTTATTTAATTTTTATAATTTAAATATAAAAACTAATATGAATTTAGTTGAGAATTTTTTAAATTTCATATAAATTTCATAAATGAATAATTTAATATTTTTATATTTCAAAGCTTTAAGATTAGGTCAAAAACTTCATATTTAGCTATTATTTGGAGAGTCTAAGTTAATTAAAATAAAGACTATTGATAAAAACTTTCCTATTGTTCTGAGAACTTTTATTAATAGTGGATATTACACTATTTACTTTAGTAAAAAATACCATTTAAATAAACCTCCAGATCACTTTCAGCATGATTACATGATGTAGCAAACAGATAAAACTATTATACTATATGAAGGTATAAATCATTCAGAAGAAATTAAATACATTTTCATGCATGTATCTTCTTAGACTAATTGTGAAATAGAACTAATAGCTCAAACTCAAAAGTACAAAGAAGATATTATTCATTAGAATGGATCAGCAAAAGTTTTGAAACAAAAAAATTTTATTTAATTTACTTCGAATGATAAAATATTCAAAATGGAAATTGGTAATTTATTTGCTTTATTTTTATTGCTTAGATATTAACTAAAAATAAATAGCTGAAATAATTAAAAGAAGAAGAGAAAAGAGCTTAAAAATGTGTAAAAACAAAGATTTCGTTAAAATAAATTAAGAAGTTGCAGTTGATTATAAAAATTAAATCTAATAAAAAGCAGTCATAGATAATGTAAAATTATATCAAAATAAATTAGAATTAGATTTCAAATTTTATTTAATTCTAGAAAATGAAGGCTGAAAAAATTGCACAAGCTTAAAAAAAGCAATAGGAATTGTTTGAGCAAAAATTTGAAAAAAATCTCTAATGGCTTGCAAAAAATGAAATTAAAAAGCAAGAGGTAATCAATAATGTTAATTTATCTGCATTTAATTTAGTATAAAGTCAAAACATTAATTTGAGCATATTAAAATAATAAAACAAGTTTTCTTTAAAAGAATTTAATTTATTTTTAGAAATATAAAAATATTTTAATTATTTTACTAAATTTACTAAAAAAGAGATTGAAAATTGAAGAAAAATAGTCTAAATTGAAGTTCTATAAAACATGGATAACAATTCTGCATTTGCCTAAAATTTTTTAAGATTTAAGATTAATTATTTTTAAAAATAAAATGTGGAATATCAAAATACAAAGAGCTAAAGATTTACTCAATAAATTTTTCAAAGATGTTTTAATTAAATTAAGATCTAAAACTGTTTAACAAAAGATGTTAATGTACTCCACTATGTAAAAAATATTGTAATTTATTAAAAAATTATCTTTTAAAATTTTTATAAAATAGAGCATTGAATGTTAGAGCTAAATTGATTTTATAAAAAGCAAAAAAATAAAGTGGTTTTATTTTGTAAAAATTTTTATTTAAATCCTCTGAGACTTGGTTGCTACAAAAAAAGATAGAGCTATACAAATAGAAAGGTATTAAAGATTGAAATTAAAATTAAATTATATCATTTTTGATTTGTTATTAGTCAGATTTATTTAGTCTTGGTATAGAGAGCTTTATTCAAAAAGAACAGATTATTTAAATATTCTTTGGAATGATACATGCAATAATATCATGATAAACGAGAAATTGAGCAAATAAAACGGTAAAAAAGAATCAACTGCAAAATTAATTAAAAGAGTAAGCATGCTAATTAAGCAAAATGACCCACTACTTAATGATGGAAACGCTAAAAACTATAATGTATAAATTCGTATCTCAACTATTAACAAGTAAAGCAAACAAACAATCAGCCAATTAAAAATTTTAAATTAATATTTTTTTATTAAGTGAATAAAAAAAGGCCAGTTTGAAATTCTTTAGAAGATGCCTGATTGAAAGGAGAGTTCTTATGCAAAAAATAAAATTAGGATTAGTTCATTTAAATAATGATATTGTTGAGCAATCTAATTTAGTTAATTCCTATCAATCTTCTTAGATGAGTCCACTTTCTCCTTTAGAAAATTTAAATAACTCTTAGAGCGAATCGAATTTATCTGGTAATCCATTAAAATCAAAAAAATCAGCCACATTCTTCCCAAGTCCTCCTGTTTCTCCTCTTAAAGCAGGGAAAGAACTTTAAAAAATAACTGAACTAAAAATAATTAATATAAAAAAAGTAAGAAAGTCTAAGACTTCATAAAAATCTCCTAATTAAAAAAATTAAGCAAACAATGGCGTATTTGATTTTGCAAGCAGTTAAGACTTCATAAATGCCAAAATAAATGTAGAAAAGTTTAATAATTTTTCTATAAATCCTTATTTTATGACTGATTTATCTCTGCAAGATAAAGACAGATTTTTATTCTACCCAACTTAGCCTCTATCTTTTTTAGACACAATTAAAGAATGTTTGTTTACAAGAAAAAGCAAAGATATTTATGTAATAAAAGAAGATGATGAAAATAATTTATTGCAAGTAGTAAATAAAAATAAAGATTAAGTCCAATAACAAGGAAATCGTATGAATTTCTTTTAAAATAAGCTCAATAAACTTCAATTATAATCAGTAAATAAAAAGAATACTTTAGATATTAAAGTATTAACATTTTAAAATATTGCTGTTGCAGAATAAATTCTTTTTAAAAAGTTAATTTTAGATGCAAGCGAGCAATTAAAAGATTTTAAAGGATGGAAATAATGATTTTTTAATAAATTCACTTACAAAATAAAAAAAATACTTTATTAATTATTTATAAAAAACTACTTTATATTTTACATGTATAACTTAAAAGAGAGTGCAATATTATAGCTAATTTTTTATATTGACAAATTTAATTTATTTTACTTAAAAATAGAAAGTTTGTATGTATTAAAGATATTTAAAATATATAAAAAATGATTATTAATATTTTGGATTTAAAAATTTTTAGGAATACCATAAACAAACTCTCATTTTCTCTGAATTCCTAAACCGAAATGTGGAATTTAAATTTTGAACAAAATTTTTTAATAAACATTTTGATGAAATAATTTCTATTTTTCATTTAATTTATCAAAATATATCAGAAAATAATTTTTATTTTTAAACATAATCTTTAATAAATAAATAGAGATGATTATTTTTAGTATTGCAAAATTCTATAAAACATTTTGCTTTTTGCAAAAAATTATAATATATTAGACAGAAAATATTCTTATTGTAAATTTAAAATTATTTTTTTACTTAAATTGTATTTGCTTTAATTGCAAAATTAACAAATACTAAAAATAATTAAAAATCGAAATAAAATAAAACTTTATTATTTTATAAGGACTTTTCAGTCATTTTTTCTCAAGATCTTCAATATTTTAGTGAATATTTTTATTTATATTTTAGATGCAGCTTCCATCTTCTAAATTAAAATTATAGTAACAAGATAAACAGTTACTGCTAAGAGGACCAGAACAAGTCTTGCAAGTATCATGACATGATTCAAAATATTCATTTTAAACAATATTTTTTTAAGATTTATTTTCACACACTCCATTTTAATAAACATAACCCAATTCACACTTATCGCACCTAGCTAATTATTTACAAAATATACAACCTATCATGCATTTCAAACATACATGTTTCCCAGATACAATTTAAGAAAAGAATCCTTAACCACACATTTCTTTATCTTCATGATGTGTTGAACTTCTTCTTGCGTGACCTATATGGCTCCTGCGCGTAGTAGAAGGAGACCTGCTACTTCTACGAGGTCTTGAAGGGCTTCTCCTACTTTTTGAATTATTAAAATCTAAATTTTTATTTTCTTACTCACTTTTTTCCAAAAACTCATATTTTGATTTATTTTAATTTTGTTCAAAATTGTTTAAATTAGAGTTTTCTTCAATTTTTTGACACTTTCCATCTTAAAGTATTGATGAAATAGAGCAGGATAAACACTAATTAAACTTATTTCCTATACAAGAAGAGCATGAAGAATGGCATTTTTAACAGTAACTTGAGTTATTTAAATAAAAGCCAGATTCACACTCACTTACACATTTGCCATTTTACAATTTAAATGGGCTTTGGCATCTAAGGCATAAATCAGTTGAAATGCAAGATTGACAATTTTGTTAACATTTTTCACAGACTACTTAATTTTCGACTACTTAGGTAGAAAATCCTTCTTCACATGAATCCAAGCAGGAGCCTTTATAACAAAACTGGCCTGATATGCAATAATTGCAATACATAGTCTTTAATTCGAACACGATATTTCTACATTATAATTTTTCATAATCCCATTCTTAGTCTTCAGGACAAATATTAATACATTCATAATTTAATAACCTATCATTCTCTTTGCAACTTAAGCATTATTATTCAGATTCACCGAAGCAAGTATTGCAATTAGAATGACACTTTAAGCTATTTATTTGCATAATATTTAAATAAATTTAATCTAATTTATATTGATTTTATATATTGCAGCCAACTCCATCCCAATCTTCTAACTTTTCTTGTTAAGCATTCTTAAGATGATACCATCCAGAATCTTTTAAAAGTGACAAATCAAATACATTAAATACTTTTAAACTACCTTGATCATTTTAGACATTTAAATCATCACTTATATAAATCCAATCTTATATTTTTTCATTTATATCTGAAATCAAAATCATTCCTTTTTCAAAAAATTTTATTCTAAAAGAACGCATAAAATTTATTATTTACCTTCAATTAGATCACATTAAAAATACTTCTGAGCAATTTTCGTAAGATTTGGAAATTTGAGCAGAGTAATCTTTTAATTTTAAATCAATATTCTAGTAGAGTAAACATCAATTTCATATTATTTATTTGATTTATTATCTCTAAAAATTGGATATAACTTTTCAGACAATAGTAAAATTTGCCTCATCTATCTGATGAAATTTATTTAAATATCCTAGTTAATAGAAATTTAATTATTCTATAAAAAAAATAATTAGCTCAATAGCTAATTGGATTACAATGAACAAAAAAATATAAATGCCTTTTAAAAATTGATATTTACCTAAAAGAATTCTTATTATTAAATTAAAAAGTAACCAAATATAGGTCTTCCATTATTATGAAGAAATTCACATGGTTAAGCAAGCGTTTAATAACTAATATCGAAATATATATGTAAATCACTATTTTCTATTCCTACATCTGTATCTCTAAAATCTACATTTATACTTCCACATTTTTATGAAGTTGGAAATCTAATTCTATCATAATTTATTTCAATGCTAAGTATTTAAGAAAATTATTCTGTAACTTTATTAAATACTTGCTAAATTTATTTTATTTGATCTTCTTAAATTTATGTTTCTAGTCTTGTAAAATCAGAAGTAATTCTGATAGGATGATTTTTAATTTGATCTAAATGGTAGCTAAAAGTATGTTTTATCTTTTTCTCTATTTTGTATGTGTCATTATATTTCGAATGTAAAATATTATTTTCAAATGCAAATATGCAAATAATCAACTATATAATTGTAATAGTTTGTATATAATTCATCTATCTTTTAGTTATAATTAATTTATTTGATACTCTTTAATTTTATGTAATTCTAATATTTAAAATTAAAAATGAAATTTATTGATTAAAAAATAATTACAAAGAATATATATATCTTTCTGATGGATTAATATAATATTTGTAATATCTTATATGTAATATTTAGAATCAAATAGGCTTAAATTACAATAATATAGAAGTAATTGATTAAAAATTTATCAATATGATAATATTAGGAGGAATATTTCCAAAATTTTGCATTAAAACAACTAAATTACATTTTATAATAGTTATTGTTAACATTTCTTCTATTAAATCAGTTATATAATTGTTTTAGCTTGTATGTAATTCATTCATTTTTTATTAATAATCCATTTATTGAATTCTCTTAATTTATTTTTTTGAATTGCTTAAAATAAAAATGAAATTTTTTTGATTAAAAAATAATTATAAAGAGGAATATACATTTATCTTTTTTGAATTAATAAAATATTTGTATATAATTAGAAACAAACAAATTTCAATTATAAAAATATAGAAGCAAATAAATAAAACATTTATCAATAGGATAATATTATATATTTATTAGGAGGAATATATCCAAAATTTCATATTAAAACAAATAATTTTTTTTTTAAATAGTTATTGTTAACATTTCATCAATATATTAAAAGCAAATAGATAGATAGATTTCTTTTCAAATACCAAAGATATTTAAGATTTGAATAACACCTAAACTAAAACCAAAAATCAAAGCCAATACCCAAGCAGCTTTTTCAAAAATAGACATGGGAATATGATTCTATATTTTTGTACTTTCAGCGTATTTGACTTGTGTTGATTTATCAATACTTCCATAAGAAATATCGCTATCAACTAATTATGGGGGTTAGTAGTTTTGTACTTCTTCGAAAACAACAGCTTCTTCTTCCTCTACTGTAGAATTATTAGCAGCATCCTAGCTTTTTATTCTTAAAGCAAAAGGAATCATGTAAATTATTATAAAACCACATAGAGCTCCATCGAGTCCTATTACTATACTTGGGCTAACACATAAAATTTAGAAAGTAAGACAACAAATAGAAAATACTAAATTGTAGTAGAAAAATTGCTTTCCACTAATTTCTTCTTCATCTCCTTAAATAAGATTGTAGAATTAAGTTCTAGCAATAAAATTTAATACAGGAATAGCTGTGCTCAATTAAATTAGAAAAAGGAATTCAACAATCACAGGCAAGATATCTGTACTTGAATAGAAATCGGTAATAATATTGGCATTAGAAAGATCATCCAATCTACCTAAAATTCCTATACTTCCTAGAGTTCCTATTAAAGCATATATAATGTACACAAGCATATATCCAGCACCTAGATCTCTCTAGTTATTCTCTTATTTTTCGTTATTAGACATGATTTAGCAAATAATATTGTGAATAAAAAAGGCTAAAGCAAAAGATCCTGCAACTAAGGCAAAATTAGGTGAAAAATAGGTCATCTTATCCCAATATTTGCTAACATTTCCACTTGCAATGTTTTCTATGAAAGTTTCTATGATGAATAATCCATAAACAAAGATGGCAAAAACTCCAATTTTACCAAGCTTAATAATAAATGATAGATTTCTAAGACTGAAGAGGACAAAGTAAGGAACGATTAAAATTATAGCTTGGTATTAGATAGACCACTAAGTAAAATCTATGGTTGTCTGATTTGCATAGCTAGAACTACCTGCTAAGTAGAAAAAGTATTTGGTTATAGGATACAAGACACTATTAATAAGCATAAAATAAATAATTCCTGCTACAAACAAAAGTAAACTGCTTGTAATACAAAATAATCTACACCATTTCTTTCCTTTATTTAATAATTTACAATTTATTTTTATAAAGTATAATTTTAAAATATTAAAATAATTAAAGAATTAATAAATATGATAAAAATAAGAAATTAATTTATTTTATTTAAAAAGGTATTATTTTAAAAATGACATTATTTATAATTAAAAATATTAAATTTCTTTTAAAAATTCATCTAAATTTCTGTCAAGAAATTTTAATTCTTTTACAAAATGTAGAAGTAAAAAGCCATTTAATTTTTTATGTATCTTAATAAAAATTGTTTTTTTATATTTTTAGTTTACAAAAAAATTAATATTTTAAAAATTATGATCACTTTTTTAAAAAGGAAAGTGATCAGAATTGAATTAAAATTTATAGTTGAAGATATTTAAATTTATTTTCTATCTATTATAAAAAAAGACTACTACTTTGAAAAGAGCTTTGAATTTACTATTAATTATTTATGAAATCTCTACTTTTATCTATTTCACAACTCTCTCAATAAATAAATAAAAATTCAAGCTGAAAGAAAAGACAATAATGAACTAAAAGTTTACCTAAAATTCTCTCAACTACTTCTGATAAGTCTGATTCTCCCTTTTTTTAGAAAAGTACAATATACGTGCATGTTTTGTATGAGATGAACCCAATTAATGTCATTAAAATTAAACTCATAATCAGACCACCTTTTAAAATATTTGGTGGTAACACAAGGGCAACACTGCCAACCATGCTGTTAGTGATACCAAATATTGTTTAAATTGAAGTTGCTTTTCTGGTTTCAGCTATTTCTGATTTAGTAATTGCTATAGATTGAATGAAAGATTTTCTTCTTTCTTCTTGTGTACCTCCTTCGCTTTTAACCATTTTGCGGATATTTTATTTTTCCTACTCCATCAAAATTACTTCTTCGAACCCATCTGTCACCAGGTCCTTCTTTTTGTCTGGAATTTTGCTTCCAGATCTCATTAATATTGACATTTTTCCTTTTTTTTTTTCTTAAATTTTGAATGTTTTTATAAATTAATTTTTTAATGCACTTTGTTCTAGTTCAATTGCTAATTTTTGTAATACTTTTTTTTGATGATTTAATCTTTGATGATTATTTTTTTTTTACCAAGTTGATTTAAATTTCTTTATAAAAAATGTTAACTTTGCTTTAGAGATTATTTAATCAGTAATAAAAATATAAACTAATAGTCACTAGTTTACCTAAAATACCAAAAAGTGATATCTATTTTATAACTACAACAATTCAAAAGAAATAAAAATGTAAACAATTCAAGGACTATTTATTTATATACTAAAACTTTTTCATTAGATTTTAAAAATGTTTAAAAAGAAAGATACTTTATTAATTTATTTGAAAATTATAAAGTTATTTTCGATTACACTTTTTTTAATATTTTTTTATAAATAAGTAAATTTAGAAATGTAAACAAGTAATTAGTTCTACTCACATTATTCTTAATTAATATTATAAATATAAATTTATTAAAAACACAATTAATATGTACTATAAAATAAATTGAAGTGTAAATAGATCTACCAAATTTATTTATTTATACCCTGAAATTTTCAATTTTTAATCTAATATTTTATGTGATTGCTATATAATTAAACATTTATCTAATAATTAAATATACTAAGAAACTATTTAATATTATATGTTATTTTTTCTGAATAAATTAATTTACTTAGTTTATTTATTTTTATTTTAATTGTTTTAACTTCTAATTAATTTTTGTTTTCATACATACAATTTATTCAATTTAATTTGTAATATCAATTAAAACTAATATCCAATTACATGTTTTTATTAATCTTTCATTAATTTTCATCTTAAATAAAATAAAAAGCTCAAAATAAAAACCTAACTACTTTATAATAAATAAATAAATCAACAAAAAATTCAAATATTATTTAATTTTTAAAATTGAATAAGACGAATTTGAAGACATATTAAAGATAAATGAATGAATTTTTTAAAAAATATTAAAGATAAATAAATGAAATAATGAATTTGAAGAAGTATTAAAGATAAGTGAATAAAAGAAATAAATAATTGGATAATGAGAATAAAATTTTTTATTGCTAATAGAAATTAATTTTTTTAATTGTAAAAAGAAAATAAAATTTGTTTATTTTAAGAAGAAATTAATTAATATATATGCTTTAATTGCTAAAGGATGATAAAATTTATATTTATTTATTTTAAGAAGAAATATATACTTACTTACTTATAAATAGTTTTACTCCAATTCAAATACATTATGTTTAAATTTATTAATTAAATAATTGTTTATTAGTTAGTTTGTTTGAAAGTTCTTTTTTCAATTTAAAAAAATGTTTACAACTTGAATGGCAGCAAGGCCAAGGCCAAAACAAATGGCTGCAGCCCATGCTATTTTTTCTAAGATTTTCATTTTACGATATCTTCTATGTTTAATGTAATCAATATATGATGTTTGTTATTCTGATTATACAAAACTAATTAAACTTTATTTAAAATTAGGATCTTCAACATATTTAGTAAACTCTTCTCCTGAGACAAGTTCTTCAATTATTGTGGAGTTGTGCAAATTTCCTTCGCACTTAGATCTTAATGCCAATGGAACGATATATATCACGAAAAATCCACATATGGCTCCATTTAAACCTATTACTATACTAGGATCAATACAGAATATTTGGACTGTAAGACAAGCTAAGCAGAAAAATGTATTATATAAAAAGAATTGTTTGTTAGATATTTCTACATGTTCTTCTTAGATCAGCTTGTAAAATTAGGTTCTTGAGATAAAATTAACTGTTGGTATTGCTGTAATGAGTTTAGTTAAGAAAAGGAATTCAACAATCATAGGAAGAATATCTGTAGTAGGATAGAAATCAATAAGAATGGTTGCTTATGAAGTGTCTTCTAATCTACCAAGAATTCCAATGCTTCCACATATAGTTACCAGTGTATAAATTGAGTATCCAATTATGTACCCTATTCCTAAATCTCTTTAATTATGTTCCTATCTTTAATTAGTTGATACAATCTAGCAAACTGTGTTATGTATAAAGAATGCCATAGCAAATGACCCAGCGACCAAAGCAAAATTAGGAGTAAAATAGTGCAGTTTATCCCAATTTTCTAAAACATTACCGTTAATAAAATTCTCAATAAAAGTTTCAATAAGAAATAAACCATATCCAAAAATAGCTAAGACACCAACTTTTCTTAAGTTTATGACAAATGTTAAGTCTCTAAGTGTAAAAAGTGCAAAGCAAGGCACTATAAGAATCATAGCCTAGTATTAAATAGACCATTTTGTAAAATCTATGCTTTATTAATCAGCATAATTTGAGCTACCAGCTAAATAAAAAAAGTACTTAGTAATTGGGTACAGACATCTGTTCATAATTAAGAAATATATGATTCCCAAAATAAATAGAAGCAAGCAACTTGTAACACAAAATATTTTGCCCCATTTTTTACCTAATTATTTTATCAAAATATTTTAAATCTTAAATCAATTATAAATTACTCATTAAATATTCAAATTAATTTATGTAAATTTGTGAATTTTTTTTTTAATTTGAAACAACTTATTTTATTATACTTCTTCAAAAAAAAAAAATTCTTGATTAATTCTTATTTAAAAAAATTAATTTAAATTTTTAAAAATTAAAAATAATTAAAATAAAATATTTTGTTATTGGAATAATAAATTCTTATTTAATGCTAAGATTATCTGTAAATTGATTATATTGTAGTTTTATACAAAAAGTGGTTTAAATATGATAAATATTTATTTATGATAATAATAATCTTTATACTAAATTTGTTAGTTGTAATCTAAAATAAAATACGCTATGTTGAAATAAAAAAAATAATTACCTAATACACGAGCTACTACTTATGATAAATCAAGCTCACCTCTCCTTTGGTACAAGATTATAATGCTACAAGTTTTATAAGAAACATACCCGATAATGGTCATGAGAATTAAACTCATAATTAACCCTCCTTTAAGAACGTTAGGAGGAAGAGCCAAAGTAGAACTACCAACCATATTGCATAAAATACTGAATATAGTTTACACAGAGGAGGATTTACGAACTTCGATGATTTCTAGTTACTTAAGTTCCATCTGCTTAGCAAAGGACTCCTTCCTTTCTTCGTTATCTGCACATTAGCTACTAATGATGTGACGGATAATTTCTTTTTCTTGCTCTATGATCATAAAATCTTCCAAAGCTTCAGTAACAAAATGCTTACTTGGAATTTTGCTACTAGTTCTACTAAAATGATGTGACATTTTTTATTTTTTTTTTTTTGTTAATTTGGTTTAGTTTTGATGATAGCTTTTTTAAGTTATAATAATTATTTATATTTTAAAATTTATATATGGATGCACTTTTAACCGAGAAGTTTATAAAATATTCGAGCACCACAAATTGACAGAAAGCCCTAAATTAAATTATCAAATTCTTTCTTATATTCTGAAAAAATTAATTAATAAGATTTATATGTAAGTAAAAAAGTGAATTGAATTGACAAAAATAAAGAGTCCACCTTACAAGTAATAATTTTATAAGTAAATTTCAAAATTAAGGTTAAAAAACATGTAGATTGCATGCAATTTCAACAAAAATTAATTCTATTCATAATTTTAAAATAGTAGTTTCTGTCTTCTTAATATCGTCATTTTTCTTAAAAGTCTGCCCACAATAGATATCAAAATAAAGACTTATCCTCCTTAACTTTCTTTTCTCTATTTATGGTTACAACAAATATTTACAAACGAATTAAGCATGATAAAATATAACAAATCATTACACTTTTGATATAAAAACAAAAAATTGTTATGCTTTATTGATTAGAGGTGGTGTATAAATACCTTCATCTAAAATTATTTTATTGTTATTTTTAATGCATCTTTTTAGTAAATTTTAAAGGTGCCCACTAACTAAATTATAACATTCATATTTTGAAAGAATTTTTATTTAATTATTATATTTAGTTTACTTAACTTATAAGTCTCCTTCCTTCCTTACCTTAATTATTACTTAACTTTATAGTGAGGGGGTTATAAATAAAACAAGTATTCAATCAAATTGTGTAAATTAAATTAGAATTAAGTAATTGTTGGTAAAATTTGCTGTCTTGATTGAGTATTGACAGCGTACTATTTTAACTATTCAACAAAATTATTGTAAAAGAATTTTTATTTCTTATATGACACAAATATATTTATCTATCATATTGACTATCTCCTAATCTTCTTTGATCTCATTCTTTATATTTTATAATGTTATTTGATTAAGGTCTATCCATTATATTATCAACTTTCCAAAATCTTTATCAAAATATTTATAGAAATCGTGGCTATATTTCTTCATAACCTTTAATATATCATGCTCAATGACTTAAGGTCTGTATTCGTATTTAATAAACGTAACTAATATCTCTATTTTTAATTGATTCTCCAATTTTTATGACGGCTCATTAACGAGAGGTATTTCTAGTTATTCTCTCCAGTTCGGAAAATACTCTGTAAAAGTAACGAACATTTCTTTGAATTGATTTTCAATCATACAAACTTCAAGCCTTACTTTTTCTAAAAAGCACTTATTTTAAAATAGTAAATTTTATAATTGAAATCTTAGCAAAATTTACATTATTCAGTAAATTTAAAACAGTTTTTCTATCTTTTAATGAAGTTATAGTTGTGTGCAGACTACTTTCTCTGCTATCCGTCTTTTCTTCAACACCTCTATTTTTTTATTTAGTTTCCTATATTTTAAATTTAATATAACTTAGGATTATCATAGCTAGCGAATAAGTACTATTTCCAAAAGAAGGGCATCTATATTTTCATCCAGCAAATCATTTAAAGATAAATTTGCAGAATCTAAAAAGTAGAATTTTTTTTCGTTTTTAAAAAAATCTTTATAGGCAATATAAGTTATCCAGTGATTAGTAGTTCCAGTAAATACTATCACTAAGGTATCTTTCTGGGACTAATTGAATAAATTGACAATCTAATTAAATTAATCAACTTAGTCTTCACTTAGCTAAACAATTCCTTAATATAATTGAAAATATTTAATTGAATTAATAAATATAATTAATTGATTACCAAATCCATAATAAAAAGGAAAAAGTATCAAATCCATATTTTTTTGACTACATTAATGCTTTTTCTCAAGAACCAATTCACTTTTCTATTAGTGTTAATTTAAAAATTATCTTTTTATGTTTTCATTTTTGTCTTAAAATAATTAATCGCATTAATTTGTGGAAATACCTCAATGAAAAATTCTAAATGACTTCTCTCCAATGGCCCTAAATTATCTAAATATTTTAAATCTTGCTTGTTAGGATATTGATCAAGCAAAAAGCGATAAGTTGAGTAGTAAAACCTCCAAAAACTTTTAATATATCAAAATGTTAAATTTATTTAAGAATTTGCTATAAAATTTACTTGGCAGGTTGATTTATGGATACCAAAGATTATTCGTTTTTATCTTTAGTCAAATAATCAATCATATAAAAAGCATTAAATAATGAATGAAAACCACATAAACTATTGGTATATTAATCATATACTTTCACTTATATAATCCCACCTTTCTCCTAAAAATACTAATTGGATTATATTCTATTATCATTATTTGGCTCTAATATTCTTAATATTATTTCTTCAACTGTTTATTGAAATATATTGACACTCATTTAAAAGATAGTTTGTTTATATATATTTTAAAGGATTTCTTAGAATTATCAAATAATATGCTTATAAATTTTAGTTAATTAATAAAGATTTTTTGTATAGAATCTTTTCATATTGATCAGAATCTACAAGCATAAATTTATTACAAAATTTAAAAAAATCAATTGATTGATAAATAATTTATATTTAATATAGACATTAAATGAATTAGTTTGTAGTAAATAAATAAAAGATTTTAAGCTTTATTTAACATAAAAAATGATGATAAAATTTTCAATTAATAATATTCTAAATTAAGCTAATTAATTACTTAAAAATTAAAATAATTATTCTTTGTACTCAAATTATTAAAATATATAAATGATTACTTTGATGGAAAAATAATTGAAATTTCAATTATTTTGTATTTTAATTAATTAATAATTAAAAGAATTTTTTATTTTAGTTAAAGAAAACCTTTTAAGAATAGCTACTATATTAATATATAATTTAAATTTATAAATTTGTTTTTTTATAAAATATAAAATAGACGACCTTGTAAACTAATCCCTTGATAATAATGGGCAAAATTTATATCCCCAATTTAACTTTTTCATTAAAAAATTCATCTAAAAAATTGACTCTTGAATATTTTGGGCTAAAATTTTTGTTCTGCTGATGTTAAGTTTAAATAAGTTTAATTAATTTTATCAAAAATAGTATGAATGGTTTATATTTTTATTTTCAATAGACTTTTGGATGCTAAAACTGATTTCCTTTTATTAATTTTACATTTAAGATATAATTAAAAAATATACAGATTTTTTTATAGTAAAATAAAAGAAGTATTAATTAATTAATTCCTGCAAGGTTAAAATCATATATAAGATAAAAATTTTTTTTTAAAACAAATATCACAAACAAAATAGTTTTAATAAAAAATATTAACTATATTTTTATTACATTTTATGCAAATTTATAATGGATTTGCTTAAATTTGTTGTAATAAAGATTATCTAATGCTTTGAAACATTTATATTTATTAATTTGATTAGCTAAGCATACTATTAGGAAGTAAGATGAAGAATTAATTATCTTAATTTTTATATTAACTATTTTAACAGAAGTAAAATGAAAATGTTTATTCGATTTAGTTGTTTCTGCTATTTAGGTCAGTTATTAACAACTTTTAGATTAAATTATTTTCTTTAAAACTTTCAGTTAAAATTCTGAATATTGATTATAACTATTCTGAATTATTTATTTTTGTAAATAGCAAATGCAGCTTTTGTTGTTTTCTAATAAGATATATGTAAAATTACATAATCAGTAATCTAAAATATTTATTTTGAGCTAATTTCAAAAGATTTTCCTTGTTTTTTATAAATTATTAATCTTAAAGTTTGTCAATAAAATCCTTCATTTAAAAATTTTCTTTGTTATTAAAGTCTTTTGTGTCTTTTATTTCAATATAATTAAAAATAGTTGTTTCATATAAACATTACTTTAATTAATCTATGTAGCTAGATTTATCATTATTACTATCAAAAAACATTAAAAAAAAGAAAACTTGAAAAGCTTCAATTGGATTCGTAAATTAAATGGCTTATATTTTTGAATATTATTAATTGCTTACTGGTATGCTTATCTAATGACCTATCTCATCTATGTATAAAGGACTTAATTTTCTATTAAAACAGCTTTCTACTAGAGTATTTAGAATCTCTTTCCTACTGCCACTATATTGTACTTTTTGATATTTGTTTTCTGCTTATATTTAAAAGTAGTATTTATTTTTTTCTTTAAAATTATTAAATATTTTATCTTCTTTTAAATTTTCTATTGCTATATTTGCATTAAACTTTTCTTTGAAAAAATGCAAATTATCTGTTAACTTAATTTTACTTTCAATTTTTTAAAAAGTGTAATATTGGATAGCCACCATTTAATATTTAATAAACTAATTTGGTTAAGACATTAGATTTTATAGATGAATTAAGCTAAAAATATTCTTTTACATCAATAAATTTAGATCAGAAATATAATTTTGTAGTTATTTTTACTTTTTAGGTATGTAATCATTATTTTTATTCCTTTCTTATATTTTTTGATAAAGTTTATCTACAAATTTTACATTCTTATAATTTTACACATCTTAAAGACTTTAAAAAGTATTTTCTATGTAAGTTACATATTTACAAAAATACTCCTTTGTTTTTTTATCATTGCTAAATAGATAGTTTTAAAATATAATCTAGATCAAACTAACCAAATTTATATTAGACTTATCTGGATTTATTTTTTCCTCATTTCGCTTAAATAAACTTTCCAAAATGTTTTTCTAAGTTTTTTAATGTATTATCTCATAAATAAATTGGTCTTTTGTATGTAATTCATAAAATGTATACTAGTAATCTTTCATTACTCCATCTTCTAAAATCAAAATGTAATTTTAATACTAATTCTTGAAAAATGATTATAATAACAATAAAAGTATTTAACTTACTTAATCTAAGAAGCTCCACTCATTTGCGTTATTTTGAGTGTCCATTAAATTTATTTTATATATGTATTTAAGCTATAAAAAGGGATAATTTTACTTTTTAAAAATAATCTTTAAAGTAAAATACTATTTGGCTTTTAACTTAATCTTCTGATCAAATTTCTTTTTATTCTAATATCATATCATATCAAAAAATTTGATATTTCTTAAAATATAAATAATTATTTGATAATTTTTTACAATTAATTTATTAAGTACTAATAATTATTGATTTCTTTTTTTTCAAAAATTTATTTATAAAAATTAAATCTATTAATAAAAGAAAGATATTTATTTTTAAAGTTTTTTTTAGGGGTAATTTATTTATTTATTTATTTATTTATTTATTGAAAATAGAAAGATTTAAAGATTTTTGATAGTAAAATAATAAGTATTAATTAATTAATTCCTGTAAGATTCTTTTACAAAATCATATATAAGATAAAAATTATTTTTTTAAACATCTATCACAAACTAAATAGTTTTAATAAAAAATATCAACTATATTTTTATTGCATTTCTTGCAAATTTATAATGGATTTGCTTAAATTTGTTTAAATAAAGATTAGTTAATGCTTTACGACATTTATTATTATTATTAGTTAAGAATATTATTAGGAAGTAAAATGATGAATTCATTTTCTTAATTTTTATAGCAATTATGTTAACAAAAATAAAATGAAAATGTTTAATTGATTTAGTCATTTATGTTATTTAGGTTAGTTATTAATTATAAATTATTTACTTCAAAACTTTTTGTTAATATGCTAAATATTGAATTTAACTGCTCTAAATTATTAATTTTTGTAAATAATAAATGTAGCTTTTGTTGTTTCCTAATAAGATAAATGTACAATTACATAATCAGTAATCTAAAGTATTTATTTTGAGCTAATTTCAAAAGATTATCCTTGTTATTAACAAATTCTTAATTTTAAAGTACATTAATAAAATCCTTCATTTTAAAATTTTCTTTGTTATTAAAGTCTTTTGTGTCTTTTATTTCAATATCGTTGTAAATATTTGTTTCATCTAAACATTATTTTAATTAATCTATGTATTTTGATTTATCATTATTACTATCAAAAACATTAAAAAAAAGAAAACTTGACACGTTTCTAATGGATTCTCAAATTAAATGCCTTTTATTTGTGAATTTTATTAATTGCTTAGTTCTATGCTTATCTACTAACCTATCTCTTCTATAATTAAAGGGCTTAATTATTTATTAAAGCAGCTTTCTACTAGTTTATTTACTATCTCTTTCCTACTACCACTATAATTTATCTTTTGACAATCTTTGATTGCATCTATTTTAAAGTAATCTTTATTTTCTTATTTACAGCTTTTAAGTATTTTTTTTTTAATATGTCTTTCGATATTTGCATTAAACTTTTCTTTGAAAAAATGAAAATTTTTTGTTAACTTAATTTTTTATTCTATTTTTGAAAAAATATATAATTGAATAGCCATCATTTAATATTTAATAAACTAATTTGGTTAGGCCATTAGATTTTATAGATGAATTAAGCTAAAAATATTCTTTTGCATCAATAAATTTAGATCAGAAATATAATCTTATAGTTATTATTATTTTTTAGGTAAGTAATCTTGATTTTGATTCCGTTCTTTTATTTTTTTATAAAGTTTATGTACTCCTTTTTCATTTTAATAATCTTACAATTTTTAAAGATTTTAAAAACTATTTTATATGTAATTTATATATTAGCAAAAACGCTTTTTTGTATTTTAATCATTGCTAAAAAGATAGTTTAAAAATATAATCTAAATCAAACTAACTAATTTTAAAAATGATTTGTCTGGATTTATTTTTTCCTCTTTTATTTCTTATTTTTCTTTCTCAGATTCCTAATGATTTATCTCATAAAAAAAGCGGTCTTCTTCTGTTTATAGTTCACAAAAAACATACTTATAATCTTTAATTACTCCATCTTCTTAAATCAAAAAGTAACCTTAATACTAATTCTTAAAAAATGATTATAATAACAATAAAAAGTATTTAACTTACTTAATCTATGAAGCTCCACTCTTTTGCATTATTTTTAGTTTCCATTTAATTTATTTAAACTTAAAAAAATGGATAATTTTGCTTTTTAAAATAATCTTTAAACAAAGATATTATTTGCCTTTTAAGTTAATCTTCTGATTAAATTTTCTTTTTATTCTAATATCTTACCAAAAAAATTAGATTTTTCTTAATATATAAATATATATTAGATAATTTTTTTTTGCTTAATTTAAATAGTTTTTATTATTATCAATTAATTATTTTTCAAGCTTTTATATGAAAAAATCAGATTGATCTATTATTAAATGGTATTTACTTTTAATATTCTTTTAATTAATATTTAAAATATATAATTAAATATTTTATTTTACATTAAAAATTTGGAAGGGTAACTTTGTTTTTTTAATGTCTAATTATAGAACAAAATATTTTTAAATAAATTTTAATTTTTTTAAATATAGAAGATAGGAAATTATTAAAGTATATTTATCATTCATATCTAATATTTAACAAGTATATATTTATTAAATATTAAATAAATAATAAAATTATCCATTTGGCTGAGGAAGGATAATTAATTTAATAATATATTAGATTATTCATCTTTGCAGGTCTCTTCCTTTGGTATTTACTCGGCTTTTGAGTTGTGATACTATCTCAAATATTTTGTTTACCAAAGAAATACCTTTTTTTCTCATATTAGTATATAAAGGATAATGTACTATCTAAACTTTCTATTTCTTATTAACTTTAATATTAGTCACCTATTAAATAAGTCCACCTCAATTGATTCCTCCAACCATCTATCCTGTTTCTCCTAATTCAGTAATTAATTCCCTGTTATCCTTTTTGGGCAATAAAATTAGTAAAGATTTCTCCATGATAATGATTTTTCCCTTTAAGTAGATTTTAGACATCATTAAATAAGATTCAAAGTATCTTTTGTAATTTAATTGCAGCAGAGGAATCTATCAGATAAGCAAAAAATCAATTAAAATCGCAATCAAACTGTATTTAATCACTAAATTTACTCTTTTACTTTATTTTAGCAATTTTTATGATTATTTTCCAAATTTAATTCATATGATTTTTATAAATCAATATCTTTTTAAGTAAAAAAAAATAAAAAGACTCTCCTTCCTTTCAGTTAAGTTTATAAAATTTTTTAGGTTTTAGAAGCCTTTTATATGAAAATTAAATTTAAATTTGTCTATTCCTCATAACTGTCTGTCTTAAGAATATATAATAGATTTGAATTTAAAAGAGTTTTAAAAAAATTATTTTATTTATAATTTTTAAAAATTTTAGGGTATTACAGATATTTATATCTTCTCTGATATGCTAATTACTATTTAATAAGACAAAATTATTAGAATTAAAAAAAAAATTTGGAAGCAGTGTAAAAAATGAATATAAGTTTATTCGCTAAAAATATCCATCACACATCTATTATTGAATGATGAAGAAAAAAGGATTAATTTTATAAAATTCGTGCTTATAGCCCAAACCAATGATCCTAAATAATATGTTACTTTTCAGTTATTTTTATTGGAAATCAATATTTTATTTGGGTTAGGAAATAGAGATTTTTACAAATAGTGAATTTGTGTAAATAAAAATATTTTTTATTTCTAATCTGTAAACTAAATTTTTTGTAATTTGAATAAAATTTTTATTTGATTTTATTAAATACATTTAATTGGCCAAAAAACTTAAAATTAAAAAGAATTTAAAAAAATTAAAAAAAAATATTTTTATTTTATTTGAGTATTTTAAATTTTATTAAGGTAACTGAATGAATTAAAAATACCAATAAAAATATTTATTTTAATTTAATTAACAAAAATCTAAACTAAAAATAAAATTATTAAATTCAAAAATATTTAATAATTAACTTCTTAAAATAATTTATTCAAATATATTTTAAAAATTTAATCTAAAAACATCTCTTGCACATATTATTATTTGAAATGAATACTTCAGCTAATTATTTTTTGCATTCCTTACAAACTTAGCTATTTACTTTATTTAATTTATCATTAAAAATATTTATGCTCTGTTAAATTTAATCTTAATTTGAGGTTTAATTTTTACATAATTCGTTTTTATCAATTAAAATATTTATGCTCTGTTAAATTGAATCTTAATTTGAGATATAATTTTTAAAAAATTTATTTTAATAATTAATATAATCTTAATCGTATTATTAAGTATATGAATAATCTAATGTGCTTTCAAATTCATAATTATATCTTAATTAAAATTCTGCCTTATTAAATAGTTATTTTGAATTTTCTGAGGCTGATTCCATGAACCAATTTTCAGATTTTGTTATTTATTTGATTATTTTAGTTAATATATCCCATTTTTTGAAAGTTCCTAGAGAGTAGAATTCATACATTTATTATTAATAAAGGCAATAAAAAATAAATGGAAAAATCATTAAGTTATCGTTATTGAATACAATTTCATTAAATTCATAATGTTTTTTAATTTTTTCATTTAGCAAATTGCAATATATTTCTATTCTTGTAAAAAATTTTTCTGGCAACTTGCTTATAATTTTTACTAAGTATTCATCCTTTAAAAGTAAAGCATCAATTTAGACTTATACTTCATTTAGCCATATGAGAACTGAATTTAAAACGTTTAAATATTTTTTATTATCTCTATCTTATAAAAACAAAATATAATTCATGTGTATAACAGATATAACATATCCTGTGAAAGGGCAATTAAATCTAAAATTAAATTTTAAACTTTATTAGTCACTAGTTTAAATCGCTACATTTAATTTTCCTTCAAATATATTTTAGAAATAAGTAAGCTATTCGTAAAGTTTTAGTTTCTCTTTACTAGGGTATGATTTTATTTATATGCTTATTTTTTCATTTTTTTAAAATTAGTAAATCATATCTAAATGATCTACATCGATCTCTTGTTTTGTATCCTTTAATAGTTATATTCGCAATTTGAAGTATTTTTCAAAAATTTATTAATGATCATTGTAAGTTTTTTTATTCTCAATAAAATATTTTACAATTAAATAGAAGTAAGCCTAAAATTGATTGTTATTAAGAATATCAAAGATACTCTTTTCTGTAAAAACTAAGCTTTAAGTAAGAATTAACAATAAAAAATGAGCATTTTTATATTCTTAATGGTAAAGAGTATTAATGAATTCCTCTAAAATAATCGAGTTAAAGTCAAATAATGCTTTTGATTACTCTTGATTCATATTAAATGAATTCACATAAACTAAAAAACCAAAAAATAAACCCATCTACTAAAATATTTTATCATTCATTTGTTTCTCTAATTTTGATATTATTAATTCACCATATTAATTTTCTATTATTTGAAAACCTAATTTTATGTTCTACTTATTGTAGGTGATTTATATAAGATAATTAGGCAAATATGTTTTTTCTAATTGTTGAATCACTAAGTTCTCTTAATCTTTATCAACTTTGTAAAAATGCTTATAATAATTTGACGTATTTTGTTATTACATTTTATTATTCGTAATAATCAATATTTTTACTCTTTGTACACTTTATTACAAAATCAAACTCTTTCTTTTTTAATATTAAATTACTATTAAGAAACAAGTAAAAAATTTAGATTATAATTTCAAAACGATATTTTTATTATCTATTAATATTAAAAATTTTTTTAAATTAAAATAATATTTATTTATCCTCCAAAATAATTTTCTTAAAAATAAATTTTAATAAAAAAAATCCTACATTTATTTTTGGACTAGTTAAAATTTTAAAAAAATGTTGAACCATAAAATTAAAATAAAATATTTATAAGAAACATTTATTGATAATTTAAATTGACTAATATAAATGTACTATCTATCTTATTAATAACCAAATTAAGTAAGATTTATGTATCTTATATAGCTATATACAAATATTACTTATTGTCATATCAAAAATTTATAATTTCAGATGCTAACTTAAATTTTCTTAAATTTTTATTGTTTATATATGGATTTTTGGTGCTACTAGGTAATCCAAAATTGATTGGTGTTTCTTGTTAAGCTTAGTTTTTAACACTTTGATTACCTGTAGCAAATATTATATCTTTTAGCTAGGGAGAAGGCTTAGCTTTTGTTGTTTATGGAATACTATTTTATATTTGTATTTAATTAGAATTTATAATATTTTGCTAATTATTATGAGTAGAGTTGAAAATTGCTTAACCTTGAGGTGTATTCTTGTTTTTAGAAGAAAGGGGAAATAAAGTAGAAGAATTTTATGGAGTAGAAGTGTTCAGTATTTAGAAGCTAGTATTTGGAGAATTTTGAGCAGAGTTATAGTTTAAAGTATTGTGGTTTTGATTCTTTTAGTAGTAATGTTTGCTTCTCTTTTTTTAAACATTAGGATAATTAAGACTGTTTGATCTTTCTTAGTTGAATATAATGTTTTCTTGCTATAATAAAGCAGATAAGTTAGGATTGGTAGTATTTTAATTACTGTTTTAGCTTTTATTGGTATGCTTGTTTTATCTAGAATATTATTATCTGTTTGTGCCAAGAGGAGTGCTGTTGAAACTTTTTGAAGGTATGTTTTCATTGGAGCTTTCAGGAAGCTAATTACTACTATGGAAAGAGTTATTTAAGCTAGAATTATTTGAATTTGTGCCATTTTAAATAAAGAAATTTATGTTGTTATTTATTTAGATATTAAAATTTTTTTTTCTCTTTTGAATAGGATTTAAGGCTTGTGATTAATTCTAATTCTATTAAATTATTTAATTAAAGTTATTCTAGTTACTAGCTAAAATAGGAGTATTGCTATTATTGTTTGCTTAGCTAATATTTGCAGAAGAGTTTTAAATAAAATTACTTTAGCTATTTAATTGTTATGAAGTAGTTTATTAAATGCTATAATTTCCTTGTTGATGATTTTAAATTTTATACTTTAAAGTTTCATCATTTTAACTAATAAAGTTGTTAGTAGAAATTTGATTATTTTTAGCTTATTAATATTTCACTTAAAGTTAAAATATTTCTTTTTCGATCTATTTTTCTTACGAGCTCAGTTAAATCTGAGAAGCTTATAGGGAAGAAGAAGTTTGATGAGTTTGTTATTGAGAATTTATTGCCTATTAAATTCTTTGGTGAAGAGGTGGTTTAGTTAAGATTTTTAATCTATTAATATAGTTATTATTTGTTTTTTATTAGCTAGAATTAGGTTATATATTATGTTAAAATTAACCATTGTTATATTCTAAATTTCTCTAAGAGTTAATATCAATGCTCTATTTATCAATAGATTTTTACTATTTATTTATAGCTTAAATAAAAAAAAATTAAAATATAATCTAACCTTTATGATTTACTAAAAATTTAAATTATATTTTTATTTTAAAAAATTCAAATTTGATTTTTGGAATTGTTTAATATGATTTATTTTATAAATAACTATTTGTATGAGGAGATAAGGTAAATAGATTTTATAAAGAAATTTTACTTTAGAAACCAATAAATTAGTTATTTCCGCTTTGTGGTGAAGGATTTTAAGAATTACTTATAAATGAGCTATGTATTGTGGCAGGTCCATTATTAGAGCTTATACTTCTAGCTTTAGATGGAGGATCTAATGTTCTATTTTGTCTAACCTTAATTTCACCAGTTTGGTTTGATATGCCTTATGGGTTACCACTAATCATTTTATTGCTTCTATATATTTTTTCTGCTTATTCACTAGATTTTTTATTTTTTCTGCTTGTACCTTCTGCACTTTTTTCTCTTTATATTGAATTTTTTCTTTGATTAGCTTTTTACTACTAAATTTGAATTTCATTTCCTTTATGAATAATAGTGGCTAAGTTTTATTAAAGAAGATAATTTTAAGAATTAGGTGCTTCATCTTAAATAAAGAAGCCTTAATCGCTCTCTGTTTCATTCTAATACTCTTCAGTTGGATGAGCATCTAAATGAAGTCTTTCTTGTTTAGAAAAATCCTGGTGCTGTTTTATTAAGTCTGTATTAAGTATTTTTGAATTAGTAATTTAGAATTGTTCTCTCTTTTTTCTTATCAGAGGAATGAAAAAGGGTGCTTTGCAACCTCCTGGTAAAGTCCTGACAAGTGTATGATTTTTTTAGTCTGGTTGATCTTCATAAATACATTATCTAAATGCTGCATGAAATTTTGTATGGACACTCATAATTTAACCAACAAGAGGTACTTCATGAGGAAGATATACAAAGGCAATTTCAAGAGCACGAGAAAGATAATTTTCTGAGTTAGTAACTTCATCACAATTTTCTTTTGTTAAATTTGCTTATGGTTGCTCTATGAAGCGGTACTCAGTTGAAACACAATAAAAGCCCACACTCAGTTAAGCATTAAAGAGCAAAATTTTTTCATTAATTTCATTTGGAATAGGTGCTCTAATTTATTCCAAACTCATAGCTTTAAGTTGCAACTAACCAAGAATATTTGATTTTTGAAGAACTACTTCTTAGTTTTTAAATATTTCTTTCATGTTCATTTTTTCTAAAAACGTAGACCTAAAATGATTACCAGGTTAACTTATCTTTGGGGAAGAAGTTTTACTTTCTTTACCTTTTTCAAGCATAGGTGACTATGTTGCATCAATTGTACTTTTAAGATGATTCTTAAATAATGCAGATAGAATCGAATACTTTTTAGCTGAAAGAAGAGATGGAATATCTAAAACTTTTGAGAGAATTGATTTAATAATCATAAAAAAATTCTTTTCTTAATCAGTAAGATCTGTATTAACTTAGATTTTTCGTAGATTTGTCTCAAATTCACTTATAATAGAATTCGTCTCACTGGCATTTTATTATAAAAGTCCTTTAACATCTTTGCTAATCTCACTTTAAGTTTCATTCATTTAACTAGACATATAAAATGACTCTTGATTTACTGATGTTTAAATTTCTAATAATTTTTTTTTATTGTTTCTAAAATTATTTCCTTTATATTGCTAATTATTTTTGGGATTAATCTAAATGCTTTGCATTTCAATATCAATACCATTGCTTGTTTAATTCTGATTGTTAGGTTAAGAATCCTCTCCTTAATAATCAAATTCGCTTATATTTTACATGTTCAAGTTCATGTTTGAAAGATTATAAAATGAATTCTATTATTGATCTATGCTAGATGCAACTGATTGCTTTGAAGATTATTTTTTATTTTAGCTTATATATTAAGCTCCGTAATAATCATTTTCTATCATGCTTTTATCAGACTTTTTATTAATATTTCTTTGAACTGATAGCTATTTTTGAGACTAAATAGCATCCATAGCCTAAATAGATCGTTAATAATTAGCTAATTTCTAAGCTAATCCTATAAGTAAATCCATATATTAACTGATGATAGTTTTTGTTGCTTTCTTTCCAAAAAAGAGAGCTCTTTCATGATTACTCAGTTCTGATTGTAATATGCAGCATTAAAAGTATAATTTAACTAAAATTGCATTTACATTGCTATCTCTTTGCTATTTCTTTATTGACATAATGCAAGTCTCAAAACATGTAAAAGCTTCTTCCAGTAATCCAATCTTATAAAAGCAAATGCCTAAATTAACCTTTACAAAATACAAAATGCTCATGTCTATTTAACCTTCATTTGCTATAAATGCATTCATGATTATATCTGACCTTCTTAAATTTAATAACGCGCTTTTTAAATCATCTTTGCACAAGCTTTGAAAACCAATTTATGAATGTTTTTCTATCAAACTAAGTGCTTCTTCTTCTAATACCTACTCTAATTAATAGTAGTATGAATAAATTTAAATAGAAAATGGCATTTATAATTCTAAATGTTTATTTCTTTATCTAATTTAAACGGTATTCATAAAGAATTAAACTAAATTTGCTATTAAGCTTATATATTAAAAAGCAAAATATGAAAATAATAATTAAAAATTACCGCTTTTTGAAACAATGCTTTGATCTACCTAAAATCCATTTGTTGCTTAAACCTTGCTTGATATTGCTCTTTAATTTGAATAACTGTTGCTTCTGCTCTTGCTTTGGGTAGCACTATCTTTTTTAACTATGACAATTGGTTTCATCTCTGCTAAAGATTTAATAACATCTAACGGATTAAATTAGCTGTTGTTTTAATCAGTAGTTGTTGCAGTTGATACTATAGTGATTGGAGTGGCAGCTTAATTCTACTGATTTGTGATATTTTTTTATTCTTTCTATTCATTTTATTCTTCCTTTGTAATAACTTTCTTAGCTATTTCTCTTAAATGAGGCTTAAGCTATAATTAAAAAGCCTTAGCTGATTCGCCTTTTGCTTGATCTGCCATAGAAAACGAATCAAGTAATTTAAAGAATTTATTAAATAATAAGTAATTTCAATTTACTATAGATAAATGACTAAAGTTAATTATTTGATTAACAAAAATAATATATTTCTTATTCAATTAGATATAATTCAAAAATATAGTTTCTATCTTTGAAAGCTATCTCTGTTTCTTATCTAACATTTGGCATTTTATATCCATCAATCCATTATTAACCACTTAATAATACTTATTTTTTTTGGTTTCTATGAGCTTTTTAAATTTAATATTATCTCCCATCTGTAAATTTACTAATTTTATGGCTCCCAACAACTCTTATATTTCTTATTATTTTAGAAGTTTTAACTATTTCTATTTTTCATGAGACAAAATATATTTTTTTAAAGTAAAATGTATTAATAGTTTTAATATATTTATTATTATTATTTTTTAAATTAAAAATATTGGCTTAAAAATTTTACTATTTCTTCAATGATAAATATAAAATAAATTTATTTTTTATTTTTTTAATTAAAAATAGATTTTAATTATTTCTTATAATATTTATTTATAAATTGCAAAACATTTTTTATTTTAGTTTATTTTCTATAAAAACATCAAAAAAATTTCTATAAATGTTTTTACCTATAAATTAGATTTTATTTATTTATTTTGATATTTTAACATTTTGTTTACATAAACTATGTAATTTAATACTTTGGGAATGACACACATTTTAATCTTGTTTAGAAATTTTTTGATAGTTATTTTGATGTTTAATAAATTATAAACTAATTTTAACCATCAATATTCTTTAAATTTTTTTTTTTGAAGTTTAAAAAATTAATTGAAAATAAGAGTTATTAGTCAAAAGTAAGAAATAATTTAATCAGTGTTTTATATTAAAAAGTTAATTTTAAAGAACATATCATGCGTTAAAATATTTTAATAATATAAATTTTATAATTTAAAATGGGTTTTTATATATTTAATTTTTTATTTAAGCTATGGCTTTAATTTGATCAATTAGATAACTTTGATGTATTAAATATTTAGTTCATATATTTATTTAAATGTGGTTAAATGTAATTATGAATTTAAAATTCTAAAATTTGATTTTTAAATTAAAAATGGCAAATATTTATTAAATGTTTTTAAGTCACTAATAGCAAATATTATCAAATTTATGGCTTATTTTATTGAATTAATAATTATTACTATGAAAATAATTCAAATCTTAAATAAAATTACATATTAAAAATATCCATAAATCGAGATATACCTATAACCAGAGGTAACCAGTTTCTATGCCTTTTTAAGATAGTGCAGTTAATATGTTTGTTAAATATTAGTGGAAATAATTATATCTAATTCCTGAATATTAGATATTGTTCATAAAAAAATCAAATAATAAATACTATGTTAAAAGTAATGAGTGGTAGCGAGAGTTTATTTAAAATAAAATTCAGGATGCATTCTTGATCAAAATCAATAGTACAGTAAATAGCTCTGGCTGCACTCTATTTTTGATTATTTTTGGAATTAGTGTATCAAAAAATTTGTAAAAATAATAATAAGACAAACAAATATAATTTAATATTATTAAAAGCTTGTTGTTGACTCTTGTTTCTTTTGAGATAACTCTTTTTTTCAACCTGAGGTCATACAAAATTACTTCATCGAGCCAAATTATCCCATGAATCCCACTACAAAAAGCGTATATAATCTCTAAAACAAAAGCGTATGCAAATAATTTTTTATCACTATGCAAAATTAGTCAATCTAATCTATATCACTTGAAGAAAGATCTGAAGAGGAGACCAAAGCAATATTTGATTAAATAAAGGCCTATACCTTTTTCGACAAATTTTCAAGCGACGAATAAAGAAAATGTAGATTTCCATATACATATTTTTAAATTAATTCGAGCAGTTCCTGCTTTGGACTAACAGTATATAGAATTATTTTTTTATTTAAAATATAGTGTTAAATTAAATTGTTAGCAGATCTAAAAAAATTACCTTCAAAGAGAACGAAACTATCCAAAAAAAGAGTAATATAATTAATATATATAAATAAATTCTTTTGTTTTATAATAAATATATTTATTTCTATTTTTATTTATGTTATTGTTAAACAAACTCATTAAAAAAAAGATGATTGTTTCACTTAGATGTTTTGCATCTTAAATGGTATAGTTGGAGTCTTTCATGTCGAGTAAGAAAAGAAGAATTCAAAGGAAAAACTTGAGTTGATTAAGAAAATATAAGAAAATCAGTGCTTTGGAGAGTAATGTTTGAGCTCTAAAAGCGATTAAAAATGGGAATATAAATGTTTTTCCGATGAGTGTGTATTATTAAGTATTTAAAGAAAAGAGTTAAAAAGATTATTTAGCTCTATCAAGAAAGAATAAATTATGGAAAATTTAAAATTCTTTTCATCTCTCAATGCATTTTCTGATTACAATTCGAACCTCCTTCTACAAATTTACAGCAATAGTATAGAAATAAAACTTCAAAGAAATAACTGCGTCTTTTAAGAAGGTGATGAATCAAATCATGTTTATATTATAAAATCAGGCTCATTCTTAGTAAAATACATTTAATGAAAAATTAGTATTTCACATTTTTTTTTTTCGATACTTTAGGTAAAGTAATACATAAATTTCAGCTTCAATCAAATGAATTAAGAGTAAGACAGAGACGATAATTAAAAATTTCAAAACAATTAATAACAGTAAATCAACAAGTTATTGTAAAAGAAAAAAGCAAGTACCAAGTAACAAAAAGTAAATAATTTACTAAATCTTTAATTAATGTGTAAAATTGTAATTAAATATAAAATTTATTATACTTTTGAAATTATAAATTTATTAACCTTGTTAATTTCCCCCGCAAAAGCATTTTATATTTTTTGTAATAGTGAAATATAACCATTCACAATAAATGTCAAAAGCTTACAGTCAAATTAATACCTATTTTTATAAATTAAGATAGTTATTTGGGGAGAAAAAGAAATATTTGGTGAAGAAGACGTCATTGCTAATAAAAATAGGACATACAGCATTTATTGTGAATCACAATAAGGCGAAATAATTAAGATTTCTAAAGATTTTTTTATCTCAAATATTATGCAAGAGGAGAGTAGCAAAGAAGTTATTTTATCAACATTAGAATAGAAGTTGAAAGAATTTTAATAAAAATAAGAAAATGCGCATAAATAGCTTTATGGTTCTTAGCTCTCTAAATTTTACTCTTAAATAACCTAAAATTAAGTAGAAAGTACACCAAGAGAGGTGCCTCAAAATTCTAAAATTGAGTTATAGTAAAATACTTAAAAAAGTAGCATTTCAAATACCTAAAAAATATCCTTCAAAGATTTGATAAAACAAAAGCTGATTGGTTCAGATATTAATTTAAATTTATCTAATTATAGAAAGGAAAATGGTAACTAAAATTAACAAAATCTTAATCAAAAATTACAGTAATAATAAATTATTCCAAACATAAATGAGCTAATTAATAGCAGTTAGATAATAAGTTAAGGTGAACAAACAAATAGACATTCTTCACCTTCACCAGTTAGAAATAATTCTCTTAATAAAAGCATAAACTCACCTTAATCAAATAAAAAATAAGAACTTTCAAATAATTCAGCAACATCATTTTCATAATATGCTTAAAATAATTAAGTTTAACCCTGTTCAAATAAGAGTTTGCTTGAAACTATTAAAAAAAGTAATTTTAAGGATTCTCAAAAAGAGTAATTCTAAAATGAATTATAGAAACTAGCTATATTTTAGCCATCTGATTGTATATGGCTCTAGAATGAAATTGAAAAAGTGAACTAAGAAATAGTGCCAAAAGAGATGTTGCTACCTCCAGAACCTTACTGTACAGATGCAAAAATTATGGAAACTACTCCTTAAGTTAAAAAGCTTTATCATGAACTCAAAAGGAATTACTTTAAAAAATATGAAGGAAAATCAAAAAAAACATTTCAAGATTTTGCTTAAATGAGGCATTACATAAAGCATAGAGGTATTGTCTAAATGATTGAAGAAGAAATGGCTCGCAAAAAAGAGGAAGAAAGGACTCATAAAACTTAAAGCCTTTAAAGAGCTGCTTCTATTTCTCCTTAAAGGTAAGGATTCAGCAATGAAGCTTAGTCTGAGAGTGAAAGAAGAGTTAATAACATAATAAAAAATAAAATTTTGAAAGGAAATAGCTAAAGATTCAGCTAATTTAGATCACAGTCCATTGATTTAGCCTTTTAATTTCCTAAAACTGCTATGAATTAGTATGAAAATGAGTAATTTGAGAATGACAAATTAAATGATAATCAAAATTAATATAATTTACTCACTAATGATTCTACAGAGAAATCCTCAGCTATATAATCCCCTGGAAGAAAAATAATCAAAATGATTTCTACAAATTCAGATTTTGGTACTAATTAAAAGAATCATGTTTGGTTTTAAGAAGATTAATTATGCAATTAAGCTAATTCTTTAATATAAAATAAACGAGAAGAAGAACATAACCTAATAAATTCCATGCCAGAATTAGATTCAAGATCAAATAAAATGTTTTCTTTCACTATTTAAACTTAAAATTCCATTGCAGAAATTAATTCACCCTTTAGCTCTATGGTTTTTGACACAATTGAAAAGTAATAATCTAACAAAAATGAATTAGTAAAAATTCCTCACAAATTACAAACAATTTTTCCTTGCAATTAATCACTCCCAACATCCCCTTTAAAGCAACGCTCTCTTAATAATTCTTAATGTCAAGATAATGGCAATATTACACCTTTTAATGCAAATTTAAAGAAAAAATTTTATGTTTTAAAACAAAGAAGCACCTCTCCTAGAAAATAGTAATAAATAAAAGCAAATTCTTTAAGCTCAATTCAAATTTAGTAAATGAAATAAGAACCAACAACAAATTCTACATTAAATTCAAATATAAATAGTAATCAAAAACAGAATAATTAACAAACATAAACAGAATAATTTCCAATAAGTTAATTTATAAGCACAGAGTAAGATGTATAAACAGAAAGATTAAAGCTACCAATACGTTCTAAAAGCTAGATTTAGTATCCTTAGACACCTTCCACAACTTCTAGATCATTAAGAATAACAAAATTTATTAATCGCTCACAATCTCCATGCACAAATAGAGGAGTTAGCTTTTTAAATTTCTCTGAAATATGCTCTAAAATTGAAAACATCTAAAATCCCGATAATCCTCAATAAAAAGCTTAAACTGAAAGAAATTCATAGAGCCAAAAAAATATTCTTTAATATAACATAAAATCTAATGTTTTACGTTAATCAGCATAGCAATACTTAAATATGAACAATGATCTATCTAAATATACTTAGAATTAAAAAGGAGGGAATGATAAAGTATAACAACAACAAAGTAATTCTAACTGTGAATCACAATCATCTTTAATTTTAAAATAGAACTAATAAAATCATCTCCTAAAATTTAAAGATAGGATTAAAGAATAATCATAAAAGCTTCTTATTATTTAGTAAAATATCCCATAATAAATTAAAAATGAGGGAAACCAAGAAGAATAATAAAAAAATGAAAAAAATCAACACTTTTCAATTACAAATAAATTTTTTGATAGACTAGAAAAAAAGAGAAAATCAGATTCAAAGCAAAATAAGCAATCTCCATCATAAAACAGCATCAGTAATAGATCGGGCTATTGCAACTTAAATTTAAATTATCATAACAATAACACAATTCTTTCATCCTCCTCTGCAGCAGTGGCAAAATTAGTTCTTTAAAAAAGACTTATTTCAAATTTTGGAAACAGTGAACTTTTAAATAATCTAGACCTAACAAAATTAAAGAAAACCGTAGTCTGATTTATAAAAAATTATTTCAATTCAACAATAAAAAAGAACAAATTTTAAAATTTCAATTTAATTAATTTGTTAATCAAATAAAGATTTTTGATAATTCATATTAATCTCTAACTTTATAAATAAAATTACCTTAATAATTCATATTAAATTAAGTATAAAATGTGCATAATTATAAATGTAAGTTAGTTACTAATATATTAATAACATATATAAATTAACTATTTTTAGGATTAAATCTTAATTTTAGAATTTTATTTTTACCATTTTATTATTTATGGCAAATAAGTAAAAAACTCAGTCATTAGTAATAAATTAGTCAAATTAATAAATAATATAGTTTTTAATCGAATTTATAATGAATGATTTAGTTGATATCCTTTACAAAATTAATAGAACTTTAGAAATTATGCAAATTATTTATTTAAATTATTTACAAAATCAAAATGAACCAAAAAGCACCAATAAATTAATAAATTTAAATATCAAAAGGTATTAATCAGCTAAGTATTAATCAAAATCAAAAAAACGGTTTAGGCAATTTGATGCCCAATAAAAAACTTATAAACGCTGGAAAAATGATACTTAATCCCTACAAAGTTAACTCATAGTAATCTAATTTGAATAGCAATAATAATTAAATAGCTTCTAAACCAACTAATTTTTAAATTAGACCTACCACAACTCACACATAAGTAATCAAGTAGGATAATTTACTACCTGTTGTGTTATAAGGTAAAGCTATGTCTCTTAACTAAAATAAGCAGCCTCATAGAGAATAAACTCATAGCAGCCACCAAAATAAACTATAAACTCAAAATCAACAAAGAAAATCTCAAATTAATAATGATATCATAAAATCTAAACAGCCATAGCAAAATATTTAATAGTAGTAATAATTAAGCTAAATAAGTACTAAAATAAAGCAGACGAATCAGAATTAGTTAATTATGTCTGATAATTCTAAGCAGGTTATTCAGTAGTAGCAAATACAAAAAAGTGAAAATCAAGTAGAAGGTTTATCATTAGAAGAGTATTTCAAAATACCAACAAGCTAAAGAAGCAAGAAAGATGAGCAATAAATTTGCATAAATAATAATATAAATCAAATTTCAAAACCAATAGAAAATGAAGACTAACAACTTCGTAAAGTTTATTCTATGTTCTCAGACCATTTTTCTGAAAGTGAGAGAAATAATCACTCAGCAGGTATTTTATATAATGGAGAAAATGATGCTGAGTTTTTTGGTTTTGAAATTGAAGAAGTTGATGTAGAGAAGGGAATTTAAGAATTATAAAGTATGAATTTAAATTTAAGCTTTAACTTAATAAAATGTGACATTGATGATGTTAGATGTAGTTAATTTTACGAAGATTTTATAAAAGCAATGATAATATATCTTTCAAATATTTACTCAAACAATTTTTCTGGCTAACAATAAGTTAAAGAAAATTAAGTAAAATAACTATAATATTTTGTGTTTAATGGTATAGAGGATTGTTTATTCTCTAGGGATATTAATATTGAATTAATTATGCTACTTAAAAAGGATATATAAAATTATCCACAAAAGTTAGTCGAGACATTTGCAACAAGAATTGAAAATAAATTCTTTATGGTTGAAGATACTGAAAAAATGGATGAGTGCTTCAAACTTTTAATGAAATTTTTATAAATAAATAACTATTTAAATTAAGTCATATTGAATTCTATTTTAAAATTTATAAAATCAAATAGAATGAGATAGATTCTTTGTGAAATTTTCAAGTAGTAGCAGCAAATGAATGACTTAATTAATAATGAAAACTCTTTAGTATTAGTTTTAACTTTAAAAAGTTATAATTGCTTACCTTTTGAGTTACCCTATTTTACAATAGATTAATTTAAAAATAATAAAATTTTGGTCAAATTATATAAAAAACATTATTAATAGAACAAAAATGAGTGAATGTTATAATATGCTATTAATAAACTAACTGCTATTTTGTAAATAATATTTAAAAACAGCAAAATAAATAAATAATAAATACTAAAAATTGCATTAAAATTTCATTGAATAACATTTATATTATTACTAAATTACATGCTTATAATATTTTGTACATAATAAATTAATTATTGTTATCGTGTTTGAGTTTAAATCAAGTTAAAATTAATTATTTTAAGTTTTAGTTAATATTTTAACTTTTTATTCAACACATTACAAATTATGGAAATTTTTTTACTTAAAAAAATACACATCTATTTAATTTTATATATCAAATAGTAATTTCTAGTTTTCATACTAACATAACAAACTTGCCAAATAATACCCTATTTGAGATTAAGTTATCTTATATTTATCTGAAATTATTTAATATGAAAGATAGTCATTTTTATAGATTTTTTCATTATTTTTTGGATTTATCTAACTGAAAATATTAATAATAATATTCTCATTTAATAATTTTAATATTAAATTTATGTTATTTATTTTATAAAAATTTTAGAGGGAATTTTCTTTTATAATGTTATTTTTCAAAATAGAAATTATGATATTCAGATTTAAACACTTTTTAAATTATTTAAATTGGATGATAGGTAGGTACCCTTAATTTGAGATAATTATTATTAAATTTTTAATAATTATTTTATAAAGAGTTTTTAAATATTTTTTTAAATATTCTATTTATCACACATTTAGCTTAATTTTATAATTGTCAAATATGATTTATTTTTAAATAAATTTTATTTGTAAATAATTTGGTTTCATAAATATTATTATATTATATTAAAAAATACTTTTATTTTACTTTGAAATTAGAAAAGCAAAAATAAAATAATAATCCAATAAAAATATTTGAACAAAAAGGAAATAAATGCCATCATAGAAATTATACTTTATCAGAAATCAGAGGGGATTTTTTCTCTTTAGATATTTTAAAAGAATAAAAAAAAAGAAATATATTAATATTAAAATTATTAATAATAAGCATTTAAATTTAGGAAATGGTAAAAACAATTACATAAGAAGAAGCAAATAAGCTTTTAGAAGACTTTTAAAAAAATAGATCAAAATAGGATTAAAGAGCTTTATGCTGTCTTTTAGGTGCTTACTGTGGTGATAATTTAGGAAATTACAACGAATTTTCCCATTCTATTGAAGAGGAGGAGTTAAATAATGCTATGAAAATGCCAGGAAAAGGAGCACATAATTTAATTCCTGGTCAATCAACTGATGATACTGAGCTAGCTACATCTTTAGGTTATGCATTAATTGAAAATTCTGATCCTAATGTATTTGACTGCAATTTATTCAGTAAATATTATAGCCTTTGGATATAAAGTCCTCCTTTTGATTTAGGTATGACTATTGGTGCAGCATTAGGAGTAACTCGAAGAGACAAATTGACTTATGAAACTTCAAGCCAAGATTGCAAATAAAATTTAATGGCTAATAGAAATAGATTAGCTACTAAGAATCAAAATCGTCACTCTCAAAGTAATGGAGGTGTGATGAGGATCTCTCCTCTGTGTGTATATTTGTCTAAATAAACAGATTAATAAGTAATTCGTAAATTTGTTTATGCAGAATAAACTTTAACCCATATCGCTAAGCCAGCACTTGAAGCAGCATATGTATATGTGAGAATAGTAACAAATATTATTAAAGGTATGAAAGCTTTTGAAGTAGTTGAAGATCTAACAAAATATTTCAAAAATGAATGCAAAGATGAAGACGTTAAAGATTGGTGGGAGTCTTGCATAGATGAAACTAAATATTAAGATGCTGTGCTTTCTATGGGATGGATTAAGCATGCCTTGACTTAATGTTTTGTTGCTTTAAATATTTTATCAGGTCTTGAGAAATAAGGTGCTGTTGAGTAATTCAAAAACGACATTTATAAAGAATTTTTAAAAGACATATTAAAATTGTGTGGTGATAGTGATACAAATGCTGCAATTGTCGGAGGAATGATAGGTGCTTACCTTACCTTAGAAGAATTTCCTAAGGATTATTTGCATGAAATTGTCACATGTAATCTTCAATAAAAAAACAACCCATAGCTCTTTCATCCTCGTGATGAGATTTTTAATCCAAGAAATTGCATATATCTTTGCGATCAAATATTAAAGAAAGCTTCAGATAATCCAAATATAGAAATTATTGATGGATAGTTAACAGATGAAATAATTAAGCAAATATAAGAATACAACGACATAAAAGTAACATAAAAATTATAAAAGTTGAAGGAAGAAGAAGGGAGCCAATCAAAAGATAAGAAAAATATCTAAGAAGAATAATCATAAACTTAGTGGGTTTAAGATCATAACATTAGTAAAGCAGGTGATCTTGTGGAAAGTATTAAATAATTTAACATTCAGCATGAAAAAACTGGTAAATAACCAGATCAATAACAAGATTTAAGTGAATAAATTTAAGATTAAATATAAAATAATAACATCTTAACAAATAATGATTAAATGATTATTGAAGAAGATGCTAATCCTTAATGTGAAAATTAACAAAAAAATAAGGATCAAAATGGAGAAATAAATGAAATTTGATTTAAATTATTTATCTAATCTTTAATAAATAAATTTTCTATTTAAATTTATTATGATATATATTTTTTTTAAAACCATATCAAGTTCTGTTGATTTTTATATTTGAAAAATAATATCTCTATTTTTTTTTATAATTAGTTATTAATAACCCTCAATAATTATTTTTTTTTCTTAATGAAATTATTTATATTATTTTAATAGTAGTACTCTGAATTACTTTATTGAAGTAGGTACATTTAAAATATTTTTTTAGTTTTATAAATAATTATGCTGTAATCTTCAGGTTAAAAGAAATTGCAATTCAAACAATAGGATTTGATTACCTGAAAAGTCTAAAAATTTTTCAATTTAATAATATCTTAGTTAATAAGGATTTACAGAAGATGTTAGTATTATAATTACTTTATAATATTAAAAATAAATATGGGGGATTTGAGAGAATAATTAGATTCCAAAAATTCAAAAACTAACAAAAATAAATTAATATATTTTACTATATAAATATATATACATATTATTGGTTAAAATATAAATATAAGAAAGAATCTTTTAACTATTATAAGTATGTTTGCTAATAAATTTTATTATTATTACTAACTCATTCGTTAATTAGAAATATTATTTCACTATTTTAGATGTTTGGGTCAAATATTGAATGAATGAATCAATCAATGACTTAATTAATTTAAAATAAAGAAATTTTGTAATGAATGAGTGCATTTTAAATAAAAGAGGCATGTAGTGAGTATTAAAGAAAAGTACTCCTAATTCAGATTTGCAAAGGCAAAACAGGAATACTTTTTTTTGGTAATTCTACATCCTTTTCACCTGGAATAGATCTAGCTGAGTGAGATAAATGAATTTCGTTTCCTTCTATTAGCTCTAGCTATGTTTTAAATTATTCAAATCCCATTGCTTTACAAAAATCATCAAAGTTTAGTTTGCCTGCTTCGCTGCAAAATTCTTCCATTTCAAGCTAAATTTCTTTCATTTTATTTTCTGATAACTTTCTTCCTTCTCTGGCCATAATCTATTTTAATTACATTTATTATTATTAAAAAAATAATTCTCTATGAAAAGTTTGTTATTAAAAATATTAATTAGACTAGAGGTGTAAGTAGTAAGATCTAGTGGAATTGCTAATTTAAATTATATTTTAATAAAATATCTTTGCTTATACACTCAATCATTCAAGTGTATATTTTATGTAGATTAATAGCAATTCAAATAGAAAAATCAAAAGATTTTCAAATTACTTTTATCAGAAAAATTATATCTTTGATATTTATAAATGATAGGATTTTTATAGCTAAAAAAATGTGGAAATAGTGTAATTGATTATATTTATTTAAAAATAGTATGTTTGTTATTAATCTTTATGCTATTTAATATTTATATTTTAATTCAAATAGAATTTTATTACATCTTTTAGATCTTCTTGTGTGATATATCCAGTTTCTGTGGAATTCAAATAGTGGAAAATTTGCTATAACTTAGTTTTGTTGAGGTAAGTAGATTCATCAAGAGTGGCTGCTATAAATTCACTATAGTTTATATAGTTAGTTTCCTACACTCCTTGCTTAAGTGAAAGGTTTTCTTGCTTATTATTCCCACATATTTTATGCAAGAGCTAGTCAACATTTTGTATGTCTTTATATCCTAATTCGTATAAACAAAGTCTGAGTTCATCAGCAGTGATAACACCATTTTAGTCTTTATCGATATTGCGAAATAGGTTTTTAGGAGTAATATTTTCGTTTGGGCTAATTCTCTTAACCATAATCATGAGAACTTCTCTTCTAAATTAATTTTCCATTCTAAACTGCACCAATTTCTCAACTAGCTGCGTATAGCTCCTATGGGGTACTGGAAGATTTTTTGGTTTTTCATTATTTTGTTTTAGTTTATTCATCATCTAGAACCATTTGTGGTCTAGTGCTTAGCTTAATTTCAAACGCTTTTTAGTATTTACTAGAAGAATATTACGAATCATATCTTTAGCCTCATCACTTACATAATTCCATACAGGCGCATCAAAGTTGAATTTACCTTACTCAATTTAATCTAAATCTTCAAAAGGAAGTTCTCTACTTAACAAAAAGTACATCATAACACCTAATGACCACATATCGCACTCACGCTCGTATTTTTCATGCAACAAAACTTCAGGAGCTTTATATATATTTAAAAATAAAATAAATCTGCGAGCTAATTTAATTAATTTGAAATTGAAAATACCACCCAATTCTATTTATAAATCTTTATTTTTTATAATTCATAAAAGTTAGTGGGGAAATTTATTTATTTCTTTAGCAAAAAAAATGAAAAAGTTAGTATTCTTGTAAAAAAAAATATTATTTTTTGAAAACTATTTAACTGGTATCTTCAATTTTATTTCATCAACATAAGCTTATACTATTTAATTTTAGTATGATAGAAAATAAAAATTTATTTATTGATCAGATGAGTTGATTCTAGTATTTGGAAAACTAATAAGCTTGGTTTATATCTTTGATATAAAAGAAATAAATTTGAATGCGATGGACCAAATTTAGTTATTATTATTATAAAACATTACTATTTTTTTTTTAAATCAAACCCTTTACTTATGTGTAAAATTTTAATAATAAAAGTATAATTCAAGTATTACTTGAATAATTTCATTTAATTTCATTTCTATTTCTGAATGATTTTTTGCTTCAAAACAAATATTAATTGATTTATTTTATTGTTGTTTATTTTTTTGCAAATCCATTATGAATAACTCCTTCATTTTATATTTTTATATCCTTTCATTCATTATCCATACTTGTAATCAATTATAAAATTAGTAATACTAAGTTTCCTTTTGATAAAATCAAAAATGTATGTATGAATTTTTTACCCATATAATATGCAGAGCCAACCTTTGTATGTCTCTTTCTTGAAGAGCGGACATTAAGCTTCTTAGAAAGACCAAAATCAATAATTTTTATCTCCGCATTTTCATCAGTTGAAGTATAAACAACATTTTCTAGCTTTAAATCTCTATGAACTATATTACGAGTATGCAGATAATTGATTGCATAAAATAATTTTTGCATGACTTATGAAATTTAGTATTCTGTTAGTTCCTCCTTATTGATAAACTTATCTCTTAGGGTACCTCCTGATAGATATTCCATAACGAGATAAATATGGTCTTTATCCATATAAGTCTCTAAGAATCTGCAAATATTAGGATGATCTAATTATTTAATTATATCTACTTCTCTTTTAAGATAAAAAGAAGGAGTTCCTTTCACACTCTTTTTATCTATAATTTTAATGGCAACTTTGTTAAAAGGTGGTTTTGTTTACTAAGCTAGCATCACTGAACCGAATGCACCATTTCCCAGTTTTTTCAAGAACTTGTAGTAGTAATAAATATTCTCTATTGATGATATTGTGCATTCATCCTTATCTGTGTTTTGTTGCAATCCGTTGTTTTAGCTTTGAGTATCCCAAAAAGATGAAGTATTATCTTCTATCTTTCTCTTGTTTGTAATAACCTTTTCTGGTTTCTTCCTAGAAATAGCATTATCGTTTGTCTTGCTGGTAACGCAACCCATTTGAATGCTAGTTTATATATTATTTATTTTTTTTTACTATAAGTTATGGCTTTATTTCAAAATGCTTGAAACAATGAATATCCTATACTTAAAATTTAATTATTATTAATTAATTAATTATTTTATAAATATTAATAATGCTATCACCCAATACATTTTTATTAGAACCATAATATGCCCAGTAAGATTTATTCACTTCATAGGTAATGAATATATTTTCTATGCAAAATGATGAATGATTAAATGAATTTATAGCAAACAAACTATAAAATGGACATAAATAAAATATTGATAAGAATGTACAAATAGATATATAAAAAGCTCCTCTTAAGTTGCATTTAATAAATAAAATAGAAAAATAGGAAATTCTTATAAAATTCTATAAAATTATTTAACAAATTTCATTATTAATAGATTATACTAAAATTAAAACATCTTTTCGTATTAATAATTTTTGCTAACATTTCAAATGTTTATAATCAACTTAACTTGCCATATAATTTTCCAGTAACATTTCAAAAAAAAATTAATTAATAACAAAAAGTATAGAAAGATATTGGTATTTTTTAAATTAAAACTATTTCTAAATTATTTCTTTACACTATTTTTATTTGAGTATTAAATATCTTTATGAACGTGAAGTGAAGTTAATCAATCACAATTTCATAAATTTTAAAATATATATTTCAAGCTTTACGAATTTATATTTTGGCTATTTAATAAATCTATATTTTATCTCAAAGTAAAACAGTAATAAAAGTAATAGAATAAAATTGTATTTTTGAAGCTAATTTTATACCACATTCTCCTAATAATAGTGTAAAAATTTTAATATAACATTTATTTCTTATTATTTCATCTAATTAATTGTTATAAAATCAATTAAAAAATAAAATCAATTCTAAATTGTATTAAAAAATTATTTATTTAAGAATGAATTTTTATGTTTTATTTTTTTATTTTTAAAAATTTATTTTAAAGTTTTACTTTTTTTGATTTATTTTAGCATAATTTTAAGTTTTAGTACTACTTAAATTATATCAAATGATACTGCCTTAATTTTTTTGATTTAAATCTGAATTATTGATTAAAAAAGAATAATCAATAGCAATATAAAGCAATATAACAAATATTTTTAATCTTCATAACTTTTAATGTATAACTCATATATTTTTATGAATTAAATTAAATTGGGGTTGGGGTTGGGGTTGGGGTTGGGGTTGGGGTTGGGGTTGGGGTTGGGGTTGGGGTTGGGGTTGGGGTTGGGGTTGGGGTTGGGGTTGGGGTTGGGGTTGGGGTTGGGGTTGGGGTTGGGGTTGGGGTTGGGGTTGGGGTTGGGGTTGGGGTTGGGGTTGGGGTTGGGGTTGGGGTTGGGGTTGGGGTTGGGGTTGGGGTTGGGGTTGGGGTTGGGGTTGGGGTTGGGGTTGGGGTTGGGGTTGGGGTTGGGGTTGGGGTTGGGGTTGGGGTTGGGGTTGGGGTTGGGGTTGGGGTTGGGGTTGGGGTTGGGGTTGGGGTTGGGGTTGGGGTTGGGGTTGGGGTTGGGGTTGGGGTTGGGGTTGGGGTTGGGGTTGGGGTTGGGGTTGGGGTTGGGGTTGGGGTTGGGGTTGGGGTTGGGGTTGGGGTTGGGGTTGGGGTTGGGGTTGGGGTTGGGGTTGGGGTTGGGGTTGGGGTTGGGGTTGGGGTTGGGGTTGGGGTTGGGGTTGGGGTTGGGGTTGGGGTTGGGGTTGGGGTTGGGGTTGGGGTTGGGGTTGGGGTTGGGGTTGGG